AAAGGTAAACAAGGTCGAAATTTTTAGTAAATGATGATTAGAATAAGCCGTATTTTTTACGTTTCTCTCTTTTAATTACTGATACTTGATTGTTTTTTAACTTCTTCTTGGAAATTTTATTCCAACATCAATAGAAATTTATTGACTAAACACTTAAAACAAGGTTAAAATATGCATTTTATTAAATGATAGCTTAATAAAGAAAAGCGATGAATGCAAAGTATTATATAGTATAATTACCAGTTTTGTTTGTAAATATTGTGCATAAATATACATAGAATACCCTTTAAAACTCTTAAATTTGCAGTTGACTTTTATTTACGATAGTTAATAAGCTCAATCAACGTAAAATGTAACTATAACGCTAACGTTAAATTATACTTGTTTTCAACGGATAACATCTAAAGATAATTTACCGGAAATGTATTCCGTTGATAATGACTCGAATCAAGTAAAAATAATTACTGCAATAACAAATATTGATAATCATTAATTGTCTATAGATTTAAAATTAACGACCGTATTGAACCATCTATTCCTAACCGTCAGACATTAAAGCATTTTTCTATAGATTGTTGTTGTGTTATCTATTTTTGATGATAATTAATAAGTTATGAAATAGACCTTTGGAGATGTAATCATTGGATAGCGGCAATAAACTACGGCAATAAATTTGCTTTTAATAGATATATATATTCTATCATTAATTGAAATAAAACAATCGGCCTCTTTCGAGTACATAGTATCTCTTCAATAGTCTACTTTTCAAGAAAATTGTAATTATAGAATAGTCTACCAAGTTTAAGTATTCTCTCAACAGAATATGTTTATCTTTAATGGGTGATATTTTCTTTCTAATGAATTTTTTTTATCATCCACTCTTCCTCAATTTATCCATCTTCCACCCCCTCTTGTCGACATTTTGTAAGTAGTATACTGAAAATTAGGCCTCCTGTAAATATATACATATTTTTAAATACATATATCGTTCCAATTTGCTGGTGAAATTCAAATAGGTCATACTATGACCTTTTATTTCACCCATATATTAAATTTTGTAATGTAATACAGCATTATTCACCAATTTGTCGAAAGAGTCGTCCCTTATTTTCATAATTACCCTACACTTTAAATTACAAAGGGGAAGGAGCATCCAGTCATTATCGATATAATCCTTATCATCTTAATAATTTTAACACCCTCCTTAAGTATTTGCAACGCCGTATTATGAATTTCTTATATCCCTGCCTTTCAACATCTCTCTCCCTCTTCCGCTCTGTTTGTCTATCTGTCTGTCTTTCTTTCTTGACTCTTTGACTCTTTCTTTCTATCTGTTTCTGTCTATCTGTCTCTCTGTCTGTCTCTGCCTGTCTTTCTTTCTTTCTTTCTCTTTACACGTCCCCCGCGCGCTCTCTCACTCTCACTCTCTCTCTCTTTGTCTCACTCTTCATGAGGTATTCAATATGCGTATATATATCTATTTTCAACACTTCTTCTCTTCTCTATCTCTTTTATAATTAATTTTTTTACTAAGTAGGAGAAAATTTTATCCAAAATACAAAGTATCCTTAATCATCTTTTTTTGATTGACCAAGGCCTATGATTCTCATTAATTATTTGTTCTGCTTGCTAGTTAACTATCCATCGAAAATTACTTTCATAAGCTATGTCTCTTCCTTTTCATATTTATCAACTTTTTGATATTTATCCCTCTTTTCTTTTCTTGAAATAATGAACGTTTACAGTTAATTTTCTTGTCTATTGTTATATGTTTAATTCTAATTGAACTATTTTAAGTATGGGGAGAGAAAATAAATGGCAAAAGAGAACATTTTCCCCTTTCTTGTAGCTAGTTGTGAGGAGCATGATAAAATCAACTGTAAAGTCACGTATTAGAATTTTTTTGCAGCTTTTAGACACGCTAATGGACACTGTATATTTCATCTATGAGGCCCTCAACAAGTATAGTAATTAAAATACTTAACAACACTGACTATTTTTGTCTCCTTCATTACGAGATATTTGTATGGAAATTATTGACTTAATCCCTACAAACAAAACTATTGAAAAAGTATTAAGAGAAAACAAGCGGAAATAATAGTGTTACTTGAAAAGTCGTTTATCAAGTTTGTCAAAAAAAAGAAAGTTAACCAATTTTGGTGTTATCAGTGTATATAATTCTCTATAATCTAGTAAGCCCCGTTAATCATGTATCTTTTGACAACAATCACTCATTTGGGAAATTTTACATACGTGTTTGGCAATCTTTTTATCAAATTATTGACTTTTTGTCAAATTTTTTTTTTTAAAGATTCGCCTTAAGTGCAGTTATCCATAATTTGACGTTTGCTTTAGGTATATATATATATATATATATATATGTGTATTCTATAGGCTGTTTTACTTCGCAATTCGACGTTTAGACGCATTTAAATTTGTACATGTAATTTTTTCTCTTTCAAGCTTTACTTTGTCCTAATTGATCCCAGACAGAAAGGGAGAGAGAGAGAGAGAGAGAAAACTACGTCAGGCGTATAATGTCAAACTTCCTTTAGGATAATAATTTCAGATAAATTTTATCAAGTGAAGAGATTTGAAGAACACTTAACGAATCCCAAAGAGAACTTTAACTAATTTTCTCCATAAGTCATCGATTAACTTCAACCCAAAGCGAAAAAAAGAAAAAAAAACCCTAATCTCTTCCATCACTTTGAGTTTTCGGTTAGAGGATAAAAGAAAAATCTACGAATGAGAGTTATGATTTTCGAAACGGCTGAATGCAAAAATCTCTTTAGCCAAAACTAACTTTTATCTTTCAATGCTTAACAAGGCAATAGAGTGTGACAAACAAACAAAAAAACCTACATGAAGCGCAATGTTAGAAGTCTGCTTTGAAAAATTATAAGGAGATATAGAACTTCCGTTTTGGTAAGAAATGGACAGGAATAACAAAACAGATAAATGAGGGAGGTAGGGAGAGAGAATAAGAGAGGGAGGGAGGGAAGAAAATTGAGTGAAAGAAATAACGAAAAGAAAGAGCATTCATTAGTCATTTTTGTGCCACGTTAACAAACTGACAATAGAGCAAACAACTTTAAAAAAAAAACTCCCTTAGTTGCATAATCAGTCTAGGTGTCCTATCAGCTTGAGAGTAGAGGTAGCTATAAGGAAATTTCTTTCCATTTTTACCACTGACACGCTTATTAAATTATATTTGTTAGTAATATAATACATAGATTATAGCACAGATTTCCCTTTTGGCAAGTGATAATTATTCATAAAATGTATTACTACAGTATATATTGTATATATATATATATATATATTATGTATTTGATAATTATTATCCCTTACGTACTCTTCCATTTCATTCATTTTCCTTCGACTTGTTTTCATCTCCGAATGGAATAATATGCAAATTTCTCTTTTCTAAAATTCGTCTGTTCTAAATATCATTATTCTGCAGGAAAAGCGTTCTGGTTTCTCTCATTCCCTAATGAAATTTTCTTGTCCCTTATCGCCGAATTGATTACGAGATACATATTAAAGTTCAATCATTTGTCTTTCCACCTCGTTGTTATTTCTTCTTGACACTTATACACTTATCTTTCTTTTTCTATTCTTCCCTTTTCATGTATGACATAAACGTTAAATCAACCTCATCGTTTCCCTGTATTTTAAATTATCCATTTCCGACTTTTCATCTTGATAGACTAGCTTTTCCGTTGTCTGAATATAAGACGTTGCTCAATAGAGATAAATTGATAAAGATTCTTAAATAAATTGAGCTTTATGCTCTTTCAAATTTTCGTCCCTCTTTTTAGTTGAATAGAGAAATTGATAGATTATTTCTAAGGACACCATAAATTCATTCTCTTTATAACAACTACCAGAGTCTTTTCTAATTTGAAATTTTATCTCCAATTTTTAATTTACTTCTTTAAAAGAGAAAGAGAGAGAGAGAAGGTCTTCTTTGCGAAAAGTTGACTATTTCGTATAGTGTTTCTCTTCAAAATTTTCTAGACGTTTAGTTTAATTTTATTTAATAAAAATTGAAATAAAGAAAAAGATTGCATAACCAAAAGTTGAGTAGTTTTTCATTTAAAAGGCAAAGTCTAGCCTTTCAAACCATATTGCACTTGACACTTATCAGGTTTATCAAACTATATTTATAGTTATTTTGAGAACGTTTCGTAGTTTTATATATGTAATATATATTCTTTGTTGACAGTATATAGAGAGGTCTTGAAGTTAACTTGTCTACCCTATTGAAGAATACGAAACAAATTTTCTCTCTCTTTCTCTCTTTCTCTCTTCCACCCATCCCCTTCATTTCTCTTCCTGGTTTTTTTTTAAGTTAAGTATTACTTCTCTTACTGTTCAAATATCATCCAAAAAGGAGATAAAAGAAGTGGAATGATTGTAAATGAGTTATCGTAGGAGAATAACAGAAATAAGAGAATTCGAATATCTATTATATTTCAATTGTTGCTATGTTACAAAAAAAAACAATATATATATACAATTATAATGAAAAAAAGGCAACATTCTCCAACTTTTCAAAAGGTAAACTTACAGTTAATAACCTCTACTTTACTAGAGACATCTTCAGGTTGATCATGAAACAATAATTGACTCGTTATAAAAAGTAAAAGCTTGACGTACATTATTCAAGTAATCAATGCTCCTTAATTGTTAATTTTCCAGTATTTTCCAAAAAGCTAAAAATAAATAACCATATAGTTTTTGTCATTTTACCAATTTAAGTACAAATATTTTAATTCTGCCTTATTAGAGCCTTAAATGAGTCAGACAAACGCTTAGATTAGGGTAAATAAAATGACTAACGCAAGAAAGTTCTATGAATTATCTATATCCAAAAGTACAGATTCTATTCATCTTGCCAATATTATCTCTGAAAAATGTTGAATTTTGCATTAATATGAGAGAATTATGTTAATTTATTCATGACCGTGTAAAGGTAACACATGGTTATTTCCACTCGTTATTCAAATGACTTCTTTTAAAGAGCACATTCTTTTAGAGACATTCTCAGTCCAACTTCAAAATCCAATGACGAAAGCAACTTTTCTAATTTTGAGCGTTTGTCTCATTATTCTTTCTGCGGTATATGAAATATCCCTTTTTTAATAAGAAAAATACCACATTACCATATTTCTATTCTTATTTTTTTAAGTTTTCAAAAATTTCAGCCTAGTTGTGCAAATGGAAATGGAAAAACTAGCAGTTCCACAAGCTGCATGTTAAATAATTTCAAAACTATTCAACAGACGTTAAAGAACAATATCGACAATTTATTCGGTGAGAGTATCTTTCTTCTATAAATAGTTTGATTATAACATATCTTGAAATTATAGAAATAATAACTGATCATGAAGATTCTCCAACAAGTATTTTCTTTCATTTTGTTAAATTGAAATATTTAACTTTTATGTACTTTTCCAATTCAGAAACGATATATTGTCACAAACAACAAACGATATATGAAGATTTTAGGAGTTTTAACTCTAAATTCGCTATCTCTTCAAGCAATCGAAGACCAAATACATGTACAATAATTATAAACATTGACAGAACTTTCAAATCGGTTTGTTTCATTATTTTATTAATTTCTCATGGATAATTACTCTCTCTCTCTCTCTCTCTCTTATCTCTTATCTCTATCTATACCATTTTCAATTTAGATCATAGAACTACAATTTTATGATATCAACATCCAAAATACGCCAGGATGTACCAGTGAAAAATTGACATTTACGGACGATAGCAATTCTGTTTCTTTCTGTCAATATGAAGAATCAAATAGTAAGTTTCTTACAAAGTAATATATAATTCATTATGCGTAATCTGACCTTATCGTCTCTTCAAATAGATAACAATGACAATCTTGTACCAACAAATTTGTTCTCCATTCAGAAACCAAAGCTTAATAAAATTTATGAGATAAAGCCAAATGGATCATTGGTTATTCAATTCATCACTAGAGAATTTACTCAGTCGAACTTCTCTCTACTAGCTAAATTCAAAACTCCAGCGTTTGAATGTGAAAAATCACCAGATATCTCTCCAATTGTAAAATGCCAGGACCATTCAAGAGAAACGATTAATTTTGACTGCACTGGTCAAGTCTACGTTATATCGACTAATGGTACATATAGATCCGATGAAAACTGTAAAGTATTATTAAATACTCAATGCGTACAAACTGGGGTAAATACAATTTTAAGTTGATTGTAAAAGAAAATGATCCTTTCGTTTGTTTATTTAGACGTTTTTCTTCGCGTTTGAATCTTTCGATGTAGAAGGGAACCGTATTTGTTCATATGATAAATTAATTATTGAAAGCGAAAATATAGATCACATTTTTTGTGGCAAAGGAGGAAACGGTAAGAACTTTATATTCTAAAGACTAATGAACTGAATTATAATATTGCAGAGGATATTTCTTTTGAAAGAAACGGCACAATAACCCATCATTCGGTTCGGCTCAATAGCCCTTATTCAATAAAATCTGTCAAGTCTGTTTCTGTAAACTTCATTTCTGATTCAAACGTTGAAAAGAGGGGAATAGTTATGAAAACATGGTTCCAAGCGGGCGGGACAGAAGAAGATACTACTACTTCCACGGTGCCTACTACTACTTCCACGGTGCCTACTACTACTTCCACGGTGCCTACTACTACATCAGAAAATTTGGTAACTACTCAACAAAACAATAACAATTCTCCACTGTTGCATTGTCGCTGGGGTTCAAGACACAATATCAAGTTGGATTGCAGTGGTATAAACTACACACTATCGTCAAATGGTATATACAAACCCTACGAGTTGTGTGACTATAATTTCATACTTGAAAATAATTTAAAAGGCGTCAGTATACCAAAGTTTATTAATAAAGGCTTTTATTCGAAAGTTCTTTTCTTTTCATTTAGAGATTTTCATTGAAATATAAAACAGTGCATATAGAGTACCACAGCAAATGTCGTTACGATTATTTGGGTATTGAATATAACAATCAAACCACTTTTATTTGTGGTTCTGGACGAAGCAGTTGAGAAGTTTAAAATAAACAAATTAAACTAATAACCGTATTACTTTCTATGACATTCAACAGCTTCTTACACCTATCCAAGGAGGTTGTTGATGCCACATACATATGTCGGAGTGAACCTCGATACTGAATACTATCTAGACATAGATCGGACGCTAACTATTTTCTTTAAAACTGATGGAAGCTATCATTTCAGAGGATTTGAAATTCAAGCAAATTTTAATTGCGACAAAGCAGTACCCTCCACAGTGAAACCAAAGGCAGAAACCACAGTATCGGAAGTAGAATCAAGTACAAGCAAATATTACCATTAATATCTTTGTACAACTCTATTATTTTTACAGAAAAGATATCCTGTTATGATAAAGTTCAAATTTTCATGGACGATAATTGGCAAATCGACCAATACATAATTACAACACCCGATTATCCATCATACTATAGAACCTCTGATTACAACTGTTCAGTTTCCCTACATACTTCTTTTCTTTCTTCGGTACAGTGTTTGATTAAATTTTCCTAACTGTAAACATATAACTGTCAATATGTCTATTAAACATTTGCAGTTCGTCTACATTATATTTGACGAGTTATTCTTTCCGAGCAGCAACTGTGATGAAAATAGATTAAGCTTTTCTAACGGATTTGCAAAAACCACATTTTGTTCTTTAGGTTTGTTACAAATTAGTAATCTCCTCTCAAAGATAATGTTACATTTCTCCATCATTTTAAAGCAAGGACCAATAATTTTTTGGAAGATATAAAGATTTTTTATAATACTGAATTTCTTACAAATAAAATATATAAAATAAGATATGATGAACTTCTCAAAATCCAAATTATGCTGCCATATTCTCCATACTATAAACGTTTTAAACTGCGCATTTTTAAAAATCTTCGTAATATACCTGGAATTGAATCGTCAGCTAAACCTGAAGAAATGACGACTGAATATATAACTAGAGCCAACAGAGAAACTAGAGGTAATAGAGAAAGATCAACTAGAGGTAATAGAGAAAGATCAACTGGAGCTCCATGGAAGACAACAAATCAGAGATATTTCAAAAGTTCACCAAAAGCTACCACTTCTATTAACGATTATACAACAATGCCAAATTATCCAACAACATCGGTAAAAACAACTAAACCTACCCGAGACAATGACAGTAAAGTTTGAATATACATATATACTATATTATTATAATAATAATGCTGAAATCCAATTATCTTCTATTCAAAAGCTGTAATAGAATGCAAGAGAGATATGGTTTTGGATAGATCAACCTTATGCAATAAGTCAATATCGATTGTATCAATGAATTATCCAAACAATCATCCATCTGGTTACAGTTGTCGTGTTTATTTTGATACACAAATGGAAAATCCAGAGGTTCATTTACTTAGCTAATCTAAAAGTTTATAAATCTTCGATAATACAATCCCTTTTTGAACAGGAAGCTTATATAAAGTTTACTGAACTTTATGCGGATTCAGGTTCTTCTAGACTTTTCATATCATTTAATGCCGAATTGGACTCAATTTATTATAATATGAGAAGTAAATAAATTCATATATTTAAATATTATAATATAGATATCTATAAATATTTTATGCTGAAAAATTTCGGATACAGCATCTAGATCTAGTTGGAATTCTTTTTCACGCATGAGCTTTAATGAAAAGACTCTTTTTGACGGAACGAGGTATAAACTGGACCTCAGGAAACAGTTAACCTTCCGTTTTGGGTCATTTAGCCAAAGGCGTATACGACGTTTCAGACTCGAAGTTGAATACACATGCTAATGTCTTGGCAAAATTCGACAATTTCACTGAATTATTGCCATATACCTGCACATGCTTATATTGATATGCAATATTATCCAAATGATATACTTTTCCTTCGATTCACTTGCAACTCTCACAATGAAAAATGATATGAAAAATATATTAATATAGTTACGTATACAAAAGTTTAATATCCTTGTTTCCTGTAAAACTATAATTTCATGTCATTTGGATAATTAGATAAAAACTGGTAGAATATCTTATTAATACAATATCAAGTGCAATTAAGAGAAAATTTTTAATCTCTTTAATCCGGTTAGTTTGTTTCTCAAAACAGTCAGAAAGCTTAATAAAGCTTAATATCAATGAGCAAAATGATAAAATCCAACATGACATGTGGTGCCATCTCCATTTTTCATGGATGAAAGAAATGAAACAAAAGAATAGAAAGATAGCTGTGAAATTAACATCTGAACGTTAATAATCTTATCAATATACAATGTAATTAAATTAAAACTTGAATCTCAAACCTCAAAAGTATTACAATCATGAAGATTCCAACTTAATTAACTAGTTTCATGAAAGTTTAGAGTATGTTTGACAAACTTATTAAGGCAATTGCTAAAATTGTTAATATAAGAGCTTTAAAATATTAAATATTATTTATTATGAACTGTATTAAGATGATTGAATTCAGAATAGTTATCATTTACATTAAAGTCCTTATTTATTGAAATAAATAAGCTAATTTTATATAGGAATTCCCTGTTAATTCTTTGTTGGAATAAAATACAAGTTTTTTGTCTTTTTTATATTAAATGAACTCTTTTGAATCAAGTTTCTCACGCGCAGTTGATAGGTGAGACAGCAAATCGTGATTTTTGTTTTTTTTTCTTTTCTTTCGTTTTTAACTGTTCAAAAGTTATGGAAGAAGAGAATTCATTTCAAGAGTAATTTTCTCTATAAAAGACTATGTAATTAACATAGAAAACAGCTTTTACTAGTATCGAGTATCCGCAATCTTTGAACGAGGTGAAAAAATCTTTTCTTTTTCAATATTTGATCATGAATCCAGTCTAAACTAACTTTCGTGTCAATTAAATAGAACACATCATATACTGATAGTTTAAAAGAGATGAAAAAATTGAAATAGAATTGAGTTTCCAATAATTCTCTCTCAAGTATTCAATATAAAGCAATAATCTAAAGTGTTCAAGTGAGAAAATCTATTTCATTTTCAAGGATATACTCGGAAAAAGAAAAGATGAATGGCCTAGCTACTGTTATATATATTTAGCGGGAAAATGAACGGCTTTGGTGGAGTTCTCCCTCTTCCATTCGATACAATATGGATTCTATTCTTGTGCTCTTATTCGGCGGCTTTGGTTTGTAGTTTTCTTGTATTTTTTTTAAAGATAACCTCTCGTAAAACTTTAATCCTTTAGGCAATAAAGCATAATAGCAATTCAGGAAAAAGTGTACAATTTAGCAAATTCAACTCAATTCAAGATATTTCAGGTTTACCTTTTATTTTAAATTTTACGAATAATTTCAATTCATTACGTCATTAGGTGGAAAAGATATCTCCAGTTCAGGTATGAATTTAGTCCCATTATTAAAATTTATCTCAAAGTCTTCTCTCCTCGTTCGAATCAATTAACTGTAAAAGAAACTATCGAATGCATTCATCAGTGGACGATTAATCAGAAATCTAATTGCGCCAATCCTCACTATGTCATTTATTCAAAGAATTTCCCAAATAACTATCCAAACAATATGATTTGTCATATTATTTTTAATATTGATGCAACATCAAACGCGGTTTGTCACTCAAAAATTTCAAACTAACCACAATTGTTCCACTTTAAAATGTACTTTTGAATAGAGAATAGAGCTGAGATTCGAGGAATTTGACGTTGAATTCGAAAGAAGTTGCTCCTATGACCGTCTAATTTTCACTGATGACTACAATTCAACCGCATTTTGCGGATACGGTTTACCTTTGAGTATGTGCAATTTTAAATTTGATTGTATTAGATTTCATTGACTAACTAACAATGTATTTATTCTTTTTATCTTTGGAACAGAATCATCCGACAATCGACAATCAAACTTATTCTCGTTTCAGGCAACACAGCCAACTATTAATAGAACGTATATAGTCTCTCCCCAAGGATCCTTGACTATTCAATTCATAACCGATATTGCGTATATGGAAAGAGGATTTATACTGCATGCAGATGTTAAATGTTCCAAATCTCAGATTGAAAGTAAGACGAATCCAGAAGTTCAAAGCAGTAAATTTCGCTTAGAAGCAAGAATTTATGAAGCTTAACCTTTTGTAGATTCTCTTATGAATGAAAAATTGTTCTGCGCAAATAAGATTAAGAAGATAATTCGTGCGGATTGTAGCGGTAAAAACTATATACTATCATCAGGATACCCCTACAGTAATCATGAACATTGTTCTATTACATTTAAACCATTCAAAGGGAGAAGAGCAGTAAACGATATTACTTATTTCATAAAAGTTATTGTCCTTAAATATATCTCTCTTCCCCCAAAGGTATTTTCTGTCACTATTATATACTTTGAATTGGAAGAGGGTGCTTATTGTAAACGCGATAAACTTGAAATTCTTGATGGGAATGAAAGAAACATTCTATGTGGATTTATATCAAAATGTCGGAACTTATTTAATATTCTTTTATAGTTTTTATTATACGTATTCACGCTTTTCAATAGATGGTCGAAAAGGAGTGAAATTTTTTGGAAATGTAACAAATCTCTATCTTAAAAAACCATATACTACATCAACTGGTAAAGACTTAATATTCAAGTTCCGGTCGGACAACTCGCAATTCCATAGAGGATTTAGATTTCACGTGAAAATGCTATGTTCATCCGACGCAGACAATAGATAGATCATCCATAAGAAACTCTATACAGACAATTATCTATCTATTTTAATTAACGTCAACTATTCATGTAATACTGTAATGGGAACGAAAGAGATACACCTATAATACGATTAAACATATCCTTATCTCTTCAATAAGACACTAGATATGATATTAATTTTATTGAATTGAAAAAAAAAAGGTCTAAACACGATTAACAATGCAGCTTCAAACAATGCGCTAATTAAAGCATCTATCTACTTTAACTCTAATCCTTTGATAATAACAAAAATAACAAAAGAATACGGCACCCAGTGTTCCCAGGCGGTCTCCCATCCAAGTACTGACTGGGCCGTACGTCATTTAACTTCGGTGATCGGACGAGAACCGGTGCTTGTAACGTCGTATGGCCGTATACAATAGAATGTAGAAAATACTGTGTACTTAAAGCTATTAAAGCAATTGATAAAAGATGAAAGCCGTGTCTAAATGTCTACGCTTTAAAAGAAGAGAATGGTCCTTTTACAAGATGATTTTAATAAATTTTCCTTTTAGATTTCCAAAATCGATTTTAAACGTACGTTGTTGTGTTCGACTGTTGCTCTCTCTCTCTCTCTCTCTCTCTCTCTCTCTTTTGCTATCTATCTCCTCAATATCTCTTGCGAAGAGACTCCAAACTTAAACTAGACAATACACGATGATAATCAGCATTAGTTGGTAAACTGAGGAGATCATTATTTTTTATTAAAATCTATAATTAAAGATGTTATTAAATCGATATTTTCTAGTTAAAGAAAAAATAACAAAAAACAACCAAAATCGCATAAGCTATTCATTCTTTTCTATGGGGAAATCTTGCTAAGCGGCTATAATGAAAATGCTACGGTTAGATTGAGATTTATTCAAATACACCTACTTGCGCTCCTACTCATTCGTTTCACTGCTAATCCTATTGGATGGAAAAAGCTATACTTACAAAGTGTAATATTCTCTCCCTGTTAGTCATATTATAAACCCCGATTAGCTGGCTCCTTTTTGATTGATTATATGACGTACGTAGATGATAGTAATCAGTATATTTATCTAAAGAAGAGGGAGAAAAGGCTTTAAATAGTTTTACTCTTAAAGATAATCTTTGAGTGTCTATTTTCTATAATTCGGATCCATAAGTAATCTATTATTTATGTGCTGAATTGTTTTTGATGTTAAGGTTGCAATGTTGAAAAAGTGTTGAAAACCTTCGACTATTATATAACATTAATAATTTAAATAATATGATATCAGAGAGTGAATACAATTACATAAAAGATTAGGTTGAACAGGAGCTTAGAGTCGAAATTCTCTAAGAGGTTTAGTGTCACATTTCAAGCAAACAATTCTCCCGTCCGATGAGTAAAGTTTTAGGGATTATTGTCCCTAATAAAAAGATCATAATCAAAATATAGCCCTAAAATAGTGTGATTCTTTTTTCCCATGAAAAATATGCTAACCTTTGCAAAACCTGGAAAGTCTATTTTTAAACTGATTGCTAACCCTAAAGATCGTAGCTATAGTTAAATGGAAAGAATTAAGGCTTACAAAGTATTTGTTAGGGTCTGAAAGAAGAGGTATTTTTGAATAGATATCTTTCGTATTTAGGGTCTATTTGTATTTTGTATACAAAGTTTCTATTTATAAAAAAAAGAAAGTTGTGCATTTTTATGATTTATCAACTTTATTTTTGAAGTAATGAATCATTTGTTTGCAAATTATTTAATGCTAAAAATTTAAAATTCAAGTAGAAATTGTAGTAAAAGTTCCGATTGAAAATGATGTAGTATTTAACGATTGAAAGAACTTTTTTAAAATTAGCAATGTTATTTTTATACTAATTATAGAGAATAATACATAATGAATCATTATGTTAAAATTAAAAGTAACAATTTAGGATGAAGATGGTTTGATCCTAATGGATGCTGAACGTGAAATTTCTATCATTTCAGAACAAATACTTTTCATTTATTTTGCATGATAAAACTTGAATATGCAGCAATCATCTTCCTCTTATAATACTATATATATACATTATCCATTTTGTCTCGTATTTTAGCGGTTAACTATGAAAAGAACATAACTAGATCATTATCTCTATTTGTTGTATGCAATTAGTTTTTTGCAGATATTTTAAAATTTCTGCGAGTTTTTTTTCCCTTATAATGAGATAGATTATGTCTATATTTTCCATTTGCAAGGTTTATATATGTTATTTTTGCAGCGTAAGAACAGAAAAAGAGTTTCGTCGTAGATTAACAAATATGGCGCTGAAACATTGCCCATAAATGAGAATGGCGTATTGTAATGTACTTTCACCTCTGGTCTGGTGTGCCGTCGTCAATCTCTAGTCATTAATTTATTAATTGAAATGAATGAGTGATTGTGGGAATGCTATTAATTGCTAATAGCTGATTGAAAAGAAATTATTCATTATTCTCCCCAACTTCAAAATGTCCAAAATTGATTGGTATTTGATAGCTAAATAGAACGTCAAAATAAAAGATGTCCCAGCGGGAAGACTCATTTAATATTTCTAAAGAATAAAGCTTGCCGACTCAGCAGAAATTTGTTACTTTATCTGACCTAGTGAGTAATAGGGTCAAATTCTGTTTAGCATAATCGAGTTTCACAATACAATGCGTCATATATCAAATAAAATTGATGATTACGTAAGTCGACTCTTACTGAACTGTTGCATTAAATTCTCCTTTTGAAAAACTCTCAACGAAATTCTATGGTCGTCGTTTCAATACAATAGGATCTTAGGAGGAGAACAATTACCGTTACACTGAAAGTAGCTATTTATACGCTTCAAGAGTTGAAGCAATTACACCTGAAAATGCTAAGAACTATATAAAGGGACAGGCGGAGAGAATTCAAGTCTTATGCGTCAGTATAACAGGTTGAGCACTATCCTCAACTCATTTTGTTGTTCAAAGACTTTTTTTTGACTTTTTGAAAACTTTTACAGTCATCTCTACTTAATCAAAACAATATGAAAGTTATTCTATTGCTCCCTGCAATTCTTGCAGTTCTTAGGGTCAGAAGAGCTTTAAATTTATCTCTTTTTTCTTATTTTTTTGTTTTTTTTTATATATGCAACTATCATCTCTTTCTTTTCAATTTTCTGCAGGCTGAAACAATTCCAGAATGTGTTAAGACAGAATCGATTGAACAGTGTGTTGAAAATCGATTGGTTTGGTTTGAAATGAGCATTAGATCTAATTTAACGAAGATTGAAAGTCGTTTAAGTAAGTACAACAAAATAAAATATAGCTAAATCAATATGATCAATTGTTATTTTTTTGCGAAGGTGAATTAGAAAATAAATACAATGATGAAAGTAACATGGAAAATGGATTGGGGGATGAAATCAGACAAACTACTTTAAAACCTGAGAACTATAAAGTGAAAACAAGTACAAAGAAACTTCACACAACTAAAATGACAGAAAAGCCTACCGAAAAAAAAGAAGAGCACACTCAGCCAATGACAACAAAAACAATTGCTGATAAAATAACAACAAAGGTAGATGAAATGAAGACAACAATGAGAGAAACACCTGAAATAGATATGACTACAGTAACCCCATCAACAGTAATGACAAAATCATCAACACCTGTAAAAGTGCCCTTAACCCGTAAATATATTTATAAAATAGGCATTAAAATTTATAATTAGCCCCTTACAAGAAAAAATGTATAATTGAATATCTTTTTTTTTTAAAAAGAAAAACTTATGTGTGATAAAACGCAAACGATAAATCAACTACCAAATTGCAATAACCCCAAGTATATTATCACCTCTCTCAACTATCCTCAGAGCTATCCATTTAATTATCAATGCAAAATTATTCTGGATGAAATAGATAATTCGGTAAGAAACTTGTAAAAATAATACCGTTAATCAGTCATTAAAAAAGAAATGCTTGTTTCAAAGGTAATCCATATCAAATTTCTGGATTTCCATGTTGAACAAGGCCAAAGTTGCCCTTTCGACAAGCTCACTTTCAAAGAAGGGAGTAATTCAGCTACTCTCTGCGGTAGAGGTTCGTAAAAAATATAAACTGCTAAATTATTTCGTTATCAACACTTTTTTATAAACAGGTCATATAATCCCGGACGATAACGAAGTGGACCTATTCCAATCGAATATTGCTATTCCAAAGTTAAATACCACCTACACCATTGACCCGAATGGTCCAGTAGAAATATCATTCTTATCTGATAATATTGTCAGAGAGAAAGGATTTGTCATGCATCTTGAATTCAAATGCGTCGACAATTAAGCGAAAGAGGATGTTTGAATCTACAATTGGAAGATTTTAATTTGTTCCTAATTTTAGTAATAAACTTACTTAAGCAAAAGAAAATAAAAACACTTTGTTTTATATTTCACATTCGAAGATGATCAAATTAGACGGTAACCTTAACCTTAACCCTAAGGAAGCGGTAAAAGATGATATCGATCATACGTCGCTGATTCTAGGAAAACCATTTTATATGCCTTGGAAAAAAGCTAAAAAAAAAAAACAGATATTCTTTCCAACATTAACAAAAATAGAAATGAAAGCACTTTGATCTAATTTAAGAATTAATATCGCTTAGGATCTTGTATATCGGTAGAGGTCTATTAACAGGTAACCTTGTGCTGGAATTTTACTAAATATAATCAATAAATTCCATTAAAAACAAAGACAAAAATGCAGAATTTGCAGAATTTGTTTATTTATGATTGAAATAACAACATTTCTGTAGTAGGGAGAAATAAGAGTATGAGAAGAGGGGAGATGATATTGATTTGTCTTAACAATATCCTTTTCGTCCATTCAAAATATTCTCTCTTGATTTACAATTCATTTTTTTCGTCAGTTTCCCTGTCTCTATCATTATATATAAAATTTTTACTTTTTCGGAAAATGGCCTCATTTCTAGACGAATCTCAACGAATTGAAAAGGAGCAATAAACAATGAAATTGAGGATTTATCATACAACACATTAGCATTTTGGTTACGTAATCCAATCTTGCATAATTAACCTATCGATTCTAAAATGCCATATTTTCAATAGTCAAATAAAGGTAGATACTGTATATTAGGAAAGAAAGCAACAAAAAAAAAACAATTAATTAAGTAAGCAGTCATATTGGGACGAGAAAAGAAAAAGTGAGTGGAGTAAAAGAAAGGCAATTGTTATTCTTTGGACTTAATCCTTATGAATAAATGAGTATTTAGTGGAAGAAAAGATGAATTGGACTAGAAATAAGTAAATGGTTTTAGACATAGTATAAGCCTTAAAACTGAACTTCTATGTTGAAGAGTGAAGTAATAAAACATCTTTTAAGGGAATTCGTCGATTTTTCTTCTTGTTCTTTGTTACTAATCTTTGTTCCTCCCCCATTTTTAATATTTGCAACAATATTGCAGTTACTGCAGATCGCTACTATTAATTAATTGTAAAGATAATAAAAAGGATTTTCGATAAGAAATTTAAACATCTTTGTAAAATTGTGTGCCAAGAAGAATTTTTCAATAATTCTAAATTTCGTTGATAATGTGTATTTACTTTATAATATTCGACAAGTTGCGCTAATTTGGCTCTTTTTATCACACGCTGAGTTAATTTGGTACTTTTCCCCTTGTCTTTTAGGAGTATCTTTTGTAATTGTCTTTAAATCGATAGATTTACGTTTTTTATCCACATGATTTTCCATTTGATGGACGCTTTTTAATGAACCTCGTTTTAGACTATTTCCACGAAATCTATTGAAAATTAATTCGGAATCATCGATTTCGTCCAGTTCGTCTATTACGTCGAGTCTGGAACAGGTATCTATAACGGAACTTCTTCTACGCATTTTTCTCTCAAGTTCCTGAAATTGACTATTCGAACTCAAATCGCTGTCGGATAGGAAACTCTCAAAGTCATCTCTGTTATCGGAGGCTTGCGTGTCGATTGAGTCGGTTTGTTCAATATTTTTGAATAATGCATAATCTAACGAATTATCGGTATAGTCGCTCAATACAGTTCTGATTTGTTCCACCTTTTCAATGAAAACAACAGCGTAGCTAGATTCGAAAGTTGACAAGGTGTTAATATGCCTGTGGAAGGGATGAGGACAATTTCCTGATTTGGCAGTTTCGTCGTACATTTTTAAAATTCGCAAAAATATCCTGAAGATATCGGAAGAGTTGGAAAGATATTTTTTCGCTATTCGAATCTTCATAGCGTTTAGGGAATATTCGGAGAGGACTTGACCGAATTTTTCATTTAGAATATCTATTAGATCAAATGCTAAACTCATACCAGTGTTTAATTCCCTTATACCTTTTATGAGATGGTCTTCAATTGCACAGAAGCTAATATTCCATACGTTAAAATTTAATTCACCGTCTTTAGGGCAATTCTTTGTTAAAGACGTGCAATTTTTAGCTTCTAAGGACCATAGATGATCACCGTTGTCAATCTTATTTTTCACCGAATCGCCTACTGTCAGATAGGCAGAAAAATTTGGAATTGTCAAATGAGCTGGCCATTTATTCATTTTGATTGCTGGAAATAGGTTCAAGTGCAATATGGTGCTTTCAATTCTACTCAGAGAAACAGTAATTGAAAGTAAAATACTTGGAAAGATATTTTCTATTTTTAGATCTTCTATATAAGTCAAATTAAACCTTTTAACATTCTTTATGAGGACTGAAAGAGCAGCAGTAAGACCTTTAGTAAACCAATCATTAATTTCGACGGCTGTAAGACTATTTGAGGAATTCTTAAGGCAGGGTTTCCAAAATTTCTCTTCAATTCTACCTTCATCTTTACTAAGGCTACTTGATAATCTGCATTCCATTATAGACGGATTCAAATTCTTATGTAATACCTTGGCTTCAAAAGCAGCGCAGTGAATAGGTTTAGCTAAGAATATTCTCACATCGTAAATTCTACGATTCTCCTCTGTGATATCGAATTTATCAAATCTTAACCATTCAGCCGTTGATTTAATTCTTAGATATTGTATTGTCGTCTTAATAAAATGTTCAACTAATAAATTAATCCTTTCCCTTTTCTTTCGTTCAATTTCACGTTGTCTTCTCCATTTTTCGATTATACGTCTGAGGCATTGACTAATTATCTCGTCCTTATTTTCCATAGCGGGCTCAATTTAATTTTACTTTATAACTATTAATTTAATAATATCTTGTATAGCTAAACTTTTGATTGGAGTAAAATATCAGTTTAATAAAGCTTCGAGTTACTTAAACAACATGCTAGGCTTAAACGAATATTGAATATTTTTCGGAAACATAACGTTCTCCAAGTATTATAGAACCAATGAACAGTTATTATAATGTATATATACTGTATAAGATACTAATATCTACAATATACTGGTTTTTTTTCAAATTAAGAGTCTTTGTGAGTTTAATTTTCAGGTAACCTGGAAAAAAAAATCAATTTGCTATAGAAATTACGCGATCTCAATATATAAAGTATTTTTTTGCAACCACCTTTTATTACTATGGCAACAATATATGAGAATTAGTTGCAGTAATATATATTTTATCTTTTTACTAATAGATTACAAGTAATTAATGAAGAAAAGTGTTTGGAATTTATTCTCTCACCTCTTTCTAATAATCTATTTAAATAGAAACGGAAGAAATTACAAGGCTTTTAATATCAAGTAACCAGCCAGGGTACTAAATTTTGGACAATCTTTTATATCTCTTTTCCATTATTGTCTACTTCTTTTTCGTTCATTTGAGTATATCTTTTAGTTCTCTTCCCGTCTCGTTTGAGAATTAGCTTATAAAAGTATCTTTAATATACGGCTGAAACGAGTACTATATTATTTCTAGCATGAATATATCATACCTCCAGCTAGAGAGGAGAGAGAGAGAGAGAGAGAAAGAGAGTGGAAAAAGAAGGTAATAACAAAAGTAAACAAACTATCTGCGGAGTAGTCAACCACTTTTTTTTTTTTTTTTTTAATTAATAATGGTCTGCAGAGAATAAGAAAATCTGTATCGATTGTATTCCCTCAATCAAGTTAGACCACACCCCTTAATTCCGTGCGTTACTGTCTAACCTTTCTACCTATCTCTCTACTTGGAATTACATCAATTTTTTTTTACATATAAACAGCCTACATATTTACAAAATAATCCTATTTTCTTCTAGATCTTTTCCCCTCCGCTATCATTTTCCTTTAAACTAATATCAGTTTTTTCCTTTCATGTATAATTTTTTGGTTTTTGCATGCAAAATAATACTCTTTGAACGTTGATAGAAAAGACATCCTACATTTTTCATTCTCCTTCTCCTCGTATCTTGCCTCCTCATTTTCTTTGCTTTTGCTAATATTTTTTACCTAACGATAATTCTATTCTATTCTCTCGGAGAATAACAATAATCCTAGCTTAATCCATTTCTCAAGTTAAAATACGAGATTGAAGAATAAATGCATATTTTATATATATCTATATATTGTATATAAATAGTATTTACTATACGTTACGTCAGTTTAGCTATTATGTTAAATTACCTGTTGAGAGTACTTTTCGAGTTTATGCCAAATGCATCGCACACATCTCCAACCAATTATGTTTTGTTTTTGCGCTAGTATTCTAAATTCTATTCCGACTGTATGGACATCGTATAGTTATGGCACCTACCGCAATATGGAGAAGTATAACAACAACTATTGCTAGCATATTTAAATCATCGTCACATATCAAGAACTTTACAATACTTATTATCTTATACACTTTTACGGGTCTAATAGCTGATACAAATATTCAACGTTTGTATTATCTAGAATTAAGCGTTAACATTCTTAAAAAACCCATTTATCGCTCAGGCTCCTTTCTTTGTCGGCAATGCGGTCATACAGTTGTATTTGCCAATGATCTTACTAGGGTTGCTAGCGACATGTCGCTGAGACAGAGAAACGATAGTCTTCTGGGAAGGAAGGGAACATTGATACAACTCTTACAAAACCCTGCCGGGGCTAGATTCGAGGTGATTACATCAAAGAGAGCTCATGTAACCAAATCTACGGTGGTAAATATATTGTTTTTAACCTCTTAACCTAATTTATAATAAGCATATAATCTCATAAATACATACGTTTATCATTCTTTCTAGACTGTAAGCTCAGACACTTGGTTTACTGGTTTTTCGTGGAGAATTGCAACTTGCCCAAAGTGCCATTTTCATTTAGGATGGTATAAATACGGTTAAATACATTTATTAAACATTGTTTTATTCAAGTATTTCTATCCATTTGTAGGAGCTACGAACCTCTCTTCTATAAAGGTGGATTAGCCGATTCCAAAGATACTTTTTATGCCTTAATCTTAGATAATTTATTGGATGAAACTTGTACGTTAATCCTTATTTACATAATGCTTATATTCTAATATGAAATGTATTTTAAATTCAATTAACAGATGCCGATAATCTAATTATAACTCCAAAAGTTTATCAGAGTTGAAAAAAAGGTGAATTTTGAATAATCTACAATTGAACTGCAAAATTACAGTATACAATATATGATGAGAATGCCAAAATAGTAATTTATTTCTCTTGTTACATCCCAATTCAATTAAATAATACAAGATATTTAAAAGGATGAAAACGTTACTATAGAAACAGAGAAAAGAAAATGATAAAAAAAAACAGTTATCTTCCATCAAATTAATTAGCTGGCTTTACAGGTTTCTGCTTCTTTTCTTTTTTTTTAAAAAAACAAAGGTTTTCGGAAAGCATTTGTACATTTTTAAGAAATTTCAATATTATTTCGATATAAAAATCATAATAAAAGCATAAACATTTCTTATTAAAGTATTGTATTACTTTTTTTTGTTATATAGCAAATAGAATGTAACAATAAATAAATGCAATATTACATATAAAGGAAGGTATTAAGACAATCATTCTCTGCTTTAAACTTTGCTATAAATATCTATAAGTAAACGACCTTAACCGAAATCTAGATCAAAATTCTTAGTGTTCGCTTTACTGAGTTCGAACTTAACTAAAAAAGAATTTGAATGTAATTAAAAGCTAAAAAAGTGAAGAAAAGTTTGTATAGATCTCTATCATGTTGTTCTGATGCGAAATGGATATAGTAGTGTCTACTAATTTTAGTTAAATAGAAGACTCCTACATTTTGTGATGAAAGGTTCACTCTGTTAAAAAAAGGTGTTGAACTCTTAGTCAGAGGAATACTTCCACTTCATCTTACAAATGGAAACAGATGTTATCGGAAAATTCAAAGCGAATGGAATGATAAATAGAGATTTTATAATGAATTGACAAACTTTTCAATGATGTAATTGTTTGAAGATTTACCAGTTTGATTAAAATTCATTTCAGATCATTCCTAGTTTAATTAACGACAATCTTATTATATCTTTTAATCAGTAATTTCTCTGATTTGTTTGTTCACCTATAACCAATTTGGCAAGAAAGTTCAAAGCCTTCATTTTCTATAGCCAAGATATTGGCAAATATTCTTTTGAAATAGCCAAGGTGAAGACGTTAAATTATACAGGTTTAGGGTGTATGTACTGAAAATCTGTTGGAAGTGTAATAAGTATCGATTACGTCCTTGCCGTACATGTTATTTACCTTCTAGTCTGTTGAGAGAAGAAGAGCTATTTTAATATTATTGAATTTTAGGATAAGTCTCTCATTGATGTTTCATTACTCTACAATCTCTATTCCTACGCTCTCTATTCCTACTTTGACGAAGAAGACCATAGTCGTGATGGACTTTTTTTCAATTTATTAAGTCAAATTTTATTTTAATAGTGCTAAAGTTCATCTTGTGTTCCAAAAGAGAAAATGTGATATTAACATATGATTTTTAATGTTCACTTGTCTAATTTACATAAACCGTCTACGTTTCTTCTATCAGAACAGCATTCCAGACAGGATCTTCAAAGAAAAGGTTTTAAAATTAGCAAATATATTTAGATGCTAATCTGAATATAGAAAAAAATACTTCAAGGTCAATCTTCCATTAGTATTAATCAAGTATTTATCATATTTCGAACAAGGTCGTTCGTCCCTAGCGCATGACTCTGTTTTTGTTTTATTTTCGCCTCCAACACATCGGATCAGACGGTTTCTGACAAAAAAATATAGATTACTATTATTGGCTAGAGTATAATAGACAAATACAACTTACAACTGATTAGGGCATAGACTATATTTAGACTTCAATCCGCAACCTCCACACTTACACTTCCTAAATTGACAACTAGTCCATTCAGTGTATGCTTCCTTAGCATTTGGTAGGTTTTCACTTTCTTTATGCTTCTTAGCACCATCTGCAACAAACGTTAAACTTTTAAATGATAACGTTTTGTATAGAAAAAGTTGTAAAAGTCCATTACCGACTGATACTATTGCTTTAAAAAATCCTTGATACTTTTTAACATTGGTCCATACCATATTAGGTCTAAAAGTGACAATCATTACATTCGATTCGGATATTATATCCTCTGGAATCTCGTTGCAGCACAATCTAAATGTTAATATGTAAAATTCTTTAAAAAAACGCTTTATTCCATTCCATTACTCTTTACCTATAACCGTTCTCTCTCATATCTTTTTTGAACTTGACCTCCACCCATTGTTCAACGCATTGGTGAAGCATATAACAGGCATCTTTGTTTATATTAAAGTCTTTGAATGTTATTCTTATCCTAGTATTTTCAGGGCTCTTTAAAAATAGAGTTTAAATAGATAAAACTCATAGGTTTGTTAATATAGACTAACGGTAAATTTCCAATTACAATTATGACCAACTTCGTAACGTTTCGCTTTATAGTTAGGAGAAGTAATCACTTTTTCTTCCCCAACTTTCATAAATATGTCGCCAGCCGTTTTACAACCTGTTAAAAAACAAAAGAGTTTTTATTTGTTCTATTCTAATGATAATACGTAGGAGTTTAATACTTGAATGGCTTAATTCAACATTTTCGCAGTAATCTCCTCCTAACCCGTCAGGACATTTACACTTTGAACAATCTTTTGGATGAGGATAACCTCCATTCTGGCATTTTATTGATACGCCTTTACATTGGCAGTATATTTGATTCATAAGGAATCCGTCCAGAAATGAAATTTCAACCCTCTGCCCCAAGTTTGCCTGATAGCGTTTATCTTTTGTAATTATTGTCGGTTGTTTACAAATGTGTTTTTCCCTTTTGCAACTGTAACACAGAATCTATTCGTGATTATAATTCTCAATTAATTAAAAGAATTCGTACAATGCCTGACTATTGTATTGCATAAGAGAGTTATAATCATACGGAATTCCATATGTGACCAGATTATCATCCAGACGAAAATTTTTTTCCAATCCTCCCCTAACGAAATCCCAATTAATTTTAACATACTCATCTCTATCAGGCCTACATTGCTCATGAGAAAAACCCACAGTATGGAAAAATTCGTGAATAGGTGTACCCTAAAAATTTGTTTTCAGAATAATATTATGAGTATACTGTATACTTTTTATTGACCAATACAAACTAGAGCGAAGCAATTATCTCCTAAGTTTATATCCAAGTCTTTGGGCAATTCTTTCGTAAAGCCAATCAACGCAAAGCAACTAGAATTAAAATAGTAAATAGAATCATTGACTATCATTGCTCTAACTAAGAGCTTATTATAATTGATAATATGTAATATACTATCTATTTACCCATTCGCCTTCTTCTGTATATTTATATAGTAGTCTTTTTTTGGTTCAGCTTTGGTTAATTGTCTAAATTTAAGGCAAGTATGCTCCTCTATCATCTTTAAACTACTATTTAATTTCTCCAAGAGATGCTTATCTGAAAAATAGAAGCAAAGAATCCAACGATAAATTGGAATATGTTTATATAAATACTACCGTAATTTCCATCTATAACGTAGCCAATCGGTTTGTTAACATTAAACTTTTCGTACTGATAATTCTCAAAGTCAACTACATTTCTTTTGGATATTTTATGAATTTTTGTGACGTAATTCCCTTTAAGAATCTTAGCTGCAAGACTAGCATTTCCCTTTTCAAGGGTTAAAAAGAACTAAAAAGAGATGATAAGAAAGACAAATAAGAGGGTAAGATTTATGGTTTAAATTATATAACTACCAATAATCCAATCAGGGTTATTGAGAACATGTTACACTTCAAAATCATAATTTTCAATAACGAATGTTTGCAATTGCAAATCTTTTTTAAGCTGTTTGAACAAAACACCTGTAACGTGTAACGTGAATGATATTACAAAAAAATTAAAGTACTGTAAAGAGAGAGAGAGGCGGGAAGGGGGCGGAGAATCGAGAGCTACAGAGAGAGAGAGAGAGAGACTGGTGGAAAAGAAACAAAAAACAGTAAACTTTGTTTTTTATTCGCCAAACAGTAAATAGTTCAATTTATTAATGTTAAACACGAAAATAAAGCAATGTTCATCAAAAAAAAACTCTTGTGGCATAGTTCAGAAAATCTTTGTTGTTTTTAATACTTAAATACAATACTTTCCAACTTCATCGAACATCGTATGAACATCGTAATCTCTGGCTCTTCTTGAGGAATTAAAGCGTGATTTTCTTTGGTTACTGTTTTTCAGATTGAAAATATCATTCTTCTCTTCAACACTTAATAAAGTTTTGTAGCAATTGAATATACTATTCAACTCAAGAGCCGACATTGTTGGAAATCTAATGTCGTATAAAAGATCTCCCAATATTTCCCGCGCTTCTCCCTTCTCGTTCTTTGTCCATTCCATAAGAAAGCAAAAGAGATCGTATTCCGTGCAAGATATCTCTTCTAAAAGTAATATATCTTTAAAGCTCTCTCTTCCGAGATAATCTAATCCGTTTTCCAAACATTGAGCTGTTTGAACAGAAATTAAGCAAAGACATTTGACTTTGATCTCATCATCTTTCAACCATTTTGACGCTTGTAGATAGAGGCAGACGTCTTGAATACTTTCAGACATATTTGATAGGATTTTCTGTCTGCAGAGGCTTTTCATTTGAGGTAGAATGTATTTTTCAGCCAAATATAATAACTCGACAAGAACATCTCCAGAATTATTTAAAAGCTTTGAATCCTTCGAATAAATGTACCTATATGTTTAGATCATAGCGTTTATTAGTTGTTTGTTATGAATAACAATTTAAAGCAAAGAGAAATAAGACTGTGAAACATATTGTGCCTGGAAGAAGGAAATACCTTAAAAATAATTTAAAGGCTTCCGGAGTTGTATCTTCAATAAGTATGGGATCTTGTTGCGACCATGTATTGGATAACATGGTTCGGAAAACCATACTTTCGCAGAACAATAACACACGATGAGCCTTGATTATTACCTCTTTACCATTATCAACAATCTTGAATGATATATCAGCAAATAGTCCATTCTCGACTAACTGACACATTTGAACACATCGATTAAAGTCTTTATGCGAAATTGTATCTATATCTTCCATATCAAATTAAAAAATGTGCAGTTTGTAAGAAGTTTGTGCAAAATTTAACTTATTTTGGTCAAAGCTAATGTCAACTCCGCACCTCGATTTCGTAATATTAACCACTCTACCATTTGAAAACCACGTTTCAATAACAGTGTTTATTATAAATAGAGTAAAACTTTTTTCCTTTATGAATAATCCTGAATAATAATCTATTGGTCTATCTCTGATTCATTTTTTTATTTTGGCGCCATCTACCGGCTTCTAAAAATTTTTTGAACGTAACTCAAAAATTGGCTTTATACAGTATATGTCATGGCCGTCTAGTCAAGATTGAAAAAATACCAATTAACCTGTCGTGTTTGCGGTTGAAAAAAATCAACGAAATCTTAATAAGATGAATAAGTCATTTCGTGATTTTTTTTCGGTTAAGTACAGCACTTAATTTTCGACACTTCAAAGCTCCATTTATTTTCCTTTTACTAGGAGAGTCCATATATATTTTGGGGCAAGTAAGCTATCGGAGTGACTCTATTCTAGATAGAATAACACAAATGCACATCAATGTCAAAAGTTTTAAAAAAATCTTTCTCTCTTCCTTTTAATCTAACCTTTTCAACCTTTTTCTTTCAATATTACATTCAAATTGAATTAAACTTTAATAAGCTTGTTCAACGGATTATCGACTTAATCTAATCTCTCCTATTCATAAGCGGATTATTGATAAAAAAAGTTATTGGTGGCGGGATGAACAGAGTGTTAGGCATCAATCAAAAATTATAATCATTTTAACAAACCACTGATAATTTAGTTATTTATGAATGTAAAGTGAAAAACACACCCTTTCTAATAATTTGCTGACGTCATTGTCATCTTAAGTGGAAATAAATGGCTAATGTAATAAAGAGAGTAAGAAGGAAATTTATGAATGATGCATTTCATAGAGTTATTAATTATGCAAAATAAAAAACAGTAACACCTCTTACAGCTGTTCTTTAGTTTAAATTCTATAATTGTGTTATTCCTCTTGTATAGAGAGAGAGAGAGAGAAAGTATATAAATTTATCCTTATAATATTTATTTATATACGGATATTACAATGCAATATATAAAGAATACGTTGTGTTGTATATAATAGATGCGCATATTTATTTACATAGCTAATTCAATGAACATTTTTTTATAATAAACTATGATATGAAGAGAATTGTTTATATTAAAGAATATCTTATGCAAAAGTTCATACGTAGAATATGAAAGTATGTTCGTGATATCTATACGAAAAGCGGTTTCCATTAAGAGTAATCGAGACGCTCATTCAAATCAGACGGTCCGCTCTCAGTTTGTTCGTTTGTCCTAAACAAATTAGAATGAGAGCGGACTAAGAGGAAAAGATCTTGCTAAGGGAGTGCTTAGTTTAAATCGTAAACGAATGAACAAAGAGCGCTACTGCTACTCATTTGGATATTGGAAAAAAACTCTTCCTCTTTTTTTAAACTTGTATTATGTTACCCTTAGCTACCAAAAACGTGAAATTAAATATCAGTGAGAAATATGCTTCTGATATTGTCTATACGAAGATTTTATCCTGTATATTATTTGTATTAGCGCTGCATTGACAAACAGATGTTTATATTATCGGTGTATTATTGTATGTTTTTATAGTTTTATCTTTCCAATCAATTCTATTATATGCTATACAAATTCTATACTTTTTTACTATATAATATTAGATTTAAAAGGAAAACAGGCTACAAACTACACGACAAACATCAATAATCAGTAATTTATATTGTATAGTCCTGACTGAAATCTATTTGTCTGGTATGTTCCAATTTAAGTAGAATTTCTTTTTCTTCTATATAAGGTTGGTGAGAAAGAGAGGAGGAAGAAGCCTATGAAAGATGACGTTTCAAAGACAAACTTTCTCATCTCGATGCAAAAGAGAGAAAGAGAAAGAGAGAAAGTGTATGTGTGTGTGTGTGTTTGTGTGTTACTTATTTTTTCCTCGTCAATTTCATTCTCCAGCGAATAAGGAGAAGATTAGGAAAAAGGTCTCTTCCATAGAGGAAATATAAAAATGTGATTGAGTTACATAAAGCCTTAGATAAAGTGTTTTCTCCTTGATTTTTTTCTTAGAAAATTCTAACTGATCTACAATCTACAATAATATAAATAGCCCCCTATAAATTAAGGAGAATATTCCCTAAAAGCTATTAAGAGCAATTTCTAAATTACGCAATAATAGAGCAAATAAGATGACATTATTAAATTACAGATGATAACTTTACACTTTTTAAAAACATAAATTTAAATTAGTCTTTGCTTTTATCTTATAGAATTTTTTTCTTCAGTAATCTTACTATTATATAAAGATTTAATATCTTGGCAATCTTATTTCATTATCCTAGGTGGTTATTCATTATACTATTTCCTATTATATCTTGTTATTCAGCGCCATCTGGTGATAGCTCTTTGCCAAAGACTTTTCGGCCTATCAATTCGCTATAAACTCTCGAAGAGCGAAGACTTCGTTTTCCCTCTATACATAAATATATATACTGTATATACAATAGGAAAAAAAGAGAAAGATAGGAAGATAATAATTAAGAAAAGACTCTACTTTATTCGAATCTCTTTTTATATGTGGATTATACTTGAGACAAGTTCTTAAAGAGCGATTGGATAATTACTACTTTTAGTTTGTGTTCTAACTGTTATGGTTAGATAAAGAGGTATCACTGCCAAATTATATAGAAAGCATTCCAGTCGCAGCTGCGTTTGACGAAAAACGCTTAAAACAGGTAAAAAGGAGTATTAGGGCCGTTGGCAAAAAGTATGCTAGAAAGGAAATACTGCAGTTTCTTTATCATCTTAACGATTATCCAACTAGTTAGCGGACGGCTTAACCAAATACAGATTGGACAACCCGGTAAGAAAGGCCTTTTTATCTTAATAACGAATTTAATAGAAGAGAAATGTGCTAGCTTTTATAATTTACGAAGAGTTTAATAGTATTTTCTCTTATATATAGTAGTTCATTTAGATTATCATCCTGGTAAAGGAAATAGAAGTGTTGTAACACATCCTTTGCTATCTGCTAAAAGCCACTCTTCCATTCCCCTTACACTTGCCATTGTGCCATCTTCTCTCTTCTCTTTATTTCTCGAATTTCATTGGATTTACTTCTAAAATGAAAAAAGATCGCCTTATCTGTTTCAGCTCTTTTAAACCAATAGGTTTCGACAGGCAAGCTCTTTTTTTTTTTTAACTATATTAAGTAGTCTCTTCCAATCCGTCTTCGTTCTTTATCTATTTACGGCTATAAACTACTAATTACTACATATTATTATCAATTAATGTGGCAACTGAATGATTTATTAAATCGTTCATTAAATCTATTATTATCACAAAAGAGTGAGAGAAAGAGAGGAGGAGAGAGAAGGAGAGAGAGAGAGAGGTATTAAACAAACGCTAAAGTTTATTTTTCTGATTGAAGAAGACGCGTTATAATAGCTGCCCCTTGCCAAGATGGTGACATCAATAGATTATCTTGATATTCCATTTCAATAATCTATCTGATGAATTTGATAATAAAGTAATTTTTCAACTTTTGGGTTCAATATATAAAGTATTTAGAAATAGGCTGATTTGAAAAATCCTGACCTAAATGTATCAATACCAATAAGCAGTTATAAAACGTCTAGGAAAACAGTTTATTAGATCTAGAGAATTTTTAGACGCCCGATCGGATTATATTCGGATTAAAGGCTTAGTATATAAAAAAAACAGGGTCGAGTATCGGATCGATAGCAGCCCCTATTGAAAAAAGCCTGCTCGAAAAACGCTTAAGAGTCGGCGTACATCAAAGAGACGCTCGAAACAAACGTGGATAGATAGGGATTCCCGAAGGGAAACGCTTATGCAGCTTATCTCGCCATCTTATCTCTCCCCTTTTTCATTGCAAAGCAGTATACTTTGTCAATTAATTGCTTATTTAGCAACACTTTTATAATATTTATACGAAGATTACAATACCAAAAAAAAAATCAAAGATTCCAGCATATGCTTTTTCCGTTTTTACAGTTTTTCTATTAATTCGAAATTGTACCAGCTATAATTAAACTCTTTAATAACAATTTTCATTATATAGCCAAGTACCGAATTTAACTTGTATTAAACATTAGTAACAAAAAACGAAAATCAGCCTATCGAATACCTTTTTTTGATAACATAAAAAAGAATGAGTAGGCGGATGGGTGGATGGGCGAATGATTTTCCAATTTAATGGCAAAAGAACACGAACAGATAAATAAATAGAGTTAAGAATAAAAAAGTGAGGCTATAAAATAAAACAATGGACTATTAACTTATTATCCGAATAGGGAGAGAAGGATAGAAATTTTATCTTATGCTTGCATTTTTACATTGTATAAAATAGAGGAAAAAACCAAAAATTTGTCATAAAAGTAAAGAGATAAACTATTATCGGATCATCTTTCTTTCGTCATCAGTGAATTTCGTTGTCTAGAAGTTTCTTAAGGCTTTTCTCAAACCCTTCTCCTCCCTAGTCAAAACATTAATCAAGATACACTTTAGAAATCGTTTTTTCCTCCCCTCTGAAGCGATGTCATATAGAGATTGCACTTATAGCAGTTAACAATTATCGAGAAAATTCTTTTCCCAATTGTTATTTTCCGGTATTTCGTTTCAATAGACCGACAGTAGTTGTGCATCGTACACAATCTGTTTATATATATATATATATATATATATATATATAACTTTGTTCAGAAAATTAGTCATATAGATATTATTATCGGAAGACAAAAAGCATAAAAATAGGGTTTAAGCCTATTGCTTAACTGAATAAAATTAAGATAATAAATAGTTTTTATGTTTTCACTTTGTCTCTATTCATTTAACCTTAAAATGAGTTTGTAAACTTATAGGAAAGTAGTTTCTTTTGTGTCTATTATCGATTATTGGAAAGTAAATAAGGTTTTTTTTTGTATTGATAGATCAATGAAATAATAATTCCCATGCACGTAATAATTAATTTTATATTATTTCCTATTCATAACTGTTTATTATTAAGGGGTTCTTTTTTTTCATTATTACTTTATTTCATCTCCATTTCTCTTTCTCTCTTTCTCACATTCTTCTCTCTCTCTCTCCCGTTATTGAATCGGATGGAGGGTAGGGGGGAGATTCAATTTTCTTATACGATTTTATTGATAGTTTTCTTTGGGTGGGAAAATCTTGAGTAGAATAGTTCTTAATCAGCGAACGTAAGGAGAAAGATATCATCTCTTCCTCTGTCTTGTTTGTTTGAACTAATAAACTTCTTTAGTTCATCATCGTTCAGGGTAAACAAAAAAGATTTATTAGAATCTAATAGACGTTGGACAAAGTAAACAGGCGTAAATGCGAATAATATAGGTATACATTATTCTAGATGTAGACTATCTACGCTTTCTTTACAATGCAAACAAATTTTTCTCCGTCGTGATCTTTGGACTGGAACTAATGCATTAATTTAATAATCTATACAATCATTTAACTGCTTATGTATACAAAACGGAAGGTTACACGTAGCAAGCGATTAATTTTTATGATCTATTACCCGTACATAATATATCATGGTGGTGTATAATAGCTTGATTCTCTCTTGGGTATCATAATATTCATCTTAGGGAAAGCCAATTCATTTACGGTTTTTATAGAAGGAGAGTCGCTTGATAAAGTTTCCTTTACCGATTGCATGTCCTCGATTTCCCCCAAAATTAAAAAGTTTTCTCAACTTTAGAAAAGATAGCTCAAGGAACTTCCCTATTCCTCCTTACAACTTTTCCTCTTTCTATTTACTCCCAAAGGCAAAATCTTTATTTTTCCTTTCCCTTTCATTACAACTACTGGCCAGACAATTTCTCTATAGATTGAGAATTCAATACCTGCATACATCCCTATAAAAAAGAACCATTTATTACTCTTCTGTATGCTAAATACTAATATAATAAAGTCATTTCAGTCGTTTACCTTTTTCTTACGAAATCAGGTTCGGTTTTGGAGTTTTGCGGAAATTCGGCAGAGGAACACCAATTGCAATGTTCGCCGAACGAAGTAATTATAATAGAGATGGCCGATTATGGAGATTTCAAAGATGGAGGTTGTGATGTATCAAGGTAAAGACAAAGCGACTATAACAGAAGCTCAATATAAATATTAAACACTATATACAGTATAGTATATACGATAAAATGTATTTAATGCTTTTGTGCATATTCTATATATATATATATATATATATTGATATAAAATCTTCTTTCTATAATGATTAGTTCGGTTTTAAACAACTTGGAGTGTATTTCCATTTTTTTTATTTGAATACGTCACATCAATGAATCTGCTGTTTGTCTACATCGAATTGATTGTTTATCCACAACATACAACTACTTGTATATCCTTTTTTTTTTACACGTCTTATGAATCATTACGAAAATAGAATTGTATAAGAAATTTTTTATTAATAAGCTAACTTAATTGCATCGGATATGTTGGTTTTTTTTTCTTCTTTATGACTAATCTCGTAGAGAAGATATACTACTGATATTCCGTTTTCCGTATCCCATGTAACACTTTATTATAATCTTCTAAAATTGTCTATTTACTATACTGTATATATATATATATATTAGTATATCCATATTTACTAAGAAAAATATTGAAATAATTGAAATTCTTTTATTTATACACACAGTATCAATAGAAAGAAGGAGAGATGTGTTGTAAGTGTAATAGATAAACTGGATAAAATTTGTTCCGGGAAGCAGATTTGCCGCTTTATCCCCCCTACAACGGATGTTATTCAGGCCTATGAATCGCGAAACAATTGTCCTGACGAGTTGAAGGCTTTCCGAAAGGATTTACGAGTAATTTTCCGTTGTTTGTCAGGTAATGTTTGACGACAAAACAATTGTAATGCTTTAATGTTTGTATTGTATAGTTGTAGAGACGCCGTGCTCTCCCTGTAGGGATTCACCATTTATGGTAGATACTAAACGCTTCGGAGATTCGGCTAGTTTATCAGCATTCTGTGAAGATTCGTGTCCAACCTCAGTCCATTTAGTGACATCTCAGAGACGGCAATTCAATTTAACGTTGCTCGACTTTGGCTGGGATTCAGATAATTCCGGAGAATGCGATCAACCATTTTCACAAGTCAGAGACGGGGTGAGTACACTCTCTTACAAGGTCAAACACTTATAAATTTGATATCAGGGCATCTAACAACTTATATCGAATTCTTGTCCCTTTTCTCTAAATTAAGAGTAAATTGCCATGGCTAATAAATGAAGAGAGAAAGAAAGAAAGAGAAAGAAAGAGAGAGAGAGAGAGATAGTCATAAAAGAAAAAGAATCTTTCAGAACTATGAACTTTGTCTGGCTTTAAAACTTTACCTAAATAGCTTTTAATGTGTTTTAAATAAATAGGAGCCACGTGTTAAGATATTTTATAGTTTTAGTAACGAAAAATTTGGAGAAAAACAGACGGAACAGCGTGAATATTTAAAAATAATACAACTTGTTTGCTAACGTCCTTAACCTTATCATCAGTTTGTCTTAGCAGTTTAAAACTAATTTAAATGACATATTAGATAAACTCGTGCAGTTTGTAAATTGAATATATATTGAAAATAGAGTGTTTTTATATATATTTTCTATTCAATAGTCAATTTTCTTAAAGTAATTAAACATTTCTTTTTGTAGCAACGCAAAATATCTGTTTGCCAGGGCGGTAATCGCCGTCGGCATCATATAATTACGTCGTCGGCAAACTCACTACATATAGAGATAATTAAGAGGAAAACGCCCTATCGTTTTCTATTCGAATATCATGGTTTGTACTTGATAAACTTTTTAATTAATGATCTCATTAGTACACTAACATAAATTTTTCTTATCTAAAAATTTAATTATCTTTTAAACCAGTGTTTGGCTGCAAACTTCCTCCGATGCCAGCCAATAGCCGCGTAAAAACAACAAAGGACGGCATAGTTATTGAATGTTTAACAAGCGATCATAAGTTTGAATTAATTTGTGTGGGATCAAGTTGGGTTGGAATGTTGGGCGATTGTCGAGGTGCAGTATAATTTCATTCTATATTCATCTTATATAGGCGAAGAATAAACAATCGACCGTATACAGTTTTCCCTACTTTTTACCGTTCTGTATATTCATAGTCATGAATTATTTATAGTCAAAGGTTAAATGCAAAAGTGCATAATTTATAATAAATCAATTAAACCTTTCTCTCTTCTTCTTCCTGTCGTGTTGAATATCAACGGAGCTTTGAAAAATATTCCCTATCACCTATTTGCGTTAAAGAGAGAAGAAGAAGAAGAAAAAGAAAAAGAGGATATTTATATTTCAATCCGTTTAAAATATAATGAAAGAATAGCAAAGAACTTTACAAAGAACATCTCTTTTTTGTAAATAGAAAAATAACAAACTAAAGTGATGTTTTGTTGTTACTGAAATTTGAGATTGTTTTCTCTTTTTAGCTTTAGAAGAGGGGAAAAGTTTGTCTATCAGGCAAATAGACGTACTGTTGGCTCTTAGTAAAAATTCAATGTCTATTTATATAAGGTTATTTTACAAGTACTTTTCAATTATTGACAGATATAAAATTATATTGAAAGCCGTTACCTAACTTTTCGTTCCCCTTTTCAACGAAAGAAAATTGATATAGTTCTTTAATTTTACTAAATAGGGTGTTAGACTATTCATGAAGAGAAAAAGAGAGGTATAGAGAGTGATAGAGAGAGAGGGAGAAGGTGCTAGTGTGTAAGAATCTTACAGTTGTCAGTTGCAATCATTCGTGATTTAATAAGCTCTCCTATATATATAGGAGTATATATCTTCTTTTTCATAAATAAAGCTCATAATATTCACTTAAGTAGAACGTATGCAATATATATTTATATTCATTGTAAAAGAGACGTCAAAAGCGTCTATAAGCGATTGTTTTTAAAGTGAAATGATTAAAGGACTAAAAAAGGGCATCAAATACTTTGCTGATATTTAGCTATACAAACGACTAAATTCTAATACGTCATAAGCGCAAATAGTTGACGAAATGAAGCATCTATTTGTATATAAAGTAGTTTTTCAGTTGAATGATTTGCAGTTGGTAGTTAACGCCCGGTGACGCGTTAAAACGCTCCCACGCATTTCGTCTCTTTTTTTTTTTTTTTTTTACCATATTCTAAATATTTCTCTATACAACTTAACGAAATTAGACGCCAAAGCGTTTATTTTTTTTCCCCCCCTCTCTCTCTCTCTCCTCAGTTATCCGTTTTTAGTATGTTTATTTATAAAAAAACAAATAATCTTCTCCAATTTACAAACATTTCTCATCTTTAATTTGCTATAGACGTTTATATTTCTGCTTGCAGATGATAGATAAAAAAATCCGTTTATTTTTTATTTATACAGCAGAACCGAAATCTCAGACGAGCAGCAGCAAACCGATATCGACTAGTAAGTTAAAGGACAAACATTCCATCTCGTAGATTTAAACTGCAAAAAAAGTTATCCTTAATTTTGTATTTTTCCAACAGCTGCCACTATCATTTTAGTAATCTGCGCGGCTATTATTATTGCTTTCGTTATACCTACCTCCGTCTTGTACGTCGTAAACAGGTAAATAATTAGCTACCGGCAATTTGCCAACCTACATGTAATTATTAAGTTCCATAATTACGTATGGTCACGTGACAGGCGGATGCGACGCAGTTTGCAAAAAGAGTATGCTTTTGCACAGCCGTGTCCATCTAACTACACAAAAAGTACCACAATCTATACTACAAGGCCTGCACCTTGCGATCGAATGGATCATAATAATCATATATACGAGATGCCCAACTACGACGTAATTGATGTTCCCTACGATCACCAGAGGAGGAGTGTAATGACTTAAAAGGAGATGAAAAGGGAATACTTCCAAGATTCCTTCGATACTCTATCGATATTTTATAAATTCTATATAAAGCTATATTCATATATTAGCAAACAAATTTTTACATCAAATTAAGAATGGAAAAGGAAACATTTCATTAGTTGAAAAAACAAAATTTGCCTTCAAACCATATTTAACCTTTTACATTTAAGAAGAGAAACTTTCTCATCAAAATATCCTCCAAATTTTGTTCTCAATCTTATTCATTAAGTTATCTTTTACATATTAAAATATTACGAGAATTAAAGGGAAAAATAACCTTAATCTTATCTAATATAGTATTACATTCTAACCTTTAGTTGCTATTGAGTCTATATCTAACGTTACCTTGAACCGTCTAATTAATGTGTATCATTTCTTGTATACTATTATTTATATACGGTATATATACTGTATATAGCTATAGCTTAAATATTGTCAAGTAATCATTATTACTGAAATGTGTCATTGTAAAACGTTTAGAAGAAGTTTGAATGTCTGTTATCATACAAAATTTTCTTTTTCTCTCTTCTCCATACTCTTCTCTTTTTTTTATTCTTCTCTTCTTTTTCTTCCATTCTTTTTCCTTTTATTATTGTTCTTATTTTTTCTATAATAAAACTAAGTAAAATTGACTCTAGCCATTGGCTTAAAAGCATCTATCGAACGTTTCACTAGACGCCTCGTCTTACCTTTAATGAAGCTATCAATTACAAGAAAGGATCAACTAGCAATAAGATTTCTTATTAAAAGAGCCTCAGGCGTCAGATTTACGACATTATTAGCTTTACAATTGTAAATAACTCTATAAAGGTATATTTAATTATTTGCGGAAACGATTATTTCGATTGTTTACTAAACAAAATGTAAACAATTTTTAGGGCAAAGAGGCAGTGTGGGGCGGAGAAGAAGAAGAAAAAGAAGAAGGCATAAGAATATATTGTTTAGTTTAAAAGAGCGGCGAAAAGCTAATTAAAATTAGAAAGAAATAAAGATTCGAAGAAGAAGGGGTCGTACACAGAGAGAGTGAGAGAGGAAAAGAGAGAGAGAGAGAGAGAGAGAGAGTGGGAAAGCGGAAAGTTTATCCATTCTAACTACAGCTAAGAATTTCCATTAGCTTTATAATAAATTTGGTCTGCGGGCTATAAAGCCATTTACCGTAATAAAATTAGGGAAATTCACGAAAAGGGTCATTAATAATATTTCTTTTCTTTTTAATTTTTACTCAGCATGCCTTTGCGAAACATATCTTTGATTTACATAAAGGGAAAACGCCTATTAACACCTACCGCCCCCCTCCTCTTTGCCACCTTTTATTAGCAGTTATACAAGCTGTTTTTAATAGATTATCTCTTTTAAATTTGTATTCAAATTATTGATGATATCACAATTTACAAATTTTTAGTATAATTTTAAATTTGATTATCACAGTGCGAAAAGATCGTGCATGTTTTTCAAAAGCAGGACAAAAAAAAGGACATATAGTAAAAGTTTATACAAGGTTCTCTTCTTACCCATTCAATGGAGCAGCTTTCGACTTCATTGTTTGTTCTCCTGAAATAAATAGAATTTATTATCACGCTGCCTTTTTAGTATGTAAATATTAGTATTTAGTTATCAAATAAGGAAAAGAAAGGATATGAGAGGAATTAAAAGCGCGAGAATTAATCTCTAGTCTTTTTTTTCTTAGCGAATCGACAAGTAATCAATTATTGCTTTCGCTCTACTATAATCATTCAACCTTATCTATATCATTATCTTTGACATCAACTTCGGCCCCGTCATCTCTTTCATTTGTTTCTACATCATCATGTTGTTCTACCTCATTTTCTTCGTCCTCGTCTATATTATCATCTTCTTGTTCAGCTACCTCGTTGGTTGCTTCTGCTTCTGCTTCTTCTTTTTCTTCTTCATTAGAATTCTCTACCAAGTCATTATTTCCCCCCATATCAACTACATCTCCCCCGTCTACAGTCTCATCCGAATTCTCTAACAACTTGTGTCTATTTTCTTGATCCGCAGCTAAGTTATCTATTGCATTAGTTTGAAGATATTCATCCTGTTCTACATCATTCAGATGGGTTTCTAAATGTCTCTCTTGTTCGTCTTCCGTCCTTTCTTCCATATTATCCGGTTCGTTTATTTCTTGACTATTATCGACTAGACTCGATTCACCATTTTCTTCTGTTTGTATCGTCTCGTCATTTTTGTGTATTTCATCCCCTTCGGCTACAGCCTCATTAATTCCCTTTGTAGATAAATTATCTTTTTCGTCAACTGTAGCATTTTTGTCAGCTGCAACATCGTTTTTACGTAATTTTAGGTCATCTTCATTCTCTTGTCCTTGGGCCAAATTTTCAATAATTCCTCCTATTACATAACCTGCTTCCGCGACACTCTCAACTAAATTGAGTACTTGTTCTCCGTCTAAATTTTCCTTCTTTTCTACATTTTCTAAATCTTTCTTAACCTTAACATTTTCCTCATTAACCCTCTCTTCTTTCCCCTTTTCCTCAATTTCCTTACTATCTTCCTCATACGTCTGGTTAGTTACATAGTTTAAACGAAAGGGATTAAAAGAAAAGCTAAATTGTTAAAGGAGTTTTTAACGTATTTGTTAATCAGAGTTAAGTTACCGCAGAAACAAATATAAGTTAGGGAATATGCCCGGGAAAAGATACAAGACGCGTGTTTATCGCTTATTTACAACATTTCAACAAACAAACCTCTGAATTTTCTTTACTATTCTTTAAGCTTTTCCTCGTTGCGTGGCCTCGATAAGTACTTTGAATTTTTATTGCAGCTTCATTCTTTAAGTTTGTTATTCAATTATTAGCTAATATACAATTGTATTTTTCGTATTTTATACTTTTGTCTTATCATCTTCGTCATTTGCTTCGGTTTCTTTTTCTTCCTTCTTTTCTGTTTCTGCAGTTTCTGCCTCTGGCTCTACCGCCGCTTCTGCTTCTGCTTTTGATTCTTCCTGCTGCTCATCTTTAGCGACCTAATCCACAATAATTTCAAATGTATAAGTAAGAACGTTCTCGAAAGAAGCTTTGCATGAGATTTACTTACTTCACTCTCTTGATTTTCATTAGTTTTTTCGGCCTGCTCTGGAGGGGATTCTTCAGTTTCATTTGATTCTTCTGGCTTGTCTGCAGTTTGTTCCTAAATATAAGGAGAATTTAGAATATTTTGCTCAAAGATACTAATTTAAAGGGGTATTCTAGAAGCTTATTTTGCAAATAAGCGAATAGATCAAACTTACTTTGTTTCTTCCATCAACATCGTCGATATCGTCCTTTTGTTCTCTAGCGTTGTCATTCCTAGAAGCTTGCCTCTGTTCTTCCACTTGCTCATCCTGTTAAATGATTTTATTAATAAAATTAATTAAAAAGAAGAAAATATCAAAGAACAGTACAACTTTTTAAGTCTCAGAGAAAGATAGAAGTATTAGAGTCAGAGAGATGAAGAAAGACAGAAAAGAAAAAAATGGGAAAGAGAAGGATGGGGTACAGTAACAATAACGCAGAGGGAACAAAAAGATTGAATATTTTCCTAATTCCAATATTGAATATACTGTATAAAGTATATGTATAAATGATATAAGATAAAAAACAGTTGTTTTTTTTTTCTTTTGTTTTGTTTTCGAACAAAGAAAAGGAGCTTATATTTGCAAAATATCTAAGATAGCCCCATTGATGAGATAGATAACAACAAGTACAACAAAAATAATCCCACACGTATCGTTTCTTTTACCTCTTTCTTTTTCCTCTATTTCATGGAATTTTCAAACATATTTATTTGAATGATTAATAAATAATCTAAATATATAGGGCAAAATATAAACAATTGGAGAATTGATTGATTCAAAATTGAATAGATTGTTTGGTAGAGCTATTAAGTTTTAATATCAATATACTTCAACTCTACGCCAATTCAACCATTACCAATATCTATTGATATTATTGGATATAAATATCTCAATTTTCCGTTCAATTTGTAATTGAAATAAACAATCTATATTTTTAGGGTGAACAAAGTTCGAAGAGGGAGGAATTAAGAGGGCGAATAGAACGATTAGGGTACTTCAATGTAAGGGATCAATATTCTTTATCTATATACTTAAAAATCTATCTTTCCTTTTTGTTTTATAAAACACGATATAAACTGCTTAAATATAAAAAAAATGCATCTCTCACTCTCTTCACTAGTACAATTTTCATCTATCCTCTTCGAGAATAATTAAGCCAGCAGTAAGCCTATTTTAAGAGATATAATTTTATCGAATCGGAAGCGATAAAAGAGACCGAATTATAGGAATTAAAACCGATAATTATCAATCACTGTATGACAACTACAAAAAAAAAGAAACGGTTACATAAGGTAAACTTCTTTCTTCTTCTTCTTCTTCTCTCTCTCTCTCTTTTTGCAGGTGTCATTTAAAGCCACAGAAGTATTATTATATTTTTTTCTTATATATTCTTGAGAAGGTAAACAGAGAATTACTTTATTATTATTATAAATACTATTATGCTTATTTAAACGAGACCTAATAATCGAAGATTTAGCGTATAGTCACGAACTGGCATGCTCATATGTGAGCTAAACATACAGTATATAAATTTATATATACAGTATATATATATATATATATTTCTTTTTATATATAAACATATGTATATTTAGGAGGAAAAGGGATAAATAACTTTTGAAAAAAGAGCGGAATAATTAGGATTTTCTTCTATAATCTATAGAATGTATAACCTTAAATTTCATATTGATATTTTATTAATTAAAAAAGATAATCCTATAATGAATAGTTGACGGTTTCTATAGGAATTTGTCAAAATCATCTTCTAAATATCGGGCTTATTTGCAATTGTATAGTCATATTAAACTGAAAAAAGGCCGTTTTGCTTTAAACAGGAAAACCTTTTAGTACCTTTGCTGGAGTACAGATTTTTTGGACTCAAGTGGTGTGAAGAGTGTTTTTGTAAGTAATATGCACTGGCGCGACAAATGATTTATTGAACGACGCAAAGCGTCACTTGTAAGCTATGTAGAGATATTTATAAGGATACTTTTTCAGAAAAAAGCCATCACCTAAAAATACATTCTATAGTCTATGTTTTGTGAGAACAACACTCCAATTCCTTGTTCCTTTGCAACGAGAAAGGAATAAAAAAAAAGCATCAAACGACCTTGAAATAGGTCTTTTTCGTTCGAAATTTGGTATTTTGATGAACTTGCCAAGAGCAAAACTAGATTCTAAGGAAGAGTATGAAACCGGAAACAGGAAGAACTAGAAATAAATGCACTGTATACTTCAGCTGGCAAAAAGAGAGAAGTTCGCTTTTTGCTTGATCTATTTTGTTCAGACGAGTATGTATATTTTGTAAATTATTTGAAATTTACACCTTTAAAAGGCGTATTGAGGAGAAATTCTGATATTGGAGACGGCGCTCTCTCTTTTTTTTGCATAAAAATTTCATATAACGCCGCTTTACAAAGGCAGTTTGTCATCGGATGATGGAAGAATCGACGTGAAACTCATATTTTAACATGTTTCGTATATTGACTATCTATAGTTTGTTGTAACATTAACAGGTTGAATCAATCTCGTACATTGGAAAGCTTGCAATTACGCCTATACCTACAGATGTCGCTACTGAATAGTTTACACGAAATTTTTAAATTATCTCCCTTTTATCCTAGTTAAAAAACAATTATTTTTCTTTTTTATATACTTTTATACAAGATATTAGCAATTTTCTACTGGTACTTTGGCTCAATTATAGTCCTATAAAGAGATATATAGGCTAAAATAGAATTTACTACTATTTGTAGAAGGGAAAATTGTCTAAGGTAACTACGTTATCAATCAAACTACCTCTCTTCTTTCTCAAGTATTTCAAGAATTGTTAATTGCTTATGGTTAGTATTGTAGTATAGCTAACAAACCTCAACTTCTTCAGCCGTCTGCTGATCTACCGGAACTTCCGTTCTAGTTTCATCATTCTCTTCTATGGCATTAGCATTTTCCTGTTCATTATCCGAAGTCTTAGCTTTAAACACTCCTCCCTCATCTAATATGTTTTATTGTTTGGTGAAAAAGGAATAGACGTAAAATTAGAATTTAAAAAGACAAACGATTTCTCAAGAGAGAAAAAACTGTACCTTTGTCATAATCAGTCTCCCTAACCTTTTCAGGGCTTCTTTTTGGTCTGACAGGTTTCGAATGGAAAAGGTCATCTTCAGGTCGTTTTTGTCTATTTTAGTTTGTAAGATATAACAAATTTACTAAAGAAAAGTATATAAAATTTATACAGTATAGTTTAATAAGAAGGCATGTTGGCATGTTTATATAAATTTTATGAAAGGATAAAATATCTACCTTGGTTTTCTCGATCCTTTATTGTTATTATTGCGATCATAAGGGGGTTCTGATTGGGTTGTTCTTTGAGTTTCTTCTGTTTGATTAGACGCGGCCGAATTATCAGACGTTCTAGCTCTCCTCGAATTAATGGGTGGTAGTTTTCTTAAAGAAAGGAAAAAGGAAGAAATTAATTACGTTCACCAATATTAATATTTAAAGATATGAAACATTTAATCCTCGTTAAATTATTCTCTATAGAATAAAAAATTAATACGTTAATTAAACAATAAGGTATAATAAAAAACCTTTTTTGAAGTCTGGGAGATGTCGTAAACGGTGCGCTATCATGACTGCCATAATTGGCCATTTTAAAGCCTTCTCTTCCAACAGCAACATATTTTTCGTTCATTTCTAGTTCCTGCATACCGTGTATAACAGATCCGTCTGTTCTGCATAATTTTAATACGGCTCCTAAATTTAAAAAAAAAAATAAAAGAAAACAATAACAAATTATTAGAATATTAGAATAGTTCAAAGGAAATTACATAGATTCAACACTTCGTTGGTTCAATAATAATTAATTAGCCATAAAGCGATAGATGGCTCCAGTATCGTTTAAGCACGATAACAAGCTAATTTTATTACCTGTAACCAAATCGATTCTATCCGTTATTTCACTCAAAACTGAAGTAAAATTACGCTTTAAATGCGAATTTACGTTGATTCTCTTCGCCGGTCTCCAGTCTTGACCATTCGTATAAACACTGTTGTTAAAATCAAAAAAAAAAGCTATTGATTAGGATAACTAAGTCGATTTAAGCCATAATACAAACTATATAACGAGAATATCTATTGGTACTTTCCGACATCTTCCTGATACTTGTATCGAACGATTGTGTTCTACAGGCCTCACCTGTTTAATTAAAATATTAAATTAATGATGAAACTTTGGCTGTTCATCACGCTACTTGCGTTTGTTTGTGAGTAAAAACTGCATTACTTTACTCATAGATAATATATATCTTACATCCGGTTTTCCTTGGAAGTATATCCCACCCCATTGAAAGAAAAAAAATTAAAGTAATTCCCAATTTCCAGTAAAATGAACCAATCAGATCATAATTAAACCTTGACACAATCACATAAATAAATACAAATCATGTATATAAGAATGAACAGCAAATAAAAATCAAAAACAAAATAATGAAAAGAGATGACAAAAATCGACGAAAACAATGAGGTGTTAAAGAACAAAATGAACAAATGAACAAGAGAGAATCTGGTCAAGTTAAAAACACTTCTCCCTTTTAAAACGATTTGAAAATTGTTAAAAAAAAAATAAAATCAATCGTTTCGAAAACTTGGCTTTCAATAAATCGATAGACAATGAAACAACCTATAGGGAAGGAGGTTACAGCGTTTTTTTTTGTTTTTGTTTTTGTTGTTGTTATTGTTTAATACTAGTTTTATAACAAATGAAAGCATTGGCTTTATTGATACAATTGTAAAAATGAATTTGGCCTTAGAAACTTGCGGGGCAATAACCCAACAGATTTACTCAATACAGGTTAAATTTGTTGTAAAACAAGATATGTTTTGAGTATTCAGTACGCCTCTTAATAGATCTCTCTTTCTCTCTCTCTCCTTCTTTCTTTCTTTTTTTCTTTCTATCCTTCTCTTCTGTTATTTATGAACAGCTCTCTACATATTGGTTATTTTTAAAATTCTAGTAAATCACCTTTAAAAATAGAAAATATACTAAAGTTTGTTAAACTATTGACTTTAGGCTTATTTTGTTTTTAAATATTATCTATACTGTTTATATAAAATTTGTGAATAGAGGAGATAACAGCGACTGAGAGAGAAAGTTTAATTTTCAAATATAAGCCTATGAAATTAATGAAACAAGCATAACTAGACTTGAAGGTTTTAATAGAATTTGCTCTCATTTTCGAGTGTATTATATATGGCATTTAAAAATATTGAAACACAATTGAATGGAAGAGAAGAACATATTGGTTTATGGCTAAACCCTAAGACACTAAAGCACTGATTTTTGGTCACTCAATGATCTAGATCCTGTTTATAGACTATATGCTGTATTATTTTTGCTTCTCTAGATCAAACAAAAATTGTTCAATAAAGCTTTCTATTAATTCTGAATGGCTAATTGTGCTTCCATTTTTATTTTCAAGTTTCTTTTCTCACTCTGTGAAGAATATATCAAGGCATGAATCTTTATCAACATAAGAAAATATTTTCTGAGGAAAAACTTCAAATTTTCTAAGATTGGAAGTGGGCTTTGAACTTTAAATTGGTTAAATCACGCTGACGTACTACATTTTCCACTTAGAGTCGATCATAATCAACCAAGTTTTAAAAATACAAGGACTTGAAAGATAACCGAGATTTGGATAGAATTTCATACAAATTATTTATATTCCTTATCATATTCAATATTTCTACAAAGAATAGATTATCATGTGATAAACTTCAATAGTTAGGTGAGATTACAGTAATATCGGCATCGTCTAGCAGCGTTTTTTCAGAAATTCATGGCTATCTTTTTAGTAGATAATCGAGTTAAAAAAAAATTAAAAAAGCTTAACAATTGGTCAAACAAGCAAAAAAAATCTGAATAGTTGAGCAGCCACTCCCTCAACGATAATTAACCCTTATGAATAATAAACGTGGGGCAGCTTTGTACGTCTTCAGAAATTTTAAGAGAGTGAGGGAAAAGACGCTTCTTAATTATAAAATACAAAAAAGGAACACTTTATCTATAAAAAAAATTCTCTTTATATCGATTAACTTTCTCAATTGTTATTCAATTGAATTTTATTAGTTAAGAAAATGAAGATGATAAAGATGCTGACAATAATGATGACGATGAAGAAAAAAAGGCTTTGCATTCTCATAATTTAATTTTAAAACGTTTTGTTTGTTTGTTTCACAAGAGATAATAGAAATATTATTAAATTAATCAATTAAAAACAAAAAAAGAATAAAATCAGAAAATAATAAAGTATCATTAAGCAATTCCTTTCTCTCTTTAATCGACTGAATATCGGTTGGTATTTGCTTATTTAAGAAGAAAAAAGATTATAAAATTTGCAAGGCTAATTGATTTTTTTTTAAGATTACTTAAAATATTTATATTTTAAGAAAATCCTATAAAAATTATCTGTATTGCAAAGGGGAAGAGAAGGGGAGGGAGGGAGAGAAAAGGGATAAAGTGCTAAATAAGCATATCTTTCTTTATTGCATATCATTCCACTTTTGTACTTTGGACAAGCACTATCGATAGAGATTGTAATATTCAATTAAACTGTATTTACATTACTTTTTTTTTACTATCAATATTAAATCTTCTATATTTAATATATATTTAATGTACAGTATATTTTAATAACTGCAAACAAAAAAAAGGTTGCTTTAAAAAAAAAATGAAAAAAAAATGCCACTTTGGACTATTGCTACTCCTACAATTTATTTAATTAGCCTTATCGACGAGATAACGTCACTAAGCGGTTTAAGAAACAATAAATTTTTTAAATTTTGATTAAAGAGATGATAAATCATAAATGAAATATTAGTAATTAGCTGTTTTATATCATTCTAATTAAGTAAATTATTTTATAGATGAATAGAAAGAAAGAAAAATAAATAAAACGACATTTCAATGAAACGTTAATTCAAAATTATTAAAATGTAGATAAAGAGTGAAAATATCTTAAATATTTATTAATTTCTACATAGAAAACATGAAAATAAACACTTATTTACATGAAAATAAATAGATTTATTAACTATTAAGATAATATCATTATCCTAAAAATAGATTATTACTATTATTATATCTATTAGCTAAAATATTCAAATGTATATATAAAGGACTATCCTTTTATTATTTTATAACTAATTTTTATATCCATTTTTGCCATTTATCAATACTTATAAATTCATTAAATGCAAAAACAGACCTCTTTATCATTTTTTTCAGCTCATGGTTTCTTAATTAATAATTACATAAATTTTATGGTTAATATCACTTTCTATTTTTAAGTAGTCTTTCTTAATTCTATACTTGAAAAATATGTATATATATATTTTAACTTATTAATTAAAATAAAGAAAAGTTTTAGTGTTATTGTTAATCTATTATTGTGCATGATCAGCAAATTTTTCTATAAGAATTAGGAGATAAATTTTTACAAAAGGTGCAAAAGAGTATATATATAATTGATAAATAATTTACATTTTCTGATTGGTCATGAGAAAAGAGTTTGAATAATTAACATATCAACTCAATTTGTACATAAAAATTATCAACAAACAAGGAGTGTTTAGGAGAATAGAAATATTTTTTTACCCAAAAAACAAATAATGATATTATTGATAAAAGAATGTCAAGTTGGTAGAAATATCAACTTTTTTAAAAGTTGACGCTTTTAAAATATTCTTTAAACTGCCCACGTAAGAAATTTTTTAGCTTAAATGTACACTTATAGATAAAATGAAAGATAGTTATCTTACAAAAAATACTTGATAACATGTATATATTTTATCAGTATATACAGTTTATATATATATATATATATAGTATATATATATAGATATAGATATTTATCATATATTAATTTTTTTTCTCCTTCATTCCTTTTGAACGTTTCAATTTTGAACTGTTCAATTTTTTAAGATTCTTAACGAGTCTAAAGTTTATGACAAGCTGGGGTTGCTTAGAGACTAAGTACATCCCACGAAACAAAAGATTTTTTCTTCATAAAATAGTCACAAAATATCAATACAATTATTGAGTTTGTAGCTCTGTGAACAAACTACACTATCATTAAACCTCATTCCTCAACATGAAAAGAGAAATTATTACAATCTATCAATAAAACTCACCTTGCTCGAAACCTTGTAAATAACAAACATAACAACATTCCGTTTTTTTTCCTTTTTTGAATTAATTAATTAATTAGTTAGCTTTCATTTGTTAATCTTATTTCCTTTTTAATTCTTAATTTGGACAAGTTTGCTTTTCAATATTTTTTTAAATATATATACTTTAGTGTAGATATTTTTTAAATAGATAAAGTACTGATCAGATCTATATTTCATAAATTAAAGGGGTACAAAAAATCCTTTGAAAAGTCTAAGTAAATGACAAGTACAATCATGTCAACCTAGATTTCATTCAAAAGTGAACCTTTTCTCAATTTAAGTGAGCAGGACAAGAAAATCTAAAAATGGATATGATAAAGAAGTGTCTATTCCGGTAGTTACTTGTATGCTAAACAAGAGTTTTCAACTTAAACTTTTATATGGTTATGCTATTTGATATACTATTAAATCGCTTCTTTCATGTTAAATAAGCACATAAATTCAACATTAAATAAGTGAACAGACAAAAAATATCGTTGGTAGATTATCAAATAAACAATGTCAATTACAAAGCAAAGAGCAAGACAAATGTTTAGTCAGTAAGCTCTTTAAATTGATCGAACAAACGCGCCCTGTTTGAGTAAGACGGCATGATAAAGAACATTGTAATAATTATAATCTACAATGAATTGATCTGGTAGATTTACGTAGGGAAAAAAACTTGTACAAACCTCAGTTGCTCTTGGAGAACGCTTAGGTGACGTGTCCGCTTTACCATATCTGAAGATCAAAAACTATTATTAAAATAACTGTTAAAAAAAAAACAAAACAATTTTATATACAGTATATATCCATATATTAAGTATATATGTATATATAAAACCTCAGATATTACGAGAGGGGATTATCAAGTATTGGGATTGGTTTTTAGTGGATTGAACTTGGTATTAGTTTATTCAAAAATTCTATATTATGTATCGTCATGTTTCTTTTGCATGTAAATACGTAAACTATGGAGTTTTCGAAATTTGTATACATTTCTATTCTCTCTTAACATTGCTTTGTTAAATAATTCAGTAGAAAAGAGTAATAGTTTACTCGTTAATTCACCATTCATATCAAACCGGATTATATGTAATAATAAACAAATAGGTAAAGGAGTTTAGAATTACGTCATAAAGGTGAAATACAACATTATGATTAAAGAACAAAACAGCAAGATTTCTTATCCAATCCTTCCCCTCCCCTCACAACCGCCACCACCACGACTATCACTGATTGACGTAGACTTTTTAAAATTGTTCTCTCTTTTCCACTCTAAGGGTAATACAGTGTAAGAGACAAAATGTTTTCTTTCACTTAATCATATAGAAGAATACTCGTTTTGGTTACCTCCCGCTATCCTTCTCTTTTTACTAGTTTATCGTAATTGAATTTTTGAATTTAATCTGAATAAAAAGAGGAGTAAGGAGTGCAAAAGAAACATTACGAAGAGCGTAATTATTCTCTTGGGTAATCTCCTCTAGAAAATATCGTTTTCAACTTATTGAAATTTCTCTATGAATAAGTAAATCTTATCTCTTTACGTAAATATCCAATTAGAAAGGATATATATATATATATATATATATACAGTATATTAACTTTTCACAATTTCAACTATAAACAGTAACGTTTATGTTAATTTGGTTACTCTTTTTTTATTCTAATTGCTATCTTATCAGATCTAAAGATGAAAAAGTATTGAATAACGTTTTTTGATGATTACCATTCATTGAACAAAATTTTCCTCGTATAAGGCGTTGTTAACCTCTTCGCTTACGGATTTACTAGTATAGAAAGAAATTTTTTTTCCCTTTAATATCAAAAGAATACTTAACAGCTACAGTTAATCGTTTAATAGAGTTAAGGAACTGTTGTGAAAAGCTTGCATTGTTAACCATATTCTAGATCACAACATGAAAATATACATTCCTACTATATACAGTAAGCAAATATACCCTTTTCTTTCCTCTTTATAATATTTAATTAGTATTTACAAGTTGTTAAATCACGGGAGGTATACTTTCATTGTTTTCTATCTTAATCGATTTTCTATTAAACGATATATGTATAACTAACACAACGGTATTTATATTTATGCTTAATGGAAATAGTATACTCAATGTTAGTTTATCTTGACTAAATTAATGGAACATTTATAAAAGTGACAAGAAAATTCTTTTAAAACTTACTCTATTCCTTTCCTGAATTTCTCTCCTCCCACTGCTACGTAGCTTTTTCCTGACGAAGCAAAATCTTCCAACTGATCCAAATCGGTTATGGTTGTTCCTCCGACGGGAGTTCGAATACTCCTTACGGCTACACGTGCGCTAATTGCTCCAGTTACGAAATTAAGGAATGAATCGAAATTCCGTGTTCGTCTCCGATTTATGACAACATTTTTTCCCATAAACCGCTTATCACCGTTGCGGAAGACGTGAATTATCTTTGCTTTTTCTGGCTGAGAAAATATTGCAGAGTCCATGGCTAGTTCGGATAGAGGAACGACAACGAACAGTTTTCGCGCGCTTCCTAAGGTCTATTGGTCTAAACCTTTCTGCGTAGCGGTTGCTATTGTTTTAGAAACAAAATTGATTTATAATTTCAAAATGGCGGGTTTGAAACATTAATCCAACCGCCATTTTATTAGTTTAATACATTAACTACAATACTTTGTGCTAATTTTGTAAATACAGGTAACCAAGCAACTAAGATAAACTTCTAATGAAGATGATGAGAAAGAAACACACCTTAATAAAGTTTAGCTATTAAAGGCTAGCTATAAAGTTTAGCAAATGTAACAATTTTTCCCTTTTAATCTACAATTAAGTGTAACTTTTTGAAAAAACTTTGTCAGCATTTTAGAAGATTAGTAAAAGTTAACATAAAAAGACCATTTAACTTTTCATAAATAACTCAATAGCACATAAACAGATATGGAGATAACGTAGGAGAAATTCTTTATTTGACTGATAGATGTAAACTAGATATTATATATCTAATGTATATAGAAGATATTGATACTTTTGTTTTTAGTGCGCTTATTACGTCTATTTGATAATCATTTTATATTAATAGTTTTTAAAAAACTTATTATGCTATAGGTGTCACTAGCTGAAAAAGCCAACGGACGTCATATTGTACATTTAATTTGTAGTCTATATATTGATCAAATAGTATTGTCTGAATTGACTTGTATCCGGAAAATGATCATACGCCTATCATATTTCAGTTGTTTGTCGACATTTTCCGCAATAAAACACTTTTTATTTGGTAAATAAAGATTTATGAATATATATAGGTTTATACATATATATATATATGTTATAATAATATAATAATCACAAATCAAAGATATTAGTTAAGAGAGGAAACATAAGAAAAGTATTAATGATATAGGGAAAGAAAACGAGGAAAGAGAATCAAGTCACTTTATTTATCAAAAAGCAACATCAACGAATCTTTTAGTATTCGGCCTTTAAAAACAATAAAATAGTAATAAAAAATTTACAGCTGTTGAAAATTTAAGCCAAGAGTTTCTCTACTTTTCTTGACTATGTTTTTATTATTGTTTTTAAAGTTTTAAGGTTGAAATTCAATAGATTTCTAGAGAAACGAATGACAATAACAAAACATAATAATAGCAATTACATACAAACATATACAACTACTTACTATTCTTCGAGTACCGGAAATAAAGTATTTTATTCTAATATACGATATATAACTATACACGACCTCCCTTTACTACAAAATGATCACGACCTTATGAAAAGTAAGTTGTTAGTTTTATATGACACTCGATCGGTTGTATTTTGTATAGAAAGCGAAAATAACTTTCGTGTTATTGATTAAGCAAAATGTTCAACTAACAATGAAGAAAGTTAGAAATAGCAAATTTTTCTTAATAATCTACTTGGAATCAATAAGTTGTTGAAATAGATGATTTTATTTAATATTTAAAATAGCAATATACAGTTTATCTAATGTATAAGGATTATATAATATTTAATCTAGTTTGTCATATAATTAAAATTCAACGGGGGTAGTTAATCGTTTAAAAATTGAATAGTAGTTTTATTGAATATATTGAAAGCTAGCCCTAAGGGTTAGGTCATTCTCTTTTTGGTTGAAACAACTTTTCTGTTTTCGTGAGGCTTTTAGTTCAACCTTGACTGACCTTGATTTTATGTTTTCAAATTATTTTTTTACTACTCTCTCTTCTTCTTCTTCTTCTTCGTAAATTTCAAACATACAATTAATTTGTTCATTTTACAACCAATTACAAAAGCAATGAAATAAAAGCGCCAAACTTGGAGCCTAATAAAAGATAAAGAATTCTTGTTTTCTTCAGTTTTATAGAGGTGATAATAAAAAGAAACTGCGCCGATATTCTTGGAAATTATAAAGAATAGAATTCACTTCGATGGTGATTCACTTCAAACTAATCAATAAATTAAATAGAAGGGATATATAAGGTAATTTTTATCAATATAACAGATAAATAGAACTTAAAGCTCTTTTGTAATATTAAATAAGAAATTTAATAAATTTATTACTGATTACGTAATAGCAATATATTAATTTTATTAATTTAGTTGTTTATACTGATAGCAAATTAGTTTTGATAATGCCATCTGGATTCTTTATAAACCATTGACTTTTTATAATACAAGTTCAAAAGGAAAGAGCTCAATTAAAATTAATCTATTCAATTAATTATTATAGATATGGCATAGTACATGCATACTCGACTAGAGAATAGAAACCAAAGCACTCTTTCAGGGAGAGGAAAGCACGGGGGGAGGGGAGGGGAGGGGGGAGATGGAGAAAATTAACGTCGCACTCTGTGTTCAATTTAAAGATTGATAACTAAGGAAAAAAATCTTAATTGCTATTGTATTTTCTAATCGAATCGATAACTTAAACGACTACTCCCCTAATAATGGTCTCTCTTTATTAGTTGGTAAAGCTAAGCTCTTCAAACTATATAACTTTTTAATGGCGAACCTCTCGAGATTCATTCGCCCATTTTCCATCTTTATCTACTATTGTAATATAAAGACAATATACGTTTCCCTATCAACAGCGCAATTCTAAACTGAATCTTTGTTTTCGCTTGATTAATTTCAAACAGATTTTTTACCGTAATTAAGTTTTATTTAATTATAACCTATAAAGACATGATATATTCGATATTTTAATTGTTTGTCACGCGAATAAATATTAAATACCCCTAGTGATAAATAACTAAACAAGAAAACATGGATTAAACTGGCTAGGCTTAATAAAAAAGAAAGAATTAAATATAGACATCGTCTCGTCATAAATTAATAGGAAACTACTTGAAAATAATCATAATTTTTCTTTCAATCAAGGATCAATCATGAAACATATTTAAAGTAGAACCGAAGTAAAAAGGTTAAAAGGAGATATAAATCAGAAAGAAATATTACGGGACCTGCTATGTTTACTCATTAATTATGCGAAAAGCACGTAGAACATATCGTTACGGCCTGTACATTTCTACATTTATGAACATTCATATTTTACTAAACTACTCTCAAATGAAACTCTTCTCTGCGGGAGAGAAACATACTGAAATAGAGAATATTCTAATGAAACAATAATTTACTTGACATTGACATGAAATTGAAACAGTTTACTTATTAATTACCTATGGCTTAAGTCAAAAACGTCAATTAAACCAATTAAATTACCGTAACTTAATAAAGAAACAATAAGCCGTAGATTTTACATAATTTTCTTATCTAATTAGCATACTACTAAGCGTTTATTAAGATAATCGAACCAAAAAGAATATTTTTTACAGCTATTTTCATTCAGAAAGTTATAAACAAAGAGTGACGTAGATGGAAAAGAATCTATAAATGTAACAGTTCCTTTCGGTGTTTAGTTGTATTCATTCTAAATAGAACAGTGCAAAAATAGGTGAGTATAGTCGTTCGATACACTTCCTCTTTAATTAAACTAAACGGCCTCAGGCTTTTTTAGGTTTATAAAGTTTTTTCTACAATGACTTGTAATGCTTCTATTGTTTGTAACGTAAAAAACAGGGACCATTCTTTCTATTCCACAGTTTCCATATCGCTGAAATTCTTTCTTTATTTCTTTTTTAATTTGGTGTCAGCTTTGAAAAAGATTAGTTAAAATATATGCGTCAGATGGCGTTTCGTTTTTATGTAGGTTGAGGATTATAGCTAAAAAAGAGATAAAAAACTAGAAAATAAGTAAGATATACAGTTATAATCTGCTAGAGTTGCTATTCCTATATAGTAGGCCTATAGGTTATAAAACCTTATATTAACAGTTTGTAAACGAACCGTGTATGTTTATCTTTTAACTTATAAAAGAGAAAAGAAAGAAAGGAATGAAGCGGTCCAAGAAGAACTAGGCAAACTTTGATAGTCTTAAGGTAAACGAAAACACATGTACGTATGTAAATTCCTGTTTTGTCATATTCTCCACGGAGCAGAAAATAGAATATACAAAGATTTTCTTTGTTCTTACATATCGACAGATGGCGCATTACAAATTAAATTCTTAGCTTATTTATATATACATATAAGATAACTATATATTTAAGTAGATTGCGATAAATCGTAACTTTATAGCCGCTAAAATGAGAAGAATACTAATGAACTGTCTATTTACAAAAGTAATTCCAATGCACAAATATAAATCTAATTAATAAAGTAAGTTACAATTGGAAAATACCAAACTTTACTCTAAACAATCTTAATCTGAACAAAAAGCTGCTAATCCGCTCTCCCTCCCCCCTCCTCCTTCTCCTCAACACAAAAGATAAACATACACCTCTCAAGCGCTAACTGGCATTTTAAAGTGTTACTTGTACAATCTACTCTTTTTGTCTGTATTGACAGTTTTATTTTTGGGTTCAAAAATAAAAAAAAAACACTTTATTTAATTATAGAAGGAAAAAAAACTTCAATGTGGCGCCATATTGAACTTTGAATAATGTTTTTCTTTAAAAATAGTTAAATTCTTATTATTATTTTATTTATTTAAATAAGAAAAAGAAGAAGAAGAGGAAGAGAAAAGCAAATTTTTCTCCTTTTAATAAAAGTTTAAAAGGTTTTCTACTTTTTGATCTCATTGTAAGAACATTCCTACATGAATAGATCTGAAATAATTGCGTTCAAAAATGTAACCTATGCTCCCGAAGATGGCAGCACAATTCATTATTACCTGCTAGGCTACGCCTCAAAAACGCCAGCTTTTTAGTATAAATCTACCCCCCAAAGCATTTAAGCTTCGTAATTTGATATTTATGAACCACATAACCTGCACGCAAAGCTCCATCAAAACTAACTACGCCCTTCACTTAAATAAAACAGATGTAGAATCCAGCTGTCACGTCCAACCGCTGCCCATTATCAATCAAGTAAGTTATTCATGCTTGAAAAGAAAATTGCCCTACGCTTGTTTACTGTGTCCAAGAAACTACTCTATTATTATTCCGCCTCATCTGTTACGCAATCGGTAAAAATAGGCCTAATCAAACTGGCATTCAATCTAATGCCAATCTAGATAATCTCGAGTGGTCAGCAGGGAAGCGGCTTGATTGAGCTTTATCTCGAGAAGGGAGTCAAGAAGCTTTAGGAGGTCGCTATATTTCCCTAAGGGTAGCTATACACAGGCCCCGGTTTGCCCCAAACAAAATACTTTCTTCCAGACGTAATCAGTATAATAAAAAAAGACTTATTACCCTAAATAAGTAAAGAGAAACGATAAAAAAAACTGTAACATATCAATGTTATTCTCTTCCTTTTCATACTTTTTTAAAAAGTTAACATTAATAAATTTATAACAAAAAAAAATCTTTAAATGTCAAACAAATTAACATTCTAACTCATCTTTTTTTCCTCATTTTCAATTAATAATAATCTCTGTAAAACAAATAACGTATAAAATAACAAATAGGTTGACTTTCATCATTCGCATTCCTACAAATCGACTTCTTGAAGGAACTTTTCGAAAGGAAAAACACGAAACTCTTGAGTATTACAGGTACAGAATAAATAAATAATACAACTAACGGTTACGGAAGATTTGAATATGATACGAAGATAAAGACTCTATTTCTACTCAGGCGAACTATTCTTAGGCCTAGAAGGATGTAAATAAAATATTTTCATAGCTTAACGAGCTTTTGTAAAGATATTGAATTACTTATACAGTTATATATACAGTATATATATTCCCTGGCAAACAGTAGACTTCAATCAATCATCCGCCTGTTTGTTGTTTGCATTAAATCCAAATATTAGATCAATAATGCAAACGCGACTAAGAGTTTGTCTATTCGTCCAATTTATTTCTCATTGTCCTGCTTAACTTATACTTTATTTGTCTGGTCAATTGGTTAAACAGTTTAAACACGGTTCTCTTCCATTTAACATCTGAATTCATTAAACTCCAATAATCACTTAGCCTACTAATAAACATATATATTATCTATATTCCATATTATAGAGCTGTGTTTTTATTTTATCGCTCAATTCGCTTTATTTGTTCACTTGACTAAGTGAAGTGAAGAAGAAAAGAAAAGAAAGAAGACAGAGAGAGAGAGAGTGAGTGAGAGGGTGAGAGGGTGGAGGAAACCAAGTAAAAAAGTCTAGACGGAGAAGGCGCCAGAAAGGGAGAGCGAAGAAAGGTAAGGTAAGGGGGGAAAGGAATTAATAACTGAATAAGAGAACTAGCAAAAGAGGAGGGAAATGAAACCAGATCAGGTAACTACTTAGCCCAAGTAAAAAAATCTCTAATTTCGATTAAGAGTTTTTTTTTAAAAAAAAAACATTTTACTATTTATTTATTTATTATTAAAGAAAACTTTCTATAAAGTTTTATTTCGAGAATAAAATTAGGGTCAACAAAGTTTAATCAAGTTTCTTTTGAGTCTAAAAAAATAAACCCTTACCAAAAATCTTTCATTATAAGAAAATAAGTGTTTTGAATAGAATGAAAAAGAATTGATATCAGAGGGAAGGGAATGGAAGAAGAAGAAGAAGAAGAAGAAGGGTAGTAGCAGTAGTAGAGAAAGGCAGAAGAGGTTGTTGAGTTCGAAAAGAATTAAAGAATTACAAGGCGAAGAACGGCAGGTCGTGACTATTCAACAAGTAAAAATAAGAAGAGTATAAAGAAAGCACAATATTTATTTATATAGAGTTTTATTATGCTTAATAAAGAGATAATTTTTTGACAACAAATAGCGAAAACCAGTTGAATAGAAGGGAATAAATCTATAGACTGAACCAAAAAAAATGGCAGACCCGATAAGGACTCCCAAAGGATTGTAGTAAGCCCAGAATAGGTATATAAATATATCCTAAAGAATGGAATAAATAAGAAAACAAAGAATAATCACGAACAAAACCGTAATTTGAGTACGTATATGTTAATTCCTTTGTTACCAAAGTTACACTATGGTAACACTTTGTATGCCAGGTAGAAAAGAAGGTGAAAAAAATTAATCATATTTATGTTCTCAATATGCGGTAGTCATTAGTTTCAGTACGCTTTTTTTTGCAAATAGTTACTTAGGTGAGACGTATGCTGATAAAGACCGACCTCAAAGGTCGCTTACTTGAATTGATGTCGGTTCGATTTACGGTTTTTAATGTCTATTTTCAATTGCAATTCGTAATTTGATACTAGCGAATGAATTGCGAAAGTAATTCGTTAGCTGTCACAAGCTTTATGGCATTTAGTCGAAATGGCCTACGATTTATCATAAATACTTTTATACAGTTTATAGAATGCTATTCAAGTTCTTTTTATCATTTTATTACTCTTTTTTTAAATTGAAAAAAATGTATTTGTAGATATTAAAATATAAAATTGAATAGTGTCAAGTTCATCTAGAATTTACGTGCTTTTCGACCATTGCTAATTGATAAATCTTGTTCCTTCTCCTCCTTTCTACGATAATTTATCGCCACACGAAAGTATTATTTCCCTAGTAATCTCTTCCTTCTCCACCACTTACAACTCTGTTTCAAAACAACCCTATTTTCCTATATATATATATTCGTGGTAGTCCCCTTCTCCCTACCTCCTACCTACCTCTTTCTCTCTCTCTTTCCGCCCCCACTATCTACATACAAAATCTCTCCGTCTATCTTTCGCTTTTGCACTCTTTTTTTTTTATCCCCCAACATTCTCTCTTTATCCCATTTATATACAATGTATATAAATCCTGGTGCAAACAACACTCGTAATAAATATTTAAAGATACAAATAGGATGGCAAAAGTCTTGTTGGAAAACGAAATATCGCTACATCGTATACGTAAAAGCATTGGAATGCATCTGGTGGAAAACTATCCACTAATGTTCCCATTTTATTTCCTCTGTAGCAGGGGATGGACGACTGGCCATTGTAAAGTAAAAGAAAAAAGGGCTATAATTTTATCAAAACCTATCGCAAATAGTATCTTTGTGTTAAATCTGTCTGTTTAATGGATTTTATGAACGAACCATTAAACAGAAGCCGAAAATAGTATGTATCTGCATATTTTATGACTAATAAGTACTGTTATCAAGGTGCAAAGTTAGTCAGCCACCAAAAAACTTTCACTTCTCTCTTCTCTCTCTCTCTCTCTCTCTCTCTCTCTCTCTATTCTCTGTACTCTCCCTGTCAAGTATGTCACCGTTATATATATTCACCTTATTTCAGCTTTTGACATATTAATTTCTTTCAAACTAATCGAAACCTCACGAAAGATTCTTTTAAATGGAAAAAGTCTGGCATATAGGGAAAAGGCATCGGCTAAATCTCTTTAGATTAGGGAGAGGGAAGAGAAGGGAATGTACCACTGTTTCCATTAACGTTCACTTTTTAGACCAAACTAATCAATTTACTTTCTTATCACTTTGGCAAATAAACCGCGTACGGTCCGGCGGACGACAAACGCCGAGGAAAAGTTTTATATAAACAGTACAGGCCTGGCGGACCTTAACTGTTGTCGATAGTTTACAAAATGGGTTTTTCAACGTTTCAACGAGCTTTTATCGAAGACTGTTGGGAATTATTTTTTTATCGCCATTTCATGAAAACAAACAGGCTTTTGCCAAATAAATTCGAGCGAGAAGAAGACAAACTACAAAACTACTCTTCACCAAACCAAAACTCTCATTTCGAATTACGAGAATTTACTTTCGTCATTCATCACTGCATAGCAACACAAAACTCTTCATTAAAACCAACACCGACATACCGGCCAAACACCGCCCGTCAATCATTCACCAAACAACTCTCCCCTAAGCGTTTTATAGTTTTTACAGACCACAAAAATTGTTTTTTATTTAGGCGGAAAGATGATATTCCCCTGCCACTTGAACCGTTGCGTGTCGTTGTCGACGGAAATACCTCATCTTTATAATCTGCATAAAGATGGAGAAGAATTCCATTTATAGAATATTATCGCCTCTATTGTTTAAAGTTTATTAAATTTTTACTCCCCATTTACATCTATAACAATTCTAACGAGAGTGTAGAATTATCGGCTAAGAATCGGTTCCGTAATGAAATTTTCCCCTATCTTCCCCCATGCTACATCATTCCCCATCTGACTTTGGGTTTCGTTAAAGGTTATCCTTAATATAAGCGAACAGAAGAGGAGGGAAAAAAATAGGAAAAGCAAACAAATAACCGATTAAAAAAAGCTACAGTAATAAGGTAAAAGTACTTTTTCTCCTTTCTGACGGGTAATCCTAGCGCTGACAGTTATAATAGATTATTATGTATTTATTTTACGCTTTCATTAACATTGCCAATTCAAGTAAAAGTTTTTATTACATAATCGTCCGTTCCGTATTACTATAATTATTGTATTAACAGGGGAAGAAAGAACAAATATGAGTGAGAAAATGGAAGAGAAAAGAAAAGAAAAGAAAAAAAAAGTCGCTAACAAATAATTGAATAAAAAAGAAGGATGCTAAGAGGAAGAAAGAGGATATTTTATTTTATTTCAATATATTGAATTTACAGACATTAGTATAGTCCTAAAGGAAATAATTGATTAAAAGAGAAATTAGATAAATCGTTAACGCTCCACTTTTCAGAGTTTATCATAAATTTTCGCCCTGTTAAGGGGAGGCTAAATAGTAGGGAAATTTCGCCCACTTAAAATGCCAACACCTTCTAACAAACTTTAAAGGTAGAAAAAGTCCAGATACTCACTACACAACAAGTAGGCTTTTTATCATCGTCTCTTTTTTCCTTCCCTTCTCAGTTCCTACTACTTAAGGATATGTATTCCCTTCACACCAATTCCCATGTTTCCTCTCTTCTCCTTCCGTTCTTTTACATACTAGATCCTGAATGATAATAAGCCTCTATATCAATTATATTATCCCCCTTCTAGCTTAAATCCTCTTTCGATTAGTTAGCCATGTTAATATGTTTTAATCCAGACTCTTGAAGACCATATTAACCTAATTTTCAAGAATTTCCTCCGTGATTAGTCAATCTTAAGGACATATATAGGTTACAGTAAAACATCATCAGCCTATGCGTAATACTTTTAAAGCATCATTGGAGTATATAGTTACATCTATAGGCGCGACATCTGCAAGAATGGGAAAGTCCTTCAAGATGAAAGTGTCCCCTGTATCATATTGCTTCTATTTGAAGATATCGTTCGGAAGATGATATGTAATAAGACATACAGCGTATAAAGAAAATTTCGTTCTTTATACAGTTTCTTTTCGCAAAGAAATGGGCGTCTGCAGCAAAAGCAGTGCAACGACTGCAATTAGTTAAAAAAAATTCTTTGTCAAATGACGCCGCTGCCGCTGTGATATTCAGAAATAGGAAGACGCCAAGAAATTCTATACCTCTCACAAAGCCTATAATTACGACGCGTAGTCACGTGACAAGTACACGACTGCCACCGCGCATGCGCCACTCTAGTATATAAGAGGCGGTCGCCGCCAGAACGTTTCAGGACGTCCAAGATGCCAGGTCGGATAACCGGCAATGAAAATCGAATTGTTTACCGTTTTGCTCTATTTGCTCTGTAAGTTTGTCACGTTTCCTATTTTTTTTATGTTTGATTTATGATATTTGCATGTTTTGGGAGGGGATGCAAATCCTAGAGGTAAATTTAGACTACCGGGTGTTCTCTTTGTTTTGAGTTATATATGAGTAAATCTATATAAAAAGCGTTGATACAAAAAATAAGAGGTAAAGATTGATGGAAACAGAAAGAAATAGAGAGGAAAAGATGAGACGATGAGAAAGGTTGAGGGGATAAGAACGCAAATGTAAGAGAGATACCAGATACTTATTAGGTACATTTAATATTCATTATAGTTTGTCAAGTATATAGAATCATACTATTCTAAGCAGAGCGGATGAGTATGTGAAGCGGTTGAAAATGAATGAGTTATCTCTTAGTCTATATGCATGATGAGAAATTTACAAAAAGGCAATCTGCTGATTGTTAGATTCCCGCAGTTTTATTTATCGCTCGTAAATTATATCATTAGGATCCCTTTCAATTTTTTCTGGTTTGTTTATAGAGACTCCCTTCCGTTGCGGCAGCTTTCTGTCTATTTACGTGTTCTATTCTGCTTATAGGCCTTATCGGAAATGATTCGATAACAGGAGTTTGAATTTTATTTGCCCTTAATAGATTAAATGAATGTTTGTATGACGATTTCCCTATTACAGACCCATTAGATTTGGGTCCGCGGTCGCTTAAACCAATAAACACTATTCAATTAGGTCTAATTTTATATATATATATATATATATATATATATATATATTCTGTATTTAGGCATATAAAGAAGAGTACACGGATAGATAAACAGAACCTCTTGAACCCAGGATATTTAACAGTACATTACATAATATGACCGATGATTTTCTCGTTTACAAAACCTTTGAAACGTTAGACATTTTTCGCGGATTCTTCTATGCAATAGACTCTATCAAATAGCTTTTATGAAAACAGACAGGTTTTTTTTTGTTATATTTTTCTTTACAAAGCCTTGTAGAGAAATAAAATATTTATGGAAGAGAAAATTAGGTGAATAGGAGACTTTAAGGAATTAAATCCTTCTAAATATCCACATATCTTAAACGTTTAATAGACCGCTTCCCGATTATACGTTTAGCGGATATTCTTTTCTGGTTTGCATTAAGCGTCTGACCGCTTTTTAAAAGGCGCCAGCTAAGATTCGAACGTAAGATAAGGAAAAATAGAGGTGAAATAGAACTGTGGGCATAGACTCCCTTTTAGCAAGATGTCGCGATATTCGAATTTTTATTGTATAAGTTAAAAGCGCGCGGCACTTTAATTTCTTATCCAATTTTAGATCTATAAACTTCTATAGGGAAATTTTAGAAGGTTGAGAGATTCTTATCTGTCCTGATAAATTCTTTCTACCTGCCCTACGCCATTTAAAAAACAGTTTGGACGGCTATAAAACTTTTTTTCTCCATTAAAAACTTTATTTATCCAACACCGAAACATTTATAGAGAAAAAAAAGAGAGTATCCCCAAATTTTCCTCTTCTTACTCTTTGACTGATAAAAATTAGGTTGAAATGAAACAAAACTCATAAATTTCCTACTATTTGGATGGTCATTGTCTATTTTTACTTTTGTATTTTGGCTGAAAGAAAATACAACCAGACTTTGGCTGCATAATTAAAAGCTCTTGAATATTGATTAGCTATCGACATCATATTGTTTGTCATCAGATCAGAGGCAATTTTTGTTATTCTTCAATTATTTTTCATTCGCTTCAAAAAACAACTGCATAATTAAACAAATTAATCTATTGTTTATTAAAGTTGGTTTTTGCTTATCTTCCGCCGCACTATCGTTCCTTTTTAACGTAGTATTGTATAGGGAATTTCTCTTTTTGGTTATTATTACATAATTAAAGTCTTGTAAATATACATTAGCCGAGTTATTCGCTTTGTTTGCTTGTCAGATCAAAGATTGATCAATGATTTGAAATGAGTTGTTTACAATAGAATTATTTTGTGCATTGCGACGATTAGTAAGTTATTTATATCATAACACATACCCTTGATTTTTACTACTCTCCTTCTCTTTTTCCTTCATCAATTGCCTTAGCTTTCATCGGAAATCGTTTCGCCGATTGATCACACGAATCATAACAGTCATATTTATTAATAAACCCGCTGAAAGGCAGAAATACTATTTGTTATAAAACAACGACTATATTACCTAGTCAATATTTCTGGGTGGCCCAAGAAATATACAGGCTGAATAGGCTCAATTCTTCCCTGGTTTCTTTAGGGAATTTCGAATGGAATATAATTCTTTTTTTATACGCCTACTTTTTATTCTTCGAAAGCCGATTTCTATCTCAATTTAGGCCCATAAACTACTCAAGAATCCAGAAAACAGCAGATAATGCTAAAAAAAAATAGAGATCAAAACGAGTACATCTATTCCATTAATTATAGGCTCGACTCGTTCTCTTCAGGTAGAAGAGAGAAAAAGAGAGAAAGAGAATAAACAGCAAGCGAAATTAGCACCCATTCAAACCCGAATAGCGTTTCATTTACAGAGTTTCTTTACAAGGCCAGGTCTGTTATGTCAATAAAGACTGCTCATCCTCGTGTCACATTACCATATAAAAACAATGACTTCCTTACAGAGTCAATAAACAAGACCTAGGCCTATCTATGTTCATCTGTTTACGCAAGAAACGTATAGCATCCGTTATCTGATACGAGAACATTTTTTTGTCGCGTTACCTTTTACAGAATGGAAATCGATAAACGCGTCCCTGACTCATTTTTTCACCTTTGTTTTTATATATAGGTCGCATAGATTTTTATATGTACGAGTGGTTAGAGTGGTGAACATGTACGCGTGTGTGCATATATATGTAGATGAATATAGATATGTGTCGGCGAATATACGTATGTGAGTCTGCCTATATTGGTTAGTACGTCTGTGTGTGTGTGTGTGTGTGTGTGTCTGTGCACATGCATATTACAGTTTCATGCACTTGTTCAAGCTGATAAAAAGAAAGGAGAGAAAGAAAGAGAGATTGAATGAATGAATGAATGAATGAATGAATGAATGAGTGAGGGGGAGGGACGGAGGGAGGGAGGATTGAGGATAGATTGTCACGAAATTTGGTTATAAATTTTCAATTAATAATACTAGGTTGTACACGAAGGAAAAAAATCAATAGACATCGTATGAACTGACTCATTCAACCAACTATACATATAATGCATGTATAGAGAAATCAATAAACAACTGAAAAATAAACAAATAGTCTGAATAATGCAAACAGTAAAGCATCAAAAAATGAGCTAAAGTAAACAAAGGGAGGAGCTTAAAAGCAAATTTTTAGCCCTTGGCATCATGTCTAAAGCTAGTCTTGAGTCGCAAGCTGGAAAAACAAGAGTTTGGCAAAAAACACGAGTTGTTTATCTGCGTTCTATTGACTCGGCTCGTTTCGGTAAATAGAACGTTTTATAAAAGGCGGACAAGATAGCAGAACAGCTGCCGCCTCTTTTTAATGTTCCCGTTGGACGGCAATGTCTTTGATGTGAGGTTAATTCCAAGCGGTTATCGGTCGGGTTAATTAGGGGGGTCTGGGGTCTAACTTTTAACGTAGCAGAAACACTAATGAAAACCCCTTTAGACTAAATTTTCAAGTTCAGGGAATCGACCTCTTTGAGGTACTTTCGTGAGGTACCTCCGGTAATGCCCTGTAGGAATTAATCTCCGATTCTCACCCTATCCTCACTATCCTTAACGCCAACCCTTCCACGCCCCCTGCCCCCTTACCCCTATCTGACTCAGCAATGAACGACTAATTCTCAACTGATTATTCACTTTCGAAAAATTCGTTGATTGAGTTATGGATCTTCCCTCTTCTGTTAAGAAGAGTTTTTTTTTTAATAAAAAAACATTGTTTGTTAATTACACAACTTTAAAGATTTTATCCTCTTTCCCACTATACTTTTTGTTGACTAACCCTTTAAAAGACCCACTTAAACTCAATAATATCATTTAGTGAACCCCATAAGGCTATGGGGCTCTAAATAAACAAAACGTAAAAAAAAGAAATATCCCTTGAATAATCTGCTTGCTTATTCATAACAAGAATTAATAATGCCAATTAGGTAATCCGTAAGGAAAATAATCCGAAAGTTTTGTAATATATAAGTTTTATTATTAAAAATAGCGACAACGGGAGAAGAGTCAATACAAATATGGTAATGTCACGAGACAAATCCCTAAACAAACTTAACTTTTCATATTGATCTATCAACAATTCATCTATTATTATATTTAAATAGTAATATGTAACTTATTATTGGGTAATTTTCTTCACTTTTTTGTGATATGCCAATGTAGAGAGCAGACAGAGATTTTATTATAAGTAAATTCTGAATGAGAGCGTTGATACTTCATTCCTATTATATACATGATTGATTTGTACTTTGTGTCATTTTATCAAGTGCCATTCGAAGTTGAATTGAATATGTTCGAGCGAGAACAAGCCGAGTCTATTGAACAGATACAAGATGAAATTTTCATTTAAAAAATCATTGGGAAGAAAACCGCTATATGAATTATATATGCTATATATTTAGAATACGTCTCTACGCTAAATTATATAAGGAAACCCCTGTTGGTAGTTTTGTCACCTCTTCGTTAAAAAAAGAGAGCGTCTAACGACAATGACGCTTTGTGTTCAAGTCGTCACCTGGCGTTTTTGGCAAAGTTTACAGGTGTTCCTTACCGTCATTTGACAAAGACGTAATTATTAAACCAGCTCTACTCGTCTAATTAGCATATTTCGTGTTGGCAACTGCCCAATTTTTTTTCAGAATGTCATTCAAATTACACTTAATACGGCCGCCGCTCAATTATCGTCTTTTTTCCCATGCCTTTATGTAACGTTCGTCCAGACATCGCGACGCCAGATCTCCTGTCGCCAGGTGGGGCTGATTGACGTCTTTTGTTTGCCATACTCGTGTAAGATATGTGAAAAAAAGATGTCTCTTGTTCTCTGTTTAGTTGCGTTGCCTCTTAATGATTTCCAGAAATGCTTTTATTCCCCTTTGAATCCTTGTACTGTTGGCCAGCAAACTTGATTTCAATCTGTGGTCCAAGGGACGTGTGCCCTAGTTAAGAAAGACATAAATTTTTCAGATTTTGATGCAATAATTGTCCTCTCGAAAGAGATGTCGTGCTGAAATGATTAAATTATAATCAATTAATTTATAAAGTGACGGATTTATCCTTCCAAGCCTTCTCCTTAGGGAAGTGTACAAGTTTTAATAGTTGAAATTCTTCCCTTTTCCATTCACTATTTGGAAAGCGGAAACTAAAAACGTCCGCTCGATCGCTATTCTAGCATACTTACAATTAGCAGAAGTCACGTGAACGGCTGGTGCGCGTATAAAACCCTGGCGCCCAGACAACGACAAAGACTTGCACGGTTTTCTTCGTTCAACAAGTTTTAATTGTCCCTTAAATCTATCCCTCGACGACTGTTTCCCATAAATAACCCGTAAAAGACTAATAAAGCCCTCGACGTTGCATAATCTCAACAACCCAGCAATATGCTAATGCGTAAGAGTAGAATGCAATATAAAGGAAGAAATGGAATTTTTTCGACCCTAGTTCTATTCCGAATTGTAAGCGAATTATTATCCGACGTCAAATTATACTCCTCGTTACCACAATCCTCTACTGAGCGTTTATTCGTAATAAACGTAAAAAAAAACGCCCTAGTTCAGCGCTCCTGTATAATAATGTTGATGCTAAAAAAAGAAAAAAGAAGAAAAGCGACAATATGAGAGGAATAGTCGAGCAGAACAGCGGTTATTTCCTCTGTTGCCCTTTCATTCTTTGTAGTTGAAGGTATGGCGTCTCGTTGTCGACAAGGCGCTTGAAGGATTTTGTATACATAAACAGTATACAAATTTACTGTATACATTAAGCATACACCTTTTTTTATACTTTATCGTTACGTAATGCGGAAACTGTATATATATATATAAGATAGGAATGTATACATTTATTCTCTATGTGTATATATATATATATAAATATTCTTTATATTTTACGAAAAGTCGAGTATACTTGGACTGGCGCCAGTCGGCACTCGACTGATTGAAGAGTAGCTATTGCTAACAAATTAAACAATGACTTCGTTACTAAGCAAACAAGAAATTGGCCCATCCTAACGTCGTATTCAGGCGATGAGAGATTATTCGAAAACTAGCGTTTGTTTGTACTCTGTAGATATTATCTAAAAAGTTTGTTATTCACGTAAGGATTAACGTAACCTTTCTTCCCCCTCCATTCTCCTATTGCTCACTTTCTCTCAATCGTTTTCTTCCTATATCCTACTTTGTTTCTTGCGTGTAGATGACTGTTTTACTTGGTCGAATTGATGTGCGATGTTTACCGGACGATAATAAATCGGTAAACTTTGTCCACCTTTTAAAGCTCAAAAGGCCAATTACTTCATTTATGCCCCCATTTTAACGGGAGTGAACTTTGAAAGAATTGTAGAAAATTGGAAAAATAGCTGTAGAACTTATAGGGGTTAATAAAAAACAGATAGTTAAAAATAGATCTATATTGCTCGAGGGAGGGAAGAGAAGATACGAATACTTTGAAATTCTAGACTGAGTTTACCAAAGGAAAATTTTTATTCTATTTACTTTTTATTGTTTCTATATTTTATGTTTTAAAGAAAAAGATTAAAGTAAAACATACAAGTTCAACGTTTATGAATGAAACGTAAAAACGTTAAATAGGTGCCAATCCCATTCATTTGATGAATTCAATTAACTTGAACTTTGAAAGAAGATGTGTTATAGAATTTATAGCACTTTTTTTTCATTACTAAAAAAATTTCAATTAAATGCTGTGTTTCTTTCCGTTTCTCTTTGAACTTTATATCGAATTGTGATGTGAATGATAGAGGAAAGAAACTGAATGAGAATAGTTACATTTCAACGATTTTATTAGTCAACAAAACTCTATTTGCATTTGTTTTTCATCTTATCAAGTCAAATAATTTGAAGAGCAGGCGTTTTCAAAATACTATTATGGCTTTAAAAGATAAGAGAAATGAGAAGCCACCCCTTCTCTTCTTATTATCAGATAATGAAAACTCGAAGAGAAGATCTAAACCTTAATTCTACTATTTCCTCGAGATAAAGATGATAAATTCATTTTCTGCTTTCCTCTTTGCCTAATCTCATTGTACAAACGTAAGGGAGGAGAGATGGAGAATTCCCCTACCAAATAGGCCTATAATTAAAAAATGTTTCCGTGAAAGGAAACGGCCTCTGCCCCCTGGGGAAGCGTTGACAGCGTAATTGTATACAAATTATATACAATTTTATCTGTAGGATAAGATAAAAATTTATCTCTATTCTTTGTTTTTAACTACTAATTTTTTGTATTCAAATCAGCAGGTGTTGTTAAAGCCCTCGATAAGGAGAAAGTTAACTTGGCAAACTCTGAATCTTGCCCAATTTCTGCCCTTCAAGATCAATATAAGGATCAACTTGCAATAGTTTGTAAGCCCGAAATTGATGAGAATTTAGATAAATGCGATCTGCCCACTTGGACTAAAGTGAATACCACTGGTATCTATAATATCAGCAATTCGAACAAATATAGAATTTGGAGTAGTCAAATTGGACAAAGACGATATCTCAGCGTCTTGAATATTCACGATTTGAATAGCTATGACATTGGAAAATATGATTGTAGATTAAACTGTAGAACTACACTGCCTTCTAAAGCTAAAGCTCCGAGTTTAGTGTACGGAGCTAGGATTTGTCAACCGATAAGTAAACATGGTAAGGAAAATATTTCTTTCTCTTCTCTTCTTTTCTTTCTTTCTTTCTTTCTTTCTTTCTTTCGCTCTCTTATCTGTAAATCCTATCTTAATTACTTCGTAAATAGCTTATGTTTAATCGTGAAATAGATAAGTTCCATTGTATACTTGAATATTTTGATAATACTTTTGTCTGTTATTGATAACCTCCTAAATCCTTATTCTTTCTCTTCATTAAAAAAAAGGCTATATATATATGCTGTATATGTTGTAGATATACTGTTGCGCCCCCTAGATTTATGTCCGTTCAAAACTTCCTCTCGGTAGATGGGGCTTTAGTTATGAATTAATTAAACTTAGCTAGATTATTTACTGAATATTTTAAATCAATTAATTTTTGTTACTCTTTTTTTCTCCTTCTAAAAATAGAACAAATTTGCTCGGCCAACATCAAAACCAGAGATTATAATTTCTGTTTTGAACAATTCAAAGATGGTACTTGCTCATTAAGCTGCAAATCTGATTTTCATTCTGATGGATTCGACTGCGTTAGGTCATCAGGGGATCAGTGTAAAGAAGCTTGTTTAAAACAATATCATAATGGCTTGTGTAAAAGGGGAAACACATGTCCAACTCCATCGAAATGCCAGAAGAAGAAATGCAACTCTAACATCAAGTTCTTTTCCGATTCGCTTGTCGTCAATTTTATAACAACACCATTGCCAATTTTTGCGATGAAGACCGTTCCCGAAAGATTGAGCAAGGCACTTCTGACTCTAGTCACGCTAGACAATAATCGGCAAGATATCTATGGTGATGATGTAACCTTTTTCTATAAGGTTCAAAAGGGATACTCAAAATTTGGTAAACAGGAAACTTTCGAAGAAATTGTAAATTATTTTGCTCTTCTGGAGTCGAGAGGACATCTTTACAGCTCCATTCGCAGTATCAGAAGTAAGTTATAAATTTTTTAACTAAGGGAGTGAGTGAATGCGTGCGAGATAGAGACAGACAGAGAGAGAGAGAGAGAAGACAAGTAGGGAGTGGCCACGAGAAATACGAGCAAGAGGAGGTATGAAATGGGAGAAATTGAGTATTAATGTATTACTGAGAAAGATAAATGAAAGCTATAAAAAATCTCTGACATTATTAGAAACTCAAAACCGACTGAATCTTGTTTTCTTTGTCACTCTATATTCAGCAATTTTTTCCATTAATTTAATCGAGCGTACCGAGTTACGAACCAATCTTTTCTAATTGGATCAAAAACCAAATTCTTTATTAGACGCCATGAATATAAAATAAATAAACAAATCTCCAAGGAAATGCACTTTTTTTTTAATTCCTTACTATACAAGTCATCAAACGTCATTCGAGTACTATAGATTGTCAGTAGGAGAGAAGGTCAAGTACCATAGACGCTTCATTATGAAAGTTCAGCAGAGCTCCTTTCCGCTACCGACATTACTTACAACGATGCTTATGTCATTAGTTACGTTAACAAAAGTGGCTAAATTTTTGCAGCTGATGATCATTTTTCTCCATTCTCTTTCTCTCTGATCCAATCTGTAGAGAGTATAATAAGGGTCAGAAGAAATAAATGAACCATTCCTTCGCTTTATCTTATCCTAACACTTTTTTAATCAAAACAGGAACGATGAACAGAGAAAAATCTTGCCAGCAGAACACCAAGTCATACTACAATATGATTGATTGGCATTCTCTTCAATCGATTAGCAGAAGCCATTCGAAAAGTCATTCGAGTTTCTGGCAATTCGACAAATGGGTTCTCATCGCAGTGGGAACTGGTGCGCTTTGTTTCTTCATTCTTATCGTTGCTGCCGTTGTTCTCTGCAAAACAAGGCAAGCTTCACGCCGTAATAGGACTATGAATATGCATGAGTGTAGCGAACTAGAACGAATAAGGTTGGCAAAAGGTTTGGGACCTGGTGCTGAAATTTAGAGGTGTATATACATGTATTGTTTATACATATATGTACTACTTATATACAGTATATATATATATATATATAGTGTATATACTTATGTATATGTATAAACATAATCCTAAATATAAAAAATATGCATATCTTACTTATATATACACATGTTATATATAAATAATTCTGAGAACTTTATTTCCAAGTCTGTTTTGTTTGTAATTTTTTTTTGTTTATTCTACGCTCTACTCCTCCTTCTCCTCCTTCTCCTCCTTCTCCTCCTACTCCTACTTTTCATTATTATTATTATTATCATCATCATTATTATTATTATTATCATCACTATCATCAATGTCATTTTTTTTATCCTCTTGTTATTGTGTATATAAAGAGTTTTATCTTTTCTTCTTTTATCCAATTTTTTGCCATATGTGTTTCAATAGAGTTATTATTTAAGAAAAAAAGATGAAACAAAAGTTTATTAAAAGAACTTTCTCCCTTCCCTTTTCTCCTCTCTTCTCCCTCCCTTTTTATTCAATTTTATCTATTTCATATTTAATTGATAAATTTCTGAAATAACATTTTAGCAGCTTAAATAACAAAAAAGTAAAACCTGCTGCATATTTCTCACATAAGAAGAGAGGGATTGAGAGAGGGAGAAAGAGAGAGAGAGAGAGAGAGAGAGAGAGAGATAGAAACAGATATATGGAGAGAAATATCTTTTAAACAGAGTTTCTTTTTCTATTGTGCAGGATATATTTCCCTAATTATTTTTTTCTTTTCAACAAAATACACAATGTTACTCTTTTCTCTTTTCCTAGAAACTCTCTTCATCATGATTAATTTATTTACATATTTTAACGATTTTTAGTGATTAAAATACAGAAAAAAAGTCATTTTTCATAAAAGAAATTTATGGTAATATCTTAGTAAAAACAATCTATTCATTATAGGTTTTTTTAGGACTTTAATCATTCTTTTCCCTTTTTTTTAAAAAAAAAAAGCAAAACGAACAAAAATGTTTTGATAAATTATTCTAACTCTACACAGCGGTCATGTCAAAGATCATTTGGTATACATTAATTCACCATGTCCTAAAAGTCTTTCGCCCTGCTTTTCCCCCTTTTATCACCTTCCTTTTAGTAAATTGAACAACTTTTACCGTGAATTAAAACGTCTAATGTTGTTAAAGCGTGTGCGTTCGTATATGTGCTTTACACATATATATCAATCGAACTTACACAGTTTCATCCTTTCTCTCTTTCCTCTTGTTCATTTTCTTCTTCATCTCCTCTCTCTTTCTCTCTCTCTCTCTCTCTCTCTCTGAAATTTCTTATTCTTTCATTTTTTGTATTTAGTGAAAAAATCGACTTTGTAGATTGTTTTAACCGTGAGAAATGTTTACAAGTTTAATCTGTAAAATTCACTATTTTTGGCACTTTGTACATTTTGCAAATGATAATTTGTTTCTTTAAAAAAAAAAAGAAACAATTAAAGAGAACAAGTAAATAGAATAAATACATCTTTTTCTACAATTATCAATGAAATAGTATAGTCTGAAATTATTTATTCCATTATCTGCTAGATGGCGCTTTGTCGAAGAAGGAACACCAAAATTTTATAAACACTCTTTCGAAACTCATAACTTTTCTATTCAAAGATAAGATAAATTGACTGATAGATACGTAAAATATGAGAATAAATTAAAAATTCAATAATATAAAACAGACTAGATTCATAGATTAATCAGTTCTTTTTTAAGATTTGAAGAAAGATATAAAAAAATCTCATATGAACTCCCTTTGGTATGAAAAATCACAGTTTGTCACTTCTGATAGAGATTCGATAAATTTTAGAGTTTCTTCGCTGCTCTCTAAGCTACTCAGATCAAAATTTTCGCTTTCGTCGCTATCGGAATGTCGTTTTTCGCACCATTTTCCCAAACCAGGAGCATTTTCATCGATAAACATTTCACCGGTTGTGGTAAGCATTGTCGTTAAATGCTTTATATAAGCCGCTGCACCTCGTAATATTTTTTCTTTGGGTATCCTTTTTTCAGATCTCTTTAATAATGGAATTCTATTCTGAAGATCTTTAAAGGCTACATTTAAACCTTCCATTCTCTTCCTCTCTCTCTGATTTCTCCTAACCACGGATTTTTCAGGCCTCTCCGCATGAGGAATGTACGGACGACGAACCATTCTCTTATTATTCTTTTTTAAGATTTCTTCCGAACAAGATAGCATGACGACAACGACGATGATAATGATGATTGCAGCACGTGTCTTCTCAAATGGTCATTGTTCTATTACAAGTCATCGGTATTTGTACTAGCCGTAAGAGTAGGCGGAGCCTAAAGTCAATTACCTTTGAATGAAGAGCTAATTGCATAGTGCGAGCAGAATCTATAGAAAATTACATAAATTTTTGGGTTTACTCTGCGGGTGAACTATAAGATGAAAGAGAGTTTTTGTTTTAAAAAAAAACGAGCTGAAAGAAAATACAAAGCCATTTTTTTCTATGGCTATATTATTTAAATTGCTATTTTCCCTTTATTTTTGATTAATAGATGGTATCCTTGGCCGGATTTGTGTGATAATAATTCTAATAAAAGATCTGGTCTATATTCTGAAATTAATCAGCTCTCTCTCTCTCTCTCTCTCTCTCCCTTTTTTTGTCTATTCAATTATTCTTCAACAGCTTTTCGGTTCTTTTTTTTTATCTTCTCTCTTCTTGGTGAACTATTCTTCTTTGATTAAAATTAAGGATGAATTCTTATTTGATTATAGGCAAATGCCCCGATTTGAAAGACTTTTTGTAAAAGAGCAAAATTAGCAAATAAAAAAGACATTAACCTATATTGAGACGTAAGGACCACCTGCGGTGACCATCTGAACGTGTTCCTATGATTACGTCAGGTCCATGCTCCTTGATTAGAGCACGCTTCCGCCGCCAATCTCTCATCTTACCCCACTTGACCAAGCCTTTTTTCAACAAGATTTTGCGCAAGGACCTATATGGTACTAATTAAAGATCCTTTGATTGTTAAGAAGGGTACAAAATATCACACTCCTCCTTATTTATTCTCCGGCTTTTACATTGTTGTTCACCTGCTGCGCGTCGGGCGCCTCCTAAACAGAGAGGCGTCCGACTCGAATAAATCCCTTCTACTTAGAAGATAAGTAAATTAGTAGTAAGAGATAAATAAAAATCTTTGACATGAAACGATCTACTCGTGAATAGGCAACCTAACTATAGAAGATACTTTATCTTCCCTAAAGGTTAATTAATCAGCTACTTAATCTTCTGACTGTAACAATGTTCCTAAGTACATTCTCTCATTATCTTAAATTCTTCTAGTATTGAATATCATACGCTCCGTGTACTTGTATATACTTTACATAATACAAACTGCAATATATTGTGTATTTTTTAGTTTGTCCCTGTAAATTTACCTTTTAATTTTTCAAGAGTTTTTGATAAGAAAGAGATACGAAACCGTCCAAAAGTAAACAAAAGACGCCTTTTTTTAAATATAATTTTCTAATGATATATCAATAATTAGTTATTGTTTTTCTGTCTTCTTCATTGTTTTTGTTAAAGATCAAACATTATCCCTTAATTACAGTTCAGTTGAATGATGACGTCAATCAAATGTAATTATAAGATAAGGTAGCATTACATGTTCTTATAAGTTTTTAAGGAAGAAAACAATGAAAAAGTGAGAAATCAAGAGATGAAGATAAACAATAAGTACTTTGTTACTGCTGAATATGTTAAAAGAAGGAAAGAAGGAAAGATTAGTTTTAAGGTTTTTATTTAAAGTTTTTTTCATCAAATGAAGTTACAATAATAATAATAATAATAATAAAAGTTACTGTCTTAACAGGAAGTGTAAGAATAGGAAGATTGCGAGAAGGCGATGAGAAGATATATCATAGAAATTTGAAACATCATTCTCTTCAAGTTCTTCTTTATTATTCAAATGTAGCTTTCTGACAAAAAAATTCTGCAGCATATTTAGATTTGATCCCCGTAGTTTCTCGACACAACGTTTGTATTAGAGTGTTCGTTTATCTTAATCATCAAGTAAGCCTTGTCTTGGGCTTCCCTTGCCATTTGTTCCCGGAGTACAATAACTCTCTTTCGATTTAATTCATTCATCGTTGCATGATAATAAATTCCCAGGCTGTAATTTATTAAAAATGAAACAGATGTCTTATTCTTGATTATCTGTTGAAATTATTTCGTTATAATTACCATAAACAAACAAATATTAGAGCAACAACTCCAGCCGATCCGATAAACGTAAATATGGCGTCAAAAACTTTGGGAAAGCCGTCAATTGTTAATGAAACAATTTTAAACGCGCTTGAGTATAATCTGAATGGCCCACAGCCTTTTGATGGAGGAATTCTAAGCAAGGGAAATTAAAAAAAAAAATAAACGTTTAATAAATAATCCCCCATACACGGACGCCATCTATATGTATTTCGTTAATTTTCCAAATACTTACTGCCATATAATATAACCAATTGGAATGCAGCACATTAGAAACGCTGACATTAGTACAACTGTGAAGAAAGTTTGAGATTTAGATGCTTTAACTAGTCTTGTTGATGGAGCGTAATTGAATAGACAGGTGAACTGAAAGGTTAATGAAAACAGATTAAAGATATTTGTAAGTAAAACAATAAATTAGAAATGAAAAATATACTTTTTTAATATAAAATAAGAGGAATGTCTTCACAAATGCAATTGTAGGGATAAGCGGAGAAAAGTATGCTCCTAACCTGTCAGTTTTATAGTATAATCATTAATACGAGTTTTAATATTGACTCTATTTAAATTATTATTACAAACCAGCAAAGAGTTTGACCATAAACCAGATCTAGAACGTTTTTGGATATCTCGAATTCTTGCTGACCAACTAGTTGACTTAATTTGCAGTTACATTTTGTTACGATCAATCTATAAAGATATGCAAGACAATCGATTAAAATGTATAAAAGACGGTGACAATAATTCAAAACATACTTTCTTGGCACTTCCACAAAGAATGTTATAAAAAAGGCGGCAATGAAATCGGTAAGTACAAGCTTATACAATTGCTGCCCAACGTACGATTCCCAGCACTGAAATGGTAATGAAAAACCGCCGTAATTAAGGTATGTCACCTAGAACGAGATCTCACCCTTAGCACTGGACAATCGTCTTTCACTCCAACATTACAATCATTTGCATCTTTCGGTGAGCATGTCACTTGGCCGTATAACGTTGCCAGGAGAACGGCAACAGAAGCTAGACGTAGAAATACTGTCCTATTTTCATTTCAAGGGATAGAGGGAGACAAGTGAGAAGAAAACAGAGAAAAATATTATAAAACTATAATCTTATTCAAAGACAAACCTGGCTAATGTCAGTAAAATTTCTGTATCTTGTGTATAATTCTCAACAATTACCAGTTTTTGAAAAATCAGAGGTAGAAGCACATTTAGAAAGGTTATACTTAAAGATGGTAAAAATTCAAAGAGAAGCTTAATGAATTTATTCTTTTCCTCATAATTCGATTGTTCTTTAAGCTATATGATAAAAAAAAACAAGATATTTCTTAATATACCATTATAAACACAAAAATGAGGAGAGTCAATCTCTTATTATTAGGTTAGTGTGACTAATTAATATACACGTGTTCAAGTTTTATACTCTTTTATCTTTTAGCACTTATAAACTCTTAAACTATTAGTGATTGGGAATAAAAAAAAATAAAGGAAAGGGGGAAGATGGGGAGATGAGGATGGAATAAGAAATTCCAATATCACTTCATTCATCTGTAATACATATATCTTTAATCTTTATGATAAAAAGATTAAAGTTCAATTTCAAAACAAAGCACAAAAAAACGAAAAAAAATAAACCACAATCTGTAATATTAGAAAGCCCTTAACCTCTTTTTTTATATTAAAAAAGTGATATTTTTACTACTTTTTGTTTATTTACTTTTGGGTAATATTACTATATCATTATACTATCGTTAGGTGTGACCTTTCCGTGCTTTTACTTACGTTAAAGGGATCTTCCTGTGCTGTAATCTATTCGTCATGCATTTTTTAAATTAAGTTTGTCATTATCTTTTAGTTAATCGCCTATTTAAGTTTACACCTAATTAATCTCTTATAAAAACAAACCAAATATACTGTATAATAATACAATAGTACGCATGCTAACCTCTGTGGCCTTTGTCATACTGTAATAAATGAGGTATCCAGATCCAGCCAATAATCCAATAACTAAAAAGTTTGCCAGAAATCGAATGGTATAAAGTGCACATTTGGAAGTGTTCTCTCTCTTTAGTTTTCTTTCTCTCTCTTGGAACGAGGACTGATGAAGGGAAGATAAGATTCAAGATATTTTGTTACAAGCCCTCAATATACAGTAATTAGTTTGTTAGACACTTACGTTTAATTCGTGAAGTATGGATTTCCGTTTCAAGACTATAGCGTCATCGTCAGTTAAAGAGTAATCCCACGCAGATAAGATTAAATTGCAGTACGGATAAAATTGATGTTCTTCACCCAATGCTGCAGTTTTCAATGCACTTGACGCCCTAAAAAATGGTTAAAGGAGAGTTATATAGCTACAAGCATTATTATCGTATGACTTACTGTCTGGCCATTAAAATTAAACTCATTATCAAGTAAGCTATAACGACCATAATAAAAGCTAATGGAAGGTTGTAGGATTGTCCCGCCAATAGATTCTTATCCGAGTAATATCCATGGAAAAGGAGTGTTTTCTCCATCCAGCCCTGTGCAAACATCATAAAATGTTTGTCTAAGAAGTGGTTCGAGATTAATATAAAAAACTAACGGTTCCTTGAAGAAAATCCAAAACTAATTGAGCTGTATCATTTTTCATAACAACAACAGAATCCTTGTATCTTCGACTGCATACTGCAGTAGTACTAGTATCGGACGTTGAGTAATCAACTTTATCATTATAAATAATTTGCGGTATGATTATAAAGCAAAAGCTGATAAGGAAGATGTATAGATTAAGAAAGAAAAGCCATTTTAAGAAAGCGAAATAAGAAGAGACGGCTGGTCCAAATTGGCCTTCGATAGTTTTTATAGAAGCTCTCCATATTTCAAAACTTTGAGACACTTCCTTGTATCTGGTTCCAACTTTATTCCAAAACTATTGAACAAAATAGGGCTATTTATGAAATTGTAAACGTTTTACACTGTTTATCGGACATTCTCCCTAAACCGAAAAAACGTCGTAAGTTATTAATAACAGCCTTTCATGACGGAATAAATGATGATATAATATTTAGGAACGTCTAAGCTGTTACTAGCCATATTAAATGCATATATATTCAAGCTAATGGACTGAACAGATGAATTTATTAATAAAGAGAGTTTATTTTGATATCGTCCAAACTTTAAATAAGTCTTTTACTAAATGACGTCGGCATTCTTTTTAAATATCTTACTAGGAAATGCTTAAAGTATAATTTCGTTTATACTTGTTTAGTAGCAAAGATAATAACTAGATTATTATCGCCTATGTCATCAAAAGTGCATAAGAAATACTAACCAATTTTTGTCTATTCTTAAAAGCGGCCCAACCTTTCAGCTTTTTCGAAGAGTCAGTTAACAAATGAGATCTATAAGGGAAAGTAGGAAATTTGGTTTTTTTTCAGGTAAATCGGTGGAGAAAGAGAAAAAAAATGTAATAAATATCCTAATTAAGTGAACGAAAGAATTTTGAGCGTTTCCCTCCTACGTCTCTACATTATTTATTAACCTGCTCGTTAAAGTAGATACTTTTTCCACTAGTTTCCCAAACATCTTATGTCTTCGAGTGTTTTTTTGTGAACAGAGAAGATGTTGAGTTTCATCATCCTCCATAGAGGAGAGTAGAGCGTATACTTTGTCATCGATATTAGTTGAAAATCTTTTCCCGTTGCCCAAAGTCATCAATTTCCTTTGGACATTCTTAAGTTTTGAATCTGTTCTTTTCCTAACTGGTAGAATCTTTGACGAACTATTTATCTGTGATGAAGAATTCCTCTCTTCTAAATTAATCGTTTCTACTCCATCAGTAGGCGCTGGAAGAACTACACGCGGAGTAGGAGAAATCCTATTATGATTACTCATTTTCAAGACAAGTTTCACTTCTGAATTCTCCAGCACTTCTGATCATGCAGATGTATAAAACTGCTTACGCAGATCGATATCTACCACTACAGCTCACGTTTCTTATCAAGATAAATGGCAGTCCTATCAAAAAATTGTCGTGTTGACCGAACACAATAAGCGAGCATTTAAAAACTATAAATTGAATTCATCTATCGATATATCAATATTTCGATTTAGAGTGGTTCTTTCTTAAATTCCTTTCCGCTATTCTATTGGTCTAAAGTAATAGAATTTAAAAAAAAAAGCAGGAAAGTTAACCATACAATTTTTCCATTAACATTTATAATAAGTGAACAGTAAGATTAATGTAAAATTCATGTGCAAACCAATACATTAATATTGTTTACATTCAAGCAAATAAGATAAATCTATATATGTATAGATATACAGTATATATATATATATATATATATATATATTAGTCTATAGAATATGATCAGAAAGAGCTGGAAAAAGATCAGTAATTTTTCTGCCGTCAAAATCAATTTTTTTTTTATACTTTCATCTTTACCAATCTATTTTTATCCTGCTCTCTCTCTCTCTCTCTCTCTCTCTCTCTCACTCTCTCATTCTCTCTGCTTTGTTTATTAGTTACCATACTACAACAACAAAAAAAATCTTTCAAGTACCATATACAGTACAGTTATTTATTATCATGAAACTTATAATACAGTAAAATGTTATACATAGCATTATAATTTCTCTTCAAATATACATAGGATATTTCGTAGAAAAAATTACCATTAAGTAAATATAGAAGACAAAAATAGGAGAAATATTATAAGTAGATTACTTTACTAACAGTTTGTTAAACAGATTTTTCAATTCTTTTATTAAGTCAATAAATCAAAGTTTATTCTATAAAAGTAAAGAAAACGCGGCTGTATTATATCACAAAGAATAGTTCCTTATTCATTCACATATAGATATGTACTATATAATATACACTTTGTATATACGATTACAGTCTTTCTTCGTTTTTCTCTCTCAACACCATATCAGATTATGTAAACATTGACATAAAAATTATTTTCTTCCCTTTGCCATAGAAGAGAAAAGAATGAAAAGAATGAGGGAGGATGGGAAGGAGTGAGAGAGGGAGAGAGAGAGAGAGCGAGGAAAGAATAGAAAAATTGATAGTAATTGCATCACATGTAAAAAAAAACAATCAATGCGGAATTTTACATTCAGTATAGTTATTCTATTGTATATCAATTTTCCTATAAACAATTAAGTACTTCATTTAAAAAAGAAAGTAACCGAATATATCAATAATGTATTATATATTCTTTATAAGTAATCATATTTTAACTATTTAAGTCTACTAAAGCAAAATCGTGCAAAAGATATTGGAAATGCACTTGAAAACGTGATAGTTTCTACCACAACTGTTTACATCAGTTTAACATGGAAACCTTAGAGGGATACAAATATTTACGTGCTTTAATCATCGTCTCTACTACCCTTATATATTAGACAACCTTCTTTTCTCATTATTCCTAATATATATATATATATTCGTTATCATTGTCTATATTTTAATATTAAAGAATATTTACGCTGAACGATATTTTGATCAACGCCCAAAATTCTTCGATTATAAAGTATTGATTAGATCTGATAAAGTACTTGTTTTATAAATAGTTATAATATATTTAAAAAAGTAAGAGATAAGGTACTCTTTTCTCTGTTTTTTTTGTATTACTTGCATGACTAAGCGATGTTAATTAATTAAAATATTCTTCTATATCGCTTTTTATCCAATTTTTTTTCACAATACAATATAATTTCACTCTTTGTCAAATAGATAAATCTTATCAGTTAGTAATAGCAATCTTACTTTAGTATTCTCTTATTGGCTAAAGTTGTTGGTGCACTTCGAACAGCATCGAGAACTTCCAAGTAGTCGGCTTTCCTTAATTTATCAATTTTCTTTGGATGAAAATACTTTTCGGAAAGTCCTGGACTAACTCTATCAATATCCATATCAATTTTATTCTTCGATTGCGGTCTAACTTGGTTTCTACTCATCTTGTCTTGCATTTATCAGAGCTGTGCCGAGGACAGAGTTTTTTAATATAAGAATTATAAGATTAAAGTCTGTTTATGGGAATGTTATTGACCACGTAATTGATTTGTTTTCTATATTAACCCTGAACTGATATACAATTCAACTAAGCTTTCAACCACTTTAATGTCATTCCTCTATAAATATGAACAATAGTTACAAATAAGCCTACAATATAATGAATAAAATAGCTGAATATACGAGGGAAAAAAAGGAAAATCCTTCTATTGGAATTTGAGGGAATGCATTTAAGGTAAAGTTATGTAAAAACAAAAATGAATATTCATTAGTAGTATTTAATCCTACTTTGCATAAAAATGAATTTGAATATCTTCTTTCAGAATACATTTTCTAGCATTCTTCTAATTTGTTTTCTTTCATCAAAATCAATCGATATTCGCCTTATATTTTGGAGAAATCGATTGTTCAGATTTCTGTAAAGCAAAAAACTAAATAATCCTTTCAGTTGTCATAAGATACTTGAGATTTGTTTTTTTTTTCTCTTAGACGTAAAAAAGCAAATTTGCTTGTCTATTGTTTGTCTATTGTTTAAGGAAGTAGTAGTTCTTTAATTACTATTACTATTATTATTCAACTTTTTTAAATAAGGAAAATATAAGTCTAAATAGAATGAGACAGTCATGCTATCGATATTCCTTTATACAATAAATAACCAAAACAACAATACTAACAATAAATAACCACAGCGAAAGCTTCGCTCAAACACGCTCAGTCTTATATCGAAAGTATAAAATGTCCAAAAATGTAAAAATTAGCAAGAACATAAAGAAAGAAGCCTTAATCAATATTAATAAAGTAAAAAATATGGTTTACTTCTTTTCTTGTAGCTTTTATCTTCTTTTCCGAATTAAAATAGATCAAAATCAATGTTTTTAAGTCTGAAATACACGTAATACACTTTTTCCAAGGCAGGACACGAAGTTGAGTCAAAAGTTCTGTTAGCTTTTCTCAAAGACTAACCAAGCTCCATACAGAGGGACGTTTTAGTTGACAATATACTGTATGTCTTTTTTGCAGTGCAGGTGAATGATTGATCTACTAAAATTAGAGCTTGGTGATCCCTACCCCCCACCCCCTTATCAACTATTGGACTAATAATTGCATACAAAAATAGTTTCTATTATATATTGTAACTATGAATATTCTTCTCATACCGTTACATTTATCAAATGTTTACGTCTATTTCTCATATCAACGTCAACGTCACTTAATCATTCACAAGCAAACGTTCATTGTAGAGATGATAAAGAAGATTATAAACTGCTTTGTCAGGAGAAAAAGTTTAATTCAATTAGTATTATATATTGAATACTACCTACGTAATTTGTTCTCTCACTTTATCATGATAAATATGAGTTCTACAATTGAAAATGTAACTTTTAAACAAGTTTTTTAATTAGTTAAGATCTTCAATTTGAATAAAGAACTTTTTAAGTTTGTAGTTTGTTTGTCATGGGATTTTTAATGACAAAATAATTAGTAGAACGTTAATTTGTATGTAGATTACAAAATTGAAAGTGATGCAAAACTTTTCAAAGCAACAAATCGATTAATATGTCTTATTCAATATTTATATATACTCTATATACAGTGTATTACTGCATATGTACAGTATATACATATAAATGTATACTGCATTTGTGTGTATTTGTATACATCTAATATATATATATATATAAACAGTATATACCTCTCACTCTTATAAAAGGAATATTTACAGTCAAAATAAATTAATATCGATACAACCAATACAATATTGTGAACTGTTACGAATTCAATTTATTTAAAGTTTAAATTATTTGTTAACATCAATACCGTCTTTAATTATAGCTGATTATATAGAATCTATCAATTCATTCCCTATCATTCTTTCCTCCATTTTATATATTGCATAAACATTTATTACATTACGTATTAATAATTTCCAACGTTATTATTTTATTATTATAAAGATAAGAAAATTATCTAATTAAGCCCCACCCTCTCTCTCTCTCTCTCTCTCTCTTTCTTTCTCTCTATGTTTATTTATTTATTTCTTGCTTTCCCTCTCTTTTCTCACAGTTTGCTGCATTAATTAACCTGTATTTGAATCATTCACCCCGTTATCGATTGGTCCTGATATAATACCTTTGATACTTAAAAACAGGTTATTATTTAAAGTGTTTGATAGTAATTGTTGTCAATAAATAAGAAGCAATACTTGAGTATTTTGTTATTAAAGATTTCGTTAACAATTTAAGATAATCTATTTGTTTTGCGGTTTTAAGAAATACAAGACATCTATCGTTAATTTACCGCCTTGAAAAAAGATAATGAATTAAGCTTTAGGCATTCGATTTTCTGATAAAATCAATTGAAATTATATTATTTAAGAGTCTCCTATCAATTTTCTCAAAAGCGTCAAATTTTTCTCTAAAACCTGTGCAATTTTCACATCTTCATGTTGGCCTCCTTTACTTTTCGATATTTTCTTTTAGGCCATAAACTTTATTGGATTTCTGTATCTACAGTACACGTTTAAATCTATACGCCATCTACTGTTTTTAATATTATATATCATGAGATTTTCTCCAAAACAACTATTTCCCTCTGTCATGTCCATTAATCCCTTCAGAATTTATTTTATCTTTACAACAACCTTTTATGCACTCAATTAATAAAATACTTTTATGGTAAATAAGAAGGGAAAACATCCCATTTTTCTTATTTTCTAAATTAGTCATTGCTTCCTTATCGTCAACTGATAAGATAACAGTTCTAAACTACAGTTTGGGACATTCGATTAAATATGACGATTAAGGGAATATCAACTACAGCTTTAGGTTAGAGTTTAAGATCTGGAAAATTGTTAAATTGTTTCAGCTTTAATTTTCTATTTTCCTGCAGTATTAATCCTTTCAAGCCTTTTAGTCTCTTGTAAACAAATTATAGAAACGCCAGATAGTTTCTCAGATTTCTCGTGTAATAGAGAGCAGGGCACTTGTCCGGAAAACTGGTTTGAACTCAGGGACTTTTGCTCTAGAGATATCTATATAGAAAATAAAAATTTTCGAAAATCTTGGAAATCTGCAGAAGAATACTGCCAGTTATGGAATTCTACGCTGGCTACTTTCCAAACTAAACAAGAGGCAATAGAATATGCAAAATGTTATCTCTCGTAAGTACTTTTCTCTTAAAATTACTAATTCAAATTTCCTATGTAAAATTTTAAATTATGATTATGAGTCATTTTTCTATCGGTTGTATCATTAGGGATCATGATGATAGAAATTTCTGGATCGGTTTGAAAAAAGATCAAGGAACATGTAAAAAATTCAAATGGTTAAATGGCAATGAATTAGAGCAAGCAGAAGCTAATTGGGAGAGTGGTCAACCAAAAAACACTGAAGATGAACAATGTGTATACTCTTCCGTAAAAGGAGGTAAATGGATTGCTGATAAATGTACTGTTGAATTGAATTGGTTGTGTAAAGCAAATAAAAGTTAGTAGACTGAAAAATTTTTAGCAAAAAGAAATGAAATGATTACTTTTTTCGATTAGCCTTTATTCAAGACCCTCAGCTCCCTAATATCCCAGGTAATTACCCTTTTAAATATTTTATAAAATTAACAAAACTTCAAATTTTACAAAATATTTTTAAATGTAAAATATTAAGATGAACCATGCAACAACGACAAATACAAAGATTGGAAACTCTATGAAGATTTTTGTTACAAATTTCCAACTGCAAATTCCGAAAAGAAAACATGGATTGCTGCAAACGCAGAATGTAATAAAGATAAGGGCACTTTAGTTACCCTTTCTGGAAATCTAACTAGTACATCTATTTTCTTGAAAAATCATCTAAAGAAAATTCCTCTGAATGACGTCAACATATGGATTGGAGCGAGATATCTAATTTCAGAAAAACTTGTGTTAGTAAATACAAACATGTATTGGAAAATGTGTAGATATATATCATATATTATTTGTGTGCTTAACTATCTATTAGATGGATAGACAATTCGAGCCTTGAGGAGGAAAACTTTGAAAATCCTGTGCCAGAACCTCGAGACGGATTTTGTGTTGTGACAAAGGCAAATTCAAGTATATAGATAAGCATTTACTTATTTTTTAAGGTTGCTATACTACTTTTTTATTTGGACAGAATCCGACATGAAATGGACAAATTATCATTGCTCAAATAAATATCATTATATTTGCAAAAGGAAAAAGGACGCAGCCAATGTACCACCGTCTCCTCCTCCTATTCCAACTACTGGATTTTGTCCACACAATTATATTGAATTTGATAATCTCTGTTATAATTTTGTTGAAACTCCAAAACCTTATGCTAAGGCCTCGCGTGAATGTTTGTTAGCTGGAATTCATTCTAGGGAACAACAAGGTCAGCAATAATTATCTTTAATTTTCTCGAAAAATAAACTTTTCCCTTGATATTGTTGACATTATTAGTATAAATAATTAATAACTTCTTGATTTTCTTCAATGACAGAGTTTATTACTAGCCATATCAGAGATCGTCATCATAGTAACGAACGCTTTTGGATAGGATTAGAGGAAGAAACCGCAAACAATTTCTGGTGGAAGGATAATACTGACTATGGATTCGAAAATTGGAATAAACCTGCGGGAGATAACCTTCAAGAGGTCTTTATCGAATATCATTAGAAGTAAAAGTATAATAAAGTTTAATTTTAGATGAGATGCACTTCAGTTCTGACGGATTCATCCAGAGCTGGAAAATGGTTTGCGGGAAATTGCACAGAAAAACACTCAAGTATTTGCGTGCAACCTAAAGGGAATCACACTGAAGTAGAAAGCAATTGTCCTCCTAATACCGTCAAATATATAGACTCATGCTATAGAATTGTTACAAACAGAAAACTTAAATGGGCAGAGGCTGAAGAGGATTGCAGAAAAACCAGAGAATCTTTTATAAATTCTCACTTGACATCCATAAATAGCGTATATGAGCAAAGCTTTTTTTACAATTTCGTAAAAAGTGCTCCAAATTCAAATTCTCTCTGGTTAGGATTAACCGATACAGGGGTAAGTATCTTATACAGTACGTATGACATACGAAACATTGCATAAATTTAGACCTAGCTTTAACTAACTCTAATTCAAAATGTTGAGCATGTATTGATTGTTTGTTATACAGCATAATGGTACTTTTAAATGGACCGACTATCGTCCTTTTCACTATAAAAACTGGAAGTCAGGTCAGCCTCATAAAGATCGGGAGGGTTGTGCTTCTATTACTGAAGGTGAACAATGGAGTCATGAAAAGTGCGACGAGGAAAAAGGATTCATCTGCAAAATGAACAACAACAGTAAGTGAATTTTAAAATATAGAGTTTTAAAAATATACTATCGGATTTTCAGCTTATACGACTGTCCCTCCTCCAAATGGCAATTGTCCGAATATCTCTCCAGGAACTACTTGGTTTGATTATAATGGAAACTGTTTGCTCTTCCAAATGACCGAAGATAAATCGGAAACCTTCTCCGATGCTCAATCAGAATGTAAAAAATTCGAAAGCCTCTTATTAAGTATTACGAGCAGGGAAGAAGATAATTATATCTTTGAGTTCATACGGCAGCATTCAGCAAAAAAGTATATTTGGTTAGGCTTAGAAAGGAATGACACTTGGAGATGGTTAAATGGCGATGAATTGAACTATACAAATTTTCGAAAAGACCACGAGAAGAAGGGAAGATACGCAACTATATCTAAATCAGATGGAAAGTGGGAGACTTTTGATAAAGAACCTGAAAAACTACCTTATATTTGCGAAACGAAAGGATCATCCTCATCGCCAACCTCCCAACCAACCTCCCAACCAACCACCCAACCAAGCTCAAAACCGCCCACATCTAAGGTACCTCCAAAGAAAAGCTCAGGAATGAGTCCCGGTGGAAAAGCAGCAATTGCTTTGGTTGTATTACTAATATTGGCTTTATGTGTAGTAGCTTTCCTACAATACCGCTACAGTGATTCTCCTGAAATAAGAGACATGAAAAATACAAATTATTCATCGCCAGCCCAAAACACTTTCAACAATCCTATTGGAGGAGATTTAGCTTTTGACGATCGTTATGCCGTACCATAAGCATCTTTAATTTAATCAAATGAACTACATTTATATATCACAAATTGAAAGCTATATTATCAATAATTAAAGTATATAATAACATTATCGTACAAAAGCTTTCAATTGACATGAATAACTTTTTTCCTATTGTATAGAATATATGCCAAAGAAGCCGTTCTATTTAACTGTAACAATATATAATCTTTATAAATGTACTGCACAAAAATATTTAATTGTTTTATTATTTTAAAAAGCACGTTGAAAGGCGAATTTCGTCAATAAAACCCAAATTTAACCAGTGGTTGGTTATGTGTTTAAATATCGATATGTCTATTTTTAAAGGAAAGGATTTTTATATAACTATTATTTAAATATGGCAAATTGTTATGATTAAAGCTGTTATCTTATTCTTATTTGATGTCAAAAAAATAGATCAATATTTTAGGAATTGTTCAATAATTATCGGTGTAGTTTGATATTGAGATTAAAAATATGTTTTATTTAGCTGGATATCTAGAGTTTTAATTGGCTGATACAAAAGAATAAAAATTAAATATAGTGCTATTTACTGACATGTATAACATTCAGTATGTTTAGAACATACTTTTACTTATCATTATTTTGCTATATATTTTTGTTTTAGTTGAGAATTTTTTAAATATACTATTTAACGTATTTCATTTTTTCAATTATTTACTTCCAATGGAATTTGTATATATCTCCTAAATACCAAACAAACAATTCAAACTGCCCCGATATTGACGTATTTTCGCTCCAAGCTTGGACACCGAGAGTTAAAAAAATAATTCTTTCTGAAAAAAATGGCGGCTTTTCTATCTGATAATTCTAAAGATCCTTTACTACGACATATTCCATTACCATTCAAAAATGATCTAGTAAGTCAGTTTAGAAAGTAAAAGAGTAGTCTTTAAAACTTTAATCAGATTCGGACATCAGTTCATGTAATCTTGATACTAACGTTTTTTTTAAATTTTCACTTAGTTCTTTGTTTTCGATAAGCAACTAAATCGTTAATGCTTTTCAATTTAGGTTTTGAATATCGGTAGAGCCGAAGACAATGATATTAAACTGCAAAATTCTCATCATATTTCAAGATACCATGCGAAATTAATCTGTCAAAATGACGATTGGTATATTATGGATTGCAAGGTAAATTCGAATTTCATTCAACGACAAGTAGCATTATTGTGTAATAAGTTAAACTTTTTTGCCAACGAATAGTCTAGCCTTACATCAGCTAATTATACTATTACATATATATATTACTAACACAGTTTCGTAACAACATTCGAATAAAGTTACACAACTCAAGAATGATTCCTTTTTTTTTCAGAGTTCTAATGGTGTGTTTATTAATGATGTAAAAATCGAACCTGCTCAAAAAACTGCTCTAAGAGATGGTGATAGCATTATTTTCGATTATCAACCAAACAAAAATCCACGTTATAGTTTCAGATATAAAAATGAAAGAGAAGGTTAATTTATAATATTTTCTCTGAGTAGAAATTATTATATCAAATTAAACATTTTTCATCTTATTTGTAGATGATCCTCCCGATCAAAATGTATTTAAGAAACCTCGTTTAAATAGACTAGTCAAATGTGATAAAGATGACGTAAATATGTCGCTTGGTTGCTTTAAAAAATATAAATATACATTTAAATTTTTCCTCATAAGGAAAAAGAAGCGGAGATAAAAATAGCGGAAGAATTAAAAAGAAATGAACTTGAAGAGTTACGAAAGAAACTTGAAGAAAAGGAAAAACTATTAAAGGTTTTAACAATAATAGCATATATAGTATTTAAATGCATATGTAACTCTAAGTATTCTTATCAATAATATGCTTTTTAATAACTTATAAATAGGAAAAGGAGGAGGAAAATGCCCGCAAAGTTGCGGAGCAAATAAAACAACGCGAAATTCAGTTCGAAGAAGAGAAGAAAAAGCTGTTAGAAGAAATGCAAATCGAGAAACAAAAATCTGGACAAGTTGTTGCTGAAGTTCAGCGTGAATACGAAGAAAAAATTAAAGTTTGTTCTATTGATTTATGAGGGAATCACATCAAACAATCTGTTTTATATTTTTTACTCTAACAGAAACAAGAGAAGATATTCACAAATGAGATGCAAGAGATTGAGAGTAAAAAAATTAAGAGTGAGCAAGAACTGCAGAAAACTATTGCAGAAACTAAGGAAAAATTTCAAAACGAAAAAGAATGTATGAAAAAAACTTTGGAAGAGCAGATAGAAAATACTTCAAAGATGCACGAAAAGGAGAAAGAGGAATTGAAAGCCGAACAAAGTCGAATGAAGCAAGAATTAGAAGATGTTACGAAACGAATGACTGCCCAAGCATCGACATCAGACAGTAAAGATAAAATGATAGACTTAATGGAGGAGGAACTCATTTGCTCAATTTGTTCGGAACTTTTTATTTGTGTACGACATCACTTACCCTCTTTTTAACTGTTAATGTTTACTAACGTTGATAATTTTTCAGCCTATGTCTCTTCAATGTACTCATACTTTTTGCGCCTTATGTATTCATCAATGGATAAAAAGAAAAAACGAATGTCCTCAATGTCGGAATCCGATTACTTCAAAGGTATAGCTTTCTAAAATGTCTATTGAATCTGCAATAGGTAGTCTTTACGAAAGCTTTCAAACGATTTCTTTTATAGAAACTATGTTTATATTTATACTTATAGATATTTATATTGTATATGTTTTTATCATTTCTTTTTTAACCAAAGGCTAACTCACTTGCTATGCAAAATTACATTGACAAAGCCGTCACACTATTATCACCAGAGATGAGAGAGCGAAGAAGACGTCTCTTAATCGAAAGACGAGGTTGGAAAATTATTACTTAGCAGATTTTTTCTCTAATATAAAAAGTTGTTTTTTTTTTATTTGTACAGAGGAAACGGAAAAATTCAATCGACAAAATTCAGGAAGAGGTCGAACAAGAGCGAGTAGTAGAAATACTGTTGTGTATATTGCTCCAAGACATAATGCAGTCCAAGAAGTAATTGAAATAAGGCCAAGACCATCTAGAACACAAGTATGATGACACAGTCAATTAATTACACTGTAACAATTTTTTTAAAAACTTATTGGACAAAGAAACATTTTAATCAAGAATAAATCGTTTGGAAAAAAATCAAGATAAACTACGATTCGTATTGACATAATAATATATAATAATATATTTTAATTGTTTTTACATTAAAAAAAAAAAAGCATGCCATTTCTCATTCAGAAAAAATCTAATTTGAATAAATCTAAAAAATTGAAAATGCATGAAACTTTTATTGCAACTTGATATATTTTTTTTAAAAAAAATGTTTGAAGTAGATTACTATTACATAAAAAAAACACTTTTAATGAAAATTAACTTTTAATTTGTTTTCTACAGTTTATCGATTTGACGCAAACGCCAAGACCTCGATTTGCTGTGCGGAGGGGAAGGGCTCGAGACGGACGCAATTAGTTACTGCTCTTGATCTATTTAATGGACTGGGTTATAAACTTCTTATTATCTTAAAAATAAACAGTTCCCTGTTTTTAAAACGTAATCGACCTACAAAGCGATAAAGTACTTACCCTATTCACTTGTAAACTTCTCAACTGCTAATGAGATATAGAAAATTCTAAGAGTACTGTGTAAAATAAAATTTTACAAACTTATCGTTGAAGCATCTTTCAATGAACTTTCATGCTAAGACAATGATTTAAAGTATCTCTTTTAGAAGAAGATAATTTTTATTCTGGTACAATGTCACCTTAAACCTCTTTTTCTTACCAGAAAATATCTTTCAAAAGTATTAATAAAATGTTGAATTTGAAATTAAGCAATACCATCGCTAACATAATTAGATATGATTATCCTAATAAGTAAGTATATATTAATGTTAATATTGCCTTTAAGTGAGAACGGAATTCCTGATCAAATAAAAGTAATTAAAGGTTTGGTCGCTATATAATTTATTTTTGGCTTTGTTCCTGTTGTAGACCAATTTTTTAAAAAGTTTAACAATCTTAGATATCGGTTAACGTATGATAAAAAAAAAACTCATCAAGATATAAAGAAAATTGATTGCAACCCACGCGGATGATCGACGGAAAAGCTACGGATACTACTATTATTCTCTTTTTGGAGACATCTACAAGAAACATATATAAATACTGCGCATGTACACTCTATGTTCTGACTTTTCGTATCCAACTACTTTAGCATCTATTAAGCATACTTTAGATTAGAGATTCAGAAGAGAGCAACATGTTGTCTTGTGGTAAAGCTTTATTCTTGGCCTTTCTCGTCGCTCCACTTTTGAACGCCCTTCCACATAAGCAAAACAAAGAAATAAAGAGCGAACGTAATCTTTTACTAAAACTACAACAGCTAATTTTAATAAAACCGGCTCTGGATTTTTTTGCAATCTGCGGCAAATTGAATATGGACTCTAAACTTTGTAATAAAATTATCCATATTCTCAAACAATTGGAAAGGAACAAGATCCGAAACGTCAGGACTACGTGACTGTCTACCGTTTTAAAATTCGACTGTAGTGTTTTGAAGTGTTAAGTATCTGTATTTCCCTGCAGCACGTGCCGTAACAATTAGCTATTTTGTCAATATCATGATATAGAATACAAGCAAAAATTGAAAATGAACCAGCTGTGTATATTCTAAATATTAAATTTAACACGGATAAACTACGTTTTTACTTTGAATCTCTTCACCACATTGAGGACAAACATCTATATTTTCAGCGCATTTACTACAATATATTAATTCTGAACATGGAAGGAAGATTGTGGTTCTATCATTCGTATGACATTTTTTACATTTTTTCTTCTCCTCTTCTAGTTGCACACTTTTTTCTAATTTTTCCTTTAAGTTGGCCATCTTCTTCTTTTTTCTATTTTTGCGCTTTTTGTTTCTCCTACGTTTCAATGTGCTTTCATTCTTTCCTTTACTAGTAGACTCAACGCAATGATTAAGATTTTCCTGTTCAATTACAATTTCCTTTTTGTCATTTTCATCCACTCTTTCATTTTGTTCTGTAGTTGAATCTACGCCATTTTCATTGATTTTTTCTTCCATAATTTCTACTTTAGTTTCGAATTTTTCTATTTTGTTGGCGTTTTCAATGAATTCCCTTCCTTTCTCTTTCAACAAAAATTCACAATCAAATCCCGATAATTTAGCATGAAGTTTCCATACGTCGCCAATTATGTAGTCAATATTGACACTTTTAAAACACCAGAAACATATTACTGACTGATTTGGCCCTGAAGAAGATACATGTATTTATATATTGTTGCTGTACGAATGGTTATGAAAAAGACTCACGTTTGACTAAGAATCCTGCTTTAGATAAATCTAACGGTTTGATAAGAGCTGAATCTGGCCAGTTATTATAAAATGTTTTCAATCTATCTTCCAAATTATCCTTATTAGTTGTTAGTAATTGAGGAGAATCTTTCAGCCCTATATCTAGAAATTCCTCAGAAAGAAATTCTAATACTTGCTTATCATTCTCAGAATGTTTCACTGTAACCAGAACTGATTCTTCACTGTTAGATGAACAATTGGAAAACCGTCTCTCTCGCTCAATCATATGATCTTGATTCGGATTACAATTGTTGTCAGGATTGTCTGCATCAGACTGAACATTCTCCAAATTGCCTATAGCGGTTGTATGACATAAAATTTTCGCACATTTTATGACTTACTAATTCACCTGTCCCCAGATGTTCAACCAGAAATGGTCGTACTGGAATAGCGATAATTTCTACATTACTGGTTACGGTCATGATTGTCCGAAGTTTCTCAACTAAAAGCCCAGCTGGCATTGAATTCTAATATCCACTCATTTCGAAAGTAGAAAATACAGTGACTCATAGATTAAAATGAATTTTCGCTGGTTACTAGCTACGTTTTAAACAGAAAAAAACTTTTGCAGCATGCTGTGTATTTTCTAATTGGTAAAACGAAATATTTTAGGAAAAAGAAGAACTCAAACGAGAGGTGAAACATTTGTTTTACTACTAAATACATCAAAGCACAAATATGTATATTTTATTTTCCTCTAAAAATTTTTTAGCTATTCATCCTTATTCCAATCTTTCCATTCCCATTTGAGGACAAGACCAGATTGTTGTGGAATTCCAGCTAATTTTAGATCTACTTCGTCTCCAACTTTCTTCTCGCTGTTTTCCGTTGCAATTACAACAGTTGCCTTATCAGGTAATTGTTTGTTCTCTTGCTTAAGATTTATTGTTGCACGATGTTTAGGATCAATGTTGATAATAACCACATATCCAGCGAAGCCAGTTGCTTGTCTAATAAAGACAATTACTTTATGATTTTCTGTTGCCTCTAATGTTATGGGACCCCATTGGAATGATGGTTCCTTTCTTATGTTTGCTAATTCCTGAAAGAATTTTAAAGGTGCTTTCTTCGCGGCCAATTGACAAGCCACACATTTTATCGAAATAGAGGCAGGTTCAATCTCTAACCATGGTTTTCCTTTCGTGAAACCACCATTAACTGTATCTTCCCACATCATTGGTGCTCTAAACTTATCTCTCTTCATATATTTATCTTTCTCATTAGCTATGTTTGAATTCGTCATAGCCAGTTCATTTCCATAATAGACAATGCTGGTGCCTTTGAGCAATAAGCTTAGCACACTGCGGAGCTGCCAGATTGCAACATCATTCCCAAATCTGGAAGTATCTTCATTTCCTACATTCCAAGTTGGCCATCGCGAGTCAGTTTGATTTAAAGTTTTCTCGATTTTTTCAAATAGATCTGCTTTAGAAGATGGCTGAGATTCTTGATATTCTAAGTTCAACGAATCAACCAAATTGACACCGCTCTCAAACAACTTGTTAACTTGTTCGTCAGAAGTTTCGACTTTTCCCAAATCAGCAATAAGAACTTTATCATCGTAAGTATTTAAAATTTTACTAATTTTCTTAAGAAATGTATAAGTTCCTTCAGTCAAGATGCGATTCTCTTCTGTAATAGTTGCGTTACCCTCTACTAAATAAGCTGAGTGTGGTATACGGATTCCGTCAATACCAAGATCCAACCATTTCTTCAATGAAGTCTAAACAAACATACACAAATAACATTAATTACACATAATAATATATTAGAATGGAATAATATTTTCGTACCTCCACATATGAGAATACATCCTTATCCTCTAAAGCGAGATCAAGATGATCGGCACTTAAAGTACTATAATAGTAAGTATTATCTATTTTATTCCAGCTGTCCTTTTTGTATAATGATTCTAGGTTGCTTGGCTGGCTCGACCTCGAAACAAACTTGCTGGCTTCAGTCCATCGACCGCTGTCCTTATCGATATTATTCACGACGAAATCTAACACAACTTTGATGTTTTTTCCGTGAGCTTTCTTAATGAGAGATTTAAAATCCTCTGTTTTTCCAAATACCTCTTCATTTAGACTGTCAAGAGCCGTAACGTCAAAGCCAAGATCGTTGTATTTAGATTTGAAGATAGGTGTTAGAATAATTGCGTCAGAATGTACTTCATCGTGGATGTATGGGATCTTTGATTCCAAACCTTTACAAATAATTAATGAAAAGATGAGAAAATATTAATTAAAGAAGAAAGAGATTTTTCTGATAAATAATTATAAATAGCAGGCGGGTTGTGACAGCTTTTGTAAAAAGGCCGAAAAGCTGTCACTATGTACAATCTGATGAAACTTTTTTTCAATTTTAAACCTCATTGTGTTTGGCATAATTAAAAAAATGAAATTTAAATTGAAATCTTTCGCTTAGGCCTTTTTTTTTTACAAATTTTTTTGCACTTAGCTATAGGATTACGATAAAGTACAATAGAATACAATACAAGGGCAATCCTCATTGTGACAAGTAATATTACACTCGCTAACCTTTGAAATCTCCATTTCCATCGCCATTACTATCTAGAAAAGTTCTTGGGCAAACTCTGTAAAATAAACTCTTTTGCCACCATTTAAGTTTGGGTCGTTCTGGGCATTTTGGTGCCACGACAATAATGAGAATGGCAGCCAAGAGCATAGCAATCCAGGCAGCCCAAAATGCTATGAAAAGAATTAGCCTAACTTTCCTCCAGAAGGGATCATTAGCAAAATGTTGAAGTTCCTCTTTCGACAAGCCACAAAAGTCTGCTTGTTTCTCATTGGGATCTGTGATCTTGACAGTTTCCCCGCCATTGACGGCTGATTTCTCATGATCTACAGTTGCTTCATTCGATGCCTCTGCACTCTTCAGAGCAATCTTCTCCTCACTCTTGTAACATCCCTTCTCAGCGTCTTTTTGATCTGACATTTTCGAATAGAAGAACTTTCAAGAATGCCGTTCGGAAACTCGCTTTTCTGATGCAAGAGAAGATAATGCGGTCACGTGACGGCCACGTGCTACAAAAAGTGTAGGAGGAAAAGGCGTTGGGGTACTTGTCTTTCGTAAAACAAAATTGCTAAGATTCTCCTTGAAAATATTTTCTAAATAAATAAATGATTTTAAAGAGAGTCTTGATGTAGATAAGGTAAAATATAAATTGATGTTGAAGTCCATTTACTGCGATACACTATTTCCGGTTGAATCACGTGATCGACCGCATGTTGAACGTACCAATAACGTCGAGAAAACGATTTAATATCGTTCCGAGCTTTCCTAATGGAAGCACCCAGCTTACAGGTAACGAACGTTTCTATGGAGTTAAACTTATTTGAAAATTGCGATATTCTTAAAGGGATTTTAACTGAAAATTCGAATTTAACCCACTTTCAGACTAAAGAGTTGTGCCGGCATTGCGGTTCTGAAGTCGTAGAATTTAAAAATCATCGTTTTAAGGACGAATCACTATTCAAGTTATGTTCTTCACCAATATGCGTTGCTGATGCATTTGATGACAGTTGGGCGGGTAATTTGCCATACGGAAACGATCAGCCAATTTTGGTACCTTTACCGATAAAACCATCTGTACCGTCTCAAAACAATGACTATCAAGATATTCTAGACGAGATGAATGGGTGTGTCACAGTTCCTCACCAAACAGAAAATACTTCAGACCTTTTACCGGTTGAGTCCAACTTTGTTCCAATAAAAACTACTGAAAATTGTAAACTAAGTGAAGATTCTTCAGGAATAGATGTTCAATCTTGCTCTTCTTCTAATTCTGATAATAAAATGAAGATGTCTAGTCAAAATGTATTTTTGAAGTTAAAAAATGAATTACCGGACAAATCTCAACTTGAAAAGAGATTCAAAGACGTGCAAAAATGGCCTCATTGGAAAAATGAACATAATCTGTGCTGGTTAGACGTTTTACTCACAATTTTCGTCCATAATTCAGTTTTAAGAAGGCTTCTAAGGATGGAGGAGAATCATAGGACCACTTTACACCAATTAATAGCTACTTACGATGATATGATACTGCTATTGAATCCGCATTTAAGAAGAGTTTCGCCCGAAAGTGATATTGAGGGAAGATATGAATTAGATAGTTCTTCGGTTGAGGATGTAGTGGAACAACATATGAATAATATTCGTTTCACAGTTCTTGACTCCTTAATACCTGATTTACGAAATTATAAAATTGGTAATGCTGAAAGTCCAGTGAATGCCTTAAAACTACTCATGAAAAATTCTGCTAATATACGGCAATTTCTACAAGTTGAATTCACAAACACAACTGTATGTCAAACATGTGGAGCGTCCGATACAACAAATTTAGTTAGAGACTTTGTCACAATACCATCTCCAACTAAAAACCTAAGCTTTAGAGCACCTACCTACCTTCGAAAGTGTCCTAATATCAAATGCAAAAACTTGGAAGCCCATAGCACTATAAAATGGAAAAATTTACCTCCCTGCTTTGCGTTTCTATTTCCAAACGGCTATAATCCTGAAAAATCAAGAATTGGCAATATATTGCAGTACCTAAATTTTGAATTTGAGCAGAAAATGTACAAGTTGAGAGCTGTTATTCAACTTGTTGAGAAGAAATTTAAAGGAGCAGTCAATCATTTTATAACTTGGATCAGGGATTACGAATGTAAGTATAATCTTGATTTTTTCGACTAGTAGTTTTTCCTAAATATTAGTCTATCTAAGTAACATGACGTCATAATGCAGAATATGCAAATACATGTGTAGGTAAAAATGTTTTAATGAACGAGTATTGAAAACTAAGGTATGAGATTGTGTTTTATGACTAATTTGAGAACGTCACTGAGATCAAAGAATGTTATAATAGGCTTGTTTTTCGCTGTTCTTTCAGCAAGGACGATTTAAAGGCTGACGGAGACAGATATCTGTCCTGCAGTCCTCAGCCTGAAGACGAATTCTGTTTAGAACGGTACGTTGTGATTGTTTTGCAAAAAGTGATAGTTCAATTCAAAATTCCTAAAATGCCTTTTTTTTAAATCTGTCTACTAAATGGAATATGAGGAAATTTGAATCGGACCTGATAAAAAGTAACATTAAGAATTAAGCAACGATACCCTTTTTTCTCGCTGGTATCTGGGAAGAAAGAATTTACCAAACTTGGGGATTTCGATATAGTTGTACTCTCTTCTGAAATAACCTTTTTTGTTCTTCAGGTGGCCACTGGATGCGATGCGATGATTTATCGAATGCTGAACTACGTTTCCAGAAAAATACACCTCTGATCTATTCCACTGAAATTTCCATGCTATTTTTTGAAATTTCCGATGAAGATCCTGTAAACCTTAAACCTAGAGTGACCACACCAGTACGTACCAAACAAGCTCATGCAGCTATTCCGAATCCTATTCAGCACAACTCTAATGGAAAATCAAAATTTGACTTCAGTTCTCTAAGTAGTTTTCCATCATATCAGAGAAAAATATCGCATTCATCACTTTCATCCCCCGTTTCTGAACCTTCGGGAAGACGAAGGAAGCGAACGAGGGATAGCCTTAGTGTAACAAATGGGGTGACAGTGAATCTTATTCCTATATGTAAAAAGCCCAAAAAGTCGGTTAAAGAGACTCTAATTCCCGTAAGCGAAAACACTACGTCAAAAGTTGAACAGGTGCCATCCGAAATTAAGGAAGATGCAAGTGTCAATGCAGTGGATGAATCAGAATGTAAGAAAACAGAAGACAATGGAATGAGCGAACATGATATTACAAGAATAATTGATCCTTTGCTCCCAAACAACTTGAGTACTGATTATGATTTAATGAGAGCATTGAATGACGATATTCTATCGGGATTTCTAACTGAAACTTAATTTCGTTTATTGCAGTATTTATTTTTGTTACTGAAAGCTTTAAGATTTCTATTGAATAAAATGGTTTTTAAAACTATCGTATATATTGTATTATTTTTATACTGCTGAATATATAAAAATTTGCCGTCTTTTTTCAACTTTTCTGCCCGCTGCCTCCTTTCCCGGATAATGAATTCATCACTGCCAACAGTCGAAGCGTCTTTCCACAATCATATCGTCCTAGAAAAATATAGTAAGCGTTAACTCGCTGAGATAAGCATTAGCCCTTTTTGTCTGTACATTTACATATCAAGTTTCCTCTCTGAAAAACAAAAAAATCTCCAAAAAATAACTGGAGCGTTGTTTAGTCAAAAGTTAGACGCAGCTCGTCGAGTAGCCCGACTCTAGTGTGAGTAGCTATTCTTGAGGGTCTTTAAATCTGTATTAAATATTTAATACGATTGTTTTTTTTTTGCAGAGCTTATATATCACGTAATTTTATGGATACCGTAGTCGCTGTTGGATTTCTCTTCTATTCCTTTTTAATACAATCAGAAGCCGCTTGTAAGTTCTATAAGTGTTAGGAGGAAGGATGAATTTATTCCTGCTTGCATATTCGCAACTTTCTTATATAAAATTTTATATTAGATGTTAGCTCATCGTGTAAAAAACCATATTTCCCGTGCAAGAACTCAACTTCCGGTTCAAAGGTATGAAAAGTTAATTAAAATAGAAAAATGCAAATATTAGGAAATACTTTATGTACTGTATATGATTTTACATTCCTCAATGATCAATCAAGTACTGTCTTCACCAATTTTTCTGGTGCGATGGAAAAACTCACTGCATTGATAATGCTGATGAAAAACGAGATCTGTGTGAAAGTAAGTTTACTATAATATGTTTTTTATTTGTATTTTTTATTATTTTTGTTTTTTTTTATACAAATCACTAAGATATCTTACTTTTCGACGTACAGATGTTTATAGTTCGAAATCTCGAGCTCTGTCTAAAAATGTTAATTTCAAACTAGCCGCAAATTTCAACAATCGAAGAAATCTTTTTAGTTTCTTTCACAGTTGCAGTAAGTTGAAAAAATGTTTCTTTTTTTTCATCTTCTCTTTAATCTTTTAAAAATGTACGACGAATAGAATTGAAGGTTTTACCTTCAAAGGGTCTTTGCAATTGTTATAGTAAGACGAAAATGATATGCGATGGAATGAATACTACTCTAGTTGGCGATGAATTCGATAGAGATACAACAAAAATGTAAACGAAATCATATATAATAATAATTTCCCAAGAATAAATCAATGCTACTTTGTTTTTAAGTGTTATTCAAAATCCGAATATAGAGCATTTGGATTTTAATTGGTGTCGGTTAAATATCTCCTATAAGAGCTTAACAGTTTTGTAAGTATGTTTTTTTTTAACGTTTCTTCCTATAAAACCAATCATTTTTTTGAGTAGATCTTTGAAGAATGTCAATCGATTAACCTTCAAGGAGTATTGTTTGTACAGGACGCTTCCAAATCTTAAATCAATGTAGGAATATTTATAATTAAATGTGTGTAATAGGATCCTTATAAATATTGATTACATCGAAATCAGATTCATTAAGAACAGCGGATTTATGAGTATACGAAATGGAACCTTTAGAAATCTCTACCACTTAATCAGGATGTAAGTAGGCAATTTTGAAGGGTTAATCAAACGACCGTCTCTTCCGTTTCAAACAGATTTGCGAATGATAATAAGATATCGCTTTTGGACAAAGACGCTTTTTCCAACCTAATAAATCTTACTTGGATGTAGGAATTATAAAACAAAAAATCTCTTAAACGTTCTATTCTATTTTTAACTATTTAACATCTTTATTCATTTTGTTTAGACAAATGAATGGAAACGAACTAATCCTAAGCGAACCTTTCCCAGAAAGTTTGTCATTAACAACGCTGTAAGAGAGTATCAATTCGTAATTCAACAATTGCATTTTCCCGCGTTATTATTTATAGATTTCTTCGAAACAATAGAATTACTAGGATATCATCAACTACTTTTGCAAAAGTTCCCTCATTAACTTGGCTGTAAGTAAACTGTTGGTTAATAAATCAATGGAAGTAGTACAATCTATATCTTCGCCTTATATCATTCTATTTAGTGACTTAAATGGTAATCTTATTAAGACAATAGAGAGAAGTTCTTTCGTTAATTTAAGACGGATTGAAATTATGTAAGTATACTTATATATAAAATTTATTACAAGAGGAAGGAAGGAAGCAAGCAAGGGAGAGAGAGACAGGAAGAATAAGATGATGAATGAGAGGAAGAAGAAAAAAAATGACTACTATTTTTTTCTTATCTTCTTTTCAGTGACTTATCAAAGAATTGTCTGAGAAAATTAAAATCGGAATATTTTATCGGCAAAAACCAAACAAGTATCGTCACTCAATTTTCCATTGCGCACAATCCTTTAACACTGAGAAGAGGAGACGATTTCCTTAAAGGAATGAAACGATTAGAGACGCTGTAAGTCATTTGACATATATGATTTACGTAGCTGCTTTTATCATTTTCATTCTTTGACATTTGTCCATTTTAGTAATCTCTCAGGAGTTGAGATAAACAGCATTAATCTCAGCGAAAACAAACGTTTAAGACACGTCTATTTCAAAAAGTTTTCCTACTGTCAGTTTGCCCCTGAAGTTCAAGTTTGTCAGCCGAAAACCGACGGTCTATCGAGTGACAAGCAGTTAATTGATAATTTGAATCTACGTTATTTCGTATGGGTTATATCGATTCTGACAGTAATAAGTAACCTATTCGTCATGGCTTACAGAGTTGGCAGAGAGGATAGAAATTTTCATTCCATCTTTATATTTAATCTAAGTGGTAGATATTGTTGCTAGGCGTCTGCCTGAAAAAATTCAATTCTGATTTCTAATGATCACATACAGCTGCCGATCTGATGGTTGGCTTGTATCTTTTAATGATAGCATCAAGAGATGTCATGTATAGAGATAAGTTTATTCATAGTATGCATCAGTGGGTTTACAGCAACTGGTGCCAAATTACGGGTTTCATAGCTATGGTATAAATTAAATAAATTTATAAAAAAAATAATCAATAAAAAGCATCTTTAACGCAATTTTTAAGCTGGGAAGCGAATCTTCTGTCATAATTTTGGCATTTATGTCCATTGAGAGATTTCTTACGATCTCTTACCCTTATAAGAAGTTCGTACGGACAAAGATGCGAGCTCTTTTGTGCATGACTGTAATCTGGGTTATAGGAATAATTCTTTCAGCTATTCCCCTTTTTGTGTATGGTCGTTATTTCTACGGACAAAATGCGGTAATTATAGTATTTTACGTACTTATCCAACATAAATAGACTCGTACTGAATGATTATAGACACTATGCATAAATATCTTCTCTAAGACAAGTAAAAAGACTACCTCCCGCCGTTTTTATACTTTTTATTTCCAGGTTTGTCTTCCTTTGCATATTCATGATACGTTTATGACTGGATGGGAGTTTTCGGCCCTTGTTTTCATTGGAATAAATTTTGTAGCGTTCATGCTTATCGCTTCAACCTACTCAGCCATGTTTATCAATATTAGAAATACTAGAAAAGCTTCGGCCCAACCAAACTCGGAAAAAAGTTTTGCAATTCGATTTTTCTTTATTGTTCTTACTGATGCTTGCTGCTGGATCCCTATTATCGTTCTGAAAATTCTTGCTTTCTGCGATATCTTGATTGATCGTTGGTATTTGTGAGTTTAGTAATTTTACAAAAGCTGAGCTTTTCTTTTACATTTAGAGAGAGTTTATGGGTGGTTATCTATCTTAGTTCTTCCGATTAACAGTCTTATAAACCCACTGCTGTATAGTTTATCAACACCTGTATTTATTCGGCGGGCTGGAGATGTATCAAGATATCATTGGAGAAGAATTGTTCCTAAATCGCTCTCTCGTGAGTCGTTCAGAAATGAATTTGTGTTTATTAAATTGACAAATGAAATATCTCCTTATATCAGTTTCCCAGCCACGGCGTTCGTCTGCTAAGACTTCTGCAATTACAGGAGCGCTTTCGTTAGAGAATAGGAAGAAATCGACAATAATACATTGTTCAAAACTCAATCAAACATCGAAGGGAAATGGAGATTGCAGGGAAGATGCTTCAGATTGTGTTTAGTCATTAATTAACTATTAAAATATTAATTATAAATAAGTTATCAACCCCTTTAACCCGGAAACAATTTTCCATTTTTCTCTTATTCATTACTATTGTTCTTCCCCTTCTTTTGTTATCGCGTTTACGTAATAATCTTCAATAGTTTATCCCGGTATCGCCATTAAATGTTCAGTTCAATCGGGATAGGCCTAATATTTATTGTTCTAACTGTGCTCATTAAGCGTTTGACAATCGCGTTTAACCAAACGACGTCAACGGATATCAACGTTCGGTAGGCCGTTTATAGTTTAGTGGTGACATAAATGGGACACCAAATCGAAAGAGTACCTTAGTTTTAATATGTCTTTCGACGACTTCTCATCATCTTACGAGCCTTCGATCCCATGGTTATGGATCAATTCCGGATTGTCCAACGATGTTATAATGGAGCAGCTAATTCCTGATATACAATTACCTTGGGTACCACCACCGGTTATACCATGTCCAACTGGCCCAAAGAGTTCTTGTTCTCAAGCAGCAGAATACGAAATTAAAAAAGAGCCGAGTAACCAATTGAAAAATGCCTTATCTGATTTACAAAAAGCGGAGAGAGAATGTGAAATATTAGAACAAGAGTTTGAAACTGTTAAATCAAAGATAAAGAGAAGGAAGCCGGGACCAAGAGCTGGTGCGCGTAATATGATGTATAAAAAACCGGAAACATATGTTCAAATTGTCTCAAAAGCCATTCTCTCGAAACCTGAACGAAGAGCGTCATTAGCAGATATATACGAATATGTAGAATCAACAAAGTCATCAGTAACAGAAATTCCTTGTTCATCGTGGAAAAATACTGTTAGACACACACTAAGTACTCATGAATTTTTCATAAGAGTTTCAAAAGCAGAGAACGGCCTTGGTTACGTATGGTCAATTCATCCAGATTGTGTACAAATGTTTGAAAGCGGAAACTTTGAAGTCCGACAGGCCAGAGTAACAGCTAAAATGAATCCTGTAAAGCAGTATTGTTGTTCGCGAAAACATAAGACTACAAATGTTTAAAATTATTTATTTACCGTTTAATTTTAAATGTACATGTTTTTTTTTTCAATGGTCGTTAATTTCAATACAAATGAGACCCGCCAAAACTAATTGAGAATTTCCGGTTTTAGACTGGCAACCTAATCCGCTGCATTAAAAATCATTCATTAGGTCAGCTGGACAGTTAATCGGGTATATTTTTTGAATGTAGATGTGCCTTAACAACTTTCACAAAGTTGCCGAAATAAGCTTTCTTTGGATAACTATCTGTTTATAAGTATAACTCAAACAAATACGGATATGAATACGAGATCTAGAATGATAAAAATGGAATGTGAAAGTTCATTTGAAGATTTGGGACTTTCAAATAACAAATATGACTCTCAAATTATCGCTCTCATTAATTATTTACAAAAAAAGAAATGTTTTGAATTCAAAGAAATACCTATTTTGAGAACAAATGGAAAAGCAAAACCACTTGATCAATTACTTATGATAATTCTACAAAGTAAGGAAATTTGGAAACATGTAACACAATTTTCAACCGGTTCCCTTCTCTTTGAGCTATTTCTCTCATTCTATAAGGAAGTTGTTAGGGCCAATCCAAATTGTCTGAAATTTGGAAGTATTTTTGACCACCAGAGCAGAACATTCTTTCTTTTAAAAGAATCCAAATTTATTGAAGAAATGGTTGAGCTAAAGCAGAGTATAACATCCATATTAGAGTCTGAGAACCTTGCAAAGCGGCTCACAAACTGTGACGATTTCGTTATAGTGTTGAATAAACTATTGGGAGACGCCTGTGACCCAGTAACTTATTTTACGCAAACCGACTGCGTAAGATGCGGAAGTTATCGGAAACATCACGAATGCAAAGAAAACATGGATTCTGTATCCATTTCGGGAGTCGTAAAAAATTTAGACATGTGTTTGCCTGTCTATTATGACAATTGCACAAAATGTAATTACTCGGATACCCCGCACTATATAGTATGGCATGAAATTCCTCAGTTTTTAATGGTTTCCTTCAAAGTTCCATACTCTTTTGAAAGTCATATGAGATTGGATGAAGTGGAGAAGAGTTTGAATTTTGAATTCAATTCAAAATCCTACGTACTCCATAGTATTACTTACAAACGGGATAGAGAGGTTGTCGGCAGTTGGATTAAAAGTTTTGACAGTTGTTTTGCATACTTTTTCCTTAATACTTTAATTACATTAAATCTTTTAAATTCCTTTCAGGTGGACTTTGGTTGGAGACGAAACGATTTCGTTACTCGGGCAAATTGTCAAAATGTAATAATGAAAAGATAAGTTTGAAAAATATAAAGTTAATTGTTTTCCAACGAAGTTATAAAGTGATGAAAAATAGTATATCCAATAGACCAGCTTGTTCAAAGCACGAAAGAAAGAATCAAAAGATACTGGAAAAGAAAAAATTCACTGCTATTTACACAGAGGAAATATATAATTTTCTTCGTTTACGAGAAAGTAAGAAAGCGGATCTTGAAGAAATCTATAATCACTTAAAAACTGCAATTTCACGAGGAAGATTGAGGAAAAGAACAGCCTTATCGGTTATGCTTGAGTCGAATAAGTTTTGGAAATTGGAAACGGGTTATTGGACTATTAAAACGGAATTCCTTCAAAGGTTCTCGTCAACATTTCGCACAAGCGATGTTAAAATAGAGAAATCGGAAGAGCCTGTGGTAAGATTCTCGAATAAATGATAATAACAAATAAAATTAAAAGTAAGCAATGATCCTATAGGATTGTGATAGGAAAAACTGGGCACTGGAAGGAGAAAGCGACCAGGATGAAGCAACTCACGTTAATGATTTAGAAGAGCAAGGGCATTTTGAGAAATACGTGGAAATTATTCTAAAAAGCATATTAAGAAATGAAAATCGCTTTACAACGACAAGAGAAATCTTTTGCAATTTAAATTCTTATTATGGAAATGTACCGCCGTACGGATGCAGACCCCTTGTCCTTCAAATTTTAAAAAAATCAAAATGTTTCGTGTGCAAGAAATTTGGTCATTGGAATTTAACGAAGAGTTCTTACAGAGCCGTCAAATCCGGAATATTTGACCTTAGAACATTAGAAATTTTACTTAACAGTTAGCAGTTAGCTAATTTATATATATTTATATTTATATCTATATATATAAGATACTAGTGACATCTGTCTACTTGAGTTTAAAATACATTACATAAGTTTTCACCTTTAGGTCGTACTGTAGACTGTTTAGAAGCAAATGCTGCATTTTTTTTAAAGTTGATTTCTAAGAGCTTAGGGAGAAACTTCAGATTTTGAAACCCTGGGAAAATCAGTATTAAGTTTACACTCTCTTTAAAACTGAATTAGAAAGTAAAGCGATTTTTTTTATATTGATCGAACCTATCTATTTTGTTTGTACTTTTTCCCTTTTGATTTAGGAAGACATGCTCTTTGGTTTTTTTTTACTAAGATAAATATCAACAAATGTTATATCGCTAATGAGAAAAAAAAAGTAGTATTTTTTTTTTTAAAAAGAAAGAAAGAAACAGAAAATAAAAAAAATGTAACAGTTTACTTTAATATACATTTTTTCGTCTGGAAAAAGTTCAATAAATTTGCATTCTTAATGGTAACGTTTACATACAGCTGCCGAGATATACATAATTTAAATATTTAAACTTTTTATATCGAAAAAGAAAAGGATAAATTAGCTCTTCCATATCCTATGCATACATTCATTAATAATATAGACTAGTCGGAAGATGAGAAAGATGATTTTCTCACGTTGACAAGGTACAAAAAAAAACAACTTTCTACGCAATTGAAACTTAGATTTTAAGGCGCCAGTTAAACTTTTTTATTTTTTTTATTAGGTCAACCGTATGTTATCAATAATATATGTGCTACTTTCGTAACACATAAAGTGCAAACTTAAGTCTTTGAATATATGCGTGCCAGTAAGTTAAAGTGTCCAATAAAGAAGTTTAAAGGTATAATTATCTCGGTCTTGAAAAGACTATTGATATACATTTTTTTCTTTCTCTCCAAGCTATCGCAATCGTTCAAAGGTTTAGCGAATATTTTAGTGCTTTCGGTGCTATTAATGTTATGATTTTATTGAACATTAATAAAAATAAGAATAAGAATACAGATTTGACAAATGAAAAGGCTTGTGGGTGGGAGATCACAGCGTGTGGGAGAAGTAAAGGATTAACAGCACTAAGAAACTAATACACGTTTCTATCTATTTAAAGGGTATACATACACTCTAAGTTATTGGCGAAATAATGTTTTCTGTAATTTGAAAGTTGAATACTAATTTACACTTTTCAACGAATCTTAAGGCGTATAACTTAGGCATGAATAAGCATAAAGTGGTTACGGAGGCGTTTAATAAGCAGCAGCTTGCCAATAATATCATTCTAAATCTATTGTCTTCAACTATAAAATAGGCTGGAACTAATACAATCCATACAAATAGTGTTGTACAAACTGAACCAAAAATTTGAGATGCTTCGTTAAAGTTTTCCGGTAGTTTTCTTGTTTGGAAAGCGAAAAAGCAACAAATTATAGAAATTAATATATTAAATACCAGGGGTGAAATAATGCTAGCCGCTGGTAAATTACAAATGATCTGTACGCGTTTTTCATGTGGATTTGGTTGATTTAAAGTTGATTTTATAGACCCAAACGAAATCATTATAGAAAGTATTGTCAACTGTAAAAATTGAAACAATTATAAAGTGAGAAATAGAAGAGAAAAATATTTAATATAATATCATAAAAATCTAATTAGAAGCCATACAAACTTGTAATAATATTATGATAAATGAAAATATTATCTGATGTTTATCTTGGATAAACCTAAGACCACGTTTACCGGTTGAACCTGCTTTGAAAATTCTTAAAAGTCTTATTACTTTACATAGAAATGGAGCGTAAATTATACTGTAGGATAAGTTGAAGGTTATGTAACCAATTAGGCATGTTGCATTAGTTGGTTTAGCTACAATAAAATATATTGTTAAAAATGTTGTTCCACTTCCAATTAGACTAATATTGCTTAATAGTATGGAACTTGCTTTAATTAACTTTTGGTCTCTTTTTAATCTATAAATAACACAAATACAAAATGTCAAGAAGAGGCCTGACGATGATACAATTAGAAGGAATATGCTTTCCGGTTCATGCCATTCCAGAAAAACAGGATCTATTGGGGAGCATATTAAAGATGTTTCTACATCTGGCCAAGTAAACTGTGGACATGGCTTACAGGATGAATTATTAATTATTATCTCATTATTTCTGCACTTCCGGCATTCCCAACAACAGGATATCTCTGTTTTCAATGTATAATACTTAAGTGGGCATGGTTTACTACATATTGACTCTGGTATAGTGTTATTTATCCATCTAATATTATGATTTAATTTCATAATATTTCTAGATCTAAGCCATTTACCGACTTTAATCTTTTTACCATCTCTTCCATACTGCATTATATCGTAATCTCCAATAACGTCACCGTTTCTATCGAAATTTAAATATCCAGTTAGCGTACTGTAATTACCTTTTCTAAGAGTGTTTAGCAGTCTTTCTCCGCTAACGCACTCTTTTAGTTCTCTACCCTTGGCCGATGGACAATAGACATCCCTAGCGGTCCGCATTGCCTCGGCTAATACAAACGTTGCATCATAAATTCCAGACGACCATAACCCTTCTAAAAATGATTTAGGACTAGCCGTAATGTTCCACGACTTTTGACATAATTCTTTGACAGAGCTAGTATTCCATTTACAATTGAATAAATCCGACCACAATTCATCTATCCAGACGTTATCTTTAGAATTGTCTGGATTCTGGGATATGATAACAGAAACGAAATTTGGTATATTGGCCAGTGGAAATACAGTATAAAAACTTCTATACGCCGCTGTACGTCTATGGTCTTGATTCAAACTCATTAAAGTATCCATACCAATAAATATCTTATTATCAAGACCAGGAAAGGCTGGCAGTTTAGAATAGAATATATTTACATCGTTCCAGGAGAGTAGTATAACAATAACGTTCCAAGTGGAAGTCATTGTCAACTTTCTCATAATACTTTGCCACGTTTCAAACGTTTGCTTCCCTGGTACCATTTCATCAATTGCCAAACAAATTCCTTTGGCTTCGGCGGCTTTTCTCAATTTTTTAGCTCCATTCTCCCCATAGGAACCCTCAGAGTAGATTAATGAAAAATAATTCCAGTTTAGAGCCGATATGAACTCAATCACAGCATTTGCCTGATACCGATCGGGACTGACAATCCTTGAAAAATAAGGAAATCGACTTTTATCGGATAATTCGTCGCTAGTTGCCATTCTCGATAGTTGTGGTATTCTATAGAGGCTCAGGAGAGGAGAAACCATCATTGACTTTGTGCTAGAATAGGGCCCGATAACGGCGTTTACGTGGAAAATTTCGGCTGGTAAAAAATATAAGCTCTCCCCCAACGCAGCCAGATTACTATCGCAATCGTCAAGGATGGTATAACCTAACTTTATTCCTTTAATAAAATTGTTATCATTGATCCTCTTAACAGCCAGTCTTACCGCGACCGTATCAAAATAGCTGTTGACCCTAATCCTGTTACTGCAATAGTTACCAATACCGTCTTCCTTCTCGTGAACAGAGATCAAATAACCAATATTTAAGTCACCCATGTTATATTCATATTTTGAATTTCTATTAAAAAATGGATCAAAACATTGGAACGTATTTAATTCGATGATAAAAATGCACAAAAACAAAGAATATCTTTTACGATACATCGAGATAAATGTGTCTTTATTACTTCGTCATGACTCAGTTAGTGAAGTGTGGCGACAAACTTTGTTTTTCTTCCCTTTTAACGAGCAGGGCGGCGCTTTTCCACATGTATCAAAATGTAAAGCGATAATATAAATTAACTATAAGGTTTTTATTTTCAATACATTGTTTGTGTCCTTTCTTCCGTTTCCAAGGTATCAACAGGCGTCTACATACAGAAAAAAACTAATTGTTCTTTTCTTTTATTCCATATACTGATGCTTGACGTCTATTTTCTCAATTGTTTGTAAAGTTTCTATCAGCAAAGTTAAAAGTACTCGGCATTGAAAGAGGCAATATAGAAGTTCAAGTAAAACAACTGTTTACCCTTTTAGTGGCCTTTACAATAAAATAAAAACATTTTAGATCTCAACTCGTTTATTAAAAGCTGAACTGCTGAGTTATTGCATAAAAAATAAAGTCTTATTCATTAAAGGATTAGGACAGTAGTTTATTTATCCTGTTGTAGTTGAGTAAAAAAGATGAGGAGGGGGAAAATGGAGTTTATTTTGCGATTTATATATCAAAGGAAAAAATAATTGAGACTTTGTTTGCGACAAAGTGTTTATTGAAGTAAAATGAGGATACAAACTAGAAAAGAATCTCCCCAGTATTGACATTGTAAATGTTTATGAAGTAAAAAGGTTGATTTAAACTAACTACCAAGAAATCTAAGACGTAACAAAATAATAAAAGGCCTAGTAACAGTTTATTGAGTACAAATAAAAAAATCTCAAGTGAGGAGAGAGAGAGAGAGAGAGAGAAGGAAAGACTATAAAAAACGACAATTCTTAGAATTTCCACAAGTTTACCAGAGATAATGTATTTTCAGTGAGATATTGCGTAAAAGATCATATAGGTTGTGCTTTTTAGTTCCTCTCTCTCTCTCCCACACTTTCTTTGAATTTGCTGATTGTAGTTTATATTTGTCACTATCTATATTAATTAATTATATAGAGACATTTATTTGCATAGTTTCTATATTTCTATTCACAGATGCATTCCAATACATTCTATTATTGTTCTACATTGATTAACTATCAAACAACAATTTCAGTTTTCAATTATCTAATATTTTCAATCTCTGAAATAGACTACCTCATCAATAAAGTACTTTTTTGATCATTAAAATGCTAATTTCGCTAACGAACGCCATCTAGTTGATTTTTAAACGTATGCATACGCGCTGGCAAATGCATCCAGATGTATATATATATATATATATAGCTAGATGTACAAATATATATTAGTAATATATATATATATATATACTATATGTATATCTAATATATAGCTACGCCGCGTGGACATGAAAAGACTAATGGTTGTCAGTTTTTTCTTAGGAGAATTCAATCAAAAGTTCGATGATCGAGAGAGACACGCAATAAATCAGAGTGAAGAATTCATTCTCTAGTTTCTTACTAAGTTTTTATTATTGGATATATACAATATATATGTATATATATATGCCATTCAAATGAACTATCAGGCTATTTATCCTCATTCTTACTTGTCATATAGGTTGTTAGCCTCTTGAGACTACTTTTTCATTGCGGATAGTTGCTTGACCCTTTGATATCTGTTTTACAATCAAAATTTGTAGGCCTAAGTTATCTAGGGTCAAGATTCTAAAAGAAAATATCATTTCATACAGATATTAAAAATTTTACCCTACTACTTTATCTTTTTCCTTTTTCTCTTTCTCACTCTAATTGACTCTCTTCTTTCTTATCTTTATCCACTTTTCTTAATCTTTATCTATTATAGATTTCAAATAGTTTTTTAACACATCAACCTTTAAAGTATCTATAACTCTCGTTTTGTTCTATGTCATAGGATAATATGTCTATTGTTCTTGTAAAAATTTACCTAATTTTTCAGACTTACAGACCATCTTTTATCAACTTTAAGTAGAGTCTGTATATCATTTTCTCTTCAAGTCACCTCCTTTTAGCCCTCAAGTCTCAATAGTATAACCTAGTAACATATGAGATTAATTAAATTTTCATCTTTTTCGTTCTTGTTTAGTCGGTTTTTATGTTAGAGAAAGAAGATAAAAAACTAAATGCTAGAGAGAGAAAGAGAGACAGTGAGTGAGTGAGAGAATGAGTGAGTGGGTTGGCGAGTGAGTGAGTGAGTGAGAGAGAGAGAGACAGAAAGAGAGAGAGAGAGAGAGAGAGAAACCAAGTTACTCTATCTATTTAGCCTCAAAGAAGATGATGCAATAAATCAGTCAGCTTAAAGTCATCTTTAATATGCTTTCATACTTTTTCTACTCATTCTTTCTTTAAAATATTTCAATTGCTTCTTGGCTTTGTTCACTTTCTGAATTCATTTAGATTTAAATATTTATAAAAGGAAAGATAACAATTCAACTTTTCCCTCAATTTTCAAAGATTCAAACTTTTTACTTTTTCTTTTCTCAAAGTTAGTGAAAAAATACATTAATATTCGTAATTCTGTGTTTTGGACTTCGTATTTCATTCATCTAGTAGGCCTTTAAAGAATATGAAACTTAATACTAAATTTTTGACCTCTTTTAGACATAATAATTTTTTTCAATTTCGGTTTAATGTTTCAGCTATAGTGAAGGTGAGATGTCTAATGTCTCGACTATATTTCAAGACCGTAACTAACTAGCTGCCAAGGTCTATAATCTTATATTTTTCTCTCGAGGTTACTGACCTCTATTGTCCCAATTTTTCAAAATGCTTTCTAAGCTTTAAAGAAACATTTTCGCATTTGTTTTTTGTTAAAATAGTTGCGTAATTGTAAAGTTACATAGCAAAATCTTATTTAAAAGAACTATAACGCCTTTGAATGAAGTTATGAATGAACAAAAAAAAAAAGATGAATGACAGTTCTTTTTATTTTTTTAAATGAAATTATGTCATATTTAATCTTATATATAGTAGTGATAATTATAAAATACAATAAGTTCCTATGCTAAGTTAAATAGTGCAAAGCACTTTTATAATCTAATTTTTTTTATAAATGTTATCCATAGAAGTGTCTTAATTTTCAACATTATTATGATTAATTGATCTGCTTTAAATGTCTGCGCAACATGATTTTTAATTGACCTTAAATCAACTTCATTTAAGTTTTATTACCGTCTTGACATTCCTTCTCTATGGAAATCACATATTTGTTTGTAATTTTAACTCTTTCGAATTTCTCATCAAAAACTTTTCCTCTCTGTTCTAATTTAAAGCCAAGAGATGTAGTCTTAGTTTATGGACAACCTCATTGTTTATAGAGACACGTCTAAACTTTTTACAAACAATTTTTTTTTCGGGCTAGAAATGTTTGGATTATAGGCTGTCAACAGTTCTATTTCTGGAAGTTTATAGCGGAAGTAGGATCTAGACGCGTCCAACAGACTATGATATATATAACAAAAAAAATAATCGGTTGTTTACCCGACCTACTTTTATTTCAATCCGGTTGTAATTTTGAACCGATTTGGTAGAGTTTCTGACAAACTTTACAAGTTTGTCATGCACTTAAAAAGGATATGAGCCAGATACAAAAAACGAAGAAAAAGGTAAGGAATGTTGTCAAAGGAGAGTATAAAAAATCAAAAAATTAGATATTTCTAACTTACATATAATCGCCAATTAAGATTAAAGAGATTTAGAAAAAAAAAGAGATTAAATCAAAAGATCTCTATATTGTTTAAAAATCATTTTTAAAACAACTCTTGAAAGATAAAAAGTTCAAAGGCTATGTTTAACTTAAAATAGAAGTGAACTGTAAGATATCTTATATAAACTCTTTAAAAACAATGAAAACAGATTGTGTAATCCACACGATGATTCTTTATTTTATAGTTAAAATTCATACAATAATAAAAATCTGTTAAATATAAAAATAATTGGTTTAACTGTCTAAGGTGTAGGCTGTAAAAAAATTATTAGGGAATACGATATACTAGAACAAAATTAAAATTTTTGGTCTTCCCTTTCTCTTTCCCTCTCTCTCTCTCTCTCTCTCTCTCCACTTTAACATATTAAGATGTTCAAGATAAAACGATTATGAAAAATAAAAACCAGGTCAATGCCTCTTATACTAGGACTAATATGCGGAAAATACTATATATCTTTTATCTAATTTAAATTATAAATCAGGTCTATATTACCTTTTTAGGACACTTTGTTATCAAGAGCTATACTCTGATAATTAAAAAAAACTTTATAACCAAGTAAATGACAATGATACGGAAATCCTTGCCTTGGTTTTTCCCCTTCTGTTTTTATAGACTACTAGTAGACTAGAGCTTACGTAAAACTTTCGATTTCACCTTATTGCAAAGGTTTTATTCGAATTATTCATTATGGTAAGAAGTATTCCTTTAAAAATGATATCATTAATAAGCCGTATATATGGTTAACCACCTTAACCATTTTCGTAAGCTTTCTGTTCTCTTATAATTGTATTAGATGAATGTTTATTCTAGTAGACAAATACTATTCATTAAATCAGCGGGATATCTTTACATATCGTCCAAGTAATTTCTGTTGTTTTTGTTCAACATCTTTGGGATTTCTATTTAAGGCCTAGCTCTTTTCTTAATGTAAATCTCAACGTATTAAATTTAAGTGGTGAAAAAAGCATATACAGTATATATGTACAATATGATTGAATGAATGAATGAATGAATGAATGAATGAATAAATAAATAATGAATGAATGAATAGTACAATAAAACAATTTTATTTGTGAAAAAATCTCAGTTATTCAATAAAAAAAATCATAAAGTAAAAAAATATCTTTTCTTTAGTTTGTCTTTTTTTTTTTTTAACTTTAATTTTTATTCTTTTTGAAATAATAATTAAAAAAGAAATATTACAATTTTCCCCTTTTTGAAGGTTTTTTTTTCTGGGCTTTTTTTTTTATTTTGACTAATGATGGAAAAATAAATTTTGCTTTTCCTTTCAAGTTGATCTGAGAACCAAAAACAGTTTACTTTTCGATACTATTAAGCCTAAACTTGAAATAATCAGTCTATTGAATACCTTTCTTTCTTTTTTTTCTTTCTTTTTTCTTTTTTTACAGTGGTAATAAACCAATAATTTATAGGTCATCGAACTATAACGATAAGAACAATTTTTTTTCATCAGATCCGATCACTACCCGCGTGTCTTTCATTCAAAAGCCAAACAACAAACAAACAATACTGTACAGCAAAAATATGTACACAACTGGGTTGCAGTAATACGAAAATATACGCATACAATATGTAAAGAAATACATATATTTTTGTTTACAGTCCGACGTGTATACGATATATAAATACGTATATACAAATTATAGATTGTATATAATGAAGACATTACTAAAGGAGAGAAAGAGAGGCCTATACACTTTATGGTTTTTTTGGTTTGCAGTCGGCAATAAATAGAAATAAATAGGGAAAATGTTTGAACACAAAAAAAAACAGTTCCAACACGCTTTTTTAAAGATAATTATGAAGGCAGTGTAAAAGAAAACAAACATCCCCATTTCTCCGCTAAAAGCAAACTCAGATAAGAGAAATAAATTGAGAGAAGAACTTTTAATTTGGAATGTTTGCAATAAAAAATTCAATCAGCTTTTTTGAACCAATTTATGAGTTTTTTAATCGAATTGTTTCCAATTCGTTCCGAAAGAGGCGATAAAATTATCTTCCTTGGCTTACACCGATAGCGACCCCTAGCACAGGTCAGTCTTGTTCCTTTCCGGCATTTCAACTTTCTATTTTTATTACACTTTTTTCTAGGTTTGCTGGGCGTCGGTGTCCATTTGCATTGATTATGTTTTGTCCCTCTTGTTCGTAACGTACCATTCCGTCTCACACACAAGAAGGCCTTACGCTTTTTTCTAAAGTGCCTCCTCTTCGCCCTCCGATAGGGATAAGAACAATGTTGAATATAAAACTTGCCTTCCTTGGGCCTTTCGACAAACTTGCAGTCGCTGGTCATATTTTTATAATCTCGAGTCTGAAGAAAACAAACGAAGAAAAGATATTAAAGATTTTTGAATTTTTTTTTAAACCATTTTTATATGCAAAACACAAGGAATTATCGGAATTAATCCTTTCGAAAAGTTACGTCTAAATAGAGCTTAAAATTCAATGCACATCCTACTCGCGTACGCTTGTAATAAAAGAGAAACCACGTATGTCTATGTCTTCGATTTAGGATCGTTCAAGAAGATTCAATTACGGTTAATATTATACTTGTATATCTGACAAGAGTACTTAACAACAGTTCTCTCTCTACTTCCTCTACTGTACCAGAATTTACTGTTAAAACGTCAAGTGTATAGTTATTTATAATCCTATATATATTATTTTTTATTTATTAATAAACCCGCCAAATATTTACTGATTTACAAGTTCATTCTTTTGCTCCGATCAAGATAGAGAGACACAGCGTCCATCTCATTCATTTTGGTCTCTCATCTTTCGTTTTTCATTTTGCGATTTGCCTTTTTTGTGTTTTTGGCTTCGTGTAAAGTTTACGAGAAGGAGAGAGAGAGAGAGAGAGAGAGAGAGAGAGAGAGAAAGAGAAAGTAGTAAATATTCTCTTTGTTTTCTTTTTGTTAAAATTATCACTGCGAAGTCAGTCGTGTATCGAATTTATATAAACATTTACGTAAACAAATGTTTCTCGCTTTTCTCTAATCTTACACTCTTAACACTTTTCTAGTTTTCAAGGGCGAAAATAACTTATTCATATTACATACTAAAAAAAGTCTGACGTCTGAATTTCATCAACTTCTCTCTGGTAAAAGATTTTCACCAGGGCGCGCTTAAAGAGACAGTATCTAATGCATCACAGTAACAGCGATAGATGGCGCCTTAACAAATGGATTATCAATCTTACCGTTTCTTTTATGTAGAAAGTATTATTCCTCCACATACACAACATTAACCATAGGCCGTTGTCTAATTCTCTATAATAACTAATCGGGATTTTTCCTCCGCATTCGGATGTTCCGCTATCATTTATGGCGTTCACCCTCTTCAATAAGGCTGTTTTTAAGATCAAAAACATTCACAATATCGATTAATCATTGTGCAAAATCTCTAATCTACTGTGACCTAAATAGTAGTACATACCGGTCGAGCTGTTTATCCCATTTTCGCAACTCTTTCTCGTAGGACCGACCTCTTTCAAGCGAAGAGAGCATTGATTTCTGTAGTTCACCATGAAAAAAGTACTTTCTGCACCTACACTACGCTTTCCAACGTCTTTCGTCAGAATAAAATTTTGTCTGGAACTTATACAGTCGAAAATGATTAGGGAGAGGAAAACTAGGAACGAGTTTAGAGGAATTTGTAGCATTTCCGTACATCGTATCTGTATGTTTTTAGAACGGTTTCCGAAAATTCTACATCCATATATCCATATAATAATCCAAAGAAAAAATAGGAAGAAATCCGTAGTTCCTTGCAATACAACGTCTGGATTTTAAAAGGAGAACTGGCAGAGAAAACTTCGTAAGCTCCGCCCAAATTGGCAACTGGTTCCTTATTGGCTAAACTGGTTTTCTTTAAGAGTCTATTCTGAAAATTGTAATAAATTTGTAATAATTGAATAGATTTTGAAATTATTTGGCTTGTGTGGCCAGCTGTTCAAAAGTGGTTATTACCGATACCAGCTTATCTCACCCACTAATACACATTAACTTGACTATATACAGTAAATATATATATATATATATATATATATATATATAAAGCCTAACTGACTGACATGATCAAACACGTCTGTGTCGGAAGGTACATTTAGGTTGACGTCAGCTAGTTGAGAAATGCTCAAAAAATTAGGAAATACAAGTTCAACATAAATTGTTATAGGCCTTTTGTTTATTTCATGCAGAAATAACCGTGCTAGACCAGAAAAAACCTAATGAGTCATTTTACGTTAAAAATAAACTGAACGTTTTAGAAATCTCAAATAGATTCAAGACAATTAGAAAAAAGGGCGGGGGAGGAGAAGAAGAAGTAAAAGAAGAAGAAGAAATAGAAGAAAGGGCTGTTATTTAGGATATAAGACATAAAAAACGAGTTTTTCCAGTTAGTCTTATAAAATGTTATATATATTGTATACATATAAAGATATAAATTTATATATATATATATTTATATATATATTGAAATTTTTATCTACTCATTAACACACTTTCTTTATCATGAACAAAATTAGAATTATCTCTAATCTTACGTCAATTTCATTCACAATGACTTCTCTTACAGATTGTATTTATACATTTTAGAGAAACGAGCAATAACGATTTCTCATCTTTATTTACTTCCCTTCCTTGTTTTCCAAATTAATTAATAAAGAAAATTATTCAAATTGTTTAAATATAGATCGTCCCTGTTTTTTTTATTTGTTAGTATAAAGAATATATTTATGACCCGAATTAACTTCATAAATTAAAGATAGATGTATTTAATACCTGTTTTTTTTTGTAGTTTGATGTTCTCTCTATACAGTTATGATAATATTTGAAGGAAATAAAGCGAAAATATGCTTAATTTGTAATCTTTGCTTGATAATTCAGGCGATTACGAAATATAGTTCTATATCACATGTGCTTTCCGGATTATAAGAGAAAATTCAACAAATCTTACTTTTAAATTTTACGCGCTAAGAATTCCAGCTGATGCGCATGCGCTGTAATCTAATGGCGACTAGACGAATTCTGCAATCTTTCTTCTGCAATACACGTTATTATTCCAATATCGTAGCTAAATCTAAGCTAAAAGCTCCTCTTTTATTAACTGGCATTGGCATAACCTACTTTTATGCGAATCATAAACGAACATGTCAAGCTGTTTATGCCCATGTAAGTTTGCTTTTTTCGGCCTTTTGTTTGGCTGTGTTTAATTAAAACGAGTCACTGTGAGTGATCAATCCACAAAAACCTAATTGATTATGACAGAAGTTACGGAAAAAATTAGCGAACCCTCGTAATTTTCGACTTTAGATGGTCGAGCGATAATAAGTGGATTTGACGTATAAATTATACAAAAGAATCCCTATTACGTAGATCAAAGAACGTTAGACGCTGTTAAATTAGATGAGGGTTACGTAACTGAACGAATTGGGAACTATTTCGAAGGCGATGACACTTCTAACCGCGTTTTTTCTTTTTTCTTTTCCAACAGGCTAACACCTCGCCTGCTCAAACTCATAGAGAATTGAGATTCTTATCATTTGCCTCTGTGGATTTTGACGGCAATGTTTATATGACACCGCAAGATTTTCTGGATAGCGTTACCAATGAAATACCTAAAGGTAACTTTTTCAAAACCCAAGATACAAAAACGCCACTAACATGCATTTCACAAGAGAGCGACCAACAATCAAAGACAATAACAATTATACAATTAATAAGTTATATTATTATTATTATTACTATAGAAAAATAGCACTGATTCAATTGTTGTAGGTCATAGGTCAATCTTTAAGGCACTCGATTTATCTATAGCTTCAGATTTGACAGTGTGATGACTTTTTGAACTATTTTTCCCTAACTATTTATCCATTATCTTTTAAAAAGAGCTTATACCGACATTTCAAAATAATAAATAAAAAAAAGAAGAAAAGATTGAGCAGAACGACCAGCTTAGGAGAATAATTGGAATTTTATTGTTTTAATATATGAACAAACAATAACTTGCTAAATTATCCAAAAAAATCTATTAAACTATTTGTTAAGGAGAAAACGCTAATGTTTTTTTTCTCTTTCTTTTTTTTTAATAGTTTATTTTACAATCAAGCTTTAAGGATAATTTTTAATTCTCTTGCTGTATAAAAACCGATATATCTCAGTTTTATTGACTAATAAAGAAGATAAGATTATTTATTTCTTTAAAGAGATATTTAAAATATTTATTACATAATAGAATAATTACTTACAGCATAGAAGTTTTGTCCTTCTAGGCCAACTTTCTTTGAGAAGTTGTCATAGAAAGGTTTTCAATATGATGTATCACACGAAATAACTTCTCTATCAACATATTTGTTCTTATATATTATTAAAAACACCGCAATAATTATTAATTTTCGCTGACAATGCAAACTCATAGCCTATAAGTTACAGATTATTAGCTTATTACCTTTAATTTATATGTATTCTAAAAATTGTTGTTATCCTATTTCTTCATTCTTTTTTTTTTCTTTTTTGGTATAGAGCAAGACCAAAATAAAAAATTGATCACCTATAGCTGCTTTTAAAATTTCCGTTTAATAGTTGTTTAGAAACAGAGCATACTCGTCTAGTTTTTTTTTTATTTTGCTGATGTAGGCCTTTAAATGACCTTCGTAAATGTCAATGACAGCATTTTTTCTACCCTGAAAAACTTTTAACTGTTTTGGAAATGATACAATTTTCTTTTTGTTATTGTAATTTTACCAAGTATTACAACATTTTTCTTGATACATTAACTGTCAATGACCCCGACCTGTAGGCGGGCAGCTGTCTACATATATAGCGCGTGTAACAATGTATCGTGAATTGTTTACAAGAGTTCTTAAAAAGGCTCGGAGTGCAGGAGACGATTGCGTAATCGGAAAATGTCCAGGCACGTTTTCCTTAATCCGTTATTGTGATGATTCGCTTACGGAGAGAGAATTAGACGTGATAAATTTTACTACTTGAAAGAAAAGCTCAGTTGTAAAGTTATTATAGAAGCCAGACGGAAACCGGATCCGTTTATTATCAGTAGTAGACTGTAGAAAACTCAACGGGTGTTTTCGACTATAAAAGTCTGTTACCTTGGTAACAGACAAGCCCTAGACATCCGATAAAGAATATGAAAAAAAATGCACCCAGTGCAAACTTCAAAAGATAGGGAAAGTGACGTACATTGTTCAATTGTTTATACTTTAACACGTTAAATCAATATACCAATGGTTCTGTTATCATTTCGCTATCGTACTGAAATATAGGTCGCTAATATCTGTAAGATGATTTCCAGATGGTTATTGGGAGAGACTAATAGTATAATTCCTAATTTGTATTTTGAACAGCAAGGGCAGGCAGGAAAAAGTTGGAAAAGAATGACGTTGAGAAACTCTTACGAATGACACCGTCCAAAAGAAAAAGTTCTGAAAAATTCTTAAGAGGAACCGGAACGAACGGTAAGCGTTAGACAACTCTAGAATATCTTTAAAGCATTCCTTCGAAATTTCGTAATTCAAGTCCTTCAAAGGTCAATTTTCTTTCCGGATTTTGTACAATGTTTAGATACACTTAACCTAATTTTTCTCAATGAGAAAAGCACCAAAAGACAATAATATAGGACATTTTAAATATTAAATATATCCATATAATCGGTTAAAAGTTATACTTTAACAAAACTTATGTTACTATAGAATTGAAGTCTTTTTTTAAAATCAAACCTTGGACTCTGGATGTCGAATTTAACCATCCGATTGTACAATTAATATCCTACCGTATAAGTTTAAAGTTTATTAACCTCTTATTGCAATATTTTTAACTTGATTTATCTTCAAACCTGTAACTTAAACACTTTTTTATAATAATGTTATTATCTTAAAGAAAGAGGATAGAAAGAATTAATAATGATCATAGAAAAGAGCAATACAATTTGTAAACTTTCAAGTTTTTCTTCGCAATAATTTCCCCCAATTAAACGCAATATATACATATCTAATATATACTGTATATATATTAGTATATTATAAGATTCAGTATTCTTATCTGATAGGCTTGATTTTCTTTTGAAATTTATCTTTACTTATTTTCAAAATAAATTGATCTTATCAATTTGGTTTTTAACTCTACGAAGTAAAAATATTGTTCAGGCAAAAAGAAAAATTTTACCCTTACCCTTTTTTTTCTCTTTTTCTGTCGTTTTCCCTTTTCTCACCGCTTTCTTCTCTATTTTGTTTATATATCGTTTAGACTTACCGACTATTTTTTTAAGGTCTTTTCATCAATTTGCAATTAATCGTCTGCCAAAAAAAATCGATTTCAAAACATGACAATACTTATTATAGTCTTTAACATCGCCCTAAAAGTACGATTGCATAAACTTGTCTCAATTTGCTCCCTTCTGAATGCAATTAAGTCATTAGGTACAATTACGTACAAATAGATTATGTAATTACATTTTAACTGAAGGCAAAAGACACCTTCGAAAGTGAGATGGAAATGAGTTAATGTCAAATATTTTCTTCACCCTCCAAATCAAAAATTCAACTGTTACTTATTTTACATTTGTTAACCAGAACATATACCTATCATCGGATAGAGAAATTACTTCACATAAATTAAAATTAATGTCTTTTTAGGTTATTTTCTATTACTTTAAGTGATAATAAAATGAAGGATTTTGTATAAATTGAAAGAGTTTTGAAATAGGTAGGTGAGTGAAAGAAGGACTTTCTGTAAGGTATTTTAATATGAGGAGCAAGTAGAATCTTGTCAACATTAAATGAATTTCTCGAAGAGTATAAGAGGGTAATAGCTACAGTACACAACGTATACAATACTCGGTATAGTATGTTTGCAGATACATGTACTATATATAGAGGGGCATATACTATGAAAAAAAAAAGGAAGGTGGGGGGAGAATTGGAAAGCCACGGGAAGCAAAACAGAAAGAATTAAGATAAAAGGGAAAGTGTTTTGAAAAATAAATATTTTATTCAGAATAGAATCAAAGTCACCAATAAAAAGTTGTAAAAGAGAATAATATATATATATATATATATATATATATATATATTGTTACATCTTCATTGTAAAACTTTCAACATTTTATTTAAATGACAATTTTATGGTATAGGTACGACCGAATGAAAGAAATATAATAGAATATATATATACTGTATAAATAGTAGAAACAAGTTTAACAAACTCGCTCTATACGTGTGTCTATAATTATCTATCTTAGTTCTCTTATCCGGCTCCAATATTTAATGATAGTTTAAAAAGATAAAACCATAAATAGATTATTTTAGCTACTTTACTTAAGGCGTACCATACGGTGTTCTTTTACACAACTTCTCGAATATTATATCATGCCCGTATGCCTCTTTAAAATATTTACGACATGTTATTTACGCTAGATTTCATCTGTAAAACGTGGAAAGAGAGAGAAAAAGAGAGAGAGAGAGAGAGAGAGAGAGAGGGGTGGGGGAAGCGAAAGTTACTTTCTTATAAATATTTGCTCTTAACGAGTTATTTAGTAATTTCTAAATATACAGTATAATTAAAAATTTTTCATAGCAAATGACAGATTTAATAAAGGTGTTAAAGGATTATTTACATGTTATTCTCGAACGTTTTCTATTACAATAAAATACAATGTAAATGAATACGATCCAAAATTATTTACAAGCCAGTTTTTACTCATCAATTATACTCTTCTTTTCGTACGATTATCGAATAACTCTGTTAAAAATTAATTAAAGAGAAAGCAAACACCTAAATTCGTATTTTAAAATACTTTGTTTTTAAAGAAAGAAAAAGTTATTGTTACTTGTTTACTTAAAAACATTGCAACAATTATAATTTTTCTGTTATATTTTTCATCAATCATAGAGGTGAATGTTGAAAAAAAATATAACCAAATCTAATTGCACTTTCTCAACAACAGGGAAAGTGAAAAGTTCTTAACAAAATAAACAGAATACATCTGCCTGCTCGTGCCCAAACGAATAATTAAACACTTTCCTTGGGCGTCTAATTAAAAAGTTTTCTTAACTGATTTAACGGATTACGTCACGGATCCTGGGGTTTTACACTTTTAATGCGATTTGTTTCTAATTTGGCAGACCTTTAACAGAGTCGGTGCCTGTGGCTTACCCCCATTTTTCTCCTTGAAGTTAACTTTCAAAGCTTGTACACGTACCGATTGGATCTCGTGTAAACATTGGCGTTTGCCAAACTTTTTCCACGCTAAGCTTTCTTCATTTATCTATTTCATTCAGGAGATAAGATTTCGTTCGATACTGAACCATTAATTAGAAAAAAATGCTTTTATCAAAAATTTGCCAATTGATCGTCTACGTTAGATTTATTTAGCAATCTTCCCCCCCTTCCTTTTGATTTATATCGCAACGTTGATCTTTGTTTAGGAGAGTTTGTTATTTCTTACTCCTTAACCCACAAATCTTATTCTAAACCAAGTATCTAATGTGAAACTAGAAAAAGTATTGGTGAGTCAAAGAAAAAAAAAATTGGTATAATTGCCAATTCGGCGGAAAACCTTTTTAGAAAGTCAACAAAATACCAAGAATTTTCACTTATTAGCTATATAGATCTATTTAAGAATAAAGCACGTCAAAATTTAGGTCTAACATACCGACTTGAGTCAGTCATTAGTAAAAATTTTATACCTTGTCATTTTAACACTTTAGCTAGATGTTTACTCGAATAACTTCGTACGACTTTGTTACCTCTTTCTTTAATAAATACGGTCGTCGTAGGTGGTGTAATTTGATTAAAATCTTCGAAATATATATTTCTACGGGATTGTATCAAATAAAAAAAAATCGCACCATATTTTAATCTAATATTGATCTATTCATATTTATGTCTTTAAAGAGTTTATCGTATTTCTCTTCTAATTAGAGAAAATTTTCTACGATCTTAATTTAACATTGTTTTCGAATGACAAAATTATTAAAGAGTCTTTCATCACTTAAACTATTAGCCTAATAGGCATAAAACTAATTTAATCAAAGCAAAATACCTTATCTTTTACTTTCCCTCTCTATTGTCAATGAATATTTGATATAATAGTTTGATTTTTAACAACCCACATCCACTTTATATGACGTTATTGTGGATAGGTATTGAAATCACCGACAATTGTTGACATTACGTGCTGGACAGCGGTCAATAACGAATTTATTGTTTATTTACAGGTCTTATTTCGTACACGGAATATTTATTCTTGCTGTGCGTGCTTACAAGTGAGTTCAAATGTTCTGAATACTCGTAAACAATTTGTTTATTTTACTTTCCCCCGTTCAGAACCAAGATCGGGATTTCGAATAGCCTTTAATATGTTTGATACGGATGGCGATCAACGCGTGGACAAGAATGAATTTTTAGTAGTATGTACAATATTTTTTATTATATATACAAGTATATCCGTATATATATCGGAATATATATATATACTATGTATACATTCTAATAAGTAATATATATATATATATATATATATTCATCTTTGAATATATGTACTATCTCTTTTTTATCTTTATTATTGATACCAATCGTCTGTCGATTTCTTTTTTCATTCGTCGGTTAGATATTGAATATTTCTCTATTTGAATGCAAAAAATTCATTATTATTATTATTAGTTGTAGTGGTCTTAGATTATTTAAGGAGAATTGTACACTTAGTATCAAGTTTTTTTTTCTTTTTATCAAATTTATCTAAATATTTTTTCTTCTAAGCATGAATTATTTTTCATATAATGTTAAATTTACGAAAATCTCTTTTCAGTTATTTTTTTATTTCTCTCTTAATTTTTTTTTTCTTTTTTTTTTTAATTAATAAGACAAAAAATATATCGCTAAACACATTCAAGGTCACAAACAAATCAATCTAATCCGTAGACTAGACAATAACCTTTGATTTAATTAGAATATGTTTGACAAAATTGAATAACTGTCCTCTTATTATATTCTTAAGAAGAAGATTTAAAGTGATTTAGTTTAACTGTTCGATTAAGAGAATAATTTAAACTTGTCTAAATTTTAAATTAATCTAATTTACAAAAGTAGGGTAAGAATGTTTTTTCTTTTTTTCTTAGTTGAAGATATTTTCCGTACTGATTTAAAGCTTTTGCTCTCTGATATATAAGAAAAATTAATACCAAAAAGTAAATTGTAGTATTTTATCAATTCAATGGACATTTAATTTCTCAATAAGCTCGGTAAAGTTATCGAAAAGGCTTCTGAAGGAGATGGATGGAGTACAGCAAATGTAAAAGAAGATAGCATAAATATGGTATAATATAAAAACAAAATATAACAACTATAACACCTTCTATTTCTAGTCGCAAGGTTTTGGTCTTAGCAGCTTAATATGGTCACTTAATTATCTTTCTTCTTATCTAACCGAATAATTAAATTAAATAGCTTTACTTCTATCTAAACAAAACTTTTGCACATCATTTCAAGAAAGAAATCCAAATTGCTTGCTAATATTTGCGAAATATTCGAAAGCACAAGGCGAACAAAAAGAACAATAACACAAAATAGAATAATTAATTGTCAAGTTTTATGTTAAAAGAACAAAAATATGATAAAGATTATTTTACTGCAGATAGTAAATCATTTTAATAATCTCGTCTGTGGTTTTTACAAAACGTTTAAAACTTTCTACTAACCAAGGTCAACGATCATTATAAATGAACTTGATTTAAGACAAATCTGTAAAAATCAACATACGATTATTATCAGAAATTGTGCAAGTTCACTATGGTGAGAGAGAGCTAGTGAGAGAGGAAAAAGAGTATTTTTATCATAGTTAAATATACACCTCATAAAGGCTATTAATTAAATTTTAAGGACATATCTCTATATAGTAGATTAATTACAATCTATTGTATCTTCTATCCTCATTAGTAGAGTTTTTGTTTTAGAGTAGATAATTTTAATCTCTTTTTTCTACGTTTGATCAGTACTTATTAACAATTAGAGGCTAAAAAAGAAAAAAAAGATCATTGTCTCTCAGTTAATATAGCATATTTCTGTTTTTCTTATATAAGAATAGAAAGGAACAGGAATAAAATATACAAATAACATCTCTACTTGAGTCATCTCTGTTTTGTTTATTTATCTTAGAGAAAGGAAGAAGTACTTTTATTCATTATATCATGAAAATTTATGGAAATAATAAAAGAAATTTATAGTTTTTCCATTAACTGAAATTTTTAAATATTTTTTTAAATAGTTTTTTAAATATTTCTCTCTCTCTCTCTCTCTCTCTCGCTCTCTCTCTCGCTCTCCCCCCCCCGCTCTCTGGCTCTCCCGCCCTGAGCCTCCCTTCCCCCTACCCCTATTACTTTTACCGCCTAGAAGCCGTCTTCCATTCTCAAGCACTCTCGAAACAATTAATTCATTTCTCCCCTCTAACACTCTCTCATCATCTTATCGGTACCCATTACTCATTCTCTATTACAAGATAAAACGGATAAAATTAAGACTTCCCCTAACATGAATTAGGAATTTCCTCCTTTTGGTTTTTTGTTTTTTTTTACGTTCTGCAGTTGTTGGACGTGTTCGAAAGAAACACGCAGGACCTAGAAGTTAAACGGTCGGACAACCACCGAGCCAATATTTGGAAATTGTCGTTTGTACGTTTGCTTTTGATGAAAAAGCGATCGCTTTCCCATTGATTTTGTTTCGCAGGAGAATGTGTATTTTTTTTTTAAGTATACGCGTAAATGTATGATGCATGTACACAGTATTATATATATTATACTGTATATATGCTATACATACACACACATATATATATATTAATATATATATATATATATATATATATTAGTATATATTTATATTTAAATTTACTGTCAATTGTTTTGAAACCGGGTGATTTTAATTTTGCTATTTAACTTATTTGTTGTTATTAACGTTTTATATTTATTTTTTGCATCTAATCATCATTTATTATTATTTTTTTTTTTTTTGGGTTTCTCTCTTTCTCTCTTCTTATCTATCGGTTTTGTTCTTTTAGTTTTTCTTTGCACGATTCGCGAAAATATTAAAAACTAAAAACAAAAAAAAAATTAAAAAGAAAGTGGCAATGGGAGTTTTAAAAAGATAGAATATACTCTTTTTTTAGTATATACAGTTTAATCTGTCTTTTATACTGTATAATAGGAAAAATATGAGCGACTATTCTGTTTCAAAGAAATAGTTTATTCTATACGCAAATAAACTTAAAGATTCTAATTAAAAATAACTTGATATCAAAACTACAATCAAAACAAACATAACATAGTTTATTTTATGATAACTGTTGCTACCATACACTTTATATACTCTGGAGAAGCTATAGTCATATTGATAAAGTGAAAGATTATCTATCAATGAAATGAAATGTCTATAATTCTTATTATATATATATATTTATATTAATCTCGTTTTTCTTTTCCTCTTTTAACTCTTTATTCTTACTATCCGCTTTATAAGTTGGTAAATTTTATTAATTGATTTACTGTATTGATTGAAAGGAGAATATCGATGAATTGGCATAGTTTATAACTTATTTAAACTACTTATGATCAAATTTTCATCGATATACGCTAAATTCTATCAAATTAATACCAAACTGAGGTTATTAGGTTCTTATTTTTATAATGTTCGAAAAACATCCGTAACAATTGCTCCAAATGCGAATTGGTGTTTTTTTTTTGTCTTCGAACGTACCAAACTTATACGACTAATTGTACTTTGTTATGTAATAATCTTTAAAAATAGGATTATCCACATGCTTGCCACTTATTAACCGTTTAGAACCAATAGCTTTTTGCATGCCTTATTTAACAGAATGGACGGTATTTTATGTGTATAAAAAACAGTATATATAAAGGTTTTGCGTCGTACCAGCATATTGACCACTTTATACACGAAATTATACGGTGCCCAAACTAATGATGGGGCTGTCCGTGGTCATCGTCTAGACATATTCAATCGATTGAACAAGCGTGTCATTTGAAAATCTTATTTACCGAACAGGTTTAACCGAAACTGTCAAAAAAAAAACAAATTTTGTATATTCATTAGTATAATATAAAAAAATCAATCAACAAACCAACCAATTAGCAAAACAGAAACCTCTTTGCCCACTTTCTTTTTTCTTAAGCTAATTAGAGGATTTTGCGATTCATCGCTTCATTAATCCATGCGATTGCCTTAATCCAAGATAAACCGCAAAATAATCTACCGATTAATCTGTTTATAATTAAGAATTAACCATGCACGGTTTATGCAGCTAGAAAGAATAATACCGCAAAACGCCGACGATAACCCAGCTAATAACGACGTACGTCTTCAAAAACATTTGCTTCTTTTATATATACTTTTTATTCTTTCTTCTCAAAATGCACGACCCCTTTCCTCACTCTCTCTTCCCCACCCTCTCCGCTTTAGTTTTTGGTTTGAAAATTCTATTTTATTACTCCTTTTCTTACACTTTCTAATGCATTAATATTTTAGTAAGAAGAACAAAATTCTATAATCGCCTGTTCTTTCTTTATTTATTTATTTACTCTCTCTCTCTCTATTTTTTTTTCATCTTTTCTTCTAACTTAAATGAATTTTATCCATTTCTGAGAAATTAAAGAGGATGTTGATTGTATAAATTTGTTTCTTTTCTCTTTGTATATGATTTATATTGTATATATAAAATGATATTTGCAAATGATTCCTCTTTAATCTACTTTCTCTTGTGTATGTGCACGAAACATCCGCTTTATTCTCCCACCCCCCCTCTCCCCTCCTCTCTCGCTCTGTATCAGCCTGTCTATGTATCTCTCTCTCTCTCTCACACACACATATACACACACACAGATATATATATATATATATATATATATATATATAAGTGTGTGTGTGTTTGTTCTCTAGCTATTCTTCTTTTCTCTTTTTATTTTATTTATATTTTTTAAATTTTCTCCTTCTATTCTATTCGTGTTCGGGCTTGTTAGAGCATTGATGGCATTTTTGTGGTCAACCAATGGCCGATTGTGTTGTTTCGCTAACGTTGCATGTGGTCTCCGACATATATATTTATGTCTGTTTATAGAAGATCCTTATTTGCATGATCTAGTTTAATTTTTCTTACATTTTTCAAATTTCAAAGCGAAAGCATGCTGGGAATGTCGGACGCTGGTCAACCGCCCTGCTATTGTTAAATATCCAGGGCTGTTGTATAATTAGATTGAGGCGTCCAGGCTTTTTCTACAATTTACTGTTGTTATTTTCTTTGATTTGTAGCCCACTGACTTTTCCTCAGTGCACGATTTATTTTTTTTTGAGCTAAGAAACTATTGCTTGTGCTATCTTCCTTAACTTTTCGTGTGTGCTGCCATCTATCCAACGTTCGTTCATTGTCTCATCATTTTTGTCTTCTTTCCGATTAAAGGAACAAGAGACAAGTGTGCAAGATACAACTCTAACCTATCACTTCTTTGGGTCTAGAGGCAGAGACACGCTCAAGTACGAAGAGTTCTCAAAGTTTATGGAAAATCTGCAAACGGAAGTATGTATATATACTAATATATATACAATGGGTATATGTTGCGCCATCTATCGTACATTAGATGAAATTCGTAAAAGCAACATCTTGAACTTATTCAGGACAAAGTTAGAGAATGTAGGAATTTTTACGTCATAAATCAAGAATAAGCTGTTTTGTTTGGCCATATTGATGAATGATGTAATAAATATGTATTAAATCTTCCCTCTCAAAGCAGACTCTGGAGCAAATGGACATATTTTATTTTAATAATCGACCATTAATATTCTATCTTTTGAATTTAATGAATTATAAAAGCTGCTTCAGAATATTAACAAATAACAATATAAAAACTAGGTACTGCAATCCGAGTTTGAAGACTACGCCAGAGGAAAGTCAACCATTACAGAGGAAAATTTTGCAAAGATTCTCCTCCGCTATACAGTCTTATCGGAGGAACAACATGACGAATATCTAAATAGATTACGTAAACGTATAACTAGTGGCAAGGTTGGTTTTATTTCTCTCGTCTTAAATGATAAGAAGACAATTAAATCTTGAAAGGAAATAATAAGGCTATTGTTTTTTTTTTATTTTTTTAGGGAATCGACTTTAAGGCATTCAAAGATTTCTGTCAATTTTTGAATAATCTGGACGATTTTGCAATTGCAATGAGAATATATACGTATAGTGAACAGCCGATTTCCGAGAGTAAGTGTCTACTTTAATCTCTCTTCTCTTCCAGTTTTACATGTTGAATTATCGTTATATATTTTCAGGTGAGTTTAGAAGAGCAGTTAAAATATCGACTGGACACGAATTGGACTTTCACGTTGTTCATACAGTGTTTCAACTATTTGATGTAGATGGCGACAATCAATTGAGCCATAATGAGTTTATAACTGTTATGAAAGATCGCGTCCATAGAGGGTTTAGATCACAAATCTTCCAAAAGAAGAGATTCTGGGAAAACTTTAAGGGCTGTGTCCGCCGAGAAATGAAACACTCCTAAAAGGGAAAAATTTAATTATAAACAGTATAACATCTTAGAGTGTCTTTTTCTATTATCTTTGCAATGTGTTTTCAAGATTCTTCTTTATTCTTCCCTATCGCTCTCTCTCTCTCTCTCTCTCTCTCACTCTATATCTCGGCAATATAACTATCAAATGATTAATCAATATTTGCTTTAGAAACAATTTTTAGTTTTTTTTTTAAAAAATACAATTATTGAATGAAATTGAAATTTATTATTTTCTCTTCTTTAACATAAAAATCATAAAGAAAACGAGAAAGCAAACATAATGTCATCAACACCAAATCGAATATAATAAAAGACAAACTTAATAGTCATAACTCACCAAGATTAATTAGACTTAAGAAAAGAAACTGTTGGTTTGTGTAACAGTTAATTAATTGTTTGTTTATTTTTTTTCCTTCTTCTCTCCATATGTAAGTATGTTTAATACTGTTTGAATAGATTTTACGTTGTTAACTGCTATTTGTCTTTTTTTTAAGAAAAAGGAAACAGGAGCTGTCTTCTTCCATTAATTTTTATGTGGATAACAAGCTAACAGGCTTCTCTTAATGAATGAAATTTTTTTCTTTCAAAGTTATTACGTCAGATTTTTCTCCTCATTTTCTGTACTATCTTTATCGTTTGCCATATTTTTATGAATTGATCTTTCGTGCCTGTTTAATGCGAACTTCCTATTGAACGATTTGTCACATATGTTACATTGATAGGGTTTTTCACCTGTATGGCATCTCAGATGTCTCCTTAAGGTCGCTGGATAAGAAAACGATTTAGAACATTCCGTGCACTGATAGGACTTTTTCGATTCACGATGAGACCTCTTTTTCTCACCAGCTGCAGGATCTTTCGCCTTTTGACATTCTAGTGATTCGTCAAGTATAATACAATTCTCATTTCCAATTTTCTGGTCAGTTTCTTCCGTTTTCACGGGTACAGATACAATATCGCACTCCCTGTTAATAAGGCCCAGAATTTCCGATTCGTCCTTAGTGGTCGAGTACCTTAAAGGCCACACAGAACTCTCACCCTCATCTTCAACCGTTAAATCGAATAGAGCAACGCTGTTCGTATCATTTTCTGGTGATTTTTGTTGTTTACAAATGCACGGTGTCTCAACGATGGGTTGTTTGTAATCTTTTTCCAACGTTTCATTTACATTCACTAATATAATTTCTGTCGACTGCAGTGTTATGGCTAATAGTCCTTCAATTTTAAAGGAATCATCTTCTAAGGTGTTTTTGCAAAGAGTCATTACTGTATCGCATATTAGCTTCTTTATATTCTTTCTATCCATTTTTCCCCAACTAGGCAAAAAATTTCGTTTCTAGAGGGATAACACGAAATGTTAAAAAATAAACTGGTTAGATAAGAGCAATCTTTTGCTTTTCTCATTAGAAACTTCGACTACTGCAGATCTCAATATTTAAAATTTAATATGCTCCGGAAACTGCTCAGCCTCTATATGGACGCACTTCAAAAATATCCAATGAGCACCACATCTATTGGAGCAGGTTTGATAGGACGCATGACTTTTGAGGGCGATAATAAGATATTGTGTCTATTTTCAGGCGTATTAATGTTTGGAGGAGATGCCATATCCCAAATAGGTATTGAAGAAAAGTCAGAATACAATTTCAAGAGAGGTTTTCGGTTTTTAGCCTTTGGAACGATTTTGGCAGTGAGTTCTTCAATATACCATTCAAGACTGTTATAATTTTCAACTTTTATCATTCAGGGGCCAATGTTGAGAACTTGGCACGTTTTTTTAGCAAGAACAATTGAAGCCCATTCAAAGAGATTAACTTTCCTAAAAATGACAGCAGCGGACCAAACAATAATGCCGCCAGTGTTTTTGAGTATTTTCATATCTGTCATGACTTATAGTAAAACCTTTTCAAGGGAGGCTGTACAAACTGCATTAAAGAATGACTTCAAACCAGTCTTGTTGAATAGCTATAAAATATGGCCAGCAGTTCAACTTATCAACTTTTATTTCGTACCGTTACATCACAGGTACGGCAAAAACCTATCTATTGTAGTTAAATCTGTTGATTCTTACTTTTTCAGAGTGCTATTTACAAACGTTATTGCACTTCTTTGGAATACCTATTTAGCTTGGAAAACGGAAAGATAAATTCATAAAGTGCCGACTGTTTATTCTTCAAAAAACCTATTCCAATACAAGTTTAAAATAAGAAAAAGGATGAATTTATAACTTTTGTATTTTATAGGCTACAAGGTTGATAATAGGCGGACACCTTTTTCCTGCGGAATTCCTTACGGTGCACTTTTGACCTAATCAGCCACACAGATAACATTGTTATCAACATTTTAACACCAAGCAAATAAATCGACAAAGTAGTCACTGCGCACCGGTGAAACTCCGCCACCTCTCTTCACTTCTTCTTTCCGGTAGCCTTTTGGGCAGCTTTAGTCACCTTTCCGGCTTTTTCGGTCTTATCTACGGACTTGATGACGCCGACAGCAACAGTTTGCTTCATATCACGGACAGCGAAACGTCCCAATGGAGGATAATCAGAAAATGACTCTACACACATCGGTTTTTGGGGTTTCAACTTAACCATGCAAGCGTCGCCAGACTTGACGAATTTTGGAGCATCTTCCAATTTCTTTCCGCTTCTTCTGTCGATCTTTTCCAAAATTTCAACAAATTTGCAAGCGATGTGAGCTGTATGACAATCCAAAACTGGAGCATATCCATTTTGGATTTGTCCAGGGTGGTTCAGGATGATAACCTTAAAAAATATAATTGTAAAAAATTGTAAATTTAAATATATTAATTATTTACTTGGGCTACAAAGGTGTCAGTTTCCTTTGGTGGATCGTTCTTGCTGTCACCAGCAACGTTTCCTCTACGGATTTCCTTAACAGATACGTTCTTAACATTGAAACCAACATTGTCACCAGGGCTAGCTTCTGGCATTTGGGTGTGATGCATTTCGACCGACTTAACTTCAGTGGTGATTCCAGCTGGAGCGAAAGTAACAACCATACCAGGTTTAATAATACCGGTTTCAACACGACCAACGGGAACTGTTCCGATACCTCCGATTTTGTAAACGTCTTGAAGGGGAAGACGAAGAGGTTTGTCAGAGGGACGGCTTGGTGGTACGATGGCATCCAAAGCATTCAAGAGGGTCTTTCCAGAGAAAGATTTCATTTCTTTCTTTTCATTCATAACTTCTTTCGACCATCCCTTGAACCATGGCATGTTTTTAGATTCTTCCAACATGTTGTCTCCGACCCAACCAGATATTGGTACGAAAGCAACAGTCTTGGGATTGTAACCGATCTTCTTGATGTAAGTGGAAACTTCCTTAGTGATTTCTTCGAAACGTTTTTCGGAGTATTTAGGTTCAGTGCTGTCCATCTTGTTTACACCGACAATCAATTGTTTGACACCCAAAGTGTAGGCCAAGAGAGCGTGTTCTCTGGTCTGACCGTTCTTGGAGATACCAGCTTCGAATTCACCGGTACCAGCAGCGACGATCAATACGGCGCAATCGGCTTGAGAGGTTCCGGTAATCATGTTCTTGATGAAATCACGATGTCCGGGAGCATCAATGATGGTAACTTCGAAGTTCTCAGTTTCGAATTTCCACAAGGCGATATCGATGGTGATACCACGTTCACGCTCGGCCTTCAGTTTATCCAAAACCCATGCGTACTTGAAGGAACCTTTTCCCATTTCCTGGGCTTCTTTTTCGAATTTTTCGATAACTCTCTTGTCGATACCACCGCATTTGTAGATCAAATGACCAGTGGTTGTAGATTTACCGGAATCTACGTGACCGATAACGACAATGTTAATATGCTTCCTTTCTTTTCCCATTTTTTTTCGTTGAAAACCACTTAGGAACTGTATGGATATTCAAATTATAGTTATAATAAAAGAACCACGTGCTTTTTAAAATTTCTTATAAAATATCCAACATTTTAGAAACAGTAAGAAAATATTTAAGTAATTGGATTATAATATCCTAAAAGCGCAGTAACGTTGCACAACAACGTGTAAAGTTCATCTCAACACGTGGATACAATATGGCGGCCACAACGTCTAAAAAAAATTTCTTCAAATATTCCAAAAAATCTGTACTGCCTAGAAATTATTAATTAGATTATATTCTTCAAATTGTCTTATTTGGCTTTAATCTTAACCTCGTTGTTAACAAACGGCGGAGTCACTTTCGTCATGTCATGAGTGACGGAAAAAACTTTCTCAAATTCAATTAATTTACAAATTGTTAAATAAAAATAAAATCAGATATCAATAGATTAAATTTTACTTCATATATTACTTGAACATTAAGTCTAAAAAATGTTGGATTTAAAAGATAAAACTAGATATTAAAGAAATACATACCTCTGTGCCACGAGTCTAAAGTAAAGGAAAGAATGACATGACCGGCGCGCTTTTATACTACATGGAGAGGGGGGCTATATGACGTCATTGGTTATACCCCACTCATGGGAAATTTTTTTCATAAAAAAAATAATGAAAATAAAAATTATTTTTGATTTAAATCACTGCTATAAATTAAAATAAACTTAACAAAATTAAAAACAAAATTTATTTGTTGACTATGTTGTTTGCAAAACATCCCCCCTTAATGGCTAATCTTAATTAAGAATTTTGTAGGGAGTATGTTTAATCTATCAACTTACCGGATATCAGTATATCTGTAAAGGTTACACAAGAGTTACCGGTTAGTTTTCAAGCAGACGATATTTCCCTTGCTGTCGCAATTATTAATTGCAATATGCCGAATAACTTAAGATCGCTAATGACATCAACAAATCAATTAGGGAATTTTTTGAAACAGGTTGCGTTCTATCATATGCTTCCCTTTTTAACGAAATTACTTACGACAGTGCTGTAATAGAGGCCCTTTGACCTTAACGAACTTCACTCAAATGCGTTTTCGTTACGTTGACTGGTTGATGTTGAGAGATGTAAAACGGCGAAAATTAACAGCTGAATATGCCCAAGAAAGGATGAGATACAAAGCGCTTATAAATAATAACATACTTCCTGAAGATTTAAGAGTTAGTAGTCGTTATAGTTTCGAAAGACTTAAAATGAATAACCGCCGTCTATTTTAGGAAAGTGCAGATATGGATATGCGAAAATTACCCAGAGACTCTTTAAGGTGGCGAATTGTAGATAGATGTGTCATAACTTCAAGAGCTCGAGGGAATGTTCCAAGGTGGAGAATGAGCAGATTTATCTTTAGGCATAATGCAGACTATAATAAACTATCAGGTGTAACAAAGGCTAAATGGTGAAAAGTGATAAACGATTTGTTATTGATAATAATAAACATGTTTAATTCGATTTATCTAGCGAGTAATCAATTATTTCCGCAGATTATAACGTCGCACCATAGCTGCCATAATAAATGTCCATCGACTTTTTCATGTTAAATTCATACTACATGATGTGTATACAATTAACAGTGTCATGTAATGATTATATGTACATTTGTCCTAAAGGTGCTCCATAGATAATAGCCAGTGTATGTTTATATCTATGGCCGTTCGACAAAAAACACTGTTATTCATTATATAAAGATTATTAACGTTTCTCGAAATTATTTACTTTTATATGAATAATCTTCCGACCTTATATATCTGTCCAATGAAAAATTGCTTTATAATTTCTGTAGAGCCTACTTTCAATGCCCTAACTAGCTGGCTAGTAGTGTAAAAAGTAACTTATTTTTATAATGCGCTTATGTCCTTTAACAAATAAAATAATTGATTTCTCAAGGAATATATTCCTCAAATATAATGTATATATTTATATGTACAGTATCATATTTTTGAAGAATAAACCGCATATTTGCTTAAATGGATAATTTATTTATGAATGCTAAATGAAATGGGATTATTCTAGAACCTTTTTATACACCAACCTAAAACTACTCATCTATTTATGGAAAACCATGGGCGATAAATGTCAGTATTCGTTTTAAAAATTACTACTGATCTATCTTCAAGATGAAAGGTGTTTATGAAGCAAAAAATTTCAAAAATCAACGTTTTATTACCTAATAGAATACAACTGATTCTACAAGTTTGTAAATAAGGTTCAATACAAAGAAGATGTTTGTACATGCATTATTTGAAAGAGAATTCTACCGCTAAGCTTAGATGATCGGATGGATAATGATAGCCAGGTAATCTCTCTGAGCCAATCTCCTTTTCTTCGGGTAGTTTCTTAATGGAAGTTATATTAATATAGTTTGAACTGTAGAATATATAATCAACTGTTTTTCGTATATCAGTTTCGCCTCCTCTACCCCCACGTATTTTCCAAGTTGTAAATTCAGGTTCCGAGTTTAAAATAGACTTGTATGATGACATAAAATTCATTTTTGACGTAATAACTTTGTAAACATTTTCGTTGGGATCTCCATTGAAATCTCCGCAAATCAATAGAGGTAGCTGGCTATATTTTGAATGAAAGTGGTTTATTAGAAACACACCTTGCTCTTCTCTTAGCACCTCCCAACCTAATAAAAATTTGATATTTGAACATTTTTACTCTAAAATACAATAAATACAACCAACCTTTCCTAGCTTTTAAGTGAGTATTAGCAACGCAAAAGAGATTGTCACCCCTCTTGAAGGTAGCAACTAAACAAACTTGATTTGTAAAATGTCCAGATAGCGATTTTAGAATAAGTCTTTCGCAATCAATTGATTCTAATTCGTTTCGTTTGTAAAAGATGGCACATCCATCTGGTCCATAAGTGTTCTTACAATAGAGAGCAGGACTGTCGGGTTTTGGTAGAAATGTTGCATTATATCCGATCCTACCTTTTTAGGGGAAAGAAAGAAAAAGAAAGTACGTTATTTTAAGTAGCAACAAAAGGGTATAATTACGCAGTTAATAGTTTAAATGGGTTAATACGAAATTGCTTGATTTCGATAGATACATATCTTGAAAAATGATCGTTCATTCAAGTAAATATTTATTCTATTTTCATCTATTAAACAAATATATAATTGGTACCTTAGCTCATTATGTTTATTACTTACACAGAACACTATGTAAAATACCAAATAGGTCGACTTCTTGTAGGCAAATGATATCTGCGTCAACATTAGCTATCTCTTCCAAGATTCGTAAAACCCGAAAAGGTAACTCTAGGGCAGATGAAGGACATCGACAAAAACTATCTTTGCCTGTGCTCAGTGCTGTTAAAAAAAACCCATGTAATCCTTTATATTGCTGTTAATATCAATAGGTATGTTTGCTAACCTTGCGATAACATATTCCATTGCATTATTTTGATGCTTTTTGAGGTATTTAAATGGGATTTTGTCTGATATTGACATTTTAATAGCGGTTGCTTAATATCACGAAATTCTTGTTTAAGTGCTAATTTGAGCGTTGCTAGGTCAACGATCTTTTCTGTGTCCTCAAAGCAAGACTTTACATCTAAGTAACATGATTCGACCGATGAAGGGAAGTCTATTTGTAGAATATCTCCTATTTGGACGTCTTTGAACCATCCTTTAGTATCCGACCTGCGGACCTTTGTTAGGTCAATATCCTGGTCGTTTAAATTTCCAAAAGATGAAGCTCCATAATTCATAGTTGCCAAGACTAGTTTAAAAAAATAATACGGCAAAGCTGACAAGAATATATTTCACTATCGATTCGATCAGAAGATGAATTGATTGTTGTTCTTTATCGGTCAATGTCCTCCCATAGATGTCTCTGCTAACGAAGAGCTATCTGAACGATAGATGTCACTACTTGTATTTAGTATTTAATATGAATATACTTTTTAAAAAATTACAAGAAATAAATCTACTTATAAAGCCCTTCTAAGAGCTGCGCTAGTAAGCCGATTAACAACCTGTTTTAATTCCCAAAACAATGCACTGTATATAAGATACAGGATTTACGGAGAATAAATATAGTTTTAAATATTAAGAATCTCTTAACAAATTTTTAAACAAATGGTTTATTGTTCACATAAATTATTTTTTAAATGTGTGAGCTAACTAAATTAATGATGCGGATGTAGACTATAATTCTGCTAAGTCTAATTTTAGTCTTTCAGATATATCACAAAAAAAGAGAAATCTGTTCTTTTCCATAATTTTTAATCCATTTTTATATTGACGTAAATATATCGTATAAATCGTAGACTTGCGAAAAAAGCTACTGTCCCAAGCATTAAGAAAAAAGCGTAACATCCGAGAATTGTGTACCCAAAAAATTCAACAGTTTGTAACATTCCAGACATGTTCGATCGCTTAAAGTAATAAAATAATGAGTATAAGAAAACGAAACCTCCCGTCGATCTGTGGGACAAGTATTATTAAGTAAATCTTACTATTTCATTATTTCTAAATTGGATTAAAACAATTAAAAGTTAAACTTACCCTGCACTGAAGACGCTTCTCCACCACCATCTATAATCTTCCGTGCTTAATTGGAAATAAGTAAGTGCAATAGATATACAAGCAGTTACGGATAATAGTATGGCGTAAACGACAAATAGAATTCCGTAGAGAGTGTACTGCTGCTCTCTACCCCATAACGTAGAAAATATATAATACAATTCAACCGATATGGCGCTAAAAGGTAGGAATCCTCCAATAACACAATGAGCCAAACAACTCCTATACCAGGGCACACTTGGTATTTCTCTAGCTATATTTTTTGTTCGGCAAGGAGCGTCAAAACTTCCCGCCCAATTTTTACCAAATATTCCACCAATTATTGTTAATGGATAGCCTAAAAATATCCATACACTCAACAATAATAAGACAGTTTGCCATGGAAGTGCTTGGGTTGATCCGTATGCCCAAGCTACCGAGTTGGTAAAACTCCATACAATGAAAAATGGTAAGGCGAAGAGGGCTGAGGTTAAGTTGATATTCCAAACCCAGTTTTGCCCTCCCATTTTCCTATACATGTTGGCCGCTACATATCCACTTATACAAGATGTAAATGCGTAAAGGAATATGGAAGCGGCATTGATAGATCCATGCCGATGAACGTTAAACATTCCTAAGACTGCCATAATAAGTATTCCCGTAGCGACTGATATGAATTGACTGCCAACACCTGAAAATGATATAAATAATACATACACGCTTTATAGCATTAATAAAGCACTCGTACCGAGAATAGCGCAAAATAAGGTTTTGAATTTGGGAAATCTGAACACATCTGAGTGAATAATTTTCCATCCGTTATCATCTTCAGGTATGTCGTCTTCTTCTTCATCGCCGTTATATCTCGCAAAATCATTCTTAAGCACTCTGGTCTGAAAGAGAAGTAAAATTTACAGTTAACAAAAGAAAAAAAAAAATTTAGTATTATTGCACATATCACTTTGGAATGGACATTCAAAATATCTTTTATTAGTTTAATGTGTTTAACTTGGATTTTCACAGTAAAATATATGTATTTACTTTTGTAAAATTATTTTTAAAAGCCGTCTTAAGGGAGTATTTCTCGTCTTAGAGTTTCCTTTTTTTAATAGATTAGTCTTATTCTGAGCGCTTAATATAATATGGCACGTATAATTTTATTTTGCTATCTACACTCGTAAAGAAGTAAACGTATACGAATCATAAAAAAAAGGAAGAATAATTAATATTCCTATCTTTTTTTAATTTGTACCCATTTTATAGATTACTACAAGGGGGAAAATTATTTGCTTACCAGAATGATAATCACGAAACCGATAAGGAGGAAAACGAGTACCATGGAATTAATAATCGATAGCCAGTGAATTTCAAGAGTTTTGGGAAAGAAGTTATTGTTATTCGTTCTTTTAGATCTTTCTGAATGTAGCATTCTATAGGGGAAGATGAAAACAAACACCAATTAGTAACATCTAACCAATTTGATATAACAAGAAATGTCTTACTTGCTGGGATGCCATTTAACGCTATAAGTAAACGTCACTTTAAGAGGCGCTTGTTTATCATCCAAATTGGTTGGTTGTCGTTCTTTAGTCGATACATTTGCGTATATAATCTAAAGAAAGCGAAAAAAATTATTAATAAAATGACAGTTCAAAGAAGAAGCTACCAAACAATAAAGAATAGGCAACAATAGAGCTAGAGATGCGATCAGAAATTTTTCCTATATCAAAGTAATAAGATGGACAATGGTAGAAAGAAAACCAATGACGCAACAAACTGATTAACTAATGGCTTCTATACACTTCATCTATAATCTTTCATCTCTTTTTCTATATCGATAACAATCGCAATTCGCCGCATAGGTTAATTCGGAATAAGAGTTTGCTGGAGATTATACCCGAGTCTCATTAAACATATACGTACATATTCTACTTTATAGAAGAAAAGTTAAAGCTTCTTTCTACATTAAAGCAATAATGAATTATTCTTCGTAAAATATACAATGCTATAGAGAATCTAAGGAATCTCCAGGATCTTTTTCTATATTTACAAATTTAGCCTTATATATAAATATGGCCAGTCGCATATTATAGTATATTCAATGTCATAGTTAAGATTGAACTTGTGCTATTTTTGACAGTAGTAACAAGAAATCAAATAGTCTCGCCTTATAAGATTTCTGTGCTACTACGCTTTATATATTGAGAGAAATAGTAGAAAAAGTAAAAAATGCGGAGGAAGGATAGAAGATAAAAATACAATTACAGATTTATATACGCCTCCTAAGCCTATTAATTTTTGTTTTCTAATCAGTTGGATTTGCCAAGTCAGGGATAAGAGCTTGCAGTCGGATTTTAACCGACTCGCATTAACGATGTACGCGTACACGCACCTTTATTACAGACTGGCAAAGTAGAAAGTAAAGCTTCTTTCGACATTAAAGTAATAATGAATCAGCTTTTGATATAAAGTCACCCTAGGCCAGTCAATCTATTGTCACAAAGTACTTTAAGCGTAATTTGTTGAACAAAAAGCGGTGACGGGCATATTAGCTGCCGAAGGCGACGTCTTACGTTCGTTAGCCGTCACCTCTTTAGATGCCCTTTTCCACGCCTAACAAACCTGATCTCCGTTGTATTCGACATTAAATCGTAGATGCGTCCACAAATGAATCTTGTGTTTGTGCGGTAAAAATCCCCCTTCTTCTAAATGGCCAACAAATCCCCGGATAGGGAGTTCGTCTACAACGAATTCAAAAAAGTAGAGATCTTCTATAGCGCTCCTTAGGGTGTTCAAATCTTTTTCGGACAGCTCGACCGTGCATAATTCTTTATCATTTTCGTCCTCTGTAGTAAAAACAACATATTTTAATACCGGATTCATTTAAATTAATTCGAAACGGAAAGGCTAAACAAAACATTAAGAATATTTATGAAAAAAATTACTCCTACCGAAAGATATTCATACGTGGAGTATAAGCAATTACAAAATGGAAAACGATTTATTGAAAAAAAAATTTCTTCTTTCATGCTTTCTTCATAGTACTTATTAAGGCAACGGGAGGTATCTTAATATTAATCAATTTGTTTAGTTACATTTCACTTCTTTTATAATTAAATGGAATAGAAATATAGTATAGGTCAAACAATTAATTAGGTACATTGAAACAGTCCGGCGAATTTATCCATCGCAAATTCAATAATCTATTATTCATCCCATTATAAAAGAAAGAAGACACGCCTAAATCTCGTGTTCATCCTAAGTCTATAGGCTTGCAGCAGGTGTTTAAATATAAATAATAAAGTTACTTTCAAGAAAAAAAAGACTTGTGCAGATGATAAAAATACAACAAAATTGTTGATTCTAAATCATATAATTAACTTTAAAAGAAAGGGTGTAATCTTACTTTTAAATCGTAGATCATAGTTTGAAACTGCCATTCGATCGCCGTCCAGAACTTCGCCCAATGTCAAACTTTTATGTTCGATCTGAAAGAGAAAAAATTAAGCGAAAGTTCGTCGAGATGAAAGGCTAAGTGGCTCAGTAGTCGAAATTGGCTAAATCGCTACTTTTCTCAATCAGCTAGAACAAGCCGAAAAAGGCGCATCAAAAATCAAAGGCTAATCTGCCTCTCTTCCATCTCAATCGTGTGTTTCGGCCATCAAAAGGATCAGGCTCAGCGAGTTTCATTTTTATCACGATCTAGTAATTAAATTAATGCCCAATTTCTTCATCTATTTTCACTCCAAAATGATTCTAAAGTATCAAGAATCATCAATATATACAAATTAGCAAGGTGAGTTTTTCCTGCACTCTATAAATTACATTATTGGAGATTGATAAATATTCGTTTTGAATAAAAAAATTATTTCAATAATAATTACAATAAATTTTTTGAAAATATTACTTTCTGAATTTATCAGTTATTAGAACACTTCATTTATCTTAGTTTATTCCCTAAAACGAACCATAAAAATTATTCATTTATATCGATAAAATTCTTTGAAATCTATCTAGGAAATAAATGATGGAAATAGAAATATATTCGATGCCTCGTCAATTAAAGTCATTCATCTGTGAATAATTTAATGATCAACAGAATAAACCCCGAGCTCTATTTTTTTTATATAAAATAGTACATCAGTAAAAGTCTTGCTTAGTCTAAAACTCTTTAAAACCCAGAAGCAGTTTAGATAATATTGTAATAAAAATGTCAACCTTTTGTGGACGGCAAACAGGGAGCTGATAGTAGTGGTACGTTTCATGAGGGTTAAAGTAAGGTCCAACTTTGTTAACATAAACCGTAACCTGTAAATTTTTAAAACAATAAGCTTCTAAATTGTTGAAATTAAGTAGTAAAGTTTTTGTTATCATTGTAATGACAAAATATCGATGGCCTGTGAATTTAGACCCGATTGAACTATCAAAAATAGCTTTTAAAGTCGTTAATTTTCAGATTTTAAGCATTGTTAGCCCTGATCGGTTTAAGAAACCTATTAACCTTTTCATCATCCTTATATTTTGCACTGGAAACTAGTGAAAAGCATGCCAACACGACAAATCCAAACGATACCGCCATTTTGGAAATACTGACGATTCGCACTCCTCAGCTATTTCCGGTAAACAGACGAAAAACTGGTAGAAAAAACCTATCTACACCACTGTGTCTTTACGCGAAGATTTATTAATTTTGTTGAAATTTGACTATTTTATTGGATACGATATAATTATAACCTGCTAACTAAATACTAGATGCTATAAATATTTTAAATCGCGAAGCATTAAAAATACTGAGTTATCCCGGAAAAATATTCGACTGTTTTGGTTCTCAGCGTGTAATCGTTCATCTAGACTTTAATTTGAGGCTGTAGAGAGTGAGTTTGTCTTGAATATTAATTACTAAAATATCTTTAACATATTTTCGTAATAGATGAGCGATGAAATTGAAAAAGAATCACCGGTAAGCAGTTAATTTCTTTGGGCCTAAAATAATTAATAAAGATGAAGCAAAGTAGTAATTTTGCGTTTGAACTTAACAGCACCGTACGACAAACAATTTAATCATATAGAAAAAAAAATAATAATATATCAAGGCTTGCTATAAGTGCCTCATTTATTATTCCTATTCTAATTTACATTCGTCTTCATTTTACAAGTCACATGTTAATTTGTAGATAGGTGTATCTCTGTTGAATGTTTTCTGAAAAGTCCGTGCATTTCAAACGCTATTATAATTTAATGCCTAATATCTGTTATATATGCTAATAATCCGATCTGCGTAAAGGTTAACGCTTCGATCGGTAATCCGCGTTTAATTGGTTCGTCGCCATTTTTTCATTAATTTCTTCTATCCCGTACAGCCGCCTGTCAAACGCAGGAGATTAGAGGAAGAAAAAGAAGGTAAAATAAATATAGATAAATACATATACTTACGACCATTTCGAATGATAACGTACGAATAGAGTATCACTATATCTCATAAAGATTATCATTGTCCTGTTCTTTAGTAATCCTGTACTTAACGCTATTCCAAAAGCCAATTTAAATTTCTAAGTTTACCATGTGATATGCGGTTTTTTTCGCGTAGAATTTGCACAATGACGCTAAATCATCTCTGTATCTATTTACCTTATTCGAATTACAAAAATCCTTTTGTATGACATTTTACTCAATTTTTTTGTAAAATATTCAAGTGGAATATTTGACTGTCTAAATAAGACAGAAAGAGCTTTATAGTAATTAATTTGGTATTTTTTCACTTTGATTGGATCAATTATAAAGTGCCTGTTATCGTCTTGGATCGACTACAAGTGAGATAGCCAGTATAGAAAATTCGTATTCTGCACTTTATCTAGTATAAACTATTGTAAAGATAGAAGGAATCGAAGTCAGACCACCATGACGGCGGCGACGCTCTGGAGAGCATCATGTTTCATTTGTAATCCCCTGTTTTTCCACGCATTCATCACGGACGGATTATGTTAGATTATCTGCAAAGCCGTGATGGCCGTTCCTTTCTGCTGGGGATTACTGCTAATGCTGCAGCCGGCGTTGTTGCAGTATGTGACTTGATTTTTTTCCTGGGTGACGCCTGCCGCGTTTTTCTAGTTAACTATGTGTTTCGTTGAGCGTTCATTTTGAAAGGATTAATGTGGGTTGGATGAGCTGTCGGTGGTGACGCTCTGCCCCCACTAGAAGGATTAAGCGCCAGATTTTAGACGTCAATCTTGTTTGCCGGGCGCCGCGTTTCTTATTAAGACGTTGAGGCCGTTTTTTTTAGTTTTCCTTCAGTCTTTGCAATCGATTCTTACTTTTATATAGCGTACTGAAAGTTGCGTTGAGGTGTTGTATACGAAAAATTACATCCACAATTGAGGCAAGAAGTACTCCTTCATGTAATTGTATAGGTATTATCAGCTAAGCAATTTTTCATTTAAAAATTTTATAAAGGAGAGCTAACTTAGAAAGCCCAGCGACGGATGTCAATAGGATTTAAGAAGATGAAGAGAAATAATGCTATGTGTGAAGTATTTAAAGTGGTAGGGAGTTATGTAAAAAAAAGTAATTCCCGGTCGAAAATTTTGTAACTTAAGCAGCTGGAGTCAATAGTATTGAGGTCAGCATTAATATAAGAAAAGTATTGTAACGTGCTCAAACGCCCTAAATCGGAATTGATCGGCTAATCGTTTCAATACTGTCAACATTTCTGATTTTATCATAATTTTAAGTTGTTTGCAAGATGGCCCACATGTAGTTAAATCTTGTAAAGAGAGTCAATGGGATTTATAAGGAGTGCTTGTAGCGTTGTCAAAAGTAAAATCTTCTTTAAACTTGTGCGAAGGCGTCTAATCTTTGGAACCTTTAGTGATGTATACGCATCGCCATATTGTTTGCCTTAACAACCGGAGTTAAAGGGATTTAAGCAATCCATATCAGTAGCAATCGTAAAAGTAGATGAAATAGATAATGTATTCACAAACTTATATAAATTGTTAATTCGTCATGATTACAAATGACCCATCACCGAATTAGCAGTCGAAGAGTCAGACTATCTTAACTCTCTGTACAAACTAAACAAATAGTTAGTCTCGTCTGTCATCTAACGCTAAATGGATAAGCTCTATTATATTTTTATTAGTAGGCGAGCGTGTAATAACATTTTCTGGCGCGCGTTTATATTGTATATATCTTTACATAAATATATATTTATAAATAGAGATATAGCGTATATAGCGGCGGCGTTTGCGAGAATTATGCGGCGTTTTGCGGGAGGTAAGAGCATCGATCGCGTTTCGACCGTCCGGTTTTGCAGTAATCCGCCGGCCAGTATTCCGCTCGCGTCGTTAATCCTTTAATTATACTTTACGATTAAGGCCTACATCGATAAGAGGGGGGCGTCGACTAGAAAGTTTTACAATAAAAGGGCTCTATTTAATTTATTTTCCATCGCTTTTTTTAACTGGTCACAGGATTCAATATATTTATTCCCGCCGTGCAGCTAGACTGACTGTAGCTTCTTCACTGAAAAAGCCTAATCGTTTAGTGACTTATCGTACAATTTTTTTTTACTATTTAAAGAAAGACTATCTAATGTTAAGCGGAAATAGAATTTTGATTTTAATCTCCAATTATCCAACGACCACTCTGGTCGTTTCGATTCTAACATGTTTAAGCCTCTACCTCTACTAGTTTCATTCGACGAATATACTGATTACAATAGGGTAATGATTTCACATGTTATCTTAATTCCCTTTTAGTCACTGTCTATACATAAAGGTTCTTTTTAGTAAAAAACATTACCCAGTTTGCCCTAGTTCCATCTAAAGCTTATTGCCGATTCCACCATCTATACAGTCTAGTCGTATAAGTCCTCAATATAAAAATCGTTTGTGATTTTATCTTGAAGTCAGCGCCAAAAAGTATCATCTTTATTTTTCATAATGCGCACTATTTTATCCTTAACTTACTCTCAAAAAAATCGAACAGTCATATAATTTTAGACGACATCCGTCAAATAAGAATTTGAATAAATGATTACCAGTGATAAATTGTAATTCCTTTGTACGTCTTAATATGTATTATGATAAGTTTTTGGCATCACTATATCCAGTAACGCATACAGGTGAAATCTGAACGGTATGCGATTATTGCTTTCGGTTTCTGTCTCTTAAAGTTCAGCAGACACTTATAGGTCAGAGCATCCGGCTAGAAAAGAGGCTTAGGTCTATTGTCAGCCTCCTAACTCTCCGGGGAATTAGGCGCAGCTCCGATTTGGCTTTAGGTCGGCGCTTAAATCGTCGTAAAAAGCTTGCTAAAAAGTAGGTAGAAGCTTTAAGTAGAGGAAGTATATGGCGTGATTTTTCTAATGCCGACATGATCAGCTCTAAGGTCACGACAATCGGGTCGCTTCGGTCACGCTAGTCTTCCTCCTCCTGTTGTCCGTTAATTATTGGCTTTTTTTACTAAAAGGAATGCTAAGTTTACTCTTGAAGAGGTAAGAGAATTTTGCGGGTAGTCTTTTTCGGGATTCTTTCAGTTTGAAAATTTATTGTTTCTAAATTATCTGTCTAAAATTTCACTTGAACATATTTATCAGCAGACCTACTAATGTTTAGTTTTTCTCATGATTCTCAAATTGACTATTGTTTTTTTATTGATTCGTTCATCGTTAAAAAAAAGAAATTAAAACAATGCAATACACTGACCGTATTGCATATGCGGAGACGTATTGCAGGCTTGTTTCCTAAGATATTCACAAATAAATTCACCTGCTTGGGAATTTGGTGACTTTTTGACACGTGCAATTATCTCTTTGTGTAATGTTGCAAAAGTTAATTAAAGATCCATTTAAACAAAAAATAAAAAGGGAAAACGAAAGTATTTTAAGGTGTATTACACAATTTTTTTTAACTAAAGAAAACATAAAATATTTTAAAATCAAGTTTCATAAGTTTCTATTATCTATAGCCAGCTGTTTGCCGAGTTTGGAAAGGCAGATAAAAACGTTAATCCTAGGATGACCTTAATCTGATGTTAATCCTCGCTCGCTGCGTTTTGTCGATGCTTAATGAAGTTTTATTCGATTTTTTTCTGAGCTTCTATAATTAAAAAGCGATTACTGTAGTTTCCCTTGTTTTTACCGAAGGCATGCGGTGATTTCAATACAATACACCGCCGCTAGATGGAGTGTACATTTCTAAAAGGCTTATGCATCGTTTACGTAATGGATTTAAAAATTTTAGGTTTTAAATTCTACGGGTAAACGGCGGACTGTTCCTAGGTTACCATTAATCCGGATTAGAATAATTCTTTCGTCGATATTTCGTTTAAATAGGAACGATGCGGATTATCCATAATCCGGGATTATCCCCGGACACGTTTGCGGATAAATTTTGTCGGTGCGTCAGATGGTAATGCGTTTTCGTCGAGACAACAACTAGTGTTAGGGTAGGATACTATGGATCGTAAGTATTTAACTATTTATACCGACGACTAGATAATTTATAATAGGCAACAGAGTACGCAACGCAACCCTGTCGCCATTTTTATCCGCTTCAATATAGCGTTTTTAAATGCAATTAAAAAGATCGGAAATCTTCTTGCACCAAAAATGAGATTTGGATTAGCCGACATGTTTATTTGTTAAAATGTGGGGGAAAATTTTGATATCGCCGTCTTAAAAAGATAAAAAGATGTTTCGTTGTTGTTTGAGGAATGTTCCAAAGAATAGTTGATTATTACGTAAGAGGCTCTTCAAGTTTTCTTAGCAATTCCTTAATTTAGATAGGTCTACTAGAGTACAATAAGAATTATATTATAGGTACCAAGGACATTTAGTATTATTATTCACAGTATTATTTTTACTATGTCGTGTTTAAAAATAAATAAAGCAAAAACTTATAGCGAGCACTAGGTAGGCTATTGTGCATAAGCTATAAAGGGAGATTTTTTAAAGGCGCAACGTAGCGTGCTGAACAAGATAAGCTTTTTCAGGCGCGCCTAGTTCAGGTATTGAAATTTCCCTTTTGTTAAATGAATTTGGATGCCTCGCGAGCTTTCGAGAGGGGAAGAGAATGAACGTTTTAAAGCGAAAGTCATCGCGTCGCCGATGCGTAGTGAGATTAAGATTGGCGTAGGAAAAACGGTTGAACAATGGATTGAATAGTACAAATTCCCAGTAGGCAACTTTCGAAAGGCGATTTCAATGCGCTGCGCGTTTTTCGATTATCCCATGGAGTCGTGCTGAGAGAATGTACAGCTTGTCGCCTCTCTAACGAAATTGGCCAAATTGAACTATAGTGAAAGTATAGTATTGTATGCGAGGAGAGAGAAAATTTCTCTCAGGTGATAATCTCTCGCTAAATAGAACGCGCCCTGTAGAAAAAGTATTGAAATCTCCTCTAGAGATCTGGACAGGTGCGCTTTAAAATGGATTTGAAGACATCTTGAAAGCGAAGGGCAGATGCAAAGAATCTTCATAGTCCAATGAACATGGGCGTTGTAAATCATTCTCTTGTGTGGTCTTTTCTATTTTCACACAAGGCTCATCTTAGATTAAATTCTATAAAAAAGTTAGTCGATTCTTATTAAAATTCGCTTTAAAAAAAAAAACAAAGTTTGATCTGGTAGTACAGTAGTTGAATCACGAATTTCCGACTGGATAAAGTAGAGATTATACGTAATGAATATGCAAATGACACGGAGGAGGCGTTCATTGGTTGTTCGGGTTTTCATAATAGACTCTACGGGAGAGGGCGGAGCTTATTTTCTCTCTTTCGCTTTCGCGTCAGTAGAAAGAGTCATGCTGCCCGTTCAACATCAATTCGGATTAATGAAGTTTGGAGTTCTGAAGAATTATCCACCGAATTTCGATCCGGCTGTGATGGCAGCTGCTATAGCTTCGAATCATGGTTAAATTTAAATACTTTATACCATTTCTTAAACTTATTGCACTTACGCGATAACGACGTAGGAATTTTAATTTTTTTATGTAATATTTCAAAACAAACATTATCCCATTAAAGAGGTAATGCTTATACTCATATTAATAATGCTGTAAATATATTTTAACGTAAAATAGATAAAGAAACTTTCGAATTAGACGCCCGATATATTAAACTTCCATACGATAAAGTTTTTATTTTTTTTTTGATTATTTTCGATTGAGTCTAATGTGTTCTCCTTATCATTTTTGTCTCTTTTATTTTTTACATTCTTGAGCGTATTGTAAAATTAACAGGTTTTAAAATAAATAATTTCCTCTTTACAACTATACAAGAAAAAGAAAAAGAAAGAAACGAAATAAGGGAAGATATTAAGGCACTATAAAAGCAAAAATTCTTTTCTATAGGCTTACGCTTTTGTTGCCTATTCTTATCTTTATCTTCTTTCAAATCTTCAGTAGTTTCATAAAATTGTAAAAAATAGAAAAGGCCAGAAGGAAACTAGATTAATGCCCAGATAATACCCGAGATGGTAAACACAAGTCGACAATAGCATTTTTGAGTAGGCTAAAAACTTTTCTGTACGCTGTACTATCAGGACACCTGGTCGGTTTTCGCATATAATCTCGATTATCTCGTGAGACCGTCAAGATGCTGACAGACTTTATTAAAGCATCGTTAATCTTTTTTAATACAGCGAACAAGAGTATGCCTATTCACTGTATTGTTGAGAAGACGCCCTCGACTGTCGAAGTTGACAGTTACGCAATTTTATCAAATTCGACGCCGTTCAACGAAATAGTCGGAACAGCCCTTCAGAAACTTGGATTCTCAACATCCCAAAGTGTTGGAGCAAAAGGTTGGTATAAGTAATAAGGAATTTTAATATTGAAAACGAGATTTGTATAGAAGAATATTGTGCCTATTCAAAACGCATCTAAAGAATGAGATTAGTCAGACCGACGCCAAGCTGGTCAGTGAAATTGCCTGACAAAAATTTCGCTCGTTCATCTTTATAGGCCTATAATGGCGATTAATTACTATAAATAAAAACGACGCCCTATTATTAAAGAGAAAGCGATAGAGAAAAGAGTGACTAAAAGAGGGGCGGGAAAGATTTATAGACGAATAGATCATGAAATCGAATGTTTACTCGAAAATTCAACTATTAATCCCTTTTTGTTTATTTTACTGGCGTATTGAAAGTGAATTTTTTTTATAATCCTACGAAGAAGAACGATAAGTAGGTGCGAATGGTAATTAAACAAAATAGGGTATATTTTTCTCGGCAAATTTCTTTAACAATCGTTAATAAGAAGTAAATAACATTTAAAGTGTTACGAATTAGTGTAATTTTTTTCTCCTTTCCCCTCTTGATGAACAAACTGTTTGTCTCACAAATTCAACACTATGAAAACTCAATTGCAATTGATCACGTGATTCAAAAAAAAAGTTTGATCGATATTGAAAAGAATTTTTGTTCGGAGCATATTGCCTCTATTCAAAGCGCATCCTAAATGGGATTAGACTGACTGACGCCAAATTTAGTCAGTGAAATCGCCCCTACGTGGAAATTAATTGGTTTTCTTAAAACTTTTACTGAGCCTAATTACAAGGCACCGCGACGACTATAGTCGCTAAACACATTTTTTTCGCGCCACTTTCTAAAAACAGTCCTCACGTTTAATTATAGAGAACGTTGCCGCACCTACCTTTTTTGTTTATGCCGACAGGTACCATACAAATAAAAAATTGGAAAGCACTGACGTTCGATACGATTACCGATAATCCGGATGCTACTGTTGAAGATTTACTGGCTGATTTGACATCAGTTGTAACATTGAGAATTCGCCTTTGCAGGTTAGTTATCATAAATTATATACAGTATATATATATAAAACTTTAATGTACAAGTATATTTATAAATAGATATACTGTATATGCATTGTGCGTATATAGAGTTAGGAATTTGGTCGGGTTTTTCCTTATGAAAATTGATACTATTTCGTTATTACTTTTTTTTAAATTCATTGTGCGAATCTAGAGTTTATAGTATATACTGTACTTTGGTGAAACACATATACACAAACCCCAAATATAGCAATCATGAATGCGATAAACCAGATTCCGCCATATTTTATTCTCTTTTCAAAAGTATTCAAAAAGTTGGTGGGGCGTTCATCCGTATAAAATTTTAAAGCATTAATCTTTTATTAACTAGTTCGTTATTATTATTATTATTTTCTCAAATTGAAAAGGGATTTTCTTTCCACGTTTTTTTTTCATAAATCTGAATATGAGGTGAGTGTTTCACCAATTCATTTTTAGTCAAAAAAAAGAAAAAAGCTCTTCTTTATATTCAATTTGAAGAGTCTGTAATATTACTTAGTCTTATAAGTAGAAGATAAATAAGTTTTTTTTCCTTAAAAGTATTCAAGTGATTTTAATATATAAAAAGCATCAGTGTTAAAATTTTCGATTAAATCCCCCAGCACCTCATCAGATTTAAATGTAAAAGAAAAACAAAATGGTGGAAAAACCTTACTATTTTCTCCTCAATATATATATATATATATATATATGTATACTGTATATATATATATATATATACTGTATATATTCTATATATTTATTTTTTTATTCATTTTCTATATTTAAAAAAAAATACCTCTTGGGTCATGTTGTTATATTTTTGTTTCGTCCGTCACGTTATACAGCTCGTCTAGAGTAAGCGCGATAGACGAAATCAAAGAGAAGCTGCTCAAGTTTCTGCTTACGCGTTCTATAGTTACGCTCCAAAACGCCGGCTGTCCGATCGATCAGGTTCGAATCCCTTTTCCTCTTTTTTACTTAAAAACAATCGAGTCAACGATATTTCTTAATAGAATTTATTGAATCGCTTCGCTAACGGAGACTTCACCGTGTCGGAAGCCACAGCTAAAACATTCGATCAATGGTATAAAAAGCAATCGGAAGAAAAAGTTTTACTAAATGGAGGTGGAATTGGAATTTCACCAGGCAATGGAATGGGAGGGGTAGGGGTTGGTTTAGGTGGTCTAGGAGGTACCTCCTCAGACGAAGCCGCTAAGAGAGCCAGAACGAGCTTTGACCCAGAACACGAGATTCCAAGACTTCAGACTTGGTTTAAAGAATGCCAGCATCCCAGTAAGGAGCAGATGACCACTTTCTTAGATGAACTTAATTCACTCGAATCGAGGAAGGGTAGAAAGCCGTTGGATTTAACAAATATTGTTTACTGGTTTAAGAACACAAGAGCAGCCATGAAGAGGTCTCAAAATAAGTATATGACGGATGAGAATGAAAATGAGGCCGTTCAGTCGGCTGACGCTGAGAGTGAAGGTTCCCGAGTACCAGAACTGCCAAATTCAAATGCCATTTATGTTTTCAATCCTAACAATGAGGAGGAGGAGGAAGAGGATGATTTCAATGAATCTGAGTCAGATTTTGAAGAGGAGAAAGTTAAGAAAGAGCACCATGAGGGATCATCATCCATCAAACAAGAACCGGAAAATATAAAGAAGCGACATCTATCGGAAGATGATGATGAACCTCGCCATGTTACTCCTCCGGCCTTTCCAACATTTCCGCCTTTTACAAGTCAATCACAGGCCCTGCACAATGCAATGCTCCACAATCCATTAGCAGCAGCTGCGTCAATGCAGCTATTTCATCCAGCAGCAGCAGCGTTATACACTCCATCGATACTAAACACTCCAAACGCTCACGCGCAACAATACCCATCTCCAACTTCGGCACCAGGTCCGAATGAAACACCGACACCTCCTAGTGGAAGTAGTTTACCAAATGATGAGAGAAAGAAGAGGTCAAGAGTGTTCATTGATCCACTCTCAGAAATTCCAAAATTGGAAAAGTGGTTTGGCGAAGACACGCATCCAAGTTCGTATATGATCGAAAAGTATACTGAAGAGTTGAATAGAAGCGAATACAGACATAGATTTCCCAGATTGGAACCGAAAAATGTTCAATTATGGTTTAAGAACCATAGAGCCAAGGTCAAGAGAGCGAGGCTGGAATTGCCCAGTCAGAATTCGGATTTAGTTCAGGACGTTTAATTACGTACTTTTCACATCTGCACAGTTTTTGCACACTTACAAAACTAGTCCTGCTCTGCGTTCAATTCAGAGTGCAAAAATTTTTTTTTTGTTTCTTTATGTTTACTTACATATACAGTATATATATATACATATATTAATATATATATATATATATATATATATATATATATATATATATACTAATATATACATATATATATATTTAAGAATGTATAAATAACAACATTAATATATATATATATTAATGCGTATGAAATTCAAGATTATATATTTATATATTGTTCCCCGTAGACGTTCAGCGTTTTCTATGATGTTTTTTAACCACGTGTTCATTTATTTCCCTCATTCCAGATTTTCTTACATTCCATATTAAATTAAATTGTACATATACGTGTCGTTACGTTATTATTAAATAGGTTAAATAAAAATTGCAAATTGTCCTAGTACATTTTGGGTCGAAAAAAAAAAAACAGTTTTTTTTTGGCTATTTTAATCTCATTGCAGATTGTTTGTTTAAAAAAACAAAACAAAAAAAAAAACACACAGACTATTTAGTTGTTATACTTTATATTAATTTAAATTTAATTACCATCAATTGTCAATTTTGCTAACAACTTACCTTATTAATTCTCCGACTAAGCTAGATTAAGTGTTTATTTTTAACAACTTATTCTGTTTTATCCCTCTAAATATTTTTATTTACCTGTATTTAATTGGATGGGCGTCGGTGATTAGGGGGAAAAAAACCTGCTTTATTGGGATGAGTATCAGATGAGAAAAAGAGAGAAAAAGAAACAAACGGAGAGAAAATTTTTGAATGCTTTTGAAAAATATTTTTTTTTCCTTATTAATTATTATAATTAAACAATACTCGTTAATTATCGCCACTGTACATTATCTATATATATATATATATATACACCATATATATAGAAGGAGACACGTGCGTTTTGTTAAGTAATGTACAGCAGTTATAGATATTCAGTCGTACGAGTACTGTATATTTGTATAGGATTCTATCCTTTTTCATTATATTTGGTTCATATGTTTTACACTTAAAAAGTATGTTGAATATTTTTTGAATAGAATTAATGTCGTTAACTTTATTGGCTTTTTGAGTTGTTAATGTACGACGAATATACGACCTATCTTTGTAAAATCGTTTCAAAGACGTTATTTATTGAGAGAAACTTTCTTATAAACTACACCGATATTTCTATTTAAAAGTCTCTAATAAAAAAATTTACCGAATCGTCATAGCAACATACCTCTACACCTTATTAATTCGCGCCTAATCTGGATTAGACGTCCGACAAGTGACGTTAATCCGCTTCGGATTTGATTCATCCATAACGTCCTTTAGACGGATTCATTTCGGATTTGATTAATTAGGTCGTCGTGTATAAGGCTTGAAATACCTTTCCTGCATACCTTATATTTAATAAAAAGTCAAAAAGGCTCATAACCTTTTAAGATGTTTATGCATTTACCTTCGAATGGACATAGGCCTAAATTAAAAAAAATTACCAAAAGATACAAAGATAAATTATATGACTATATACTGGCGTTTGTGTGTATGATTGTATATACAGTATATATATATATATATATATATATATATATATAAATACCGTAGAGTGTATATTAACATGTACTTCTTCAATGGTGATGCGTATTTTTAAATGGGCTTCAATGGCTTTCTTTTTAAATGATGATCTATATTTTCTATAGACTCAACGACAGTAAAGAATGGTCTGAATCGAATGTTGCGGCAGCTGTAAAATTTTTATTGTCCAGAGAAGATATTAACCAAAGTCTTCTAGCTAAAATTTCCCCACTAAGTCAGGTAAGAGATACAGATGGCGTTATTATATTTAAATGAGGGACATTCTTTTATTCATTTCCCTAAATGCGGGTATTATTTCTAATTATACCTTGTTCGAATAAACAAATACAGTCAACTATTTCAACAATTGCAAATGGTAAGGCGAGCATAACAGCAAAGAAATGTAAAGCATTTGGAGAATGGTATATGAAGTTCATTCAAGACGGTATTTTTTCAATATGATATAATCTGCATACCTGCTTATCTTAAATATGCATATATATATATATATATATAATATACGCCTACCCCTATATTTTCCATATTTAGCCAAAGAAGCGTCTACTAGTGGTAAAATGATTAAAAGGGAAACGTTTCGTTCTACCGAAATACCTAAATTAAGAGAATGGTTTAACGTAAATAGAAAACCGTCAATGGCAGATTTGGAGAAATACCGAGATATATTAAATAACGGCCCAGCCAGAATAGATAAGTATAAAATAACAGTTCAGAAACTTCAGGTATATAGAAAGCTTATATAAAAAGTCCATAAATAAGTTTATACGTAAATTTTGATAATAAAATAGGTTTGGTTCAAGAATGAGAGGCAAAAGGAAAAAATATCTGAAGGTAAGAAATGCTCAGATAAAGATGACAAATGTAGCAAAGAAGGAAAGTCTGAAGAAACGGCTAACGATAGACAACAAACTTTAGCTCAATTAGGTCTAGGTTCGCCAGAATTTACAATGGATTTTGGTTTGGAAGAAGTTCAAAAGTTCGCCAGTTTTTACGATGACTTTAATCTAAATGGATAATAATGCCGATGGGTCATCACAATGATGATAATGATGTAACTTTTAATGGTTCAACTCTCTTTTTATTGTTTTTTGTTTGTTATGCATTTTTTTGGAACAATTAGTGACAACTTCGTAATTGTAAACAAATCTACCGTTTACTTAAGAATAAAAACGTCTGCTTTTAGACGGAAGATAGATTTCTATGCGTTGAAAAAAACTAAGGCGAAAAAATAACACTCTTCTTTATTGCGACAAAAAATGTTTATCGGTTTTTATTCTTCATATTATCGAAACGTTATTTTCGTTTATCTCTTCCTCTTTTCTTATCTTCTGTGAGTGATTTTATGGGTTATTTGAAAAATAATATGATAGAATGATTTAAGTTTGTATTTCGAAAAATAATTAAAATATGTATTCTTAATTAAAACATTCCATTTTCCCATTAATAAACAGAAAGCTCAAGACTTCGTTGAAAAGGTTGGTAAAGAGGTTCACTAATTAATAAACACATTCCTAAATAATGCAGGTTTACAAAAGAGTTTGCAGATTTCGAAAGAGTCAATTTGTACAATAGACAGAAGAAAAGTAAAATGTTTGAAGGTATCACAAATAGGCACTAAAGTTTATTAACTTTCTTGATCTTCCGTACGAATTGATGAAAACGGCAAAGTCGTATCATCCTCCATATCTTCCGCTATACTACTACAATCTTCATCAATGCTCTGAAATTAGAATTTTATATATAGAGAGATATACTTTATAAACTAAGCCTAAGACGAAATAAAACATCATACAGTAACTGGACTTGGCACATGAAACACTCCTTTGGAACGTCCTCGTTTGTTGGAACTTTTTGCAGATTCCATTGAAAATCTCATCTTGCTAATCATCCAGTCTGGCACAGAAAACGCAGCTAATGATCTTATATCAGTTTTGTCAAGATCTCTATTAACGAGTCGATGAGGATGGGGAAGGGAATAGAGGAAATAAAGAGAAAATTAATAATCAGTAATAAATATATTGTATATGTGGAATGTATGTAAATAATTTTACTTGTATTCATCCATATCGACGATTCTGTCGACATCTTCCTGAAGAACTAAATATGCCCTTCCGCCAGTGGCGGGCATTAATTTTTGCTGATGAAGCCATACTTTATCATCCGAATCGGCGCAGTACTATTTAGAATATAATTAATATTTAACAATAAATATGTAAATTATAAGTAGAGAAGGTGAAAAACGAGAGCGAGAGAGAGGAAGATTGATAGGAGAAAAACATTTACAAAATAGACGATGTATAATTAAGAATTTAACCTTAAATATATCTGGATGTTTTATGTACATTCGGCCCCTTGTTGCACCATATCCTAGAGCTTTATTAGCTTTTGCGCCCATTAAGAAGTGTGTTTCGGTCGTTAAATTTTCCGGCTCCCACTGTGAATTTAATGAAGATATTTTTAAATAAAGAAAAGAAGAGAAAATAAAAAAAAAACTAAAATTATTATTAGATTGATTAAAGTACTTACCAAGCGTCCTTCTCTAACGATTACTTCTTTCATCTTGTGTAACCTAAACGGAGATAGTTTATTTTGCATATTATCAGAATTAATACCGTTATTACTACTGTTAAGAAGGCTCTGATCCGATTCATACATGACTCTAAATATGCACTATACAACTTGGGACTAGACAGATCAAATACTTTGAACTACTCCTTAGTTGTAAATACTACATTTTTAGTACTTGTACCGAGATGATTGCTTATATTTAATCCTTACAACGAGTTATATATGATTTTTCTTAGAAATAGATATTAACTTACTTGTGAAGTAAAGGTCTGCCGACTTTCTTCTGTTAATAGTAAAAGAAAATATATATTTAAATAAATTTATATATATGTATATATATATATATATATATATATATATATATATATATATATATATATACAGTATAAAGTATATTTTGAAAATGAATTATTAACCTTTTTCTTAGGAATTTTCTCTATGCTTGGAGAAGGAGAGGGAGAGACTCTCCTACTCCTCTTCTCAAAAAGTTGTTTCTTTCTTGCCCTAACTGATTTATTCTCTGATATATCTGACGTAGAGCTGTCAGATACGTCGGCAATTGTGTGGTTTTCGTCATCCTTTACTGGATATAATCTTTTTGACTGTAAAATTTTCAGAATGGTAAATATATAATGAGCAATAAAAGACAGAAAAAGTTTCATCATACATTCTCTAACAAATTCCTACAAAATGAATTCATCCATTGTTCAATTTGATCATCGGTAGCTTTTAGATTTATTTTCATATTGGCCACAGCTAAGTTGATTATTGACTATAAAAAAAACATATGAAACAGGATTATGGGATACTTCGATAATCAATTAAATATGAATATAAGCGATTTTGTTTCTTTTTAACGTACATTTTGGAATTCTTTAACAAGTGAATTTAATTTATCATCAAATAATTTTTGAACAACAACACGAATAGCCTCGAATATTTCATCTCCGTCGGTAATAGAGCCAGCACTGCGAAATTTTAACCATTTTATTAATTCATAAATGTCTAATAATTAACAAGAGTTGTTTTTCACAAAAATAGTACCTACCTTGCCCTATTTATCGCATGTTCCTGATGTTTATTATACAAGTGGGATGACATGGTAGGAGAGGGAATGTTATTGAGTATCATTTGACGTTTATTGTAAAATTTGTACTTTTCCTTTTAGGCGTAATAGTTTGAAAGAAAAAAAAACACAAGAGTTACTTTTTTTATAGATAAAAGAAATTAAATTTTTATCAGCTCACCTCTTCAAGGGGAATATTTGCTTGATGAGATTTTTGACTATCTTTAGTCTTTTTTTTCTCGGGTTCTACTCTTTTCTCGGTCTTTTCATTTACAACTGCTGCTGTTCTCTTTGATGACGACGACGACGACTTTGAGTCATCTTTTTTCATTAATAGCGACGTCAGTAAAGGTTTATTTTGATAATTGTTACTGCTGGGAGCCTCATGACCTTTGGCACTATCAAAAGCATCTTTTTGTGCTTGTGAGTAATTGACCTTAGGATCTACTGTCCGTCCAAAATGGTGATTTTCCGGAGTTATGTGGATTATAGGAATTCGAGCATGAGCACCATAAGCTGGCAAAGGAGCAGATGGAACTCGATTCTCTATCGGCGTATAATAATCTAAACGTCTAGGCTCTGGAGTTACGCTAGTTCTGTAGGGAGGAATTTGAGGAGCTGGAATGGGACGCGTCAAATCAATCGGACTGGATTGAACGGGTGCATATTGGTGCGCGGCCGGAAGGTGTGCGGCTTGAGGGTGTTGCGGAAGGAATTGTGATGCAATGAAACTGAAAAGAATATTGAATAGAATCATTAAAAAAAAGAAATATACATTTGGGAAGAACATTGTATGAAAGAATACTAATCAGTTTGATGATTATTTTTGTAAACATTAACGGTATCTGATAACAGCCACGCTAGTCATATTTTGTGACATATTTTGCGTAAAAACAATTTAAACTTGATCATATTATAAGAGACCTAATGGTGTCTATACTCTGACTAACAATACCAAATGAATTGATAAAAATCAATTAATGAAAATGTAATCTAACAACGCGTGGGAGTTGTCAGTTACCCAGTTACGTGTTTTTAAGACAGGCAACAAAAACTAAAGTTGATTTTTGCTCGGGCAAATTCAACTGAGGGCGGATAAATTCACTAAAACTTCTTCAAAGTCTTAAGTTTTCTTCACTCAAAATAATAAGCGAGGAGTTATTAATTTAATCAACATCGCCTACTTAAAACCTTTAATAGGTTTTCTGTGCATCATTGTCTCACTTTTTCTTACGGGTAAATCAAAAGATCGTTCTATATTAAACATGTAGCCTATATAAAATTAGGGTGATTTTACTTTGTTACCTTTGGAAATTGTTAACATTACGATCCATCTCGGGTTCGTCGTAAACTTCCGGAAATTACGGTAATAGTTATCTCGTATTAGACTGAAGATTTCTTTTTTGATATTTAAAATTTTCAATCGTTGAAATTCAATAATATTGTACAAAATGTGGTGTTGAATTCTTAGCATTATGGTAAAAGTACGAAAATAACTCGCGTCAAATTCGAAAATCACGTGTTTCCTTATAAAAGTTTTTATACTATTTTTGCAAAATCTCTTATTTTCTCCCATATAAGCAAATATTCATTATAGGCATTTTCCTTGGGAGTTTATAAGAGTAATAACGTGCACTAAATCTTGGTAAATTTCTCTTTAATCAAATGTTAATTTGAGTATAAGACGACAAGAGCGTCCGCCATTGTCAAAATAAAACTAAACAGTGTACCAAATCGATTAAAATAGAAGATAGCTGAATGTTTTTCGAAATTTGATAAGTCCTAATCGAAAGTATTAATAGATCTCGAAATGCTCTCGAATAAATTGTTGAAAATTCAAAATTTTAGTCTTCCATTACGATTACAACGTAAAAATTTAACTTCCCCGTCTAACTATAATGGTGGGCTTTTATTATAAATGTTCTCCTCGCGTTCCTCGTTAATTAACGTTTTCTATCCAGGACTACTACAACTTTCAGAAGAAGTACTTGAAGCAAAATCTAATAATAGGCCAATCGTGGCTCTAGAAAGTGCGATAATTACCCATGGAATGCCATATCCCGCTAATTTAGAGTTTGTTTTTATAAATAATGTATAAGTTTAGTGTTTTATTTAAGTAATGCAACGTAAAAAGGACAGCGTTAAAAGTTGAGAGCAAAATAAGGCAAGCAAATTCTGTACCAGCAACTATAGGCATTATGGATGGCAAACTTAAAGTCGGTTGGTAAACATATTAATTCTTAAATATTTAGTCATTTCGTCTTCAATAGTTAAAATTAAAAGGGCTTATAAATCCTCATCAATATTATTTAATGGTTCGTAGACAGTACCATTTTCAGATGTATTCAGAAGCGTTTGCATATCTGATTTATTTCGGTTGTTCCTGTTGCTTCTTCTCTTGAACCAGCAATCCATCAGTAAATAGGTTATAAGCATTATTGTAAAATTCAAAGCCAAATGGTAACCATACATAGCAATCATGAAGTCAACGTTACGGTGATCATCTCTGGCCCAGTATTTATTGTCATCGCTAGCTGTATTCGTTTAAAATAGAAACTTGAAAACCTATTGAAGCCTAACCCTCTTACTTAATACTTACCAGGAAATTTTGAATGAACATCGTACAAGACAAAAGGTGTGTGTATAAACCAGGTTCCCAAAATCATAAGAAAATGTATCCTCGCACAACTTAGGATAAAGCTTGCTTTCACATACATTTCCAAAACTAATGAAATGCTCAAGGCAATTAAGTTGAAAACAGGTAGCAAATGAATGATGTATTCAAGGGGCAATTTTCCTGTTGTATTATGAGAGATATTTATTAGCCAATGTCAATTTTTCGAGAAGTATATTCAAGGAGGTATATACCTTTCATATTTGCGTGGAAAAAAAAAGAGACGCCGTACCAAAAGACTGCAAGCGATAGTGTAGCAACACCTAAATTTTTTGGCAAGCTTTTAAAGCGATCGTAATATGTAAGTATATCGACTATTGAATGTAAGATGAATAGTGTATAAATGGAAACATGCTGTACTTTGGCCAATCCCTTAAAATTATTATCCTTATCCAACGATACGAATCCATCCAAGAATTCAACGGTCGCTCCTGTAGGCGTTTAGAAAGTTTGTATTCAATTCATAAATATTATTATTCAAACGAACCAAATATACAAAACGACATTTTTAAGATACTCTCCAAAGGTACAACTCTTCGGCATATTTTAGTAGGAAAGCTCGCTCCCTGCGCCTCATATTGTCTACCTTGTCTGACTGACTGGTAGGATAGGAAAGATACGATAATTTGATGTTAGGCTAAATTTTAAATTACCTCTAAATATCGACTAAATATCTTGAACATCCACCAATAAGCGAGAACTAAGAAGAAAGAGGCTTCATCAACATGACCCCAAAAGGAACCCATATTTAAAGCAGACTTTTGTTGAAAAAATAAGACAGAAATTACGTCCAAATATAAACTCTTTGACTCTAATGAGTTCAAAACTGTCTTTTAGCTTTCCTTTCTGCACGCTGTAGATATCTCCTTCGTTTGACCTACTGACGATTGATCAATATAACTTTTAGATTAGATTATAAATATTATCAATGTTTATTGTTGTAGCTAAAACAGGACAATTGTGGCAAAAGTTGCATGGAAATATGTATAAAATTCAATACTAATACCTAGGTAGTTCAAACAACTTTAGATGAGGAAAATGCGCCTAATTCCTATTCTCGTCTTTCAATCATAATGTTACAACTGACCTATAATCCCGTTTTCTTAGACTTGTGATATTTTTTAGGATTAGCCTCTCATGAACTTGAAACTTTAGCTAAATCTTCAAATTCCGTCAAAGTATCGAGAAGAGATTTATCATACGCCTTACTTAAAGTATTATACTTTTAATACACTTAACTCTCATTAAAACTATGATGATTTTATTTCTCTTTCCTTACATAGCGACGACCTGGTGGTAGCACAGTATCAGCTAGTATAATAGCAGCAAACCTGGCGGGCATTGATGTTTTTGTTACTGGTGGAATTGGCGGAGTTCATAGAGAAGTTGAAAAATGTTTATATCTAACAATCCTCTCTTTTTTTATATTATTAAATTTTGGCAAATTCCATAGCTCTAGATATAAGTGCTGATTTAACTGAGCTGAGTAGGTCGAGAATTGCAGTTGTTTCTGCTGGAGTTAAATCAATTTTGGATATAGAAAAAACTCTTGAATTTCTTGTAAAAAAGAAAATTACTAATTAATTTTTGTAAATAGAAAATACTGTAAATCTTTTCTTGTTTGTTTGATTTAGGAGACGATGGGTGTTTTTGTGGCCACTTATCAAAAAACACAATTTCCCGCGTTTTTTACTTCAAATTCGGATTCTAAATCACCTTATACTTTTGAATCCTCAAAGGAAGCGGCTGAGATTTTCCGTATATTCTTCTTTATTATATTAGAGTGTATTGTTCTTTTTATAAAAGCATTTTATTAACCTTTTCCTAGATAAACAAAAAGTTTTAGGTCTTCGCAGTGGTTGCTTATTTGCGATTCCGATACCCGAGAATAATTCAATTCCTAAAGATTTCATTGATAACGCCATTCACTCTTCCATGGATGAGATTAGGTATTTAAAAAAAGTATAAAATATCTTTTATACACTTGGTAAGTTTCTGAACAGAGAGAAAGAAATCAAAGGAAAGGAAGTAACTCCGTTTTTACTGACAAAAGTAAAAGATTTAACAAGAGGATTATCATTAGAAGCTAGTATCCTTTTTTGGTATATTAAATATTCGTAATATTATCTTCATGATCTTTTTTTGTATCTAACAACCAAAATCCTTAACTGAATTTTTAAAGACATAGCACTAATATTAAATAACGCACAAATTGGCGGAGAAATAGCTTGCGAATTGAAAAACCTAGAATCCTAAAAGTGAGTAGATTCAAGATAAGAATTGAAATAAATGAATAAAAACTATTGCTAATTCTATTTATTTATTCAGATTAGGCAAAAAACATTGTGATAAATTGATTTATTTCCTGTTAGAATGATAGCTTCACTTTTTATTAAATTGTATCCATTTTGATACTTGAATGGATTTATGGTGGATACTCTGTTTTCTTCCTAAGAGCTTAGATTTAAAAAGTATCATTCATTTGGCCTAGTACCAAATAAAAAATAAAAAATTTCGTTTTTCAAGTCAATCACTCTTTAAATTTATTCTGTAATTAAAAATATCAACTAAAACTATGTTTAAAGTGGCTTTGTTTACCAAACCATTGTTATCAAGTAGTAGATGCTTCAAGTTTAAAAAGAATTAGAGCCGATAAGCTAAGGTTTAAGAATTTCATCATCAGAATTTTCCGAAAGTAGGGGCTCTGCATCGAAAGATCTCTTTTTCTTTATGCAGGAGCACGGCATTAGAAGGCATGTTCTAAGGACAATCAATACACCAATGCATATAATAGATACAATAAAACAGGGTAAGTAATGACGCCTGGAGTGAACTATATTGCGTGCAACAGACTGTATGAAATACGGGAGACATCCTCTTTTGGAAATTATATCACTCATATTATATTGCTGAGTCACAATTCTGCGTCCATAGTTGTCATACTTTTCCTGATGATTGTATCTATCTTCTCCAAAGCACATTGTGTTCTGTTGATATTTGGAGCAAGATTCAGGTATAGTTTTCCAATCTTTATACGAGAATATTCCACAACACGGGCACTGTTCAAGTAAAGGAAAAAGTTGATTGAAAAAGCCAACTTGTAAAATTAATCACACTTACATTTAATTGAACAGCCTCCCAAGCGTTTCTCATACTGTAGCTAGCAAAGCCATCTGTGTCGGCTACTTTCACAGAATAGCGAAGGCTATTAATAAGTCTATTACTCTCCTGATTATAGAAATAAATAGAAAAAGTTAGTCTTCATTTTTAAAAAAGATAATGTTTTGAAATAATTTACTCTTTCTGTAATTAAATCTGAGTCATATATATCTCTGGATTGTACCATTCCCAGTCCAGCTCCGTTAAGAACAATACAGACAACTAATAATCCAATAAACTAAAGGGTAATAAAAACAATATCACTACATGATTGATAAAGAATATTTGCATAAATATATACTATATATAAATTGTTATAGCACTTACTGTTGCATAGTCCCTCTTTTTGAAAAAGACTACGATCATGCCAACAACTGAAACTGAAAGGGTTAAAATTCCGCAAGACAAAAATAAATAATCGGCCACTGTCCAATGGATAAAAACTGATCTGTCCAATAAATCATACCAACATTTTCGATTGTAATAATTGCCAACTTGCGCAGAATATCTGAAAATTGCATTTTGTTTTTATTCTCCAAATATATTAATATATAAACTTGAGCAGAATTTGTTGAAAACTAACCTGCAACCGTGTGATCTACTAGGTGTTTGATCGAATTTCATCAAACCCAAAGAAATCAGAATTGCTATTCCGAATACGGCGCCCAAGATGTTTAGGAACATAACTACTCCATATTTTACTTTTTTCCCATCAAGTGACGGTGTTTTCAAACATCCCATTGATGGAGCCTGTGTCATCTCTTTAGGATGTTGTTTTAAATTTCTTGTTTGTAGACTACATCGTAGACCGCAAACGTCCAAAACACAAAGAAGCCTTTGAAATCCATTAGGATCCTTTTCCATCTCTGCCTCAGTGTTTGTGTCCATATTAGCTCTCTTCAAATAAGTTCTAATTCCACGCGTACCAATTTAAGTAGTTCGTGAATCTACTTAAATATGAAAACCATAGTAGTGACATCTGTATAATATTATTTGCTTTTTGTATTCAGTTGTCTTGATTTAACCTTATACAACAATATACTTAAAAAATATATGTAACATTTTTGTCTGAATATAATGTAATGTAAGCCTATTTATAGCAAAAGGACCTCCTTTTTAAGATTTTAGAGATGTCGCAATAGAGTAAAGTTTTACGAAATAGTAATGTGACTCATACTCGTTGTTTACGAAGTACGTGTACATATTTCAAGTTTTGAAAAGCTAACTAATTCAATAGGTGTCTTTATTGAGTAAATAGAAGAATCTATCACACTTAATCCCGCCTTGTGAAGATATTTGTTAAAAACGAAATAAAAACAAAGATTTCATTCTTTTCCTTCCGTTTTCTTCAACTTGAAAGTTGAAATTCTTAAACATTCGTTCGATCATAATTACTTATGAAACAAAATTTTCATTGGAGTTGAATTCAAAATATTTTGAATAGGCTTAGAGAAAATCAATGTTTCTTAATGATTGGACCATGCGTCTCTTAAAAAGTTTAAACAGGTTTTCCATAAAATTCTTGCTAGATAATAAATCTTTCGCATTTGTCACTTAAAAAATATAGATTATTGAAAATTAACTATCTTTGCCGCTCAAGGTGATCGTTTGAACAACATTAGTCTTTTTATAAACTTACAATATCATCAATTCACTACTTTTACTGTCTTTCCCGTATTTAGACAGTACTCAGTCCAAAGATTCACATGAATGTAATATCGCTCATTGCTACCAAATAAATTTTAGAGGATGTTCTCCCGCAAATGTCATAAAATCTTGTTAAATTTTGCTACAAATTCAAAATTTAATAGGAAAATTTCAATTTCCAGTAAACGTTTATTTTTTATAGTTATATAAATAGTTTACAAATACTAGAGAACACATATAGATATTATATTGTAGATACTATATCCATAATATAAATATTCTACACTATTTAGTTTCTGGACAAAAGTCAAACGGGAGAATTTATCCATCTTTCAGCTCAAAGTCTTTAGCTAACTTTTTAGCGAAAAAGTAAGAAAGGATAATTATAAAATAGATTAAAAAATTGTCCACTGAATTATTAAAGAACAGGTAATTTTTCAACAAACAACACCAATGAAATTACCAAAAAAGCAGTAAGGTTCTATGTCAAGTTCTTTTTGAAGCTTAAATTAAAAGAGATCAACGTATTTTGCAGATTGTAATCGGCGGAACAAACGTCGATTTCACTGCAGTCTTTGGAACATCTAACGTCAAAGTAATACTTATTAAACAAAGAATTTTTAATTATTTAATCAACTTGATCACTAGGAAGATGGCGCTACATATCCAGGTACTGTTAGATATAACTTTGGTGGAGTTGGAAGAAACTTAGCTGATTGCTTGACGCGACTGAATGCCAATATACAATTTATATCCGCCATCGGAAATGACTATTTTGGCGAGAGCATTTACAATAAATGTAATCACATGGTAAGAATGAAAAATGCCAATATAAGCTCATTAAATTCATAGTTCATTTTCCATGTTATTATCTATCGTGTTTCAAAAAGAACTTTGACAGCATTCTGAGGTCAGAAACAAATCGAACAGCAACCTATTGTGGTGTATGTAAAAGCGATGGAGAGGTTTTGAATGGTATTGGTGATTTCGATATTCACCAGATAATCACTCCAGATTACGTAATTATAAGAGAATTATAGAAGAAATTGCAGAATAATTGTCTAATATACTGTTCTTTATTCCATAGTTGCAAACCTTTGAAACAGAATTAAAAGAAGCTAGTTTGGTGTTTGTTGATGGCAATATTCCAAAAGAATCAATATCGTATATATGCAACGTTTGTCAAAAAGCAAATACTCCTGGTTTGTCATTGAATAACTTATGATCTTTATAGTTCTTTCATAGAATATATCTCATTTCAAAAAGTTTGGTTTGAACCAACCGATTTGAATTTGGCTTATAAAGGATTGAATTGCAATTTTACTTATACGTCACCAAATTTGGATGAATTGAGGGCCATGTCTCCAAGTCCGCAACCTTTAGGTAGTTAATTTAATTTTATCTGTTGATGAATATTTTTTTTTATCTATCTTCTGAATAGGGAAGTTATTTAAAAAAGACAATGTTAATCTGGCCGCATCACTGGGGAATAATTTGTTAAACTCCATTCCAAATATATTAATAACTTTAGGAAAACATGGTGTTCTGCTTTGTCAAAGAAATGAGGTAGTTGTAAAAATTTCGAATGTAGCTGAGCAATCTCTCCTATAATTAAATAGGTATCATTCAACAAAAGAACATTTAGGTACTTTCCGGTTAAAGAGTGTACAAACGTTGAAAATGTTCTAGGAGCGGGAGATTGGTAAATAAATAGATAAGCCTAATCTCAAGTAATTTTTAATTAACGATTTCAGTTTGGCTGCAACGTTTGCCTATCATCATATTTTACAAGATATGGACGTAATAAGTTCAATGCAATTGGGGTTATTGGCTGCTCAAATATCGTTGACGTCCATAGAGGCTGTTTCAGCAAGTATAGTTAATATCAATTTAGAGAAATCTAAGGCAATATTACTTGAAATGGAAACCATAGCAATTGAATAAATATTCCAATATTTCTGTATTTCTTTTTTCAAAGTTAACGTTTTTCTATTGATTACATCAATTTAATTGTTGTTTTTTTATACCTTAATTGATCTTAAGGTTAGAGTGTTTAGTTAATACACATATAATAACAACAGTTAGTGTATTAGAGACTTGCAAAACTGCAATATATATATATTTTACAGTATATAGACTGAATAGAATTTATAGAAGATATCAGGTACTAAAGTGAACTTTTTGTGTAATATGCACGTATAAAATATGAATTTATTGATTTTGTAGGAGAGTTAAATTTCTGCTTAGTCTTTTGGCGGTATAATAACAAATATAACAATTGTTGCAACTCCCAAACCAATTGTGAATACCCAAAATAGAGTAATGTCCATCCAATCCGCTATATCTCTTTTTTTCTCCTTCACTAACTCTCCTACAGATTTAAAATTTGACAATAGACCTCTATTTCCATTCTGGTCCGGAATATTTTCCTTAGATGGTTGATCTTTGAAATATACCTTCACAAGGAAGATAGAAATAATCAATGCTATCCACATAGCAATGACGATAACAGTAATATACGATACAAGCATTGGAGCTTGATCCGAGTTCCTTGGTAAAATATTATTAAGAGCTGTTAAAAATAACACAAATGCTAGTAGACTGGTCATAGACATCATAATTCGTTCACTACTCTCTGGAGGAATAATAAACGTAAAAACCGATACTAAAGATAAGATGACGCAAGGTAAAAGAATCACTAAAATATAGTATAAAGGTTTGCGCTTAAGAGTTAAATGAATGTATACTGAACAGTATTTGTAGTCTCTGTTCGTTTTAGTTTCGATATTTGTCACGTCTGTGTACTCCAATGTCCATTCTCCATTAGGTTTAAAGAAACCTAAGTCAATCTCTGTCAAGTTGCTTTTAATATCGACTTCATCACAAGTGTAGGTCCAAGAAGAAATCACCACTTTACAGGTATGCTTGTCAAATGGAAAATAGAATAGATTAAACGAACAAACTGTTGTTAGTTGACCAGCTGGTGCGGCGGTGACAATACCATCATGATTTACAATCACATGAAAATATTCCTGATATTGTTTATTATAGAAATCTTTTGCATTATTTTCCTGTATAAAATCAGGTTGCCAAACATATTTAGATGGTATCGTTATCTCTGAAATATTGTCAAAATTCTTAGGTCTCCAAGACAAATACTCATCCCTCCATTGCTGAATTTATAAAAGAAAATTTGACTTTTAATAGCTTTCAAATGAAAAGCAAATAGTAAAAGGCCTTAAGTTTTATTTACTTATAACGTTCGCTTTTATTTGACAACTTACCTCTATTCTCTATTTGCTAAATATACAAAACTTACAATAAATACAAGTGTACACAGTATATACTATATAGCATGTATCTCTCTTTTGAATACGTACCATAGACTGCCAAGCAAACAATTCCAATTTGTTATTTCTTTCATCCACCCCTTGTATTTCGCTTAATTTAAAGCCGTATTTAACTGTAACAGGCTGCGAATGATTAGCAACTGGACGAGATCTTTTATCATAATCAATCATTAACCATCTTATTAATCTCTTTTCCGGATTATATTTGGCGGATAATGCTAATTGAAATGATACTAAAAATAATATGGTTCGTATCATGCTTAACTTTACAAGGTACACATCAACAATTTACCAATATATATTAAACAAGTTCTTTGTTAGTTATAGGAAGTGATGTTGTACTCGGCGCGCTTTATGGACTTCCTACGTTGTTAGAATTAAATTTGTAAAAATGGCGAATAGCAGACCGCTTGAAACTCAAGGACTCTCATCAAATAATAATGTCGAACAACAACAAATCGCTCAACTGCAACACCCGGTAAGTTTTACACTCGAAAATATTTTATCTTTATAGTTTGATAATTTTTTCATTGAATTCTATTTAAAATTGCATATACTGAGAAAAATTGAGCGATAATATGAAAATGACACTTTTTAGGCAAAGATGCAATTCACAAAAGAGGAATTACTGACTCTAAAAGAATGCAACAGAGAAAGTTTCTGGAAAAGATGTAACTTTTTTACTCTCTGAAAATTTAATGTTATTAATCATTCGTTTTGACATTCAAAAGGTGTACCATTCAGTATTGGCTTGATGACATGTACACAATATCTAATAAATGCAGGTTTGTATTAAAGAAATTATAGATGATCTTCAATTATGAAATGAAGTATGGAAAATTGTTTGTAGGGTATCTATCAAAGAGCCCAAGATTTGGGTCAATGATGAAATTGACAGCAGCTGGCTTGATAGGATACATAGGTGGAAAATTTTCGTATCAAGGAAAATGTAGAGAAAAAATTTTAGCACTAGAAAATAGTCCTTTAGCAGATGCAATGAGAAAACGTGGAACTGGTTTTATGCAACAAATGTAACAAATCTATTTTCTTCTCATCGCAGTTTTGCTATATGATGCAATAGTGAAATATCTCTTGAAATCTTAATTTTTTTAGGTCTGTACCAAACTCTGCTGCAAACTACCCTGAACCTGGGTCAGAAAAATTAAAGGATGAATATTCATCTAACGTTAGTGTGGATATGGATTCTAACAAAAAGTACGCTGGTTTAAATGATGCTAATCGTCCTACCATAGAAGGTGAATAATTCTAAACTGAATTTCAATTATTAAATTACACTATTCTCAAAAATCTACAGGTGATAACATTTTTCAAAAACAACGACTAGAACCACTTCAAACTGAAACTGTCACAAGAAGTTATGACGATCTCAGGAAACAAAATAGAGAAGACTATGCAAAAAAAATGGCATCGGGTTGGAAATCTGCAGAGCCTGCAACGAGAAAAGAAGAGCCCTCAAGAGAGAGATCAGGCTAGTATTATTTTTTAGTCTCACTTTAATACAAACTTACATTGGTAATAATCTCTTTTTTATTCATTTATAGACGCAGAACCCAAATATGTCTGGGACTCAGCCCCAAATCGATCAAAGAGTAAGTATTTTTTTTTCCATTTCCCCTTAATTCCTAAAGATTTGTATCTAATCTAGGAGTAAAAACAAATCAATATGGAGATGTCATAGAAGACTAACTTCTCCTTGGAATTCAAAAAACCTGTTATAAACTTGTTTTGTAGTAATTGAATACAATTCGTTGTAAATGATTTCCAGCTAAGCCAAGTTTTTATCAATCAGTAGATATGGTGGATAGCTTATTTGTATACTAGTTATTATACAGGATATACACTATATCTATATGTGTGTATATAATAATGTATGTGAATGTGACATAAGCTTCATTATTACGTATAGTTAGCTGATCTTATCTGATAAACCTACGAATCTACAACCACTCATTTAAATCGGATACTCCCACCGCTGATACCAAATATTTATTGACAGCCTCTTAAAAATATTGTCATACTGATTTATGTTTTGCTTCCAAGTGATCTTATTAATTTGATAAAGTCATTCGCAATTGGATCATGGCCAAAGCTCCTTCGATCATATCAAAAAATGGACTAATTAAACGAATATCAACCGATCAGCGCGAAGACGTCTTATCTAGCTGCCCAAATTTATTCAATTCTGTTGAAGTTGAGCAGGAAAATCAGAATTTATCAAATGCAAACAATCAGTCGAATAAGATGAATCAGCGGGAACGCTGCATTGGAACATCAATTGATATGTTTTTGGATTATAATGACTATCTGGACGAAGAAGAGAGAGCACTGACAGAATTTATTTTTGAAAAAGATAAGGCTAGAGTTAAGTTGGAATTTGAGAAACAATTAGATCATTTGAAAACTGCCACACAGACATTTTTCCGGGAGAAACGAGACAAAGTTAAGGCGCTAAAAAATTCTCAAAAAAGATTAAGTCGAACAATTGAAGATAATCGAAAAGCTTGCAAACTATTCGTAGAACAAAATTTAATGATTCTTTTACGAAGTATTTCTTATACCCCGCAAGAATATTCAATGGGAAAACTTGAAATAACTGGAAAATTAGTAAAGCTAGTTATCATTTATCAATCCGAAATGGCTAATTGTAAAGTTGTCAGGGGGATGTGTGTCAACAATAACGAAATATACATAATAAAATGGTCAAGTTTCCTCCCGACTACTTCCACAATTTGCATATATAATTTAGCAGGCAGTTATGTACGAGATGTGAGCAAAACACAAGCAGAGCTTACGGCGATAGAATCGAAGGACAATGGACTCTTTTATGTTGCCGACATGACGAATAATTGTATCATGCAGTCGAGAGATTGCAAAGAATTCGATCAACTGATAGAAGTCGAATATCCTCAAGGTATAGCCATTTGTTCAGATGGAATTATAATTGCCTGCGACGATCCAAAAACATCTCATGAACATACTGTTAACATTTTTAAATATACTTTCGATGGAGATTTCATTTTCCATTACAAAGACAGATGTCACTCCCTGTACAAAATTTGTTGTTCGGGATATAATTTAATATGTACTCATGATCACGACAACGAAATAATGGTTTTGGATACGGAAAAGAATCAAAAAACCAGATTGATTCTTGAGGAAGGCTATACTCCAATTGGAGTTTGCTCTTTACCAAACGGAGCTTTTGCGATTGCTAATCATAGTAAAATGAGCTTAACAATTTATGATAACACAAGTTTGGAAATATGCGAACTGCAATTGAGTGAAAAACCAGTGCACCTAAGCTTTTATGAAAATGATTCGAACTACTATCTTGTTTGTTACGCAGTATATTGAAGTATGAGAATATTCATGTTTGAGTATTGGCTTCGTTACAATGCATGAATATGATAATTAAATAGAATATCTATATAAATAGATATGTAAAGCCTTATTTTAAAAAAACTGTAGGAAAAACTCATTTTGTAATTATCCAATTTACCCGCTTCGAGTGACCATGACCCTTTTAGCATAATGAAACCGATCTTAACCGGTGAAGAATTTTCGATTCCGTTTCCTGTACTCTAGAATCCAAATAAACTTAAAATTTCTAGAAACCTTCTGGTGCAATTTTTATAAACAAGTACTGCTAATGTTTTAACTAAAATAAGGATATAACTCATAGGTAAGGATTGTGAGGATTCTGTGACAGAACGATTTAAGTATTTTTTCAACCACTATTCAGAAAAATCATGAATGAAGATCATGACTATGCTCAAGACTCTTCATCAAATCAGGATTTGATAAAGAAAATGATGGAAGAACGCTTAAAACCAAGAATATGTCTAAAACGGCTTCATGTTACCAAACCCTATAAATTTAAAACGGAGCCTGCAGTCGGTTCACTCTTTAACAAGCCAGATTTTAGTGACCTCGTTGTTCTGTCTGCTAATCAATCGTTTTATGTCCATAAACTGATATTGGCTGCCAACAGTGAAGTATTTCGACACCTTCTATGTGGTCAATGGGCTGAAAGGAGTCAAAAAGAACTAAGATTGCAAGAGCATGAGGTATGCCAACCTCATGTTGGCAACTTCCTAGAGTTTTTCTATACAGGAAGTGTGTGGCTGAGCTCGAAAACTACTTTGGCTCTATTTGTTTTATCCGACAAGTACGACGTTTCATCCCTTCGGGAAGGTTGCGTCAGATTTTTATTGGACGCCCTAAGAGTAATGACTAGTGATGGTCAACAGCTACCTATTGAAACTTTAGATGTTGATACTCTCTATCATCTGTTAACAACCTGGTCGGCGTGCTGCCCTGAAATTACCTCAGCTGCTAAGTACAATTTAGCTTGTCGCTTGTCGCATGCCCATAGATCATCAAATGATCCATTTATCTCTTCTCTACCAATGGAAGTCCTAATACAATTAGTTCATTACGATAATTTACCTTCCATTGACGAATTCAAACTGTGGCAGACTATTGTTAAACTGATTCAATCAAGACAACTTGATAATGACGTTGAAAGTGAACTACTGTCTGGAATACGATACGGTCTACTAAGTTCCGATCAATTGTACGACGTGGAACAGCATCCTTTGACCCGAACGCATTCAGTCATCGGTCAAATGGTCTACTGTGCTGTCGTAAAATTGGCTTTTGGTTCTAAACATCCAGATGATCCTAGATTTACTGGAAGTTTATTTATGCCTCGTTCACCGTTGCATATGTAATCATATTTGGAATAAAATTTCCGTATCTACTAAGTGACAGGTAAAAAAGTTAATAGCAACTCCAGCCGTCATAGCGTCCAGAAAACGCATCAGGGCATTAATCGAAGTTACTAGCAACTACTTGACAAGTGCATTTAAATATTTAAACGAACAATTTCTTCATATCCAGCAAAGCTTTGTTAATTTCTTTCATCAAATTTTCACTGCTAGTTGTTGAGCAGTCTTTCCAGCTAGTGATGTTAATATGTACTGTTAGAAAAAGAAAGACTATTTAACAATCGATTTTCAAAATGAAGGTCTCTACGTACGTAAATCATCAGTGACTACATTATAGCAAACTCCGTATCCTTCGTGGCAAGATGGTCCAAAACTGCCGCCTGAATAAGGAATATCAAATTTTGGTGGGTCGTACTCAGCAATACGGGTAGGAGTCTGAGATGTGGACAGAATAAATGGCGAACTGAATGCCTGTGAATAAAAATAATTTTTTTGTGAACTAAAGTTTTAATATATTACAATAATAAGATACCTTATCCTGAAAAATAAGCGGTATATCCATACCCAGCTCTCTTGACGCACAATATAATGCAAACAAATGTCTATCGCATCCATCTCCCTTAGTAGCATCCAAACGGAATTGTCCTTGATACTTGATGGCTTCCTTTAAAAAGTGAATTCTTTCCTTATCATTTGAATTTTTGTCATCCATGGCTAAAACAAAGTTCCTGGAATATTGGGATGCAGGATGAATTGTTTCTGTTCTCCCAAGTAAGAATAATCTAGAAGTAGCTGGCTCGTATGTCTTTGGAGTGTGCTTATGCAACCTATTATAAGCCAGTTGGAGCATCATTTGGATATAGCCATCGGGACTTAATTTAAATTTCTTAATCTGCCCTTTGCTATAAGGGGCCAAGAAAGATCGAAGGTCAAAATTTTCAATTATTGTTTTCATTTCCAATTGAGCTGACTCAACACGATTAACCATATGATCATCTAACTCCCAAACTAGTTCAACAGGCGGTTGTAAACTCGTTTGGCCATCGCTTTCCAGTTTTACAACATCGCCATTTTCATAATATTCATTACATAAAAGAAACTCTCCCAAAGTTGTATAAACCCACGCATCAATAAAAGAATGCTCTACATTGCTACCTCCTAAACCGTTATCATAGATGACCAAATTAAAGCCTTTATCGAACCACCTGTTTATAGACAATGAGAATATTTGTTACGGATTAATCACAATTTATAACGAATTAAAAAACCTGTTGAAGCCGTCACCGATAAGAATACTTCTGGATAAGTCATCAGGTGTTTTAGGTTGATAAGTATCCAAATTTAGAACAAACAAACTACTCTCAATATCATCCAAAGTTTCTTTGTTCAAAACGCTTAATGCTTTTCTATCCTAAAATAAAAAATATCATCGTGTTAACGCTAATATAGATAACTATTAACTTAAGGAAAACTAACTTTTGCCCACACAGAGCGGTTTTGTGCAGTTAGAGATGCTACAGCTCGGTTGGCAGTACCCAAACCTATTAAGATATCATATCTAAAAATAAACAAAAAAAACACATTATGCTAAAAAACTTACTCTCAGCCTTTTCAATTATTTTTTGAAGTTGTTGCTTCATTTCGTATGCGGTCAACCTTCGTTTTATATTGTTACATGTAATATAACAATCCAATTTGAAGTAGTGACCCAATCTTATAACAACAATGTGACTAGAGGACGAATCTTTAACAACGCTATCGATATCTTCTCCAGGTACGCGGCATGTTCCGTAAAGGTATCTGTAATAATGATACGTTAGATATTCTTTTAATTACTCTCTTTAATTACCTATAACCGGCCATACAAAGAGGTACCATATCCATGAGCATTACTGGCTTAATTCTATTCTCCATCATATAATCATTATAACTGTAACAAAATGTGTAACGTCAGATACATACTTGTTCAATAAACGGAAAATTACCGTAACATCTGAGTCACAACACAAGCTGCTCTTGCCACATAATCGGGAGTCCTTTCGGGTGTAAGTTTAAAAGAAATAGAATAATTGCTATTCGCTGAAATATTTACAAACACATTTAAATTTACAATTTGATAAAAAAAAGAGTAAAGCAAACAAAAGAAAAATCTATTTAAGAGAGCAACCTGCTAAGCTATTTCGATTAGAGAGGTAAGCAGCCTGAATCCAATAGTTGGATACCCAATTGTCTAGTGTCTTAAATCTAAAAAATGAAAGGAAAATTTAGCTTTCTACAGAAAAAGAATAGAAACTAGAATAGAGCATTCTAGTGCGAAAATTAAAGTATGGGAAGTATAACAACCTCTTATACAAATATTTTTGTAATTTAGGCCCTTCATTTTTACGAAAGGATTCAATAGCGTCTCTCGTTGATTTGTATTCTTCCTCAGTGACAAAATACTGGCTTACATCGGCCCATCTGTTATATAAATATTTGTTACTGTTAATCTGTAATGAACAGGACAAGTGTACTATATATTTCGTTAACCTATTTATTTGGGGTTAAAGATTACACGATAGATAACGATTGTAAAACATACTTATCAAGAGTAACATCCAATGGAGGCAATGGTTGTTTGGGAAGTAATTTCTGATAGCTAAAAGTTTCTGAACGGTAAAAATATTGTAACAACTTGAGGCAAAACGCCCATATCTGTAACACACAAAAAAAAATCAATAAAGCATTTCATCTCCCCAAAGACTAACCTTTGTCTTCGCAGATTTCGGATGAGTTAACCACCCTTGATAGCTCAGACATGCAGCTAAAAGATTTTTAATGCTGATTTCTGCCAATTTAAAACCAGTAACTCCTATTATAAAACCAATAACACACGATATCGTAGGCCTAATAAAAATCGAACGAATCCATTCATCATCCCCAATCGAACCAAGAGCAGTTTTTATGGGAAAGATGGATGGTTGTATCAAGCCACATGCCACTGCACCCGTTAGACCAGCGGTCGACGGCTTGATTATTCGAGAAGCAGTACTTGATTTTAGAATAAAATATTTATTCCAAGACGACATATTGCCGGTTAGAAATCGAATGCTATTCTGCTGCACTGTTCGGTACACCGCAGTGTCCGTATCTAAGTTGCTATTAGTAACAATGTAAATACAGAGCGTTAGTTTACAAGATAATGGATGAAATAGACGGTTATATAACCCCAGGAAGTTCACACGGAGGTAATGCTGAAAAATTTGGCAATGAAGTTAAGGAAAATGGGAATAATGACACTTTAAACAATAATTCTGACGAATATGACGATGATATAGACGAAGAAGAAGAAATAGATGAAGATGAAGATGATTCGGATGAGGTAAAATTAATTATTGCTCCCTTCATTTCACTTAAATTACTAAATTATCAATTAACAGGTAGTAGCTGTTCAAGATGGAATATTAAATGACGATTTCATGGAAAAGGCTCTAAACCATCTGGCAACAACAGCGGAAGGAAGCGGTATAGCGTATTTACATGCAACTCTAACAGTACGTATTCACTGTTTATAAAAATAACTATAATTGATAATCCTTTGTAATATATAGGCTTTAAATCTGGTTGATATCTCTATCATTAGTGAGTACAAGCATTTGCAAAAGATAGACGTTTCCTTTAATAAGTTGTTGAACGTTGAGTGCCTGTCTCAATTACCCCACCTAATTCACATTGATGTCTCTCACAACGAGTTAACATCCATAAGTCAACTCCAGAATATACGCCACCTACAGTATTTGAATGCATCTTACAATAACATTTCATCCATGGAGGACTTTTCCCAAAACATTCTGTTGAACACGCTGATTATGGATTGTAAGTTATTATTATTTTTAATATATTCTGATAAGAGCAAAATATGTGTGTTTACTCATCTATTCATTTATTTACTCCTCTATTAGATAATCAGATAAACGTTATCACTGGATTAGAAAACAATAAGCGATTAAAATATTTCAGTGCAGCCCATAATTGTATTGAATATATTGAAGGAGTAGATTTTTTACCTATAAAGACTTTAATTCTAGTAAGTAAAATAACTTTATTTCTCTGAAAGGTTGATAAAAGATTTATTAAGTTGAGTTTTTTAAACAGAACCATAATAATATATGCCAAATTACAAATTTGGATACATTATCTATGTTAACGAGCCTAAATCTCTCTTCCAACAATTTGAGAAGTTTAAAGGGTTTGGACCACAATGAACTACTTACCATCCTAGAAGTGGACGATAATGAAATAATTGATTTTAGCGAAATATCTCGGTTAAAACTCTTAAGAAACCTAAGATTCTTGACACTTAATAGGAATCCCCTTCTACAATTACCTGATTATCGCTTGGCAGTGATTTATCGCTTGCCTTTCCTTACAGAATTAGATAGGTCTAAGGTAACAATAAAAGAAAGAGTGGCCGCGGAAAATTGTCTAAATCCTCCAATAGGAGTAAGTTCAGCAAGGGAGCATGCAATGCATACTGTATATGCTGTCGCTCAACCGCAAAAATTATTGCACTCAACTTTGGTTAACTCGCAAACTCCTTACCCAATGCTTGTACTCGTCGGACCACATGCGTCTGGTAAACACCAGCTTGCAATGCACCTGGTGGAAGAATTGAAGGATTATTTCAAGTTTGCATTGTCTCACACCACTAGGAAGCCGAGAGACGATGAAACAAATGGCGTAGATTACCATTTCGTCAGTCTTGATGAATTTGAATCGTTAATTAAACAAGGTCGTTTGTTACAAACGTATGAAGAAGATGATGCACTTTACGGCTTAACAATTGATGCAGTAGAAGATGTTGCAAAGGATGGTTTTGCTTGTGTTGCTCATATGGAGTTAGAAGGCGTTTTAACTTTGAAAAAGACGCATTTTGAAGCACGTCTACTTTTGACCATGCCTGCATCTCCCTTTGCTCATGAGAAAAGAATGCGCGATAGAGGAGGCTATTCAGATGAATCTATCGACCGCGTGCTAAAAAGGGCTCATTCCTACGCCGAATACAACAGAGAACATCCAGGTTTTTTCGATCTAGTTATTTGTGATGATGAGCTTGCGGATGCCTATCGGCGTCTCCGAAGGGTAGTTCTAGACTACTTAGGAATAGGCGGAGAGGAGTCTCCATCGGAAACAGTTTCTGCTCTGCAACCAGGTTTCGATCGTGAGTATACTTGGGGTGAAACTCCTATGAGCAGAAATAGTATTGGTCATCTGGAGCGAGAATCTCGTCAGAGGAGACAGGACATGGCTAAAGAAGCTGTTCACGGAGGAAAGCTACCACTTTATGACCGAATTGCTTCAGAAAGGGCTAAAACGGTACCACAATTAGCAACAGAACAGGCATCAGGATTAGGTGGAGACGATTTCGGGAAAGAAATTAGAGTTTACTCGGCTCCGGTTGACAATCTAGACGCTTTACCGCCAAATTCGCCCGATTCAAGTGAATTAAGTAGTGAAGGAACTTCTTCTTTTGGAGATCTGAGTGAAGCTCGTCAATCAGACACCAGCAGTAGATCAGACGACAATATTGACCTAATAAATAATGACGAAGATATAATCGAAAAGGTGGATAGACTGGATTTATATTCAGGGTCACATCACACTATGTCGGGTACTTTACCAGCTCCTCGACCTCCATCAGCTGGTCGACCTGGTTCAAATACGTATCCAGTGTTACCACCTATCTCATCTCCCCCTGTACCCTCTTTGTAAGAATTGAAAAGTTGCGTATGGTCTTACAATATTATTTATTCTGTTCTTGAAACGTGAATATGAAAAAAATAAATTACATAATAGACAACAAACAGTAAGCAAGTGATTTCGTGCAGATGGCGCTCTCCTTGCCCAAACTTTCAACCCTCACACGTCGAAAATCGTTCTTCCGTGTAGGCGAATAGCCCTAAGGGTATGGGTGTCCGATTACAGTACCCACTCGCTCTTTTTCTCTCTTCTGTTTAGCCAGTGGTTGAAAAGTCAGCGTCTACTTTCTGTTTGCCAAACTTTCTTAAGACGGCGTTACGTATTTCTTTGCTACCAATAGTATACATAACGGGATCTAACCACGAATTGCTAAACGCCAGAAGTTTAGCAACACTCCAGTATTCTTTCGATACTGAAAGTCCAGGTACCAAAAGGAGTACAGCTAATGGTATCCACGATATAATGAAATATACAAGCAACACTATAATAGTAGCCATACCCCTTATTACACGTTTTCTCTGAGAGGCAGAAACTTGTGCGCTTTGCTCTGCAAACACTTTATTACTTTGCTTTCGTGCTATTACTAAGATTCTTATATAAAGTCCGGATATGGCCGCAACACTGGGAACCAATATTACTATAGTTGAGGAGAACATAAAACCATCAGGATAGATAACAAGAGGTGTACAGTAATCAAACCAAGGGTATCTTGGTTCATTTTGTACAATCCAAATAACAGTTGGCACAATGCCATACATTAACGGCAATAACCAGGCCAAAGTGCATGAGATTATAGCAAATCTTTTATTCACTATTTGGTTATATCGAAGAGGATACTGAATCGTTATAAATTTTTCCGCGCCAATAATCTGTCGAACAAGTAATGAAATACATAAAAACTACTTATTTTCCATCATTTACCTCGATCCTACATCAAGAAGATATCGAAAGCCGATGAAAGCACTTTGTGCAAACACTCCTCTTCGTAATATATTTTTGTAAAAATCGTTTAATGACTAGCAATCGGCCAGATTTGTTTATTGTTTGTCAAAACTACAGATAAGATTTCTACTTTCGGGCTATTATACTTCCGAGTCGCGATTTTTATTTCTCCGAACTTTTTGTGTTATATTGAAAACAATGACAGATTTTTAGGATACACTTAATTACTACTATAAGTAACATGTCTATTTATAGTACGGATAAAAATAATAATAATAATTTTTAATTGATACTAATAGAATAATATTAAATAAAATACTTACGACAAGATGAACTATTGGAACTGTAGGTAGGGCAATAATTCCTATGTAATTGGCCAAGCATATCCTGTAGTTATCATAAAGTATTAGCTGGTTTTCGGCCGAATATGCAGTTGGTATCGTAATACACCCAACTAACAAATCTCCGACTGACAAAGAAGCCGCTACTGCGAAAGTAACTTTACGTAACCGACGCGTGAAACAGATAAGTGAAATGAAAAGGAGGTTATTAAGAATGATAAGACCAATCTGAGTCACCATAATACAATTTTCCCAGTGAGGTCTATTTGGAAAAGTAATTAACGGGAAAGCGTTAGCGTTGAAATTTCCCGAGGCGATTAATCGCTGTTGATAAGCGTAAGCTGCGGCGATTTTATCAAAGTCCAAGGCAAACGACATGATCCTTTTGCATAAAAACCAATAGTGTCGAGACGACAAGCGAAAAGCGTTTATATACGCACGGAAATTATTAAGCGTTCAATGGAAAATAGATGCTAGAGAGTACGCGTTAATCGAAAGCTTATCGGCATCTAATTTCATTAGTACGCGTAATGAGCATGCTTTATCTCAAACTTTGCGAGTCCACAGGGAGCGGTCGCTCGACCACGTGCGCAGTTAAGCGATCTTCTTTTGGTCTCTTACTTGATGACTTCACACCAGCTGCAAGCCGGATAAAGGAGGTATATAAAACTACAAGAGATAGAAATCAGGATAGGAGAAGGAGCAAAAGCACATCCTTAGTCTAGTTCGTTCTGCCTCAGCTAAATAGGCGATTGGCCGAAACAAGCTCCGCCTTCGAAAAGTAGCCCCCCTCCCACCTCCCCCACCGTTCTCTCTCTAATCTCTTATACGGCGCCCTTTTCTTTATAGCCGGCCATGACCGACCTTCGAAGTTGCAGATTCGATTCTTCAAGCTCCGCCGCGTATGACGGACGACAGCAAATGTGCAATAATTCATCTGCCACTTGGCGTCGTGATACTGTTGAATCAGTAGTAAAAGAGGAGCGATCAACTAAATCTGAGGGCTCCGGAGGGGGTAGCGGACACGTTCTGGCTCCCGCTGGCATGCACGGGCCTAGAAGTTGTCTCCTCTGGGCTTGTAAAGCGTGTAAAAGGCAAACTGTAACTGTGGATAGGAGGAAAGCAGCAACAATGCGGGAAAGAAGAAGATTACGAAAAGTAAATGAAGCCTTTGAAGTACTGAAAAGGAGAACTTGCCCAAATCCGAACCAGCGTTTACCAAAAGTTGAAATTTTGCGAAATGCTATCGAGTATATAGAATCTCTGGAAGATCTTTTACAGGGTGCAGGAGGTACTCGGATAGAAGATGGATATTCGGTGAGTTTTATATTTTTTGGTTCATTTTCTCAATTTTCCCTTTCGCTCGTCTAAATCGATAATAATTGCTACAAACTCTAATCTATTATCAGTCTGACTGATCTCTTCAAGATGTTTTGCCCTCTTCCCGAATAAAATCATTTAGGCGAATGAGAGATAAACTACATTAGCCCTTAAGAGGAAAATTTTAAGAGCCTGGGCTATAGATTCAGTAGCGAAGGACTACAACTATAAACAATTATATATAACACATTTACAAAAGATTTTTAGCGGTCTCTTTGATGTAGACGGCCATACAAATCCCAGGCTAAGTGAAACATTCTCATCTCGTGCAAACAAACAGCACCAGATGCGGCCATGTAGGCTTAATTGCCGACCCGATTTATAAATGTATAAGTTATTTGGATGTTCAGTTAAATGTTTTGTATATGGAAGAAGTTGGAAAATTTTATTTCCTCGACTGTCAAAATATACGAAGCAGATAAATCTAGCCGAACGATAAATATACTTGTAGATTTAATCGAGTAAGAAAGTAAAAGGAGGAACCATGTCTATATTGCGCAATTAAGGAAATTTACGTAATAAACACCAAGTAATGTTTAATTAGAAACAGAGAGTATTCTCTTTCAAAATATACAAGTTATTTTACCAATCAAAATTACGAGTAATGACAGCGAGGAGAGTTTATTTAAGTTTCATTCCCGTCTTTCCACTTAAAGCGATATCTCTTAAACAGACTGCCGTTCCGAATGGAGGAGGAAAGCAAATCTTCCAGAACACTACTTTTTCAAGCCAGCATCAAGGTAAGACCCACACGTGTTATCGCTTTGTAATCCTTCTGAAGTGGACCGATTTTTCAATTGGCAAAATATTTCGACAAACTGCGGGTGGCCTTATCCAACATCTACTTCTTTTCCCTTAATATTCTTATCTTGGTCTTTTCTTTCAGCTTACGAAGACGACCGGACGTCAACAGCGGCCAATTCGAGTCTCGACTGTTTAAGTATGATAGTTGACAGTATTCATCCAAATCCTCAAGTTAGTCAACCTGGATTATCATGACGAATGTCATCGGCACGATGTTACTAGGGTCGAGGCAGGTTATCATTGGTGCTTGTTTGCTTAATCGGTTGCGAACAGACTGACGATTATTACTTACGGAATAAGCTGATTTGATTAATGGACAAAATAATTTTGACTTAACTTTTCTATGTAAAATTCTTTTCCGACGTAATCGTTGAGCATTGTATCTTGTAAATACTAATACTTTCTACAAACGCATCATGAGGATGCATTAGGAAAAAAATACGAAATGAAAGGAATAGTTTTTATCCATTTTCTTATCTCTTATCGGTCATTATCAAGCGACCCGCGTAGATTTCAAATAGCCTCTAATAAAGTAAGGAGGCTGTTGATAAGGGCGTATTGATAAGAAATCCGCAATCCGAGTTATTGATGGGTTAAGTCCCCAAAATAGGCCAAAGGAGTTTAGAAAGCAAATACGTTAAAAATTCGATTCTATAGGAACGCAATAGCGGTGGGAAAAATATAGGTCACGCAAACGTTCCGTCGAAAAAAAATTCTTCGCAATGTTCCGGCAAATGCCAAACGAACTTTCGAACGCAATCTGCATTCTGTCTCTGGAGGCGATTCGTTTTCATTTGTTGACGTCAAAAGAAAATTTTGAAAGTTTTAGTACTGGAACATAATGATCAATCGAATATCGTCGAAAGAAAACATTCCATGCGGAAATGACAAACCTCAAGCCGAAGTTCCAGAGAAAAGATTCAAGTCTGACTCTGGAAACGACGTTCCTCGAACCTTTAAAAATTTGAAGAAGGATAAGATCTATAAAAGAGGAAATTTCCTTGGAAAAGGAGGATTTGCGAGATGCTATGAAGCTACGCCAGTTCTGAACGGTCAAGTGTCGGCCCAGACTTTAGCTATTAAAGTAGTTCGCTTAGATAGATTGGCAAAGAAATTTCATCGGCAAAAAATGTATCAAGAAATTGAAATTCATAGCAAACTATCCCATCCAAATATTATTGGTTTTTATGAGAGTTTCAGTGATTCTCTTAATGTCTACATTGTACTAGAGTTGTGTAAAAGAAGAAGTTTAATGGAATTACAAAAAAGAAGGATAACAGTAACAGAGCCTGAGACTCGCTACTTCTCTTACCAAATTGCTCAGGGTTTGACCTATTTGCACGGACAAGGTATAATTCACCGAGATTTAAAATTGGGTAATATTCTTTTAAACGAAAATTTGGAAGTGAAGATTGGCGACTTTGGTCTTGCTACTCATAGTTGTCCTGGTCAAATGAGAAAGTCTCTTTGCGGAACACCAAATTATATTGCTCCTGAAATTTTAAATCGTCAGGGTCATGACTTTAAAGTTGATTCGTGGTCCCTTGGTTGTGTTATTTATACCCTCCTTTTCGGTAAACCACCGTTCGAGAGATCGTCTTTAAAGGAAACTTATGAAAGTATTCAAGATCATAGATACTCCTTTCCCGATCGTCCTCAAGTTGGAGGGAATACTCGACGATTAATTAATCAACTCCTTTTAATGGATCCTTTACAAAGACTAGATATAAATGGCGTCCTGTGTCATACATTTTATACTTCAGGCTATCATCCCTCTTCTCTTCCCGACTCGTGCCTAACTATTGAACCAAGGTTCGATCAAATCCAGTCTGAAGACGTTAAACTGGCGGGAAATATCTATTCGAAAACGATTGATTACCTGTCAGAGTTATTTGTTTTATTAAATAAAGCAAAGAAGAGTCCAGTTCTTGAGGGTACCTGCGAAGAATTACAAAGTCCTGAAGATGCTCCAATATTTTGGCTGGCAAAATGGGTTGATTACACTGACAAGTATGGATTTGGGGCAATGCTTTGTGATGGAAGTGTCTGTATTAAATTTAATGATAGCACCAGGTTAATAACAACTCGGAATTGCCGAAATTTGCAATATGTAGACGCAAATAACAAGGAAGAGCTGTACACGATTAATAATTTTCCTCAGAAACTTAATAAGAAAGTGGTACTAGCAAAATATTTTAAACGTTATATGGAATTTAACTTGAAGTCATCAGGTCCTAGGCGGGAAAACTCTGAAGCTAGTCAATTGTCAAGATTACCTTCGGTCAAGATGTGGTTTCGCACACGGCGAACAACAGTATTCTACCTTAGCAATCACACATTTCAAGCAAATTTTAATGAAACACACGATAAGGTTAACGACTATATCTTCTTTAGTGCAGATAACTAACAATAGCTCTTAACTATCTTTAGGTTATTCTCTGTCCTCTTCTGCAGTCTATCACTATAATAGATCAAGCAAATCTCGCAGAAACCTATAAACTAAGTACAATCATTGACAATGGTTGCTGTACAAGAGTTTTGGAGCTTATTCGACACTGCGTGCCTCTCTTGGAACAATTTCTGAATATGAAGTCAAGATCAAGTATTAAGAGCGCCAAAAGTGTTTCAGTTCAAAGTACTTGAGTTTAAAAATTTTCTTTTATTTATTCCCAACAAATATCTTTATACGAATATAAATAAATTTATTATAATGTTGACATGATGTTAAAAATCCGCGCGAAATAGACAGACTGTGACATCACGTGAGTACAAAGGTCATGTGACACAACAAATGAACTAAATATGAATTTGATATTCTATTTTGGTATTTTTGCATCATTTCTTGGCCTCCGAGCAGTTTTTGGCTTAGATAACGGCTTGGCTAGAACACCGCCAATGGGGTGGATATCATGGGAGAGATTTCGCTGCAATATAGACTGTACTGACGATCCTAACAACTGCATCAGCGAAAATCTTTACATGGAAATGGCTGATGTCTTATCGACTGAAGGATACAGCAAAGTTGGCTATGAATATGTTAACATAGACGATTGCTGGTTGGAGAAAAAACGTGATGACGACGGTCGACTTGTTGCTGATCGTAAACGATTCCCTAGAGGAATTCGCTTTTTGGCTGATTATATGCATTCAAGACAATTAAAGTTAGGTATATATGAGGACTTTGGAGTGAAAACTTGTGCTGGTTATCCTGGTTCGGAATACTTCTTGCAAATGGACGCGCAAACATTTGCCGATTGGAAAGTGGATATGCTCAAATTAGACGGTTGCAATTCTCTACCACAACAGATGGATGATGGTAATTAATCTTACGTCTTCAAATTTTCCTTTCTTTTTTAAAACTTTTAACATAGGCTATCCTCCAATTAACTTGTTTCTGAATAAAACAAAAAGACCAATTTTATTATCGGTCGAATATCCTTTCTATCAGCTAGCTGTTCTAACAAAGGTATTCTGATGATTGTTTTGATTATTTTGATTTATAGCCTACCCTGCCATGGCGTTTTGGCTGAACAGGACGGAAAGACCAATTTTATATTCGTGCAGTTGGCCAGCTTATCAAGAGAGTATTGTGGTATGCCGAACATAAAGAAAACTCCGCTATTGTCCTTTCAAAGTCATTTACAATTCCCTTTCGATTATTTAAGCAAAAGTTAATTTACTGATAAGCTTCCAATTATTAACTGTTTTTACACAGCCAAACTATCCATTGCTAATTAGAAAGGCGAATTTGGCACGAAATTTCTTTGACATAGACGACAGCTGGGATAGTGTCAAATCAATTATAGATTATTATGCTAGTGATATTTACAATGCTTCCAAATATGCTCAACCTGGTTTTTTTAATGACCCTGATCAGGTTTGAAAATTATTAAAGTATTTAAAAACGAAAAAAGAGAAAAGGGAATGAAAGTGATTGGGACAATCAGAGTTTTTTTACTCTACCTTTTCAAACTAATGAATACTTAACAGCCAAACTATAAAAGAATAGCAAAGTATTGCAACATCTGGAGGAATTATAATGATGTTGCTGATTCCTGGAGAAGTATTCTTAGCATTATAGAATTTTATGGCAAAAACAAGGGAAACTTTTCTCAAATTGCAAAACCAGGCTCATTCAATGATCCCGATATGGTAAACACACAAGCGTTTCAGATTTCCTAGTTTCTCTTTTTTCCTAGAAAAGATTGAATTTTAAAAGTCTATCTCTTTTTCTGATTTCAGCTCATTCTGGGAAATTTTGGCTTGAGTTATGATCAAGAAAGAGTACAAATGGCTATGTGGTGTATAATGGCATCACCACTTTTTATCTCGGCAGATTTAAGAAAAATTCGAGCATCGTCAAAAGAACTACTTCTAAACAAATATGCAATTAGCATAAATCAGGATCCTTTGGGAATCCAAGGAACTTTAGTAGAAAAGGTTCAAAGTTGTAAAAAGTATAGAATCAGAAATAAAATGTTGATTTTCCAGAGAGGAGATATTCAAATCTGGCAAAAGGAACTGCAAACAAAAGGAAGTTTCGCTTTCGTATACTTAAAAACGGGAGACGATGGTATTCCATCCCGTGTTTCTTTTAAAATGTCCAAGATGGGAGCGTTAGAAGACGTGCTTTATATGGTTTACGAAGTATTTGAAAATAAGTTTATAGGCCTTTGGAAAGGAAGTGAAAGTTTTGAAGCAGTTGTGAACCCAACTGGTGTATTTTTCGGGAAAGCATTTCCTGCTTAAATACGACAATAATATTAAAAACAATACTTTTTCATAAAAAAATAAAAGCAAGAATAATCAAATAACAATATTTCGCATTCGTCGAACATTTTCAATACGTTTAGCAGGCTCTTGTGTTTGAGGTAAATCGAACCGATTTGACGTTTTCACTGGGCTGAATAACTGACGCTTGCTTAAGTTTGTTGGAGCACTAAATCTCTTTTCTAAAAGATTTCTTTTTGTTTCATCTTATAAGAAAAATGAAAGTGAATATAATGGTTTTATAATAAAATTTAAAGGATTACTAACCGCCTAAAATTGGTGATTCTTCAATGCACTTTACTCTCCTAGCCTCAGGTGTTGCTACCAAACGAGATCTTTGTTGACGTTTTACACTTCCAGACTTTTGCTTACGAAGCGGAGTCTCTTTCACACTTTTGGTTTTTAAAACAGGCTGTCTTCTGGGTGGTGTTTTGTAATTCTGGGGATTGTGTTTTAATCTCTTCTTTGGTGTGGTTAACTAATCATTTAGAAATTTTATATATGAAAAAGTTGAGAGCATAAATTTGTAAGAATCTAACCCTATTTTGACGAACAGATTGACTTCGTGATAATTTAGAAACTGGTAGCTTAACAACATGATGAGATGATGCTGTGAAACTTCTCTTATGATTTGGCAGGTTTTTCGAACTTTTCGAGTCATGGGAACTTATACATTGATCACTAAAAAATGCTGTCTCACTTCCAATTGTCGACGAAGAAGGCGGCGGACTAGTATCTGATAAAAAATCATTCGGAGATGAAGGCAAAGCTAAGAGCTTCTCTGGTACAGGCTGTCCTATTTCTTCAAATATAAATGCAATATATTGGGGAATAACTGTACCATAGCTAAAAAGAAATAAAACAATATATATTGTGATAATTGAGTGATATATAAAATAGCAATTTTTAAATACTTTTCAATAAGAGTTTTCAATAAGATTTGAAAACTTTCTGGAGGTTCTCGAAAGCAAATTGATTCGACGAGCCTTATAATTTGACAGCATTCGTCCCTCAATATGCATTCATTTGGTTTTTCTATCTTCTTAATTGTTATAGTTTCCAAAAGAATCATTATTTGTAATCGATATCTGTAACATAAGAAATTTTTTATTTCCTCTCAAATGTTCCATTTCTTCAGCTTACTCAAAAATGGTGCAGCTTTGTCTCAATTGCTCCAAAGGTTTTATCAAATTGGACCTCAAATACATCTGTGATCTTTCATAAAACTGTAAGAAAAAAAATTTCTTTAAAACTCACTACAACAGGTGTTTACAAGCAGAATACCTCGATATTGGCAAAGTATTCTGAGAAAAATTTCAAGGTAACACTGATAATATCTCTGGCGCAATTTATTTCGTTCGATTTGAGTTGAACGCAATCATCATAAAGTTTTATCACTAAGTCTTTTAGTTCATCTTCATTTTTCACTTCTATTGACATTTAAACGATTATAACAATCTTGAAAAGAAGGGCAAAGCTCACTTTGATTAACTGCTTCATTTCTAAGACATCCATTAGATTGCTTACAGAGTATCGAGTCTTGCAAGTTCTTGTATGATCGAAGTAGAACTTGCTCATATTTTTCTACAAAAACTGAAAGCGATTGTTCTAAAATAGATTTATTTTCCGCTTCTGTTCGATTTCTGTTAAGGAACTAAATGTAAGTTTTTTAATCGATTAAGAAATCGATCTCTTACAGTTCTTGAGTTGATGATAAAAATCCATCCTTAAAAGACCCTATAACATTTTTCATTGCTCGAGGTGTCCTCCCTCTGTAGATATTCTTGTAAGGGTGAAGATTGTTGTTAAACACGTTCAAATTAAATCTATAGTGTGGTACAGGTTCCGTCTCATATTAAGTCATTATAAAATGGAAGGAGATTAGTATTAAACCAGTTTTCGTTAGAAAAATTTACTATTTCACCAACACGTGTTTTTCGTGCGGGTTTTTTATTCGTGTTGATAGACATCGGGAATGCCTCGTTTAACAGATATCGAATTTGCAAAGCGTGTCGTCTCAAAATTTGAGAACTATGCTAGGAGGCCTGCGTACAGAGGGATATTCAGGAGGGACTTGCTGCCAAAAGCTTTGAATAATACTGTATCTACTAAAGGAAGAGTCAGCCAAGGTGATTGCTTAATTTAAATTCACAAAAACACTTTAAATTGAATATAATGTGCTACCTTTTACAGAAAAACCGTGCATCTCCGCTATATCCTTAATGCTAGTATGTTTAGAGAAACATGATTATATTCAATCTAGGTGTTCAACAGAAATTCAACAATTTAACGATTGTATGAAAAAATTCGAGGTAACTTTTATATTTATATATCAATAAATATTCTAGAATTATTTACAAATAGGCGAAGAAAAAAGCTAAGCAAAACGTCGAAGAAAAAGGTCTCCTATCTGGCAGAGGACGAATACAACCTGATAGGCTAAATGAATTTCTTTCTAGGTATCCTCAACCAAGAGAGACACCTGATCAATATTAAATATTATCTTCTTGTTTATTAATTACTGAAGAAAGTTGTAAGAAGAGTAGTTAAAAAACTTTGTCACCTTCATTTAACTGCAGAAAGAATATTAAAAAATTTTTATTACAAGCTGGACAACAATTAATGATAGGAAACATATTGAGTGCAACACATTATGTGCAAAATTTTTAATATAAGAGTAATTTAATCAATTGTATTTGTATTTAGCCTTATTCTCTTTTTTTGTTTATAAGTAGCGTTTCTCTTTCGAATCTTATGTATATTTTTTAATTGATACATCCCATACTTGTACCACCAGTCCTCATAGCTTTTATTACAGTCGATAGCCCAAGACTCGTAAAGGGATTTAAAATATTCATATTGCCTGTGTGCTGATGGATAATCAGTTGGATTTGGCGCTCGATTCATCGCCTCCCAATCACACATGCGTGGGTAAATCTGTTTCCCAACTTGGTAATCAAGAGTCCAGACGCTTATAGCATCTTTTATATTATCGATTTCAACCATTGGAAATCTTACCTTGAATCTTTCTTCAAAGGAATCCGCAGTTATCTTTTCCATACATTTATTATGTACTCTGGAGCTTTTCTCGGAACTCTCCTCCTTTACGCAGAATTTAGGTGTTTTCGACGAATACATGATTGAGATAATATCATTATAAGAACGTTTGTTAGATTGATTATTAAATATTAAATCTTCGTCATCAGTGTTTGAGGGAGAATTATCTTCACTTGTATCCGAGTGGGAATATGTTCCATAGGACATAGTAGAAATATGCTCATTATATTCATGTTTGCGGGAATTATCAATATCGAAAAAATGTTCCATGAAACTATCTGTGGGTGACTCCATTTTCCTAAATGGAGAATTGTGTAACAATTTCTCAACTTATATATTAAACTTATGTTGGTAATATTGTGAAATGTCAATGACGCAATAGCGAGTTTCCCTAACCAGAAATACCGATGAGTCATCCTTGGGCGCGGAAGAATTAGCTTAATAAAAACAAAGCTGTACAATGTCCTCAATGTATTTAGAGTAGAAATATGGTCAAGCATTATCTACCAAGCACCAGAAACAGATAGAAAATCAATCGCATGCTTACAAAATATGCGAATAGAAAAAAATATGAATTTATATAAGGTAGTTGAACGACATTTGTACTTTTTATATAAAAAGTTAATAGAAAGCTCTGTTCGCTACGGAAATCATATAGGTTTTATATTGGAGTGGACTGATGTAAATTCTCTGGTTAGTTATTGTCCAGCCTTTCTCTCAGCTTCGATTTCTGGAAAAAAATTAATGCTTTATTTGACTATTGATTATTAAACATAAGCTATAAGTTACAGGCCTTTTGATAAATCTCATCAGGCCTCTTACCTTGCTTATCGGGCAACTTGTTCTTTTCAACGGTTTCCGTGTGCTTGAGTTTATCTTTCGAGAAGTTACTCAACTCATTACGTAAAGGAGCCTCTTTTTCCTCCTTTTGCGCCATCTTGAATAGATCAGCGTCTAGCATAACATTCTTTTCGTGGGTTTCTGTATGCTTAAGCTTTTCCTTAGCAAAGTGGCTTAATTCATCTCGTAAAGGAGCCTCCTTCTCTCCCTTTGCTTCCATTTGAATAGCCTCTTGATTTGGGAGAAGATTCTTTTCCTTGACATCGGCATGTTTCAAGTTGTCTCTAGAAAAGCCTAGAATTTCATTTCGAATAACGGCCTCTTTTTCTTCCTTTTGCGAGAATTTCAATCCTGTAATGTATCCAAAATTTATAGTTCGATAAACTTGCATTAATAATTACTCATTTACCGCTCTCATCAGGTAAAGTATTCTTTACATTCGGTTCGGTATGTTTAAGTTTATTCTTTTCGAATTCTTCAATACCAGAAGTGATGTTTTTTGGAAGTTTAGGAGAACTTGGAGTGGCCATTGTGTTCTCTATTGGAAGGAAACTTTTGAATATGCACAATATAATCATAAAAATAATATCAACCGCTAGGAGTTAGCGGTCCTATCAAACATAAAACGTGAGGCGAATTATAAATAGGTTTTGCCTACATGTCCAATCGTTTTAAGTAGGCCTTTCCGCAGAAAAAACTTGGCTCAGAACACGACAACAAAAATTATTAGTATTTGATAACAGTGGTTTTTTTTTAAATTAGGTCTTTGCTTTAGAAAGGGTTTTCAAATCTTTTTGCTATCAAAAACCTAAAGGCCAATGTAGTGAAATGTAAATGCTTTGTGTAAATACTTCGATTTTTTTTCTTTTTAATATTGTTATCGATATCTGCCTAAAATACTTATTTTAACCGGAATGCAATTTAAAAAAAATTATGGATGTGTTCAGTTACGTACAGATAAATAATCTTACAGCATCAAAATAAAGCTTTTTCCCTTCTACTAGATTTACTAGACATATAAATCAGCCAGCGTAGAAGTAAACATCTTATTCAAACCAAAAACCTCAGTCTTTTTCAAAATAATTTTAGAAAGCGCCGTCTGCTGGTGCATCTTGATAGCTTCGAACTGAAAAATGCAACTGACTCATCACTCTCTCTCCAGGTCAATTGTTCCGGGTAGAATTTGAAAATATCCACCCTTACGGGATACGTATTCTAAGATTTCAAACGGTAAAAATGCTCTTGGCATTGAACTCATTGAAGTGACACTTTTTACTCAAAACAATTAGCTTAGTTTTCTAAGTTTGCGTATTCAAAGCTTAACTAAGTTTATACAAATAGGAAGCATTGTCTTGCTTAATGCAATATACTTACGGAATAGTTTCTGAATTAGTAACTTTCGTGGTCGAAATACAAAAAGTCGTCCTCAACCTAAAGATGTCTAAGCAAATGACTGATGTCCAAGGCAAAAAAACAGCTAACCATAGCTCCCCCTCTCGACTGTTCATATATTGAGTTTTGATTCACAGATGGCGTTGTATTTCCTTAAATTACGTATTCCGCAAACAACAAAATTGTTCAAAAACTTATGTGAAAGATAAGAATGTAAATAAGATAACAAATCTAAACATTTAATAAGATACGCTAATTCCGTGAAATGTCGCCAAAAAACTTCTAAAGGAAAACCAAAATAATATGTTTTACATATACGGTATAGTGCACATCTCATAATAATAATATATTAAATTAACATTCGATCTTATCAATTCCATTAAAATGCGCAATTTTCATAAATTTTTCACGATACTTAAAAAAATAAGGATTTCAAATTTTTAACAGCACTTTTTTAACGAAAGAAAAATCTTTAGTCGTGCAAATTTTCATACCTGCGTTTTTATTATTATCATAGGCTAACATACAGATTAAATAATGATAATACACTAAATATAGAAAAATTATTCTAGATTTTATAACCTTTCGAGCAGCTATGAATATTATTTCATGGTTTATTTCTATACTTTTATAATTATTTCTATCTGACCAAAAATGTATGAAAGTACTTATATCTTTCTATTCAAAACTTTTATAACTATTTGTCAGAGTTTCTTATCGATATTAAACAAATTTTCTTAAAATTCTGTCGCCATTTTATTCGAATATAAAGCTTCGATGTGTGGAATAGTTTAATTTTAACAAAACATTCTAAAAAATTTATATTCAAAAATATACAATATATTTAGACATTTCAAATAAAAATAATAGCTATTTTCCAATACAGCTTAAATAATTATTTATTGATGGCTTATAGTTGAATTTATCGTATATTTTAGGTTTATATTTTAAAAAATTTGAAAGACGCGCTCTGAATCAACCATATTTCCGTTTCCTGATACTTTAATGGCGCTGTCCATTGTAGCCATTTTCTTTCTTAACGCTTGATTTTCTTGTGAATTTTTAACACAAAGATATGGGAGGAACAACCTCCAAAGCTGGCGATGGCTTTCCCGGAACACGGGAGGATATCGACACATCGTTTTTAGAACATTTGGATGAAGATATACGTAGACAATTAGAAGACTATGACAGAGGGAAAACTTTGAAAATAGAAGAACTTCGTGATAAGCTAACCAGTTTTGATGAAGAAAGAGGTACGATGATGATATATTTTAAAAGACAATTTCTGATTTTTGTTTTCTTTTAGAAATTGAGCGCAAGAGGTATGACGATACCATCAGTGACCTTAACTCTCGACTGGAAAAGCAAGTCACATCATTCGTCGATCTTCAGTCAAATATGGATGGAATAGGTATTATTTTTTAAATATTTAAACTTAATCTTACCATTTCAAACCAAATTGCTTAGGCGACAAATATAGAAATACATGCAACGAGTTAAGAAACTTACAGGAACAACTTGTTAGGGTGGAAAAGTCAAAGGTAAAAATTTTTTCATAGCTATCTATTTTACACTTGTTCATACGGTAGCACGAAGCCGACCTGAATGTTTCATCTATATTACTGGAGAAAAAAGAATATGAAAATATGTTAGAGAGAAAGAAAATTGAAATTGATGCTCTACACGGTAAAAACTGCAACCAACTTAATTTACACAGTTTTCATTAGAATATTTCACAGATGAGTGGGAAAAGCTTTCGACAAAATATTCGGCATCTGAAAGACAAAAGTGCGAAATGTCAGCGTCCCTAGAAGAATTAAAATCAAAGTGTAATTTAGCACAGGTAAGATGAACTGAAAAGTTTTATTTAAATTTAATGTCTTAACTATGAATTTTAAGGGAAGGGAGAGTCAGGCAAGCGATCAACTTAAAAATATGAAATTTAAGTACGACTTGCTAATTGAAGACTTTGAAAAAAATACGAAAGAATTACATAAAGTTCGAAGTGAAACTTCATCAAAAGTTATCCAGTTGACATCAGAAATTGATGTCAAGGTAATATTTTATGCTACTTTTGTTTGCATTTTTCATTGGTATAAATTGCAGAAAGACGAAATTAAATCTGCTATGGATTTAAACAACGAATTACGTAGAACCAATAAAAATTTAGAAACTCAAGTGGCAAATTACGTCAAGAAACTACAAGAGGTTTGATAATTTTCTTTTAAAAATACATATTTGTAAAGTATTTCACACACTTTTTACAGATGAGAGACAATGATTCAAACTTAGAAGAACGTTTTACGAATGAACTTATGGCAAAAGATAAACTTGTAACCATACTGCAAACTTCACTTGAAAGTAGCGAAGCAAAGATTAAGGAATTAGATACTGCTTGTACTGAAATGAAAGGATTACTCGATGATTCAACAGAAGGTAACAAATACTTTTTTATTATACAGTATTAAAATACTATTTTAATAGCCTATAAGACGCTGCAAGCAGAAAAAGCAGACCTAAAGAGTAAGATTATGGAGATTAGTAAAAACAGAGGTAATTAATTGTATTTGATATCCTGTATTTATTAAATATATATTTATATATATACATATATATATATTCAGATGATAGAATTGAAGAATTAAAATTAGAACTAGCCAGAGCAAACGAACTGTTAGGCGCTTCTGGTAATCAATCTCAACAAGTTGATTCGTCATTATTTTCTTCTCCTGTTGCAAATGCCAGTAAACTTCTACAGAGTGGTGTAACTCTAACTCAGGTAAATTTCAACATTTTTTTAAAATGCCAAAAAAAATCAATTCTATCATTTCAAGGTCTACTCGGAATACATCTCTATGCAAGAAAAGTTGCACTTGGAGCAGTTAAACAGCAAACGTTTAAATGATTATATAAATGAAGTTTGTTTCAAATAGAAGCTTGTGTCATTTTATTAATTTACTGTTGTTAAAGATTCTAAAAGAACTTGAAGATAAAGCTCCCTTACTGAATAAACAAAAGCAAGACTATCAAGAGGCTCTAGAGAATGTTAAAAGCCTAACTGAGCAGCTTGAACAGGGTAGAGAGGTTAGTGTCACACAATTTTGTAGGTTTTGGATGAATGATTTTATTGTAGACTTGCGAAAAATTCCAAGTAAATGCTGAAGATTATCAAAGAAGATATGCTAAACTGTCGAGAGACAATGATCGCCTCAAGCAGGAATGTAGGGATCTGGCTACTCAAGTTAGATGTCTATTGAAAGAGTTGGAGGAGGCCCGGGGTGTGGTTGTTCCAATGAAGGAACCATATCATCAATCTTTCTCCCCTCGTACATTAAATTCATCGTCTATTATATCGGAAAATTTAGTAACCTTTAAGAACATATCGGAACTACAGGAACAGAACCAAAAATTACTGGCTCTTGTTCGTGAGTTATCAACTCAACAAGAAGATGCTGAAAAAGCAGCCGTTGATCAGAGGTAAATTAAGCACTAAAAAATGTTAATTTCCCGAATGAAAATATTTTAATATAGAACTGGCGAATTACAAAAGAAATTAGAAGGTGCTCTGGATGAGATAACTATTATGAAGGATACCAGACAAAAACAAGAAAAAATGATAAAGCTTGTTATTGAACAAAGAGATACTTTCAAACAAATATCAATGGACCAAGCAGTAGTATTATTTACCCCTTCAATATTCAATTCAAATATTTTTTTAACTTCAGAAGAGTCCATCGGGAATGAATACCTCTGATACTGAAATCTCGAAAGAAGGAAAGAAAATGCTGAAGGAAGCTCAAGAAGAATTTGCTGCATATAGAAAAGAAAAATTCGAGAATGATAGGTTAAATTATTCAATCTGGCTTTTTCAGATTCGTTTAAACTTATTTCTTATTTTAGAATAATCGGTGAAGAGCTGGAGAGATATAGAAAGGAGAGTACTGAAGCGAAAATGAAGTGTGCTAGATTGTCTTCGCAGCTAGATCACGCCCAGGAACGATCTAAAGCCATTCAGAGCAATGCTGACGGCTATAAAAAAGAATCTGATATTCTGAGAGATAGAAATAGTAAACTGTCGGAAATGATCGTGAAACACGAAACTGTCATATCTTCACTGAAAGAACAGTTATTATCAGTTCAAGGAAAACTTAGCACTTTGGAAATTAGTAATGAAAATCTTCGCTCAGAGAGGGATCATTATAAATCTTCAGAAACGCAGCTTCGCAGGGAACAAGATTCGTTAATTGCCAACCAAAAATCAAGAGATGTTTTGCTGGCAAACCTCAACTCTCTTCAGGAGCGATTAGAGAAGTCTGAAATGGAATCCAGAACGAAGTTGGAAAAGAAGGTGTGACTTTCAATGTGGGTTTTGTAAACAAATTTGAGAAATTATTTAATTTTTTAGGTCGAAATGGCTGAAAGGGAATCTAGAGAGTTGCGAAGGAAGTTAGATGACGTAGACAACTCGCACCGAAGCTATGTTAAAATGCTACAGGTATCTTTCATTATCATACCCAAAGAGTATCAATTTTTAGTTGTTATTTCAAGGGTCAAATGGAAAGCATGAAAGTTGAAAAGGATGCTATGTACGACTCACTTCAAAAATCTCGAGAAGACTTGGCAATTTCCCAAGAGAGGACTGTCGAGGTAATTTTTACTTAAAAAGAATTCACATTTTGTACCGAGATTGAACAATTTTAGTCCTCTGGAGATTCTCTGCGCAACGTTTCCACAACACATCCAGTTAGGCAATTTTACAATTTAGAAGAGGAAGTCAAAGAACTACGGTACGAGTTAGAAGAATCCAGAAGAAAACAGCAAGGTAAGATCGCGTGAAATATAATACTCTACAACTTGTCAAACACGCATTCTCACGACACAGAAATGGAAGAAATGATATCAGTCAATAAAAATCATGTAACTGAATACAGAGAATTGGCTGAAAAGTATGAAAAGCAACTCAGTGATCAGAACAACTCAGTTAATGAATTACAGAAGAGATTATCTGAAAAATCAGATGAACTCTCTAATCGTAAGTTAATGTGTTATTTTTGTACAGGCATATTCATGTTTTATTTCTTGTACAGTTCGCAGTGTTTTTGAAAAGTCCACTAATGATCTAAATGAAGAAAATAAGAGACTATTGAATGAAGTTTCAAAACTGTCATCATCTAACAGAAGATCTGTAAGTTAATCGCTAAAATGAAATATTAGTTAACTCTTTCATGTTTAGATGACGGAACTTGGCTCTGTTGAATTGGAAACTGAATTGTCTCAACTACGTCAACAAGTTGAAGAGCTTAAAAATACAGAAAAACAAGCAATAGAAGATAGAGATTCTCAACAGAAAATAGCTGAAGAATCACAGAAGAAATTTGAAAATGAGATGCTACTGCACGCATCTGACTTAAAAGCACTTCAAGTAGTTAAAGAACAGGTATAGTTGTTTTTTCAATTAAAAAGGTAATCTAAAGAAAGTTTATTAAACAGCTTGAAAAGAAATCAGGTGAATTGAATCATTTCGAACGACTTGCAATTGATGCTCAGAAGAAACTAGCAGATCTAAAAGTAAAAAGTTATATCTTCATACTTAACAAGAAGATAATATCGTTTATTATTTATTTTCAAGGATTCCTTCGTAATTAAAGAAGCAAAATTATTAGATAACATTGTTAGACTACAAGACAGAGGAAAAGAATTGCAGAACCAGAACGATACACTCCATAAAGAACTAGAGCAGGTATGATTGATTTTTTTGCTTTTATTACTTTAGTGACAATTATACTTTGAAAGATTGGTGAGAAGTTGCTGACAATGGAATCTAAATCATCAAGCGTGTTGGCTCATGGAGAAATATCTGAAATGACTGCTGAAGATATTTCAACTTCACCATCAAGTCAGGTTGTCGAAATCATTAGATTTTTAAGAAGGGAAAAAGAATTAGCAGAGAGAAAACTAGAAGCTTCCGCACAAGAATGCGAAAGAATTAGAAAGCAACTTCAAATACATACTGTTGACTTGGAGGATGTAAAACAGAGTTTGAAAGAAGAAATTGAAAAGAATGAGGTATTGTATGGTAATGAAAAATAAGAATTGTTATTTTATCTTGCATCTTTACAGAGTAAACAGCAGCAAGCAGCAGAACATGCCGAACTGTTACATAAAATTGAGCAATTGAATTTACTGCAAGATTCTAATCGTCTATTGCGAGAAGAAAAGGAACGCCTGCAAAGTCAACTAAAGGTTTGTCATGAGAGAATTCAGCATCTCGATATGTCCATACAACCTTTGGAGTCCATGAAAAGAATGTTAGAAGTTGAAAAAGAAACCCAAGGAGTTGAAATTAAAAGTTTACGAGAAGAGGTTGCGAACTGGAAGGAAAGGGCAAATAAGTTAATCGAACGCTACAATAAGACTGATCCTGATGAGCAAAAAAAATTACTGTAAGCTATTAGGCTTTTTATGCTAATATATTAACTTTTTTTTTCTTATAGAGAAGAAAGAGATACGCTAAAAAAATCTAACTCGCAATTAATGGAAGAATTGCATAAACATAAGGCAGAATGTTCTGCTTTACGTTCTCAATTAAACACAGCACAGTAAGAATTTGCGCTAATCTATTAATATCTTTGTAATATTTTATTTTATAGGGCTAACGTTCAAAAACTAGCAACTCAATTGAATCAATTAAAGCAGGAAATCGAGACAAAAACAAAAGATATGAATAAAATAAAGTAATACTTTATTATTGATTAATAATACTGAGTCTATAATTTATACTTTTTATGCAACAGCGTTGATTTATCTCAAGCTCAAAAAGAGTTAAATAGTATTAAAACGACATCTGATGCCAAAGGAAGGGAAGTAGACTCTTACAAGCAGCTTTATGAAAACTCAAAGCAGGAGTCTGAAAATCTTAAGAAAGAAAAGGAAAAAACGGACTCCGAACTAAAGCAAGCTATCGATGATAGGGACAAGGTCTCCAAGAATATTATTCAAATAAAAAAATTAGCTCGAAAGTATAAAACTCAAGCTGATGAATTAACTACAAAGGTTAAGTCATTAGATGCAGCAAAGGGTCAGACTGGCGAACCAGTAGAGGGCGAAAGAACGAAACTCCTGGAAGAGAAAGTTACTCAACTAGAAGCCGAACTTGAAGAAGCCAAATCAGTGACGGAAGAAAAACAGAAATTAAAAACCCAATTATCTGATGCAAACGAAAAATTGCATGATGCGGAATCAAAATACGGAGATGTTGATAAACTTATGACATCGAAGGATACACAAATTGGTGAAGCAATGACTAAAATTGAACAGCTAGAAAAGGAGATTTCTGCCCTGCAAGAACAATTGGCCAAAGCAGCTGCGGAGAATGAGAAACTTCAAACCGATCTTAAAAATCAAAAGAGAATATTGAAAGGGGCTAAGAAGAAACTCAATGATGACAAGGTTGAAATCGATGAAATGAAAGAGTATAAAGGTAAATTCTCTTGTGACAAATTTTCTTTTCAAAGATTGAGTTAATTTTTTGAATAGTATCAATGGAAGGCAAATTTAGTACTTTAGAAGCACAAATTTCGTCTCTTGAAGGAGAATTGTCTACCCAAAAGAACGCTCAAGAAGAAGTAGACGCAGCTTTGGTACAAGCTCAGGGAGAAATTGGTCGTCTGAGCGAAGAAAATACGGCTTTAAGAGATAAAGTCAGTCTTTTTTTTTTCCTTTTGTAATTTAAGTTAAACGATTTTTCTAAAGCAGTTAAACATGGGTCCCGGTACCTCTGTAACGAAAAAGCCTGCTCCTAAGCAAGCTCAGCCTGTCAAACCAGTCACTGTCGTAGCACGTCAACCTACAATGCCGGTTGCCCGTCAAGTAGAAGCCAGAATAAGGCCGATAACGTCAGTAACGCCTACAGCTACCGTCATCCCTATGAGCGCTGTTACAGCGTCTCATCAAGCTGAATTAAATACAGGGGAAACTGGTCAAGCAGTATCTACAAGTTCGATGGCAACTGCGGTGACGAGCGGAAATTTAGTAACAACTGGCAGTCATCAGCACTTCGTTGACGTGCCTCCTACTCTTATCGGAACTACGCAGCCAACTTCCGAGCACGCCACTGTCGTGACGTCGGCAGCTATATCCGGTCAGGAGCAGACAGGCTTAGAGCATGTCTCAACTAGTACAAATACATCGAATAACGTTCTTATCGAGTTGGCACCCTGTATTCCGTCCACTTCTCACGAGCAGTCGTCAAATGGCTCTAGCACTATACCGACAGCCAGCAAAAGACCACGCGAAGAGTAAGTCATTTATATCAATGAAACAAAAAGTATATCGTCATTTTATTACAGACCAACTATAAGTACTGATCCAGAACATTTAGAAGGAGAAGATTTATCCAATCAACCTATTATAAAGAAAGCTCGACAGGAAGAAGAATCAGAAGATATTGAAGAAACAAACGAGGAAAACGAAGACTTAGCGTTAGCAGAAACTAGCGATCAAGAAAATGAACCTATCGCCGGCGGTGAAAATATGGAGGAAATCGGAGTGGAAATCGATGAAAATCCTGAAGAGTCGGAAGGGGACGAGGGAAAAGACGAAGAATTAGATACTGTTAGTGCCGATGAGCCAGAACAAAGTGAGGCAATTGACACAGGTCGATCGACAGAACAAGAATATCACTTATCTCCGTCATCTTCAACCAATGAAGAAACAGCAAATATTTCTGAAAGGGTAGCACCAAGAGAAGCTGATTCTGCAGAAGACGCTGGCTCTCAGCAGCCAGAGGCTACCGAAGATGATTCAGTAGAAGAAGGTCAACTTCAAGAAAGCGAGCAAAGTGACGAAACGAAGGAAGAAGAAGTTCACTCTCCTTCTCCTAGCAAACCTGGACCTTCTACTGAGGAACCTTCCTCAACTACTACTGTTCAACAACAACAACAACAGGAGCAGGTATCAACAGGAAAACGTATTCAGAAGATCGTTTGGGGTGACAACAGCGCCACCTCTAGTAGCACTCCTCAACGTTCCACAGTCGTTACTCAGCCCATTCCCCACATCTCACCAAGTCCAGCTCGCGGTCAACAGAAAGCCAGAAGATCGATTCCCGTCCTTCCGGGAACAGCTCGGGGCAGTAATAATAATTCACGCGGTCAATCGCCGAATCGAGGGGTGTCGGCTAGAGGTCGTGGTGGTCGAGGGAGAAGCAGGCCTTGGCGTGGAATGTGAAAATAGATTTTTCGAAAAGTTGGTCGATTATCTATACGGTTTCCGAGTTGTGTTCGATTATTGTAAACGTGTATTAAAAGTTTTTAATATATATACATATATGTTATATAGAGAGAGCCTACACGTTGTACATAGAGAAAAAGATTCAAAGATATGACACACAAGCACAATCTAGATAAGAACATAAAATATACACCACCAAACATTTGCACACACATGTATATAGTATGTTCAGCTATATGTGTATGCTTTGCTACATATGGATAGATGGGATATATATATATCATACATAAACTGCAATATACACATGTCTTTATATATACATATTATTTAGTTAGCCATTATTCCATACATTAGCTATACAAGATTTAACTTTAACCGTGATATTTTACTGAAATTTATATATATAATATATATATATACATATATCAGAGCAGTCTCTCTTTTGCAAATAAGCATCGTTTAAGACGACGACGGAACAGTAGATTTATTCAATTCGACGTTTTGTAGACGGGAATAGAAATTGGCGGCGCCCGCCATTAAATTATTGGAGGCGAGCGAACAGCAGGGTTGCGACCAAAAAGGTGACGTCAAGGGCGACACGAAAGAGGCGGCAGCCGGATGAATGGAAGATAAGTGGTGGTAGTGGTGAAGTAGAGAAGCGGCATATTCGTAGTCAGTCGCGTAGCGAGGCCATTGACTTTGGCTCTGACTCCTAAGTAAAGCTGAATTATACAAGGCTGCGTATTCGTAGGCCAGTCGATCATTCGGAAATTGGGGAGTTGCCGTAGTTTTTGCTGGGGACGCCTCTTCAACTTGCGACTTTGGTGTATTAGCCAAAGCAGTTTTTGGCATTTCCGAAGCTGTAGACGCTTTTATTGGGGATGCTTGATCGATTCGCTTGCGTTTACCTATGTATGGTAGGAGGCGCGACAGATCCGTCCTTATGCAGCTGTCGTCGACGACGTCAACTTCCGCTTCACTCTCAACCTCCTCATCACCATCCCCTTTTACGTCTTCTTCCTCTTCCTCTTTGACCTCTCTTTTCTGCTCGTCATTTTTCTCTTCTAATAATTCAGGCGTCTGTCTCTTAAATTCGATTCCCTTTTGAAGCTTTTGCACCACCCTCTCGAGATCAGACTTTTTCTGCGATAGGACGCCCTCTAACGGCTTTTTATCATCGCCGCCGGCCGCAATTTTATCTTCGGATCGATGAGTCGTCGGTGGCGGCGGTCGCGCAGGCGGTGGTGGTGGTGGTGGTGATCGTGGTGGTGGTGGTGGTGGTGGTGGTGACTCGCAATCGTCGATTTTCGAAGAAGCGACCTTGGCAACTTTCATGTAAACAATCTCGTCCTGTCCATCGTCCTCAGCGCTTCGTTTACGACGCTGAATAGGTAAAAAGAACAAAGAATGTAAAAGGCGTGCGTGCAACTGGAAAACGAGCGAGCGTCGAGTGACGGCAAGTTTTAATGCGGGTCACGTGACCGACGCTGACGTCAAGAAGCGAGCAGCGAGAGACGACAAAGAGTGTGGCGGTGGCCGGAGGCTACTGGCTGGCGCCTTGTCAATTGATCGTCACAGCTGCCCACCGTAGCCCTTAATGAGCCAACGACGCTTCGCAACCGCACAGCGCCTCTTTTTCCATTTTTCTCCCTCGCCTCTCACAACCCTCTATATATAGCGGCCGTAGATATATAGATTATATAGAATAGGCGGCGGACCGAGCGCACCTGCTTCGTGAGCGCGCATTTTCGAAGGCGGCCGTATCGACCGGCCGGCGCGCTTCGAAAGTAAATAGCGCGAGAACGATAAGCACCGGCGGCGCCAAAGCGTTGAGAGCGAGAGAGAAAGAGAGAGAGAGAGAGAGAGAGAGATAGAAAAAGAAGTATAACATACAGTAAGGATAGAGAGAAAAAATTGTATAGAGAAAAAAAGAATTTGTAAGGGCATGTCTTTTAAAAAATAAATAAATGTAAGCCCATATATATACGCTTATAAATGTACGCATATACATACACACATACGTGTATAGATTTATATGTAAATCCAGTATTCTTGTACGTACATGGTGAATTTATATATATATATATATATATATACTGAATATATACTAAAATATTAAATTTATATATATATATATATATACAGTATATACAATATAATATACTAATATATATGTATAAATTATATGTATAGTACATGAACATCATATGTGTATGTAACACGTATGAAACTCTACGTACATACATTTACGTCTGTTGGCGTACGTGTATGCGGCACAATATACATGCTATGTGTTGTACCATACACGAGAATATATATATATATATATATATATATATATATATATATATATATATATGAGTGTGTGTATGTGTGTGTGTTTCTGATATAAATATATATATAGATATATAGATATGTATACCTGACTCTGAGGAGCGCAAACTCGGCAACGGCAAGTCGCGTCGTGAACTCGTAAAACTCCTCTAGCGACGAGCAGCTTTAACGATTTGCCGCGGTGCCGTATCGAACGTTTCCAGTCCTTGGCCGTTTGCCGGCCGCTGATGCGTTGCAGTTCGTTGGGCGTCAGCCACGATTTATCATACAGTATACACTTCCCCTTGCTGCCTTGGCAAAGTCTATCGACATACATGGTCGCTTGGTTCTGTCCACATTCCACTTCTAATACGGCTTCTCCTTCTCGGTACTCTAATTGCAGCCAGTCAACAGCCTCCGCCGTCTTGTCCGTTGTCGTTTTCTCACCCGAATTCATGTTTTGTTCTGCCATCAGTGTTCTAATAACAGCTTATTCTGCGTTTTCTAGCTTCCACACGCTATATATATTTTCACCTATTTTTTTCTCGCACGCGTTCGCCGCCAGCCGTCGGCTCAGAATGGGCGACGAAGCTTGCCGCCGTTGCGGGATTGTCGGTGGCAGAGCGATCTAAGCGAGGTAGCCTTCAGTATGGCGTTCGATTAAGTCTAACAGTACATTTCATACAAGATTGGTTCATCCTGGTACAAAGTGCATAATGACGCGCGGCAGAACGTTCTAACCGCCGGCACGGCGTACGAGCCGCCGCGATCACCGTCGTCAGCCGCTAGCTCGCACCGCTCGTCATGCAACTATGCACTTTATCGCTCATAAAATTTTGCGTTTTCTGTATAATTCCAACATATTTTAAAAAAATTCGTTCCGTAGATATTAGTGTACATGCAATAATTATCTATTGGTGGTATGGATTTTTTGATATCTGACTCAGAATTCTCAGAAAATAACGTCAAAAGCTCTTTATCGAACGTTGGCGAAACTAGCGCAGGTGGCGGGTCGGCGTGGACGAGCGGTGATTAGCGGGCTGCCGTAGTCGCTGCTATAAATTCGTGCGGATGGAAAGGAGAGAGAGAGAACGAAAGAGAGAGAAAAAATAAGAGGAGAATTTTACTTCGTTCTTCTCTCTATCGTCGCATTAGCACGCGCTCGACGCAAACGCCGCCCCCGCCACTTTTGCGACGAAGCGGATCGAAGCCCAATGCCGTCGTCGACAGTGTCTAAAACGCTTATATATTTCTTGTGGGCGTTTCGATTAGACGAGGAGAATTTCTCTCCCGCCCCGGTATAGGCCGACGTTTTTCGCGGCGAGTTGCCGCCACCGCGCTCACTTCGAACGTTCTGTACCATGTGTGCCGTGAACTTTTGTTGTCTATTTTTAGGGGGCATAGCGGTGTTAGGCGGTTGTATTTTGCTACGGGCAAACTGTCGCCTGGAAAAGCGGGCGGGAGAGCGAGAAATTACAGCGGAGAATTACGTAAGCGGCGTTCGATGAGCATCACGCGTCACGGGGTACGACTAAACTCGACGGTGCCCAGCGCCGCCGTAGTTCAAACGATCCGTACCGCGTGATAGCGTCCGCAACTCCGTGCCTCAAGACTGCGCTCTTTTTTCCGCCTATTCGACGCGCCCTAAGAATTTTCTCTTGCCTCGTCTTCCTTCTCTCTTTTTTTCTCTCTATCACCCTATTCTGTCTCTGTCAGCTTGTCTCTGCTATATTCTACTGATTTTTTCTGCCTGTTCTCTCAATTCTATCTGCGTATATTCTCTCAGTTTTTTTTCTCTCTTTCCTCACCCACCCTTTTTTCTCCGTTTTGCCTTTCTCTCTATCCTTCCTTCATAGAATATTCACCGCTCCTCTTTAGTAGGGGGCGTCTATGTAGTAATGGAACAAACCACCTGATGACGACCGTCTAGTCGTCGCCCGGGTATTACTATCGAACCGCTCTAAATTCACCACCTGCACTATTGATCACGACTCGGCGTCACTATATCGAACCTTTTTTCAACGCCGCTCCCTTTTTTAAGCTATCTGCGTTCTTTTTTTTTCATAACTTTTCTCTATACCGTCTCTTCTCTCCCGTTTTTCTGCTATTTATCGGCCTCCCTCATTATCGCATTAATTCGAACGAGCTGAACGATTAATTGGCGCCTGGGCTTTATCTTTATCATAGGTCTATGTCGTATTTATACCACCACGCAACTCTATTTCTATGACCGCCTAGTTATATTTCACCTAATTTATACCGCCCTTTTTCGAACGCAGTTATTCGAGACATCTAGTGGGAGGCGTAATCCTATAAATAGTTACTGTGAAATCGTGCAGGTGTCGCCAAAGTATGTCATGATATCCACAGATAAGTACCGCCACTTGACAGATGTTCTTATGGATAAATTTGATCCGACAGATGGCAGCAGTTAAATAAAAAATATGTTTTTTTATTGTGAAAAGTTTTGTTTGATGAGCGTTAAGTCGCATTGGACTTTATCGCATATAAACATTAGACAGTAATATAAAACTCTATATAAAATATTTAATTGAAATCAGTAAAACGCATCTTTATAGAAGTAACAACTCGAATTATATTTAACGTAAAAAGTTGCGTTACCCTTAAAATCGTCCAAGTTTAGCTGTTGTTAATGTATAGAACTTATAGAACAACTTAATTTGATTGTTATTTAGATTAGAACAATTAACGGTGTAAGAAAAACCAGACCGATATTAAATAACCTGAGATGTTTGGTCAGTCCCATTAGTTTAATCTACAGTATGATTAATTATTCATGTAAACGAGTGAAAATATTATGTAACAGCGTTCAATACTCAAAATTCGGCTCAAGGTGCTATTCAATGTCAATATGTTTTGAAACCTCACCAATCTTGATATTCGGTATCTCATGAGATGCTAATCAAATTTCCGAGGCACTTTCTCCAATTCCTTGTCAGACCAACAATTATATAACGTTAATTAACTGTTTAGTTTTTTTAGTTACTTAAATGTTAATTAGCCGGAGTTCTTTTCAACCTATAAAAATTCTGAACCTAAAAAGCAATATAATGCGCTGAGCGATAATATGTTATAAACAATAAATGCTCATTTTTGGAAGAATAATCAAGAATATTGCTTAAATTGCTGATTTAGAATAAAACAGGTTTAGTACTTATCACCTTGAATGAAATAGCGCAGATATATTATTTATTAGTCAAGAGGAATTGTACTTTTCATACGGATTGTATCTATTTCACTTTACAAATACTCAGTGGACAGTCTATCTTGCTTGGTTCGTTTTACTTCAAAAGGGGGAGGGACAATGACAATCTTTCAAGTTTTACAGTCTTCAAAAAGTATTGTCATCCCTTAAAATTTATCTCAAAATTTCAATAGCACGTATAGAATAAAATACATACACATAGTTTGTAATTTTTATGCTAAAAAAAAACTTCTATTGCATTTATTTAAGCTGCATTACCTAAATTAGGAGAGTCCAAAACTTCTATATATGCCATTGATTTCTAGTATTCGGCCTCACTTCTCCTTGATATATCCAATTAAACAGACTAAAGTTTAACAATATCTGACAATGACAAGGTTTGATTAGTTAATTTTGCCGAAAGTTTAAATAAATATTAATTAATAACAGAGAGGGTGTATTGTTTGTCTATGGAAATCCTCTTTTGGATATTTCTGCTGACGTAAATGAAGAGTTCCTTAAAAAGTATAGTTTGTCATTCAAATTCTTGAATAGTCCTTATTTACAATAATCTGTTTTGTTAACAGATATGATCTAGAACCTAATAATGCAATTTTAGCCGAAGATAAGCATAAGGTTATGTATGATGATTTGGTTGCTAATTTCAATGTAGACTTTACCCCTGGTGGCGCCGCTCAAAACACTGCCAGAGTTGCTCAGGTCTGTTTTCCCAAAAGTGACTCGTAAATTAATTGATTCGGTATCTTTTTTTCAGTGGTTGATTGCTATTCCAAAGTCCGTGTCGTACGTGGGCTGCATAGGTATTGTATAACCTTGAATCTTTTAAAAGACAGTCTTTTAACTATTTAGCCAGGCATCCAATTTTTGAACAATATAGCTTTTGTATATCGTAACGCAAATTTATTTGTAAAATACGTTTCTATGCTTAGTTTGATGGTCAAAGTAAAGTTTGTATTATAAATTTTAAATTTTTAATATTGCAGGCAACGATGACAAATATGGTAAGATTCTTGAACAAAAAGCCGAAATTGCTGGAGTATGTGCAAGATATATGAAGACTGATAAAGAGCCAACTGGAACTTGTGCAGTTTTGGTAACAGATAGCGGAAAAAACAGGTTTGTTTAGAACAATTGATGCTTATTATTGCTGATTACTGTTTAAATAATTTATTTCTTAGATCCCTGTGCGCTTACTTAGCTGCTGCAAATCACTACAAAAGTGATCATTTGGAAACACCAGAGGTTGACAAGCTGATGAGATTGGCCCAATATTACTATATTAGCGTAAGATTTCATCATAGACAATCTTTTTATAATTATATTGAACTGGATTCGACTTTTTAGGGATTTCCTTTGACCGTAAGCCCCGAGTCTATGCTTCACATTGCTAAGCATGCTGCCAATGAAAACAAAAAATTCATCATGAATCTTTCAGCTCCATTTTTGTGTGAAGTATTTAAACAACAAATGAACGACATTATGCCATACGTTGACGTTCTATTTGGAAACGAAACGGTAAATATTCGTTTCTTTTCATGTTATTTATTTGTTTTTTATTTATACGCGTATAATACAAACAAACAATGTTTGTAGGAAGCAGAAGCATTTGGAAAAGCTAACAACTTTGGGGCAAGTATATTTCGTTAATTGTAGTATCTTGAACATGCTATTTAGAAATAACACCTTCTTAGGAAACCGATATTGATAAAATTGCAATGAAAATTGCTTCGTGGCCTAAACAAAATGGTAGATATGGTAGAATCGTCGTTATCACTCATGGATCAGAGCCAACTATTGTTGTTGACAGTAAGCTGCCCCCCGTTATGATTTTTCAGGAAATATAATAAAAGTTCGTTTTTACAACAGATGGTGTTCTAAAGAAATATCCTGTTATTCACATTGAAGATAGTCATATCGTTGATACTAATGGCGCTGGAGATGCCTTCGTAGGAGGTATGTATATAAAATCGTACACGTTACATAATCAATGAGGATTTTATTGAATTTAAATTCCTTTAGGATTCTTGGCACGCTTTGTTCAAGGAGAAGAAATCGAAGCTTGTATTAGAGGTGGAAATTATGCAGCTAATTTGATAATTCAAAGACCTGGATGTTCTCTACCCGAGAAACCTGATTGCACAGTTAGCGTATTTTAGTAAATCTGTAATTAAGATCACACATGTCGAAGCATGTTTTTCTAGAATAACTAAAACGTTAATGAATATTGAATAAATACACTTAAACAAATTACAATTATGCCTCTCTCTTATTGATATGCAGATTTTAGGACAAGAATATAATCTAAACTTTTTATATTTAATAATTCTAAAATTATTCATCGAATTTTATGAAACACTCAAAAAACTTGCAAATTTTTAAACTTTGATTTTTTAAAACAATTCTTTTAACGAGACATATTCATATTCCTGATTTGTTTATAATTATAGAAGAGACAGTCACACAAGCTTGCATTGATGGAAATGAATTTCAACTAATATAAACTAGCACAAAGTTATTTTCTTAAGAAATAGTTAAAAGTAGTGGAATCAACTCGACTTATAGATTAGCTGGATGCTTGAATCAAGCGTAGCACACATTTATGTAGAGTGTGCATATATCTTTCCCATATCCTAATTAGTTGGGGATTATGCCTAAAAATAGAAATACTGATTATTCACATATGGTAAGGGTGTTAAAAATGTATAGCACTTGAAAAATTCTAATCGAGAGCTGGTTTCTTTATAAGCCCAGAAAAAAGTATTCGTATCAGCTATACTCCATCGGAACCCTCTAAATTGGTCCACAATCTGTTATTAAGAATAAGAAGTCATCAATACTTGATTTATAGATCAAAGTTATATGTAACAAACTTTTTCGATAACGTCGTTAAAGAAATCTTTTAGTTCCTTGCTATGGTTTAAATTGTAACCGATGTGGATACATGCTTTACTAATTGACTGAAACAAATTGAACGATTAATAACAATGGTAGTTCTGAAAAGAAAATCACCGTTAAAATACCTTAAAATTACAATCCAACTCGCTATAAGCATCAGGCGTAATTTTGTCTTTTACTTCTTTGCAAACGATACTATTGAGTTTTAATCTATGAACAATTAGTCTCTCAATAGTAATTTATATTTAACCTTTTATGTTCATCAAGAGAATTCATCATTCCTTTAATTTCACGAAGTTCATGAAGAAATTCTTGATCTAAATCCACATCCATGTCCTCGTGATTTTTACAGTCTGGAAAATGATGATTTTCAAAATGAGTATATTATAATGCGAATAACGTACAGGAAAGATCATGCGAAGGTACGTGGGTTCTAATTATGGTAGGGTGTATAAATTGAACATTGAGAGACGAGAATGCAAGTAACTAGTGCAATATAGCTGAAAGTACGGATGTATGTTCTAAAAGCGAGTCTAAAAACTTACCCTGCTTTTTCAATAGACTTTTACGATTATCAAACCGCTGACTTAGATTTATCTTCCATGATGATTCTTTTGATTAATTTGTATCAATTAATACTAATCACTTTTTCTATTATCTTTCCTTATCTCCTTTTTTGGAGAGAATATTTTTTTGTACTCTAAATAAATATAATTATTCTTCTACATAAGCGAGTTTTCAATGTTTTCGATTCTAAACTATCGATAAGAATAATCAAAGTTCGTGATTACTTGGTATATCACAATAATACATTACACTTAAGTATAACTAAAATTTAGAATGGTGTATCTCAAACACAATAAAACCATTAATGTGTGGAAACCAGCATTATAGAAAAAGGTGACTACTTTAATATTTCTAGCTGATTATTTTATATCAAAACTTTTGCTTTAAAAATCTAACGCTGATATCCGATTTCTTAAATGATAAGACAAGATAAGACAACCCAACCTTCTGAACTATAACTCCAGTTGGTCATCATTTCGTTAGCACAGAAAGCAAAATCGTCGAAAGTAATATGAAGAAGACGTTTCTTTCCAGTTTCAAAGCGATTATTTGTTATAAATACTATTGCAGCATATTGCCTGTTGAAAAATTCATTAGAATATTATAGATCCCTAAAAAATATGCAATTAACCTAGCTAGAGAGTTACTTATTAAGAAATGTGTTTTAATATTTTCTACCAGGGAGCCCATTAACTCTTCCACAGTTTTAAATACCCGTTTTAAATTATCAAACTGTCTCCTGCAGGATTTCAATGCTATTCTCGTCTTCTCGCTCACATCGTCTAACTGATTTCGGTTTTTAGAAGAGAGTTTCTTTCCCAAAAACTCTCTGATTACTATCGAGTCTAAAGCATAGTATCTGTAAAATTTTCAAAACTTTTATACTCGTTATTGTGTAAAAGCCTTGTACCTTTCAACCAGGAGCTTTTGGGTTTCACTATCCAATTGAAACACCAACTGTTCAGGAAGTTTCTGAGGCGACTTCAGATACCTTTCAAGCATGTTGAATGTTCTATAATGGTTATGAATCTCGGCTCGTAACATCTCTGACGTTGCATCGAATTTTTGAACGACACCTTTTTTCTGCTGTACTGTACATGCTTCATTCACTGACAAAAAATATTAAAATATGACACTGACTTATTATCAATGTTATAATTTTTTATTATAATATCGCTCATTAACAGAAAATCATCGTAATAAATCCCTACCTGTTAATCCTTTCAGCCACAACTGATAAACTTCTGCATCAACTATAGTATTATTTCCAACACAAACATCAATGTCCGTCATTTAATTTTAATGAAATTGATGAATGTTGAACTCTGCACAAAAACTGGAGTATTTTTCCGTGTTTAACGGTTTTTTAATACAATGATATTGCTAAACACTGCACTTGAGCGGCACTTAGACATTTTCATAGTGATAGGCAATATTATATACTACTCATTTTATAATATAATGAAAATCTGCCAGTAATTCTGTTACAAACTTAATAAGATCGAATTATTAAAGGAGTTTTACGACTAGTTTACTAATGTTAAGATTTATAAATTGAAGTAAAGTTAAAAAAATGTTAGACTTTTGTTAAGCTCTATTTGTGTGCAGGATTTAGTTAGACTTGCACAAAAAACCGCTCGCCTTCAAATTTCTTTGAAAAGGTTTGTTTTCGTGAATTTTCTCAATGGAAGGGAATAAAAAGGATAAAATAACTCGATCATTTGGGGAAGAAGACGAGAGAATGCTAGCCGCTTTTGGATTCACTAGCGAAGCTTTTGTAGATACCTGTAAGTAATGTTTTTTTTGCACTTTGAAAATGTAAACATTTATGATCGTATTATATTTTAGGCTATCGAGAGATAAAGCTATGTTTAGATCGATTTATAAAATCATTTTTGGAAAGAGCAAAGCAAGAGGCACGTGTTTTTATTAACAAATTCGTCATATAAAAGTTTAAATGTTTTTAAAACAGTTCCCTGACGTATTTAAAGACCAAGACATAATGGAAAAAGCAGAAGAAAAATTTAATGCCATCTATACTGGAAATATGAACAAATGCTTTTTAATCTTTCACGTAAACAATTCAATAGTTATTCAGCTTGCTTATTTTTTACTTAGTTTCTCACTTAAAAGGAGTATTTGATCAAAAATTTCATGAGTATCCCCGAAAATGCTATTCTTCCACATCAAGCGAAAGTTGCCGAATTCCGAACATGGACCATAGATGATAAATCTAAGCTATTAGAAGAAATATCCTCCCTCGAAAATGAAATTTATTTGGTTAAATTTAATGTTGAAGGTGAAAAATCTCATCAACAACACGTTGAAAAGGTTCTTGCGGCTTATCAAGACTACTATTCGGAAGTGAAAAATAACGCGCTGGTTTCTAAAGGTAAGAGAATTACGATTGTCAAAAGAAAATAGTTAATATCATTAAAATTTTATTTTTTTTAACTTTGTACAAAATATTTTCTAGGTTTTGATGACACAATGAAAACACTTGAAGAAAGAATAATGAACTTGAAATAACTAGCTTTATAAATGAATTTTAATTAATTGTGTGTTCATAAAAAACTTAAATAGGAAATTAACTAATTCACAATCTCATCTTCTCTTTCGTTTTCCTTTTTCTTCGTCGCCATGCAATTCTTTTTCGTATTCTTCCATAAGTGTTTGCTGAGTTTCCGGTGTCGCCGGACAATAACGATTAAATTCCATACTATATTCTCCTTTTCCTTGAGTTGTTGATCGCAGATCGGTAGCATAACCAAACATTTCATTCAAGGGCACCTAAAGAAGTGTGTTTACTAAAAGCAAACTTCCGGCTATATTGAATACTCACCTCGCAGTAAAGTGTGAAAAATCCTTCATGAGAGTCCTGACCAGTGACTATCGCGTGTCGCTTATGTAAGGCACCAACAACATCAGCTGGTTAGAAAATTAAAAAATTATTTAAAGCGCCTTGAAAAGTTACTCTACCTTGAAATTCTTCAGGGACTGTAACTTCAACTGTCATGACAGGTTCTATTATGTGCCAAACTGCATTCTCTAAAACTTGTTTTACGGCTCCTTCAGCAGCCAGTTGGAAAGCGTAATCCGTTGAGTCTACAGGATGATTGGCTCCATCCACTAAAGAGAATCGAATGCCTGCAACCTTGTGTCCGGCCAAAGCACCTAATTTATTATGAAACGTCAATTATTCTTAGAATCAATAAAGCAATATTACCTTTTTCACATGCTTTTCTGAATCCCTGAAAAAGTAAACATTTATAGAAAGATTGAATGCTGGAATATAAAACTAATATACTCTTTCAATGGCAGGCACAAATTGTCTAGGAATGTTTGTTCCTGTGGTTAAATTTTCGAATTCGATTTTCGTATTTCTTTCTGCTGGTAGAGGCTGTTCGAGGGTAATGCTGAGGTCATCAAAAAATGATTTTATTTCAATTTTTACCTCCATATAGCCAGATACTCTTCCAAACTGACCCTGACCACCTGACTGTTTTTTGTGCAAATAGTCAAAATCGAATCGTCGCAAAAGGGTTTCTCTGAAAGCTACTTTAGGTTTTCCTAATACACATTTACAATTATACTCTCTGTCAAGTCTTTGAGAATAAATTTCTAAATGTAGTTCTCCCATTCCAGAGACGATAGCTTCTTTACTTTCTGTGTCGTATGTCATTCTAAACGTTGGATCCTCACGAGTGAATCTAGCAATTCCTTTGGAAAAGTTATCTGTGTGCTTTTTATTAACAGGCTTTATAGACATTGATACGACAGGATCGGGAATGTGCATTGATTCCATAGACAAATTAGTATTGCCTTTTGAGACAAAAGTGTCTCCGCTAGCGCAATCTACTCCAAATGTGGCGCAGATATCCCCAGCAAACACTTCATCCACATCCTGAAATATGACTGTCAATAGAGTGTTTAAGTAATTGTTTCAGTTATACCTGCATCTGATCTGCATGCATAACGACAAGTCTTGGAACCCTCACTCGCTTATCTGTTCTAGTATTATAAATGGTTTCTCCTTTCTTCAGAGATCCTTGATATACTCTCATATAAGTTAACTGGCCAAATCGTCCAGCCTATATAGAGAATTACATTTTAAATCAGTGTTTTGCTAAACGAAAGAGATATAAGATAGCTATACCTCTAGTTTAAATGCTAGGGATACAAATGGATTTTCGTCCGACCTCTTAGGATTTAAGACTATCTTTTTTACTTTTTCTCTGTTTAACAAATGTTAGAGATATTTTATACAGTGTTTATGAAAATTAAGATAAAGTAGCTCTTACTTATCAGTATTATCATTACAGAAGTTTGTCACCTCTCCAGGATTAGGAAGATAATCTATTACAGCATCTAGTAGAGGCTGAACACCTTTATTCTTTAAGGCCGTACCCATTAAAACAGGAGTAAAGTGTCTTTTTAAGCATGATCTTCTTATGGCAGCTTTGATGTCGGATACATCTGGTACCTTCTCTTCAAGGAACATTTCACCCAAAATCTCATCAGCGTTGGATATACATTCTATAATTGAATAAATAACAGTTAACTCCAAAAAAGCAAATTGAACTAACCAATGAGCTCTTGTCTCCTGTCTTGTGATTCACGTAGCATGTCTGAAGGTATTGAATCTGTCCTAATCTGTATACTGTGACAAAAATTAATAAGGATCATATTTTCTAATGCATAAACTTTAAAAATTGAGGAATACAAACCCCATGGGATCCTGATCAAAATACATTGCCTTCTCTTCAATTAAGTCAATTATACCTTTGTGATTTTTTTCCAAACCAATTGGCAAATGTAATAAAGCTGCATTTTTATGAAGTTTCGTCCTGGAAGTTAAAAATTTAAGAATAACATCAAAATTGAGATAGCAATTAAACTATATTTCAGATAATCCTATATACTTTACCTCAATTGACTCAGGACTCTAATAGGATCAGCTGACATCCTATCAAGTTTATTAATGAAGGCTAAACAGGGAACATCATATCTTTGCATTTGTCGTGTAACTGTAAAGGTCTGAGACTGAACTCCTCCTACAGCACATAAAACTAAAACGGCTCCATCTAATACCCTTAACGCTCTTTCCACTTCAACAGTGAAATCGACATGACCTTTAAAGGGAAATATTATAATGAAATGCAGTTAGACAGCCAGAATTTAAACCTGGTGTATCTATAATATTTATGTTATAGTCTTTCCAGGTCGTATAAGTAGCTGCACTCTGAATTGTAATCCCTCTTTGTCTTTCCAATTCCATAAAATCCATTGTTGCTCCAACACCATCTTTTCCTTTGACCTAACAATTAGAGATTGAAATTTCATGATCACTTTGCTTTCCATTCGTAATATCTCTTTCAAGTTTACCTACCTCGTGAACACGAGCTAATTTCCCAGTATAGAACAAAATTCTTTCAGTTAAGGTGGTCTTTCCAGAGTCAATATGAGCAGAAATACCAATATTTCTTATTTTTTCTCGGTCATCTGCACCATTTAACTACAAAGACACAATTGCATATCATCAATAATAAATTTTGAGCGTCATAACTCACTGTTGCTGATGTGTTAATGAGATGACATTTTAAGGACGATCCGGCTCTCTGTGATCAAATAAGAGTAAAAAAGTGAAATGGATTTTTTATTGGAAAATTAAAATTAAACTAACCAGATATCTATGACATAGTGAAAGACTGGATGTAAACGGTTTACTTTGCAGTAATCTAGACATTTTCCCGGTTTAAATATAAGCACATGGAGACGTCGTCTGCTAGTTCAGTTGGAGGTTATTCAACTACCCAGAAGAAGACAGATGGCGCAGTTAAGTGTTTTAGAAATTGTTTTAAAAAAGTATAAAGCCTAATATACATGATATCTTCAAACAACTAATACTGTTAATTTACTTGATTGTCTGTTAGACATAAGCCTCATAAATGTCTGATTATAAACAATATAAGGGGCAAAACAGAAAATATTTAATATATATAACTACAATACTAAAAATAAGTTAAATAATTATAAAAAAAATTACAAGCTTTATAAAGATAGTTTTTTCCGTGGGACATCGATTTTGAAAAATACATAAAATGTGTATTTTAATATGATAGCCTAAAAGTTGAAAACACTTTTTACAAATTTTTACTGTTGTTTAAAAAAGTGAAAAATACTGAAAAAACGAATATTAAATTTCCTTTAGAATATATCTATCAAAGAGAATTGTTCTTTTAAACGACTATTTATAGTGCTTATAGCAACTTTTCAACTTTTTATGTTTTACGGAGGTGAATATATAATGGAGTACATACCAGTCTAGGGGTTTTACATTCTCCACGCATGCGTTAAAGCGGCTACCTAATATAAATAATATACTCTGATTTGGGACTCAGTCGTGTCAAAAATTAAAGCATAACCTCAAAATGGACTCTGTAAGTAGAAATTCAGATAATTTCTTCATTAAAACTAAAAATTTAACTATAAAACCCATTAAAACAAGTATTTTATAACGGGTAGACTCATTTTAAAAAAGCGGTTGATACCGGTAATATAACTAATTTATTAATATCGGTCTAAATTGCTTTAAACAACTGAGAGGCAGTTGTGGTAATTCAATTTCTCTTCTAGGTTCAATGTTTGCACTTATTGGTGAAGCATAATAAAAGTAGACGTCCTTCATCTTGGCGACAAGATAACATTACCAAATCGAAAGAAGAAGCCCTGCAGGAACTGGCAGAATACAGACAAAAAATCGTTTCGGGAGAATGTACTTTTGAGGAATTGGCTTCGAAAGTGAGCGACTGCTCCAGCGCCAAAAGAGGTGGAGATTTGGGCTCTTTTGGCAGGGGAGCAATGCAAAAGCCTTTCGAAGACGCAGCCTTCGCATTAAATGTCGGTGAACTAAGTGGAACGGTTGACACTGAAAGCGGTGTACATATCATTAAAAGAATTGCTTAATGAAGAAGCCAGCTTTTTCATTAACGAATCAATTTATGATACATTTGAAGAAATAAAATTTAAACTTGTCTTTAAAACTGTAATATAATTATTTTTTAATCTACCATCATCTTTCAAGATTTTCTTCTTGAAGTTCTTCGAAGGCATCTTTATCTTCGTTGTATTGAAAAAGAGCTTTTAGTCTGTTCACAACCAATTTTGTTACGGATGACAGTTCATGCTGCATTACTGAAACTCCTTTTAAGGTTAATACCACCAGTTCCGACATACCGTCGAAGGTTAAGTCTAAAGCTTGCACTCCAAGTACAGGATCGGCAAATGATCGCTGCCAAATAACCTGATACTTTTCATTATCCACATATTTATAAATTATCACTTGATGGCCATATGTACCAATAATGATTTCATTTTCACCATCAAAGTCTATATCTGTTGCCAATAGAGAAAGAATACAATCATATTTGTCACTTTCGGGAAGTGTTAGTGCATTGTCTAGATGTTTTGACAGTATATTCCTGTAGACTACTACACCTTGTAGTGCACTAGATGCCACAATATGTAAATCATCGTTTTGTTCTTGTGAACAAAATGGATTTACTTCATCATATTCATCCTCACCAAGAACTTCTTTCACGAATTGAGGGCACTTTACTAGTTTTGAAGTTTGAAATATTCTAACGCAAGTTATTGGTGATTCATGGCTTCTTTCGAATTTTTGTACTTCTTTTGTTGTAATATTAACAATTAAAAGAGATATAGTAGCATCCTGAAAACCAATTACGGTTAACCTTCGATTATTTTGAACCTCTGAATCCCACCAAAGCGGTACAGAGTGCAAATTTTGAAATTCAGGGAAAAACTCCGTTACTTGAGCAGGAGGTGTTTGTTGAAAAAAGTTCTCTGAATTTTCTCTAAACATATGCATATTTTTATCGTTTCCACTGAGAAGAAATACTGTTTCATCTTTTCCCTCTAATTTACCATGATAAAGTCTATAAGGAATAAATTTTAATTCAAAATGCTGGCAGGACTGAGCTATTCGAGTTAAATCTGAAAGTAACAAAAAAATAAGATTTAATATTTTAAGAAATTTATATATTTTTCATATTACCCCATTCTTCTGAATTTTCACCTTCAGAGTAGACATTCAAGAAGCATGAATTTGTGTCACGTTTTATAAAGGTAATGCCTACTACTAATCCACAATGGCGTCTTGAGTATGCATCAATAGAAACTATTTCAGCATCATGTGGAACATAATGAAATTGAATATCGTCAGTTTTTGCTTCTAATTTTGGATCGTGCTTAAAACTTAAGCAGCTGATTTTTTTCGATAGAGAAGACACAAGCAGTTTATTTTTGCCATCCGGGTGTTCAATTTTTGTTAAGCTATATATGTTGTTTTGTTGCAAACCGTAGTAGTGTAATTCTTCTAGATGAACTGGAAGGGCCATTCCCGAGTCTCTGTATGAAAACAATGATGGCCTATTCCGCTTCAAAAAATATGCGCTTTTTATTGGTTGGGAACTGGTATCCTAGCAAATACTCTAGGTATGGTAGTTGTTCCTGAGCTGGTTTAATATACTAAGTTTGGACTGTGGACATAACATACATGTGTACGAATATTAATAGCAGACGAACTTTTCCAATAGCCTGATCGTTTTTTACCAAGAAAGTGATGTAAGAGGAAATCACTCTTACAAATGTCGAACAACCTGGAAAGTCAGGAATTGGAGCTAAAAGCTCTTCAAGCAATGTTCGAAGAAGATATAACGGATCTTAGAAATGATGACCCTTGGAAAGTAAGCTTAGACATTAAAAACTTATTTTTGGTAGATTTAATCTCTGATCTTCGAATTGATGTAATACGTGTTTCAGATAAAAAGGCCTCCTGACATCAAAATAAACTTGAAACCTATAGCCAGTAGTAGCTCAAAAGTTTATGTTTCTGTTGAATTCCATATTAAACTAAGCTCATCCTATCCCAAAGAGTAAATTAATTTTTAGAGAAAAGTATTTGAAACTAATTTTTATTTAATTTGTTAGTTTGCCAGAAATACTTGAAATATCAGATAATAAAGGCTTGTCAGAGAGTAGCATAAAGAAATTGGAAAAAGAAATTAGGGAAAAGGCTGAAGAGAAGCAGGGAGAGGTTGATTGAAATGATATTTTTTTACTATGTTAAATTAATAAATAATCAAACACCTTTTAGGAAATTATGTTTGAATTGATAAGTCTTATTCAACGTTATTTACAAGAAGTAAATGTGCCACCTAAAAAGTCATTTCACGACGATATGATAGAAAGAAAGGCTGAAGAGAGTCGTGAAAGAGTAAGAGAGGGGATAAAATTAGCTCAGGAAAAGGAAATATTAAAAAAACAAGAGGTAAAATTTTCGTATCTACATGAAAGTTCAAGAAGGCTGAAATGAATTTAACAAATTAAAAGCATGTTTTGGCATAACTTTTAGGAGGATGAACTTCAAGAAGCTATGGAAAGGCGTATGAATGAAGCTAGACAAAAAAGAAAGGAAGCAAAGACGTATAGATTTCAAAACAGCCGTGGATCAGAATCGGATGGGAGTAGAAGGTCTGATTTAGCATTTTTAGTGTTACATTTAATGTTACCTTATATGTAATTCTTGCGTAAACCAATATATAGCTCTTCTCGACCAAGGCGAAGAAGTGACACACCAGATCTTGAAAACTCCCCGACAGAAGTGAGATGCGTTAGTTTCCCGATGAAAAAGTCTGCTGAAATTAAAGTCAATCTTGGACAATGCCTAGTTAGAACTGACTGTCATTCGACGTTTTTAGGATTTAGATTAGATTCAGGAAAAAAAGCTATTATTAACGAATGGAATTTTATTTGGAGAATACCTAAACGGAAAAGGAAAACTGTAGAAGAGAAAGAGCAAGATGCATGTGTATCTAAAAAGATTAATGAAAAGGTTATTATCAGCCTGAGATCATTTCAAATAGTTTTACATTAGTTAAGATTTATATATTTTTCAGATCTCAGTTTTTGAGCATGAATATAATACGGTTTTGAAACTTCAACATCCTTTATTGATTTTATATTTGTCTTTATTAAAAACTGAAGAGCAAGGCAAAATAACGGTCAATCTCTTGAGAGAAGATTCTTACGGAATTAACTTGAAATCGTTACATCTGATCAACAATAATCCTGCCAGTATAGAAACTATAAAAATCTATGTACAGCAGCTAACAGAAGTACTTGCATATTTGCATAGTAAAAGTGTTATTCATGGGGATCTTACTCCCTGGTGTATTTGGATAAATGATTCCGGCTGCCTTAAACTGTCTGATTACAGCTTAAAATCTAGGTAAGCCTACAGTTTCGTGCATGAAAGCAATTTTTCTTAGCCAGCATCTTTTCCACATAGCCTTGATCGTACATATGCTGAATTCGAAAATGATAAGATTGGTAGTCATTTTGAGCTATTAGATGTTCTTCCTGTCGTCGGCAAGGGAAAACGAGCCGACATCTATCGATTGGTGAGAATTCGTTGATTTTTAAGATTTTATTATACGAAAATTTTATGCTGAAACTGTTTAAACAGGGAATAACAATGTTATCGGTGTATACTGGTTGTCTACAAGCAAAACATAATCCAGATTATCCATCAAATATACCTAATAATTTTAAATTATTTTTAGATAGGTATTGCACTTGTTTTGTTCGATTTTGTAAATATTAATGAAATTGCAAATCTTACAGTTGTTTTTCTAACAAGAATATTACAATATCTCATTTGGGTCAACATATGTTTTTAAATGATTCTAACGATAAAGAAATTTCTGGTAACAATGAAAAATTAGAGGCAGTAGGAGAATCTGGTAAATTTAATGACATAAAAACAAGTTAAACAGATGTAATTTATAAAATTTCTTCTTTTTAGTGATCGTCACCGAAAAAGAGATTATACCCTATGTAGGATTTAGACTAAAACAAGAATTTTCAGTACTTGATTCATTGGGTAAAGGTGGATTTGGTGAAGTTATTAAAGTTGGATTTACTATTTATCTATCTTTCATATCAATAGGTTCATTGAGCCAATTTATCTTTATTAGGTCCAAAACAAACTAGACGAAAGATTTTATGCCATAAAATGCATTAAGTTGTCAAAGAAAAATATATCAGTTACCAGAAAGATGTTGCAAGAAGTTAAGCTATTATCTAGATTCAATCATGAAAATGTTGTAAGGTATGTATCGGAGAGAATTCTTTGTGTAAATGTCTCAAGACTAAGTTACATTAAATTAAATTAAATTTTAAGATACTTCAATTCGTGGAAGGAGGAGGTCATTGAAGAGGAAAGCGAAAATTCATCGATATCTACTAATACAATAACTTCTGATAATGACGATCAATTTTTTGTTAATAGAAAAAAAAATGAAGATAGCCTCTTACCGTCTAGGCTGAACGTAAATATAATTTATAAGTTTAGAACAGATAATAAGTCCTTTTGTTTTAATTGGTATAAAAAGTTTTCAGCATCCGACCATGTTATTCATACAAGTAGTCACTCCAGCTGGAGTCGTTCCGTATCCAATTTTGATGAGAGTGATGATGAGAAAGAAGACTTTCTTTCCGATTTGGGACAATCTTTTCTGTTAGTTTCCTTCACTTTTATGAACACTTTATTTACCTTCTTCTTGTCCCTAGATTTCTTCCAGATAATGAAAAAGATGACAGTATTGTGTTTGAAAGTCCCTCAAATAAAGAAAACTTTAACGAGCCTTCTAAATCTAATAATCCTGAACTTGACCAAGTAAATTCTGACGATTCACCTAAAACTACAGTGTATCTTTATATTCAAGTAGATTATTTATTAATATTAATGTGAAAGTGATTTATGTAACATTTTGAATGTTTTGTAGATGGAATATTGTGATAAAAGTACATTAAGGACAGTGATAGACGAAGGTTTATATATGAATGAACAGCGTATGTGGAAAATGTTCAGGGAAATACTTGAAGGTCTATCGCATATTCACGAAAAAGTTGGTTTGATTCTTTCATTCAGATATAAAGTAGCCTCAATTATCCAAAAAACTTTAATATTTTAGGGCATGATTCACAGAGACCTAAAACCCGCAAATATTTTTATAGATTCAAATGATCATATTAAGATAGGAGATTTTGGATTAGCTACAATGGGGATATTATCCACCAAAGAAGCCAACCAAGAAGCAGATATAACTGAACCTAATATTCCTGAGAATAGTAGTATGACCGGAAAGGTTGGTACGGTATTTTATGTTAGTCCAGAAGTTATGGAAAATCTCGGTCGTTACGATCAAAAAGTTGATATGTTCAGTTTGGGTATTATTTTCTTTGAAATGAACTACAAACCTTTAAAAACTGCGATGGAACGCCACAAGGTCATTACAGAAGTTAGAAATCAGAGATTTCCAACAAATTTCGAAAAAAATAAGCCAAACTCACTTATTAAAATATTACAAGGTAAATGAACGAATAAATGAATGAATGATAAATGGTAATTTTCTTTTCAAGGTCTTTTGGAGAATGATCCAATTAAAAGAGTTTCATGTAAAGATCTTCTACAAGGAGATCTAGTTCCTGTTCAAACTGAAAAAGTTGAAGAAATAATTAAAGCTGCTGTAGAGCAATCGGGTGGCAAATCTTCAAGATATATCCTCAATACTCTGTTCCAGCAGAAAGTGGCACGAGTTGATGATATAACGTATGATTTGCACATTCAGCATCCATCTGTGTCTTTTTGCGTTCTTCATCAAAAAACGGTTGATACCCTTACAAATTTGTTTAGAAAGCATAGTGCAGTTTACTTAAAGACGCCACTTCTGGTTCCAAGATCGGAAACTTATCAAGCAAATTGTCCACAATTTCTTGATTGCAATGGAACCTGCCTGTGCCTTCCGTATGATCTAAGAACTTCTTTCGCTAGATACGTGGCAAAACATTCAATATTTGACATTAAAAGATATTATATTGGAAATGTTTATAGAAAATGTGAGGACGAGCGAGCCCATCCAAAGGAGTTATTTGAAGTAGCTTTTGATATAGTGTGTAATCAAGCATTTACTCTAACAGCTGATAGTGAAATTTTATTATTGTTATTAGACGTCTTGAGAGAATTTGAAATGTGCTCTCGTGATAAGCTAACTTTAACCCTTAGTCATTCAGATTTAACAAGAGGATTGTTCAATATTTTTGGAATTGCCGAAGATAAACATTTAGCAATCTTGAAACTATTCTCAGAAATAAAAAATAAAATTACCAAAAACGATATTAATGATATAGCTGATACTTCCTTATCTGAAAGAGACGTTCAAAGATTAAAAAGTTGTTTGCAAATCGAAGGTGAAAGCGTTCAGGTAGTTTCTTTCTTATAGTACTGTTTTCAGATTTCATTTTTAATATCTCCGTAGGATTTTTCAAGTAAACTTGCTAACGAGATTAGAAATAGACATTCTACAAATGACCAAAAAATGATAAAATCTGCTCTGAAACATATCGAACAAGTACTAGAAATAAAAAAAGCAACTGAGAACTATTTTCAAAATATCCCGAGCATTCGCATAGGATTTTTGAATTCGACATCACTTGCTAAATTTAATGGGATTATGCTTCAACTGTCTAAATCAATTACTAAGGGCAAGAGATTTGATACAATTGCTGTTGGTGGTCGTTACGACAACCTGCTAAAAAATGTTGTACTTAAGCAAAAGATGGAGAATGTGGGAGCTGTTGGCATTAGCTTTAATTTTGATAGATTAAAAGAAGTATTGGGAAAACATGGAGAAAATTGTGCCATTTATGATGTTTTGATTTCCTGCATATCAGATCTCGATAAAACGTCTTGTCTATTGTTCCAATTAGCCAATAATTTAAGACAACTGGACTTTAAAGTAGATATTGTATTTACCTCTAATCTTTCGCCAAATGATATAAATGAGTTGTTTCGGAAAAACGGTGTTGTTCATGTAATATCGGCTCTTCCTTCGAAAGAAGATTTTGATTGTAAAGTATGTTGTGCTTGAATTTTAAACGTATTCTATATTAAAAGTTTCTCTCCTTATCAGGTTAGGTCGTTTATTATGGAAAAAATTATAGAAAAAACTGTTTCGGTTAAAACAGTTCCAAATTACTTGTCGGCTTTAAGAAGGTCTGCAGTTGTCTTATTTTTTATATTTCAAATATAAATAAATACTTTTTTATTTAATAGTAAAGAAAAAGAAGACACATCGGACCCCTACCAAAGTTACAATAAATCCTCAATATCTGGAACACTTGGTTACGAATATATGCCAAACTTCAAATCTTCAAATGCTCCGGCTGACTATACAGTATCATATTTTTCATACATAGGCGATAAACTGTCGCATGGTATGAAAAAAAAGCATGATCATCAGGTAGATTAATATTAATTCAAACATTCTTCATTCTGCTTTATACTTATCTTCATTTTACAGATTACCGCTCAAATGTCAAAGATCTTGATCAATATTAATCCAAAAGCAAAGTGCGAGGTTCTGGTAACCGATTTGGATTTTTCTGTCATCAAGACAATAGCTGTTTATTTAGATTATGTCAGTGACCATAAAGAGCAATTTCACCAGAGTGTAACTCAAGTATTGGAAAAGTAAATTTCAATTTATAGCTAGTGTAATCATTCGCACTGAGAAATTATTAAAAATTACAGGCATCAACGACATCGAAAGTACATACTAGATTTTTGCGATGAAATTTATAAAGCTCGCAATAAATATCAGTAAGTGAACGTACTTCTTGAGCACAAATTAGAATATTTTTATTTTTACATTTTTCTTCTTCAGACAGCCTCCAGTAATTGTGCTATTTTGCATAAATAGCGATGGTTCATACTATAAATTGTTAATATAGTCAGCATCTAGCATCAAATAAACTGCTGAATTAAAAAAGAAGTGTCCTAAAAGAATGAAGCTGCTATATATTTATATAAATTTATATATTAGTGCAGTATAAATTTATATAGTATATACTATATTTAAATAAGCAAAATAGCGATATTTTAACAAGAAATTTTTATAAATTCTATATATAACAAGATAAATGTATTTCAAATTGAGAAAGACACATAAATTGAGCTATTAAATGACAAACTGCGCTAGAGTAGATAATCTTAAATTGTTGAAGAGCTTTGCTTCCCTCGCTATGCATTGTCCTTTGCAGATTGCTCTGGAGCTGGAACGTTTGTTTCATTTGTCTCATTTGTTTCCTCTCCATCTTCTTTAGTTACATCTTCGCTAAATCCGTCAGCAGGTTTTGCTTCTGATGGATCATCAAATATGATATCTTCAGGATTAGGAGCCTTAGGTAAAAACTCCTCGGTCTCGCAGATATTTCTAAAGAGTAGACGGGCCTGAAGTGTAATAAATTTTGAAACAACGCTCTGCTTTTAAACAATGAAAAGTTTACCTTTGAAACACTATCATCCAAATCAAGATTTCCCAAAAGCTCAGAAGTAATGTAAACATTTTTAGGGCATTTTTCTGAAGTTATCTTTTCGCTTGCGTAATAGCTCTGATTATAGAACAGGGAATAAACAACATTGGGTTTGTCTTCAGATTTCTCAGTTTCAAAATTTAAGAAATTATTAGCTATTGGTTGTAAATCTTCTCTTGCTGTCTTATCTCTAGAACAGCTGATGTAGACAACATCTGATGAATTGAGGAAACCATTTAATTTATATATTCATCAATCAACTATAAATACAAACTTAAACCATCAGGACACGCTGCAGCAGCGTAAGGGACTTCAAAAATAGTAATACAATCTTTTGCTGATGATTTTGGAATATTCATAAGAGTTAGCTAAATGAAATGAACATTTCAGCATAATTTACAAACAAATAAAAAATTTGTCTATACCTCTTCTTGTTTCGATTCTTTGATAGATTTATCAGTAATTATCATAGCTCTGGAAACTTCACTACAGGGAAAATTTCAATTTACAGGTAAACTTGAATTAGCAATATTTTTGATATTCTACTCTCGATATATACCTTCGTTGTATTTTTTCATCAAGAAGACTACGAGAAGCGAATGAATAATTCATAATTATGTGTCTATGGAATATCACAATTTCGTATGAATTCAAAATCTATATAATAATTTATCGTTACAAACTTGCATTTAATTCGCTGACCAGTTGTATCTATTATACCGATAGCTTGATTTGACTCATCTGTAATAATATTCGCGGCAGTTCTTTCTAGACAATAAGTTCCTCCGAAAACGGCACAAAACCTTGACAAACAAAAAATTACTCAAACCTTGTCGCTAAAAAGAAATAAACTTTCATGCCTGCAAAATGCCTGCGGTAGTTCCCCAGAACCAAACATTGGCCATAAGAAAGCAGTATTACCGTAGCGTCCAAGCGAACTTACAAATTTAACAGTCCTATCCAAACCCTAGTCAAAAGCATAGGTAAGTATTCTATATAGGCTGTCAGAACATTTGTACATACAATTAACGTTGATGTTTCATCGTCGACCATAGCTATATTGTATTGTATGAAATGCCTTATGTTATCAGGTAATGACTTCGATATTAAAAATTCCCTAAATGGTCTTTCGGAAAAGGCTAAGGAGAATATTTTCTTTATTACTATGCTATATTAAAATGGAAAGTAATCCTTACAGTTATATTCTTCCGGTTGTTCCTTATATTTTAATGTATTTTGCAAAAATTTCATAAGAATTCTTTTTTCTGCCATACTGATGTCTTTGCTGCTGAAAACATCTGCTCTAGAGCAAGGAACCTAAAAATTTGAAGTAATGAGAAACTTTCTTAAATAAACGTAGTGCAGAAGTACCTTTTTTATTTCATTGTCTTGTAAAGTAAGAATTCTAGTGATGGTTTTAAATTCAACATATTTCGCAACATCAGATGATATTAGGAGGTCTACCATATCACCACGACAGAATAATAGCTTTTAACAATATTAGCTTTCCATTAGATGTTTTAGATTTAATAAAAAAAAATGTTTTTATGTACCCTCGGATTTAAATCGAGATTAAAGTGTCTATCCTGTTTTTCCATCTTCTGTTTGGTCCATAGTTTTTTTGACGTTTTCGAGTCTTCTTTTTTCATTTGATTACATGTAGCTTTTTCTGTCACTTTTTCAATATCTTTTTCGCAAGGTTTACCGTCTTTGTCTGAGTCTATAAAATAATTTTGTCCCAGCTATATGAAATAATCGCTATTTATTGTAGTTACCAGTGTCTTGAACGCTTGAAGGTTCTCGATTTTCTTTCGGAGAAGATTCAGCATCTAATACACAAAGAATATATAAAGTTAATTTGCTTCCTTGCAAATATAAAGTCTTAAAGAACCTTTATCATCTTGCTCGGTTATTTCTTTCGAATCTTCTTCAGGCTCTTCACTGAAATATAGGTCGAAAACAAATTAAATGAAATCAAGTCAGTGTTGTAGAAAATACAAACTCTGGAACGAATATCTGTGATTCATAGTTAGAGAAATTTGGAGAATCAATGTTTAACTTGATACATCTCTCTTCCGGAGAGATAAGTTGTTCTGAATCTATAGATTTATCCTCGAGTAGCTTTAAAATGTCAAGAAGAAATATCATTTAGTAAATAAGTTTCTTAAAATATGAATTTGTCTATTACTTTTGAACTAAATCGTTCCTGTAGACCTTTGAAAGTGAACGAACCTACATCTGAACCATAGTAGCAATTCTTATCCATATGTAGCACCTTATATCCTATTCTGGAGAAGGCAGCAGCTGTTATACTCTCCACCAAACCTTTAGAATTCCAAGAGTGAGTTTTAAATTAAAAGGCTATTATATGCTGTTACCTGTTCCTAGAATAACTACGTCAAAGTCATCAGGTAACGATGATCCGGCCATTTTAGTTTCTATTGAAGGTAATTATTTAGCTGTTTTGAATTAAACAATCATTTATAGTACAAGGTATTTATTTCGTAATTTTATTGTGGATTATTCATTCTACACTTTCGTGTCTATTGACACGTGTGCAAACTGTTTCTCACTTAATTTGATAACGATAATACCTTTATTAATATATTGCCTTATGTAAAGCTCTTGATATCGAAAATGTTGTTTTAAGGAAGAAATTTAAGTTTTTTCGGGTTACCTATTGTTCAGGACCGAGCATTAGAAATATTGTTCGGTTTACGTGGATCTATCCGGAAAAGGCGGGAAATTCAATTTTATTTGATTTCATCTATTATAATATAATGAAAGCTAATTCACATTCCAATCGATAAGCACAGCATGCAGAAAATTCAATTACGCGTTTAGTAATTCAGAAAATTATAAAATAACAACTCAGCTGTAGAGAGAATTAATCCATATGCTGTAAAATGGTCAACGTAATGTCTTTAAACCTAAAAGGACGGCTGAAAATTCGTCAAGAAAAGTCGGAGTACGAAGAGAAATTTCTTAAGAGATTGCTCCACTATTTTGAATATGATATTATCTTTGGGCACGAAGCATCTCAACTGCCAGATGCCGTATCATCACATCAATCAATTGGAACAGGAGAAGCATTTATCCTTTTCAATAAAAAGAGGTATGCAGTCCTGTCGGAAACTCGATTTCAACATCGATTTTTTCCAATAAAAAACTGTGGCAAGTTTATCGCTTTAGAACTAGAAGATAAACATACTGGAGGAAAATTATTAGCTGTTTCTTGGAAAATTGATTCAAGGCTACTAAAACAGAAGTGCATTGAAGTTGTCAACCAGTTAACTGACTTTATATCAAGTGTCAGAATCGTTGATAATATTCCAGTAATTATTGGGGGCGTTTTTGGGATATCAGTTTTTGATGCACTGGATAACTTACCAGGCGAAGTTTCGTGTCATGGGTATAACCCTCTTACATTCCGGCGTCAAATGCGTGCCTCGGGTAGCCTATTTTCCATTTTTGCTTTTAAACAATAGAAAACGCCAATTAAATTACAATATACATTTCAGATTTTTTCTTGACGTCAGACAATGTCGATATGTTTCAAATTCAGCCTTTAATTTTCGAATCGGTAAATTTGAAGCAATTGCATGGAAGGGTGAGGATGAATGCCGAAGACGTTTTCTATTTCGATCCAGTTATAGCGGAATTTGAGATGGAGAACCTAAGAAAATCTGTCGATCCTACTAAAATACCTATTTCTGCGGAGAAGGAAGAGGAAAATGCAGAAAGTGAAGAGGTTGAAAGAGAAACTCTCAAGTACGTAAACGTAATTACCATATGAAAGCAGCGGATGTCTATAATGTATAAATCTATAGTCACGGAAAATTGCAAACAAACTTGTAAGATTGTTGATTATATCATTGATAGAAAAGACTAAAGTAGAATAATAATATTTTATTTGATTAAAACTTCGAAAAAACGAAATTATTCATTTAATTTGTTTTAGTATGTCGTTTATAACGAAACGTAATCCTTCTGCCAATTCTGTTATTGTATATGGTTTATTCTCTGGTGGTACGTGAATAAATAAGGTCCGGCGATCATTTTCACATAATGACATGTAGTAGATATACTCGCATAAATATCTTCCAGCATCATTAGAAATTGTTGCCTTAATTGGATAGTTTTCATTCATATTGGTACAAATTATTTTCAAGTCAAGTTTAGAATGAATACAATCTTCTCCATTCTCTTTACATACATTACCTTCTGGGAGACTAGAATTTACATCACATAAATTATAAGAGCAATTATGAGCACATTCTTCCAATGTAATGCAATTAGCTTTAGCAGAAACTCCCACGTGAATCACTAACTCTGGATTATATTCTTTCCAAAGCATTGGGACTGTCTTCTTAACTGTTTCATACGAAACTGGCACCTCCTGAATTACAAGCAAGAAGTCATCAGTTTCTATACCCATCTCATGCAATTTTTTAACAGCTAGCCAAGACGGATTTTCAACATAATCTCCGAAAGATCCAAAACCAGTTACAAGGATAACTTTCTTCATTTTCTATTTTCAAACTGTCAGTTTCAACTTCTTAAAAATATGAAAAATTTGGATATTATATTTCAATTATAAATATAACGTAAACTTTATCATTGTATTTATTTAATGTATTTGTTTAACAATAATCAATTGACCTACAATAGTTTGTTTGATTGACTTGATATAGTATGAGAGCGTACTGAAATGAAAAAAACAGTGCACTAAAATACCTAAAATTCAATAATAGAAATAAAATACTCCATTCCTAAATGTACTAAGACAATTAAGTATTATTTAAATTCATTGGAATCAAATTTAGAATGCTTGATTATTCGAATTCTCCCCTGAATACTACGATATTTTTATCGGTCTCATGTAGCTTGATTTCATGAAGCTGAACTCCTTTAGGAATTTCGTTTACTATACTTTTCCATATAAAGTAGGCAATATTTTCCGCAGTACTTGTATATGTCGCAAAAAAGTCCACTTGTTCGTCCAGATTCTTGTGATCAACGATACACATAACTTTGTTCTGAATAATTTCTTTAAGATCAGTAATATTCATCACAAGACCATTTTGGTCTACTGGTCCTTTTACGGTCACTTCAACTGTTTCGTAATAATAAGAAATATAAGCAGCTAAACGCTTAATTTTTTCAAAAAATTCAGTAATTCAAATTTATTATAGATTTTATTTTATCATTCTCAGTTATTTATTTAACATGATCTTTGTACCTTTGTAGTTATGGCCATGTCCATATATGTTATTACACTTTCCAAAAAGCTCTTTATTCTCTTCATCGCTCAAACATTTACTATGGAGTCTATGCGAAGAGCTGAAGCATTCAATTCTTGTTAGGTAAGCGATGGGTCTTTTGGAAGACATGTCTTACTGAAAATGATAATACTGTTTGTTCCAGCTATTTATAACTAAAAACTGAGAATTTCATGCGGGATATAGGGGTGAATTTGATTAAAAGCATTCTAAATTTAAAACCGTTTTAAATAGTTGAAAGAATGCGTAATTTCTCACCTTCAGAATTAAGTATTGTGAAAGAACCTATACATTTATTATTCTACAGAGGGCGGGTTTGCTTTGCACTTCCGGTTCCGCTTACAACAAACTCGAATCCCGCGCTGCTCAAAGACTCTGTTTAGAATAAAACTGAGAGAAAGGAGTGCATTTTACAAATGGATCATGAAACTGAATTAGAATCGGTTCACCTTACAGAAAAATACCCAAATAATTGTATTGGTAAGAAAAAATCTCCTCCCTTCTCTTAGGTGGTTTTATTATCGTTACGAAAATATACAAATTTCTTACAATAGAAGGTTTAATTAAACTTTCCCCCGCAAACCACTTTATTTTAAACAATTTGAGAAGAAACTTCTGTTATCTAAACTTTCCTACCCTCATCATAATTGCAAATTTGTAATATAACTTGTATATAATGTAAGAGCAATTATTTCAAAAGTTATTTTAATAAATATTAAAGTGTTATTTAACAATTTAAGGGTAAATAATAATTCAGTTAGAGTAGTTAAAGTTCTTATTTATATCTTTAATTCTATTCTATTTTTAATTTTTTCAAATAATGACATTTCATTGATTGAAGGATTACTGAAAATGATAATACTGTTTGTTAAAAACTGAGAATTGGGCTACACATGTTAAAATGCCGTGTGATCGAACTAGGAATAAGTTTGCCATTTCTTTCAGATTCTGACCAACAGGACTCCACTAGCCAAACAGCTACAGATGAAGCAATCACCAATCAACCACAGTCATTCATATTGTTAGATCCTTCGATACACGCACTTGAGAATGTTTGGTCTTTAACAGACGAAAATCAAGTTGTAATTCATAAATATAATTTGAGGAAGAATGAAAGTTAGGAAGTAATATAATTTTTAATATTTAATTATGCTTAATTATAATATCCAGTAATTGACGAAGAGGCTGAGCATAGATATGAAATAATTGATGTTTCAAAAAAAATTCTTATGTATGTAGAAAAGATGCCGTCGCCGTATGATTTTGTGCCTTCATTTTGTTTTAGATTTTTTAGCCGAGATAAAAAAGTAGGTAAAGCTAGTTATGAATTTTTAAATCATGATAAAAGTAATTTTCTGAATTTTACAGCTATTAATTGAAATGATAAATCCTAATAGTAATCTCTTCATGTGCCTTGGAACATCGTGTTCACCTTGTAAACGTTGCAATTTCAAAAGCGTTGTTTACTGTCCCCCTGGAAATATAATCGGTTATATTGTTAGGCAAAGATCTTGCTGCTTACAAGAATTTGAATTACTTAACAGTGAAAATAGTCCTTTGCTAACAATAAAGGGCTGTCCTAGGGATTTACAAGTATATCCCCCAAACCTTTCTGGAAGCCTTGGTAGGATATCTGCTCGATGGTGGAGAGGTATAATGCACGAGGTTAGAAGATCTGAAAATGATTTAGGAGTTACTTGTAAGAATTAACGAATTAAATTATTACATTTCGCATTTTATATAAGGTTTCTCGAAATATTAGTTCCTTTAGATCTTGATATTCGAGTGAAGATACTACTTATTTGCTCTGCATTCTGCATTGACTGGATATATCCAGAGCATACCACAAATCGACATAGGTGGCAAGATGGAGAAACGATTCCAAAAGTTCAGGAAAATGCGGTTGAAAAGAAAACTGAGGAAACAATTAAATAGTTTGTTCTTTTGTCTCAAATTACTGTAAAGTATAAATACATAAAAATGTGATACCTCCATTTTGATAAGAGATTGAGTCGTATTTATACCATATCAATATATATATATACTGTATATATATCTCACATAAGGTGAGATTATTGGTTTTTTTAAAACATAATTTTAAGAAGTCCAATGTTAAGTCTTTTAATTGAAAGAAAGCAAAACTTCAATCATGTACCAATATAGACATAGAGAAACAAGCATTTATAGTATATATACAATATACATCATGCGAAAATACATAGAAATACATTTATAAAAAATACATGTATTGAATATGCATTTTCTTTCACGTCAAGGAATTTTACAGATAAAATACTATATTTAATAAATCAAAATTGCAATTAAATAGCTATTTACGGAATGTGATCACTCAAACCTCACTTCAAAAAGGAATAGCACAATTTATTACGAGTGAATTCGAACACATGACGTAATTTACACTTTAATGGAATCATCCCTTATGGTTTTATAAAAGTAAGCTCAATTCTAAAATGTTATCATAGATATATTTCTAGTCGTCCCAATCATCATCTTCTGCGGAACTGTCATCAGCTGTAAAAATAACATTAATGTATTGTCAAGTTGAAAAAAAGTTAAGGTATTGGATATAAATAACTAATAGGGCAGAAAAAATTAAAAACTTTTGTACTCACATTCATTCTTAGTTTTAGCCATTCGATTTTGTAGAGCAGTTGCTAATATACCAGCAAGACCTGCAGGTTGCTCAGGTGAAGACACCGGCCTCGATTCATCATCCACATGCTTCAGTGTAAGTCCTGCTCTAATTGCACTTAATAGGTTAGCCCTAGGATCTTCCTGTGCAGGCATTGGAGGACGCTCTTCCCTCTTATTTGAGTTTTCTAAAGACACGCCGGACCGTATTTGCTCCATCAAGTTGGCCCTAGAATTATCTGGAGCAGGTGCCATGGGAGCCGCCGCTGGAGTACCCATCGGCGGAGCAACTGGTGCTGGGGGAGGAGGCGGTGGTGGAGTTGGAATGTTAGCTGGAGGTGGAGGTGGTGGTGGTGCTGGCGCAGGAGGGGCAGAATACGCATTTCGACTTTCATGTTTCTGCGAAGGTGGAGGAGGAGGAGGAGGAGCAGGTGTTGGCTTTGGAGGCGTTGGCGGCACAGACTGGGGCAATGTTGGTAATGGTTTGGTCGGTTGTTTCATTTGCGGTGTTGGTGCCTGAAAAAGAGAACATTTAACATGAGTTATAAACACTGATGTAGCTTTACATACAGGCTGCCTGGGAGGCGGTGGAGGAGGAGCATGTTCTGATTTCATACTGGGCATAGGTTGGGGTGGAGGAGGCGGAGCAGCTCTACTGCTACTTGATGTATGCATTGGGACACTCGGAGCTGGTCGGCTTTGATGGTTAGACCAACTCCCACGCGTTCTATCTATAGCTGGTTCATTAACTCGAGTTTGATACTGAAACTGTTGGTTATCTTTTTGAACAGCATCAAACCCTCCATTTTGCACAATGACTTGACAGATTAGTTTTTTGGTGTCAGAATCACAACTGTCAATTGATGTTATTCCAGCCCGCATAAGTAGAGGCCTAATTGCTGGATCATTCAAGTCAAGTGTTTTCTCACTAATAGTGTCAGTACCAGGAGTACCTCCAAATCCAACATGCTGTACATGCTTGAAGTCAGTTGGATTGCTAATTGATGCCTTGTCGACTTTTTCTGTTAAATAACAAAGTTAAGTCTAAATAGTACATTAGATGAAAAAGCGATTAACGATTGCCGTTAATTGATCATAGTAATTCAGTTATTATTTGCTATAACTTACTGTTTGTTGTATATTTTAGGTTTAGTGAACAGAAATATACCATTATATATTGCATAAATAATTTTAAACACTTACTTCTTCCCTTGGATTTCTTTTTATCAGCGAATGATGAGCTAGTTGTCATCGTTTGCACTGAAAAATTTACAAAATATTAAACTTGTGCTTATAAAAATTTCAGACTTTTTTAACTGTTACCAAAACGAAATTTTTGAACAAAAAGTTGTACAAATGCTATTATTAGTTATAAGTAAAATATAATGGATTGATTTAAATCAGCTAAGTTTTAAAGGGGAAACAACACCGAACAACGCAACACCTTTATCATTCCTACCAGGCTTCAAGTCATTACGGCTAGTTGATCTGACAGGAACTAAAATTTTTTCGAAATATTTTATAGATCAAAAGACTCTTCCGACTGTCTAGAAGGCATTTTATTACTTACTGGAAGGAGCTGGAGAACTAATAGTCTGCCTCTGAACGCTTCCGTTTCCCATTTGCTTTCTTCGATCTGAAAAAATTAAAAGTGAATTAACTTTCAAGTGCTGGTATAGTTAATATAACACGAAAAGGAATTTTTATTCCTAATAATTGGTTGTAGGAATTAGTTTAAAGCATTATTATATACTGTATGTAATTCACATTCTTATATGTTTATAGATACGAAAAGGTAAATTCACGGGATAGTATTCTAAATAAAATACCGAATATTCTAAGTAGAATTTCGTTTATAAACGATATTTTCCAAATTTGTTTGGAGGTTGTATCTTAAATACTGACGGTAATAAGTAGGATTACAAGCACAATTGTAAAGCATGGATAAATAATTTATAAAATATTTGTCTATTTTTTTATATAACCTCTTTCTTGCTCTAAAAAAATTTTTCGAAAAATAATATAACTTATATGAGAGGCCAAACAAACAAATACGTACTCTCTTTTCTTTTTCTTTGTTCTTCCACTCTTTTATCAATAGCACTTGCAAAATTATTTGCATCGTCTTTATGAGCAAAATTGAATCCAACTGGACAATCTTCTCCAGCAAAATAATGAAATTGATTTCCGTTTTTACTTCTATTAAAGAGAATATTATGAATATATTTTTTTAGCTAATTAACAGTAACTACAGTCGATATCAAATAGTTTTTATATGTGCTATTTAAACACGATATCAGCTAACCTTTGATATTCAAATCCTCTATACCATTCCTGTTCAAAAACTACACTTCTAGATTTAAGATCAAGAATGCGAATATAAAAAGATCTCTTGTTAGAATCTTTGATCAGTGTAGCAACTCCACAACAAAATTTCGTCCATTGCGAGTAACTTGGTGCTGGAGCAATAAAAACTTGAACGACAGCTGATGCTAGACACTAGAAGTAAAAGTAAAATTTAACTTTAGCTAATACTTAAAATGAATAGATCTATACCTTCCAACCGTCCCTCAAGCACTCTGATAATGATTTCTTATCCATTGTTGATAACAATGCAGAAAAAGTATGGGAAGAATTATTATTCAAATGTTGGGGTCCAGTCATTTTCAGTTATGATTGTACAATACAAAAAGTAGTTTAGTCTAGTAAGTTACTTCCTCTGTTCTTGGCTGACGACCCTGTTCACGTCATGTGATATATCCTTTTTTCGTATTTTATTTTTTAATTTTTATGGTTTCTAAGATATTTCTAAGAAATGTCTTATAACTAAAATGTAAAATATTTAATTCGAAAACAACTTCATAAAAAATTTCAAATCGGCTTCCGGTTCCGGTACGTAAAAATTTTAATGCATTTTATAATTAAACCTCTTATTTATATAAGTATTTATGGTTTTAACATTTCTTTTTGCTCATGTTGTATAAAATATATTTTAGATACTAAAAGCATATTTATTTCAGCGTGTGATATACTATGAAGTTGTAAATCAGCATTTTAGTGGCGTATACACCCACAAAGATGATAGGAGGTTTATTCATCTACAACCATAAAGGCGAAGTTCTCATATCACGCGTATTTCGTGATGATATAGGGTTAGTATTGTAACATATTTTAAAATGTCTAAAATTATCAAGAAATTTCGACTTGAATAGATAATTGCTCCGTCCGTTTCATAATCTGTTGCGTTCCTACAACAGTAGAAAATATTGACAAACTCAAATTATAAACTATATCCCTCAATTTTTAACAATTAAAACAAATAAATTATATACTGAAATTTTTAATAGCAGATCATACCTGAGCATTAACAATTACTCGATATATTGCTCAAATGGTTATTGAAATAAGCCTTTTCATGACTAAAAATAATATTTCGAATACATTCTGTTTACAGACGAAATGCTGTTGATGCCTTCCGAGTGAACGTTATTCACGCCCGTCAGCAAGTTCGTTCTCCTGTAACCAACATAGCCAGAACGTCTTTTTTCCATGTAAAACGTTCCAATATTTGGTTAGCTGCAGTTACGAAGCAAAATGTTAATGCTGCTATGGTCTTTGAGTTTCTCCTGAAAATGTGTAACATTATGCAATCTTATTTCGGAAAGATAAGCGAGGAAAATATTAAGAACAATTTTGTCCTCATTTACGAATTACTCGACGAAATTTTGGACTTTGGATATCCTCAAAATTCTGACTCCGGAATGCTGAAAAGCTTCATAACTCAGCAAGGAGTTAAATCAACGACTAGAGAAGAACAAGCGCAAATTACTTCTCAGGTTTGTAATATATATAAATTACGTATTAAGAATAATTGACAGCGCTTATGAAAACTTTGTGTTTAGGTTACAGGACAAATTGGCTGGCGTAGAGAAGGAATAAAGTATAGAAGAAATGAATTATTCTTGGATGTTTTGGAGAGCGTTAATTTACTTATGTCTCCTCAAGGTCATTATTTTGTAACACATTTATTTCTTTTAAACAAGAAAATATATTTTAACTTTCAGGTCAAGTCCTTTCTTCACATGTGGCAGGAAGGATCGTGATGAAGAGCTACTTATCTGGTATGCCAGAGTGCAAATTTGGTATTAACGATAAAATTTTGATGGATGGAAAGAAGCCAGGCACAGATGATCTTTCAAGAAATACAACTTCGACAGGAAAGACATCGATTGCCATTGATGATTGTCAATTTCATCAATGTGTTAAACTTAGCAAATTCGAGACGGAACATGCAATTTCATTCATTCCACCAGATGGCGAGTTCGAGCTCATGCGATATAGAACAACAAAGGACATATCACTACCTTTCAGAGTGATACCTCTTGTCAGAGAAGTGAGTGTTTCCTATACGCTAGATTATTTTAACAAATTAATTTTCAGGTTGGAAGACAAAAAATGGAAACGAAAGTCGTTGTTAAAAGCAACTTCAAGCCGAGCCTTCTGGCTCAGAAAGTAGAAGTTAGAATTCCAACACCATTAAATACAGCAGGTGTTCAAGTAATTTGTTTGAAAGGAAAGGCTAAATATAAAGCCTCTGAAAATGCAATTGTCTGGAAAATCAAGAGAATGGGAGGTTAATAACAGATTTATGTTCTCATAATGATATTTTAATTAATTCAACATTTAATTAGGTATGAAAGAATGTCAGCTCTCTGCTGAAATCGAATTGCTTAACACTAATGAGAAAAAGAAATGGACACGACCTCCAATTTCTATGAATTTTGAGGTAAATATCTTTTAAAAGACCTAATTATTTTATTAACTGATGTAAAACAATTTAGGTTCCGTTTGCACCATCTGGCTTTAAGGTTCGATATTTGAAAGTCTTCGAATCGAAATTGAACTATAGCGACCATGACGTAATTAAATGGGTTAGATACATAGGAAAAAGCGGCCTGTATGAGACCAGGTGTTAGTCTTGCTTGAAGTTAGAAAGTATACAATTTTTCAGAAGTTCCTTATATTCTCACTAGTTAGTAACATAGATAGTAAAAATTTAAATAAACAACTAATTAATGTTGTCTACTATTTAAAGCAATACATCTTAGGTTTAAAGATGACGTGGTGGCTTATATTTATTTTTCGCGATTACAATAAATTTGAAATAGCAAATGCTATTGTAGATCAGGTGCCTTAAACAATTCATGGAATATCTTCCGTGTGAACAATAAAATATTTCGCTTTCATCGACATACAAGCTATGATACACTTGATAAATTAATTAAAGCTAGAGATACTGTGAATATGAAAGGAAAAAATACTTTTGCATGTTTATATTAGAATCGACATAATTGGTTAATCACGTATTTTAAAAACGAAATAGACCAAAACAAGAAAACTAAGCAAGCAAATCCAAAAGAGGAAAGTGATTTAATTTCTGGACACTATTGATTTCCTACTTGAGTATATAGTAGATAAAAACGAGTTACATACAATAAAAGACATTATTCTGAGAAAATAACATCCTATTAGTATAGTATCGAAGTTCAGCAATTAATACTAATGTTTATTTATTTGTTTATTAAAAATTCTTTCCTCCTTCCCAAACTTTTGACGCATTTATGTAGCTCACAAAGTCTGGATAAAAATTTACACTAACAGTTCCACTAGGATGTAAACTCAAATCGAGACTTTGCGAGCTTCACTTGCAAAGTCTTTTGTATAGTTCGGAGAGGCAGTTTTATCTTATCTCGTAAGATCTGAAAACTTTCTGAGGTTGTCTTTATCTAGCGTTTTATTATGTAAACAATCAACACAAAATTACGCTACGGCAATTTTTCATGTTTCTTTAGCAGCGACATGCCAAGTTGTAAATGAGATAATAAGGAATTTGAGCTGAATACTCTCGATTTAGATACAAACCTTTTTGATTGATTTATTTAATTAGCTGTTTTTTTTAAAAGATTTACTTTGTAAATTTATCGACTAAATCTTTTAGTTTTATCTGACAGCAAAGTTAAAAAATTGCTAACTATGATGTTAAAAGTGTTGTAAGAGCTAGGATTGCATAATAATATTAATAAAACTTCTTAAATTGAAGAAATTCAAGAGTCAATGCTTAAAACTATTAAAAATTAATCATTGTTTCTAAACTAGTGTCTCTTTGGTTCTTTCATTCGGATTTTCATTAATGTACCAAATATCTATGAAAATATAAACTTGAGAAGATTTAGCTCTATTTAGTGTTTTATAAATATTTACCAGCGGTCTTACAAGCCTGGTTTGAAGATTCGTTCATCTTATCCTGATAGTTCTATGTGCGAAAAATTTGTTAAATATTAAACTGGTACAATTTATTATAGCTTACAATAAATTTCGTTATTCGTTCATACTCTTGCTTAGTTTCACGAACAATGTCGCTGAAATTCGGTCGATCCTCGGCTTGTGATTCCCAGCAAAATCTCATTAATTCATACAGTTCTTCAGAGGCACAGATTGGTCTAGGGAGTCTTACCCCTTTGATGAGTAGTTTTACAAAATCAAAATTTGGTGGTAGATCAGGAAAGGGAACTTTCCCCAAAGTAAAGATTTCCCACAAAACAACTCCGTAGGACCAGACATCACTTTTGACTGAATAAATTTTGTGAGTTAAAGATTCTATAGCCATCCATTTGATTGGAATTGGAGTATCAGTTGTTTTTTTATATGTTGCCTTATCTTCTATATCTCGAGCTAATCCAAAATCAGCTATTTTAATGACTTGATCTTCAGTCAATAAAATATTTCTCGCAGCTAAATCCCGATGGACAAATTGTAGATTTGATAAATATTCCATTCCTATTAATTATAGAGAACGTCTAGACAATTATGGTTTCTTCTGATTTGAAAAATCTTACCTTTCGCAATCTGAAAAGCATATGATGTCAAATCGGCTAAAGAGAGAATCTTGTGACACTCGAGTTGACTTTTTTTCCCAATATCTTCATTCATATAATTTTCAAAAGTTTCCTTTTCCATATAAAATGGCACGTTCTTCAAGTAAGCCGAAAATTTCAATTCCTTTCCTTTTTTTAGTAGATAATTTCGTAAATTCCCGTTAGCGCAATAATCCATTACAACGCATAATTTGCCCATATCTAGTTTGTCAGTTACAGCCCCAAGTAGACCAATTATATTTTTATGATTTCCAATGTATTGTAAAATTTTCAGCTCATCCAACAAACTCTTTACCTGTTCATAGCTACCTCGATTCTTGACCATCTTTACAGCCACCATCCTCGAGCTATCATCGTCATAAAGACCATCAATTTGTGCTCGAATAACTTTACCAAAGGCTCCTTCTCCTAAAGCTACATCAAACTTGATTTTCTCCAAGCTTATTTCATAAGATTCTTTCTGATATTCAATACAATCAACCTGTTGTTGTATTGGTAATTCCGGATTAAAATCTGTTGTCCTTGACAATAAAAGTGCAGCATCGTAAACCTTCTGTTTTTGCTACAAAAATGAATTATAAACTTTCTCTAAAAGTTCAAAATAAATAATACCTACTTTCAGATGCCATGTTTTCTTCCATATTTGATGTATCAATATTCCGATAACGACAACTGAAATTGATACTGTTAAAGAACTTGAAATGATTAAGGTGATTGATGACGTTTTCTTAGAAATAAGATATTTATCTGTCACTGAACCCACAAAATTAGATGCTTTACAAGCGTATTCACCAAATAAATCTGTGTTTGTGCTCGTTAGGGACAAAATATTATTATTACTATCGTTTAATCTAATATTATCTTTAAACCATTCATAATTTGGTCTTGGTAATCCTCTAACATCACAGAAAAGAATTAATTTATTCTCACTGACTATATTATGTCTATTCTTCTTAAGAGAGGTTACAATATAGGGCTTAAGCGGATCTTCTACTTTTAAATTAAGAGTCAATTGTGTGCCTTTAGGCCAAATTTCACACGTGTACACTCCAGAATCATTTTTCGTGGTGTTTTGTAGTTGTATCCGAGAGCCGATTGAAAATAGAGTATTTGAAGCATTCGAATTTAAAAATCTCCAGCGAGGCCTTAATCCAGTAAATTTATTACAATAGCATCCTATTGACAAACTTTCTCCTTCAAATAGAAGCACTTCGGTTGAAGAATCCAAAAAGCATGCTCTATTAGATTCTGTAGATAAGAAACTTTCTAATCTCTTTTCATTGAGTATGGCTTACATAATTTATGCAATATATCTGAAACTTACCCCCGGGATATACGGTTAATATATCCTCACTTGTTCCTACATCACTTTGCCCTAAGCATTTGAATTGAATACTAGAATTAGTTTTTGAACTTATTTCCGCCTTAATCGTTAAGTTTGTGGAAAACTTTCTCAAATTCTCATCATAAAGAGACCAATCAGTGCCTTTAAAACTCTTGAAAATAGAGAAAAGAGGTTTTGGATGACCTTTGCAATCACAAACTAACTTAAAAAGTTCGTTTGCTGAAACGAAAACATGAGCATCTACGTGCTGTTTTTCCAATTGCCAACTACAGTACGGTCGAGCTGAAATACGGTCGAGCTGAAACAATATTCTTTGTTTTCCTACAGTATAAAATCAAAACGTACTGAAAAAATCAAATTCAAATTTCTTTGACATTTCATAATTAGAAATAAGAATTGAATAACGTCCTCCCAATTTATAATAGTCCGTCATACTTTCGTTATGCTTTAGGGATATGTTTAGAAATGTTTCACTTGTACTTTCATTCTGTCGTATGCTATATTTTACAAGGATCAAATTTAGTTAAATTATGTTAATGAAGTAAATAGTTTACTTCATTTTCTCTATCATATGAGAATACTCTCCCAGTTTTTGAGTTTTGAAATTAATCCACTTGGTTTTCGAGAAATTTCGAGAGAAAATAACCTTGGAATCTTTCATAAACGCTACTTGTTTCATAATTGGAAAAGAGAATATTTCAAGAGATACGTCGAGATAATTCTTATTTAGAATCATAGATTTTTTTTTCTTCAGACTTTCATTGTCAAATGTGAGGTCGATCGTAGGGAATTTTACATCTAGCTGATAACTTTTTTCTAGTCTGCCATTCAAGTAGCATGAATACAAGCCACTATCTTCAAGTCTAACCTCTTTCAGAACTAATTTCGACGTACAATTAAAAGTTCGATCTATTTAATTAAACAGGTGACTAGATAATACTTTTCATACACGAGAATTTCATTTTACCTTTAATATTGTGACACGTTTTATTAGAAAATACTCTTTTACCCGATGGTAATAACCAGTTGAATGACTGAGAATTCTCATCGGGTAAATCTTCGCCGATTGTTAACTTTACACCACAAGCTAGCGTCATCTGCCGGCCTTCGAGAACAATTTTATTAGGACGTACTTGAATAGTTACTTCTCGGATGTGAGTATTTGCAAAAACATCTGTCAGATATTATTGAGATATAAAATAAATATATACATCTATAATACAAGAGGTTATTGCACCGAGTACTCTAAATTGGCGGATGTTTTCATGTACGATTTCTTTCTTATTAGGGATCGATCCACAGGATTTGTTTACAGCACAAGCAAAATTACCGCTTAGCCATTTCATGACGTATTTATTTTTGTTTAATTTAATTTCTTTGGATAAATAACCAATGGATGTGTTGTACGACAAAGGAAAATGATCAACTTCTGTCCAAGAACTATTCTTATATCAAATAAAAATAAAACACAAAAGTTCCTTATTAAAGCAACATTGTACAAACTTGTGATAGTATTTACACAGGCTAACATTTGTACTTTTTAAACCGGAGCATGGTATGATAAATGGTCTTCTTGCGTATAAGAAAAGAATTTGCAAAGAATCTGCAAAAGTAATCTGCTAAACCATTTAATTGCGCACATGTACTTATCAAACCTCCTTTAAACTTTTCTCCCATCCAGATAATATAAACAATGATTGTTAATCTTGTGAGCATATCCAGTTGCGTATTTGTAGCTAACAGAAAGTATAGTGAGATGAAACTATTGAACTAATAGCGGACATCCGATTCTTGTTCAGGGATAATCGGATTTTTAACGGTTCGTTTCCTGTATAGGCCGATACTTAATAATTATCAATCATTGTAATAGATTCGAAAATAATTATGTGCTCATCGCTTGTATTTCTGACAGACGAACAAGAAAGAATTTAATTTATGCCTAATTTTCAAACATTTAATTAACCTAATTACATAACTGAGTACATTGTCATATACATTTAGTCCAAATTCGTTAATTATTTCTTTTATTTGCAACTTGGAAATACCGTTCTGATTCATTTTATATGAAATTTTATATCTTGAAGTAAAACTGCGATGGCATATGCTTCTTTTCAGCTCGATCACTTAGCCTATGTAATTTTGTAAAGAAGTAGAATCTTTGACTTGAAAGTACTAATTACGATTAGCTACAAAGCTCCGTTCAATCGGATTACACCCCAAAAGGATAAGGAGCTATGAACAGCAATTGATCTATCAGCATAGTAGTTCTTGAGCACGAGAGTATCATTAGTTTCCAATTTCATTATCACGCTTGTGAAACAAGATTGCTCGTTTCTACTTTTTGAATTAGGACGAAGGTCGCGAAAAAGACATTTCATCAGTGATCTACCGTCTTCCGACGAGAACGTTGTATGTCTCATTCTATCAACATGAAAACTCCAGCTCTTTGTTCGGTCCAAATAGGTTAATTGTGCATAAACTTGATAAATACCCGGCTTTTTAATTCTTATCTCTCCATTTTCTAAAGAGGCCACATTTCCCCACTCAAATTCTTTCTTCCACATTCTCACGGCAATATCAGAACTTGTGACAGATAGAGAAGAGGTGGTCTTGAACTCGACTCTATTTATCAAACATCCTCCATACCCTTTCCTGCAAATTCTGTCTTTTGCAATTAAGAACGAAGATTTTGCATCTAGCTGGCTAAATTCGGAAGTCAAGTGTAATCCTCCCGTTTTCTTAAGCTCCAACTCTTTACGCACCTGTTTTCTCTTTCTTCGACATTTTGCAAACTTTTTTTTCAAAGATTCAAAATATTCTAATCTTAGAGAATTAACTCCTCGTCTTGTTCTGTTATTGCTTTTAGGTCTAAAGTCCTTACCACATTGACATTGTTCCTTAACGTTATGGCTTAATTTATCAAATTCATCCAATCGATTTTGAAAATCATAAATGTAGAAGGCGAAAATCACTATCAAACACAAAAGCAGAAAATGACTTAGTAAATTTAAAAAACTAGCCAAGTGAAAAGATTTTTCTTTTTTTTCCATGAACTTAAAAAGTTTACTTCGAACGAACTGCCGCTAACTCTATAGTAATAAAGCAAGATGCGAATCATTCTAGTTTTGACCGCTACTAGCGCCATTTTAAAAAAGTACATTTTTTTTGCGTTGTATTTATCATAAGCACGTATATTGTACATAGGCTTGAAATCATTTAGTTACAAATTAGACACAAAATATATTCCCCAAAATGACCAATCTTCTTTAGAGTCGGAAATTAAAATATCACACGGCACTAACATGGCAATTTTTTCTCCTTTTCTCAACTTCGCAACTGTGCTTGTAAAACACATCCTCTCTCTGTTTGCTCGATGATTGTCATCTCCGACACTACACGACACCAGATTCTTTGGATTTTTATCAGAAATTCTGCTTAAGTTGAATTTAGGTTGCGAATTTCCAATCATATTAAACAATAATTGACCATATAAATAATAGTATCCGTCTTCCGGAATTCTAAATTCATATGGTTCGCTGTTAGCATACTCTTTATGGTCGTTCAATAGTGGATCAGATTTCCACATTTTAGCTATGGTATTACTCTTTTTGTCCTTACATTCTGAAAAAAAAGATAACTCTATCACACATGCACTTAAAGTCGTTTTTTTAAAACCATACGTGTCTTAATGCTGTATTTTAATATGCAACCTCCATATTTTTCTAAATCACACTTTGGCTTGCTTGCTGTAAGAAACAAAGTAACGATTCTGTTTTATAAGTTGTATAATAGATAAAAATCTAGTTTACTTACATCGTTTGAAATTGGGATTAGAGAAGGTTGATATAAAATGATCCTCTAAAAAAGACAAGAGGTGGTAAATTAGTCCATATAATCACCTGTTCATTTAAATAAGACATACTTAAATACTGTTTACTGCGATAAGGCACTTCGGCTGATCGTTTTCGCCTTTTATTTACGTGGACATCTTCATTATATATCGGATCTATAGTTTTTATGCGAGCTGTTATTATGTTAAGGTTTTCGTTCTGTTTTTTAATTTTAAAGAACAGAAAGCCTAGACAAGCCAATACTAATAAGAAGTTTAGACTGATCAAAGGGTACGCTTTTGCCGCCATACTAAGAATGCATCTTGGCTGCTTTTTAGTATCGCCATCTATCGTAATTTCTGCAATTATTACATTTTAGCATAGCGGACATGCTGGTAGTAGTTCTACTCTTTTCTCTTCGGTATCCAACTATTTACTCCCGTAAATATAGATTTTGATGAAAACGTCAAGATGCTTATCGAATAAACACCTATTCGCGCATATACACAATTCCCAATTGTGGGAGGTTGCGAAAAGCTTGTTATTACGGTGTTGAACTTTCCAAAAAAATTCCACCCGTGAAAAAAAATTCCATGATAGAGCAGCTTTAAAAAATAACTTTGGCAAATATACTAAACATATTAGATGCTAGACAATTTAAATAGGGCCCATTGTCACTGGGAAAACAATTAAACAATCAATGGGTGATTATGAACCCAATTCAATCTTACTCACCTATTATTTATCTATTCTCTTCTAGTTCTTCAACCTCGGGCGCCCTGGCGTTCCTTTAAACGCATAAACGACCTTCGAATGCTTCCTCGGTCGCATCAATTACGTATAAACACAGGTGCGTTAATGGAAAATTTACGCCACATTGATTTTATAGTGTATGCGTGCTCAATGGACACTACTCCTTATAGTTTATAAGGATAGGCCTAAAACGGGTAAAGGGCGGTATAATGAAGATTTATAGCCTCAACTTTATCTCGACAGTTAGCCCTTGTTTCTTATGCACGATTTATTTATAGATATTTTTCCACGTAAATTAGCGTGCGGGTAAAAACTGTAATTTTAAAATAAAGACAGTGAAAGTAAAACGAAAGAAGGAGGCTTTGTAGGCTACATAAGGTATAAGGTATACTATACGTGGTTTACATACATATAAATTAAATGCTATTTAAAACATTGAAATAGTCTCTAGATAGAATTTTAGGCATAATACCGAAAGTCATTAGTCGTTGGTCTTAATTTAAAGTGTCACACGCTGTTTTGTTTTGTCCTTCCACAGCGACTAATTATCGCTGATAATTAATGTTGTCGAATCTGCTCTGATAGCTATCTTAACTTTCCGAAGGGAAGTAAAGGAGCGGAGAGATTTGAAACGATGGAAAAAGACAAACTTTCCCCTCTTCCACAAGGACTAGAACTTGTATCAATATTTTTAAAAAGTGTTGGGGATGAAAGTAATCGGTTGGGTAACGTTCGTGTCGGTATTTCGCTTCGTTAAATTAAAGTCGTGATTTTGCAAGTAACGCGTGTATAATAATGAGATAATAACGGAAACGAGTGCTTATCTGACTTGGCCATATCGCGGTGTGTCATCAGTTACTTATCTACGAAAGCATCTCTTTTCGGCATAATGAAAAACTGTTTTACTAAGAAATAGCGACCCAAAAGAGACAAGTGAATTGGATGTTCTGTCGGTGAACAGTAAAAACATAAAAGGCCATCACTGATAAGGGTTATCGGGATCTCAGCTTATATACGGGTAACTGCAAAAATCACAGTCATTTCCAACACACCAGGCGTTGTCAACAAGCACTGCACCTGTCGATTTGCGGTTGCTTTGAGGCATCGTTTACCTACGATGAAAATTACCTAAAAGTCTGTCGCCTTTTCTTTCTCTTAAAAAATCTTATTTGCGATAAGGGCGCCACTCGGCGGTGGCTGTCAGTGGTTTTTACACTTCTATTTTTTTTACCGTCAAAGACGAAAGTGTGGCACTGAAGCGCGTGGACAATTACAGACAAGCTGATTGAAAAGGAAAAAGAAACATATACTGTATACTATCGTTTATACAAATTCGAATTTACAGTATTTACAATATATACAGTGTATATAAAAAGGGTTAGTTTTTCTTTTCTTAATTTTCTTCTTCAAAGGGTCCGTTTAAGGGCTGTGTACTGATATGGCACGTCCGTCCGTCGTTACCCAGATACGCCTGCAGGGCCACGTCTTTCCGCCAGCCTGAAATTTTTTCTTAGTATAATTTTCCTACTCTTACGACCTTAGTTGTAATTTTACGACTTGACGAGGTCGCTTTCCGAACAGCCATCTGCCTACTCATAGGTGACCAAAAACGATATCAAGCTAAGTGGACGAATTTTTCTCATTTTCGTTCCATCTTTACATTCCCTCCCCCCAAGATTCTTATCTCTTCGCTGAACGCGCCAACGGTAAAACTGAATCGGTGATCCGCTTGACGTCGCCGCTACCTATTCATATTCCTTGATTAGTTTCGGGCTAGGCGATAAATAAATTTGTTAACCGCCTAAAAGTGGATCAAAGGCAAGCGACAGCCGCCCTTGTTGCGAGGGGTGCGTGCGAAAGGTTACGGAGTGCGACCGTTAATTATCTTTTCTTCAACGTCCGGGGCCTGGACCAGGTGCTTGGACTTAGTCCCTATAACAACTTCCTTCTTTCTCACTTCGTGGCTCATCGAGTACTCGAAATCTAGACGACCAACGCCTGAGGGTGTCGGCGACCAATTCGGTCAGCCGCTGACTATTGGTGAACGCGATCAAACGTCTCTTGTACGTCGTCATTAGACTAACGTTACGCAAATCGTTACAGTCGGCTTTTCTTTGAAAGGCGAACCTCAAGACCAGCATAGCACGTTCATTCTAATCGGTAAAGAAACGTTGTCGTTGTTTGGCCGCTGGGCCTGCATTACATCATCTTACGTTCTATTCCCTATATATATATATAACAAATTCTTTATTCCTTCTCCACTTTCAGACGAGATGACAACTGCCGACAGAAGATTACGGAGTCAAGTTCGCAATCTCAGAGCGCATTTCGAACGTATGCTAGATGATCTGGACCGTGTTGAGGAGGAGCTGAAAGAAGGCGAAAAGATGAAAAAGAAGCGTAATAACCCAAAAAAAGGTTTAACGCCCAGGTTAAAAGCGTTAGCCTCGTATTGCATGTCGCCACATACGAGCACTTTTCATCATTCCACTGATAACGATTCGGTCTTGACATTCAATTCAAAGACGGCACGAAGTTGTAGAAGAAAGATTGAAGGCAATTTACGAGATGAGATTCGATCCGATGAGGCGTACAATGTGACTGAACTCAGTGCCATCACCAGAGCGTCGTCTAGCAGAAAATTTCAAATGAGATCAGATATTAGAAAAAGGCCAAATTTAGGGCTTGCTTCCGTACGATCGAGAAGGAGATCGTCGGCGGTGGGCAATTCGTCAAGAAATAAGGAAAATGAATATGGAAGATCGAAATCTTTTAAACCTTGCGCTAGTTCAACGATGCTCGGCGAAATATATGAAGAGGAAGGAGAAGAAGAGGAAGGAGAAGAAACAGTACAAGAAAAAACAAGGGAGAAGGAAATAGACAACAGGCGACCCACATTTTTATCAGCATCCCCACTGCCAGCAAACTCTTCAATAACTCTGCATCAGATGGCGCAGCGAACGGTATGTGGAGTTGATGCCATCTACCGACGTAAAGCGACATCCATCACCGGATCTAGGTCCAAGCGTGGTGTGTTTGAAAAACTTTGATTCTTCCGATTCTTCCTTTTTCTACTTCCGCTTTCGAAACAGGTGCGATTTGTAATCTGCTATTGTTTACATTCGTCTCGCACGCGTTGTTTTTCTTATTCCGTTACTTTTTTAAAGCTAAACTGAACAGCATTTAAAACGTTAATCCGTATTTATGTACATTTAGTCGAGTGACAAATAAAAATATATTACTGACCTTAGTAAACTTTATTTTATAGATAACGTTATATTCTATTGTGGTCACTTTTACTTAAAGAGCCAGAAAAAGGAAGCATTAAAAAACGTCCAAAGGAAGAAGCGTTAAATAGTCGACACTAAACTGCGCATTAAGCATAAAACGATGATGCATTCAGCAGCTTTGATCATCAGCGAGCTGTAACATAGCGCATCGTTTCATCTTTTACCTCCTTACGTAACCAAGTTGACGCGGCGCGCGCGTCCTGTCGAATATATCCTAACTGTAAATGGAGGAGGAAAAGATGAAAAATTGTCAACGAGTTTTATCTCTGCGATCGAACGTTTCGGCACCTGTCCGACTTGGTTGTTTACAAAACAGGGAGATTTCAATACATTTGCGTTTAACTGCTTGTACATATGTAAAGACGTCGTCGACTGGGAAAACATATGTTCCAAGGGCAGAACGCACGCAACCTTATCGGCAATTTAAATAATTTTTTCTATACTTACGGGAATCTTCAATTTATTCGATTGAATATGTTTCGACTTGAAGAAGGAAGATGGTCGAATACACTAAAAACAGGTGCAAAAAGCGGAAGTAGAAAGGTGTAGGGACGTCACGCAGCAACAAGAGCGTCCAACGGTGCAGCCGTCACTCTTAATCCGTAAAAATTTAGCGGTTAATTGGACGTTCGACGTCTCCAGCTGCTCCCTACCGCCTAGAATAGCCCGAAATCGTCAACTTTCACACATATCCGGCCATAAAGTTCCATAAATTACAGATAGGAAGACGTCACCGAGGCTGAAACGACCTTTCACGAAAAACGATTAGCATATAGAACAGAACACGCTGGGAACCCTGCCGAGACTATATCACCGCCAAAGCGTCTTCAGGGATGACGCCTTCCCCCCACCTTTCAATGTTTACGTACAAAGCGTCGACTTCGATCCCTTATATTTATTTTCTCATGGCCGGCTGTCCATTAAGCGGTCGTTTTCGGTGTGTGTGTGAAAGGCCAGACGTGAATGGATGAAGAGAATTTGGATTCGTTGTGTCTCGAGAGAGAATTCTATAATGGTGAAGGGAAAATTGAAATTTAAACGACTTCTTTTTTTTGTCCGGAGTCTTTTGCCCCAATTAAATGTTTTAAAGTGTTTAAATGTTCTACTCATATACGAAATCAATAGCTGGTCAACTTTTCAACTAATTATACGTTAGGTGATGTAAAACGTAGCAATTTACGTCCGTCAAGAAAGCTAGACAAGGCGACACGCTATAATGTTCCACCATTCCAATCCTTTCTCCCTTCTATATAGATGTCGACGAATAGTTTGATTGCTCGTCAAATCCCGTTGATCGTTCCCTAATACTATTTAAACGCTTTTCAGTCGGCGTCCTTTTGAAAGAGGGTGTAAGTGTAAACAGATTGAAGAGGGGACGAGGGCGAATGGAGTATTGACTTTATTTTCTATCATCCAATCTGTAGAGAACGATAGTATACACTATATATGTTTCTTTTTCAGTTGTTGACGATAAACACTTGGCTCTTATCCATTGTAAGATGTAAGGGTTTGTATAAGTAGCCGTACTTGACTACATGACAGTTCTGTTTAGTTTTTTTTATCCCACTCTGTAGACTTTCGACTACACGAATTTATTGCCTATCGTACGTATATGCACACTTATATATGGCCATTTTCAAAAGCGTGAAAGGTCTTTGAAGTATAAGAAATGTGTTAGGATTCATTAGAGCGAGGATGTTTGTGGGGTAGTTTGCCAAAGGGTTTCAGATAACATATACGAACACGTGTCTTATTTTTTTAAGGAAATTATTTATATATATAAATATCTCAAGTATCGACATCTCACAATAATGGTATACTATTTAGTTCATGTCATAAAAATTTTTGCCTATTCAATTGAATTTATTCAAAAACCCGCACGTGGAACTTCATCTCGACCGTATCGGTCAGTATTAAAATCGTATTAATATTCGCCCAACTGTCAAAACAAGTCAAAAAAATATACAAATGAACTAGACGTGTGTTTACTAATCAATTCAAGATGGTCGTCAGCTAAAATTCCTTCCGTAGTGATTTATAGAACATATGTGTCCTTTCCTTCTTCATACACAGCTATTAGAGCAAATGTTAGGACAATTTTCGGGAGGAAGAGACCGTTTATCAGCATATCTAAATGGGTTAAAGGGTGGCTTGAGTCGAGGAATTGAATAGGGACGAGCAACACGTTTCGGCACTTCACGCGTTTCACCTTTCCCTTCTACAAAGTCATTGGGCGCAAATTGATCGGAAATGAACATTTTTTCGTTGCTTTTCCCGAGAGAGATAGAAAGATAGAGAATTCCATAATCTATGCATATTTTCCTTCTACGACCCCCTGCCGTTATTAATTCTTCTACTTCTTTTATAACACCTTATTTCCCACACATTTAGGTAAATAAGGAAAAACAAGTCATTAAGCCTTTCTTTTGGTAATTAGTTGTCCATGGTCGGCATAGAGAAGATGAAAGAAGGAATCGAAGAGAAATTCGATCGACAATGAAAAGACGCGCTTTGGGGCAGCATGTGGCCCGATTGCCGTTGGCATTCCACTCTGGTATGTACCCGTCGCAGATTATTGAACCGTTCTGCTTTGATTAACGCGCTGTTTAAGTATCAATTAACCTAATTACGCGGTCACGAGAAGAAATTCTATACTTTTTTTCGTTATAGGTATGTATAATAATGTTGTATTGCATTTTGTTAATAACCAAACATACGTACAATTAATAAAAAAAAGATTGCGAGAACGAGAACAATAAATAAAAAAATAAATAAATACGAGAAAGTTTATAAACGAGCGAGAGTCTGCATATGTGTGCGCCGGCGCCTTCGGGATGAACAGTATGAACTGGCTGGGGTTCCTCTGCAAGATGCCCCTGTGCCAAGACTTCGTAAGTCACACTTACGGAGGGGAGACCTTCGGGCAACAATTGTTGATTCTAGGTCTTCAAAGGCAGGCGGAGAGGAACGAGTTGCGTTTATCGAAGCGTTGTTAACGCGTTCTGTCAGATCGTAGATTCGAAGTTCGTCTTCGTCGTCTGTTTCAACTATGTCGGTTCTTCTGAGAGATTTACACCTGTGCCTTATTTCATCAGTGCCGAAACACTTTCGTTTCCTCTGCCGAACTACCGGCTGTCCGCTTACGGACTTCTTAACGGGCGTAACATTTTCACAACCTTCCGGTTCTCCCCTTTGACTGAGGGGCGGTAGGAAACTAGGAGGATCGAAATCAATTCGAGTACTATTTTGAGGATAAGCGAGAGTAGAATGTAGAGGATAACTGAAAGTAGAACACATTCTTCCAGTAGCGTCTAAGACTGATTTCTGCTGGCGGTTAGTTTCTGTAGATTGCTTAGATATGGCACTAATATTATCAATATTAACACGGAATGTCGTATCCTCATCTTCATCTTCTGTGGCCGTCCAAACGGATGTGTCGTTTATCACTTTCGAACTTTTTGCCACATTTTGAAGAACTTGACGAGAGAGAGAAACAGGAGACGGAGCGCTTTTCTTCAAACTTGTTTTAATGCCTTTCGACTTCTGAGACTTAGACGATCGGGGCGTAATATTTTCCTTATTTTCTTTTCCTGAAGTTCGGATTCTCAATGGTGATTTCAATCGCTCTTTCAAGCCCATAGCTGCTCGTCGCACAATCGATCCTTTCTTTTCACTTCCTTTCAAAATATCGTTAAGTTGTTCTTTCATATTTGCCACTTGGTTCGACAATTGTTCGCCCTGTTGAACGAGATGAGCCTGAAAGCGGAATGATACGATGTGTGGGAGGGATTTAAAAAGAGAGAAAGTTGGTAATTAAGCGCGCAAGCAAGCAAAGAAGCTAATGTTTATTCGGCACTTTGCTTTTCGACTTTGATCGCCGACGATTCTTCTATAAATGTTTAGACAAACTCTTCGTTTCTGATCGCTCTTCGAAAACAGCTTGCTTTTCGGTATAATTTACTATAATTCTTCGGCGCCAAACGATAAACTGACGTAATTTTAGTCCATTCCACAATTATTCTGCGCAATTTCACTGCACCTGGACTAGTGACGTAACTGACGTACATAGGTAAGATATTTTATATATATATATCTGGTCAGTTAGATAGCGAAAAGTAAAGCTCAATGGTTTTATTATATGACCCTTAAAACAATAAGAAGACAGGTGCAGGAATTTATATATAAAAGGGTCAAGGTTAAACGAATAGTCGTTCATCTGAATTCCAATCAAACGACGGCCAATTACCGCGTTTTTTCGATCTACGATCCGATTGCGACCGAACATAAATCACGTTTATTACTGTATAATTACACGGCTCCTATTCTATATATTTGCTTTTCTCGCCGAAGCAGCTGAGTATTTAGCCTATATACATTCATTTAACGAATATATATAAAGAATGTTTATTACAAGGCGGCCGCATAGCTACAAAGATTGTAAAACTTACCATTTTGGAAGAGAGCTCTTTCTTCTTTCTATTAACACCCGTAGCAGACCTGAAACACAAACGGACCAGATTACGCAAGTATAACGCAATTAGCGGACGGGATGAAAGGTTGTACTAATTAGGAGAACCGCACGACCCAACGCCTTTCGCAAACAACCTGTATACAGTTTTGCAGCTGTTCGAACGCATATATTACGTAATGTCAGTTAAATCGAAACAGTGAAATTTGATTAAGCGTTCGTCATTAGGCTAATCTCCTAAAAATCTCGCTTACAGGTTTTACAGGAGATTAGAAAGTCGTTAGGATGCAATTAAACGGTAGACGCCGGTTAAAAATATGATGCAACCAAATGGCGAAACGATGACAAGAGTAAAACAGAAAGTGCAATGAACGTGAAAATGAATTTAGAACGCAATTATATAATTGTACAGGATTGCATCTGTTTCAAGTAACATCATCCATTTCGACGAATTCTTTGTATAGATAAAACAATGCCGAATCCTTTTCAAGGCAAAATCGATTACAGAAATCAGAGTAATATTTGCAGTCTCGTGACTTCTAGGAACACCAGGTGTTTGTTTTTTGTATATTTAACTTTGACAGATGGCAGACGTTCGAGGAAATGCAGGTATTTTGACTGCTAAACACACTAAAGCTACCGTGTCCGTAAAAAAGGCACTTTGACGTATTAAAGGCCTAAGTCGATCCGACAGCCTGGTCAGAAATTAGACAGTTGAGGAGATTGTATGGAGGCGGCCTCGTTTGAAGTGTGGCAGGCACGTGAACATCCTGAACTCTCACCTTGACAGGTAAGATTATAGGCCGGGTCTGAGATTCTTACTGGTCTTCCTCTTGTTTAATAACTAATACCCAAATTTGTTTGCACCTGTTCAATTCTATTTTACATCAAAGAATGTCTTACACTTTCGATGCGAAGCAACAGGCCTTCAGGGCGTCATTCTCTTATACGTTTGGGACGCTACACCTGTATACTTCAGTATGTAATATTCTTTAATTTCCCAACAACACGTGTCCTGTTCGCACCGGCCGCTGCGTGCCAACTAGACGTCGCGTGCCACGCGTCAGGATTAGGGCGTCTACGGGGCGTCAAACTGGGTTAGAACAGTCGTCACTTCATAACTGCAGTTGTTGTCTGCCAATTATCGCATCGAGACCCTCACGTCGGCCCGTGCATAACTTAAATCTTCTCGCATACGATAACACTTCGTTTAATCTCTAACGCTTCTTGCTTTAGGCCTATAAAATTTATGCGCGCAATCATGACATGGCGTCGGGTCTCTCGGGAGAAATATCGGTGAATCTGGTCAAGTTTGGCGGCTTTGAAGCAGCTATTAGAACGTTTTTTCGTTGCTAGCAGCTGCCGACACGCGCGTACATTTTCGCATTATTTTTCACCGTAATGCATGCATGTGTAAATTAACCGCTTTTCTTCCACATTGGCTGACATGCAGGTGTACATCGTAACACACATATCTTATATATATAATATCATATATATCTATAATATTATTAAATGCACACAGCAAAAATCATTCAAGTTGACAACCTCTTCTACAACGCCCCTGTCGTTATCCGAACATAAGCGCTATGTGAGGGTGACGTACGGCAATAAGTAATAAAAGAACGCCTTTGGCTAGGGTAGCGCGCAAAATATCGCAAGATTGCACAACAACGACCGTCTTACGAAATTAATAGTCAAATACTTACTTGTGAGTAGAAAGTGCTTGCATGACGATTCGGACAGTTAAAATGAGGATGCAGGCCGAAGAGGTCGGGCTTTGATGCAGGCAGTTGAATGAATCCGTTGACCCGCGTCCCTACCGCTTGCTGTTGACAATTTTGGCAGTGGCGTGTACTATGTGCCTTCTATAATAATCGAGTGTCAAGCCGCTTCGTGACAGCGCCGGTTACTAGCGAGTACAACCGTGTTCTGACGTCGTATCGATGGAAGGACTTGACCAATGGGCGGAGCCACGTTCTTATTGGTTGATTGTATAGTCGGTAGTTTCGAAATCGCAGCAGAGTGGTCTAACACTCTAATCTATTGTCGAAATGATTTGCGCCTATATACCTTTATACATAAAGTTGGCTAAAGGCAAAAATAAGACGCGTCACGGTATCTTCTTTCCTCTTACAAAGTTTGCACTACTGTTATCTGACCGTCGCCTTCAGCAAATCGTTGAACTGACATTTAAATTTCCCAAACTCATGAGACCTGTTCGCCGGGAGCCAATGAGGAAAAGAGAATGAAAACAAGTCTTTAAGTAATAGTTAATTGTTGACATGTTGTAAATGACGCTGTAGGTAGGACACGTAATTTGTTAAGAATAGTCTTAGACAAGCCCGCCGGCCTATCGGAAGCATCTTAATCGTATTATCTTCCAAAAGTCGTACGTTTTACAGCGTCTAAATCGGCGTCCAATAGAGATATACTCTCGGACCGTCTTGACACACAAGTTTGTCTAAACAACATAGGATGGTGCCGAGCTTATCTTCTATTTTTATTCAATTACTCTTTCGTAAATTCAGATACACAACAGTCCACACCCCATGACTTTCTCTCTATCTTAGTATCTCTATTATAAGCACTCGAAAAAGAATATACTATAGCTTCAATAGCGTTTTTGAAGCTGGCTAAAATGTCGGGGCTAGCGTGAGCTATTTAATAACAACGACATACAACACTTTCGGGGCGTCCAGCGTCTAATCAAGTCAACATGTGGGCCATAGGCTGTGCGTTATTGGGCTATTTAAAAACCTACTATATTACATCACCCTAAAACCGTCCGCCTACAGCAAAGCGACGCCCATAAGTACTTTTCCCAAAAATTATCCCGGGGAGGCAAATTTCCCTATAAATTACAACCAGTGGCGACATCTTATGGACTAACAATTGGCAAAATCATATATTGTTTATTTTTCAAGCACTAAGATAAAACATATAAAGCAGAGTAAACTCACAGAAAAGAAAAGCACAAAAATTAAACCAACTGATTCAATCTAAGCGCTATGTAAAAAGCCCTTTGCAAATACATTAATTCGTGATATTTCTTCTACCTCCTATATGCATTCCCTTTTGACTGTCACCAGCAGTGGATCCATATTGCAAGTTAACCACACCCTTACTTGCTTGATCCATGTCGGATATTTTCATATCAGCAACCCCTCTTGCAGCTCCCATGGCCATTCCACTCTGACTCGCGCCTTTGTTAGTTCCCATCTGAAGTCCAATTACTGTCTGTCCCTCCTAATTAATTGTGAATAGTTTAATGAATGGTTAAAGAAATACGTACATTGTTTAATTAACCATTTACCTTACTCATTTCACCGACTTTACTGTCGGCAATGTGTCTACTTCCGCCGAAATTCATTCCACTTTGACTTGCTCCTTTATTTGAGCCAGCTTGCAATCCGATGACAGCCTGACCCTCTCTAGACATAGCATTAGAGGAAATATCGCCAGCATGTCTAGTCCCTCCGAAAGACATACCAGATTGACTTGCACCCTTATTACTACCAGATTGAAGGCCAATTACTGATTGTCCTTCTCTGGACATTTCACCCGCTGAAATATCAGCCACATGTCTAGTTCCTCCAATTTTCATGCCTGATTGAGATGCTCCCTTGTTACTTCCTGCTTGTAAGCCTATAACTCCTTGGCCTTCTTTCGACATATCGTCCGCTCGAATATCAGCCACATGCCTTGCCCCGCCTATCTTCATGCCTGCTTGAGACGCTCCTTTATTGCTACCCGCTTGTAGCCCAATAACACCTTGACCCTCCTTCGACATGTCATCAGCTCGGATATCCGCCACGTGTCTAGCTCCTCCAATTTTCATACCGGCTTGGGAAGCACCTTTGTTAGTACCAGCCTGTAAACCAATGATAGATTGACCAGCTCTCAGTTGCTCTTCAGTAAACTCTACGACGTGTTTTTCAGTAGGTTTCGGACCAATTGTAGCTTTAGTGAAGCCATTTCTCTGGCATTCTGTTCCCAATTGCTGAATGCAGGATAGGACTTGAGCCATATTATGACCCTCATAAAGATCGATGGTTTGGAAAAGGCTGGTATTCGACATTCCGTATTTTTCACAAAAGGATACAAATTGTTGAATATTCTCCCTTTGCTTAAATGGTGCGGCCATTGTGTTAGGCTTTAGACGCAACTTTTTAGCAGCGGGTGGTGGGTTTGGCGTGTGTTCTTGTATGAATAAAGCCAATCTGTTGTTTTAAGGAAACATTTCTCTGATAAAAGTATACTAGAAAAAATAAATCAAAGTACCCACTTCACAAGATGAACTCCACTTCTCAACTCCTTTTCAACATTTCTCATTCCTGGTGCTATTTCAATGTCCAATAGAGTCTTAAACCACCCAATGACTTCTGCCTCCATACTTGAATCATAGCGAGCTGCTAGCTAGATATAGAAAAGGCGAAATTTACACAGAAGCCGGGAGGCTCTGCTTATCTAATTTTTACAGACTCGGCAGATGTATCTTTTAAAACGCTTGCCCTACTTTAATTAGTTGAAAACTTTCTTTATTCAACAAGAGTTACTCAGGTTATTACACGATTTTATTTTACTTTTTGGTACTAACCTTTCCAGCAATAGCTCTTTGATCTCCTGCAAGCTCAGTTGGCATTCTTCCTGGTATGTATTCACTGAACGCTCTGCAAACTCAGAAGGCAAGAAACAGTGATTCACCGTACTAAATATACACTAGACCATACAGCGACATCTACATATACTATAAACATTCCATTCGTCCGAGCAAGCATCTAAAGTTTGCAGTTTTCGAGTAGCATTTAGTTCGATTTTGCTCTTAAATCATGGAATTCCATTCGTGAAAATGCACTATCTGAATGTTTAGTTAAGTTGCTTCATACCAACTGGTTATATATTCGTTGCTAGAATTTCTAGATATATTAAGTTATATTCAAAATAAAAGTTAAAAGGCCTAGATTGAACGTTTATTGCAGTATATATAAATTATTATTAGCTTATTTCATTTAGAGATCAACACGTAAAGCGTTTCATTAAAATGCATTAGCATAACAGCTGAAAGCAGTTTCTGAGCAGAAGAATTAATTATGAATATGCGTGTTTACATCTTCATCATCATTCTCATCCTCGTCTATAGCCTCTTCACTACCGCTTTCAGAAGGGGTTTGATCAGTGGGGAATGAATAAATCAGTCTTTCGCACTCTCTTGTTTTCTTCATATTCATAAAAGTTTTTATCACTGTTTGGCGGTAGGCGGCGCACTGACCAAGAATATGCAAGCAGAAAATGCCGTCCGAATCGTAAAGTTCTTGATATAGTTTTTCTTTATCCTCAATTTTTAATGAAAAATTTTCAACAGATTCTACCCAGACAGATATTAAATCAGATCCGAATTTGCTACGGAGCTGCTTTGCTAATTTGCGTTGTTTTGTAGCATATTTTATATAAAAGGTTTCAACATTTTGTTGATTGGATAGTGTTAGATCTGCTGAATCCAGAGTACCTCTACCAGAGTCAATTGTCATACTACAAGTATCTTTGGGTAATTGAAAGTCATCTTCAAAATCCAGTGGCTCCAATACCGGTAAACCATTGACAAATAATCGAACTAATGAGATAATAACTTCGTTCTCGGAGCATACTTTGTTGAGTTGCTCTTGAACTGCACCTTGAGCCATATTCCCTAAAACCCACAGAGCCTCTCTTTGAACATTTTTCGGACCATTCAATAAATGATGTAGCACTTTAGGTATCAAATTTGCATCCAAAACTTCCTGAATTTGTTGAGGTGTGCCTGCCGTCATATTAGACACGCACCAGAGTGCCTCCCTTCTTAAATTATCTGGCACTTGGTCCGATAGTAAGTTAGAAAATTTCTCTATTAAACCCGCATCAAGAACGTGCTGTGTTTGTTGATCTGACCCAGTAATTAGATTACCAATTGTTCGTAAAGTGGGAACAATAATCCTTGGTTGATTTCCTGGACTTAAATATGGCAACAATATAGGTACTAGACCCATGTCAAGAATATCTTGAATGCTAGTACTGTGCAGGTCAGCAACATAGCTTAATGACCATATAGTATCCAGCATAACTTGGAAATCACTATCACCAAGAAGGAAGTAGATAACAGGTAAGAGTTTCCGAATTCTTTCTTGTGTTAATGCATCAACTGACTTGTTGCGAACTAAATTTATGATACACCATGATAAATCTCGCTTTTCACTAAGTGTAGATGCTCTGCATATAACACCCATAAGCATTTCTATAAAGCCTTCCCGTATTATAAAGTTTGTTATATTAGGGGATTTATCACCTGTAAAAATATCACTCATAAAAATTTTGCCAGAACTATTTCTATTAAATTTTTACCCATTAAATTTCCTAAAGTCCATATACATTGATCCCTAACATTTGATTTTGTAGACTTTTTCAGCAGCTCCAATAAAACTGGAACCGCACCTGCCTCAAATACTGCATGCGTTTGCTCTGGAGAACCAGCAGCTATATTTGTTAAAACCCATGCTGCTTCAAACTGAATTGTCCTGTATATAAAAAGAAACACCTTTAACCCGTGGAACTATATGAAATAAACTGCACTAGAGTATATTAATACATCTCAACTATAGTGTGCTTACTATGCAGTTCTAAGAATGAATAATTATATAAGCATTTCTCACGTGTCAGAGTCGGCCAAGCAGTCAATTATTATGGGAATAGCTCCTGCATTAACGTATTTCTGTATGGGTGGCTCTATTTCGTTAGATAAATCTCGTCTGAAACAGTTGATTTTTATAATTAAACCAAGTTTTAGCACTACGTGGGTTACTTAATTACCTGATGAACATGATCGCATTGCATCTATCTTTGACGCTGGAGGCATTTTGAATAATGCGCAGTAATCTTTTTGCAGAAGTATTCTCCTCTTCGTCTTCTGAATCCTCCTCTTTAGCAGTTGATTCCTTCTCATCTTCTTCTATCGTTGGTGGTGTTTCTGCTACCTCTCTCTAAAATTAGTAGATTATAGGATGTAAAATTAAAAGCAAATATTTACCTCTTTCTCAACTTTGGTATCAACCAATAAATGGTTGCGTCTAAAGTCGTACAATTTATTAGCGATATATGTAATAGGATCAGCTGGTCTAGCATCACAAACACCAGCAACTGCTTCAACTAATGCTTCTCCAACCTCTTCCTTTAAATATGAATTATCAACACTGTCAGTCTCAGATGCCTCGGCCATTCTGTAGGTTTTATAAATTTCCAATATTATTTGCGATAAAAGATATTCAATACAGTCATTACGTTAGTGATTCATAATTGATCTTGTTTCGTCATTTAATGTTTGGAATTAATATTGTTAGATTAGACCAAACAAAGTAGAGTTTCTTATTGAATGTAATGAAACTTCTTCCAACTGTAAATATTGTCTAATTTCTTTTCCAAGGAGCAAATAACCCGGCGTTACTAATGCGGGCGGACACTTTCATTGTTTACGTTGTCAGGCTTTATAACCTTCACCTTGAAACTATGACTAATAATCAGAACGAAATCCGTATTCAACTTGATATTAGGAATTATAGAGAAACGATATAAAATCAAAAAGTCTCGATATTTAGCATATCGTGCTTGTTTTAAAACCAAAATATCTCGAATCAATAATTCGCTTTCCAAAGGCTGACATTTAAGACGATTAAGTAAACTAATTTTTCATTGATTTGAGAAAACGAAAAGTGTTCCTCAGTACATCATCCACAGTAACTGCTGTGGCGCGATTTTAATGTTGCTTGTGGATTTGCTTCCTGCCAATGTTTAATTTCTACCACAAAAATAAATATTTTTTCTGGATAATTAGAGAAAGAGAAAGAGAAAGAAGGGGGAAGTTTATAGACTCTAAAAATATTATTTTAATTGCTATGAAGGAAACGAGAACATTAAAATCAATAGCCGCGAGATGGCGACCCTATCACCAAAAGCGTTTGAATAATCTACATGCTTGAAGGCCGCTGAAAGGAAATAATACTGTTTAAAGAATATTAATATGTTAGAATCATGACAGTTCGACATCCAACCTTAGCTTTTCCAGCCGATTTGACGGGTGTATGCGCATCATTGAACGACACTTTAGGATGTTGCAGAATTTGCAGCTGGTCTTCGAAAGATATGGACTTAATGTGCTCGTCCCCTCTTAATAGGCCCGTCAGGTGTGCTGACGAGGAGAGTGTATATCCGTCCTTTATTATTAGAATATGGTCTCGATCTTCCAGAAGATATCTAAGTGTGCTAAATCCTGGAGCATTGGTTTATGGTCGGAATCCATTTGGTGAATCCGGACAATTTCGAATCATTGTATTAAGGGAAGATATTGTCATACTACAGAGTACCGCCTGTTCAGACAACCATTTAGCTATAAGAAGTGGCCTTATTGTTGGAAATGGGGAAGGGGGAGAAGATTGTGAATGGTTCTTACGACAAAATGAGAATGGGTCTTGCTCTTTCGAAAATGTTATGTTTCCTGGATGCTTTTTGGGGGTTCGAAAAAATGGAAACGTGATTAATTTAGCGATAAATGTTGAAAAAGACTCTTTAGAAGCTAGCTTTGTTATACAGTTAGCTGCAATGGTTGTGCAGTGAAAAAACGTACTTTTAGTGCAGTTACTCGTACACTTCTAAAAAAAGCAACTAATCTGCAACGCATTAAACTTAGTATATGATTTAAAAACAAATTCTTTTCGCATTCTCGGCTAATTTAGAGATTAGGCATGCTCCTATATTAGCCTACAGTATATATTATACCAGAAGAGTATAAAACTGAATATATTGATTTTATCGTAATATCTCACAGATGGCGAGTTCAAAATACAAACTATAGATGTCAGTGTTTGCAATCACGTGCTTTTATTTTTCTACATGTTAACTTTGTGAAAACTCACTCACTATTAACTGATCTCTTTATAGGCCAAACTGTTATATTTCTTACTTTACTGATTTAAACAACTTTCGATAGATATTTCCAGTTAGTTGCTAGTCAAACTATGAAATATTAAACAAATTTTGAACAGTGTAATTTGAAAGAAAAGGAAAGAAAAATAGACTTCTTTTAGAGCCATCAATCGGAATGTATGCTCTCTGTACAGTATACTTCAGCATAATGTATTTACACCATATAAATATCGCATACGCCTAGCGGGATGTGTAGGCAATGAATATTCATTTTCTACTGCAAACTCTTTCATAGATAGGCGGAGCGCTAGCGCAACTCCGCCTACAATTGTGAATATTTACAAAAGTCTTTTTCGTCGGCAGTCAGTTTGCGGTTCTCGTCAGCGGTAGCAGTATTAAACAGAGTCGGAAAAATGTCTTCAACCCAAAAGGATACAACTTTTACAAAAATTTTTGTCGGAGGCTTGCCTTATCATACGACTGATGAAACTTTACGAGATTTCTTTATCCAATTCGGAGAAATAGAAGAGGCAGTAGTGATCACAGAACGGTCAACTTCAAAAAGTCGCGGTTATGGTTTCGTGAGTGAAATCTATTTATTAAAAATATGCTCAGTTTTTTATAATATCAATCTTATAGGTGACAATGGCTGATAGACTTGGCGCAGAGAGAGCTTGTAAAGACCCTAACCCGATTATCGATGGTCGAAAGGCAAATGTGAATTTAGCTTATCTAGGTGCCAAACCTCGTGTAGTAGCAGGTATTTCTTATTAAATAATTTTATATTTTGCTATTTATCCTACAACACTGCGGTATAGTCAACGATTAGCCAATTGTGGCTTTATGTAGGTCGGTTCTTTTGTCCGACAAATTCCTTCAATATCGTTCGCCGTCAGCTAAGCAACTACTATTTGCGATTAATGGTAAAATCAAAATATCAATATAAACAAGTAAATAAGTTATAAAAATAAGATTACAATATTTAAATAAAAATAAATCTAAAAATTTAGTACTAATTAGTTAGCACAGGTTACGTTTATTGAATGTCTTATAACTGCAAAAAAGAATAAGGTACTTGAATATTAGGCCAATTTGGGTGCTGTCTAGATAAAGACGCGACACACGTGTTCAACAGATTTTTGTATAGGTAGTATATAACCGGAAACGAAGCCCCTTATGTGCAGTATAGACAATGACTGCGTCAATGATAGGGACGAGAGCGTTTGAAAAATATATTGATCAACGTCGCGTCAATTGATTTAGCCGTCCCATTGTTATATATACTGTGTACCTACTACGTTGTCTATAATCCATGTATACAGTTATATATATATATATATATAAAGATCCAAATATAAATACTCCTATTTAAGGTAGTGTGTATGTACAAGAGAGAAATACAGGGTGTAGAGTAGTTCTTCGTCGAGTATAAGAATAGAGAGTAGATATTTCGTATTACAAAATGTACCACGTGAAATTTATTAGTCTCAGATCCTTTACAGTTAAATATTCAAATTTTTATATGTATGTAGTTCTCTCTTGTTATGTGTGACTTATCTTGGTCGTAAAACGTCGCCCTTAAGTTTTTCACGCGGTCGCTCCTTGAACGTGATTGAAAGGCGACAAAGAGTTAGGTCAATCGCATATGTATATACCAGCTGACGAGTTTGAACACGTTCGCATACAACGCATTGAAGAAAGCATTAAAATCGCCTCGGCCTTATTATTACTTGAGGATGTTTTAATCCACACACGCCTCAACAGGTTCTCCACTCGCCCTCGCCGCCGCCGCAGCCAAGCTAAACTATCCTACTTTACACTCTCAAATTGTCGCTGGGTAAGTTTTTTAATTGAGAAATATTCTCTTCACATCAACAGTATATAAATTATCAATTTAAAACTATTATTATATTATATACAGTAGTATACGTATATGATATATAAATCAACATTGCCAGATAAAGTGTCAGGGAGGCGTCTAAAATTAGACGGTAATTTTCAGAGTGTTAGTGTGCGTGTGGCGTTTATACATATGCAGTCACATATATTATATTTCTTTTTTTCTCTCCTGTATCAATTACGCCATCAAGTCTTCAATTTTCTTACATACTAACTAACCCCCAGTCAACCGTCTACGTTCAAATTGCCCAAATAATCAATGCGACTATTCGTATTTTTCAATAGCTAATCCACTAAGATAATCCTTCTAATCCATCGAAGGAGAGATCGTATTGACGACGCTTTTTCTGCTGATAGAAAACATGTGCCTTCTTAGTGAGCTATTTCAGGCAGCATCTCGGTCTGTTCTAAAAATACATTCCTCGAAATCTTAGCTGGTGAAACCTGAAACGGACCGCCAGCTCTTCTTATCGCATACTCGCCGCACCTACACAAACAATTTCGCCTTCTGCGCAGCTCACAAAATACTATATATATATATATTTTAACCTCGTATAATTTTATATACATAATAGTTTTAAATGCCTTAATCGCTCATGGATACTGTTTATTTTTCCTATAACTGGGTTCATAAGCAGTATTCAACAAAAACAGTATTTTTCCCCAAGCAAAGTATTTTAAGCGCTAGCCGTAAAAGTGTAAGACTAAATTTAGAAGTATAACCGAAAGCGTACACCGTATATCCCCTTCACATACCTGCAACTCGATAATTTATCAGCCGCGGTTTCTCATCAAATAATCATGCACGCGCTGAAAGCTACAGTTCATTTCTTTGTCTATATATTCATCTGTAACACCAAATAGTCTATTTTTTCGTATAATGTGTTTTAAGTGTTTTTAATTTGAACGAGAGCCTTGTAGTTTTATACATTTACATTGTACATCTTTATATATATATATACACTTATACATAAAGTATGTATAATTGCATATGCATATCCCGTATATATATATTAATATAATATATATAAATAAATATATATATATATATATAAATGTATTTGTATATATTTACATTTTATAACTCACTTTCCTGACATAACGAAAAATCATGACTTAAAGCGTAAAAGTTTACTTTTTACGAATATCGTATTTTTTCAATAAAAGTAAAGTTTGAGTCAAGATATGACGGGGCAAAAAGATGCTGTAACTTTTATATACTCTACAATACTAGAATGATTTTTGCTGTGCATTGATTTCTACGTTACAAAAGCTTGATAGTGGTGAAGTGAGAAGACTACCATGAGTTTCTGACTTTCAAATTATAAGAAATTCTTATTTCTGCTCACAGTTTACCGCAATACTTCTACGCTGCGTCATCACCTTATGTTACAACGCCAGGAATTTTGTCTGTAGCGCCCCATTCGCCACTCTCGCCAACTGCAACAGCAACAAGTCCTCTCCTGGAATATTCAGGTGTTGCTGCTGCTGCTGCTGCGGCTAATGCTTCGTCTTTGAACACAACAGCAGCTACAGCTTCTCAACTTCCTACAGGATATGAGGCCGCTGCAGCTGCATATCAATACGCATACGCAGCTCCTTATACTTATGCAACTGTACCACAACAACTGACTGCTGCTGCCGCACTTCCAACAGCCTACCAAGCACAAGCAGCAGTGAATTTGGCTGCCGCTCATTCTCAAGCAGCCGCTGCGGCAACCGACAGAATTCAGTAAAAGAAATACCTATTATAGTGCCATATGGACACGCTACAGTGGTAGATATTAGACACATGCTAAATTGCTAATCTTTGTTGTTTTATTTTCTCTAATCATCCAAATTTCATAATTCTTTAGCGACATTCAGTTACAGTTAAATATTATTGAAAGTTGTACTTAAAGTTTTTACAAGTGATGTATGTATAATATAATATATATAATTTAGCATATTGTTAACAGTTATGAAACATGTAATTTATTAAATATTGCTATGCAAGAAATTGTGTCTTAATGAAAAATTGTATGAAGCCTCATTGTAAGAGAAAGTATAAATGTAGCTATTCTTTAAATATGCAGTTACCATTTGAATGCTGTAGATAGTTTTGGTTGTAAGAAGTATTTAATATCAAATATATGCAGTACATATATTATATGTATATATATATATATATATATATATATTGTATATTAACTTTAAGTCTAACTCTAGCTATTTATTGGTGCGATTCATGTATAATTATATGTTATAGTCTGTTTATAATCTAGTATTGAATCTCTAAACATTTTTATTCTATTCATAAATGTGCCGTATCGCATAAAAATGTATTGTAAGATGACTAGAGGATTATGGTATTTCAGTAAAAGTCAAACCTTGTACAGATATAATGCGCAACGTGCCTTCCAAACAATGTAACGTTAAGAATTTATATGATACAATACAATCAGCAAGCTATCAAAAGATGTTTCTTCGATTTTCCACTTTTTAATTCTTCTCGTGAATGTACAACTAGAAAATTCTCTTTGTTATTTACTTCAATTTATCTGACTTCAATTTTTTTCATTTTATATATATTTGAATATCAATTTGATATATAGAAACAAAGCCGTTTAAAATTATCCCAATATCCTTATTATTTACCTGTTTGCTTGAAAAATTCTTGACAATATTCACGAACAATTTCTTTTGAAATTACAAAGCACTACAATCGTTTTTGTCTTATTACAATTCAACAACTGACGCATACGCTACTGAAACTTTGTAGTTGCCGAACGAATAATCAGTTGATTGACTAGTCAATACATCTCAGGATTCATAATGGTCTAAGTTTATATATACATATATAATAGTTAGTTGTTTATTACTTTAGGATATACGCTTGACAAACGATACCCATACTGGGCATGCATTTTACATGATAGTCACTTGTTTGTCGCCAGGTGAGTATTAGGGTAATAAGGAGCTATCCTATGTAATCGAATAAAGTATGTTAATGCATCCTAGCTCCCTTTAACGAAATTGATGGAAAGTTTGTGTTTGAATGTCGAGCGGTGTTTTTAAAGTCAATAAATGAATAGGATTTTCTGCATCTGTACACAGGTGGATGAGCGTGGCAAACAATTTGACATTATTTGCTGTATTAGGGTGTGGTTGTCTAACTTTTTATCCAGTTATAAATTGATTCATATTTGGATAAAATAAAAAATGAAGTCTGGCGCAAATTGATGATTGCTTTTTAATAAGTGCTCAATATTGTGTTGATTTCGTGCACTTGTTGGCCATTGCGCTATTACGTATGCTCAGAATCAATCTTTGTTCAGCAGGTAAATCGATAAAATTGTTCAATGATCTTGTCGTAAATTATTTCGAAACCGCCTCTATAGTATGAATTATTCATCGACTCCTCCCAATTTGCTGTCAATTTTCTTCATGACTGACAGCAGTTTTCTTCAACTCTAAATTCGATAGGATTTTACGATTTTTTTGTGGCTTTTACTCTTTGAGAGTTTACTTAAACAGCTTTAAATATTCTCAATTATCTGTGATCTGCCAATATATCAGTAGTACAGATTTTAAAATATAATATTCTGGGTTCAGATTAAGATATTTGAACTATGTTTTCTCGATTGTTTGAACAGAGCAAATCATTAAGGTAATTATCCATTGTTCAGTTATTAAAGAATAAAGTAGGCGATTCCTTTGTCCTATAACGAGAACAATGGAAAGACGACTGTCCAACTGAATGAGGACATATTTCTTCATACAATAACTTGTATCTATTATTAAAGCGACCGTGTGGTATAAGTAAACATGCAGCAACAAGTTTTCATTCGTCGAACTGAACAACAATGCAAAGACTTTAATCAGTTTAATACTTATTGCTTCGATTTTGAATGGACATTAGTTACGAGGCGATTATCATGCTATAAATCTTGTGTAGACATGAAATAACCCCTAAATAGTCTCAAATCTTCCAAATTAGAAATGTAGACAACTATGAAAACTTATCAGCGTCAAAAATTTTTGCTAATAAAAATTTAAATAAGTGTAAATAGTAAGACTAATAACAATGCATAACAATTTAACAAACATGTTTTGTTGATTGTTTAAAGAAACACTTAATAGGAAATATATTATAGATTATGCTACTTCATCTTCGCTTGGATCAGTTGAAGCTGTAGTAAAGCCTTTCAAACTTGACGATCTGGAAGATTGAAGGGAGGCATTCCCACATAGTATTCTAAACAATTTGGAAATTAATTTGCTTAGGTCTAAAACAAAATTATTTATATTACTTTGATTCCAAATGCTTCACTTGAACTTGTAGATTTTCAACTTGAACTTGTAATTCGTCGTTTGTACTTTGTAGCCTTCGAACCTGATTTGATTGCATATCAACCTAAAATTAAGGAGAGTATTAGCTTTATGTATGAGTACTTTGTTTTACAAACATCGCTTTGTGATTGTGACAATTCTATCTTAAGTTCGTCTACACGTAAACGTAGATGTTTAACTTCAGTTTCATATTGTTCTGCACGCTTATTAGAATGCTCAAGATCCTGTTTTTTCTCTTGCAAGGAGGATTTCAACTTTGAATTTGAATGTTTTAATTGAGCGTTGTCCTAAGAGAAAAATTGTATATTCTTATACACAATAAATTAATATGATAATCAATTGACCCACTTTGGCTTTTGTGTTGAGTTCTTCTGTTAATGATTGGATTTGCTTGTCATGATTTTCAGACAAGGAAATACGACGTTGAAGGCTCTCCTCGAGTGCGGATACATCATTCAGTAATTGTTTATTTTTTCGTTCGATTGCTATTTTTTCACTTTCCAGTCGCTCACGCTTGCTATATTCATCAGCACTCTCTTTTTGAGCAGCAACAAGCTGTTTATTTTTTAAATAGAATATATAAAATCTGTATTCATTTATTTAGGTAGAACCTGTTCTCGTAAAATATTAATTTTTTCCTCTGTCTTTTGCAAGTCGCTTTCATTGTCGGTGGACGTTTCAGAAAATTTATCGATATTTGTTTTCTGCAGTATAATAAATTAACTATTTAGAAATTTTTAAAAAAACATGTCAAATCAACGTTACTTGGTTGTTATGCTTTAAATCTTCATATTTTTTCTTTAAAGCAATCAGGTCTTTCTGTAAAGTACTAATAGTTGTTGTAAGAATTTCCTTTTCTCTGAAAAATATTTCTGTAAGCAAATTTCAAAACACATGCAGAGCTAAGTTACCGTTGGTCTGCTTCTAATAATCGTTCAGCTTGATCCAATTTTACTTTTAGCTGAGAAAAATCATCATTACTATTTTTTTTATCAGAAAATTCTGATTTAGAGCTTGATTTCGAGCTATCGGTTCTACTTTCTCTACTGCGACTTCTGTGCGACGGACTAGTGGTTTCTGGTTTAGGATCAGTAGGTAGATCTTCAAGAGATTTCAAAGAGCTTTTTGAGATTCTGTCTACGTTTTCTTCGTCTTTATGCAAACTCCTTCCAGTGGAAGTGTTTAACACATTAACAGAGCTGTTTGATAAATCCTGCTTGAATTTGTTGTCTTTGGTGACTGCTTCATATCTAGCCCTTAACTTTTTATAGTCATCCTTTAATTTTTTATAATCAGAATGCTTACGTGACCATTTTGAACGCCACTGATTGGTACAATCAGCCCACCACTTCATGGTCTTTTCCATTTGATTAGCTCGAGTTCTTGTTTCCTCTAATTCTGTTAGGAGAATATTTTCTTTAACTGAACATTCATCAGATCTAGATTCCCTCGGAGGTAGAGGAGGTGGCTTTCGTCTCTCTGGTGTCAACGGGTGATTCCTTTCTTTTTCTAAGACAGGAGGAGCTGATATTCTTGAAGATCTTGGTAAGGGTTGACTATAAGCATCAGGTTTTGGTGGGATAACAGGATTCATAGTAGTTACAAATATTTTAGTTCGTTTAGAAAAAAGCTATTGCATCTTATAGCAAATAAAAATCGATGTAAATTTGGAAAATATTAAGTAATTTCAGTGAAATTTGGCCGATCATAATTAACCGGAAGTTTGATAGGGCGCTGCCATAATTCTTTGCCTGTATATTGTGGCTCTTCATGTGAACAATATAACTGCTGTCATCTATTGGACTTTTCAAAATAAATATTTTAGTTATTCGAACTTGTTTTTTAATAAAAATAATTGTTTAATTACTATCCCATTTTAATAGAATATTTTAATATTTTATACTATAAAAGAAAGTATTTAAAAAATTCCATTTCAACTTTTTCAGACTTTCTATAAAGTTTTTCGGTCAAAAATACCACTGAGAAAATAACCCTATATATAATAAAATTAGATGATCTTCATCTCTAAAAATTGACTAAATATACTAAAATATATCTTTCAATATAATATAGATTTACTGTAGATGGCGACATTTTTGGTGCGCATGCGTATAATGAATCAGGCTTTTGCCTTTTCATTTTCCTCGAAAAATTAAGCGTTTTTTGACTATATTTTGCATTGCTGTGTTATGGTATAGAAATAGATCTGATAACTGGTGCGTATTTATTCTATTGCGATAAAAAATTTTAATCCAAGTAATTTTTATACGACTTATTCCGATGCAATTGAAGGGCGTATGATTTTGAGCAATTTTTTACTTGATTTAATTAGTACATGCAATGACGAAAAAGATGTTATTTAATTTAAACATCAACAAAATACTCTCAACTGATATACATTTAGTTTTGGCTCTTGGACGTCATAATTTTTAGATTGTAAAGCGAAAGGAAGCAGCTAAAACGCATTCTCTTTCCAAGTATATTAGTCGCCATTTTGGTAGAGAATTTGCGGCACACGTGTTTTGTCCCAAAAGATACCTTTTAGTGACAAGCTTGTTGGTTTAAATTAAAGCTTTAAATTATGTTATGCTAGTCGGGCAGATAATTGCATTTATTAATTTTTCTAATTTTAGCTGGTTATATGTAACGTGTAAACTCCTGCGTCGTATATCAGTCTATAACCATGACACTTTTGCAATTTTTGCAGCTAACCGTCCACCATGTCTGAAAGCATACGTAGTCTTGAAGAAACGTTCGGTAAGCTAGACGCTCAAGAATTAGAGACGATTGAAAAGCTGAATTGTTCTGAACCGGAAACAACTATCAATGGCGAAGATTACGACCGTTCGTCAACTCCAACCGATGACAGTGGAACGGGTAGTCAGAATAATAATGTGAATCCACAGTTCCGATGTGAACTTTGTCATGAAACACTAGTTTCTCCTAGAATTCTATTGTGTTTACATGAATTCTGCTCAGCTTGCTTGGAAAAGAAAGCGAAAGAGACGCAAGATGAAGATTGTACTTTGAGTCTACAGGTTTGTTTCAAGACAATTATTTTGAATTGAAATTTTATTATTGCTTTTACAGTTGTTGGAATGTCCAGAGTGCGGTCAGACGACGCCACTCGGAGAACGAGGGGTGTCGGGACTAGAATTAGATCACGTGATATCTATGCTAATAGATATTGACGGAATTAAGGAAGGACGGAAATTGTTATGCACAAGTTGCAAGTTTAAAGAAAATGCGGTTGCAAGATGCAATGACTGTGCAACTTTTCTCTGTGCAAATTGCGTTACTGCTCATAACTATATGAGGTGTTTTGAAAAGCACCAAGTCGTTGCTATCAACGAATTACAAAGTTTGTGCGATGACCATCTAAAAAATAAACCGCTAGCGTGCCAAGTTCATCCCGCCGATTCATTGCAATATTTTTGCAGTAGTTGCCAAGTGCTTGCCTGTACTGAATGCTTGTACAGCCAGCACAAGGATCATCCTTGTGACAGAGTACAAGATGTGGCTGGTCGGTATTCATCTGAACTTCAGCAAATGATAACTCAAGGGCAGTCGAAGCTCTCTGTATGTCAGACCACAGCGGATCAGCTTATGGGTCAATTACAACAATTGGAAGAAGAAAGACAAGATGCTAAGAGTGCCATTAACGAGGCATTCCATAGTTACAAAGCTATTATAAAAGAGATAGAAGAGCAAACCCTAAAGGAATTAGAAGAACTCCATCAAGCTCAGAGATCAGCTATAATGGAGGCAGTAGAAAAAGTGAATAAAACGCAGGAGAGATTGGAACATGCTTATAAATTCACTGAACGGACTCTGACAATGGGTAGCGGTGCTCAGGTAATTTATTTGAGATATATTAATGCATACTTTCTGTTATATTAGCAATTCACAACTTGAGCAACTCACAAACCACGTCAGTAAAATGCATCACTTTTGAGTACTTTTCTAATTTCTTTCGAAAAGTGCCAAGCGGTGGTGCTAAATAGACTACATAAATTTATCATTTTGTTATATATAATATTTTATAATAATTTAAATGGATGTAACATCTCTTTAGATGCTGGCGTTACGACATGTTATAACATCTCAGCTACTAACATTAATAAACAACACCCCTGCACCCGATGTGAGCGTTAGCATTAAATTCTCGTGCAACATCGATGAGTTTCGTCAAGCCGTTAAGGCCAATTTTGGAACATTCAGCGAAGCTCAAAAACCAATCAAGAAAACTACTCCACCTCCAGTCAATTCATCTAATCAGGAGGAAAAAGCGATTTCACGTCAAATGTCAATTCCTAGATCTTACAAGGAAGATATTGCAACCACATTCGTTCCATCATCAGGTGTTCGACCTGTTCAAGGAATCGGTAGCTTGAGCATGACCACACCTTCTTCAACTGTGGTTCCGGAGCCAATTGGTCATTTTAATCCAGACTATTTGAATGAGTAAGTTCATTATGCTTTAATTCAATAAATATTATATTCTGTCCAAATTACAGAGTAAACAGTACTACTTACACGAAAGCTAATAGTCTGGGGCCGATAGGTTCCAATCTTATGAATTCTGCAGTAGGTGGTGATAGAGCTCCCCCACCTGGACTAGGATCTCGTTCCTCGAGCAGAAATTCGTTTAGTCCAACTATGTGTGATAGTGGAATTAGCATGGAAGCGGCAGCAAATTCAGTCGCAAATGGAACTAATACTTTTGCTCAAGCTTTAACAAAGCAAATTAGTTCAAATGTGCCTTCCACCGATTCATTCTCAACAAGTCATTGGACAAATGCCTTTGACTCCACTGGTTCTGTTACATCCAGTTCGAAATTATATTCAATTGACATGCCGGGTTGGTATTCTTTAATTCTCTTTCGTCATGACAGATAACTGAAGTAATTTTTATCTAGGTTTTGATTATCTGCAATCTAATAATAATCCGTTTGGAGGAACCCGAAGTTCTTCTTCTTCAACTTTATTCAACAATCTTGATACCGTTGGAACCTCTTTCAACACGCGGGCAACAAATTCTGTTCTCAACAGTCAGGCTTCCAGTTTTATACCGACGTCGTATAGCGCGTCTTCCGATTCTGCTGCTTTGCCCGCGAGGTCTCAATCGAGAATGTCTACTATGCAAATTCGATGGAAATTCGGCCAATTGGGTCCATCAAAGTCGCAGTTCAATTCTCCCCACGGTTTTTGCTTGGGTGTTGATGAAGAAATTGTTGTTGCTGACACTAATAATCATAGAGTTCAGATTTTCGACAAAAGTGGAGAGTTTATGTACCAGTTTGGAACTCCTGGTAGAGATGAAGGTCAATTGTGGTATCCAAGAAAGGTAGCCGTGATAAAGAATATGGGAAAGTTTGTTGTCTGTGACAGAGGATCAGAGAGATCTAGAATGCAAATTTTCACGAAGACTGGCCACTTCATGAAGAAGATAGCAATTCGGTATATTGATATTGTGGCTGGCTTAGCGATCAAGCCAGATGGATCAATTGTTGCTGTTGACTCTGTCTCACCCACTGTTTTTGTTATCAGTGACAACGGAGATTTAGAGAAGTGGTTTGATTGCAGTAATTATATGCGAGAACCAAGCGATATCGCTGTAAATTCAACGGAATTTTTTGTGTGCGATTTTAAGGGTCACTGTGTCGTTGTCTTTAACTTTCAAGGAGAGTTTCAAAGACGAATTGGTTGTGAAAGCATTACCAACTTTCCAAATGGTATCGATATATCTTCAAGTGGAGATATCCTTGTGGGAGATTCCCATGGAAATAGATTTCATGTGGCCATTTTCCAAAAAGATGGAACTCTAATTGGTGAATTTGAGTGCCCATATGTTAAAGTATCAAGATGCTGTGGGCTCAAAGTGACTTCTGAGGGTTACGTTGTTACGTAAGTAATGCAATATTTCAATAATGAATAGTCGTTTTAGAAAAAATTTACACTTCTTCAACAGTTTGGCGAAAAACAACCATCATGTACTGGTTCTGAACACCCTGTACCTTCCTCCTTAAAGAAGATCAATAAATCTCGCATTTTTTATAACAATCGAATTATCCACCTACGAAAAATCGTAAGTTGTGATTGTATCAAAGAGCTTGAAACAACGACTAGTTGTACAGATCCTGTGCTGCTGAGTTGTGATCAAAGTATTTGTTTTATTCCTCTTAGCCAAAACAACTAAATTCGTAATAGTTGTTCAGTCGAAGACTTTAACGAATCAGTCTTATACTGTTTACCTTTTTTTCTATACGTGTACAATAATCACATTCCTGCATGTTTTTTGTAAAGAAAGAAATTTCGCGAGTTGATCGATTCGATGCTTATTTTTGACTAAAGTTCCATACATTTACTGGCATCGTGTCATTTGTTTTTATCGTTATTTTTTTCCGTTTTATTTCGTACATTTACCGCGTACTATTGTACTGTAAGCTGTTATTTTGTAGATTGCTTTATTGCTATATTTTTGTAACGTTTTATATACGCCATTTAGGAGACTTTTTCTATTTAAATATGCATGTATATATCTATTTATATACATTCATATATATGTATATATATATATATTTATATATTTATACCTTCATATATATAAATGCATGCATATATATATTCATGCGTAGATATATATGTAATTATTTTCATATAGATATATGTATTATGTATATATATTATATATTTATTGACAAATTCTAAAGAAATTTCGGCTCGAAACGAAGATTTTTTTTAAATACTTACATATTTGGAAAAGCAGCCGAGGTCATTATATATATTTGAAAGGATGAAAAGTAAATGTTAATAAGCTGTTCTTTGCACCGAAAAGGTGATTGGTGCTGTTTGAAAATGTTCACAGTGTATACACTTTAAATGTATATACGTATATATATTTATATATAAGTATATATACATATTTATAAATATATACGTTTTGTAAATTCCGTAACTCTTTTTATTCTTTGTGAACTGTAACTGCTCACTTTACCGTTTTAATTCTTTAAACTACTACAGCCTGATATGTTGACTGGTAAAGGCTATCATTAATGAAACAGTCTGCATATATTGTTGTATTTTTTTTTTTTTAATTTTTGCCATTTCAATTAACATGCAGTATAATTATACAATGTAACGAATTACCTTCGTTACAAATCTAGCCGCTCAATTCAATATATATATATATATATATACGGATGTGTTTATTGAGTGTATTATCTTAAATGTAATATGGTCCGAGTCTGTATGTATGTGTTGTTCACTAGTCAATTTGGTTTGTACGATGACGTGATACGTGCCTTAAAAGGATGCTTTGATTACGCCATCTGATACAAAACAATTGCCTGATTTACCATGTTGATATTTTTTGTAGAAATTCCAATCATAAGTACTGTTGAGTCATAATTTTTTGCTTTTGCTATGTATATTTCCTCTAACTTAGCTCCGACGGTTCGGATTATATATCGTATTATAATTTTTTTTGTAGTCGTTTTACTTTAAACGTTCACTTTATCTGTCTGGACTTTTACAGTACTGTCATATATATCTCATTTTTTTTTCTGCGCGACTTATTGTTGAAGCATTTACTGTCTATATATTCTTTATTATAAATGTATACTCTATAGCAATAGTGTGCATTCGCGATCCCCTTTTGGGGTCAACCAAAAAAAATTGAAAAAAAAAACATTTATTGAATGCTTTATCACAATAATGTAATTTAAGAGTAAAGTCAGTATTGCAAACAATGATTTTTTTATGTTGATGTTTGTGAGACTATGCATCGTTTTAATGCAGGGTGATCTTTTTGTATTTATGATCCCCAAAATTATTCTTACTGTACTTTCGTATATAGTATATTCAAGTTTACATTGCGCACCGGTTCGGAAGGTGAAGAGCAACGAGGGCCGTTTTTTTTCTATACATTTTGCAGTGTTCAGGTGCAGCGCCCTTCCTTGCCCTTCTACTTCTAAACGATTATTACTATGTATATTATTCGGTATATGTTGTGGTTTTTTTATCGAAATAAAAGTGGAGTTTTCTCTACCAATTTCTGCTTTTTTTTATTTAAACTCATTTACAAACACTATCCAATTTGACAGGTATGTTGCCAGGAGGTGCAACATAATAATCATTCTCTGTTGCAGCTGCCATCTGTAGGAGACTATCTTTACTGTCGCCTTCAGTGACGTAATCCTTGCGCAAGAACAAACTTTCTTCTTCCAAAATATTGCTTAAAGGCTTTATGTCTTCAGTATTAACAATGGACAATCTATCAGCCAAACTAATGGAATCCTCTAATCGACGTACGCCGTCCTCATCACCCAATTGCACAAGTGACAATCGTTCTAAATATTGAATAGTCTTTTTATCAATTTTTGTTTTAGGAGGTAATTTGGAATCATCGATCACTTTCCAGGTCGGCTGTTGTGGTACTTTAGAAGAAAAACACCGATAGCAGGATCTTGCTAAACGAAGCATCTGAAAGATTTATAGTAAATCAAAGTAAAATTTATTGTGTACTGAAAAATAAAATTTAATTTAAAAAAAGTAGTAAAAAAGCTTTAAGAAAATAAACAGTTCAAATTTTGCTTTATGATAAGAAAATAAATAACTATTCATTCATTTCCTTACAACACGTTACACTCCTTTCTCAATCATACTATAGTTATTACAGCCTTTTGACCCCTTAGAATAGAATTTTAAATTCTTAAACAAGGTTTTTGTTGTTTGACTTTATGGCATCAACAACAATTCTTTGATACGCAGTAAATTATAAGAGGTAAGCAATTTTGTTGAATACAAAAAGATTTCTGTAGCTTGCATACATTTCTAATAAGTAAATAAACTGTAAAACAAGAACTAAAATTAATCGGGCGTAAATCAATAAATTCCCCACCCCCCAGGAGGAGAAGTACGTACTCTAACAATCTTTCACTAACAAATTTTAATTAATATATGTGGTATTTATATATATTTTCCACTGTGTGAGTTCGCTAAAATAAAATGTATTAATCATTATTATAATGAAATTAATCTAATATCAGACCCACCCCCTTCCTTTTAGCCCTCGAGAATGAGACATATTTATAAATAGAGCCCACATGACGAATATAAATAATAGTCACCTTAATTTGTTTCAAATACTTTTTTTGACGGTAGTCTAACTTCTTCGCCTTTCATAAAGTCCTCCTAAACATTTTATTGTTCGAATCATCAGTATTAAAACCAAATATTAAAATTTAAACTAACAGGATTATAAATTACTTTAACAATTAGCGAACAACTGGGACAGCCTGCTTCCTCTTCACCGTTTTCTAACTGTTCCTGAATACAAATCGAAATTAAATTTGAACAGCTCACAAGCACATGCTTACTTTAGTTATTTCAAATTTGTCTCCACAAGGGCAAGGGTAATAATATGTTTCAGACTCCTCGTCGTACTCGAAATCTTCTATTTCAACCTCGTCATGAAATATAGACATAACAAGCTATAATATGAATATTTGAGCTTCTTTTTGGTTATCGTATCCCAATTGTCTTAATATCGCTCAACAACGCTTATGAGTGGTTCAGTATTCCATCTTTCAATAACCACTCTATAGAAGTTGAATATTTGTAATTCGAACTATACTTTGAAAAGAACAATTTCTGTGAAAATTCTTATTTTAAAAAGAGTCCAGTAGATTAAGAAAGACTTCTTTGAGAAATGGACTTAGCAAGCAATCAAAAGTTAGGGTTTTTTTAAACTATTGTCGTCTTGCAGCACTTAATTAGCATATTTTTCGTTTGTATGAAGGGTTGAAAAAAAATAAGATCAGTAGGACAATGCAAGAAAATAAAAAAATTCTATATAGAAGACTATGATACCAGCTGGCGCCGGCCAATCAGCATGCAAGTTTCCATTCAAGAAAGGCCCCTTTGAATTTCAGTAGCAACGTCTCGTTTATATTGTTATAATACTTTGCCTCTGTTCAAAGCTTTAAATTTTATACATAAAGGAAAATCTACCTATTTTAATGGATTGGCAACAACATTCGTTTTTTTAACGATGGACTTGAATAGTTTGGAATACTTGATAGACGGTTAGCATATACAGTATTTTATCAAAATTTTAATTGAATAAATAGATTTAATATTCACTTTTGGCGGTTTGTTGGCTAAATCATGAAACTCTCTTAATAAATAATTTTTAGGTTACCTATTCTTTTTTAAGTACTACTTGCACGACTATCTTAGTTTTAAAACTGAGTTAACGTATATAAGAAATACTGCATTTTACCCGTAATCTCTCTTTACACTTTAATACGCCTTTTGTAAATATTATTATTCTTATTATTTACCTTTAGTTATTTTGTTGTTAAGGTGTCGGTTTATATATGTTTTTATTTTTTCTAATTAGTAACTTATTAATTGATCAATCCTTTAGATCTCGTTTTGGGCAAACGCATCCAGGTTATCGAATCATTGACTAAATCCTTAGACGCTAGTGAACATTCCTTTGTATTGAAAGTTCTCGAAAAATATCAGGTAAATTCAAGATTTAATTGATAAACATTGCAAATTATGAGTATAAAATATTACTTTTAATCTTTGTCATGAAAGATCTACCAACTTACTCTAAATACATTTAAGAGAAGCTTAAAGATTGAATAAAGTTTTTTCAGTTGTGTCTCGTCTTGTAAACAGACAATCTAAAAAAAGGTTATAATATGAAGGGGATTAGACAATGGTTGAGATGACGGTTGCTGATTCATGCGGTTTTTTTGCCTTTTCTACTATACATGTGACACTCAAAGGGCACAATTAAAAATTTGAAATACGTAGATTCACTTTACAACGAATAACCTATCGTTGCAAAATGTTAGCCTATTTAGAATTCTGAACTTGCCACAGAGAAACATAAAGAAAAGATAATATTGCGCTTTTGAAATGCAATTTTAATGTTCCATTTCATTGACTTCAGCAACAACGAAATATTGAATACAAGTATTCATGGATACTAGAAGAGCTGAGAAAGGACAATGTAACGTCTTACGAAACATGTTTGCTATTTATCAATAAGCTGCTTTTATCGCAATCATCTCTTCATGATCGAGTGGCTTTGAGGAATGAGTTGATAGGTTAGTATCATTTTCTATCTTCGGGATTATCGATCGTGCCACCCGCACCTTGCGAAGATTTTAACATTAAGGATCTAAGGCGTTTGATTGAATATAATGGGTATGCCATATGTATGATTAGTTCTTAACAAGGTCAACTATGTTTTAACTGCGTCGAGAGCTTGTAAACAATTTTGGTTGTAAATCTTATATATTTTCCCATGACCACGTTTTAAGTTCATTCACTTATATTTCTTTCATTTCTAGGTCTTGGTATTTTAAAGAGGTTCGCTGAAATTAGGTAAACAAAACTAATAACTCGAAATATTTATGCATTTTCTAAGCATAATTTTATATAACTTTTCATTCTTTATGCTAAACAGTATTTTATAGAAATTCTTTTCTGTATTCTTAGAAATTCATCGTCATACCGGGAGAATGTCATTCAACTTATAGACGAATTTGATTCTTTATATGAATCTGATAGAAATGCTGTTGAAGCTAACCACACGGATTTGGGAACTCCCATCGAGATACTCAGTGCTATTCTAGAAAAGGTAAATTTACGAATGACAAATAATGCTTAAGTGAAAATTGCTTAAGGAATTAAGTATTCGCTGCGGGAGAAAAAACTTACGCTATGCAAATAGAGTAAGACCTGTTAGGTAAACAAGTATGTCGCTTAAACAATTGCCCTTCAAATTTCTCAAACTGATAATTTTCATGCAATGTATTATATAACGTTATCTTTAGTGCCATTTACTTAAAGACCGTTATCTCTCGGGTCATGTAATCAGAAACTAAATTATCAAAACATCGTATAACAATAAAAAAGCACGTGTTCAAGCGGAAGTAAACGCTGCTTGTGGTCAGAAAACGGGATTGAACACGTCTAACGCCGCGCCTTCCGTTTCTTTATTTTCTTTAAACAAATCAATTGACACACTGCATCGTATACAGTTAAGAGATTCTCCGGCTGAGACTCATTTTGTTGCTGCCTTAAATTATTTCCTTCTCATCGCTAACGTTTCATCACCAACTCGAATTACTTGGCCTCTGCTCGAAAGAATTATCGGTGAAGCCTACAGCGTTCGAGGAATAGAAGAAGCCGAAAGACATAGACAAAAATCAAAATTTGATCTTGAAAAAGCTGTAAAGAGTGAAACAGCTCAAGTCTGTTCGTCTTGCGGGAAAAACTTGGAGGGAAACTGGGATAAGATGACTCCCACTTCTGGCGTTCCATCTCCTTCACTCCCTCCACAATTTGAAAGTGCACCTGCGCCTGCGCCTCCACCTCCCGCCCCAGCTCCACCTGCACCTCCCCCTCAACCTCCTCAGTCATGTCCAAATAGTCTCATTATTCCACCTCCACCTCCACCTCCCCCTCCAGCTCTCAATTTTAATTCATCTTTATCTCTACCCAAGCAACCGACGAAAAAGCTTAAATCGCTTTTATGGAATAAATTACCCCCCGCAAAAATATCGACAACTGTTAATGTCTTTAATAGACTGACTGACTTTCAAATTGATGTTGATTTTAATAAAATGGAAGAAATTTTTGCACTTGACAACAAATCTCTGATTAAAACCGATCCCTCTTCCGAAAAAAAGAAATCAGATGAGGTTAGTGCAAGTTTTTATTCGTTTTAATTGATCCTGACTGAAAAACCCTAGCCTTTTGTAAGACCTCGTAAAATATTTAAACTGTTATGTGTAACGTTGAATAGACGTATGATAATTGCTAGAATATTATGTAATTCAAATATCGAACTGTCAAGCATTTAACAACTCACAACAAAATAATTTCACACAGGTGTCATTATTAGATGGCAAAAGAAGTTTAAACATCAGCATTTTTTTGAGGCAATTCAAAAGGGACAATGCTGAAATAGTACGCTTAATAGCTAAGAATGATAAATGTTTGGGAGCTGAGAAGTTAAAGGGTTTACTGAAATTGCTACCCGATTCAACAGAGGTTTGTTTGAATTTCTTAAAGTATATAGTGTTTCGGAATTATTTGCATAAACGTAGCTGTCTTAAGCACTTGAGTTAAGCTTGAAAAAGTCTTTTTTTACTGTACCAACTTCCGATTGCTAACACTCTGACCTTCAGTTGACATGTGAACATTAAACAAAGTTTCCTTTAACATTTGTTCAATCTAGCTTCTACCTCTTTGAACATTGAATTCTTTGTTTACAGATAGAAATCCTTTCATCTTTTAACGGAGATATGTCAAAATTAGGAAATGCAGAAAAATTTCTTCTTGAACTGATGCAATTACCAAAGTAGGCAATAAATATAATTGAAAACTAAACTTCTTAACAGACGAGTTTGCTCTTTCAAGCTATAAATGCCGATTAGAATCAATGGCAATGCTTGAAGACTTCAAACAGCAATTCAACTATTTATCGCACGTTCTTGAAGTAACAATTACAACAGCTGCTGGTAGGCAAATTTTTATACACACTCCTTTTTCAACTATGTAATTTAACACGATTTTTTTTTACAATAGAAATAAGAAGTAGCTCCTTGTTTCCTGAGTTTATACGCATAGTTACCGTTATAGGTAACCGATTAAATGCCGGAAGTTATCAAGGAAATGCTAGTGGTTTCAAGATATCCTCACTTTTAAAGTTAACGGAAGTTAAGGCGACCGGTAGCAAGATAAACCTTTTGCATTTTGTTATTGAAGAAATCGAAAAGAAATACAGTCACTTGCTATCTTTACCTAATGACTTTAACAATCTACACTACGCTTGTCAGTAAGTACTCCTCGATTAATAGAACTTGAAAAAAGGTAAAAATTGATATTTTTCAGAATGGATGAAGAGGCTTGTTTAAAGGATGTAACCAATTTTAAAAGAAAAATACAACAGATGAATAATTACTTGCAAACCACAGATCAGCAAGTGCATAAAATATTTGATCAAGATTTTCAAGTAGCCCTTGAGAGATTAAAATATTTACAAAATCAGATTGAGAAATTAGAAGATGTTAAACTAGATTTGTGCACATATCTTTGCGAAGATGCATCCACTTTCAAATTTCAAGAGTGCTTTTCAGCACTAAATAATTTCGTTGAAAAATTTCGTAAGTCTAATGAAGAGAATATAAAAAGAAGAGAATGGGATAAGAAATCTGAAGAAAGAAAGAGTCGAAAACTTTCAATTCCCAATATTTCCACTGCTCCTATTGAGCTTGGAGGAAAGAGTGAGCTAGAGCATGTACTTGAATCTTCCAACTTCTCCAGGACATCTAGCATGAGGGGTTCTCTCAATAGAAGGAAAAAATTAAGTGATCGCGAGAGGAGCTGCTCCCCAGGAGCTTCCCCTTCACCCTTACCTGTAATCACACAGCCCTCAGTTGCTGCTTTGATAGCAGGAAGCAGAAGTTCTGTTGCTTCCACTACTTCACACGATTCTGGTATAGATTGTGAAAACACAGCATTCAGTCGAATGTCTATTGCTTCGAACAGCAGCTCAGGTAGTGATGATTCTTCAATTCCTGTTTTTTTGCGAAATCACAATCTCAGAAATAAACAAACAGGTTGCATTGAACAGTCACTAGATAGACAGAGGAAAATATCACCTCTTTCTGATGATGCTTTTTTGAGAAATGCCTCCGAAAGAAGATCTCAGAGAGGAATCCGAAATCATGTCAATGTCGAAGATGTAAAATCTGCCATTCAAGCTACAACAACAAAAAAAGAAACTAGTCAGAAGCCATTAAAAGACGATGACATTGAAACATCGATATCGGAAAAAGCCTTACTGAATCATTTAAGTCAGCCGAAAAAGAAATATCTGGACAAAACACCAGCTAGTCATAAGCAATCGTCAATACCTGATGAAATATCTAAAACAAATTCAGATTCTCTAATTAGTGGAATTCCCCGACATAATTCTATTAAGGATAGAAGAGAACGAGATAGTCGGTGCTTTGGTCAAATCTTACACGAAGAATCCAATTCGGAACCTGGTCCTGTAGCGGGTGTGACCAAAGAGAGGCTTCAGCGAAGACTTAGTGGTTTGTCAATGCTCTACTCAGACATAGATCACGCTCAGCTAATGGGTAGAGGTACATCTGTTGAGAGTATTCGATGTAAGAATGATCTTGAAGTCGTCTGCAATATTGATTTGGAACAGCAGTCGTCAGGTTCTAGTACACCAACTTTGGTTAGATCAGGCCCATTGAGATCATCTGCGGAGCCAACTAAAAAGCCTACTGTCTTTGAGAGAGGAGGAGCAGGGCGGAAAACTATAGGGGCAAGTGCGTTCAGAGAAAATAAAAAAGTGGCGAATGAGCGATCAACGAATACTTCCAAATTAGCAAGTAGACGAAATGCTATATCTCCGAAAGAATCAAAACAACCAACTACTAAATCTTTTACACCGACGAAGAGTCCAAAATCAGTTGGAAACGAAGTTAAGAGATCTTTTTCAGTTCAAAGATCCGTATCCGATTCGGCTCCAAAAACGGACGTCTTTTCAAGATTAACTGCATCAACTTCTTCATCTAGATCCAGATCGAAGCCCACCTCAATAGAGAGTTCAAGAGCATCTAAAGTTAATAGAACGAATGCTTTAAACAAACAAGTAAAAAAGTCGAAACAATAAGACTTGATCGTAATTTATTATTTGCAATCTAGCGGCAGGTATATATATGTACAGTATATGCTTGTATATATAGATATAGGTGCCATTTATATAATATTTAGAAATATTTATACATTTTTAGTGATTATTTCTATATAAAATACTTTACAAATACGTGCAAATATATATTAAGGTATGTACCTATCGTTTTGTTTCTAAAGAATGTTTTATTACTCTTGTTAAATGTTAAAAGTAAAAAAATTGTTTTTCTAAATTTTAATTTATACATTTTAAAAGTCTTTCTTGACAAGTTGGCTATAAAATATAATGCCGTGCTTTTTTTTCTTACAATCAAATGTTCGTTTGTAGTATATAAATAAATTTTATGAACTTATAATTACTCCTTTTAAACCTACCAATCTTTCAGCCAAAAATAAAAGTGTACGCACATTTGCAAGTATCTGCCATTAGCTGGATTTAAAAAATTTGTTATTTTTCAGGTGGATACTGTTTCAAAATATTTTATTGAATACTATTGAATTAATTAGTTCAAACAGTTCATCAAGTATCATAGAATGTAAATCTTATTGTATTTATTTTATTTCATTCAAAGATAACAAATATTTCTTCATAAACGTTTCGAAGACACATTGCAATATATATATTTATTGCGCTAAAATCAAAAATTTATATAGGGTCTAGCTAGCAGCCTACATAGAGAGTAACGGCCAAAGAAAAGTATGTTTTGCATGAGCAAAAATACTAAACAGAATATGATTGTTCTGTAAGAAAAGATCTTAAATCCTTTTTTGGAAAAATGGAAAGAAAAGGTTATTATATATTCCGTGAGCAATTCACATTTATTTATAAGGGATCGTTGATCACACAATATATTACTAGAGAATGAGCGATAATAGATTACATCCGAAAGTGTTGTGATCTTATTTTTTTTTATGAAGCTAGAGTTTACTATGTCTCCTTTTATGTAAATTCTGCGATGTAAAATTGTGTTTTTACGTTTTAGATTTATTCATCAGACAACTGTCAAGAGGGAATGATGTAATTCTGGAGATTGAAGAGGATGGAGTGATAATACATGTACTTGTTCCTCTAAATGTGGATAGAGTCCTACAGCCCATAAAAAATTGCATTCATATTCGGCCGAAAGTCACTCCACCAACCTCTGTCTCTAATAACTTTATTCGACTAGCTCATCCAGGATTTGAAGTTGTTCGAATTCCTACATCAGCTTTAACCGTCACAAATTCTTCTAATTTCGTATCAAGAACTATCCCGATACTGCCTAGGCCTGTTGAAATGATCAGCTCAAATGTTTCTCTTGTTCAAAAGTCTGATAACAGTTGTTTACAGTTATCAGATCGTTTAAATTTTGCCCAAAATATTATAGAAAAGCCAAACGAACCGTTGTTGGGCAGCAACTTTCCCATTAATCTTCATTCTTATTCAAAGACATTCCTTTCCAGAGCAGAATCTATGTGCAATTACAAAAAACGAGGAAGAGGAAGGCCAAGGAAATTTCATTCTGGAAAGATTATCGATAGTAATCAGATCAGTCAGAAAAGAGAAAATGATAGGAAAAGTACTGATGAAATGTTGCGTCAAGAATGTTTAAAGAAAGTTTGCAAAGTCAGATTGATTAAGTTATCGGAAGATACAATTAAGTTTTATACAGTGAAGAAACTATAAGAAAATTTTAAAATATTCAATGAGACTTTTTATTAAAGAGTATATTTTATTGTATTAATATTTCTTTTTTGTTGAAAATAAACTAACAAATTCTTTTCAATACATTTAATAAAAAAGGTATATGACTGATTTGATAATGGAATCTTGTTGAAACTGTTCATTTTTTCATTTTGTTAAAGCAGCTACCCGTCGTCCCCAAAGTCAAGAGATTTTTCAAGTCTTTTCTTTTGTTTCCACAGTTTACTTAACCATATAGACCACATAAGTATAACAATTATGAAGAGAACACATCCCATTGCCCACCACACATCATCTGGTCTGTGTATCGATACTATAGTTTAAAACGAAAATAAAGATCCTATCAAACCTTTGCCTAGTCTTGACCATACTTCTATTCTTTATGGGTTGATCTGTTGCCATTCTAATGATGGTGATACTTTGAACTTTTTTAATAATTTTCTAAAAGAAATTGCTCGAAACTTCATTAGAAATATTGAAGTATTATGAAAATTAACACAAATGCTGGGTTATGTCTAAAAGATGGATTACAAGAACTATGGTACAACTAATAAGAAAGTTATCTTTCATGTATTTTTCCCGCGATGTGAAATGTAAAGTATTAGCGAATTGCTCAAACAATCTCTTGTTTTGAATAAAACAATTATCACTCATTTGGCATATGGTGTTTAGATGGTCACAGATGATAAAATTATATTCACGTGAATGTAATTTTTAAAAGTATTTTAGTATCATAAAGTTAAATTAAAAAAATGATGTTTGATAGTCTCATTACAAGCTGTGCTATTAAAAATATTATTCCCCGTCAAACCCAAATATGAGTGTGCAGGGCAAACATCTAGAGTTATTTATTTTTACTGTAGTCTCTATCCATTCTATGAGCCTATGGCTAAAAAGAATACTGCTACCGGTGAGATAAATTTTTTTGCTTTTGCTATTCGGCAATAAAATGAAGTAATTAACAGATGATATTAATGAGACAAGACTTTAGTATGTTGATATTCTGTTCTCTTGAAGCATTAAATGCATTCCTAGGAAATTTTGATGTTTTTTTCGATAAACTGGAATTTAACCGCGGAGCCCAAATGTCAATAGTTTTGGCTTTAACTGGGATGTCTATTCAAGCTTACATTGTTTCAGAAAAATTTAGTCTCTTTCTGTTGTTTCTTTCTGAGTTACCAAACATTTTTTCAATAAAGGGTAAGAAGAAATTGGTATAAAAGTATTCTTTAGTGAAATTTCCTCACAGTGTCAAGGAAACTATTTTCTGGAAATGAAAAGGAAAATAAAAGTATGTTTGAATTTGCTTGCCTTATTGGATTAATCATTGGAGCACCTATAAGCTGTTCACTAGCCGAATTGTATGGGTGAGTTTATATGTTCTCCATCCATGCTAAAGTAGTAATTTCATAACTATTCTAAGATTAACCTCTAATTTGAATTTTAGAAACGAAAATTTGCTAAAGATGTGCTGCTATCTCAATTTTTTCGCTGCAGTGTTGGTTATTATTGTAAGTTGGAACTATTCTCCAGCTGTGAAGTATGGTAATATAAATTATATTAAAAGAAGTTTGTGTAATTAACTCGTGAGGATGTAGAACTAGATGAGAAGAGAGTAAAAATGCCTTCCGAACAGGAAAATAATAAAACAACAAATCAATGGCCCATTGTATCCATTATAACAGGTAATTAGAAACTTAGTTTACAAAATTTGTCAATTTTATAATTTAATTTTGCTTTTTTCTACAAGATTTATCTTCTTCTGTTATGGAAATAACAACCATAGTTTCAATTTCTACCAATCAAGATATTACGATAAAAGAGAAAGGTCAATTCTTAGCAATATTAGGAGCAACTATATTGGTAAATGTCTAATTTTCTGTAGTATGCACTTGAAAGCTATCTCCCTCTCCAGATTTCGTCAACAACGGTCTATAAAAATTTAAGCGCGACGTTTTCCGAGAAGCATCTCTTGATAATTTCAATTGTAGGCTCCATTATATCGCAGACTGCCTTGGTAAATATCCTCCTTTAGATGTATTTGTTTAGTAATATTATGTTCAATTCACTACAGATACTCTATTCTAATATTTTACTGATGATAGCAATTGTATGCAGCAGTCAAATAACTCATTTACTCACACAACAAGATCATAATATGAGACATGGTTTTTTCCAAATGCAGTGGATTATAAAAATTATATCTTCAATGATTGCCACCTTTTTACTCTCTTTCAACAATGAGATGTACACTGGACTCTTTGGTCTGTCAGTGAACACCCTGGCCCTGATAAAACTTCTCCAATATTAGAAAAGCATGTGGAATCTAGGAAAAGCTTCAAAGAATCTTTAATCCAGTAGGTGGCAGAAAATGCCACAATGTTAAAGGATTGTATCAATGAACTAAGTTATTTGTTATTGAAGCAAGACATGTATCGTCAACCTTAAACAATACACAGAGCAGAAGTTTTACTTAAAAAAAAAGTAATATCATAAACAAATGATAATCAATTTCCACTATATGGAAGAAATCCCCACGGTCGACATTTTCTTTTACAAACAAAAGCCTATAAAAGGTAATTGACTATATTAGACCGAAATAAAAACTCCGTAGATGCAATTCAGTGCTATAAAAAATAATAAGACATGATTTTTAAAAGTCCATTGAGTGAATTATAAATCAAAGAATAAGTTTCCACTTATTGAAACAAAGAAATTGAAAAAGTATATTCCATATTATTCACAGACGTTTTGCGGTGAAAATATTATTTTTATAAAATAAGTATCAGCTATGTATAACGATTTAAAAGAAAAATGCATAATATTAAAATGGACACCATATATGTAGATTATTCATTGACTAGTGTTGTTTGAACAAAAAAAATTTTAATCAGGGAAATGGTATCAGTGATATGATGCTGTTATTTAGAGAATAATCGAAAAGAACTATTTTTACTGGTATGTATTAGAGAGTAAAGGAAATTTCTTATAACTACATGTTCGAATTGGTAAATCCATGTGTAATGTTCTTTTTGGAACTTAGTAATGTTAATTATCCCATTCGAAGCATAGACATAGCACCTCTCTTTCCCATTCGAAGCATAGACATATGCCTTTTATTGTCCGAATCGTCTCTTGATGAAAATCTTTTATTTGGAACATTTCTTCCCATTCTAAGCATCGACATCATTCTCTTTTCTAGTTCTGGTGAATCTCTTTTACCCATTCTCAACATGCTCCTTTTACCCATTCTCAGATCACTCATTCCTCTCCCCATACGAAGCATTATGTTTTTCTCATCATCATCGTCGGTAAAGTCTGTTTCTCTTTTACCCATTCTCAGCATAGCGGCTCTTTTATTATTACTATTCTCTTCTTCTCTTCTATCTAAATATTCTAGGTATTTTCCGATTCTTGGCAAGGGAGGAAGAAAATTTGATGACGACTCATCAGCGAAAGAAGAAACAGCATCTCGTTTACCCATTCTTAGCATAGCCAAGTCCTTTTTCGCGATTTTCTCGCCTGGTTAATATGCAGAAAATTGTAATGATTTATCACTTAAATCGTAATTTTCCGATAAAATTTACGGAATTAAATAAAATATGTATTTTGCTGGCAAAACAGAATTTACTTACATTTCCCTAAAGTAAACAATAAGCTTTTTACACTGGTATATTTTATTATTAAAAATAATTTTTTACAATTTTCGCGAAGCGGAATAACTAAATTTCATCGTTTAATAAACTTTCACATACTTTATGTTATTTAAAAGAAACTTACATGTTGAAACAGTAATAAGGAGGAAGCAAATGAAAAGTTTCATATTCATCCTTCAGCGCGGTTTGCTCGAAAAGAAAATGATCTAGCTTTATATACTGCCACCTTATCAGCATAATTGAAATATTCATTTACTGCTCGACTATGCTACCGCCTACGATCTGGGACAAAAACGTTTGCTTAGGGATAGCAGAATGTTTAATTTATTTTTTATATGGATTATATCTTATTAACATGATTGAAACAGTTGTAAACTTTCAATATAGAAGAGAGTTTGTCACCTGAAAAAGTTGCAGTTTTCTTGGACAATAAATAAAAATTTAAGTAAAAGTAAAAATTATTAACAAACAATATGGTACACTAACTGCCGCTTTATAAAAATATTTTCCACTGTAATGTTTCCACTCTAATAAGCTCCATCAATCAAAAACGAAAGGATTATAGAATTATTGCGGTTTATCTGCATATTACACTTTCACATTAATGTGACGAAAAGAAAATAAACGACTGTTAGATTTATAAGATTTTGCTTCGGAAATACAAAAAAGTTTCGACGTCTCCTCAATTGAAAATTGATCAAATATTCTCGGTTTTATGGTTATCGTAGCCTTTTTAATACGCCAAAATAACTAACCATAATTTTATTTGAAATTTTTTCCGGTCAACCGGAACACATTTTCTCTCGCTTCCGTATTTGACGATGTACCTAGTCACGATACAGTTGAAGAAGGATTTCTTCAACGGTCTTTCTTCCAACTACCAGTTTTATGCAAGCTTTGTAAAGTAGAGTTAGCTTTTTTGAAATTTTTCAATTCGAAGTCTCTTTTACCAATGTGATAATTCGGTTAATAGCTTGTTAACGACTTATCTTAAAGAGTGTCATTAAACCAATCATTTAATTTTTTTAAATTCTATTAATAGAATAAGCATCTTAAATCTTTAAGAAGCATCTCGTTTAATTGAAGAAAAATGTTTCTTTTATGTATATAGATTAGTATATATAAATGAATTATACTAGCTTCTTTACTCTACGAATCTAAAATAAAATATTTGCAATATCCATATATTTAATAATTTAGGATTTATAATTTTTTCGGAAAGTAAAAAAAATACGTATGGCATAAAAAAATTAAACAGTTTTATTCACACATTTCTATACACTGTATGTACATTATAAATATCATATATTAAATAATACTCTCAACAAATAATGAACCTGTTATACGTAATATTCTGAATATTATATGAAAATTATACAGAAAAAACATGTACTTGTCATAGTTCATATCTGTGTATTATTTCTTAACACAATGTATTACGCGAATGAAGACGGTTTGAATAATGTCCCAATCATTGTCTCGAATGCGGTCAACCGTATAATTACAGTTCGCCGTATTTAGTCACTATTCTTTACCAATTTCTGCTATAAATCCTTTATAAAGTGATAATGGATCATTAAAGATTTGGTCATAATATTTTTAATAGTTCGTTCAAAATACGTGCTTCATTATTAGTATGAATGCTAAAAATACATATAAAAAACAACATATTAAATTTCTTACTCTTTCTCAACGTAATTTAACATGTCATTCATTTTATTGTGTTTAAAAATTAGATTCCTTCTTATTCTCTACCCTCGTTAAAAATATAGATATTATAATAGTTATGTGCTTTATATTGTCATCAAGACAAAATTTGAAATAATATAAATGCTCATTAGTTGCTAAATTTATATCAAAATTGTCTCAATGATGGATGTGATGGAAACAACATAAGTCTAATTATGGAGTTAAATAGCTTTCAAAATTAATACGCACTTCACATATGACATCTTCATAAATCATATATATATATATATATATATATATATATATATATATATATATATATGAATATATATATTTGATTTATATTTACATACATATATATGGCATATCAAAATTTAATTAAACTAATAAACAGTGTTGCTAAAAGATAATATAACAAAAGAATATAATGCAAAAATATAAAGATTGCTTCATCGTTCGATGTAGATTGTGTACATCAGTCATAATGCCTTATTGCATCATCCACGGCTTGTAGTTAAACCAGAATTGACCATCTAACCAATGGGTTGAGATTAAGACATTTATGTCACAAAGTAGTATTTAGATCTTGTTTTGTGTGCCGCATAAAGAAAATTTTCAGTCATTCAATCGATACGGATTTCACAAATAAAACAACTTTATTTGATCGTCTTTTAGATTATAATAGAGGGGCTTACAAACTACAACATCAATGATGCCAAGGTTAACGATACAGAGCTATTCCGCAAAACAAATAATTACTATAAACGCCTTAAACGATTCTCCAATTTATACTTATGATATAAAAAAGAGATTAGCTTTCTGTGCCTTTTTTCAAATTTTTATGAATAGCGATTCTCTGGTAGTTTATTGCCTACCGGTAGATGGCGTCAACAGCCGGACGGAAACTTTGGTAACTAAATACTTGATGTGTCTATTTGAAGTCAAAATTTAAACCTGCAAGAAATCGTATCCGTGCTATAATTGAAACGTTTCACTCAAACTATATCATTAGTGTTTTTTTTAAACAACACATCACAAACCTGACTTATCATTAATAATTAAATAGAAAGAAATGCAATTAATACTTTCAAGATCCACAGTTCTTCTAAAAATTTCCCTTTTTAGCACAATTATTTAAATGAATAGAGAAAAAAACGTTCAATAGTCTAGCAGTGACAAACTGTCGGAAAATTTCTGTAAAGTATATTCTATACTCGCGAAATTATCTAATTTGTTGAAGATACTCTTGAAATAATAAAAATCACCTCGAACTCCTTTCTATTCTTTAAGAATTGTTCTTTGGAACAATCTTTCTTAACTTTTAAAGATTTTGCATTGGGGGAACAAATTCTCATAGTGCTACTGCTCGATGAAGCTCTGCAATAGTTCTTGGCGCTTTTATGTGAATTTACGACTACCCTAATCGTTGTTGCAGGTGCGAGATTCAGCTAGACGCTTTTTTATTTTATAGATTGTGTTTTTCGTGAAAATGCAATAGGTAACTGTCTTTAATTTGGGTCTAATTAAGTAGAAACTTTTCTACATATATGACCAAAAATTCATCAATTTCCAAGTATAAAATATCACTATTTATTTTTTGTTTACAAATCGATATATATTTGTACAACTGAATATATATTTTTAACGTGCATGTAATAGAATATACATGTACGTAAACACTTACGAGACTGTCGAGTTTCCACCAGTTGCGACAATTTGTCAATGTCTGTAGCGCTCGAGTTGTTTGTCATTGTTGATTTATCGTAGATTTAAAAAAGTCAATTCGCTTCAGTTTGACCCATACATACAGCTAGACGCTGAAAACGAATCGAAAGAAGAAACAGACGTCGTTGAGTTGCGATATTTTGCTGCAGTCATGCAGAACGTGCAAATAGGCCTGGAAGAATCAGCTTCTGACGAGCAACAGGGTTGTTCTATGCCGGCCACTAAAACTGCCTGAAGGTGAGAGATGTAACTGGTTGCAAGCCTCAAGATTTCTATTTTAGATAATTTTCGGTCGGCAGGTTCGGTAGGAATGTGACATCGAAGAACATCAAAAGCCGAATTTACACTATGTGTCCTGTCTCTTTCTCTTGCATTGGCGGTTGTTTTCGGTGGGTTTGGCATGTTTGTAGGAAGAAGTTTGGTTGACGAATGGGCAGGAACGGAGCTGTCAGCGCCACCGCCTAAACTAAACAGCGTAAATGACGCGCACGTGGTGCCGAATGATTACCAATCGCTTTATTCTCTCATCGGCCAACTAGGTCTGTGCCCATAGATCACACGTGCATCGATAATAATACCGTCTTACCACAACTTTGATGTTTTTGTCTTGCTTCTAAATTTATTATCTACTTTTTTCTTTTAATTTCACCGAGGTGTAATGTGATCTATGGAACGTGATTTATTACGACCTTTCCTTATTAACTTCGATTCAATTTTTCCTAAACATGAAAATAACCTAGGGTTATAGTGGTTTTCTTAAACTCGAATAGTCAACGACAAGCAGTGTAAATTTTCAATTTTATGAAAACTTTTTTAAAAGTTCCACTAGATGGCACATTTTAATTACAATTTAAAACATTATCCACAAGATGGCACTGTTTAACGGACGGAGGTGACCTCTAAATGTGCCACAACTTTTTAATTCTAAACTTCATGTTTAATTAAACAGTACAAATTTTGGATCTGCTTGTATTATCTTTGTAAAAGTATAAATTTATAGATATAAACTGTCGAATAAAATTTAGTATGTAAAACCTCAACTGTAACTAATCAAGCAAAGTTTGAAACGATTAGCTTTGCTTAACTTTTTTCAGATTGCCAGGTTTAAAATATATGTAGCAGTTTATTCGAAAAGAATTTAAATCAGAAGTCAAATGCAGTAAATAATTTGAGGTTACTATTTTTTCAAAATTGATGATCCTTCTGCAGTTTATTTTTTCACTTAAAATTAAATAGTATTAATTATTCAAACAAGATTAATTAGGTATTTCGAGTTGTATAGTTTGTTATTTTTATTTATACGAAAAATATAGCAGAATTTCCTGGTTGTTTAAGACTTGGACTCAATCCTTAGTATGAATTAAACAAATTCTAAAGATGTTCTTTCGTGATTTTGTATAATTTTATTTTTTATAGATTGCTCAGGCTGTTATAACTTGTCAACAAAAAGTACATGTTAATTATCGGAGTTTGATCTTGTTGATAATTAGTACCTAAAATTTTATCTAAAATATTTTTGAAATGTTATAGTGAAAATATTTATAAAGTTATAAATATTAAATTAATTTTAAGTTAACATTTAATAAATTTAATAATTAATTAATAATATTAAATAAGTATAATTCAAACAGATTGTATATGAGGAATACCTTTTTGCTCCTACCGAAATCGAATAGTGATAACTGCGCCATCTTACTCATTTCTATGAATATGATATGTTATAATACTTGTAAAAACAGAGTTATTTAAAATTACCCTAAACTAACAACTTTAAATCTGTGTTATTTTGAAAACTTCAAAGCCCGCACTAAGCCGCTAATGAACGCACATGATAAGATAAGCTGGATAAGAGAAATTGATGAGATGTTTCGATGAATGGCTAATGAAAAAAAGTTGTCACTCTGGTTTTCATAGACGAGGGTAGCTTTATTCATTAAACACGTTGGAAATTAAACAACAATTATCCCATCATTACTGACACTCTACTTTCACCTGGGCCACCACGTGTAGTAGTTATGCAATTTGCTCAATCTGAACTAATGAGGAATTGTCTAGCTCCTTACTTATCCAAGTTTGAAACTCGTCTGACACCTGCATTTCGACGCGTACTCCAACACCTATTCTATTTGCTAATTATCTGGAAATCGTATCGGCGTTCTCTGTACGCGACCAGTTATATATAGCATGACGCATCTGTCAACTCCGATTTCTGATATTATCTTTCCTTTATCGTGTTACGTCCCTGCAGATCACCCAAACAAAGTTCTTTAACCAAACTTTCTTTTTATTTATATTTGTTATGCAACTACTTTTATAAACAAGAACAAACAGTTTTATGTTTAGTTAATAAAGACATTCTTGAAAAAGTTTTTGAGCATGAACATGAATATTTCTTGGCATTAGAGTGTGTTTGAATATGAGCTCTCAAATTTGAACGGTCAGCAAAAGCTCTCCCACATGTACTGCAACTAAATGGCTTTTCTCCTGTATGAGTCCGTATATGTCCTTGTAATAACCAAGGCCTTGAAAAAGCTTTTCCGCAAAATGGACATTTACAAGGAAGAGTATGAGTTCGAACATGCATTTTTAAGGCCCCAACAGTGGAATAGCTCTTTTTGCATTGATTGCATTTATATTCCGGTTTTCCAAAATAAGCTTGACAATGAAATTGCTTGTGCTTAAAAAGTCCATTGTAAGTGGCATAAACCTTGTTACAAGCATCGCAAGAATACTTCGGTGAGACTTGTATTGGTGATTCTAGCAGAGAAGGAGTTCGACGATAAAGTGGTTGCGACAATTGGTGATATGGATTCGGAAAAAAACTAAATCTTGATATATTCCAGCAATTAGTCCATATTTCTTGTGGTTTTGCTATGTTTTCGAAATTTGGTTTAGAAGAAGTCATTTCACATTTTGGATCTAAAATATAGTTATTGAATATTATCCAAGTTATAGACGTAAGTACAAAAGCTACTTACAACATACTCTAGTTTTGCTATCCTCATCTGTGGAAACGACATCAATATATTCTTCATCTTCTGCAATGTCTTCATTAAGGATCCTTTTAATTAGAAACGCTTCCGACATATCGCCAGAACAATCTGATAACTTCAAGAAAATTTATTCATTTAAAGCAAAACTAGGTAACCAATCAGTAGTAAGATTCCATACATAACCAACCAATCAGCTTCAAGAACACCCTGCGGCCCACCTGTTACATAATCTTCTCATCTCTTTTCCGAGTCAATGTTTGTGCTTTTTAGATCAGATTTTTTTGGGGGACTTTAAATTCCCTTTCCCGTCATTTTTACTTGTTAAAGGTAACTATTTCACATGAGCTACTTATTATCAAACATGCGCTTAATTTTCTCTTTGACTTAACTAAATCTTTCCTTAGCAGACCCTGTATCCCTTTGAAGTCAGACATAATAAATTCTTTTGATAGACACTTGATAAGCAGCGACAGTTGCATACGACAACCTTTAAAAGTGCGCACGTGCCTGAAAGTCCCACGCCTTTCACATTCGCAAGTGATTCATTAGGTAGGGTTTCCAAAAAGTCATGGAACTGTTCTCTTTGCTTCTTAATGCTATTACCATTCACTCCGTGTGAAAATCTTCTTTTTTACTTTCTTAGTGGCGACTATCATACAAAATTTTACGATTTATATGAGACAATTATATAATCAGAAATGTAACATGGTTAACACTTGCCGTAAAAAATTGGTAATGCCATCTTGGGTCACGCTGAGCCGTATAATTGCTTACAACACAATTACTGCTAATTTTAAAAGTCATTGTAAACTTCTATTATTTCATTTTAATTTATAACTGCTATAGGAAACATCTAAAGTATTACCGGTAACGTATAACCGAAATATTTTCATTAACAGGGTAAACATATTGTATAAATACATGAAAAGGTCGTCAGAAGTATAAGCTCGTGACAGCTTTACATGATGCTCAGCCACAGCTGACAAACTTCAAAGACAACAGGTGCGGCCATCTTAAATGCCAATTAAACGTTTGCTCTTTGATCTATTTATATTTTGCACGAGCATTTGTGGACGTTTATTCTTAGAGAACGTATAAATATTTATGAACAATAAATCGTATTATATATAATTTGGCAACACATTGATATAAATACAGCAACACAAATATTTTTAATTTAGAAATTTTACTGTACATTTCGCGAGTTTTGATGAGCAGACTATTATCAATAGTGTTATAAAAAACTATACTGCTTACATCTCAGAAATTCAGTACGATAGTTATACAAAAACTGTCAGCATTATAGTTTCCCTTATTGTTATAATTGTTTTAACGAAACTAAGTACACTCTAAAAACAATGTTTATGACATTGATAATGATTGTATGTAACTGCGAATTGTTCGATTTTCATCGCCATTCAAATTTCTGCAATTCCGCGTCAATAATGTTCGAATCAACTACCAGTTTTCATTGCGTTACCAAAAAATATTTTACCGTTGATCTGCAATACCATTCTCGTCGGCACCTTTTTTTATAAACCCTGATCGTATTATATTTCGTTTGATCAATTATATTCTATAATAATCATTCTACATGGATATACTGAATAAGACATTTCCGCTCCATTATGCAAGTATGATGGGCGATGATCGGTGCTTGTCGGCGTTACTTAGACGCGGTGAAAATGGCGTCTATATTGAAGATGACATTAATGGATGGACTCCTGTTCACTATGCGTCTTTCTATGGACAGGTAATTTTAGATTAATAAATTTAGTTGAGTGAAAAGTCTCTGAAAGATTTATAATAAATATTCAATTTACAGTTAGAATGTCTTATGATACTTCATAGTCATGGAACACATCACGACAGCCCAACAATTAGACTTAGACAAACTCCTGCTCATATGGCTTCTCTCTCTGGCAAGATCTCCTGCCTAAAGTGGCTCCTGGGTCTGGGAATAGCAATTAACAGAGAGGTTAGATAAAGAGAAAAGATCAAATTGAAGCTTATCACCTGAGATAAGAGATTGATTTCTGATACGTGCTTGGAGAAATGAACATTTTAAATACTATTAAAATTCTTACAAGTGTGTCTCAATAGTTTAGAATGTTTTTTTTTCATAGGACTACCTGAGTGAAACTGTCCTTCATAAAGTTGCTCGAGGAGGAAATACAGAGTGCGCCATGTTTTTAATTTCTCAAGGAGCAGATAGATCGTACGTATTTCTGCATTATTATTTTTTTTCTTTGAATTTCATAGAGAAATCTTAATAGATTGCGTAATAGCGCTGGATTGACACCTGCAGAGTTAGCTGCAAACATGAACCACCAGGAATGTTTTATGGTCTTGGACCAATGTGACACTGATGTTAACGATATATATATGGAGAGAGATTTTCAATCTCGGAAAAGAAAGAAGTATACTGATTTCTTGTACACAGGTTTTAATGAATTTATCAAAAGGTCAAAAATAGATCTCCCATCTGACAGTGAGTTGTTCGTTTAAAAGTTACACACTTTTTAAGTTCTTTTTGGCTACTTTAGATTCAAATCCTTCTCAACTTGACAGTTTCAATAGAGTCCTTCTTCCTTCTGATAATAAGGATTTATGGGAGGAGAGAGATGATTTCGGAGCTGTTTTCTTCTGAATATATTTTCCAGCTGATCTCTAAGTTTAATGTGAGGAATAGTCAAAAATGCCATTTTGCTAAAAAGGACCAGATTAAAGAGCAATCAAAACTACTAAATTAAATCTAAAAGTCAAAGCAGTTGTCTTTTGTGTTATGTTGTCTGTTAGAAGTGATGGTTATTCGAGAGTTAGTTTTAGCACGTGAGTCACACACTAGGAATTTTTCACCGTGAAATTTAGTCCACAAAAAGTTTGGAATAAATTATATTTTACAAGAGGAATTGATTTCAGTCTGTATAATGAAGCCCGCCAACAGTATGAATTTTAATACTTTATCAATTTATCGCTCAAATCTTATCAGCTGTTTAAAAACAAGAATTACTTATTTTTTTTTTATCAAAAAGTACCAAATTCGATACAATATGCTATGCATATAAAATGTCTCTGTCACAGGCTATAGGTTTTCTATTAAATCTTACTCATTCAAAGCCTGAGTCCAGTACTCTATAAATTATTCAGTGCGGTGCTATTTAATTTTTACCTAAACAAGTATGGCGGAAGGAGGACCTTCGAAATCTAAGCCTCTGATGAATTTCGGTAATAAGTTTGGCAGAGCTGTTGAAAGGGTAAGTCAATTATTCTCGTGTACATGCAAATTAAGGAAAATTTCCAGGATGATTATGAGATTAATTCATCCGTCGATCGTGTATTTTTAATTCGTTACACACCCTTTGGGTGTGCCGCGGCCCACTTTGAGCAGTTAATATTATTCATAATATTAAATATAAAGTAAATTAAGTAATTGAGACAACTTAACTGGTTGCTGTAGATGACTAGATGATACAGCCTATTATTGAATTAGGGTAGAGTTTTAAAAGTTGATATTAAATAAGCACTATTTTCGTAACAGTTGAAAGAGAAAGTTGGAATCAGCGAAAAGACTACTGATGTTGAATTTCAGCACTATGAGGGACTCTTTAAAATTCAAGAAGTTAGTCTTTCCTTACCTAATTAATATCTTTATTCTATATTTATGCTTTATATTACATTAATTTAAGAAAAACGCCCACAAATTGGAAAAAGTTTTGAAGCATTATTTAAATGAAACTAAGCGTAAGTATGGTTACCATAAGCTGTTTGAAATGACTTGACAAGGTCTATGATACAGGAGAGTGAACAAATTTTCTCACTTTAGTCAATTTAATTGGCAAAATGTGAAAAAACTTGTTAATTTACATATCGAAATTTAAAAAAAAACCAAACTCTTAACAACTTAAAAACTCAATGCGATTTATTAAATCTCTAAAGGATATTATTGTGAGCCTAGTCGACGCAGTAACATATTGTATTTTTGTAAATATTTCTCAAAGAAGTCTTGTTTGTAAAGCTGTTAAACTCTTTGTTTTTTTTCTCTTTGCTATTTCTGTAAATTTAGATATATTTTTTCATTCGAATAGAATGTGGAATATAATTTAAAATGGTATTTCTTTACTTAAATAATATTAATCCTCGTTAACCTGGCTTAGTCTAATTTTAATGTTTATCCCTTAAAATCTCAAAAAATCTAAATTGAAATAAAACGTTTTTTCTAAATTACAGAATATGAGAGAGTAACAAAAGAAGTGGCAGAAGAAATAAATAAAATATGGGAGGAAGAATGGAATGAAAAAATAATGATTGATCAGTGGACAAGACAAGTAAGCTCAACATTTGAAAATTATTCAACACATTTGGAAAAAGACACTTACGAAAATTATCTAAGCTATACTAAAGAATTTCCGGTTTTGCAAAAACAAATAAAAAGAAGAGAAACAAGAAGGGTAGACTATGCAAGACGAAAGAAAGAATGGGATACGCTTGATCAGAAGGCGACCTCTGTTAAGGAAGAAAAATTGGACAAAGCGAGGCATGAATTAAAATTCGCTGAAAGAGAGTTCAATGAGTGCCATGACAATCTTTTAAAAAAGTTGCCAAAATTTCATGATGAAAGGTTTGATAGTTTTTACAAAATACTTTTGTTTTTGTTTTCAACTTTTGTTTCTTTGATTTTTAAAGGGTGGAGGTGATGTCGGAAACATTTAAATCGCTAGCGTCAAATAATATTCAGTTTTTTGAGGAAATGGCAAAATTATTTGACAATTTAGGCGACGCATCGGACAGATTGAAGTCATCAGGAACTCAGAGCAGTCACTCTTTCAAACCATTTGAACAAAAATCTTTCGAAATTGAAAAGCCTAACGGGTTTATTGAAGACAGACCTGCTAAACAAGAGAAGAAAGATGAGAAAAAGTTCAAACGACCTGGATTGGAACAGGTACTCCAGATGGAAATTCCGAAAGCAAGTTGTTATGCAGAAAAATCCCCTGATTATGAAGAAGCTCCAACGGGTTAGTAAAGGTTTTAAACATATATTTTGCTTTTCTGATCCTAAATCTTCACAGTTTTTAATCATAACAATAATGAGTAAGTCATGTCTTAAAAGTTGTTGTATATTTTGAATTTAAGCTGTTTTCAATTGGTTTAATTTACATTTCTTTTGTTTGATATATTTGCGTTATTTCGTTGTCATTATAACTTGCAAAAAAACTTATAACACCAATTTTATCCAGGACTTAAAAAGAGCGAAGAGAACTCTAATGTTGTGTTTGCACCGCCATCTATGAAATTAAATGTAAATATAATTATTTAGCTATCTAGTTAAGATTATGAAAATTCTTTAAAATTTTTGCGATTTTGAAGGATGAAGTGGACATTGTGCGAAAGGATCTAGACACTGAACCTCTTGATAAAGTTATTCCCGAATTGCCAAAGGATACTGAACAAAAGGAAAAAGAACAGGTAAAAGACAAGATAAAAGCTGAAAAAAGAGAGGAAAAAAAGGAAAATGCAAAAGAAAAGCAGAATGAACCAAAAAATCTTCTATATAAGGTTAGACATAGTTTGCACATTTACATACAGAGAATTTTCACGTATTCTATTCATTTAAGGTAAAAGTCAGTCATCAATATGAAGCTGAAGATAATGATGAATTACAGCTTAATGTTGGCGATGTAATATTCGTAGTTCCATTTGATGATCCAGATGAAGCTGATGAGGGATGGAGAATGGGTATTGTTGCAGAGACAGGAAAGAAAGGACTATTTCCGGAAAACTTCACAAAACGATGCTGATTATATTTTACTCACTTAAACTATATTTTTATTTTGCATAATTCTGTCTTAAGTCTTTTAGTTGCTCAAATTTCTTAAATTAACCGTTTAGTTTACTTTCAATGTTCAATAAAACTATCGTTAATGTCGTTTGAAATTGGCGCGTTAGAAACCTGGTATTTAAAACAGATCACGTGACTAATGTAAATTATGAAGATGGCGGTGAAGGCAGTCACTGCTTAACAATCTGACTCTTTTCAATTTTCCAACCATAGTAGTTTGCAAACTCACAACATTTGTGAATAAATACTTTTTATTCCGTAAGTCTTGAAAATTTCTCAGATGCTCCTACTATCCCTTACAAAAATAAACAGAAAATCATGAGAGATAGTGGTAAGAAGTGGAAAAGAAGCATTACATCTGCAGACGAAAGCATGGAAAGTTTCACAGCAAAATATAGGTATTTAACATTACCTGACAGATTTTATATATTTCAGTACACTTGCAATTCAGGGCAAAATTTGACAAGGTTTTTGATGAAATGGATCGAGAGTTCGAAGCTCTCTATATGGAAAATGTTCAATGTAAGCATTATTTCAAGATTTCTTCTTTAAAATTTTATACTATCGTATCCCATAGCGAATTGCTTAACTGCTTAATGCTTTGCATTATGTAAAGAAATTTCTAATTAAATTTGTCGTCTGCAAGATACTTTGTCTTTACTAATTTACATAAATAGTGTATAAAAAACAAAAGAAAATATCTTAGAAGACAACACTTACTTATTTGAATTTTTTAAAAAGCTATTTACTGCTTTCAGTTAGAGAGAAACTACATGAGTACGAACATGGACCTTTCGAAAAGGTTTCGGAGGATCTTGCTGATTCCACGACAAAGACATCTGTGAAGAAAAGAAGCCAAATTTCTGAAAAGCTAAGACTTACATACAAAACTTCGACTTCTAAACTTGTATCAAGTTTGAAAGGAGGTGGTCCTGTGGTTGGAGCTCCACAAGCAACTGCTCCTCCAACCGCTGGATTTGTCAGAGAGTATGACGGTCACAGAGATGGAATTTGGGATGTATGCACAGTAAATAATACTTACATTGTAAGTGCTTGCGCGGATCATCTAGCACGAGTTTATAATACTGTCAACGGAAACCGCATTGGAATATGTCGAGGTCACGAGGGATCTGTAAATTCCGTTCGATGTAATTCAAACGGAATTTGCGTAACTTCTTCTGGTGATCACTCAATAAGATTATGGAAGCTACCTAATCTGTTTGATGACGAAGATAGCGAGAAAGATTATGAATGTGAGTGTATTTTTGACAAAGTTCTGCATTCCGATGCTGTTGTCAGTTCTGACTGGGTGGCAGATGGAAAGAGTATAGTAACTGGATCCTGGGACAGAACTGCTTGCCTTCTTAATGCCGATAGAGGAGAAATTGTTCAAACATTAACCGGACATGATGCCGAGCTAACTCAGGTATCAGCAAGTATTGATGGTCAATATCTTATTCTGACAGCAAGTGAAGATACAACTTTTCGTCTATGGGATCTGAGAGATTCTAGTCGACTTCAAGTTCACGTTTTCGGAACTCATAATCGAAGTGTTACCAGTGCCATATGGGTCAATAGTGACAGAGTTGTAAGCGCAAGCGATGACAGAACATGCCGAGTTTGGGACATACGTAACATGAGAAGTCCAACTACGAAAATTCAAACAGACTCTGGCATAAATAGATTGGCAGTGCATCACCAGAAAAATGTCATAGCTATACCTCATGACAATAAACAAGTTAGAATTTTTGATTTACATGGTAATCGACTTGCCAGACTTCCTCGAAGAAGTGCCCATACTCGAATGGTTTGTGCAGCTGCTTGGATTGATCAACCGCAAATAAATCTGGTGACTGCTGGATTTGATAAAAGGTTAATTGGTTGGAAGTTACCTGTATTGAGTGTTGATGAAAAATCTTCTTGAATTTAAAGCTTAAGCTTGTTTTATGTTCAACCAACTTTCAGTATTCAAACACTTAAATTTAGAATTTAGTCCCTGTTCTAATCATTTCCCTACACTCTTATAAATTTATTAAACTCGATTTGTTAGTCAAGTATAGCAAACTTAATAGAATGGTCGAATATAACTTTATTTTTAACTGAATGTATTAAAATTGACTTAAGAATTGTGAAATGAATTTATGAAGTATTGAAACACAGAGTACTTTCAGACATTAAATACATACAGTATTGTAGAGTCAGTTAAAAATTTGAAAGAAGAGAAATTGTTTCCTTATACAGTTTATTAATTGCTTCTTTATTATCGCAAAACTGGGGCCATTCTTTTCTTCTGCTGTCTCCGTAATAACCACTTGAACAGTCTTCAGCGATGCAATATAAAATACTTTGGGCACCTTCTATTGGAAGCTTGGCCAAAAGTAGCAAAAGGGGTAGGATAATGATTTCTACCCAACTAAACCAATTAGGTAGGATATTACGACCTAGTTTTGTAACAACTAGACCAGGATGAACAGCCATGAATTCAACATCTTTATCTTTATATTCTTCAATGATTTTGTTAGTGAAAGCGGTCAGAGCTAACTTGCTATTGCGATATCTTACTTTCTTCTCCATCTGTAGACCTTTCAAGTCGTCGAAGAAAAAGGAGCCATACTTCGCCAAACTAGATGTAACATTAACTACCTTTTTCAAGCCGATTTCTCTTTTCAAAAGTAGATTTGTTAGAAAAACCGGACCAAAATAATTAACCACTAGCTCGTGTTGAAATCCCTCGCTTGTTTGGTTAATTGGTGAGTTGAAAACACCAGCGTTGTTAATAAGCATATCAATTCTCTCGTTGAGGCCAGGTAGAAAAAAAGAAAATTATTAAACTTATGAACTATATTACCAACGACTTTTTAAATTGAATTAATATTGGTATAATGCATAATTTAGAGATATAACTATTTTTAAAAAAGACTTTACTAAGATTTTTAGTACTATTATTATTTTTTAAGCGATTTCTGAAAAGAAAAATTCCTTTTCGTAATACCTTCGACAACTGTCCTTATTGAAGCTAAAGAGGATATGTCGACCTGATAACTTTCTAACTTTGCATGCGGATACTTCTTCATTATGATTTTTTGTAGTTCCTCGGTTTGTGTTGAGTTCCGATTTAGCATTATTACTTTTCCGCCAAATTTCACCAACTGAATTGCGACCATTTTCCCTATACCCGACGTACAGCCTGTAATAGCTATTGTCTTATCAGAAAGGTCAATTTTCCTTGAAGGTGCTCTTTGCCATTTCATGTTTTTATAATAAATGAATATTCTACGTCCAATAAGGAAAGATGTGTAGCCAGCAATGATGAGAAGTTTCCAATTTTTCTTCCACATAGTGAGCGATATATCGATGATAAAGTGTTTGAATCGCTAAGGCCATCTATCGATTAGATGTATTTAAGTTTTTTTTTAAAACTTATCTAAAACATGTGTATATATAGGCCCAACATCTTCATTTAATAAAAGAAATAAGTAGTTATAAACTCACTAATTTATGACTTTTTATATATATATTAATTTTTTAATAAATAATGCAATGCAATGAGCTAAAATCCATTTGAAAGGATTAAAAAGTTTTTAAAACTGTGTTTAAAATTTATGATTCGATTCGTAATGCTTAAGTTTTTCTTGTAAAAACGATAATTGCTGACGAGTTCATAAATTACGACACCACTATAACAATAATTTAATATCTCTTTTTTACAAAGTTGATTATGAAATTTGTTGTAGATAATTGAATGGAATATTTACTTCTATTTGTAAACAAACCTTATTAAATAATTAATATCGCTTAGAGGAATAGATTCACGTGCATGTCCTATATACTTTATTTTGTCCGCGAGAATAATCTTTAGAGCAGTGCTACGCTCCTTCAGTTTTATTGGCGGTAGAACAGCATCAACATGAGAATCTTTTTATGTTTTGTAGTTTCAACTGCCATACTTATTCCAGGTTTGTTTTATCTAATAGGCATCTGTAATTAATATTTTTTGTCTATTGAGAACTCATTATTATCTTTAGCATAAATAAAAGTAAGTTAATTTAGAATTATAATGCTCATGCTTTGTAAATCTCGTGCATTTGGCTGGTGTTATAGTTTATCCGGCAAACTATCTAGCTTCGCAAAAGATAAGAAATGAATTATTTTTTCCCAGTTGAACAGCGGTGAAAAGTGCTTTTGTATTGTTGATTTTTCCGACATACGAATCTTTTCAAACAAATTTAGAGAAAAGTTTATCTTTTATATTTAGAAATTTAGATAATAATCTCAAATAAAATGTGCCAATTGTGCTTTTTAAGTTCAATTTTAGTTTTCTTGTTCTTTTATGGGGATAAACATTTTCACTTTCATTGTCAATTACATTTACTTTATTATAAGTAGAAATTATAGTAATAATAAACAACTTTTAATATATAATACTTAACCTTTCAGCTAAAGGCACATTGCCTTTTACAAACCTAAATCTATCAAATGTCCTCCAAATATTTCTTTTAGGTAAACTTTTACCGATGATAGTCTTTAATTTTTTATACGTAAGCCTCATTGGTTGGTTAGAATTTCTCACTAAAGATGATTAATAAAATTCGTTAGTAATATTACAAGCTCATATGTATCATTTTTTCACACGAAATTTTGCATATCTTACGAAATTAAATCGGAAGTCGTCTCCCCCACAATTCTAGATTCATTGATTGAAAATATTCTATATTTGTTACAGGAACGAATGCCGAAAGTTTTGGAACAAACTTCTTGAGGTATTAACAAATTATAGAGATTTTTTTAAATAAAAAGATAAATCGCAGGCTCACTGCATTATTATCAAGATTGCTATCAAAAGGTATAATGGCGATAGCCTCAATTGAGGAATTCTCTCACAGAACAGTCTTTTTTAATAATAATATTGTATTGACACCAAATGTATAGCTTTTTGTATGGCGCTACTGAAATTATCAGTATCGCTCTTGGTATTATTATTTTATCAGTCTAATGGATATGTCTCAAAATTTACTTCCTGTGAAAGCTACTGCGTTTTCAATTTTGAGATACATTGTAATCTTATATAAAAATATATTGTATATCATCTAACAATTATTACAAAAAAATTAACTCTCTTTGCACGTTAAACTTACGCTGATTATGTCCATTCGATTTCTTCTACAGTAAACCATTTAGGTTATGCTTGGAGAGACACTGTAAAGATATAAAACAGATCCTCGGAGAATTAGGACGTCCCTCTTGCCGACTCTCACATTGCAACAGTAATGAAGATAATTGTCTGTTAAATGGTTGTGGAGAAGAAGTGCGCTTTAATCATTTGGTTGCTTTTGATTGTGGTTTTCGACATTGTAGCAAAGTTGAACCCGAGAATATGAAACAATGCGTTATTCAAAATTGTTTTGAAAAGTTTAGACAGAAAAGAAGGTTGAATGACGCTACAGCTCAGTGCATGCAGAGTTATTGTGGAAGTGCTAAAGGAATGCATAATAGACTAAGGTGCATTCACCGTTGGTGTCATAGACAAAAGTGATTCTTAAAATTATTCTTCAATAAAAATTTTTCGATGACTTGTTCACAAACCAGAAAGGCGTTTCCCTAGAAATATACATTGTATTCTTAAATATGTATAATTAAATTCATTTATATTTTCTTGGCTTATTTTTAAGTCAACCTTGGATTATCTTTTTTTATTTTAGTCCAATATGATACTTTCCAATGTAGCATGAAGACTATCAGAGGAAATTGGCAAAATAGATTTTGGGGACAATAGAGGTCACTACTCTCTTTTTGAAAAAAGCTTCGGTGACGGCAATGTTACTTTAACATTACAACTGTAATTGTATTTCTTCATGAAATAATTTTTGATGATAATCGTTAAGTATCAAAGTAGATTTAGCTATATCATCTTTCATACTTAATTTCACATCCTCTTTAGTAGTGTTTTTATGAAAGCAAACTTGTACTGTTCATACTAGAGATAACAATGAGTTTATTCCAGTGGTACTGTAAATGAATCATTTAGTTTGATGATTCATTCGATTACTGATGTTTGCGTTAATATGATGCTATTAAAGTTTGACCCAGAGTTCTCATTTAACAGTGATTAACTAGTAGGGTAGAGCTTTACGAAAACATCTAAAAGTTTACTAAATCCATCAACTCAAAATTATTTGAGATTGTCGCCACTTTGTGTCCGATTTACAGCTCACATTTTTTCATGCTTGTTGAAAGTATTGTTTTCTTGCATAAAATATTACTATAATGACAATCAGGAGTTCTGTTCCCTTTGTTATGACCTTTTTAAAACTTTTCATTTCCAAACATGATCAGTTATAGTTATCGCAGATGTAATTAAACTAAAGTATAATGTAGAACTATTGGGTGACCAAAGAAACTTAAAATTTCTATTTTTAACATTTATTGCCATTTTTGCTATTTTATGATATTGTGACTCATTGGGATTATTAGTATAAGATAAAAAAAAGTTCATGGAAACAAAACGTCGCTAGGTGTCGCAAATTTATCATTTTCAAACCTTTTGTTCCTCTTTAAAAAGGATTATTGCCAGTTTCACATTTAAGTTTGAACGTTTCACAGCTAGTTTTGGTTAGAGTAAAAATACCAATCACAGGATGCAAAGCGTAGGAAGGCAATTCTTATTACTTATTTGGAAAAATTGGCTTATTCAAAAGCGAAAAATATTTCTAACTGCCTTTGAAATTTTCTTACCAGTAATATTCGCTATAATATTCTTTGGAGTGAGACAACTTGTTGATTCCAAAACAGTTGATAAGCATGTTATTGATGAATGGCAACCTTTTTCGGTTGAACGTTTCTACAGACCTGATCTGGACAATATTGTTTTGCTATATTCGCCAAAAAATACAGAAACAAATTCAATTATAAACAATGTAAAGGAAAAGCTAAACTTAAAAAATGAAGGTAGGTCTTTTTTTCTTTTCGAGACCTTCACAAAACAGAAAACTTTCAAATATTTCAGGGCGGGGATTTGAGAAGGAGAGTGACCTCGAAAGCTATGTTGAGAACTTATCAGAATACGATTATAAATATTCTTGTGCTATAGTCTTCACTAATATGAACTCTTCTCAGCTGCCTACCAATATAAAGTACAAACTTAGAATGCCAATTGATCCGGAAGAGAAACTTGGACCAAAAGACTGGTTTACAAAATACATTGTGCCTAGATTTCAAAGTCCCAGACCGGTCGAAAAAGAAAAAGAACGAGGGGGGCCACCAGGTTGATTGCTTTAAATATGTGTTAGTTAAAATTAACAGACAATTTATTAATAGAATATGCTGATCGTGGTTATTTGTCAATTCAATACGCTGTGGATATGGCCATAATAAAGCAACTGGCTTCCAACACCGAAAAAGTCGATGTCAAACTGAGACGGATTCTCCACCCACCCTATGTTGATGATGGTTTTCTTGTAGTTCTGCAACTTCAACTTCCCTTCTTTATATTGTTGTCGTACATCATTACGGTTCCTTCCATTGTGAAAGATATAGTCTTAGAAAAAGAATTACGTCTTAAGGTAAATCGAATAAATCGAACCCGATAGTTTTTATTCTTATTATACAATTGAATTACCAGGAATCCATGAAAATGATGGGACTAAAAAATTGGTTGCATTGGAGTGCATGGATTACAAAATACTTCTTGTTTATGTTTATATCGGTCCTCTTCTATACGCTATTTTTTAGTATTAGCACTAGTAAAGGTGCAGTTTTAAACCAATCTCACCCAACTTGCACCCTTGTGTTTCTTATCCTCTATACATCATGTACAATATCTTATAGCTGTATGATCTCAACCTTCTTCACAAAGGCCAACTCAGGAGCTGCAGCTGGAGGAATAATTTTCTTTGCTACCTACATTCCTTACTTTTTCTTGTCATCTGAATACCAAACACTCAACAAAGGCATAAAGTTTGCCTCATCTTTGTTTCATAACCTGGCTATGGGATACGGATGTACTTTATTTTCTATATATGAAGGAACAGGAGAGGGGGTACAATGGAGTAATTTAGCTAGTTATGCTACTAATGATGAAAATTTTAGGATGTTAGACGTTTTCATCATGCTTATAGTAGACACATTTTTATATGGAATTATAACTTGGTATGTTGATAACATAAATCCGGGAGAGTTTGGAATACCAAAGCCTTGGTATTTTTTTTGTACCAAATGGTATTGGTGTGGAGGCTCTCAAAATATTTCAAAGGCAGAAGATTCAATTCCAGAAATATCCAATATGGAAATGTTTGAAAAGGTTGAAAATTCGAGTAATCCGGGGATTAAAATAAAAAACTTAAGAAAAGAATTTAAATCAGGTGGTAAGAAAAAAGTTGCTGTAAAAGGAACAATCATTGATATGTATGAAGGTCAAATAACTGCTTTATTGGGTCATAATGGGGCTGGAAAAACCACGACAATGAATATGTTAACTGGTTTCATCCCTCCCACTTCAGGGAGTGCAGTAATTAACGGTTTTGACATCAGAACAGATATAGATCGAGTGAGAGAAAGTCTTGGTCTCTGTCCTCAACATGACATATTATTTGACAATTTAACTGTAGAAGAGCATTTGATATTTTTTGCATCTCTGAAAGGCTGTCCTAAAAATGAAATTGATAGTGAAGTTTCAAAAATGATTGATTTGCTGAGACTTGAAGATAAAACTAGGGAATTGGCCTCTACTCTCTCTGGAGGTCAGAAACGAAAGTTAAGCGTAGGAATAGCTTTAATTAATAATTCGAAGATTGTGATCTTGGATGAGCCAACTTCTGGAATGGATCCAGAGGCTCGAAGACAAACCTGGGATATCCTTCAATCGCAAAGAGCTGGAAGAACTATGATTCTGTCCACCCATTTTATGGACGAAGCTGATCTCTTAGGGGACAGAATCGCCATAATGGCAGATGGAATAATTCAATGCTGCGGATCAAGCTTATTTCTTAAGTCAAAGTATGGAGTCGGATATCATATGACCATTGTAAAAACACCAGAGTGTGACGTGACAGGCTTGACTAAAGTTATTAAAAATTTTGTGGAGGAAGCAAAGATTGAGTCTAATATAAGTGCTGAACTATCATTTATTTTACCACAAAAATCTACCAATAAATTTGAGGCGATGTTTAAAACTCTAGAAGAAAATAAAGAATCACTTGGCATAAATTCTTTTGGAGCTAGCGTGACCACTATGGAAGAAGTCTTTCTCAAGTCAGTTTTTAAATAATTTGCTTATTCTTTTTTTAAAATATTTATCTTGTGTATTACAAACTAGTACTTTTTTGTTTTCAGAGTGGGAGAGTCATTGGATGCTGATTTAGCCTCACGACTGCAAGGGACAAATGCAAATAGTTTGAACAATCAAAATGAAACCACTTTAAGTAATAGAAAAGTTTTTGTTACTCCTATATAATTGAACGAATTTTCTTTTTTTTTTCATTTTAGGAAACTCATCGATTACATTGAAAAGAACCTTGAGATCTAAAACTTCAGGAGCAACTTTATGGTTTCAACAGTTTCTGGCAATTTTTATCAAAAAAGCAATTTATTCATCAAGAAACAAGATACTAACTATTGTTCAATTATTAATTCCAACATTATTCACTATTTTGGCTGTCGTGATAGTGAAAAGGATAGAAGGAAGATTTGGAACAGACTTAGAAACCATTGAACTAACTCCAGGAATGTTTCAGCGCACTATAACTTACGCAGAGACTGACATGGAGAGTTACCCTTTTTTAAATGGATATAAAAGCTTCATTCAACAAGGAACCTTCCAAGAAGTTAATGATTTAATCGAAAGTTTAAAAACTGTTTCTGAAAATATGCCAGTCACGTATAACAAGGAATATATGTTAGCAGCAAAATTTTCAAAAACTGGCTCTACAGTTAATATTACTTCATATTTTAATGCCGAGGCTTATCATACTTGTGCAATTGCTGTCAGTGGTGCTACAAATAGCATTTTTAAAAAAGTTGTTGGAACGAGTAGATCCATTACTGCATCCAATCAACCTTTGCCTTACTTACCAAACGCTAGGGCAAAAGCGGAGGTTGGCAGCCAATCGAATCAGAGTTTAATTATTGTGTTTACTTTGATGTTCGGTATCGCATTTTTGATTGCATCTTTTAGTGTATTTATTGTGAAAGAAAAATCCGTCAAAGCAAAGCATTCGCAATTTATATCAGGAGTAAAACCGATGAACTATTGGCTGTCAACTTTTACATGGGATTTTATAAACTTCCTCTTTCCAGCATTATGCGTTATTGCAGTCATTGGAATAGGACAAATTGATGGCTATGTAAAAGATGGAAACTTAGGAAAAGTGTTTCTGTTATTTATTCTTTTTGCTCTGTCCGTTTTACCATTTACTTACTTAATCTCTACACCTTTCAAAGTGTCTGCATCAGCTTTTGCTTGGCTCTCCGTAATTAATATACTAACTGGTATTAGTGCTTTATTAGCTGTCTCAATATTATCGTTGGAAGATCTAGGTACTGAAAATATTGCTAAGGGTCTCGGTTGGCTTTTTAGTGTCTTCTTGCCTCACTATTGCTTTGGTTCAGGAATGATGGACATCTTCAATAATTTCCACACTTTGAAAGTTTGTTTGGAGGACTTCAACCAAATGCAATGTAAACAAGACCCTACACATCCTTGTTGCAGTAGTTGTAATAAAAATTGTCTCGATTATGAGAAAGATTATTTTAGCTTTAATATTCCAGGAATTGGCAGGCCTGTGGCATTTATGATCTTTCAGGGTATAATATACATGAGTATAACTGTTTTCCTTGAATCAGACCTGTACAAACAAGTTTCCCAAATAATATTTCACGTTATTTGCAATCCAAGAAGACATACAGATTTCATTGAAGAGATAAACAATATTTCTTACGAAGTACATTTAGATTCTAACTCTAGGTTATCAACTATTGTACCTATGAATTCAACACGACATAATATTGATAGCGACGTTTTGGCTGAAAAGAAGAGGCTGAGCATTTTGAACAAAGAAGACATTAGTAAAAATCATGTACTGGCTTTGGTAGATATTCACAAGTACTACGAAGATTTCCATGCTGTTTGCGGTCTGAGTGTTGGAGTCTGCAAGGGGGAATGTTTTGGACTCTTAGGTGTAAATGGAGCGGGAAAGACGACAACGTTCAAAATGTTGACAGGGGATGAGAATATTTCGTCGGGAAATGCATGGATAGATGGTCATAATGTAATAAATAGTATGGAAAAAGTACAAAAATCTGTTGGATATTGTCCACAATTCGATGCATTAATTGACCAAATGACTGTCACTGAGACTCTCTATTTGTACGCAAGATTGCGAGGCTTGCACAAAAACGAAATAGCTCAGGCTGTTGATGAATTGGTTGACTCTCTTTTGTTACGAGATCACAAAGACAAGGAAACAAGACAATTGTCAGGCGGTAATAAAAGAAAACTATCAACGGCTATAGCTTTTATGGGGGACCCACCTGTTGTTTTCCTCGATGAACCAACCACAGGTATGGACCCTGTAGCAAGAAGACTTCTATGGGATACTTTAACACAGGCAAGAGCTCGAGGTACTTCTTTGGTGCTTACTTCACATAGCATGGAAGAATGTGAAGCGCTCTGTACTCAAATGGGAATTATGGTTAATGGAGAATTTAAATGCCTAGGAAGTACTCAACATTTGAAATCCAAATTTGGAGAAGGTTATACAGTTTTAGCTAAAGTTCAGTGTTCTGCTGATAATTCCTATTCCGTTCCTGATGTTACTCAAGCGTTAATGAATTTTATTGAACAGTCATTCATGGGAGCAGAACTCAAAGACTCTCATGACGGGTATGTTCACTATCAAATATCTGATAAAGTTACATCGTGGGCTTCAATATTTGGATCAATGGAAAGAGTCAGAGATATGTATCACCTAGAAGACTATTCGGTTAGTCAGACTACATTAGAGCAAGTATTTATAAATTTTGCCAGGCAACAGCGATCGCCAGAGCATTCCAAAGTAGGATGCAAAGTAAAATGTACAAACTGCTTGAAATTCTTTTGTTGTAAATGTTGTAAGTTCTGAAATCAAATGCCTAACAATTTCTAATATTTTTCTTCAAAGAACATATTAATGGGAATTCTTAATGATTCTTTCAATAAATTTTATTTTTTATAACTTGTTTTACAAATATAATCCAATCAAAGCGTTGCTGAAAATGAGCGAGTTCAAAATGTATTGCAAACGCGTTATTGATAGTCCCTCTACTGATACTAACAACAATATATTAAGAGTTGGTTTTAAATTTATTTTCCTCTTCTATTTGGTTCAGTAGCTGTTGGGGGTGGTGGGGTACCCTTTCTATGCATATCATCGATATAAGACATAATAATTCTTCGCCGTTCTTCTTTATCACAATCCAAAACTAAGTAGCGCTTATCATTTTTCAGAGTGCTTTCAATTTCAGCTAAATGAGAACCCTCTGTATCTGCTAGAAGCTGTTTAGATCTGACAAATAGATAATTATCAAATCGTACGAGAATAATATTCAAAATAGTTACTTATGAGTTATAATTTTCGTCTCTTTCAGTAAATCCTTTAATTCCTGCTTAGCCTTCTCAAATTTATCGTACATGTAGGAGTCAAATTCCCTTTCCCGTTTCTACAATTAAGTAAGATCATTATCAGCTTATATTTCTTCTCATAATTAGTAATAATACAAAACTTATTATTACCCTGTCACTTGAAGAGAATTTAGAAAATCTTGGATCTTCCTTTATGTACTTTTTAATATCTTTATAGCTTGAAGTTAGAGTGAATTGAGGCGTTTCGTCTAATAATTTGTGAAACAATTGCTTATTTTTATTAGCCAAATTATCAACATGCTCATTGAACAAACGCTCCTGAAAAAAAATATTGATTATATATGTTACAACAAAGCCTTATCCGTACTTTTTCATCTCTACCGATATCTTCACACAAATCCCACCTATGATCCTTTTTGAGAGCTTTTTTCGTTTCTCTCCAACTTGCATCAGCCCCCCGAACCTAGGGAAATTCAGTTAAGTTTTATAGAAATGTTTTTATTCAAATAAATACCATATCCACAAGTAGGGCCTTAAATTGCTGAATAGCCTCATCTCTCTTATGTATCTCTCTTTCCTTTTCCCTTTCCCTTAAAGAGCTAGACAATGAAGCTTCAACCTCTTCTCTCCTCTTCTTCAAACTTTCTTCAATTCGTTCCTGCTTTTCTCGTTCTCTTTCCTCTTCCTCTTCAGAAGACTATTGAAAAACAACTAATATTGATAAATAACTTTAAAACAGTTTTGAAAACATACATCCGCTTTAATTGTTTTAATAAAGTCTTTAAACCAGTCCTCTTTCCTGCTGGAGCTTTCAATAGCTTTATAACGATGATCAGTGTCGATTTTTTTCTTTACTTCACTCCATTTGGAGTGCTTATCAAGATTTTCTTCTCTCAAAAGTCCAAAAAATTCAGCTTTTAACTGTAATATTGAAAGTTAGTTGTAATGTTTTCATAAGAAAATGCTAATGATAATATAAGACACCGCAATTATTAAAATTGAATCGATCCCTGAAAAAAATAAATTTTTTATCTTCGTTCGGAGCTGAAAACTTAAACATTGATTGATCGTTTTCTAATTTTCAGATTAATATCGTAATTTTAAAATTGACTTATATTACTTCGTCAAAGTAAATCAATATAACAAATTATTATAAGAGTATAGTATAGGCACATGTAAATGGATATAAAGGTTTATATTTACATGTTATAGTGCATACGATATTAATCTAGCATTAAGTCTAATAAAGTAGAGAGCAGTACCAAAAAATTTTACTGTTCCCAAATCTCCTGAATCGTCCAGAATGCGTGTTTTTCCTTAAACATAACCAAACATCAGATTCATCAAACCAAAAGATATTTTATAAAAACATTTGCTAAAATCTGCTAGTAAAGTCCTTGTTTTTTTGTTTATAATTAACATTTATAATTTATAAAATTAAAAGATTACTGTCCTTTACAACATATGAACCTAAAATCTTAAAAGTGAATTAAGAAAAATAAATGACTGAAGTTGACATAAACTAGAACGTGCTTTAAATAAATAAAATTCAGTCAAGTATTTTCCTGAGATGATTTCAAAGAGAGTTTACAGCAATATCAGAAATATTATTATAACGAACAGCGGCCTTACCAGCTTCTGAAAAGCCTAAAAAGAATTATAGCTTGAAATCTTCTCAATAGACATTATGATATTTATGATATATATAGTTCATTTTATAAATATATATAATATCGATAAGGAGTAAAGTATGAGTGCAATGAAAAATTCATTAAATTTATAAAAATTAAAAACGTACTTTTTCCTTTTCGCGATGTTTTTCCTCTTTTTCTTTTTTACGCAAACCTTCAACAAACTCATAAAACAAGGCCTCTCGTTCTCTAACTTTTTCAATAGCTTGAAAGCGTTCATCTTTCTTATACTTAGACTGAAAGTCGCTAAACATTGACCTATGGGAAAAAAACAATAACGTTTTTTCGCTGTAGTTTCAAAATACCCACTTTCCATGTAAATTTGCTTCTTCTAACATTTTTTTAAAATTTTCTTTCCGTTCCTTTAATTTTCTATGTTTTTCTTTTCGCTCCTCTTCTGCTCGCTCTCTAACATAACTTTCAAAAACCTATCGAAGCAAAAATTAAAAACCATTACTGTCCATAAAAATAAGTTGTTAAAAATTTCACCTGTTTCCTTTCTTTGGAGGTTAAAAGCAAATAACGTGAATCAAACACTATTTTATGTAACTCCTTCTCCCAAGTTGAAAAAGCCGAAACCTAGTCAATCAAGAACGGTTGAATATTGAATTCTGAGAAAAAATATAGAAAACCTCTTTTTCCGCAAGCATCGCTTTGAAACGTTTCATTCTCAACTCCAAAGGAATTATTGCCCTCTCTTGGGAAGCCTTTGCCTAATTAAAATTAGTAATTAACATACAGTCCTGATAAAAAGTCTTGGGCAGGGTTGTTCTTAAAGTAGAAAAAGTGAAATATTTAACTAAAAATTATTAGTTAAAAGACTTTTTATCAGGACTGTATATTTTAAAAAACAAGTAAAGCTTACTTCTGCTTCAATAGCAGCATCTTTCCCTGCATCGATTTTTTGAGGTTCAGCTTGCGCAAGCAGACTTGCCTTGAAATCATTCCTAAAGCGAATTCTAAATTTAAGATGACAAAGTTAATGTTGTAAAAAGCATACTTTTTCTTTTTAGTAACGGGTGATTCGTCCTCTTCAGCCTCACGTTTCTTTTTTTTTGGCGGAATTGAAATAAATTCATCAACATCCTTCCTGTCTATAAGTTCTTCTGGCCGTTCCCAAACAGAGGTTTTTGCTGACGGGTTATAAAAGAAAACTCTATTGTCTCCAGTCCAAACGACACACCTGAAATCAAATTTATATAAACGCTGCAACTGTAAGATTATAAACTACCAAGGTGTTCCAGATACAGGCGTTGAAGAAACTGGTTTGCTTTTATCAGCTGATTTTTTTTGTTCTTCCTCTTTCTGTTTCAGTTTTTGTTGTTGTTCGAGTTCCCGTCGAGCTGCTTCCATTCGAGCCTCCATTGTAGCGGTATCAGCGGTAACTTTTGCCACATCAGCAAGAACTTTTTCGTCAATTCCCATACCATCTTTCTTAATTGAGGCGTTATGCATAAGGACTTCGCCAGGGGGTCCTTCAACGTGCGTATCCTCTTCCTCGTCCTCTTCACCTTTAGATTCCCAATCCATCAAAACTTTCGGTTTACTCCAGGTCGTTTCATTGGTACGTGAATTGTAATAGTAGGGTTTTCCTTCAGGTGTTCTATGTTCCGTCCAGTCTGAAACTTCAGGTGGTTTTTCTCTCATCATTCCACTATTAAGAACAGGTGGTGGACCTCTCATTGGCATTCCCACTGCAAAAATTTACTATAGAAACTTAACAAAATTTTTATAACTACTAACCTGGAGGGAAACCCCAATTTCCTGGAGGAGGTCCACCAAATGGTGGAGCGCCAAATGGAGGTGGTCCACCAGCCAGCGGCGGTGGTCTAGTCATTGGGCCTCCAAATGGTGGTGGGCCTCGAAATGGGGCTGGCATTGTGGTCTGTTGTTCAGGTGGTTGTGATAGCTTCTCTGCCTCATCTTGTGTTAAAACAACAACATTTTCAGGTTTATTCCACCGAGTCTCTCGTGATTGCGAGTGATAGTAATACGGCTTGCCATCAGGTGAAATAGTCTCGACCCAAACTTCTTGACCAGGATACGCAGCTTGAATTGGATTGGCATGTTCGTTTACCATCGATTGGTCTTGATTAGAATCCATTGGAAAACTTGAGGGTTCACCTCCTCCCTAAATATGTTAAATAAATTTAGACACAAAGTAAATTAATTTTTTATCGATAGTGTTAATCTGAGCGCATTACATCTCTCTTAAAAATTATAATCAATATTTTTCAGTGAGCCACAGAATATATATTACATTTAACTTTAATTAAAAAGATTTCAATTTGTAGTTTATGAAAGCTTTAAGTAATGATTTAATGACATTAACCATATTTGGAGGAACATTCCTTGGTGGAGGCCAGTTACCAGGTGGTGGACCGTCAAATGGAGGAGGCCTGTTAAAATGAGGTGGTGGTCCCCTCATATTAGGGGGAGGGCCTCTCATCGGAAAAGGAGGACCTCTTGGAGGGAATCCAGAGGGAGGGCCCAAGTTTCTGGAAAACAGAATCAAATAGTTTAAGTGTATTTTTAATATAAATTATAAAAATTTTTTAACTCAAAATAATTCTCTTTACCCTGGTATATTATTAAATTCTTTATTGCTATCCGATTGTTCGTAGTTTCCACTGGAATTGAAATTTCCGTCAGCTCTGTCGACATTTTCTCTGCCGCTAGTAGCCATTTTGAGTAAAAGTATCTTCGATTTTAGATTTTGTACCGCGCTGAGAACTGGGTCGAAAAATCTAAAAGATTTACATATAAGTCCAATAGATGGAGCTGTAGACAAATAAATGGCAAGTGCTGGCCAAGACAAGTGAAGATTGACTTTAAGAAAGCATTAAACTTTTCATCAATTGTAATATCATGAGGTTATCTCTTCAATTATTAAAAAAACTGGCTCCGGGGAAAATAAGCACAGGGTAATATATCATAGTATTTTATGAGCGATAATGAGAAAGGTGATTTCAGAAAGCATCGTTACATTCGTCCTTTAAGAAATTCTCAAAAATTATTGGCTGTTCAGGATTCTATCCGCGAACAGAGAAATATGACTTTCTTGGAACGAACTTACTTAACAAAGGTAGATGATAAAATATTTTCACTTACGAAATACAATGTTAACTTTAAGGAGGAAGAAAGCTATCTAGATCGAATGATTCTAGAGCCGGAAAGGTTGGAATTGAATAAAGAAAAAAGAATAAAATCCGAGAAATATTTGATGTTTGAAAACAGAACAATAATGTCTCACTTAGAGGTCCTAAACACGTCAAAAGCTTGGGAGTAATAAATATTTTACTTATCAATCAAAGTACATTGATGAAGACAACAATAACAGTTTGTCATACAATTTGTAACGAAAAACTTTACCATAACCTTATTTGGTATGTCTTAAAGTGCATCGTATTAATAAGACAAGCTTACTGAAAATTCCATTTCTTTCTATGACTTAGGAAGAACGTAATATTTTTCTAAAGCCTCCTTTGATGTTGCTTGATAAACAAGAAACATCTCATTTCGAACTCTTGCCACTAAGTCGTCTACATCGTCTGTAGTTAAGCCCTTTGTTTGAATAGGAGGTAACGCCGTTAGAATAACTTTTCCTGCCTCAAAATGCTTTCGCGTCGAGTCAAGAAAATTTGCATATGATGAGAAGACTAAAGGAACTATTGGAATCTAAAAAAAATTATGAATTCAACTTAGCCAGTTGAAATAATAGACAGGTTTAGCTTTATCATACCTGAGCCTGTTGGGCTATGTGAAAACCTCCTTTCTTGAATGGCAAGAAGTCTTTTCCCATATGCCTTGTTCCTTCAGGAAAAACCCAAAGCTTGGCCTAAAGACAAAATATTTAGAAAATTATCTATCGCGAAGAGCGAAGAACTAACTTTATCTTTTAAAATTATTTCAACTGTCTGATCCATGGTTTTTCTGGCGTCACGTTTCTTGGTTCTATCAACAAATATTAATCCAGACAGCCAAGCCGCTATGCCAAAAGTTCCAAGATATTTTAGCTCTTTCTTACCCAAAATTGTCATTCTATCGGGAAGATATTTCAACATGCCTGAAAATGCCTCTTATTAATTTCAGCAAAACTCACTAATTTTTATCAATTAAATCTGGGACTAAAGATAAATAGTGCTTTTACGTTGATAAGTCCGAAAACTTTTTGATAGCTGTAATTATTTCAGAAAAATGTCTTATTAAGATCAATATATGAAAACATGCTTTCATTTCGAATAGTTCAATCATATTGCAAATATTCACGCAATTCTCGATTTCTCCTTCAAATAATTTTTGTCAGTTTAGAATATTTTCGCCACTCGCTGGTCATATCTGGCGTGAGAACAAAGGCTGAATTATTAGAATAGCGAACCTATTAAGTCAAGTGAGCTTTGATGATTAGCCATTAATACGTATGGTTGATCTAGCTGTAAGTGTTCCACTCCCCTAAGTTCGTATTGTATGCAGAATAATTGTAGGAAAATATTCAAAACCGGAGCTGTCACTCTGTAAGATAAATTAATTGTTATCATACTTTAACAGTGTTACAATACTTACCTCGACAAATTCTCAATTCGGCAAGGTCTATGCAAATTTAGTGGTATAACTAGAATGCCAAACAAAAGCCATGAAATATTATATATGACAAATTTAGTGTAATATTTAAATGTATGGTTTTTTATCCATAGGTAGGGAAGAGAAAAAAGTGACAACACTAAAAAAATCTTCAATAGCTGCCAGAACATACTGAGTTCTAGTTCTCGTTATTGTTTTTGAAAAAGGTCTTTGTCACACGTTGCTCTTTGACCGGTTTAGGAAGGTTCCGGATCCGCTTTGGCGCAAAAATACTATTCGAATTTTATGAATCTCTACTTAGTTCTTGTAGCCCTTTTTTAATTGAGTGTAACAAACGTCTCATATAATCTATATTAAATCATCTTTTGTGAATGCAAGAAAGATATAAAGGTGTAACTTATTTTTTTTCAAATTAAGAAAAATAACCTCTATTATGATCAAACAAGTAAAATTGTTTATCTCACTTAAATGGCACTTTGTATTATTATTATTAAAATATTAAAAAACAAAGAATGTCCACTAACTATTTGGCACGCGTACTACGCACATTCAAATACACTCTATCACTCAAATTTCGAAAATATTAGTTGAACGGTTAGGCAGTTATTATTAGATATTGTTGAATGCTTTCTCTTTTTACACTGACGTTTCAGAGTTCAGTTTAAGGACAAATTTGTTGCACTTATGATCAATTACCTCTTCTGTTAGGTTAAAGTGAGGTATTTTCCGAATATTTATCAATAAAGCAACATCGCCTTGTCTTAACTGTATTAGAGATCCATGTTCGATATTCCTTGAGACTAGTTGATCACAAATCAAAACCCAAGTTTGCGTGTTTCTAAATATATAAAAATAATTAGTTCAGTTAAAAATATATATATTTATGTGCTAACGAGTATTCTTTGTCATTCATAATGATCGAACCCTGAGTCAAAAATTTTTCTAGGAAAGCTTTTGGTCCCATGTCATGTCCGATACAAAGAGCTAGATGCCGTAAAATTGATTCCATAGAATATCGTGGCTGTTGTCGAGTGATACGTAAATATTTTTGTAATGCCCGAGCCAGAGAGGGAAAAATAGCTTGAGCTGCTTCGCTGGGATCCATTGGTATGGCAGGACCTGAAGCATGAAATCATTATTTACTGATCACCATTCAATATTTCTTACAAACCTTGTTCATTTTGCATCCTCTTAATATGGCTGAAAGCCTCGTCTGTTGCTGCTACCAATCTTGCTCTTCTCTTTTTAAGTCGACGCTCATAATTCATTTCATCATAGAATCGATCATTATGTCTGGTGTCTGATCCGGGAGGTGGCCTTGGATTGCCCAGACCTGTATGGTTCCCCATATGAGGCCCGTCAACATTATACACTTTATAACTTGATCGTGAATTTCGCTTCGGCATGTTGTCTAAATAAGGATTATATGCATCAAAATCTCGAAAATAGTTTTCCAATGTAAAAACGGCCAATCTCTGAATGCTCATGTCACCCACTAGATATGACTTTGCAATTCCATCTGGTGATCTTACAACATGCACAACAAATCTTGATGTCATATGTTTTAATTTTAATAATATTAAGGCTGCATAATGAAGGAACAGTAAAGAATCTACTAAGGAGACAGCAAATTTAACAATGGTATGGTAAGACGTTTCTTTCGTCTTTATTATTCTAACACCATAGAAAAGCCAAAATGCAAAGATAAGAATCGTAGCCAAAAATAAAACGAATGCTTTCATAACTGCTATTCTTGGCAGGGTAGCTTTTGGAGTACGCCAAAGTAAACACCAGGCCCCAATAAGTAGAACGACAACTTTAAATGAAAAACTTATAAATAAACCCTCACAGGATGTATCACAATCATTCGTTGTCCAATCATCAATTATATGGATTTTTGGTAAGAGTAACATAGCTATAGGGCTAAGAATAGTTATCAAGCTAAAACACGCAGTAAATACAGTTCCAATATATCTAGCACATGTAAAACCAACAGAGTTCTCTATGTCGTTGCTAAACTTTGCCATATCATCTATTGAGAAACCTGCTTCTGATGTATTTCCAGTTATAGCTGTAGTATTATCTCCCCAGTTGTCATCTTGCTGAAGAATTTGAACTTCTATTCTCTCAGTTGTTTGTTGATTTCTCTGGCATAGGCCAGGAACTCCAGCTTCCGATTGATCACAAACTGGTTTATTATTGGTGTGCAAAGAATTTGATCTATCATCTTTGAAGAAGCATTCGTTGGGCTCTGATCGAATTTTAAATTGACTTGGAACTTGAGGTTGTTCATAAAGAGAGTGTAGGTTATAAAATCTTCTCTTTGATCTCATTGATCTCTCAGATCGCTCAGATTTTCCACTTCTAACAGATTCAGTATCCATTGAAAATTTTCTGCCGACTGTTAAAATGAGTGATGAATAACTGTAAATGTATTTTATTTACAAATTTCATGCAGCTGAAATTTTATCAGTGAATTTTGAGTATTCAGATTTTAGGAGCTATCTTTGAAAGTTCATCGTTCAAATAATTCTTCTTAGACAAAGACTAGTCTGCTACATGGACAATGCTTCCTTGTGATAATAAATTAATAGAATAATTTACTGCTGTTAGTTTGTTGCAAGTGTTTTAAAACACTTGTTAAAAGTACTTTAAACTTATTAGAAAATAATCAATATTAATTTTTCTAATATTATTTCTATAATAGAAAATCGGTCAATTACAAACGGTTCACAAAAACTGCCTAATAAAAAAGTTTCCGAACCACAAAATTCTTCTATAATGTAATGCGTCTTGTCATAATAATATTCAGCAAGAGCACCTTATCACTAGAGAAAGTTACTGAGATGGTTAGAGAACTTTCTTAGCCAAAAGAATCACAAAGAACCGGAAGGTGTTGAGAAATTTATTTGAGTTGACTATTCGAGAGTATATCATTTTTACTATTCAGACTAACAGTCTCAAACTCACTTGAGAGGTTGGATTCGATTCATTGCTTTAATCGTATATCGGTGAAAGAATATCGATTCCTACTTGAGTTTTTGGAAAAATCTTTCAAGATATTGCTCCATACAAAACTTGTAAATAAGCTACTATAGCATTTTAGTTATATAAGTTGCTGACGTGAAAAATAAGTAAAAGTTTTTTACGATCAAGATTACCTTGGGCTATGTATCTGTGATTCAAATCAAATTATAAAGTATATTCATCTTCGTATTTAAATTTTAAATTTGCCTAGCTATTTTAAGTCGTTAGGTATACTTGTAATGACTAGCTTTAAAATTTTAAAGAAAGAATAAATTAATACGAACCTATCTAATGTTAAATGGATATTTTGTTTCCCAAACAGTCCCCGATTTACTAGCATCTCAGTGAAACACTGAACAAAATGGATTTAATTTTTCATGAAAAGGTAAAAAAAATAGAGCTCTTTTACTTGGAAAATTATACAATATAGAGTTGAGCGATAATATATGACGAAAAATAAATGTTATTTAACAGCAAGAAGGATCGCTCTGCGGTCAACATTGTTTAAACAATCTTCTTCAAGGTGCTTATTTCTCTGCCGTTGATCTAGCTGATTTAGCATCTCAATTAGATGAAACTGAGAGAAGTCATTTAGGTTCGAATTCTTCATCTACGTCTCATAACATGGATGATTCCGGTTACTTCAGCATTCAAGTTTTACAAAAAGCCTTAGAAATATGGAATATTTGTCTTTTCTCCTTTAAATCTAGTCGACCCGAGGCTGTAGCTGCTCGTATTGATGCCCACTCACAAAAGGCATATATATGTAACTTTCAAGATCATTGGTTTTCTATAAGAAAAATAGGATTACAATGGTTCAATTTAAACTCAATGCACTCTGCACCAGAATTGATTTCAGACACTTATTTATCTCTATTCCTGGCTCAGCTCCAGACAGACGGATATAGCATATTTGTTGTTTCTGGTAATCTACCTGATTGCGACGCAGATGCCATTCTAAAATTAGCTCCAATTGAAGCTAATAAAGTAAAATTGAACCAAACTCCGAGATCCGGATCAGAAAATAGCTCTGGTGAGAATTTTTTTCTATACGTTTTGACATGTTTTAAGTTTTTTATTTATGTGTACAAAAAACTTAAAATATAATATGACTTGTGTTACTTTTGTTTATATCTTGTGCGAGAAAATTTAAACGCAGTATCTGTCGTCTAGATTTAATGCCTTCAATATCACTCTTCAGATTTAGAGAAGGCGTTAGAAGAGAGCAGGCAAATGAATGAAGAAAACGACGAATCCCTTCAACGAGCTTTGAAAGAAAGTTTACAAGGTAAAAGATGACTTTGTCAAAACTATTTATCTTTCAATAAAATCTCTTTTAGAATATGAAAAAAATCAAACGTCTGATATACCTCAATGTCAAAGCACATCTCGTATACCAGCTACTCAGGAAGAACTACGTCGCAAACGGTTGGAAAAATTTGGTTCCTCATCAAATTAGTGTCGCGTATTGTATATTTAAAGACACTCTTGAAACCTAAATCTTCACCGAAACAAAAATATTTCAGCTTTAAATAAAACAAATGAAAAATTTTGAATGTAATAAAATACATTGTCATAATAAGCCTATCAACATTCAAACGATGAAAATAAACAAACTTGTATTATAAAAATTAAACTGTACATTGATAGGTGGAGCTATGAATGACACAATAGATTGATCAATGACTATATAATTTCATTGCATTTATTAACAAAAAATATGAAAATACCTGGTAATCAATAAAAAAATGTTAACTGCACGTGTGCTCAATAGTCAAGATGGATAGATTTAGTGCAGAGGTTATTAAATCTCATAATAAATGTCGTAGGCAACATAATGTAGCAGAACTGCGACATAGTAAGGATTTAAGTATATTAGCTCAGAAGTGGGCAGATCATTTAGCATCAATAAATCGACCTATCCACTCAAATGACACATATAAAGGTGAGAAATTAGGAGAAAATGTAGCTAGAGTATGGAGATCTATAGGTGCTGAACATACTGGTCAAGAAGTAACAAAGGAATGGTATAGTGAAAGAACTAACTATGACTTTAAATTAGGAAAATTTACAACTGGTGTTGGTCATTTCACCCAACTCATCTGGAAAGATTCGAGAGAAATTGGCGTTGGTAAGTCTCTCACACGGGATGGACAAATCTTTGTTGTTTGCAATTATTATCCTTCTGGAAATATTTATGGAAAATTCACTGAAAATGTTTTTCCACCAAAATATAATTTTTTTACAACCTTTTTTTAACCTGGTAAGAGATTACTTGATATTTAGTAATAATTAGATATCGATGTACAATTAATGTAAAACAATCTTGCCCAATTTTGACTGCTGGATAACTAACTTAACTTCCCCCATGAGTTGCTCATTATATTTTTTTATAAATAATTTGAGAAAATTCTACCCTTTCAAAATTCGTAATTGATTGTAAATTACTAAAATCAATGCTATATGTCAACGAAGAATAATAGTGATTCTCCTAATAATCATCGTGTCAGGGATATCTAATTCATTGGACAAAACACACGATTCTGAATATTTAGTCATTGGCTTCCAGCTCAGTTAAATAATATTTTCTCTTGATAAAAATTTAAAAACATAACACTAAAAGATATATTAATTCATTTTGAGCATTTATCATTCCTTTCAGAATGTCTTTGACATTGATTGGCCAATAATCTATTTTTGTTATTACTTGTATAATTTATATATTTGGTTCAAAAGATTAAATTACAAATTAAAGCATTCAAACAATCTATATATATATATATATATATATATATATTTAAAATATTTAATACTATCAAAAGCATATCGTGCAATATGAATTTTCGCAAATGCATAAAAATTCTAGAAAATATAAGTTTAACATATCTTGCGTAATACATAATAATTGAGCATGCATGTAATTGACTAATATCGCTTCAATAATTATTGTTGTATTTGCCCTATTAGTAGTGCTTTTTTAATCAATATTCTACCTAATAGATGGAGGGACAGTTTTCCCATTCTCTATTCCAATAATCTCTTTTAAACAGCCAGCCATCTCTTCCAGTTGTTGGATGCTTCCCCTGAATAAACCATCTGAAATATATAGTTGGAATTAAAAGCTTATCCCCAGAAAAATGTTGAAGAGTAATCGGAAAACAAAAATAAAATATCAGTGATATGTTCAAGACTGAAAAACGCAATTAGAGAGAATAATTGCTGTAATAGGTGACGCAAATAATAGAGTAACAAATACTCATTTTGGGAACTAATCTCGCTAACAAGTTATATGAATAAACACCCTAAATCTGACAATAGTCACCTGGGTTTTGTATCACTGAAAATACAAAAAAAAGATAATGTTAAAACATAAAAGAATATTTGTAATACTTTTGATCATAATCTGTTTTATCTTCCTCTCTTCGACTTCTTGCATCTCTTTGTTTTTGCTCTATTCTGTGCTTTTCTTTCGATGCTTCATCTGTATATCATCACCATTGAAAAACGTATTTATTTAAGCAACTGTTTTCTACTTATTCGGCCTTCTTCCAATTCACGAACATCTGGTCGAAACCGTGAGTCGGTTGGAGCAATTATCTTTTTCATGTCTTCAGTTAATTCATTCATTGACATGGCAAAGTTCGAAAAATTGTAATACTGTTGATTACATTATTTAACTTTATGTAACCTTTATTTTGAGTACCAACCTGTTCATATTCTGGACTCCGAGCATTAGCTTTCCATAATAATCTTTTATCATGAATATCTTTAGTAACTTCTTCAAATTTCATTTTCATCTGAAAAATGTATTTTATTTGGCACCAAAAAAAAGTACATGCATAAGATCACAACATCTGTAGTGCGAGGAATTCTTCTATAGACAAGTACGTTACTCACATCCCCTTTACTAGCTTCACAATCAGATTCCTCGGAAGTCGAACGCAGGAAAGTTTGATTGCTCAGGGAACACATTCGTTTCAAGCCAGTGACAGTTTCATTTAAACGCTTCAACGTCTTCTCATATGTTCGCCATGCCTTGTAGCGCCCCAAATCAATAAAGCTATATTGATGTAAAACCTATCGACTAGTAGAACTACTTACATTTGAATCAAAGCTGTACAAGCAGTCAATCCACTGACCACAAAATGATCGCTTTTTTTGTTGTTTTTCATCATAAAGGTGACCGTCAACAATATGATAAAGATGAGAACTCCAAAAAGAGTCTTTATAAGATTTATGGAATTCTAGCTCTGATGACCAACCGGTCTCAACACAGTTAATTTTCATTTTTCCATAGTGTTCAATCCACAATTTTCCGATAAATATATTGTGTACACGACAAGCAATATTAGACCATACATAGGTTTCGTTCCATTTCTTCAAATGTAATGTTACGAAACCTTCAGGCCGAATGTCCACATTTTTTCCGGTATATTTAACTGCAGGAGATATTGAACCAGAAAAGGTATAAGAAGAAGACTCTGCATGAAAAGCTGATATGGGGGGATGATGTGAGACTTGTTCGGCCACCAAGCTAAATCCAAGATCCTCCCTCACTAACTCATACGTTTCTCCTAATAAAGGGTTGAACGGTTTCCCTAAACGTTCATGATTAGATGACAAAGCAGAAACAGCAAAAGCAGTTACAAACTGAAAATCACGTGAATATATCTTTAAACAATTAAAAGAGAACTGAAAAGAAAAACTACCTCCATTCGGTGGATGGGGTCAGTTGAATCTGAGGCATTGTCAATTAGGTATGAAGACTCTAGATACTCCGATAACCTCTGCAAAAAACTTAACGGCTCATTAAACGTAACTGGCATTGTGATTTTCGACAAATCTTTCCCAATACATTGCCGAAGTAAACTAAAAATACTGGTATTATTTCTGGAGAACATGGGAACAGGCAGTCTTTTTCTGTTAAGAAGCAGCTTATTAATAAGTTTACTAAATAATACTCTAAACCTCGTATTATTTTGTCCTCGTAATCCTGTGAATTGCGTGTTTCCCAGTGACTCCCTGCGAGATTTACGGTCAACATTTGACGAACCAGACATACTGTCGCCTTCGTCAAGCTCTATATTAGAGTTTGTAGCCTCCGAAAACATTTGGAAGCGTCACTGAAATAGGAAATCGATTGATGGTAGCTACTTTTACAGCTGGTTGTTGCAGATCTGCAAGCTACCTTTTCTAGTGGCAATACCCTGCCATCTAGAAGTTAAAAGACAAATAACTCGGATGCATTGCGTGATACGTTATACTTCGATTATCCTATTCTCAGAAATATAAGCGAAAATCTGTTTGAATAAAATTTCTATTTCAGATTATTAATGGATCATCACTCTAAGAACTCTAAAAAGTTCTGAAATATCAATTATGAATTAAGTAAATGCTTTTAATACTAGCAGAATTAACTAAATGACTACTTGATTATTTTTTGCTTTGAAGTTTTTTTTATTTAAAAATTTAAAAATCAAAAATCACTGTAAGAATGCGTTTTTCAGGGATTTTGTTTGTGTCATGTAAAATGAAATGCTTACATTTAAAAACAGTTGTTTATATATCTATGTGATGAAAATTTGTAATTTCACTCTTCATATCTATTGCATGTTTCATCTATATAATCAAATAAAAATTTAGCGGATTTCTAAAATCCTTTTTAGAGGTTTTGTTGAATAAGGAACATTTTTAAGATCTAAACAAAACCATTTCCATCTTCCGATAGCGTCCAAGATACAACGCATGCGCTTTGAGAGCGGAAATGAGAATTCCGATCTCGATAAACATTTATCGATTTTATGATATCGCATTGTTCGTTTGTACTACGAATACATCGGCATTCCCTGCTCTGTTGTTAAAATGGCGGAATACTTGGCTTCAATTTTCGGAACAGAAAAAGATAAGTAAGTACATTTCTGTAAAAAATAAAAATAAAATTATTTTTATCTCCTTTGCAGAGTGAATTGCTCCTTTTATTTCAAAATAGGAGCTTGCAGACATGGGGATAGATGCTCGAGGTTACACAATAAACCAACTTTCAGTCAGGTATTGATCATTCAGAAACTCAATTTATTATAACTTTTTAGTAGTTTGATATACAATATTTAAAGCTGCTAATAATGATTATCATAATATATATTAAAAATAATTTTTGCCAGACTATTCTGCTACCCAATTTCTATTTGAACCCTCAAAATTCGGCACAGACAGCTGATGGATCACATTGTAAACTATTTAAAATATAAACAACCAATCATCCATGTATTTAGAATATTATTTTCACAGTGGTAATGATGAGTGATGTGGAAACGCAAGAACATTTTGATGATTTTTTTGAGGAAGTCTTTGTAGAGTTGGAAGAGAAGGTAAATCCTACACAAATATAAGTTATTTTTAACTTGAGTATTAATAATTTGGCAGTACGGTGAAATCGAAGAAATGAATGTTTGCGATAATCTAGGAGATCATTTAGTTGGTAATGTCTATGTCAAATTCAAATACGAAGAGGATGCCGAGAAAGCTGTTCAGGCCTTGAACAATAGATGGTTCAATGGAAGACCTATTCACGCAGAATTATCTCCTGTCACAGATTTTAGGGAAGCTTGCTGTCGGCAATACGAAATGGGGTAAGTAATTCATTTGTTATCTATACGTAATTATTTTATGAATACCAATTTTTAGGGAATGCACAAGAAGTGGATTTTGTAACTTTATGCACCTAAAACCTATATCCAGGGATCTTAGAAGAAAACTGTTTTCTAGAAATAGATATCGTAAAAAATCCAGATCCCGTGAAAGAGAAAAAGATAGAGACAGTAGAAGAAGAAGACGCAGTCGTAGTCGAGAAAGACACGGACGCTATTGAGATTTTTTATTAGCAGTGTTTTTCGTGTTAGTATAAGTTTTATTTCTATTATGTGTTTCATTTACTATTACTAAATTGTTTAACATAAAGCAAAAGATTTTTTTGCTAAATACAGCAAAAGTCCAAATTTTGTACTTGTTACATTTCATATAAATGTGTGGAGCATAAAAATTGTATTTTATTATTATAAGATAAATATGCTTCATATGAAAATTTTCACAATTATCTGTAGTTAAAACAGATTAATTTAACTGATTTTTCAGCTCAATAGATTGATATGTCAAGAAACGACTAAATACACGAAAGAATCTGCTGCAAACATATATCAATCTAAAAGACAACATTCAAAATTTCTCCTCATAAATAGAAATGGTAGTAAAATGTAATTCCTTGTTTTTTTGAGGAATTGTAATAAAATAAAATTATATATCAAAGCTTTTCATAAAAGTTCAAATGATCATTGTAAAATGTTCTAGTTATCCAAAAGCAGGCATTTACATCAATATCGTTTCGTCTGATTGTACAAGAAAGATAAGTTCTTAATTTCTAACAAAGTATAAACTAACCGTTTTGTATTATAAAATTCAACTTGTAGCTGATTATTTTGGACAGCGATAATTCTTGCAGGCTTGTAAATATATTCCTGATCGTCATATGGAGCTAGAATATAGTCTCCTTTTCTAAGTGACTTACTTCTGTATCTTGTAAATGAGCTGAACATAAAATGAGAGTGTTGTTCAGTTGTGAATCCATCTTCTAATTCAACAATGTATTGTCTACCATTTTTTATTCGCTCTTTTACCTTTCCTAAAAAAATACTAATCTCTACTTAATAGTATAAATAAGCTCATTGCTTACCAAGCTTGTAAAACCCTGTTCTGTCATCTCGAGCTATTACAATTTCTCCTACTAATCGCTTTTCACATTTTACAATATGGCCAACGACATCGTTCAATTTTTCCTCGCTTATTCTAAGAAAAATACATATAGTGTTTATCCTCTAAAGAATTTTCTTCTTGCCTGTAAACTTGATATCTTTCCATTATGGCTTCTTCACCATCATAAAATCGAACTGCAATTTTATCTTCAGAGGGAATATCTATGACTGCTCCCGGTGCGAAACTGCTCTCATGTTCTGGATGAGATGCTATGACTGAATCTTTCACCTGAAAGTTTTTGAACTGTAAATCTTACTTTCAGGGTTGTTCAGCACAAATAGATATTTTGTTATAACAAAGGAAATGTGCAACACTAAAAATATCATAAATCTCCTACTTGCAATTGAACATCTTCGTCTTGCTCCTCACTTATGATATCAGATCTAGTAATTTTCTCTATATCATTAGTGAAATCTCGCACATAATATTCGTTATCGTTCAATTTACCCTGAACAAAGCCTGTTTGTAGGAGATAGTGTTAGGACCAAAGGAGATTGTTTTTCTATCTTACCTATATAATACCATCCGTCATCGGGCCATCTTGCTACAACCGTTTGGTTTTTTTGTAAAGGAAACGGTTCTTCGCCGGGTTTTATTTGATGTTTTTGAGTAGCTGTCTATAATTTGAATGGCATAATAAATGAAGTCACAATTTTTATTCTCACCATTGTGTTCCCAATTATATTCAGTAGGTGTTCGTGGCTCTCAACCATGGCATTTTGCTCATTCTGGGTAGTCATTATCATTCGTAGCTCTTTCTCTAAATTCTATGTAAACAAATGACATTAGGTTTACAGTGCTGCCAAAAGCTTAAATGCTTTAAAACCTTCTGTTTCTTAGCTTGACGATGGAACTTTAGCCTCAGTTCAGATCTCCAATTTTTTTTGTTCGCGATATCTTTACCTAAAGTTATGTTAACTTTGTCTTCTTCCTGACAAGTGATTGATCCCTCTTCTTCTTCACTATCAGAATCGCTTATGAGCAACGTTGTTAAAAAAACAAAATAGTCAAGTAGCCTAAATTTCTAAAGAATTTACACCTAATAAATACCTAGAAAACACTTCATTCTGTGCAGGCTTTTTCTTTAACTCTATAGAGTAAAGTAAGGTTTCCAGAAAATTATATCTTATGTCGCTGATTTTAATAGCGTAACTTCTTCTTATATGTATAACTTCACCATTGAATAGTCGTATGGTAAACATATTAGGTGTTCTAGCTCCTTTGTGAGTAACAACACCGGGAACATAACAAATTTGAGCTGAATCGGAATTCAAGACTCGAGTCAATACACAATCGCCCTCCATTAATTGAGGATTGCTAACAGCCCCTCCAACTTCAATTATAAATCTCTTTGGAACCTTTTCCTTCTCTTTGAAATCGTCAAATTTAACCATGCAGAAATGAGAGTTTAGTGTTTCAATCAGTTTTCCTTTTTATATAAACTTATGTTAATTTGAGAATTTTCTGTTATACCTATCTATTACCTGGATAAAATAACCAATCAGTCTGACTCAGAGCCAGAACTCTTTTATTATACGCACTTCGAGGACGAGCATCTGCTTTAACTGATTTCTTGAATCTAATCTTTTTTTCCGACTGCAAAAATTCTTAAATTAAACCTATTTCACTCAATTTAACTTATACCTTTTCTAAATCATCGTTAATTTTATCTCGTTCACTAGCTTCAAATGGAATTGAATTTATTTCAGCATTTTCGGATAAACTTTTTACATCACAAATTTGCTTTAAGTAAAGTTTTACTCGTTTGATCTCTTTTTCTAATAGTAAAATATCTTCTAGTTTACTTTCTGCAGACTCTTGAGTTTCTAGGTTCTCAAAGATTAAATCCCGACTTTCAGAGTATTTTATATTACCATTAGATATTCTGAAAAAAATGCAAGTGTAACAAAAGTTTAGCAATTTAATGCAACCAGAAAATAATTAACACAAACCTTTCTTTTATTTCTGGTGGGGAAAATTTCGAAAGAATATAGTTTAACCTCTTTTCCAACTTTTCCAGAAGATTCTTTAGATCATTTTCATATTTCTCTAAATCAATAGCTCCTGGATTGGCTAGCTTTTTATTACTTTTCTTCACATATTCATAGGGCATTATATCATCAAATACTTTAGAGTGTACACTTCTTCCTAAAATAGGAATATACTTCGCTTTGTAAGGAACCATTGTAGGGCCAAGTACACGCTTTAAATTCAATTTTTTTGCATTTAATCCATGAATTGAAAGCCATTTTCTTGATGACAAAGCAATGCACTTCCTAAAACAAACAAATTTTATTAATAGAGCCAGTGATATGTAAGTCATAACCTCTTGTTAGTTCTTCTTGAATCGGTAAATTTCCCTAAAAAAAAGAAAAATTATTTAAATATTCAATAATGATTACAGTCTTACGCCTCTTTTCAACAGAGATTCGACGAGATGAATGAGAAATATCAAGACCTCTGAAGCCATTAATTGTTCGCAAAATACTACTTTTGGTATGAACTAAAAAAAATACTCAGATAATACAACATTCAAGCCCAAAAAAAAACATACCACCTGCAAAGTTAGTGGATTCACGTTTTTCTCCTACGACTGTAAAAAAGAAAATTACATTAAAGCAAAACAGGACACTTAATACAAACGATCAATGAAAGTGGCCCCAATACAACTTTCATCTGCAAAACCCTTTCTAAACCGTGGAGAGGCAGACATTCTCTGACCAAGAGCGCTTTTTGGTCGGCCTGGAGAATTACAAGTAGGAGGTGCTGGATAGTGCATTGGTGCACTTTGTGGCCTAATATCTTTAACAATGTGATGATGTTCTTTTCCAGTCCATGACAATTGAGAGCACTCATCACGTAATAGAGCAATTTGTTCTAAATTTCTATAGCCTGCTTCTAACTCTTGACGAAGTAATCGAATATCTTCACTCTGTGTTTAAAATTCAATAATTATGAATACAATTCTGGGCAGAATTTAAATCTGTCATAAAATATACCTCCCAAGGTTGTGGACCATCTATGTCAATACCATTTTCTGAGTAGTAGTGAAATCTTCCACCAGTAGCTCTTGCTAAGTCATACAAAAATTGATTAGCTTCCTTGTCAGCACAATTAAAAGATATGCTGTGAACGGGAACTTTTGAACACAGCTGAATTTGAGCCAAGATTGATTTAGTAGGCTACAACAAAAAATGTTCAAAATATTATTGATTAAAAAAAATAGATCAATCTGATGAACATAGTAAGTAACTCGTTCAATAGTAATTGCCTACATTTAATATGAAATTACTTTAGAAAAAAAATTCCGTTATGAAAAAATTTAAAAGCTAACTTGATCGGGTCTTCCATCAGACAAAAGATAAACGGCTTGAGAAGAGGGGTCATTGACTGCTGTCTTAATAGCAGCCAAGGTGTTCGTAGAGCCTCTGCATTCCAGACCCTAAGGATAAAATCCATGAAGCATTTATAAAATCAGAATTCTTATTTCACAGAAAAAATTAAGACAAACCTTTATCCACTCCCATGCATTTTGCAGATTCTTTTCATTGACATCAACCATTCTGTCTTTCCAAGGTGAACACTTGGAATCAAAGCCTACCAAATTAAATTTCTGCTTGTGTCGCAATTGCTCCTAAACAAAGTCAAATTAAGGACGTTTTAATAGAAAACTTATAATAAAAATATCTTCAAACTACTTGCATAAGAACAAATAATTTGTCTTTAACAAATTGAATATGTGGGGCCATTGACGCTGACGTATCAATTAGAAAATAAATTTGATCTTCTATCACTGTACCAAACAGTTCTCTACTCCCTTGTTGTAGCCAGTCAATTCTTTGCTGGATTGATTCCAATGCAGTTTTCATTCCACTCTCATAGTTTCTATGAACTTCTGGAGTCACTTGAACATGAACGATCTGCATTTAAAAAAAATGAATGAATGATTTCTTTTAGCGTTACGAAAAAAGTCAACCTACTTGTCCGTCCTTCCATCTGACATGAGGAAACTTGTTACAATATTTAGCATTAATAAGTTTCTGACGAGAAATCTGTTAAAGCAGTGCAAGTTATATCTTATCAAGTGCAAAAATTTAATCAACTTGAAAACAAGAACACTAATATATTTACCGCATCAGTTTGGAATTCAGTTTTCGGCGCTTCTTTAACATCAACAACACCATCTCGATGCTTAAAAGCAACTCCAGATAATACATCAAAAAAACTTAACTTTCTAGCCTTCAGACCGTAAACCTCAAGCCATTCACGAGAACTCATATATTGTTCATTTTTAGAATTTCCCATGCTAGTAGATTGAAAGTTCGTTTTATTTCTATTTTTATTATCCCTATTTGATGATCTTTGCGTTAATGGAAAGTCCTCAATGAGTCCTTGAATTTGAGCTAGATTGTTTCTGGCTTCTTCCAGTTCTTCAAACAACTCCATAACATCTTCTCGAACACCGGCTTCTGGTGGAACGCCTCCATAAGTTTTCTTTCTTAGCATAACATTTGATTGCATTCCTTGGGAGTCACCTGCTTTTTCGTCATAAGCATCCATTTCCATTACAACACCGTAAGCGTGAAATCTTCAATGTGTGACAAATTTTTTTCGTAAATATTAACATATAGATGTTTTCGTAAAGATTTAAGCTTACCTTCCGCCTGTGAAACGAACCAACTCTCTAAGATATTTGATGATGATACGATCTGTACAGTTGTATGAGACAACATGAACAGGTATTCGAACTCCAGTCAACTTTAAAAAACAAATAAAATTAGATTTTTTATTAGATTTGATCTATTTTTAACCTTTTCTTTTAGAAGATGCATTGAACTTTCAACAGAGCTCCCTTCCGTAAATAAATAGACAGCTTCAGCCTAGAGAAAATTTTCTTAAACTAATATATTTAGATATTGAATAATTTCTTGTAAACATACATTTTGATCTGAGACTGCTCTTTGAACAGCCTCAGCCGTAGCTGTAGCAGAAATAGGAGACGATCTATCTAAACTCCAAATCCATTTAATGGCTCTTTGTACACATTCAGAGGTGACTGGAAGACATTCTTTGCTAAAAACATCTATATCTTCAGCTACCCGAATAATATTAAATTTTGTTGCATGTACAATTTGCTCTCTAATTACTCGTTCTATGGCTGAACGATACTGATCAAATTGCTGTGGGGTGGCATTTTTAATGTCTAATACGATGCATATTGATTTCTCAAGTATTACACCAAATACTCTACGACTTTCACATGTCAACCATTCAAGACGGCGTTTATACAAATTGATGGCTTGGCATAATCTTGTTTCTATTGCATTCAATTTCTCTTTTCCACATGAGATCTACATTTAGTATTGTATATTTAAATACCATTTAGTAATATTCTACACTCGTATTGATTTTAGCAACTTTTCTCATTTAAAAAACTTACATTAAATGTTCGACCATCGTTTCTAAAAAACCTCTGAAAGAGATTTGTACCATATCTTGAACATATGGGCTTGCGCATGGAAGCATCAAAATCTGTATAGTTTAAATTTTTGTCAGTTCTTAAAGTCTTTATACTCAGTTTACAAAGACTTATCGATTTGCTACACCTTTCTCATGCAATGGTTGTTCTAACACTCACCGTCGCTATGTCGAAAGCCAATCAAAGGTAAAAGGTGATGCATATCCAAACGATTTCTTTTTAGACCATAATTGGAGAGCCATTTTCTTGTAGATACTAACCCTTTAACATCCACCTCCCATTCCTTTGGAGGAACTCTATCAATACTTATCTCTGGATCAAATGATTCATGATCATCTGTAGTAAAGTTTGCTGACCCGACGGGTGTAAAATCGAATGAGGGCTCTATAGGTAGTAAATTATCCATTCTGTCTTTATTAAATATTCAAATTGTTTCCCACTTACTTTCAGAGTATGCATTTTTATCGAAGATATTTATACTAAGCACATTATCCATGGACATCATTAAATTCAAATATGGATAGCTTTTATTTCAAAAATATTTCCTTAACATCAACAGTGTTTTATTGTTAATTTACCCTATAAAATATATATTCAACTAATGCAACAAATTTCAATTGGGTATTGTGTGGTTGCTAACGTAGCTAACCAATGAGCTGGTACTTTTTCCATTCATAATCATTTTCGTATTTTTTCTGATTATCGTCAATGAATAATTCTTTTTTTAAAAATAATTATTTATCGTAATTAACATTCTGACATAATCGAATTTGCACTTCCATATTTTTGTGGATAACATTATATCGCTGTTCTCATGCTATTCAGTGCTCATATTTCTTTGTGAATAACAGCCAATGAATTTGTTATAAATATTTATAGAATGTAAGGTAAACTTTTAGCTTTTGCTGATAATATCGAGAAATTCAAGACAATAAGGAAGTATTTTGATTATTCTTGGTATATTTTATAAAAATGTTAAAGATTATACCTAAAACGAAATTTAGTAATATTGTAAGAAGTGAAATGTTTCATGTATTTGTTTTTAATAAATAATTAATTGATTTTTCTTTTACAAAGTTTTTAATTTAACAATTTATTATTGTTTGATTTGGTGAAAAGTCATATAATCTCAGAATAGCAAAGGACTGCTGTCTTATAGTTTTGTGTTTTATAAATATATAAAAGTTTAATTGATGAAAAGTCTTAATTATGATTTCTAGCATCTAGTGTCATTTTCCTTCTGTAGATGTTAGTGTTATATTTTTATTCTCATACCAAGCTTTTTCTAGCTCACACGCTTGTTGCAGGTAAATTTTTGCTTGCTTAATCTCCTTCTCAAGACGAACAATATCTCCTTCTGTAATGCCTAAAGCCCATCCGTTCTCCTTCAATGCAGCAAAAAACCGAAGGCGATTTTCTTGCAGTATCAATTTACCACTAAAAAGTTTTAAACAATTTAATTCAAGAAAAAAACCACAACGTAATGTAATACCTTGAAAATGAATATTCTGCAAAGCATTTCCGGACAATTAATTCTAGTCTACTTTCTAGTTTTTCAATTAATTGAAAAACTTTTTTTTGGTACCTTTTAAAATCTATCTCTGTCAGATTCAAGTCATTACTTGAAAAAGCTGGAATAAACTTCAAATTTTTTCCAACAAAACAAGACCCTAGAACGTCAGTTATCGTAAGATTTTGAGCAGAAAGACCATGTATTGACAGCCATTTTTTAGATGACATAAATTTTCGTGTTCTACAAAAAAAATATTAAACAAAAGTTACAAAATATATTACTTACTTTTTCCCCAACTTTCTTCTATGGTCAGGATTCACTGCAAAAAAACCTCTTGTAATTTGTGAACTACTTTACATATTAATAACCTGTGCAAAAGTTCTTTCGTTTTATTTGATCATCTAAAAGTTTCTGCGATTCTGGTAAGAGCCACTTTGAAGATATATCTGACGTGTCACCAACGCACAGAGAACGCAAAATACTGCTTTTGGTATGCCCTTTAAAATTTATGGAAGGCCACTTAAGAGGAGCAAATATTACTTTCAAAATTACAAACCAGCCAAATATTCTCCAACAAAATTCAACGAAGTGTCTGAAACAACACGCAATAAATACTATGATATAATAAAAAACACACTTACAAGTAGGTGTATCCAAATGAACCACTCTCCTTTGCCTTACAACACATAGTCGCTGACCAAGAGCACTATCAGGTCGGCGTGGAGAATTACAAGTAGGAGGTGCTGGATAGTGCATTGGTGCACTTTGTGGCCTAATATCTTTAACAATGTGATGATGTTCTTTTCCAGTCCATGACAATTGAGAGCACTCATCACGTAATAGAGCAATTTGTTCTAAATTTCTATAGCCTGCTTCTAACTCTTGACGAAGTAATCGAATATCTTCACTCTGTGTTTAAAATTCAATAATTATGAATACAATTCTGGGCAGAATTTAAATCTGTCATAAAATATACCTCCCAAGGTTGTGGACCATCTATGTCAATACCATTTTCTGAGTAGTAGTGAAATCTTCCACCAGTAGCTCTTGCTAAGTCATACAAAAATTGATTAGCTTCCTTGTCAGCACAATTAAAAGATATGCTGTGAACGGGAACTTTTGAACACAGCTGAATTTGAGCCAAGATTGATTTAGTAGGCTACAACAAAAAATGTTCAAAATATTATTGATTAAAAAAAATAGATCAATCTGATGAACATAGTAAGTAACTCGTTCAATAGTAATTGCCTACATTTAATATGAAATTACTTTAGAAAAAAAATTCCGTTATGAAAAAATTTAAAAGCTAACTTGATCGGGTCTTCCATCAGACAAAAGATAAACGGCTTGAGAAGAGGGGTCATTGACTGCTGTCTTAATAGCAGCCAAGGTGTTCGTAGAGCCTCTGCATTCCAGACCCTAAGGATAAAATCCATGAAGCATTTATAAAATCAGAATTCTTATTTCACAGAAAAAATTAAGACAAACCTTTATCCACTCCCATGCATTTTGCAGATTCTTTTCATTGACATCAACCATTCTGTCTTTCCAAGGTGAACACTTGGAATCAAAGCCTACCAAATTAAATTTCTGCTTGTGTCGCAATTGCTCCTAAACAAAGTCAAATTAAGGACGTTTTAATAGAAAACTTATAATAAAAATATCTTCAAACTACTTGCATAAGAACAAATAATTTGTCTTTAACAAATTGAATATGTGGGGCCATTGACGCTGACGTATCAATTAGAAAATAAATTTGATCTTCTATCACTGTACCAAACAGTTCTCTACTCCCTTGTTGTAGCCAGTCAATTCTTTGCTGGATTGATTCCAATGCAGTTTTCATTCCACTCTCATAGTTTCTATGAACTTCTGGAGTCACTTGAACATGAACGATCTGCATTTAAAAAAAATGAATGAATGATTTCTTTTAGCGTTACGAAAAAAGTCAACCTACTTGTCCGTCCTTCCATCTGACATGAGGAAACTTGTTACAATATTTAGCATTAATAAGTTTCTGACGAGAAATCTGTTAAAGCAGTGCAAGTTATATCTTATCAAGTGCAAAAATTTAATCAACTTGAAAACAAGAACACTAATATATTTACCGCATCAGTTTGGAATTCAGTTTTCGGCGCTTCTTTAACATCAACAACACCATCTCGATGCTTAAAAGCAACTCCAGATAATACATCAAAAAAACTTAACTTTCTAGCCTTCAGACCGTAAACCTCAAGCCATTCACGAGAACTCATATATTGTTCATTTTTAGAATTTCCCATGCTAGTAGATTGAAAGTTCGTTTTATTTCTATTTTTATTATCCCTATTTGATGATCTTTGCGTTAATGGAAAGTCCTCAATGAGTCCTTGAATTTGAGCTAGATTGTTTCTGGCTTCTTCCAGTTCTTCAAACAACTCCATAACATCTTCTCGAACACCGGCTTCTGGTGGAACGCCTCCATAAGTTTTCTTTCTTAGCATAACATTTGATTGCATTCCTTGGGAGTCACCTGCTTTTTCGTCATAAGCATCCATTTCCATTACAACACCGTAAGCGTGAAATCTTCAATGTGTGACAAATTTTTTTCGTAAATATTAACATATAGATGTTTTCGTAAAGATTTAAGCTTACCTTCCGCCTGTGAAACGAACCAACTCTCTAAGATATTTGATGATGATACGATCTGTACAGTTGTATGAGACAACATGAACAGGTATTCGAACTCCAGTCAACTTTAAAAAACAAATAAAATTAGATTTTTTATTAGATTTGATCTATTTTTAACCTTTTCTTTTAGAAGATGCATTGAACTTTCAACAGAGCTCCCTTCCGTAAATAAATAGACAGCTTCAGCCTAGAGAAAATTTTCTTAAACTAATATATTTAGATATTGAATAATTTCTTGTAAACATACATTTTGATCTGAGACTGCTCTTTGAACAGCCTCAGCCGTAGCTGTAGCAGAAATAGGAGACGATCTATCTAAACTCCAAATCCATTTAATGGCTCTTTGTACACATTCAGAGGTGACTGGAAGACATTCTTTGCTAAAAACATCTATATCTTCAGCTACCCGAATAATATTAAATTTTGTTGCATGTACAATTTGCTCTCTAATTACTCGTTCTATGGCTGAACGATACTGATCAAATTGCTGTGGGGTGGCATTTTTAATGTCTAATACGATGCATATTGATTTCTCAAGTATTACACCAAATACTCTACGACTTTCACATGTCAACCATTCAAGACGGCGTTTATACAAATTGATGGCTTGGCATAATCTTGTTTCTATTGCATTCAATTTCTCTTTTCCACATGAGATCTACATTTAGTATTGTATATTTAAATACCATTTAGTAATATTCTACACTCGTATTGATTTTAGCAACTTTTCTCATTTAAAAAACTTACATTAAATGTTCGACCATCGTTTCTAAAAAACCTCTGAAAGAGATTTGTACCATATCTTGAACATATGGGCTTGCGCATGGAAGCATCAAAATCTGTATAGTTTAAATTTTTGTCAGTTCTTAAAGTCTTTATACTCAGTTTACAAAGACTTATCGATTTGCTACACCTTTCTCATGCAATGGTTGTTCTAACACTCACCGTCGCTATGTCGAAAGCCAATCAAAGGTAAAAGGTGATGCATATCCAAACGATTTCTTTTTAGACCATAATTGGAGAGCCATTTTCTTGTAGATACTAACCCTTTAACATCCACCTCCCATTCCTTTGGAGGAACTCTATCAATACTTATCTCTGGATCAAATGATTCATGATCATCTGTAGTAAAGTTTGCTGACCCGACGGGTGTAAAATCGAATGAGGGCTCTATAGGTAGTAAATTATCCATTCTGTCTTTATTAAATATTCAAATTGTTTCCCACTTACTTTCAGAGTATGCATTTTTATCGAAGATATTTATACTAAGCACATTATCCATGGACATCATTAAATTCAAATATGGATAGCTTTTATTTCAAAAATATTTCCTTAACATCAACAGTGTTTTATTGTTAATTTACCCTATAAAATATATATTCAACTAATGCAACAAATTTCAATTGGGTATTGTGTGGTTGCTAACGTAGCTAACCAATGAGCTGATACTTTTTCCATTCATAATCATTTTCGTATAAATGTTTAGAATTCTTTTTTTAATGTAATCAAGTTGTTTTCTTTTTATGTTCTATTCTGAATATTTTACTGAGTAATTTTCTAAAATGATTTATTAGATCTTTGTACTAATTATATTTTAGTTGGTGAATAATTTCAAGAATCAGCAGTTGTGTTAGAATCATCCATTTTTGATGATAAATAAGCAGCTACATAAAATTAACATAAATGTGGAAAAATTTACAATTTCTGCAGTGTTAATTAGTGTTTAACATTCAACCAGTTGTCTTTTTATGGCTTTTTCTAAGTTTATTCTCTCGCCAACTTGCGTTATTCCCATTTGAAATAGCTCTGTTCGACCCAAACGCATTAGAGCCTTTCCGTCTACGTGATGACTTTTGAATCTTGTTTTATATCTGCTCATGTCGATTTGATCTAACCAATCTAAAACGTCGGAAACTGTCCAGTCAAGAATATTTGGCTGTTTAACTTTATCTTTTTTATTAAACAGATCAGGCGGGTCGATAATATTTGAATCAACTATATCTCCAAATTCAGGCGGAGGAGGAACAACAGATTGATGTAAATCATCAATGTCCATTGATGATTTTTCCTCATCGTTTCTGAAAGAACTCAAGGTTGAGCTATTTACTTTCTTGCCTGCTTTAAAACCTTTAATAACTTCTTCTATATCTTTATTACCAGAGGTACTTGAATCTAATTTATTTCTTCTTAGCTGGATTGCCATAAGAAGCGGGTCAGCATCAGGTGTATTATTTGTTCGCAAATGAATTTTCTCCTTATTTTCCTTTTTTTCAACTGACATGTTAGATTGATTGTTTATTCCATTCTCTTTTGGCAATATTGAAGATGGAGGTGGAGGAGGTGCTGGTGGAGGAGATATACTAGAATTCGATTTTCCAGGTCCAGGTAAATTTAAAGGAGGGGCTGGCGGTATGACAACAGAAGAATTAACTTTTGCGGGAGACGGCGGTTCGCTATCCTCATAATCTGGTGTGGGTTCATCGTCAAGCATTGTTTCTTCAATCACAGCAGATTCCGTTATTTTCTCAGCTGAAGACAAAGATTGCTTTGCAGATTTCTCCTGTATCATATTATGAATTTCGTTTGCTGTCAGTCTTCTAGGTGTTGCTCTAGAACGAATTGAAGCTGGTACTTTTAAAGATCCATTTTCTACTAGGAAAATCAGAAAATTAAACACACTTTGAAAAGTATTAATTAATATGGTCGAATAATATGCTACTACCATTGGAAAAATCTTTAAACATTTTACTCCCAGCAGACAAGCTAGTTGAAGGATGCCGAGCAGGAGGAGGTGGTCTCAATACTAAAAATTATAATAATTTCGAAAATGAAATACATAAAACACTTATATTACTCACTATTTATTTCTTTCTGACTACCATTTAAATTAATGTCTGCAACCGTCATTATTTTCAAAGTTAGAGTATCACCCGACTGCTTAATAAAGCGTACAGCCTCTTCATGACTTGAAGATGCTACATTATGCCCATTTATTTCTAAGATATAATCTCCAGATTTCAAGCCAGCTTTATATGCAGCACTACCACTATCTACTCTATCCAAGAACTGAAGAGCAGGTATTTGAGGAGTTGGAACAAAGTTAATCGATTGCAATCCTTGAGCTAATTTAAAAATAGTCTCTGTGAAAAATTTCTCTCAGATACTTTTAGGGTAAGGAGTCCCTACCTTTAGTCCCTCGTAATACAAATCCAAAACCGTTTCGACCTTTTTGTAGCACAACCGTTCTGGCTCCGACAGAACTGAAAGAATACTCTCTATAATCAAATTATTGAAACTAAATCTAGTAAAAATATTTAAAAAAATTTAAAGTTTCCAACCTGCCTCTCTCCAGTAAAGCATAGAAAGCATCTTTCTTAACAACTATTGAATCTGATGATATGTCGCTTGAAACTAAAAAATATTAATATAAGAAAGGTGATAGTTTACTTTTATTATATAATATAAGTCAGATTATTTGGTACGTAACTTACTTGTAGATCTTAAAGAAGAGTTTGGATCGGAAAAAACAGTGTTTGGTGATATGGGTACGCTCGAAATTGTTGTTGACCCTGCTGGAACGCTCACCACCGATTGAGTCGGAGAAGCTGGACGTGAAAATCTTCCAGCCAAGTTGATTCTTGGGTCACTCTTTGATCTGGTTAAAGTTCCGGCTGTCCAAACAGATCGCCTTCTTTTATTATACTGAGGTACTTCTTGTATAGGCACTAAAATTTTTAAAAGTCAAATGAAAAATAGAGTAATCAAATAAAATGGTAAATCTCTACCTATTTCATCTAAGCTGAAATTCTGAATAATATTCGCAATATTAAAGTTGTCTGCGATAACAGCTACCTGTCTAGGATCCTGATTAGCAAAATTTTGGATCGACTTTTCCGCCCCTCTAAACAAAAGCATTCGTACACAACCTTCCCGGCCGTTTAGAGCTGCTACATGAAGTGGGGTATTCCCCGAATTGTTTTGAACGTTCATGTCAGCTCCGTAATAGAGTAAATGCTCCAAAGTCTGTTCATTTCCATGCTTACAGGCGTAGTGAGTCTCCGTCCAGCCTTGATCATCACTCAAGCACAAAACAGAGTGATCATGTAGGAGATTTTCAGAAATTCTTGAATCAACGTTATTAGCAACAGCTAAAAACAATGGAGTCAAGCCCAAACGATCTTTATAGTTCGGTGATGCACCAAGATCTAAGAGTATTTTCACAGCTTCAAAATTATTAGCCATTGCTGCTGAATGAATAGCAGTATAACCGTCTCTATTCCGAAAGTCTAAATGAGCACCTCCACTAAAAAGTGATATCACGATATTTTTTATAACAGGCTTTTTCATAATTGAAACTGCAATAGTTAAAGGTGTTTCTCCACTTTCTGTCTCTATAAAATTTGAGTCTAACCCTTTGTTGGTCATTGAATTTATTTTTTCTACATCTCCTTTTTTAACATAATCAAAAAACTGTCTTAAGTTGCCCTTGGTATGAATTTGCTTTAATTTTCGAGTATTTATATTGAGAAGCTTATATACCCTTCTTTTATACTTAAATTCCAAATGTCCTACACCATTAGCAACAGGATATTCTCCTAGCCTACGCTCCTCATCTAGAAATTTGCCTGCTCGAGCATTTTGGGGAGGTAGATATAAGCCATAATTCAGTCCATCTTTAACTTCCTATTAATTTGAAGTAAAACTTATAAAAAAAGAAATTTTGAAAGATTCTTACATTATGCAAAGATTTAAGTATCTGCTGCTTTGCTACCCAAACAGTTTCGTTCAAATCAAATCTCATGGATATGGGTTGATTCTGAGCATAATAGGAATATATTAGTGGCAAGAAAGTTTAAATCGGTGACATGTAGTATAGTAGTGCGTGGTACCTGATCTTTCCTGTCTGGTATGGTTATTCGAATCAAAATGCTATCTTCTGCCATGATTCTTCCGCTTTAGGCAGCATGAAAATATAGTCCACACCATAAAATTATTAGAGTGAACTGGTGGCAATCTGACTTCATGCAGAGGATAGTTATCTCAAAAAAAACGTGTAGCTCTTATCTTTACAAAGTATTCGAGCAATGTGACATTCGAAAAAAGAGCTGTAGAAAAAATTCGTATATATCGTCAATTGATAAAACTATTTGAGGCCTACAGCTTGTTGAAACAAATTTTATCTGGTTAAAAGTTTAGTAAAATAATAAAATGATTGTATGAAGCCTAATTTTGAGCATGACGATAGAACTCATACTTTATCACATCTTTATATAAATATCCTACGTCGTATTCAAACATTAACAACAATAAATATGCAATAAAATCAACTTATAAACAACAATTAGCTGTCTAGTAGAGAAATTTATTCTATAAATATTGTCAACCCAACTACACAACAAAACTTATCCGAGTGCTTACATAACATGTTATTACCCATAAGAAAAAGATTTTAAGCCGTGCAAAGCGAAGTTTTAATTAAATCAGTTTAGCTTAGAGTGGTTCGAATATAATCACATCACTTTAGAGCGAATTACCTTTTCTGGTCTCATGAAACGCAAACTTACCAATTGTTAGAAATATACGTAATAATTTCTTTTGATGAATGATCAATTAAAAAGAATCACAAACCCAAGTCTCGTTTGTCAATTTATCTCGTTTTGCCACGCCAGTAACAATGAGTGACAAGAGTTCTTACTCACACTCAATCATTTTTTTTTAACAGCGCCACCACAATAACAAATGATTTTATTATGTTTAAATGCACTAGAATAAGTTTTGTGCTAACTAGGACTTTATTTGATAAAACACAGTGACTTATTGAAAATAAAACCTATTGCTGTAAAAGCGAGCAGGGAAAATGAGTTGTGTTTTCCTAAAAGGTAGATCCTAGCAAAATACAAAAATACCTGTCGTCCTCATTGAGAGTCTCTGGATGAAATTAACGCCATCTATCGCACATAAATATTTTTAAAGATGGCGGCCAGGGGTCCCATACAATTTTGTTTTTCAACTGTTCGATGGATTCCAGTTTTATTTATTACTGCAATCATATCATGGTCATATTATGCTTATGTCATTCAAATGGTCGCTTGTTCGTATATATTTGTTAAATAACCACTGATGTTTAATCATTCTCTCTTCCTCTTTAGTCACAATTGATAATACTGCAGAAAAAATTATTCTGTCTATTATTTATCATCCCATATTAGTGTTATTTCTTTGGGCATATTGGCAGGCCATTTTTACTCCTCCAGGCAGGCCTTCGCGAGAAGTATAGACAGATATGTCATTTTAAATCATATGTAAATTTTTATTTTCAGTTTTATTTGTCTCCAAGTGATGAAGCTGCTTTGAGTCGTGAAGACAATGAGTCAGCTCAATCAGAAATATTTAAAGAGCGAAGTAAACATCTCCCGATTTATTGTCGAAATATGTTAGGAGGTAAAAAAACGAAATTGTAAGATTTCCAAAAATTTAACATTCATTATCAATAATTATATAGAGATTCGATATTGTGAAAAATGTAATTGTATCAAACCTGATCGATGTCATCATTGCTCAGTGTGCGGTCACTGTGTGCTCAAAATGGATCATCATTGCCCATGGTAATACAAGAATTTCAATCCAAGTACATAATTCTTACATCATAATTTCAGGATCAACAATTGCGTTGGCTATACGAACTATAAATTCTTCGTCTTATTCCTTTTTTATGCCCTTCTTTATTGCTTTTATGTAGCATCTTCGTCCTTGAAGTATTTTATCTTGTTTTGGAAGGTAACCTTATTTCTTATTAAAAATGTTAATTATCAAAACTTTCTTAAAGGGGGGTATCGAATCTAACAAAGGAATGGGCAAATTTCACATTCTATTTCTCTTCTTCGCTTCAATAATGTTCGCTGTGTCACTCATCTCGTTATTCAGTTATCATATATATTTGACTCTTTGTAATAGGTCAACCCTCGGTTTGTAATAGTTTTTGCAAAATCGTTACTTTAATTTATGTTTTTGCAGAATCTTTTCGTACACCATATTTTCAAAGTGGCCCAGACAAAGATGCTTACAATCTTGGTAAATTAGCAAATTTCAAAGAAGTTTTCGGTGAAAATAAGAATCTTTGGGTTCTGCCTGTTTTTACAAGGTAAAACTTCTATATTATAAGTTTTTTAATTTTTCTTGGGGTATAAACTTGAAAGCATGTCAAGTATTTAAAACACAGATTTCATTAACCTACAATTCATGTGAAAATACCAATTAACTTGCATAAATTTAAGTTAACCCAAAAAATATCTAAAGAAATTATCAATGAACAGTATAAACTCGATTTTATTTAACTAGTGCTGGGGATGGTGTTGTATTTCCAATGCGAGTTTCGTCGCAAAACGGCACTAACTACCATACGATGGAAGCGCCACCTGTTCAACAGGACGAATTGGATCAAAGTGTTGAAAGGTATTAATTTGGTGCTCAACATTTTTATCGAATGAGTGAATTTTTGTTTGTGATATGTGAAGGTACTCTTCATACGATATTTTGATGCTCGTTCTGTCTGGTGGCGCTTTGCATTCCCATTATATTACATTTAATTGATAAATTTTCCATTTTTCATAATGCACTTCTTCATAACAGTAAAGGTGACGGAACAAACTTTCCGATTCGAACAATAGATGAAGATTATGATTCTTTACTTGGACAACGACAAAGATGGATGGAGGCGGGAAATAATGAAGGTATAGACTAAATGAAACTAAAGCAATGTAATCGCGTTAGATTTTATATTTAAAATTGAACCTCCGTCGTTAGTTTCAGCTGATTCTGAACAATTACATAGCTACACATTCTCGTAAAGGTACAATTTATCGTGTTGTTTAATTGTTACGAAACACCTTCCGAATTGCATAAACTATAGTCTGAAACATAGTCGAGTGTTCATTAGCTATTTGCATTACTAATATCTTTCATTTTCAGCTCACGACAACAACGCTATGAATACCAGTATGTAATCTATGGAAGCTACCAACACATACATGTGATAAAATAGTTTCATTTTTATCCTGCCGCCTGAAAACAAAGCAATCTCATATCAGGCACCTATTTGAATAACTAAACTGTCTTTTGTATATAAGGATCATTTTTATAAAGAGAAATAATATTTAACATTTCATTTATATACCTTTAATTTTAATTCAATGTTAGCCTAAGATTCACTGTTATATCGTGCTTTACCGAGGGTAGCAAGTTTTAATGTAATTGATGACACATACTCATTTTAAACTCTAGGTAATATAGTAATTCATTATAAGCTTTTCTTTTTTGTTTATGATCGATATAAAAACTCAAATTGAAAATTTTGAAAACAATGTATTCCCCGATCTTTCTGTAGTATTATTGTTAAAAAAAATTAATGTAAGTTTAAGGTTAATAAAGACTTGTTTTCTTCATTATACGTAAAAACTCAGCTTCGTTTATTTCACCATCCCCATCTCTATCGGCTTCGTCTATCATTTCCTTGAAATACAAATAAATTGATATGATGATAATATTATGATTTGGTGACATAAACTAACCTGTAGTTCTTCGTCAGTAAGATTTTCTCCTAATTCTTTTGCAACACGCTTTAAATTTTGAAAAGAAATCTTTCCCGTTTCATCATCATCAAATAACTTGAAAGCCTGAAATAAATTAAGCCATGTAAATATCTGATATGATTTACTTCAGTGCGACACACTTTCAGAATCTCTTCTTTGGAGTCTTTCTCACTCATCTTTTGTGACATCATTTGTAAGAAATCATTAAAATCAATTGTCCCTGGACAAGAATTTGAAACAGTTATTTAATTTCAGCTGTTTACTTAAAAATTCTTACCAGTTCCTTCTTTGTCAATATCAGCAATCATTTTCTTGATTTCTTCTCTTTTTGGCTCAAATCCAAGAGCCCTCATGGCTACCTATAGTTTAAAAATTACCATTCATAGCTATAAGAAACGATAGTTTTATCAATTATACCTTCAATTCCTTAGCGTCAATGGTGCCCGAGCCATCAGCATCGAATAAATCAAATGCCTCCCGAATTTCCTGCTTTTGCTCCTCTGTGAGTTCAGGCTTCGGTCCAATTTTTTTTCTTTGGTTCCCAGCAACAGATTTTCTGTAATTTGACTGTAAGAAATTAATTTATTATTTATTTTATTATCATTCCGTTAAAATAGCAAAATATGCAGGATGTTTAAATATTTTTAGTATTTTAGCATTGTGTGATAGCTGATTTAGAGATAGACAAAATAAAATGATGAACACATCGGCTTAAACAAAAAAAAAAAAGGAAATATATATTCTTACCATGATTACTTGAATTTGTTGTGCTTCGAAACAGAAATGCTGATTTCCTTAGCAAAGCGAAAATTTGTCTAAAAAAACTGGCATGTCTAAACAGACCAGATTTGCCTTACCATTTTTTAGACCTACCCACAAACGTTTTTGAATGTGTGTGAAGTAAACTTCTAATTCAATTTTAACATTCATAATTACCTGATTAACTTTCTGTAGTTAAAAATTCTAATTGTATGCATGTAAACAAAATTTTTATTAGCAACGTAGTTCCGAATATAATATGTCCTAAAAGATACAGCTGTTTCCGTTAAATATGTATCACAATTAAAATATAAATGCTATTATTGTCAAACAAATATGCGAAAGGCTGTTGCAAATTATATTTATCATTCTTCAACAAAACATTATGATTAAATTTATGAAATGCTTGTAATATATTCTCTTCAAGTTTTATAGTATTTTCCAGCAATATTATGTAGACTTTCAGGAAAGCCAAAAGGCCATGACCAGCGCTTCTGAAAAGTGCATCTAATAGACCTTAAACTTCTACTGTAGATAATCATTTATAAAAAATTTCAAAATCACAAACACATAAATTTAGAAGAAAATCTTATTTCGTAAGTCATCAACTTCTTGAAGCCTTGATGTATTTTTAAAAAAATATATTTTTGAATGATTGTATTATTTGTAAAACTTGGTCAAACATTCATACAATGTATTTTCAAATATTTTTAACTAGTATCAAGTGCTTATCCCTTATTTTTTAAAGAGAATTAGAAGAAATAATATTCATTATGTTAAAAGGAAGTCGAAGATATAACATTAAAACGAAATTAACACGACATTACTTTACAGGACATCTTGCAGCTTTTAAATACTATGAAAGACCTCAGCAAATAATCGCTTACTCGAGTTTTGGTTTTTCAATGCTTTCATCTTCAGTATCGGAATAGTCGCGAGGTTCCTGTCCAGGTTTCAACAGTCTTCCAACGAAAGGATATTTGTCATTAAACTGCTCTTCCCACTCTCGAACGGAATTCATTTGCATTTTGTTTAAGTCGCTTAAATCATCATAAACGTCTTTAATTGATTCTTCGTTAAGAGAAAATGTTGCTAATCCTCGTGAAGCATCTTTCCCAGCAAACACACCATAGGGGGCTCCTATTTGTCGAATTTCAATTAAAAGATAGAAATTAAAGTTTTAGTTTACTTACCAATCCCATAAAATTTTTTCCCTTTAGTAACATCAAAGATTTTACCATTAACTGCTATTAAAATTCGACCATCTTCACGCATGCCATCAAACTCTCTAAGCTGCTCCAATGTGAAATCTTTCTTCTTCATAGGAGGCAATTCTGGTTCAGGAGGCGGGCCAGGGTCATCCTGAGATCGACTTTTAAATATTTTATATATTACATAGCCGCACATTGCCAATAGCCCCACATTAATTGGATTAGTGAAGACATCCTTCAAAAAATCCATTGCCGAACTTGATGAACGCGACCCTTGAGCCATACGTAACTGGTAACGAACTAAAAGTGTATGTTTTTCATCAAGGGTTCCCGTCCGAAACCACAAAAGTATGAACACAACAAATAGTCACCAAGAGCCATACTTTGAAATGACGTCACTGCTTCATACACAACGTTCTATTTCCGGTTAGTGGCTATCACAATATTTTTTACAGTTTTATTAAAGCATAATAATATTTTTTCATAACAGTTGAGCGACTATTCTGAAATATTAATTCCGTTCAAATAATGTCGATGGACACGAAAGCAAGTGATTCACAAATGTTTTCTCAAACAAGTCAAGGTATTCACAATTCCAGTTTTCGAAGTATTATTTTAAGTTAACTGAACTCCCTATCAAGAAGCTGATTTAACATTTTACAAAAACAAATTCAGAAAAAGCTTATGAGCCGAGATTCTATAAGATTAAGTCTATAGACTATTAGGTTATTAAATATCAACATATTTTTACTGTAGAAATCAATCAAAAGCAATATGCGTCAACTTCAAGGTTTTATGAAATATATTTTATTCGATGTTTTAGACGATGAATTTTATGGTAATGTGGCAACATCAGTTGAAAATGATACTACATCTAAAAGGACCAGCTCACCACTCACTCCAGCCACTGAGGAAGATAACTTCAACTCACGCAGAGAGCAAGAATGGAGAGATGAATTAGCTAAATTAGAAGATGACATTACAACACTTCGTCAAGTTTTACATTACAAAATTGAACAAACAAACGAATTAAAACATAAATTAGGTATAACTCCAATAAAAGAATTTCAACAAGACTTGAAAACTGGTATACAGAATATTAAGGAATCAGAGACGTAAGAAATCTATTATATTTAATAGTTCATGATATAAGTATTAATAATACCTGTATAATATATAGTTTACAGAAAATCCAGAATTCTGAGGCGTGAGTTATTTTGAATTTTATATTATTCGAAACATTTCATATTCTATTGTGAAAAAGACATATACATTTACTTTGTCTAGATACCAGAAAACAGGCGAAGTTTTTAAATCAGTAGGAGCGAAAATGGGGGGAGTCTTCTCTCTAACAAAAAATAAATTGGGTGGCATGAGGTATTAATTTATTAGAACTTGATATTTTTTTCTATAATTTTTAGAGTCTTTAAATAATTTCTGACATATTTAACCACTTACAGGAATTCTACTGCTTTTCGATCTTTTGAGGAACGAATAGGAGGTGCCGTTTCTAATGTCAAAGTAAGTAAAATATTTGGAAGATTGAGCGCATACAAAAACTTCGTCATTAAGCTCATGGGTTCTCGGCTTTCTTCTTCCTAATACTTAAATGTCCACCCATACACAGCATTCGCGATCTATCGGTAGTCTTCGACATAGTTTGTCGACGACATCACCTATGTTCAGCAACGACCCAGAAGAGGGTCTGAGAGTGAGTGTACCCGGTAGTGATCTTTCTTTCATTACACAGATTCAATATAGTGCTAAACGTTCTTAAGTTGTATTACTTATTTTCAAAAGCATTTGTATACTATACTTTTGTTTTCACTAGTTTCGAATTAATGTTGTGTATCCTTACGTTGTAAATGTCCGATACATCACTAAGATCAATTAAGATGAGAAAAAAATAAGCTTTCGAACGGAACTAGTGTTGTAATACTTTTTACAGACAGCCATGCTACACAAAACGACCTCATTTGCAGAATCGGAAAAGCCTCAATATTGAAAGGTTTGAAGAAGACATTTTGAATTTGCTTTTTTATCCATAAATGTTCTGTTTATCGCTAGTTTCGTTCGAAATTTTTTTTACTATTAAATTGAAGAGATAACAAGATATTAATTTACATTTTTCCTCATAGAGTCGAGTCCGTGGGAGCAAAACAGAGGAGGATTTTGAATCTGTATTGAAGGAAACGAAAGAAGAAGAAGCTCGTCAACCTTCCATTCCTTCGGCTCCTCCTTCTTAGTCATTTAATCTAAATTTTTTTCTTGTCCTTAATATTAAACTGTAATGTATAAAATTAAACGATAGTAAGAATGGTATGATTTGGTTTCTATATAATTGTAGGTAGGTTCCAATTAATTTTCATATATTTTATTATTAATCAATTTTGCAATATATTCTTACAATGACAAATATAATTTTTCAAGTTTTAGTTTGTCAGTATGAGGTGAAAAATAATCCCTAATTTTTTTGGCTAGTTTTAATTAAAAAGCCTTTATCAGCAATGGTTACAAGTCATAGAGATTTCCAAAACAGTGAAGATAAATTTAAACTGAAAAACTTAAGCGAAATTGTAAATTACTGATGATTTAAGTTGTCATTTGATTCATTTCTATTTTGTTGAAAGTTGTCTGTCTTCTTTTGGCTCCTAGGAAGAACTTCACTCTGACTATTCATATGTTCGACTAAAACATCTTTCTTGGGGATTCTTTCAACTTCTCTTTCTTCGTACAAACTCTTCGCCTTCACGATTTTCTTGTAAGCTATATTGGCAATAGCCGATTGATTTTTTACACCAGAATTTAACAAAGCTTCTTCTCTAATTTTATCCTGGAAAATTTTTCTGATTAACGTAAATAAATTAATCGATACTAATTCGTGCATATACCTCTTCTTTATGCTGTTTCAATTGCTTAATAATTTCTTTTTGCTCGTCGATCAATCGTTTTTGTTCTTCTTGTTGATTACTCAGTTCCTTTGTTGTTTTTGCAAAGGTAACTTAATTACCATATAAAATTGAAAGGCACTTACTTTAATGAGTTTTTTTGCTTCTTCCTTATCTTGTTGAAGTTCTTGCTTGGCCTTTTCTTTTTCAATCTTTTCTTGGCGCCGCTTCATTTCCTCGGAACTCACAGTAGGCTGAAAACACGTCTACTAAAGAAAGAAAAAAGTTCATAATTTTTAGCCTACTACCTCTTTCATTTTATTATCTTCTCCCAGAATCGGCTCATTAGGATTGGGCGGCTCAACACGTTTTTCGTTCTCAACAACTTCCGCTGTAAATAGTTTCATTAATTTAAATAATCTAGGTTTTTTGAACAAAAAAAAAACCTTTCTTTTCAACATATGTAGAAGTGTCGATAGGTTTTAATTTTTCCATCAAAACTTCTTTAGGTACTTCTAGATTCGAAACCTTTTCTTCCAGTTTAATTTGCAATCTATCGTCTGTTTTAACTGCGATTCGATCTTGTGAGTAAAGTGTTACATATGTGCTGGCCAACATTACAGTTATCCCCAAACATAAAACTAGCTATAAGAAACAGTTTAAACGTGCTGTTCAGAGATAAACTCTTTTACCTGTCCTGTCGTTCTGGGCTTTACTTTGGTCGGTTTAGTAACAGTAAGAAACATTAAAGCCGGAAAAATAAATGATATCATTGACCCCATTGTTGAACCAGTTAACCCTAAAATAAACTCCACTGAAAAAATACACATTAAAACTGATCATTAATACATCTGTAATATTTACCATTTGGAACACAAATTCCAATTGCTAGAGTGCTAAGAACAATAGCTATTGTGATAGATCGAAAGTGATTTACTGGTATGGTGCTGGATTCGGTTAATCCCTCGTGAGATGACTGAAAATAAATAATTTATCATAAAAAAGTATGAAAGATTAAGACTGTTTGCTTAAAAATTATTTTTGGCACGAAAAAATCAGAATAAAAAGTTTTACAATTTAGTCTTTGATTTGAAATCAAGCGTGACACTATTATGTTACCTCTAAAGTTTGGTACTGAAAAAAAACATTGTTTAAACCAATAAGTATAAATACTTTATATCTATCTTTTGGGATTATTGAGACAAAATTGCTATCAAAAACTTACTTTTGAAAAAAGAAGAGAATAAATGCTTGCTCTACAAGGAAATATGACTAGCGGAAAAGATAAGGCAACCGAAAGGACAAATCCAAGTTTCAGTGCTCCACTGAATATAGTTGGAGTGAAATTGACTAACACGTCTCCAGAAATTTCATCTGAACAGAAAGCAACATAACCGAAATATCCGACCATAAGGTAGACACTTGTGCAAATGTTAATTGCATTCTTGACAATTGTATCCATACGACTAGGAGTTGGTTCTGGTAAATTTTTGTACATGACAAATAATTGCCTGTAATTTATTACATATATTATTTATAATTTTGTAAAAAGATTCTACTTACGATTGGCATCCAAATGCCAAGCTAAGAATTGGCAAACATTTAAAAAATCCAGAATATTGCCACAAAATAACGTGATTTGTCCATTGGCTTGACCATAAATTCGGAAAAGAAACAAAGAATATCTGTGTTTTTTTCAGATGAGTTTCCGATTACGCAATATCTTTAACTCACATAGCACACGAAAACAATGTAAAATCCAATTGATAGAGCACTGATGTTAGCTAATGATTCAACATTTCGTAAAAGACCCATTGGCAGTGCAACGCATAAACCCAGTAAAATCATTAAAAAGGTTCGTAAATGAGTAGTATTCTGAAAATCAGTAATTCAAAGAAGAAATCGTACTTCGTCATAATTTACAAGTGATTTTAACCTCGATTCCAAGGATTTTTGATATTATATCAGGTCCCAGGTCACCAATTACTATATGGAATGCTACACAAGTTCCAAAGAGAAGTCCTATAATACTTATTTCTACACATAGCTTTCCAGCAGCTCCAAAAGCATGTAAGGCTAAGAAAAAATTAAAAAAATTGAATTTACTATACATGCAAAAAGTATTACAACCTAAGATTTCATATGATCCTTTTTTTGATGAAAAGGCCGCATTTAGCAACAAATTACATGATAAACGAGTCAACAAGGCTGATCCTAATATTAATGCAATTCCTAATAGTAGTCCACACTGGAAAAACATATTAAATTTTATATATCTAAGAAATTACTGTCTTACCTGCTTAAAACAATAAGGCATTGCCAAAACACTAACGCCAATAATGCTGTTTCCTAGAGTTAAAACATACGACCAATTTGTACCTTGAGACATCTTTGCTATTTGCTAAACAAGTGTCTGATTTTTTCAACGTGTCATGTGCACAACAGTTGAGGGATGATCTTGATGCAATGAATGTTGTAATCTTAATCATTTAATATTACACATTGTAAAATGAAGGAAGATTATTAAAAGCTTGCTGTTATTAATTCTAAATAGACAGAAAAACAGGTTTTACCCGAAAAGTATCGACGTCGATTCCTAAAGAGCACAATGGCAAAACATTAGTTTTAAAAAGAAAACTGGTAGAAAAAATACGAAAAAACTTTACAAAAATATTATCTTATTTAAGCGAAAAAGGAAGATACTACAAAAAATACTCAGATTACATTTTTTCTGTATTACTCTAAACTATAAAATATATAAAATCGATTTGTAGATTTCCTATAGGAATCCCAGGTTTGTTGTCATTAGAAACGACAAAATCATTTATGCCTATGAAAAAAAACAGTCGGAGTAACAGAAATGTTCAAAATTTTTGCGATTATAATGTTAATTAACAACCTTAACTGTAGAGGTTCAGTCTTATTTTACTTTTGTTCAATAATAATATATTTACTTATAGGAGAGATTGGAAGGGTCTTAAAATATTACGAAACACTTACTAGAAACGATTTCACTTTGGAAAAAATCTCAAGAACTAAGAGACAAACTGAATCTCCCACATTTTCCCAAAAATTAAATATAAGACTGTTTGGAAAGTAAATATATATATATATATATATATATAAAGATTTTGATAATTTTGTTAATTTTTTTTAGAAACCTTCAGTTACATGTAAATCCTGAGAAAAATGTTATGAGTAAAGATTTTCAAAGTTTTGTTAAAAGCACGAAACATTTTGAAGAAAAGTACATTGAGCATCCAAAGTTTTATAAAGGATATGTAAAAGGCTTAAAGAAAAGCACAGTTAGAATTCACTTTATAGCTAACGATGTATTTGCAGCAATTGACTTACCAGAAGAGCACATCTTTATTGAGGTGATAATCTTTAAACAAAAAATATATATCATAAATTTTATATATATAGCCTTCTTGGAAGTTCTTGCCCTTATCATCAAATTATTCCTTAATTGCATATAGAACATCACAGTTATCGTCAACTGATAGGTACTGTAGTATACTTTTTATAATGCTTTTTAGATAGTTTTCTCTATTTAAATTAAGACTCAAATGTGGATTTGTGGATCCGAATTTAGCTGAAGAGCCGAAAAATCAACACGGTATTTTTTTTCTTTAAAACACTTTAGTTAGTCATAGATTAAGTTTGTGTCCTAATACTTAGTCCAAACTCATCGAGCGAAAAGAAATACAATTGCAAATCGGGTTTGTAAGCTGCTTTTAGTCGCTGATTACAAATATTTCGTAGAGGTTGGGAAAAAATCCTTTTCCGAAACAGTCAATAATATGGTAAATTTTTTTACAAATAAATTTTCCTTAACAGAAAATTATATTTATAGATATCTAAAATAACTGAGGTAGACGCAATTTATCGTGCAACAGATTTTAGGAATGGATATAAGAATATCGGTTTTGAAATTCAAACGGTTTGACATCAATTTTTTTTAAAAAAGTTTTATGAATCCTTGTTAGGTTGTAGTTCATGATGAGTTCACAAAAAATTCTGGAGAAAATCATTATAATAAGGACAAATCAAATTGGACTGCAAAAGAATTACTGAGAGCATTCGGATCGGATAAAAGTTTAAAACATGAAAATTATTGCGCTGCACATCTTTTTACAGCGACAAAATTTTCAGATGGTATTCAAGGTGTTGCATGGATAGCAAAATCTGGCGCAGTTGGCGGAATTTGTGCTCCAGGAAGTGGTAGTACTAAATATAATACGGGTTGGTCAACAGCAATAGATAAATATGGTAATAGAATATTAACTTTCGAAAGTATTCTAGTTGCAGCACATGGTTAGTAATTCAGTTTTTTAAAAACATATAATATTTCAGTCTTTTAAAAGAATTAGGGCACAATTTCGGAAGCCAACATGATCCTCCATCATGTGCCACTGATAAGAATAATTTATTTTTAATGTACACTTACGCAGTGTCAGGTAAACAATCAAATAATCAAGTAAGAAAAGATTTTCTCTTTGTTCCATATTTTTAAAAAATGTTTTTTTGGTTTTAGAAATTTTCTCAATGTAGTATTGATCACATATCAAAAGTTTTAAACAGCAGAGGCAGTTCTTGTTTAAAGGAACCATCAACTTCCTTTTGTGGTAATTACAAAAAAGAGGATGGTGAGGATTGTGATGTTGGAAATGTTGCCGATGATAAATGTTGCACTACTAATTGTAAATTTAAAACAAATGCTGTATGCAGCGATAGAAATTCTCCTTGTTGTTTTGAATGTACTTATGCTAATTCGTCAGTAAAATGTTTGGATCAGTCCAATGTACTTAATTGTAAAAAAAATTCATTCTGTACTGGTAAATCACCAGAATGCCCTGACCCAAAATTTGAAGTTGACGGATCATCCTGTATCGATAGGTAATAATATGCCTTGTATAGATGAAACATACATGAACTTTTTTACAGTGGAAAATGTAAAAAGGGCTCTTGTCAACCATTCTGTGAAAGTTTGAACAAAAATAGTGCTTCTTGCCTATGTGCTAATGGTGATATAGTAACATTTCGAAAACTTAATGTATTACAAATTTTCTTCTGTTTAGAAAATTCTTGTTCTATATGCTGTAGCGTAAATAACGGTACATGTGAAGTGCACAGAGAAAATGGGAAAAAATTATTACTATCTGATGGCAGGCCATGCTTTGAAGGGATTTGTGAGAAAGTTTGTAATTATTTTACATTCTTTATCAAAACTATTGCTAATTAACAGGGAATATGTCAAAAAACTAAACCTGTTGTAAATAAGCTTTGGGATATTTTGAAAAAATTAAGCGTTAATGATATAAGTAAGTAAAGTTTTAAAAAATTTTTCATAAATATAATGAATTTTTATGTCTTTTAGTTGAATTTTTTAAGAAAAATTTGGTTCTCATGGTTATAATATTTTTCTCTGTAATTTATATACCAATCACAATTATCATATCGTGTATCGATTATAAGAGAAAAGAAGATGAGAAATCACATAGACGATGGAAATATGAAATGGTTGGTTATTTCTTTACAAAAAATTTTTTCATTTTTTAAAAATATACATAATTTTCAGCCGAACCAGATATTTTTAAGCAATAGTGATAAGTTAACTATAAAGGCTACACGAAGTAAAAGAAGAGATAACTATATGGTTAAGAAAGATGAAGAAAATCAAAAAATTAAGAAAGAAAAAGTGTCAAAACAGAGAAATAAAGTTCATCCGTCAAACACAAATTATAATATATAACTATGTTTGTTAGACATATATTTCCAAATTAAGAGACATTTTTTTTCTACAATAATGAAACATAATAGTAAAAAAGACATCATAAATACACAATTTTCTTTAATACTCCAAGAAATTACGTTGAAGATTTTTGTGGTTTCAAAGTGCTGAAAATTGTAATTCTGCACGCTGTTCTTTATAGGAATTTATAAAAAAAATAGCATTCGACTTTCCTCAATTCTTTCACAGAAATCTAAAAAGTTTTTAGTGGAAAGCCAATTTTCAGTTAGTCTACGAAAGGTACTCTTCTTATCCTCGTAATTATATTGATTTATCAAGCTTCTTCTATTTAAAAAAAACTATTCCTATAATTAAACTGGCTCCAGAAAGTAGCCTGATTTTTCTTTACTACAAAAAATAAATACCATGTTACTTAAAGAAATGATGCAAATGAATTTTTTTTTTTCATAGTCACGGATATATCCAATTAAGTCTGATCGTCACGAAAATTTCTCTAATTAATCAGTATATAGTCAAAAATTAGGCTTATTTATAAGAAACAGATTACCAATTTGTCTTCAGCACGACAACAATTCACCGAATATTCTCACGAATAAGCACACAAAAATCATCCGTCTGTTATTGTTTCAGAAAAATCATACGTTGCCGAAGATCACAGAGTTTAATATATTTACTACCGTTTCTAAAGTTTCTTATCCAAGTAATTATTTTAGAAGATGTAAATAGTTTTGATGTTAATTCAGGATGTCCTTGCTTTTCTTGTTACCTGATCTTTCTTAGTCCCTTCCAGTGGAATATAATTACATAGAATATACAGAGCACGTACTTTAAAGCATTTTATTGCACTTAAGTTTACAAACTATCTATTATATTGCTATAATATAGGAATCGAATATTCTCAAAGGAAGGCAAAATTGAAATGTGACATCAAATTTTTTTGTTTTTTTACCAGAGCGAAAGATGTGGGTTTTTATGAAAATATCAATCTGTGCAGTTTTTATTAATGTAGACATATTATACATGGCGAGTCTATAATTTTTTTAATCAAGGAAGTTATTGAAAGGATATATCCTTTCAAACGGTTGGTTTCTTTAAGACCATGTTCCTGGTCACGTAGCAGGTATCTTTAATTATATTATGCAAATTCGTATCATTTTAGCTTTTTCTGGATGATAACGGTTATGTTTTTAAAAATAAGCTATATATTATGAAATCTCTCATTCATTAACTACAGTAATTTTAAAATATACATAAACTAAATTTTGTAATAAATCAAAGTAGAGGGCGCAGTCAAACTATCCATCCCTCCAGTCGGTCAAAACAACAGGTGTGGATGTAAAGAGAAAATACCTTCTATTTACTGTTTAATTTCTAAACTTCTGAAAAACGGTAATAGAACATAGAGTGTTTTAACTTTTTACCAAATTTTTTAAAGGTATGTTTTATGTCTTTTATGATTCTTTTTCAAAATTTTACAATATGTTAGATAAAATCTTCTAGATTAAACTATTCGATTTTATAGGCTAAAATAATTAATACAACTCAAACTATTTTTACAAAATGGTTCTTTCTAAAAATACCTTTACACAGCGAATAACAAAATATATGCATTGACGGAGAAGCGTTAAATTACGTATGTCAATTTACTTTAGTGCTTCCTTTCCACTTTTTCATGTTTCATTCCTTAGCAAACGAGTTTTCGACAAGTATAAAACCTGAATTTTTGATTATCATTTAAAAAGAACACAACGTGTAAATCAGCAAGAGAAAAATAATTACGAAATTAATTACTTTGCAAGTTCGTTAAAAAAAACTGCATTAAATGTACAAGCTAAAATATAAAACATAATTTTCTAAAAACATACTGTTGTGGTACTTTCTAATAATGATAAATTACGGTTTTTTTTTGATCTGAAAATGTATTAAAAACATCAAAAAAGATGACTTTTTTCAGAGATAAGAACGATCTTGTGTTAAAAGTTTTATCCCATATTACCTTCTAAGGTATTCTTTGACAGTTTTCTATTCTATCTCTTTTATACTACTCTTTTATAAGGAATATAGAAAATCGACTAATTTTTGAACTCTGTCTTATGAAGTTAAGGCTTTTTTTTACCACAAACATTTAGTTATTATAATTTATCAATTATTCTTTTCTAAAGAAACTAATATACTTTACACAAAAGATTCATTGATGCATTCACAATGAGATTTTTCTGTAGGTAAATGGAGTTATCTATTTAACTTTTAAATACCTTGAATGAAACTTTAATTATTATCCAAATAATCTTATTGCAGAATGGTTATTGATCCTAAAGTTTTAGGACTTTTGGAATGTAAGTTTTTTGCTACAAACATATCTTCAAAAAACTGCTCATACAATACCACGCCGCATAATGTGAACTCCAGTTTCCATGACTTAAGGACAAATACTTTAGGTGATTTCATGTACGGCTATCTACTGCCAGTTTTCTTTTTAATTGGTATCATTGGGAACTCTATTTCATTAAAAATATTCACATCAAAAGCTATTATGAAAAGATCACCAGCTACATACTACCTGTCCTCTTTAACTTGCTCAGATTTAGCAGTTTTACTTTCATTTGTTCTTCTTGAATGGTTACAAAAGGGGCTGCCATATTTTAGCAAAACACAATTTTCTGTCATAAATCAAACTGGAGTTTGTAAAGCTTTTTTATATATATCATATTCAGCAAGGTTTGTGTCCGTTTGGTTAATCTGTTGCTTTACTTTTGAACGGTACATAGCCGTAAATCATCCTCTAAAAAGAAAAAGTTTGTGTACAAAGAAAACATCCAGAAAAGTCATTTTTGGCGTAATACTAACGGCATTAGTTATAAGCGTCTATGCTCCTATAAGAGGAGGCGTAAATAGGAGGAGCAAGGAATATGAGCCTCTTTGTGCTCTTCAACCTGAGCGTCAAAAGCCATCATTTACAACATATTTCAACCTTTGTTATGGATTCAGTGAGTACAGTTTTCTTTCCTTATGGAAATTCAACCAACATATATTTTTCATAGAAGAACAATTTAATCCCTTAAAATGAATTTCCATAATTTGTTTTAAATTAGATAAAAATCAGCCATGCATGTAAGGAGATCCTATAAAACTCAATAAAAACATTCTTATTTTATGCACATTGTGATGCCTTTCAGTGGATTAAAAGAATTTTAGGAATATAACATTCACAGAAATGAGGGTATAGATTACTCTAAATATTATAGTCTGTTGTTCTCGTGCACTTTGTCCAAGTGACTTGTAATTGAATACTTCTATTGTTTTAAATTACAGGTATCACTGGGATTCCCGTTGTCGTCATCGTTATTCTAAATGCGTTTATTCTTCGAACATTAGTGTCAGGTACTTTGAAGCAATTTGGGTCAAAGTCAGAAGGACGCAAAAATACCCTAAGACCGAAATTTACGCTTATATTGTTAACTATTTCAACGTGCTTTGTTGTTCTTAATCTACCATATTTTTTCTTTTGGTGCAAATGTCACTTTAGAAACTTTCTAGAGGATATGCTCATGAGAACTGATTTTGGAAATTGTCGAGAAAAAATTTATATCACACGAGCTCTTTTTTGTGCAAATTATTGTATTAACTTTTTCTTGTATTGTTTAACGGGAAGTTACTACCGTAAAGAAGTGATTGCTATTTGTGGGAAAAAAAGCCCGGACGTTGGACGAACATCTTTTACAGAGAGAAGTAGGGCGCACTCTTTAAGAGTAATAGCAATTGAAAGAAATGGTTCATTGTCAACGAAATCTAAAATTCAGCGAAATTAAAGATTAATGTTGTTATTTACTCAATGTAAAAATGAATATCAATCAATACATTCTATTTTGAAAAGAGATTCTTCTATCATCGGATAATTGTGAGAATATAATAATTAAAAAAATCAAAAATTTGAAATTTAAAACCTTTAGAGTAAAGACACTTTTTATATTTCATAGAAAGAAGCAATTGTATTAAACTATCTCCTTTTTCTGCCGAAATAATTGGCTTTTGTTTAAAAAAAAAGGGTCTAAACAAGATATTTTACTAATATTTTGCAAACTTATGTTGGTGTGTCGATTTCCTGACCTGACAGCAACTAAATCAGAAAATTGACACAAAAGCGCTAGAAGGAAAAAGCGGTTACAATGACCATATATATATTTCATTTTCTTTGACTTCTTTGTATTACAGTCATGGCAATATTTCGAAAGACGGTGAAACAATGTGTTGACCGTTCTTGTACATGATTTCCCAAGATTTTTTGACAAGTTTTTTCTCTTCCTCATTCAAGTCGACATCGATAATGAGATTTTGACTGAAAAAAGTAAGGTTTTTTAAAGAATTAAAAAATTCATTTTCTTACTATCTCATTTTTTCATCAAGAGTAATGGCAACGTCTCCTTTTAATTCAACCTTTCTTCTTAAATTGATGGGTTTGTCAATAAAACAAATAACTTGTCTCCAATGTGTAGGGCTGTTTAAGAAACCAATGGTTAGTTAGAAATTATTGTAAAAATGTATAAACACACTGATCAATAGGACCAGTATCTAATTCTTCACCGGTTGGAAATTTGGCTTTAAACCATATTCCAAAACCATGAAAAACACTATCTATTTCTGGTTTAAAGGAAATGTTGCCTCTGATACTCATACAATCTTCAACTTTTATAGTTTTAAAATCGATTGTGTCAATGACAGCGGGTTTAGCTCTTAAACCTTCTAAAGGCAGCGATTTAACGTATGCTTTAGAACTCGCTGTTTTTCTAAATCTTTCAAGAAGATGTGTAAAATCCACTCCATATATATGTTCAAAATTTAATATAAATTGTTCTCTAGAAAAAAAAAAGGTTAACTTCAACAAATGCTATTTACCATTTCTCACCTTCCCTCATAGTAATATTTATCAGCGATTGGAGCTATACTTATTTCACCTTCTGAAGGAAACATTAGTCCATCCTAAAAAGGCAAGCATTAAACCGATTGATTACTTAGCAAACATTTTTATCAACTGTACAGGTTTTAGCCATTTATTTCTAGCTTCTATTAAATGTGGAAGAATGCAGTCACCGATCACAGCTTTTCCCTGAATTTAATATTAGCCGTATTATATATTGGCAGTATTCTCAAGAAAAGTTAAGAGTTACCATTGTTTCACTAATGATAATGTCGACTTTTTCTGGAAGAATTGCGCTTTGAGCGTTTGACTTTATTACAACTATTTTATTTTCTAAATTGTTTTTCTTGGCCGCCTTTTCAATCATATCGTTATTCGAGTTCGGCTCAATAGCATAAACTAAAAATTTTAGCATAAAGTAAAAATTACAGAAATACATATAACAGTACTTAGTTACCTTTTCTGGCTCCTGCCTGAGCACACCAAATTGCTAATATACCAGTTCCACTTCCAACGTCAGCAACAAGTTTATCTTTAAAAACTCCATGGTTAAAAATAGCATTTCTAAATTTCATCAAAATTAGACAAAGAAAGGAATCAAATTAATTCAAACCTATAACTATTCATTCGAGTTTTACATAACAGCATTAGCAAATGAAAGTCAATGTCCAGCTCTCTACTGCTAAAAAGTAATTAGTATATTTTTTAAAAAAACATTTTCGTGTACCTCTCTTTTAAATCGTCATATGCGTGGTCTTCCATTTCAAAAAAAAATTTTAAATTGTTCTTCTTTTTGTCTTATAAAGCCTGCGATATCCTTGGACCTTGCGATAACCTTCTTTTTAACAATAAAATAACTGTTGTCGACAGTGTCTGCAACAAAAGGGACGGTTTTGTATTACACATTCAATATGGTCGAAAGTTCGCCTAAATAATTTTTATAGAATATCCATGTTTGACCTAAAGAAAAGTATACCTTTGTTCTATTAAGGGAAAACGAATTTTTTCAGTACTCTTTTAAGCATTGAAGCTATTATAATAACTAAGCTTTAAAAAATCGAATGTTACTATCAAATATCAGATCTCAGACAATGTCCAAAGTTGGTTTATACAAGAGATGGCATCATTTTCCTTCTGAAATATAGTGCTGCTATCTGGTTTTTATGAATATATCAGGTAACTTTTTTAATACTTTTCACTGTTCAGATGAAAGAAAAAATTGTCTAACATTTGTTTTCGGCCTTATAATTTGTTATAATTGTTATAATATATTAATTTTTACTATTATATATGACGATATGAAACAATATAAATTTATAATATACCTGCATATGTATATTTACAAATATATATTAGTATATGTTAATGTGTAGATTTATGTCTTTACAGATCTTTTTATACTTATATCGACATATTATGAGATTTTACCTACCTCTCAGTAATATATATAAATGTCCTCAGTTATTGTTTAAACGTCTTAAGAAGTTTGTTACAATTTAATATGTTGTTTTAACTTAAAGGACATTTATACTAGTAGTTTTTCGTGAGTTGTTGTTGAAATAGACAAAAAGTTATGTCGTGGACAAATCGTGTATTACGTAATGGGGTTGCGACCCAAGTCACGTGACTGTCCGCCAAGGCGGTCGGGTCATGACCGGATTTTGAAGGAGCTAGTTCGAAGTTGAACGTCCCAGCTACTTCAAAGATTGTTAATTTTACTTATCAACAGAAAGAGGAATCTGTGTTGCTAGTTTTTTCTTTAAGAAATGGTATAAAAATATGCATTCGATGCTACTATCTTTTAATGTTATGTGAAATTAGATTAGACAGTATTTTTGTTAACATTAAAAATTACAACATTTCTTTTATCCATATTACTGTTCAAAAAATAATGTGTAAAATGCAATCATGATTTTCTTTTTTTTATTTTTTTATAAAAATTTTATTTTGTAAACAGTAATTTGTTACATTTTTCAGATTCAGTTTTTATTGAGTTTGGAGATAAGGGCTTTAACAAAATGAACCAACCATAAAGGCTTGTTCATAATTTTGTATTTAAAAAATATGTAACTATAGAAAAGAATGAGAATCTGCTACTTGCAATCAAATACACACTCGACCGGTCGTTAGCTAGAATACAAATAAATCGTCTAGGCCAACGTCAAGGTAGTTGTCCGGTAATGATTTCGTATATTTTCTTTGCATAAAAATAGTGAAAAGTCATTATTATTTTTGATGTCATTTTATGATTGACGTAAAGATGTTAATTTTGATCTTTTTTTGAATTACTAAATGTCAACATTTCCGTGGCTGGTAGAGGGCGTCAGAGTTAGAGGACAAGGAGAGTTCACGAGTAGTTCAACTTCCTCGATGTAATTTTTTCTTGGCATTGCCATTTTCTGTCCTAAAACTCATAGATAGGATAGAAAATGTTCACAAGAGAAATTTTACCTTAAAAAACGGAGATTCATATGTGAACAAGAAAACTAGTGAAACGAGGTGCATTATGGGACTGCCGTCAGGGTCAGTCAGCGGTGAACGTTCTCTTCACTGATAAAAACCGAAAAATAACAACATTCGGCAGCAACTCTGGGGCAAGGAGGACCTTTAATTTTATCATCTCTCAGCAATGGTTGGTCCAATGAAGAACATCCGGGTATGAGTCACGTGTTTCGGTCATCCAGTGCTATTTTGATCACGTGGATTTGTAAATCGCTCAAAATAATGTAAACACTCTTCTATGCTCCCTTTAAACGGCTGATAGCTGTCCAGTTCAGCAAAGTGTAAGGATGGAGAACGGATTAATTCTTTTTAACCTGGTTTTGATGGATTAGGCAAATCCTCTTCTTTGGGTAGGTCATTTTCCTCTTAAAATTTAAAAAGTATCAATCATCGATACAAAATTGTCTGCTTATATAGTTTGTTTTGAATGTCATGTTATAATTATTCGTTAGCGTGTTGTGTGTTGAAGAGTGCTAAAACAATCACACGAAGTATGACATTGGTAGTATATATTAAGAACTCTGTGGAATAATAGTTTTACAATTATCTAAATCAGAAAGTGAACCCTGTGCTTTGTAACGTATCTCGAAATTACACGAACTATATGTACTAATCCCCTACCCAATTTGAGTTTCAAATATATAGTTTACAAACTATTATTCCTTTATGATTTCATAAATTCATTTTATTTTATGAGACAAAACATGGTAAGCAGATTGTCGTCACGCCCAAACCTGTGTACTTTTCTATTTTATACGCCCTAGTTTTCAAATGATACCAACACATTTTTGGTGATCTTATTGTTAAGAAATAACAAATACTTAAAAATACAAATGTATTAACTTCCTAATTTTAAAGCTTGTACTGTACATATAATATAGTATTCCACTAACAAAAGCAGCCCAAAATACAATTTCAATTTTATGCATTGCAAATATAAATAAATCTATAGTAATTAATACGAGCAGAAATTTTTCCATGTTTGATATTTCTATTCATATAATAAACGTAAACTGACCGACTCCTTTTTTCAAATGAAATGCTTATATTTTTTAATACTAAAAGACTAAATACAAATTTTAGCAACATTTCATTTTTGGAGTAAACAACTTACGTTTGAATATTTTTTACAATCTAATATCAATTGATCGTTGATTATGCATGAAAGTTCCAGAGGAAGAAAGTCGATATTTAAACAGTTGCTTGGTAATTTAAACGTCTATTGATTTATATGTGGAGTATAAATCAACTAATTCAGCGTCCATTTTGGTTCGACAAACCGATATTTGCAAAGATTTGTATTTGCACTGGCATATCAACATTTAAATTACCAAAATCACATGGAAAAATTACCATGAACCTTCTAATACGTCAATTATTTCAGAAATCGCCTCAATAGTGGACATGATAAGTCAGCCAAAATTATGCAATAGTAATTTAATATTTTGCATATATATATATATGGATGATTGTATCAAAGAATATATATATATATACTAAATGTTTGAGTAATTTTGATCGGAGCTGTTATTTATTACCTGATGACCCATTTATCGGATGTGTTTTTCCCAGCAATTAGTTTAAACATATTGCTCCATCTGGTGGTTCATATCTGAAATATATGTTGGCCTTTTCTAACAGGTTGAATTTTAACTAAAACCTGATATTATAGTTATAACAGTTTCTAATAGTACTGCATTTTCATATATATGTCAGAGAAAGGCATTCGAGGGTCTTTTCAAATTCCTGCGCATGCGTCTTGGAGATTTCAATACCAATCTTTATAAAAAAAGTGTGGCAAGTTCAACGCGGCGCCTGCGCACTAAAGTAGAAAACTAAAGCGCATGCGCGATAACTCTTAGCGGCGCAGTTTACGTTCTGGCTAAGCGGAGAGTGGGTTGTCGGCCTGGTCGTGAAGAAAATTCATTGTACACATGACTAGACCTACACTCATTCCTCGTTTTTGCTCTTGTCGTCTTGTAAAAAACCTAAAATCTATGGAAAAATTTCTGCTAAAGTTAAAAGTTCTTATATAAAGTTGCTTTAAACTTTTTCATTCTGAAGAAAAAAACCAAATATAGCAAGATATAAAGACTTGATGTGTGTCTATAAAAAGTTTCTTAAAATATTAAATCTACAAAAAAAACGCTCTTACCTGATCAAAAATCTCGTTTGCATTTGAATAGAATTGTTTAAGACGTTCACCAGGTGTCTTTGAATGAACAAGCAGTATTGTACCTTTACAATATATCAGCCTACTTCATAATACAAATTCCCTTCTACAAAATAAATCGATTTATTTAAAACTAGGTAGAGGCACTGCACAATATGATCACACTGTCCCATTTTTAAGCAACAATTTTCTTCAAATTTATTGTACTCTGAGCTTCACACTAATGTTTTCTTACTGTAATTTTTCTCGAAATGTTTCTGTATGTTTAATATATTTGATTACTGTCTTAAAATAGCCAAACAGTTAGAGATACATAAGCGATATTTACTCTTTGTTTTTGGGTAGATATTTAATGGGTACTTCTTAAGATAAGGTTAGATAGAAAAAAATTGATTTATTCAGATGTGAAAATATTAATATCATATACCGCTAGGTGGCAGGAGGGTGTATGTTCGGTGACGGAAGTATTTGAACGCTTCACCGGGTGTACATTCATCCTGTCACCTGTGGAGCCATCTACGAGACTAAGAGGCATTCTTTTGTTGATAGCTTATGAGGAAAATTAGTATTGCAAAATATCAACAAACCACCACAAATATATGTTTTACTTCAATACTTTTAATATAACGCATAATGTTATACATTTTTTCAGATGGATGAATAAAAGCCGGTATAATCTCACCTTGTAAAAAGTTAACAACTTATTTCAAAGTCGGTGCTGCTTAATTGGGTTTAGTTGCCATGTTATAATGAAATTGGTAGAAGATATGCACTCTTCTATCTCGAATTCGGTCTGCCATAGATTGTACAGTTGCATCATTTTATTTAGATATCATCTCCGTATTTTCAACAAAATAAACTCCGAATTATATTTTATAAAGTGATTATTGTAATGTAAATGGTTCTGTAAATTTTGGACTATTTCTTACTGCGTCTGTTTGAATTGCTACAATATATGTTAATGATTTTTCTGAACTAAGATATGTATTACAAGTGCAGTTTATTTTATTAGATACCTAAGTTTCTACAACGGCCGATAAAACTTTTTCGTTATTTCATTATATTTTCTACATGTTTCCATACTATTTATCGTGCAGCTCCTATGTGAAGAAATGACAATTTAGAATGAATTTTTCCGCTAATTGAAGATTTATTATGTGCTTTTACAAGAAAAATTGTAGAAATGTAACTTTTTCGAATATACAGTACAAATTTAATACATGGAATTTGCTCACTGGGTAACACCTGCTTATCGATCCGCCATTGTATAAGCCTAAATCTTTTATCTAGGGGCTTATACAGTGTTTATAAAACCAGAAGACTAAAATTCTGCTAACTTTAGTATACAGTATAACAAATATTTAAATAGTTGTAATTAGAATCTAAATAAGGTCAATTTAATACTTCATGGACCTTTGTCAATAATGTACAAGAACGTTATGATAATCAGAAAAACAGCTAGGATACAAGTTCTCAAATTACGTTGTTATTTATTCATAAATTTGCGATAAAACATTGATAGAATCGATGTATGACTTAATTAACAAGGGTTAATGCTTAATATATTCAACATATATTAATATGATGGATTCTATCCAGTAAGCTGTAGCGTATGTTGTTTACATAAATATTGACACATGTCAAGTTTTACCACGAAGCTGAAGTTATTATCATCGTTTAAAGAAATAAAGCATTCAATCATTAAACGGATAGCCTAATTTAATTGATAATATATTGAAGATATAAAATATGAACGTGAAAAGAATTAACCTTATAAAAAATCGAGAATGCGCTTTGTCTCATGGTTTTTTTGCTTCAGTTTCTGTCGTGGCAGTATTAAAATTTGATACTAAACTCGGAGAAAACAGTTATTTCTGAAAATATGAAACAATATTTCAGTATTTTTGTCACAATAGCATCGATATTATTTCTTATTAGCGGTTCAGAAACATCTTTGCATAGCTTACGATATTTAACAATCATTGTAAGTATTTTTTCTTGTATTATTGTATTGAATAAAGATGGATGTTTAAGTTTAAAATATTTTTTTTAGTATATTGTATTCTTATTTGAAATGCTTTTGCTGGAATATGAAAGCTGTTCAAAAGAAGATATGGGATTATTTACAGTTATCATATTACTTATTGTACAATTAGTAGAATTGATAGTTAAAATATATATTGGATATTGTATGATGCTTCAATTCATCTTAAGACAGCAACATCTAGTTCTTAGAGATATGGTAATTTTTTACTCTGCATCTATATTCTAAAAATATTGTTTTATAGCCTGAACAAGTTTTTCAGGCTTTAATAAATAATGTTTCTTTTTTCCATAGTAAGCTTGTGTTTAACTTTAATTTCTCTCACATTATAGATATCTCAGTATATTATTCCTGGATTTGTTTGGATAATAATGATGAAAATTAAAATTTCATTCCTCATTCATTTTGTGATGTCAAGGTTGCCTCTGAACTCAAAAGCTCTTGAAATAAACGAAATCTCAACGTAAAAGAGTACAAGAATATTTGAAAAAATATTTATATAGACGAATGGCTAATTATAGAGACTAATGTAATTTTTGTACAAACAAGAAAAATATTTTTCATGAAGAAAGTTTATATTTCTATCATCACAAAAACTGTTTAGGACTGAGCTTTGAAATATTCAATTTAGGATATATTTAATACAGCAGGTATACATACCTAGTGTATGAATAAATTTTTCCTTCTGGAACTTATTTTTTTTGCTTCCTTTATAAAAACGACCAACAAATTTTAATAGTTATGCTCCATATTACATTCTGTATTCTCTTACTCTGTTTAATATGGATTAACACAACAGATGGCGCTATAATAACTAATTTGTAAAAAACTACTGAAAAATAAGTCTATAAAAGCTTATTATCTCGCAATAATTAACGGATTATTATTATTATTATTTAAAGCTCAAAAAAATACACACAGAGTATAGTATCTAATGGATTTGTAAAACTAATCAAAATATATTATTTTTTATGCGAAATAAACAACTATTAGTGTTGCCAATCCCTTGACGCTATTGCATAAACACTCAATAAAACAATAGCAAATAAAGAGGATAGTCTATTCTTTCTAAAGTTTGCAAGAACAGATCATGCTACACCTACGTATACTACAATTTTTCAACGCAATAGTACTGCCGGAAGCTAGATATTGAACTGCCCTCCATCGATTACGTTGTCAAATAGCAACTATATTTTCAAAACGGCTAAACTGGAGGTAAATCGAGTTTTTTTTAACAAATAAAACGTATTCATAAATATTCATTTCAGCTGTACAACTTGTGACCCTAAGATATATTCCCTACGGTCACTGCCGATTCGTCTAAGTTAGCCTATCAGGATAACTATTGGACTAAAGCCTATTGCCGATTTCTGTTTAAACTAAACTCCTATAAAGGATAAGTGAAAGGTGTTTCTAGATAAGAAAACTTCCCACTAATAAACAGAACCAATGAAGGTGTCTGAAGAAGGTGAAGAGGACATAAAACAACCAAATACATGCAGTTATATATTTAAAGAATCAGGTTGGTTGAATTTTCTATTTTTTATATATTGTCTATGGTAGATACAAATTTTGAGACAAAACTTTAGCTGATTTACCATTTGTAGCAAACAGGCCTAAAACAGCGTCGTAAAAATTATACTTTATTATAAAATTTATGGCCAATTGATTTTCGATAGAGCATAGGCTTATAAAATTCAATTAAAAATCGGTGCTTGAGATTCGTTGAGGTCTCCATTTAGACACTTGAGAATAAGACACTGGCCATCATAGCTGAATCTAAAAAAATCAATTTCATAAACACCGTCAAATTTTATGTGGATACTATTAATAATACTATTCAAATAATCCTTTTTTTTTATCTCAGTGAAGGGAATAGAAAACAAAGATTTTATCTAACACAGATTAGTAATCAAATTGGTATTGATTGTTGTCTCAAAACTGATAATTATCATGATATTCTTTTCGCTTCCTATCAACTGACACTGACGACATAAACAAAATTATATAACTTTAATGGTAAATTTTGATGGGGGCTACCGGTTAATTTGTGCGATTCAAATTCACATATTGCATTTTCACTCTACGTTATTCATAAAAAATAATTTTGTATCATATTTATAAAACTCCAAGGTTGACTTTGTCGATTGTAAATACCTATAGACAGTACATATGAAAAAAAATGAATTCATCTTATCCTAATAATTCATGATGAACAGATTTTCTAAAACAGACTTAAGCACTAAACTCAAGAGACTCATAAGGTATCTATATTTGGTCTCAAATAATAGCTTTTGCTAATAGTAATAAGCGAGTGTAACGTAATTTTTACTTTGATCGAATATTAATTTTTAGTTATAAAACAAGTTTTTTGTTCACGTTCGTAAGATAAGAAAACGTAAGCTCTTAATTCACTTCTATATGACTCATTTACCATTTGTTTAAGTAACCGTGAGGGTATAAATATTTTTTAAGTCGTTATCAGAGCTAGTTGTCGTTTTTTTTTTAAATTTAGAATATGTTATAGTATTTACTGGTAAATTTTAGAATTTCAATGTGTCAACGTTCATGATAGAGGAACGTCGATGACAAGTTCCCACGCAATTTTTGGCCTCTTCATTTTCCCACGTTAAATGTAAAATTTTAAGGGAGGAGATTGCAAAAGCCTAACGTTTGATGGCTTTTGCAAGACTAAAAATTAAACCATTTACTTTATGATGTTCAATCAAAATTGAGCATTCTAAAAAATTAAGCATTTATTGTTTGATACCAACCTACTAATTACTCACTAAGTAATAGCCCAATTAGCGACACTACCAAACTCCCAATATACCCCGCGAGTTTTCTTATCTTTAAAAGTCTGCCCACTTACGTTACAAGATATCACAACTCAATTGGGTCTCAGTGATTTAACCTCAGTATAATGAAAGTCGAATTGTTCTCTGAAGAAGAGTTATCGAATGGCCCTCCTATTGAAATATTTGAAAATGAGCGTAATAAGAAGGCAGCCTCACCGAATTCTCAAATAAATTTTACAAACATATTAAGAAGTGAAAGAAGGAATCCAAGACGATTTGAATATCGAAAGGAAAATAAGGAAAGATCTCAAAATGTTTATGGAAAGAAGGATAAAAATTCTCGGAAAAAAAGAAGACTACCTCCATATAAAGAAGTTATCAGTTCAATATTACGGGATTATGGTACTATGCATCTCAAAGGGGTTGTCTCTATATTTCTTGAAAGGCAACCAGGTTTTAAAGAAAATTTAACTGAAGATTCGATATCTAGAAACATACGACGCTACTTATGTGCATGTCATGAATTTAAAAAATGCGGTTTTGCAAATGGAAAGAAAAATATGACTTTATGGGGATTAAATATCTGAAATGTAAAAAGCTATTAAATTAGATTGACTTCTTTAGCAATGATAGTTAGCTCTAGATTCATGTTAAGTTTGTTTCTTTGGATTTATTTAAATTTTTACAAATATACGGTTTAGATAGCTACATTTTAAAGAGTATTTAGGAATTCCGGAAGCTAGAAGCTAGTCGATTAAAACATTGATTCTGTTTCATCTCACATTAAGGACTTAATTAGTAGCAGCTGTTTGGGTTTTGAAAGTCTTCTATTTAAAATTTAATTTATTATATTTTAATTAATCATTGATTGCTATATCCATCAATTAAAAAGGAAATCGATAGTAGTATAAAAGACAAGTCGATCAGAATGAAACTATTCATTTTCGTATCTTTTTTGGTTAAAAGCCATGACAACAATGATGAAACTCGAGCTATTAGATATTCTAGGCCAAAGAGATATTGCATTTATAATGATTTATTTTACACGTAGAGAAAGTACATTTAATATAGCAAATCAAATTTTAATCTTTCTTGTTTAATAACAGTTTTCCGGAAATCGTTTGAAGCACCTCAAGGAAATGAACTTAGATCTAAATTTCGCATTACAAGGGGGAAATATACGATAGATGAACAACACAAACAGAAAGAATCATCTTGCCAACCAACTAGCGAACTTACTAAGGTGAAAAAAAGTAACATGCAGAGAGCAAAAACGGCACAAGCAAGAATGCAAAGGCCATCTCAGGTGGGAATTTCTTAAACAGCGCCATCTATTATATTTAGCCGGTTACCTGTTTGCACTGAAGGCAGCCTTTAAAATAAAGTGTATTATATATAAGCTCTAAATTTTGCTGTATAGACGCAAGGATACAACTGTATGGAATACTGTTTTGAAAGTTTCATAGATATACCATGATTTACTTTCCCACTTATGTCCAAAATAAACGTTTCACCGCGGTACTTACTATTCAAATTTATTGTTCTAGCTTCCATACAACAGCGAAAGTTTGAATTTTGTATCCCTTTTAAATAGTTTTTTTTTGTGTTTTGCGATTGGAAAAATATTCTGTTGTAAGTTAGGCAGAAATTTTTTGAACTTATAATAGTAGAAATATATTATAACCTGAACTTTAATTTTTATCAATTTATTCTGCATCTAGTTAGCTGTTAAGTTTATATATGAAAGCCACAAAAGAGAAAAGACTCTTGTTTTAATTGTGACAAGACAAATGATATGGGCCTATTGTTAAATAAACTCTGATCTTTAGACTAATATCTCTTTTATAATTGTGTACTCAAGCTAGCTTTAGTTTTAAATTATTTTGTATTGACTTATGAAATTTTTAAAAAATTCTTTTAGTTAATCAAAAATTTTCTTAATACTCTATTCTGAGTAAATAGGAAAGAAAGCAACAACTGCAACCAATGAAATTATATACAGTATATATATATATATATACTGTATATATTTAATATGTATTCATTTACTTGGTGCATCTAAATTATTAATTCATTTTTATTTAGTTAGGGGAAAAGTTGTTCAATTTTTATTGAATTCAATTATAAAATTCAAATAGAGCCTATAGAGTGAACTATATTATTATTGAGTTGCTAGTTCTAATTACTTAACAAGATATTTTATGGTTTCAGTAAAATTTTAAGCAAATTATATTCTTTTAGACACTTTAAAATTCAAATATTTCTGAAAATCACAAGAATTTAAATAAGGATTTACAAAAAGTATCATTCCTTAAACAATTTTTGGAATTTCATGAATTTAAAACCGTATCAAATTATCTAATCTATTGGGCCTGTCTAGCTGTCCAATATCACCAACCATCGAGATTGCAAAATAACGGAGAAAGAATGTTAAGAAATCGCAAGTCGGAATGAGGCATTCCTTCCTAATGCTATTCAAGCCAATGAATTATTCTGAATAATAAATATTTAAATGCAAATCTAAATAGTACTTTTATCAGTAATGTATTAACATAAAAATTACAAAAATTTCTTATTCTAATCGGTAATTTAACATTGAAAATATATAACTGTGGAAAAGAGTATAAATGCTATCCCTATTATTATTATAATAATACTCGGACTGAAAAATCTATCTGAAAAAAATAATTGGTAAAGCAGAGTGTGAAAAAATAGAACTTCGATTTTTTTAATACAAAGTTAAATACAAATCCGTTCGTTTGTAAGTGGGAGAGACATGCTTAAAGCATGAAAAAAATTGGCCTGGACAGCATTTAAAAATTCTTTTAGATAGTGGTGACTTGAATGAGAGTTTTCAACTGTCATTCTTATATCGTGAAGCTCAATAAAAGAATGATAAGTCAATGAATGAGATGGCTAAATTGGAACGTTTAGTAATGGAAGAAAATAAATTTTACTTGCCTTCCCTTCCGGAGGGACGATCAGTTTTGATAGAAATTCGTACACACTCTGAGGTTTGATAAATTTGTAAATATCTCGGCTTCTTCTCATGCTAAAAGTTCTTAATAACTTAAGATTTGATTAAGATTAATATTTTATGGTACCAAATTTATCAAAATATGAATTTACAGACTAAGGGCTATACGTGTTATCATGCCAATCATGTAGTGTTTTAAAACCAACCATGTCAGGCTTGTACAGTATTATAATTATGTAAAACTTATTTTGCCCAAACACTTAATCTCGATATCACAGTTTTTAAAAGGCAAATTGTAATTGAAATAATTAATTTTAATGTCTTTTTACGTATGTTATTTTATAACGCCAACTTTCAAGATACCGTTTTAATGCTTACTAAGAGGATTAAAAGCTGTATTGCAGTTTTAATATTCATTCTGTATGTTGTATTTGTGTTAGATTAATTATCTTGAAGTTCAAAATTGAATTCATTTAACAAACAGATATAAATTGATCTTCTTTCAAAATTTCATTATTAGATTCTTCCAAACAATGAAATAAGTGTAAAGAATACAACTGTTTCAAAAAATTCACAACCAGTCATGCTCAGACAATAATTGAGGGAGAAATCATTAGCGAATAATTAATTAACAGCAGAATATTGTCTTTCTTATATTTAAGTTGAATTTTATATAATTCATACATATATGAAATGTAATAGCAAATAGTCCCACATCAATATCATTATTTTGCAGAACATTCCACTCAACAATATCAAATAAGAGTTTATAACTAGCGAAGGGCAAGCAAATCAGTAGAAGCTATAGTAAAAAGACAATATATTTTTTATTATTCGTAAAGGTTTATTATAAGTACTGTAAATTATAAGTAGGTAAATTTTCTGTTTTGTTTTAATAGCTTTAAATGCTTATAAATGCTATTACTGAAATTTTAAACCGATTTGATAAGTTATCAAAAGGATTATCGCCTGTTCTTTTTAAACTCTTATATGATCAATGACTCGTGACAGGTAATACAGGGTATAATGTGTTGGAAAAAATGAGATAACAATCAACCGGAAATACAAAACAAAGCAATTAGCTCCCACTCTTTTCAGTAAATGACACTTGTTTTGCGTTTGAAACTAAAAATAGCCGATTAATCAAGAAGAATGTTTGTATTTACTAAACAAAATTTAATTTTTTTTTCAGAAAACAATTCTTAATTATATAATTTATCTTCTTGAACGTTTAGACCATTAGCATGACGACTTAAACAAAAAAATTAAAATTTATAGAATTTGCTATCGATTGGGAAAACACTTGCTTAATTGATACTTATAAATTAAAAACATAAACGTTTTAAATTCAGCCCAAAAGTTAACCCAAAACATATATATATATATATATATTAATATATATATTACGTTATTAGAATAATTCTCCCTCGTACAAAATATAAACAAGGAAAATTAAATAAAGGTAAGCCTATCTGTCAGTTATTTGATCGATCAGGCTAACAGGAGAGTCAATCTGAAATGCATACGAAATTCAAGACTTTTCTCAGTTCTATCGAAATGTCATTTTGAGAATTTTAAAATTAAACTATTGAAAGAGCTTGAAATTCTATGAATGTTTTCGTCTTTTCTTAACTATACAATCAATCAGAATTACATTAACTACTGATATTTCCGAAAAATTGTCAGAGTATATTCTAATTGCAGTCATCGACTTATTCATTGAATTATTAAGCAATTAATTGAGTAGTTAAAAAGTAAAGATTAAATATTCTTATCTTGAAAGCTACCTACTGTAGACGTTAACCCTAGTAAAAATAACATTACTTATTATCACAATGTAAAAATGTGCACATAAAAGCTTTCGATATTGATCAAGTAAACAAAAAAAAACCGCCTCAAAAATGCATATTTCTATAGCCTATGTATTGAACGATTAATTGAAATAACAGGCCTATTTATTGAACCAAATTATCGAATGACCAATCAAAAAGGCGGACTTATCAACGATCTGTCACTCGGTTAGCTGCAACAGAGACGCTCGCAAGATTATTACGTAATTTTTGGCTTTTATCATTATGACTGTATTTCAAATGGTTAGTTGGAATGCTTTTACCTTAGATTGTAGTTGTTTTTATTTTATAGAATTAAAATTTTATCAGAATTGAGCTATGTAGGACTTAGTGTCCTTTTGCATTATATTTCTTGGCGAATAAAGGCATTCTTAACGCAAATACAGACTAAGCTATATGTTAAAGATACTAGGCTGATGATAAATTTGTTTTTAAATTTCTAATCAATTTATTTCGAGATAACTATAACAAGCATTTTAAATTTATTTACTTCTCTTTTTTTGAGATGTTGTTATATTGTAAATGCACCAAATTCGCGGTTTACACAAAAGAAATCGTTTATAATGTAAAAACTCTGACCTTGTACACGAGTTGGACTGTTATTGACCAACCTATTATAAGAGCTTATATCTTGTCTTGACTTATTTGGTTTTTAGCATATATCATAAGTAAGACTACTTGCATTGAAATTGCATTGAAAGCGTTATAATTCTGTATACCTGGCTGAAATGGGGCATTAAGCATTGACTATTATGCAAATTATTCACTCATCTATCACGTGCTGGATTTATGTAGACTGTTAATCCCCTAACAAAGCCAGAACGCAGATTAGTCATATTGTAAATTATGAAGACTGCAACCGTCTTAGGTATTTCGATTTTGAAATGTAGTGAAAAGTTTAACTAAATCAAACAAAGAATTATTCCTTCTCTGCATGATTTAACTACTTTAGACAAGAGGATACATTTTATTATGCCAGGATTAGCAAAAATACCCTTTATCTTGTAAGATAGCAGCTTATAGAATAACTAAATTATCGTGAATATTATTCTTATCAAATTTATATGAGTTTTTAATCTATAAATTGTTCTATATTTTTTACCTTCGAAGTCTTTTATATATATTTTACGACCTAAAAGTTCTTACTGATTGAGCACGTATGATTATTATTCGCTTGTTAAGTGATAGCGAAATAAGCTATAGCAACGCTAGATGATTGGTTATTTCAAGCTCTTATCGAACGTTTCTAAACGGCACAACAAAACACTACAGTGCGCTTTCGGCAAGAAAACAAAGGGAAATTGTTTCAATCAATAAGTCATCGTGTGGAAATGGACAAACTTTGAATGTCAGATGAACGCTTAACATGAATATTAAAATGGTTAAAAAAAGAAACCAGGCAGAAATTGTTTCTAGGATGGCTCAGGGTTTGCCAGCATTTAGGCAACTCAGAGTGAGGTCCAGTCCTGCTTACCTTAGATTCAGAGAGGTATGGATATTATTTCAAATGGCCATCATTGAGAAATAAATTTGCACATAAGAAAACGAAGGACTGTAGGGAAATGAATTTCATGATGCAGGTCAATCACGGAAATATGTAATTAAGCAAAGTCGAATTGATTTTTTACCCTCAGAAAAACAAACGCCTATTTCACCGGTGCGAAAATTCATCATAATAGATGTATAAGGGAGAATTACTGTAATAATTGAACAGCGTCAATCGATTGCCGACGACATGAAAGCACCTTTCATAGGAAGGTAAATCTTTCCCCGCATGCAAAGGCAATGCTTTGAAAGGGTCAATGACTTTGTTAAATCGCATGAAGGTTTCTTCAATATTAAATTTATATTAAAAATTTTCTTTATGATGAGATGCGGACCACGCATATTTCTGATATAAATCATGTTCAAACCAATCTAAATGAGTAATTGATTAGTCTTAATTACTATTTTTCTCACCTCCCGTTAGATGAGCGGAATATACAAATCATATGGTGTACATGAACTTGTGTTCTTATTTAAAAACTAATTTTAAGTCAGACTTTCTTTTGAGCAATAATATCGCTAAGTAGGAATCAGAGTTTCATAAAATATATTTCTTTAAATATGTTATAAATGGATAATCTAAAATTTTGAAAATTTTATTCTAACTTTGTACTGCTTCCAGGATATCACAAAAAGACCCACATCGAACAAAAATCCAACTCCTTCTCCACCATATACTCCTCTCACATCTCGAGGTCAACTACATAGAGAAAAAATCGACTCAAAATTATCCTCTCACTCATCTCACGACGAGTCTTTTCATCGCTTGAATGGCCGGGGAACAACCGTCTCGGACGAATCAGTAAGTCTTGGGATTGGAAATTGCGGAGAAGCTCTACCCCCTATTAATAACCGTCCTGCATCTGGTTTATCAAGTGGTCAAATAGGAAAATTAGTTGAATCAAATGGGAGACGTTCATCACTATCCAGGAAACAGTCTCCTAAAAGGATTGTCAGGAGAACACCATCGAACTCGAATCTCGCAAGAATGGAAAGGCAGAATACAACACTCACTCAAAAAACAAGCAGGAATGTCCAGCTAACTAAATATCCATCAGAACAGTCTTTACATAAAAGCCATGTTGCACGTCGGGCTGGCGGTACCCAAAATAAACAAAAAGGGCTTAAACACTCTCAGTCACAGCCCGACTTTTTGGTGGAGAAAAACGAAAATTCTCTCCACATTGAATCTGATCAAAAAAGAAGAATATATGAGTGGCTCGAGGAAGTAAATAAGAAGGGGGAAAGACCACCAACACCTGTTATAGTTCATGAGGATGAGCCTCCCCAAAAAGATACAGCTATTCATATTGTATATCAGGGAGATGACGAAACAGAAAGGACGTTCTAAAATTTTAGTCATATCCATTTACAAATAGGAAATTTTCCTGCTTCAGACTTGAATATTTTCATTTAACGAACACTATTCTATGTACTGTGTACAAGTTTATCTACAGTATATTGATTATATTTGTAAACTGCAGCAATATTTAACAAACCCTTTATTAAAAATAAATTAAATTTATTTCCCCTCAACTGAATTTCATCAGTCTATAAAATATTAGGTTTTGTCCAGAGATTTTATCTCTTAACATCAATATTTTTAGTACTTTCGTTAATATCTCACATACAAAGTATCGTCCCATTTATTTACGTAAATCTTTTCAAACTTACTTCCTCGAACAATTCGTAACTGTTAGAGAATGTAAATCTAATGTGAATATCTCATAAATTTAAGTATACTTGGTTAAATAGAAAGGCCTCTAAAAAACAAAGTTCTTCATACGTTTTAAGCAAACAACGAAAGTCGATTGAATATCGAAAAATCAATAACAGCTTTGTTTGGGCAAATCGATAGAAATTGTGTAAACGAAATTCAACTGTCTATTTTGCTGAATGGAGCCTATTACACCAGCCGATTTGCTCATTCACCTGCAAACAGTCAAATTTAAAGACAATAAAAGAGAATTGGTGGAGAGATGTTCTCGAAAAGAGAGACCAAAGACTTGTCTAGCTCGATTAGAGCAACAGCACTATTGCAAAATTCTTGGATCTCGACATTGCTACAAGTGTGAAAGATCTTTACAAAGAAAAAAGAGCGCAGATTTCGCTGCAAACTATCCTTCTACTATGAGGTTAAGTGAAAAAAATTTGGCAACAGCAATACTTGCTGCAAAAAATCTTCCAAAGGAAGCTCCGGAAAGTATTGAAGACGGGGTAGCGCGAGGGGAGATTTCGCCTGCTACTTTTCCGGTTAGTGTTTCTAAATATTTGTGCTTTAGTCTCTTTTAAACGTTTCCCTATAATCTAGATTGCTCACTTGTCGAAACGAAGATCATACTCTGCAAAGCCTATATTGAGCAGCAAAAATGATTCAGTCAAAAACGGGAAGGAGTCTTATGCGTTTTTTACAAACATTCGGGATCTTAATTGTAAATTGACATCTGGGCTAATTAGTGAAGAGCTATTACCTCAAAGGATAAAAAAAAAAGCTACTCTGTACAAGAATCCTTTTCCAAGTTTTATCAGCTGCAGAAAAACAGCCTCAGAAGAATCGGAAAAAAAGAATCTATTCTTTGAACCTCCGTTATTACCTAGGGTGTCTCAAAACGCCGAGCCGTCTTTTTTTGCGGGAAGTGCTGATGAGTATAAATTACCGGAAAGATTGCCGGATAATATTGAATCTTGATTTTTCTTATGATACGACTTTATTGGGAACAGTTGTAACAATTCGAAGACCGTGCAGTTCTTTGATTTCATACTTGAGTGCCTGAAAGTATAAAAATTAACGATAAATTTCGAAATATGAGATATCTAGTAATATCATTTTTGATTTAAAGAATTAGGTAATATCCGCAAAGGAAAACTCCCTGCAGAAGAGTATTGTTTTTTAATTAATATTTTAAATGTGTGAATAGCCTTTTCCTAATTGTTTTTTTTTAAATTATTTGCTTGACTATATAAGAATAAAGTCAAACAGTATTTGTCAATACTGCTTTATGTTGACTTTATATGAAGTTATTGACATTATTTTGTATAAGTGGCCATTCCGATATTTTCAATGCGGGTTATCAACGAGATGTTAATCTAGTATTGTCAAACTCTTTAAGAAAATAAAAAAGCCTTGAATGGAGGCAAATTTTTGGCTGTTTATTGCTATGGCTAAGTACATAGGATATATTTGAGTATTGAATTGTACTAATATATAATGAATTAAGAGTAAGCAATCTATTCATGCTACATACTTCATTAACTAGTCGGTGCTGTGCTATAGTTTTTTTTCCTTCAAAGACTTTGTCTTCTATAAATATAGCAAACATGCTACCACATCCTCCAGAAATATCTTTAACTTCGATTTCGGAGGCTTCAGGAAATCGATTTCTCAAAATGCGAATCATCTTTATCTCTCCTGCAGTTTGTGCATCAAGATTACTTGTAAAATATCGTAGCAAGCGCGTAGTTTTCGGGAAATTTCTTAAAAACATATTTCGTCTGCTACAACTTATTATCGGTCACTAAATATCGATTTCACTAATATTTATCGTAAAATCGGACAAAGTTATCGCAATATCGAATGGTTCACAAGAGAGTTTATCTGACAACGAAATGAAGGGGGGGGGGGTAGGTAAAATATTAGACTAAGGGGTGTCTCTTATTTATTGTATATATTTCCATTTCCGGTAGAACTCTAAATGACAGTTTAAAAGTGTATTAACATAGATACAACTTACAATTTACAGATATTGATTGTCCAGAAGATTTCCGTATATTGATATACAATGGAGAATATAAGAATGTTTCGAAACGCCAATTTTGATCCAAATTCTCAAGAAAGAAAGAGCTCTCTTCCGGGATCAGATATTCAAGAATCATTTCTTAAAAACTCCCTTTTTAATTCGTTACCAAGCAAAGAACATAGGTTTCAAAGAAGGGTGAAAGGATTGAGACACAGACACACTAATGAAAGTAAACTTCATTCATATTTAAATATTCGTGAAAGTCTTAAAATATTTCTTTAAGATTTTAGATCAAATCTTCCAAGAACAAAAACTATAAAAAGTGAAAGTCACTCTAGTAGAGGGGAAAGGTGTGTATTTTCCAATTTTTTAAAGAGTCATATTAAATTCTCGTAGTTTAAATATGCATAATCTCTGCTTTCCACGCTGTATTTATTGTTAATGTGATAAGTTTTATCAGTGCATTTTTACATTTTAGATCTCTCACCACTTTCTTACTAACATGTTAAATGAGGTCATAAATGGTTTCATGAAAAAGCAATGACAATAACAATTATAAACTACAAATAACCTAACTATTAATTTCCTTATAGCAATTTACTTTCTATTCAACTGTTCTGTACGAAATATCTCTTTTTGTGAAGTCTTTTGCTTGGTGCTCAAGTTTAAATTTATTAAAGCAATACAATGTCAATTGTTGATGAATGAACTCTGTTCTGTCGCTTTTAGTTTAGTACCTTATTAAATGTTAAAATAAACGGATGTTCTATCTTTCTCCTTTGATAATGATAGTAGAACTATACTCAATATACTTATATTTCTTCTTTAGCTTAATATTCTTCCTTCTTTATAACAATAACTACGTAATATACTTGATTGCATATCACATTCTTTCATGCATTCTGAAGTTTAAAACGATTAATAGTTTTATAGTTCTTATCTTATCACTACCCGTTTACTGTCAGAATCCAGTCGATGAATTTCATTTCAATAAAAAATGTCAAATCATCATGATTTCTCCAACCAAATTCCTTTGAGAGTTAGGGGAAACTCGAATATTTTTCGTGACAAAAACAATGTAGGGTCTTTTCAACAAGAACATTACGAAGAAATTGCCCCTGCTCCTGATTATCTGTTAAACGATTCGTTTGACGACACAGAAGTATTCTATAGTAACGACAGATCAAATAATGAGTTTCGACCGCATCGAACTAGGCATGAACATTTTTTGCCTCAAGATGAAGAAGAACTGACAAAAGTTGAGCAAGATAATAGGCAGAAACAACTTACTAAAAAGTATGACAAAGAATTGAATTATCACGAATTTCTGACAGAAAAAGATAATATTGGATATGAACCAGATGTGGATTATGATGATATTGATCTGAGAAATGATTCTACTGGTAGTAGAAACATTTCGATGCAAATGGAGAGGAGTTTAGATTTAAGAGGAAAGAGTACGCTTCGTCCCTCACGGTTGAAAGGTTTAGTTAACAGAAAACCTTTTGTTTTTGCTGATGACTCAGCAAAGGACACAACAAATAATGCTGTAAATAGGGATAATTCACATCATGCTAGAAAGATAGCAAGCTTGTACAGGTTTTTTCTTTTCCACATTAAATACGAAATCAGTTAAACCTCGTGAGCAACGTATTGAGTATGATTCTTAACTTGAATTCTGCTTGTCAAAAAAAAATAATATATAAATTTATTTTTTTTTCATACTTATTTCAAATTAATGGAATTTAAATCAATCCATAAACAACAGGCTTACAATGAGATAGCTTTGAATATATTAAAGAATAAGAGGTTTATAGAAACTGGTAAACTTATAGTTTGAAATGCAATTTTTTTCAGACAAAGGGATCTAAGAAGTTTCACAGTGCCTGAAAATGCAGATCACGCGCAACAAAGGGTAAACTACTATCTACTGTCAAATTAAATTAAATTTATCTTTCAATTGTTTATTAAATTATATTGCATTTCTCAGCAAATTCGCCGTTATAGACTACAAGCCACAAACTATATAACAGAGATCAGACGCTTACTCTGGGGAGATACTCTCAGAACAATTGAGGGTAGTGTCGCAACGTCTGCGTAACCAATAATTAAAATAAATTATATTTATAGGTCGATTTGGAACGTCAGTTTCATCATACTTCGAATTTCTTATTTGGTTGTTTCAATTGAATTTTGTCATTTTTATACTGGTTTTCAGTATAATTCTATTACCTCATATCTTTTATAAGCCAAAAAGTTTTGAGACTTCTGTTATTAACAGCACCAGGATCAATAGTAAGTGATTTATTGTTAAGAAAGGAACCTAAAACTCGTTGTTCAAATACAGATATCTATGTGAATGAATCTATAAAATGTAGCAAAAGATATGGAACTTATTTGTCAGATACATTCAGAAATGCAACGGCATTTCAGAAAATCTTGGGTCTCTTTATAGGAACAGTAAGACCTTGACAATTTCGCTTATAAGCAGTTGTAATATTTTGTCACATCGATAGTTATGGTTAGAGAATACAGAAATGTTTTACGGACGCTACTATAACAAAATGGTGATCGAAACTAATAATCTGTATTACAACATGCCTGTTGCATATGTTTTAACAGTAGTTTTTTGCCTTCTTATTAGTTTATTTTTTGTGGTGAGGCAGTAAGTTGCAAATAATTCCATTTAAGCTTTCTAATAAGGTGGCTTAAATTTTAGAACAGCACATGGTGTGAAAGAAAAAATGCTTCAATCAGGAGATAATTATTATACAGCATCAGCAATGATCTTTACGAGCTGGGATTATTCATTGATTCACACAAAGAATGCTCTATTGAAAAAAGATTTAATAAAGAATCAAATCACAGTTTGTTTTCAAAATCAACGATGATATGCAAGTTGCTATACTTATTAGTTTTCAGGGATATATTTCTGATAGAAGGAGAAAAGTACGTTTTGAGAAAATGAAATCAAGTGAAAAATTCAAATTAAACTTTAAAAGGTTTATGCTACATTTATTAGTTCTTATACTGATGGCATTATCTTTCACACTGATATATTTTATACAATCAGTGTGGGTTCCTAAGGTTCGTTTTTGCATTTTCCTCAATATTCTCTACAATTGACATATCCAAAAGCTTCTGGAAAAAGATTCTATAAAAAATAACAGTATCCTTAACTTAATTGTTGAATTTCTGCCTTCTATGACAATAACAATTCTAAATTTTTTTGTGCCAATGATATTTCAAAGTTTCGTTTTTTTTGAAGATTATTCAGAAACATTTCAAATAAAAATTACAATTCTAAGGTAGGATCACCATAGAATACAGATATTTCTTACAATTATCACTTTTAGGAGTGTCTTCTTACGATTGGCATCTGTGGGTGTGTTAGCTGTGTCTTTGGCTCAACAAGTCAAGTGTGAAAATGAAGGCGATATAACCTGTGGAATATGTAAGAAATTAAAAAATTCTCAATGCTGGGAAACTTACGTTGGTCAACAATTGTATAAATTAATCATAACTCATTTCTTTGTTGGAATATTTGAGTTCATCCTTTCTTTTATCCGAAGGTTAGAGATAATTTATTATACTTTACTTTTAAATTGAAACCCATCTTTATTCTAGAGTTATCGTCATGCACCATTGGAAATGTGCAAGATCTTCAGGTTAAATATCTTTCTTTTAATTGAAAGGTTTCTAACAAAAAGTTTTCAGATTCAGACCAAGATGAAAATGGGTCGTCTTCAAACAATGGGCAGTGTTTTCTTACTAGGTCAATAGGTCTTGAAGAGTTTAGAGTTCCTGTACGAGTTCTTGACTTGATTTATCTCCAAACTCTTTGTTGGATTGGATTATTTTTCAGTCCATTGATAGCAGCTGCAACTGTTTTGGAACTTATATTATTCTATTTTCTATTGAAAGTGATTTTATAAATTTCAAATTAAACAACAATAATTCATTTGTTGACTTAAATACTAGATATCGTTAATGAGAAATTGCGAACCTTCAAAGACTACTTACAGGACCTCTTCAACTAAAGGATTTTTCATGGGTGTCCTTCTCATATCATTTTTTGGATGTGTGGCAGTAATTGCCTTTGCCCTTGGAAGGTTTGAAATTAAGAAAAAGTTCTGTAACTTTAAATTTGAAAAATAATATTATAGAATAAAGCCTTCGCAAACTTGTGGACCATTTAGAATTTATTCATCAAATGATTTCCACTTTTGGACTGTAATACCTAATATGATAAGCACTTGGCCTAAGGGAGTGAGAAACGTGTTCAATTTAATGGGAAGATCAATTTTTTATATCGGTCTGGGAGTTCTGCTATTGTAATATTAAAATTAAACATTTGATTCTAATTATCTTACATAAATTTTTTCAGACTATTTATATTCTATCAGAGGGCAATGACAGCAGGTCAGAGGAAAAGGATCAAAGTTTTGAAGTTTCAATTAGTCACGGTAAGAATAATTTAGAAATAAGGTCTTAGTAACAAATATTCATCAATGATACAGATGATAGTTGTTTAGGTGATTAGACTTATGAATGCTTACACAGAAATCATACACTTAAATTGTTTAATTTAAGTTCAGTTAAACATTAACTATGTTTCAGGCTAGCATAGATAAGCAATTTATTTTGAAACAAGTATACTATGAGCTGAGAACAGGAACGTTACGAATAGATTGAAGATGCTTAAACCAACTCTATTGATCAAACTCTATATATATTTGGACTAATCTGCTGAAAAATTGGACTTTTTTTGAATAATTTTAAACTGTCATTGTCAAATTTGTAAAATACAAGTCACATTTTCTGATAATGCACACATAATTTGAAGAAAATTCGATATATTGTGGAAAGATATGAGGTTGGCGTTAGGCCAAACGGGATTATTAAAAGTGAACTATTTTAACATGAAATAATATTAAAAAGACAATTTTTCAATTCAATGTAAATTTATTCAATGAATTCCATCAGTACTTGTACTTAAAAATTGGGTGCCAATAAGTTATCCTTCACAGCTAAGCGATTGATGGAATCGTCAGATTCCCCCATTCGGCGGATGGTTCCACAGATAGCATAGGTTTTGGAGGTGCCAGTCATGCGTCCAGTTTCTGGATCAACATCAGCAATGTTGATTTGAATAGAAGCATGATCTTTAGCATGGATTATTCTGTTACTAGCCGAGCTAAAAAAATGACAAAAATAAGGTGTTTTAAATATAAAGTTATAATTTACTACGGACCATTTTCGGGGGATATACATATCAACATATTCTCCGGCGTCGTTCTGCATTTTTGCAAAGAATATGATGAGTTTTCGGACAAATTAAATCCAAACACACGTGCTGGTTGACCAATATGGCGGAAAGGAAGTCTTTCGGTAGGGAATCGTAGATCGAATTTTCGATATTATTCTATGGCGATATATCGATATCGGTATTATTCGATATATTTTGAGCACTTCCTGTACGCAAAATCCCCTGGTTTAGATTGTCTCCCTAAAGGTCATGGCTGTCTGTAACTTATTTATGAAGCAACTGAAAGCTATAAGTCTTTTGGTAAGATTTAAAAATTTTTTAAATTTAAAAATATACGCATTATTGGCATTATAGACTAGTGGTGTGAGGACTTTAAGCTTGTCAAGGAGTTTTTGTGACGAAAGAAGAGCCAGATACTTTCCCGCTAACAAAAATAATATGCTGCCCCAAAATACTTTTGAAGGAAAAATTGCCATAATCACAGGAGGTGGAACTGGGCTGGGCAAAAGCATGGCGTTTGCCTTATCTGCTTTAGGGGCCCAGGTTGTCATAACCAGCAGAAAGTTAGATGTCCTGCAAAATACAGCTGAAGAGATTTTCTCTAAAACAAAACATGAAGTGCTCCCAATCAATGTTGATGTGAGAGATCCTTTATCTGTTAGAGATGCTGTTGATCAATGTATCGATACTTTTGGCTTACCAAATATAGTCATCAATAATGCAGCTGGAAATTTTATTGCACCAACTGAGCGCCTGTCTTCAAATGCATTTCATAATATTGTAAATATTGTTTTGATGGGAACTGCAAATGTAACCCTTGAAGTTGGTAAAAGACTTATAGCTGCAAAACAAGGGGCTAATTTTTTGGCGATAAGTACGACTTACACTCGAGAAGGCTCAGGTTTTGTCGTGCCGAGTGCCTGTGCTAAAGCAGGAGTAGAGGCTCTTTCAAAATCCCTTGCAGCAGAGTGGGCAAGATATGGGATGAGATTCAATGTAATTCAGCCAGGTCCCATTTATACTAAAGGTATTTCCTATCTGACTTATTGCATTTTTTTATTATATAAAAGTAATTTATTTTTGATTGTTAGGTGCATTTGATAGGCTTGACCCATCTGGTGAATTCGAGGCGGAAGCAATAAGTAGAACACCAGTTGGACGTTTGGGTAAACCGGAAGAGTTGGCAAATCTTGCATCTTATATGGTTAGCGATTATTCAAACTGGCTGAACGGAGAGGTAATTCGATTCGATGGAGGAAAGCTTAATTGCACAGCGGGTGAATTTAATGATTTGACAAAACTATCCAATGAGGAATGGAATATGATAGAAGATATGATTCGTTCGAAAAAAGTCAAAACTGTTGATCAGTAAATCTTAAATAATTATGTTCAATAAAAATGTTCTCAAAGAATAACAAATATTTTGCATCACAACACCATTTGAATTGGACTACCGAATATGGCTTAAATTTGAAACTTACACATATAGTGATATACTTATACTGTATATGAAATTTAACAAATTATTCATTCTGAATATTACTGTCAGTGATTATTAGGTGAGTTGAACCCAAAGCAATGGTTATTTGAGGTGACATTTTACTTGGGAAGCTATTGGATAGATAAATGGAATACAATAAAATAGCTGACTATATGCTTATATTTTAGTTCTGGAATAATAAATCAATGGATATATTTAGATGTCCCAAAAATAAGTCAAAAATTTATACAATGAAACAGTGTAAGTGATAAAGTATATGAAAATGTGTATATGAGTAAGGTATATTATCCGACATTACATTTTTAGGCATCAATTGAGAATTTCCATTCTAAAATACATAAGATCCATTTCAAAAACATCTTGCAACATAACTATAAACGATATGCCTATTACTTGGCCCAACTCTATGCACGACTTAAGAGGACAACGGGACAACGGGAGACCAGCAGAAACTTGCTATGCCATATAAGAGAAAAGCTATAATAGAATACAGTAATGAGAAAATAAATAATCTTCTCAGTGAAATTCAAAGAGTGATTATAATGAGTTCATTGACATATATTCAGCCCTAATATACTTAATAAAGTTTAGAAGGAATAAGAAATAGAGAGAAAGTCTTCAAGGATTCATCAATATTACAATATTTGACTTATAAACTGCCTATTCCGTAATAGAAGACAATTAAAAATATATTACCTTACAAACAGTGTGTCAAGCAAATAGTATAGACAATATATAAATTATAATATGTATAATATTTTTTGTTTTCATCACTTTCAAAATATATCACGAATGTGAAGTACTATCTTAACCATTTAAAATTTATTAACCTGTTACCCAACATCCCTTATTAACTATTCTAAGGGTATCCAGAACTCAGCTTTTGTTTCGATGAATAAATGAGAAAACTTTTCAATATAAAAGATTATAAAGTTTTTGTTCGCTTTTGACTAGGATTGTATTTATAGCTATGATTGTATAACCATGTTCTACCAATAATTACAATTAAATGTCCAATCTTTGCGATTAATGCTAAACGATCTTCCAGCATTGATATTCAATTTGATCTTGAAAGAGTTCTTGGTCAAAATTGCCATCTCAAATTGGGGAATTCTAGTTCAGTTTAAAGTGAATATGTTAGTATTTTATGAGAAAAGTATAATCATATTTCCAAAATTTACGGCAGACGAATTTAAAACAGGACTCATATCAAAAGCAAGATAATAATACAGGATTATAGTTAAAATGATAAGTACAATAACATTTTAAATAAAATATTAATTTTATTTTTTATTATTTTTAAAATTTGCTAATTTTTACTTGTTTTTATGCTTAAGTTTACACTTTAATCAATGAATTGACTTCTTTTGATGAAATCTTTGGAAAAGCTTTACAAAAATCGAAAATATTGCTACTCGAAGTGAAAAAGCCACTATATTTTCGAAAATCAATCATTTTACCTCTAAATTTATGCATTTGCAGTATATCGATGAGAATCGAACGCGCTCAGCATTTTAGGTCGAATGCTATGAATTTTTTAAATTTAGATGAATCCGAGCAGTTGAGAGGAGGTAATAATGCTCTTGAAGAAGTCTCGATGGAGAGGAGTAAGGTTACTGTCAGCCCAAGAGCTAAATTCACCAGGTAATACTAGAATAACTTTTAAAGTAATAAGGTATATTGGTAGAAAACTAATATCCTATTAAGAATAAAAATTTATTTAATTCAACTTTAATCAGAATCACTTCAAGAAATCCTTATTTAAAATATAGGAAGAGTTAAGTATAATCTGTTTAAACATACTTAAGGAATGAAGGAGGTCATAGACAAACTACTTTCTGAAAGGATTTTTTGAGTAAATTTTTTGTTTGATATACACATTCAAGAGCGGAAAGGGTTTGAACTAGTTACTAGTCGAACAGTTCATTCAATTTTAAAACAAGGATTCAAAGAATTGAAATATGTCTGGAACAAAAAGTGGAAAGTTTATTAAGTAAGTTTCTGTAATCATTATTATGTAAGCAATATGATTCATTCAGAATGATTGACAATATAAACAATATTCAAAGAATTTAAAAGCACTACAAACTGTCGATTTTTCGAAAGTGATACCAGATGGTGTTAGTGTACAAAGAGTATTTGGATAATTCAGATTTTAGCATGAACATTGTCTTGATTCTTTTTTTATAAAAATAATTTAGATGTAAAACCAAAGATATAATTGTAATGTTTGATTTACAAAATATTTAAAAGGTTATCGACTATCGGTAACTACCTTTCATCATCTTGTCAGGAAACGGACGTATGGAATCGAATTCCGCGTTGTTTACTAACAAACCTTATTATTGAATGCAAACTTGAAAAACCACTTTAGTTGTCCTGCAGAGTTCGAACGCTTTTATTGTTCGAGTGTTAACGGTGGATAAATAATTCGAAGATTGTGATAGAATAACAACTGGAAGACATATTTCCATTGAATAGTGTTAAATAGTCGATTCTCATTAGGAGTTACTTGTCAATATAGTATGGATCCAGAGTCATCGAATTGTTCAGAAGTGTATCGGATTAGCTCAGCTTCTTTGGTTGAGAATTGCGGGATGTCAACGAGAACATCTAGTAACGCCTCTAATATGTCTACAACACTAGTATCGTTCGTATATACTGATACATTCAATATTTAAAACTTCGCTACAGAGAGAAATAGTGAGCAGTGTAAGATCGCATGGCGTTTGATTCATCTTTTTAAATTTGTTTGTCAGACATCATTAAAACACAATTTTTTGTCGGCTTATTTATTATTTAATAGTAAACTTTGCCAAGTAATTATATTTATCGTTTATATCATTATTTTAATTTTTGGTTTAACATTTCATTAACTAAATCTTTTACCTAAATAAGTGTTCTATTGCTGAATTTTAATTGCAATAAGCAAATTCAAAAAATTTTTCCAATAAGCTATTTCAAAGCTTGTTGTATATTTATAGAAATAACATTGTATGTATGAAAAGAAAAATTAGCTCATTTAACAATTTTTGTGATAAAATATTTCTCTTTTAATAATAATTACAATTCCATTAAACCGAAAATTGCGCCTTTTTTCAGTCGTTCATATGGCAACGCTGTAAAACTACGCTAATCGAAAATTTCCTTAAAGTATAAATTAATCGCTGCATATTTTAAAATAAATTTTTCTCTAAAGACAAAAATGAATAAAAATGAATAAAAGTCATGTCTTTGTCATAAAATCTTAAGCTAGAGAAAGTCAAGTAATGAACTATTTTGTTTTTACTGGCGGAGTAATTTAGAAGTTATACGTTGTTACATTTCAAGCTGATATTTTAGTAATAAATTTACGAAATTCTTTGTTAATATAAATAAGTTTAGAATGTGTACTTGATTGAAAGTATGTAATTTGAGTATATCTTTTCTAGTTTGGCAAAACGAGTACGAATGGGGAAAAAGATTGAAAAAGCTTTAGGTAAAGATAAGAACTCAATTCAAGGATCAGTGGACGATGCCGACAAGCCTCCAGGTATGTTTGGTTGCTTCTGTAATGTTAATGATTAAAATGATTGATTTTGAAGTGCATTTACTTTTAAATGTTTTAGACAGCAGTAGTGAGTTTTATTTTCTTTTTTAAATTCGTCACATTTCTCACTAAAATAAACTAATGGTGTGACTTTCTCTCATTTTTTTCAGCCCTTACTTATTACTTTTCCCAGTATCAATTTTATTTTGATTTTTTCTTTTATAGATGTTTTGATGTTCATTTTATTTACAAAATCTAGTTGAAAATCAAATTATTCCTCAATCGTATTTTCATTAGAATCTTTATACTTTTCAGAACCTTATGTTTGTAAAGGGCATTTTGTGGATGATTTTACCGAGCTTTGTAAGAGAAACAACATGGAAAGAATCCCTCCCGTAATTCTGAGACCCAAGCGTCCACCATCTCCAAATTCTGCACCTCCACCGGAAGAGAAACATAAGGGTTCGAAAAAAGATACGAAAAGAGCCCAACAGGAAGCACAAATGTTAGAAACTGAACCTGAACCAGAAGTTGATGAGTTTGGAGGTCTTGTCTTTGTTTATTTATAAAGTTTGATCTATTTAACAAATTTCTTCTTACCAGATCCTCTCCCTAAAACATTCTTAGTGAAAAACAAATTCGAATACTTCAAGCCATGTATTCAAACTGAAATGGATCATCCCGATAAGCAGGATACAGTGACTAGTATTTTCATTAGGGGCTGGAAACTTGATGTGGAAATGCTCAGAATTCTAAAAGAGTGCTGGATGAAACTTGAAAAACTTCATACTATAAAGTAAGTTTTTTAAAAATTCCTTAGAAAATGTATTATCTTTAAAATTCATTATTGTAGTTTATGGAATTCTGGCTTAAATGGACAAACCGTAGAAACATTAGCTTCTTTTCTGCTTGATTGTACAAATATTAAGTAAGCTTTATTGGACTTTGTAAATTATTTGCTTAGTTTTTTATTCGCAGAATTCTTATCTTGGATAATAATCCTGTTAAGGAACAGAATTATGATCTTTTGTTGAGAGAAGAATCAAAGTAAGTTATAATCATTTTTGTATACTGTAGTTTCAGATATCAAAACTTTTAAAAAACAATGTGAAAATCTAGGAACTTTAAACTTAAGCAAACTCATTCTTGATGTTTTTTTATTAGATCAAATTTTATAATATTAATCAATGACAGAATATCTATAGTACATATTATATCCAGTCCTTATAGGGCTTTAGTGAGTCATATGACTTCGTGAACATTTCTCAACTCCAATTTTCTTAAACACGATTATTAACCAATACATAATGAACTTTTATGTGAAGCACATTAATAAACTATTAATTAAAATAAAGTTGGTCAAAATGGATAATTTATAGGAAATAGCAATTAAATATTAAAATGATTAATTTAGAGAGAATTCCTGGTAAAGTTGTAAATTTTCCCAGGAATCTGGGAGTTCACTAGAGCATTTTGTTATACTCTGTTAATTGCAGTAAAAAGATTATTATAATAAACACTTTATATTTTGACCAAATTCTAATATACAGCAATAAAAAACCTTCCAAGTAAGTATAATATATAAAGAGGTTTTTTCCATTCTATTTCGACTACTTAATCTTAATTCTGTCGATAGTGTTTCATTTGCTTGTTTGTCCTTAATTTATCATTTTAGTTCATACATGATTTATGTATATTGTTTTAACTTTTCAGCATACAACAATTATCTTTGAGGCATTGTAGCATCAATGACAAGGGTGCAGAAAATCTAGCAAAATCTTTAGGATCATTGCATAAAACAAATAACAAGCTAGTGAGCTTGAACTTAAACGGGAATTTCATAACTGATCAAGTAATACAAATAATCACGGCTACAGGATATTTTAAGTAATTATTTTCTAGGGAGCTAGCTCCTTGGCTCGTGCTCTCCGTCTCAACAGATGTCTCTTATCTTTATCTCTTGCATACAACCAAATAGGAGATCACGGAGCAACTGCATTTGCTAATGTTATTTCTAAGTTTGAATTGACTCATGAAGAAATAGTAGAACGTAGAAAATTACAATCTGAGAAAAGTGAATCTCCCGTAGACTATAGAAGATCAGTAAGTCTTTATGGCCGCTAATTTAATTTGTTCAGCAATAATGATTTTAGCCAATGCCGAATGGAAGACGAGGCGAATCCAGAGATAGACCGGGAAGTGTAAGATCTCAAATTAACATTGATAAAGGAGATAAAAAGAAACAAGGGGGTTCAAAAGGGAAGAAAGTAAGCTGAATTTTAACGACGACCCGCATAAATCATGTACTTAGCATAAAATATGTTTCTACAGGAAAAGGAAAAAGAAGACGACAAAGGAAAATCAAAAGGAAAAAAAGATGAAAAAACGAAAAAAGGTTTCATATTGTTTTATATCATAGTGAATATATTAAACATTAAATTATTATTTAGCCATAGAAAAGGGTGAGATAAGTGTTAATTTTTAGAGGTGTACCCTAAACAGTATAAATTGAAACTTACATCATAAAAGCTGAAATTATTTAAGCACGCGATGTTTGATGTGATTGGTTGATTCACTTTAAATTTTTAATGTTCTTCTTTGCAGAAACAAAGAAAGGAGGTGATTATTTAGTTATCACGCAAAGAATTAGTATAGCTACATTTAATTCAAATTAATTTTCCTGAATATACCAGATATCATAACTTAGTTTATCTGCATCTTAAATTTTAAGTTTCTGTTAACATAGAGAGAATACTAAGTTCTACCTTCCAAACTGTATAAACGTTTTTAAATTAAACTTTTTACACTTTGTATATATACTATACATGTATATATATATATATATATATATATATATATGTCTTACATCAGAGAAAATCATTTTTATAATTAAAAAAATATATGTATACTGCATTGCTATATATAGTCTATATACAATATGTGCTTTATTTATTAATTTTTTCTGCATAGATACTAAGGTAGTTTCTCTGCTTATTTTTTTCATAATAGCATCAACTACATCGCAAGGGGGAAGGCAATCAGCAGGTAAGATTGTTCTTCACTATCATACGGCAATTACAGTTCTACAAAAATTCGTTTTATGGTATAATATTGAGGTTCAATTGTTAGTATCCTACAATCTAATACTTATCAAATGAGTAAGCACCCTGTATGAAGTCAGAAGAAGCGAGTTTAAGCTTTCCCTAAATATAGACATAGCACATGATAAATCTTATATCATGTTTTATTGCTGCAGGCAGAGTGTAGGTATTTTAAGTTTTGTATTTTGCTCCTTTTAAATACTTCTGCCTGACATTATCACTTATTCAATCATTACTTTCAAACAAACACATCGAAAAAGTGTTTAACAATTGGTGAAGTTTTTACTTGTCCACTCAATAGATAGCTAAAGATGTTTTTATTATTCATTATTTTTACTGGTCTACATAGCAATACTTGCCATTTTGACGGGTAATTTTCGTGTGTACTGTGTATTTGTACAGTATAAAATTACAGCTTTAAATGTGCTTTTATTTATTCCATATTTTAACAGCGATTGTTTCGTATATTCGATTATAGTTTTAACTAATAAGCTGCATGCGCATTGTACGTATTTCCCTTGTTAACAAACTCAATGCTTTACCGCATCTTCCTTTAAGTGTTAGTTTAGCAGTGTTGTACAAATTAGTTATTTAAATTTAACTCTGTTGACAGCTTCAATGGTAGGCGATTCTAAAGGAAAAGGCAAGGATAAAGGGAAGTCAAAGAAAGGCAAGGGAGATGCTCCTGATGCAGAGGCAAGTACACTCTTTTCTGTGTAGTAAAATTTTTCCACTAGCAATTCGATCTCTTATTATAATATAATTATATAATAATTTTTATTATAAAAAAGATAAAACATGCCTAATTATTGAAATGATACATAAATTTAACGCTTTGGTTCTTTGAAATAAGTTAGAAAGAACGATTTGTAAAATGAAATCCTTACCTTACTTCATTTAATTATTCCGTAAGATTGTTATTTAATAATTTTACTAAATCACCGTATTGTGTCATTAAGGATCAATTTCAAAGGCCTGACAGCGTAGCGAAGGTATACTAGGTTATTGTTGTTTCAAACACAATAATACAAAATATATGGCTTTGAATAGTTTCAGCACACTATTCATATAGTCATATGATTCATTAATAAGATTTTAAACGTAACTTGCTGTTATTATTTTCTGTCTAAATGTTACCAATCACTTCCTACCGTCATTATCTCCTGAAAAATTTCAAATTACCCTCAAATTTCAGACACCTGATCATCAAGAAGTCGTAAGTCCCCTTTTAGATGAAAGTGAACGTCTGGATGGAAAAATACTTTTAGTTGGCAACAGAAACTTGATAAACCTAAATTTATCTCGTGAGTTTCATTTAAAATAATAAGAAAAATTCAATTTACTCTTTAATCCTAAAATAGATAATGAAATAACTGAGATTGGTTTGAAGGAGCTAGATAATGCTCTTGGTTTTCAAATATCTCATACAATTTTGGCGGACAAAAAATTAGGAAATCAAGGCTTAATGAGATTATGCATCCAGGTAAAACTATTTTTAATTTATATTTAAAATGAGTGTTTACTTTCGTTCAGAAAAATAACATACCTTCTGATAACGAGTATGTTCTGAAGATAAAACAAAAAATGATATCTCGTGATCCTTTCTTCAAGCAACAAAAATCGCCAGATGAAGAATCAACTGGTCAGAGGTCTGCAAGCAAAGTTTCTGACAAGTCAAAGTGAAAAAGAAAGAGCAAAGAGGAAATTCCAGTAATATATGTTTATTAAACTGAACAGTTTATGCAAGTTGATGCGAAAAATGAAATTTTTCTAATTCATTTAGTAAAATTCTTTAAAAATCAATGAAATTTTGCAAAGGAGATATGATATACGAGTTAAATCAACTATCTACACTTTAATATTTAAATGAACTAATTTATAGGAATATCTTTTGGAATTTTCACAGCAGCTAAAATCTTGGTATAACAGAACTTATACACTTTGTAACTGCTTTCGTTTTCTTAGAAAACGACATGGAGATATATACTCTTTTCCAAACTCCTCTCCCTCTTCTAGGGTTTCTGGCAGTTTAGTTCCCAGGGTCTCCGGTAAAAGTAAGACTATGCTTCCTGCCAACAAGCCACACGAGCCAAAGACAATTAAAGCAATACGTGCACTAAACATTGCAACAAATGGTGCTAATAAACCGCCTATCCTGGCAAATACTGATCCGAAACCCACGCCTACATTTCGAACAACGGTGGGCATTAATTCAGCAGTGTACATATATGATATTGCAAATCCTGATGAACCACCTAAAGTTCCAAGTTGAGCCAGAACAATTATTACTATAAAATAGCGTGATGGTAAAATGATAGCCATAAAGCACATGATGGAAGAGAATAATAATGAAATGGACATAGACAACCTTCTGCCAATTCGATTTAGAACCAAACAAGCTAAAGCAGGACCAATCATATCCATTATACCAGTTAGAGTTACGCTTACATACGGACTAACTTTCATCTCAGAAGAGGCCAAACTTAAACCATAAAAAGTAAAAGAGCATGTAAACCATTGAAAACAAATATTCATTGTTTTTTTCCTCATATTAGGAGTTTTAAATAGGTCACGAAAGTCATAATGTCTTCTTTCGTATCCATTTTTTGAATTTTGAACTTCTTGTTCAGCCATTTTTTCATCCTTGTCAAGGTCTTTTTCTGAATTCTTCAGTGTTTGATATTCAACTAACTTTTCGAGAACTGAATCATCGTATTGTTTCCCGTTCATTGATGAAATATCTTTAAATGTTTTAACTAGTTCGTCAACTTTGTTTACACCTAATAGCCACCTCGGAGATTCATTAAGTAGAAAATAGTAAGAAATAAAAACTAATGGTGCTAATGAGGTTATAAGCTGTAATTTCCAATAGTTTTTCACAACAAAAGCTAAACCGGCTATTAACGCACAGCTAGATGCAAAGAAAAATTCAAACATCATAGCTGTTGGCATTCTATAGTTCTTTCCAATAGGTTCTAGTGCTGCAAAATTATTATCATATTAACTTTTTGAAGAAAAAACTGTTTAAGTACTAACCCCAAACATATCCAATAGTTAATGTTCCTCCTGTAGAAATACCCACAACTAAACGAGCAAAAGAAAAAGTCCAATAATCTGGAGCGAACGCAGCCACAGTTCCCGATATACAAAGTAAAATGGTTGCTGATAGATGACCTTTTTTACGTCCAACCTTGTCACTAACTTGTCCAAAAATAAAGGCTCCAAGCAGAAATCCAGTCATATAAATAGATTGGGCAGTTGCTCTTAGATAGTTGTTTTGACAAACCAAATTCCACTAAAAAATATTTTGTTAAAGTTTCCTCATTATTACTAAGCAATTCATGAGCTTGATACAGGATATCTAAGCCTAATTTTGAAAATATTTTAGTTTCGATTATATTTAAGTAGAAATGTTTGAAGGTTTAAGAGTAAACAGTTAAAGTTGCAGAAAAGTAAATTTTCCAACATGTCTGTACACATTTTTGTTAGCAATTTTTAACAAAAAGAGTTAATGCGGAGAACTCTAGTACCAATGAAATCCCCAGAATATGTAATTGAACTTAATCAATGAAGAAAAACGTTATTGTTTTAAAAATATGTTATGTTTTGCCTTCTTTTAATACCGAAATAATAAAGATTCTTAATTTCAACCTAAAGTTGATATAAATTTGTCCGATTAGACAACAGAGGTTAAGGACCTTTCGTCAGAATTACATAACTTGTTATTTTACTGCAGACATTTAGCAAAAAAATCAAAATATTCGACTTTTGAGTCCAATGACCTATTTTAAGAAGTATCTGTAACTGATGACATAAAATTTGCCGTACTTAAAAAAAAATTACAAAAAGAATATTAAGTAGTTTCCTTTACAATTGGAAAGCCTTAATTAAATAAACCTAATAGTAGTTGAGAAATTAATTTTTTATTAACTTGGTTCATGTGACACTACAAAAATATAATAATTGATATGATATCGTTTAATGGCCTAGTTTCGAATGAGCAAGTTATCCTACAAAAATTTGTGCATAAAACTTCCATTCTATATAACGCTAATTGGAATAAACCAGGTTATGATTTGAAATACACATTTAAGAATAGGCTGGCCAAAAGGATGTTCATCTAACCTCGGTTATCATATTTTCTCCATATTCCATGGAATAATTCCATGAGCGACATCTATTTTCGGATCCATTTACTTGCTGTGTACATTTGTCTCTTGAAGAAATATTCCAACCCGGTTCACTACAAATGAATTCAGGAACAACAGCATGGAAGACATTTATGAGAGCATGAACACTGGTAACTGTTGTCGCTATTCCTAATAGTAAGTAATTGCGTATTTGATATTTTCCCCACGCCCCTACCAACTCCAATGCTGATTCAATATCCATGATTTATTCTCTTCAACAGTGCAGACTGGCGCTGTTCAATTCGGAAAAAAATATACAGCTTATGATGTTTAAACTAGAGACAGTCTATTATGCTTGTTTCAAGCATGCTCCGGACGTAGAGGTTTGAAGAGTGGATGTCTTCATAATCGATTTCGATACGAAGTTCGCCGATAACAAATAAAAGCTTCGAACAAAAAAATCGATTTAGAAAGGTGGAACAAATCACTGGCTTCTTTCTGCTGTAATCCTTCTCGTATCGCATATGAAGCGATTCAATCGAAATATTATCGGCTATACCCGATTACAAAGCAAGGTTAAGCTGTTGGAAAAAATTTATAACGATGCTTAATGGTTGACACATTATGAGTAAACTCTAACGCTCTCAGATATTTAAATAAATTGCAACTAACAATTATTTTAATTTTCCTTTTAATTAATTCAACAGTTTAGGATCTTTAAGAGAGGTCTTGCACAACTAAAATGTATCAAAGGACAGCTTTGTTTTAATTAATTTTTTACTGCTTATTCAACGTTGTTCTATACTTTGATTGTAGTATAATCTATTATATTTCAAGTGTCTTTTTCAAGAACATCAATTTCAAGGTCAATGTTATTTAAGGTCTTAAAAATCATACTGCTGTTTCACTTATTCAAATTTTTTACTTTAAAAATTTAATTCTAGAGGAGGAGATATAGCATAAGTTATTTCCTCAAATGTGACAATTATATGAAATTTATTGTATACTGTGGACTTAGGTAATTCAAATTTTTATCACTGGATTTAACACTGACCGCTGGACTTACTTATCTTATCTGAAATTGAATCTATAAAAAGAAAAAGCAGTTACTTGTCTCTAAAATATATTGAAGTATGAAGAGTTGATTTATAATTATAATACAATTAATGTATTTTTTATAGTTAAAATTAAGTAACAAATGGGTTTTCCTAAATATAATATGTGAATCATTCATATTTTAATAACAATAATAATTATTGCAAATACCTCGAATAAATTAATAAATTAATTGTAATAATCCGTTCTACACTGATTTTCGTAACGATATTATAGTTTCGCTTTTGCTTTATTTTTGTAAAATTGTTAATATGTATTAGTAAAAAATCTCGAAAATATCAGAGAAAATCTCGCACAATGTATTCAAAATACATTAAAAATATTTAGAATGTGCCCAAAAATTAAGTGATTGGTTGATTTTGTTTTTAAGCAATTTTTTGATTTGATATGTACTTTTTTTGAACATTTCCCAGAGTAATTTTTAATCCGATACCTAATATTTGCTGTAGATTATCGTATAATGTTTACAGTATTTGAACATTTGGTACAGTAGGCAGAATAATGGCTTGAAAAGTATAAAAGATTTCATTATTATTTTAAAGTTTTTCGAGGGAAAAGATGTACGAAATATGTGTAAACAATACTAAAAAAATATTCAGTTGTTTTCTGAATAGTTATATTAACAGTTGTTTCACATCCAGCGCCATCTATACTTGTATCAACAAGCTATTTTAGAACTAGACTTATGAAAATATGCTGTAGCATTCATATTTTTTGAAAGAATAAAGAACGACTTACGCACAAATATTCGGAGGTATCAGGCAAGTTTCGACATCAGCAGAACTAAGTACAAATAGATAATATACTTTCTTTATTTTTATAGTTGGTATTATATCCTTAAGGTAGATTAGAAAGAATGTAAAGTAAGATAAATATTTCTCCAAAGAAATAAAACAGAAATTTTGTTATTTCTTTCTTATCTTACTATCTATAGTTGAAATATAATGTTATTTTATACGATTATAATTGCTTTAAAATTAATGCTTTTGATTTTAATTATAAAAAGAGTATTTCTAAGCATTTTGAAAGTGTCATAAAATTTGAAAAGATCCAACTGTTATAAATATTTTCTGAAAAGGATCTGGAAATGCAATTTTAGAACAGTTCGATGGAAATAATTATTTACACTAAAAAATAAATTGCTTTCTATTTCGAATGATAAGCTGGCAACAAAAACTTTTGACAAATGACCTCATCAATGCGGAAAACACTGTAAAGGTGAAAGCCGTAAAGGTTTTTGAAATGTTAAACGTTGGCAATATTCGTAAACATTTCGAAACGTGGGAATTTGTTGTAAGATATCAACACTATCTAGATCCTTTAATTAACGTGCATAGTTTCTAATATTTAGATAAACAATTAAAGGTGAAATAAATGTATATTTGGGGTAAATATATAATATATTATGTTAACATGGATAATCACCCCTTTATCTTATTAGGGCTACAGAAATTTGAAGTTTAAAACAAGGATTTCTTAACTGATGCGAAATACGTCAGACTATGCAAAACACTTTCCAACCAATCATCGCTGAGATTTTCATCTGAGATTAATAGAGGAAAAAAGAAAATCTTCTTCAGTTTGTTCTACGTTGTTTTTACCCTTGCATCATCAGTAAGTAGAGCATTTTTTTCAGCTACAAGTTCTACAACTAATAATTAAATAATGACTTACAATAAACAAATTTATCTTTTAATCTATATATTTCAAAATTATAGTAGCAATAAATGCAGTAAGAGTACCTTGTTTACAAAAATCTTCGAAAGCCGTTTTATAGCTTACAGAAGTTTTACTACTGCAGTACTCTAGACTGTTTATCTTTTCCGCGCTAGTTTTCTGATAGATTTGGTTTTGGTCGGAATTTCGATGATTTACTACTAGAAGAGCCACTTAGTTATCATATATACAGTATAATCTCAAATACAAAAACGCGACAACCGAAAGATGGCGCAATACATCTTAATAGATTAATAAATAATTTTTATGAAAATGTCACAAATTTTACAGAAGATGGAATTAATTGACAATTTCGATAAGACATTTTGGACAAAGAAAGAGACGGTAGATGAAAACGGTAGGTAATGACTATAATATATGTGTTGCTTTACCTGAGGTGCTTTTTGAAGGCTACGAGCAGTTTAGGATTGCTCAGCGAGTTGCTGGATCCGAAAACTCTTTTAAATACGCTGTAATAGATTCTGAAGGGGAATCAAAGCAGGTATGTCATAAAGTCGCTTTTCTAACGAAATGTTAATTGAAATTTGAAATCTTTTAAAAGTAAAATATAAGACATTTAACATTCCATGTTAAATAACTTTTAGTTACAAGAAAATAAACCAATTTACGAAAAATTAGCATAAAAAATGATCATGTTCTTAAAGGAACAAGATAAATTTAAAGCTTTAATACATATATTTATTCAAGGCAATATTAATTTCTTAATTCCTTAAGTCATTTTGACAGCGTTTTCTAAATTTGTATTAAAACTAGTCAGAGAGCGATTACATCAAATTTTTATTAGTGAATTTTTTAAAAATTACACTCAACTTAATTAATGAATTCGTAAAATTTGTGAGTGAGTATAAAAGAGAGCTGTATTATGTAAGAAAAACATATACAAATTTTGAGAACAATGATGTTGCTTTGTTTACAACACACACATTGGGGAAAAAAACATTATAATTTTCGAATTGACCTAATTTATTGCGATAATGATATTTGTCAGGAATAAATGTTTTCTGTTTATTTTTAAGGTTGTTCTTCGAGGAGCTCAAGGAAAGAAAGATCCTCTGACAAGTATTGCAAACTTAATGATGAAAATAAAGCATACGGGCGAGGAAAGATTAGTGGAGGGAATCATTGTTGACGATGAATGTGTCATTTATGTAACCGTCTAAATTTTTTCCCTTGTCGAAGTTCTGCAAAAATCGTACTCAGAACAAAAATAAAAATAGCTTTAATCCCCCCTGATAATTCAGTTTGGCTATTTGCCGCCAATCCTGTTATCGCTTCGTTATTAGGCAGTTACATTATTCATAGAAATTAACATCGTTTGTTGAGAATGAGGCCTAAACTCCCTGATGACATCAGGTGTCTAGCCGTCTGTGATCATTTCTGTCAACAACAAGTGATTCGGGAAATTTTGAGTGTAAATAGCGCGAGTTACAAAAGATAGCCGACGGACATTTTATTTAATTAGGAAATAAGAAAATGTTCGGTGAAAAGTATCAGCGTCAATAGCTTGGAGTTATTAAGATTTGTTTGTCAATATTCCCTTTAGCTATAAATATCATGAGCAAGATAACAGTCTCATTATCGGCTTATTTGGCAAAACGCCAAAACTATTTTTCGTCTCAATTCTTTACAGCTTTGTGACGTAACAGAGCGAAGTCATTTTCGCTTTCATGTATTGAAATTGCCGTCCGCCAGTTCTTCTTTTGCGATATTTTCTGTTTCTTGATCCTAGACGTCAATTAAAGAGCGATTCTATTCGGATTATCGGCACTTGACAGCAAACACCGGCCTTGACGAGGCTCTGCGGGAGTCTTTGTAACGCCCGTGACGTCACACCTGTTGGCAAATGACGTAACTGGGCACGCGTTTTGCCGTAATGTTTAACATGGCTAATTTTTCATGTGCAGAAAATTACATACTATATGTATTTTAAATAGTGTATTGTATCTTTTCGAAAAAGCTCTAATATAAGAAATTACATAATAGGGATTTCTTCTGCATTTCCCTGAAGCATTTCCGTTCAAACATGTCCATTTCACTATTGATTGATGTAATTCCTTTTTTAAGGGATTATAGAATTAAATGAGTGTTTTATTTCAGCATTCGTCATTTAGTAGATACTTGAGGGCTTAAAAAAGGGTTTAAAGGGCATATCACGCATAATCCGTCGCCAGAAAAATTTTCCTAAACGGGCAAAAGTACATGTAAATGATATCGGAGAAGTCAACCAATCAGAAACGAGTACCGAAAGAGCAACCAATCAGCTTCCAAATAGGAAATGCGATACTTTTCGTCGCGTTTCATCGACATTTCATTCCAACATATCCTGGGAAAGACACACTTTCGTGTTTGTAAAAGAACTTTAATTGAATACTTTGACAAAATTAGAAATGCAAAGAGCATTGGAAGCTCTAACTGGTTCTATGAAAGTTGAAGAAACTATAACTCGGGAAAATTCCGGTGATGGAGGTATGTAATGGAATCATTAGATTCTAAACTTTCCCTTTGCTCTTCTATTTATTTGACAAATAACATAAATATAATCTTTTAAGTGTTATAACATAATTTACGTAACTGTGCGCAAATTGCCGTATGTCAAAGTCAAAGAAATGAAGAGTGTAATGACTACCCTGAATAAGATATCTCGTGGGAACATTAAACGCTTTCATCTTCAGAAGCGTGTCGAAAATTAATGTTACGTCATTTTAACATCGAATTTTCAACAATTGTTGTCGCAATTTCTTTGATTTCGCTTCTAATTGTTTTTCTCTAAACAGTTTGGAACAACGAAGCCGCTCTCGATCTTTCATCTCCAAGGAAAATTGAATCTAGTATTCCCACCACACCATTTGTTCCTTTTCTGCATCCACCTTTTAGTTATTATAATTCTTTTGGATTGGGCTTCCATCCATATATATTAAATTATAGTAATGTAGCAGAAAAGCAAAAGGACGACAAAAGCTCTTCGGACACCGATTCTGAAATCAACATAGAGGATACAGATTCAGAGGAGGAAGAAGAAAAAAAAGAGATCAAGGAAACTAAAAAGCCAACTAATTTCAGTATAGAAAATCTTATCAAACCTTCACCAACTACAACCTCTTTACCATTTACTCAACCTTCATTTCCGACCGTACCTCATCATCATTGGTCCAATACTTGGATGGGACGTCGCTCACGTGATCCTAATAAACCCGCTGCTGTTAAAAAATACAAATGTGACGTCTGTGGGAAATCATTTTCGAGAAGTAACACGCTCGTTACGCATAAGGTGACCTAATTTTCTTTTTATTGATACTCTGATAATCAAAGTCAAAGACTTTTAAATCGGAGAAAATCGGCTTAGGCCTCTATTGTCGGACGTGTCTTTGATTTAACGTCCGAAAGAAGACGTCACGTGATGAAAAAGGTGTTTTGAACATGTGGTCAAGTGCTTTACGTATGAATATTAACGAGGCAGTATACAGGTGAAAATCGAACAGATGCCCACCCGACAATAAAATCAAGTACCGATTGCATATATCTTGATCAGATTTAATTCCAAGCTTTAAAACGCTTTAATTTACATAGAAACTAATAAATTTTTCTAACTTCTGTCTTTTATTTAAACAGAGAATTCATACAGGAGAAAAACCTTTTGCTTGTGAAATTTGCGGTCGAGCATTTAGACAACCTGGAAACTTAACAAGACATAAATTAACCCATACAACTGTTAAGCCGTATGTTTGTCCAGTTTGTACAAAAGCATTTAATAGGGCATCAAATTTGCACACTCATATGCGAACTCATTCAAATTATCGACCCTTTGTTTGCACGTTCTGTGGCAAAACTTTTCATCAGAAAATAGATATGAAGATACATTCGTATACTCATACTGGTTTGTTTTCTAATTTGATTATTTGACTCTGAGATAATAAATGTAGATTTAAATTTTAAGGAGAAAAACCAAATATTTGCCCAATTTGTGGAAGAACTTTTAGTCAATTGGCCCATTTAAACTATCATATGAAAATTCATGATTCCAAGTCAAGCTGCAAATTTTGCGGTATTAATTTAGAAACCACGGATCTTTTAGAAAAACATATTCAACAGCAGCATGGTTTGTACATTTTATATGGCTTATCTTTTGTTTAATTACTCATGTTTAATTACTTAGGTGAAGAATCTGCAGCAGGATCAAGTGAATCAAAAAATTAATTGTTTCTCATATGTTTTGTAAATGCATGATACCCTGATTAAAATTATAAATAATTGAAAACTAATAACGTAATACATTCTTGCCGTTTCTACTCTTCATTCAACTATACAAAAAGGAAATAATTTACTGGACAACTTATTGTAAATTATAGTCTCTCACAGACGTTCAATGTTAGTCGAAAACTGAGCTATAATTAACTCAGTTGAATAATCCTGTCAATTTTATGAATAATAGATATCAACTCAATCAGTTTAGGCTTGAGATACAAAACCGAATTTTCTTTCAAAAACTATTTCTTTATATTCTGAAATGAAATAGAAACACCTTTCGATAATTCTATCGAAATCGCTAAATTCCTCTGTATTATTTACGAAACATATCATTGAACGAGCGTGGCGCCACCTGTTAAATATTTTTTAAACCACTATTTTTTAAAAAGAAAACAGCCACTCCCACTACAAACAAGCTCTTGAATAAAATATTCAGAGTTAACTATAATCTTAAAAAATTCCTTTAATTAAAGAATTTTGATCCGTACAATCTGTAATTAGATTAATCACTTACGAAAGTCCTATATAGTTCTGATCCTGTAAACTGACTGAACAAATTATTCTTATAAATGCAAAACTTAAAACTGAGCGTTTAAGGCTCCCATGTTTATTTCTAAAAAGTGGGTCTGGTGTTAGAGCTATAGGGAATATCAACAGAACTCAGTCCATTCAGCCTGTGGTGTTTAAAAGTAGGTGGCCACTGAGGATGTAGCAGAAAATCACCCCTTCTTGTAACTTGGTGTTTTCCTTTTGGTCGTTCACATTTACCCATGCTCTCTATATCTTTTTCTCTCTTTAAGGTTAAGTCAACGGCTAGGGGTCTTTTACTTTCTCCAGCAATTCTCTCTTGAACTGCGGTTTCCTCTGCGCCCGCAAACTTTCCAAATCTGCAGATCGAAGCATACTTTTTTGTATTGTTGCTGACTTGCAAGTTTGAAGCATCCAAACTATTTCGTAAAGCTTCTTTTGTGCTCAGTTTAATATCGTTGTTGGCTTCTTTCATCCAAGCCCTAGCAGCTTGCTTCACAATTGGATCCTTTATTTTTCCCAAGAGATTTTCATCTTCACTTGTTTTGTACTGAAGTAAAGCTTGCTGGTCTCTTTCTGGAACAAATTTTGAACGGAGAGCATGTCTATGCTCTTGTTCAGCTTGGGTCGTGCTGGCGTCAACTTTATAAGCAGGTCTTCCTACTGTTGTGTCTGCATTATGATAGCCTGGCACGTGATGAAGACGACATTCCAAAAAAACTCTATAAAAGTTTAAAATTATATGATTTTTGTGTATTGAATTGTCTGGGAATCAACTCTTACAAAGGCGGATGGGGGTTATTTTTCCGCGTCGCTGAAGTGGGCCTCTTTAAAGGCTGTTCAATATTTTGGATGTTGGAAAAGTGGTTTTTATATGTGGTTTCTCCATCATATTGTGATCCTAAAAATATGATATATGTAATCAATAACTATTTTAGTTAGTAGCGGTTTAATTTCTAATACTAGTTCATCTAAAAAGGTGCGAGTGCGTATAAATGAGTGAAGACTGTTCAATTTTTCAGTAACTCTAATCTAAAAATTCATTGTAAAAAACGTTTAAGCGCAATATTTTATGAAATATTACCTGACCAAGCTTCAAACGCTCTTTGCTTCAGGTCACTCAGAATGAATTCATCTTCGTTCCTTTTCATATATGATGGTTCTATATATCTTCTTCCTATAGTTGGATACGCAGTTTTTGCTCTTCTAAATCTTGATATGCAATCACCATAACCTGGGTTTGGGTGAATAAGACCATTTATATTCTCTCTTGACATTGGTAAGGCCATAATTAGGCACTTGAAGACTTGTATAAATAAAATAAAGTCACGAAATCACGTTGTAAAAAAAAGAGATTTCACTAAGTTGCTTGGGAGACCAGTAAAATGCCTGATTGCAATTTTGAATTTGAAATCAAAATCGTAAATTTTTATCAATAAATCAATATTCTTGTTAAATTTGTATGTTTGGATGGTTACTATGACTTAGATTTCAGGCGCCATCTATGTTATTATAAACTTTGCTAATATCAATTTTTTGAGTTAGTCAAACAAATTTACGTCTTCTAGTTTAAAGAAAAACTGTAAATTTTGGCGGGTCTAGGTCAAATTATGAATAATAGATGGCACACTCGACATCCGGTTGATTTGTGTTATTATCCAATCATTAACGGCTAACGCTTACAGTTTCCTAATAGAAAATCATCTCAAGCATCTGCAAGGTTTATCACCTATCCATTCTTTTGGAAATCAACAGTACTTGGTTACTATAGTATTTATTTCTTATTCGACTATAATAAACTTTAAATGCTTTAACTGTTGTACATATGTCTCCTTATTTCGCGTGGTTCTTTTTATTTATCAGAACCATGCCTAATTTAAGAAATATATCCTAATAACATATATCTAATACAGAGACGAGTGAAACAATTTATGAAATATTCCGTTCGATCTAGCAACTGAAAATGAATAGATTCAATGAAAAATTTCAGGCCAAGGGTAGGCCTAAGGAAGCGCGGTAATAAGATTAGATATAACTAACTTTTTGAACTTTAAATTGATCTTATTATATATTTTTGTTGATATTTCAGTGACGTTTCCGAGGACTTGATTCAAAAATGGCGAGATGCCGAAACAATGGGAAAAGTTTTAGAATGTCCTAGGTGCATGATGAGCTTTACATCTCATCTAGGGTTGTTACAACATTATAGACATTGTTTTGATAATGTTAACATTGCTGAAAATAGTTGTCGATATATGTGCCCAAGATGCAGCTCAGAATTTGCTAATAGTAAATCTTTATCTCATCATAGAAGATATTGTCCAGGAGATTCAAATAAGGTTGTTGTTTAATTCTCTTTGGTAAGTTATACATGTTGGAATACATTTTTAGAAACCAACGACTAAGAAAACATCAAAGGAATCACCGAATTATATACAATTAGAAGTAATCTCTGACGAAAAGAATGAAACTGTCAAGAAGACAATTTACATTGTGCCAGAAAGTTCTGGTACGTTATAAGTTTTTCTTGACCTGTATTCGATTTTTTTATAATATAAAACAGAAGCAAAGAGGAAGCACGATGATGTAACTGAAGAAGTTACTGTAGAGACCACAAAGAGAAAAAGAGTGGAAGGTAATAGAGGAAACCACCTATTAAATTTGCAAATAAAAAATGTATCTCACTTAGAAGACGTAAACGAAAGTGAAGACTTTGTGTATGAAGAAGAAGAGGAGGAAGACGATAATCAAGCCGAACATGCCTCTCCCGACAACGATGAACAAAGTGTGAAGTCTGAAATTGAAGAAACTGTTGATCTTGCCACAAAGCAAGGTAGATAATTTGTAGTTAACTCAACTATATATTATATGGTGTGTGTTTATTGTCGATCTTTCTGTATTACCTGTATCAATAAAGAACAGGGGAATACACTGGTTGAAAGTGAGGAGAACTGTGCGTTGTTTTCCGATGAGAAGCGAATACATTCAAATAAGTCAGATAGGAAGTATCGGAAGTTTCAATCCCCTTCTATTATTAGTAATGAAAAGGACGAAAATCGTCCTTCATTTCGTCCACAAACAAATTTAGTTAATGTGGAAAACGCCAGCCTATCTCCAGATGTCGGAAATATTTCTAATGTTTCTTCTAGTGAACAATCTGACGAAATAGGAGTTAATTCTGATAGTAATATTAATTTAGAAGAAGTAATGGATACAAATAAATTAGTTGATATTGAAAAAAAACAAGCCACCACTACACCTGTGGTTGATGAAACAGTAAAGATTTTAGAATCTATTAGTCAAACTATAAGTAATTCCTTAAAGGATAAGGAGAAGGATATTGACACGAAGTCAGTCTCATCTTTTACGGACAATGAAAAATTAATCTATTCTGGTACAGAGAATGAAAAGGCCGCTAATTACGCTGGTCAAGACACTAGACGCGATAATAGAGAGTTAAACCCGATGTCTTCAGATGTCGCAGAAAGTACTAATGAGCTAAGCGATAGGCCAAGCCAAAACGAGACTTTTAGGTTAGGTGAAAGCATAAGTCAAACCTCTCATGAACAAAATGAAGGGGAATCTATAATAGCTATAAACAAACCTGATAAGACGGGGAAAATCAAATATATAAATGCAGAGGTATGTCAAAATCGATATACTTCATCTGGAAAAGCGGCAAAAAATATAGAAACCTCTGAAGAAGTGGAAACATTGCAAGATGCACAAATGGACATCTCTGTAACTAAGAATAAAACACGGGGTCGAAAACCTAAAGTTAAGAAGCAAACTGTCGACTTACACAAAGATGAGGAAACTACAGCAAATTCCTTCGATAAAGGTATATTGAAAAAAAAGACTAGGGTTACTAAAAAACCAGAAGATATTTCAACACAAAAAGGTCGTTGCAAAGCGGAGGCCTCGAGATCTACAGCATCTAAAACTGAAATGGTAATGTTAGTACTTTATTTTTATTTTTAATTTTAATCCTTTTCTTTTGTAACAGAATTGTTCGAAATGTGATAAAAAATTCGATAAAAAGTCATTTTTGGCTGATCACTTAATGAGGAGACATTGTATATTAGTATGTCCTGCTATAATAATTCAATAACAAATTTCTGATCAGATATTTTTCTAGCAAGGTGAATATAACCCAAACAAATGTATAAAGCTTCTAAAGGTCCTTGAATGTGAAAAATGTGGAAAAGAATTGAGGAGTATGACATACTTCAAATTGCATACTGAATGGTGTGGACGAGAGGTAAAAAGCTGCTATTTGAGTCCTAAATTTAATCCTGTTAAAATTTTAGAATGAAAGAGAACAGTGCAATAAGTGTAACAAGCAAATTCAGAAAATGTATATGAAAATGCATATGGCTGAGCACAGAAGAAGAGATAAAGCTCATCATGTAGTAGAAAATAAACCAACAATCGAAGATGAAGAAACTGAAGGCGTTAGTGTTAAAAGGAGAGCTGCCAAAAGGTTGATCAGTTTTCTTTTAAAAAAATTTACTTTAATTCGTTTGCCTTCCATAAAGAGCACTAACAACATTGCAAACAATTTCGGATGAAGCTAGAGCGACAAAGAGAGCCATAACTGCTTCCAATACAACTTTGGTAGTATACTTTATACAAATCAATTCTCCATAAAAAGAAACTGAAAATTTTATTTTAATTAAGGACGAGAAATTTTTAGCAGTAAGAAAGCCCATCGAGAAAAAGATGGATTCTGATTGGAAAAACACTCTAAAAACGAAGGGGACCGTAAAATGCAAATATGAAGTAATTAAACTTCTAATTTTAGTTAGGCTAAAATACAAAATGGTATACCTGCTTATTTCAGTCTTGCAATGAGTATTTTTGTGAATACGAAAAGGTAGTTGATCATTTTATACATGGACATCGGTCAAAAATAGAATCTGAAAAGTTCTTCACTTATAAGTTTGTAAAAAATATTTAGTTTTTACTTAATTTTATAAAATATCTTTTACAATGAAGATGTATCAAATGCGACAAGTCATTTACAAGTAAGAATGGCGCAAAATATCATGTAGAGCGTTGTGCGTTATGGGTGAGTATCATCATTGTTCATTTAATCAATATGTTTAGCTTTGTTAATTAGGCACAAGAAGAGCAAAATAAAGATGATACCGATACTTCAAACTCTGATTCTAATGAGGTAGAATCAGATTCCGATGTAGTAAATATGAACGACTTAGACTCTAGCGAGGATTCTCAATTATCAGGTAATTGCGGTAGTCTTTAATCAGTGTCAATTTTTAAAAACCCTACTTAAGATTCAGGAGTTGACGAAAATAAGCTATCAGGCATAGAGTCAGAAGTGTCCAGTGCAGACGAAAAAGAAAAACAAGCATCAATTGGAGTACGAAAGTTTTATGAGGACTTCTTTTGTAAAAATCTGGCTAAAATTAGTAAAAATTGTGATCTCTCAGCAAGAGACGCAAAAGAATTTATTTCAAGAAATAGTTGTTCGGAAATATATAAAGATTGGAAATTAACCTCGGATGACGTAACTTTTTGCAATGAAAAGTATGTTTTAATTTTTTTTTATTGAATTGATATATTTTGTTTAAAACAGTCTGGCAAGAAAATATCTACCATCCTCTAACTCCTCTCTAGGATTTTCTATTCGTAAAGGAAAGAGTAATGCATCAGAAAATATCTTTCTTGAGAAATTTGATGCTGTTGAGCAAGGTATAAAGATTTAACATAAGTTACACAGCTTTCATAAAATTGTATCTAGGTCAATCAGCAATAGCCTATACTGGAGGTCCAATCTTCTCCGGATCTTGGATTCCGCTTCACGTCAAAGACGCAAAAGTGAAAGAAAACCAATTTGCTGCGATTACCACAACTAATGAATATGAGGTTAAAGTTCCCAACAATACTTTATATCCTTGTAAAGGCACAATACAGATATGGAATTTTGGAGATTTAAACGGCACGAGGTATTTAAAAAATTTCAAAGTCATAAAGAGTTTACTTATGATAGAATTTTTGTTTAGTGTCAATCAGAAACCAAAACTTGAATTTTGTATTGGTCATGAACTTGGTATATTGTGGAGCACAAAATTTTGCCCATCGGGTGCTTATGATGTTATTCATTCAAATAAAGATAAATTACGAAGGCTTGGCTTACTCTGCGTAGGTGGTAGTCAGGGTTATTCGGCAATTTATAGGTAACTCCTCCAAGATGTCTATATCATCAAATTTTAACTTATATTACTTACAGCGTTCCCCATCCTGATTCTCTTCATGGGCTAAAACTATCACCAATACAAGTTCCTAAATTATGTCTTTTTAAACCATCAATACTTCTGCTTCCCCACTCAGGTAAACAAAAATATTTTTTTAGTAAGATAGTCATCAAATTCGTACATAGATTGTAGAGAAAGAAGTCAAGTAACTTGCATTGATTGGAGTTGGAAAAAGAGTCACTCTATTTTAATAACATCTCATGTTAATGGGAGTATTTGTGTATTTAATTTAAATTCTTCTTCCTTATTGCAACTGAGCTATAAAAGCTGCAAGGCAGTTTTACCAGCTCGTGTTTTGTCGGCTCACAATGGTGTAGTTCATAGTATTTCCTTCTGTCATCAGAAAGATTCTTATATCGGATCATGTGGTTCTGACAAGTAAATTTCCTCTTCACAAAAAAATTTTACACTTTCTTGAAACGAAATTTTTAGCTTGATTCAAGTTTGGAATTTAAATAAGATGGATAATCGACCGGTTATAAGAATATATAGAAGAGAAAAACCAATATGTATACATTTTCCTCTAATGTGGAATGCCTTTATTTGCTCTTTCGATGATGCTCTTAAGTAGTAGAAAGATAATAGTTCAATTTACTTTCTTATACTTTGCGTACATTTTCAGCTACAATAATCCTATACATGGATCTATTTTCCTTTACTATTTAGAAGATCATCCAAGTGAATCGCCAATTAGACTTCTACCAATGAATTCAACAACTTGGGTAATTATTTCTAAAAGTAATCAAAAGATCATGAAAATTTTTATACTTAGGCACTAACAAGCTCACCTTGGACAAACACAGCTTATGTTGTAGATGAAGATGGTGTTTGTGCAGCCTTTGAATTGGTTGAAAGACGGGGCAAGTTTCCGGATAAAATGCAAAGAATTCTGAAGCGGAGATATGTTAGTTAATAGTTAATTCTTAATTCTCTTTAACAAAAGTTCTTTCAGATAATATTTAGGAGTTATCTTGAGAAAATTAAGAAAGAGAGTATAAGAGATTTAGTCGTTCCTGTCGAACCTCTTAGCTCTATGTCACCATTTCAATATAATAATGATGAGGAACCTTTCTATGAGAGTAGAAATGATTTTATAATAGACCACACACTTCGGTACTACGATGCAAATTTCAAAACTGGTCATGGGGTAAGACTAGAGTTGTCTTTTATTAAATTTAGTTTGTTCCCAATGAAAACTCGATTTAATACTTTCTCAGGCTGAAGGACAAACACAGAATAGGAATGTTAATATTCTGAACTGCTTCTCTATGAAGTCCTTGCATTTCTTAGATGTAAATCCTCATAAAAAAGAAGCTAGGTGGATTCTCACTGGAGGACAAAATGGTTTAATGCGCATTATTTGCTCTGAACATAGATAAACTGAAGAGTACTTTGTTTAGGAATGTATTGATACTTTTTTTCAAATATATTTAAAAGTTATATTTAAAGTTTCAAAGAATTGAATTAATAGCTATCTCAAATCATATATTTGTATGTTTCTATAAGCATTCTGTGATTAGTAAAATAATGCTGACATTTCGTGTGCACTAAAATTTCAAAATCTCGTGACGCGATGTAAGGATAAAAAAATTAGACAAAGATAAATTAAAAAATATTCTTAACAGTATAAATATACAGTAATCTCAACAATACAAACGTTTAAGTCTTCATTGAAAGTCCTTTTCAAAATCTGGATTCATTCACTAACACAATAAATACTGTATCCGAAAGAAGGAAAAAAATTTTTCCTTACGAAAGAACGAAATGGAAAAAAAGCTAGAGCCTATCCAATAGGCGCCGACTTTTTTTGCTGAATGCCTTTGCCGAAGATTTACTTCCTTTTTGGGTATGATTAGAACAAGGTTTGGCGAAATGGAATGCTAACTCACACCTCGTACAAAAATTATGGGCACAGGAGGAGCGACAACATCGTCCTCTTTCATACACGCCGTTTTTAGCTGCAGGTCCGTTACACTTGGGGCACTTTGTCATCTTTTCATATGGTTTTAAACGTTGCTGAGCCTATCGAAGGTTTGATATATAATTTAATTTTATTTAAAAAGTCAACAAACCTCCCAAAATTCTTGGCTGGTTGCTAACTTTCTATCAGCTTTACTAGTCTTCTTTCTTTCTTTAATTGTAGTTTGCAAAACAACCAATGGCTTAACTTTACGACTTTTATTTCTAATAAAACTATTTTCTTTGTTTGAGTGCTGTGGAAAAAATAGAACGTGACATTAATCGATGCTAAGCAATTGATCGATAGCACCAGTGAATGATTTTGTATCATTGATATTAATTGTATATACGAACCGTTTTCTTTATATACTCTTTACGACGACGTCTTGCGTTGGAATCCTGTTTACAAATTTCTTTCCACTTAGGACAAACCTGACAGGCACTGCAAATGCATTTTAAAGTTCGTCAAAGTGTTCACAAACTGCACTATGTGTATCCTAATAAGTTTTACCTGTTTAAATCTGAAGGAGATAAGTAAGAAAAAATTGTCCCTATCACATGATTCAAATGAACATTATTCAGTTCGTCTAAAATGTTCAAATTTTTCACTCCCATTCTTCTACCAATTAAAAATGAGACATCTTTTACTCCTAAACTTTCATTTAAACTTTCGCAAAACGTATCAACAGACAGCTGCAAATCACTTAAATTTGCAAGCGAGTCATCATCTACATCAAATTGATATAATTCAGTAGAGATTCTTGAGCCATCATGGAAAGCTGAATCAGTACTACGATTAGATAACTGACTAATTTCGAATTTTCTCTTGAAGGTTGGACTACTCTTCGGACTTTTTGTAAACTCCGGTTCATCCAAGCAAAATTTTGGTAAGGGCCCTTGTCTTCTAAAGCAGGTCTTTTTTGGCATAAAATCTGGTGAAAGAGTTCCCGGTTTCTTCCTGGAACATTCTGGGCTTTTGTTATCAGATAAGTTTAAATCTCCTAGGGAATCTGTAAGGCCACTATCATCAGCTAAATCTTTACGACATAGAGGAGTGCTTGTAGTTCTAGAAAAGTAGTCATTTCTTAAATGAGCAGAAGGGCTTCCTCCAGTTAGATTTTCTAATGACTTTTGCAAGGGCTTTGAATGTAATTCCTGAGGGGAATATTTTGATTTTGTTTTTCGTTGAACAGGTGATACTTCAACTGATCGACTTCCAAAATCCTCCCTTACCATTTTCTGTCGGAATGTTTATTGCAATGTCAGACTTGAACAGTTTTAAGAAAAATATAGCAAATTAAATATATTTAAATTGATTTTTTGTTATTTGGGTGAAACTGTGTAAATTAGGTTCTTTCAGCTTTAGTTTTAAAAAAATCAACTCGGATAAATCTAACTGATTTTTTACCCCAGTGAACGTTATATATTCAGTTCTGTGATTTATATGTTTAAAAGCTAAAACCATAATCTTTACAGTGATTGTGATCCTAAACGTCAAAAATTTAAACTTGATAATTTTAAATCTTTCAAAATATAACAGCTTTACATTCAAACAATAAAGGAGAGATTATTATGTATGGATATAAATATTTGTTTTGTATTTCTCTTAATTATAAGTAGTCTATTTAAAGATTCAATGTCTACAGCAAAGAATACAAGTTTGGGCGCGTAAAAATCACGCGCGCACAACATCACTCACTTTAATATCCTTTTTCTTGTCAAAACAAAATGTATTTGCTAAGCTGACATAACAGTTGGAATCAATAGATTTCTAACTTCATTCTGGATGTACATTTCATTAAAATCCTTACATTTTTAAAATATAAAACCAAAGGAAAGCGACAATTGTCGATTCTTCGAAAGTTCCCGTCGGCGGAATGTCGTCCAATCAACTTTGTTTGAAATCTCGCGAGAAGCGCCTTTTCACGAGATTTTTAAGATACACCTTTGAAATAAATTTCCAAATTTTAAATATCTTTTATAATCTGCTGAATTTATGAACCTTATTTATCTTGTCAAATTTAAATACAGGTAACAATTTTACCAGTGTCTACTTTACGAAAATGCAATTCATAAACGACTTCCGGCTAGTGAAAGGTAGGTTTGTCGTCTTAACCACGCTTCTCCTTTTTTTGTTTAGAATACAAAGTTTTCTTAAATAAATTTATTGGCTTAATAACCGAGATTTTCTGAAAATTCTCATTTAAAAAAAATCAATATACTGTCTTGTCAAAACATGCTCAATAGTTCAGCCGTTAGCATTTTTAAGGACTTGCTTTTATTGATCAATAGTCGGCATTTGTATTGTGTTAAATCTCGACAGCGATTAAATATCAATAAGTTAAGGAACAGATCAATGAATTTTATTTTATTAGGTTATGGAGACACCAAATCCTTCCGCAACCCCCAATCCAAACATCCCTGATATGCCATCAAAACCTTCTGCTATGATTTATATTTGTGGAGATTGCCACCAAGAAAATGAAATCAAATCTAGGGACCCAATACGGTGTAGAGAATGTGGTCACCGGATAATGTATAAGAAAAGAACAAAACGCAGTATCCTTTTTCATAATTTAATTTTCAGCATGTTTCAGCTCATTTTTGCATTTATACTAACTTTTCATAAATGACTAAACTGAAATGTTTATCCTTAACAATTGTTTTTATAGTGGTGGTATTTGATGGAAGATAAAACAGGTTACCGAAGATTGTCAAGAAAAAGCATTTGTTTTTTCTACGACTAAGCTAGCAGTTTATATATTTGCATATTGCATTTTACATTTGTCATTACAACATTTATCATTTGGTTTATCTTCACACTGAAAGTGAAACTAATCTATTAATAAAGTTTTATTGTTTTGGACAGTTTTCTATAAACACTTGCATTTAGTTTATCTAATTATGGCCTTGAAATACTCCGAAAGTTAGCTTGCTTAGTCTAAATTACTGTGCTTTGGATTATCTAATTATAATTTATACAAGTTATGCAGATACTCAAGATTAAGTAAAGCTGTTTATTTTAGGTAAGGCACTTAAGCTTTAATGTAAGAGATGAAAATTACAGATACCATCCATTCATCGACGAAATCTGTTAACATAACAGAAACGTTAAATAGGATATATTGATATATTTTTTCAAGTTTAATATCGGCGCACTGCTTTAAGTGTTAAAATGTCTAATTTACTAAATGTTTTTTATACAAAATTTAGTCGACCTTCATGATTGTTATCCATTTTTTGAACCTTCAAAAGCAGAATCAATTTTTTTCAAGTCCTCTGTATCATCCCGAATAACCTTGCTTAAGTGCTCGAGTCCATCCTGCTGCTGCTTAAGGTGATGTCTTATGTCGTCTCTCATTGTTGCGTCTAAATGATATTTTGGTCCAGATCGACTATTTGATAATTCTTGCTGCATTCTTATATGAGACATAAGCTCATTTAATCGGCCTTTAAATTGAGTGGGTGAGTTAAGGTGGGCTAGGAGACGCTCAAGCTTTATTTTTAATTGTTCTTCTTCTGCTTGAACAGCATAGCCTTGCTTCCTGTAGATCTCTTGAGCAACTATGACTCGGAGAATTCTTAGCTTGAACTCGTTTAATTTTCGTCTGTATTCCTCTATTTTAGCAACAATTTCAACGTCCTCCTTTTGAATGTTTTCCAGCGTTTGTTTAACACCCTGATTTTAAATTAAGAATAATTCAAAATAAAAGCTACACCAGTCAAAAATATTATTTACCTCAAGGCAAAGGCGGTGAGCTTCAACCTGTTGCTCTTGACATTCCATTCGATTTCTTAGTTCTCCGAAACCAATCATAGGAACAGGTATCAAATTTTCTGGATCAGGATTGTCTAACTTTGCTTGTTGCCATAGTAAAGGATCCAAACCAGCGATTGGCTTTTCTAAGTAAGCTTTCAACTCATTTTTACTCCAACGGCGTTTGGCAATAATATTGCAGACACACAATTGATTAGTTAGTTGCTGCTTAGCACTTGACTGTTGAAAAAAATTATTCAACTCTGATGCCGGTATTTTACGCGAATCACCAGCTTGATTTCTTTCTTGAACAAATATTGTCATATCGGTCCTTCAAAAAACAAAATCCCGTTTTTTCGCAATATATTAAATAATTGGTATTACTCACTTATCGCAAGGAAGAGGCTTGATACTTGAGACGCACACTGAGTGGGCGGCATTGCCTCCTAATATTTTATGAATAGAGTCCACAATCTAAAATGTTTAATATTTACAATATAAATGATTTATGAATAATTTTTTTAAAGTTTGAATGAGGAAGGATATTCTTACTTGTTGTTGATGCTGCTTTATATCAGATTCTTTTTTATTAAACGTTAGGGCAACTAAACCATCAGCGTTAGAGTACTGGCTCATTCTTGCGTAATTTACAGCTTTAAACCGACACCAGGGATTATCAGGTCCAAAATCAATGTTATTTGCTCCACCTGGTCCATAAAAAGCCTTTCCTGTTCCAAAAAATGCTTGCATCTGATTCCACTTGGCAATTAACTCATCTCTTTCATCATTAAAAATTTGAGGAGCAGCGATTGCTGTGGCTTGAGCCTGCAGAATTACTTGAGCATCATCCTGTTGAGGCTGTTGTCCCGGAGCTGCTTGTGCTTGAGTCGCACCAAACATTCCAAAAGAAGGTTTACTCAAATCTGGATGTTAATAATATATTCGATTAAATACCTCAAATAACATGAAAAATTAAATAAAAAACTAACTTGTTGCAGTACTGTTAGTTGTCGTTCCAAATCCAAAACCTGAGGATGTACCGGTGTTTGTTGCCGTCCCAAAAGTTAAGCCTGCTGTTGTTTTCGCTCCAAAATCTGTAGGTAATTTTTTGAGGCCTTATTTAAATTAATAGATTTTAATAGTATATTAACTAAAACCAAATCCAGATTGAGCTGTACTTGTAGTATTCGGACCAACATTAAAACCTGGTCGATAATGCAGTAGTGAGGACATTTTGCAATAAAGTTGAACAAATTACAAATCTTATGGAGTTAAAAAGTACCTGTTGAGTTACCAAACCCACTACCAAACCCAGTAAAATTAGAAGACGTAGTAGTTGGTGTATTACCGAAAAGAGGTTTATTATTAAAATTAAACGACATTTTCACGTTTGGTAAAAGATTCCTTGCTTTAAGCAACTTGTGGAATCGTTAACTGGTACTTACAATTTGAAATAAAATATTTTTTATTTAAAACTAGTAAGAATATGTATAAGCTTTTGATTACATTTATTTGAGCATAATACAAAATGTAAGGATTATTTTCCCAAAACAATTTCGCTTTACCGCGTATTTTTCATATGGTTCCGTTATCCCTAGTCGACGGAAGTCGTGTTAAACATAAGTCGTGTCCCTGATTGTCCTTGACCTCCTTTCCTATCAAAAGTTTAGCTCGTGAAAAGCCGAATTTATTTTTAAAAATGTCTCTTAACAAGTTGTCCATCGACAAATTGAACCTGAAAGGAAAGCGTGTCCTTATACGGTAAATATAATTTGATAACAGATTTGTTTTTATATAACTTTATGCTCTTTTTAGAGTTGACTTTAATGTCCCTTTGAAAAATGGTAGTATCACCAATAACCAAAGGTAAACACTTAAATTTTAGATGCAATTTGTTTATCCTTATCTACTTATAGAATTGTTGCTGCTTTACCAACTATAAAGCATGCTTTAGAAAATGGAGCCAAAAGCGTAGTCCTCATGAGCCATTTAGGAAGACCTAACGGAAGCAAAAATTTGCAGTTTACTCTGGAGCCAGTTGCTGAAGAATTGAGAAAGTTATTGGAAAGGTAGTTATGGAATGATATATCTGAAAACTGTTAATCAACTTTGTCAACAGAGACATCTTATTCCTTGAAGACTGTGTTGGGTCTGAAGTAGAGAAGGCCTGTGAGTCACCTGCAGAGGGTACTATTATTTTACTAGAGAATCTTAGATTTCATGTCGAAGAAGAGGGAAAGGGTGTAAATGAAAAAGGAGAAAAGATAAAGGCAGATAAAGGCGCTGTTGAAAAATTTCGAGAATCTTTATCAAAACTTGGTGACGTCTATGTTAATGATGCCTTTGGAACTGCTCATAGAGCGCATAGTTCTATGGTTGGATGTACTCATAGCGAACGTGCATCCGGATTTCTTCTTAAAAAAGAATTGGACTACTTCTCCAAAGCATTAGAAAAACCAGAAAGACCTTTCCTAGCGATTTTGGGGGGAGCCAAAGTTAAGGATAAGATTCAGCTAATCGATAATCTCTTAGATAAAGTTAATTTGATGATAATCGGTGGAGGAATGGCTTTCACTTTTCTCAAAGTATTGGACAACATGGAGATCGGTAATTCGCTGTATGACGAAGATGGGGCAAAAATTATTCACCAAATCATGGAAAAAGCAAAAAAGAATAACGTTAAAATTTTCCTACCATCTGATTTTGTAATTGGAGATAAGTTTGGAGAAGATGCAAAAGTGAGAAATGTAAAAAAAGGAGAAGGAGTGCCGTCAGGTCATATGGTAAGCTTAAATATCGTCTGAGAAGAAAATTAAACTGATTCACTTTTCTTGGTTAGGGACTAGATATTGGCCCAGAATCAGCAAAAGAGTTTACAGATGTCATATTACGATCAAAAACAATCGTTTGGAATGGACCACCAGGGGTTTTTGAATTTGCAAGTTTCGAGAATGGTACAAAAGAATTTATGAATGGTATAGTAAAGGCCACACAAGACGGCGCAACCACCATTATTGGAGGAGGTGATACAGCAACTTGCTGTGCCAAGTATGGAACAGAAGCTAAAGTTAGTCACGTTAGCACTGGTGGTGGAGCCAGTTTAGAGTTGTTGGAAGGTTTGTCTTGCCAAAGTGCCAAATGTACTAATCACATAGCAATTTTCTATTGCAGGTAAAGTACTCCCTGGTGTAGATGCTCTGAGTAGTGCATGAATTTATGATGAAAAATCGCACAAAATGTATTTTTCTTCAAAAATATGACTATAACTAATAAATCTTTAAATTTAATTCATTAAATGTATTAATAGAAAATAGTTTCAATAAACCTTATTCCTATTTAGAAATTCCTGTTACCAATTGAATCCAGGGTAGAAATTCTGTTATCCTACTATAAACTGAGGGCTTTCCTTGACACGTTCTATCGCCCCATGAAGTTGTGCCGGCAAGAACCCAAGAATCTCCCATTTTGCAAACAAGTGGACCACCTGAATCTCCCTAAACGTCAACGAATCTTTATTAGAAATTCTGAGACATAAATATGTTGAAAATGTATGCTGGAAATTATATTCTCAAACTTTTTCATATGCTTTGATATCAGACGCATCAAAGTGGGATTTTCACTAACTTCAGAGAATATAAAATCTCAGCGTTTTACTAACCCCACAGGCAGATAATGCTGGTGTACCAACACATAATTGTCTTTGGGTTATTCTTTCCAGACCCCAGCTGGAAATGCAAGATTGGTGACTATGAACGGGAACATTTATCTCATTTAATCTATGCTTCTCTGACGTTCCTGAAATAATTCTGTTATTGATTTACTAAATAATAGCACAGCATTACCCTTCGTTGCTCCAAATCCTGTCGCCCAACAATCTTCACCAACAAAATCATCCAGTTTATAATTAAATGGCAAACAAGCACTATTTACCTTTTCATTGATTTTAACAGGCTCAGCGAAACGTAATAAGGTCACATCGTTATCATTGTATGGATTACCTGCTCCAGGATTTCCATATCCGGGATGCTTTAAAGGTAATATTGTTTTAGCTTAAAAATTTCTAAAATTTTTACAAAGCTACCCGAACAATCTGGGATAAACTCATAACTTGCTCTGTCCCTTGAGTAGCTAGTAAGTTCATCTCTCCGAATCTAATTTTAACTAAATTAATATCCCAGCTAGGAAAGTAAAAAAACTAGTTTTTTGGTTTTTCAGAATAGTTAAAACAAACGGTTGAAGGCAATGAGCCGCTGTTATTGCCCAATAAGGACTTAAAAGAACTGCACCACACCCGCCTATTGTTTGTCCATACTGAAGAACACCTTGCCATGGCCATCTACCTATAGGTGCTGGTTTTCCACCAACAATGCGGGGTATAGAAAAATCTTTATTAACTTCCGTAAACATGTTTCTCTTTCCGCATTTGGCTGTAATAGAGTCTTTATTCTAAGTATTTTAAAATTTGTCACTTACAATCCACCGGTGAGATAGCTTCAAGTGGAATGGGATAAATATTACATTCATTTTGATTTAATATGAAAACATTCATTTGACCACAAACAGCTACATGATTCCCCATCGAATGTGGCTTCCAAAAGTTTCCATGAGATGAAGCACACTTCTGATATTGATTTATATCTGATTCCCAGTTTCTATCAGGTGTTATGTACGCCTGAAAATATTATATTTGTTGTATACTTGATGATAATATTTAAAAATTGAATTTCATACCTTTAGATCAAACCATCCATTGCTTGTTAAACTACAGTCAATTTCCAAGTCAACGAACCAATAATGTGAAGAAAATCGATTAAATGTTGAATATCCACTTCCATCAATTTCAATGACTCGAGGATAGTCTTGTCTAAAAGAGGCTTAAATTGAAGTTATACTGTATGTTGCAAGGTAAAAAACTTAAAAGTACGCTAATACTACAAGGCACATTAATAAAAAAAACTCTGAAAACTTCAATAAACTCGATGAGAAAATGTTTTATTTACTGATTTGTTGTCCACATCATTGGTGTTCCACCAGCCTCTTGACCTTGAAAAAGACCCTGGCCTTCTTCAGATCCATCCCAGTCAAGATATAAATCACCTTCAGACCATTTACTATAAGATGATTCGGTATTTGCTGGTCGAATATTGTGTCTGATTGGAATTTTACATTGTTTTTTATTTTCAAGACAACTTGAGTCTGTCAGTCCTGTACAAATTTTTCAAAACTAAAATCTCGTAAGAGAATGTTTCGTGTAAAATACCTCCTCTAATAAACACATTCTCTCCCGGTAGCGTTTGGGCTCTGATGAAAATTAGAGTTCTCTCAGCTTTTCCAAATCCAAAAATAATTAGAATTAAAAGAAGTTTAAGCATAATCAGAACGTACGTATTGCGCATTCTAAATTAATAATAACATTTGACAATGTTCTCATACTCATATCTAGTTGATCAACAACTGTATATACTGATAATGGATTTTTTTATCGCTATATTATAACTCAAGCAATCACACAGAATAAAAACTTTCATGTCAAACATAAGTTTATTAGGACAGTTTTAATGCTGATTTTACTCTTAGAGGAAGAACGTGGTATTTGACGATTAAAGCTATATTTTTCATTCAGTGACATATTAATATATTTAATATTTTAATTTCTAAAATGGATATTCAGAAATTCTTGCTAATGAAAGTATTTGTATATTCATACGCTAGAAATAAAGCTCCAGTAGCAGGAAAAGTACGTAATAGTGTTGGTAATAACCCTTTATATAAAGATCGAAATCCTTCTGTTTTAGCTATCTCTATTCCAGTTGATAAGAAACCTCTGTTTAAACTGGTATCCACCTGTACTCTAGACTTTATAACATCAGTAGGAAAAACTGCTATCCAAAGAGAAACTCCTCCTATTCCCCCACAAACAATTGAGCAAAGAGCATTACTTTTATTAGGATCACAATTGAAGAAATATTTCGAAAATTCGTACCCTCCAAAGAAGAAAAAGTAGCCAGGAACCTCTCTAGCCAAAGTAGGGATCATACCTCTGAACAGACCAGAAATTCCATCAACTTTGAGAATACTTTTTGTTACTTCATACGGTCCTAAGTTTGACTGGGTGGCCTGTAATCTGCACTTTACCAGTTCAGTTGGGCAGAGAGCAATGCTTGACACAACGCCAGCTCCTGCTCCGCAAAAAGCATTACTAAGCACTCCTAGATCACTTTCCTTTTTACAACTTGTTAAGGCTACAGCAACTTTACGCAAAACACCATATGCTGCAAATAGTGCTGCATTTTCAGCTACCTGTGCAAGGAGAGCTGGTATTGAACCAGCATATAATCCTCTATAAATTCCTTCTTCTCTGAATGTTTTAAAGAAACAATCTACAGCATTCTTATAGATGTCGGGACGAGTTTGCAGTTTAACCTTGACGGTATCTAATGGTTGTCCAACATACACGCATGCAGTACCTCCTGCAACACCCCCAAGTGTATTTGCAAAAAGTTCTTTAACCGAATCATTCATCTTGAAGTACATGTAAACTTTGACCCTTCAAAGTTCGGAGATACTATGAATATTCGTTTTAATCACGTCTCTGTGTGAAAATAAATGTGTCCTACCAACGCTGCAAATTAAATTCTTTAACACTTAGAGTTAATTGTAACTATGTAGCCTATTATTCCAGCCTGAACGAAATGTTTATTTTACTGTTAACGTACGAAGATAAAATTTTATTCTCAAATTGCAAGTGAAATTAAAATATTTAAAAATAAATAATTAAAATGAAGAATTTTTATTTTTATGGAGAACGCTTTAGCAATTGCAATTTGTATACTGCATATAAATGAATGTAATGTCTTTGAAAGTTATCAATTGGCATTAACTAGACCATCACGTATACTATTACAATCCATTGTGACAATCAAGTGGTTAATTTTCCTACTGCTTACTCTGGTTTTTCGATATGTCTGACAAAGTTTCAAATAATTGTATATGCTTAAAATATGTGCGGGTAAGTGCTATAAAAGAAGATCAAAGTCGAAAACTTCTAGAAATTTCCTTATTTCTTGCTACTGAGCAATAAAATTGAAGGTTGAAAATTCTACAGATAGTAAGAGTCCAGATGCATTTATGGAGAGTTCTACCGTAAATCAGCAATATTAGAGTCCCATGAAATAATCGAATTTACAAAGATTAAATATAAATCACAAAAAAACTAAGCTAAAAAATACTTCGTAAAACTTTTTCCAAGTGGCTGGACTTTTGCCAGGTTCCAGTCACCACCTTGTGGAAGGATCTCGTTACCAGTCAATGCTGTGGACATCGTTTAAATGACGCGCGCGTCGTTGTCAGAACACTTTTCGGTTGCAAGAGCTGAATCTTCGCTGGAAATCAAACTCAACCTGTTTAATTGAATCATGTCCTAATAAAGGTTACTAATTGTATTGAGGTTGGTAGAACATCAGTTCAAGCAGCGATCGCGGGCAGCATTCTTGATCTATAATAGAAGGCTATACCACCAATCGCTAATCTCGATGGCCTTTGAGCGATAATTACAGATTCAATTTCGCGCGTCGGCACTCAAAGCCGATTGATGTTTTAGAGATCAACTGGTTTAATCCAGTAACTCTTATTTGGTTTTTAGTACTTATTGATAATATGTGTTTATATAGTGAATGTTTCCGTAGATAAAATATCAATGCTATAGATTTTACATTCTTTTTCAGATCGTGAAAGTTTCCTTCGAAATAGCCTATGAGTAGGCTGAAGTATGGCGGAAAAATTCCGCACAGGTATTATAAAAAAATTTCCCATTTTTTAATATACCAGCTTGAGTCATAGCACTCTTATCCTACTTTATATTATTTGCGCATTAGCAAACTTGCATTTGTTGAAATTCCAGTATTATGTTAGGTTCACAATCTTAAGGCCATGTGCTGCTATTGAAACCACTATTCTGTACATTTATATCAATATCTGTAGGCTAAAAAAATCAGTAGCTCAATAAAAATTAGATCATATTTTTAGTATTTGAGGGCGGGTGTAGAGAGGAAAAATCTATGATAACTTATGTCCTTACTTCACAAACTATAAGCAATTAAATAATTCATAAATAAATGATAGTAGGTATGACTAATAAAAAACTCGTCTGCTCTTTCATTTACAGAAGGTTTTCCTGTGCAATTGAAAAGAAGTTCTTCTGTATTCATGGATTCGTCTTTCACTGAAGAACCTTTGAATAAACGTCCACGCTATGCTGTATCTTCTCTTTACCATGCCGTAAATAATATTAGGAATGCCGCTCCCAAATCTTATCCAGAAAATGTTACACAATCGTTGAATATTTCTGAAGAAGCTCGTTGTGTCACTTTCAACGAAGGACTTGAACAGTTTAATAACCGAAAACAAAAGTTACTCACACTGAAAGATAAAAACATTCTGAAAAAATGTTATCATGAAGATCTTGCCGAATTGTTTTTTCTTCAAAATTTAGGGCACCTGATCACTGAATTTCCTACATGGAGGAAAAAAACTGATATACAATTAAGTCAATTTTATCAAGCTAATCCTCTAGATAGATCCAATAGAAATGGTCATTCTGAATCAGATGCTTTAGCTGAAAAAGAACTTTTACGTCCTTTTCATTTCCCTGTTGAAAAAGCCTCCTCTGGTCCACCCACACCAACAAGAAAGAGCGCTACTGATCCTCCAAAATCTGATGATGAAACGAATGAACCAAGCGCTGTTAATGAAATTGCTGAACAAGCTCGAAAGGAGGCCGAAGTGATCAAGAAAGTTCATAATTTGCGAAAACAAGGTCTTTGGAGTAAGAGCCGTCTTCCCAAATGCATGGAACCCAAGCGAACCAAAACTCATTGGGATTATTTGTTAGAAGAAATGCAATGGATGGCCGCCGACTTCCATTCCGAAGCAAAGCTGAAAATACAGCATGCTAAGAGGCAAGCTCGAGCTGTACAGGCATATTGGGCTAGCTTTAGAGACAACGAGAAGAGAAATGAGAAAAAGAAAGAGATTCAAATAAAGCGTTTAGCTAACGGTGTAGCTAAAATGATAAAAAATTTCTGGCAGGTAATGGAAAAATTTGCGGATATGAAGCAGCGAAATCGTCTTGAGGAAACTCGAATTAAAGCTTTAAACGTTCATCTAAATCACATCATCGATAAAACTCAAACATATTCTTCTATGTTGACGTGTTCGGTTGGTTCTGGTAGTGTAGATGATCCTGACAAAAATGATACAGAGTACAATCCTGAAGAAGATGATTCTGAAGATGATATTACTACATTAGCACAAGAAGAAGAAAAATTAAATAAAACTGAAGTCAATCAAGAACTTAAAGCTTTAACTGCTGAGAGTGATATGCCCTTAGATCAATTAATATCAAAACTCCCAAAGTCATATTTTGCTAAACGCCGAAGGCTATCTAGTTTCTCAGAAGAAAGTGATGTTGAAATGCTTACTCCTGACGAAGACGAAGAAGCGTCAAATAAGCAAATGGAGCAACAAACCAAAGCTAAGCTGACTGTAGATTACGCAGAGACAAGTGACGAATTTTCCGTTGCTGAGACACTTATACCTAAAGGAGAAATTGAAGGGCGGTGTTTAACTAGAGTTCCAACTTTACTGAAAGGGCAACTGCGAGAGTATCAGCATGTGGGCTTAGATTGGCTAGCTTCTCTTCATCGAAGTAACTTGAATGGTATTTTAGCTGATGAAATGGGTCTAGGGAAAACAATTCAGACTATTGCTCTGTTAGCTCATTTGGCAGAAGCTTATGGGGATTGGGGTCCCCATCTTATTGTAGTCCCAACTAGTGTTATCATAAACTGGGAGTTTGAATTAAAAAAGTGGTGTCCTGCTTTTAAAGTAGTCTCATACTACGGCTCAATAAAAGACCGTAGATCCAAACGAAGTGGATGGACAAAAGACAACGCATTTCATGTTTTGATAACATCGTATAAATTGGTTGTACAAGATCATTCCTCATTTCGTCGTATGAAATGGAAATATTTTATTCTAGATGAAGCTCAGAATATTAAAAATTTCAAATCTCAAAGATGGCAAATGCTTCTTAACTTGAAATCTAAAAATAGGTTGTTATTGACTGGTACACCAATTCAAAACAGCTTAATGGAGTTGTGGTCTTTATTACACTTTTTAATGCCACATATTTTCGATTCGCATAACGATTTCCGAGAATGGTTTTCTGCCCCTTTAACAAGCATGGTAGAAGGATCTAGAAAATTTAGTGACAGTCTTGTTACTCGTCTTCACAAAGTTCTACGTCCGTTTTTACTGAGGCGATTGAAAAAAGATGTCGAGAAACAAATGCCCATGAAACACGAGCATGTTATCCTTGTCGACCTATCAAGACGACAAAGATTTCTCTATGATGAATTTATGTCATTATCAGATACAAAACGTCAAATTGACTCTGGTAGCTTCATGAGTATTATGAACATACTAATGCAATTACGAAAAGTATGTAACCATCCCCAACTTTTTGATCCAAGGCCTGTACTAAGTCCGTTTAAAATGAAATGCTTATCCATTCGGATTCCGTCGTTCTTTGTCTTAAATATGGAAAGAAAATTCCTGGAATTTCCTTTATTGTCTACAAATACTAAAATAGATGGGCTAGTTGATGAAAATGGCATTGTTGGGGGTGAAATGTTTTCTGATAAAGTGATTCCTATGGGAGATGACAGACGATTGGAAATTGAAACAAGAGATGGAAGAGGTACCTTCTACACTACACCAGATGTTTTGATACGAGCAGCAATACATAGAATTACGAGAGGAGATATGTCCTTATCAGATACATTAGACTCAGATTTAATGACAAAACTATGGTTGGAATATTACAATAGTGGAAGGCCAACTAATATTGTATCTTTTAGACATGGAAATTTTCTCTATGCTCAAAGGTTTGTAGCAAAGAGACTAAAAATTAAAAAACAAATCAATAAGGAAAGCGACACTTTGAAAAAAATTCTGAGAGTAGTTGACGATTACCATGTATCAGAAGTTCGTCATTTAGAGGAACTCATCATGTATCTTCCTGAGTGTTTGGTTCCACCTCCAGAACTGCAAATAAATAGCTCAAGAAGCAATTTATTCATTAATACGCCGGCTCCCACAGAAGTGAAAGAAGAATTTGGACACTGGCATTTGGTTTGGAGGAATTTTCAATTACAATTTCCAGAAACCCGTTGGGTTCAATACGATTCGGGGAAATTGCAAGTTTTAGCAATGTTGTTGAAAAGACTGAAAAGCGAGGGGCATCGTACACTTATATTCACTCAAATGACAAAGATGTTAGATGTATTAGAAATGTTTTTAAGCTACCATGGTTACACTTATTTGCGATTGGATGGAACTACTAAGGTGGATATGAGACATAGCCTAATGGAAAGATTTAACCAAGACACTAGAATATTTTGCTTTATTCTGAGCACAAGATCTGGCGGTATAGGAGTAAATTTAACAGGCGCTGATACTGTTATATTTTACGATTCTGATTGGAATCCAACAATGGACGCTCAGGCTCAAGATAGATGCCATAGAATAGGTCAAACTAAGGATGTACATATCTATAGACTGATTTGTAAACATACCGTTGAAGAAAATATATTGAAAAAAGCTAATCAGAAAAGGTGAAACTTCAAATTGCAAATTATAGTTAGAAATTGTAAACATTATTTTTCAGATTATTAAGCCATGTTGCAATAGAAGGCGGAAATTTTACGACAGCTTCATTTAAACAAAGTACAGTCAGAGAAATTTTCAACATACCAACTGGGTTCTCCAATGATCTTAGTCTGGAAGCTCAAACAGAGTTTTTGTCAGAGTCCAACAAAACAACGCAATTATCAATGAATCAGATGGAAGAGGCGTTAACTATGGTTGAAGATGAGTCTGACGTAAAGGCTGCCAAATCGTTAAGAGTTGAAGTAGATAATGAAGGCAACGAATTCCAGGATGAAAACGATGAAGGAGAAGCTAAAGAGGCTGCAGATGCCATTTCGGCTGAACTAAATAAAATGAAAGAACAAACAAGTGAATTAGAAAAAGACTGTACGCCAATTGAACGTTGGTGTGTAAAGTTGATTGAAAATAAGTACAAAGATGTTTATGAAGAGGAATTGAAAACAGCTAAAGTTTGTTATATTTTCATATTGCTTGCTGAATTAATGCTTAAAGGTCAGTAATCTTAATACTTTCTTAAAACGCTACTTTTAGGAGGAAGTAGAGTTGGCTCAAAAGGAACTAGAGCAAAGCCAAGAGGACGCGATGATAACTGCCTTAGCAAAACAACTAGAGAAAGAGCAAGAAGAAATTGAAAATCATTTCCATACTGAGGATCAGGTACCTGCATATATACAGAGAGCATTAATGTTACCAGGCCGAGCGGGTTTTTGCCGCAAATCCAGACAATTATATAAAAGTTTAGGTGATTTCGACAATAGCGAAGATAATATGCTAAAATTATTCAAAAAGCACAATAAGTATCCGCTTTATGTGGCATGCTGGACGGCGGAGGCTGAACGTTCAGATAATATAGGGGAAGAGGCTAAAAAACGATTGGAAGAAATCGGTGAACGAATTCCCATTCCTCAACCAGTAATACCAAAGGTTCCAAAAACGAAGAAGAAAGAGGAAATTCTTTCTAGTAAACAGCGTCGAGGAAGAGGTCGTCCTAGAAAGTTAGAAACGACAACCAAACATGAATTAAACGACTCTCATTTACACACATCCAATATTTCCATTCCCTCTGACCAAGATAACGACACTGATGATGTAACTGTAGTTGACGAAGAAGAAGATAATAATAACACAGCAAAAACTGCGAAGAATAAAATTAATACAATAATAATTCCTACTACAGTGCACACTATGCCTAAAGTTCCAACCGTAGTACTCTCAGTTGCACCAGCTATAAAACCTAATGTGATAGTGGTTAAAAGTGATAACAGTCGGATAAGACAATTGCATTCAACAGCCACTATCACCCCTTTACCTTTAAGACTTACCGAGCAAAGGAAGCCAGCAGTTACAATTATTAAACCACAACAGATTAGGCAACAAATACAACAACGTCCTATTTATGTTTCTATTCCTGTTAGGAATGTAGTTCCACCGCAACAACCAAAACAGCAAACAGTTTATCTTGTTTCCAGGCCTCAGCAGCAACCAAAACAAACGCCTGTTGCTAGAGTTGTTACTCTTAGTTCTACTTCGGTCTTACGACCAGTCTTAACAGCAAGAGGTGTACAAGCAGTAAGACAGCCTCAAGCTACGGTAACAGTTAGTCCATTACCAAGAAAAATAGTTCAACCATCTGACAAGCTGATTTTACCGACTGCTAAACTACGTATGCCAATTTTGTCTGTTCAATCAGCCACCAGCACAACGGTAATATCCTGTCAAACGAAGTCTGTAATTGACAATGACAAAGACGACGCCGAAGATCGACGAAGATCGGGTAGATCCCATAAGCCAACGGCTAGGCTGCTACAATCAGCCTTCTCGACGAAGCTGTTAAAGAATTCTGATGCTCCGTCAAATTAACTGATTTAGGCGATATTATTTTTGATTTCCTGCCTGCCCGGATAAACGACTTTAATGTATATAACAGTTTGTTTTTCTCGTGCTGCAAATCCCTTATGTTCCTGTTTATTGGTCGTAAATATATACTTGGCGTAAGCGAAAACTTCGAAGATTTTCAACTGTTTTTTTGATTTGTGGAAGGGCAGGCAGAAGCTTGATGAGAAGTTCAGGAATTTTTGGATCCTTTTATATTATTGGACGAGGATGATATTAGATTATATTTATAACAATTAGAATTTGCAAAATGAATATTTACTTGAACGTTCACTTGCCTCTGCTGCCTGCCCTGCCACCTAAAGTGTGGATTGTTTAATTTCTGATTATAGGTCATTTAAATTTAGATAAGAATCGTGTTGTTCGCAAATGGCCAAAGAGTTATTTCGTTCAAATAAGTGAGAAATTAAGTATTATTTAATATGTACTTATAAAGTACAGTTAAAATCGCTTCAAATATCTTTAGTAAATATTTTAGAAAAGTTCGTAAAGGACTGGAAAATTCTTAACAAAAGTCGGTAATTACTTACGTAATTATAACAGGAGAGTCTACAAGATGATTGGGGAAAACTACTTCCCACATGGACACCACCTACGCCTCCTTTAACAACTGAGACGATTACTACCGATTTCAACAATGTTCTCTATGAATGCAGGCCCATGCCAGAGTCTCAACTGCCCCCTGTTAAAGTTCAACGTGTTCGCAGGAAGAGATTAGATACAAATGTTAGAATTAGCAGTAGTAAGGAACGAAGTAAATATAACAAGCCTTTAAGGAAGGATGGACTACGAGTCCCACGATCTCTATTTGATCGTCCACAAAGTATGCGACGAGACCAGAGATTATTTAAACCTTTAAGCCCAACTAAAATAGGAAGATCGTCATCATCTGACAACCTGACTGGAGAACGTCCAGATTGGGCGATATATGAAGACTGGTTTATCCTTTATTATATTAATGCAATTGAAAATAAAGATAATTTTTCATCGGCTCCCACTCTCCCGAATTCTTCAATAAATTGGGACTTTGTTAGTGATGGAGTAAATGGTACTAGTCGGTCGTACAGGACTGCCAAACACTGCGTTGCTAGGTACGATAGTAAAGTTTTGCCGAGAGAGGAAGGACGACCAACATTTGATTCTACTCCAGCAGTTGGAAGAAAGTCTATGAAAAAGTCTATAAAAACACTAACAGGAAGAAAGAGTGGACGTTCACTGCGTACCAGTCAACTCATCTTACAAGATCAAAACAAAAGTCTCACCCAGTACTTCAACAATAGAATTGAGTTGATTTTGACTTTATCAAAGAAACGATCACCTCCGCCTCGTCCTGCTCTTGCTAATCCGACTCAGAAAAACCCAAAGCATCAAATGGTTCTCGTTGAGAACGGAATCACATATGACAATCCCCTCTCGCCAGTGCAAGTAGCAAAAAGAAGGGCAGATCGCATTAATAAGGATAAACCAAAACAAACTACTGCTTCTTCAACACCTGCTACACCTACCACCACGAAATCTATAGTTTCGACAAATGTTAATACATCTCGAGTCGCATCATTTCCTACACAAACAAATACAACTACAGCTATTCAGTATGTCCAAGCAAGTGTCTCAACATCTTCTACGTCGGTCGTTGTCCCTGCTACAGTAACTCTGGCTCGCACAGTCACAGCAACACCACCGACAACTAATGTGATGATAAATACTACTATTAAAAAAGGAACCCAGCCAAATCAAAGATCTGTAAACTTCCCGGGAGTTGTCCAGGCCCAACGACAAACCCTAAGTACGAATCAGCAGTCTGCAGCAATCCTAAAAATAAATGCTGGAATCCCGAGAGTTCCTATATCAAAGGGTCAGCAAAAAGTCAGACTACCCCAAGCACAAGCAAACGTATTAGCTAGCTTACAAAAGCAGCCAGCACTAGCTGTTGTTCAAACTGGACAATCCAAGAATACAATTCCAAATGCTACTGTTCAGAGACCGGAGTTAACATTATACATGCATAAAGCAAAGAGCACCAGTGTTCCGAAATTTAGTGGACAAAAGTCTGTCGCAAGTTCGCAGATTTTTGCTCACATCCAGCATGCAAGTCAGTCTTTGGTTAGCAACCAAACGACTGCTAGTATAGCTTCAACTACAGTTGCCCAACTGGTTAAGGCTTCAGGAAATCCTTCCACAGTAGGACGCACCGGTGTTCAATCTGTTCAGAAAATCCAAGTTGTGCCTCAGGGTACAAAGAAGGCTACAGGAGGTCAACCAATTGTCATACAGAGACCAATTAATGTTCAAGCCCTACTTAAACAGCCTCAATCTACGGCTGCGTCAACCTCAACTGGTACGATTCATCAACTTATTCCTCAAAGCTCAACCAGTAGCAGCGTGACCTTGACATTACCAGTTTCTCAAACATCATCTTTGCAAACCAAGCAACATAGTATAATGGCTATTCGTAGCGGACCTCCTAGAAGCGGAAATATAACCGCTCAAGGCCGAATTACACCGACAGTTCATAAATCTATTCAGCTACAGTTACATTCAACAGCTAGCTCCTCTCTGCAGAGAAGGCAGCAGCCGACACCTTCTAATCTAGCAACTGTTGCTTTCTTACCCCAATCAGCAAGTGGGTCGTCAAGTACTGTGTCTTCGACATTAGTGACGGTTACTGCTCCCAAACAAACTCCAAGCAAGAAATCTTGAAGCAAGGGAGACAATTTCAAACTTTTGCACCTTTTATTATTGTTTTCATAAACAACTGAATCATATCGCTATAGTGGTGATATTAATTCAAAGGTGGTGTATAAACTCAACTAATTTTGTTTAAAACAACTATCTTTTATTTCGTGTTGTTTTTTGTGTTATATTTTTTGTGAAAAACGTATACTATGTTAACAGTTCTTGGCTTCTGTAAAGATACAACCAGATTCTGCTGTCATTGCTATCAGTTTACCGCTATACATGCAAACACACAGTTGAACGGCATATTTTGATGAATTTCCATTTGTTATTTTTGCTATTGGTAGAGTTTTTCCACTAAAGGAAGAGGCTTGAAGGATCAAAGAAGACTTCTAAATAATGTAAAATATATTTAAATTCGTGTTTTTGAATACTAAAGTAACTAACTGTCTCTATATCCAAGTCTTTGGAAATAGCCTGAAAATTTCCTCCATCGTATTCAATGTCTTCAGCATCAAAGTAAGAGCTGAGTTTTGAAGAAATTGTTATTCCGGTACCATAATTAATGATATGGTTGGCTTTCGACTGCTTAACCTTTAAGTTATTTACTTTTGGTAATCGTAACTGTTCACTGTAGTTGCTTGTAAAAACTATTTCACCTTCATCATTCACAATTTTAAATGAATCAGCCACCCGTAATATAATTCCATTCTCATTTATAATGACTGAAAAATTACCACAAGTTAAGTTAGTCTTCAAACTTAGAATTTTTTAAATTAGCATATGAAAATGAAATAATAACAACGTATAATTTATAGTAAAACTGGTATAGTATCGGGTTTTCGTATTCCGAATTCATTTTATATCAAACAAGAACAGTCTTGACTTGACTAAACTTAGGATAATGACATGTTAGAAATGGATTGGGTATGATGCCTACCTTTGCTTCCAGAGTTCTCGTAAAACGTTAGCATTTCAAAAGATTCATTTCCCTCCAACTCAATCTTCAAATTAGTATGTGGATTACTGTAGAGGGCGCTGTCAATATCGCAAGCACCTTCAACTGTAAAACTCTGCTTTACAGTCATAAGATCACTACCAAAACGTATAGCAGCCATACCAGTTTCAGATATGCGTAAAACAGATATCAATAGGAAAGTTAACGCCAAGTTTGTTATTATAGATAGACATATAAGAAACAGGCAAAAATTTAATGCATTAATCTGTATTATATAGAAGAAGTTAAATAATTTTAATATCTGACTTGCCCATACCTTTTTTCCGCGAATTCCTGTGCGATGTAAATAATATTCATCAATATTTACGTATCCTGTGTTAAAATTTCCCAAATGCTCTTTATTTGTCTTCTCTTTTTCAGCTGATTTGGCTGTGATTGAACGTAAAGTGCCATATGGGCTTGATGGCAAAGAAGGTCCCTAAAAATATTTTTTAAAGTTTACAATTCTAAATTTATAAGTCTTACTACCTGAGATTCATCCAGCATGGCTCCGTAAAGTAAAATTTTAAAGATTAGAAATAAATTGCAACATACAAAATGTGGTTGGTACAGCACACAATCATTCTAAAACAAGAACCCCCGTACTTAATACCGGCCAAATCAAACAGGCCATATAGCCTGTCCCTTTCAAATACTAAATAGCTCATTGCCGAATCGAAACAGGCTACCATGTTAATTCCCTATTTCCGGTTTGTTCAGTGGCGCCTGTAGCGATGGCTGAGACTGTTCGACGCTTGAAAAATATCGGAAGCTTTTCGGTTCTGCAAGATAAATTAGAAAGTTGGCATGGAGACTACTATGTAAGTAACGTTTTCAATGTTATGAAACAAATGGCTCGTCGTATCAAATCAAAATTAGCGGTTTATTTTCAAAGAAAGGCCGTTGCTATAGAAGCAGTATAAGTAGAATAATGTATTTTCTTCAGACTTTCATCGATTGAAATGATATTATTACTAATTCAAATTGATACTTAGTGAAAAGATATTAGAAACTAGACTGTATCACCATATCACTAGTTAATGAAAAGAGATTATTCTCCAGCGTGCAGGAAACTATCGACTGAAATTGATAAAAGTTGCACTTGATAAGGATAAGAGAGTATACTATATTATACAAAATTCGGTTATCTAGGCCAAATTAGTTTTCTTGCCAAAGAAATAATCCTTATGCTAACGTTATTTGCAAATAGAATTGTTTGTAATGACTTTTGTATACACAGATCTTTTGTGCTTTCGCTATTCCGAAATCAATTGACTTAATCAGCGTTGAATATTTTTCGCATGTTTATATAAATAACATTTCCCCAACGACTATTATATCTCTAATAGAAGATTTTAGCCAGCTTATCAACGGATTATCTGTAGATTTATGCTACATCGACCTAGTGCTGAATTTGTTTAAATTAATCAAACCCTGCTAAATAATCTGCAAACAATCCTTATATTCATAAACGGCAACAAAGTAAATATAAAATATTCCTTGTAAATTCCTTCATTTAATTTATAAGTCGGATATATAAATATATACAACATACTGAACGTATCTGATTTATAAAACATTTATGACGTTTAATATTTACAGTATATATGCTGTTTAATTTACCTATTATGTTCTATTGCTACAATTATGATTAGTAACGGCATTATATTCAGAAACATATCGCTTGGTAGGCAATAAAAGCAACTGTTTAAGCAAGGAATTCAAAAAACATTTAACTGTTCAGTCTTAAGATACACATAATGAATAAATTTTATCGAACAAAATGACCTCGTTGCTGTCTCTCCTTGCGGTTGTTAAAAGAAATATTTGCAGATTAAATTTACTTTACATTGTTTACCCAACTACCAGAATTGAAAGTTTTATGTAAGCCTACGATAACGAAGAAAAATTGCTCAGTTAATAAACCACTAGTTGAATAATGTAGTTTTAATTAACAGCCCGTTGATAGGTTATACTTCGATTTCTCTAGAAATAGGTTCAAATTCTAAATACGCAAATAAAAATTAGATCTATAAATCGATGGGGTCGATATACTATAATACATGAACTTTCAGTGTAAACAACAGTATTAATAATATGTCTTATTTTTTCCAAGGTTAATTCGGCAGACGAAAACGTCAGTAGATGCTGCGAGATAATTGAATTGAATGCTAAGGTTCAAAGAGAACTTTTCCGTCTTCTAAATGTCGTGTCTGCTCAAGGTAAGTTACTTCATATGAATGTAGAATAAATTCATCGATTTGTCGATTTTCGAAAAGTTATTATAACAACGCATTAACAACCTATATTGTGGCTATTTCAAGCAAAATTTTCTTGAAAAACAATATATATTGTTTTTTAACGAATATATATGTAAAATAATGCTGATTCCATGGTTCATCATTTTTCTATACAAAGAAAAAAATGTGTTTAAATCACAGATGTACATAAACTTGTTGAACGAACTATTTCTTAAGGGAGCACCGTCCTTAGTCGTTTAAAAAATTGGCACAGGGCCAAGCAATATTTAATTTTAGCCTATAAGTCTGACTCTTAAATTTATTTTGCTATAGCTGGATTGTATAGTACACCATCTTCAATTCGAGCAAGATTATTACCTTGGTTAGGTGATGGTTTATGGCCAACCTACGTATCAGATGTAGCATGGTCGGCTCTGAGAAGTAAAGAGAGGTAAGCGCGCTTGTGATATATATATATATATAAACAGTAATGACATCTAGTGCTGAATGAGTTGAAACAAAAACAATAAAATTGATATCAAATAGTCGTAAGAAAATGAAGTATTAACGTTGGCATTTTACTATTTCATATATTAATATATGCAACTACATTATTTCGTAGGATAGATTTTTTGTGGTAATAGTTAAATGTGTGAATATTTAAACATATTTTATTTCCATAATGAGATTTCAAAGTGATTAAAGTTAGATTTCTTTTTAACTATTAAACACCAGTATATATCCTTGACTTTATCAAAATTCAAGTTTAAACTATTTATCTATTTTGGAAAATATTTTTTAATGTATGTTTAATGTCGTAATTGAAAGAGTAATGCATGTTTTTTGTCTATCGTAGAGAGCTAGACGATGTTACCGATATGTACGAAAGAGATATACAATCTCTAGAAGATGACCTGCATTACTCTAAACTACAGGCAGATGACTTGAAGTCTCAGTAAGTGTTTATCTCGGAAAAGGTTCTTTAACACATGGCATGGAGAAACTATCCTCCCATTCATATACATTTATGCTTACGTATTACCAATTGTATATATAGATTGGATTTAGCCAAAGATCGGCTCGAGACAGCAAAAATTTCTGACGGTGACGCTCGAAATATACGAATAAAGTAAAAAAAAATTTTTCGCACAAGACAAAAATAATTTTTTCCCCACGATTGTAAAGCTCAAACGAAACGAAAAATATTCTAGTAATTAACATTATTTCCAAAAACATCTTCACATGCTATTACAATTCTTGTAGTTTTAGAATTTAGAATTTATTGCCTTCTATCTTATTTAAACTAGATAAAGGACATTTAAAACTTCTGAAAAGGATCAAACAGTTACAATGAATAAATGACAAGACATCTCGAAATAGCATTACTATAGAGAAATAATGCAACATTATATTGTACTGAACTGTATAGTAATATTTTCAGTTTCAGATGGCTTTAGTATCCTAAATAATTTATGGATTGAATATGATTAAATGACTAGTTTTTTAAAGTGTGTTCTTTGAAATGAATATAAAATTAAGTTAACATCACTAAAATATCGTGGGGAAAGGATTAATTCTCTCTAAGGCCTTTTTTCAGATATGAACAAATTTTCCACACAATACAAAGATATTGTCTGTGTAAAAAAATTTAGGAGTGTTTATTATAGATTGCGAGTGGCTGAGGATGAAGTGTCTCGATTACGTTCTAAATCATCTTTGATCGATTCTTATGAACGCCAAATTCGATCCTTGAAAGATGAAAATTCTTCTTTAACTGATACTATCCGAGTAATATCTGATGGGTGAGACTATTATTTATATTTTAACAGATTAGTGGGCGTCCAGAGGGAGAACGCACGCTTACTATCTCGAATGGATATAGTCAATGATTATGATTCAAAATTAAAAGATTTGAAAAATCAAATTGCTGTTGATACATATTTTGGTAAAAATCCAGTAAGGTACGTTCGGTCGATAGATGGCGTTCTCCCTTTCGACGCTTTTTAGCTAATTTATATTATCATTTTTTATATGTAAGTAACACTTTTCCTTTTCGAAACAGACTTATGCTTGATTAAATCTAGAATTTTTCCTTCTTTGCACTTTTTGCAAAAATAATTTCTTTCATCCTTGTAAATAAGTAGGATAAAATTAGTTATGCTCTTTCAGGAATGAAACCTTTTGCTCTAACATACATGTCTTGCGAAAGTCTGACTTAATCACATCTGTTTCAAATTATTTTTGATTTCAGAAACTTTTTTAAACTAAATAAATAATATTTCACATCTAAGGAGAATAACGTCAAACGTTTTCAGAGAGCTACCGGCAAGAAGATCGCGATCAAGATCACCTTCTCCTAGGCGATACATTCCTTTATCGAGACCCACTTCACCTTTTGCTCCGGATGACGTTACCCAAAGAGTCCGACAATCGGGACTGATAACTCGTTTTAATGACATGTTCTCGCAAGATCGACTAGACGCCATGGATATTTTACGGGCTTATAGCTCGGATCATGAGAATAATCAGCGTATTATTTTCGTGGCAATTCAGGTATATATTCCTAAAAAATTTAGATCAATGAAAATGCCATTATTATTTCGTCCTATTCTCTATCTTTATCCGTTTTTACTGAAACTTCGCACCCGCAATGTTCGATATAGTTGGACAAACTGAGAACTTGATAGTTTTATAGGCAATTATTTTTTATGATATCGAAATTTTTTATCATGATTATAAAATAGATAGATTTAAAATCAATTTTAAGCTCTTAATCAAGGGACTTTCTTAAATAGAAAAAGATATTACTGCATTATCTTGCTATTTGTTTATCCTTCCTTTGAAAATTTTCTGTTAAATTCCAATTACTATTGTACCTGCAAACAGGATACGTCACGTAGACCACATATAATAATTCATTCTAACCTCTTTTATGGGAAGCAACAAAGCCAATGTATCTTTGAAATTAATCAATAAGTAGTGCATATTATACCATATATGCAAATACAGTATAATCATGCGTTTTGCGCTATATTTCTTAACATAGTGTAATGTTTGTCGTGAAAGGAACAAAGTGTTTTTTATGATAAGGTTTTACAAGCCTTTAGGAAAAGTAGATAGATCAAACAAACTTTTTCTGAATATATCATGTAAAAATGTGCATTGTGCGCGTCTTTTTACTAATATTGGCGTATTTGTTTGCTGCTGTGTGTTTCTCAATAGAAAGAAAATAACAATCTCCGCAGATTTACTCGTAAAAGCTTGGGACAAGATTGTGTTAGAAACAATTAGATTCCCTTAGAATTTATTTTAGGAAGATATTGCCTCTGATAGTTAATATTAGAGGCAGCAACTCCTTTCTTTCAACTTGCTTATAATATTTAAGCTGCAGACAAACAGTATCAGATTAAATTATTCAGTTTTTTAATTACTTGTTGTATATTGAATTGACTTCCAGAACTACATAAAAAGATAATTGCTAATAGTTAACCAGAGCAAATACATTTATTTACTATTGAAATACGCGTCAGTATCTCTAAGCTGAAAAAATATATATTTATTCCTTAATTGCGTTAACTTTCTATTAATGTTTGAAATGTAGTATGTTCTAACAATTTATGGTTTACCATAATGTCAATTCCTTTCAGGAAGCTTTTTCTGCAACTAAATTGGCATTTGCTGAATACAAGCTAAAAATAAGATCAAACCTTGTAACAACTCATTTCGGACCAGAAACTTTGGAAGAAGCAGTCCAAGATTACATAAATCGAAACTATGATTTATTTGATGTAGGTTGCTTGGTCCAGGAAGTAATCCGTTCATTGTCAAGAAATCCTAAGATTTATCTACCCCCGGACGCTTCATTTTCAATAATTACGTCTTTCATTCGAGAGGCATGTAAATTGGCCTGGAACATGAGCTGCTTAGCCCAACCGTTGGACATTTGCATCGCCAACGATGCGGAGCTGTTTGATGAACACAAGTAAGTCCTTAAAACTTATACTATGTGTTGATTGCTTATAGACACTCTGTCTTTCTTGACGCTGTGTTTACACATTTTCAGTTGAGTATTTTAGGAATTCAGAGAGCCTCAATGAGAATTGTCCGTCTCATCTCATACGTATTTTGATGATTCCTCAAAAAAAACATTGCAGTGCAGGAGGTTGAAATAGGTCAAAAATCGTTTATAAATATTGCACGCTGCATCTTATTTTTCTTAGTTACACTACAAGCCAACTTAAATTGTATATTATTCATTCAAATCGTATATGATACTGAAAATACCAATCTTATTAAATGACAGTATGTTTCGTAAACCATTATAGTATTTTGTTAAGCTACAACTCTAATTTTCTGGGGTCTAAAGCGTTCCTACTTCTTTATTTGTGAATATTTTGACGGTGCAATTATCACAAAAAAAGTGTAATGTTATTATTAAATTTTTTCAATGTTAATATCTACTATATTGTAATGAGTAGCATTGCGCAACTTAAAATACTCTAATTGTCAAATGATATAAACAACATCAATAGTACAAGTCTTTGTTCTTAAAATATGCCTCATCACATATCCATAAAATTTGCAAATTGATCTGAAAGCGTGTTAAATATCTGAATATATTAAGCTAGTTTCTAAATAGTTGGAACAAATATATGCCTACATATTCTCTTTGTTCTCTGATAGGTACCGACGCACATATGATTCTGAATACACTGCACCCTTGGTAAGCCATCACGTTTGGCCATGCCTTATGCAAGGCACTAAAGTGATTATGAAGGGAGAGGCTTGCACAAAACGCGGGGCATCTCTGGTTTGTATAGCTTACGAAACTACACTTTGCTGCAACAGCTTCTATTTTGATATTAACTCAGTTATTCACTAATATAACAGGGGACTCCTAGACGAGGACGATCACCCGTTCGTAATTCGACTCTGCCGCGATCTAGATCAATCTCTCCTATTCGTATGCGCTCTAGATCGGCGTCACCAGTAAGGTCAAAGTCACCACTTCGAAACGGAACAACTGGTAGGTATTGCTCACATTAAAAAATACAGGATTGACAAAAGCGCTCTTTCACCAAATATAGGCCTTGAATCTTTAAAAAAGTTTTAAGCACTTCCGTAATTGATGAATTTTTTTTTAGTTGTGTTTTCATAACAATTACGCTGTGTCATCCTTTGAAATTTCTTTCCTGATAAGTCAAATTTTGACATATTAATAGGAAAGTATTTTTCCGATTCTTAGTTTACATGTTTTCCTCTACAGGCCTTAGCAAAGTTAAATTTCGCTGATCAAAGATAATTATACGAGGTTTATACATTTAAATATAAAATTAATTTTGTCCTTATAATACAGAATCTTTATATATTTTGATTAATTTCTATTTTCTAGATATGGTCTTCTGAATCACCTCTACCTTTTGTCTTAATGGTGTCTCTGTAGTAGAATTTTTCTGCGAGAAAAATAGTAGAAGTTTCGATATTAGATATTTGTTGTTTGCAGTGTTTGACAATATAAAAATTATGCACGTTTTTGATATTAGACGTCTTACAAGTGCAGTATTTCGACTGTAAAATGGTTTTTTCCGTCCATAATGTGATCTTGTGATTACAAAAATTGATTTCGGTTTGCTGTGTATATCTTTCAGAATACATTTCTTTGAAGAGTCATTGACTTGGCTTAGTCATTTATATCAACGCGCTAAATCGAAAACGAGACACCACCGGAAATCATAAGGTGGATTATGGGATAGAGTGACGTCATCATGTTGTAGTTGTAGTTCGAAAATTTCGCGTGAAAATCGAGTTTTCGAGCAACTTTTAGAAGATTTGCGGATATCTTTTAATATTTTGACATTCGATGTTTATCTTGGATCGATTAAGCTACGTTTTACCTACGCATCGCCTCCTAACGACATGTTTAAATGCATACCGGGCTTCCTGAAAGCCTGTAATAGACAGGTGGAATACATCGACCGGCGCCATTGTAGCCTTACCTCTGTTCCTGATGATATTCTACGTTATACAAGAACATTAGAGGAACTATTGTTAGATGCTAATCAAATACAGGAATTACCAAGGGTTAGTTTGAAAATATGGCGCGTTTTCTAAGAGAGACATCTTTCAATTTTCAGGGTCTCTTCCGATTGGTACAACTTCGAAAGTTAGGGTTAAGCGACAATGAAATTCAAAGAATCCCACCAGATATAGCAAACTTTATTCATTTGGTTGAACTAGATCTTAATAGAAACGGTTAGTCATTAAAGGGTTAAACCATAGACTCACTAGATGTTGCCATCTCAAAGCGCCATCTACCTAATTCCCTTTTCTGGAGATGAAGTTATTGTTATATTCATTGGAATTAACATAGATAAAATAATAAATCTCCACTTTTCCTAAATGCTCATAAAATTTTCAAATGAATCTAATATATTTTCAGAATTTTCTGAACTGCCAGAGACTATTAAGAACTGTAAAAACTTGCAAGTGTTGGATATAAGCACCAATCCACTGCAGAAGTAAGTATTTTATACACTGGAAATAACTATTAGATTTAATTTCCAATCAGATCATTCTGATGCTAAATATAACATTGGAAAACTTAATGCAAACTATTTGTAATTTAAAGAAACTTTAAGCTTGGTTATATTTGATTTTTAATCAGAATTAAAGCACAGTGCTTTTATCAAATAACTGTAAATGCTGAAAGAATTTCCTTATGTGTTTGTAAGGCATACTATATACTTTGTTGATTTATAGTTAAAAGTGTAGCATTCGTCAAACGCTTTAGGGCGTGGTCTTTAGTCGCAGAAGATTAATGATGATTTTACAATTACACTTTGCAAAAACGTTCTACGTTTAATAAATGAGAGAAAATAGCCCTAGAAAAACATAACAAAATTTTTTCCTGTTATTTTTAAGTAGTCCTTAACATCTGCATGGGATCGATTTGACCGCAATTAAAAACTTGAAAAAATATTTGTTTTTGATATATCTATAAGACATTCAAATTATATTCATTTTCAAAGAATTTTGTGAAAAACAAGACACTCATTAATTAAAGAATATTGTTTAAGAAAAGGGTGGGAACTATGCATTGATTTAGAAATTACTGCCTATACGTTCATATATTGTTAGCTGATGGCCATATGCCACATATTTCTGGATAATTTCCGAAATATCTTGCATAATTTATCAATTCTGTTGTAAAAGACCTATCATTTAATATCGTTTGCCTCATTACACAGTATGTTCTAAACCTTGATATTATACTTGAAAAGCTTTGTTTTACGCTATTAACAACCTCCTCTACATATTTTCAGACTTCCAGCAGGATTGTGTCAATTACGCAATTTAACAACTTTAGGACTAAACGACCTATCATTATCTGCTCTTCCATTAGACATAGGAAAGTAAGTTCTAAATCATTTTTATCAGTCATTCTCCATAACAAATTTTTTTAATTAGCCTAGTAAATCTTGCATCCCTTGACGTTCGAGAAAACCTTTTGAAAACTTTACCAGAGTCTTTGTCTCAATTAGCAAAATTAAAAACTTTGGATTTGGGAAATAATGGCTTGGATATGCTGGTGAGTATTTTATACTGCACGTAATTAACCGTGTATGGATATCGATCATTTGGTCTTGTGATGATAGAATAATACTTAAGCACGTTTGATAGATTGCTTGCTTGCTACAAATTGTTAAACTTAACTTTGTTCTTATTGTTATACGAACAAAAAGCTAAATTCCATCAGTTTTTCGTTCTTCTGACGTATTATGTTTGTCGAAAATAATTGACAATCTCTATATAGGACTCCTTTTTTAAATCTTCTATTAATCTAGTTAGAAAATTAATAGAATTTTTAATTTTAATTTACTCATGAAACTGTGAGCAACAAATATAAACCAACTTCGCAAATATTTATTTCTTTATCTTATCTCATGCTATGATATACGCCTTTAAATTACTTCTTTTAATTCTTTATAAAAAGATATTCGAAACATTGTTGACCTTGCAGTTTATATATAAGTGCCTCTCTTGGGCCTTGTGTTCAAGTTTTATAGCAAATTATTAATTAATAATTTTTATTTTTCAAATTAGCCGCGAAATATTGGGCTACTCGCAAATTTGGAAGAGCTGTGGTTGGATTGTAATGAGTTAACTGATTTGCCAGAGGTACAAGGAAAAATTAATATGAATTATCCGTAATAAAACATTGTTTACACTAATCAGGAAATCGGGAAGTTAAAAAATTTAACTCAAATTGACTTGTCCGAAAATCGTATTGATTGTTTACCTGATGAGATAGGAGATCTTGACAACTTAACAGATTTGCAGCTCTCACAAAATCAGATTACAGAGTTACCACAGACCATTGGAAAGCTAAAATGGATGACGATACTGAAAGTTGATCAAAATCGATTGGAAGAGCTTACACCAGAAATCGGCAAATGCGAATCTCTGCAGGAGCTAATTTTGACCGAAAATTTACTATCCGAACTGCCAAACACCATATCTTGCTTAGCCAATTTGTGCAACTTTAATGTTGATAGAAATAGACTAGGAGAAATTCCAAAAGAGGTATAGTAATATTTAATTATATCTAAAGCCAAAAATATTATTTTTCTTACAAATGAAAAGTAAAAAGTTTGGATATAGCAGTTCCTTTTTTCTAGTTTTTACAAATTGCATTACTAGTTTTTTCAATTTATTCTTGACAGATTGGAAAATGCAGCAAGCTGAGTGTTCTTTCAGTCCGGGATAATCGCATTTTGTACCTACCTCAGGAAATTGGTAACCTTTCGCAACTACACGTTCTCGATGTCGCTGGGAATAGGTTTTAATAGTTCTTTTTATGTAGTGGCGAATTCATCTAATTGAATCCATTTATCAGGTTGCAATATCTGCCAATGTCCATAACTCAATGTGGTCATTTGAAGGCATTATGGTTGTCTGAGAATCAAGCGCAACCTATGCTGAAACTGCAGAAAGATGTTGACGATGACACAGGTCAAAGAGTATTGACCTGCTTTTTACTCCCGCAACAAGCTTACCACGAGAGTATGGAAAATTTCTTAAAGGGAAGTATTCTAACTGAAAACGATAGTCGCTTGAGTTTGACGGAGCCCAACAAATCAGCTGTAAAGTTTCAAGGAGATAACGAAGAGGACGTTAAGGAACAAATCGATCCCGGCTCAAGTGGAGACGAAGGGGTGTGTATTTTTATAGTAATAGTAACTAAGAAGCATAGTGTTTAAAGAATTTAAATTTTGTGAATAAAAATTTAAGTAATTTATATGTGAAATATACTTTGCAGTCAAGTTTTGTGAGAACCAATACCCCCCATCCTAAGGAACTAAAGGCTCGTCATGCAAAATTGTTCAAAAAAGATGTTGATGGAACTATTATACCAAGTAGTTCGGACAAAAAGACACACGACGGCGTTACATTTGTGCCATCTAGGGACCATACAATGAGTGGTGATGTTGATGTTTCAACTTCAAACGGTTAGTAATAACTTAGAGGCAATTCAGCATTTCGATTTCCTTTTTTTAGCCGGCAACTCTAAGCCTGCGGTTATCTTAACGAACTCCGTGAGTATCATTCAAGAAACACAAGATGGTGATGATCAGGACGGTTATATGGAAAAGCATGTTGGCTTTAGTGGTGAGGTCTCTAGTTCAGAGGGTGAAGAAGAAGAAGAAGAAGAAGCCGAAAGCCACGAGGGCTCAAAATTGAGGCGACGAGACACACCGCATCATCTAAAGAATAAGGTTCATATAATTTCAGCATATCACAAATAATAAAATTTTAGTTTTTTAATAAAATTATACCATCTTCAGAGAATTAATATAAATGTAAAATCGGAAGATGCCGATGAAAAATTACGACAGATACTCGCTAAAACAAAAAATAAATTACCGTCCCCAACAACCCTTGCCCCTGAAGAACAAAACTTGACACATGAAATGTCACCTCACTCTCCACCTCAAAGCCTTCCTTCGGAAGAACCCGCAGATACTAGTATGACAGCCAGTGAATTGAACTCATCTCAAGTGACAAGCACCGCTATCAAACAAGAAAATAGTCAAGATTCCAGCCCTTCTCCAAATTCAACATCAATTAACACAGTACTTGAGGCTTCAAAAACTACAGAATACGAAAGCAGCAAAACATCACCGGGAAGGAAAACTCCGTCTCCTATTCCCACGGTTTCACCACCAGACTCGGCCCCAAATAAACGATTTAGTGGAACATCCCAAACTGGTCAAGACCTTGTAAAAAGTTCCTCAATGGAAATTCAGGTAACGTTGGAACTTTTCATTCTAGTACCCAAATTTAGTAACTAAGTACTTATAAAAAATAAATTTGTGAAGTTTACTTTACTGTTTTCAGAATGACGAACTCTTGATTAAGATAGTTCGTGGACCTGGCATGGGATTGGGAATAAGTATAGCAGGTGGTGTAGGTTCGACACCTTATAAAGGAAATGATGAGAGTATCTTTATATCTCGCGTTGGTGAAGATGGACCTGCTGGAAAAGCTGGATTGAAGGTTGGAGACAAACTTCTCTCTGTTAATCAACACAGTCTAACAAACGGAGACCACATGAAAGCAGTTAATGTTCTTCGTGAAGCAGGAAATATAGTAACAATGGTTGTGTCTCGAGAGTGTTTGGTACCTTCATGCCAGGTGCGCAATTTGCCCTAATATACTAATAGAAAACCACTCAAAACTTTTATTGTTTTCAGGCTGCAGAAAAAAGAAAAGCTTTGAATGAAAACGCGAATTCAGAGGGGGCTGAGCCAGAAATGGAGGTTCAATCAGAAGTGAGAATTTAATATTTTAATACTTTGTAAATTAAAATAAATTACATAACCTTATAGACAATAGCAACAACTTTGATTAGACGAGAAGGCGGTGGATTAGGTTTCAGCATTGCTGGTGGATTAGGTAGCACGCCATTCAAAGATAATGATAAAGTAAGTAAAAAGTAAATGATATTTATTTTCGATTGTTTCCCTACACTTAGAAAACGAGTTAATTTTAGATAATTCGCTTTGACATGTTTTTGGTCAAACATTAGTTTTGTTACAATTTAGAAACTGAGGATAATAATAATTTAAATTGATTGCAAAATTACCTTCAGGCAATTGTGACAAAGCAAAAAGTTTACGACATAAAATTTATTCTTTTTTAATTATCTCGATTTGGCGCAAAAATAAGTCTTCACTATTATATTTCATCCCATATATTTTGTTATTTTTTACCATCTTGTCTTGGTTTTCATTTTAATTAAACCTTTTATTCTAATTACGTTTTTTGTCGATTTTGCAATCAGAGATATGCATTTCTTGAGGTTTGTATTGCCAATCTCTCTGTTGTGGTCCTTTCAAATGGTTTTATTTTCAAATATTTAAGTGCATGCTCGTGATAATCTCTAGATAATCTATCATTTATACTGAAATTGTTAAATTGACAGTCAATATACATATCACGAATAACGGAAGGGGGAGCAGCTGATAGGCATGGTGGCCTCCAAGTTGGAGATAGGATTATATCGGTTCGTAATCAATACGTTTTTAATAATGTTACCTCAGCTATCTAGACTCACATTGTAGAACCAATATTTTTCAGTCATTCAATAATTATAGTATGTATGATTTTGTTGCATTTTATAGATAAATGGAACAAGCGTTACAGGAGCGAGGCATGAAGAAGCTGTAGCTCTATTGACAGCACATAAAGATGCTCCTGTTACTCTTGTCGTGTATCGTGAAAATCTTATTAGAAAAACACCGAAACCATCTCCAGCGAAACCGAATGAAAACCATCCGAAACCTGTTGTTGCTCCTAGAGCGCCGAGGGAGGTAAGCGTCAACTATACATCGAGTACTCACCATCATACTAACGGCCACTAGCTATGATTCAATGATTTCTTAGGCTAAATTTAAAATTTAAAATTAACTGCTCGCCGCTTCCGATGAACTAATTCTCTTTGTTTTTCTTGTGTTTGTGCCTTGTTTGTTGCTATTTTCCAATAGAAGCTTTAGTTTGTTTTTAGAACAAGTCGTCTTAATGTTTGTTCATAATCCGTATATTATGGTTTTATAAGGGTACTTGTACTGTGATACTCAGGTCAATTTCTTTCCGTATTACATATGCTCTTTGGGAAACAATATTCAATTAATACTGTATATAAATTTTCCATTGCACGATCAGCTTTGACCAAAGTTAATTTTAAGTTATTGTATTTTTTTATTAAATTTTAAAATATTTTTCGATAATCAGTTAATTATCAGCTGGTCGTATATGTTTACGACTAAATTGTATTGAGTTTAAAGTTTTAGTGTTTATACTTGTAAATTATATGTGAAATAAGTATAAATCCGTATTAATTGAAAATGAAGGAAAAATTGACCTCCATTGTATGACGGTTTATAGCTGCTTTTGGATGCTTTTCAAACAAAGCGTTTGAATGTGTTTAATATATTTTTTACTATGGAGGAGATGTGAATTTGATGATGCAGATTAACTATGGGGCGGTTGTTCCTCTATGTTTTCGTATCCTAGTTTATCTAATTCTTATTATTGCATGCCCTGTACAGAGTTATATATTTTTAGAAATTCCACGAAGTTGAAATAAATTTTAACATTCGCTGTAATTAACTCAGTTTTTCCCACCAAAAAAAGATTTTGTGTATACTTTATATATATGGTATATGCTGCTAAATATATATATATATGTATATATATACAGTATATATATATATATTAGTATATATATAAATTTATATATATATATATATATATATGTACTTACAAAAAATTAGCATGAAAATAGATTGCTTAGCTGATTTATCGCCATTTCGATTACATTAATAGCATGCCTGGAGGTTTTTGGTTGTTTCAGGTAAATAACCGTGATCTTTTGCCAGGAAACCAACCATTTAAAATATTAAGTAAATAAACCATTTTTGCAGCGAATTTCGATCGTTAAAGCTGGTGGTCCACTAGGACTAAGTATTGTTAGAGGACAAGACTATAAAAAGCCGGTGTTTGGCGAGGGAAAGCCTGGTATCTATATTTCAAAAGTATGAAACTACTTTTTTATTCTTTAAAAAAATTTTATGAGAGATTTCAAATCTTTCCCAATAACGATAAAAAAATATTCACTAATTTGCTTTAATTTGAATTGTTTCCAGATTTTACCTTGTGGTCCTGCAGCCAAAACAAATCTTAGAGTCGGCGATAGAATAATTTCTGTAAACGATAAAAACATTGAACACTCAAATCATGATCAAGCTGTTCAAGCCTTAACCGTCTCAACTTATGAAATACGACTGGAGGTGAGCCATGATCCGCAACCTCCTGGTCTTATGGTAATATTTGTCAAAAACTTTATTTTTTTCAAAATTTGTTATCAAATTATTCCTTTCCAGGAGGTGAAAATACCTAAAGCCCCAAATGATAAACTAGGAATATCTATAAAGGGGGGATCTGGCAGTCCCTCAGGTCATCCAAATGATCAAACGGATGATGGTATTTTTATTTCGAAGGTATTGTATTTACTTTTTTATCATTTTTTCCTTATCTAATAAGTTGTTCCTTTAAAGATTATTCCTAGTGGATTAGTTGCAAAGGATGGACGTCTTAAGATTGGTCAACGAATATTAGAAGTAAACGATATAGGACTACTAGGGGCAACTCATCAGGATGCAGTAAAAGCCATAAGAAGTTGCACAACTCAACTATCACTTGTTGTTTGCGATGGCTATGAACCAACAGAAGCTCCTTTGACTCCAAGAACGCCTTCGGGATTTCGTTCTTTTTCTCATAGAGTGGAGTCAATATCCAGTTTGGATAGAGAATTAGATGATTGGCGGAACTCGAATGTGGTCAATATTTTTATAATCTAATAACATTTAAAAAGACTTTCTTGAATTTATTTTTAAAACAGAACTTAAGAGCTCCTGTTTCTCCAACTGGAACATTAGATAGAAACAGCCGAAACAATTTAAATCGACCGCAATTCAACTCTCAAACCGTGCAGGTTAGTTATTACACAACTTAGCAGTACAGAGTTTATGTAAAACTGTGCTTCCAGCCCACCTCTCCGCACAACTTAAGAAATAAACAGACTTACACGATTCCCGGTATGCAAATGGTTGCTGTTTCTAGTCCCTACGATGGACAAAATTCATCTGTAGTTACTGGCGGCTATCAGTCTCAGGTATTTTGTTGTGAAACTACAGTAGTCTTGAAGTCATTTTTTATAGCTAAAATTATTATACTGTGATAAAGAAAAAAAATATAGTGTATTAATGAGTGCTTCAAACAACGACTTCAATGACACTAAAGCAAGTTACTTGCTAGAGTAAATAAAGATCAGTGAAATTGTACAGAGAACATATAATGGACAAATTTACAAACGGCCCTCGCCGTGTATCGGTTATAAATCGATGAACAAATTGAGCAGTGAATTTTCGGTAACATGTTATAAACTGTCGTTAGAACATTTGTAAAATTATGATGTCAATTGTGTTAAAATAGATTTATTAACCAGACAAATATAATAATAGAATCCTCTTATTAACAATTCTAAAAGATTAACAACCGAAAAAACAATTATTTCGACGAAATACCCCCTTATGAACAAGTTCAGTAATTGCAATTAACTTACAATTGCGAAGTAATCGCGCTAAGGAAATCGCATCATTAACAATTGTAGTTTATAGAGGCATTGATAATATAAATAAGATATATATTGTTCTTTTGGCTACATTTTTGCATGTAAAACGCTTTAACATAATAACTCTTATACATATTCTGATACTTTCAAATTAAAGATACAACTTCTTTTCAGACATTACCAACTCAACAGTCCAACTAAACATCACAAGACTGGGAATTGTTTTCAACTCGAATTTTTTTTATAAAAATCTTACTTGAAAAGTGAACATTTTATGCAACAGCAATTTGCACAGCTTATTTTAATTTATATCTTTTAGTAGTAGTGTTTTGTGATTTATTACTTATTTTACTAGTCATTGATTTTATATGCATTAGATGATAGTTTTAATGTCGATACATATCATTGAAGTCAGATGTCTACATTTGGCGGTATGTATTTTAAGTGTAAAATAGAAAATACAGTTTAGTGTTTGATAAATTATACAATTGTCCTTCGGCCTTGCTCATTTTACACATTATTTATATTTATTACAAACAGTACATTTACTAAATTGATCAAATAACGTAGCTAAATTTTGCATAAATTGAAGACGCTGTAACTTTCTTTATCTTCAACTATTTTATTGATGTCTATATAGTCCTTTCGAGCAAGTACTAAAATAGGAATGACTGCTTTTTCTGGTCGTTGTGTGTATTCATTTTCCTTTGTTATCAACTTAATCTACGCACCAGAAGGTAGCCATAGTAACACGCATTTTCAGATGTGGTTCCGAGTTCCATGAAGGAGCACCACAAATAAATTTGACATGGAACAGTACCCGACTTATGTTTCTGCCTTCTGGAGACGCTACACTCATCAATGCTCCATTGACGCCAAAACGTTTGTTATGTCGAAAAATTGAAGACAGACTTATTTGTAACTAATCTTCTGAGGGTATGATTAAAAAAGTTAATTTCCAACAAAAATTGATTTCCTGTCAACTCCTAGAAAGATCAATAATATTTGTGAAAAGCGTTGTGCCATAAGATAAATAACATAAAGACACACAAACGCTATGCAATCTAATTGCAAAGAAGAAACACGAAGCATTAAGGACCGAATGAAATTTTTTGAAAAGGAAATCGCCGAACATAATTCCCCTTCAAAGAAAAAAGTGGAAAGAAAATTCTCTTATTTACAGGAACACGAGGTAGCCAAAATGAAGAAGGAAGATGGTATTTAATTATGATTTTTTTATTTAAAATGTATAAGAATTTCTTGTTAAGAATCTCATTAAATGTTTAAAGAAAGGAAAATGTCTCTGATGTCACAAGAAGAATTAAAGAAGCTAATGTCTGAGAATGTTGCTGATTTTTCAAATGTTTTAAAAAGGTTTTAATTTTTCTGCTACTAGTAGAGTAATAACACGGATATGTATGGAGAGTAATTAATTTTTATATTTCTTTATTTCAGTTGGGCAACAGGGTAAGTATATTATGAGTGAGTCGAGGTTATACGTGATTTTATTTTCTTCGCTTGACTAGGGATGACTCAAAGGAAGAAGGTAGCAAAGCAATAAGACTCAGTGAAAATTGGAAAGAAGGAGGGTAAGAATTAAATTCTTAAGCTAATATATAATTTTTTATAAATCTTTCTAGGGTTAGACCAATTGGAAAAGATTTGGCTGAGTTGAATATTTCCGGATCTCCACAATGAATAAAAAATATACTAGCTGTAAATTTATAATTTCTTTTAGCTTTATTAATTTCACAATTTTATTGTCCTCTTGCCCTGTCACCTTCCTTTGTACAACTAATCAAATTATTCGTATCCAGTGTTATAAGAAATATAATGTATATGCACCATATGTACCAAGACTTTTTACTCGAAAAAACTTAGATACAGTATATGGCAGAATTTCAATTCCTTGAATTTTAAAACATTGTATTTTTAAGTCAAAATACATTCTATATTTGTCTAATACAGTTCTTTATTATGCAATATACTTTCTTTGTCTAATTGACCGTATCAAACATAACAAACTCTGAAGTTATTAAATGCTTAAATTTGAATACTAGTGTATTAATGGAGTTTTTTTGCTGTCAATACTGCTCTTAGACACGAATTTTTTATTAGTACAAAATAAAAATTAATCGCTCTTCTGTTGTAAATCAAAAACGTTTTAAAGCCGCCTCGTTTAAGAGTCTTCTGTCAGGTGCACGTTTGTGCAATGGACAAAGTGAACCAAATGATATAGGTTCCTGTTTAGTTCTTGTTCCAATGAAATTGGAGCACTAGATAGTTATTATTTCTTTCCATTTTCAGTTGATGAATAATATCTGGCTATATTCAAACAGCAAAAATTCTTCTTATCAATATAAATGCCAACTTGAAACTCTTGCGCGACTTAAGAATGGAAAAAAATTTAGTTCCTTTTGATTATTAAAAAAAGTATATACTTTCTACCTCAATAAAGTTAGAACTTGTGAGGCATTTCAGATTCTCAGTCGAGACTGGTTAATTTGCAAATTAGCCCTGAAAAATTTACAGGGAGCCACATTAATAGTATTGCAACGCGACAGCCAATCTCTTTATGCCATGTTTTAAAACAATTTCGCTCGAAATTTCTCATTTCATTTTTCTAAAGAGCTAGTGGAACAAACAGTCATGCTCATTAATATTTGTCATATAACACTTTTTTTTACTTTGGTGATGATTGTCTCATCTATGAAGGAGGTTAACAAAGAAACATGCGAAGGTAAAGAATATAAGTTACTATCAAATACTCTTGTAAATAATTTGTAATACTTAGTCTGCGTTACGATGATTGAGAAATTCATTGAACAAACGGATTCTGAAACTAAGAAGAGCGTGGAGAAAGTTCAAGATGCCTTTATGAAGTTTTGTAAGACTAAGAAAAAGGATGATAATCGCTTGGTATGGACCTTTAATTATAAAAAAGGAATTATTTTCCAATATTCTTATAAGCGTGATAAAAATGACAATATTTTTTTAAATATTACCAAAAATAGTGTTATTACGTTGGAGGTCTAGAAGAATCGGCGACCAGCGTTTTAGGAGAAATTACAAAAAGAGTGACTTGGGGTGTTCCAGCCGATAAAATTTGTATGCATTTAAACAAGAAGGATTCTCAAATTTGCGAGTTGAAATATGGTAAATTAGTTTTCACATTTGAATTTCATTACTTTTAAGTATACTATTTCAGAAAAACAAATTGATCTGACAAAAGTGAACTTAAAGAAACTAAAAGTCAAAGATTTAAAGAAAATACTCTCAGACTGGGATGAAAATTGTAAAGGATGTACCGAAAAATCAGATTTTATATCGAAGATAAAAGAATTAATGCCTATTCATGCACCCGATGCTGCTAAAATTTTAAAGAAGAAAGAGGAATTATAGTAAATTTATTTGTTTGTTCAATGTGAAATTGTTAAAGAAACATTTTCATTAATATTAAATAAAGAACAATAAGTCGTTTACGTTTTCGAAGTCAGCATCCCGTGTGGTATTTAGCTATATCCTCCGTTAAGTAAGACATACCGATTTCAAAATGGCGCGACTCTAAACAAGACTTAAAGGATGCACAATTTTTTCTTCAGATATTATAAAAAGTTTATACATATTAACTGAAAGCATCATTACACTTGTTGAGAAATTTGTTTTGATGTTTATTTTAGATTAAATAATCCGTTTTAAAAAATAGTTTTTAAAGAATTCATCATTTATGGCGCTGAAATCAAAATACAGGTAATTATTAAAAACAATACAATTTTTTTCTTTCGAGTGAAACGTCAGAATGCAGCAGACATTTTTGTAGTTTAATAATTATTTTCAAGTGGAAAGAACCTGTTTTAGTTATAGTAATCTGTGTAGAGCGCTTTTTATACTATAAAATTTTGTCAAGAAAACATCAACTCTCGCAACAATTTCTCGCAACGACAACCGGACTTTATCGCCAATTGAAAGAAGACAAATTCATAAATAAGAAAAGGATATTTCGTCATTTTTACTACCCAAATAGTAAACCAAAACAGGAAAAGTCGACTTTTCTACTTTGTAACAAAGTAAAACCTTATGAGGGTGAATCGATTGTCAATTCCTTAAAAGAATGGAAAGAGTCTACCTGTGACTGGGAGAATTTTGAGGCAATATATCCTAGAATCCGACAGCATTTACCGTTTATCTTTTATGAACCGAAGATTATTAAGTTGTAAGTTGACGAGAAAGATAATCTTTACATTTTGTTTTTAGAGCTGTTGTATCTAAAGCAGAATTCTTTCTCTTTAACTCCTCCTCGGTTAGGGCTTTTACTAATCTAACAATAATTCTTTAATTTGTTTAAGATTGTCGATACTCTAAATTTGAATTTAATATTGACAATCAGTGGCAACTTGCGTAATTTAATTTCTCTCGCTAGCGTAATTTCTCGACACCAAATCTTTCTTTTCTCTTTTTATAACGCTTAAATTTGATCGACATGTGCTTTATTGATTGCTAGTATACGAAGTATACCATTTACTACTTGATATTTATAGGTATTGGTGCAATAGGCCCAAAAACACAATTGTAAAAATTTATATAGGAAGCAGGCCGAATTTTATAGTTTGTTTGCCAGCTCGCATGCTATCGATCTAAGCTGTTGAAAAAAAATCAATGCGAATATATACTGCTCTACAGCCTGGTTTGTGGCTGCAATTTTAATGGAGATGATTTTTGGGCTATCTTATTCTGAATAGCTATTTTAAAGTTTTTTCTCACATAATTTGCAATGAGGTAAGTCATATGCTTATAAAAATTCAAATTTTATTTACTTTGCTCAAAGAATGAGTTCAGTATGATTACTTGAGATTTATTGTACGAGGTGTGGAAGCTGCAGTGCAAATTTTTTAAATTTTCCTTTTTGTAAATTTAGTATGAATTTTATGATTTGTCATTTCTGAGCTTTATTCCTTCTCAATTAACTGATCTCAAATAGAACCTATAAAGAATAACAATAGGGTCTTGTTTAGAAGGTGAATATAAACTGCAAATCGTACGTTTAATATATATAGATAGCCCGCAAAATAATTCCAAGATTTGTTAATTGAAATATATTTAAAAATCTCATTAAAACAATTTTCTATAAACTTAGAAATTCGTATTGAGTATAAATATTTATATTTTTTTCTTTCCTAACCTTAATAACAAACACTTTCAATCCTATTTCATCAGTATTTCTTCATGAACCTTGGCAGTTTATTCTCAAAATTACAGACTAATTGCATAAATGAGCTGATCTGATCGCAAGTAGGTTTCTTAGTTATACATTTTCCAGCCAACTGTTCTAAACTATTGCAAATATAACTGTTGCTGTTATTCTTATGAGCATTACTACCATTTTTTACGGCACGAAAAGCGCTGACTCCACTACCAATTCGATTTCTAGTCGGTTTTGGACTAGTTTGGCGATAGTCTAGTGGAGGATACACTGGGTTTGGAACATGTAAGTTGGAATGATGATTTAGAGTATCTTCTACAGAGATTGGAGATGTTACTAAGCTCGGTTTTTGATCTGTTTGCCTTTCGTTATATGTTTTCTTAAATTTTTCCGATGCTTTAGAAGGAATGGATCTTACTCCTAAATTTTCATTGTTTTCTTGCTTTCTGGATACAGAAACTTTCTTACTTATGTTAGGATGCTGTTCTTGGCTATAGGCCACAGCATTCTTATTTTTAACTTTCAGATGAGCTTCTTTTATCTTCAGAGCCCGCCTCTGAACTTCACAATCAGAGTTAGAGTTTATTATGTATTCAGTGGAGCTTGTTAGTGAGTGGTTTTCTGCTCCAGAAGTAGCCGATTTCTGATTGCGAATAATTTTTGAATCTTTCTTAGTCTCGCTTTTCCTCCTATTTAGATACAAATCTTCATGAAGAATTTGTAAGCGTCTCTCTTCTTCCCGCTTTCTTTCAGCGGCTTCCGCAGTGTCGTATGTTTTGTTTTCCATTTTGTGCTTTATCCAACTTCGAGCATACTCTACACTAGGACCCGATTCTTCGATTTTTCTTGAAATTCTAGCTAGTTTTTCTGCATTTTCTTCAGAAATACTTACTTTAAGTATTTCATCATAGCATTTCTCTAGTTCATCTACAGCTTGATCAAATTTGTTCCTTTCTGCTTGTAGCTGAGCAGCTGCTGACCTAGTAAAAGTGTTTTATGGATACTTATATTCGCTAAAACTTCAGTTAAGAACTATTATAATTATTGATGAAAACAAAAAGAATTGACAAATCTATTATTCGAGATTTACATTTATTTTTTTTATCTGTGTAAATGTTTTTTTAATTGAATATTTTTTGTTTATATCGAACTTTTGAGTGAGTAATTACCTTATCATCTATATTTATGTTTGAATGAATAACAAAGTTTAAATCTTCATTCTAATTATACGCTGTAAGTGTGAGGAAGTTTACTTTTAAAAAAAGTTAATACTACCGTCGTAAATCTTCCGCCGACCGTGAAAGAGCTGTTAGATGACGTGGGGGAGACCTTTCCACGCTTCTAGTTCTGAAGTGCAATCTAGATTCAAACTTAGGAGTACTTGGTGGGGTTCTTAGAACTGTAATTGAGGTTGAGGAAGAGGATACATTTTCTATCGATTTGCTCAGAGCAATTTTCCGTGGTCTGGGAGGAACTCTTCTCTCATACTCATCCTTTCTTGATACATGCTGTGTTGGTACAAAATTTTCTTGACTTCGAAACTTTCCAAACATGTTACTCAGCTCTACTGTATTGCGAACAGCAAGACTGCTTCTGCACTACTGCAGGAAAAAATTTCAGTCAGATACTGACTGTAATAATTCTTTTCCGTACGCTCCGTTATATATGTTTATAACTATTTACTGCGCAGGGTAAAATTTTCGACTGCTGCATTTTGCGGATGTTTTTTGTATTTTTCAGGGCTTATGTACCGTAACTTACTTGTGGAAATAGTTAGCAAAAGTTTTACGGTAGACCTGCTTCTGAGATAGGCTCTTTTAAACCTCTTGTACAAAAAATCTTAAACTTTTTTATTGCTTATAGAGCATTTGACACAAGAAACAACATTTAAAACTAATAAAATAATTTAAATGCTATATTGAGAATTGAGCTATCTACTATATGTAAATTTGCATAAGGTGTATATTTAAAAATATATCTGTATATGTATAGAATATTTATCTTTAAATTCTTAACGTTAAAGAGATTTATCTATATAAAAATATAGTTTCACTTTAGATTACTCTACAATTCACAATCAATCTATAATAGTATAAATTATGTGGCTAACAAAGTTGCACTAAAAGAGATAGAGCAAGGCACATTTGAGTTCTACTCACAGATTATTTATTGTCTATCAACGAATGAGAGTTGGAAATCTAGAATGTCAGATTGTTGTGCCTTGCCTTCTATCTCTGAGGTAGCTAGGCTAAAGATTTCCAAGTAACCTACTATACCTTTTCTCAAATTTACGAGCTGTAGGCCGGCAACATAACACATTAGTCATGTGTTTGTCTTTGGCCTGTTGCTGTTGCATATATAGTAGCGTAAAGTAACATACAGTTGACTCACGGGTTGATGGATTTCTTTTTTCGAACAGGCAGACCTAATAGACATTATGAGAAATATCTTATCTGCTATATAATTGGACATAAGGATACATAATTAAAAAAAACGAGCTTCACCGAATATTAATAATGTCCAGGTCAATCTACTTCAGGAAAAGTGGAAAATCACCTAGGTTATTCCGCGATCTTGCAGGATTTCGTTCATTTTCCATGCTGAATTTAAGGGAAACGGATTATGAAGAGTTAAATAAAATTTTATACAATAAAGATATGGAGAGAAGTCGGAAAAGGAAAAGCAGTTTACTATTTACTAGAGGAACTTTCAAACAGCTGAGGTTTGAGGGGTTTAAACGCCATTATATTATTAATATCAGGCTTTTGCATTGATTTCACTTAACTAAGTTTCTTCCTTTTCCGAATGCAATTTAGTATTTAAATTTTCTTGCATACCTAACATAATTATAAATAATAATCAATGACAAGATAGTATTAATGGCGTTTTATACATATTAAACATTATACATGTTATGTGAAATATAAACAAAATATAAATAGCTTTATTTTACTGATGTTGTTTAATTTTTTAGATTATTAAGACTTCATATGCATAGATGGAACCTTTTTTTTAGACCTCAAGATAACTCTTATCATTACTTCCAGATGGTCAAAGAAGAAAAAAGCTACATCAGATATTCTTTGGGCAAGGAAACCTGACGATCTGCCAGATGCAAGACTAAAAAAAATGTCATTTAATTTATTTGCCGCATGTACTGGACCGGCAAATGGTTTGTGTGATGTCAATGAACACCTTCCTTCAGCTCTAATAACAGATATAAATTGGAATTCGAAAAATCGAAAAGCCTATGGAGTTTCAGAATCCTTGTATGAAAAACATCCAATTTCTGGAAAGATCACTGGGGAACCTGTTGCTGACTCCTATGCAATCGTAGCTAGGAAAGATAATGCATTATTAGTAGTTGCTGATGGAGTAAACTGGGGAGAAAAATCAATGAAAGCTGCTAGGAGTGCAATATATGGTGTCGTTAGGTAAGTACATGAAGCTATTGATTTCTGTCAAAAGTATAATATACACTAAACCTATTTTTTAGGTATGTTTGTCAGAACTTATTCACTGAAAGCCAAGTCTTCAAAACTAAAGAGCTGTTCAAAGTTTTACGTTCATCAGTTGATGCTGCTCACCAAGTTATTTTAGAAACACAGGGTGGCTTAACAACCCTATGTGTAGCTTTTGTCGCCCCCTTATCAAACTCAAAGCAATTCGCAATTTGTATTGTAAATGTTGGCGACTCTTTAGGCTATGTTTTTTCTCGACATCATGGTATTCGGGAAATAACTACTGCTAGTCATGACATCACTGTGGAAAGAAATATACGAGATGCTCGCGGGGCCATAGGACCTGTTAGAGGTAAATTTTTCTAATTTTTATATGAGCAAAATAATTTCTGTCTTCTATAGGAAATGATCCTGATTTAGCAAATTTAACTTGTTCGATGACTTTCTGCGATGCTGGTGATATTGTTTTTCTTACAACCGATGGTGTATCTGACAACTTTGATCCTGTTGTGACAAAAGTAGCAGTCGCACCGAAGCAAACTCGATCGAAAAGTGACAGTGATGCTCCTATCGAAAACGGAGAGGAATTTACTTCAGTAGCATATGAGTGCGGTATTGCTCAAGACGGACGACCAGAAATGACCCCTTCAGAACGGCATCAATATGCTGTGAAAGAAATGGAAAGAATAATACACGAGCAAGAACTTGAAACGGAGCAGAGTATTTCCGCACAAGAATTATGCGCATCAATAATACTGCACGTGGTGAAATTAACAGAGAAAAGAAGAAGAATTTTAGAAAATCCACAAGTTTGGAAAAAGTTAAAGAGTGAAGAAGCTAAAAAAAAGAGAGATGACGCCGTAAGGGAAAAACTTAGAGCTGAGCCTGGTAAACTAGATCACGCAACAATTGTTGCTTATGAAATTGGAGTATTTCAAGGAAATGAAAATGAGAATTATGAGGAGGAGAGTGATCATGAGCTAGTCTTATGTTCTAGTCCTGGTTATGGAGATTATACGGTTCGTGTTTCTTTAGATTTAATACTCTGACTGTTCAGCATTTTTATAAGCTACCCATACAATATAACGTTGAACAGTCTTTGTATATCTCGTAACCATCGTTTCAGTTTGATTTTACAACATATTTACCTAAAATCTTTTCATACTAATTCATGAATTAGAAGTCAAAGGTAGGCACTAATCGAGTGTTTTTGTTGTGTAAATAAACTTTGCATGAGTTTTTCAAAGCGTAAAATTAGAAGCTTAGGAAAACTTTATGATTAATTAATTACACGTTAGCATTTAAATATTTATCTTTTAATTAAAACACCTTAGATTTTGCCGTGTGCATGAGTGTGTATATTAAATTTTGATATTAAAAAAGACTTTTACCTATACACCATAAATTCATTCTACATTCAAGTATTTAGATAGTACGTGATTGTAGTTGTAAAGATTTTCATTACATGTGCAAACCATTGAATAATATACTGAGGAATCAGGTTTCCACTGCTTAATCTGAAAGTTTATATTTATTTTGTACTGTTGTTAACAGGCTCCAATTGCACAGTTCGATTCATTCGAGTCAGAAAGCGAACAAGAGACGACAACAACCCTAAAAGATGACGAAAGTGACTCGATATCACAGAAGTTTGAAGAATTTGTTGTTTAGTCCCTTATTTTACCCTGTATTTTCTAAAACAAAAAATACATAGATACTATTTAAATTCAAATCGCCACCGACGATGTTTTCATTTTCAAAGCATAAGATCTTAGATATTCGGTAGATGTCACTAAAGTTTTTTTTTTAAAAGTGATTTGCACCAGACTTTTTATATCCAACTTTATTGCCATGTAGTGGTTGTTGTAGACTAAAAGTAAGAAATCGAAAGAAGCTGAAAATTTTAAAACATTAATTTCAAAAAATTAAATATTCAATACTTCTATTTTCTATCAAGCATTTAATTTTCAATTTCGCAATAAATTTCTTATTTATTCAAGTTTCCAATTGCAACTCATTCATATTCAAAATTAATCCCATTGTTGACAACATTTTATCTCCTCAGGACGTTGAATTTGACAAATAGCTAAGGTGAAAATCTCGTCTCCCGCGAACAAGTCCTATATATAGGGCAGATAGTTGCTATTCAATGAATCTATGCGTCAAAATTATCTTTCTCACGAACGCAAATTCATAAAAATATTTTACTAAAATTATCTAGTTCTAATAAATACTTTATTGTCTTGAAACCATCTTCTTAATTTCAGAATAAACGCTTATCTAAGAACGAGAGTAAGAATATTTTTTTTAAATCGAAAATTTATGGCGACAACCAATAAAAAGCCCATTAGAAAGACACTTTCAATCGATAATCTATATCCTATTCTCAAATAATTGAGCGTTAGTTGAATTGTACTGTTCAAAAAAGTTCGTGATTATCTTGTTTTACACCCCATAGTGTCTGATAGTTCAAGTATTGATTCTTAAAATATTTATTGCGTATTTTTTTTACTAAGCTGAAAAAGAAAATTTTCAAACATAGTTTAGCTTTTGGACGTTAAAAAACTTTGAATAAACATATCATAGATTGCACATTTTGATAAAACCTTTAATGCAAAGTAGTTCAGTGTTTGAAGTGTGTAGTATCAGAAGAAAAAGTGCTTAAAATACTGAATGTCTTTAGTATTAAGACTACAGTACTACAGCAGCAAAACTGATAATAATAACTAAAAAAGTAATAATGAAAAAAATGTAATCTACAATAACTGCCAATCCTTGCCATTCAGCTGCAATAGCTCCTTCTTCTTCTTCAGCCTTAGCCTTATCAAGCAAGTAATTCATGTAATTATTTGATTGACCATTATCAATTTGATTCTTCTCTTCAGTAGGAGGAGGCGGTGATACCAAGTCCGTTCTTGAATTTTCGGTATCAATAGCAGCTACTTTGGTGGTATTCGGTGAATCTTCAACTTCCGGAACTGCCTTCTGAATGCAGAATGCTTTTGCAAGATATTTAAATGCAATAACTCTAATCCATCTTGGAGGTCTTGAATGGGTACCATGATGATGCAGAACTAGTACAAAAATATTCGCAACGACTCCTCCAGTACAAATACCCGAAATGAGAACAAGCATGTAACTCAGAATAGGTATGTAATCAGAAGTTCGCGGTAAATGATCTGCGACCATAAGCTGCAACACACTAAATGCCAGAAGGATAGTTATTCCCAGAGAAACCTTTTCACCTGCATAAGAAAATTTAAAATTATTTTAATGTAAATTCCAAGACCATCTATTTACCTGATTCACAAGGTAGCCAGAACATCAGCCATGTAAGTATTAGAAGAAATACACAGGGTAAAATAATATTCAAGGCGTAAAAAGTTCTTTTACGCGTAAAATTAAAAGTTATCTTAAGTCGCGGATATTTCAAGTGGTCAGTCAATTTTGCGCTTTCAATTTTTTCCACAGAGGTGGTCGCAATGTGCCACTCTCCATGTTGGTCATAATTTGTTAAATCGACTACATCATGTCCAGCATTAAGAGTGAGGGCATTGTCTCCATGAAGCCAAGATACCCATAAGTGTTCGCACGTTTGCTGTTTATAGTCAAGACGATATTATTTACTAAAATGTAAGAATTAGTATACAATACTTTATCAAATGGGTAGGTGGTAACATGTAAAGTACAAGATGTTGTAAACTCTCCTCCAAATATCCATAAAACTTCCCCAGTATATCTTATACTAACTCGAAAATTGTAAACCCAGTCAGAGGTAATGAAATATGATACTCCATTATCCAAACCAAGGTCAGGAGTCCATACCTTTGAAGCTGGTATAATGATGTGATCAACACCCCCAAAATTTGCCGGTGTCCACTGAAGAAAATCATCCGTCCATGTCTGAATGTTTAAAAACAGTTAATAAAAATAACGATTAAAATTCTGGTCGACCCTTACCGCAATAACTAGTCCGGATACATGAAGAACTTCATCAACCTCCTCCAATTTTTGGAGTTTATGTAGTTCGAGCCTTAAGGTAACATCAACAGGTTTTGTAGAATCTTTTCTTGGTCTTATAGCAGGTTGATAATGTTGCATTAAAAAATCATATATTTTTCTTTCATAATTATTTTGCACTGTCAGGGTAAGATATAGCGCGATAAATTATTTATAAATTATGAGTCAGAGCTGTTCTCAAAAGATGTTATTCTTACTAATGGAATAATAATTTTTATCATAATAAATTTATGAGTTTGAAGTACAGCTCTTTCGTTCATTAATTTACAGTGTATAATGCAAGAGAAATTTGAAATTAGCAGAATATTTTTATTAGTTTATTTCGACCGTAAAAATACACTTTCTTCGATCTATAAACTAAGCTTTTAATTAAAGTGTATTGTATTTTAATAAAAAAGTTAATTAACAAATTTTAATATTTTGTAAATAGCTTACCGTCAACAGCAGAGCATAAATAAATAAAGGCAAAAAAGAGAAATAGTTTCATATTCTATCAGTGAGTACGTCTACTGCGAAGGATCGTCGACAAATAGCTGGAAGTCAGCTACTACTATGCATATATATATATATATATATATATATATTTAATTATTTGACCAATTACAATTAATAAAAATTGAATAAGCTTACTAATAGGCCTTGTCGCTTTTTTCTTATATGAATGGCTATTAGTTTCCATATCAAATTTGATTCAAACAATTATATACAACTACTTTATGCCAACCAGTTTAAACTCAACTTAGGTTATTGATCTTAAAAAATCAATTTTAATTGTTTACAGAAAGAATTTATAATCTTAAAAAAATGTTTATCGCTTTTACTTTTGTTGTTTGCAATGCGATAACGGAGTAGTCTTTATGCAAACAAAGTTATAACGTGGTATCTATTTTATTTGACTTATATATTTATTGGCGTCGTCACAATAGTTTACAATGAAAGTGTTGACTAGCAATTACTATACAAAGGTTATTCATTGGGGTATGATTGCTGTATAAATACAAGAAATATGCGATCTTTCTACTTTTCGGAAACAAAATGTAAAGTTCATTATCCTATTCTGTAACATCTACTAATTTAATCTCAGAAAATAGTCAGCAAGTATCAAGGTATAAAAAAGTGAATACTTTATGAAAAAAAATTTTAAACTGATTAAACAGTATATGTAATAAAAAGAAAATACTTATACAGCAGACAGTTACTGTAAAAACTGTAGTTATATATATCATATACTCAATCATATACAGTCAAAATTTTCTCAAACATTCATCGTTAGTAGTAGTCATATAATCCAAAAAAGAGAAATTTAAAAAAATGCATTAAATCTCATGAAAACGAGATTCTCAATTATCTAAATATATTAAACAATGAGTAAGACTAGAAAGTTACACATGAAAATAAATCTTAAATTATTGAGAAATCTTAACAACTAATAGGTTTCTTTTCAGATTTTTCCTCTTTTAGCTCCTGTTCTTTTTTCTATAAAAAATAAATATTTTATGAATATGCAGTATTCATAAAAGCATTTAAGTTTATGTCTATATAATATCATACAAAATTAAATAAGTATCTATTTTTTATCATCAAGTTAATTTACCTGAGAATTCCATTTAGGTAAAATTCGTCGACGTGCATTTGTAAACCAATAATTTATTTGGTTGATAGTCAATTTTGTCTTTTGTATCAACATTTCTTTTTCGTCATCATTTGGATACGGATTGTCTTGGTGCTCTCTTAGCCAATCAAGCATAATAGCAACAGACTTTCGGGGAAAATTATTAATTAATTTTTATGCCATTTTTTAAACATTTTAGTATACCTCTTTAGGTAGTACAGCTTTCTTTCCAGGTTGTTTCGGCTGTAATTCACTATTCATACTATACTCAATACCCCCATACATATTATAAGGTGGTTCGTTATAGCAGGCTCGAGGATTTCGATGCATTGGAGATCCAGGCATCGGTGGCATATGCAAGGGGGATCCAGAGAGAGGGTGATGCATAGAAGGTGATCCTGGATTGCCTGGTATTTGATGCATGGGGGGACCCGGCTGTGGTGGTGGAGGCGGGGGTGGGTAATTCTCTCCATAATGAGTAGGAGGCAATCCACCATGGCATGGAGACAAAGGAGATGCTGCTGCGATTTGGCATTGTGAAGGGGGCGCCGGATCTAAAGGAGCATGTTGAGGTGGCATCTGAGGAACTGGAAGAGCCTGCTGAGATGGCATAGGTCCGTTCTGTGGTGTGGCTGGACCTTGAAGTACTGATAATGGTGGTGGTTGGGGCACAGGAGGTAACTGTTGAGTTCGTACCTTTTGTATTTTAGCTGTGAGAAATCAAAACCAATAGATTAACTTGAATCGAACATAAAATGTAACTGACTTATTAGAGATTGGTGGGCATATCGTAATGCATCCATAAGAACATTGTCAACACTGGAATTTCCACTGCTCTCAGAAGTCCTATTACGCATAACAAAGTTTCTTAACAATCTTTCGAAGTCGGCAGGTAAATTTGCAATTAACTGAAAATAGTTAAAAAATTTTTCATGAAGTAATTAAAACTTTTTCATGTTGTAACTTACTTGTCTTGGAAAGGTAGGGAGTGAAAAATTCATGTCAGCTAAGACCAAGTCCCGAAGTAAAGGAAACAAAGGATGTGACCGAAATGCGGGTGACTCGTCACAAATCAATTTTTGCATAAATTGTTGTTGCACAGTTAATGGGGTCGGCATAGCCGCACCAACAGAAGTTTGCTGACACGATGTTCTAGCATAGGGGCTGTAATCATGGTTGGTTTTATGCAAGATCTTGTGCCTCACGGGAGTTCTATAATGGTCCTGCAATATTCAAAGATAAGCGGAAAATATTAATACCAATGAAGGCAGTTTTACCTCATGACAGTCGTTGACGCCAAATGGTATGATTTCATCAAGATCATCTTCTTTGTGTCCTCCTACTCCGTTGTTATTTGTTCCAGATGGAGCGATCTTTGGATTTAAATCAATGAAATCCAAATCCATAGAATCCTTAATGCCGATATCCTTACATATCTCATCCAATAAATCATTTCTGACGCGATCATTTTCATAGACAATATTTCTCATCCCAGTGTCCACTTCATCAGGATCACCCGGATCGTAATACAATGATTTTTTAGGAGTTGAGTTTCGACAAGGACTTGATTGTTGTACTCCACAATCTAGTGGTGTCGGTTCTCGGTAGTGCATCATTTTCTTGACTATAACAAAGTTTCCATGAAAAAGATAGATCACGCCTCTAAGTAGTCTAAATAGTTTCTTACTTATATTACTTACTTATTGCAAAATATTAATAAATAAATTGAAAGTTTACTTCTTATTATCACAAAGCCTCCAAAACTGGACTTTTAATTTGGCTACATAATAATATTAACCAACTTTAGCGATTTGGTTTACTAGAAAGTTGGTGAAAATTTAAATGGCGCACAAAGCGAAAAAAACCCTACACGCCTACTATCAAAAAATGGTATTTTCTCTACCTTAAATTACTATCAAACTTTACAAAGACAACCAATTATTTAATAATAGTTAAATTTTATAAAAATATTTACAAAATAAATCTAATATACATTCAAAAATGATGTATTTGCTTACCTAGACTGATCTTTAAAAGACTCTGGACACCATAAAATCAGCATTGGAATGCCGTTTCAAAAACGGTTAAAAGTATGGCTCGGTAATCTGTGTCTAAATTCTAGCTGCAAAAAATAAGGGGAGTTTGAACGTCTTTGTTTCAGTAATTCAGTTGGAATCAGTTAATTTATTTCTTTATTTACTGTGTAGTCAGATACATAGTATTTGGAACAGATATTTCAATATATATATATATTGAATCAAAGCGTCAGTTCTTTTTTCTTTCGTTATATTGTTAACATTGACACAACATCACACAAAAAAACTTACAGCTTTTTTGAAATTTTTTTATCAAAGATCTACTGAAAATCTTTTGTCTTTATAATTGATTGGATTAGATGATTATTTAAGTTCCTCGTAGTATTATAGTAGATGATCATATTTTGTTTATAGAAAATTGTTTATTTTTATGGATACATAATTTTCACGAGAATAAACAAAACATCAAAGTTGTGAATATCGAAACAAGATTTGAAATAATTCTTGCTAAATAAGTTAACTACAACCTTTGCAAAATGAAGAAACGTAACAATTACATTAAAATTTTGATGTAGCATAATGAACGGGAAATTCAAATTTATGGCTTCCAGTTCCGAAGATATTCGGCAGCATCCCAGCATTTGGAATAACATTCCAAGATAAACTTAAAGTAACATTTTTATGACCTCTGTTTGGAAAAAAGTCAGCGCTTAGTGTGAAAACAATTATTAGATAGAGGCTTACTTTAGTCCATGTCCATCATCGTGAAAGTAATATTTAGTATTCATACTACGATAGTCCAAAACAGCACTTTCACCTCTTTGAATAATTTTATCCCATAGAACGACTTGATTAATGGTCTTTAAAGAGAAAAAAGTTGATAAATTTTATATGTAAACATGAGAAAACATACGTTAGCTTTTGTTTCGTACTCCGCAGTCAAATATAAAAATAGTTGCTTAACATTCCAATTGAATAAATGGGTTAAATGTACTATGTTAAGGTTATTTTAAAAAAATTTTCAACCTAGACTACCTACTAATACGCTATAACGTAAAAAGGATATCTGCTTTCAGGTCAAACGTAATAAATCCTAAGTCGCTTCTTTCTCTCCCTGCTCCAAAATCTGGCACCTTTTTGCTATAAAAAGTAAATTAACTTTAATCTCAAATATTTATTATACTTGTAATACTTACACAACAGCTTTTACCGTATTTATGCTCACTTTCGAATCATTTGTATTCAAACAAGTCGATAAGAAGCATAAAAATGTTAAGGCTGCCATTACGCTTAGAAAAAAAGCAAAAATAGTGTTTAGTCTAGACAAAAAGGTATTCATTTTTGGATTTTTATGTAGACCCAACAATAGGCCGGCGATATTAAGGAATCTTACGTGGTATTGTAAAATTCTCTTTACCAGTTTTTTGGGTATGACTAGAATGCAGTCAACCCAGAGCGATAAAACATTCTCGACAACTAAATCGTCACAAACCCTTTACTATAAATTAATTAATAAAAAAATCTCTAAATTAAAATACAATTTTGATAAATTGCCTTGTCTTGAGCCACTGCTTATCATAGAAGACGTAATATCTCAGTGGAATTGCTAAATAAATATTTTTTTTTTATAAAGATTACACAATATTTGCGTAAAAAGTTTTCTTTGGATAGATCAGTTGGCTTTGAAAACATAAATGAAATTAATCAGATATAGTAATTGTTAATTATTTATATTCTTTTGATATTTTAATTCAATTCTCTCTTATCAAAGGCAAAAACTAAAAAGTTTAAAAAGCATAAGTATGGAAAGTTTAAATATTATGTCAGAGTTCGGCATGAAAAGTATTCAAATTAGGATCAATTTTCTTATCGTCACCTTTCCATTTATAATACGCTAATATAGCAGAGTTTCTCGCACTAATTATCGACATTTCAATAGCACTGGCTAAACTTTCTATTGCATTATTATAATACAAATTATCCGCTAAAATGAAGCTGTTGGTCAGTTGCGGAGTAGAGTATTCTGGATAAGCTTTCCAGGAAATAACCTTTTTCTGTCGAATATTTTTAAACAGTTTGTTCAGCTGGTTGTCAGTTAACTCGTTGTTGGAAAATATTTTATATACAGAAAGATTTTTCATCTGTTCATTGTCACTATTGTAGTTAATTGGAGTTTGTTTTCCAATAGAATTATAAAATGACTTTATTGCAAGAATTACTTCTGGTTTTTCTTCGCCAAATTCCCAGAATGAACTATTTAACTCTGCATTTACAAAGGTTGCAACTGTTTGATGCATTTGTAATGAAGGAAACTCCATTTCAAATCCAGATGTTTGCAGCATGTCTTTCTCCAAAGGAGCTGCAATAATAACTATATCATGAGAAAATTTCTCTTTGTCCGCAACTAGTGTAAATTTGTTATTATTTCTTTTAATGGTCATAATTTTGGTATTTAAATGAACTTTTGCTTTTGATACTTGTATGAATCTTTCTACTAATCCCTTATTTCCGTTATGAATAGCCCAGAGACCTGATTGTATACCAGCCATACATACTGATCCTACGAAAGCATGAGTTTCGTCTTGACCGTAATTCGTCCTTAAAGCAGCATTAGCAAAATCCAACATATTTTTACTCATTCCTGAACTCTTTAGAAGTTCCATCAAGGTTGTGTTAAGATACTTAGAAAATTCAACGTTCATAGCAGTTAAAAGCCCATTTGGATGAGAATAGCAAAAGCTCTCTGTTTGTAAATCATAAATATTTTCGAAATCTCGCAACATTCGTGATACGAGAGATTGAATTCTTATAGAGTCCAACTTGAAAAAATACAGCATTTGCATCAACTTCAAAATTTTATCTCGATACGTGTGAAGAATAACTTCTTTGTCATTTTGAACGAGGGAAAAACTTATATCAAGGTTTGATTCTCTTTGCTTTAACCCTGAGTAGAAAATTTATATTATGGTTAGAGAAATATTCTACTAGATGTCAAAGTATAAAGTCAATTTTACCGAAAAGCTTTACAAACTGCTTTGCATAACTATTTCTTGGATGTATAATTGATCCTCCCGCCTCAAAAAAATGTCCATCTATTTCAACCGTCTTCAGGCGCCCCCCTATCGAATCAGTTGATTCATAAATGTGAATATCAGCTCTTCTTGAATAAAGTCTGCTTAACCAAAAAGCTGTACTTGCTCCTCCGATTCCTCCCCCAATGATCCCTTTAAATGCGGGCAGATTTTCTGATTATATCGCTCAAAATATTTAAGGATTTTACCTATATTAGGGAGTTTCTTCTCTTTAACTTCACTCTTCCCCAATAAGATATTAATCAATAATATTAATACGAACAAATAATGCATTTTAATTTTCTATTTGAATTAGTAAAGGTAAATTACAACAGAACTGAAACGAGTGCATTTATATTTGACCTTGACAGTGCTATTTGAATTGATAGAAAAGATTACATCAAATAAAAGTACTGAGATTTTCGAGGTTACTTTAAAATTTTAAAAGAAGATGTATTTTTTTAAAACATTTTTCATTTAATAAATTAAAATTAATAAACTTACAACTTGTGATGAAATCTTTATTTTGCAGAAATGGTATAAAAAATTATAAATAAATAAATGATATAAAGAAATAACTACATGTATTTTTATTCAATGGTTTTCGCACTTGATGCTTATATTATGAAATTGCTTTATATTTACAAGCTAACATACACCATGCAGCAATTGCTGATTCTGGATAAGTGAATACTCTAACTCTTACAGCCATTCGAACTTGGTCACCATTACAAGTTATAATCTCTTCACAAACAGGTGATCTGTAAGGAGTATATATTGAAAGCAGGAAAATAAATTTCATTAAAATACTTTAAACAAGCTGAAAAAGCCCTCTTTGCGTTATTATGAACAAATTGAATCGGATATGCTTTAAAGGTGTGTCCATCAGGAACTAAGCGTCTCACTGAATCTTGAAATTCGTCATTGCCACAGTTACCTACACCTGAATTAGAAAATTATTAATTAAAAATGTGGTTTTATTAATTTATTGATACTTGTTACCTGTTGTCCTCTCAAATTCATAAGAGGCTAATGCTGGAGTGAGAAGGTATCCCAAATGATCATCCCAAACAGTGCTTAATCCTTTATCCTAAAATATTAGAACTATCAATTTTCATTTTTCATCTAACATAAGTATACTGTACTGCTCGATAATCCGCCAAAATTATTTTTAATTCCGTTTCTAAATCATTACTGGCCGTCGCTGAATCTATAGTTGAAGATATAAGAGGTGGAATAACTGGCCACGGGGGTGATGTTGCTTGCTCTATGGATTCTTCAGACATTTTTTTCCAGCTAGATTCTTCTTCTAAGTTAAATTTACATACATCCACTCTATCCATTGACTGATTATTAGCAAAAAACTTTTTATCATTGAATAAGCAACCAATAGTTTTATAAGGATGGTTTTGCTTTCTTTCAACTTTTTCATGTGGTAAATCATCAAGCGATATGGGAGAATGCTGATACCTTAATACAGAATATTGATAGAAACAATAATAAAAAATTCTTGTTTTTAAAAATCAGTACCTTTGACCCGTTAGACTCTCCCAAAACATTACTTTTCCGTATGTGTCAATAGTTACAACCCATGTATGTGCGGACCCTTTCATCTTTGTTCCAACCGCCACGTATGCATCTAGTCCGAATCCTAAAAGTAAGCAACAGAGCAGAATAGCATGATCCTCGCAGTCCTAATTAAGAAAAATTTATATAAGAAAAGGGAATTTGGGATCAATACTTTCAAAACATTATTACTCCTTTATTTCGACAAAGGAAAGCATGAATAGAGCTCCATTGCTCTACTCTCTCACCAGCCCCAACACAGGATAATTTTTCATATCCAATTAAAGCTACAAATCGAGCTGCCTGACGAGGGGTATCTAACAAACGACTTGCTCTTAAAGGTTTAATGAATGAGCAAACTACTCGATTTACTCCGTTTTCATCTTGTGCAAATATTTTTACTAAACGCTCTCTATGTAGAGTTCGAATCTGAAAATATTCATCGGTGCAATTATTTAGGGCACACTAATCTTATTGGGATACTATACTTGCAAATACTCTTTCCACCACTGCTTAGCATAAATTAGGAATAGTCGCTCTTTTTCAGAAGCATGATTCTTTTCCAAAGAAATCTGCCCATTGAAAATATCATCATCCACAATTTGCCCTTCAGAAAAATGGGGAATAAATTCTAATTGTATATCCAGTATGCCAACGGTAACTTTATTCTCTGCCCCTAAAGAATTTATAATTAATGCCATGTATTTTGTTATTGTACAAATCTATAAATGACTTACCAACTCCAAGTAATTCTATTGACTTGACCAAACTACAGTTTGACCTAGTCAAAATGGCTCTCCATTCTAGGAAGTGAGATGATACTATAGTATTATCTCCTGTAATATCCGACTTAATTAGCACCATATGGATTTGATCAGGCATTCCGATTAGAGCTGAAGAACCCAAGGGTCTCTGATTTCCTCCTTATTTCAAAAAGAGAAATTAACATTTACAAATTTACATTTATGCTTATTTTTATACCATATCTATCTTTTCCCAATTCCAGCAAGAAACCTTCGTTAAACTCGGGTTCAACTGTGCAGGAGGTAGGTTTTGATTTAAAGCGTTGTCCTTGAAAATATATATGCAAAATAAAGAAGGATGGCACACGTCCTGAAGTTTGAACTGCTGCATCATTTTCGAGATGCTCAATGAAAGCTTTACCCCCAGTTATTTTTAAGTACAAGTATCGATGAGTAGGATCGATAGGAACTGAAAAAAAAAGAAATTATAAACAATTTATTAAAGTGAGATTTCAACAACTTTTCTTTGGTTTGGTCTGAGTATTTCTAACTTTTTGAGGTAAATAATCAATAGAAGGGTCGCCGGTTTCAATATTCAGACGATTCATGACTTCGTCTAAGACACCTTTCTCCTCTATTTTTCGCAATAAATCTTCTTCGGTCATTTCATCTATCTCAGCCTTTGTCATGCTTTCTGAGATCACGCTTTTGATATGAGATTGAATATCAACCTATAATTTTTTTGGAGATATTCCACAAGTTCTATCATGTTTATATCATGATTTATTTTATCGCTCACCTGAGACAGCTGTGTGCTAATAATCTGACGGAGTTCATTCTGTTTCTCTTGTGGAAGGGACATTGTAATAATATATTAGCTATCTCTGTTTGTTAAAAGTGATAGATATTTTTACGTTGTCCAAGAAATTAATGAAACTTTGAGGCCCGATTCGTATTCGGAATTTTTTCGGTAAAACTAGGTGTCTCTAAACACTGCAAAGGTTAGTTGTCTCGAAACAAAATATTGTTTATTAGATCGCGCCGCAGTATTGGTTTTCTATTATGGATATGAAATTAGTTGTCAAGCATTTCATGATCTTTAGATATAATATCCTCAAACTAGTTAATGAAAATTGGCAATGTCAAAACATTTAATACTAATATCTTAGAGACTGTTTTAATTCGTCAAATCACCCTCAGATGTTATGGATTAGTTAGATATTGACTTAAAATCGATCAGTATTTTTATTTCGTGTTAAATGACAATGAGAATACTTTTGATTTTTACAATTCTTCCGAGCCTTTGTCGACATGAAACAGTCATAAAAAATCGAATGCAAGAAGAAAATATTGGAAGTTTGGCAGGTGATGTCCAAAACTGGGCTACTCTAATACAAAACTACATCTTACAGGTGGGTGAAAAATGAGCATGTTCTTAACAGCAGTTAAAATGTACATTTGAATGACTATCTATGCTAAATTAACAATCATTTACTTTTTGTCCATCTCACATCAGTTAGCTGAAGAAGGTATTAGAAGAAAGTATACTCAATCATTGTTTGACACTGCCAACTACACTTTTGATGAAAAAGATGGAGCTATTTTAGTTCAAAATGTAAAAGAAACTTTGGGTGATTACTTTAGTATGAAGACGCAAGCTGCTCAGAGGCTTGCTGACAAGGCCGTAGAAGCTTATGATAAATGGTTACTAGATGAAAATAAAGTTACATATGACAATCTCCACAAAATGCCTCGAGATATATATCGCGATTCAGATATTCCAAGTACTTTGGACAAAGGAAAATACAGCGTGTTCAAATCGTAAATATTATATTTAATATCCACTAATGACATTAACTAATTTTCTTGTGAATGTACAGAAAATTTAGACAAGTTATTTTCCTAAATTATTCAACGGTTAAAATATCTGATGATGTGCCAAGAAAAGATCCCAATACAATAAAAACAGTAAACTGGACAAGGGCATTGGAAGATGTTATGATTGATAATGCTAAAAAAGATCCCCAATTAAGATGGCAATATTTTGGATCCACAGCAGGACTTGTTCGATTATACCCTGGAAGGGAATGGGATACAAATTTTGCTGGCTTTTATAATGACTATGACCCGCGGCTTAGACCCTGGTATATCGGAGCTACATCTGGTCCCAAAGATGTTGTAATTATTTTAGATTGCAGCTTGTCTATGAAAGGTGAAAAATTTTCCATTGCTCAAGCAGTGGCAAAAACTGTAATCAATACACTCACCAGACAAGATTACATAAACGTTATCTGCGCACGAGCATCTCATTGGGATGAAGTTGGAAAGTAAGTTTTATTTTGAATATGTTAATGATAATCTAATACAGCTGTTGCTTTTCCAGATGGCACGAGTTTGGTAGTCAAGTCTTAAGTTGTAGAAAAGATAGCCTTGTTCAAGCGACTACAGCTCATAGAAAAGACCTTATAGAGAAAATTTATAGATTAGAACCAGGCGGTACATCTGAAGTGGAGTCGGTTTTTTCTTATTCTTTCTTTCTAAGTAATATCAAATTAATATTGTTTTTCAGAAAAGGCTTTGAAAAAGCTTTTAAACTGTTAGCTGGATCAATTCGAACTGGCTGTCAATCTGTAATTGTGTTTGCTACTGACGGTAGAGACACAGATGGAGAACAAGTAAGATGTGGTCCTGGATATTATACTAGGAGTGGATATGTGGCTGGACCGATTTGTAAATATAATTGGACTAAAGTTTGGCAGGTTACAAATGAAAAAAACAAATTGCTAGACCCTCCGGTAAATTATTAATTACAATAAACAGTTTCATATCTAATCTTATTCTCAGGCAAGAATTTTCAGCTATCTTACGAAAGATGAGGGGGAATTATTTCCCGGAAAATTAGCTTGTGCTCACGGAGGAAGTCTAACAAAGTTAGCTAACGGAGAAAATTTGATAAATCAGATGCATAGGTATATACGCTTTGTTTCAAGGAGTGACATAGTTAATTTATGTTATTATAGCTATTTTGACTTCTTATTCCGAAATGCCAAGTCAACAATGGGATTATGGACCTCCCCTTACATAGATGCATGGAAGTTAGGCCTTATGGTTACATATTCTATTCCCTGTGTAAGCAAGGTTAATGGAAGGTCTGTAATTTTCAAAATAGTTGATCTTAAGTTTAATTGATTATGTTGAAAAGTACGATAGGAGTGGTTGGAGTTGATGCAACTCTAGAAGAAATTGAAGCTAAAATTTCCTTGCATCAATGGGGAACTGTATACTCTTTTCTCATTAATAAACAAGGAGAAGCAATCTTTCACCCTCGCTTGACACCCAGTACTAATGTGAGTATGCCTTTTAATTGTGTATTATCTGTCGAAGAACATTATTTTCATATACAGTAATATTTTCACATATTCAATACTTATATCATAACTATTTTGTAAAGCAGGTTGCAATACTTCAAAGTACGTTTTAAGGAAATATGCTTCGAGCTATTAGTTTTTAGTATATGAAGAAATTAACACATTTGATTGTAGAGCTTTAAATGCTTTTTTTTAAAAAAATAACAGCTTTTGAAAAATAAAACATCGAATACAGCCTACTAATTAATTATATATTTTATGTCAACAGCTAGTGGACGATCCTATATTTATACCCATAGAGCAGCTGGAGCAGACTCAGGGTGAACCTAGAAACTTTAGCAGAGTAGTAGAGGAAATGAAAGCTGGTAAAACAGGACAACTCACTATAAAAAATGCTAGAAGAGGAATCGGTGGAAAGGTTTTATATATATTTTCTTATTGCCATTGTTTAATAGCTCATGTATTGTTAGACTTTTATGGATGCTACATATTACTATGCTGCCCTGAATGACTCCGAATATGCTTTCGCCTTTAGTATGGCAGATACAGACAAAGTATATTGAAGTTTTAATTTTTCAAAAAGTTTCTTGAACCAAGAGAACTAATAATTCAATTTTCACTTCAGACATTTAGACGGGCTCAAACACCTGTCGATTTAGACAACTACGATAAATCATATTTCAATTTGCTAATAGAATACAACAGCTCAACAGCCAAGGAAGCTTTCCCTGGGACATATGATTATTTAGATGTTAGAGACAATGAGCAAAAAAAATATCCTGGGTTAAGGGTATCATATCTTCATTCTTCAATATTTCTCGCTCCAAAATGTCATTGTGATCCCACGGCGTATTTCTATGATGAAGACTTGGCGCAGAAAACTGTTGAAGCGCACAAATACATAAATTCTATGACAGATGACTTCGGATGCACAAATCAAAAAAGTAAATATGAGAGAGGTGTGCGAGCTGATGTTCTAATTACTCAGCCCGTCGAACGACTATGGAGAGTTAGGAATTTTGATGGAATTGATACCGTGAAATGGACATATGTTGGGATGAGAAGCGGGGTGTTTCGAACTTATCCTGGTCATCGTTCTAGAAGATTGTATGATCCATCACAGTAAGATTTTTGTTAAACTTTTGTGTTATACTGCAGAATTGTAATTCCGTGATATTTAGGCGACCATGGTTTAAACGAGCTTCTTCCACTCCTTCTAAAACATCAATATCAACCGCATACATGGACGCTGCAGGAGTTGGAAAAATCATTACTATTTCACAGGCAGTATTTGAAGGAATGCTTGTCCGGGAAGACACTTCTGAATGTGTTAAATCCAAGAAAAAGGAAGAACTATTGCCTGGAGGATGTCCGTGTGAAACTGATACTGATTGCCTCAGTGGCTTTTGTTACATCAGCGAGGCTCCAGGAATCAATAGAGACAAACCGAGATGTGCTACGGAGAGGGTGGAAGCCGTCACCAGTCTAGATATTCTTTATGAAAAGTAATACTTTTCAAACAAATTTAAGAAAATGGCTTAAACTATTATGTTACAGGTTTCATAAGATTACTTTTGAGAAAATGAAGGCAAGTGACAAGAAGAAGTCGTGTAATCAAACTTATCCATGTTCTCATAATAAGAAACAATTGTGTAAAACTAGGTATAATAATCAATTCTGTCAATATAAATCATGATATTAATATTTAATTTCAGATGTTACCTATTTGACAACGCTGCCTATTTAATAACCGACCGCGAATTTGTTAAGGCATCTCCTCTGGATACAAGCAAATACAAGGATGTAACTCTTGGAAGAAAAGAGGGAGAAGTCATGAAAGAACTTATTTACAAACACTCATTTTTCATGCGTCAAGAGAAAATAGACTTTCAGGGTAAATGTCGCATTTCGCCATATGCCCCAAAAGTGACATTATCAGGAATTCCTCAGAATCCAGAAGAACAAGACAACTATTATCAAAAGAAAGGTCCAATTCCAAAGTTTTCTAATGAATTTGGATGCATAACGGACGTTGTTGCTTATGCTGTGAATGCATCAGCTTTGGGAAGTAGTGGAATGATCGTCGGGAATGTTTCTGGTCCGTGTATGTCAGGATTTTATTACGTAGTCGCTCTGCCAAAGACCAATTTATTCTTACTGGTAATAGAGGATTGGATTCAGTATAAAAATTCCTCATTTTTTAATTTTAATTGCAAAATTGCTCAGAGGTTTGCTTGAAATTCCATTTTTCGCAAATATATAAATTCTATTTATTACAGCATTGTCAATTCAGGAGCGTACCGAATCATTAATGGGACATGCGCTCATAAAGATACAACAAAAACAACCTTAGCCGAGCAAGGCAAATGTCCAGTTTTAAGGAATATTGATATTGAATGTAAATTTAATAAGTCTGATAGACTAATGTTAACATGGTCATATATTTTCTCATTGTTACCATGTCTCTGGAGTAATGTTGAGAGTATTGTTAGATTTTTTAGATAATTATTGATTTAAGTGATTTACGTTTACTAAATATTTCTTGTATACTGATATAGGAATATGCTCGTTTTGTTATGTGCTGTTAATATGTGTGTCTTTGTAGAAATTTTCGTTATTTTGAATAATTTCCAAGAAAGCAGATAACCCAGATTTTTGTTTTCGAGAAAAATAAATCTATTAAATACATACATAATTGCATGCCCTAATCTCTTGGGATACCTAGCTTCCATTTCAAGTTCTCGAAATTTATTCTAATTATCAATCTTTAACAATCTAACATTTCAAAAATCTTTGACTTTATTTCATAATTATTTAAAGTTCTGATATTTTAAGCTTTACCAGCCTTTTCCATAGCTTTTAACATAGTCGTACCCATTTGAGCGGGGCTCATTGTAACATCAACGCTAGCATCTTTAAGAGCTTGTATTTTTTCTTCAGCTCCACCCTTACCTCCTGCAATTATAGCTCCAGCATGACCCATTCTACGACCTGGTGGAGCTGTTAAACCGGCGATAAAGGAAACAACTGGTTTTCTGTCTGGTCCCTGGAAAGAAAAGTTCAATGTTAGCGTATGTGTGAAATTCGCTCTGACAACTAACAGAATTATGCTCTGCCAGATACTCTGCAGCTCTCTCTTCAGCCTGCCCACCAATTTCACCAATAAGAACAATACCCTCAGTGTCTGGATCTTTCAAGAACACTTCCAAGCAGTCGATAAAGTTGGTTCCATTAAATGGATCTCCACCGATTCCAACACATAAAGTCTGACCCAAACCAACTTGGGTTGTTTGATGAACAGCTTCGTACGTTAAAGTACCAGATCTGGATACAATACCGATTTTTCCGGGCTTATGTATATGACCAGGCATAATGCCAATCTTACATTGTCCTGGACGAATTATTCCTGGGCAATTCGGACCGATAAGTCTGAAACAATAAAAATTTGTACAAAACTAAAGTTTACATTCTCACTATTCAAACCTGCTCTTAGTTTGGTTGAGTAGTTTTCTCTTTACTTTAACCATGTCCAATTGAGGGATACCCTCAGTGATAACCACAATCAATGGAACCTCAGCATCCAAAGCTTCAATAATAGCTTTAGCCGCAAATTGAGGCGGAACGTATATTACAGTAGCATCGCAATTGGTTGCATCTCTTGCTTCCTGTACTGAATTAAATACTGGAAGTCCCAAATTTGTCTGTCCACCTTTTCCAGGCGACACTCCACCAACCATTTTCGTTCCATATTCAATGGCCTGTTGACTATGAAACGTGCCTTGGCGTCCGGTGAAACCTTGGCAAATGACTTTCGTATCTTTGTTAATTGAAAGTTGTGGGCGAGTTTGAGTGTAACAAGTTCTAGCGAAGATTTGGCGGACTGAAATGTTGAATAAAATCTTAACTTTATTGTTAAATTTTTAGTAAAAGTTCGTGAATATATCTTGTTTTAATATTATATAACTAACAACACAGCGAATAGCAAATCAGATATTTTTTCATTAACTATGAAAAAAAGCAAAGGCGCTCGTATAAGTTACGATTAACAAGGTAATTGAAAATTTTCCAAAAACTTGAGTGCCGAAAGTCAAGGGCATGACGGACAAATCATGTAAACATCTAATACGTTATAATATTGATACAACAGTTGTGAAAGAGTTTACCAAATATTCAAAATTATATTATCTGTCTGAAATTACAATAGAAAGCAAAATCGTGCCACGAAAGATATAATAAATGTTATATTTTACCAGGTAATCTTGCGAAAATTCTACTAGAGGCCGCCATTTTGAAACTCCAACAACGAAATGGCCATTGCACTCTGATACGTTGAAAAAAACAACAAGTTTCGTATATATTAAATTTTTTATGGTAAATTAGTAAAAAAATAAATATAGTTTATCTATGCTTTTTAATGTCTTAATATGTAATAATTACGAAAACTTCAATATGGTGAAAAGCCAGTTTGGAACCTGAAATGTTATGTTTTTCAGCTTAAAGTTAAGAGATCGGTGATTTTTTGCAAGGTGTTTCTCTGAAATAATAAAGAAAAGAATGGAACCTTCAGGTAAGATCTAGTTTACGTTAAGCCTGCTTTTTTTACTTCTTACACAATACAGGACGACCTCCCGATGTAAACAAGAAACCCAACTTTCTGAATTTTGACAATTTAAAGGCGATCAGAATACCGAAAACACGACATGAGAAAGGCAAAGGTTACATAACCATGTTTTTAGATAAATTTCTATTAAAAGATATTCGAAGCAGTTTGAATTATGAAAATATGCAATTACTTTATAGGATTCAGAGTTTTATTCTCTTTGACTTTAATTATGAACGGTTAAATTTAACTGAGCTAATATTAAAAATGTTTTATAACTTTTTTAGGCTCCTCTGTTCTGGAAAAAGTAGACTTAAACTCGTTTATGTTTTCTAACGAATTACTTAAGATTATCGAAAAAAGCTTCCTGCGTTTTGAATCAAAGAGAAATTTTGAATATAAAGGCGCACAATTCGTCAATAACCGTGTCAAAATGAACATGGTAAGTAGTATATTATTTTTTGTTTTCAAACGGTTCATATTTAATGTTAAGAAATATGCCAATTAGTATTTTTTGTTTTAGTTCAACAATCGGCGAAAGGAGTTGAAGGCATCTGGATATAGTGAGAGGGAACTCAAAGAAGAATATGGTTTTATGATATTACATCCTAATAATCCTGAAAAAGTTTGAAAAAAATCTTATTTGAAAATTTTACATATATTTTTTCCCTCAGTTCAACGAGTTAAGTGTCCACGGTGTTAAAGTAGGGAACAACAAGAAAAATATTTTGGGCTCATCTTCTAAAGGCGTTTTACTTAGTCGTCATGCTGATCTAGTTGCAAGTCATCATTTAGAACCTGGAGACGTTTTTGATTTGTTTATATTTAAATATATCAGGGTAACATTAAAATTTTTAAGTACAATTGATATGACAAGTTGGATTAACATTTTAGGGGCGCATGAAAGCTATTGATCCATCCGAAAACGAAATTGATCCTACCTTCAATTTTGATGCCCATATTATGAAGGGAGGAGAAACTATAAAGCAAAAATTAAATCATTTGTCAATATCTCAAGCATTCGGTTATGCACAGGTTAAAGCAGATCAATATAATTTTCTTTATTTGTTTAAGAATACTCTTTATTAAACTATTTCATACTTTTGTAAAAATAGCTATTTACAAAATGTAAGAAAATACTAAGTTTGAAAATTTCCGACAGATTTTTCTGTATGAGTATGATGAGACAGCTGAAATTGTTGAAAGCCCTAGACATGTTTGTCCTCATGCTATTGTATCGGTAAAATTACAAAACAGATACCGAATGTTCAAAGATGTAAAAATTACGCGTCGATCAGTTGATCTGGCAGATTCTTCTATAAAAATGTAATTGTTAAAACTTTAAAATTAGTTCAATTTATAAGAAATATTTAAGCCATTTAAACGTTAATTTCAGTCAACGCTATTCCGTCCCTCCTAAACATCAACTCAGCTACAATTTACATCTGCCTTCTACGTCGTCAACTTTAAGCTCAGGAAAAAACGAAGCCGCTCCTGCTAATCAATCTCATCCCAATGTACTTAAAACTAAAGATATAAGTAAAAAATGTCCGTCTTATAATAAAAGATTGTTTTTGTAGCCTCCCACTGCCAAGTCAAGTGAAAATCGCATTGTTTGGAAGGGACATTTGTCCACAAACAAGAACCGGATTTTGTGTGAATGTATTCTAGTCTCTAACAATTCTTTACTTGTGTCTATTGAATTGTAAGTCATTATTTATTGTGGAGGCAAAATGAAAGATAAAACTTTTTCAGGCCGAAAGTCATTTACTTGCAAAACCGCATTGGACTTCATGATGTGGAAGACAAACATTTTAGTGGTGTGACAGCCATCAGTTTCAAAAAGGAATCACTAAATTCTCAAAACGGTTATATTAACGCATTTAAGCTAAAACAAGCTGACGGGTGCAGCAAAACTCTGAATGGAATTTCAAACTATTTTGCAAACACTCACTCTGCTGGCTTAGCAGACTTACCCAATGGATACCGGATTCTGGTTTTCCCACTCTGCGAGTTAACTGAAAAGTTAGGTGAGATATATTTATCTCTATTGTTTAAAAGAAGTTGAAATTATTATAAAAATATTTCATTTTCGTGAGATATGCATTTAATTAGATTCACTTCACTAGGTCTCCCCAAGGAAAACACATCAGCAGATGTGTTTGTAATAATTTTATCGCGTACAAGTCTTCAGCTCCCTCAGAAAGCCTCCATCTTTACCGCTCCGAAGGTGGGGGCGAGAACCAAGGAGCAAGGCATTCCTGGAAAAATAAGCGAACAGCAAAAGGTAACTTTTTAATGATATATGTATTTCTAACTATCATTTTAAATTCCGGAAGTGTAATTTCCCCACTTCCTCTTACTTTTTAATATCTAAAATTTCTTGAAAATTTATAAAATAGTCTTATCTTTTTTATAAAATTAACCTCGTTAAATTTTATTCCTACAAACTAAAAAACATTTATAATAAAAATTATACTAGAAATCTTTTAGAAAAGTGTTTTCGTAAAATGTGTACCCTACGCAACTACAGCTGGATGTTAGTACCGCATTGAGTATATGAGAATTATTTGCCCTCAATCAAGGTTATAAATTTATATGAAAGATGATACAACTAGTTATCGATAAATACGTAGTTTAACTTCTGATAATCAAAAGTTTGAAATTAGAGCAAAAACAGATATTTCCAAACTTTATTAATAAAAAATTTAGGCATTTTCATGCTACTTAGTTTTATTGTAAGTCTTTGTAAGATCGTTTACTATACCATAATCTCAAATAAGCGAAATTAAATGAAGACTGTTGGTAGTATGCATGTTAATAGTCTATTCTTCAGTTTAGATTTTTTGCTGGAAAAGAAATGACTACAGGAGATAATATCAGTCCGGAATGCTAATATAGTGCTTAACTATTATAGTGTTTAACAAATTTCCAACATGTTAGCTGATTTCTGTATCGTTTTTTTATATTCTAAAGGTATTGATGAGTCGGAAACACACAAAAAGTTGTACAGACCCAGGCGAGATTCACCAAGGGAACGTTACGAATTGGGTTTCAACGAATGTTCAAAAAGTAGCAGGCGAACCTACCGGAAGGATGAGTATAATAACCAATACAGAGTGTATCGGTCCCGCAAGAGAAAGAAACGATCAAGATCGCGATCGCTGCCATATAACAGACCACGTGAAAAAGTCGAACAGAAAGGGCTCTCATGGAGGAGAGCGAAATCGCAAGCATCACCCAGAAAAGAGGAAATATTCGACAAGTATCCAGCATCAAAAGACTATAAAAGAGAACATTGGTCAAATAGACAATGAGATACCCTCAAAACAAAAAAAAAGAAATGGCGATAGCAAAGAGTCTCGAACTGAGTTAAACAATTTATCCAAAAAGTCTATTGAGTCTATAACACCTGATGAAAGTTCATCAAAATTAAACAACTTTCGTGCTATTAATAAAATACTGACATATCAATACTATATGGATGATTTTCCTAGTGAGTATATTTCAGGAGAATAATCAATAACTATATGTAAAACTGTTTCAAGGTCCCAGCAAAAGTATACTGAGATCGAGAAAAACTTTTTCTTGCCCTTTTGATTATTATTTTGCTCTGAAGAAGAAGTTTGTGAGTGATATACAAAACTACCTGACCTCGCATCCTTCAATTCAGGGAACTCCTTCAAGCACTTCTTCTTTGACATTTACTGATTCATCTAGTGTCAGCAATAAAAATGGAAGCTCGGAAAGTGTTGATAAAAAATCAGAAACGAAGGCCTCAAAAGGTCAGGAGAATAAGCACAGCTCAAAGAAAAGTAATAGGCCTAAAGACGAAAGAGTTAAATCGGTGGAAGCAATACCGTCCAAGTCAATCAGTCAAACAAGACGGGTTGAGTTGAAAAGCAACGGGAAAAAATTCATCAATCCAAACTATGATGAGTTTTCTGATTCAGCTCCCATTAAGTCTTATGCTTTTGTATCTTACGATTATGATAAAACTTCATATAAGTCCAATTGGATTATTGGTAGGAATAGTTTCTTTATTTGTAAATTAAACCTTTTATCTTCTATGAACTTCATGTGAAAATCATATTTATCATTACAGGAGAAGAGGGCGAACTAGAAAGACCAATTGAAGATATTAATTGCATGAAAAATTTGATGGATTTTACTGTTACTATACAAGGTTTAAGTGATGGAAATAGGAAAAAATTAGAGAAAAGTGGAACTGGCAGAATAGCCATGACTTATTTGGTCTTGCATGGGCAATTATCCACCCATGATGAAACCAAACATGAAGAAACACTAATAGAGAGTTTATGGCTGGAAGGTTTACATAGCTTCATCCCTAAGTCTATTAGAGAGATAAGTGACAGAAGAGATAGTAAAGAAGACAACAGTATTTTCCACGTGAGACAGCTGATGGTTAGTTTAGGACTTTATATTGCATACTATTTTTAACTCAATATATTCACAGAAAAACAACAATGGAGTCTCTGAAATAATACAAAGTTTTAAGAGGGCTAACAATGCTCCGTAAGTAGTGCTGTCTATTTTTCAAATTTTGAATACAGCACTTTTTTATGAACTAGGAACGATCGAGTAGCTGCTATGACATTTCTTCGATCATCTTATAAGAAATATGAGAGTCCATTGTGAGTATTCACTTAATCCATAAATATATATACATTTATATATATATGTACTAATATATATACTGTATAATAACTGAATAAATTCTTTTCAGAGAGGTTGAAGATGAAGCTACCGTAAGTTAACTTTTTGCGTTTTCTATTTCCTTCATCTGGTAAAACATGTACAGAATCTTATTAATATAATTATGTTTTTACCAGTTTAGATTTTTACATAAGATTAATATTTTTCCTCATAATTTATTCCATGCATATACATTATAGTATACTGCTGAATTGGATTCTTCTTGCTATAGTAAAGGTATAAAAGGGATTGCACAGTAAACTTACCCAGTTGATTTACAAACGTCAAGTGATTCTCTCCTGATGTGTGCTTGATGGCAGCTCATTTTATTTATTATTGTGTACAATCTTTAAAAACTATTAATCAGTGTAAGACTGTTACATCAAGCTAGGTTTCGATATCATTCTGTGGCACTCTTTATTGTTACTTCTCGAGGCTTTATATCTTGTGACTCTTGTTTTTTGAGATTTTCAACTTGAGCCATTTTCTTTGAAAGTTATAAATTTTTTTATTTCAGAACTGCGTCAAAAGCAAATCGAGATACTAAAACAAAGAGATAATAGCGTTATCACGTGAGTAAAAGAGCTGTTGCTGAAGTACAAGAACTCTGTGATTCTCTAAATTGTTTTGTTTATTTATGTTTACCGACTTTCCCATTCCTGTTTTCTTGGTGGTTCATGTATAAAAGTTTTACAGTAGCAATAGAAAAAAGTTTGATTATTCATAGTTTCACTCTTTTTGTTATATCCATTTGTATTTCCACCTTTTCTATCAAAATCAGTTATCACCTATAAAGTGAATAGTAGCACTACTATTAGGAATTTGCACATATCCTTGTATTCATATTTTTTTTGTATTGCTAAAAACTGGCACATAATTTTTGTAGGGATTTTCCCGAGGACCAAGGTTGGCCGTTAACTTTGTACAAAATTGATTTCTCTGAAGAAGCCAATGGTATGTACATAATACGTGACATCTTGCACGAGAAAATCCGTAAAACAATAAACTTTAGTTTCCTGGTATTATTCTTGACATTAGTCCAAAAGAAAAAAGAAGCGACTTATTAGTAATTGATCACCAAGATGTCAGTATGCTAGCCAGATGGACTATTTCTTCAAATATTTTTCAAACAAATATACTAGAGAAAAACAAATAAATACCATTTTTTATCATACAAACAGAACTAGTAGTAGCAGAGAAATGTGATTCAAAGTTTCCCAATCAACGAATTTTCATAAAACATTTCGAATCTTCCTAAACTTCCCAAATCATTTAGCGGTTTTATATTTCTTGAATAGGCAGCCCAAAAAATTTAGGAGATTATACGTTGTTCGATTTTACTATAATTACAACACTACGCCTTAGGATAGGCAATTAATATCGGGAATATATATCCTTTATAGGTGAAAAAGCTGAAGAGAACTGGTACGAAGAGGAATATAGTGTTGGGAATTTGTTTGTAAATATAGACAACAATTCCGAATATTTCTTCAACTTTATCAATTTTAACATTGATTCTATATCAGAAATTAGTTCAACAGATCGTGTGCGGTAAGTTAATTTCTGAATAATTCAGTAGGAAAATGCAAAAAGAAAAATAGTACAAAATTTTCTATACCAGTTTTGTCCTGGGCAAAACAAAAATCATACTTTTGTAAAAGATTAGGATCTGGTGAAATTAAGATATATTAACGAATTCTTGAGGTATTACTTATACTATATTGAATTTTAAATATACGTTGTAAGAATTCAATCATATATCTGAAAAACACTTTCTATTTTAATCTGAAATTTCTACTTTCGTTTTATGTCTTTCAATACTAGTATATTTATATAACAGACTGTGGATAGATCAAGGACAACACGGATCTTGCTATCTCTCTTCACAGAATAATTCGCAATCAATTAAATTAATAGATACGGATCGATACGGAAGGAAGAAATGGAGCAATTGTAATAATTATAAATTGAGTTCAAGAACACTTCAGTTGTCTCAGGTCCACACTTGGATAGATAACTTTCTTGAAACAGAAATAGAAGCCTTACAAAGAAATATGAAAGCTTTAGGCTTGGGATTAAAAGCTGAGGAGAGACTGGAGCATTTACATGCACTTAGTGAACAGACTGTCTTAGGTTCCACATCCGATAATACAAAAATAAAGGAAGTTTTTACTCAATTTCGTCTTGACTGGTTAAGAAAGGATCCACTAGATAAAGTTATAAGAGAAAAAAGTAACTGTTTCAAACCCAATAAATCTATACCCATGAGGTAAGAATCAAGTTAAAATACTATAAATTCTATCATTGCGTATTTTCACAGATTCACTGTTCAGAGTATTGTTCGGGATGAAATTCAAATTTTTGACGTAGAAACGCAGAAAATTTTACATGCTATACCTTCAATAAACAAGTTAAAAGACCCCACTTCAGCCAACCAACATAAGACGGTACAGCAATATTTAAAAAAGATAGCTAAGGCTGTTAATTGTAGAAAAAGAGGGTCATCAGATGAAAGCACATCAACTTCCATTTCGTCAAAAGCCCAAAAGTTAGATTTGCAATCCGTATCTGAAAAGTTTTCAAATAATAAAGCTAACGGCTATAAATCAGTCGATAGCTTCAACTTATCGGTAGCAACTTTAGAAAAATCCATTAAAAATTTTATATCAAATTTGAGGTTGGACAATGACTTAAAGCTTCAAAGACCCCTAAAAGTTCGAAGAAAGACTAAAAACATCAAGTATTTTGAAGAGAAAATAAATGAAGATATATCAGTCATATTTAAAGATGTAGCTAATAGTAGTGAGAAACTATTAAATTCATTTTCACAACATAGCGTCAAGGTCTTACTTGTGAAGCGACTTGAAAATGATATGTTAATATTAGCGGTTAAGAATCAGGATGCTTTTGTAAAAAGAGCTGAGAAAATACTACAGCTTGAGAACAATACTTTTTTAAAATCTCTTTTGTTTGCTATAAGAGATAAGCGGGAAACAAGCGAAATGTTGGATATGCAATTAAATCAGACATCGCTAGACATTATTGCAGAAAAAGGGTTTATTGAGATTCTAGATAGTCTTCAAGTAGAGTTTGATAAGATAGGAGGTACCAATGATTCGGAACTTCGAACCAGATTTTCGAATAAAAATTTCACATTAAGACTATCAGAAAATGCTAATTATGTGATGAAGCAAAGGGATTATTTAGCAGCCATTGAAAAAGATAATCATTTTAGGAGAGGGAATGGCGAATTCGAAATTAGGGGCTCAGTGGATGAGAGTAATGAGCTTCGAAAGAAAAATTGTTTTACAATTGAAAATAACACAGAGAGGACTGTTGTATTGGCAAAAAAAGAAGTTATAAGGGAGGATGGAGAAATAACTTCTGAAGACGGTAAGATTTAGCTGTCGTTTGACTTTAAAACTCCCCCAAAGCACTCTTTAAGAAATTTCTCCTACTTTCTAACATTATAATACAGAAAAGGATTGAGGAGGAAGAGGATGGAATTATACTATGCTAGCCACATCATAACCTAGCAAAACATCAAAGTGATCAAACAAGAATTTAGGAGGTGGAAAGTATGCCAAATTTGCCTTGTTGTAGTCTAAGTGTTTGTTCTGTATAATTTCTTGGTATAAATTTATTGTGATTATGACCGCTTATCCTCTCTATAAATGTGAATTATGCTATAATGTAGTTCTAATTTGTTTGCTAGTATTGTTGTTTATTTCGGATACTATTTCACAATTTAAAATTCCAATTAAATCTTCATTCATTCCAAGATGATCTGTCAATGAACACGTGACGGAGTATTTATAATTAACATTTGAAAATATGCAAATTGTCTACAATAAGACAAATTCAATATTTCGTTGTTAGAGTTGTTATTTTGATATTGTCGCACTCTTTTTTACAACCGAATTATAATAAATATAAGAAGGTCTCAAACTGAAATAAAGATTTTGATCACTGCTGTGTAGGGTAATAAATGATTTCGCTAATCTGAGTTCATTGATCAGAAACATCACTATCTAGAGAACTATGTCTGGATAAAGATGATCCTGTATGAGAATCTTTTGAATGTGTTGACGTTTCAGTGGTCCATTCCTGAGAAGTCTTTTCGCTATCTTGTGAAAACTCCTTTATTTCATAGGAGATTAGGGAAATACTGCCAGCCATGGATAGCCTGTTGGGTCTTATTCTGCGCCGCATTGCTGCTTAATATAAGTAGTAAGTGCTTTCAGAATCATAAGCGTGAATAACTTACAACTTGAATTATAAAATTCATCTCCACGACTGTTGCTAGTATCAGCATCTCGACTTTTACTACTACCAAGAGGAGATCTTGTTATATCAGCCGGTTGTCGTAATATTCCTTTTTGAGGAGGCTGTGCTACGATGCCAGCACTTTTAACGAGACTTTGTTCCATCTTTTTCGATATAGACTGAGGAAGTGAGTCTATAACTGTTTGTGAACACAGACAAGCAACAAAAGGTGTCCAGAATGCTTGCCAATATAGGGCTATCAAGGTAGCCCAACATGGTGAAAAATTATCCCTTTCTGGGAGGGTGAGAGCAGTTGTTGATATTAATACTATTAGACTTGCGGTAACTTGTACAACAGTAATGCAAATGAAGCGTATTCTCATTTTGCTATCTGCCACAGCGGCAGTATCAGTAGTGATGCTAACTACGTGAATTGATCTATGAAGCAGATAAGTTAGACACTTGTGCTAATCAAATGTGGAGAAATTCAAATTCTACCTTGAAAATAAATACGTAAATCTTACCCCAAGTACCGTAAATAAAATACCTATTATGACTATTGAATAAACAGCTGCTATCTCATATTTGTTACGAGAAATTAACGACCAGCATAAAGCATCACTTCCATAGGCAGGTAGTTCTGTACCCGACTGTCCATTTATTGGCATAAAAGATATTATAGCTGCGAAAAGCCTAGCTACATGCAGCTGGGATGATAAAACAGAACCTTCTTTGCCTCTCTTTAAACCGTTATAAATGTATCTAGCGAAAGTGAAATACGAAAAGCTATAACAAATCCATGAGAAAGATAAAATCCAACCAATGAATAAACATTGGGTGGAGTATGACCATAGCAGTGCATTCTCATTAAAAATTCCTCTAGTAATTTGATGTTGGCAAAAAATAAATAGAGCATGCAATCCTACTAATATTCCTACAAAGAAAAAATTGCTGATTAGTAAATAACAGTAGATGAGTGCTATTGGTACCATAGAGTCCTAAGCATGTTTGGAGTTGTTTAGCAACAGTATTGTGAACATTTTTCTGAGTAAAAATTATCATTCCCAAATTAGCCGACAATATCCAGAGTGCAGATAATATTAACATTGAAGGTAGACCATTTCCTCCCAAGAGTTGATCAAAAGAGGACACTCCGTCACTCTTCTGACCGGATTCAATGTGACAATCTTGAGAATAAGGGAAAAATCTGCATTGAATTAACAATTGTACCCTAACTCTTCTTATAGATCTTACAGCTGAATTTGGCGAAAGATAACTTGAATAAAATCCTTTCCAAGCCTCAATACGATCCGTCAATTGAGTGAGTCTTGTATTGTAAAGATAAAAAGTGAGAAGATTTTCAGGGGGAGCAATAATAAATATGTCAAAATTTACAATAGGGTTATCGTTCAGCCGTATCTCCCTCAAGTTTGCAGTTAATTCAAAGAGATCAGTATGCAGATTTTCTAATTGATTATAACTCAAATCTATGAATTGTAATTGATGTAGAAAGGAGAACGCAAATTTATGAATGAACTTTATTCTATTATTCTTAAAGGTTACTTTTTTAACATTAAATTCATACATTTCAGTTTTACATTAACTTATATTACTCAATAAGTAACCTTTAAACATAGGCTTGTTACTCTCGTCATTTTTGATAATAGCCATTCGCTAACTATTTGCAGTTGATTTGCCGAGAAGTCAACTTCTAGTACCTCTGAAATGTTGTTATTTAATTCAATGATACTTGAGGATGAAGGATTCCATGTTGTATTTCTAATGATAAGCATTTGTAGTTCAGTCATTTCACCAAAAGCTGTATCATCAAATTGAAAATCATCATAGAAAATGTTGGAGATATTTAGAATTCGAAGATTTTTTAAGGGTTGTAAAGTATCGTGAGAAATATACTTAAGAGGAGTATTTGATATATTTAATATTTGTAATAAACCCTGATTGTCAAAAGCTTTTCGTGATATTGTCATCAAATTACCATCACTAAGATCCAACCACCTTAAGTTACTAAAAGATGAAAAATTACAATTATAATTACAAGTTTCATTATCACTTTAGACTCACATAAGTTTTCTGAAAGTAAAATCATTGACATCTTTCATATTTACTCTTAAATCCGTTATCAATTCAAGAGTTTCTATTTTTAAATCTTTTAAAATTATTGATACATCTGTTTTTGCCACAGAGCATATAAATTGATAATTGGAGCATCGACACAGGTCAATGTCTTCTAAATCAACCAACTTACAAGTTCTACATATAAAAAATTATTACAGAATGTTTAGGGAAAAAACTTGTTTAAACCCCGTAGATCTGCTATCGAATTCAAACTCTGACTCTTTAGTAAATGCTAATGTTAAAAGCTGCTTTTCGTTGGGTCCAAAGACATTTTCATTTGTTGGTAAACAAAATCTATCGGGATAGTCTTGATCCCTACTTTCATCGTAGCTGCCTTCGCAATCTCCTCTACCATCACACCATTTGTAATGAGGAACGCAGCGTGCCTCTTTTGATAACCCTCCAAGTCGGGGACATTGATACTCTCCAACAGAGCAAATGACCGCCGCTGTTACTGAGAATCTAAAATTGTCTCCTATACGTCAATTCCTTTTCGCTATAGTAAAAAACTTACTGAATAATAATTAATGAAACTAGTAAACACTTCATAGTTAGAATTTTAAAAGAATCATTACGTCATATCACAACTACATAAGATTTATTATGAAGGAAATTTTAACGTTCAAAAGAGTAAGAAAAATCGTTTAGAGTATAGTTTAAAAGATAAAACATTCAGCCATCCCATTCGCAGTCGCTCTCATCAAAGACGAGTTCTGGGTGAACATTTCCTTCTAATTTAGGGGACAGTTGAATTATAGAGTCATTTGTGTCATTTGCGCTATCAGTTTCAGATTTTCTTGGAGTTGGATCTGGTATTTCTATACTAAGTGCAATACTTTCATAACCTTTTCTCATAAAGAATTCCTGTAGAAAAACAGTTTAAAAATCCACATGCATATGCAAAATAAAATTTACCTTAAGCATTTGTCTTTCACCCAAGTCCACATTAAATGCGTCTGGATAAAATCTGGAATGTAATTTGCAAAGTCTAATAACATCCTCAATTCTTCCTTGTTGTACGCCAAATATCATGAAATCAATCAATCGATCTTTCTTGGATAAAAATAGAGCAAATTCGTTCATATACTCTGTTCCAACAAGTTCATGGTACTTTTTTAACCTGTCTACATAATCAAAAACTATTTCTTTCATTTCATTCGCGTCAAACATGGTCCACTTTTTGCTGCAAACACTATCAGCTTTTATGTAATTTTGTATAATTTCTGGGGCAGATAGATCTGCCATTGCATCATCTACATATTCTCTCCTTCTATCCTCTTCACACGCGAACTTGCTGCAATACACTGCGCACCAATTTAGTTTCAAACTTTTTAGTACTTGCATAACTTTTTTAACGGCTTTGTCAGTGAACTGTAGGCAAGTGCTGCAGAAAACTTCCAGAGAAATCATACATTTCTCTAATTGTCTATCATCTAATGGATAACCTGCTGTTGTCAATGGTGATAAAAGAATGTTTCTGATATCGTCAGATTGTATAAAGTTAGATAATCTAGGTATATTGTTAAGTCTGGTTACTATACCATGCAGATGTTCGTGCATGCCAAATTTGCATAGTCTTTCAATAATGAAATTCCATAGAGAATGTTGATATATGTTAAAATGGAAGCAGAATTCAGCAGCAAACGTTACCGCATTGGCGTCATTTGCATGGTTTCGAACGATACCTATAGCCAAAGATTCTTTGTCACTTCTATTAAAAGATTCTTCAGTATGAGGAATATTGAAATGCTCTAAGCACTGAAGATAATAAAGTGTGTTCATGCGTTTCCGAATGACATCTTCAGTTAAACCGCTACGAGTTTCCAATGATTTACGCCCTATTAATACATATAAACAATCAATAGCACGCACTTTTTGTCTGTGTTTGTATGAGTTGTCCTTAAATGCAATTGCCAAAAGATGCTCTATATTTTCGTGGAGATTTTCGTCATTTAACAAGAAAGCAATTCTTGTTGTTGATAGACATTCAAAGGGAGCTTGTATTCCATCACCTGAAGAGTCAGCTCCTTTCTCTGACAACCATTTAGAAAGCAATTTCAATTTTAACTTTTTTAGGTCGACTTTGTGAATTTCCGAAATTCTTTTTGCAGCTTCGTGAATCATCTTCAACATCACATTAGATTTGTCAGAAATTACAGTAACTGATGGATGTTCATACAATTTTAACAATAAATTAAGTGGTTGCAAGTTCTTCGATTCACCCTCTGTTAAGTTTCCTAATTGATGCTCGTAAAGAGCTTGAAGGGTGGCATAGTACCTCCATAAATTAATATATTCTTTGCGCATATCATTCACGTCGTTTTCAAGATCTTTATTCGTTCCCTCCTTAAGTCTAAGTTTCCATACTTCCGCTAATTTTAGGGCTATCTCAAGAACAATAACCCTGTCATATCCGTTTTGCAACTGTTTGCAGATCCAGTTTAGCGATCCAGAGGACTTTTTAAAATCTTTAATTTGCATAATAATATTTTCAAGATTATTGAAAAACTCATCGTCAATCATTCTATCACCTTCCCATAATGACTTCACTTTGGTTTTTTTAGTTGCTTTAATTTTGTTCAGCTCATTAGTAATTGCTCTGAGCATTAATACATCCTCTTCAACTGCAATAAGTTTGGCTGTTTTCATCCACAATTCAAGGGTATTAAAATTAACCTCTTTGACTATGATTGATTTCTTTCTCTCACTGCTTAAAAATGCATGGAATGGCAATTTTGTACTATTATTTAAAGGTAAACTGCTCTCTAATATGCCCATATCCATTCCCAAATCTTCAACATCATGGGGTGAACTTATTCTTTCATATCTAGACAAGTAATCTAACAACAATAAATGTTTTTCTGTAGATTCACTCTTTTTCAACTTGTTCATAAGCTTAAGAGCATATATTAACTTTCCGTAATCATAGGAATCCATTTTTTTAAAGATAGCTTTCACACGTTCATATAATTCCTCCTTTGGAACATGACTTAAAACATGATCAATAATATGATGAACGTCATCCAAAGCTTCCAAAGAACCATCAATTAACAAATGTTCTACATAACTAAATAATGCTGCTTTCAGATTGAGCTGAAAAGCTCGACAATAATCTGTTATTAAATTTATATCTGTTTGCTTATGCTCAATTATAGGTTTCAAAAGTGTTCTCTTAGCATCATTATTCTCATAGAATACTTCTTTGAAGTTAACATTCATAGCCTCTAATCTAAGACCCCAATTAGCATTCTTCTCTAGCAAATTAGCTTGAGCAAGATGAGTTCCTTTTTCCGAATCAGTAAACTTTAGATAATTTTTTACAACTAGACAAGTCTGGAGTATTTTTTTGAAATTTATACCACAGCCTTCAATGAACTGTTTAATAACAGTTTTTACTGTTGAATCTGACAAGTGTTTAAGTAGACAGACAGCTGATATCAAGTCAACAGGTTCATTATTCATAACCTATATATAGCAGCTTCGTAATTATAAAATAACTAATAGTTAATATGTTAACTAACCTTCGAAAACAAAGCCATAGCTGTTTTTTTCATAAAAGTTTCCAATTCAGATACATCTCGAGCTGACGATCCTGCAAAATTACTTCTGCTCCTTGATATATGTAGTCCGAAGGAAAATATCAGCCAAAAATGCTTGCTTTCTATCAGTAAATCTAATATTTTATTTGCTACTGGAATTGCAACTTCGAAATCTGAAATTTAAATGAGTCACTACGAAGAAATAAATTTAATCTTAAATAAAAACCTGCATGATAAAAAGCATTGAGATATTCATATAACAGCGGCATTACAGACTCGAAATCAAGAACACATGATGGTAGGATATGAAGATGATCGAAATATGTCTCAGGATTAAAAGTCTTCAGAATAGAAATACCGTTAAAATTTTGAATGTGTCTTAAAAGAAAACTTACCAAACTTGAATTTAAATTCTCAATACTCATACAATAGCTACTGATGAGGCTTGCTAAAGTTAGAGGTTCATTGATTTTCGATACTTCACTTAACATAAATTGATTGCATTGACAAGCGAGGGTAGATACTGTTTTTTGGAGTTTATCTAACAAATCTGGACACTCACTGACTAAACTTTCATGATCGCAAACATAGGTAATGATTATCTTGGGCAGAGGGACTAAAGAATCTGCCACAAATGGATTTTTTTCATATTCCAGTATTCTATTACACAAATTAACAGCTTCATTGATATTTCCAGTTCTAACACACATCTCTACAATTTGGGCATGAACTTTATTTTGATTTCTCAAACCTAAGGCATCTGCAAATCTGAATATGTACATTAGCACAATGTCTAACAAGAAGAAAACGAAATTACCTCTTAACTTTATGCCATGATAGATCAGAACAGTCTTTGCTAGTTATATTTTCAACGTACATTTCGAGAAAATTTAGTCTTTTGTTTTCAAACATTATATCATTCATTTCCGGATTTTCATCAAAATTTTTCTGGTAAGAAAATGTAAAAATTTCACAATATTAAAATATATAAATTGACATACTTGAATTGCTATCGATGAATTAAATTGCTCTAGATAATCTTCAAAGTGCATTCTATCCGCATTTTCTGTACATTAGTGAAATATTACTAAAAATTATGATGAAAGTCAAAGTCTGACTTACCAAGCGACATTTTCAAGACAAAAGTTATTGCAATAAATATCGCTTTCCTTAATTCATTGTACTGAAAAAATTTTGCGATACTTCAATGTCTCATTATTTTCATCTATTACAATACCTGTTCTGTTGTATGAGAGGTTTGTTTACGTTTGCTGCATGTTATGGCAGTTCGTAAAGCGCATGTCGATACTTCAACGCTGTTGTTTTTTATAAAGTCCCAGAATTCTTGCAACTGAAAAGCTTAGTAAATATATGGAATTTGTAAATCTTTAAAAAATATACCTTAAAATCAGAAATTAAGTGAACGGTATAAATACGGTAAACAGATTCAACGTCAACTATACCATAGCATTTGACTAGCTTTAAAGCATCGCTCAAGGCAGATCCTTGATCGGAGTGTATAATTTTTTTTATCCAGAGCTTTATTAAATAATTCTATATATATATATATATATATAGATATATATATGTTTGATATTACCTTCATTTGGGAAATTTCAATACACTTTGGAAGTTGATGAATATTGTATTTATGCAAAACAACTTTTAATTCTGCCAATTCACATTCTTTTCTAAGTTCTTCTATTTCTGGATGATCTAAACGTAAGGAGCTATGAACTAAGCATGCCATTTCAGCAGACCAAGGCACAGCAGCTGAATGTACCAATCCCATTACTGCTTTGATTTTATACTGTGATACATAAACTAAGTAATCATAAAATAGAACTAGATATAAACAAACCTCAATTGTGTCAATGCAGTTAATGATTGCTATACATTTTGCTTCCCACGGTGTATCGCTAATACCAATATGCATGCTATATCCCTCTCTATTTGAAATATACTCTATGTATTGCATAAGAACTTTATCTAATTTTAAGGAATGTTCTTGAGTATAAGTTCGAAGACGTTTGAATATACAAGTAGGAATGAGCTCTATAGCCTGAATATCGTCCAACATTTTGAACACAATGGACTCTTTCGTTTCCTAGGTGCAAAAGCTCATTGAAATATATCGTTTCATAAAAATTAAAAACTTTAGTTACTTGTCTATATTGCGATAGAGAGAAATTACATTGATATTTCTCTCGCAGATCTTTCACCTTTGTTAGCTTGGACCATAGGAGTTTCAGTTTAACAACTGAATCTTGTACCTAAGAGTTTTGCAAAGTGATAAAATAAGGACTATGGTTATAAAATTACAAACATCTTCTAGTTTTTCGTCATGAAAGTGGGCCGAATAACAAAGAGATAGTGAATTACTTGCGGCTGAGTAGGAATTAGCTAACTTTGGCAGTAGTTCTAATAAAATATTACAAGCATCAATAGCATTATTAGGCCATCCTTGAGTTTCATTCGATTCCAATTCACATGCTTTTTCATATATAAACTTTGCAACGTGTTCCTTTTATGGAAAATTTAGTTTTAATATCTGAAGGCATGTAGACATAAACATTAGAGACTAACAATTGATTCAGGTCGACTTCTTATCACAAAAGGTATAAAGTGATTGGATAACCAAGAGCTCAACTCTGAAATTTTGGTTTTGCTGGGAATAAAAGCTAAAAGTGCTGAGACGCCGTTCTCAGGCATGCTTTCGTTTATTTCTCTCTGTTATTTTTCAAAAAAATTAGCCAAACCAAATGAGCAAGCGTATCATATTTAAGTATACCTCGTGTCTATTCCATATAATATAAGCTTTTTTCAACTTATCTTCTCTAAAACATTTGGCAATCTCTTCATAAATATCGACTCCTTTCCAACGGCTCCATTCATTGGCACTATAAAATTGTATAGGATATAAATTCATGAACAGATACTTTTCAAACGTACTCATATTCATTATTGCACATCTTAAACGTCGTTAGTCGATACATGGTTTCCAATACGGAGATAGAGAGCTTTGATGAAGCGCTTTTAAGCTTGATAAGTTCAATGAAAAAATTTTTATATAATCGTAATTGGAAATTTATAACATACCTTGTTTTCTATAAAATTTAAAAGTTTTGAATTCATCTCAAACGATGGCAAGCTGGCTTCAGTAAATGTTATTAGACTGTCTTCGGATTGAATATGCGTCATCTTTTCCAACAATTGAGAGAATAGATTAATGGCCTCCTCTGGTGCTACTGAATTCCAAGGAGAAAGTTTCTCAAGTAGTTCCCGACAATGCACATCATAAACGATCTAAATTTTTCTTATTACAGATACCTTAAGAGATTTATTAAAAAACTAACTTCTAGGTCTAAGGTGTATTGCCTTGCTAAATCTTCAGCTTCTGCGAACATTTTTTTGTTCAGATATCTGCTCAACCTTAAAAAAGAAAGAAAAGTGATGAGGTTGCAAGCACTAGGAAAATATTACTTTTCTTCTGGTCTAGACTCCGTCAGTGCTCTCACACGTAAGCTTTTAAAAAAATTTGTCTTATCATTATCATCACTTTCGACGAAGAAAACAGCATCGTCATGAGCTATTATTGGCTTTAAAAGGTAACTGGGGGACTGTACTTTTAGTGAATAGAAGGGATTGTTCAAATCGTTAAGCGCGGCCACTCGAAGAAGCATCTCATGTTCAAGTATTTGTATAACACAAACTGAAATTGTGCTAAATTGAGAAAAGTAAAAATTAATAATAATCTAAAAATTATCAAAGACCAACTTTTCTCTCCTTCCACAGCCTTCTAATAAGTACATTTCCTGAATTTTAACACCCCGATACCGTTTCAAAATACAAAAGCAATCCATATCAAACACATAAATATCACCCTGAGAAAATTTTATATTATCATGAGATATAAAATTATTTAATTTCTCACTTTGTTATCTAAAAGTAGCAAAACTTCTTCATTTTCAACAAATATAATTTGCTTAATTTTAGGAAAGATTGTTCCTCCAGTTGTTATGGCATTGCTTAAAGCCCACTCATTTGTAACATCATAATTCCATTGAATAATGAAATGAGATCCTGTCCCCTAAAAAATTACGTTTGAAAATTAAAGTAATACCTTCTTAAATCTCTTTGACTTACAGCTGTATATATTTCGTCTGCTCTTGTTGATGAAATGCTAGTTACATTCATGTGATAAGAAGATAGATCCAAAATACCAAATTTCAATGAAGACGTAAAGTCTTCAAAAGACGGAAGACCTTTGTAGTCCATTACTTTTACAAAAAAATAATCTTTTAGTGGTCGGACTATCGAACTTCACTCGTACAAACCTTCTGACAAGGTATTAATTTGAATATTAGAAACATAATATATTCGTTCGTTTGAAGCAAGTAATATGTAGTGGCAGAAACCATCGTCATCGGGAGGTGTTATAACTGACTCTAGGAATGTTTGATCTCTTGTGTCTCCTATATTTAATTGCTGTTGAAGATATATTTTATAACTACAAAAAATCTTTCTGATTATCAGAATTACTTTAGTGAATATTTCTTGCTGTCGGGGAATGTAAAACATTCGTATTTTACCATTCTTTTCAGCAGTGAAAATGACATTCTGATCATAACTCCAAGCACAAGTTTCAATAACATTTTCTAAATTGGAATTAGGAAATTGTTAACAGATATCATTATATTAGCCCACAACATACCAAACTCCAAAACTGAGAGAAACTTGTAGCAACCGTCTTGAAATAGAGATATATGCTGATCAATACTAACGACTGCCCAATTTTTACATACAGAGCCCCGTATCAACGGTTTAGACTTAACCTGAAGAATTTGAAGGTATAGCTAATGATTACCTTTTAAAATATTTTTCTTACTTCACCGTCTGCCGATATAGTTGCCAAAGTTTCAATGTCAAAGAGAGCTAATCCAGATTCTTCTCTGGGACCAAAATTAAATGTCTCTTCCCCTGCAAAGTCACAATTGACAATGTTCCACTGAGCCATATTCCTTTCACGAACTTTAAAGAAAATCTCCTTTTTAAGATTGACGTTTCTTAAAACCAAATCAACCAAAGTATTAAAAACTTTGAAAAAGATAATCAACAAACCTATTTAGACAAATAATCTAAACGCTGAAAAGAACGACTAATTATAGCAGTTGAATTTCAATGGTTTCGTTCAATATTTTCGTCAAGTAAGGCGGGAGTACTTGTAACCGCCAACGGAAAAAGGAGGTTCCGGTTCCGTTTGTATCCATGGACAGCGTAAGAAAAATTCTATTCAACTTAAAAAACAAAACTAGATATATTTAAATTTTTTTGTCTTAAATGACCTTTTAAGACAGTTTTCTTCTATAGCAAAAAATTAAACAAATAGTCTTTTGAAAATTTATTAGATTGCCTTCCTAATCTTTCGATTGAGAAAATAATTCCCATTTTAGGGCGATATACAACCAATCTGAAAAATAATGACCTGCAACGTCAGTTTTGTTTGTCAAAAATGTGCTCAGCCTCTAAAAATCGATACTTCTTTTGATCGAAATTTAGACAGGGAAGAATATAAAAAATTATCAGGTATTTTTTGTTGTGATTAATTCTGAACATTGATTAATAAATTAAGACTGTATAGATATTTGTCGGAAACTGAAAAGCGATGAAGAAACAATCGATATTGGATTATCGTCATTAGCTGTATTTATCTCACTTTTTAAAATATGAAATGTCTTTAAGACTAGTATTTTTCTAGTTAGAAGAAGATGTATTAACGTTAACAGTTCCTCCAGCGAGAAATGAAACATTAGACAGCGGAGGGGAGTTCACTTTACTTGGTGATCCGGAGGTTTCCTCTGAGCATTTAAGCTTAAAAATGAAAATATCTGCTAGTCTTTTTGATGTACTGTCGGGACAATCTGAGTTAGATCATCCTCTGTGTGAAGAGTGTACAGACACATTACTTGATGAATTGGATAAGCAATTAAGTTCAGCCCAAGAAGAATCGATCATATATAGGTAATGGACAGTTTTTTTTATATAAATTTATATAATGACTCAAAACTTTCAGTGATTTTTTAAAGAAGCTTGAGGAGAATGAAGAAAACCAACCAGATGAGAATATTTTAAATGAAGAATTGGAAAAGGTAAGTTTTTTATTATTTCGAATAGGAAATCATTTTCTATAGTTCACAGCTTACAAAACAAAAAGAGACCATGTTATCTAATCTTGAACATGTGGAAAATGATCAAAAACGCTTAGAAGAAGACTTTACAAATGCTCGAAGTGCTGCTAAAAAAACTGAAGAGGAAGAAAGAGCATTTTTTAAGGAATATAATGAATATAAGCGGCAACTATTGGAATATGACAATGCTCAGAAGAGGTTATTATGAAAACATTAGGTTTTATTGTCACTATAATTTCCTCTGTTATTATAGCGTTGAGTTACAATTAAGATATGCTCAGATGCAACTGGATAAACACAAAAAAACAAATGTTTTCAACATTACCTTTCACATATGGCACAATGGATCATTCGGAACTATTAACGGTTTTCGACTGGGAAGACTACCAAACAAACAGGTTGCTTATTCTAAAGATTAAATAAACATACGTTTCATCATTAAAATTATAGGTTGATTGGAGTGAGATAAATGCAGCATGGGGACAAACAGTTTTACTATTACATTCTTTGTCAAAGAAAGTAAATTTAACTTTCAAAAGGTTGAATTTATTTAAAGAAATCATACGTCGCATATAACGACATATAATTTTAGGTTTATTCTTGTGCCATATGGAAGTCACTCATACATAGAGTCACTAGCTGACAAGTCTAGAGAATTACCTTTATATGGTTCTGGGGGATTCCGCTTTTTTTGGGATACAAAGTAATGAATGTATTCATTCTTTTTCAAAATTAACTGTTTTAAATTAAAGGTTTGATCAAGCAATGGTTGCTTTTCTGGATTGTTTACAACAGTTTAAGGAAGAAGTAGAAAGGTGTGATTCAAGTTTTTGTCTTCCGTACCCAATGGATAAAGGCAAAATAGAAGATCCTAATGTTAAAACCTGGTATTCGATAAAGTAAGATGAAAAATAATTGTAACTTTTTTTTTAGTAAATTATTTTTCAGAACTCAGCTAAACTCCGAAGAACAATGGACGAAAGCTCTTAAATTTATGCTTACCAACTTAAAATGGGGTTTAACATGGGTTTCTACTCAATATGATGATTATGACAAATAACTTAGAAAATAATTTCTGATTTTGAATTGACAGTTCTTATAAATTGTTAGATTTAACATTTTACTGTCAATTTACTGACAATTGTATATTTTGTTTCATTACATAGTGAATTACAAGTATAGTTCTTGATTATTAAAATTATTGATCAATAAGTACGCTATAAGTGAAATATTTATTTGAAAATATTGAATATTGGTTATTGTAATTTTCAAAATACAAAATTACCAATCATCAACATTTAGTCACACTTTAGTGATGAACTATCTGCTTCTTGATGCTCCTGTTGCGGCGCCACTGATTCAAAAACTGTACCATCCTTTCGCTTTAAAGAGTTAATACGATTTCTAAACATTTGGTTCTTTTGAATACAATAAAAGAATTCCTGAATGACTTTAAGAAAATATTTAATGAACAAAAACCCAATGGCTACAAAGATAGCAGCTGATCCAGTGAAAAGAAATGTTGAGATCAATACTATTGTTGCAAAACTAACGAAGGAGACTGTAAAGCATTTTGTATAGTTTTAAATTTAAAATAAATTTTACAATAAAACCTTCTGCAATAATTAATATTAGAAACCCAAATCCAATACTAGCAATCACAACTGATATAAATATCAAAGCAGGGAGAATGGAAAATATCAAGAAAGATGAGATTAATACTGCCAAAAATGAATGTTGTTTTGCAAGTACTATTAAACTTTCACACTTTTCTGAGATTTTATATAATTCCCAAACTCGTATAAATTGTTGATATGCCCTGGTATATAAGTTACTTAGTTCAGAAAATACTTGCTTGTCCTCTACCTCCGTCATACTGCGTGATTTATCTTTTGAAGAAAAAACATTGAAAATAGCTTAGTAATTTAATTGTATAACTTTACCTAAACATACACCTCTTATTTTATTACAACTCTGTTATAAGTACTCCGCGTTTTCTATATGTATTGCGAAAATACCAGTTTTCTCTATCACAACAACACTTTACAGACTTCCGGTTCCGGTCTATTCTTAAAATGGGTAGAGGAAGTCGAAGCCGGTCCCCAAGACGAGGTAAATCGGCTGTTTTCATTGACTATCTTACAAAAGATTTTTTTTAATATAAAAAAATTAACTAATTTTTTTATATCAATCAAAAATTCTTTTTTTAACGAATTAATAATATGAAATGCTGGGAAATTCCTGATGTCAGATTATTTACATTAATTATATGGGTTAAGAGCTATAATTTGGCTGCAATATAAAATTTAGATAACAAATTGATGTTTTGATTTTTAGATCGTAGAGATAAAAGACGTTCGAGATCTCCTGAGAAGCGTCGTGACCACTATTTACCAAATCAGGATTATCAAGATTTTCATTATCGTCCAAGACACAGAAGTCGTTCACCATTTAGTAAAGAACTCACTTCGTACCATGAACGGCGTCGACGATCCAGATCGCCAGATAGAAAGAAAAAGAAAGATGAATTTTGGGGGTCTGAAAAAAATAAACATAAACGATCGAAATCTCGGAGTCGCACTAGATCTCCTTCCAAACAAAAGCAATCCTCGTCAGCAACTTCAAATAAAGCTGCTTCTAAATCGAAAAAGAAAAAAAAAGGTATGTGTTCAAATAAGATAACAAAAATTATAACGGCATTTTCTCCATTTTTTATAGAAGAAGAAGTTCAGATGGACGAAGACGGAGATGAAAAAGATCCCACGGAAACTGAAATGATGAAAATGATGGGATTTTCTACTTTTGACACTACAAAGAATAAAAAAGTTGTTGGTAATCAGGAAGGAGATGCTCATATATTACTCAAAAGGAAATACAGACAGTATATGAACAGAAAAGGAGGCTTTAACAGACCACTGGATCCCATAACATAATTGCGAAAATATCATCCCCGGAACGATAATTCAAGCAGAAAAGTAATATTTTATATATGTATGATAAATATTTTTTGTTTCTCGATATCACAACGCTGTTCCGATAAAATATATTTTGCAGATTTTGACATTTGTTATGTTATGTTCTGTTCGGTTTTAATACTAAAACAGCAGCTTACATAAGAACTTTTTGTAAGGTATTTACGTAGATTGTCAAATCGGATTAAATTTAATAAATTTAGCTAACTGGACATTAAACAGAATAATCTGCGATTGATTTGATAAAACTTGGTTATAAAAGCTTGAGTTACATTGTATAAAACTGATGTATTTTTATTGCTATTGTAGTACGTCAATATATATTATATTCAATTAATAAATCTCATAGATAAGCAATCCATTCTTTCTTGGACCCAGCTTTTATGATATTTGCTTTCTAATCCAGTCGTAGTATGTTGAAACTCTTGCAAATGCCCCAGGGTATTTTCCAGGATTATATTTACTAGTAAAAGAGGCAACACCTACTTGGTACCAAGTGTCTCCTCTCAAGCACACTAATGGTCCTCCGCTATCTCCCTAATAAATTTGATGGTTAGTATTAATTACATCAGAATCATTAACTTTGAAGAATGTCAACTTACGGGGCAAATTCCCATTGTAGATGTTGCTGATTTCATTCCTGCGCATAAGTGAATAGAACTGTCAATACCCCATGTTCTTGAGCATTTATCATTAGGGTAAATAGGAATTTGAACCTGAAGCGCATTTTTATTTACGCTTCCTCCACTTTTTGTGCAACCCCACCCTTGAAAGAAGCACGTATCATTCTCATCAGGAAAGTTTCTAATATAACCATCATTTAGCTTTACTGCTTGTATGTGCGGAGCCTTATCTCCAGCCAAGTGAGGTACTGATTCTGCTAATTTTATAAGAGCAATGTCGTTTTCCCAATTTTTGTCTGGGTTGTAGAATTCGTGAATTTTTATTCTTTGACCATGAATAAAGTATTCAACGTCATCTTCATCACAAAGTCCCAAAAAGTCAATTTTGCACAATTTTCCCTTAATCTTCTCAAAAATGTCTTTCTAAACGAAAAAAAGTACAAATTGTACTAATTAACTATAATATATATAGTAACAATTTTGAACTTTGAATGCTGACAGTGCAAAATGACAAGATAATTCGCCTTAAACGTATGTAATAAAGATCAATTATTTACAATTACGTTCATTATTTAATAAATATGTTTCTATAATTTTTGTTTTTGGTACTAGAACCTTAAATTTTAATCTCATATAAAACAATATCTATTATATACAGTGAGTTAAAAAATGTACAACTTACAAACATTTCCGTATCACCCAGTCTAACATGAATATTTTTCGCTTCAACTGTATCGCTTTGAAGAAAAACAAGAGTTTCGTTTGCATTTAAAGATATAAAAAAATACTTACTCTCCATCCTTTAGGCAATGGGCGGCGGTCAGAATCCATCTATCATTTATCAACGAAGCAGTGCAGTAAGTTATTTTATAAGTTAAAGTAACACCAAAAAATTTCGTTTTTGGTATTTTAATTTTCAAAGATGCTAAATAAGGCCATTCACCTACTTGGACTGATTCTCCACCGATAACTCGTCGAAATCGAGGATTAGTACTAACATATACTGCCAAAGTGGCAAAAAATAATAAAGTCACCTTCATATCTTTAACGGCATAAACTGCGTAGTGGATGTAGTTTGTCAAGCCTTTTTATCTATTTAGCGCTGGTTAGCACTGAATAAAGGTCTAGGTCCATGTTCTGCACACATAGATATTTTGCCTTGAAAGCTGCCTAATTCCAGGCCGAAAGTAACAAAAAATGTGCTTTATTGTATCTTTTATATTGTGTGCAGAATTATATGTTTAATTTTATTAGAAACTCAATTTTTAGATCATTCGTAATCCTATGTATGCATAAAATTACATCATTATTAATTTCTTTTATTAAAATTTCCTGTTATATTCTTAGAGAAAGGGAGGGTTTAGGCAAATTCTTTATCTGAATGTAAGATCTATTCTTCTACCCTTAAATATTAGTAAACTAGGAAACAATTGGATTTGTTTTTATGAACTGTATAGTATTACTATATATACGTTTTACCAATATCATAATAACAATGTACAAACTGCTCTCGTTCTGCTGTTAGTGCTTTGTAAACAGCTTAATAAAGGATATATAGACGTAAATATTTCACGGCGCATATTTTAAAGATATTTAAGGATATTGGAGTGAAGTTTTCGAAGTTTGGATCATCTTTATATGCTTTCTAGAAACAAATACAGTATATGCAACTGTCTTAAGTTAGACAAAATATTTTAATTTGAATAAACTGCTTTTTCGATGGATATGAATATGTTAATTTTTACTAATAAAAATGACATGACAATATGCAATTGCATTTTCTAAGTTCATTGCTGTAATTAAATTATTTAATATCATTTTAATTTTACAAGAAAATAAATAATAAAGAACAAGAATATGTCTTAGTAATAGAAAGAAAACCACTAAAAAATATACCTTTTATTAGTAATGTAATAAAAAAAAATTTTCAACCGCTAGATATAAAACCTTTGGCACACGAAGCGATTACTCATTGAATTTTTTCGTGACCGTATTACTATCCGGGGTAAAATACTCCGCTTAGTCACTTAATACAACTACAGTATATTTCTCCGGTTTAAGGTATTTTAAAAGCTTGACTTGAATATTTTAAGATTAATTTTAACTCAGTCGGCACTCACTGTTTTGAAATGAAACGGTTTTTGTTTTCATTTTATCTGTTAATATTATTATGTAACGGAGAAATGCTACAGTCTGAAGAGGAAGTTAAGGTAAAACTAGAAGAAGTGAAATTGTAAACTGTTTATTTACGTATGTTTTTCAAAATAGGAATTTCTTAAATACTACAATTATTTGAAAGAAAAAAATACGAATTCTCCCGATGTTCACGATATTATTCTTTCGGAGCACGATTCCTATCAAGAGGCTCTAAAATTATTTCAAAGACGCTTCAATTTGAGAGAAACAGGGAATTTAAATCCTGAAACGCTTGAAGCTATCAATTCACCCCGATGTGGATTTCCTGATTACAAGGATACACCCCTTAGTAGTAAAAAGCCAAATTCTTTTACTCTTAATGACGAGAAATGGAACCAACCAAAACTATCCTATAAAGTTGTAAAATACTCTAACAAAATAGATAAAACTCTAATCGATTACAACTTGGATAAAGCGTTTCAAATGTGGGGTGAGAGGATTTCCCTGGTTTTTGAACATTGTAAGGATTGTGATAAAATTGACATAGAAATAAAATTTGTTAATAGATCCCATGGTGAGTACAAGTTCTGTGTAAACTTGCAATTTAAGTAATAGTATAAAAAGAACTAAACTGCTATATTGATTATAGTTAAATATTTTTTATCTATAGTATACAAACCTATTTTAGGCTTGACTCTATAAACAGTTTACTTAGTTAACCAAGTATTTACCTCTAATAGGGGATCAAAATCCTTTCGATGGTCCAGGCAAAGTGTTGGCTCATGCTTTTTCTCCAGAAAATGGTGATGTTCATTTTGATGACGAAGAAGAGTGGACTTTTACAGGAATAGAGGGAGTAAACTTTTTTCAAGCAGCTCTTCACGAAATTGGACATTCGTTGGGTCTGCTTCATTCTGAAAATAATGCTGCTGTCATGGCCCCCAAGTACAGTGGATACATAAAGGATTACACCCTGCATGATGACGATATAAAAGGTATTCAAGCACTATACCCAAGAGATAGCAAGCCAGGAGATTTAGACCCTAACATATGTGACGAAAATTTTTTGATAAGCGCCACAACATCAACTCACGACGGCCACAGGTTCTTTTTTAGTGGCAAATGGGTTGTAATAATCTTTAATAATGCTTCAATTAAAATCGAAAAAATCAAATACATTTTCAAAGGATTTGAAGGAGATCGTGTGGATGCTGCTGTGTATTTTAATGAGAAACAGTATCCATATAATCAGAGGACAAGATTAATGGTTCTGTTTTCCAAGAATAAAGTACATAAGTTTGAACGTGACTTAGGATTTGATTTCTATGAGGCATCGAACTATCCTAAGAAAACGTCACAAGATTTTTCAATAGTTACTAATAGGGCCGGAGTAGAAGAATTTGATGCAGTAATGGCTATCAACAAAACTCTTTTATTTTTTCGTGATAGCTATTTTTGGGAAGTTTCTGATGAGCAAGTGTCTGGAAGAAAACATATAAAAGATGTTTGGAAAGGTGTTCCATATCCTATTAGTTCTGCTTTGAATTATGAATATAAAGGAAATTATTATTTTTATTTTTTTAAGAAGCACAGTTATGTTCGGTTCAACACAAAAACTGGCTCAGTGCATAAGGATAATGCAAATCCTTATCCAAGAAATAGTCAAAAGCTGTGGTTCTCTTGTGAAAAAGTTGTAACTCTAGAAGAGAAAGCGAACACTGCTAGTTGTATTTTTACATATTCTGTTGGCCATTTTTATTCATTGTTGGCAGTTTTTTATTTATTTTATTCATTGTAAGTTATAGAATAACTTGTTGAACACAAAAAAATTATATTGTCCATTTTGATATACAGTATTATGCCAAGATAGTACTTTTATTTATATATTTATGGTAAATAATATCTTAGTATGAGTAGGAGGGAATTGAAGCAAGAACAGTCATTGTGATACAGATAAATTTTTAAATAGCATCTTCGTAACATCAACTAGAAATCTTTAACAATCATTTTCTTCTTTTAACTCAGGAAACAATTCCGTTATAACGTCATCCAGTAGGAGGTATGACAGCTAAGAATTAAAAATAAATAAATAAAATTATTTATAATAAACTTTTTCTTACCTGTTTATTTAGTTTAGGCTGTTGAAAGAGTTCAAACAGTATTTTTGTATCTTTCTTTATTTTATCTTTTCCTATGCCAATAGAAAATATTTCTAAAGTAAAAAAGAAAGGAAAATTTAAAAAAAAGTAACATCTCAGTGAAGTCTTACAATAACTTTTTATCGTTTAAAGAGTATTGTAAACTTCTATTATAGGTATTATACCAATTTTAGTAGTTAAAGGAATATTTGCTTACTTGGAATGGAATCTTGCAATTCACATAGTGTTTTTTTACATCTTTCTTTTTTTTCTTCTTCTGACCTATTAATGAATGTATTTCAATATATTCAATATAAAAAGCACATTATTCCTACCTTGGAAAATTATTCTCATTGAAAAGAGTATCTTCTAGCATTTTTATTAATTTACTAAGTTGATTTTCATGAAATACATAGTCAAGTTTTTCACCGAGTTTATAATCCATCAAATTGTCGAAAGTGTTTTTAAGAAACATCCTAGCTACAACGAAGAATTGTAAAATCGCCTGAGATACTCCGAAAAGATATTTTGCTGTAATGGCAAGACTTATTAAATAAGAAATTTGAATATAATAAAATATATACCTAAGTAAAATATAGCATCAAAAACACTGTTGATAGATGGTGCTAAACACTTGTCATGTTTCTGCTTCATATGCGGCTGCAAACTTGAAAAGCTAGTTTCAAAGCTCGTTAAACTGGCACTCTCTGCATTGTTTTCATATATTGAGTTAACCATCTGTTAAAATACAAGATAAATAAAAATCACTTAAATAATGATTATATACTTTTTCGCTTGATATGGAAACGGCGTCAGAATCAGAGTCGTTATTCCTACTGTAACGAATTTATTTAAGAAAAAACTGATAATAATATTTTAATCATACCTCGGTTTAGGCTTTCCAGCTTCTGTACTACTTACAAATGAGTGTAAAAATGATTCCAGATGTTGACCTTTTTCTTTCACTAACTTCATTGCCTTGGTTCTAACTAATTTACCAACATCATTAATATCAGGAAGAATACTAGATGTAAATTTTGAATTTGACTTTAGAAAAGTGTGTAATAATTCTGATCCCTTGAGAACGGGTAAAGTGAGTAAGTTTTGTAAATATTCTTCAAATTCTTTCTTTTTAGAAGCCAAGAAATCCTTTCGACTTGTCCCGAATGTTTTTTTAGGCGGCAAGTTCAAATTAGGTGGAATGTTATCGCCTGAAAATTTTATATATTGATTTTAACCTCTATTAATCGAACTTTTACCATGAAATTCTTGTAATCTAGACTCTAAGACATAAAATTCATGATATCGTCTTTCAACTTTCCACATTGGGGGGTCGCACATTTCCTCTGTAAATAAATTTAACTTATAAATCATCTTGTAAGATAAAATAAAAGAAACAAACTGTCTGTACAAGGAAAATCCAATCTGTCAATTCTTCTTAACTCTAGGACAAATGTCCAGAACGGCTTTTTTTCCTGATCATACTTTTCTAATATGTCGACTATGCAAACTCTCCAGTTGCTTAAATCATGCAAAGGAGAGGTAGCTTCCATTACTTGATCACTAAATTCTGTTCCATCTAATCTGTCTTCGATTCCCTATATTTAAAAGAATAAATAATTCACAATTAGTAAAAAATATAACAAACCATTATTGGATCCGCTTCTTCACCTCCATAGTCAATTAAGTCATCAAGAGGCTTTCCATCCATAACTGTAATTTAATTATTAAACGGAATGAAAATTAATGCAAACAATGGATATCTACCATTTGTGGTTCTGAAAACTCCTTTTAGTCGATTACTTATCTTTGACAGACCTGCATTTTCCGCTTTGGCTTTTGAATTATTTCTGAAAAAAATGATAGCAATGAATATTTGAGAAATTTATAGTTCGGGGAAGGAAACGATAAAATAATCATAAAATATAGTTTTTTGATAAGCACAATAATAGGTTATGCTTCAGGTTCAAAACAGATAATGGTAAAAAGCACAAAATTAAAACTGTTTGAGTTCAACACACTCTTGCAATAATGGAAGATCGGTTAATTAACCACAACTTGTCTAAGAAATCTTTTTAAGATTACCTAAATCTACGACCAATCTCATTCTCTGTCAATGATTCGCTAAAAAAGAGTAAATTTTAACATGCGAATATAATCCATAAAACAATGAATTTGTCATTGTAAGTCTTTTCAGTAAAACGTGCAAAGAGAGTCATTCGTTATATCTAATTGAAAATTACGAAAATGTAAAACCTTGAAGAACTCAGGCTATCTGGTTTTTTCAATCTCTCGCCACAAAGTAATTGAAAATATTCGTCACTATGATGAAATTTCGGAAGAAATTCTTTTTCCAGAATGGTAATTGTATATTCATAAGCTCTGGTGAAAATATAAAAGTCAGAACCATATTTTAAGTGTACAAACATTTCTCTATTGTACCTAAAATAAGCCGTAGTTGTTTGCAATTTAATAACATCTTCTGGAGGACCATTTGCAACTGTTTAAATAACTAGTTAAAACCTGAAAGTTTTGAAGTATCTAATACATTACTTTCTCGAAATTCCTCAATAATTTCCTCATCAAATGGTATTGATCCTAAAACGTCTCTCTGCATGAAACTTTCAAAAAGTTGCCTCACGTCATCATGGATACATTGTAGATCCTCTACCTTTAGATCAGGTCTGATTAGATTTTCATTCAAATTATCTGCAAAATTGTACATGACAAGATATATGACCCTAACAATTTCCAAAATATACTAACCAGCCAGGGTGTAGAATTGTAGAAAGTTAACGGCCGCTTCTTTTTTCATAAATTGCATAAACAAATAAAAAATTTCTTGATCTTCTCTTATCTCTTTTAATTGTAAACTTAATGACTGAAAATTAAAAAGGGATTATTTTCCGTTAAAGGATAAAATTACGTATATTACTGATTTTTTAGTATTTCTGGGTTTTGAGAAGTTTTGTAGAATTGGAGTCATTTCTGGACGAATGTTACCATTATCAGTATTCTATAATAAATTGATGAGCCATTTTTAATAAGCAATGTTAAAATAAAAGACATTCTTTACTATATGGTACTTACTGTATCAGAGCTAAGGAATGTCAGTAGCAAAAAATTAAGAAAGTCCTGAAAGAAAAAAATCATGAATGTTAAAAGGAGAAATAATTTTTACATACAGGATTTGCTAAGACGTCCATAAGTGGAAGCAAAATAAGACCAGCCAGGATTTCCCTCGCAAGTGTATATATAGGCCTGAAGAAACAGAAATTGATAAAAAGCTAACTTTTTTGGAAACTTAACCTGCAGTGTAAACTTTTATTGGGTAAAACCAGAGGGAAAATACCATCTAGAATTTTACGAAGATATTCACTCTCCGCCTTTCTGGTATACATGGCCTTATGTAGGCAGCATGGTCTGTATTTTTTCAAGACAAACTGCTGAATATCCTCATCAACATCAGAATTATAGAGTTTTCGGGCATTTAAGTAAAAGTGAAGGTGCTGCAGGGTTGTTTTGAGCAGTTTTTGTAAAATTAGAGAAGGAATGTCGATCTATTTCAATTGACGTCTTTATAAGCATTTTAACATGTAAAACAAATAACTTTGATTACTTTTTGACTTCTCCTGAGCACGGCTGCAGTGATGTGGCGCATAATAACTCTCAACTCATCAACAAATGCCTCATTTTTACTCAAGTCACTATATTACAAGATATTTAAATTAGTTTTTTTATTTTATTTAAATTTTATACATACTTGTACCAAAGATTATATACATATTTTTCAAGAATTTTGTTGAATAGCTAAAATCGAAATTTTTCGTTTGCTTTTACTATATCAGTTTAAAGCTAAGAGTAACTTACACTTTCAAGTGCTTTATCTATTCGTTTGGGAATTTTCAACCGAGTCCATGGCTGATAAGTGACTAGAGTTGGCTCTACAGACATATGCCTCCTGCATTTTTCCTTATCACAAAAAGGACATACTGCCGGTAGGTGAGATTCTGTGGAGTCCTAAGTCAAGAACAACAATCATAAATAAAGCTGTGCCATCAACAGCAAACAAACCTTTTTCTGGCGTACTTTATTAAACAAAAAATTAGGGAGTAACGTTGTAGGGCTAAAAAAAAGTATAACAAGCAATTTAAACTGTTTTTTTATGTCATCTTTTTATTCAATTAACCTTAACGAACAAAAGCATAGGGCAGCTCCAGCAAGGAATGATACTACAATGTAGAATAATCTTTGAGCACTGAAATAAAAAATAGCGTAATAAATTAGATAAAAATTAAATTCAAAATGATCATGCTTTTTATGTTGTTTCATTTTGTAACTTTCCCAATCAGTGAAGAGAGTAGTCGAAAGCCTATCATTTTGGTACCAGGTATAGGTGGTTGTCAATTGGAAGCAAAATTAACTGACGATTTTGAAGGTGACAAAGATTGCCATCATGAAAGAGAATGGTTTCGTGTATGGGCAGATGTAGCACAATTTTCAAGTATGTCAAAGGAATCAATTTGTCTTCAAAAGTATCTTAAGCTAATCTATAACGAAACCACAAAGATATCTGAGAGTCCAAAGGGAATTAAAACTAGAATTCCGGGATGGGGTGAAACAACCACTTTGGAATATGTTGATCCTTCTTGGACTGCATGGATTTGGGGCAATTTAGGAACTTATTTGTCACCTTTAGTTAGTAGTTTACTTGCTCTAGGATATAAAAGAGGCCGAGACCTTAGAGGAGCTCCATACGATTGGAGGAAAGGTCCTCACAGTCAGATTGACTTTTTTATAAAATTAAAAATCCTTATAGAAGAAACGACGAATCTTAATAAACAAAAAGTTGTCCTTTTTAGTCATAGTTTGGGAGGAATATTCACTTTGTATTTTCTTCAAATAATGCCAAGAGTTTGGAAAGATAAACATATCGATAATTTCGTGGCAGTTAACTCTCCGTGGGGTGGAACTATCCTAAGTTTACTCTGTTATGCTTCTGGCTATAATTGGGGAATACCATATGTTGACCCTCTGTCTTTGAGAGTACTTCAAAGATCATACGAATCTAGTTCTTATGTTTTTCCGAACATGAATTCATATAGTAAAAATGAAAGCTTAGTTTTAACACCTTCAAAAATTTATACAATTGAAAATATCGAAGAATTTTTTGATGATATTGAATTTAATAGAGGAAACGAGTTTTCATATAATGTGATGCCTATAATTAAAATGTTGATGCATCCGGAAGTCACAGTTAATTGCATATATAGTAGTGGTATCAAGTCTCCTGCAAAACTCTCTTATGAACAAGGCTTTCCAGATGAACAGCCAAAATTTATCTATGAAGATGGGGATGGGACACTTATCACAAGAAGCATGAAAGCATGTGAAATATGGAACGGCGAAAAAAGTCATCCGGATTACAATTTCTATTTACACCATGTTCCAGGTGTAAATCATCATGATATTTTATCGAATAAAAATTTTTTGAAAATTCTAAACATTGTAATTGAATGAATAAATAATGATAAATATTTACCTATAAATTATAACGGATATCAACACAAGAGCAATGAATGATTTATTAAAATCTAAGTTCTCTTGGAACCAAACTGCAGCATCCGCCATTTTTGTTTTTTTACTATGTCGTTTTTTCGTAAAAGTTTAAAAATTTTTAGATTTTGCTCTATTTTATTACAGACTTTTAGATTATTCACAAAAATTTAAAGAAACAATGAAATTAAAAATTGTAGACGGCGCTTATGTCAAAATATCACGTGACTAGGTGGAAGCTACCTAAACTTTCAAAGAATCTCGACTAAAAGTTCATTCTGGTGTAAGTACGGTATGTAGACAGCTTTTATTGAAATAATATATAAGTTAACATAAATAACATATATATGATGGTTAAGTTTGTTGAAGAATGGTTTTAGTAAATAAGAAATTGCTTGATTGTGTTTAATTAATCGTTTGCTATTTATTCTCTACTTATCTAATCTCTACTGTATTTTTTGGTACTGTTTAAACAGCTTTGTACATTCTCAGTCGTAAATGTATGACATATCGTAATTTTGCTCGTATTTACCAGTTTATTGTATTATTTAATTATCCATACAAGTCTCCTGTGGCCTAGTTATATTAATAAAAATAAAGTTCATACCTTATTTACCCTCTACTTTACCGATCTTTGTAATATTGATTAGAATTAAGTTTATGTCTGGCAGTCACTTTTAGTATCTTGAGATAAGTAAAGACTAATTGGTGATAAATAGTTTATTATTAAAGCCTAAATTAATCTTGCAAAAATGTCCGAGTGTTTTCGTTTTTCAAGTATACACAGGTCTTTTGTATGAAATATCAGGCCGTTGTCAACCGCTGAGCGATCATTCAGTCACATTCAATAACATACGTCGTACTAGATCATCATTCGGATAGTAATCAAATTTTTTATGCAGTAGCTTATCAGCTATTAAAAGTATTTTATTTCGTTTAATCACTAACAAAATTATCAGCTGATAATTAATGACCGCTAATCGAATACCTTTCTTCCTTTTCCTGGAGAAAAAACCTAAGGATTTTATTATCCGATTGGCGTCTATTTATAAAAATGATAAAATGAAAAAAAATTTTCACTTGTTTATATTTTTTTAACAGAAATCACTAGTGTCAAACATATTTCAATAAAAAATTTTATTTTTCCTGTGTTAAGTTGTAGATATAGTTTTAATCTGGACATAATCTTCTTGTAACTTAGTTATAAGCCACACTACTATAGATTAGTAAAGAAAAGTAATTAATAATTTCTTCAGCTATTGAAATGGCGGACGAAAATGCGAATGAAAGTTCTACGTCGAAGGCTCTAGGCTTGAGGATACAAAAGAAGCTCTTGGGAAAAATGAGTTCAAAGAAGATAGCTAAAACATTCATTGATGACACTTCAGGAAGAGTTTTAGATCGTTTATATTCTATTGCTCTTGAGAGATCAGGGAAAAAAGCAGCGGATAAAGTGTTAAAGAACTGTATTAAGATTGCTGTCAAATTAGCAATTCTTCACCGAAATGATATTCTCAGCAAAGGAGATCTGCAAAATTTAAATGAGGTGAGAAGTAAAATGAGAAATTTATGCAAAACGATAATATCCTTCCATGATGTCGACTTTACATACGATTACAAGTTTATGAATCACACATTAAATGCTATTTGTGTCAAAATAACAGATGTTTTAAAGAGACATTTAACTGATAAATCTATTCAAAGGGTTCATCATGTTTTCACGTTCTTTATGGATGAAGAATTCATGAATGAAGTATTCAATTCTAGCTCGAAATACAGATCCCACTTGGATAAGTTGGTGATCGAACTAGATTTACTCTTAGAAACAAATAGTCTCTAAAAAATACCTTGAACAATAAAAAAGAAGGAATGAACACGTTACGAGATTTTCCAATTTGATATTGTGTTTATTTTTTCAAATTACACAAGAAGTTTGTTTGCTATGGCTTTTAATGTATTGCTTCAAGTTTTTAAGAACTTTTTTTGTTTTTATAAATTTTCTAAGTGTTGTACATTCCCAAACTATCTCAACAAGCAGAATTTTAACTCTTTAATTATGTTCGTAAGATAAATTTGTTACTGATTTTATTGCTTTTATTTGCATGAATTCTCATTTATACATGTAAAACACTTAAGAGAGAGATGGAGTCGAGTTTATTTTAAAATATCTAATGATGACGCTATAAATTATGCTTGTAATTTGTCTTTTTATTGAATACAATATCTAAAAATTTATATTTAATAAAAGATCCGGCTCGATGAAGAGAACACATTTTAATTTATATTACAGATATTGACTTGAAATCATATCTTCATCAGATATTTTAAGGCCTATTAACAATAACTTTAATGATTTTAAGTACTAATAAGTGGAATATTATCATATCTAAACAGGAAATCTATTAATTTAGAGATAGTTAATTTAGTAGCTTGGACAATTTACAAAGTCCTTTACTATATCAATCAATATATCCTCCATTACTTGGAAGTAACAGGAGATGTACTTTAAAACTATACATATGCTGCCTTTGTAGGACGCCGCCAAAGGTCAAACTAGTACACCTACGAACAGAAATCTCCCAACTGTAGATAAATCGTTTTACACGAATAATAAATTAATATTAAAAGGATTTTCAAGTGGACTAACGATTGATTATTCTTGAAAAATTTGCGATAAATTAACTGAAAGAGTGTTTATGACTTTTAAAATTCTTTTAGGAAGGCTTGAATCACCATTTTTTAAATAATATATAAATATATATATATTCATAGATGGGAGGAGTAAAAGTCAGCCAGATCGCGCCACTTGTCATTAACTGTTCGGCGTCTTTTTATTATGCAAATAAAACAATAAATTTCAATGAATAATAATCTGAGAAGTCCTGTGACTGTTAATAATGTTTATCGAAATTTAATACGGTGGAAACGGACATTGGGAGTAGCTGTCAGATTTTTTGAAAATATTATTAGAAATAGGAGTATGGATCCAGGTTTTGGTACTTTCCTTGTCTAATACGAAAATAGCGGCGAAAAACATGGCGCTCATCATGAAATGTTATAAACAAACCCAAGATAGACGATTTTTTTATTCTATTAAGCTAGCTGCGGTTGCTATAGTTATCATATTTGCAGTTTTTCATTTGGGATACATATTTTTTTCCGGTAAAATTAAATAATTGTTTTTATGAGGCTTTTTGCAAAAATATCAATCCTATTTCTCTGATTCAGAAAATGCTACTTTACAGTGCTGCTTAAATGATGTATATGATTGTATGAAGCATAGTTATACAATACAGTAAGATTGAGTTTTAATTGAATCATCATAAAAACACTAGCAACTTGACAGAGATTCACAAACCTGTGTCAATAAATTATCTCTAGAAAACAATCGACATCATATAATATTTATAGGAGATTCCAGGTCAAGGCAACTGTTCTATGAGTTTGCAAAATTTATAAATTTTAATCAATCGTAAGTAAGGTCATTTATGTCTATACCTAGTTTCTAAAGCTTTTTACATTAGATTGCCAAAAATCAAGCATTCCGATTTGAAACTTACAAATAAAAATTCCAACATAAACTTAGTAAGATGTCATTTCAAATAAGAGTTTCCTTGAGACTCAATGTAAATAATTTCAGTACTTTCTTTGGAATCCTTTCATTGATTCCAACTTTACGAAGAAACTAGCATCTTTATCAAGACGGGGAGAAGATTCTATTATAATTGCATCGAGTACAACAGTTAGTGATCACTATAATCACCTGCCAACGAATTTCTTAGAATTGCCTTGCATGCTCTTTTTATCCTTGCACGCCACTAGTTCAATAGAATAGAACATGTATCAAGTTAAGGTATAACCTGACGCTGAAAATTCTAATGTTTGATAGCTAATTTTTTCTATAGATGAAATTTATTTCATACGATGATTTCTATTTGTTAATTTCAGTGGTATATTAAAAAGTACAACTCTAGTAATTTTGGTAGAAAAGTTTTTACAGGTAAAAATATTTCCAATGAAAAATTTCTATTTTAAGAGCTTTTCCATAGATGACGTGAAGAGCTTGAAAAAGTTTCTTAAGCAAGCGGGAAAACACGTAGTTTTCCTGTGGAAACTTCAAGGTAAAATTACAATCATGAAGAGCTCAATTTTGCAAACTTTGACTTGAACTATTACGTATTAAATTAAAGTTATATTCAGATGATGTATTAGATTCGATTTTGGCGTTACATCCATATCGATATATGATAACAAATCAAGAGATAGAATGGTATAACGTAAAATCAAAGGAACTACTGTAAGTAAGTCCCTTGCCTAAACAGGAAGCTATAGATAAAATATCCTTTACTTTTAGATATAATAGTAATGCTATATTATGGACAAATTTCAAAGGGCAAACATCATCTTTCGACGACGGCTTACATTTAAAGAAAGATTTATTGAGAAAGGTTGTTTTTTAATAATTGTTTATGAAATATGTTTTTTACACTCTCTCCTTTCAGCAAATTAATACCCTTTTAAATTTTTATTGCAATAAAAAAATGAACTGGAAAGATACAAATTGTTTCAAGAAATCAGAAGAGGTCACAATTATTCAAAAATTTCTTTTGATGATCTTTATCATTATGTTTGTACTGACAAATCATGGATCAAAAGTATTGTTTTTTAAAAAACCCTTTCTGTTGTAGATGTGCATTACGTATTTTACTATTGTTTGACTTAGAAAAGAGAAATGAGAGTACGAAAGAAATCATTCATTCTTTGTTCAAATTCGGTCTAATTATGCTATACTTATTCCTATCAGATAGGTTATAGAGATTTTTAATTAGCAGACTCACCTACTTTAGATTTTTTAATTTTTACTCTAAGTGTTTTTCCAGATGGAATCTATTCATGAAAGCCAACAAATCCTTTAATCCTGGCGCTATGATGTTTACTATATTTGTGATAATTTTTATTAGTTTGAAATTTCTTGGAAATGCTGCAGAAGTATTTATTTTTTATTCATTGGAAATTTTATATTAAATAATCTTGAATTTATCATATTCAGCCATCTATCTTAAATAAAAACCAAACTGAAGAATGGAAAGGATGGATGCAAATTGTAATTCTTCTATATCATTTTACTGGATCAAGTAAATTTTTAGGTATTTATGCGCATATTAGAGTTCTTGTAGCAGCGTATCTGTTCCTTAATGGATACGGAAATTTCACATATTTTCTCTCTTCCGGTGACCTGGGTATTAGAAGGTTTCTGAAGGTTGTTTTCTTTAACAATTTTTCATTTGTTTAAAGTAAATGATGTTTAAACAGGTTGTCTTTAGACTCAATTTTCTTGTAATATTTCTATGCTTAGTACAAAATAGACCATATCAATTCTATTATTTTATACCATTGGTTTCATTTTGGTTTATTATTTGTTATATTACTTGTATTATCCCTCCAAGGTTCAACAATGAACAACCGACATGTAAGTTTATACTTTATTCTGGCTATTTCGATAATATGAGTCGCTTTTTTAAATTTTTCACAGCTAATTATAAGACATATTTGTTTATATTTCTTAAAATAAGCGTTTTATTCTTATTAATATCGTTTATCTGTTACTCCAAGGTATACTTTAGTTATGTACTTATACTAAAAACATATTGACATACACTACTTTCCTTGAACAGAAAACATTTACTACGATTTTTACATTACCTGCCCTCAGATTACTCTTTGTCAATATGAACAAATCAATATATGAATGGAAATTTCGATTTTCACTGGATAGATATGTAAGTCTCAAGGCACTTCAAATTTTAAATGTTTTATATTAGCTTTGTTCAGGGTCACCAAGTACTTTTCTAAAAATTTTAGTCTTATCAATAATATCGTTTCGTTAATGTTATTAATATATAGTATTAGAGGAAAAAAAGCATTTGAAATAAACAGAGTATCAAAATTCTACAGAGTTGTATATCAGGAATGATAACAGCATCTTGTTTACATATTCTACGAAGAAAGCAGATATCAGTTTCATCAAAATATATTATATCCTTTTTTGGAATTTGTTCAATAAATTCGATTTTGGTTTACGAATGGTTCCTACATTATTGCAATAGTAAAGCGGAATATAACAAATATCATGCTTTTCTTTCAGTTGTACCTGTTAGTATTTAAAACTTTATTTCTCATTTTTACATTGAGTTCCCCCTCCTACACAGATTTTCGCCTACTGTTTCCTGAGAAATTTAAAATCGAATTGGAGAAAGAGCTATTGCTACGTGTTTTCTTGGTTCGGAAAGATCTCATTAGAGGTAAAGCCATTAATTATTAAATAATTCTTTTATTGTACAAGATTTATTTCGAAAAGCTATTCATTCTTCAATATCATATATGGTTAGCGTCTGATACTCAAGGAATTCTTATTCTACTACCAAACTGCCCCATTGTAAATGCTATTTTTACAACATTTATTTTCATAACTGCCAGCTATGAAATCCATTGCATAACTGTAAAGCTTGAATCGTAATTTCTATCTAATATTGATTTTCATTGGCACCTCTTTTCAGACTTCACTGTCAACAAATATTTTTTCTTCTAAATGAAAATAGACCAATCTCTTCAAGAAAATTCTAAGAGATTGAATGTAAGCTCTCTTTAACATTTTAATATTTGTTTTTATAAATTAAACATTTTTCCAAAATTTTTAGGCATTTCATCCTAAAGACAATCTAGATAAAACATTTACCGACACTAGAGTGAGCCACCAAGTGCTAGAGTATATAACGGAACTTAACATTATCAAAACGGAGACTTTCTCTTTGTCAATTAAAGCTTATTTATAAATAAAATTTATGAACAAAACACAAAGCTTTTAGAGTATTCAGTTCAGATATGCAAATAGAGCCTCTTTCATTAGCTAAATTTCGAAATTATAATGTCTTTTTTTCTTAAATCTGCTGATTCTTCACATTCTAAACTCTCTTTCTCTCTTTCTATTTATATACTGCATAAAATCTATTGACTATTAAGTACAGACATATATTAATAATAATGATAATAATGGAAGAGGAAAATTAATCAAAGAAGGTGTATAGAGGCAATTCTGTAGTATTTATTTTTTGAAGTGTTGACTGAAGATGCTCTCTAAGATTAATCCTTCTTGATACGCTACCCGATATCAAATTATACTAATAGCGAAATTATTTACAGGTTCTTTTCGAAGTAAATTTTATTTTTCTATATTTAATTCGATTATGCTTTCTTTCTAATCTAGAAAACTGTCAATAGTTTCATTTAAAAACGAAATAGTAATGTATTTTAAACAACATATATAAAACAATATACAGTAGAAATTTATAATACTTAATAAACAAAAATCGTTGACTTCTCATGGCACAAAAAAGTGAAACTCTTTGAAAATAAAAATCAAACCAGATAAAACCTTTAAAGTAATTTTCAAGAACATAAAAATCAATGGTCTAAGCTGCTTAAAGAAACAACGAATGCTTGTAAGGCGGAAAATGGATATTTATAATCCATAATAAATACCTCTTCGTCGACTTTACCAAATTGTAAGACGATATCATCATCTGAAAGAAAAAAGAAATTTAAAAAAGTCTCTTTCTTTGATAGTGTTATAATTAATTTATACTGAAAAAATATAAGGCGGCTAAATACTCTCTTTAATCTATATTCTATGTATAGTATTAATAGACAGAATATAGAGATATATCTACCGGTTATTGTTGTACTTTTATAAATTCTTCATTAGCTAACAAGAAATAATTAGTACATAATATATTTACAAACCATGCATGTGAACAATCTGGAAATTTTTTACTGAGGCCCTCTTAACGCGACCATTAAAATTTAATTGATAACTATTGATTTCATCATTCCAAGACGGTGTCTTATTCTTTAACAACATCATGTTATATAATTTGCTGTCTTTCAGCCTATCAATGAGATTGTATTGGAATCCTTGTTCTGGTATTAATACGTTCATCTTCTTAGGCCCTTTTAAACCAAAAGCGTTATGCTCATAAGCAACAGCTATAACCTCTTTGTCTGCGTTTCCAACGTTTCGTTGATGCATTGTAAAATGTCTAAAAAAGTTGCGAGACTTGTATAAATATACCGTATATATATCACAATAATTAGGAAAGCTTAATAATATCAAAAGGAATAAGGATTATTCTTTGTGACTATTACTAGAAAAAATTGTATAGTACCTTCCTAATAGATCTGACTTTAACTTTCCAATATAACCCGATCCATTTACAGCAATATTCGTTTCGTCGTTACTAATGACATAGTTACCTTTCGTAGCGTTTTTCTTTCTTGCAGCTAATAAGAATCCTTTCTTTGAATTGTCTTTTTCTAAATGTAAATAATACGTAGGGTGAAGAGATCCATTTATTCCCAATTTTTGTCGAGTTATTACACATTGTACAAAATTTTCAGCTTTGGGAGCTGGTTCATAGATTAGAGATTGAGGTTGTATATTCTCAATATTGAAATCTTCTCTTTCTTCTGAAGATTCATCCTTAGAGACAAAAAACAAATAATAGAAATATTGAAGACTAACAGGTATAAACGTGAAACTGAATCATTCGAACAAGATTATTCAAACTTAATCTACAGACAAACGGTTATTGATTTATTGATGATTACTTATTCATTTTCGCCAATAGAAGTGTATCACTTGTTTAATATAAAATTTTGATGAGAGACCTTTCAAACATTTTTTAATCCTAAAAGTTTAAAATTTGTATGCAAACATTGATAAAAGAAAGTAGACTATATACAAATTCTCACATAAATTACCGAGAATGGTCTAATTAATTTTTGTATACTTGGAAAATTACTGTCATTTAATTAAGAATGTAACAATATGATTGTAGGTACTACTCTTTAATTAAAGCAAAGATTTCCCGTTACCTAAAAATTAATTAGTTTTTGACTTAAAAGATGATAAGATATTTCTTTAGCTCTTCCCAAGGCAAAATATTAGAAAGGATAAACTTTTTCGTAATTGATTGTATGATTGACAACAATCACTTTGTCTATTTTTTTCTATTAGGGAATAGAACATTTTTAATTAAGTATTTTGAATTATTACTTAACGCTGTGACAATTTTTTTTGCCTGTAAATAGTTAACTGTTCTTAAAAAGGTTACGATACCACTTAACGTTATATTTGCAAATATAGTAAATATCTTTACTACAAACATTTTATACTCTGTGTTAATGGATATTGATATAACCACTTGTTTACTACCTTGATATAGTTGGAATATTGAGTGATTCATTAGTCATTGCTATCCCAATCCTAAATATCTAAAAAAAGGTGCTATCGATTCATTAGTAGGTTGAATTTTTTTGTTTCTATAAGTCATTTTCTCCTTCATTGACCTCTATGGTATCCTATGCAAAAAGAAGTAACTACCTCTTATCACCTCTTACGTTGACTCTTTAATCATCTTTCTTAAAGTAAAAAAAATAAGAGGCTTTTCATAACGTTGTATGAACTCATCTTAAATCGAAATATGAATAATCGCTTGTTTAAAATTATTCTTATCATTTCCCATACTAATTATAACATGAAAATTATTTACCTCGCTTTCTGATATGTCTAAATCATTTGGCACCATTGTAGCACGAGAATCAGCTTGAATCGTAGCCTGCTTACTTTTATTTTCAGTATGGTCGTTCATGACCTGGGGATTAGTTTTCTTCATTGTAGACAAATTTGTATTATAGGAATACTGAGCTGGTACTCTATTATGAACTGATTTCGGGGGATCCTCTCTCCTTACAGGTCTAATGTAATAAAAATTGTAACCAAAAAATTAAAGTGTAAACGAAGAAAAGACTTTTTTTACTGCTCTCTAGTTTTATTCTTAATAATGCAGAAACACCTGTGTAAAAGTTATACTTACGTAGCTAAGTGTCTGCTAAAGTTCACAGCCGATTTCTCCATCGCAGTAATCTTCAACCCCACTAGTATTAAAAGAACGACTTGATAATTTCAAATATAACTTGAATGCGCACAAATTATCCTCTAAATAAAAAAGAATGTTATGAGGAGCGAATATGCGTGTAATATTATCCGATATGAAGACGAGAATGAAGGGAACGACAGCGACGGTATTGATCGATTAATCTAATAAGTAGGCCTACTCTTTTAGTAAAGGTACGGTACAGAATGGTTAGAAATAAATAAGAATTTACATATCGATTATCTATTGGTTTATGCGTAAGAATGATTAGTGTTATTCATTTTAAAAAGTTGTACAATCAGAGCAAAGTTAGGCAAGATTGTTGGCCTACACCAGTTTTTTAAAAGTAGCTCTGCTCCTTTACATTTGTATGTAGTGTAGACAGATAGATGGCGCCATATCAAGACAAGTTTCTTATTCCAATAGATGTGTATTGTTATTTCTATTCGTCTTACAAAATGCTTCATATTAAAAACTTGCATATGAATTGCTAATATAGAGTTAGAGTAAAATTTTTAATAGTTTTGTAAAATGGAATAAACAGACTTTTAATTCATTACAACTGCTTGTTTTAGAGAAATTTGGACATTCTTATTTTCTCAACTTATCACAATGTCTCAAAGTGATCGGAATAATTATGAAACTTTAAGAGAAAATGACAACAGTATATACTTATTCTTTGAGCCATGTACCCACTTCTAATAGTATTTTCATATTAAAGCTTACACCGTAGATGATGCTATCGAAAATTTGGGTAATGGTAAATACCAAATAATGATATTTGTCGTATCTTTGCTATCCTGGGTAAGTTAATAGGGACATACTTTCCATTTGGATAAGATTATAATTTTATTATAGATGACAGAAGGAATGGAACTTTTACTAGCAGCAATATTAGGTCCTTTATTGATTTGTCACTGGAAAATTTCACCAATATCAGAGTCTATAATGAGTTCTGTAATTGTCATTAAAATATCAAATTTACATAATTGTCTTTTTCATAACTTCATTCCAATGTATTTATTAGGCCACATATGTTGGTTTCACTTTGGGAAGCGTCCTATTTGTGCCATTAGCTGATAAGGCCGGAAGACTTGGAGTTTGTACAATTACAATTATATTATTTTAAATACTATTTATTTGTACTAATATATTAAAAACCCATTAATTAGTTACTTTCCTGGTCCCTTGCTGAAAACTTTTATTTTGGTTTCTTATTAGCGTTTGCACCAAATATTATTTGGGCAATAATATTAAGATTCTTAAATGGCATGTTTTTTTCCTATATACCTATTGTGTAATTATTAACATTACCTAAATTAAACCAAAAATGAACCAAATCAATTTTTCGGTTCTTCCAAGAGCTATCTACGATACAGAAATTTTATCAGTTAAAACTCGTTCAAGTGTCACACTATTAGGCTTGGCTAGTGTTAATTATTTGAAACTTCAAAGAATAATTTCATTCTTCTTTTAACAGGCCAGTTATTCATTGGGAGTTTTTCTCCAAAGTGTCTTAGCTTATTTTATAATTCCAAATTATGGATGGAGGATATGGGTTGCTGTAATTTCTACCATTACTTTACTTTCATTTTTGCTTTCATTGGTAAGTTTCTATCATTTCTCTTGTGCCCATATCACATATATACAGTATAAATATAGACATTTAATATATTTCAGAGTTTACAAGAAAGTCCACGTTTCACCGAAAAATTAGGGAATGTACGGAAAACAGAGTCTATATTAAAGATAATGTATAAATGGAATAATAAACCATTCCTCAAAGGACGATTATTGCAAAAGACAGCTAAACTTCCCAAAATTAATAGTTACGCTGAAATTTTGAAATTTGAAGATAAATTTTCAGCTACTTTTCTTTATCTTACTTGGTATTTAATTGAAGTTTTTAAATATGTTAGTTTGTAAACTATTTTATTATTCAGGTTTGGAATTAATTTAGTCTATTTCGGAATTTGTTTAATTATACCTCAAATATTGAAAGATGGCGGTGGATGCATGAAAAATCTCAGTTAGTTTAATTTTAGATTATATCACAAAAATAATCTTAAATAAAATCGTATTCAAGCTATTAGCAATAATTATGGAATGGATGAATTTGGCAACTGTCAAGTTTTTTCTGGTAAAGACTTCTTATACATTATGTTGTCAGGTTTCTCTGAAGTTGTCGCTGCATTTGCGACGTGGCTCTTAATAGAAAGAGTGGGCAGAATAAATATGATATTTGTAGATAATTTATTGACCGGGATTATTTCACTTGTGCTCATTCATTGTTTTCCAAAGTAAGACAAATAGAAAAAAAATGCACATTTTGATTAATTTTTAAATTTTAGAGCTGTTTACGTCGTGTTATTATGCCTTGCAAGAGCCTTTTCATGCAGCTCCTCACATGTTATTATACTTTTGGCTTGTGAGTTCTTCCCAACAAATATTAGATCAACAGCAGTTGGTATCGGATTTTTTGTATGTAAAATTGGAGCTGCATTGTCACCTTTCATAGGTCAATATTTAGTGACCTATTACCCGAGAGGTGCAATTGGTACAATTGGAGTTTTTAGTTTATCAACTTCCTTAATAGTTTTATTTATTAAAAGAGACACAACAAGTGCGTATCTTGACTAAATTTAACAAATAAAAAAAAATCAAAAAACATTTAATCTGATGTATATTTTTTATTTGTAACAATTCATAATTTTCGGTATCCATTAATAAACTATTCTTGGAGCTGAACTATAGAAATATACGTTGAATATTGCAAAGATATCTGGAAAATCCAATTTGTTTTGATCCTTTACAAAATAGAAATAGCAATATAGATCAATAAAGGTTATCATAAAAATTTGACATTCTGTCATAGTTCTCTTTATCCAATCAAGAGTATTTATCTTTTCTGGGTTAACTGGATTTTAATTTTATGGGCTTCGGGATTTAAAATAAAAACGAATAAAGAGAAGTATACTTGGGATCTATGATTTATCATTTAAAAATAGCATAGTTCCCTTAGCATAGTTGTATAAAATTAGTAACTGTCAATAATTGACACCAAGAACATATTTCGTTACTTTGCCAAAATACGTTCTTGTACAGCTTTAAAAGCAAAAGCAGTTTTTCTTTAATTATATAATGAATTCAGTAAATTGCATTGACTGTGTGCTTCTTTTTCTTTGAAAGAAAAATACTTTTCGGTTTAGACACTCTCATAAAGATTGACCTTTTTTTCATCATCTTCATCCTCATAATTCAAAACATCAGCACCTTCATTGAAACCGCTACTTAAACTTGTCCTGGCGGTACTTCGATTCTCAGAATCTTCTATTAAATTAGTATTCTCCTTGCAAGTTCCAAATATTGGCAATTGCATGAAGTTATTTTCAGGACCGAAAGTAGCACATAACGATTGAAAGAAGAAAGTAGCATATATCCAACTGACTATCATTACTACAGTTAAAAATAAACCCAGTTGAAAATAAGCATAGACCTTTGAAGGCAGAACTAAAACTCCTGCCAAAAAAGTTGACAGAGCGGCCATGCTCACAGCAGAACTGATATTAGTAAATGATTCATGCGTCTTTTTTATCCTACTTGTTTCTCTTGAGAGCTGGAAAGCAACGCCGTAATGGATGGCGAAATCAATACTTAAACCAACAGCAAGAGAAATTGCAACGCTCTCCAAGATATTTAATTGCCATCCTGCAAGAACCAGCGAACCTACTGTTACAAAGATTGCACAGGCTATAGTTAAAATCGCTAAAAGTGTAATCAAGATGTTAAATGTGGTAATGAACATGACAGCACAAGCCATGGCCAGAGAAACCGCCATTGCTTGAAACGTTTCCGTTGATAATGACAATTGAAGATCATAAAAATCAAAGAACATTGAAGAGAAGAATCCGTCCTTATTACCATTCTCATGCCAGAACTTATCCAACTTGTCATAAATCGTTGCCATGCCTTTAAAACTAAACGTAAAAGTATCTGACATGTTGACGATAATTCTATAAGCTTTTATATTTGTAGATTTGAGAGTATACAAAGCATTTCCAATAAAGTAGCCTCCTTTTGTCATTTGTGGAAAACAATGTTCCAAAATTGACCTATTCATATAGTTAGGATCCTGACCACAGCATGGAGCTTCGAACATTCCCTCTTTACAATCTGCCTGTATCATCCGATAAAAGTATTCAACTGAACATTCACCGCCGCCAAGTCTTGCCCACGGTTGCTTTCTTACACTTTGGCAAAATTTTAACAAATGATTCTGAAATTCTGTACCATAAAAATCTAAATTATTAAAAACCAAGGTTCCATTGTCTCCAGGCTCCATTGAATCTCCATTGTCGATAGGCTTAACACCGTACAAAAATTCAACAATAACGTTTGGAGAATTCTGAGTGTTTTGGAATTTCTTTTCGTATGTTTGAAACCATGCTTCGAGATGGAAAGTTTTAGGTAGTAGTTGAAAATTTTCACTTGTTGGCAATTGTAATTTTGGCTTGTAAAATGTAAAAATAAATCCAAACATTCCTATCAAAGCAAAAAAAATGATAAAGAAATGTCTAAATTTTATAACCATATTCGGTAAAAATTTAGCAAATACAGCAAGTTTCACTCTGGTCAATATCTCAAACTTTGGACATTTACAATCACATTTTTTCATACAGTGCAGCACAACAGCTATCGGTGGTATCCAAGTAATCATAAAAAATAGATTACACAAAACGGCAATTCCACAAAATATCCCAAAGCACTTTATAGCTGTGATATGAGAAACATAGCAAGCAAAGAAAGCTGTAGCTGTGGTCAATGATGTTACAGTAATGGAACTCATAGCATGTTTCAATGTTCTTTTTAAGAGCTTTTCAACAGTTATTGTCTTTTCTCTTTCGAACTCTAAGCTCCAGGCATCGAAAAATATAAACACATCATCAGCTCCGATAGCAATCAGTATTAATAGGCAGAGTAAATTCATAAATGGAAAAAATTTAACACCGACTATAATATGATAGAGAAAATATGCAAGAAGAAAGCTAAATATCATGTGCATCAAAGTGGAAATCATGACAGCCAAAGACCTTACATAGAAGGCTGTTAGGAAGAGAATGGCAATCCCTCCAACACCGATAAACAAAAGATCTTTTTTCATATAATCTAAAAAGACGTTTATTCTGTTATCCATATATAGTCCTGCCAAATTTAAGTTCTTATACACTATCTTTCCATCTAAGAGATCATTGAAATATTCATCTTTGTTAATAATACCATTTCCAATAACTTGGGCATATGTAACCTTTGATTTATCTGCCAAGTATCTATTATCAGTAAAATAATGAAACATTTTAAACAGGTATATATCTCTGCCATCCATAAAACACTGAATGCTTTGATCTCTGCATGTAGCGTTTTTACTACAACTCTGCCAATGGCCCCCGAAATATATGATACTACAATCTGACATTAGATGTTTGACAATTCTAACATCATTATCGTTTATCTGAGAGCAACTTTTCATCCTTAATCTGGCAATAAAAGAACCCAAACTTTGTGCAGGACATTCAGACGCAGAATATTTTAAAGGATAGTAAATATCCGTTGCCTCACACAGGGTTTTTAAGTTTTTTGTAGTAAATATATCGGTATTATCTGTTGTTTTCCAAACCATTTTTGGCAGATTTTCGTCTGTTATATCTTTCAAAAAGCAGTCATAGTCAGTTTTATAAATGCTCTTTCGAGGTCGATTTAAGGATGTATCACTATGCGGACTGGGGAAAATCAGTGTTGAATTTGGACTTTGTGTCAATTGTCCAGCAGCATTTCTTTGAGCAAACAGCCTATGCTTTATATTTGTTCTCCTCGTCTCAAAACCCTGTTTAGGTAAAATAAAGGAAAATAATAGAAAAAAAATAGGTCAATATCATTAAAGATTAAGTGTATTCAACATTAAATTGAATAAAAGGTCAGAGACCCCATGATCACATGTTAGAATATAATAGGCAACAATGGATTTTTAAATCTATTCTGAGAAAAATCAATTTAAGAATCTTTGATTTTCATCTGTGTTTAAATAAATCAATAACTCGAGAATATCTTTTCTAAAGAGTTCAATTAATATTAGAACGAGATTTCTCGTTAAAGAACTAAGGTAATCGTTTTTTGAATAAATTTAATTACTATTATATATGCTAAAGGAAATATTTAACATAGTTACTGAATAAGAAAAAGCATTAGCAAATAAAAATTCATTAAAATATTAAATATCCATGCTTTAATGATGGAGTGTACCATTCCTCAATACTTAGTAATAATAAATATCTATAATCATTAGAAAAACAAATTCAGGTCAATTACGAATTTCTCAAACTCAATAAAGTATTTTTTCTATCACAAACGATATAAATCAATCTATACTATATATATACACAAAAAATTAGCAATTAAAATATAAATAGGCTTAGTTGTTTCATATTGACGTAAATATAAATGAGTTATAGTCATATGAGCGTACATGAAAAGTCGTTTTTTATAAAATATGAACACAATAGATGGCGTTTGGACTGCAAAAAAATCCCTTTAGATAGAGCATATAGGTCATGGCTTGGTCAATAAATGAAAATAGGGTATATTTAGAATTCGTATATACTTTAACAATAAAATTAGCTCTAGGAAATATCTTTAACGGATTAAATCAATTACAAAGAGCTAATTATTCAAAAGAAGTATTATCAAGAAAGTAAATTTTAAAAAATATAGTAAGAATACCACATGTTTTATATCGTAACTTCCACGTTAGCAGCAGGCCTTATTTGAAGGGACTCCCTATACATTCAGTGATCAAATTTTTATCGTTCAAAAAAAAACATTAAGCCTACGATCATACAATTTCAAAATTTTTCAATAGGTCCAAAAAAAATTATTAAAATGTAATATAGAATTTAAAATTGGTTGAATAAGTATTCTATAAGAGTAGTGCAAGGTAAATGTAGCTATTTTTATCGTTTAGATTCATTAACCTTGCTTGCCATCCAATGTAAAAGTTATATACTGTTAGAGTAAACAAGTTATAAATAGTGTTCAGTCTTTTAACAAAAAAAAAAGCTTGATTGAGAAAAAAAAATCTGTAAATTTTATTTATTTGTAGAAAACTGTAAAAAAATTTACAGATTTTTCAAAAGTCAACAATAATTGACAAATCAATCATAACAAATAAAATGGACGTCGAATGAACCATTTCTCTTATACAGTCGGTTTAGAACGAGGTCAATAAAGCTGAGTTTTTTTAGTGGATAGGCCTATCTTAAAGTAAACATGGTTAAAGTTTTAAGCTACAACGTTTTTACACAAATAATCAATACTATTTTACAAACTGTAAAGAAGTTCAATTAAACTATTCTCTCTTAAAATAATAATTATTCCCCTAAAACTTTCTAATACATAATTCATTATATCTGAATAACAATAGTAAAGTATTAAAATATGAAAAGAAACTATTAAAAAACAAAAAATAGCTATTATTTAATTAAAATAAAGTTACGAAAGGGCAAATCATTAATTATACATCATTATTTAATTCGATTATTTAAGAATCGTTATGCTTTTGATAAAAACAAAAATTGTAATCTTTGGGCTACATTTGATGGTTAAATGAATCATTTTGAAAAGTTTAATCCATGTTAACTTTGTCCTACTTTTGATGGAAAGATACCTAAGCAAAACATGAAAACAATCCTGAGACGATTATGAGTGAAACAACTCGTCTACTTCTCTATAAGATATATAGCATTTTTAGATGTTTACGAGAGAACACTTTTTTTTTCATATTTGATATTTGTGACGTAAATAATTCAAACAACTCTACCTATCAATAAATAATAGGTGCAAACCGATAGGCCTAAATACGATAGAGTGTATTGGTCCTATAAGGGACTTTGGTTAAATATTGTTTACCTGTTCTGGTATCTGTAACATCAACTTTGCTAACCGTTCGTTAAACTCTTACCTCTCTTTGAGATTTTTCTTAACCTAGTTTTAACTGTTATATCTTAATCATAAAAACCCTATTATTTTTAAAACACTATTTGCTAACTAAATTTCTAGGAGCTGTTTACTCCACATTATGCTAAACTTTGTTATGCAACTGACCTACATAGCCCGCTCGTGTTTGTCCTCATTACAACTCATCTAAATTTACCCACCAAAGGGTCGATTATGAAATGCTTAAATTATTGACTAATACTAATGTTGACTTGATTAGTGTCCTTGATTATTTCGCAGCTGATTGGATGGTCCAAAACGCCACCTACCTAATCTAAACAAAAACAATAATATACTAGGCCTGTGTCGATTACTCAACAAAATAAAAAATTGAGGTGTTACGTAATATTTTCAACCAATAAATAAGCTTCAATTTCATTATTTCACAACTTAGATCGAGTATTCTTTATCATAAATGATTTCCTAAGTTGGTCAAGAACAAAATTAGCACATTACATCTTTCCTAATTATGATTGACCGGAAAAAAAGATCAAGTTAAAGGAAGATAAAAACCATGTCATGTATTAACGGATGTAGCTTAATTACGTTGTTATAACAACAAAAATAAGTTAGTATCGAATGAGTGTATATGCCTAAGAAAAGTAGGTCACACGTGTCTGAACTTCTGTATTATAGGGAGTAAATATATCTATACAGAAAATAGAGATCGATTTATCAAAATCTAAGAGGATTTGACTCTTTTGCTCTTATTAAGAAAAACCTGATATAACAACTTGTAAGCTCTAATGAATAAAAATCTATTGTAATATATGAGCAATCACTTTATAAAAACACAATTATACTCAATACTCATAATTGGTTGAACGGGGGTAATTAGACTTAATTAAGAAATATTTGAATCTTATACCCCTTTAATGGTTTTAAGTCTTCATTTCTGATTCTCAAAAAGCAATTTTCTTCTAACTACCAAGAAAGAGGCTGCTTATTTCTTTGAATATCAAGAACAAAGAGCATAGAAATAATTTCTGCTTCTGACTTAGTACCAATTACAAATCTTAATTTGAACGAATAGTCTGAAGTATATATGTCCTCAATGATTCTAGGTCAAATAGACCTTAATTGATATTATCTTATAAAGTGGATCGCACCATATTTAGCCTTGAAAATTGTAACAGTTTCGATCATTTGTCATTCATAGCTATCGTGTAGGATCTCTTTGGACATTGCATTTGCACGTGACCTCTGTTCTTATTTCTGTTTTCTTTTATTCAGAAGTCCATGAAGGTGCTTTGAGAATTCTGACTTTTTCGTTTTTTATGTTAAATTTTAAATATTTGCCATTGAAATTTAGTGTGTCAATGCTTTTAATAGAAATACTGAACCCTAATCCTATATAACAAAGATAGAAATATTTGTTATAGTATTTTCCTTGCATGTGCAAGTTAGACCTAATATTTTATTCATTCCTTTAGCAGCAAGATATTTAATATATTAGGGTAAAAATGCACAAGCTCATGTCTCAGCTCGTGTCATAGCACAAAGGAGATAGCATATATATGTATGCTCTAAGTACAGAATCTAGTATTTTAACGAAAATTCAAGAATTCTTACCTTCCTTGGCTCTTTGAAATCAGGAAATGGAACAATATAAAAGGCAGGCAGAGATGTTAAAGTTATAAGAGCAATTATCACTATTACATTAACATATGGATATTTACAAATATAAGTCGCGTATCTGCAAAAAAGAAAAAATACGTTTAAAACTGTATACGAAGAGATTATGAGATATCATATTTCAATGAAAATGTACTGGTATCTACTAAAAACTTATTTAATAAACCTTTCAGAAGGATTTAAATCTTTCAATTTTCTTCTGAGAGATTCCATTATAGTACCAATTTCAACAGCGATCAATAGAGAACTAAGGGTGAAGACATTTCATTGAATGGCCTGGAGAAGAATTCAAGCTTAATCTGGCGCCACCTGTCGTTATAGAATAAATATTATGCACTACAATATTATTGCTACTAGTAAATCTAACGTATCGTCATAAAACATGAAAATTTTACAGTAATTGATTGCAGTTTCTAACAGTCTGACAGATACTGAAAAAGTTGATAATCAATATCACTATGTAGCTAAGCAACTGTTATTTTCCTATGCAGAAATTATACAGGTAAAAGATCTTTCTCGCCATTTCAGCGTATAAACATGCGCATATTGATTTCGGATTGAAACAAGCAAAACAATTCGATCCTAGAAAAGAACTTCGCAAAGATCTTTTGTTCAATGCTCACCATGCGGTTTTAAAACTTTCTAGAAAGTAGCTCAACTTAAAGTCTACTTCATTTCCATCATTAGCATTAAATATATACGCTTGAAGCGTCAATGAACCTATTTATTTAGTAATTGTTTTGCACTTCACCGAAAGAACATCGCTGTATCCGCAAAATTGTTTAAAATTTTATCGATACTTCGATGATCGAACAAAATATCCCTTATCTCTGAGCAATATAAATCTTCACCTAGATGGATGTATAGCCTATAACGTAAAAGCAAAGCTTCTAAACTTTAAAATGTTTGTTTATTTATATTACAGTTTAATTAGACCTTGTATATTACTTATCTCAGTCATATTCTTTTAGAGACTAAAATTTATTTTCCTTTCTATTTCTACTATAAGCCTGTATTGCTTGTTCAATAATTAATGACTGAATGAATACTAAGCTGTAAAAGTTTCAATTTTACTTCTTCATTCGTTAATTGTCAATTGGTTCCATATTTTACGTATGGACTTTGTATTAGTTGACAAATCAGACAGATTTACAAACCTGAAACGGATTTCAAAATAAGTTAATGTTGTTAGGCTAACGCCCTCTATCAGCTGAATATATTAAAAGTAATAGGCATCCTAAACTGCCGAAATTCTCGTATGCAAATGAATAGTTGAAAGATTACTTGTATTTTGAAAAAAAATACTTTCAACCAGTTTGATAGTTTGTCTAAAGGTCGATGTAGGACTACAACTCTAACATGTTGGACCCAACCATATGCAGGATTTTTGTCGCTTTTACTATTTCCAGCGTTATTATTTCACAATAGTAAACTATAATATTAATATTAATACAACAGTGAACCCAGCTTTTCGAGTTTATGCAAAATTGTTGGCCTAAATTTTAGCAGTCGAACTGTTTTTTTAACGACAAACGAAAAAATCAAATTAAGTTAATTCATACTTTATTTCATTTAATAAACTGTTAGAAAGCCTAGGAAGGTGTATACTTTAATCCGGAAATGTAAATGTATCTATAATAGAATCCTGTTGATAAGAACAAAGAAAAATTTGTTTTTAAGCACAGAACTCGAGAGGAAAATTTGCAAATGTAAATGTAGATTGAGTTGATAAATTCTAACACGTATACAGTCACATTCTAAAAGAAATTGTAAGTTACTATGTAGACTCCACAAAGAAAGCGTACATTTTACCTAGGCCTGATTTATTTGTTTAGTTTGATAAAAATTTTCTTTCTTCGGCACGTGCAATTGTTCCCAAGTATTCGTATCAATAAACAATTTATTGTTGTACATATTATTATTAAAACATAAACATAATGACCCAATCGTATAACTTTTTTCTAAATAAAAATCGAGAATAAACACCTATTATTGATCTATTAATTGAAGCGTTTTCGAATCAGCTGGCAATACTTATTAAATTCTATAAATAGGCTAATTGAAATGGAAAAAACATATGTAATTTGTTGTAAACATCTATTTCGTTGAAATTCCGTTGAAGAATTTCTTTAATAATAGAATGAAAATAAATTTTATTCTGACGGGGTTCACGTGTTGCAATTAGGCTGCAAAATCTCTTTAAAAGTGATTTACACCAATTTGCTTAATGCTGCTAATATATATTCAACGTCAATTTTCATTCTCAAAAGTACTATATACCTGGTTTTACCACAAGGAGGCTCTTGTGAACTTGTGCTGAAACTTCTTTGTTGCAAGAGAATTCGGCTAATGTTAAACTGCCTAATACTATACCTACCGGTCTCACATTTAACGGTTAAAACCAAACTATTTAGTCGGTTTAGCCAATCAACAAAGAGTTGAAGGCTTTCATAATTGGAAGATAAGCACCAAATAGAAAATGTTTGTTACGATATTTAATGAAAAATGTTAATTCTTTGAGGAATCACTGACAACAAAATAAGAATTGACTGCCTTAATGTTGCATAATCCTTCTATCTCAAATAATCCTTATCCAAAAGGCTAGTGCCGCCTTTGTCCTCTCTTATGGAATAAACAATGATAAGGAATTGCACAAAAGTCAGACGAAATTAGACTTTGATATTCATTTTGCAGAATTCTAGATACCTAGAGAGGAAATCTAGTTCTACATCAAAAATATTAATTCCTCCTATAACTTATACCTATTTATCTTACTCGTGAATATACTCAAATGCAATAGTATGAAACATCATGCTGGTTGGTCCATCTGTTAGACAATTGTAAGCTTTGTTGAAAAGCAAATAAGAGTACTCTAAATGCGATTTAATGTGAAATTAGTTTTACAGATATGATTATTGGTAATGAAAATTCTTTATTTCATTAATTAGTATAATTTAAATCGTATTAATTTCACCCAATATGTTAACTTTTCTATTTTTGTATCTTGACGAGACTTCCTTAGCTATTTGATCCTTCAACTCAAAAGTTCTCTTTCTAATTGTATCCAACTTAGGCAAGAGTTTCTTTTCATCTTCAATTGCCTCAAGTCGATTTTGAACCATTAAATGACTCATAGCCGTCATTTTTTCAGCATCAGTGAGAAGCTGTTTCAATTTATCAGCTACCCTTTCTACATATCTTGGAGAGTCCCTTATCATCATTAGATCCTGTGTTTTAGCGTCCGTTAACAAGTTCAGGATATGTTTTGCAAGCGATTCCATAAATTCAACATTATCCAAACTTTTCAAGAGGTCAGATGGAGCTCCATCGAACGTAATACTAGTTATTGTATCGTTAGTATTAGAACCTAATTCCAATCGGCGCAACGAAAGAAACGAGATTAACTGTAAATTATAAAACAGTATTAAGTTTGAAATAAAAATAAAACTTTATAAACCAGGAATAATCAGAAGCTAACAAAGTTTGCTACAAAATTTGCTTGCCTGATCAACTTTAAGTCTTATTATAGTAATTAACATGTAGAACTGGGTCTTAAACCAATAGAAAGTAACTAGCACAAAAAGTGTGACTTAAGCGACAATTAACATACTGTATATTGTACATGGTAATTACCTGCTTAACTGCTTAGATAATATGAGTTTCTAGACCATTTACCAAGTTTATAGTATTCTTAGCTTTTAAAGTTACAAACCTCATAAATGTCGTTTAGAAACAAGTTTCTAGAATCGCCATAATCTAAAACTCCCCTCGCAAAACAGCCTCGAGCAACACCCTCTTCGGATTTTATTGTCTCAATCCCTTTGCTATCGTTATTATCTCCATAATCAATTTCCTGACCTCCACCTTCAATTGTAATCTACATAAAAAGGAAATTATAGCTAGAGCTGAAAAGGCAAAATAGGTGTTTACCGCAGAAAAGTCAATAGTTTCAGCTGAAGGATCTTCATTAATGTTTCCCCAATCAATCTAAAGCACGAATAAAATTAGTAAGAATAAGAATACATAAAATAATTTTAAAATTCAACCTCTTCTGTATCTTTCTCTTCTTCATCATCAAATGCAATAGTCTCATCTGAAATCTCAATCGAGTTCGGTATCTCATTGAATTTCCACTCATAAACGGTGCAATTTCCTTTTTCCAAAATTAAACGAAGCATAGACAGTTTGTCTTTACTTCTATATACAAAATGAAATATGTGACAATTGCTTTCGAAATGCTATTATAGAAAAAAAATATCTTACTTTTCGCCACTTAAAAATTCTGTAAAGTTTTTATAATATTCATAAGCAGGTTTCAATTCTTTAACTTCGCTGGCTATTTCGTTGAATTTTTGCGGTAGATCATTGGATAAAGCAGTTAGTTCAGTTTTTAACTTTCGACCTTCAATGCCAATCTTTTTAGTTTCAATTTTAAATTTATTCATTCGCTCAGATGATATTCCTGCATAATCACTTTCTTTCTTGGCAAACTCCTATTTAACAGATAAGTAAGATTTCATTGAATTAATTTGCTAAAATTACCTTTTGGTTTTGTCTTAATTTAGATAATTTTTTTTTCAACGAAGGAATATCGTAATTCACATTTCTAGCTAACAATTGAGCAGCTTCCGCAAGATATAAATTATCTTTTTCATATAAGCTGACAATTTCTTGCCAATCTTTCATTCTCTGTGAAGAATATCTTCCAAAAATATTTTTCGTCTCTTTTTCAGTTTCTTTTAATATTTCAATTATTTTTATACAATGAAAATAATTAATATCTATTAAAGGAAAACAATTATTATCGCAATTTACATTTGTATATTTTAAGCTAACATGTTCCCTGAAGTAGTTTGGTCACAGAATCAACTTCTGGCATGTCTTGAATTGCAGAGTTAATCTTTTCTCTCACAATTAGAGCATCTTTTTGCCATTGTTGTTTACAGTGTCGTCTATTTATTAACCAATCTGTTGAAATGCAAAGATTTTGATTAATTTACTATAGATATGGACTGAGTTAACCTGCAATTAATATATCTATAATATAGTGATGATGTTCAAAGACAATTTGCAGCATAAAATCTTACCAAGTAGTTTATTGAAGTGTATATCTATAGGTAAGTATTCCTCTGACATCATTTATTATCGCTCAGCACGCATATGTCTATTAAATAATCCAAATTGAACGGTTGATTTACTAGATACTTAACAACTTGCAAATTGAAACAAGTTGAAATTCAAGATAGTCGTTTATTTACGAAGAAGAAATAGTTTTAAAAGTAAATGTTGTGCTTTTTCTATCTCCTATGTGTTACCGGAAAAGCAAAACATTCGGTTTGCACCACGTGATCAAATAACAACACGTTCGGTTTAAATAAGCAGAACTTGATTATGCGATGATTATAACTTTAAAAAGTTTAATTTATCAAACGTTTGCGAGTGTGTGCAGTACTTATGAAAAAATTATACAAATTAAACGAGAAACTAAGTTTCTTAATTTGTATATTTCGTACAATTATCAACAGTCGAATATTTAATGAATATTAATTAAAGAATCGACTTGGGTGTACGTGCACTTAAATACAATATAGAGATTTATACGTATGAATTGCGGGAAAAAATAGTCTCGTTGACATATTTATCCAGGTGGCTACCTCAACAAAACCAGCTGGAGATTTTCAAAATTAACGTTACGATTACATTCACGTCAAACTTTGTCAGTTTATAAATGAGTAGATTGAGTTGTGAATCTATATTTTCTAAGGAGGCAATCGTTTAGTGGACAAAAATTAAAAAAAGTGTTTTTAAATATTTGAATAAACATCAATGTTAATTTTGTCAATGAATATGGAAAACAAAGGATGCAAATTTGGATATGTATTATTTTCAACTCTAAGTGTTATTTTATGTTTGTAAATATTAAAATGCATTCACCTAATTATAATAAATTCCCATTTATACACCGTCTATCGAAAACAGCGGCTATATCGAGCGGATTTTATATTCACGCTAGTAAGTCTACATCTAGTAATCTAATAGAAAAAATTGTCGATAGAATGAACTATACAACTGCCGAAGTGGAAATGGCAAAAAACTTTGTCGGATTAGGACTTGGTTTTGGTTTTGTTTTAATATTACCTTTTGGAATTTCCACCATATTTGGTTTAAGTTTAGTGATGTTCGCGAAAAACTCTTGTTGGGTGAGAAAATTTTGCGTTGTAAATCCCATTTGTTTGCTCCTTAGACTAATTGTAAATAATTTTTTTTTCAGTTTGTATTTCATGTAGTCCTCGGGTTTGTAATTAATGTTTTAAGTTTGGCAGCTGCATTATGTCTTAGTTATGCAATTCGAGGGTTAAAAACTATAAATAAGGAACGGATTAGATTCGAAAGTAAGTTTAACAATCTGCTTTACGTCTATATTTAATAATATTATGCTTTTAAATATTTTTGTTGATTAATCTAATCTTGCATTTAAGATTTTACGAATGCAACATCACCAGATAAATTAAACGAAATCATTGCCTTCTTGATATCTTCTTGTGTTTTATATTTTATAGCTTACATATGCTATGTCATATCAACATTATTAGTATGCTTTGTTTGTCGAGAAGTGGAAAAATTATTGGGTTCATTGTCAATTAAATTTCCAATGAGGCCAACCATTATTGAAGTGACTGGAAAAGGACCAATAGCTCCTGAGGATTTAGTCAATGATTCTGAATCCGCAAAACCCATTCAACCGTCAGAGGCAGTCTCTACTACTAGAGGGAATAAATAACTTCTAAATTTATTCATATATACTTATATATTCATCTCGTTGTTTTTGTATTTTGTGCCGAGTTTTGCTTTCTTGTTTACCCTTTTTTTTAATTAATTTACTTTATCGTTTCATGCACAAGAAATATCTTTATTCGAATAAAAAAGAATTCTTCTATTGAGTGCAAAGTTTTTTTGGTATGGAAATAAAGTCTTACACAACCAAATTTAGATGATTTAGAATATCACAAGCACCAAACCTGTTTTTGACAAACAAACGATGGGGCCTAGACCAATCGATCGAGGCTGGATTCCCATTCCAAACTAATATATTTCTCTCTTCTAGGCAATCTATCGGGAGGGAGCTGGTTACCAAGCTGATGAAATTTCTGCCTCTTGCCCGCATTTGACGGCCAAGTCATGTGTTCGCTTGATTTGGAAGAAACGGCAAACCGACTAGGAATTGAATATTTCCTGGTATCTTACGCACCTTTAAATACAGATGTAAGATGTTCTCTTATACCCAAACGTGCAATTCGAGAAGTGCAAAAAAACGGATGCGGAATGCCCCCTGCAATGTTCTTCAAATCCACTCCTGTAGAACCAGAGATGATAATTAAACCTGACCCAAAAAGTTTAATACAATTGCCATGGAAATCTAAGTTTGCCTGGTTAAGCAGGTAATATTATTTTTTGTACAACTAAAATAGTTATAGTATATGATGATTCCAATTCATTATACAGTGACTTATATATGTATGGAAAACCGTTTGACCAATGTCCCAGGGCTTGTTTAAAGAGGCAGGTGGAACTCGCCAAGAGTATGGGATTTTCCATGAAATCTGGAGTAGAGCGTAATATACTACTTTGTTTATTAATTATGAAAATATCTAAAGTTTAATTTAAATTACCTTTGATCCTTAAAGACCAATATTTTGTTGATTGATATAATCAATGTTTTTTATGCAATTTATTACCTCAATCAATTATTAATTGATTTTTATTTTTCTCTTTCTTTTCGTTCAGCTGAATTTACACTTTTAACAAAGGATGGAAAAGAATTCGCTGATAAAATTGACATGCAACAGCCCATGAGCCTTCAAGATCCACTTGCGATTATGAGACATTCCAAGTTTTTAACTGATCTATCTGATTCTATGGAAAAGATTGGGTGGAATCCATATGAAATCGACCACGAGTCATCTTGCTGTCAATACGAAATTAACTTTGATTATGTTGATTGCTTAGAAACAGCTGATAGATTTATGTTTATGAAATTCATGATTAAAGAACTAGCAGAAATTCATGGTATAAAAGCTTCGTTTATGCCTGTGCCTATACCTAGAATACTCTGCGGTAATAACAGTTGATTCAAATTTTTATAATCCGACTTTTCGTATAACGATATTAATAATGTGTTATCTTTTATATTAGCCAATGGCTTGCATGTTAATGTTTCCCTTTGGAATAATAGCACACATACGAATGCATTTGAGGATGATTCGGATGAGTTGGGACTATCCCAAATTGCTTATAACTTTATAGGTGGTTTAATGAAACATGTTGAGGATACATGCGCCATTTGCTGTCCAACAGTAAATAGTTACAAGAGGTAAATGTTGGCTTTTAGAATAATTACCCTTAAACATCTATTCTTTTTCCACAGATTAAATAGAGGTGTATGGTGTCCCAACGTAATATCTTGGGGTGGTAATAACAGGACTGTTCTATTTAGAATTCCAGCCTCTAATAGGTTAAATTCCAAGAAATAGGATGTTTGTCTAACGGTTGTCCTAATTCTTTCAGGGTCGAACACAGATTGCCTGATGCGACTGCAAATCCCTATCTAATGCAAGCGGCAATCTTGGCTTCGGGCCTGGATGGAATCATAAATAAGATTCGTAATTATTTTGCAATGAATAATAAATTAGCAAAATAACATAATAAATCATCTCGTTACAGATCCAGGGCCGAAAGCTGATTTCGATGTTCAGATGCAATCCGAGCAATTTAAGAAAGTACCGAAAAACCTTGAAAAGGCTTTAGATAAATTGGAATCAAGTACATTCTTGAAAGATTCTCTTGGAGAACCAATTATCGATGGTTTTATTCACCTTAAAAGAAAAGAATGGAATCTGTTCCATTCGGAAATTACACCGTGGGAAATAGATTATTATTCTAATGCTTAATTCTTTGATTTATAATTATATAGCATATTTTTACACAGTCTGCATGTTTAATTAAATATAAATTAGGAGAAGTAGTTACATTTAGTTACTAATAAATAATATTGTAACACTTATCTCGTTATAAAAGAATACATCCAGCTAGAGTTTACGTAGAATTTGGAATATTATAACAAACTTGAAAAGTGTGCAACTCTGTAATGTTCAGCTTCTCGATAATTAGTCTACATTCAACCCTCGAGATCTATTTACTTGAAAGTTCGCTAATTATATCATGATAGAACTAATATAATATACATTTAATACGTGCTTTATTTCATATACATGTATACTAATATACAATATATATAAAGTATCTGTTGTTTGTTAGATTATCCTAAATAAAGATGTCAAAGTATACATTCTAATAAAAGAAGTAAATAGTTTTATTTTCACACTAATATTTCTATTGTAATCGGGCAAAACTGTCCTGAGTACCATTCACGTTTAAAGAAAACGTCAAAAGTTAACTCTTTCATACTTGACAGCCTGATAGCTTGATAGTTTACTTATAATCCTTCAATTTGGATATTAAATTTAAATTTGATCTATAATTATCGAACGTAAAAATTATTGAGACCGAGGCAACTAAAGAGTTCAGATAATTGATGCTTTATATAGTTTTCAAATAACTCTAGAGGTGTCGCATACAGGGACTCTAATGAAGAAGCAATTGGCCATCAACTATCGCCTCCTATAATCTATAGTTGAGCGCATGAGTCTCTTATCAATTTTACATTTGTAGAAGCGTCTCAATAAAACATCGTTCATACTTAACAAGGTAAGAAATATTTCACTAAATTTTACAAGAAATATTCAATATATCAATTCGTTTGACGTTCTGAAAGAAGAATTCTTAGCCTAGGCTGAGGTTATAGGTTATAAGGCAGATTTTAATCATTTTGATTAGATCTACATTATGAGAGAGTAATTATTGGCAAACAATAAGCATGCTGAAAAATCAGCCGTTAAGTACGGAAGTCGAATATGAAAAGTTTGTCTAATTTTTTTCATCGAGGTCCTTTGAAATTTCTATGGAAACTCGAATTGCACTCTCAATTGCGCCTTCTATCCATCCGTGGAAATCCGATGTTTGTTCTCCGGCGAAGTGGATGCGACCATGAGTCTCTTGAAAACTTTTCCTGAAATGATTTGTACATTGTCCAGGTAGGCACATAGAAAATCCTCCTCTTGAGAACGGATCTTTTGACCATTTTTTCACCACAGCATTTTTATACAAAGACTTCACATCCATTTTAAACATATTTGATAATTGTGTAATATGGCCTTCTATGATTTGTGAATCAGACATATTTGCTAGTTCTCTGGCTTTATCGCCTTCACCTAAAGCTCCGTAGAAAACATTTCGTCCAGAATATTTTCCAGGTACATTCATTGGTCCTGTATCCCAATCTGTAATGATATCTCCTTCTTTAACTCCAAAAGATTCCCAGAAAGGTTTTGAAAATATTTCAACAACTCTAGTTCCCGTTTCGAAATGCATTTTGTCAATTGCTTCTCGTTTCAAAGAAGTCAATTTAGGTTGAAATTTCAATACTCGTAGCGCACCCAAAGATGTCGCAACAACAACGTAGTCAGAACATTCCTTTTCTAATTTAGATTGACCATTGATTTTATAGTAAACACAAGCGTAATCTTTCTTCGTTGATACTTTTACTACTGTAGAATTGAACTGGATAGTATTATTCTTTAGGCTCGATGCGACAGATTTTGGGAGATTGTCAAGGCCTGAATTTACTAGTTTTGCGGGAGCAGCACCGTACGTAAACATCATAAGTACGAACTCGTACATGGAAATAGATCTCATTTCATAAAAATATGATAAATACAGAATATTTTTAGTTAGTTCATTTGAAAATTTACACTTTTTTCTACAGTAATCTTCCAACGAAAACTTATCAAAATATTCAAGAGCATCCATCCAAGTTCTTGATTCTATATCATCCATAATTTGTTCTTGAAATATTTGCATATTTTCGGCAATAGTAGAATTAGTTTCCGGTTTGTCAAAAACATAGCTAAAAGGGTTTTTTTCCCTCAAAGCAGCTTTGTATCGCTTTATTCTTCCATTTAATGCAATTAAATTGTTATTGACGATCCTACGAAACGATGAAACTTTTATCGAAAAATTAGACATGATAGATAATGCAAATATGTGTGTAACAGGTATTTGAAGAGCGCCAAGTTCCCCTTTCCATCCAGACGGATCCCTATACGTATGAATTCGTCCACCAACTCTATTGCTAGCCTCAAATATTTTCACCCTTTGGCCCATTTGCTGTAACAGTTTTGCTGTAACAGTTCCTGATATTCCAGCTCCCAGTATTATAACTTTCTTTGACATATCCTTTCTTAACGGTCCTAAAAATTGAATTCAAATGTAGTTAGATCTTATTTAAGTATAGAATCTAAAAATCTCACCATCATTTAGGAAATTGTAGTATTGAAAAAAGTCATATCTTGTAGGGGGTAAAGACATTTGATTAGCCCTTTCATAATGCAACTTCGGAGGATTTTTCGGATATCTATAATTAGTGTTCGATACATGACAAACTGTAACTAACGGTTCAAACAATAAAATCACAAATAAACAGAATTTTTTACAATTTTCCATAACTGGCTCTCTTTCAATAAAGTACAATAATGATTTAATATGCTTTTAGAAAAGCTCAAACTTAATATATAGGCCTTTTTCTATTCTGTAATGCACAACGAGTTTAATCATATTGAAGAGGTTCACAATTTTTCAAAGCCTTAGATTTCGTTTTATTATTTAAAATTTCATCTTGGAAGGTGAGTTCTTTAAAAAAATCATCTATAGCACTATTTCATTTTTACACTCAATCATTATGTAATATATTTAATTTATTCAACATCTATAATATTATCAAAAGTTATTTTTGTCTATAGTAAACAATATTTCAAAACATTATAGTAAGTTAGATTGCCGTGTAATTCGAAAAGCTATTAAAAAATCTTTTCATTAATTAATAACGAATTTTCTCTCTTTTTACAAGGAGCTAATCGATGTAAATTTAACTGTATATGATCGTATTGAAAAATCCAATTTGTAAATATCAACTCCAATATTTGTTCATTTCCCATCATAGACAATTACTTTACATTCTAATCTAGGAAGCACAATAAAGATTAATATCACGATATATTTCCATAAAAAGAGTCTAATTTTTTCTGTGTATAATTTGAAAAGTTCTCTTTATCTACAGATTTTAATAATTATTTTTAATATTTCAGATATAAACTTAGAAAGTAATACAATCCAACTTTAATTAACACTTCTACTCATGAAAATGACACTCTCCTCTACTATTTTACGATTTTTAACTATAGTCATCCTGTTTGCTTCTACCTCTCAATGTAAATACGAATCTCGTTTATTTAAAGAAAGCTTTTATCATTTATATCTAACATTTTATTACTTTAAAGCTTTTCAAGATTGCGAAAAGGTCGAAGGAAAGGGGATAATCATTACGGGTGCTTCTAAGGGAATTGGTAGAGAAATAGCTAAACAGTTATCAAAATGTAACGTTAATTTGATGGCGGTCGGTAGAAATGTTGAAAATTTAGAATCATTGCAAGAGTTTATGACATCTAACAATGAAAAAGGAACGTTTACAACCCTATCCATAGACGTTGCAAAGGAAGGAAACCCTAAGAAATTAGTTCAAGTTATTATATTTCTTAGCTAAAACAATCATTCACTCTCTGTGAAAATAACGACTTATTTGCAGAAGGCTCTAACACAATTCAACAAGATCGATCACGTTTTTTTCTCACATGCCCTTTTAGGAAATTATTCCCACTTTACTGGATTGGAAGAAGACTTCGATTTAATTAGACAGATGATGGAAGTTAATTTCTATTCAGTTACTCGTTTGATCGCAGAAATTACAAAATATTCTAAAGGTTATATACCAAATTTTATAATATTTTCATCTCAACTGGGTAAGTTTACATTAAATAATCATTTGTAAAATTTCAAAAAGATGTTTACAGTTGCCGAGCCTCATCCTACGACATTCGCTTATTGTGTAAGTAAATCTGCTCTTATTGCCTTCGCCAAGACACTGCAATTTAAGCTTTATCAAAAGCAAATATCTGTAAAAATAGTTGATGTACCGGGAACTGGTATGTTTTTCTGTTTATATTATATCATATTTGCTTACAAATATAATTGTTATAATAGATACACATGGTCTCTATACAAGTCATAAAATCTTTTATCACAATTATAATAATAAAGAACGCTCAAGTAAACTGGGGAAAGATTTCGATGAATTTTTCGAGTTGAAGGTAAAACCCCATTTGGCAGATGTGAAAGATGTTGCTGAAGACATAATCTTATCAGCATTAGGCAATGAAGAACATGTTGACCTAGTGGAGAAGCATAAGCGTCATTCTGAATTATAGAAATGCTTTGAATGTGATCTTTTATTAATTAGAACGCATAGTGATAACATTATTTGTAATACAGTATAAAAAATATAAACAAACTTTTTATTACATAGATAACAAATCTTTATCAATGACGACTTTCTAGTCAGTTCTTTTCTGTATTTCTAGAGCCACCCGTATTCCACTTTCGACAGCACCTTCCACCCAAGCGTGACTATCTGAAGTATGTTCCCCGGCAAAGTGTATTCTACCAGAAGATTTTTTCAAATTCTTGTTAAAATCATTAGAACATTGTTTGGGAAGGCAAAGAGAGAATCCCCCTAAACTAAAAGGATCATTCAGCCATTTATAAACTACTCCACTATCAAACACAGTTTTTACTTTCTTTCTGAACAGTGTTGATAACTTATTTAAATGATATTCTATCAAGTCTAATTCCGATAAACCATTCAGCAAATGTGTTGTCCGACCTTCACCAACCCCACCATAAATTAGAGATCTTTCCACTTGTCTTCCAGGAATATTTATAGACCCTGTATGCCAATCAGTTGTGATATCACCTTGATAAATACCTTCAGATTCCCAAAAAGGCGTTTTGAATTTTTCAACAATTCTAGTTGCCGATTCAAAGTTCATATTGTTTATTGCCCTTTGTTTCTTTACATCAAGTTTTGGCTTAAAGTTGATTATCTTTAAGGCAGCTGTTTAAAAGGAATTTTCAAATGAATTAGGTATGTAATTTTTTTCTGTAACAGATATGAATTTGTCACCTATTGACGTTGCTACAATAACATACTCTGCACATTCTGTTTCTATTTCTGTACTTTTGTTTATTGAGTAATGCACGCATGAATATGTTTTACGATCGCTTATTCTTTGAACCTTTGCCTTAAATAGAATAGTATTATTGGCAAAATCTTCCGATATCTTTCTAGGAAGGTTATCCAAACCATCCTTAACAACTTGCGGATATTCAATATTAAATGAGAACATCATTCTAATGAGTTCGTACATGCTCACATAACTTAAGCCTTCAAAATTCATGCAAAATAATATTTGTTGAATAGCTGCTTCTGAAAAGTTGCAACAATTTTCTAAATATTCTTTAACTGAAAAACTATCCATATAAGTCATAGCCTTCTTCCAATCCAACTTCTCTAAGTCATCTAAAATAGCTTCTTCATACATTTGAATCAATTCAGACACAGTATACCTGCTCTCTTCCTTTGTAAAATCCAATTTAAATGGATTTTTTTTCAAGCTAAATATACTCTCTCGTAAACGGATCCCATTCATAAAAAGAAAATTTCGACTACCAGTCCGTTGGAATGGTACGATATTTAATGAATAATTTCTTATTAAAGATAGTACTAATTTATGACAATCTAGAATTTGAATAGCTCCTAACTCCCCCACCCAACCTGACGGATGTCTAAAAGTTTTAATACGGCCGCCAACTTTATCACTAGCTTCAATAATCTTAATGTTATGACCCATTTGTTTTAGCAGCCTACCCGCTGTTAATCCAGACATTCCCGCACCAACAATGATAACTTTTTTTGACGCTTTATTCCTCATTGGACCTAAAAAATAAGTCCTTAAATGCACATTTATATTAGAAAATACAATAGAACTATACCATGATTTAGTATTTCTAAGTATTTTTCGTAATTGAACCTCTTAGGTGGGGGTGCTATCCGTTGCATTCTTTGATGATGCGCTTCAGTTTGTTCATTCTGTAACGATCTTAAACGTTTCTCCCAATGTTGACAAATAATTCTGGAAAAAGTTAAAAAAAAGAATGCAGAAAACTCTAAACCACTGCAAATGTTCATGATGATATCTGAAAGAGTAATGAAATATAAAACTACTCTTGCAGCTTTTAAATCATTTATTTATTACAATTAAATCGACTTGACTATTTACCTCTAACTGGGAGAACTCTCAAAATATTAAATACTATTTAATAAGCCCGAGTAGTTTAATAAAGTTATCTATTTTAAAATATTCTCCACATTTTTAGTTTAAGAGTAGCTCAAGTTCAATATAAATGATTTTTTTCAGTAGATAATAGATATAATACCCATAATGCAATTTTGCTCTATTAATATTTGCATGAAGAAATGTATATGTCAATGTTTGAAAATTAAAAACTGTTCCAAAACACTGAATAGAAAACGCATTATCGTGAGAGTATAATCATTATAGTGTTTTTTAAAGTTAACAAAAAACTGGTATCAGAAATCTCTCAAACAGGATTAAAACTAGTCTAATGTTACATTTATTAATTATTTATTGAAAAATATATCAGTTAAAAAAATAATGTATGTTGTTAAACAAAGACATCCTCTCCTGAAGTACTGGTTTACCTTACATTTTTTTGTTTAACGCGACTACTCTTAAGTAATTGTCGCAAATGTTATAAAGATTTCTCAGATACGCAATCATAATGATCGATCATATTCAATTCATTCTTTCTTTAGAAAATTGTTTGAACAGCTACCTCAGTTACAGAGTTTGCTGATCTCAATCGAAGAACGTCTATTCGATTTTTTATTTCCTGGCAATTTGTTATTCCATTTTCTAAAAAAATAGTTACTTGTAGCTCTCCTTGAGTCAGGTGTCTCTAATTCAAGATATTGTACACCTGTTTCAGAAACTACAATAACCGTTACAGCTGCATCTTTATTATTTTGCTTAAAGAGTCTCTAAGCTTTTGAGCGTAACCTTCCTACGCAAACTTGTAAGAACATGATCAGCCGACGCTCCATCTCCTGCTCTACTTAACTCGGACAAGATCAATGTTAAACTCCACTTTCATTCTGCTACATACATCATGGCTAAAATGCAAGTCATGCAATTGAATGAAAATTAACTTCTATTGTTTCATTCATATTCTTAACATCCTTCTTTTCATCCACTCCTATTGGAATAGTCTTTCAAAAAGACCATTTTTCCTGACTTCAATTACTTATTTGGCAGTACTTTCTCTTAGTGAACCAGCCACTATATAACTATCAGTTGCGTTTTTTGGTCCCACTTTAATCATAGATTTAACGCCCTTGCAAATCAATGAAATGTACGTAGAAATATAACAATCAATAATGAAAACTATAACTCTTGTAATCTATTAATATTTCTAGTAGTTACAATAGCCGTTGTACTTTGTGTAGTGAAAACATGTGCTTTTTCTATAACAATATCACTAGATTCACCAGTAAAAAATATGCTTATATATAACAGATGAAAATTCAACATAAAACGTTTCTACTACAATTCAAATAACTATACGAAATAAACTTTTAATGTGTGTTACTACAAATATTTGAATTTCTGAACTGCCTCTTTCTCTCTGTTTACTCTGTTCAAAAAAGGTTCCTCAAGCTTTTAATAAGCTAATTGTTCAATCACCTAATATTTATTTAGTAATATATCATCAAGACTATTATTAGATTAGAAACGTACAAATTATACAATGTTCTATTTATAAATTATTTATAAATCTGTTAAATTAATAAGTACCCATACTATATGTATTGAGCAACATTCTTTCATGTCCTAAACGCTTCGCAATTATGTGACAGCTTCAATGACTGTAATATTACCACCATTTTAATGCCTTATACACAATTCATCATTGTAAAAAGTTAAACTCTCTCGCTCAGTTCAATCATTTTCAAAGTAAGCTAGTCATTCTAACAAAATATCAGCAGACACTTAATTAAAATTAAGTGAATTTCATTTGAACTTTACAGAAATACAATAAAATAACTTGAATTAATTTTCTATAGCTATGAAATATCTTTGATCATATTACCATTTCTAGTTATAATAAAAATGTGTCACATTCAATCGGTATTGCTCGCTAGTTATACTTAAATGTAAAAAAGAATTATTTAAAATAGCCCTTTATTTGAGATTGATGATGTTTGTATTGTTTTGTATGTTTTTAAATAGGAAAATCCAGTGAGTATTACAATATTGAGCTATTTTAAAGAAAATCATTTTTCTCTGTTGTATATACATATATTGCATATAAGTTAAGAATAAAATTGCTTGTTTTGAATTCAAAATAGTAAACGGTAGGTGTATATAATATTAAAAATAACTTTTCAGTAGTTTTACATTAATTCCATAAGAACAAAACATCCTACTCTTAAATATCTTAAAAGTATACAATAACGCCTTAAAAAAATACTTTATCTGTCTACACATTGCACAGCTGTAAATAATTGGTCTTTTAGCTAAAAAAAAATTATCACCATCAATCAAGATTTGGCATGCAAGCGGAAATTTAAATTAACAGCTAATTGCACAGAATGCAATTAGTTCAAAACACATATAACATGCGTTAGGGAAACATTACAGGTGCTGAAATACAATGTGAATAATAATTAACGTAAGCACATTGTGTTGGTATAACTTTAAAATTTACGAGCAAATTGTACAAAAATGTTTCTTTCAAGCATTTTGTGATATATTATGAATCAACATCTTATAAGAGAACAGAAATACCCGAGATCAGTAAAAATTTTGCTACTATTCTGATGCAGAGACGCCATCTGAAGCTTCTGCATGAACTATTCGAAAGGTATCGGGTGTTAAAGGTACAGCTGAAATCTGGACATCATCATTATTTGCAACAGTTTGCTGAACAACTTGAATTTGACCAGTTCGTAAAGCCTCCAATTGTTCAGGTGTAGCATGGAAAACTTGAATTTCACTGTTAGGTGACGAAACCATATCTACACCTTCAATTCCAAGATTTAAGTCACTAGATTCATTTGTAACATATGTAGTGTTATTCCCTGAAGAAGATGAGTTGGTGTTGGGGCGATTTTTGAAAGCTTTTACAGTTAATGGCATTCCTTTACTTCTTCTTCTGAATGCAGTTCGACACTTAGAATCAATATTTTGTTTAATTCGATGCCAATCGCCTTCTGATATACTAAATTTGTGAATTAAATGACACCTTATACCAAATATCATTAAAGGATCCAGCTGTTTTTTTCCGTGCTTTCCCATACCCGATAAATTGCTGACCGCCTGCGTTTCCCTATCAAATAAATAGTCCAGCAGTGTAAGTGCCATTTTTTCAGCTGATCTACAGTTTGTATTTACATGCAATAAATTAGCTGGTGTAACAGGTGTTCTTACTCGTAGATTCGGATTATTTTCATCACCGAGCCATGATCCATTAGGATAGTCTGATTCGTTATTTAGAGTGATGAGAGTTACATTTTGCGATACATTTGCATCAGCCGGGTTAGTTACTTCCGGCGATGGAGATGTGGGTGAACTCGGCAAACTCCCGTAAGAGCGTTTTTGAGACGTTGTCGGTTTACTTATATTTTGATTCATGTAGACACCTTGACGGGGTTGAGACGTTTCAAATTTTTGTTCTAATAATTTTATGGCATTAGTCTGTTTATCAACTCTTCTTTCTAAATTATCTATCTTCTTTTCAACATTACTTAAAGTTTTTTGAATTGTGTACAATAAACTTTTAATAGATGCTTCAGCCGTGAGCTCTTCAGATAGCCGCATTCTCTTGGAAGGTAATTCGATATGCTAAAAAGAAAACTTATTTACTTCTTGTCTCAGAATTTAAAATTTTCTAATAAAACGGAATATTTTTTTTAATATCATAATTTTTATATGGAAATTTTAATGCTATTATAAAATTAAGCATAATCTTTCTGACTTAGTGAATGACTACGAAGAAAGAATTTGCTTTACAAATATAAAGCAAATTCAAGCTATTCCTCTTCCAAATCTCATAAATGGTTGTCAATGGGCCCTAATCAAAAACTATTTAGAAGTAAAACATACAGTTAATCCCTGCTGCACCCATGATATTTTAATCATCTCTTTAAAAATTTACTAGTTAGGCTGGATTAACTTTAATAATTTAGTCCTTGAATTGTTTTGCCAGATTTTGAAACAAATTTCGAAATTAAATATCTACAAAAATTCAAATGAATTAATCTTTAGGTTGTGTTTACCTCTTCTTTAACGGATGTAAATGGATGTTCAGAATATATAACTTGCATAGAATCCATTAAGGTCGCATCAACCGTTCCCTCCACAGATGTCATATCCTCCGCATCCGTATCTGCGGCGTTCGAACTTGACATCCTTTACTGCAAAAAAAAAGAACAGAATTGGTTTATTTATTCTTTTAAGTGTATAAATGCCGTTATTTTCAAATCAAATCATTGGACTATTATTTATTATTTGCTAACATATTTTGTCGAGAACTTGAGATTTTTTTGAAGTATCTAAAGCCATAATTTCTTAGTAAGTTAGATTAGTTGTTTCATACGTTCGAATAGCTTGAAATTTACCTAAAATCTCGCCGATTCCTCGAGAAAAAACGATAATGGCGATCTTCCACGTTCGTTATGCAAATGAGCTGTTCCGTTGTACTCCCTACTTATTCTTTCCTTTCTTCATCCCCCCTCCCCATGTCGCACAGCTCTGAAGTTTAAACATGCTAAACTCATAATTATTTAAATTATATAATATATTAGGCTACCTTTACTCCAGTAATTATTGTAAAACAGTCATTAATCTATTTTTATTAGTAAAGAACATATATATAATCATATGCAATACATATTGAAGTGATTAACAAAGGAAGTGTATTTTCACTTTTGGTCTCAAGATACTAGTTTTAAAATATTCTTATAATTTTATGATAAATGTGTTAAGGCAAAATATGCAAGAAAAAGAATACTACTTTTGTATACAAACTAAAATAAATTTAATGACTTTGCAACAATCTATTGAAAGCGGCATAAGCTGCTTCAAAGTCGCAGATCATTTGCCTCGCTTGATTTTCATCTAAAGTTTCGTGAGCACTCATATCTCGTAGTATTCTGTACCATTCGTCCACTTTTACTTTTCCTTCGAAATCTGATGGGATCATGCTCAATCTACTCATCGTTGAATGCAAGTCAGTCACATCATGTAATAATTCGTCGCAGGCTCTTATATCCAATCTTAATCTATCCATAACGGTGATAAATAATGACACAATATCTGCAATACCACGACTGGTTGAACCTTTATCATCCTTAATCGTTATGGGTCGGTCCTCCTTTATTCGTTCTAAAGCTGCGGGACAATTTAATCTCATACTCTTCATAAATGACTCAACATTTGGAAATTCTTCACATTTAACTTGTTTAAATGCGGCTTTGTTTTGAACTAACAACTTGGAGCAGGCTGCAGTATATTCTTTTGGCAGAACACTGTCTTTTATATAAGCTTTTTCCAGACATTGTAATGTTTTTATTACAGCATATAGCTCTGCTTGATTATCATATTTCTCCCTCTCCTGAGCTGTTTTATATAGTTTAATTTCCTCCAGTAGTTCAGGTCTTACAGAAACATCATGATGTTGGGAATTCATTATCGGTTTGGTAGTTTTTTTGGTGATTCACAATAAATACTCTGCGGTCCTACAATAAACCGATTCTTTGTACCAAAAGACTTTTACACAAAATCTCTGTAAACTTTTTCACAAAAAATTTTGTACATTTTTTAAACTGACCATAAATTTTAAAAATTAACTAATGTAAATATTATTTCAGAAAAAATTTCAATGCTTCATTTACTAAAAGTGAAACGGAAGCAGATAAAGGTCAAGGTATAATGTCACCAATAGCGATCCGGTTATTCTTTTTATGAAATATAAAATTGCTGGCAATATAGTCTTTTATCTTATATCGACATTATCATCAAAATAAAGTTCGAAGCCAGTAATCTGAAGGATAGTAGTTCATCTAAAGTAGTTCTGTTGATACTTTAGACCCGCTGGTCAAAGTCTTGTTTATAAGTAATTTTAAAACAGTCAGTTACTCTGATTAAACTATTTCAAAGGGCAATTACTGTATTAGGTGACAACCAAATGGATTACTTCGAACAATAAATTTTACTTTTAACATAGCCAGCATTTGCTTTATTATGTCAAACACTATCTAATATTATTAAACAGCATCAACTTTACAATTTTGAAGGAAGCTGTTTCATAAGTTTTTCTAACTTCATTGCAAGAGCCATATCACCCTTTATTTTCAGCTTACCGGACATAAACGCCATTGTTGGCTTTAGTTTACCCTGTAAAAATTCAAATAAATCTCAATTATAATTGAAATTCATATGCAGTTAAACATTACCCGAAACATCTTTACGAAGTCATCACTTTTAAGAGTAAGCGTAACTCCAGAATCACCAGGACAGTCGCCCTGTCCAATACTTCCCGAACCATTTTTCAAGTCAAGCCACCACTTTCCTTCTTCTTTGCCTTTTATATCAAATTGGTACACTCCTTGGACTTTACTAACAAGATCGTCATTTAACAAACTCTTGACAACTTCGAAAGTCTTCCCAACTTCAGAGTTTGCGCCTCCTGAGGAAGATGAGGCTGGTTCAGATGATTGACTGACTGGAGCTTCACTCTCATTACTAAGGGCAGTACCGAAGTCATCGAGGAAAAAATCAACCAACAATTTGGCATCCTTCTTAAAAGCATACTGACTAAGGTCAGTAACCCCGCTTTCTTTAAGGACGTCATCATCTATATAAAAGTTGCCTGTGTGATCCGTTGATTTGCTTAAAATAATATAAGCTGCGTCGGACATAATATCAACTTTTCTACAATCATCTTTAATACCAGCCCCGCCTCCTATCATCTCCATGGCTGCAGTATAAATTGCAGTTCTGGGCCAAAGCGCATTGACAGCGATCTTATGGGGCTTAAATTCTTCTGCCATACCCAAAGCACACATTGACATGCCGTACTTGGCCATGGTGTAAGCAACATGATTTTGAAACCATCTTGGTTTCATATTCAATGGTGGGGAAATGTTCAAAATATGGGCATTTGTTCCCTTCTTCAAGAATGGTAGACAGGCTCTTGAGCAAAGATAAGTACCTCTGGCATTTATTCCATTCATTAAATCATACTTCTTCATATCTGTTGCCTCAGTCCCAGTTAATGATATAGCACTAGCATTGTTCACTAGCACATCAATTCCTCCAAAAGTTGAAGCAGCCTGAAAATATATATCAAACTCAAGAATATGAATAATTACATAACGAAATTTTGTTAGGAGTCCCACTTTCATTTAAGACTATGTACTATAAAGAGACCTTCATTTACTCTACTCATACCTGCTCAACAGCCGTGTTAACAGCTTTTTCGTCTCTGATATCCACGACACAGGGCAAAGCTTTGCCTCCAGCCTCTTCTATCTCTTTAGCCGCCGAAAAGATGGTTCCTGGTAGCTTTGGATGAGGTTCTGCTGTTTTTGCAGCTATGACAATATTTGCTCCATCCCTAGCGCACTTGAGAGCTATAGCTTTACCTATGCCTCTACTTGCACCAGTTATAAAGATTGTTCTGCCAGCTAATGCACTGAAAAGTTTTGGAGTTAATATATCGAAGTTTATACATATATAATTGTTACCCTGTGTTTGCTGCCATTGTCGTTCGAGTTTTTGACTCTTTGTGACTCTTAGCGGTGTTCAAAGTCTTGAAACGAAAAACTCTTCGATATCAACCAGTTTCTATTGCAATCCAAAATAAAAACATGGCGTTCTACACGGCTATTTTGGGACGAGCATTTCACAAGAATAATAAACTTTTGTCTACTTTTTGTCGCAAAAGACTTTTTGAAGTGAACCGAACTATTTGTAATTACAATTTGCAACTTTCTAAAACCAGATGGATGTGTCAATGTAACGACAAACGACTTAATTCCTTATTTTCGCCCAATCTGCAACAAATTCGTTATATCTCACTCTCACCCGTCTCCAGAGATAAAGAAAGTATTTCAGAAAAGATAGTTAAGGATAAAATTGTTACTGTGCCAAATATTTTGACATTATCTAGGGTAGTAATGACACCAATTCTTTCTTACTTAATTTTAAATGGTCAACTGAATACGGCATGTGGAGTATTCGTATTAGCAGGATTAACCGATCTCCTTGACGGCTATATTGCAAGAAATGTTCCTGGGCAGAAGTCAGCCTTTGGAAGTTTTATGGATCCTTTAGCAGACAAATTACTCGTGTCTACTATGTTTATTTCTTTGACCGTTGTTCAACTTATGCCTTTACCCTTAACTGTTATTGTTTTCTTAAGGGATATTACATTAATTATTGCAGCCTTCTATGTCCGATATATCTCGCTACCACCACCGAGAACATTTTACAGGTTATAGATATAAGCAAAACTTACAATTTTTTACCCTAAAAATATTAACTAAATATTTTTATATATAACCTAGAACAACGTGTAATTTGAAGGCTTTTCGAGTACATGTTAAATATATAACCTATTTATGGTACAGATACTTCGATGCAACCCACGCCACTTCTGAACTCAGACCCACTTTGATAAGCAAATGGAATACGGCATTGCAGCTGAGCACCGTAGCCTTAACTTTAGTCTCCCCGGTTCTTGGTTTACAAGACAATTGGCTTTTGCCTGGACTCTGTTGGCTAACTGCCGGAACCACCGTAGTATCAGGAATTCAGTACATCTTTGCAAAAGACACGTTCAAGATTATAAGTGCAAGCAGACAAAAAATGAAATTGAAAAATTCAACAAAATAAAAGCAAAGAAAATTAGATTATTTTTTTGGACGAAGGCTGTGTAATAAATATTGCTAATTGATGTGAACATGAAAAACTGAATAATTTTAATTGCAAACCAGTTTATATTTGAGATTTTTAATAAATGAAATAAATATTTTTCATTTATGCTATTTTGCTAGTGCATTCTCCTACATTCTACGAAATGGACATTATAAAATGCTTCAGGAAATCTGATTAGACAGTGGACTTTGTCCATGTAATCTCAATATCCGACGAAATTCCATTTAGGCTATTATGTTAATGCAATAAGTTGCTAACAGTTCGCGTCGTTAAGTAATTTTGTTATGCCTCGAAAATCTCTTAGTTTGATAAAACATGAACAATTTTGACAATAGTCATTCAGATAAAACTTTGTAAAACGAGATGTCGCTTTTGCATTCTATATCACATGATAGACCACATGATCAATACGAGCGATAAAGCATTTGTTGTTGGAGATGTTTCTTTTTACTATATTGATTTTATGTCTAAATATATTTAATTGTGTTTCAGAAAATCAGGTTCTATATTGAAATATGTTCTTGTGAAACTAATCTATTCTAACTATTCCTTTTAATAGGTTGAAATTCCTGTTATATGTTCTCCAACAAGCCAGAGAACTTTCTTCAAGGGATATTGCAATGGTGCTGAAGAAATAATAAGAGATAGATGTTGTATAATAAAAAAAAAGAACTTAACGAAAATAATAGGGTATGATTTTTGATTAATCTTTTATATAAAGAAAATCGCATTAATTACAATTGATTTTTCCCCCACAAACAGTTTCGACTTTAGTAACAACCAATTAAACAGTTGGGATATTCTAAAGAATATATCGAACCATAGAAGAGATGTAGAAATTTTGTATGCCTTATAATATAAAAACTCTATATATTACTAACTTCCATTTTTTAGGTTAATGGATAATAACGGACTAGAACCTTTACAAGAAAAGGATCTTGTTTTTAAATTTGAAGGATTTATTCGTTTAGAAAATTTGTGAGTACAATTTGTAGCTTCCAAAAGAAAATATTAGTTTCGTAAAATTTTGGGAGGTAAATAGATAAGGGTAATTAAAAACATGTTCATTAACGAGTAGTTAAGTCTGAAATAAGGGGCCAGGGCGAATGAAACTCGTTTTGGATTAAATCAAAAATTATTTGACATTTTCGGTCGCATTCGTAATAATACAAAGGATAATAATTTTATTTTTCAGAACATTACCACTAAACTCTTTACCGAATAAAACTTGCCCTGGCGGTAAACAATTTTGGCTATATTCGAATATTAGTGATAATAAACTAACTTGTCAAGGGATAGTGGATGTCTGCACAGGTTGATTTTTATCAACAGACTTATTACATTCTTTTTTTTAAATTTGATTATCCTATTTATAGATCCTTGTCCAGAAAATTCTGAATGTCATCGAGATGGACCAGGTCTCAGACTCTGTCTTTGCATGCCCGGATTTCATGGATATAAGTGTCTTAAAGAGGTAAGCAAATAATTATATAATTTTGACAATTATAAAATACTTAAATGTATTTTTGTCTGCGAATGAAGGGAAAATTCAAACTACCAGCATATTTAGGGTCTCTTTTAAGCGCAATCGTTGCTACATCAGGAATTTTATGGTTTACGCAAAGAAGAAAAATTATTAAGAGAGATTAACTAAACCAGTTTTTCATTTATTTTTTATCGTGGATATAAGAACATTAGCTTATAACCAATTGTTCTAATATGTGACATATATATACTACATAATAAAGATTTGTATATTTATGATTATACTAATTCATAGTCACTTTCTTCGTCACTTAAATAATCGTAACAATTCGATATTTTTTCATTTTGTACCAACTGTTCTGGTGGATTTGACATGCAAATCAGATTTGACGTAGCTTTTTCTAGCATTATTTTATCGTTTCCTATTTTCTCATCTTCAAGTTGACAAGCCAATTTTCCATTCGGGTTATGATAGTTTGAACTTAATGTCTGAGGTTGTGAGGAATCGATAAAGCTATCATCAGAGTCAATACTAGGTTCAGAAGTATTTGTGGATTTTTTTGTGGACTGTTGAAGTGACACATTATCGTCGTCGCTGAAGAGACTGCCTTCAAGTTTTTCATTTGACTTCTGAAAGAGCCAATCATGGCATGAATAAAAATCTTTTACTATTTGCATCAAATAGAAGTACTAACAGAACGTGATCTTCCAAAGTTTGGACCTATAGACCGTCGTCCATAATGTCTATTGGACATAGATAGCCATTTAGTAGCTATTTTCAAGTCCTTTTCACGGTCAGGATTGGCTTTTAATTTTTTTTGGGAGGAATTCTACAAACAAAAAGGATTATTTGAAAGTTAAGATTGACATGAACGTTACCGAACAATGATACTCCTTATTGGGTGAAATGTCAGTTGAAGATAGGTTTTTCTCTGTGTCTTCTTTTTCTTTAATTTTTCTACTTCTTCTAAGCTCAGAACTTCTCGACTTTGTTTGTGAGCTTGTTTGAGATGGAGTTGCTGATGAATTAGAGCCATCTCTTGAATTAAGCTGAGTTGAACGTCGTTTTTTCCCCCATATTTTCTTTTCATCTAAAACTGAACCTTGGCTAGGATCCCATTCTACATCCATTTCGCGTTTCTTCTGCTTCGAAAATGGAGTGGAAACAGGTGATAAATCCTCTTCGTCTGTTGTACTTTCATAATATATTTTTCGTCTTTTCGTCGATGAGCTTAATTTTCTATGAGAGCTTGTTCTGAATGCTCCTCTTTTCGGGGAAGGCGTTTTTGTTAGGAACAATTTTGACTTTTCAGAATCTCCTGCAATTGTTTCGCTAAGCAGCGACATTCTTTTTAAAGAGTTGTTTGTATCTTTCTCTTCGTCATCTGTAGATTCGGACTTTGAACTAATCGCCTTATTTGTTTCTGTTGGAAGTCAGCAGTAGTAAAAGGATTTTAGAAATACTATATGTAATTTACCTGAATCTTCAGTGGAACAATCCAACATAGGATAATTCAATGAAACACTTTCATCTTCCTGCTTTTTGTCTAATGAGCTTTTAAAATTCTTTGAAAAGCTTTGATTACTTTTCGTATCTGATAAATAGTCATTGTCGGAATCATCTTTCAACTTGGGATTCGCAACAACTGTTATTTCATCATCTGAACTTGATGATTTAAGCCTAGTGACACTATCATATTCATCTTCTGAAGTTTTATTGTCACTAGGCGCTGACAAACCTTGGTTTCTAAAGATGAGATTATAAGAATCTATTATCCAATGCAAATGCTCAAGTAACAAATTGTTTTGTTTTTGATCATTAGGATTGCGTTCGCAAGTATCTGCAATGCATAATTGCATATTTCATGCGTAAATATATTAAATATAAAAGGAAATACCATCTGACAGTTCATGTAGGAGAGTAGAGGTAAATCTCTTCAGAGACAGAATACGTGTTTCGTCAATATTTTCGAGTATGTATTTTAGTACATTCTTTGTATTATCCGTACAGACTTCACTTTTTGCATTTGTTAAAATTAACAGCAACTCTTCTACATAATTAATTGATTGTAAAAAAATTCGTTTATCCTTAAATAGATTAAATTGCCAAGTTACCTAAATCGTGATCCTCAAGATTAATTATAGACTCTTTTGCTAATTCGGAAAAGTTATTTGATATATCTACGAGAGTAATAATAATCCAGATAGATTAAATATAAGATTGCATTACAATTAGTTTACTTTTCAATAAATCATTGATATTAGGTATAGCAATTTTTTCGCACTCAATCAGCTCATCAATACTATCCTCTTCTGTATAATCTCTAAGTATTAAAATTAACTAATAATAATAATAATCATATGACAGATGTGAAGTAACTTACGTTTGCTCCACCGACTCATCATTACTTTCCTCTTCTGTATTCTCTCTAAGTATTAAAAATAAGTAATAATGATAATCATATGACAGATGTGAAGTAACTTACGATTGCTCCACCGACTCATCCATACTTTCCTCTTCTTCTGTATTCTCTCTAAGCATTAGAAATTATTAATAATAACAATCATATTACAGATGTGAAGTAACTTACGATTGCTCCACCGACTCATCCATACTTTCCTCTTCTTCTGTATTCTCTCTAAGAATTAAAAATTACTGATAATAACAATCATATTACAGATGTACAGTAACTTACATTTGCTCCTCTTCTCGACTAATAACCTTCCATAAACTTTTCGCATCTTCCGATGCTGTAAACACTTCATCGTTTTGGATATTAACTGCTATCGCTTGAATCTTGATTAAAAATTAAATTTCAAGCTAAATAACGACTAGCAATAGAAGTCTAAATTAAATATAACCTTGTCTTCGTGATGTAATATTGACTGCAAACATTCCCCATTAACTATATTCCAAAACTTTATTTGTCCATCTATTGACCCGCTTGAGAGTTGGTCGTAATTAAGAAAGTCAAAATCTAATATAGGGCTATTATGTCCTTTAAAAGTCTAAATATAAGAGTTTCAATTAGAGAGAGGATACCAATATTAGTTAAATATAACCTGAAGGTATTGATAAGATTGTGAAGACCAAAGTTTTAGAGTTTTGTCAAAAGAGGATGTTACAAAAACCTTTAGGGGGAAATAAAGAGTATGTAAACTTCCCACTTAATGGCATTAAATAACATCTAACCTTATCAAAAGGTGAGAATTTCCCACAAGAGACGATATCAGTATGTTTTGAGCAAATTGCAACAGAACCAAGATCCCCATAATCCCAAACCTTTTTTATTGTATAATCGTTAACAATTTACATTTGACGGCGAATTTGCTAAAATTCATTAATTTACCTTTGCTAGCTTATCATTGGAAACGGATAGAAGTACCGAATCCTCCGGATCAACTTCAATATAGTTAATTTGTAATTTATGTGCTTGAATAGAATTCAAGAATTTTAATTTAGCCAATGAACGTGTTTTAGGCTTTATTGTCCATTTCTGAAGTTCTCCGCAAGAAGTTGCAACAATCACACATGATTTTGATTGTCTAATATTATTGTTTTTATATGAAAAATAAAGAATTTTAAATGTTTTTTTATTAAGAAATATTCTTACTTTGGGAAAGCAACAGCAGTTATTGATTTCTTATGATTTAGCCTCGCAATAGAACGAAATTCACTGCGATCGCAATTCCATAGGATAATTTTACTGTCCTTCAAACACGTAACAAAAATGTTGTCATATTGAAATTGTTCATTTTTTTAATTGAAATATTAATTTACATTTTAGACAAAGATGTTTTTATTTCATTGGAATTTGATAAATATACACTAAATAAATAAAAGAAAATCCTTTATTAAATAACACTTAAATTTTACTATTACTGGTACTGTCGTTTTTAAGGGTAAGGACAATAGTTTCCAGTTCTGCATTCCATATTAGAATAGCTACAGTCTAGTTGCAAGTTTAATTTAAAAAAGAAAATAAACTAGAGAATATTTCTATATGTTTTCTAAGCTTACAAGATTCCTACAAATTGATGTAAATGATAGAAATAATTTCAATTTTTAAGATAAATTTACAAACCTTACTGACGCTGACGAGTAACGAGAGAGATTTATGAATGTCAATAGCACAAATATTATCTCTATGACCGGTAAGGGTTATTATTTCAGCTGTCCTTATATTCAGAATATTTAATAAATTATTATTTGAGTTTGTGACAATTTGGTCATTGCCATAAAATTTTGCTGTGACGATATCATTATGTCCCCCGTAATACTGCAATAAAATACAAATTAGCGATTTTTTGGGAGGAACATAGTCGATAATATAATACTTGTTTTATTCTGCTCAAATCATCAAAATCATAAAAAAGTAATGCCCCTTCATTTGTACCGAGACATATATTTTGTTTCTTCGACACGAAAAATGCAGATGAAATAAATCTCTTTGATTTGTCTTCAATTCTTCCAAAGAGCTGTAACCAGAAGCATGAAGTGAGTTAAGTCACTAGAACATGTCACATAAAGCAAACCGGAATATCAATTGGTTCTGGCAATTCACTGATTCTTTTTCCTGATTTTGTCAAATAAAAATGAAATTTTCCTGTCAAACAAAATACAAAATTAGAATGGGAACAAATTTAAAATCATTCAAGACGGCTACCTTGTTCACTGATTGTTAAAAAACATTCTGTACCATCGATAGAAAGTAACTTCTTAATACGAAATTTAATTGGCATAATAATTAACGATATAACTGGCTAATAAGATAAAATATTAAAAATTATTATGTAATAAGAATGAAGCTATAATTTATCCATATTTTTTACTTCTGATATATCAATTTTAAATAAGATTTCGGCCAAGTTCAACTCCCATATTATAATTAGATTATCTTTAGCTGTGCTAAAAAGTTTAAAAGAAAATTTTATTATTCTATTTTGATTATCGTTCAAAAAATATATAACCTTATCATTCTTTTATCATCACTTGTTATAATAAAGGAAGTGACAGAAAGTTTATGACCAAGAAATTGCTTGCTACCACCTTCTTTTAGATTCCAACTTATTATCACTCCTAATTCAGAACCAGTAAGCAAATATCGTTGACCTTCTTTCAGGTAGAAATTGATTGCGCTAGTTTTTAGGAAATTTTTTATTAGGCTTACTTTGACTTCTAATACTTACGTAACACTATCGCATTCAATATTTATATCGTCGAGGAAAATTCGATCATCTATATTCCATATTCTACATTTATCATCAAAACTTCCAAAAGTTAGCCAAGATGACGTAGAGTCTATTGCCATGCATGTAATTATACACTGGTGATTACTCTGAGAGGAAAAAGTTACCGTTATATTGCGTATATATAGTACTAATTTAAAAAATACATCAAAATCAAATAATGAACACTCCATGAAAACGTCATATTGGGTAATTCTCAAATTTTCTCGACAAATGAAGATATACTGAAAACTAAACCCTTAAAATCAATCCTCACGTAATGTATTATCATATTCACCTTTTCATTTGGTGTCAACTGGAAACAAGTTAAAGGATATTCTTCGTTCTGTAATCAACTACTTTACAAATGTATACAGTTTTGTCTATTAGACCTACTCTTCCATATCTTCGTTCAATTTGCCCATAATTATAGGAAATACAGAAAACTTGACTCGTGTAGGGTGTAAATATATATTGACCGTCCTTGGTTATCTGTGAAGCATTAAACTCTTGTATTTATCAAATTTCAACAGGGCCGCGAAATAATTAACTATTCTTCTTACGTATATTTTTCCGCCCGAGAAGTATGGCCCGTAGTCGATTTTTGGAGCAAAACTATAAATTAAGTAAGAAACAGTTGTACTCTTGTTAAATGAAAACTAGTTAACTATATGCAGAAATTTGAGTATTTGCAAAGCAAATGACGTCCACCACACGTTTTTAAGTGATTCTTTGCGCTAGTAATTTCGGAAAAAAGTTTACCTTTTAATGAGTTTTTGCCTGTTCATTATATAAGTCTATTATAATAAGTAAAATCAAGACTATAAACGGATTCTTTACAAAACGCTGCTGAAAACGTGTACGATCAGTTGAAATTTTCCCACGATGTCTTAATAACCAATCAACAATTGATTTTGACAATTTCGTAATACGTCTTAAACTGGTAATATATATTTTGTTGACGCATTTCAGGTTTTTTTCAAGTGGTAATTAATTATTTTTTTTTATTTTTAAAATTTATTCAAAAAGTGAAAAAAAAGGAAGAAAAAAATTAATAAGTGTACGAAAAAAATTTTAATAACGTAAACCGTTTTAAAATATGAGATAATTTGATGACTTTTATTATTTTTCCTAACAATCAAATAGAATATATCTTATAGTATAAATACTTGTATTGTTCAACAATAACAGACAATTTTCGTGTTATAAATGCTATTTTAAAGTCTGCAGATTTTTTTTTCAGCGTATGAGAAAAATGACCAAGATAAAGTTTATTGTAAAAATAAACAAAAATCTTCTGCTTCCCTTCTATAAATATATCAGCCGATCCTATTTCTGATATTACATATGATTTTGCGAGTTCAAATTCCGTGAAAATTTCAACAATAGAAAGCAGATAACATATAAACATTCTGTAAAAAAGTTGGAGTATTATGATCAATGTTGGCTTACGTTTATATAGGCAATATAGTATATATTTCTTTTTTATAGATAGCTAGATTTAATTGATAGCATGTTTTTATATAATATTTTATTGGTACTATTTACGTAGGCGTTAACTTCTTATCGAGTAACATGTAAACATAAAGCATGGAGTGGCCAAGAGAAACTGATCAAGCTTATCCTGAATTATTTACTAAACCCCCACCGCAACCAATAGAGAAAAAGCAAGGGCAATTAACTTATAAACAACTTGAGCAGTTTTTCAGCGAAGTTTATTACATCTAAAAGTATAGGCAATTAGAATCTTTTGGAACAATTGTTCTTTATTTCAGGGATACCTGATTGTTGATAACTTCTTCGATATAGAAAAAGATCTTGAGCCCTGTAAAAAGGCTATTGAAAAGGAAGTAGACTACTGTGCAAATATTCTCTACGAAAATGGAAAAGTTAAAAGTATACTTTTAGTTTCTCTCAAGTTTAGCCGAATTATTAAAATAAAATATGCAAAATTTTAGAAAAAGAGCTCTTTGTATGTTGTCAAATTTTAGTTTTTCAGCCTTTAAGTAGGTTTTACCATAAAGCTGAGAGAAGCACTCTGTGCAATAGAAATAAATAATAATCAGCGTTTGTGATCTATTTTATTTGTGTCTGATATTTTTAGTATTTATTCAAAACTGGCTTAAATTAACAATTGAAAACATATTTCCGCTTAGATAAATACGAAGACAGGGGTCTTTTTGAAAGACTCACGTGTTTAGGAAAAGAATATCCTGGAGCTAACCTTGTAGCAAGAAAGCTGCGAAATTTACCGCAAGCCCTACGGCTTTTATGGACAAACGAAAAACTATTGAATGTTGTAGAGCAAATAGTTGGACCTGATATCCAGGGGCATCCTGTTTGGGCTCTACGCACTAAAACTCCCCAGAACGAAGCAACAACAGTACCATGGCACCAGGATAGCGCCTTTCTAGATAACGATTCTTACAAGGTCCTACAACTAACAGCGTGGATTCCTTTTCTTGATGCCACAGAAGAAAACGGATGCATGCAAGTTGTCCGTAGAGCTCATAGAAAGGGTAAAGTAGCCACACATCAGTGCTGTGCCGGCAATACCTGGTATGTTATCTTAGAGGAAGAAGAAATAGAAAGAACACTGGGTATTTTCTCGCAAGACAAAATCTGTAGAGCTTCCTTTAATTATTCTCGTTTTAGGTGCTAATATGAAGAAGGATGTTGTAACTTGTCCAGTACCATATGGAGGAATGCTTTTATTCAGTAATCTACTTCCTCACCAAAGGTTTTTAATTTATACGAAATTTATTGTGTTGGCTATGAAATACGTATTTTCAGTTTGCTCAATCAATCGGATAAAATACGATGGTCTGTCGACTTCCGTTGGCAAACATCCAAGGAGAAAGTTGGATTTTGGGGACTAAAACCAGGTGTGCAAATGAGAATGTCTAATAAGCCAGATTTCACAATAGATTGGTCCGAGTTTGATGCTATAAATCGATACAACGTTATGGCTCAACACGAAAATGTATTATTATACTTGACATTCATCTAAGAAAACCTAATTAATAATCATTCTTTTCATTTTAAGGAAAATTACTTAGAGACTGTAGTTACAGGACCGTGGATGAAAAAGTGGGAATTAATCCATCATAACCATCATGTTAATGCACTCTTAAAACAAAACGAACAAGACTCGTACGATAATATTGTTAATCCTTAATTAACCATTGAAGTTGTTTCCCGTCACGTATAGAAACTCGGTTTTAAATACACACAATTCAATTATGATTTAGTCTACCGATTTTTTTGGCTTTTTGTAGCGTATTTGTCGCGATTGATCGTTAAAATTTCAATTGTTTAGGAACCAAACAAAGTATACATTGTAAAATTATCAAACAATAAATGTAGGCATTAGTCCACTTAAAAGAGAACTTCGTTTTACAAACCGGAATTGATACCTTTTTATTATGCTAACGGTGACAGTGAAAGGAATCAATAAAGTTGTTGGACATTGTAAATGCTTTCTAATGCATAGTTTTCTGTCATTTCTCAAATTAAACTAAATCACTATTTATATCGTAAATTGCAAACACATCTTGTCTTAAGTGTTTTCTTCTATTTAATCTGTTAAACAATTGTTTTAAAACCAAATTCAATACTGTACAGCCTCTACTTTCGAAAATTTAGCAAAAGGAAAATAAAATGTAAGACTTTAACGATTTATTTATGATATTATATCATCGCTATTGATTTTTGTTTAAAGCTATTATTATCCTTTATTTATAAATATCTACTTGTATACGGTATACAAATATATATATATATATTTTTTTCTGGATTTTTATATACTACATGCAATATAAGAAATGGAAACAAATATTTAAATTCTAGTAATACACCTATCAAGTGAAAATTAAGAACATTATGTTTACGAAAACCCTCATCTTATTCTTTGATCTGTAGAACGAGTATCGGAATAAAGTAGATTTTTCCGTTGCCCTTCCTAGTATGATAGGCCTAACTAATAAGTTTGGGCAGGCTTTACCTTTTCTTTGAACTAGATAAAGTTACGTCTAAGTATATATCATAAGCATTGATCATATTTGACTTGAACATGAGAGAAAGCATATACTGTATATGTTCACTGAACAGGAAAAGGGCCGTTATATTCTACTAATTATCAATAATTTAAGAAGTTTAAATCACTCGGTCAAGTTGTGTAAGTCTAAAAGTTCTAATACTTTTATATTGAATATTCCATACAACTAAAAAGAATTCTTTGACTGTGATTTTCTATCAGAATTTACAAGATCAACAGCAAATATCACTGTTGTCATTCGAAAGTATTCAAGAGGATAACCGAACACTTTTAGCACGTTTTATAGAAGTTTTATAAAATACGGACAAGGAAAAAGAGTCGGATTATAGACGTAAAGGAAATTGAAGAGGAACACAAGGACTTAATTACAACGAAACGAATCGAAATTACTGATCTATTAAAGCCTATGATCGATTAAAATTCTAAAGAGGAACGTTCGAGGAACAAATCAATTATATACAACATGGCTAAAAATGTCCGTAAAATTGAAAGATTGAAAATATACAAGGATTTATGTATGGTAAACAAAGATTTTATTAAAGAAAGACAACTTTTAATTTTGTGTTTTTTTTTCTAACCTAAATAGGACAGTCGACAGATTGTAAAAGATACGGTTAAGGAGCATATATCTGCAGATCCAAAATGTCGGATTTTTTCTAAACTGGAATTTAGATGTTTAGTAAACGATTACACGACAATTATCTTCAGAGAAGTAGGCTTAATCGTCTATAATATTAATGCATTGTACTTATGTCTAACTCTGTTTTTGACTGAATAATACTAAATTGTTAGATTCAGAAGCGTTTCCCGTCTGAAGTGTACTTGAACAAAAAGTCTTTGGTAATAAATGAGCAACGTGATTCTCAAAATAGATCGTCTAACAATACAATTCAAACCTTGACCGAGTACTTTATTAAAAATCTTCCTGATGAAAATTTAACGCCAGGAAGCGCTGTCAACGTAGAGCAAACTCGGAGAACAACTAAATACCAGAGTACTTTTATAGAGAAAAGGAAAGTCATGGAATTACAAACTCCCTTATGTATGGTACAGCAAATTAATATTTAATACTAATTCTCTATTTTAAACAATAGCAATGCAGACCGGTATACGAATTAAGTATCCAAATAGAGAAGAAATATACCAGAAGCAGCGTAAGCCGAACAAAAAAGCTATAATTGAGTCTAAGAAACGATTGGACGAATCTAGTCGGACAAAAAATTCTTTCAAGTTATATAAAGGAGATGATATTAGGTACACCAAACTTCAAGTAAGGCTTACAGATTACGAATTAGACCGCAAATGCTGTTGTTACCGAACAAGTTACACCTGGCGAAGCAGATTATCTGAGGAGCCTCAGTACACTACTCAGTTTACCCCTGTCTTGCTTACTAAAGCAAACTGGATAGACGGCGACGATGTTTTATCAGTTGGAGAGATTTCGGACGAGGATTGTGAAAATCAGGCGACGAAAGCCGATTTACAGAAAAACTCAATTCAAGAAAAAACTAAACCCAGTTCAGGAAGGAGTGCCTCAAGAATCAAATCGGATAAGAAAACTAAAAAACGTGTCAGAATTGATTATGAAAATAGATGATAACTAATTTTTGAGAAGTTTGGAAAATGAAACTTATACAAAAAAAACAATAGTGTATTTATATTTTAAGAAAAAATGCATCATACATGAAATATAATACATTAGAAAAAAGCCAAAAATAAAAATTGTCATTTTATAATAAATATTTTTGCAAAAAAGAACCAAAAGAACAATGCAAACAAGAATTAAAAAAAAATAAAAATAAAAAAAAATGATAAAAATTTATAATAGAGGTTCCTACCGCGAGAAATTTCTTTTTTGACTCACTCAAAAAAAGTTAAAATTAGTTGTTCAAACGCTATCACAGTTTACTACATAAATATAAACTTAAAATCTACGGTAAAAATTCGCGTTTTTTTTGTAGTCAGATGGCCAAAATAAACGCCAGAAACCTATGCGTAATATTCTTTTGATGGGGCCTTTTGATAACCCATATGGGCTGGAGATCTTCCTCTCTTACTAGGTTCATCCAAAGCATAGGATCCTTCGTCTTTTTTCTTCATACGGTACACGAGAAACATTACCAACAAGACAGCGCATAATAAACCAACTACTGCTCCACCAATTATAGCGGCTAATAAACCCGGATGACCTAAGAAAGACGACCTTAAAGCAGAACTGGGTGGTTTAGGTTCTCCAGATGATGTTGCGGTAACAACTGAGATATCTACTCCTGAAGACATTAATAATTTGTTATAAAAATTGCGATCGATAGCAAGAAATTTAATACAAACTTTCTGTATCGGTTTTCGTCTTTTGGGTTCCTAAAAATAGAAAAGCAGAAAATTTATATTTTTAGCTTCTAAATAGGTTTTTTTCTTGTTTAGATTATTGAAAAAGAAAGCATTAAGAACATGTGATCTCTTCTCCATACGGAGACAAATTGACAATAATAGTTTTAATATTCCAACATTCTTTAATTTCTGCCTACCTGGACAATCTACTTTATCTCCCATCTTATTTGCACAATAAGATTCCCCAAATTCGTTTATTTGATGCGTTTCGAAAAAGCCTTTTTCATCGCATTTGTAAGCAAAAGTTGACTTTTTATTTCTGTTCTTATAATCTCTATTGGCGTCGAAGCATGGTTTTGCTGTGGTAGGCATTACAAAAAAAAACAATCTCATTAAAACGTGAACTCAAGCGTTCTTTTAAAAAAAATATTAAGTCAAATTGAAGAGTCTATAAGCATATTAGTTTAGAAAAGCGTGTTTAAAACTATTGTATTATTTACAAGAATTTTATTATTCTTGCATATTTTTTTATCACACGGCAGATTAGGCATTAAATTTAAAATGCATTAAAACAAGCAATAAATTATTTTGTGTTATGTGGTTGTCAATCGACTATTTTGACCTTACCATTGTCTCCTGAAGACAGATCTGTATTTTTTAATTTTTATATTAGGAAAGTGTAACTTAACAAAATGTTTATCCACTTAATGGAAACTCTTGAACTTTTAAAGTTTTTTGTTTTGTTATAAAATATTCTTTTACATATTTTAAAAATAAAACTTTTAATAACTGACTTTCGCCCTCAGAGGAACCCATATCATCATTAGCGGGTTCTTCATCATCATAATCATCGTCATCCTCGTCATCATCGTTGTTAGGTAATCTATATCCTCCTGAGCCACCATTGTCATTTGCTGATGCAATATCTGGCACTTCTAATTTCTAAAAGTAATAATTTTGTCTTTTAAAACAAATTACAATTTAGTCAGGTGTTAACCTTATTAGGCCCTTCGACATATATCGTATTATCGTCATCTTTCTTGATATTCTGATAAAATTAAAATATCTCATTAGTATGATATCACTTACGGCATTTCCTGCAGAAAACTCTATCTTTGCAACAGAAACATAGATAGATTTACCCCTTTGCAAAAGAGTTATATTACATTTTATGAATGTACAGGCTATATTGTTCATATATACTAATATATATACTAACATATGATATATTTAACTCAAGATTACAAGATTTTTTTTTCTTGAGAAGAATTTGAGTGATATATTATAGCATTTTGATGTATTTTTAACATTTTACTGGAATACACTTAAAGAGACTATTTGCTCTTGATTAGGCACGATTTGTTATTTGCGATTCTGGCCGGCTCAACAGCGGACATGAATAATCTTTCAACATAAAATTAGGCTACAACACTTTTTACATATTGTTCGCCCTGTTTTATCAATATATTCTATCAATATAATCGGGTCAACGATAATAACAAATTTTTATGCAGCTCCATGCTAGTAAACCATTAAAAACCAATTACATCAGAAGTGTGAATTATACACGTGTGTTAGTCACTACTCAAATCTTGCGGCATATGGCAAGTTAAAGATTATAATAACTATATGAAAGGGAAAATAAACTTAATTTATTTAATATTGGTCATATAGGCTGGAATATAATACACAATTAGATGAAAAGCTTACCTCTCTCTCTTTACTTCTTACGATTGTCACATGAACGATTAAGAGGAGCAAAAATAATTTTTTAATCATAATGAATTGTTAGATGAGTTACATTCGTATAATTATCCCGATTTGCCTCGAAAACAAGTACGATTAACAAAAATAGTAAGCTGCACACATTAACAAAACATTGCACTACTTTCCTACTTTTTGTGTTCATGCGCAGCAAAAGAACTATTTTTTCACTTTTATTTCGTATTTTGTCAATAGTTTGTCACCAAATTTTTATTAGCGGTTTATAGCAAAATATAATAGACTTTAAAATTTTTTTAAAAATGAATACGTAAAATTTCTGATTTATCAACTTCCTTTTACAACTCAAGATGGCGACGACGGGAAATTTGTCGAAGAAAAAGAAGGTTTTTGCTTTTTCTACTATACTAATACTAACTATAGGTTTTAGAAATACTGCTCATATAACAATCAATTGATATGTGCCGTAGCTTGTTCATTAAATTTAACGATCTTTGAGATAATTGGTGATTTTAAACGTCGTGCTTTGAACAGTTCGTCTTGGACGGTGTATTTAAAGCCGAATTAAATGAATTCTTCACTCGTGAGTTGGCCGAAGACGGCTACAGCGGTGTTGATGTACGCGTAACTCCTACAAGAACTGAAATCATCATTCTAGCCACTCGTACCCAAAGCGTTTTGGGTGAAAAAGGCAGACGAATCCGTGAACTAACAGCCGTTGTACAGAAAAGGTTCAAGTTTCCGGAAAACTCTGTTGAGGTATATTTATAATATTTCGGAATAGCTCTGTAAATAATTTGTGCATTCTACAGTTGTACGCCGAAAAAGTAGCCGCCCGTGGACTCTGCGCTATCGCTCAATGCGAATCTTTAAGATACAAATTGATCGGTGGTTTAGCTGTAAGAAGAGCATGCTACGGTGTAGTTAGATTTATTATGGAATCAGGAGCTAGAGGATGTGAAGTTGTCGTCTCTGGAAAATTGAGAGGACAGCGTGCAAAGAGTATGAAATTCGGAGATGGTCTTATGATCCACAGTGGTGAACCCTGCAAGCAGTATGTCGACACCGCTGTTCGCCACGTTCTCCTTCGTCAAGGTATGTTGGGAATCAAGGTTAAGATCATGTTGCCGTTCGATGCTACTGGAAAACTTGGACCCAAGAAACCATTGCCTGACAACGTAAATATTTCCCAAGTAAAAGAAGAGGTTCTTCCAACTGAGCCACGTAGCGAACCTCCAAAGGATACTAGACAGGCACCCCCCGTGGCAGCGCAAGCGGCGCCTCAGTAAAAACTTATGTGCATTGGTGTATTATTCAAATACACGTAAGAAATATGAACATAACGATTGTTATTATGACACTTTACTACTTCTGCATTCCGAATCATTTAAGGTTGATAGGTTTGTACTGTAGCATTAGGTCACCCCCTTGCTTCCAGTACAAATGTTTCACAGTTCTTAAATCAAGATTAGGATCCAAAAGCTAGTAAAAAAAAATTAATTAATATTTAAAAGTACATTCGAATTTTTTCAACTTACGTTTTCATTGCACCATAACTCAACTTTCTCTTCTACAATTGAGGAGACATCTTCGTCGTGGTCTGTCTCTGAACGCTCTGTTGCTGTTGAAGCAGCCGTCTGAGAACCAGCATCGGAACCTTGGCCTAAAACTTTTTCATAAACATGTTCCATTACTTTACGAACTAGCAACATATCATTGGCAGATAATCGATCTCTGAAGTTAATAATGTTTAATGAGTTTACCGTAGGAATTTCCTGAACAATAAAGGTATACTTTTTGTAATAGTTCTTGCAAGAATAATGAGGTTGCAGGAAGAATGGTATTTTGCTCATCTTGGGCACTTGTTTCTGGGAGAATATTGGCTTTTTCAATACAAATACACACATATATATACTTTATACCAACATCAACTAGAACACTAGAAATCCAATCGGGTACTGAGTCTTTAAGCAGCATTTGTTCGGTATCACCACCGGCATCTCTACATAATAATCTCAATATTGTTCGATTTCCCGCTTCACTACCATCAATAATCTTGTAAGAATTGATAATATGTTATTAAAAGTATACCTGATTATAATAGGAGTATGTTTGGGAATTTGAAACGTTCCGTTTCCTTTCAACTTTTCGCCGTCGGGCCCATCTAAGGAAATATTTCCTTTATGATATAAAACACGTTATCATCTCTTACCTTGCCAAGTTTTCGGCCAGTGCTCGAAAAGAGCCTTTAGAGTAAGTGTTCCTAGGTTTACTGTAAAGATATATATACTGTATATCTACGCTCTATGCCAAAATAATTAATCAAACCTTTAGCATCATTAGAATCTCCTGTATTGATATTTAGATCAGCATCCCTCGCTAAAATCCATGCCGAAAAACAGTCGTTTTCATCTAAGTGTACAGTTGGCATCTGAAAAAGGTTAGGATAGGGTTAGAACCCTTTTAGATGATATTAACAATTTAAATAAATAGTTACTCCTGTCTTCATATCAACAGTGAACCAATTTGGAACATATATATTATTTCTTGTCTCTTTCTCTCGCTCATCTTCAAGCGAGACATCACCTAAATCTTTGACTTTAGTTGCCTGAAAAATTTTTGATAAAATAATCCATTCATTAGTCAGCATATAATTTTAATATTTACTGTTAGCGCATCCCATTTTGTAATATTGTTATCAGTGTCCTTAGTTAAGAAATATCTCCTGCCACTTAAAATAGAGTATTGTCGAACACTTGGACCTCCTGGTATGCTACAGACGAAATTGTTGTCTTGTTTTTCTTTGAGAGACTAGATAATACATACATTTTTCTGAGATATACATACATAAAAAAAACAAAACTTACCCAACAGTTCATAGTTGAGTCTGTTGTTGAAACCCATAGGTTAGATTCATCTTCTTGAAGTTCTACCCTTAAAACAGGCGCCTTTTCTTTGCATATGAAGGTACTGTCTTCACTTTCTCTAATATCAGTTGACCAGACCTCACAATCCCTTCCTCCTGAATACATTACGGTGAACGCCTGATTGGTCTATTAAGGGAGCAAAGGTATATTTATATCTAAGTCTTAAAAACTCATTTTTACGAGCACAATTACCTTTAATGTCCACACACCTTCTGTGTGCACACGGAATGTATGAATACATTTCTGTTGGCCAATAGACCATAATTTGATTGTTCCATCAGAACTACCTGATAAACATTGTGTACCGTCTCGATTTAGGACTAGACATTTCACGTTGTCACTGTGTCCCTTTAATTTCATTAACTTTTGGCAAGATCTCGGATCCCAAACTCGCAAGACCTTCTCCGCCGATCCAGACACAATAACTGAACCGGACGGATTCATAGCCACACTATATATACTATCTTTATTTCCATTTAAGGAAGATGCTGTTAGAATTTGTAATTATTACATAGGAAGCAGATATTATTTAAATAAAAGTACTTGTCACTGTATTATTTGACGCAGTCAGTGCTGTCAATGTATTAACATCCCATAAGAATATACTCTTATCTAAGCCGGCACTAGCCACTTGTTCTTTGTCTTTTGCGTAAGCTAAAGCTTTTACATAGTCCTATGAGACAAATAAATATTTATAATTTCATATTTATCAGCACTGAGAATTTTACCTACCTTATGTGTTCTTAGCGTGGACATACAGAAACCCTTTACAGCATTCCAGACTTTTACTGTTGTATCACTGCTGGCCGATATGACTGAGGGTAAATAGCTTATTAAAGTTTTGATAGACACAATGAAGATAAGCTTACGTGTTCGGCCCGAACAACACAAAATAATATCATTAATCCAGTCAGTATGATGTTCCATAGACTGTATATAATGAGTTTGATTTTGTTTGACATTCCATATCCGAATAACAGAATCTCTCCCTCCAGTAAACAATCGGTGGCTATATGGGTCATATTGCACAGAGTTTATTCCTGAACGATGTCTTCTTTCCTCTTCATCACGAATTACATATGATACCTGTGTATGGGTCGGTTAATGTATTTTTAATAGGTTTTCGTGCATTTTGTATTACTAAAAAATATTCACAAATTCATATATTCCTCCTACGCTCTTTCGTAGTCATTTGTTATTTAATAAATAATTTAATTCTATTACATTTCACATTGATCGGACACACTAAAACTAAAGTTAAAGGAATGTTATTATTCGAAGCTATATCTTTCCTTATTATCGCTCATCCGAATAATTTATCTATGATCAATGGAAAAAATACAATGACTGATTTCATTTTCCAATTTTGACAACTAATCTTAACAAAATATAGAAAATGATTCGCAGAATAAAAACCTGGGTTTTCTTGCGGGAAGTGTTATTATTTTGTCTCTGATACGCTAGCGTCATTGTAGTATAAAATTCGGAAAATCTGGTTAAAGGTTCTATTTCGCGGAATGCTAATGGTGGGATATACAAGGCCATTGGTTTTCATCATTGCACGTGCAGGGTACGTGGTACTTTAAGGAAATAGAAAATCCATAGAAGAATTGCACATTTTATTTCAACGACTTTTTAAATAAAGGTAAGAACGTTTGTGAAAAATAACTGTAATATGTTGCATTCTTACATGATGTCAAAACTAAAAATAAAGCATGTATCAATACATTTTAGACTGTTTGTTATGTTACTATTATTAAACTAAATAACAATCTATAAAACAATTTTATAAAGCTGTGTTTATGACATTAGAAACTAGTTGGTCTCGCAAGACTTATCATATAGAATTTATTTGAGGCTTGTTCACAATCATTTATAGTTAAACTACAACCTTTTTTATTACAAAATCTTCATATGTTATGATAATATATAGGCTTAGTTATGGATATGTAAATAACCATTGGTGTGGAAAATGTGCAGAAATATAAATTAATTATTAACAAAAATTTGCAATTGGCTTTTAAACATTTATAAATGTTTCTATTGCCTAAGGAAATTAAATACAAATTGGTCTATGCAGTTAGTAACACTTTATTTTGCATTGTTTTTTTTTTGTAATGGATCTAATGCCTAACATATATTGAAAAACTATGGTATAGTTAAATGATGAAAGTATCAGTTTTTTTTGATAAATGTAAAAAAAAACCACTGAAAAACAATCGAAATACTTTGAATGAACTTCAATCATCATATCTAATAAAACATTATGTAACAATGTCTGAAAAATTAATATTACTTACAAATTTGGACTCTTTACTTCCTTAAATTATTTTTTAACGGTTTAACCTCTTTGAATTTACCAGTCCTGTATAAAAATTATATAAATTAACCTCCACCAAGCAAATGCTAATAAAGAAAAAAAGATGATTATCATAATATTAACTTTACTATTTTTATTTAGTAATGAGATAGTTATTAAACAATAAATTTTATAGTTGTAAGGGAAATGAGCGAAAAGTTGTATATCTAAATTAACTTCACATCTTCTACAAAAACTTTCCTTGTTGTAGTTGGTAACTTGAAATTATCTCATGGTGAACTTCATTTGGCAGCTTAGTGTTTTTAATATTTGAAATGTATCTTAATATTAGGACATAGTATTTGTATTCAACAAACATGTTTACGTAAGTAACTAAACAATGTTAGTTGATTATTGAAGAGGCATGTATGGGGATATCTAATCTTAACATATTAAGATTTATATTTAGCCGTAACAGGCTCGGATTATCACCGTGTCTATCTATATAAAGATTGAGCTTTTTTATATAAAGTTCATTTACGTTCAAACGTATCTCAAGAAAAGCTAAAATATAAACTTGAATAAAAGTTGAATTAAATTTTAGAAAATGGCTTCTATACCGTTTGCTGCATATAAAGCTGGTAGTATACATGAGAATATGAGAAAAGCTATGAGATCAAGAGCATCTAGTGGATCATCAGTACCACAAAAGACAACCCCTGCGATACCAATGAAACAAAAATCTGAATCCTTCTCAGAGAGAGGAACTGGCGGAGTCTTCGACAACTTACGCAAGCTTGTTTTGAGTAAAAGAGCCAGCTCTGACGAATCCGTATAGCCTACCGAGTAAATGAAAATATTCCTTCTTTCATGGAATGGATTAATTTTCATCACGAAGATTTGAAAACTGTTTTAACGATACGTATAATGTAATTAGCGACATGCTTTAAGCCTGTGAAATATCATTTGATGAATCTTGGTAATATGTTATTGAAAAATGTTTTATTAACTGTATATTAAATGTAAAACAGACAGTATCTAATTGTAACTTTTTTATTTATTCATTTATATACTCGTTCTGCTCTGAACACATAAGATCTTTTAACAGCTTTTTTTAATGATTTTTTTTCGTTTGTATATGAAAAACAAAGCATCTTCTCTGAAACAAAAGTATTTTTTAATGTTAATATACTTAAATATACTTTAACTTATTATATATCACATGGATCCTTTTAGGTCAAAAAGACTCAATGACTTATCTGCCAGAGTATTCAAAGATCAGCTGCAAAGATAAAATTGAGAATAGGCTGAATTTTGCAAAGTTATTTCTAGTCATTCCTTAAGCAATCAGCTCACGATTAGTTTCATATTTCTTCTTTGTTTTCTCTCACTATCCCTTCTGCACTGAACTATTGCAGTGCTAATGATCGTTTGAAGAAATAAAGAACTTTTTAAGAGTAGTCGGTGAGAATCAATAATATCGTTCATTAGACGTATGCAATTACTTTATTTATCAGTATCGGTTAACTCTTTGTTATTTTGTCGAACGATAAAGTGACTTCTTGAAAGGCATCTTTAATTATGAATTAAACGTCCTTGTCCTTGTATTAGATTATTACAGATATTACAAGTTGTCCAGCTACCTAAATGTTAATAATTCTTCTTATTTACAAAATTAGCTTAATTTATTTGAAATTTTACTACATCATGGTAATAATTTTATTATTACGTGTTGATTGGGTGAAGTTTCTTCGGTAGGGGGCGTTTTATGATGTATATTTGATTGAAATTGATTTACGGCCAAGTCATTCCTCCAAGTTTCATCTAAAGTTTCAAGCGTTCCCTTAATCGTTTATAAAACGAACAGCTTATCGGCAACAATTGCAGAATTACAAAATGGTAAATATTATTAATACTTCTCTCTCTTATACTCTCTTAACGAATTTTTGAATTATATTCAATGATGCTTTACTGATTTTATTTTATTATACAGTAGTAGCGTATTTTCTTATAGGGTATTGTTTTAAGTGTTGCTTTATAGGTTTCATTTTCGCGATAATTGAAAATTTTCATTTGAAAACAGTTGAATCTTATTACAATTAAAATTAAATATGAATAAGAGAGCCCGTTTTTACCAATTCGCTTCCATTACAGGCAGATATCAAGAAAGCGTTTCCTGACAATAGATTGAAAGGTGAGTGTTCGATTAGGTTGGCATTTGTTACATTTCTGCAAACTGAAATGTCAGTACATACGCTGTGAATGATATGCTAGTCGCATATTTGCAGAAAAAATCTGTACTGGAATTATTCAAACTGTATAATTATGCAGCGATTAACGACGTCTGACACCTAAATGAGCTCCCATGTAAATTAAGCTTTTACATAATCTACGATAGAGCTTGACACCCTGAAATTATATGTACAACTGACCATAAACTAATTTACTTTAAAAAATAGATCCTCTTCAATTCGTCACAAATCCTCCTTTAATTCCTATTTTGTGGGGAATGAATAAAATTGGCTCTTTTAGCTCACTCTAGTGACATAAACTAAAACTTCCTCCTTAAAAAGACCATCTCGCTTACTAAACCGAATACAGTCAATTAAATAGGGGCTTTTTACACTGCAAACACCCCTTGCAGTAGTACCTATTGACAATTACGCCTGTTCCGGCAAACCATAGTAAAAGGGCTGTTTGTTAACTAGGCCTAACCACTTATTACTCCATCGATCCCTCTGATTAAATATTTGATAAAAAATTTGCAGATTTGCAATCCGCCTTCTTAATTTTTGATCAAAATAAGGATGGAAAAATTACCAAAGACGAGTTGCAATCGGTCTTGGAGGAGGCTGGTGCTGACTTTACAACAAATCAGATTGAAACCTTCATGAAGAGAGTAGACGCGGATGGTATGTAGCTTTCTATTAAATTTACTTTGAAACTATCTCTATTACTCTTCGGGAAAGATATTAAAAGTATGATTTCGGGAAGGCAAACATCATAGATTTATATATGATATAGCGTGAAGTCTTTATAAAATCATACGCTTATTTGATCTGTATTCGAAAGGCAATGGGTCGATTGATTATCACGAGTTTTGCTCTATAATGAAGGATATTGTCAGTACTGCTGATCAAGTAGAAACGAAGTTTGATGCCGCTTTTCATGCAATGGATCTAGACGGCGATGGTAAAATTAGTCAATCGGTTAGTAATATATCTAATCAAATTCACTATTGGCGTATATATCAGAATCTTATGGCGCCATCTTACGCATTTCGCTCTTTTTTTTTTTTACAAAAAGGAACTCCAACAAGCAGTTCGCGAATTGGGGGATGAACTGAGCGATCAAGAGGCTTTGGAAATTATTAAAACAGTCGATAAGGACGGTGACGGTCACATTAATTACGAAGGTTAGTAAATACAAAAATCGTGTTTCACTGTTTTTTACCGACAATCGATCCATATAATTTCTTCGATTTTTCCAGAATTTGTCACCATGATGTACTGCCTACAGTTAAATGTTTAGATTAAAAGCAGTTCAGTAAAGAGCATGAATCTAAATGTCCTCTCCCTAATTGTTTCTCTCATTTTTTTTAGCTTAATTAGCATAATGTTGTATACTGTATGGTACTTGGTTTACCATATTGCATTCTATTGTAGTAGCTAAACTATGTAGGGTTATATATTTATACGTATGTAGAAAAATGTATTCAATATATAATATACGCAGTTTTTCAGTATGTAGATTAGTTGCTCTCTATTTATAATAGCAAAGTTAACCTTTCAATCCATAATTTTCAAATGAATTCTTCCTCATTCACTGTTAACATTTCATTAGTTTGTTTTTCTTTGGCTTTACTCTCTATTATTTAGTTTCATTTTGAATCTCTTAGAAGAATAATGACTCATATTATTTATTAAAAAAATTAGATGGTATTTCTATATATACCATATCAATTTGTAAAAAAATTATTAATATAACTAATAATATGTGCTATTCAGTTACATTCTGAGCAGTCATAAATTTAAACTGTTTATATTATTTTTGTCTCTGTGTTAGGTCAAAATTATTTTGCTTTAAAGTTAAATAATAAATTGAGAGAAAGAAAGAATTATTTATTTGTCGGAGTCTAAAAAATAGGCCAAAAGTAGAAGAAAATGAAGTTACGGCCTGAGAAAACGTTTGTGAACTGAAGAGATCTCAACTTTTTCAACGGTTTTATGCTTATGCAATACATTTTTATCGTCATACGAAATCGAATTCTTCGCATACCGAAACGATTGATTCCATTGATTTTTTTCTGGATACACTATGCATAGCCTCCCGCTAGCATTAATATTACTTTTTAACATCCCACTCCGCCCCTCTAAATAACTAAGAATAGAGAAATAATCGCTTCTTTTTTCTCTATTACGTCTGCCACCGTCTAGTGATCGCGTCAAGAATATACAAGCAGCGCCACCTAAGCTCAATACGAAATCTTCAGTAGGTGAGGAACGCGACTGTGGTTTTGTTTGTGAATTACCAAAAAATTTAACCGTCCGTGATAATTTATAGTTCAGAAACGATTAAAATTTTTATATTGGAAGATACATTCTACAATATTCTTTCATTTTGATAGCTGTTAAGGATCTGTTTCGACTGAAAAACGTCATTTTTATTATTTTATCAGCCTATGTACATCTGGAACTTACTGAAAATTTCTTCCTTTGTTTAATCGAAGTAAGTAGATTAGATATATTTTCAGATATGTATTAGTATTGATCTGTTTGAGTTATTAAATTTTAATAAGATATGTTAGGAATGTGAATCATAGGTAGATCGAACACGATTCATTTAAATAGCTTTCAAATTACTAATATATTGTTCAATTCGGTAGTTACTTTATAATTGATAACTTAAAGAGGCGATGAAAATGTCGGCTTTCGATAACAGGTGTCATAAAACTTGTTGTCTATAGTTTTAATCCAGTACTGGGCCTACAACTCGGCTTGTATAGGAGTGTAAAACCGCCTACGAAAAAAATAGTTTATGAATAGAATTTAGAGGCAAATAAACTTATTCAAAAACCGTATGAACGATGTTTGCTTAGTGGAACATTGCCGGCACAGTCTTTATATTCTCAGACTTATACAATATGTGACTCGGCACCTCTCGGCGCAGGATGTCGTCAGTATAGTATACAACAATTAAAATAGCTTGCTTTTGTTGTGGCGAAATATTTTTTCCAAGACCATAGTAGTCCTATAATCTTGAGCACATAAATATACAAGGCTAGTAAGGTTCAAATCTATTGACAGTTAATACGACCTTTTAAGCTGTTTATCAACTCACATTTGTAGCATTCCTTTTCAATCAGTGAATATAGCTTTTTGTCGACCAAATTACTTCCGCTTGAATATTTGAAAGTTTTTTTATATCTGTATAGGATGAATGAAGAAACTAATATCCAAAAAACCGGGCGACAGTTTAGGATTACTGCTCCTGAAGATTTACAGGAAGAGGCAAGAAAAACTATTGCGGTAACAATTTTTTCTTTGACCCTTTAACCTTAGAATATATGTGTTAGGCTTTTAAAAATAAACGTGAACTACTAGATATATAAATAGATATACTAATATGTATCTAATTGAAAGATTTACTATAAACATTCTTTTTTTATTAGGTCATGGAAGAGCAGAAGCAAGTCAAAGCCCTTATGACCAACGACAATGATTGGGCAGCTGTAAGTTGTTTATTGCCTTCTATTTTTATTTATATATTTTATGTAATTCGCCTTCCTTCATTCTTTAACTAGTGGAATGAGGTAAAATTGGGCGTAGTTGCATAATTCACATATTTTGATTCAGAGGGTTGAATTACAAACTGAATTGAAAAAAAAACATATGATCGAAAAACTACGTTTTATATAAATAATAATCTAATGAGCACCATCTTTTTTTTTTAAATCACGTTTTATGGTAATGTTTGTTTTTTTATCGTGGTAAAGCGATTCATATGGACTTTTTTCCTTTCTTTTTATGCCTATAACATTCTTTTTTAAATCCGTATTGATCGTGCTGATTATAGAGTTTGGGCAACTGGAAAATGAAAATGAGACGAAAATCCACAACAAAAACTTTAGAGGAGGAAGAGCATGGCGAAGAATTACCAAATAAACAATCAAGCAAAACATTTGATCATATAATAAAAACAAATAGAATACGAAATATGTATCCCTATGGTGATGAGATAGAAAGTGAGCAACCAAAAAAGAAAAGTGAACCTGAGGTGATAAATAAAGATGAAATACCTGATTGGGATGGAGGATTTGAAAAAAAAGAAGAGAAGAAAGTGTGGAAGCCAAAGGTGCCGTTTCAACCATCTAAACCTGAAGAAAAAAAGCCAAAAGCGTCTACGAAATACTCATCCCCAAAATCCTCAGTTCGGAGTGTGTTTTTAAAGGATGATTCGCCAAAAACCAATTATGGATTTACTACTGCGGAAGACACTTTTTCGGGATCCCCGAATAAATTCTCAGATAGTTCAGTTGTCAAAAATGAAGTGCCAATCACTTCTCTAAAGAATAATGTTTTATCTAAGGAACCACCTAGCAGCCCAAGAAATGGACATAAACACCCACCTGTGACACCCCGTGGTAAGGGGAATGTTTCAGCCAAAGGGAAATTCTTTGAAGAAAAATTTAAAGAGCAGCCCTCATCATCACCCCCTCCCGTTCAACCTAAACCAATTGAAACTTCGCCCTACCGCTTTTCTATTGATAAACAAACATCAGATGATGAACCTCGTCTAATTCGACGAGGATCTCCTGACTCTGGAATTGATGGAGGTGCTAATTTTGGTGGTTCATCCACACCTGGATCTGTTAAAACGACAGATGATTATGTTGATCTATCAGAAGCTAATATGGCCGAATTAAAAAGATCAAAATTAAACTCTTCTCCAAAAAATGGAGCAGGCGAAAAGCTTTTTCACGAAAAGAATATTAGAATCAATTTAAACGGAATAACTACTAAAAAGTTTGGCTTCACTTTAAGAGGCGGCAGAGAGGATAATCAACCTTTACATATAGGAAAGGTGCAAATGGGGTCTGCAGCAGATATTAATGAATTAGAAGAAGGTGATGAACTCGTGACTGTTAATAATAAACCCGTAGCAGATCGTAATAGGAATTCCATCGAAGATCTGATCTCATCTATCGAAAAGGAGAATTCCCCATCAGTAACCCTAACTATAAGACGTTCTATGTCTAAAGGTTTATACAATCCGTTTTATTATATAAAAGTTCTAACATTACTGACAATTCGCAGACGAAATGTGCGCGTTTTCCGATTCGGAAGAAGGCAGCATGGTGGAACATAATATAAGTGAAACAGAGCACCAACAAGAGGTTGCTCACTTATCTTCAACCGATCAAATCCCGCGTCAAGATGAATGTCGGGATTCAGTCAAGAATCCCGTCGCTGAAAGCGACGTCATTGTTGAAGAGGATGACATTGAGGAGGTGAGTGGTATTTTGTTTTTCTTTTATAAAGCCAAAAAGCGAGAGATAAAGCACTCCTAATTCATTCAATCACTATTAACCTCTTCTTCTTCTCCTAAGTATCTAATCTTTTCTCGGTAAATTACCTCCTCAGTTTTCTTGTCAAGAAAGAGAAGCAAAGTGGCAATTGTCGCAAGAACAAAACTTGCACATTCTAAAGGATAGCCCCAACCTAAACTCATTGATTCTTCGGTAAATATTACAACTGGGAAAAGGATAATGCAAACCATCAGCGAAAGAAGAGCGGTTACTTGCGTATAAAATGCCCAGCTATAGAGACGGTATCTTTGTCGGATGTTCCAAAAAGCTATCAAAATAAGAATGGTAGCTATACAAAGTAGACATATTGCAATTACTGAGAAAACGATGTAAATAGTTAGAGAAACGCTTCGTTCATCATTCGAAAAACAACTTCCATTCGTACAAATCGTCCATAATCCTTCACGAATTCCTGTTTTTAGTATCCAAGAACTGGTAGCTTGAGATATCCCAAGCGATATAATCGCTATTAAGGTGAGCAGGACGGAAAGGACTTTTTGAGGCCGAGTTATAGTGACTCGTTCGAAGTGGCTGGTTGGTGCTCGCCTATTTTCCATGACGGTTTGCAAAAATCTGCTACTCGGCAAAAATAGAACGGCGCATAGCTAAACGCGTATCTAGGGCGCCTGTTGCGCAGTCGAAACTGACAGCACACTCTTGATTTACGTTAGGCCTTTATCTCTTCAAGTTATTATAAGCCCAGAGCATCACATAACATTTTCATTTCTTCTATCATTCTAGCCTCCTCTACCTGATACCCTACCGCCAGAGCCTGATTGGTCAACTATGCCGCAAAGAAAATTGTCAAATGCCTCCTTAGAGGACCTTCTTCCCGATCCAGTTGTTGAAGAGTCTCAGCCGCCGTTATCGATTAAAGAAGAAATGCTTAAGAAAAAATCCTTTTTCTTGGGTAGACCTATTGATCAGTTACAAGAATACGCTCAATTAAAGACTATCAATAGCACGGCCGATCGCGACTGTGTTCCGTGTTTTGACAAGTCAATTATTCAATCTTCTTCAATTGTTGATGACCTTTTAAAAAAGAGACCAGAAGAGAAAACTTGGTAAATACAATTCTCTTTCTTAATAATCCTATTATAACTTTAAATAATTTAGCTTAACCATACAAATAATTCTTTTTAATACTTATTTATTTATGTCATTTTTAAAGAATATTTATACACATACAATGCTCAATAGGCCCTCGCCACCTCCCGCACCTGAAAAGACACCGGCCGAAACACTTTATAACTATATTGACGAAGAGCCTCCTCCGTTCAAAGAGAAACCAAATATGATGTTTCAAGAACAGAAACGCTCAACTCTCCCAAGAGACTTCGGTAGTGATCGATATTCCACCTGGAACGATAAGAAAAGCCGTAAAGAGTCAGTAGGTGACGAAATTGAAGAAATGATAAGTCACGCTCAAGACGCCTTAGGTTCAGAGAGGAATAGGACTTTCATGGAAGAGTTATCTGAACACAATAAACCTGCAAGTTACCCACCAAAAAGTTCAATGGTAATTATTAATATATTATTATTAAAGCCAAGTGTCTGAAATAAATTGCCTATACTTATAGCCTGAAAATGAGCGCCATAACGAAAAACAAATGAAGGAACCGAAACATACCCCTTTCCGAAGACAATTTGTTGATGAAGATTTTACACGTAAACCTCAACCCAGTCAATCAAATCTCCCAGAGTATAAACTAGAATCTAGCGATTTCACATCACCTAAACTATCAGGAATAGGACGAATAAATGAGACTGTAGATAGAAGCAAGCAACCAAAGCAGCTATTTCCATCAAAGAGATCTTTTGAAGTTCAAACTGACAGAAAAAAAATGCCAATGCCTTATAGGTTTGCTAATATCCGTAAACAATATAGTTCTTATAACATATTTTAACTTTCTCTCCAGACCTGAAGCTCGACACTTACAAGCATCCTCATCTGATTCTCAACTGTCTTCTAGAGGTATTAGTTTCATTTAAGAATAAGAGAAGTGTTAAAATTAATTAATTTTTATTAGATACATACACTGTGAGAAGAGAGGAAGACCCCCGTGAGAAAGTTCATAAACTGAAACTGCAAGACGAAGCTAAAGAGTCAAAATTTAGAGTAAAACGTGACAACGATAATATAGAAAAAAAGGATGGATTTCAATCTTTCTCAGATGTTCCTACTTCATACTCAAGTTCACGCGAGATACCAAAAAAGCGTTATGAAAACATACCTTTTGAACAACAACGTCCACCAATAGCATCTGCATTTTCTTACTCTACATCAGAGTTAAGCTCTCTACCAAAAAATATCAAAGCTGGCCATCAAGTTTCTCGTTCCGTTGATTTGTCTTTTCCTTCTCAAAGATCTTTAGATGATCACTATCGAAGACAATCAAATGCGTCAGACTACGGCCAGTCATTAAATAATAATTTTAGACAAGAGGAGGAAAAGCAGCCACCAAAACTTTCGAATTGGTCTAAACCAAAACCTTTACCACCAAGCTTTCGATCATATAATCCTCCTTCTCCTACTCGTTCCGATGGACCGGCAAGAATTCCTTGCGTAAGCGCTCAGGAGAAATGCCAAGGTTGTGGGGAGGTCTTAGGCTCCGGAGCAGCAATGCTTATTGAGTCTTTAGGATTACATTATCATTTGAACTGCTTCATTTGCAGTGTTTGTAGAGAACAGTTGGCCTCAGGATACGATAAAGGTGCAGATGTTCGGGTTAGAGGGAAAAAATTACACTGTCAAGACTGCTATTCTAATGAACAAGGTATTTGAATGTATAGAAGTTATAGAAAAGTGGTGTTTGTTGATAGAAAAGGTTTGCAGTTTTTTCTCTAGTAAGAATATAGTAAACTGACTTGATTGTTTGTTTATATCTTTTAGAAAACGCATTACTATAATAGATTGATTAGAATTTTGCACTGCCTGTAGAAAAAACATGGCTTTTAGTTTAACGATTAATTTATTTGCTGTTAGGCTAATATTGTTTCATATCAGGATTATTGAAGTTTATCTTATTTGTTTGTTCTACAGCTGGTATTAAATTCAGCCGAGTCTAAAATCTACTGCCACCAGAAAGATTTTCCTACCAAACTGTGATAAGACTAAACATAATTTCGTTTCATGACTACACCTGAAATGTTTTTCATATTGCTGTATTGTTAATTTTTCTGTGAATTCTTTTAGAATGATGTCATTCTATACACTATTTCACGTTAAAAAAATACGAAGCACTAATCACTGTTTAATTTTTAAGAGTCTCCGAACATTTACCATAAAAGAAACGAAGCTATCAATAGGACCCAAAGATATTAAAATCTTGCTGTCCAGCATACCAAAAGAGCTTATAAGTTACGATAAAATCTCAGCTTAATAAACTGTAAATTTGACAAAATTTTCATTATCTATCACTAGCACGCTAAAGCCCAGTCACCCGTGAGTTTATTAGTTTTTCATCAGCAAAACTTCATTGCACTTTAGTCGAAGGGTGCTCAAATCTATCAAAAGTAAGATACGCACAAACTTTACACTTGGGGCTTAGCAGAGAAATATGGATGCTACTGAACTATTTGGTTTATTATTATCAACAACTTTTTAATTATGCAATTAAGTACTATTTTCTCAGTTGTTATTCTAATGGGACCATATTTTATGTTGATAATTTTTGATATTTACTAAGGAACTTTACAATAAAAATGTAAATACAACAGTACTTGAAAAAAATACTTTACATAATTCCAATTTTATTATAAATTTATATTAATTGTTTAATTACAAATTGCCATTTCAACGTCCCTTGGATCTGAATGAATTATTTCTTTCCTAACTTCTTCCGTTATTGTTGGGTGGTTGTGTACTCTTAAAAGGGCAATTAATAGCTCTTTTTGTTCGCTTGATATATCAGCCTTATAACGCTGAACGAAAGTAAGCAAAGATTGATGCCAAAGAACGGGCAATTGTCTTTTGTCCTTTTCAAAGCGAACGAAATGAAATATAACAGCATCAAGAACTCTATATGGCAAAGCGTATTTCTTATCCAACAAAGTTCGGAGGAATATAGATGTAGCCCCATTATAGTCCATTTCCGCTAATTTTAATAGAGCGGCGGCAGAGTGTAACATAGGTATAGAATTTTTAGCCAGAATGGATGAAACTATGATTGCCTCTCTTAAAGTACAGTTTCCGCACTCTGCCAAAGGTAAAAGAACTCCCTTGAAAAATGCAGCTGGTTTAAAGAGAGATTTTTTTAACGCCATATAGAGGTGGAAATTAAGCCTTTTGTATTCACTGATATCATCGCGAATACGAGGTAAGAGGACCAAATTGAAAAATCTCTGAGCCATTTTCGCATTTAAATTAGATGCAAAAATTCGAGTAGCTTGGTAAACGGCCGCAGCAGTCCAGGAATCTGGCTCTGTTAAATACAAAACTTGCTCCCAATTCCTTAATGAGGGGATAATTTTGAAAGCTTTTGGTAATTTTCCAGATCTATAGCATCTTAGAATATCCCGAATGCTTCTGTACATTTTAACAACACGCTCATCCATATCCTCAATTCGAAGGGTATTTTTATCACTTAATTCTGTTTCAATTTCGGTTTTTTTCTCAGTTAATTTCTCTTGAATTATATCAGCTAAAGTTCTTCTGACAGGGCCAGTTGTAGACATAAATTTTTCCATAGCTTTTTCCTCGTCTTCATCTATTTCCTGGTCAGAGTAAAGTTGATAAATTATATAGTTATACAGAAAAAAATACTGACAATCTCTTCGTCTTGATCATATGCAAATTCTCCAATGTCATCATCACTTTCATCAGAGTCGTTGTTGGAGCTCTTTGGGAACTTGACGGTTTTAGGTAGTTTTTTAGACCTAAGAACATGAGAGTTGAAATCGTATTTAGTGAGGAATTTTTTAACTTACTGTTCAGAAACGCCATACTCTTCTTCAAGTTCTGCTTGTTGATTTCGGGCTTGATCAAGGATCTTCAAGCTCAGTTTGTCATCTACGAACTATAAAAAAGAGAAATAAAGTTGCATTGCTACCACGTGTTTAAGTCAAAAGGAGTACTTCTATTGTTTCTTCTTTTTTCTTTCGATCTTTTACGCGACCAGGTGGTCGTACAGTCTTATCTAATAGTATTTGTTCTGCTAGGGACCCAGCCGAAGCTGCGTTTGAAGTAAGAGCTTTACTTTTCTTAATTTTCCCCATTTAGTCGGTGAGTATATAAATATAGACGCAAAAAAAACTGGTAACGAACTGATATTAGGTATAACTTAATCCCGTAAAGCGTAAATGTTTATTTACATTTAAACAGAATTTTCAGCAAAATATCATTTAAGACTCGAAAAAGTATTGATATAGATCTGAAGATAAATAGCGTGATCACTAATTTATATTAGACTGTACTTGATCAAGTTTCGTTTCGATTGTAGAGATACTTTCATTATAACTTTACTTTTAAGCTTTTGAGAAATTTTAAAATATTTTGATAAAATATAGCAAAAATAATGAGACTATATATGTTATTCATAATAAAATTTATGTTATATTGAGATTAGTGTTAAAATCGTTTTTTTTTACGAGCGGAAATGACGACATATGAACCGGAAACTCAGGAAAATGTGCTATAAGTCTGTTTGGTGTTGTAATATCGCTCACCAAACTTCTCTTGATCCATTTAAGTAATTAGTTTATTTAGAAAAAAAGTACTGCTTTAGAAAAAAACCCATAAGAATGAAGAGAAAACTTCACGATCCGAAAATTACAAATGAAGTAAGTTCTACTTCTTTCATACTATCTTATTTTCTTTCGAACTTTTCTTGTAACCTGATATTTTTCACCAGGATAAAGAAGAATCACCAAAATCTAAGCGTACCTCACAAAAAAGTGGTTAGTTTTGGTGTTTAGTAAACCCACAAGTGAAATGCAAAAAAAAACATTCTTTACTTGCAATTTTCTGTTTAGTTTAAATCATTACATATGTTTTCTCTCTAATTTCTACAAATTTTCATACTCAGATGAGCATAAAAAGGAAGATGAAACAGCAACTCTCAAAATGCTGTCAGTTATTACCGCTACATCAACTGGAGCTGAAGAAACAAATGATCTATCAAGTATTCAATTGAGCGAAATATTCTCAGAATGTTTTATATCAACTAAAAAGCAGAAGAAAATTGATGAATGGCTAAAGAAATTAAAAATCTACTTAAAAAACTTAAATAGTGACCAATCCATTGACGTTGAATTACCCACTTTCTTACCGGAAGATGTTGAGAAATTTCATTTAAAATCTTCTCATGCTCCTGAAAATATTGAACAAGTTTCCCCCTACTGGCTGAATTCAGACGTTACAAGCAAAACTTTGAATATAGAAGTTTGTCTAGAAATACCGAAAAACTGTGTTTTCCCAAAAGATACTATAAATTACAAATACTTTTGTAAACGCATGGAATATTTAGCAAAGGTTGCATCTTTCTTAAAAAATTCAGATTTGGTTGCTGATATATTTTGGTCTTTAGACAACTCTGTAACTTATAGGCCAATTCTGATTATCGAACCGAATGAGCTGAAGAATGTTAAAGTTTTTGTTAAAACTGTAGTTCACAAAGATGTTCTTTGGAAATCAAGCCGATTCCAGCCCGGAGCAATTAATGTTAAACCTGAATATTTCAAAAAGAGTGAAGTTGAACAATCGACAAGTTTCTATAATGACAATTTGGGCTTAGAAAAATTTTATTTTGAATCCAGACGTCAGCTACAAGAAAAACTAAAACCTTCTGACACAGCCACGAAGGGGTGTATCTTATTAAAAATTTGGTTGAGAAATAGATTTCTCAATACTGGCTTTGGAAATTTTAATGATCATATAGCTGAATGTTTCTCCGTGTTTGTTCTTGAGAAAGAAGAAACTTTCCTTTCTCCTTTACACTTTTTTAAGATTGCAATGAAACATATAAATGAAGACTTTTTTCTCAAGCCGAAAGCCTTGAACGTAAGCTAATTATAGTACTCATTTGAGGCATACAAACTCTAAATTTTTAATGTTTTTAGGGTGAAGTTGATGAAGAATATAAGAAATATTATGACGTAATCTTCTTGGATGGCTTTTCAATAAATCTTTGTTCACATTGGCATAAAAATACAGTTGACAGGATTAAGTATGAAGCTAAAATAGCCTTAAGTCTTATCGATGCTTCTCAGGGTTATCAATCCAATCTTATTGAGAATTTATTTGCATATGAAATTCAGCCAGAATTTGTTTTTGATCAAGTTATCTACATTAAAAAATGCAAACCTATTGAAAGTGAAATAAGTACATGCTGTAATATATTTTCTGCTGTTCCAAAAATTATTCAAATACTGGAGAGAGCTATTGGCAGAAGAGTTAAAAATATAATACCATATTCATCTCCTACTCAACCCTGGAATATATTGTCTAAAAGAGAAGAAAATACTTTGGCGATAGGTTTAATTTTAAACTTACAGCATTCGTATGAAATATTGGAAAAAGGACCTTCGGCTGATTCCAATGAAGCAAAATCATTTCGCAATTTCTGGGGAGAAAAGTCTGAAATGAGAAAATTTCAAGATACATCAATATGCGAAGCGGTCGTATTTCCAGCGGACAACGCTGCTAAAAAAAGAAAAATTATAACAAAAATGATTAAATACATATTGGAAAGACATCTCAATGTTGTCAACAATGACTTAAAAATATTATCAAATTCCATCGACAGTCAATTAACAGAAGAGGAAAAAGGAACCGGGGAAGAAGAATTGGCCTCAGTTTGTTCCTCCTTCGACAATTTGTGTAAAATACTCCGTAAATTGTCTCAGGATCTGCCCTTACCAATTCAAGCTATTCATGGCCTTCATCCAATATTAAGAATGACATCAACCTCCTCTACTCCCGAAATTATTGATATTATTTGTCTTCTAGAAACAAGCGGAAAATGGCCAGAAGATATAAATGCAATAAAAAGGTAACTAAATTTTTAAAAATATTATTCAACATTAATAGTTCTTTATTCAAAAGGTTAAAAGTTGCCTACTTGTTGGAGCTAAGAAAAAAATTAAAATTGTCCAATTATCAAGTCGAACTGAGCATTGACTTTCTAGATGTAACATTCAATAATTTGAAATTTAGAATATCTGTTGCTCAAACAGGAGAAATAACTATGCTTAAGATGAATAAATCAAACAAAGGATTAATAAAATTCACAGATACTGAAGAATCCATAGAAGCTCAGAAATTGATGGTAGCAAAGCCATTATTTGCATCAATGATAAAAGGCCTGCAGCAGGAGTATCCTGTCTTCAGTCTGTCTGTTCGTTTAGTAAAAAAGTGGCTTGATTCGCAAATGCTATCGCCTTACTTTGAAGACGAAGCCATAGAACTCCTCGTAGCATATATATTTCGAAGAAAATCCTGTTATAATGCACCAAATTGTTCACGTGTCACTTTTCTTCGATTTCTTGAACTTATAGCATCATTTGATTGGAAAATGTCTGGTTTGATTATAAACATTGATGATAGTCTATCTAATAGTAGTATGGAAGAAATACGAAAAGAAATTGTAAAAAGTAAAAAGACACTACCATCTATGGTTTTATCCTGGTCGGGTGATAAGAAAGGTTGCATGTTTACAAAATCTACTCCAGATTTTATAATAAGACATTTAGTGGTTCTCAGCAAGAAAAGTATGGAATTATTGTCAAGTTCACCAACAAATGTTGAAATTCTCTTCAAACCGGATCTTTCAATTTTTGATATTCTTATACATGTGAAGAAATCTGTTGGTAAAGAAATCGTAGAAAAGTTCGTGAATCGAATAAATGTAAGTTATAAATATTTAATATTTTAGATTTAAGTCAATGAACTAAACAAATTTAATTTATTATAAAACAGTTGGCCTACAAGAGTAATGCTATTTTCTTCTTTGATAAAAGCGAAAATTTAAAAATCGGAGGAATATGGAAACCCAATGCAAAAAATCGATCCTTTTCTACAACCCACTGTCATTATGCAAGCCCTAATTGGAACAGGGAGGGCGAAATTATATTAACTATCGATTCAGAAGTTGTGAAGGAAGATATAAGAATATTAGGTAAAGATGTAATTAATTCTATTGCAATAGTGAGACCAATGGTTTAAAGACAATTTATATTCCACTGTTATATTGTAATTAAAAGCTGATGCAAGTAACAAAAATCAATTTGCTTATTGGAGCTTGTTGTGTATGCCAATAAACTCTTTCAAAGTACAACAAAAATCTATTAAGTTTTACTTTATCTGCAGTAATTATTTAATAATATATATTCATATTAAATAACATAACAAAGCTTTCCGAGTATTGCTAACAAACACAATACAATCAATCGTTTCAAATTATTTCACATCCTTTCTCTCAGTTTGTAAATAATTCAACGTAGATCTAATTAAAAGTGATATATCATCGAAGAAGTGAACAAACACGAATATTTGAACCACATCCAGCCATAGCTGCCTCTTCATTATTTACATGCATCGTTTGAACAGCTCTTGAGAATGACACGAACGCTGTGATTTTCCCAGTTATTAGGTTAACCAAATGTAAACCACAGGTACCACTACCGGCTGCTAAAGCTGAATTCGCTTGCGCTAGTAAACTTGCGCAATACAAATATTCACCTTTTTCAGGGCTGTCTAAATTAAATATAACAGCTGGATGACTGGAAAATCTGTTTTTTATGTAATTCAGGATTTATTTCTGAAGGGAAAATGAAACCTACGAACCTGCAGTCCCACAACTCCAAAGCAGAATGTTTTCTCCAGGAGCCAGTTAATAAAAAATTATCAAAAGTATCAATGGCATCACCACATATATGAGGACCGGAAATATTCACAACACTTGTTCCTCTGGTGCGGGTATCCCATAACTTTATAACATTATCCCAACCTCCCGATACAAGCACCGAATAGTCTTTCCATTTAACAGAAAAAATTCTACTAGTATGCCAACTACAATCACGAACCATTGTTTCTGAAGATAAATCGTAAATTCTCAAACAACCATCACTTCCTCCAGTAGTTGCCTGATTGTTTGGTGAAATATCTAGGCAATTTGTACCACTAGGTTCTTTGAAGAGACGGCGGATTTGCGGGTCTCCAGTGTTTATAGAACATTCAATTATGCTTCCTAATGAAGAAACGGTGTAGGATTAATTATTTAAAATCGATCTTAAAATTTATAATTATACTAATTACAGTAATTAAGTAATTTACCTGAAGCAAGAGTGGCTAAAATTCCATCTTTTTTTATCCATTTAACTGACATTACAGGAATATCACCATCAATAGCCTTTGTGGTTGAAATTTGTTTATGATCCGAGTCCCTAAATTGTATGGTTCCATCAGCTAAACCCAACGCTAAAGAGCCAACAGAGTTGAATTGCAATGAATATACTGAATTTTCAGAGAAAGTACACGAATAAGTCAGCTTAATGTCCAATCCATTGAGATCTGTTTTTTTGCTTGCTTCTAGAGCTTCTGTCAATCTTCTAGCCGGCATCTCTCGAAAACTTCGAAATTGTTTGAATCTCTATAGGAACAGATGGCGCTGTAGTCCCAAGGATCGATTATTTTATAAAATATCTATATAAAAAATATATGGTACTGAATTTGGCAGATATTTTAATTCTCTTATTTATTTTTTAATTAAATAAAAAATCAATTAAAGTAAAAATATCCCCAAAACTAAAACCACAAAATGCTTTTGCAAACAACAATACAATAAAATGTACACGATTTGCTCCCTGGCATTTCACTTCCGACTTTCTCATCCGGCAAGCCTACCGCTTATATCTCTAAAATAAGCATGTCCTACCGTAACAATGATAGTAGAATTTATGTTGGAAATTTGCCCCCTGACATCAGGAGCAAAGACTTGGATGATTTGTTTTACAAATATGGCAAAATTATGTATATCGACTTAAAGAATCGCCGCGGTCCGCCATTTGCTTTCGTCGAATTTGAAGATCCACGGTAAATTATTTAAACTTATTGCATTTTTGATCGATTTTGTCTTATTATTGCCGTGATGGGCTCCTAAAATGTTTTGTATAGAAGTTTTAACCCGTCTTCGTAGGGAAAATTTTTTTTTTTCTACAAATCAATTTGTCACGACTATTACTTTGTAGTGTAGCTTAAACGAAAGGAAATCTAAGATGGCGGCGCTCAAAGTGTTCAAACGCAACCTGACTGTCGAATTGTTTTCACAGAAACTAAAATAGAGGACCTATCACAGAGGATGCAATTATCAGTTATTTTCAAAAACCTCTGAAATAACATAGGCTACATAGGTGGAATTTTGTAACTGCTCCGAATCATTGGGATTTTGAAAGTTCATAGCATGTGAGCTTTTCATTCTAAACATTTTTGCAAAAACAAATAGGCCGAATTTTCATAAAATACAGGATGGGAACAGTCTATTTTAAAAAAAAGGTTTTTAAAAAGTGAATTAATAGTGGAATAGACGTGGTTTTCGTAGGAATTGCAATTGGGAAAATGTAAAGTAAATTGTATGGTTCCTGAATAGATTTTTAGATTCAGATGGTTAGCCCCGTCATAGGACCGTTTTTCATAATTCGAAGATTTGCAGGCTTAAAATATTAACTTAAAGCATAGTTCTTGGAAAATGGCGTGTAATTTGTTTTTACTCATAATACTCAATGAAAACTGACACGTCATTCATCACAGTAAACATCTGTTACCAAAGTCTAAACAATTTTTGAATTTGAAACGAATTGCGTTAATACGCCACAAGATAAATGGAGAGTTCTTTAGAATGATCAATACGTTCTACTTTTAGTGACGCTGATGATGCAGTTCGTGGACGGGATGGATATAATTATGATGGATACACTTTACGAGTAGAATTTCCTAAGGATTCCAACAGAGGATCTCGTTCTCTGTATCGTGGACGAGGAGGCGGTGGCGGTTACAGAGGGGGAGGAAGAAGAGGTGGACGAGGAGGCGGAATGCGTCGACCAGAAAATAGAGTTTTGGTAACCAATCTACCTCCTTCAGGTTCGTGGCAAGATCTGAAGGATCATATGCGCGAAGCAGGAGATATTTGCTTTGCGGATGTTTATAAAGATGGCACAGGAATCGTTGAATTTCTCCATCATGACGATATGAAGTATGCTATTCGTAAATTGGATGATACGAAGTTTAGGAGCCACGAGAATGAAACAGCTTACATTCGTGTGAAAGAAGATGCTGGTAGACGAGATCGGTCAAGATCGAGATCAAGAAGCCATAGCTTTGAAAAGAGAGATCGAAGAAGTCCTAGCTACTCCCCGATGAGAAGGAGCCGTTCTCTATCTCCAGGTCGATGAACCCTGGTTGTTCTTTTTTTTTCTTGTAGCCTGTTATAAGTAAAAACGGCTATTTTTATAAAGATAGTTTAAAGGTAAAAAAAAATATTTTTCACGCAGGATTATTTGATCAATCATTTTGAATTTCGAAAATAAAATGTGATTTTTAGTAGGTGTACTAAATATAAGACGCATCCATAATGTTAATAGAATTACTCTCTAAAGCGATCTATATAACTTTTTTTGTTTCCAGAATAGACCTAAAGTTTACCAAAGCATTGATTAAATATATTCTATTGCATAGGTGTATGAAGTGAACACTTTGTTGATAAATTAAATGTAACTTTTGTTATGTGCGAATAAAGTGTTATTTCGGGAAAGAAACCAATGCAAAACTAAAATTCAGTAGTTATCAAATTACTTGCTTTTTTGTAATATTAAAACTTAACGTATGAGTAAACTCATAACTTTAAAGCACTGAAATTTTTTTTTAAACGTAACATTAATCAAATTAAAGTTTTGAGCAAGTTTTATTTTGTTGTGCAGTTGATATACTATTATGATTCACTAAAATTAACAAAGTAGTTTTCATTGTGTTTATTATATATTATACTATACTATTTTATACGATCAGTTTTATTTGAAGGAAATAACATACTACTAAAAAGCTGGCCGAACATAAAGTTCTTATAATTTAAGCATAAAAGTTTACTTTCAGTCGACTTATTTTTTTTTTCGTAAGAATAAACATGTGTTTGATTTCAACAGGTAACCTCCTTTATTCTTAAAAACCCGTAAAAATTACCGGATCTAAACTACCGGATCCATAGAGCGCCAATGCCAATCTAAAGCGTTAAAAATCGAGCATCTGAAAAAAGTAACCGTTTGAGAGACATAGACCGAGAGTGGATAGATAAGATGCTTACCAATTGCGGGAGTATTTTCTCCACATGTTCTGGCATCACTTTATCCTGTGATTCAATCTGAAAAACCACACAAAATCTCGATTAGGTAGCTCACCCGAGAGCATTTGAGAATCCTTAGGAGCTTTTGGTACATTTAGCTTATCATGACATCGCTTAGAACTTTCTAGAAGCTGAACTTACCTGGGCGCGCTTTGCGGCTCTGACGACGAGCTCTGGAAAATGAAGCTTGAATGTAAGTTTGTTGTGATAAATTTAGGCGATATATCGCGTATTTTTTAACATATAACAACTAGTTGACGCGATATATCATGATAACATTGATTGATTCACATTTAAAGCAGCCGAATAAGATTCAAAGCCATTCAAAACTTGATTGCATACGATGACTAGTACCCGTAGCCCACTCGTATTGATATATAAGGCCTACAGAAATGAGAAGCCTATACCCCAAGGACCAACCCTTGCTTTTCCATCCACAACCCAACGCGAGATTGAGTTTGTGTGTCTTGACTAGGGAACGCTACGGATCACTTGTAAATATTTTTCCTTCAGTAGATTTCAGGTTATAGATAATCCAACTGCTCAACTATTACGAAATCGGAGCCACTACTATCTTTCGTTAGTTGAGAGAAAATTATTAATATTTTCTTCAAATTGTCATCGAAGAGTTCGCTAACCCTCTCGTGACCAATTTGTGTTGGTTTTGTTATGTGTAACGTTACATGAATTTTTCAAATACATTTCACAAGAACCTAAAAAACTGAATGTGTTTTCGAATGTCCTACCTTCAATAAAGCATCCAAAAAGCTCAGTAGCCAACTGTGCAGCATTGTTCTTCACTAATTAATCGTAAAATTAATAAATGAGAAACAAGTAAAAAAATTTATCTAACTTTTGGTATTATCGCTCTTGAAGTTTAACTGAAGAGTTTTTCGGACTGTTTCCTAAAGATAAAATTGAGTCAGAAATAAGTAAAATTTACTTATAAGCATTAATTTGTTACTGGTTTTAAAAAAGAAGCAGCAGAGCTTTCATCGCAATCTTTGCCGCTATCCGCCATAACTGATGAAACTTTCACCAATTTTGAAAACTGGTTGAATTTAAAATCTTGGGAGAAAATATTAACAAATAATAAAGTCAAGTTCGTTAAGTTCATATTGAATGTATTTGAACACTTCAAATATCAGAAATAAGCAACACAATAATGAAGTATAATAACTATTGAGATTCTTAACTACTTGATCTTATAAGAAATACTGTGACAAATAGTCATTAGTGTGGGATATCATTGCAAGTGTTTTAGCCGCATTATCAAAATTGTAAGATCAAATTTTTTTCTTTTTTTACTGCGATGCATGCAACTTGGTGCGATCAGAAATTTCCGGAACCTCAATCATCCAAGGTGACTTTGCCTTTCCAAATTGAATATCTGTCAAGTTCTTTAGCAGCCTCCCATAGGTGGGATTCTCGACCTCCATTGTTGGAACTTCTAGCCATTTATTTTGGTAAAGAACTCTGTCAACGGGTGAAACAATACAGGCAGTTCCTGCCCCAAACACTTCTTCAACCCTGTTGTCCTTTAAACCGTTAACTAAGTCTTTCATTGTAATTATTCTTTCAGAAACGTTAAATTCACCCTACAAGATTTAATCCAAATTAGAATATATAAATGAAAATAACACAGATCATATACCCATTGTTTGGCTAGTTCAAGCAAAGATAGTCTCGTAACTCCTGGTAAGATAATCCCTTGAGAAAGGGGTGGTGTTACCAATTCTCGTACTGGTGAACAGAAAATAAGTAGTTATAGATATAATATACAATTTTTTTGACTATTACTTCAATATACCTCCTTTTTCATTCGTCCACATCATAAAGATGTTCATTGTACCTACTTCAGTCATTTGTTCGTCTTTTCCATATAGCCATAAAACTTGTTGACAGTTATGCTTTTTGTTTGCCAGATTTTGAATATAAATGGTAGGAGCATAATTACACCCCATTTTATAGCCTCCAGTACCACCTATAGTAGCTCTGACAAATTGCGGGTCAGCCAAAAGAGAAATTGGTTTAAATCCAGTTTTATAGTATGGTCCAACTGGTCCTGCTATTACAAAAAGTTTGGCGCTTGTTGATTTGCTCACTCCTAAGTGAGGATCAGTTCCTATCATTGTTGGTCGAATGTAGAGTGTGGAAGACTGACTACATGAAGATGGATTTGGTTTTGGTACCCAGTCGCTATCAATAGCGATTAACTTTTTGATGCATTCGATCAATTCTTCACCATCGAAATCAGGAAGGTTCGATCGTAGGGCTGTTGTCTTCATTCTCTCCATATTTTTATCTGGCCTGAACAGTCGAATGACATTGTCGTATCCTCTGTAAGCTTTCATACCTTCAAACAGTTCAATAGCATAATGCAATACCTTTGTTGCTGGATGCATCGAAAAATTTCTTATTTCTGAAATCTTCGGTCTTGTCCATCCCTCACTCTCTGTCCAGTCGATTTCCAGCATATGATCGGAAAAATTCTGACCGAAAACCAAGTCATCCGCATTGGGTATTTCTTTGGGATTCTTCGTTAGCTCAATTTCTAGATTGGAGGCCTTGAAACTTGAGTATCTCGAAATTCCAGTAACTTGTACTGGACGTAACTTTTTAACCTGAAAAAATAATATTTAAATTATGTTTAAAAAAGTATTGCTTCAATTATTAATATTTTCAAAAGTTAACAATAGCTAACCGATGTTGGAATTGAATATTATGTTTTTTATTAATCGATGTCTAAATCTATATTAGTTTTTAATTTTAGCTTTATTTGATTTCATTAAAAAAACACAACAAATAATATGTTAATATGTTAAAAAGCATTTTGATAATATCTCGAAACAGTTATTTATAAAATATCATGTAAACTTTTTCAAAACCAATATTTAAATAATTCATAAGGCAAAAAGTTAATTTTATTGCGTTTGTTACACTCAACCTCACACGTGCCACTAAGCCTAGTATTTAGGTCTGGGTCATTTTTTGAAAGATCTTATTCTTGAAGTTGAGAATGAGGAACAATGCTAAATGTTTAAAATATTTAAAATTATCATCTCATTTAACAAGGAAGTTTATCAAATATATAAGAAATGTTCCTAATCTTTCAACAGAATATGGCTAGTATCATTAATTTACATGGAAAAATCCAAAAGTGTAGAAAGAAATTTTTAACTGTGTCAGTTGCTTAAATTGAACAAAAAATATTTTAATTTACTGAAAAGCTCAAAAAATATAATATATAACATTTACAAACACAAAAAAATTAAAAAAGTATTAATCACCAAAGACGCAAATCGCAACGCCATGTTGTTGAGTTTGATATTGACTGCAGAACTGTACTGTGTCATGCAAGAAAAAATAGAGCAGGGTAAAATATTCTGAGAAACTGGTATGTTTGTAAAAGAACTTTCACTGATTTTAACAACTTTTTATTAGGTGAAACAAGAAAAATTACAAAACTTTCATAACTTGAAAATGTCAATTAAATTTTCAAGTTTAATTTTCATTTTTAAAAAATTAAAAATTTAAATTATATTGTTATTTTTCCTATTTGATTTTTTATATATCATTTATTATAAGTTAATGTTATACCAAAATTATCCTTGGTCTAAAAAATAAAATATGTAGACTATTATCTAGTATATGGTCTTTGTTTCATTCTGCAATATCATACTAAAATACAATGACGAAATCCTCATATTTTTTCAGTAGTTCTTATAAACTATTGCTTTTTCAATTCAGACATTTTATATTTGCAATAGAACGACTATTTTAAAAAACACAAAAACTTCGGAGCTTATTATTATATATTACAACTATTACATTTATAGGATTATAGAGCGAAATAGTATATAACCTACATTTTATACAAATATTTTATATGAGCTAGGTGGCAAATTAGCGGATATAACTTTTTTTTACAGCTTTTATATTTACTTGCAATGATTTATTGATTTCCATTTACATACTCTAAAATTCACTTCATTTTTTCAAAAAGAAAAGAAATACAGCATTTTAAAAGTACCACTTACTTTTGACAAATTTTGTCCAAGTATTAGGTTATTAATATACAAATTATAATTAGAAATTATTAAAATAAGTCATTACCTCCAATAGGCTTACAGACTACTACTATCTGCAATTTATTACTTAAGAGCTACGATATCACTGTCTAATATAGGCTTTCAAGTTTATAAGATGAGAAAGTTCATAGTATTAATCTAGATTGTAAAAATTATACAATTGAAGGATGTGGCAGTTTTCTCTTTTCCTTGTCATGTAAACTAGTTAATGCTCTATTTTAATGCAAAACTAGATAATTTATCAATTTCCTATGAAATATTTTATTTAAACTACTCTATTTTGACAGAGATAATAATGAAAAAAGACGAAGGCATACTTTTGAAATTTGTATGGTGTTGAATAGTTCACACAAGTTTAGTATTTTTTAGTTTTCTCTTGTGTTATTGAATTGTATTTGTAAAAGAAAAAAAAAGAATAATTTATGAAAGGGAAAACTTCCAAAGCTTGTTTTTTCCGTTAATAAAATACTACTTAGCATTTATAGTCTAAGGCGAAAAATTCTTTGTCTTAATAAATCAAGCGAAAACTGGTACATCAGATTGCAAAAAGATATATTTATAACTAAGGAATGCAATAAGAATAAAAATTAAATTATTAAATTATTCTCATTTGAATGGTGACGCTAATTATATTTTACTACATTCTCTAAAAAGACTTTTTTTTAAATTTAAATTCACTAGTATTAAGTTTTGTTAAATATTTTAGTAAAGTTTAAGTGAAGGCCAAGGCCAAGGTGAAGGATAAAGAGGCTCCATCGCTAATCGTTCGATTCTAGAAAACCTGTGCTGACAGATCTCATTATGTACTTGTGATAATGTCTGAGGAGCAGAAAGAAAAGAAAAAACCCGTTCGCGTTTGGGTCGATGGATGGTAATAACTTTTCTTAGTTCATGGAATAATCGTTTAAAAATTTTAACATTAAATTTCGTTTTAGCTTTGATTTATTCCACTTTGGGCATGCAAACGCTATAAGACAGGTATATACAATAGCTTGTGATTCATTTTTAATTCTTTTGTTATCTATTCATAGATAGTTTTTAATTCAAACAGGCAAAGTTAATGGGAGATATTTTGGTTGCTGGAATTCATTCTGACGGTACGTCAAAACACTCTACTGTGCTGGTAGTCAAGCCAAACATTTGATACTAAATTAAAAATATATATCAAATATAGCGAGCAAAGCTACGTATTAGTTTACTAACAACAAAATCGCTTTTAGACTAAGGTGCCAATCAACGAGTTTTGAAATAGACTATCATATGGAAATGTAGAAAATTTATACAATATTTAAACATTATCAACCCAAAGAAAGAAGAAATCAATAATGTTAGCAAGTTGAGTTTTCTAAATCTGATGAGCCTTTTAAACTGTTTACTTTTATCGAACAACAGCCTAGATCGTGAAATTATTGTATCATAATCTGCTGCGTATGATACAACCATACGAGTGACCTGTCAGAGTTGCCATTAACATAATTATAAATAATTAACGTCACATTGCTAATAGTTTGTAATAAAATAGAGGTTGCACTATATATTTTATCTCTATGTATAGGCCAAACCAATTAACAATATGTGTATTTTAGATAGCACCTGTTCAAATCAGATATTCTTATTCATTATTAGACCGTGAAATAAAATGTTTATAATGTACAAAAGTTTGAAAAAACTTTAAAAGTCTGTTTATAAAGTGTTTATGTGCAAAAAGAGATGATTAAGAAATATCCAAAGATCCAAAGTTCCTTGAATTTGATATATAAGGTCATTGCGTTACGTTATCTAGCAAAATTAGAATGCAAAGTTAGATAGCTATACTTTCTTCTTGTCAACGTAGATCAATATTTATAAAGGAATTCTTATCAAAATTATAAAATATGTGAACTGTGTTACATAGACTTGGAGAAATTAACTAAAAAAATACTATAAATTGTTATTGCATTTTAAATAGCCTTATCTTATTTTTTTTAGCTGAGATAGAAATACACAAAGGCCCACCAGTATACAATGAGGAGGAGAGAAGGCGAATGGTGTCAGCTATAAAATGGGTTGATGAAGTATACTATAAATTCTAATATAAAGTACTGTCGTATAATATCATTATATATTAATTCACAGGTAGTAGTTGGAGTCCCTTATTTCACAGCCTTATCAATACTTGACGAAAATAATTGCGATTTTTGTGTACACGGAGGTAAAACATCAATATAATTAGAAAATATTCTTTTAGGTTTCTTTTTCTCTGATTTAAATTGATTAATAAAAATTGTAAAATTTTTTTAAAGATAAAAAAAAGTGATGTTTCTATAGTTCAGTTCTTTTTAAAGCTCTAAGAGAAAAACGCTGAAAATAGCAAAAGTCTATAATTTACGAAAGTAAAATGATTTCTACCATAACATAAGCAATCGATAGTTTTTTATTCTCTTGTGACAAGTTTTTAATGTCTGCTATTTTGCCAATAAAATGTTTTGCTTATAACAGATGATGTCACAATGACTGCCGATGGCGACGACTCATACAGAGAAGTAAAAGCTGTTGGGAGATATAAGTACGCTTTCTGTATAAGAGAAAAGCGCATGTAAATAAAACATTTTATTCAGGGAATGTCAAAGAACAAGGGGAATTTCTACAACGGATCTTGTAGGTCGGATGATATTGGCAACAAAGCAACATCATCAAACTAATTACACTGGGAATGCTGAAGAACTAGAAATAGCTGGGCAAGCTCCTTGTTCTCATACCCCATATACCCGCACATCTAAATATATAGCAACAACAAAAAGAATTGTGCAATTTTCTTCCGGAAAGGAACCAAAACCAACCGATAGAATTGTATATTGCGCGGGAGCATTTGACTTATTTCGTAAGATTAGACACTATATTGGATCCTCTGAAGCTTTGTAATAAATTATTTACATTTTACAGATGTTGGTCATTTAGATTTTTTGGAAAAAGTAGCGAAGGAAGGAGATTACATAATAGTTGGTATTCACAGTGACAAGGTAAGATAAATAAATAACAAACGAATGGCCCAATTTATCTTTAGCAGTGCCAAAGTAATTCTATGCTAGATATTAAATGTAACAATAGAAGAATCTTTAAAAATTAAAGCAACTATTATTTCGTGATTCCCCTCCTTTTCTCTCTCTCTCTCTCTCCCTTCACTAATTCTCAGAATCGACGCTGGCCTCCATCAACGATTTAGTTTCCATCAAGGATTTACTAAGGATACTAAACAAAATTTGGTAAAAGAAATGTTTTGTTAAAGAATTATAACATAAATTGTTTAATCCATCATTGTATATTTTTTAAAGCGTTTTTCTAATATAGAGCCAAAACATTAAAGGTAGAATTGACTCAAAAGTTATTTAATTTTTGTTTAATAGCTGCTTTTATAGTTTTCACTTTAAAAAACTGTTAAAATAAAATATAAAAAATCTCTTCCTACAATTAAAACTAAAAAAGGCAAAAATTTCTATGACTAGTATTGAATTCTATTGTTTAAAATTACTTTGATTCTGTTCTTGAAAGAGATTCTTCTGTATGCTAGGCAATTTAATTACTTTGGTACTGCTCCATGAGTTGAAAAGATTAATTCATTTTACAACTTATTGCAGGTAGTTAACAGGTATAAAGGTTCAAATCTTCCAATAATGACAACTCACGAAAGAGTACTTTCTGTTCTTGCCAATAAGGTCGCTTTTCTATTTTCATTTCTACGAATATTTTTTATACTTGTTTTGTTGTATAGTACGTTTCGGAAGTTGTAATTGGCGCTCCATATTCAGTTACATCTGAAATGATGGATCACTTTCGCATTGACGTTGTCATTCATGGATCAACTGCTATACAGCCAGATGAAGACGGAACAGATCCATATGAGGTTCCAAAAACAATGGGAAAATTTAAAATCATTCAAAGTGGCAATACCATGTCATCTAGGGATATAATGAATCGTATTATTGATAACAGGTAAGGTTTATTACACATCATTAAAATAAGTAAAGTACACATATCTATATATATATATACAAATATTTACAAGTAAATATTTCAGTAAATTTATATTTTATTTACGCATATAAACAATGCATTCAAAGGTGTGATTTAATAATATTCCATTGGCAATTTAACGTGCTATAATCTTTATTTTTCAATCACGACAACCGATATCTAAACACGAACAAAATATGGAATTTATCGAAATGTCGATGGAATTTAAACATCAAATATAAATAAATCATCCTATATTTATTCTTTTTAACAGGCTAAAATATGAACTGAGAAACAAGAAAAAAATAGAGCAAGCAATGAATAACCTATCTCTTTTGAAGTAGTGAATTTGCGACTTTATCATACTTTGCAGAGTAGTTTTTTTTTTAACTTTAAATATTCGCTTCCTATATATATAGTATATATATATATATATATCTTTTACCAGTACATTTTTTAAAGCTGATATATTTCTGCAATCTACTCTGTTGTGGGTATTAATTATTACTTGCTACTTGTGTGACTTCAATGACGCTTCTGTGATTTCATTGCCAAAACCAGTACTTTGGCTTGAATAAACTTCGCAAATCTTCAGATAAGAAACTTATAAATGTTTATAGCATACAATTCTTTACGTCGCAAAGTTACAAATACGTTTCAATGTGAAGAGTAAATAAATTGATTCTCTATACAACGATACAGGAAAGTATAGATTACAGTTTACTCTAAACTCGAACAATATCCGGTTGTGATAATAAGAAACCGGACGATAACAAATTGTCCACGTTTGTAGAAACTATCTATATGAAATTCCTGACGTTTATTAAATGACCTTTTAGTCGAGTTTTATAAGAACAATGTTGAATATAAAGAGCTTCCTTTTTATATAAGTGGAAAAGTTTAAATTAAACTTTGCTTTCTCTATTAGACAGCTGTAGCTAAAAGAATGCTCTTGAAAGACCTATTCTCGCACACAAGAATTTGTTGGAGTTGAGATATTTGAGGGTGTCTTTGACCTATTTATAGATAGTATGTTTAGACGGATTAGCAAATGTAAATTATACACAGAGACGAGGCACAATCTCTGACGAAAAATTCTCACACACCCTACACAAAACAGAATCCTTTGTTTTATACGAAAATAAGTTTACAGCTGATTGAAAACATACTTTGTCAATGCCCCCCTTGGATTTGTTTAATTAAAAAAAAAAACACATAAATGTTTGAATTATATCAATTTTTTCAGTAGCTGTTAGATAGGATATTAAGTGATCGTAAAAATTATCTAGGTCTGTAGCATTTTTTTCTTTGAATCGACGTTCAGTGTAAACTTCCGGTTTGTGCAAGGCCATCCTGACGTTTGCTTAAGCTTAGGATTTTTCTTAAGAAAAAGAAAAAAATAAGTGAAAAAAAAAGACTACAAAAGCTAATTACGCGCTTGAAAAGAAATAGAAATAATTTTAGTTATTTCTAAGTGGGGGAATATTGGCGACGGGCCAAAATCAGAAGTTATTCCAACCGAAAGCGGCGCTGAGCAACGAATCGAAAAATCAATAGCGGTAAACAGCGCCAGTCAGCTTAAAGACAACCACTAGCAAACTTACTATGAAGGAACATCTAATACTGGCGGTATCTAATAAGACTGGCTAAGTCGGTACCGCATATTGGGGACACAGGTGGCGCTGGCGCTGCCCTGAAGGGAAGGAGGCACTTATCGTTGTCCGAACTTTACCTCAAATCAGTAGAGGATAGTAATTTGTCGACTGACGAATCAACAACTGGTTCTGCTCCAACACTTTTCTGTGAGTTAGTTCATTATAAAGAACCTGATGGAAAAAAAAGAAAGCGAAGGCGGAAGAGAAGAGCTTTAGATATGGGAGGAGCCAATACAGTTCCTCTTGAATCGAACGTGGACGTGCCGAATTCGAATGTTGACTCTGCAGCTTATCACAGGTTGAATGATTTTGAAACGCTCGATCAACAGTCAAGATTAATTGATCAATTGCCGAAATTAAACCAATCCATATCAATTGACTTGGGTGCTATTTCGTCCGAGAAAAATGAAAAATATTTCAAGGAGGATCCGCAAAAGTTGATGATATCTGAATTCTCAATTCAAAGCGGTAGTGAAAATATAGAATTGTCTGAAAATAATAGTCAAGAGGATTATCCTGGATCAAAACTAACACAAATAGAAATTGAAAGGAATTTTAACAGCAGTGCTCTTTCAACAGGCGGTCTGGCTGGTTCTGATTCCATAGGACATTCGCTTGATGATGAAACTTTAAATTTTGATATTAAACATCAAAGCTGTTTAAGTGATTCGGATGGTGGTGTAAAAAATAGTAATTCTTCTCCAATGACTAACGCCAACAACGAGAGTGCATTATTTATAGCACTTGATACGACTAAGACGGATTCAGATTATTGGCCAGGCCAAGAAAAGGAGTTGGAGGAGGCCGAAGAACTCTCTAAATTAGAATCCATGGACCACAAAGCTAATTTATCAGTGGCCGAACACGATCTTGAATTGCCATATTTAGCAAAAGATCAACCTAATAAAGACAATATTGAATTTCAATCTGAAAGTTTACCAACGAATGAGAAGAATTTAGGTATGTCAAAAGAATTGACGGAAGAGGATAATTCGGAATCTCCCCAGTCGACTGACAACGGTAATCGCAGCGACGATTCGTTTCTTTCTAATCCTAAAGAAGGGGATGCCGTTGAAATTTCAAGTGCTTTAGAACATACTCAGGTAGTTGGATTCAATGTCATGCCGAACAAAAATAGACGCTTTGACACTGAAGAAACTGATTCACAACAGGTTTGATCTTAAATGTTTATATTTTTCTCACTATTACTGTAGTTTTTCCTGCCAGATGATAATGAATTCAAAGTCAACAATGACAATTCCAAGGGGAACTGTTGCTCAAGACATACAAATGGTTGGTCTACAGCCTAAAAGGCAAATTCAGTTAGCTGAACCGCTTCCCTGCTATGTTTTCTCCAAGTCTGATGACGGAGAATTAACAGAATCGGCCCTTGACATTGAAATTCATCCTTGGAATCAGAATGAAGCTTTAGTTTTAGAGACCACCGAAAAAGAACCATCAGATTTTGATTCAAATAAAACTTTTGCCTCCACAATAGAATTGCAACAGAGAAGTATTCCACAATCTACCGATTCGGAGCGTCTCGACGCTGGCGTCGATACTCGAGATTTGGTTACAAGTTTTGAAGATATGCAAAATCTACCTTATGAAATTTTTGTCGGTGCTGAAGCTATCAGGGATGAATGGTTGAATAGAAATCCAGTTTTGCAAAGATCGTTTTCAACTTCGGATATTCCTCAAGAGAAATATAGAAGTGAACAACGTCGACCTAGTTTGGAGATTAAGCCACTAGACGAAAAAACAACTTCTACCGATAGTATTCTATTAGTTTTCGTGCCGTCCGGGGATAAGCGTCGAACTCTTGAATCGAGTTTTGACGGTTATAATCCCTCTCATTTTTATACAGTTCCAATTTTTGAAAGATCTGTTAGTGCTGATATGCTCAAAGTTTTCCGTCCAAATGAATGTCCAAAAAGGTCAAGATCCTTAGAAGATATTGAACCTTTGGAGGATGATATTACTGCTGATGAAATATTTGCTGAAAGTCTTCGCCAATCTGAACAATGGAAGGAAGAAATATGTAATGAAGGAGAGCCTGAAGAAGAAATTTTCAGAAAAAAAGTTAGTTGGGCTGATTTATCAAGTGAAAAATCTCCGAAACCTTCCCGAACTGTTCAGACTCAAACTTTCTTGCCTCATATAGCAACTCTTGCTCAAAAAAAGCTTGAATCTGCAAAGGGTGCGCAAGTGAAATTAACCTGCAATTTTGGAACTCAAACATCACAAGAAGTTATTGATAAAACGCTATTAGGGCTTGCGCTAGATAGAGAACAAGAGTTAGAAAGAGATTTCAGAAAAAGAAAAATAGAGTTTGCGGTCCAAGTCAATTTTCCTAAAGACAACTCTGTTAAGAATATAGGCTGTCAAACTGGAGATGTTTCTCAAGTACCTGAAGAAATTCCCACTGACGAGATTCGTAACAATGTCAATATCGATAGACAAAATTCTAAAGATAATGAAAGTATTGAAGATTCAAGCGAAAAATTTTCCCGTTCGCTTTCAAGGGAGAACCTTGAGGAGTCTTTAACTGCTAGTAGTATTGAGCCTTTCACAACTCTTGACAAATTGATCTCAGAGAATTTGATAAAACCGACTGTCGAAGATTCGGCTGATGACAATGCAAAAGCCAATAGCGCGTCTGATTCTGATAGAGACAATAGTGAAGAAAGCCCTAAACCTAGAACCAGTTTGGAATCTTTCCAAACTCTAAAACACGAAGATAGTCAACATGTACCTCAAACGGCTTGCGAAACAGGCCAAGAAATGACAGTTACAATTATGAGCCGAGAAAATGTCAATATAGAGGAAGTAGAGCAAACAATTGCAAGTAATGTAACCTCAGGTGGTGTCAAGATTACAAAACCTGATATTTTACAAGATAAGCAAAGAGTTGAAAAGAATAAATTAGCTGGAGCATTAACTGATTTTAAAGAATCGTCAGTGGATCAACCGTCAGATCTATTATACGTGTCCAAAGGTGAGTTGGATAGGGGGGAGGGCGAATATAAATTGCAAAAAGGGGAAGGAGGTGAATCGCAAACAGGAGCTAAAGGCGCATTGCCAAGTGACAAAGAAGGTAGATTCCACAAAGAGGACGAGAGTGAACTGCAAAAAGAAGATGATAAATCGGAAAGAGGAGAGGAAGATAGACTTCAAAAAAGAGACGAGGGTAAACCACAGAGGGCAAAAGAAGGTGAAATACAACAAAAGGAAGAAAATAAACCTCAAACAGGAGCCGAAGGCGGATCTCAAAGAGGGAAACCAGGTAGATTGCAAATAGGAGAGCAAGGTGAACCACAAAGAGGAGAAGAAGATAGACTCCAAAAAAGGGACGAAGGTGAACCGCAGAAAGGAGCCGAAGGTAAATCGGACAGAGAAAAGGAAGCTGGACTCCAAAAAGGAGATGAAGGCGAATTTCCAAGAGGGAAAAAAGGTAGATTGCAAGCAGAAGAAGGAAAACCGCAGAGAGGAGAGGAAGGTAGAATCCAGGGGGGAGATAAGGGTGAATTACAACAGAGAGAAGAAGGTAAATCGGAAAGAGGAGAGGAAGGTAGAATCCAGGGGGGAGATAAGGGTGAATTACAACAGAGAGAAGAAGGTAAATCGGAAAGAGGAGAGGAAGCTAGACTCCAAAAAGGAGACGAGGATGAACTACAAAAGGCAGAAGAAAGTAAATCGGAAAGAGGAGAAGAAGCTAGATTCCAAAAAGAAGACGAGGGTGAACTACAAAAGGCAGAAGAAAGTAAATCGGAAAGAGGAGAGAATGCTAGACTCCAAAAAGGAGCCGAGGATGAACCACAAAAGGCAGAAGAAAGTAAGTGGGAAAGAGGAGAGGAAGCTAAACTCCAAAAAGGAGACGAGGATGAATTACAAAAAGGAAAAAAAGATAACTTTCCAAGCAAGAAGAGAGATATTCAAAGGCAGGTGGTAGCTGGTTCTCAGGATTTTTCTTTGGACGAGGTTCTGCAAAACGTAGAAGCAGACCCACTTTTAATATTAGAGGAGGAAAAGATACAAATTAAAAACGTTTCGGCTACTCCCTCATTGGGCTACTCTATTCACACAGATATACATCTTGAAGCTGAAACTACCCTAAAATTTCAAGATCCTTCTATAATAGCTGCAAAGGTTTCCACTGATGACGATGAAGTACCACCGAAATTTAATGTGGTCAAATCAGCTGAAGTACTGGAATACGAAAAGTATTTAAGAGAATTAGACAACGAGGAAGGTGAAAGTGATGATCAATATGATGAGAATAAGGAAATGGAATTGAAAGAAGGTAATTTAATTAAAGAATGCTCCGAGGAAAATCCTTTTAATGAATCGAATGAACCAGGCTTAAAATCGATGAGTGATCTCCAAAAGATTAGCTCTGCAGGAAATGAGGCCGGTGAAATTGAACATAAACCGTCGAAAATATTGCACGAAACATTTGTTATTGGACAAGATTCTATTGAAGAGCCAGTTGCATTTGATTCTCCTGAGCCACATGAATTTAGAAAAGCTGAAGACTTGGAGTCAGGTGATTTTAAAACAAACATTGGTCGCTTAACAAAAAGTGAGTTTTTCATGAATATGGAAGATACCGAAGAGTCTGACGATGGATCTTCCGATTACGATGCAAATCTTTTGGGTACAATTAAACTAGTTCACCCGAATGAATCAAGTTTATCTGGTATAGAGGATAGATTAGAAGAAATGAAAGAAGACTCTAATAATGATAAATCTATTCGTGCAACTAGTGGCCTCATGACAGAATTGAGTTTGAAAGCAATAGCTATAAGTGATCCAGCTTTAGCACAGGCAAAAGCAGACGAGAGCTATCATGAAGTATCTGCTAAGTTTGATTCGATGAAGCCGTGTGAAGATTCTAAACAACTTTCAGATGTTAATCCTGGACAAAATATACGGGACAATAAAGATAAAAATGTCAGCGATATTGATAACGAAAATTTGCCTAGCATTGGTATCGCAAAACAATTTGCCGACAACCAGAGAGAGACTGGTAAGGTCGATGAAACACGATCTGCTACTTTGGTTGATGAACAATTGAAAATTTCTGATAAGAAGCTATCTATGACAGTTGGTGAGGAAATTGGAGAAACGGAAGTTAAAACGAAGAAGGAAATGGTTTTTGCAGACGAACTAGAATTGTCAAATAGCCAGTTAACTGCTGAAAATATAGCCGAAACCGAAAGAAAGTCAGCCTTTGTCAATCAAATACTTCAAACAGAAAAGTTGATATCGTCAAATAATATATCAACTCAGACAACTTTTGAAGCCAGCCCTCCAGATAAGGCCATTTCACCTGATTCTAGTAAGGTTAAGAAGAAAAACTATGATAAACGGAACAAGAATTCTTCGACTTGTGTAGAAGATTCTTGCCAGACCGAGCTAACCTTTCCTCCAACCGAGACCTCTACAAATCTTCCAAAGTACGACTTTCAAGATCCAAGTCTGGCTAGTTTAAAAGAGGAACATGAAAAGTTGTTATCTCTTTTAAAACAATCAAAAGAAGAAAAATTGAAATCTTTAAAGTTGAAAAAAAATTTGCTCTCATCGATACGCAAGGAATACAATTTAAGTACATCTACAGATTCTCTTCCAATTATCATAGTAGAGGAAGCAGATGACGATTGTGAAGATCTTGTAGAATTACCAAGAGACCGGTGCTACTCTATGAATGAACAACTTTTAGAAATAAGCTTGAACAGAAATCCAAATTCTCTATCCGGTATTGAAATAAGTTCCCCGGAACTGTACGAAATATTATCGAAATCAACGGATAGTGAAAATATTGAGGACATTTTAGCAACAAACACAAACATATCCGATGATCTTATAGAACAAATAAGACTTGCCAAAGATGCTCTAGCCAGGGCTATGGGGGGTAAATCATCATCAGAGCAAGTTATGAGAGGATTTATTACTCCAAATCTTCCTGTCGTTACTTTACACTTAATGAACGTGGAGACAAAATCGGACGTAGGTAATATTGTTGAAGATGTACTTGAAGAGACAGAAATTATTGAAGACGTTCATGTTGAGAATGCGAAAAGTTTTAAACCTTATCCTTTTGTGGAAACAGTCAGCAATATCACCCAACCAATTTCACCTATAAGCGATGATCAATTTCACGAGCAATCGAAAAATGTACAGGGTGGAAGTACCTCATCCTCAGGTTTTCATGAAATGAAAGTCAGCCTTCAAATGTCACCTCAAAATCTTCAGAAATTAAGCAAAAAGTATAAGGATGCTAAAATGAAATCTAATCGCTCTGATGCCTCAAATGAGAATGCTAAGTCAACTGATCGCCCATTCGACAGTATATCATCGTTGGACTTTGAGGAAATACAATCAGATAAGCTAAAGGGAAGCTTTCTTACTGACTTTGCTTCTTCTTTTGAACTTTTAGACACTGATGAAGAAAATTTCTACAAAGCGCTCAATACATCAAAAACAAGCGATAGTTCTATTCAAATAGAGGTTGACATGAAGGATGAAAGTATTGGAACTGATGACGAATTAGAAAGACTCCGCCTAGAGCGGGAGAGAATTTCTAATATGCTTGCTAAAGATGTTCTACCCTCAAATTCTCAAGTTGAGCTTGCTGAAGCTCAAATGAATTATGTTATGGGTCAAACTGACATACTTCTAGACGCCTTAGACAGAGATGAGGACTCCTTAGAAGAACTTCTAATCGGATTTCAAACTCCCGAAAAGGACATTGAGAGTATTGACTATGATTTTCAGACAAGATATCGTCAAGAGCTTACTCTAGAAAGAAACAATATTGAAGATAAAATTGCAGAATTAGAAAATGATCAAGAGAGTAAAGCTGACAGCAGCTTCTCTCAACCAGTGTCCTTAAATGTTAGCAGAGAAAGTAGACGCAAAAGAAACGGTCCATCACCCGTTAGAAAAGCCCAATTCGAACGAAATGTACAAATTGAAGCGTTCAGATTAGAGCGGCTAAAAGTAAATTCCGATTTTGAAAGGAAGAAATTTACACCAAGATTTAGAAGTTTGAGTCCTTATCGAGATAATATTGAAGAAAAAGATGAAATTCCCAATGCCCCCATTTATGCAGAATCTCTAACGCCTAGACAAAGAATGAAATATTTGGCAAGCAAACGGCGTCGACTACTCAGAGGTTTATATATTGTTTAAATATTTTTTAAACTTGAATTATATTGAACACTTTTAAAAAATAATTAGATTCAAAATCGAAAAAGAAGACGATTGTAACAACAACAGCCGGTGACTTGTTAACTACCACACCCCAGGTTTATTCAACATCTGTGATATCTAGTTCCTCAAGACATCGTCACTTGGACTTGAAAGAATTATCTGGATTTGAATCACCACCATTAATTTCAACTCCTCGAAGAGGATCTGATTGGGACGATTCAACTAGAAAATTGTTAGTCGAAAATCAGGATGCAAGATCAGCGAATCGAAAGGAAGTTAGAATAGCAAGAGAGGCTTTGGAGAGAACACCTGTTGATCCAGAAAGATATTTAAATTTTGAGGGACATATGGACAGAATTATTAAACTAGAAGAGGTAAGCGTTTTGCGTGTTTAAAAATTTTGATATAGTGATGTGTTTACCCCTTTGATATTTTCCTAATGCACATGTTTGTTGTCCTTTATTTTGGTATTAGCCACGGTCTTCTTATTCCCCGCACGATAGCTATTCTAAAAGTAAACGAACGGTAGTTATAACCTTATAAAATTAAAGAATTCTAAATTATTAATCCTTAATTTCAACTCTTTTTTTAGGCTATTGACAACGAAATTGAACGAATGAAAGTTAGATATCTGCCCGATTTCAACATCTCCGATACAAGGTAAATAATAGATCAACAACGTCTAAAGAATATATATATTTAGATTGAGGTTTTTTCAAGTGAAAATAAATTAAGAAACCTTCAATAAGATCAATCACTATTTCTCTCTTGTATAAAATTAATCGGGAAAACTCTTAATTAATCGACAACGGGTTAGATATTTTTGCCAATAATTCCAATATACTTTAGTACTTTAACCCTTTTCTTTGATTATCTTACTAAGATTTTATCCAATAGAGGAGAATTCTCTTCTACTACTATTATCATTTAAAAATGCGCAATTCCTGTTTATTAATGCTTCAGCCATTATATATTAATAGATTGGTAATAAATCTATTTAATCCTGATTGTTTGGTATAATATCTAAATGATTGATCTATTAATGTTATTCTATAGATAGTTTAAATTAAAGTTATTTATATTTTAGTAATTTACACTACTAATATAATTTTATCGAGTAGTAATAAATTGTTTTGCTAACATTATTTTTAATATTCGATAATCATTGTAGATCGATTTGTTTGCGCTCTTAAAATCGCCTTTTTATTGATAATCGATCAGATTTGAAAAGAAAATAGCTTCTGTTTGTTATCTCTTTGTAAAAATCCTATTAAACGAGTATTTTCACTTCCAACTTTCTATTTTCAGGACTACTTATAAAGATTCACTATCGATAGCTGACGCGGCGATTAATCGCCACGAACGCACTTTGGCAGCACTTGGTCGAAGTAAAAGTCGAACTTCTAAACCCTAAAATCCTTTATAAAGAAAACCTGCAGTGACTAGAACATAAAGGAAACTGTGATATATTCTAGAAGAAAATAACTATGTTTGCTGTGATCACATGTTATGTTTTACTCTTACCAATTAAGTTTCTGTTATGGGATATAATGCTTTTCCTAACATTTCTTTATAATTAAGCGAATCTTCCAAATTCTTTCTTTTTAAGATGCCATTCTTCGAAAGTTGTTTTCCAGACTTTCACAATTTGAACTGTTTTATATAATAATTATACAGTATATCACTTTTTTGATACTTTTCTGCAGACTCTACAAAAAAGGAATTACTAATAGAATGTATACAAAACTTCACTTTGAACCTCTTGTTGATCTTAGATATAGATACTATGTATTTAATAGTTTACAGTTTCATTGTGCTTACTATGATATACAATTTATATAGTATATATTGTATATACATATGTAATGATAATATGTCTTGAAAAGAAAAAGAACAAGAAATAAACCTTATTAATGAGTTCGTAATTATTGTTAGAGAGAAAGCTAATCCTTTTCTTATGAATCCTTAGAAAAAAAATGCTCTTGACAAATGAAATGCTGAATTGTTATTATTATATTAGACACTAGATGGCGAGGTAGTATAAATTTATATAGGTGAGAGTAGTATTGTGAGGAAACAGCTGTGCGGCAGATATAGGTTTCATAGAGTCTAATTCTCCCTTTAACATGCAAATAAATCTTTATTAAACCGTTTTAAAAGAGAACGATCTTATTGGTATTGTAAGTATTAAAAGAAAAATAATGCTAAACCTTGGTTCATAAAATACTTGTGGGTAAACTATCAAAGAATTGATAAATAAATGATTGGATACGTTTGAACATTATCGAATATAAGCACTAAAGAAATCGCTGATAAGCTTATAACCGTTGAAATTTATATATAAATACATAAATAGAAAGTAGTTCAGAGTCCAAAAGGAAACAGTTTTTTTTATATATATCTTAATCATCATTGTTTCAGGCCTATAAAAATTCACTCTTCTATTTCTTATGGTTGGAAATCTCGAAAAAACACAAGCATAGAACATTATATAGATAATCTTTAATAAAAAACACAACTTAGTTTTATATATTTTTTAAAGATAAGGAAACGATAAGTGCGTATATACGATAGTATAATTTTAAGAATAGTATAGAACGTTTTATTGTCCTTGAATATCCATAAGGAAGAAATGTATATAATGTAAATTTGATACTCCTTATTCTGAAAATTAAAGTAATTTGGAATATAGACGGTAAGAGGGGAAAAAGCTTAATGATCAAATTTCTTTCAAACCTCCGGTTTTTTTTTACTTCTCTATAGAGAAAGAAAGAAGAAAAAAAGGTTATTGATAATTTTTTTGAACGCTTTCCTCTCTCTCTCTCTCTCTCTCTCTCTTTATACATACAAACTGAATTGGAATATACAAGATTGACATAAAGCATGTATACCTTATTGTTAATATGGCCTCAAATATAAATATTAAAATTTTTGCGCCATCTTTTGAGTTTTCTATTAATACGGTAAAAATGAGCCATATGATAAAGAGTAAATTTTACTACAACTATGTAATCATCGAAAAAGAAAAATCCCCTTTAGAATAAGTCAGTGCTTAATACGGTCAGATACGAATTTCATGTCAAAACTTTGAGAGATAAGCGTGTGAAAAATAAGGGCCTTTAGCCAAGAGCCCGGAAGCAGTTTAAACCAATCAGAGCCGTTCTCCCGCCGGATATATTCATATTCATAGTTTTTATAACCAATCAGCGATCTAAATAGAAAAAATTGCTGAATGAGTAATTCCACAGGCTCTCTTGAATGAACTAGCACTTTACATTTGGCTATGCCGCTGCCCGTAAGACTAGGAATGAGGATGCCGAGAGTAGTAACAAACCAAAGGGAAAAGTTTGAGAGTGATGAGTTTTTTAGGAAATTAAATAGGGTATCCGAAATCAAGTACACAGGATTTAGAGATCGAAATATTGATGAAAGGAGGCAAAAGTTCCGAGAAGGATGTCTTCAGGGTTACACCGAAATTGTGAGTATAAATAAAACAAGTCATGCAGATGTTTGATAATTAGTCCTATAATCTCTATACAGTCCTATCTTCAATGCGGTATGAATTTAGCATTATCCCTAGTTTCCAATTCATGGAGTGAGGACTCTAGTCAAAGACTGGTTACAGAAGAGTTTGTTGATTTTCGTAGAGAGCCAAATAAGGTAATTTCAATTGTATACATTGAAAATAATTATTATTCCATTATTAATCTTGTATTCTTTCTCTTAGGTTCACCTTAAATCTCAGTTTATCCTTAATGGTGTTTGTGTAATATTTATTGGAAGTATCAATTTGGAAAGACTCGATGGAACTGGATGTATACAGTTCGATACGGAAAGAGCTCAAATTGAGAATCAATTGTTAAATCAAGAGCTTAGTCAATACAGAAGAACGACTGAAACATTTGAAGAGAGATATCGGCAGGAGCAAGAGAGAAGAACCGAGGAAGCAGAGGTTGTTCAAGCTTTACTTGATATATCACACGATTTTCAGATTCCTTGAAAAAAGTTGATATCGTTCTGTCGTAAGATGTTTAGACTAGACAATATAGAAGCTCGATATATTTCTTTGCGCGCTGGACGCGGCAACAGGAAGAGGCGTCATTCAGAATTACTGCGTGCCATTCGAACGAGGAAGGAAAAGTTATTGGCGGCCGGACCGATGTTGTTTAAATCAGTAAATCAGTTGTTGTTATTGTTATTGTTGTTATTGTTCAATTTTTTGCCTTCTATAAGTCTTATTTCTCCGTAAACATCTGTTACCGTAGTATTATTTTTGTTTTCGCTTACTAAAATACCATAAGGTAATATGTCCCTGCATGCTCTTTTCTGTGCTATTTGTACACGAAAATTTTAAACGACAAAGTTTGAAAGACCAATTAGGAAAATGTTGAATTTAACCCGTCAAAAATCTCCTAGATGTTAGGTCTCGATGACAATGAATATCAAAATGTTTTACAGGCCAATATCTCTCACAAAACAACCAGATAGAGTGTCATTTTAAAATGCTCTATTCATTAACAAAAAAAAGTCTTCATACTACAAATTCAAATACTTATTAATATTATACCTTATATTAAAATTTAACGGACCTTTCCTCACTGACTTTCATTATTTAAGCGCTTTTGAACCATATTTTAGGAAGAATTAACCAATTGCAATCAATTAATAAATCGTTATTTATTTTAATTTATGCATATTGTCAAGAATTTAATTGTGAAAAAATTATGAAGATAATTAACTGATAGTAATGATAATATTATTAACAATTTATCTATCTTTCTTTCGTTCTCTCTCTCTCTCTTTCTTTCTTTCCCGCATTCAAAAAAAGAAAATAAAGAATTTAAACGATTTTGTTGAAGTAAAGTCTTTTCTTTACATTTAAGTACAGTTAAGCCTTTTTTTTCAAAAATATTACTCTTTTATATATATATATATAAATAAAGATACCAATGGATTTCCTGTAAAGTGTGTATATAAACTATATATATACTATATATATATATAAATTTTTATCAATCTCTAAAAAAATAGAGGTTTCACTTTGCCAAAAGAAGATAAATGTTCACAATTTTTCTTTAATGTTTTTAGGCTAATACTAGAAAAGAAAAGAGAAAATTTTTAACATTTGGTTTTGTTTCTTTTTTTTTTTAAAAAAAAGTAAAACGAAAGAAAAGACACATGTAAAAATCATGATTATTGTTTAAAGTATTTTTCCATATACTTAGGGAAAAACCATCAAAGACTTTAAGGACGTATCCTTTATAGGCCATTTTCTTGTCAATTAACAAAAAGGAGAGTAGTTTTCAAAAGATTGAATACAATCGGAACACTTCCTCTGTCACGTGACTTTGAGTCATAAAATTTAAAGGCTTCCGTTGGCGGGGAAAAATACCACATTTCAAAAATCCTAAAGATTATTGGGGTTAGAGCAGTTAAAGAAAAAATTCGTATTGCACTCGTTTCTGCATGCCAGGACGTTTAATTTTCGTTTTTGCCTAACAGCTTAATACTTCTATAGGCCTAAGATAGAGATGAAGATCATTTAATTCTGTTGTTTACCAGTGCAAACTATTCTTACCATATTGTAATTTGAATATTTCTTGACCTAATTCTACGAGCCATTAACATTCCATACGGATGATTATGCAAACAGAATCTAGAATTGGGTAAAGTAATTCGACCTCGAGTATGAATCATATCCTAGAAATGACGTTGGCGGGGAGTTGTACAAAAACTAGATTAGCTTAGTAAATTTATTTGTACTTTTATTGCGAGTACCCTTTTTCCTCATTTGTCTGTCTATTCGAACTAATTATTTGTCGGGAAATCATAGAGTTCGACCGTACCAGAAATGTACCAGCTGCCATTTATTGTAACACGGAAAACGTCACGCTCCGATCGCTTTGATTTGACGAGCGTTTCCAACACCTTGAGAGACGGCTCGTTAGACGGCTCTGATAAGCGTCGATTTTATCTTATACCCGCCGAAGTTAGATGAAAGGACTTTGACAGATTTTCCTTTGCTTTTCTCTTTCTCTTAATTTAGTTGTCAAATCAGTTTTTCACCCCTTTTTCCTGTATTTTATTCTTTCGCTGATTAAGGGTTAACAAGGGATAAAACAAAAGGTCAATTTTTCTTATTAACTATAACTTTAAGACGAAAATATAGAAAAAAAAAACATATCCAAGTGCAAAGTTGAATAATATATTATGTCTAAAACTACATAATAAGTTGAAAGACCATAGTTCTCTTTCTCCTTCTGTCTATCTATTAGCTTTCTGATTCATACTAATATAAGAAATCTTTCAAGAAAATCAGAAAGGAAACCTCAAGTTTAGCATAGTTTTAGGACACTCGCAAAGAACTTCTTTGTTATGTACAATTGTTAAGAATTTTAAAAATTTCGCTTATTATATAATATATAAGAAATTAGATCAAAATTCTACAAGTATTTAACATATTAATATATATAGATATAGTTTTTTTTTTTTAAAAAAAAACTAAAATCTATTTTGTACCAAATTTAGAAAATATAATGATCAATAATCCAAGTATTTAAACAAACTATTCACTGATTTTCTAAATAATTTTCCCTTCGTTTTTTTTGTCAATTGCTTAGGTTTGCAAAAAGATAATGCTTAAGCAATCTTTTCTCTAGTAAAATGACAAGGTTTATAGGCTTGGTTTATACGTATGTATAGACTTGCTTATATACAAATATATAATGATTCTTAAACAATATTCATAAACTATATAAATAATTTTAATTAGTGTTTTCCTTTTTTTTATATTAAACAGAGATATAGACTTGGCTTTGCCGGATGTTTGACTTATCCCCTTGGTCATTCCATTCCAAAAACAACTGCTCCATCATCTTCGTTAATTACGCTCGAAAGTCGAAGACCTATATTAACGAGATACGATAAGGATAATAAAGACGAGCGTAAGGGGAACGAAGGAACGCCCTCCAAGTAATATTAATCAAATGTAATGTCGCTTAAGTGTCAAGTTACCAATCAGCTGTTCATTTTTACTACTATAAAAAATATATATTAAAAAAAAGCAGGTGTTGTACAGTATTCTATTACGAGACGGGAAAAAGTGAGCTAATTTCTCTAATTAGACGCCCAACTAAAGCTGTTCGCGCGGACACAAAGAAATATTGAAACGCCGCGGCGTCTACAGCGCTTTATCTACAATCACATCGGTTTGACCACGTCAAGCGATTTCTCGACCCTTTTGAACGGATGTCTTTATTCCGTATGTTTATAAACTGTCTTTTTAGCCTTCCCTCATTCGTTTGTGTATGGTCTTAGGTAGACGTTTCTCTTTTGAAACTTTTGTTTGATGTTCAGATTAGAGGGCGTCACATCTAAGACGAATCGTGTGCGAAATTTTAATAAATGGCATCTAATACGAAATAAAGAAACTCTATTCTTAATTTTCCTTTTATAGTACGTCTTCCGCAAGAATTCACACCTTTTTACATAATCTCTAAACGTGTACTGCAAACTCTGCAAAATTGTTCAACTTATTTAATAATAACAATAAGCGAAAATCAGCTGTATTCGAATAATTTTTGTTTTGATATTATTTTAATTAATAGGTTTTTTTTAAAAAAAAAAACTTGACATTTAATTAAAGTCTCCTTTTTTTTTCGAAAAAAATATAAGGTGAAATCACACAAAAAAAACATTTAATGAGCTTAGGTAGGAATGTACTGTATTAATTATTTCCGTAATCCATTAATTAGGACACCTGGATTTTTTTCGGATTTACATGTTGACGATGGCAAGCTTTTAGACTGTTGAGGTCCGACCAAAAATTGTGCACTATCCGCAGGAACAACTGCATTTTTCAATATGGGTAAGTGATAGGAGCGAGGTGGTCGGTTAAACTCTTCTTTAGAAATTCTAAAATGTAGATGATAAATGAAATTTAGATTATGAGTACGAAAAATTGAGTACATTAAAGAGCTTGTTCAATCAAGTTCAAACTCTTCATTTTACAAAGTACAACTCAGATTGATGTCTCCATCTAGTGGATACTTTCAAAATTAAAAATACGCTTTAAAGCGTAAAGGAACTAAGCGTAAATAAAAGCGAAACAAACAGGCAAAAGGGAAAAAAGAAGACATTTCTATAGGCAATAAACAAAAAAAGAGATAAAAATAAAATAGTATAAATAGGTCTGAGGGGGGAAAAATTATAAATACAGTATACAGTATAAATAGTATTAAAAAAAAGGTACAGAAGTGAAATCTGATGATTTGATTATACAGTCTAATCAACAAACCAATTTAATATTGAAGAGAAATACAAAGAATCTTCTATCAATTGTTGAAAAGATATTTGACAAGTTTCTTCATAAAAGAATATAAAATATATTATCGATTTTATAAGTTTTTGTCTTTAATCTAAGTCTTTTTTTTAACGGATATTGATATTTCTTATCATTATATATATATATATATATATATATATATATATTAATAATAATAATAATATATTCAGTTCAACGATAATTACAAAATTATAATTAATTAATTAACGATCAATACATTGATTTTGTCATCAAAATAGTGTATAATATCTACTATATATCATGTCCTAAAATCGTAATTAGCACCTATAATAGAGGTTTATTATCCTTTTTCTGTGTCGTATCTAATCTAACGCAAACATTATCAATTTAGAAGGATTATTAATCTATTAAATAATAATACGAATTGTCTATGTACATACTAATATAACATACTTATTATCTACTGTATTAAAAGGTGTTATCTAAACACTGTCACGTAGTATCTTATTAACATATGTTATTTTTTCCTTAACCATCTGTCACTAAACTGATAAAATGATTAAGTCACTCGAAAAGGTAAACGTTTTCTCAATAGAGAGAGGAATATCATACCTGTTCTATGTATATTTACTTTGAACTTGATTTTGGAATAAAGCATATTATTATTAATCTAAAAATAGATTTCTATATTCTATTAAAGAGATTACTGGTTGCTAACGAAAATAATTACTGTCAATAAAGTAAACAAAATAGAGGTATTTAAAAAAAAATCACCAAGAAATATATAAAAAAATTACATGCTACACACAACAACAAAAACTTACACTGAATTTGTTCCTATGAGCTGAATTACTAAGTATATACCAACATTGTATATTTACATATACATTTACATATAAATATATATATATATATTAATAATAAAATAATAAATATGAATATGTTAATTTAAAAAATATGCAAATTAATAGATAAATAAAAATTATTTTATAAAAAAAACTTTATCAATAGATCTAACTACTTACCTAGGTTCTAATGGCGCTGTTGCTGTTGCAGGATGACTAAAATGACTATAAGTCTTTATGGTTGTATCGTATCTTTGATGAAATCGCAAACTCGATAGGTTAAGACTTGATAAAGGTTCGAATTGTTTATTTGGCACATGTCGTATTCTATCCATACTGACTGTGGGATTAAAACCTGTGAAGTAAAAAAAAAAAAAAGTATTTAATTGAAAAATTAAGTCTTTATAGTCCTAAATCGGGTTTTAATTAGATTGTATTTCACCTTGAGCGGTATGAACATAGGATAAATGAGGCGGAGTAGTTTTCACTCGAGCGGTATTGGGTTCTTCCTTTACATCATCCGACTGTTTGAGTACACAAAAATCGGTGTTTAATTAAAAATGAAAGGAACCCCCCCTATAACTTTCTATACACTACCGGAAAGTATAATAAATTCTTGTCGTCCGGCGTTTGATCTTCTAAACGATCTAATCGCTGTTTTAAACGGGTAAAAGATAAAAAGAAACATTAAATAAAATGATAATGTCTAGATAAGGCTAGCACGAAATACGTACTTTCTTAGATCTCTCGTATAATCTTTCCTGGGAGAAGCACGGTATACCGCCGTTACTTCGGCCTTCGTATTTATTTTTAAAGGGAGGGTGTTTCTTAACAAATTCCTTACTCGTGAATGTATTGAGCTGTTTGTTTCCATTTTCAAAAATAAAACAAACACTAATGACGAAAGACAAACAAAAGAGAAATGAACAGTTAAACATCCTCCTTTTTGTGTTTTTATTTTGTTTGTTTTTTACATTAAATTTCTAAGTTACAATAAGACAAAGAGCTATAATAATATATCAATTTCCTCTTCAAACCCATTAGTCAGAGCCCCTATTTTTACCCACTCGATCCCTCCCTTTTCCAAATTTATTCATTTTCCCTATCCTACACCCTCATTCCTCCCTCCCTCTTTATAATCAACTAATTTAAATATTCTTATGACGATGGGCCAGAATTCTTTTTTGTGAAATTGTTATGTATAGCTATACTTAAAAGACTAGTGCACTTTTTGAGTGGTTTCTTATCCGCTGTTAACTCGGAAACAGTTAACGATTTCGAAAGTCTATGGCCGTTTTTAAAATCTTTTGATTCCACCTTCAAGTCATTTGAACTCAGCGACCTTTTTGTTAGTCTATCCGAGAATGGTGCTATAATGGGCTGTTTCAGCTTCTCTTGTAGGCTCTCCGTAGAGCTGTTTTGGTCTGATTCAGATTCGTTAAGCTTCCTTTGAGGTGAACAAGCTGGCAGTGAATCTGTTTGTCGCTTTGGCTCTTCTTCGCCATCAGATGTCGAGTATCGAACAAGAGAATTTGACGATTGATACGTTAATTCTTTAATTTGAGGTATGGAAAACAATTTCGGACAAACAGGCTGAGAAAGACATTGAGCGGGTGTTTGTCTTTTTGATAGTCGCAAATAACCGTGGAACTCCGTTGTCTAGAAAGGCAGTATGTTTGTACAAAACATAATGAAACGTTTAAGAGGGTTTTCATTGTTTGTACAGGTCTTTTTTTTCTGGCAAACTAAACATGCTTTCTTCTGTTGTCGCTATTTTGGGAACTAAGGGTTTTAAGTGTTTATGGGTGAAGAGAAATTGATACTATCGGTTAGGCTACTAAAAAATTTAGGATTTTTCATTTCACTTCTCCTTTAGGAGTTTTGACCATTCAAAGGCATTTAGTAAATAACTTACCGCTTTCTTCTTTGCTTCGTTATTATTTATAGCCGGGAGCGTCTATTAGAGGTTATAATTTTTCTTTATTTAGACAATCTTAAAATAGAAACCCCCACCTTGTCGCTCAGGCTCTTTTTTTCGTTAAGTGCTTTAGTTTTTGATCTTTTCTTCTTTCTTTTCGCTTTCGGTTCCGTCCACTTAAGTTCGGGTTCGGATTCGCTATTACTATCACTCGACGACCTAATATAATTTATTGATTTTACGTATTCGATTAATTAACTAATTAATTATTAATTATTAAAATTCTTACCCCGATTCGAGGCAATCGTTCGACAAATTCAAATTTTCTAAGATTTTTATACAACCATCCGAAGATTTAAGAGAAGTTTCGTTCAATAATTTATCAATATTAACAGAGCTAACATCAAACGCTCTTTTTCTAGAGCTAACACAGTCTTGACTTTTGTTTTTATCAATACCATTAACAATTGGACTACTTGAAGCGTTACTACGTTTCTCTGTTTTAAGAGAAATTCTCTTTGTTAGTTAATTTAATTTAATTACTCAAGTAAGAAAGGAGCGGAACCTTGGTCATTAGTTTCACTATTCCATTTCTTAATTGATGGATTCGATTTTATTTCAATTCCTCTTGTTTCTAAGAAATGTTGCGCAATAGCTCTTGTCATACTAATAAATATCTCGGTTTGAGCACTGAAACATACACTCATTTAATAAATAGAGTTAGCATTAAAAAATTTGGTAGGCCTATGTAGAAAGATTTAAGAATCGATTTTCTAGGTATTTCACCTTTTATTTGTCTGCGCTTCGTCATATTCTAAAACAGTTTCACAAAAAACTCTTCCCATATCTTGATAATCATTCACTGTAAAGTGCCGGTTTTCACCGCTGGCGACAAATGGAGAAAAAAAGGTTCATACAAAAAATATTCGATTATCATTCCAATATGTAATTATTACCTGCAAATAGTTGTTCCGCTGAAGGTCGCTTCCAAGGTGAAGCTATTCTGAATGTTCATTTGCCTAAACATTACCACTCTTCCTGTGGACTCTTTGCATTTCCTTATTTGAAATTTACATCCGGTGAAGGAAAACTTTTCTGGAGCCTGTTGTTTTTTTTTAGAATAATGTTGTTATCTTAACGGATTAATTCTCATAATATATATATATATGTATATACTCGACCTTTCTTGACATTAAGAAGGGAAAAAGACGCTCTTTAAGAAAATGCTCGGGACTAGAAAAGTTCTGTTCAGTCTGTTCAGTTGTGTTACAACCGTACATGAAAACATTTTGCTTCCGGCTATGCCCGTGAAGATCACAATAAATAAGAACGTTGGAAGTTTTACCGAATTTTTCAAGCATTTCTTTTGTATACCAAATTGTTGGAAATTTTTCTTTATGGGGATGCCTATAATTCCTATTAAGATCTTTAGCCGATAGTGAACAACGATAATTTCCAACAATAACTCCATCGGGATTTAACATGGGTACCAATTTAAATATAAACTTTTTACGTAAAGTCTAAGAAAATAAGTAAAGGAAACAGATTACATCATACGATTGTATAATAGGAACTAAATTACCTTTGCAGCATTTGAATTACTGGTAAGAAACTCTAAAACACCTTTCATTACCCAAGATGAATTTGATTCCCCTGGATGAACTCTTGCTGTCACGACAACTCCTTGTTTATCATCAGGATTAACGGCTTTTCAAAAAAAATGTTTCAATCAATTCATCTACTTAAAATTTTCAATTATAGGAAAAAAGATAATTACCAAAGTTTGTAACTGTTATTAAAAAGCAGCTATTTCCAGCTTTAGTTTCGCATAAAACCTCTCTTTTTATAACGTGCGACTTTTCACTATTTGTAATAATGTTGTCTAGATCCTCCTTAAGATCGGTATATGTGTACGGATAACAATGGGCGAGATAATAAGTATCTTCCTTATAGGGAAATTCCTAAAACATATATTCTTTGTTAAACAATCGATTCGATAAAAGCAATCATTCCCATGCTAAATAACAAACCATTTGCCATTCAAGCATATAATAAGGCATTTCTTTACTTAATAGAGGACAGTGTAGATGCATCGTATTTCTTCCATAACTATTGAACAAATAATAAATATATACATTTATATATTATCCTAATCAATTGCATAGAATATGTATTATAAACATTTATTTACTATATATGGTGACCAGTTCTCATCCATCCCGTATTATGTAATGACGTATGCTTCTCAGAGTACATTAGAGGTCTCATTCCTGGATGTGAATATAAATACTTTGACCTTTCAACCTTACTTTTTTTTTTTTAATGTATGGGAACGATTTTTTACCGTAATTATATAGGCTATCCTTCTTTAGGAAATTTACAATTCGAAATTTATAGGTAATATTGGGCAAGGAATTCCTGACGCGAAAATAATACCATTGCGTGTGTCGATTCGTATACAAGTCGGTTTTCAGCACCAGTTCGTATTCAAATTGTCCTCTGTATTCAAAACGGGAGCTTTTATTGTTCACAAAGAGTATTAAATATAGGTCAATGCATTAGAGTGTAAAATGTGTGGGGTAAGGGAGGTAACGGGGGGCAACGGAAAACGAAAGTGAGTCGGAGAAAGTAAAGGATGGGCGTTACTAGGAGTATTTTGTAATTGAAGCGAATTTGAATTATATACTTACACCCTTCTCACTTGACGAAGGTTTCCACTTTCAAATCGCGATTCGAACGTTAAAGAAGGGCAAAAACCAGAAGCAACTGGGGGTGGCTGATAATCTTTACCACTTTTTTCAGAATCGTACACAATCTGTACTCCTCTCCATCTCCTATCAAATTCAGTTTGTTGCTTATCTATACTCAACTTCTTATTATCTATTTAAAAATAAGTATAACAAATTACAACAGAGCGATTTTCAATATAAAATATCGATATATCATATTGTCAGGCTAATATACAATATCTGATAAGAGACTTATAATCCTGTTATCGACAACGATACATTCAAATTTCGTTACAAAATAATAAATGATAAAACATAGTACGATCAACAAACTTTTATAATAATTCTGAAAAAATAGTAAAACCTTTGCAAAATAGTGGTTCAATATAATCCGGCATAGTCCGTAGATGTTTCGGCGTCTGTAATAACGGACCATAATAGTGAGGGGGCCAATATGGTCCATATGGCCAATATTTAATATCCGGTGGTTTGGTTTTATATTTGCTAATAAACTCCTCCAGATGTTGTGAATAACGATTGATAACTGTACGTTTGATTGGAGCAAACATACTGTTATTGTCCGCATCGTCAGTGCAAGAAGAATCCTGAGCGCTTTCGCTCAATGACTGTTGATCGTCGGACATAGCGTTCTGTATCAATCGTTATACGTAAGAAAAAGTATAAGTAATCGGCAGAATATTGGCGGCATACTCCAGTAGACTATAAATCTATAAAAGCTTATGTAAACAAGCTATAAAATTGACTCGATCCGTGGAATTTGCTGAGTATATTATTATTCAAGAGCCAATCTTTATGCACTTTTCAAAAGGAATTCAAAAAGACCATGTAAAACCAATTTATCAGTTAAGAAAGCATTAGCGCAATGATACTGTTTCTTGCTCTCTCTCTCTCTCTCTCTCTCTCTCTCTTTTAAATCAACCATTCCTTCTCCATGGCAACAAACTAAAGCTCTTAGGTTTAAATCAATTAATCATTGACTAACAAGTAATTAAAGAATGCTAAAGGGTGGGGTCAATCGTCTTTATTAGGTACCGTTTCTTCCATTTTTAATTGTTTACTTGGATTTCTTTTAAACGTCGCCTCTTTGAGATATAAATGAACACACTTTATTGTTTTGCTTGTCTCATATTCTTTATTTACAATTATTAGTTGCTTTTTAATTCCGTTTACTGTATCCCATAAGTAGCCTTCTTCTTCCATTCAACAGAAAAAAGTACAATATTATTTGAAGCTGTTTCAGGCCGACTAAATTTGTTTTAATAATAAAAAAACAGGTTGCTAACAAAGTCGTAACAGTTCACAAAGGAGACACCGACAACTTCCGTTGACAAACACGACAGGAAAAATCAATAACAATACTTGTGTATAGATTTTACAAACAAATTACATAGCTATCGTTAAACATCATATATTAACCATATAAAGATAAATAGGCTATAATGCGCTTTTCAATTTAATAATGAATGAAAACATGGAATTGATAAACCTACCTTCCATCCTAGTATTGAGCGGTTCAAATTTCCATTGAGAGGCTCTAGCTAATTTAGGAGTAGGGCATAATGGTCCATAATCGGATGGCCAAAATGGGCCGTATTCGTCCTTTTCTATTCCGTATCTATCTACGTAGTTTCCATCAACTTTCTGCAGGAAGGATCCATCAGCCAATCTGCCAGTTCGGAGAGCATCTACGAAGGCATCTTTGGTGAAGAAATTAAAGAATTGATGCTTTTCAAAAGCATTCAATTTCTCATAGTCATTTAATGCTTTTTCGGCCAATTTTGCATATGAAAGATATTGAGTGGAAGTAGACGGTATTTCAGGTAAAGCTTTGTGTATTTCAAATTCGGGCGAAATCCTTTCTTCGCGGCTCAGGAATCGTCCTAATTTACGACCTATACTTCTTTCTGAACGGCCAATAGAATACACGGAAGAGCATTCAGAGGACGGGGATTTACTGTCCAAAGCGGAAAAAGCTCTAATCTTCTGAATTGATCTTTTTTTGCTGAGAATAAGAAAGTTTCGTTCCTTGATCTTATCGATGGCCGATATGCCCTGAGAATCATCAAGCTGCTCCCCTTCAACCTCCTCATCAGAAGAATGGGATGATGGTTGATCAGAATTATTGGAAGACGAATGTAGAGCTCTTTCAACTAAAGTAGTTATATCATTTTGAGTCTTTTTTCGTATTGTGTCTTTCCACGCATCAATATCTATTGAAAAAAAAAAAAAAGGTTAAATTTCTACTTTCAGTTATCAAGTTCATATTTAATTACATCCTAGAAACAAAAAGCTCAAAATCATTTTATAGCCTAGGAAAATGAATTTATTGTTAGTTATTTCGCTCGTTTAGCAGCGTGAATTTTTTATTATTAAATACACATATATATACAAATATGTATATGAAGATTATTTATGAAAATATAAGAAAATTTTATTTAAATGTGCACCACTCAACTCAAATATTTGCCTTTTGATTATAAGAAGGAAAATAAAGGAAATATGAAAGAAATTTTCGACTAAAGTCGATTAAATAACTAATTTTTTAAATACCTGGTGCTTGACTTGTTCCAACTCGTCCTATAAAAAAATTTGGTTCTTTTTTGGTTTTTTGATTTTTTTTTTTAGAAAAAAAAGAACAGGAAGTGAAATTATAGTTTTTCTAAAACAATAATAAAGTTAAAATGAAAAAGAAACTATATACAATCAAAAATAGACTGAAATAAAGCTGAATCTATAAAGCGTTTAGCTATTTATTAAAGACTTTTAAGCCTTTAATGTAGGTATTTTTTTTTGAAAGTAAAAGAGCTTATGATTTTCAAAGTTCTCTTTGTAACAAAACAGATTAAATTCATGACGAGAATAACGTCGTTCGCTACATTTAACTCGAAGAATAACGTAATGCAACACTAATTGATACTTGATAGTGAAAAAACATTGTTTTTCACTATTACCTATTACGTAAGCCGATAGGTATATCTTATTGTAGTTTTTAATTAATTCAGTAAATTAAATGTAAATTATGCAAACCATGTCTTTCCAATAAAAGTTGTTTTTTCTCCTCTGAAAACTTATTAATTTCAGTCTGAAGACCGTTACTTATCCCGTGTCTAGAATAAAAGTCCTTAGTCGGAGTTGTATTTTCCGATCTGTACATTTTGTCGTCTTCGACTTAAACGGAAATCTGATATAAAGGAAATTGAAAAAGGAAAATAAACAAGGGAAATAATACTGTTACAATAATAATAGCATTAGGTTAGAAAGAAATCTTTTAAAGCAAGACATTATGTCATATAGAAGACGTTCTTATTCATAATACTTACGTATTGAACTTAGCATTCGGATTATCCAACTATCAGCTAAAGTGGTTAGACACGAGCAGGTTAATTCTGCAACAAAGATAATTGCTTAGTAGCGAGACTAGGCTTTCTCATTGTAGATAAAAATAATATCGCTTGTTCGTGTATAACAGCGCCAATAAGTACTGCAATTAACACTTGAACCGTTAGTATATTGAACGTGGAGCGAGAAAAATCGAACGTTACTATAGGAGTGTCACATGAATTTCACTAGTTCTCAGCCAGTTAAAATTGGGTACACAATCCATAAAATTTACTGAAAGCTAATAGACCGACAACAGATGTGAAAAGGCTAAAAAATAAAGTTAAATAACGAAACAGATTGATCTGAAAGATATTTACATTTATTCCTGTTGTCTCGCGCCCTTGTCATTTTCGAAGACTAACGGATCTAAGGTATTATAGCATTATGATAGGCTTCATTTGATACGCTCTCTTGTTAAAAGGCTTTTCATATCCTTAATCGATCACATTAATCCATACGGCCAGGTTTATGAGCAAAGTTAATCAATTTAAACGTATTCACATATGGAGTAGATAGATATATCGTACTTATTATATTTAATTCGGCATATAGTCAATCAGCGGAACATTAATAGTACATGTAGGGATTAAGTTTCTTTACATATTTTGCTTTATATATACCGTTGTTAGAGTGGAGAGAAAATGAAAAGGTATTTAGACCTACCTTTGTCAAGACCCTTAAATCGTAATTTGATACTTTTGCAACAGTGGTATTTCAATCACTATACAATCAAAAGTTTATAGAGTGAGCTTCTTGAACAGATCCAATATCAAAGAATACCTTTAAGTACTTTTAGAATGTATAACATTCACTAACTATTGATAAAACACCTAATTGTTGTTGAATCACACGTAATTATGAAACTTTCAAGTGAAATCGAACTTTTCGAAGCAATTGCAACCGGAAGTAAATATTTTTATACTACAATTCGAACAAACGGACTTTTCGTATTTGATTTTCCTAAATACGCTTAATTAACCGCTAGATGTCAGCACTTTCGCGGAAGAAGCTGATCAAGCCGAGGAAGAAGTTTTCTGATATTAGCCGAAATATAGTAAGTAATTTAGTAGATAATGCCGAATTGTACGGCAACCTTAGATTTTTAGCCAGGAGAAAAAAAGTTGTTTTATTCATAAGAAACTAGACCATTCGGAAAGTTCCTTTTTATGCGGCCAATTTCTTCTACCGTTCAAAGTAGGTCATGATGGCGTCCTCCTTCTCCACGGTCGTTTATATTTATTTCAGCAATCGATAAATGCTTCAAATAGAACATTTATTATCTGAACTCCCGATATATTGGTCTATTCTCTCCTCAGTCTTTCACTTTCACATTCGAGAGTGTGAGAATTGTTTTATTGCCCATAAACTACCCTTTTTAACATTTTCATAAGGTAATTTGTTTTCCCCTTTGTAGCTGTTCTTCTAAAATGGATGATCTGAAGGATCTTTTAAGAAATCATATAACCACTGTTGTTTCAAAAATGTGCCGGCAAGTTCTTCCAGACTCTTTAGATATAAACGTTGAAGGTTCGTAGAAGGAGATCGCTTTTAAGCAATAGTGTTTCTATTTAAAAATACCTTTTGTTAAATGGGCTATTTTTTCTTCAATAGGTTTAATAGGAATCACTGTGGGCGGAAAAAATGTTCTTTTACTACGCATAAACGACGACATAAATCGATGTTCCGACAGCGCAAATTCTAATTCTAATATTAAATATGTTTCAAAACGAAAGCAGAATCGAAAAGATATTTTGCATGATGAAGATAATATTTCGTGCCATTCAGATAACTGTCAATCAGCTGAAAATAAAGTATTAATCAATTTAAACAACGCCGACGAAAGTCTCCCAGAGCATGTCTCTCAAATGCTGGGTATGCCTTCCAAATCAAAACCAATTAATCGTGTAGTGGAAGATGTTGCCCAACAAATTGAATTGGAAGAACGAATGTCGCCCTTTAGAGTAGGAGACAAATGGCTATGCCAAATGTGTAATAAGCAATTTACTACCTCAGTCGCAGCCGTAAATCACATGCAAATTCATACTGCAAACATTCAAACATCTGTTAAAAAACGAGCGACGACGACGCCGGACAAGCAAATTGATTCTACAGACGATCCGGATAATTATCTTCCGGATGGACGGTTAAAGCCGTACGATTGTTCAGAGTGTCATAAACGGTTTATTAGTAGGTAAGAGCGTTCGGCGGTGCGAAACAAAATTTTCTAATTTAACGCTTCCTCTTAGAACCCGACTTCTCTGCCACCAGAGAGTGCATTCTGGCGAAAAACCGTATTCTTGTACTATTTGTAACAGACGGTAAGATTTAAGTATATAATTGACGTCCTTTTTTCTAATTAGCCAGACCCCCTACAGATTTACGCAAAAAGTTCACCTGAGAACTCATATTCGAGTTCACACTGGAGAGCGACCGTACGAATGTCCAGTCTGCAGTAAGCGTTTTAGTCAAAAAGTTCACATGCAACGTCATAATCGTGTGCATACCGGAGAACGACCTTATCAATGCCCACTCTGCCCTAGAACTTTCTCTCAAAAGGTTCACGTAAGAGGTCACATGAAAAATCATGCACATGAGGTGGACAAAGAGAAGATGGAAGAGATGGTAAGAAAACTTGAAGAAGAAGACGACAGGCCCCCTTTATTACGGGCTGAAATGCCAATGGAAGCCGATGTATCGAATATGTCAAATGGAAGTGTTAGTTTATCAATGGACGACGACGACGAATACCCGCGCTTACAAATTGACGAAAGTTTTCAATCCGTACCGGGCACAGGAACATTAGAAGAAAAATTATAAGTTTTTTTTGTTTTGTAACTCTTTGTTTCTTATATTGTTTTACATTGAAAAGACGACCAAATATTAAAAAAAAACTTTTTGTATTTTAAACTTAACCAACTGGAGAATTACTTTTATAATTGCGTAACTGCGCATCCGCTTCTCGGGAGTTTTAAATGCGATAACAGAGTGGGTTAAAATTATCGATGCGATAAAAATCGGGCATACCAAGAACGCTTGAATGCTATGAAAGGAATACGCACTTTCTTCTCCGCGCGATACACAATCTGGCAGGTAGCAACGGTTAAAGGTTTCCTGTCAGCCCCAATTCTTATGCAAATCAACTTGCTATGGGCGAGAGCGATCTAACAACCAGGTCCGTTATAAATATATATAGGCCAGTATAAGCTGTCATTTTGTTATGCAAATCGCGGCCTACGGCATTGGAATGCGGCTTGTACAGGTGCGCTGGCACCTGTCTCCCTCCAGGTAGGCCTACTTCTTTGGCCTACGCGGCGGTTCAATGTCAGTCAATTATGCAATATCGTCCGTTATGTAATTTTTTCTTTGCTAACAACCGCTTGCGGTTGGCCTACTTTCCCTGGAATCTCTTTCAACCCTTTCCGCCATGAATTCCATTCAATGCATTGTTGAACTCGCCTAACGGCGATGGAAGCTAAGTTATACAAAAAATAGCTACCATAAACACATCGGTGGGAAGAGTGTCTCTTTTTACGAGTCTCCTTTGTTTGACTACCGACTAGTTCTAGTTAAATAAACAGCCTGTAAAAAAAAGTAGGCCAAACCAAAGGGCAATAGGCCAACTTCGTGGGACGCTATCAGTTTTTTTAGAAATAATTCAAACCATACTAGGTGTTTTTGAAACTAGGAAATACCTAATTCTTTCAAAACGGAAATATACATTATGCCTAACTAGTCAGTCACAATATACTGTTCATAAAATAGCAGTTGGGATTAATTGTTAAAAATATTTGACTAAAACCAGTCTACTACTAGGAATGTGTCACGTGGTTCACATAGGACAGCTATCACAGCGCCCCCTAGGCTCGTCTAGAAGTTACTTTTGTCACAAGGCCGTTTATCGATAGGAACGCTTCCCGATTTTTGCCGTTGAACGTTAAGAATACGATGATAGTTTGGTAAGTTAACTTATAATTTACTGTAATGTCTAGATACACTAGATATTCGAATAATAACTACTCGTTAAAGTCGCCATGCCCGTTAATGGTGCAAAATAAGAAATGCACTCTGCATAGTTTTTTATACATTCCTTACATATTTTCGGGCATTAAAAACCGTAAAGCGTAGAAAACTCGGATAGGTAAATTGATGGAAAATATGTGAACCCGTTGCATTAGATTTTATTATGCGCATTTTAAGAAAGTCCGATAAATTCTTGGTCAACCGGCGTGGCCTAGAAAATTTTTGGCGCGCTGTCAGCATAGTCGGATCGCGTGACAGCTGTACGGGATGCACGGAAGGGTCAGACTAGTTTTAGGCCTATGTATTTTTTCGCCCTAATTGCCAATTAGCGTCGATCGCGATAAGCCGATGGAAAGGGACTGGCAAAGTGGGAGGGGATTAGGAAGGCCCGGTATAATGACGTCATTCAGCCTATGATGTAACTCTTCCAGAGGTATTATAGACCTATTTTTTTTAAACAATTTACCGTTTTAAGTCGGCGGGTGAGAGTGTCGATGGGACAATAGACTACCAGTTAGGCTTGGGGTATTCTTACTTTCTCTACTTAAATAACATCATTAGCACAGTTTGCCTAGAAAAGCTCAAACTGAGTTCAATTTTTAGCTTTCGCAACGCCTGTGTCGGTAAGTATAATTGTCAAGCTGAATTTCTATAAGCATATCCGCACCTGCACGATTTTCCTAGCTAGGCCTATCCCTGGCTTTCTTGGCGCCAAAGACACATCACGTGATTTTCGGAATCTTGCAAGCATGACCTTTGATCTCGAGACGTTGTAAACCGTTAGCCGTCCTTCCCCTCAATTCCAAGTGGCCAGATGTTAGTGTAATGTGTTCTCGTGTTGTTTTCCGGTTTTTCTTGTCTCTCTTTCCTGCCTTGTTATTGTTTATGTTTTTTTCCATGCGGGTGCGACGAATTTGAATAGGCCTATAAATAGCCTAACCGACGCTTGACACCCAAAATAATAGGCAGTTCTCATTTTATTTTCAAACAGATCATGCTCGACCTACAGAAGCAACGTTTCAAGCATTTATTGGCGAATGCCATTTTGGAATTATGGAAAAAGGAGACAGGATCTTTATCTTCAGTTTTAATCGAGGGCACAATATGTATTTCCTCCGGCACTGGCAGAACAACAGTTATTCAGGTAGCCGATCATTTTATGGGCGTTCTCCATGATTCAGCATTGAATGCATCAGCTACCTCTGAACAACCCCTTCCTCTATATTCCGAATCAACAGAAAAGAAGCATGATTCGGGAGCGTTTTCTGATGGAGAGAGTGATCTTAACGTAACCGACGACCCCGATGACGAGCATAAAGATGTGAATGGCAACGACTACGACGCTGTTGATAAGAACTGTCGACGGGGAAGGGAGACGCCCCCCGCTACGCCAGCCGAAAAAGACATGCTACCTCTACACGCAAGTACCCCGGTCCTAGATTTAAGAAAAGATGAAGATTTATCAATATCTTCACCGGCTAATTACACAACACAAGTGCGAGATGTAATTAAGCAGAAATATCTATCTCAACGACCCGTATCAACTCCACCTACCGGACCCGTTGCGCCCTGGTTCCTCCCGCCTTCTTCTCACCATCACCTTGCCAACGTCCATATGTTAGCAGCCGCCGCTGCCGCGGCCAGTTTACAACCTCCGGCTATCAAGAAACGAGCCCTTTCATCGCCTTTTATGCCCTATTCTCCACATCCGGTTTCAGAACCTGCTCATCACCAGAAAGAAAAACGATCAGATACTTCCACTGATGAAAAAAGGTCTTACCGGTGCGAGTATTGCGACAAAAAGTTCATGTTCAAATCAAAATATAATGAACACTTACCTGTTCACACAAATGAGAGACCCTTCCAATGCCACCTATGCTCCCGAACTTATAAGTACAAGTACGATTTACAGGTTCATCTCAGGACGCATATGGGTATTCCGACTAAATCGACTATATGCCCATTCTGTCAGGTGAAATTCGAATCAAATAAATTACTCAGACAACATATTCAGGCGGAACACCGCGATGTTGGATTAACTAATGAAGACTCCGAGGAAAAATGAATTGCTTGAAAAACAAAAAAAATAGAAGCTAGAGACTTGAATGTTAAAAAAGAATGTTTGGTGCTTTGAACCACCCCTTCATAAATTTCTTTTTTTTTTTTCTATTTCCCCCATTCTTTTTTATTTCGTTAGAAAACTTATTGGTAGAATTTTTTTACATGTTGTTTTGATTATCAGTGACAATTTTCAGGTACTTGTTTACTTTATTATTTAGAATGTAAACTTTCAAATGGAATAAAGACAATTGCCTATTTTTGAGACTTAATTAACTTTACAAATACTCAGTTGTTACTTAAAAGCTGTTTTTCGAAAACAACATTTCATCTTAAAAAACTTTTGCATAGGCTACAATCTGGACATCGCATACATAACATTCTTGGAACAACAATGGCATCTTTCCGTTTCCGCTTCCGTTTGAGTTAAAATTTTACTTTTAAAAAATTGGTTTTTAATTTATTAGAATGAGCAAAAATGATAAATCATCTAGAAAGAGGCAAAAATTTAGAAAGTATGATACGTTTCTGTATTAGGATGCTGTGTGATTAGTGATTTGTGAAACAGACCAAGCAAGAAAACAACGACAGTTAACTCTACATTGGTAACAAGAACAGAAGAGGAAACCAAAAAGAAGATGATGTCATCAATATCCGATATATTTTCCGAGCCCGTAACCGTTTTAGGATACGATCCCTTGGGTCTGGTTAATAGATTTTAATTGCTTTCAGCTTGTTTCGAGTGGGAGGAAAACGCCTGAATTAAAAGAAACGCGTTTTTCAAATAGAAAGGCAAATATTTGGCAATTAACCGCGGAACACGAAGACAATTGCGAGGTAAAGATGAACTTTTCCATGGTGAATTATTTCACCGATTCCCCCTTTCATTTACAGGCCCAAACCAGCAAATCGTCTTTTTTATTGGCCAGTCAAACAGCTTTGATGTTAGCCGAATTACGTTCTTCAGACAACTCCCAATTTACGCAGTTTACAATGAAATCCTTACAGGATTCTCAGAACAATGACCAAACTGTTAGTAGCACGCAGGAGAATTGTATGAGGCAATTGGACCAGGGGGGAGATAACGAAGACTCTCGCTTCCCTCTCTCATGCGATAAGGGGTCGTGTTTATTTCTTGATGGGCAATATGACTTTGATTGTAGCGTTGATTCAGATAGCTTTCCGGTTAAGAAACCGGGTTTAAAAAAACAAGATCTCAAAGATAAATTGCTTCAAAAACAAACAAAGCAATTAGAACATTCAGTCATCGACCAAACATCCGCTATTCCTCTTTTAGATATATCAAACGAAAAAAGTAACGACAATGAGAACAATTCTATTTTGAATGACTCATTGATGGTCATTGAGGTGGACGGGAATTCGTCCAAAACGGAATCAGAGAAAAAAAATAGGCGCATAGTGATACCTGAAACTCCTTGCGGATTCGAAAGCAAAATTTCTCACAATAGCTCATGTAACAAGGGGAAATCGACTATAAAATATTTTCAAGCAATTCTTAACGAAATGCGATCATACATTACATCTCAAAATAGTGAAATCATAACAATAACTTATAAAGGTGGTACTATGGAAAAAAGTGCACCGATGCAATATTTTTCTCATCAATATCCTTTTTTGTTTACAGTAAGGCTTAAATTATAATTTACTATCTTCCCATAGGCCGTTCTTGTATATCTGCATTTCAGGCAATTAACGAAAACACATTAAATTTATCAAAGTATAGCAGAGAATCCGTAGAATTCTTTTGGAAAGTTATTATGGGCGAATGTGATAGTCTTTACTCGGCATTTAGCTTTGGAAGTGAATTCATTGAAATTTTTAAAAGGTCACTTGCATAATAAAAAGTGTTTATTGATAGAAATTAATGATTTGAATCTGACAGATACAGTCTGGAAAGATTGATAATAGAAAAGGATGGTGAGACTTTAACAGATCCTTCCGACGATGATAATAGGTCGAAGGCGTTATTTGACGATTGTAGTTGGTCTAATAATACATGGGAGGCTTTAGCGGAAGCGTCTGATGATAGACGTGTGAACGAAAGTGTCGGAATTAATTCCCTCCAATCTGAGGTCCGTTATATAATTAGTCTATTAGTTTATAGTAAATAAAGACCGTTTCAATATTTCCTTTTAACAACACAGATTGAAAAGGGAGAGGAAATTTACTTAAATAGCCCGGAGAATTATGAGGAAGATAGAGAATTTTTGACACATTCCATAGAATTTGATATGAAAAATACCACCCCTAAGTCTTCCAATAGCAATCACTTAAACACGCCTGTTAGCTGGAAGAATAGTAACAAAACAAATTCGCCGGTTTGATTGTCTAAAAATTAACTTATTGTTCAGTAACTATTCTCTTTTGTTGGTGTCAGATTGTCCCGTCACCTTTTACACCAATGCCTAATTACGACGAAATGAATACTCCGACTTTAAAAGTAAGATAGTACTTCATCGCCAAACTGTTGCGCAACATTACCCAATTATTTTCAATAGGGTGAATGCAAGAGATTTGGAGTTAAAGGACTTCCAAAACGGAAAATGAAAACTATTCTGAAGACTATTTATCACGGCACACATCAATGTAATACCTTGTTTCAAGTGTTCTTAAAAAAGATACTCCTTTGATCATGTTTTAAATACAGACGAGAATGATAGTACAGCAGGAGAAGAACTACCTAGTATTAATGACGTAACTTCCCCCAAGTAATGAACTCTCTAATGATCTAATTGTATTTGATTATTTATTAACAATTTTGTTTAGTGTCAAGAAATTTAAGAAATCAAAAGCGTCTAAAGATAGTCAAAAGAAAGAAGGAACGAGAAATCTTAATGAGGTCTTTTGACCGTTTAATTAAGTAAATGTTTGTGTTTGATTTAACGAATGTTCTTTACAAAATTTTCAGAAGAACAAAGAAATAATTAAAGAAATTCGTAAAAATACTGAATTATATACTTCAATATTGCATTACGAGGTTTGTTTGTATGGAGTATTTATTATGTACACTCTCTTTGTTATACGCGAAATAGCCGCATTCCATAAGGGATTTCTGTGAGAAACTCGACACATCTACCTCGCAATCTCATCTAAAGGAGTTACTTGAGCAACAGGTTTGATTAACAATTTCAATATATAAGCCGTTTTGCATTTCAGCAATTGTGTTGTTAAGAATAGCTTTAATCATCTATTCTTTATATTATTGAATATTACGTAATATTTAATTGTGAAAGATTACGTTTATATTTATTTTACTAACTGTTGATTATAAAAATACGGTTTAATAATACAATTGATTTGATTTTCGTTTCAGTGCGTGCATTACGAGGAAGCCCAAAGTGTCAAGAAGAACTAAGAAGCAGCGGTCAAAGGTTATCATAGCACTATTATGTATCATTACGCTGTATGCCGGCAGCTTTTTTAAAAAACAAAACAATATAAAATAGTTCTTTAATGACTGAAATTCTTGTAAAAGATAACGAATTTTCTTATCGAGTTTATATTTTTAATTTGCGATGAATTTTCGTTGTATAAAACTACTGCATATTTTGAACTGAGATATTTAAAACAACTTAAAATTGTTACAAATCAGTTAAATTTTTGGACGTGATCTCTGACGGACGATCCAACTTCGGAAGCACGCTTGTCAAATCCCTCGCTAGCCTTTGCTCCTTTATCAAAGAATACCATACCGGCCACACCCAGACCGGCTCCAAATAGGCAGAAAAGATAAGCAAAGTAATATAGGATAGAGTGTAGAAGAAAAGCCGACCAGATCAGCAGTTGATATGCTAGGATTACTAAAACAATAAGAGCGAAAGATATTATTGAACAAGATATAATCCAATAACGATGTGAAGCGTAGCTCTTATTAGGATGTAGATATCCATAAATCTTTGTAATAAGGGTGAAAATAATCAGGATGAAGTTGGCTAATCCTTCCTTGATCGGGTTGTCATACCTTTTACCGCATCTTTCGCTCAGCATGTTATTTATAGCTGGCGAAGGTGTTTTTGGTACATTCTTAGAATGCGGCATTTTCAACTAATAGATAAAGAAATTCGTTTGATTATATTGAATATGATATGGGATTTTATTTTTATAGTATGTATGGACGGCTTACCTGTTCAGATAAACTAAAGTACACAAAATCAGTTTGAGCAAAGGACACTTTTTTCCTGTCATAAGATATAAAAACAGGAAGTATGTTACCGGAAATATGTTTAGTAGCGCCACCGTGGTTTCGATATTGTTTTTTTAAGTTAAAACTGTAATTAACAACTTATTAGGATAGAATTAATATTTTATAAATTTTATTTTTTAAAACAGCTCGTTTTTATCATGTTTACGGTCATGTTAAGTAAATATAGCGCGAGGCTGAACATTGAAATGAACTCTGACGGATGTTGGCATTGAACAAATAATCCCAATACTAATCCTTATCAATGGTCATTCTTCTTTATATAAGTGCGGAAACGGCATGCTTTCAGATGCTTGTAGCCTTTACGAAAAAGAAATAAGAAAATGTATTTAAAAATTGTTTCAATTTGTCTTTTTGCATAAGAAACAAACCAATTACGTTCACTCCACTTAGAGCTATTCTCAACCATATGAAATGTGTAAATATGTCTAGATCTTTCGGAAGTGTTTCTTTCACTTTTGTGAACAACTAACCCATCAATAACGATTAAACTTCCTATTTCAAGAATATAAGTAACATCAGTGCCCTTAAGGATATGTACACACTAAAAAACCTTTTTTGACGGGGACTGGTTTCCATGTATGTTCATCGTAGTTGGGCTTAGTTCCTTCGTATATAACGGAACTACTTCCATCCTTGGCAGGCCATTCCGGATTTCTCACAGACCTATAATTACCGTACAAGCCGCCTGTCAAAAAAAAAGAAAAAAAACATTCCTTAAAAATCAGCCGGGCGTGAAAAGAATTCTATTCCAACATTTGTGAGACCCTGGTGCAAACCAAAGGCATCCGTTTTCTAAGGTTGCGTCTTCAAGGGCAATCCACATTCCAACTACTTTCATAGGTTCCGCGTATAAATATGTGCCGTCTTGGTGCGGGATAACTGAAGTTTAGTCTTATATGTAATTCTATATGAGCTAATCAGATTACATATGGGTCAATCATAAAGGGGGTTACTTTAACATACTTTGCCTCTATTAAAACGCTAAACACGCAACTCACCTGCGCCGCCGAATTTTGGTTGCTGCAAAAAAATATTTTTGTATGATAATGGCACTAGAAGAATAGAAATATGAACCTTAAAAATGTACATGCTTTGGGGAATGACGGGATCTTTAAGATTTATCGCTCTTGCCAAGTTCTGTTTGGATGATGAATTAGAGAGGTTTTACTTATAGGGAATTTGATAGCCAACCTTTACTTTATCACTAAAAGTGACTTTACGAAATTCTGGACTCAGTACGTGTAGGGCGTGTCCGATTTTGTTTAAAGATACATGTTTATCATACTTCAGATTGCCATCTTCATTGAAGACTCCTTCTTCGAAAAAATAGCGAATTTTGTCTCCGCTAGTTAGAAAATAATCGTCTCCGTGGGTCTGAAGTATGCATTTTACAAAACGAAGGCGTTTGAAATTACTCAAAGGTAACATTTAAACATTTACTATTTTTATAGTGGAAAACACAGTTTTGTGCTCATTTGGATTCATATCTTCTACAAGTTCATGACAAGCTGTCCTCAGCGACTGAATTTCATCTTCAGCCAGAAAATCATCGATTACAGCATAGCCATTTTTTTCAAACTGTAAATAGTCAGTTAGAAACTACGTCAAAAGATGTGTTTTAAATACAAACATCCTCTATTATGTTTTGCATATTTTTCTTTGGTAAATGACCGAAAGATAACAATTGGCAAGAATTGAAAATTTAGAGAACTTTGATTACGTCTGCTACGGCACATGCGCAAAAATTGCGCCATTGCGAAAGGTTTCCGTTTCCTCTTTACCACGCTTCATAAGATTTTGCGAAACTTTGAAAAAAGTTTTATAAACTGGACTTTGATTATTATCTTATTTAATAACTTTCGTTTAAGATTGTCTACAATTTTAAAATGGGTCAAAATATTTCATACTTTAAAGGAAATTCAGAGAAGGAATTCATTGAAAGCAGTATTGATCCAGCTCCATCTGATTCCAATGAAATTACAGGGAGTGGAATAGTTACAACTTATAGCGGTTCTTTCGGTCAAATTGATAATGAAATATTTTTTGTTCATGATGTATTAGAGAATAATTTTATACCAAAAGAAGGAGAAAAAGTACTTTATAAGGCTTCCAGAAAATCACAATTTGACAATTGGGTTGGAACTTCAGTTCGACCAGTTGATCATTTCGACGATGAATTTGACGAAAGTGAAAATGGAGAAGAAGATAAAAGTATTACAATGGTTTTTAATGTTGAAAGGGTTTACGACAATACTTGTTTCTTTAACAAGTCATTAAGCTTTCCACTTGACCTGTGCAAAAATTTCAAACTTGCAAGGGGAGATATCCTCAAAGCGGTAGTTAATTTTAGAAAAAACGAAGTCTACTCGGTTGAACCACTTAGGCAATATTCTTTTGCCACAGCTATCAAGCATGTGTCACATGGAAAGAAATTTGCCTTTACAAGGGAAGATGTATACTTTGACTTTAAAACTTGGGAGTTATGCGGCAATAAGGAAATGCCTCGGGTTGGTGATTTTGCATACTGTACAGCAATAGAAACTTCAAAGGGAAACTGTATGTGGAGAGCAACTAATATTATAAAGATAAATGTTGATGAGATGACAAATGCCGAAATAGCAAACTTGCAAGTTCATTTATACTGATAGCTTTTTATGATCTAATATTGTCTTTCGAAATTGTAGTTTGTCTGTTGATGAAATTCTAAAGCGGGAAGAGTTGGTTAAGTATTGCCATAATGATATTGAAATAGCAAAATTTTTTCACATAGACACTATCCTTCTTAATGGTACAGCGACAATTCATATCAAATTTAAGTATGTAATAGCTAAGCTACGAAACAGCAATTAATAGTAAAATTTTCTTGTAGAAATATTGGGCATAAAAATCACATCCTAAAAAGCTACGAATTGAACAATGTATCATCCAAAGAAATTAATATAAACAGAGCAGATTTGTCTCAATATGATAGGACAAAAGAAAATTATGTTATTATAAAGAGTCAACAAGAATTTAGGTTCAGTGTTACAATAACAGGAAGGTTAATAATTATTTCACCTGATATATTTTACGAATTAATTACATTTTTTTATTTTTTGGGCTACAACTAGACATCTTGGAAAAATCATTGAAGTTTTGGTTTTTGATTTCGAGGGATTCTTAATTGCTAGAGAAATTAGGGTAAGAAATAATTATTTTGAAAGATTGTATACAGGTAATTTTCAATTCTTTAAATACCAATTAAGGTTTCAGTTATAGATGCTACCAGCGCTATTATTGAAAACAATGATGATTATTTTCATGATAGGAAAGTGTATAGGGATACTCAATTTCGGAGAAAACAAATTGAAAAAGAGCTATTTGTTCTACCAGGCGAAAGACCCTTAAGGTTGTTAGTCAAATGTTATATTATTCTATCAGTACTTAACTCTTCTTAATTTGGAACTTTAGGATTCGATCCAATGTGCATGCCATAAGAAGGCTACCCCATTTTGACGTGCCTAGTTTCCTTAGGGGTTTAATTGTTAATAAGAAAGATCTCTTAAGTGATCCAAGACTAGCCATACTTTTAGAGGTATAAGAGATTAAATAATAATCAATAAGATCAGTCTTTACAGTTTTAAATATCTTTATTTAGGAACTGACCTTTGAAAATCACTGTGAAAAGTTTCAATTAAGCTTATATCTCGAAGAATTGAGCATGGAATTAAACATTGAACAGTATATGATGCATAGAGTAGTATTGTAAATAATCTTTATCTACTAAATTTAAATTGTATGTTATTTCCTATTAGGTTTGTCTGACAAAACGTGGAGAATATTTGAGTCTTGTTGTCAAAGGCCTTGCAGAGGGCCGACCATCGGTTCTAATTGGAGATAAAGTGATATTAGCACATCCGGATGGTAGAAATGATGTAGATCCATCGTATGAGGGTTTTATCCATGATGTTTTGAAAGATGAAATATTTTTAAAATTTCACGAAAGCTTTCACACGAAATATGATGGGGAAGACTTCGACGTTCATTTCTTCTTTAATAGATCTCCTATGAGAAGATGTCAAGCTGCTATAAGGAGTGCAAGGAATTTGAACAAAAATAGTAAAGAGCTTTTTTATTTATAATTTGCAAACTTTAAAAACTTTCTATTTGTAGTTATTTTTCCTAAAACGCTTGATATAAAAAAGTCCCAACTATTGACAATCCAACATAGAAACAAAAAAATTACTAAACAAACAAACGACCAGATAGAGTTCATTAACAAAAATTTAAATGAAAGACAAAAGTTGGCTGTACGTCGCATATTAGAAGGTTACGCTCGTCCTATTCCGTATATTATATACGGTCCACCAGGAACTGGTAAAACCACGACAATCGTTGAATGCATATTACAGTTATACTTATGTTTGCCTTTTTCGAGAATTCTCGTGTGCGCGCCGTCAAACAGTGCAGTAGATTTAATAGTAAGTAGTAAATATAATTAGACACTTTTTACTATAAACAGATTTATTTTCTCTAAATAGACTTCTAAGCTACATGCAACTGATAAATTACAATCAGGCGATATGGTTAGGCTAAATGCCTTTCAGAGATCTGCTTATGTATAACCGGTTTATTATTGCTTTCGATAAGCTTTCATTTATTTATGCAATTTGTCAGGGAATACCAAAAGAAATACTTCCATACTGTAAGGTTACTGAAGAATTGGAAAAATTTGTGAACTTTCGAATAATTCTGTCTACGTGCATCTGTAGTGGTTCTTTTACAAGTGTCAGTTTGCCAATCGAACACTTTCTTTTTACTAAACATAACTTTTTGCAGAGAATTGTAAGAGATGGTCATTTTACCCATTGCATTATTGATGAGGCTGGACAAGCAACAGAGCCAGAGACTCTAATACCGATTTCTCTACCCGGTGTAAAAAATGGACAAATTATTCTAGCTGGAGATCCGTTTCAATTAGGCCCTATTCTGCAAAATAGGTTTTTACCTATGAGATTGTTGGAAATCTCTCTGCTGGAACGTTTGTTGACGACACCCCTCTATTTAAGAGATGAAAAAAAATACGTGGGTCATGGAGCCTACAATCCTCATTTGGTATATTCTATAAATAACTGTTAAAAGTAGATTAATGATAAATTTCTTTCAGATTACTAAATTGGTTGATAATTATAGGGCTCATGAGATGCTATTGACAATACCAAATAGGCTATTCTATCATAATGAATTAAAGACTATGGTTGGGGACAAATTTAAAAAAGCTCTGTCAAAATTTGATGTATTGCCCAATAATAATTTCCCTATATTATTTCATGGTATACGGGTATGCAAAATTATAACTAGTAGACATAATTTTTATTAGAGATATGACATAGATAAACGTTTCAGGGAGACGATTTAAGAGAAGGGAATAGCCCATCGTGGTTCAATGTTGTTGAAGCCGTTCAGGTTGCAAGATATTTGCGACTTCTAATACAGGATTACAACGTTCAAAGTTCTGATATTGGTGTCATTTCACCTTATCGAAAACAAGTTTGTCTTCATTAAAAATTAACAAAACAATAACTTTTTTTGTTGTCAATAGAGTGAAAAAATTCGTCTACTGATTAGTCGTTTGGGTCTTGATGAAGTTAAAGTTGCTAGTGTTGAGGAATTTCAGGGTCAAGAACGGATGATAATAATACTTACAACTGTTCGATCAAATGAACATCTTATCAAATGGGATATTCGCTATAACCTAGGATTTCTTTCCAATCCGAAGAGATTCAATGTTGCTATAACAAGGGCCCAAGCCCTTCTGATTATAGTTGGAAATCCCTATGTTCTAACTCATGTAAGAGCCTAAATTTAATTTTCGTTATTTTTGTCTAACAATTATCTAAACAGGATGATAATTGGTTAAGTGTATTGAAATTTTGTGCTGAGAACCGTTCCTATATTGGATGCAGCCTACCAAACGGTATCAAATCTGTTCTGGATAATAGTCATATAGATGATGATAGAGAGGGCCTAAAGAGAACATTAAATGTATTGAATACGAAACCCCAATGAAATAGTGAAAATTAACAGAATCGAAAAAATACTCTAAATAACTAAATAATCCTAGTTTAAACAGTATACTTTTCTATTAAAAATAGCAAATTGTCTAAATCTTCAGGATTTAAACTATGAAGAAAAACCAGACACAGGACTTTCTTATATCTATATTTATAGGAATGGAATACATAGGTGAAAAAAATTGGGGCGATAACATAATTAGAAAAAGAACAGAATAAACGTATTACTACGTTAACTAAAAACGATCGGCCGTCACCGACCGCACTACACGGTTTCCAGTTCCAGCGTCAAAAACAATAACACGCTATTTCTGGTCCTTTCTAATAGATGAAATTTTCCATGAAGCTGCTCACACTTCAAAGATCAAACATCATCTTCGAATGATTTATGATGAATCATGAAAAAATTTACCATAGTTCATTATCCTTTTCTTTTGCCGGAACTTCAATTACGCGTGGTTTATCTATTATTCTTGCCGTTCTGTTGCCTTTTTCTACAATACCAACAATCCAAGCTTGGTAACCTTCTGTTTTTTCAATGTCTTTACAAAAGGCGGCAGCTGTTTCGTAGATTAATGTGAGATGTTTTCTCGTTATTTAGTATTGAAGACTCACCTTGTTCTCTTGGTAAAGCGATCATCAGGCCACCTGATGTTTCTGCTGATGTACCTTGTAAGAGACCAAACATGTTTCCGCATGCTTTGGCAACAGCTGCCATTTTAGCTATAACAGGTAAGTTATGGATTACGAAACCAACTTCATTCTTTTGGACTCTGGCCATATTTTTTGCATGCCCTAATAAACCAAAGCCCGTAATGTCGGTTGCCCCATGTGCATTATATTTGTGCATAAGTCTTGCGGCTGTCCTATTTAATCTGGCCATGGAGAACATGGCTCTTTGGTAGGCTTTATGTACATCATCTTCACTGACAACTAGTTTTATCCTATTCCAACGTTCTGGATGGTCTAACCATTGGTGTGCATTAACAGCAACTTGTGTCCCTAAAGGTTTTGTTAGAACCAGAACGTCCCCAACCATGGCATTATCTGGCATTATAAATTCGTTGGGTTGGCAAATGCTTGTTGCGACTCCCCCTATAGTCATCCAAGGATTCAAAACAGTTTGGCCTCCAGTCACAGAAGTCCCAGCGTCTTCTGCCTGATCTTTGAAACCGCGGATGATTAATGGAATAACGATATCTCTCTCTTTTTCTGTCATTTTTTGACTGATCGCTAGCAGCATTAACATATTATCACATTCTGTAACGCCCATAGCGTATAGATCACTTAACACGTTTGAACAGGTGATTTTACCCTAAATAAGCAAAATTAATAATGTCAGTAATTAAGTTTAATACATTTGAATTAAATAAAAGAATCCTATTAAACCATCATGTAAGGATCATCCACTAGGGGATAAAAGAAATCGGTTGTTTGGACGAGAGATAAACCACCATGTCGAATCGGCGTTATAGAAGCATCCATTCCAATTCCTAAAGAACGAATTCATGATGATAGTGTTCTAACGTTGAAACCGAATATCTTACCTAATCGGGGAATGGCCGAAACATATTGAAAATGAGCTTGTTCCGTTGCCTCGTTGCCGTCTTGTGTTTGGAGTCCCTCAAGAAGTTTGAGCAGAACTTCCTGGGGGACTTTACACCCTCATCCTTTAAGATCGGCAAAACGAGTTAACCGAAACGAATTGTCGAGATCATGCAAAACTGGGTCGAAAAGGCGACGAATCGCAGGTGCTTGTTGGTTTGCCATAAAAAGTTATTTACTGTAAAATAAAATTCGTAAGTGGATAGCGTTCGAAAAAAGTCCGCGCCGCCCTTGGCGGACACCCTGCGCTGTAAACCGAGTGGAATCTCTAAAAAACGACGTGCAAGACTGGGCAAGAAGCATAGTAAATGGACTGGGCGCCATGGATTCCTGATCATATATCTCGGTCTCTACATCACTTTGAGCTAAAATTTTTATATGTATGCACTTGTATAGTCATTATACATTCATTTCCTTAAAAGAAAAGTTTAATATTGTTTTAGAAAGGAAAAATTCATAGTTACCTACTGAAAAAATGGCGACGCTTCTCTGACCGAAAGAGGATAACACGGGAACCAGGCTAGCGTTCAGTGAATTGCCCGGATACTCTTATACTTTTACCAACAAACTAGGCCTACATTCTCTCTCATTAGGAATGCTGGGAGCATTTCTTAAACATTTTTACCCGGTACCAGTCGAAAAACTTTATTTTCTAAAATAAATTGCTTTATTTCAGAGCAGTACAACTTGTAAAAAATCTGAATTTTATTTTATAGTTCAATGAATAATAATGCTTACGCAAATTTATGGATTTAATTCTCTTTAATATTTTAAAAGTCCAAATGAGACACTTCGACTAAAAGGAATCACAAAATATGTAGGCCTAACTAGTCTCTGTAACTTTTATCGTAATATTTTAATAGTTAATGAATAAATATTTCATAAAATCGTATGAATTTATTATACGATATCTTAACAATATGCTTTCAATTAATTAATAGTTTATTTAATATATTTTTTCTTGTTGAAACACGATATAAAGAATCCATTTGTTACATCTGTCTTAGCTGATAATCTAATAAAGCAAGAAGCATCTGCTCTAGAAATATCGATAGTTGCTAATTCAAATTTATCTTCAACTTCTTTGAGAACTTCACGAACGACACCTTCGTTCTCTACTTCATGTACTGAGCAAGTTGAATATACAACTTTTTCAACTTTGGGAAAAGATAACGCCTTCAGTAGAATTTTCTTTTGGAAGGCAGCCAATTTTTCAAGACGTTCTTTTGAATCAGACTTATCATCGTTTGTCAATTCGTCCATTCTACTTACAATACCGGAGCCTGAACACGACGGATCACACAAAATATATTTCACATTAGAATATTTTTTATCTGCTGGATCTTCTTCCAGGAAGTCACCTAATTTCGGTTTAACGCAACTTATACCGGCTTTCATCAATTGAGTGTTCATTGTTGAGAATCTTTTCATATCTTTGTCAAATGCGTAGATAATGCTAAAGATAGATATGCCTATATTATCTAACGGATACAATTAGATATTACCCTAAATACGATCATATAACCTTTCCTTTTCGCAAATTCTCTAGTTTTTAAAATGTAATTGTAATATATAGCTATGGAAAGTATAGGTGAACAAATCGTATTTTTTGCTTGACAATCGATTATTTACCCTTTGTCTTTCATTATGGCTGCCAAGTGGGATGTTTTGTTTCCTGGAGCCGCACAACAATCAATTACATGACTTCCAGCCGGAGGGGATAAAACAAATGCTGGAATGCAGCTAGCTTTATCCTGAATAATCAGATGTCCTGTTTCATACAGAATATGATCATGTAGATCGGTCGAACCAGGAAATATTAATAAATTTTCTACATAAATATCTCTTGTAAATTCTTTAGATTTAAGAGATTTTACTGATTTTATAAAACTGAAAATAAATTATTTCAATTAATATATAAAATAAAATATATAAACATTTCTACTATACTTTTCATAACTATCCGATTGTTGAAAGATAAACTTGTATCCGTCCCTTTGAAAGTGCTTCATAACTTCTTCATTAGTAGTTTTCAAGGTATTAACTCTTATATATTTCGGTAGGGAAATACTTTTAGTACTAGATTTCAAAAGCTCTTTATTCGATGAAACATTTTTTTTCACTTTTATCCTGGCTAATTGAGCTTTCAATGATGCCTTATGTTTAAGGACAGCATCCTTTAGTTTGCCCTTTGCTAATCCTCTTCCAAAAAGATAATCATATAGTACAACACGGCATAAATAAACTTCTGAGATAGACTTTTCATGCTTTTGAATATTTGTTTTGGTTGCTATTTCATCAAGAATTTCTCGATTCTTTAAAGTTTCGCACACGAGGGCATATAATGGTTTCTTTTTCTGAAATAATAGGCCAAAGTTTTATAATTTAAATATCTATTTCAAAGAGGAGTTACCTTGCATTCGCTATTCAGTACAAGATTCTTAACTGAACCTTTTTGTTGGTCTATTAACTTTAAGATTCGTGCAGCCTCCTTATGAATGGGCGACATTATAGGATTTTTAAAGTTGTGGACATTGGAATTTCAACGAACGATTTTCATTTATCAAACAAAAGTTTGAAGAATCTGAATGAAATTTATAAGATTCAAAAAAATTCGGCGTTGCGATTCAACAATTCGAATATTTATCAATTGCTAGACTCAAATGCCTTCTTTGAGCGATAAAATAGAATCTTGCCTTTACCGTTTGTAACAAATTCAATCAAGTATTTTACAATTTGCTATATTTAACTATTTTCTAACTATAAGAGATTCAAAGGTACTTGAAAGCCGCTTGGCCGCTCTGGTACAAAATTCTAACAAGTCAATCGCACGAATATCGTTTAATAAAAGCTTTATTAGGGTTTCCTTTTGGAATATGTCTGGCAACTGGTACATATATATATATATATATTTTAATAGTATATCTTCAAAATACAACTTTTACAATAATTACTTGTTTTTTGTTGTTCTTATAGCACTTCATTTTTTGATTTTTGTACAATTTAAATTACCTATTGGTTTATCGTTAGCAATTAGTTTTATCTACTTTAGTTTTTTCTCTATCGGTTTCGCTTGTTCAACCAAAGTGAGATAAATGACATTACTACTATATTATACATAGTCTATTTCCCTTTATGTTTTATAAAAGTTGAGATGTACAATTTTTCTACATTTTCCATTATTGGCTGGAAAGCATGGTCGAGCTTTTTTATTGGGTCTTGTTATGGCTGACATTTTAACAGCTCCAGTGGCTAATATTATGAAAAATACGGAACAGCAAATTGAATCTGTAAGATGTAATACAAATTTCATGAAAAATGTTACATCAGCAAAATTAGAGCATAAATTTTGGCCATTAAAGAAAGTTCTATCTAACATGGCTGTAAGTTTTATAACTAAAAATTAGAATTGAAAGAAATTCCAAACTATTTATCAGGAAGGTGTTGAATATCTAAAGAAATTTGGGAAATTTGCGTTGAGTACTATTAAAGATATTATCGTTGCTGTACGGTATTCTTTATGAAAATACTTTAAAAACCAATATTTAAGTCTATAGACAATTTAGGTTGATTTAGGCAGTAGTGGAGAAACAAAACGAGAACCGCCCTCTTTAGAGGATATACAGAATAAAATTGGTAAAGATGGGGAAAATGTTGAAAAATATCTTAAAGAGAAGTCAAACAAATTCTGCGATGGTTGCATAAATTATCTTTGATATGATTTGTTTTTACGATACTTGTTCATTTTTAATAGATTTAAAGAAACAAAGAGACTTGGCATGTGAAACAATGTTTACTATGCTTCAGAAAGAATGCTTTCAATTTGGTCCACTGAAAATGGGATTTATGAGTCCCATCAGTCAGGTGTTATGTAATAATATCAAAAGTAGCAGAGTATCTTGCCCAAATGGTAAACATAATATTTATAAAGTACCCAATACTATTAGCTCAATTTTAACAAAGGTATAAAGCCGTGCGGTTTAGAGAAAAGAACTCCAAACGGTTTGGGTACAACAACAAAGGGATACATGTTCTATTTGGGACGCCTTTCGAAAGACTCAATTGTTAATGTTCTATATATATTAAAACATCCCAAGAAACTGTTTTATATAACTGGAAAATCTTTTTCTTTTATTAAAGATGTTATTGAGAGATTTATTCAAATTGTTGATATTTTAATAGGATTAGCGAATTTTATCTCTGCTATTCTATTTTTTCGAGTGGCCTATGGGTATAATAAAAATATATAGCTTATAAAAGCTCTTATAATAACAATAAAAACTATTTAGGGCTAGAACCTATCAAAAAAGCTATCTAGAAGAAGATAAATTTGATAATATTTATATAACATCTTACTTTAAAGTTATAGACGCCAGAAGATGGTTGCAAGTATATCTACAAACTCTTTTTTTGAAAGATACATTAGACAGAATGTATCAAAAATGACTATAATATTTCAGAAACGTCCAAAGCTTCTTCCATTGAAGAAGGAAGAGAGGAAAGACTTTAAAGAGTTGTTTAGCTTAAAGTTATCAAAACAAGAAAAGAATCGGATGGTAATTCGTATTTAATGTAAATTTATTTATACAATTCATAGGATTAAGATTAAATATTTCATAGATAATGGGTTGCGCAAGTCGAATTCCGATATTTTTATTGATTGGTTGTTTAGCTTATATAGATTTTGTACTTTTCACGGTTTCAAACGAAGTATATAAGTCTGGATCAGTAACCTTCACGTCGGAAGGTTTTCATATAATTCATACAAAAGTTGAAGGAAAGGGTTTTATGGCCGAAATGATGAATAAAATATTTAAACTATTCTCTGGCTATCATAAAATAGACGACATTTTTTCAACATCGTGTAACATTTTTTTCATTTATCTTATTAAAATCCTATGTTTTATTTATTACTTTTGTTGTAGCTTGCCTCTTTAAACCTACTCCTCCTAATTATCAACAATACAAATCATGCATTTATAAAGTTGGTATTGTTGTTTATTTATTTATTATAATCTTATAAAACTTTTATTAATAAAAAACTTGAATAGTTAATTATTATTATCCTACTGCATATGATTGACGCGTATATGCTAAGGTTTAAAAGGCTGATTTGCTCTTTCTTTCATCCAAAGGTTTAGAATTTTTCATTAATAACAAATCAAATATTTAAAAAATAATCTTAAAAATTCTGTTAGAGAGAGAAAAAGAGGATTATTTGGCTTTATAATTATATTTTAAGAAAACGAGTTAAATGGCTAATTAAACAACGTCACTATATAGCGAAGAGGGGTATGGACTTCCAGCTAAAAGTAATAAAAACTATCTTTTTTATGAAGAGTTTTAATACTTAACGAAAACTCCATAATTATTATAATATCTAGGAGGAAAATCCCCTTATTAAATTTGTTCAAAATGAAGTTTTTTGTTTCAAACCCGTTGGTAATCGATGTATTGTTTGCGGGTAAGTGTAGTAATAAATTAGCGTATTATTTATTTTGTATCTTTATATCTATCTAATGGGTGCGCTTTGATAGAAAAAGAAAGAAATGTGCTACAGCGAAATGTCCGTACAAAGGATGTATTGCCTCCTACTGTGATGAATGTTGGATAGATATTAGGGTACGAAATATTTAGCATGCTTTTTATAACGTGACTAATCCGTGTCTTTGTCATTTAGAAAAAATGTTATATTTGTACAAGGTGGGATATAAGCGGTGAGGCGAGTGACTCTGGAACGAATTGAAACAAAATAATAGATTCTTTTTGTGTTACGTAATAAAATGATTTTAATGCTGCATATGACGAATATATGTATATTTTTTATTCTTGCTCACATTATCATTATGGTGATAATACGACATATACATATGCGACATAAAAGTGTCTATTTCTCATTATGCTGGCCCCCGTATATTACTATTAAAGTATACAGGAGTAGACAATTAATTTGAAAGTTTACAGATGATCGATGTTGCTATAAATGTCATATGCTACAGATACAATATATAATGTATATTTAAGAAAGTACAGTATTAATGTATATATTACTTTTTTTGTTATCTATGAGTAGACTTTCATAATATATCTAAAGAAGTTGAATGAAGATAGATGTATAAGTAAATTTATAAATTTTACACGCAATTATCTCTCTGGTGTCAAAACCCCATATTAAAGGCAATAAGACTACACAAATTATAGAGGCCATTATAATTATAGTTGGAAAATGTTTTCCAATTTCTTTTCAAGCACATTATTCATCTAATCTTTACCTCCAAATAGAGAAAGGATGAGGAGGAAAATATAAACTACATCTAAATAAATTTGGAGGGAAGCGTAAACGTATTCCTCCTCAGACAATTCATATTTACGGCCTCCCATTAACATCTGGGTATCGTATGCCAGGAACTACAATAATACAAATAATAGAATTATTGTTAATTTATTATTGATTATTCTCTTAATTTATCTTACCATAGTAAAGATTAGTGTTCCAAGACTTCCGTAAACCAGTTGTAAAATCTAAATGAAAATAAGAAGGATAAGTACTTTCCGTTATTTAAACTTTTATTAATCTTACCCAGCGAGTTTTATTGTCAACTCCTACAGCATAGACTATCATTACTCCAAATCCGAATAGAAGAAACACAAGCAGCAATGAGAATAACATCGAGCTGCATACTGTTATATCAAACTGAGAGGGGAAAACATAACGTTTAAAATAAACTTAAAAATCAAAAAGTTTATTAGGCAACGAACCTTCGTTTGCATGGCAAAGATTGTTACAGCCAAGCAAACTACTGCGGCTATACCAAATGCAAACAATACAGCTTCGGCCTTATAGAAACTGGAAATAATTACAAAATATCAAGCAAATTAAAGAATATATATAGTATATAATTTTTGAAATATTTACCTGGATATCATTGCTGCCATATATGAAAATGCTAAAGTCTATTGGTATGAAAGTGTTTTATGTCAAAACAGAGAAAAAAATGTATGTATTTGAACTTACAAATATCCCCAGCGTAATAAAGTTAGTAGGATACGATCTTCTTACTTTTGGACAACAGATCAGTGTTATATAGGTCACAAGGAAAACGCCACTGAATAAATGAATGAAATATTTAGCACATATCAAAAATAAAATATTAAAAATAACTTACTAAGAGACGAAATATACAGCACGATGTTCTTTAACCCATAGACGAGTTGGGGTGCTAAAAATTTATTAAGAAAATTGAATAATTTATAAAAATTTATTATAAAATAGTTACTGTAAAACAAAGAAAGCCACAAAGGCGGCGGTAACTGAAAGTTGAGTGAAGAGAATCAAGTATACTTTTCTAATAAAACTTCTTCTGATGTTTTTATCGGAGAAAGAGTTTCCTGTGAACCTAGTTTCGGTTCCAGCATTATTTTCATCTTTCCACCCTTCCCCTGTTCCTGGACCTAAAAAAAGAAATAAGTTATATTAATTAAAGAGTTGTATTCATACATATTCATGATGTAATTTCAAAGTAGCAATAAAATACTTTAATTAAATGAGAGTCATTCCGAAAAATTCATTTAAATATCTAAGAATCATGGTTTTTTGTATAATGTCAATAAATGAGGCGTATTAGCTGTCATTGAGGAATGCTTACTATAAAATTATATTAATTGACATTCGAAAGACATATTCAAAAACGAAAATACAAGTGAAAGGATATGAAACGTATTACTTAGACATTACTTCCTAAATTAATAGGACAAAGATAAGCGATAAGAATATGAAAAAGAGACAAATAATATTTATATTCAAACTCCCAATAATATTAACAAAGCCTGTCGGTTGAAATCAAGTCAGACTATTAACCTGTTTGATTTTCATTAGGATAATTCTCTTCCCAAGCTGGATAGGAAAAAATTGGTAATAACATGTATGAAGGGGAAAGAAAACAATGCGTTTTAAGGCGTCTAGGAAATTTAATAAGATAGTAGTTTTTTTAATATACAAAATCGAAATTAAGATCTGATAGCTTCTCACCTGCACTGGTTAATCGAACAGTATCTGCAGACGAGAGAATAAGGCTTAAATACTTAAAAAAAGTCACACACATTAATAAAATAGAGTACAGAAAACACTCTAAGAAGCATAAAGAATATACTGATATTGTTTAAAATAATATAAAGTTGAGTTTAAGAGAAAAAGTCGTTTCAAGTAAAAAGATAACCCACAAAATTTAGATTACTGATCAGGGTTCGTGCAATAACACCATACCTTGAGGAACTCTATTCGAATCAGGTTCTGTGTGAACATGGGCGAGAGTTTGTTCACAATTAATTATATTTAATATAATCATATGTATACTGTATATATATATATGTTTAATAAATGATACTAATAATTTATTCAACCGTTTTCAATTGAATATTTTTTGTGTTTTCGCCCATTTATGATGGTTTTATGCGCTTCTTAGTACAACCATTATTATTTACCTGCACTGTAAGGCGGGGGATCAACATTACCGCCCTGTGGAGGGTAAACCGGTTGAGGTGGTGCATTACCAGCTCCATAATTTGTTTGATAATTTGAGTTGTACGCCATTGTTGTCCTGTTTTAAAACAATTCAATTCTAAGAAATGGTTCGATATGGTTTTCAATAGCAGGAAACACGAAATCAACTACAATCTTGATAAGCAACAATTTTAAATTAAAAATTAGCTGTTTCTTAGTTGTATTATTTATCCTTCAAAATATAATGTCAAAATAAACTAAAATCTAGTACAGTACTAGTTTCAGGGTGGTTAAATCCTGGAATGGACTAAGAATAATGTGCTCACGTGATATTATTTTTCACGATCGCTTATTGGATGCCTTCACAGGAAATATCGCATTTCAGTACTGCCATCTTGTGACGTATTTTAATAGGGAAGTAATAGTTATTGCTAAATGGGAGGGAAATATTTATTCATTTTTTGAAAACCGGTATGGTTAGAAAGTCTCGTGCAATTAGAGCATTTATAGAACAATCTTTTAGTTCTTTTTGAGCTTCATCCAATAAAACCTTAACGCTTACTTCTCCTTCCTGTTAAAGAAAGAATAAATTTTGCAATTCTCACAAAATAATTCATTGATAGTTGTTTTAAAAATAAATAAACTTAAATAATCTTACTTCTGCGGCTTCTATTGTTTTGTAACGTTGACTAAAATGAGTGAGAACAAGATTTTTTACTTGACATTCTTTAGCGAAATCAGCTGCCATTTTTGGAGTCGAGTGCCCTTTTTCAATAGCATTCTCCTTCATACTATTCTCTAAAGTTGATTCGTGAACTAGATAATCCGAACCAAAGCATAGGTGTTTCATTTTATAACTACCACACGAATCCCCCATAATTGACACCTTCCGCCCAGGTTGTTCAGGACTAATTACGTCAGAAGGATTAATCTATTACAATAGTTATAAGAATGACAAGTTTCGTAAGAGACGTTTTAATATGAACTTAACCACTGTATTATCAGGACAGACTATAGGCTTTCCCTGTTTCAAGTGCCCGTACAATGGTCCTGGCTTTATTCCCTTTTCTTTTAAATATTCAACATTCAATCTGAAAGAAGGTCATTAACACCTTTAAAATATTTATTCCGTTTTACATGTTCCAAATTCACATACTTTCCTGGTAGGGGTTTCTCATCTATTACGTAACCAAACGAGGGAATTCGATGTTCCAATGGTCCAGCTTTGATAATTAAATTTTCCGTTTCGCAACTAAATTAAGAATAAAAAAAAAAATTTTTCAATGTTTTTGTTTTGTTGAAATTTTAACCCTATTTACATATGCCAAATTCCGTCGCTATCCGCCGAAATTTGTCGGCCATTGTTAACTTCGTTGGGATGTAGTGGAGAATCTGATCTCTCAAAGAAATCGACATTCCATACCTTGAATATTAAAACACAACTATTAAACGATTCAATTAGCAGTTTAAATAGGACTATACACAATATTACAATATTTAAAAGAATTCGACGATCAATTGTTGTTATTGAACGAGAAGCAGTAGACTATTGATTTTCAGAGAGAACCTACCATACCGTATTAGTTCTACGAATATATATATATTTACAGATATGTCATCCAGATATGCATCTCTCTCTGGTAATAATTCAACTAGTCCGGGGCTAGATCAGAATAAGAGGAGATCCGATTCAATCAGATCTAGCGTAGTCTTCGATAACTCAGGGTTCGATAGCATTTGCGAAGATTCTTCAAGATCAAATGAAAATGATACGGTTTTGCAAGGTTGGATAAGATTTCGAGAAGATGTAAGAACCAAAATGGAAGCAGCTAAATACGAAATAGACGAAAGAAGGAGAATAGTCGAATCTTCGATTATTGACTATTCAAATATGCTTCATAAAAGAGTAGATGAGTTCGGAAATGACTGTATAAAGGTATACCATTTTTCTGATTTATACTTAAATATTTCCAAGTTAGAGAGACTGTTTCATTCTCTTTAGAAAGCTGACAACATTATTAGAACCCTGGAATATTCGTCTGACGGTAAGGATAAAATTGTTCCAAGCATACCGCCTGCACCCAACACTGTACCCATTAAATTTGAAACACCTGGAGATTTTCATGGACGATTAAAGAATGCATTTGGCGATTTAACAAACTCTGTTCCTAAAATTCGAAAGAGGTTGATAGCTGAGAGTGAAGAAGTGGCATCGATGGATGCTTATGTCTCTACTAAAGACAGTAAACAGTGCGCAATTTCCGATGTTGCATCGTCCAGAGATGCCATAGCAACAACCGATCGTAATAATAAGACAGTAAAAATTTTCTCCAAAGGTGGACGACTATTGTCCATATTAAACCAAAAAATAATACGACTACCTGAGTATGTTACTGCTATAACAATAGAAGAGCAAAGCTATTTTTTCGTGACAGATACGGGTAACTGTAAAATACGAATATTCGATACGGAAAATTTTATGCATGTAGGAGATTTTGCAACTCAAATTGAAAAACCCGGATCCTGTTGCTTTTCGAAATGGAATGAGCGAGTTTTAGTACTTGATTTATCTTTTAAAACAATTAATTGTTTTTCATTTACTGGCCAACGAGAATATTCCGTTCCATCTCATCTAAATGATCCCGCTTATATTAATTGTTCCTTAAATGGAATAGTAGTTATATCGGATTGGAAAAATAACAAATTACATATGTATAATAGAAAATTGTCAATAGTTAAAACCTTTGATAATAAAGGTATACATCCTGGACAATTGGATAGACCTTTTGGAGTCATTTTCGACAAGTATGATAACTTACTAGTTGCTGATAAAAACAATAAAAGAATACAGGCTTTCGACGAAGAAGGTGAATTAAGAAAGATTATTATTAAATTTAAAAAACTGGATCAACCAAGATTAGTTATGGCTATTACTTTAAACTCGGACGACGACTTGATTACGGCTGATCATCAAGGGAAGATTATGACATTTAGATACTTGACTAATTCCATGGAATTTTGTGGATCGCGGGAAGAATCTGATGAGTTTGAATCACCATTAACTGCAAGGAGCCCCAGATTTGGGAATTATGAAGCCCTAAAAGATGCCGATAGTGCTAGTTTATTGTAGACAAAGCTTTTCCTCTCACAATGTTTTGTTTGTTGTTCGCTTGTTTATGTTTGTAAAATAAATATTAAATATTTACCTTTTTTTGCCAAGAATCTGGAATTAATTCATGTACAACAAAATCAAATCCTAGTTGACTTTGTGAAAGACTCAATGAGATTCTTAACATTGCCCTTAATCCAACGGGTCCATAAATTTCAACAACACGTTTTATCTCATTTTCTGTTTGTGATTTTTTGTCGTGTTGACTCATAGTTGAAAGGAAACCGGACAAACCATAGCAATGATCACCATGCAAATGAGTTATGAAAATTTTGGATATTCTACCGGGTTTTACTGTACTTTTCATGCATTGTATTTGGGAGCCTTCTCCGCAATCGATCATGAAATGAGATCCATCTGGGGTTTTTTCTGATTAAAGTCAAAAAGAGTATTTCTATACGTTAAATACCTGAGTGCCTAAAAATGATGCAAGAACATCCTCTTGTCGGCATTGGGTAAGCAGAAGAAGTACCCAAAAATATAATTTCCATAACTCTGATAGTTTCTAGATATCATGCAATAACAGTTTTTCGTCTGCTAAACCAACTTAGACTGGAGATGGCGTTGTGTCCTATGAACAAAAATAAGACATTTCGCGGCAAAGAGGTAATTGATTGCGTAATAATGGGTGTTATAGATTCTAGCACCTCTTCCAATCGTATGAGATGTCAGGGTTGTCTGAGGGTTTTTGCAACAAATCGACGGGACTCCATTGAATAAAAATGAAAAGTTTTTCAAGAAGACCCTGCTAACGATCGTCTGGATGGATTATTTAAAAGGAATGTTCGGATTGATCGTTTATCAGTCGAACTTTAGCTATGTATCAAGAATTCGACTTTAAAACAACTATGGGTTTAGATGATTTATGGATTCAAAACATGCGAAAATTAGAGGCAGGAGAGCTATTGAAAATGTTCTTTCTACTTCGAACTGAACACGAACAACTGGTAAGAGTTGAAAAGGATATGGAAAGTCGAGTTAGAGCTCATACTGTATCATCGTTAACGGCGGGCAAATCTTACGGCGAATTGGTTCCAACTCAACTATATTGCGATTACGGGGAAGTTTTAAAAGAACGCGAAATATTGGAGGAAGCTCTCAAGTGTTGCGGAGAGGAGATGTCTACCAGATCCTACATCTAACTATGGCAACGACGAATGGATGGAATTTACACTAATAGATATAGATATCTTTATATTTGAAAAAAGTTTTAGCTTTTCTCTTTTTATTACTTTGGATGTACAACGTTTCGATGTTTGCTAAACATCGACTGCAAAGAATAGAACTTTCCAGTTGATATTTTTTTACGTTTAGCTATAGAATTTGTAGTTTGTTCAATTGGAGAATACATTGGATGTTCACTCGAAAATGATGAAGTTATTTCGTCTTTTACAATCATTCGTAATTTTTGTAATCGTTGAAGTAGTAAACTATGAAATTTCACTGATGTATCTTGCATCTTCTTCTCTTTATACTCGTAATAAGTTTGCAGGAATATTTTCAGAATTAACCAAAGTAAAGGCGTACAAAGAACAACTAAAGTTAAGAGTAAAAGAGGTCTAAGGTAATAGAATTCTATTAGATAATCGTAATAACCATTTTCTAAGGAAAACAATAATAATATGTTAAACTTGCATTTTCTCATTCATCTTTTAATATCAAAAATACCGTTTGTTGTTGTGTATCTTGTACATGGATTCTTTATCCAGGCATTCCTGAGATGCATTATCCTACCAGCTATTCCCATGTCGTTCAAATGTTCCCTAAATTGTTCGATAAACGGAAAATCTCTTCGAAACAACCAACCGAGTTTAACTTGGACTATAAGATCTCTCATTACTTGAATTTTACACGATCTAAGACTAATTTCTAATTTTAGCTGCTCAACATCACCAATGATAGCTATACTGCTGCCTTTATTATTTCCTCCCATCTCAATCATCAAGTTAAAAGCTTCAGTTAGGTTTGAATAAACAATTGATCCTAATCTCTCTATTTTTTTATAAATTCTCCAACTCGTTGATCCTTTTGAACTATTACGTAATATCTCTTTAAGTGTAGTAGTATTTTCGATAGCAAAAATTACATTATCATCTTCTATAATATCGTCCAAACTACGAATAAACACTAAGAAATTGAATAAAACTATTAGACTATTTGCCCAAGATAGAACTAATAATCTTTGCCTTTGTTATTTAACGCTCTTGAAGATGATAGATAACATATTAAATTTTGAAAATAAAGAAACATTAATAACCAACTGAACAACCACCAACTTAAATAACTTAATTTTAACGTTTTTGAACGCGACATAACATTTAGATGCTAATTAAGGAAAAGAGATTAAAGAGTTAATTGATATAAAGCCTTGATTCATACTTACTCTACCAAAAACTGAAGAAATTACAAAGTACCAATGATTATGAAATTGTAATCTGTGATCAGTATATAATTTAAAGTTTGGTATCTTATTCCAATCTAAATATTGAATTGCGGAAAAGAGAATTATTGATATAAACATACAGAGAATTATAGTAAGCCATAGTGAATTTGTAAATGGTAACAATAGACTGTAGTTTTTATGAATATTTAAATATATAAATGATTTTATAATTTATGCATTTTTTTAATTAATTTGTATTACAATGGAGTTTTTATATCTATTGTTTCTTTCAAAACTGCTATTTGTATATCATGAAAGGAAGTTTCAATAAATTCCATATTAGGTCTCTTATATAGTCCATTAATCGTTAAATCTACTTCCTGTCAATATAATTTACTATACTTTTGTAATTGACATAATTGTCAATGAATTGTTTAGTTATACCTTATTGTATATGCCGGATAGTAACTCTTTTTGAGTGGGATAATTAACATACTTGACCTCAAATCTTAATTTTTCCCTTATCTTTAAAAGAAAGATATTTAGTTTTCTCAGAGTAATATGCAAATTAGATAACTTCATTAAATATATCGAACATATAGCCTTCGCAAAAACTGTCTTCTTTATCAGAACAAGTAATCTTTGGACGATTCAATAAGTCTTTCTAAGAAAAATAAGATTAAAATATTTTTGACCTAGATTCAAAAAATTATAATTTAGATTGCAGTATTGCTATTACATTGCAGCATATTCCTAATTTTATTGTTATATTGAACAGATCATCATTAATGTCAAGGGGAATCGTTGAAACTCTTCCGGGGAATATTGTATTTCTGAAAATTTCTATTTGACCAGTTTCTATAAAAGGATATTGCCGATTCTCTTCCGGAAATATTCTCCAAATTCCAACCTAAATTAGAAGAAAGTCCTTTAAAGTGTTAATTTTTAAACCTTAAGCTTACTTCTACTTTCTTCTTCTTTTGAACATTTAAAAGTATATAATACTCCATATTTAGACAGTGTCTTGCTCTATGAAATATGAAAGACTGGTGTAGTAATCCGTCATCAACTCTGAGCTAATTTATACTTGGAAAGTGATTATTATAGAATTTCTTTTAATAAAAATATTAATACATTTAATATACTTTCAAGAAGATATAATCCATTTGCTGTTGCTCTTTTCGGAAATGAATTTGAACAGGCGTCTTCCATTTCTACAGTATGAAAGTTAACATTGAGATGCGAGAGAGAATGGATTAATGCTTCCGTGGCAACTTTCATTTGGTCGTACGCCATCATTTGATGATACTATGCAAGTACCAATTAAATAATTAAATAAGCAATATGATGTATTGCGGAATGATGGATACATACACAAACTTCAACAGCTCCATTTATACATATATTGAAATGTTGCAAATTTTTTCTCTCTAATAGCATCCTTCTCTCCTTAAATAGATCGTCGTCCGACTTATCAATGCTACTTTTTTGAGGAACGCTAAAAGTAAAAAGACCAGTGAACCTAGTCCTTGGATCCAACTTATCGTAATCCTTAAAAAGGGTTTAGCATCAATTACAAATTAGAAAGATAGAGAAAAAAATTGGTAGATTGACAAACTTTAGGATTTAATATTTTCAAATAGACCCAAACATAACCAGGAGTGAATAATCCTCTAAAATAGGCCTCTTCAAGTATAAAATTCAATCTATTGAGATTTGTATTGACTAATATGATTGCAGATTCTATTTTGAATTATAATAAAAAACTGTTAAAACATCAGAAACAAATGAAAAAAATACTTTCCAAATAGCTTTATCTGGGTGAAAATATTATCAATACCATTAATAGTTTTAATTGTGTCATTCTCGTAAAATTCTATATCAATAATAAGGATTTCATTCATAAACGCTCTTTTAATAAATGCGTAAAGTCCTTCAGCATCTATATCATTTATCGCTACAAATTTTTTCCAGGAAAACGTCATCATAAGTGAAAATGCCATTTCCTCCGAAAAGAGTGGGTAAGGTTTCATCTAGTGATTAATTAGAAACTTTTTATTAGTTATTAATTTTAATACTATGCATATATTACTACTTTAACGAGATAGAAATATTCGTAATGTTTCTCGTATAGAGCTAATTCATCGTCGAATGATGATATTTGAACTACATCTAAATTACGTATGAGTGGATATGTATATTTAACTAGTGAACCATTATTGGGGCCAATAATTATTGAAGATCCAGTAGATAATAAACGACAAACTATCGTTATAAAAGAAAATGATGACAAGATCATTATTTTCTTATTATCATTCTTATATTTAAACCTGCAAGTTGAACGTCGGAAATGGGATGACTATTGACCTCTTCGAATATTAATCGAACGTAAACTTTTCTAGTTGTAACAATTGAATGAATACGACAAACTCCCGATCTATAAGCATTTTTTATCAGTTCTAAATCCTCATGTAAATCTTTCAACAATACAATTCCTAAATGTGATATCATAGTTAATTAAAGACCCTAATAGATTGAAAATGAATGAGAACCAATTGTAAAATTGATACTAGTCTGTTCAATATTCTTGCAGAATATAATATCGTCATCTTTCAGGAAAGGTCTAGCATCAGGTTTAGCAACTTCTGTACAAAAATTCCACCACCAAGGTTTACTGCAATCTTCTGCAAAGTATTAAAAAGTTAATGAAGAGTATGTAGTATGTTATTTTCTTTTTTTTTTAAAAAGAAAAAATAAACTTTTCATAAATGATGCACAAGTTTTATTTTGATCATTGCAGCTTAAAGAGTACTTAGTCTCTCCTTTTATAACATTCAAACAAATAAATAAGAACAGTATGAATAATCTATAAAAAATCATCGATATCTTTCAAATTGTACTCTTCCTTTGCGTTACGTTCAATAAGGTATTTCAAAATTGGAATACAACTATCGAAACGTTTATTTATGAATTTATAACAGTGAATAATGAGAACTTGAATGTGACGTTTTAGTAAAGCGTCTACTCTTTTTACTTTGTTTCTTTAATTCTTTTAGAGTTTTTGATAGATTTCGAATAAAATTCTTTATCTTTTTAAAAACAGAACGTATAATTAATTAAACAATAGATTTTCATTGTTCGATTTATAACGCCTTACTCTTATTATCTGATCACTGATATCTTTTGTCATTGGTGGAGGATGTTTCTGAAATTCTCTCGTCATAAAGTATAGATTGCTTATAGATCTGTTTAATATGCAAATTAGTTAATTATCTATTCATAAATTTGTAGTATTTACAATTTTATTTGTCCAATTAATAATTGTTTCTGTTGTATTGATTTAATTCGATGCTCTTTCAAATAATCTTGTCTAAGAGCTTCGTGTCTTGCCTTTTCCATATTCAACTGCAAAGCTGCAGCGTGGTTATTGTAATCTAAAATTTCATTTTCAGTTTTCTTTTTATGAGGATATTTGCTTAGTTTATCATCAGATTAGACTTTAGCTAAAAAATTACCTGAATTTGACGAAGATTCTCTTCTCTCTTCTCAGCTTCTTCTCTCTGACATTGCAGTTCTCTTTTCATCAAATCCTTAAGTAGATTAAGTAGATTATATCTATCAGTTCTATTAATTTATGTAAAAGAGACACAATACTTTATGAGTAGCTTTTAAACTATAATATCTATTCATCATATCGTCTATACTATCGAAATTTTCCGATTGATTAGCAACTTCTTGTAGGAAAGTTTCATAAATCTTATGGTCAGCAATGAGATTATCTACATGACAAATTTGATTCAAAAGGTCTAATGCCCTATTTTGTAAACTTAAAAAGGTAGAATGTAATAATTTTCTTATTAATTTATTATAATTAGAAAACCTGTCTAATTTTTGTTTTTTAATTTTCATTTGCTCTTTCTCTATTGAACTTTTTAGCTTCTCCTTTTCAATTTTCTGTTGATTATCCTATTGTTTTTTTTTTGTGAAAAGACGATATTATAATAGAAATACTACTAATGTCAAATAGCTAATATAACTTTAAGTAATTTATTATATTTCGCTATATATTGTTGAAGCTCGGACTCTTTTTTTTCAATATCTTTCTTTTTTCTATCTAATTCATCCATGGTTAAATTATATTTCTGTTTTACGAGCAAGAGGAAAGATAGAAGGATTAAGATAGACGACAATGATAACTTGAGAAAACAAGAGAGTTACTTTTTTTTCATCTTCTAAAATTGAATCGAATAATTTAATATCCCGTCTTGTATTTAATAGTTTCTGTGCATGCGTAATCATATTTATGCTTGTTTCGTCTGCCTCCATTGTTCAATTTCTTTCTCACAATATATAAATATGTTTAGATTTAAAATTTTAAAATATCAATTTCGGCCTATAAAAGTGTATTGAAATTATTACTTTATAGTAATAGGAACGTTATTTCCATATAATTTTGTTATTTTCAAGATCCAAAGTAACTTTTCCCGAAGTAACCAACTGCAAGGCTTTTGGGAAAGCTCTATGTTCAACTTCTTTTACTCTAGCGGCTAAACTCTCCTCCGTATCATCCGAATAGACTGGAACGCTTTCTTGACAAATAATAGCTCCAGAATCGACTTCTTCTTCAACGAAATGAACTGAACAGCCTGATATTCGAACACCAGCGGACAAGACTAATTTATGAGCATTAGCTCCCTATTAATAATGAACGAAAATATTGCTAATTTAATCCGTATTCTTACATTCTATACATATAAATATAAATTACGAAAATTAACCTTAAAAGAAGGTAATAAAGATGGATGAACATTTAAAATTCTTCCTCTCCATCTATTAACAAATCCTCCCGAAAGAATTCTCATAAATCCAGCCAGACATATAGTATCAATTTGAAATTCTTCTAGAATTTCACTGATAGCATTATCAAACTTTTCCCTAGATGAATATTTTCTATTTTGAACAACAATTGATGGAATACCTGCATCAAAGGCTCTTTGGAGGCCTTTAACATTTGGCTTATTTGAAATCACAACACGAATTTCAGCCGAACTGCCTGGTTTAGCGCATTCATTAATTAAAGCTTGTAAATTAGTCCCTGAGCCCGAAATAAGAACAGCTACATGTTTTTTCATTCTACTTCTATAGGAGTATCCCATTGCAGAGCCTCTCAATCGTACAGGAAAATTCTCAATATGTACTCTTTCTATTGCATTTTTAGCAATTTTTCCGACAATTGTAGACGGTAAACCTCCATCCTTAAGGATGGAAACAATTTTTTCAGCATCGCTTTCCTCAACAACAAGTATTCCTCCTAAACCACAATTAAATGTCTTTAACATTTCAACTGGATCAATTTTACCCTGAAAAGAAGAAATCGATTAATAATACTAATAATCAACCTTCAGTCTTTCGATAAACTGTACACTTTAGATAAAATACTTACTATTTCGGCTAATATACCAAAACTTGGAGGAATAGTCCAATCATTTGCATTCAAATAGGCATCTAAATTTTCTGGTAATACTCGAACTAAATTTCCGGGTATACCTATAAATAATATAAAATAAGAAATCTTATTTTAAAAGTATATCAAGGTCAAACCTCCTCCTGTAATATGAGCAAAAGCTTTTATTAATTTCCCTCTAATAAGAGGTAATAAATCTTTTACATAAATCCTTGTTGGCTCTAATAGAACTTCTCCTGTTTGAAGAAAATGTCATGTAACAGATTAAGTATATAATAGAGTAAACGATTCCGATATAGACCTATAGTCTTTTTCTCATCCAAAGGAAAAGGTGTGGAAAACTTCATATTAGCGATACTCAGGATTTTCCTAAAATAGTATATAAAATATTGATTATAGTTATTTTAAACAGTGCTTTTAATAACCTGACAAGACTAAAGCCGTTGCTATGAACACCGTTTGATGGTAATCCGATAAGGATGTCACCTTCCTTTATATCATTGATTCTTGGAAGATAATCTGCTCTTCTTACAGCTCCAACCGAGAAACCCGCAAGATCAAAATCTCCTTCCTTATATAGTCCCGGCATCTCAGCCGTCTCGCCACCAAGTAAGGTGCATCCAGATAAGCAACATCCGTCAGATATTCCTTTAACAAGGGCACATTCTTCATCCAAATTCAATTTACCAACGGCTAAGTAATCGAGAAAAAATAAGGGTTCAGCACCATGAGCTATGATATCATTAACACACATAGCAACTAAATCTATGCCGATCGTATCAAATTTTCCAACTTCCTGAGCAATCTTTAATTTGGTTCCAACTCCATCAGTACCTGATACTAATAGCGAGTCGTCATAACCAGCTAATTTTGGATCAAATACTCCTCCAAAAAGTCCTAAATCCGAGACTGTACCAGTTCTTTTCGTCATCTTTGCTAAAGGTTTTATTCTATGAATAAACTCATCTGCTAAATTTATATCAACGCCAGACTTCTCGTATGTTAAATTATATAATTTTTTTCTTTAATAAAAAAATAAAAGTCTCCTTAATACCAAAAATAGTCTTTGCTCTATGATAAACTCACCTGACTGTTGTTAGACCAATATCGTTTCTAAATGATATCCCATCAAAATCTAATTTACGTAAGTAGGAGAGAGATTTTTGAGAAGCCAATTTTAAATTATTTTCTAGACAAACAACAGAGAGAACTCGCCCTCCATTCGTTACGATAGAATTTTCTGTCTTTGATGTTCCAGCATGAAAAACTAAACCATCAGACGGAATACTATCAAGACCTTTTAAAGATAGATAAAAATAGATTTTTTTTGTCCTGTCTCAACTATTTCAGTAAACAAAGTCCTACCACATATCTCTTTCCCTTTCTCATACTTATTAGGATAACCTTTGGAAACAGCGACAGTCGCAACGGCATATCCATCTTTTACTCTTAATTGAATATTATTTAATTTCTGCTCAAGGCAAGCTTCTATAATATCGTATAAATCTGTCTCTAGTTTCGGTAAGATAACCTGAGCTTCAGGATCACCAAATCTACAATTAAATTCCAAGACCATAGGCCCTACTCTAGTCATCATAATACCGGCATATAATAGACCTGTTAAATAAAGGTATTTTCTGAAAGTTTACTTCTTTCTAAGCATAAAATCAATCTTAAACAATTTATATTAAATATGGAAAAAAGATACTTACCGATATATGGGCAACCTTCCTTTCTTAAACCATCAATTGTAGGTTGAATTATTCGAGTTTTAATATCTTCAAGATCAGTGTTAGTGACCTTATAGTAAATTGCATTGGGTATATATTTTAATCAAATCAATTGCTACTATTTAGATATAAACTACCCATGAACAAGGAGAGTAAGCTCCCATTCCTCCGGTGTTTGGTCCAACATCCCAATCTTGTAGTCTTTTATAATCCTGAGCAGTCGGTAGACAAACAACATTCACACCGTCGGAAAAAGCCAAACACTATAAATATATCGTAAAGTGACAAGTAAACTTGTTGAAATTAATTAGTAATTTCTTTACCGAAACTTCTTCACCTTCAAGCAATTCTTCAATAATAACATTCTCACCGGCACTACCAAATTTCTTATCCTAAGTAAAAATAGGTCTTTAGACATGGTTTATCAGGTATTAAATGATAAAAAAAAACAGTGAACTTTTACCCTTAAGATTGTTTCTAAAGCAGCTATAGTTTCTACTTTGGTATGGTTAACATAGACACCTTTACCAGCAGCTAAACCGCTTGCCTTAACAACTAAGCCTTGCTTTTTCCACCTGAAAATGTCAATTAATAGAATTGTACAAACTATACATCTACAGTATATATACTAAAGTACCGAAATTTGCACTTTTGTGAATTTATAAATTATAGTTTTCTTTTTTTTTATTACTTAAAAACAGTTTCTAACCTAACGTTCTATTCATTCTTTAACAAACTATATCTAGCCCCTATCCCACCTGAAAATGAGAGAGAATAACTATGAATGATAAGAGTAATAAGAATTCGAAAAAAGTGTAGACTCGGTCTAGTATACAAGTTATATGCTTTTGCTTATTGAATAACGAACTTATTCACAAATTCCATAGCAGATTGTAAATCTGAAAAGCACTTCCCTTCAGCTGTCGGAATATTATATTTGGTCATAAATTCCTTAGCGAAAGCCTTGCTGGACTCGATTCGAGAGGCAGCAAGTGTGGGACCGAAGCACTTAATGCCCTGAGAATGTAAGTAATCTGATATTCCATTTGCTAAAGGGTCTTCTGGTCCTACAACAACGGTTGACACATTCTCTTTTTGACAAAAAAAAGCAATTTCCTTGAAAGAGTCAATTCTTAAATCTGAAAAATTTTCATTTAATGCTTAATACAGTAATTTAATGTTTATTCGTCCCAAACCGATTCTTTTGCATTTTTCTAATAACTCTACTCCAGGATTACCAGGACCAACAAATATTCGATCAACTCTACTAGATCGGGATAACTTCCAGGCCAAAGCATGCTCTCTTCCCCCACTTCCAATAACTAAAATAGAGGTCATGACCTATAAAAAAAATCGTTCACTTAAGAGACTTTAAACCCCTGCAGATTTAAATTACACCATGCACTTTGTTCACTAAGAACTAAATTACAATTAAATCCTATAATTTAAGTTAAAAAGTCTAAAATAAATTAAAAAAGTAATATTCTATTTTCTCTAAATCTTTATAGTTTAAAGTAATAACATTAATAAATTATTATTAAACATTACCACGGCAGTTTTTTCGAGCGATAACTTTCAAGACAGCTGACTCGTTACATGTGTGAAGGAGGGAGAAAGGAAATATACGATTTTCGTAGATAGTATATGTCACATTTTAATCATTAATAACGAACTAGTGAGCCTAATTTTAAAATTACGTAACAGGAATGGCATATGGAAATTTTTAACTAAGAAAAAATACGAAACCTTCTAATGTCCTTTTTCAAGGTCAAGGTGACCCCGCCGACAAACTAATAAATAGGGAGTCCATTCTCATTCGTTCGCTCGCAGAATTCAAACGTAAGTAATTTAAATTTAAACAATCTAGATGAAAATGCTTTGAATGGTTAAGTGCTTTATTATTGTCATGTAACCTATTTAGTCATGTTAATGTTCTTCTTAGAACAGCAACACGACTTATGATAATCAGTAACCCTGGAATAACCTTGAAAATTCAACCGTTCTTAAGATTGTCGAAGAGTCTTTTATTGCGTATGCTGCTTATTTTTTTTTTAGAAATTCAGCTGTTAATTAAAAATACTATGCTTAATGGTGTAATACATAGACGAATGACTTAGATATCGGACGAATGAAATTAATCAATTCAAATTCTTTTCTATATCCCATACAGATAGAAATATGTCTATAAAAGCCATAAAAGCCCGTCAAATTTTTGACAGCCGTGGTAATCCAACTGTCGAGGTAGATTTAACTACTGATAAAGGTGATTATCGATTATTTTTCATTAAAGATTCCATGAAACAATTAATTTCCTCTTTAACGTCTAGGCATGTTCAGAGCTGCCGTACCCAGTGGAGCATCAACTGGTATCTACGAAGCTTTGGAAATGCGCGATAAGGCTACAGAATACCATGGAAAAGGTGTCTTGAAAGCAGTAAACAATGTCAATACTGTTATCGCAGAAGCTCTTGTTGATAAGGTAATATATTAAACATTTAAATATTGAAGGGTAAAGAAAACTTACCAAGCTTAAACAAAACAGCCTCTAGATCTAACTAAACAAGACAAAATGGACAAATTGATGATTGATTTGGATGGAACTGAAAACAAAGCCAAATTGGGAGCAAATGCTATTTTGGGCGTTTCTATGGCAATCTGCAAGGCCGGAGCCGCTGCAAAAGGCGTGCCATTGTACAAGCACATCGCTGAATTGGCAGGAAACAAAGAACTTATCTTGCCAGTTCCAGCATTCAATGTCATCAACGGCGGTTCTCACGCTGGAAACAAATTGGCCATGCAAGAATTTATGTTGCTACCAACTGGAGCGAAATCTTTCACTGAGGCCATGCGAATGGGTTCTGAGACCTATCACCATTTGAAATCTGTCATCAAAGCCAAGTATGGCCAAGATGCTTGCAACGTGGGAGATGAGGGTGGATTTGCCCCTAACATTCAAAATAATGAGGAAGGTTTGGAGCTATTGAAAACCGCAATTGAAAAGGCTGGTTATACTGGAAAAATAAAGATCGGTATGGATGTTGCTGCATCTGAATTCTGTAAGGATACCAAATACGATTTGGATTTCAAAAATCCAAAATCTGATCCAGCAAGCTGGATTTCATCCTCAAAATTATTGGATATCTACAAAGGATTTGTCAAGAATTACCCCGTTGTCTCAATTGAAGATCCCTACGATCAAGATGATTGGGATGCCTATGTCGAAATGTGCAAAGCCCTTGACATTCAAATAGTCGGAGATGATCTACTCGTTACCAACCCAAAAAGAGTACAAACTGGTATTGATAAGAAGGCCTGCAATGCTCTCTTGTTGAAAGTTAACCAAATAGGAAGTGTAACTGAAGCAATGGAAGCTTGTAAAATGTCTATGGATGCTGGTTGGGGTGTTATGGTCTCACACAGATCAGGAGAAACAGAAGATACCTTCATTGCCGATTTAGTTGTTGGCTTGTGCACTGGACAAATTAAGACTGGAGCACCCTGCAGAAGCGAAAGATTGGCAAAATACAACCAATTGTTGAGAATTGAGGAAGATATTGGCCAAGGGGCTAAGTACGCAGGAGAACACTTCCGTAACCCCAAGGGTAAAGTGTGAAGCTTCAACTAGTAAATGAACTATACAGCATAGAAATTATATGCTTTAGCTTAGAATGAATGTCGTTCTTGGCGAAACGAATGAGTAATAAACTTTTCCAATTTGACCTTAGCCTAAAATATAATGCTTGTGTTTTCTTCCCAAAGTTCATGAATTACGTACAACAGAGTTACTCCACGTAAAACGTTTTCTAAATATTATACAGTAAAATAAATCGATCATCTTGTCCTTTCTTTTCTCAAAGAATATTTGAAGGTCATGGGACATTTATTAATATCACTTCAGTTGTCACTTCATTTGAAGTTCGTAGTCACTTACGATTATGTTGATTTATTAAAAATTACATCAGTAGATAACAAAATGGTTATGAAAATAGTCATTTTAAAAGTTAATTATATAACTTTTATGTTGTAGGTATACTGACTAAATAATTGTACAAATTTGTACACAAATGTAATTAAGAAGCGCAATATCTTAAATCAACTACTAAATATTCAAGTTTTGCATTGAAGGGTTTCTTGAAGATCCAGTCCAATTAGAGAGTTGCAACTGTAATCTCAAATCCATTAGTTTACCTTGTAAATCGTTATCTTCCTGTAATTCTCTATCAATCACAACCAAAACTCCTGGTTTGTTGTCTGATGTTTGATTGCAATAGATTAAGGCTAAATCGTCAACTTCTTCATCATAAATCGGTTTAAAAATCGATTTACATTGCCTATGGAATTGAATAGCTAAGGCGTAACGACCATCATTAATATGCTCTACAATAATTCTTCTAGCTTCTTTAGCCGAAATATTCAACTCTAAATTTCTCTCCTCTTTTTCACACTTCGACGCTTCTTTCAACGAAATTCTTAATCTTCTTATTTCATCACTCATATCGACAATCTAATTAAAAAAGAGCAACAGGTGAATAACGACGATAAGTTAATCAAACATCTAAAATTACTTACGTGAGATGCCTTTTTCAGAGTTGAAAAAGATCTAATAAATTTTAAATATCCTTCGTATAATTGAATTAATTGAAAATGAACTTTGTAAAAGTGTTTAGCGCATGAATATCTTAAATCGTCCAAATCGGATTCGTCAGCCCTCTTTATCTTATCGTAAGATTTGCTTGCCTGTTCTAAATGAAGTAGGTATGTATCGAAATTTTCCGACAATTCCAACATTCCATATTTGTGTTTTTGTAGAAATTTGGATTTTATTAACGTCTCAGGATCAACAAAAACGAAAGGGCATTCCAGTTCATCTTTTTCCATTTCTTGCAAGGAGGCTGAAACGATAAGGTTGAAATGCTCTTTATCTATATTTCTTAAAGATCACTCACTTAAGCATTCAGCAATTGTTCTGCAGGAATCACATTTGGCTATTTCATGACAAGCTTCCCTCGTTATATGATATAGATTTAAACACAATTCCTAGTATAAATAACGAATGATAGAATATACATTATATTTTCCTGAGATAGTTCCAAGTACTTACAAAAAACAATCTTGCAAATAGCTGATGAGTATACATGGCTCTTGCGCCCGTGGCATCGGAGATTAGAGAATTTACATGGACTTTCCATTGCGCTTCCGATTCACCAATGTCCAGGGAATGAAAACTGCCAAGAGTCGGTAAAATATCAATAGAGAGTGGAGAGACTGCTCGTGAACTATCCATCTGATCATCGCTAGTTGAGCTTTCAGGGTCGGGTGACGATGCCATGCTTCTATGATCTTCATTGCTATCTAACCCAGTATTTGGTAGAGATATTTGTGAGCAAGCACCCAGGTCCTCAGCCGCTATTGTTGCCGATTGATTATCGTCATCAGAACTATCGTCTTTGTAACTTTCGGAAGTTGTCGCATCAGTTAGACTCTTATTGTGTAAATTATCTAGGTCATCATCCACAGATTTACTCATACCCCAATTCCACTGTTTATCATCTTGACTCTATATAATAAATGAGAAATAGAAGAAAAGTTGAAGATAAAAATTGTATAACTCACATCGGATTCATCTTCCAGGAATTGGAAACTCCGGAATACACTACCGTAGTCGTTACTACTAGCATCATCTTTTCTCTCACCTGATAATTAATTCGTATAGATTTTATTAGGCATAAATTGTAAGAGTATTCTATACCTTCAACTTGTGAGGAGGCTTCGCTACTGGAGCAAATACTTGCCAATTTCTCGTTATTATCAGAGGACTGACTGAAAATTACAGACGGACTCTTGGGTAGGGCTGCCCTTTGATGTCCGTAGGAAGTTGACAGTGCAATAAGACGTTCTCTACTCTTTTTCTCTGGAGGCGACGGAGATTGAACTGCTTGAGCTGAATTTTCAGCTATTTCCACTTTTCTTTTAGCGAAATCAATAACCGGAATTTGGTCGATATAGAAATCGAAATCCATAGTTCTACCGGGAAGTTCCTTTTTAGAACCCGAGGGTGAATAAGTGTTTTCGGGAGTATGTAAGATAGAAGATTTTTTCACGCATAAATTCAATATTTTCAACGATTCTTTCCAGTTAGGTTCTTCGACAAACTTGCAAAGAATTTTTAATAAATGAGAATCAATTGAATTAGAATTCGATGACAAATCGGTAAAATGAACAATACACTGCAGTATCTGCAATACAGATTGTTGCAAGTATAGCGGACCCTTGCATAACATCTAAAAAATAAAAAAAATACATTCAGTATATTAAGAATTTATGTATGAATAGTGTTTTTCTTTTTTTTTGTTATCATCGATATTTACCTCTACGAGTAATATGACCATGTTTGATCCTACATGGGAATAAACATCATAAAGATATTTCAAAACGCATTTGGTCCATTGAAGACTATCTCTCGAAAAAGTTCCCCTACTATATAGAGTCATTACAGTTGCGAGATGTTCTAGTTTGTCGCTTTGCCTTAGGCACTCTTTTGATATAATTTCGGCAGCAGTAATACAAGAAGGCGGTGGGTCTTCGTAATGACAAACTAATTGGGGTAATTGCGCAATAATATTTAAAGCAAATCCGGACGTTTGTAAAGGATCAGCAACAACAACTTCATACGATACATGCTCCGTTAATTTTGGTAATAATTTCCAGGTGATATCAGCTCCGCTATTTTGTAAAGTGCAACCTTTTAGCAAGAGTGCTTGAACTCCTGGATAGGTTGTCCACTTTAATTGTTGTAATACTTTATCCAACTTCTCACGACATTCTATATGATCAAATTTAATATGCTCCAAAACTTCGTCTAAAAGTCTTGCCGCAAGTAGAAATTCATGTTCAAGATCCGATTCTAGCATCGAAACTGCAATCCAGAAAATTTGAACAACAATAGTCAATTTATCTTCCGACGCAGCATCGTGTAAAGTTTGCAAAGCTTGAGCACTTTTACACCTATGCATATTTTGTTCATTTTGCCTCATATCGGGTTCGTGTTGACTGACCCGATTAGATTTTTTCTTCTCTTGACTGGCTTTACTCCATTGCAAGTCAGAACCGGGTGGTGCTGATATGATAGCTCTTCTAGCTGATATAGTACAGCTTTTACTATGATTATGTTGTATAGCAGGTCGCCTAATAGCGACAGTTTCCGATTTCTAAAAGAAAAAGAGTTTATTACAATTTGATATATAATAAAAAAAATGGACGCTTCTTCCAGTAGATATATTAATAAGTTTAAACAAAAAGCTTAGATATATCATAGATATAAAGTTTATATATACAGTGTATACATAAATAGTTAGTAAAATATTATAAAAATGAAGCAATTTAGCGATTTGACAAGGTATACAATTAAATTAGAAAGAAAAAATTGATAAGCCGAAAAATCATAGGGATAAGGGACCAATTAAGTTACCTCGTGATTTGTATCCTGTTAACGAATTTAGTGTAAATTATTTTTATATTAAATAATAAATAACAAAAAGAAGGGTTTGTTTTTTGTTTGTTTGTTTGTTTGTTATTTTTAATAAATAAAAAAGGTGAGTAGTAGAAACCAAATACTAGAAAGATATTTTTAATAGAGCTATTTGTATAGTACTACAATTTAATAAGGTATTTTACTTACCCTTGGTAAATCTTTATTTAAATTCGGTGTTGACATAAATAATTCCTTTGCGATTCCTCTCTGTTCCAAATTTACAGTGTTGACAAAGTTGATAAGTGTTAGCATAATCTCAATGACGTAACCTTGCATCTCGTCACCCCCGTCTCCAACAGTGTCAATAAGACGATTAAGCATATCCGCTATCCAATTCGAAGTTACTTGAACGTGTAACGAACGTAATATTTGAAAACTCCTTCCAGCCAAATGTCTTGAGGGGCAGGATAGAGCTTTCTGCAAAGCTAATTCAGCCCAACGTTCTTCGACATGAGCGGCAGGTACACAACAATTAAATATATGAACGACATGACGTAAAAATGCCTGTAATTGACTGGAACTGCGAATTAAATGCATTTTAGCCGTTATATCCTCGTACGCCCATAAAGGACGCTTTTTCCGAGTCATTAAATATTGAATAAGATCTCGACTTTCTTCACAAACATTAGGTATATTTAACGAGTTGGAATTACCATTCCTAGGCGTTTCATCCAATGCATTCTCTGGTGTAATAGTTGCAGCGCTTACAACGCTCAATGTAGACTGCCTTATTGACGACGGTATAATTGTACCGAAATCGTCCTGATCAAATTCTGTCTCTTCAACTTGCTCTTCGTCTCTCTCTATATCTTGAGGAAATTCTAAAAACGAATATTCCTTGTCATTTATCCCGGGTTTTGATAGATAAGTTGGAATTCGGCTATTTGAATTTGATAAAATTATTCTAGCAACCGAACATAAATCAGACTTGGATGTCATGATTAATAGAAGATTAATCAATAATTTTTTACAATGTTCGTGTATTATTGGTTTGTTGTTGTCCATGCCAAGCATAATTATATGCAACATAAGGTGCAAGTGGACGCTCCAATCGACTGGTAATCCATCGATAACTAAATCAGTAACTAGCATAACGGCTAGATTACATCTATGATAAGGTGGAGAAGGCAGACTTTCACTGCTGTTTGGTAAATATTTTGATAGCTGAGCGTAATATCCACCATAAGCGGGCATGGGAAGTGGGTGAGGTTCCTCTTCCTTTGGTGAAGTGGATTCACGACTTTCTTCCTCTAAATTGATAGTTGAATCAATATTTGTTCTTAGTGTGGCCATTGAAACGGCTGAAACATCACTCTTTAATGACACCGTCGAACCAGTTCTCGTTGTACTAAAATATTAAGAATAATTTATAAAAGCTAAACAATTTAATCAATAAAGACTTACGCTTCCGATAAAGATAGCCTTAACGTTGTTTCTCCCGATCCCTCATCAACATGATATCTATACGGAGAGGAAAAAATGTTTTCTTTTTATCAAATACGTTTCAAGAGGAAAACTATTGTTATTTTCGTTTATCTAAGGCAAAAGGCTATTTAATAAAATGTATAAATATATGACGAATATAGAGGAAAATTAGAAAATATGAAGATAAAGTACCAAAATAATGTATTGCATTTTTTCACTTATATATCTAATGTATATATATTTATATATACTGTATATACAGTATATATATATATATATATATATATGCTTATATCAGTTATAATGCTTGCTCTACGAGTAAATTAAAAATCAAATATATATTTATACTAATGCAATTCATTTAACCATAAAAAATGAATAGTTTCAGAAAAGTAGTTTTATATGCAGCATCCTTATTTATTGTATCTACAATTAAATAATAAATATAGCTTATTTTTCTATATTTAATATTTTTACTTTGCATGTAAAGATAGAGGTAATGCAATTGCGTTAATATACCAAGCCATAGTAGAGAATTCTAAAGCGTTAGAGATATATATATATCTCTCTCTCTCTCTCTCTCTCTATATATATATATATATATACAGTATATATATATATATTGCTTCATTTGTGTTTTTCTATGCTTTATCTACTATTTATTGCTCTTTTCAATTTATTTTAGTAGCTGTGGTAGGTGCTTTTTTATTTTAATTCCTTCTTAATTTTTAAAAAAAACAAGCTATTTTGGCTATAAAAGATTTTTATCTTTCATGATTTTTACTTATAAAAATCCGAATCCGATCTACGATTTGATGGCAATCGACTCCGACCACGTCTATGTTAACAGTTTTGAAAAAAAAATTAAATAAAACAACTATGTAAACTTATACAATTTAGAATTTGATAAAAATGAGTTTTTAAATAATAAATAATCCGTTTATACTAAATAAAACAAACAAAAAAAACATTATACCTTGGCCTTGTCACTGATGAAATATTTGATTCTGTTATAAATTCTTGTTTACTTATTTCTAAAATGTTAGAATTAGATCTTTTAGTAGCGTTTGTTAAACGAAAGAAAGGAGGTGTTTGAGTACGTTCGACATTGAACGTTAACGCTTCAATTATCTGAAAGAAAGATGAGCTATATTCTAAGATCGGGAAGAGTCATTTATATCTAATATAGTATTGCCAACCCCGAGTTCATTCATCATTTCGTCCACTAACTTCTCTGGTCTAGCCCGTCCCAAATAGACAATTATTCTTTTAGCCTAGACAAAGGATATAGATACACTTTAAAATATATAAAAAAAACTGATAAAAGCTTACGTGAGTGAGTAATCTTACTGGAGCCATACCCATCAAAATAATAATATATCTTACTATGACACGCAAATTACCAGGCCAATATCTGACTAGAGCAGCCCATAAGTCTTCCATTTCGTGAGGATACCGATCGCCAAATTCGGCAGTAATATGAAACAAATTATTTAATACTAGCTGAGTAGCCTCCGGTGAACCCCAACCCTCTCCCTTAAGAAAAGATCTTTCAAATTCAGAATCTTGTTTGTCGTCGTTCAAATTTATCGGATCTGGTAAGTTAGGATCTACAAGTTCTAAATTGTGCAGCCATGGGAGAACGTATTGTAATAACGATCTTCGGACAGATGATCTTGCATTGGGAACTCTTTGAGTTATCTCACTAAAAATGGACAGCGTTAAATCAGGTAGCAAATAAGCTAAGGTTTGGGAAGCGTTCATTTGTGAGAAAGGGCCAACGAACAAAGTTTCTTCGTAATTCTTTTTTATCTTTTCTTTATAATAATTTGAATTGGCAACTTCTTCCTCATAAAATCTTTTATACAATAAATGGAACAACTGCAATGCCATCTCCCTTATTCTTATCCTAGCCGAACCCAAATTCAACAAGGCAACATTTAGTACTGCAATATGGAAACAAGGATATTCCCTACTGCTAAAGACAGTCGTTAAACACTCAAAACATAGTTCCGACACCTCCACAGAATTTGATTCATAACATCTTTCAATGATCCAATCCAAGATACCTGGTATATCTTGATTAAATTCCATAAGCAAGATTAAAGTCTCTTGAGCTAGGCCGAAAATCTGCAAAAAAAGCAAAAATTAAAATGTGGATATATTTATTATATATATATATATATAGTTCAGTTTCGTAAAAAAGGGAGAATCATTAGAAGAGGGGAGAGAACACTTTAGCGAAATCGTTTAATATTTCATCTCCTTTACTCTTCTTTTTCTTTTATAAGCATACAATTATATGCTTTTATACTATATATAAATATATATATATAGACATATATATTGTATACAGTATACTTATATATGCTTCATATTATACTGTATACATATATATATATATATATATATATATATAAATATATTCTGTAAATTTAGTACCATGCATGATAAAATAATAAATTAAATTAAAAGCAATTTGTAGTAATTAAAATAACAGAAAAAAAATTCTTTTCAACATGCTTTAAGCAGTTCCCTAAAATAATCAAGGTTAATCAAGTAATGACGTAAATTATAAAGAAGCCAAACGGAAAGGAAACTCACGTCTACCGTTTCTTTGAACTGTTACGAAAATTGTTTTGTTGTTGTTGTTGTTTTGTTTTTTTTTATGATAAACACCGACCATTAAAAAGAGATATAAATGTAATATTATAGAAAAAAATATCATGAATAAGTCGACTGATAATAAAGTAGTTCATTGTTTTGTTTGTTGAAAATTATTGAAAATGATATTCTTTCCTAAAATAACTAACTAATAACAAACCTTTTCATTTTGATGATCCAGCAAAGAATTTAACCAGAAATAAATGTTACAGTTACTTCCCTCGTTCAAAAGGTCTTTGTTAAAGATTGTACCGCAACAGAGTACATTTGCCATCGCTTGAACGGCGGCTAATTCTAATTCACTATATTCAACCGACTTATTAATATTGTCCGTTCCTAGAGAGCCGCTCCACGATCTTAGAGTTTTATATAAATCGCGGTGAAGATCAGCTGGTAAGAAGTTGGTTCGACGATCCAATGCCGTATTAGCTATCAAGTAGCGTACAAATAGACAAAAATGAACTCGAATCTCTTGCGTTGTATCCTTATCGCCATCAGACTCTAGGAATCGCAAAGAGTCTCTCATAAAATCCATAAGACTTTCATCGCTTTTGATTAGAAAATGTTACCGTGATTTAAAATATATTGTTAATACAAATAAAAGGTCTCTTTACCATTCAACGAAATGGCCGTGCTCGGCAATATATTGAAATATTTGCATAAGACACAAACGAAGCGAATCTCGTCGCTTTCTTGCCGTTTGTCTCTCAGTTTTCTTTATTGTACAAGCTTCTCTCATTAGCGGTTTCAATTCACTAATTAAATTCCTAAAGGTCATGAGAATATAAAATTGATTAAGCAAGAGTATTTTTAAAAATAAAATCAAAATTACTTACCCCAAAGCATCAGCACTACAATGACCAAGACTAACTACAACCGATTCTTTCATATCAATGCCTTCACTTTTTAATAGTGGAACTAATAATTTGAATAAATCTTTAGCAGAGCAGTCGTTTCTGGTAAATTTCTCGCTCTTCTCTGATCCTGAACTTTCTGGAGAAGCATTTCCGCGTTCGGGTGAAGCAAATCTCGAATGTAAGAACGGTGGGGCCAAACAACATGCCATAGTTATATAATTTTGCCATAATTTCATGTAATAATCTCTTTCTGAAGTTCTAATTTTTTTAACGTCGGCTGAAGGTCCTCTTACAGTTCCAAGAATTCTACCTTCATTCACTAATAAACTGTAACAAAGAGATATGTTAAATAACATATCACTTTCTTTAATAGTTCTCTCCTTGACATTTTAGCTAGTTGTACTAGTCGTACTGTGTTACTACTTTCCGTTAACCGATCGATAGAAACTCAAGATGATAAATCAAACTCGACCGAATTAATTTAGAATTCTAACTTAAACTAATATGTGGCTAAGCTGACTAATGAGATAATATTCAAATAAATTACTTACTTTGGATCGACATGCTGCTGGAAAATATACTGTAATCTCGAATGAAGAAGAGGCCAAGCATAAGATACTGCAGTTTCGCATTTACCCAGTACAAACTCTTTTCTCATTATAATTGATAATACTTCAATATACGGCTCGAAGCTTGTCCTAGATAGTATGGACGGCATTCCTAAATACTGTTTCGTCTCGAACTTGGCGTAATTTGTCCATACTACGCAAGTCCTGTCTAGAATACCAGCAAAATCAATATTTGTTGTATTTTCTAAGTAATTCTGGAGAATAAAAAAGTCATATTGTTTTCATTGTATAATTTATCATTTTTTTACCCTTTCTGGGTTTGGTAGAACCGAATGAGATAGAAGCTTTTCGATAATAGTCGAGCAGGAGCTTTCTACGACATCGAGCACGCAAGGTTCCCCAACATTTCGAATCTCTAATAAATCCATAATATGCCTGATTTCTTTTAACACGGCAACGGCTCCTTTCTTAATGTGAGGATTTTGACTACATAATAGAATAAGAGCAAATCCGTCAACTTTCCTTAAAACCTTAAGTTGATCCTTCACCAGCAGAGCATCTTTTTCCGGATAAATTTGGCCATTTTCCTTTCTCTCCAAAGTAGGTGGCTATTAAGATAAAGATTAGTTATCATTTCTTAATCTAATAAATATAAATAGTGTTGACAAACCCTAGAAGATGCTGTCTGTTTTTCTATACTCTTTACCCAGTTTTTCAAAAGCGGATCGATAAGTCGCTTAACAGAAATTTCGACAAGATTAGTAAAAGAATCAGTCAATTCTGATTCAATGAAGTGAAGAAATTCTATAATAATTGAATAATATTTATCTTATTACATATCAAGAAAATGAAAAAAATTAGGTTACCTTCTATTACAATGTGACTATTGCACGTATGTTCCATAATTAATATTCCCAAAACGTTGCACGCACCCCTAGTTTAGTTCATAAATATATATAAATAATATATATTGAAGCACAAAAAAAATTTATATTTTTTGTCTGTATTTATCATACGAATAATAATTTCCTTACTTTGCAAGTTCATCGTCGGCGTGAACAGTTAAACGACTCAATAGTACAACTAATTCGTTAAATTGAAAATCGATCGGGAGTAATCTTGGAATAATTCGTACACAATTTCTAAAAAATTCCACTTTTTGCTTTCTATCTCCCCTGTAAGATAATTAGAAATTTTTTAGATGATAAAATATTACATTCTATTTTTAGGTTCTTACGCAAATTCTACATCTCCTTTTGTTCTTAGGCACGGTTTCCCAATTTGTTGATCAAGTAATTTTAATATTGAACCATAAGCCGATCGTACTTTTGAAAAGTATTGTACAATACCTATACTTCTCATAGTCTCCTCTGACATACTTTGTATTAAAAGAGTCTTCTTAATTTTCATAGTGTGACCCGAGGGAAATACAGCAGTTGTTGTAGGCATTTGAGGTTCATCTTTCTGCTCCAAGTCATCAGTTATGTATAGAAATGCACGCAGACCTATTATCATCCTTTCTGGCATAAGGGTTGTCTTCGAACCCTTTCCAACACTTAGAAGGTCGTAAATCACTTCGCCCACAGCGAAGTCGATACGATATTGGGCTATAAATTGAATGATGCGAGCGAAGAGAATTGGCGGAGCGTCACGGGGCGTTACAATACGAGAGCCTGAACGGACACAGTTGGGTTAATATTTGATTTTCTTTTAAGTTTTTATTGTATAAATCACCTTTCGGAAAGAGACTATGAATTATTGATTGTAATCTGCTCGCAGTCGCTTGGTTGCTCTCACATTTTATTCTAATAACGTAAACCCTTTAAAAACAAATTGAATAGTTTGTTAAAAAGTTTAAATAAATTATTTAGATAAAATCCCACCATAATAATCTAACTAAACTTTCCAAAGCCATACGGGATATCTTTTCATCTCTATTTTTTAAATGTTGTAGAATCATAGATAGCACTGGTGGTAGATTATTTAAAAATACTTGTTTTTTACTTATACAAAGTATACAAGTCAGCATTGGGCATAATTGCTAATAAAACAGTAAAAAAAAGCAACAAAATTGTTATTTAATGGTTTTTAATTAAATTAAATACAAAAAATCAAAGGAGAAAATAACTTACCAAAACGTGTTTCCTCTTTGCACATAAATCAAGTGTATTATTATACAGTAATTCTACAAATTGTTGTAGTGCAGGAACATTAAAGTTTACTTCATTCTTTACAGCTGCGGCTACGTGTATAAGAATTTCACTTAGTAAACCCGCTATTCCATGCTTAACTTCTTTCTCTTTAGCCTCAAGAAACATTTTTCCTATTTCTTGTAAAAATTGACAACATGCAACAAAATCTTCAATAGGATGCATCTAAGATTTAATTAAAATTTTTATTATTAAAAGTTGGACAACGTTTATATTTAGAAGAAAATTAAAAAAAAACTCTACCTTTACTCTGAAAAATTTCAGTCCTCTTAATAAAGAGATAGCCAATTTAATGAATGATGCCGGTTTTGGTTCCTTATTCAGTTCTTTCCATTCAGTTAAAAAGCGACTGATGACGGCATCAAATCTTGATTGAGCTATAACACCAACAAGCTCAGCAAATAAATCAGCCATGTAAAAATAGTTGTTGGCGTTGGCCTGAGATTGTAGTTGGGCTCTGTTTTATTGTTGAAATAATTAAGCATAATTGCGTCGTAGAAATCTCTTACCCTTCATATAGCTTGAACCATCTAAATGCCTGACTTAGAATATCATTGACGTTAGTGTTGTGACCGGGATGTAATGGTAATTGTTTTAAAACTTCTATTAGAGTTAAACAGTAAATAAAATCAACCGCCAACTGAAATAAATCTCTATTAGCATTGTCTTATTCATTTCATTCTCCATCTTACTTACATTTCTACGCAGTTGAGCGTCGAAATTGGATTCTTTCTCGCTATAATTTGGCAAAATACGATCAAATGTTGATTGTTTTTCAACATCTATCTAATTACTTACTCTCTTTGTTTAACAAGTGTGGTTTTATGAACCAAACTATTGGGATTTTGTTTTTGGTGCCATCGAAGAATAGAATATGTTAGCGAAGGAAGACAATGCTCTGCTAAAGATCCAAAAGAGACAAGAATTTGCTCAAATTGAATGTCTTCCAAGCCGTGTTGTCCTCTCATTAAGATTTTATGGAGAGGTAGTTCCCGCCGCTTAAAAGATAAGTAATTAAATATGAATTTTTATAAAATGGGTTAATTTCCGATAAACGGGAAAAGCTTACAGAAGGTGGCTGGAAAACGGCCTCTACGCGTCTTTGAGCTAATATAGTGTACTCTCCGAACAAAGTTTGCAACACAAACTCCCCGGGTTTGGTGTGAGGCGAGATTTGAATATTTTCGGGAAAGTCCCACTAAATCAATAAAATAGGATTAATTGATTATTTATAAAAAACACGTGCCGAAATCCTTTGAGAAACTGTAAAGACGTGTTTTAATAATAATCTAAATTATTAACCTTTTCCACCACTGCTCCCCACGGTAGCTGGCAAACGGTAGTGTCTGATTCCAATTCGCAAGTAATAGTGTTTGCCTCTGATTCATAAAAAAAACCTCATATAAGATTCGTAAAAATAATAAACAAATAAAAGAAACCTTCAAAATCTTCATTTTCTGTTTGATTTTTAGCCATTTTATTGAAAATAGAGAAACATAACGTATGACGATAAACGACGATAATAATTTTCTTCAATTTTCTTGTTTAATTTCCGTTATTTTTGATAACAAATGGGCGGAAATAGCAAAAATTTCATGGAAAAAGCCAGAGAAAACTGGTAATGGAAGTAATCTTTCGTTTATAGAAGGCGCGAAAGATAATATCGATGAAAAGGAATAGGAATACCATTGATATTATCAACAAAGAGTATAATGAAATTTAGCTTATTTGCGAGATAAGTTCAATAATTCAAAAGATATCGTGTTGTGTAACAATATAGGATATGTTGGTGTAAAAGAAGAGCAGACAGTCTTTCAATTGGCCAAATATGAAGTAAAACTATATAAAATAGATAATGAAATAGCTAAAATTCTCACAGGTATAGCTGAAATTAATCAACTTTGATCAGAGAAATTGCGTTTAGTAAATATTAAAGAGTCGTTTGATCTGACCTGGTGATTCTTTCCACTATAATAAGTCTAATAGAGGTCTACAATTTCATAAACGAATGATACAATTATTTTAGGATCTCTTTCTTTTCTATGAGTTACTTATTATTCTATACAAAGAAAAGACAGAGCAGTCGTTTATATTCTAGAGACATATAAGTGAAGGAAAACTATTAATATAGCTATCTTTATCGATTAGGACGCCTCTTTATGTCCTTTCTACAACCGCTGAACGAGATCTTAGGAATATCGAATAAGGGAGGCATCAGAATTAGAAATTGTTGGACTGTTGTTTTTCTTTATCTAACAAAGTATTCATTTTATAATTTTTTATGTTAATTAGGAAATAATTAGTCACAATCGTATTAATTTCTTGTGAAAAAATATTCTTAATGCTAATTCCCCCCTTAGCAGCTTAGCATTTTCGACAAATCTGTAATAGGGCAACTCACAATACAACTCACTTCGTTACCAAGACGCCTTAAGCTTACAAGAAAAAGATAAATAGAAAGATATTAATATCGGCAGTTGTTGCATTCGTATGTTATGGAGGGTATAGGAAATGTGAAGAGACGCCTACTTTCTCTTTATTCCTAGAAAGAAAGTTAATAAGAAAATAAAGTGCTTTTCTATTATAAATACAATTTTTATAAACTATATGCTCAATATAAAGGAATGAGGTTTGACCGGAAAGACAGGGCAAGTAAACATAGGAAAATTAGTTTCGTCAAATATTTATTAACTTTATACAGTTAGTATTTGATCACGTGGTCTCGTCTTAAAGGGGAGAGGGTAAAAAATTTCCAATTCCCAATTCCCTTCCGTAATCTAGTTATATTGTCGTCGAATGACAATGAACACATCAGTATGATTTATAGTTTTATCGGAAAAAAAACAAGTCACGGAACGAGGATTGTCTTTCATTAAAAACAAAAAAGGAGAGAAGTAAAGCATTCACATAATCGTAACTCCCTCGATGGGCTCGACGTATTCAATCGGATCGTTGAGCACGGAAGAGACGCTCTCCACTCTCGTATAAGTCCTACACTTATTTGTAGTTTCTTCTCCCTGAATTTTCTTGCCACAAATGCAGTAAACCAAACAGGCTGCAGCAACTATTCCAGCGCCAACCGTTAAAAGCGTCGCTCCGAATATCCACGCGTAAAACGACGTTTGACGTTCGCCTATTTCACTTCCTCTCTAGCATTAGACAGAAAAAAAGGAAGTTTATACACACGTAAAACTGCAATAAAGGCGTTAAAAAGCAGTCGAGATTCGATAATGAGTTTTTCTTTTTCATATAATTTTTTTATGATTAAAAAAAGAGAAAGAAATACGCATTTAATGTAAATAAATACAGACGCCATTTATCGAATAGCGAGCGGAAAGCGTCCTTTGGGAAACACTCTAAAATAAATCGATTTTTACCTTTATTGTATCATACAATAATCTATCGTATGTTCCAGAGGATCTTCGGCAATGGGGTGGAAGGCAAAATGGACGCGCAGGTGATGTTTTTGTTAAAGACCTTCTAGTTGGTAGAGGAATATCCGCTGAGGCAGTGGGCAAATGTTTGTGTAGTAAGGCCGGATGAAATTGTTGGACGTCTTGGCTAGTTTCATTTAGTGGAACTAAAAAAAAAATCAAAAGCGTCTAAACGTCAGTTGAAGAAATTCATCAAGTCAGGCGTCGAATCATGCGATTGCAAACACGTCTTCCGCATTTCGAATTAACTTCGTTTAAACATGCGAATGACGCAAAGTGCACGAATATAAAGGGAAGTATTACTAGACGCTTCTTTTTGATATCTACTAAAGGGAAGCGAAAGAAACGCCCATAAATATAAATCGAACGAATTCATCATTTACTTACGCACAAACAATCGCACAAAGCTTATATTTGGCTCTGAACATCAATCGTAAAAAGCCACAGCTGGCACGAAAACGTTCTCGGCAGCGCAAAAGGTGCGGTGTGATCGGAATATATAATATTAGAGGCCTTTTATATACATTAAACGATTTTCTCTAGGCACAAAAGAAGCCGAACAGTCTCATTCGATAGGGATAAACTTGACAGATGGCATTTTTCTTCCGACCAGCTAAAAGGCGTATTATCCTCAGGCTATATTATATAAAAATATAAGTCTATACTTTTTTCGACAATCGCTCTCTCTCTCGCTCTCTTCTATTGATTCGTAAATATTAGAAGATCTTTGGATTATCTCTACATAGACCTACTATAGGCTCTTGGCTATCATTCCTATTGTCCTGTCGTAAGCGTCTATATAATTCATGACTTCAGCCCGGTCGGTTCCGGTTATCCGAGCATGAAATTAAGGAAAATTCGAAATAATAAAAAAATATCTTTATTGAAAAAAAAAAGAATTAAAAAAAAATAACATAAAAATCCAGAATTATATAGGATTATGATGGGACAGTAAAGATAAAAGAGCAGCCTTACGGGAGGATTGACAGCGAGTGTAGGTTGGTAAATATATCCAGATTATCTTTGTCCAAAATATTACGGCCGAAAATATCCAATCGTTTTCCGTCATTTTAGATAGACGCTCTGTCTTGGGCGTTTTAAGTTCGAAAGCGGAGATCTTCTCCTCGGCGTTTTCGTTTTTATTTGAAGTGAGGTTGATGCCATCTAGCGGACAATTTTGACCAACCCTCTTCCAACCCCCGCCCCGCCGTAGCCTTTCTTCTTTAAACTTTTAAGCCATCTGACAAAGCTTGACGTCTTTACTGAAGATCATAAGTTGTTTCAGCCTACGCTACGTAACGATCTTCTTTTTCTCTTATCAAAATAGTTAACATAAGCATTGCCATACAAGAACATTTTTTTTTATTAAAGACAGTCTGTGAGAATCACATCACTAGAATTAACTCCCTCCCAAATGATAAACACAGGTTGTTAAAAGTGAGGATGATTAGACGTATGGAAAAATACAAGGAAATGTCTCATTGATTTTTTTCTCGAAGGAAAGGAAAATAGAAGCTAATAAAAATACGGTGTATGTAAAGCTTTGCATTGACAAAGACAGTAGCAATGGATGCGACGCTGTCGGTAATTTTTTCCTCTATAGGCCTATTGTGAAATAACCTCTCTTATTCTCTTTTAGTGTTTAGGAAAAAATTATAGGCCTATTGTTGATATGGGGAGTGAGAATGCACCCCATGGAGCAAGATATTTATTATGTAGTAGTTTATCACTATAACGTAAAGTAAGAAGGGTATAAATTAGGATTTAATAAACGCGTTTGCAATATATATTCTGAATATGACATTCATTTAAGCATCATTCCACTTTATCTTAATGTTCCTTATTTTCCAATAAAAAATTAAAAAAAAAGCGCGCTAGTTTTGCAAAACTGGTTCCCATTTCCAATTTTTTTATTAACAAGTGCATAGGCGACGCAAGTAACATTTGGGGTAAAACAAATGGTAAAAATTCAATAATACATTAGGAGGTTTGGAGCTTAAAGATGTTTATTGATTGGTAGTACTACTTCATTTTCTTACTAGATTTCAAATGAAATATCAATTAAATGCCCGTTTGAAAAAGATTTATCATCGCTTCAGATTCGTTGGTGTAATGTCGGATTCAAATTTTGGGATAGAATTTGACTACTCGATAAATTACAATCTTTCATCATTCGACATCAAGTCGTATTAGTCGAGAATATTCTCTTAAAGATTACCGTAATACTAAAGAGATACTTGTGGAATCTTCGAATTGACCACATAAGGATAAACCATTGTATCTGGATCTCGTTAACTCTCATAAAAGGAGGACAACCATAGTTCCGACGCTCACTTCCTCCAAATCATAGATCGAACCGAACGACATAATGGAGAATACTAGTGGAGGAATTCTAAAGAAAATCAGGCATGAAAGATACAAAGTAGGAAAAGTAATATTTTCAGCAGCTGCTCACTTGGTTTGCTATTTTTGTTTAGGTGTAACACTTTTTTTCTATCCTAATCACAATTCTACGTAACTACGCCTATTTCTTTAAAAAATAGCAACTCTGCTGTATTCATTCTGCATCTATTCACCATCTGACAACTATTGTGAAAGTACTCGAAGCGAAGGCCCATTTGATGGAACTTGCTACCATGAAAATCTTGTAACAGCAGTTCGGCCAATAACGACGTTTTTCTCCTGCGGTAAGTTCTCATTAATATTGTAAACTATATACAATATATATAATATTTTGAAAATTGAATATTAACAAGATAATAGATAACATTAATAATTCATTTAATTGTATTTCAGTCTTAATGTTTTTTTCTTATATTATCATTTTGATGGAGGCCTACTTTTGCGAAACAAATTCGTTTCTAACAAACATTATTACGCAAGATGTAGCCATGGAATATACAAATCAGCTTGTGAAAAGCAACATTATTCTCTCTTTGAAAGTAGTTTGTACTACAGTCAGGAATATATCAAAGAGGTTAAATCAATATTAAGTTTTCATCTTTTCAAATCATGTCTAACAAGTCTTGTTTTGTTTCTACTTTACAGAGTATTTTTAACGGTTGTAACCAGTCAAGAAATTATAGAATTTGACTACACAGCATGCCAAGATGAAACGAACGTCAAGGAATCTATTTTTCAGGGAAACTCTTGTCTTAGAGTATGCTTGAGACCCCATTAGAAGTTTTTCTATACTATTTAAGTTTTACTTGACAGCTCAGCTATAAATTGGCCTATTCTTTCCTCAATCCAGAATTAAGCGATGCGTTTGATAAACTGAAGATAGATATTTATAACTCATTGAAAACCGATGATATAAATGTTGAAATTTTAGAAGTATAGTTATTTTTAATACATTTTTGTCGTACAATAAATGATATACAAACTCACATTAAACAGGAACAACATATACCCGAGATGGCTGACAACGTACTAATATTACCTCCTTGCGAGAAAATTCGCAGTATCTATAGAAATTCAAACTACTTTTGGTTGTTTACTTTCCTGCTGTCTACGTGGGCTTATAGAATCATATTTAAGTATGTAACTGAGAGAAAGACAATTGAATTCATTAAGAAAGTATGCTAAGTAGGAGTTGTTTTTTGTTTTCTTCAAGTTCATTCCACCTTAAAATATCATATAATACACTTTATCTCGATAATGTAGGTTAAAAAGATTCAATTGTTAAAATACAAAATTTTAGAAATAAAATGCTGGTGTATTTGGATAAATGGCTATTTAAGATTGTACTAAAACACAACACGTTAATTAACTGCCGAGTGCTCCACAATTAATAGCCACTATACATTCAAGTTTTGAAGATTCTGTTCATTTAGAAATTCCAATAACACCGCAAGCAACTCTGGCACCAGCATTTCCGGTAGTCTTGCTTAATTCGTGTCCTCCTTTTCCCAAGTCGTCGGGGTCAGCATGGACCTAAAGAAATTCGGTTTAACAGATCATATTTTCAGGAGAAATTCTATACTTACTACTATGGTTCGACCAATAACAGATAGTGAACCAGTCAAATTAACCAAGCTATCGGTTATGTTCACTTTAGCAACTCCTGAAGCGTCTGCTTCAACATTTCCTAAATCTCCAACGTGACGAACCTCATCTTCCGGTGCTCCATGTTCCTTGCCATGGGGATTGAAATGAGCTCCTAATAACAAATAAAGAATTTTATTGTTAAAACTCTCTCTTCTTTTGCCAATTTACAGCTATCTACCTGCACTGGTACAACCGTTTGTGTTGTCACCAAACTCATGAACATGGAAGCCGTGCTTTCCTGGGGTTAAGCCTGTAATTTCACCGGTTACGGTAACAGGTCCATCGGCTTTTGCCTGTTCGAAGGAGACGGTTCCTTTAACTCCTGCAGTCCCGCTTAAAACGCATACGGCTTTTATTACAGACATTATTCTTTTTTTCTACACGTAACGTTATTTCCAAAATGCGGGTCAAGAATTGAAACTTAGGGCCGTGTGCAATAAATGTTATGATACATTTCGTTCGTAATATTTTGTAATCTTTCATTTTTAAATACAATATAAAATGTACTATTAAATCTGTCATATTTATGAATATTACGCAAGAATTCGAAAACAACCTGTCATTAAAGTGGATCTTTAAATCGCGCGAAATGAATATCTCTCTATTGATGAACTTACCTCTCAATGACGAAAACTATCAATCATTAACCACTTCAAGATCAATAAAACATAATGAAATAAATTTTAAAATTTCTTGGGGTAGAGGTCATCACATAGTAGTTTTCCGTGAAAAAGAATTTTTTATTGTGAGCGATAATACATTGAATCATTACCTTGTTTAGTTTCTTATTTATTTTCAGATAGTCTTGACCTTTAAAGGTATACCATACAACTCAATTGCAGTTGTTAATGACTACAAATTAATTTGTCTTCTTGCCGATGAAACTCTCTGCTTGATTGAATTGCCTGATTTTTCAACTCTTTCCAAGTAAGGAAACAATATTTTCATCTTTTGCAAAGTTATAGTATAAACCCTTTTTTTTCAGCAAAGCACCTTGTAAAAAGTGCATATGTAGTTCTAGTTTGGAAGCAAGTGATTTGGGAAAACAAAGGAATGCAATTAATATGACATGTAATTCTCATGGAAAGCAATTTCTCGTGTTTCTTCTACTATCAGATAAGGAAATTGCCTTGAAATGTTTTACACTTTTGTTCGACAACGATGAATATACGTCTTTATCTTTGTTATACAAAATCCCAAGGACTACTTCATCGATAGCAAACATAAGGGGAACTCCATTTACAGTTGTTTTCAGACAAACACTAAATGAAAATTTAGCCAAGCAAATAGTTCCCGAAAGCAGTAAATGCGAAGAATCTTTATGTTTGTACAGCTATCATAATGGCGTAATTACTGTAAATGAGAGTATTCATAAAAAGGAAGATATTTTACATTTTTTAAATCAAGATTGCATTGCGATAATTACGCTAGATTTAAAATCTCGTGGAGACTGCTTGGTGTTAATTGGAAATGAGGGAAAAGTTGTTTATTTAACGTGTGAGAAAAATAGTTTAATGGATAGGACTTTTTTTATACCTGGGCCTATTTTATGTTGTGATTTTCAAGAATATTGGCTTTTCTATTCAAATCACGAAAGATTGTATAAGGTAAATCTGCTAAGGCAGTTAAACGAACATTATACGCCTTTTGATATAGAATATATTTCATTTTATGGTATACGACGATTGCATATCGTAAAAGTATCAGGAGAATCAACTATTATATGCGTTCATAATTCCATGGGTAATATTTATAAACTTGAGATTAACAAGTGGGATCGCTGTGAGCCTTCTGATATATCAGCCCTTTTAAATTCGAATAAAAATTTCCAAGACCAAACTGACTTTTATTTAGAGCAATTAGATCAACAAAATAGCATTATCCGCAATTTAACTCTCTGTTATAATTGCTCCAAGAAAAATATTAAAATTACCCTAAATAAGCAAGAAATTGAAAGTGAGAAAAGTGTTTGCATTTCTGTAATAAATAATAACTTTCTGGACTCGTGGTTTGTAGTCTGTACATTGAAATCTCTGCAGGAACGGTACGAAATTCAAAAATTAAGAAAAGCTTCCTCAAATGTTAAATTTTATTTTGATAAAGCTACTATTAATGAAATAAAGCCATATAAGATAAATATAATGTTTTTTTTCAACGATTCAAAAGGTATGGCTTCATTTTCAACAGATAATTTTAGCGATAATGACGATAAAGATGATGAAAATGGTGTTGATGAAGAAAATTCTCGAATTAAATAAGTGTTATGGAGCTATTGCATGTTTTTTTTTATCAGATCTGAACCTTTATTTCACAAAATCAACGACAAATATAATTTTATTAGAATACATGATATTATACAGAATAATGATTTATATTCATATACATTTTCTTTAAAATGATATTATATGCTTACGTACAGTATATGCAAATGTATTTACACATTTTTTATCTAAGATAATATAAGATATATTATCTAATTATTCGCTGCACAATCAGCAACTACTTCGATTTCTTCAGAATCTGATTCACAACTGCTGTTCTTTCCATCTCCATCATATTCGTCTCTATCAGCAGCCATTGGAGATTCCTGTTAAACATACGATAAGATTACGGAGGGTAAACACAAAAATAAATTATCCTAATATCGAAAATGTTTATTGCAGGTGTTAATTGCGTAGATAAAGGCACTGGGTTTTATTGTTATCAGACTGATTGATGTATATTGTATTATGGTACTTGCAGTTATATTAGCTACTTATTACTATCAACATATGGCACTTTTTCTTATATATCTACCTGTTTAAGGCGTCTCCATTTTGCTCGTCGGTTCTGAAACCAAGTTTTAACTTGTCTCTCGGTTAATTGCAAAGATTTTGCCAACTTCTTTCTTTCGGGGGGAGAGAGATACTTTTGATTTTCAAACTTTTTCTCTAATTCAATTGTTTGATCGTTTGAGAAGCGAACTTGACCACCTTTTCGTTTATGCAACGGGCGTTGCATGTACGGTCCCCACATATATGGTTTTGATGCTGTATAATGCAATAAACGTTAATATTTTTTAAAAATGTAATAACAATATCGTTTAACGATTTAATACCCTTACATAATTTGTATATGTACTATGTATCAGTGTAAACGGATACAACCACTTGTACGCTGCGCCACCTACATGCTTAAAGTGACAGTAACGATGACATATTACGGTTGTTGAAAAACGCTGTTTGTTTGCACGTTGCCTTATTGCGAATTGGATTTTCCGTACAGAGACTGTTTGTCGTACAGATTATAGACAACGCCAAATATCGACACAGTTCTCCTTGTTCAATTCTTTTTTTTTAAGTCTGAATAGAGTTTTATAAGTATCAAAACTTTATATTGATATCTGGAATAAGCTGTACTTGAATTCTTACTTATGTTTATCATTAAAAGATATGAACTTGAAGTAAATCGCCGATTTGGAATGTATTCATCATCATATAACAATGCTTAATAATGATTTTTTTTATGATACATATGGATATAAATTTTGTGTTTTATTGAACCACTACTTTAATAGCCTATTAAAACGTTACTACGCGTAAAATATAGGCCTATATACATGCACGAGTATACGCTTATGTCGGCTTTATTGAGTGTTGATGGCTTGAAACGCATTCTAAATGCGATATTTTTAGTCAATGAGGTTATAAACGTAATGGATATAGACATCGAAGTCCGCAAACAGGCTGGCGCCAGAATACTTTAGATGAATGGCTTATCTGAATTTTAATATTCTTAAGCACTTTAAGAACGGTGATAGGAGAGCATGAACACTTTTCAATTTAGGTGTCAACCTATTCAATCATATGTGTAGTAACATGTTGTTATGAATACATATTTGTATGAAGTTTTTCTTTGGTAATACATTTTAAATTTTAGAATATAGCTTGTTGAAAGGAACGACCCACTTAATTTTATTGAGCACGTGACTCCAACAGTGAGTGCATGATAATTGTCGAATAATACGAGAGAAGCGCCAGTTCGGCGCCATTTAAGATAGCGAAATGCAGATCGTAGGCTCCGTATGGTCTCTCTTATCATCTGATAATAGATAACAACAGCCATCAGCTACTATTTGCAACTGAATGTTAGAGATAACAAATTACTTGCCGCCTATTACAACTGACAAGACGATACAGTCTCTATTTACTGAACAATCTTCATCGGTTATAAATATAAAATATTTTTAAGTATATAGTCGTTTAAGAGAATTTGATAACAATTATATGCTTACCAAATGGACTTCTTCCTGCCGTAAAGATGGCCAAATCGTTTTGCCTGTGTAGAACGCTCATAGGTTGGACGAAAGATGGTTGAGACATGGGATGACCCATATAAGCATGTGAAGGTAGTCCTGAACAAGGGGTTTGGATTGTCAAAGGATAATTGTAGGGTAAATCTGGTAAAGTTGGTTTAAGATGAACGGTTTTCATAACTTCAGAGGTTGAAACATTTTTTCCTTTTCCGAGAATATCATCTATCATGAAGGAAGATGCGCATGAAGTGCCCCTTGCATGACGATTCTGAGCCGCCGGATGAGGTATTGTTACAGTCGGTGAAGCACCAGCCAAGGCAGGAGTCGGTAAATGTATCATATTTTTTACTCGTTGAACAACAGCAATTAAGCTCTATCAAGGAAAATCTGCATATGTCTCTGCCTGAACGTTCGGCCGTGAAGTGAGCAACGAGCGCGTATTCGCCAATCCACTCTTAGGCTCCTCCCACTTCTGCGCAAAGGGTCCAATCATTTTTTATTACATGGTGATCGGCGTTACCTTTGCTTACTCAAAAGAAGTCGTTGAATTTACGTAATTGATCAACTTTCATGCTCCTTACGGCAATTTTTTCTTAAGAAGACGCCTAGCAACCAGCAAAAGTTTTGCATATTTAATTTATTATGTATACAAGATCATGTAGATGGAGAGATTGTGATAAAGGCGGACCAGGGTAAAAGGTTTGTTTGCGCATTGAAGTCTCTGCAATTAATGTCGCCTGGTGCTACTATCGTATTACTATACGTCTCGCTGTGCTCTTTCCTTCATCTCTTTAGCAAACAACAGTCTCTTCCTTAGCTATCTTTCTGTCAGACGGATCTATCTTAAATTACTTAAAATATAAATAAACTTTACAAAGAAATTACTAAAATATATATATCGTTGTTCTCTAAGTGATTAATTGACGAAAGTATATAATATGATAAGATATAAAATTGAACTACTTATTGATAAATTATAATTCTAAATATAAAATTTATATGCATATACAGCACGGATATATAAATTTATATATATATATATATATATATATATATATAGTATATATAGTATATTAGTATATACTGTATGTTCTAAAGAGCCTCATCCTTATAATGCTGCATATTATCTGTTCACTTTTATTCTGATTGTTGAATTTTTAAATAAAAATGTATATATAAATACCGTATAATATAAAGAAATTACAAGTGTGTTGTATGCAGTATATATAGTTACGATTCAATTTCAGATAATAGTTAAACAATAAAGTAAATGTGTACGAAGGTTTATATTTACGGTTAGCTTAATATAATTCTTAATATATTCACCAATAATGCTAATTTCAGAATTTTTAATGGTGTCGTTTCACCTCCAGCTCGAGTTCGTGGCGCCGACAAGCACTGAAACCAACACTTATAATGTTGACCGTATTTTTTATGAGCTTGTAGTTGACTACAGCTTACAAGAGAAAGATTGACAAGCCCCTTCACAGTCATTTGCTACAAAATTGGCTCCTGTCTGACTGAAAGCAACGTCTATAAAGCGCTAGCGATATACGATTCGATTTACTTATCGAACTAAAGACGTTTAGTAAACTATATAGAACGATTATGTAAACGAACGAATTATGAAGGGGAGGGCTAAAGGGGAAGAGAGTGGGGAAACCGATTCTCGACAAGTGGTTTAGGTTATATAAAGCAAGTACGTACTGCATACTGAATACAAAACACGTCAGCAGTAAGATGACGTCATATAGACCACGTGATCTATGATGTAGTGCTGGCAAGGCAGGAATGTCAACATAGTAAGTTGATTGAGTATGTATACAAGGGTAAAAGTTTTAACGGAAAGTATAATAAGAGAGGGAAAGAGAGAGAGAGAGAGAGAGATAGAGACAGAATCACAGATAATGTCACAGACACGCAAGTCTCGAAATAATTCTTAATAAGACACTAGTCTTTATATTGCTTTCGATATCATCTTTATAACTTTATTAAGTTAGATATTTGTTATTTCTACGTATATCTTATCATATCACAACGTGCCGATATGTAAATTAGAAATGTGAATTTTATTGCACAATTTCTTTATACTTTATACATAACTCACTTCACGCATCGGTCACGTTTTTTAATTTTTAGAATGTTATTGAATATCATTGATTGACCTAGTTTACCTTTTAACTGGATGAGGAGTGCTTCATGGAAAATTTCCCATACGGTATTCAAATATTTTACAATTTGAACAAGGAATTAATGATTATGTTGTAAGAATAGAATCTTAATTCAATTGTTCAATTTTTTAAGTACATGGCTACTTTAAAATTCACATGTTGAATGTTTATTTAAATGTTAATTACAACGAAAGTTTTATTCGGCTTTTTCCTGAGCGGAAGTTATGTTGCGTAAGCTTTCAAGTATTTTATCTGCTCGGAAAATATGTGCTTTATTGATGGAGATTTCACTTTCCATATTATTTTATTTCCCTCTTTCCACGCATATACAGACGCACACGCATAAACATGAAACACTCGAGTCTCTTGACTCGCAAAGTGGTAAATTTTCAACAAACTTGGAACTTTTAGGTAATCAAGTTAAATATTGAACAAGATTTATATTCATTAAAGCTATCTTCCTTCCTGTACATTCACAGATTAAAGGAATACATGAATATTTACCCTTAAATACAAGAGAATACAGGACGGAAAAGACACTCCAAATTGCTGAGGATAAACGTCAACCGAACAGAATGCCAAGTACGTATAACATTTTAAGAGACTTTAAAGTCAGTGCAAATAGAATGTAGTAAGACGAGAAGATAGACAATATGAATAAACGAAAGATTTAGATGAGACGAGCAGGTGTTGAAGACTTGTATAAGATATTCCATTTCACAAACAGTATAATTTTTTAATTGTCGGAAAATTAGTGAGCGTCTAGGGAGCCGAATTAGATAAGAAAATTCGATTAATGGCCAGATAAGGTAGTTGTAAAGTGGAGATTTCAATGCAACATCGGTGGAGGCGTGTTAGCGCTCGTGTCTGATAGCCCCAGGACATTTTCTTGCAACTAGTTCTTTTTACTTGCCGACTCTTCCATTTTTTAAGTGTCAAGTTAGCGAGAGGAAAAAAATCTTGTCTAAACACTTTCCAGATATTTTATTACCTAGCGGTCAAATTTAAAAGAAAAAGTTTACGTATTTCTGTTGTATTTGGACAAAGGGAACAAAATAATTAAGCAAAATACCTAAAAGTCATAAATCATCTACAATTCAATATTATTACTAATGAGCTAAAAAAAAAACAATTTCATTTTTAGGCAATATCGATAACAGCTAGCAAAATAAAAAATATGGTATCTAATCTGGATTTTTTAATATCTTTTTTGTTGGAGATTGCTAAAAAAAGAATTTTTTTATATGGAAATGTAAAAAAAAGAAAAGAAAGGAGGATATTTATATATTTTTACCTAGAAAGAGAGAAATCAGTTGTGCCGAACAAATAAACAAAAAAGTACAATATAAACATATAAAGAACTGAGACATAAGCACAGTTAAATATTTCACTTTTTTTTTTATTCCTAACTTGTCTTTTTTGCAAGTTTACTTCTCATATAATTACGAAATAGAAAAATGCAGGAAAATTCACCAAATATGCAGAGTAAAACTGGCCCGAATGCAGAAAATACACTTGGAGTAGGTCTAGCGTGTAACTCATCGTACCTTAATATAAATTCTTCATGAACGGCGTCAAATTGCTTAATTGTGCACAAGCCAATAAAAATGTGAAAGATCGAATGCGAATGCATAACATAATTACATAAACCATTATGTAGTCTTTGGGGAAAATCTATCGTAAAGAAAAATCCGCTTATTATAAAATAAATTATTTGAAGCCTATGATGGTTTTCGGATGCTTTACAACTTTCTGTCTCTGTGAATGAGCATGTAAATAATCGGTGAAAAACTGGCGTTATTAAGACAATATAGATCAAGAGTACAGGCGTTATTTGCCAAATTTTCCTACTAAAAGGATATGGTCTTGTATACATAACTTTCGCTAAAGTACAGCAAAGACAAACAGCCACAGATAAGACTATTCCAAATAATGGGTACCAGTGGTGCCATCTATCGAAAAAATTTTGTTCACTGATAATGCAGATATGAAGAAGAATGCTTCCCATTCCATATAATCCTATACCTGCGTAATCTACCATAAATGCGGTGTAGTGCATAAGTTCTGACATAGAATGGAGTAGATGAGCTCCAGTGCTACTCAAATATAGAAAACCAGCACAAAAAAGGCCGGTAACTATAGGCCAGGCATGGGGATCGTTGACCATGTCAATGTCCTTAGATAAGTCATATGCTTTGTAAATAACAGCAAAAAATGCAGCAAGATGAGTCCAAACATTAAAGGATTCGTTATGTAATTGAAAAATACTTAAAAAGTAATTTTTCAATGGAAAATTAATTGGTCTGTATCCGTTTGTAACATAGGGTTCGTGGAAAACCAAAGGTGTCTTTTCTCGCCTTGTTCTATGTATGATGAGAGGCCAGTATTTTACATCCGCTTTCTCTATTAGAATAAAGTGATAATTTAATTAACTTACTGAATTATAACATGATATTAAATTCCAGTTTATCGCTCGAATACTTACTATGATTTTTTTTCCAAATATCTTTTGAAGCATAGTCAGTTTTGCCATTACCTATCCGAGCTTCAGTGCTTTGACTCATTATCTCTGCTTGTACACTCTCAATAGTATTGAATGAAAAAGATATCTATAAACTTAAGTCAGATGGTTCAGAATGAGATAAATGCATCAATGATTCACAAAAGGAAGTGCAGGTAAAAAGAAAACTGTCATTTTTCAAAAACAATTAATAATTTAAGACTATATTTAAAAGAATGATTTACCGTGACTAAGAATCTTCGAGAAAGCAAACAATATATGCTTTTGAGATAATAAAGGTATGTTAATTGATTTCGACCATGACCTTCACAAGCAGACGAAGAGTATAGTTGATCAGAATTAGCAAAAAAAAATCACCAGTTTTCAACACGTATAGTGCGGAATAGGTACCTGACTACTATAACCCTTCAACGGCCTTCAGTAACACGAGGTTTGCGTCAGAAAGTATATTCTGAACTATATTAAAAATGCTCTCGACTTGTCGTCAACGTCTTTGTTCTAACCAATATGCACTTGCTGCTACTCGTCAAATATTTTCAGGACAGTTGACAAATGTAAGTAAGAATTTGATTGAAAAAGTAAACCGCATGAACGATAATAAACGGGTCAAAGTTGCATCAACTCTTAGAGATATGTCTTATATTCCTTGTCAAAGTTGTGGTGAAAATAACATATCCCTTTCTGTTTTTTACTCTTAGGCCAATCAACAGCCCCTTCTAATTGCTAGTTTATCTAACAGCAATGTTCAGAAAAGACTTCGGTGAGTTTTGTTGGAATTACGCATTTAATGCTTAATTAACATGTTTCTTACGTAAAAGGTCGGACAAAGTCAAGGGACATGTTATTGGTATCGATTTGGGAACTACGAATTCATGTGTGTCCATTATGGAAGGAAAAATTCCCAAAGTCATTGAGAACTCAGAAGGTTCTAGAACCACGCCATCTGTCGTCGCATTTACTGGCGAAGGTGAACGCTTGGTGGGCATGCCCGCTAGAAGACAAGCCGTAACCAATTCCCAAAACACTGTTTATGCAACTAAAAGATTGATTGGTAGACGTTTTAAAGACCCAGAAGTTCAAAAGGATTTGTGAGTAAATCAGTCCTTTTTTCTGAATGTCATTGAACGTGACTTTTACATCATTAGGAAAAATTTGTCATACAAAATTACACAATCCACAAACGGTGATGCATGGGTTGAAGCTCAAGGCAAAGTATATTCACCAAGTCAAATTGGTGCGTTTGTTTTGATGAAGATGAAGGAAACAGCCGGTGAGTATAATTTAATCCGCTTAGCAAATAATATCTAATATTAATTTCCCATCTATTGAAAGATTCTTATCTGGGACAACCTGTTAAAAATGCTGTAATTACCGTACCCGCCTACTTCAACGACTCTCAAAGACAGGCAACCAAGGACGCTGGACAGATTGCTGGATTGAACGTCCTTCGAGTTATCAATGAACCAACTGCAGCAGCTTTGGCATACGGCTTAGACAAAGCCGACGATAAGATGTAAGTGAATAAATTTTTTTACTCCTAGCCAAAGTAAGTCAAATTCCCGAAATATGATATACTTTAAATTTCGGGGCCAAAGCTTTGGGAAACAAGTGTTTTCGCTTTTATGTGTAAAAGATAATTTAATATTTTTTGCAATGAAAGAGATAACGAAAATTTATTTTTCAGTATTGCCGTTTACGATTTGGGTGGAGGTACTTTTGATATTTCTGTTCTAGAAATTCAAAAAGGTGTATTTGAAGTCAAGTCTACCAATGGTGACACAATTTTGGGTGGTGAAGACTTTGACCATATTCTCCTGCAAGTGAGTAGTCGCTCTCTTAGTAGATTATTAAGTTACATCAGACTTAATTTACTTTAGTACTTGGTTACCGAGTTTAAACGAGATCAAGGAATCGACATTACTAAAGACAAAATGGCTGTACAACGTTTAAAGGAAGCAGCAGAGAAAGCGAAAATAGAATTATCTTCTTCGATGCAAACCGATATCAATTTACCATATTTGACAATGGACGCTGCTGGCCCCAAACATATGAACTTGAAATTGACAAGAGCTAAACTAGAGAGCTTGGTTGAGGACTTGATTAAGAGAACAGTAGGTCCATGCAATAAGGCCATGCAAGATGCCGAAGTAAAGAAATCAGATATCGGCGAAGTTCTATTAGTCGGAGGAATGTCAAGAATGCCAAAAGTAAGTTTATCAAAAAGTATCAAATCAATCTAATAAATTTATTTTTAAAGGTTCAACAAACCGTACAAGAAGTATTCGGTCGAACACCATCGAAATCAGTCAACCCTGATGAAGCAGTTGCAATGGGAGCTGCTATTCAAGGAGGTGTTCTAGCCGGAGACGTCACAGATGTTCTACTTCTGGATGTTACCCCATTATCTTTAGGTATATATATGAATATATATATATAATGTCAGTTAATTGAAGTTGATAAAGGATGAATTCTTTTTACTTTGAAAACAAATGAAAATATTTGCCCTTTTGCTCTCTGACAAAAAATATGTTATCCCAAAACCTTTGAATTATTTAGTGACAATCTCTAATCCCCTAACATTTCCTGTTAGGTATTGAAACACTCGGCGGAGTCATGACTAAACTTATCACAAGGAACACCACCATTCCAACCAAGAAAAGTCAAGTATTTTCCACTGCCGCTGATGGTCAGACACAAGTGGAAATTAAAGTTTTCCAAGGTGAAAGAGAAATGGCTAATGACAACAAGCTGTTGGGTCAATTTCAACTCGTTGGAATTCCACCAGCACCACGAGGTGTTCCACAAGTTGAAGTCACTTTCGACATTGACGCTAATGGCATAGTTAATGTCTCTGCCAGGGACAAGGGAACCGGAAAAGAACAACAAATTGTTATCCAATCTTCAGGTGGTCTTAGTAAAGATGAAATTGAAAACATGGTTAGAACAGCAGAAGAATTCGCAGAGGAAGATAGAATCAAGAAAGATAGAGTTGAAGTTGTAAATCAGGCCGAAGGAATCATCCATGATACTGAATCAAAGATGGAGGAATACAAAGATCAATTGCCTCAGGAAGAAATGGATAAAATGAAGGAAAATATCACAACTTTGAAAAAAGTTTTAGAAAATAAAGAAAATGAATCACCTGAAAACATTAAAAATGCAACTAATGAACTACAACAAAGTTCTTTGAAATTGTTCGAAATGGCATACAGAAAGGTATATAGTCAACAATATTTTTAAATTTAGGTGTACCAATTTATCGTGATGCCCAGATTTCATAATGTCTTGGCATTCAAAACTTTGGTTAAATTGTATTTCATTATCTCACAGCAGATTCTTTTTTAATTAGTTAATCTGTGTCAAGATTAATGTACATTGGATTTTCTTTTTTTGCAGATGGCATCGGACAGAGAAGGATCCAGTTCATCTGACAATAGCAGCAGTTCCGGTTCTGCTGATCAAGATAAGAAAGAAGACAAAAATTAATATTTCGAATGTTGTTTAATCAATTAGTACATATTTCTTTTACGAATTTGCGAATGAGTGCTTAATTTAGGTATAAATAAAAGAACCTATACAGTAACTTTTTTTGATATTTGTAACAAACGAAAAGCAGCGATCAAAATCTTATATTACCTTAATGGTATTGTTTGAAAGTCAGATAAGGAACTTTCACCTATATTAGAAATGAAGATAGCGCCAAAGATAACAGAATCAAAAGTGCGGGCCACTTATAGACATATATAAAGGTTATTAGGTCATAAAACGCCTTTAACCTAGAAATGTAGAGTTTAAGTATAATTAACGGGTCAGCTTAAAGACCGAGTGATTAACGTGAATATTCTCCAACAATAGTTAAAAACAGTTTTAAGTCAATCTTATAACATTTTATAAAAGTCTAAGACATTTGTCATTAGAAATTCATTTTTAAGTTGTTGGACCATTAGTATATTCTCTTTTTAGCATAGAATAGATTCAATTAAAACTAAAATTTCTTAATTTCAATTATAGATAGTAACACGCTTTTTCGGTGAATGTTTTACACTTCCGGTCCTGTTTCAAGACCTCGTAAAAACTGGTATTTTTTTCCGATAGAGAATAAATATATTTTACTTATACAAGAAAATTGTAAAAAGAGAGAGTTTATAAAAGTCTAAAGATATCCATTTAGATAACCTTATGGCTGTTGACGCTGCACATTTGACTTCGACTATTTCTGAAGATGATCGCCCATCAATCTTTGACATTGTTGCTCAAGAGAGCATGCTTAAATGCCTTCAGCCGGCAGTGGAACATATAACAAATGTATATAAATGAAATATATCGTAGATTTACTAAATTAAAAATATCCAATTATAATTTAGATACTTGCCATAAAAAAACCTGAAATTTTTGGAAAGCTTCAAAAACATTGCAGAGAAGTTTACGCAATACTGGCATTGTTTCTAGAACACCATTACTTGAAGAATTACAGTAAGTTCAATCATAAATATAAGTAATGGCAGTTAAAAATAATTTATAATTTGAAGATGGATCATTTTCCGAAAATTTTTATGGTTTAAAGAGAGTTCCGTTGTTCAATCAGAAATGGGACAAAGTTGGCTTACCAATATCTCAACATGTTAGTTCCTTATTTTGTCTGGTTGCAGTTCCTTACATAATAAGCAAACTGAAAGATAAATATGAAAATGACTTTACTGCAGACACATCAACTCTTGGCGGTCGATTTCGTCTGACTGTCTTTCCGTTTGTTCATTTCATAGAAAATTTTTCCAAAATGAGTTGCCTATTGGCATTCGTACTTGGAAAGCTTAACTTTCATTCACCTTTAATGCTTCTCTCCGGTTGTCGTCTTTCCAATTTGTCAGAAGAGGATATAACATTGTTTAATGCATCGTCAATGGCTGAGAAACAAACTTTTCTTCAAAAGTTTACAAGTACAGTCAGCACTGCTCTTGCCGTATCAGTTTCTTGTTCTTTGTTTCTACTCCAATTTTTGGACTGGTGGTATAGCAGTGAGCAGAGTAAACCAGCTAGAGAGTTAAATGTTAAAATTCCAGCACCACCTAATGTAAAAAGTTCTCAAGAAAAAAACACTTGCCCATTATGTTTAAACAACCTGGTAGCTCCGACTTGTCTAGCGGTTTCGGGCTATGTTTATTGCTTTAATTGCATCGAAAATATTGTCGCAAAAAGAGGAAAGTGTCCTCTTACAAATGTAAATTGTTGTATAGAGCAATTGATTCGTATTAATGTGTAAGAGAATAAAAAAATGCCAAAGTTTTTTTTTATGAAGTTGTATTTTATTGTTAAATCAACCAGAACATTGATTTTAAACGCAGTATTTCACGATGTCGAGAAATAAATGCAGAGATTCAGCGCTTATTGTTGAAGTTGACCCTTGTATTTAAAGTCAATTCCCTTGATGTGATCGACCAGCCATTGTTGCATATAGACGAGCTTGTCATCCGGTAGAGGTGCACTTAGACTAGAGCATTTTTCTAAGAAAGAGAATTAAGAGTACAGTGTATAGAGTAAACAGATTTATATAAGCGTGTTTAGTACGTACCAACAAATTCATCGTGAGCTTGCTTATGGGTATCAAAGCCAGAATATTTCGAGGTCTTCATGATTTCTTCTTCGTCAGCGAAATGCTCCTTGACTTTCTTGACACAAGTGCCAAAAGTAGCATCATCGTTGCTTTCAGCGCAGGCAAAAACTGCGTCAAAAAGACCTTTATGTTGTTCATCTAGGGTCTTGTACTGTTCGAAAGAAAAATAGAATATAAATTTACATTTACTTTCAACATTCATAATATAACAAGTTATTGGATAAAAATACATACGAAGACTTCGAATTCTTCACTCCATTTGAAAGGCTTTGGGATTGGGAAGGCCATTTTTTTCTTCTTGAAATGTTTTCGACGTGAACTTCTCTCAGTCCGAAACCAGTGTGACGAGATGAAATTTTCGTCGCCTTTTATACACCCTGACCCATTAGTGGCTGACGTGACAATTTAAACGTTCGATCTTAGACAATGTACTCTTACTTAACCAATCAGCAATTGTTCTTAGACTAATTTTTTATACGTATGTCTAGGATGGTCTGGGAAAAATTTTTCGTACTTAATTTTACTGACAAAGAACAAAGTGTAAATTGACGATTAGTACTTTATAAAAGTCCTTAAGTTATCATTTAAGAAGAATAAATCTATAATATAAACAAAAAGTTCGTTTCAATTCCAAAAATCTCCCGTATTGGATAACCAAATCCCTCCCAACGGTTTTTGCCATGCTTAGAGAGTTCTTTGTACTTGTGCAACCTATTTAACATACATATTTCTAGGTTTAAAAACTTAAAAGTTTGTAAATTTAATATAAGAAAAATCTCTATGGGCTACGTGACATTTGAGTATTTTGGGCAAAAATATATGTCATTTTTTTTGACGCTTGATGGAAAAAACTACGGTCACCTCTAACTTGTCCTTGGCACGGAGTTTAAGGTCAAAATTAATTAACCCTAATGACTAAAATGATTAAAGATGATACTTTCTTATATCTCTATAATTTGCACGTTTTCTAATAATAGACAACAATCTATATTGCACAAGGCATATCCGTGATAATAGCGGAAAAAACTAGGATTTTTGGCTCCGTACTACGTCATTTCTCTTTTGTACCGATAAAACAAGGAAAAATATCTCTTAACAAGCTAATATAATATATATTGAAAGGAATATGTAAAGAAAGAAAGGGCCGACATAGTATTCTTCTTCTTTTCCATCCCCTTTCTCCGAGTCACGTAGTATTCTTAATAAACGGGGAAGTTGCAACTATTCCTAATTGCTGGAGGGAAGAAAAACTAAGAAGGCGAATATATGGTAAAACTATCAATCTATCTTCATGTATCTTTATCCTAATTCAATAGTATTCAATCAGGAAGATAGCATCACGTGTTTCCTACTTAAATATTATGTATCGAATTTCTATGATATACTCGATGACTCGTGTCCTAGTTTTATAGAAAAGTTTGTTATACTTTAGCGCGTAAGGTCATCGTAGTTTATTTCTTCAGTCAATGTATGAGGTAAACTAAGTGAAGAACAGAGATGTATTAAGATAATGATATATATTATACAGAACTCAACGACGAAGGTGCTGCTAATCGGATTATCAGTCCAATCTTATTAAAATCTTTCTCCATTTTTTGCCTGTTTAATTTTTTATATCTAGGACAAATTATTTTTCGCAAACTGAAACTTGTTGAAACTCTAATGACAACCTCAAGGCTATATTAGGCCTTGTTATAATAAATGATCGGAAAATGATACAAATTCCGAGCATTTAAGTTTAGTTTACTCGTCAGTTATAGTAAAGCAATCTAATATAAGTCTATCAGGTAGAGAAGAATTAGGAAAGAATAGATCCACATAGACATAAGTAGTTAAATTACTATGTATATTAGAAATTTCCCAGAATTTCTATATTGATTTTCGTATGGTTATTCCTTTCTATTAATGTACTGTATGATATAGCATGAAAATTTTCCATAAATTCTCTACTTAGAATATTAAAAAGATTATTCCCGTTTTAGGATTTGGTACGATTAAATTTTGGGTGTGATTTATTGTATTTTCTTGAAGACAATGATAAAGATTATGTAATACAGGATTTCCCTTATTCATCCCATCTATCTATTCTGCATTGTTTAAATGACAATTGTCCGATAGATTATGCACATACCGTATATACTGTATATTGAGTTCAAACTGAACGTTTTAAATAAACAACTCCTTTTTTTTAAAGAGACAAATAGATGACTTTAACGATAGGTATAAAAACAAAAAAAACTCTCCTCCCCTAACCAGAAAGATATGAGTCATTTGGACAATGTTATTTGTCCAATTTAATTAACAATCCCCTAATTCCGATCCCACCTAAGTACTTCTTTTCGTTAGCTTCGTTCCAGGTATTGATCCTCTTAACAAAGGGTTTGTAAACATATTGACAATATTATACAAAGTGCTGTACAAAAATAAAGTTACGTTGTTTATGAAGAGTGATTTTTCTATTATTATATACTTTATATAACGATAACAAACTAATTCATATATTGATATAAACAACATATTAATCAATATTCCATATTATAGCCTATTTAAACAAGAAATTATTCTCCTCTTTTAATCTTATTCGAATTCTTTTAGAAAACAATTAAACTGTTAACAAAGTTTTTACGCTCGTCAATAGGCGTCTAATTTAGAAATAGTAGCAATCCCCGTAGGATAGATATTTAACAGTTGAGGATACATTTATTGACTCAACAACAATAAGACAAATTATAAGCACGTTATTTTTACAGAAGATAAATGCTATTGTTAAGTCTTCAAGATAATAAAATTACTTTGTTTATATAGAACGTTTCGTCTGATTCTCTTTCACTCTTTTAATACAATAAACAATCATCTAAAGTGTGCATAAACTATTAAAGTTCAAGGTTAATGAATCAGTAAAATAATCGAATAAATATTCTTACTTAAAAATAGGTGGGTTTAGTTTCAAGAATATGGTAAAATATTAAAACTGAACCCATCAGATACAGCCCTAAGGGTTGAAAAAAGTGAATACTTATATATTTGACCCTTTAATAAATATTTAAATATTTAAATATAACCGTTATATTTTAAGTATAAAAAAAAGCATAGGGTACACAGAAGTTAATAGTAGTTTGTTTTGTTTTTTTTAAGCAAAAATCATAATAAACTAATAAATCATTACTATAGAAAACTCAGTTATTAAAATTTATTGCTAAATGTTTGCATGTAAACATTCGATTTTTTTTTATATTTTTGCCCCCGCTTGTCCTTCCGTAATATTATATTATCTATACTCTTTTTAACAGTCAATAGTAAAGTTCAAATACCGCTTATATTCAGTTTTTGATATGATTTTATATACTTAAATGGATTTCTGGGTATGAGAATGGTTGAATTTCGTCAATTCATAATATCGTGGCTAAAAAATGGGCAAACTGCCAACTTTTATCGTCTTCTATGACTAACTATATTTAGCATTACGTAATTCTTGAAAAATCTAAAGTATATTTTACAATTTGGTTAGGAATATCACATAAGAATATCAAGAACTTTTAGAAGTATTATTCATTGAACGAACTTCTTTCGTAGAAACGAATTTTTTGCGGATTTTGTAATCACTAATGAGGGTCACGTGTGCATTCATTAGAAGGGCTTATTATCACTATAGACTGTGCCGCCTCTAGCGGTTGTTATAAAATGGAATAATTTATGGGTGATATTAATAATATTTTATTGTTAAAGTTAAAGAAAAACTCAACGTCACTCAGGAAAAGTCCAAAATTTATTGTAATAATTTTTTTCTAATTGATTTGTTTCTTAAATAAACAATTATAACCCTACCATAACATAGGCGGCAGCACTGTCAATAAAAATAGAAGGCAGTTCACCGCGTTTATTCTTCCTTCTCTGGCGACTCTTACTTCCGCTGGCAATGACGAGCTAAAGAGGAGCAAATATACGGTTTTCTCAAAACAGAGAGATGCAGTAAATTTCTTACAAACAGATCCGATCTCTTCGAATAGCTCTGAAGAAAATGACGCGTAAATATCTACAATAAACGGTAAGATATCTATGTACGAGGTTGCAAACACGCGGGCGAATTATAGGACGATGAAGTGACGTAACAACGCATTTGAAAGATTCAATTTTATTGTCGGGGTTCGCTAGATTAGTAGCAAAGCAGTAGGTCGATTAGATGTCCTATGTATTATTTACGTAATGTAAGTCTTGCTAATGACTCTGATCGACCAGACAAATTGTCAACTGGCACAGAATGATTTCTATTTATTTCTTTTCACAGAAAGTATGATTTTCAAGTATTCGTTTTATTTGGTATGCTGAAAAACACGATTAAGCCGATCTTTGGAAGGATGCTCTCGCTACCGATTGTTTGGCTGTCTCTCGTGCCATGAAATTGAAGAATTCTAAATTTGAGTGTTGGCAAGACTGTTCCTTGTCCTCTATTGTATCTAGGTGCCTACGTTCCTGGTTAGAGGAGGAACTTGAAGCTCGCGGTATTGATTCTGTAGTATACGGAAGACATATTGTAAAATTGTTACTGAATGAAGAATACGACTCCAAAGGTGAAGGGAAGCAGGACGTATTGGATATCTTAAAAGCCGCGGTCGACTCATCCGTCGACGTCACAGACCTAGTTAAGTTCGTCGACGAATTACAGTCAAGAATTTGGACGGTTGTGAAGTCGGAGGACCAGAGCGACAGCGGAATATCCGCCCAAGACGCGAGCTCGGAGGATGACGAACAGTACTCATCAGCTTTTCCACCACTTCCCAGAAAAGCTGATGATGCCGCCACAAACAAAAGTTTATCAAATGCCCAATGGCGTCCGCCTCCAAAGGCAGACACTATACCACCGTTTATCGTCGCCCGTTTGTCGGAAGAAAGGGATATGGAAGAAGCAGTTGTAACTCGCCGCCGACCAGTTTTTCTAACAACTAACAGCAATCTTCCTGAGCCCTTGAACTTACCGCCCGACGACGACAAGCTGGGTCTTCAAAATCTTCAAATAACTCTAGGCAGTGAGGACAGAGGTTTAAAGGATATTGTTGACTTCGTTCTAGAAGACGACAAATCGGAAGTGGTGAGCGTTCCTGAACCAAAGCGACCTATTTGCACCTACGAAAAGCCATTGATATTAGGTAATTTCTCCCATTCAGCGGCTTTTGAATTAGGAAATTCGGAAGTTTGGTCGTTGAAAGCGGGTGCGGTTGAAGACGGTTGGCGTCCCAAGAACGCCTCTTGGCTACACACATCCGTCAACTCGGCTTTCTCGTCTTTTTCGCGTACCGAAAATTTTACGGAAGTGAAAGCTTCTTCTTTTGTCCCGTTTACGTTCAATAAGCACGAAACTACCTTTAGACCAATAAAGGAAAGAGATGATGACGAGAGTACGCCGAAGCCTGGTCAGCAATACTATCAGTATTCGGACAATCTGTACGCACCCCAATTTAAATTGTTTGGAAATTCTCTTACTGATGCTCCCCCTCCATCTCCCGCCGAAAGTGAAATATCGATGGAACTTGGAGCGGAGGCGAGTTGGTGGAGTAATGGTAAAGCTTCACCATGTAGCATGGAGGTTGGGCAGAATTTTCTAAAAAACTACACTGAACCGATCTGGGCGGGTCGGAAGGAGGAGAAGACCAATAAACCATGTCAATTTTTCATGGAAGGAAATTGTACAATGGAAAATTGTAAATTTGAACATGATTTGTCCAAAATTGTTTGTCGCTACTGGTTGAAGGAAAGTTGTTTTAAAGGTTGCTTTTGTCCGTTCAAGCACTCGCTTGATGTTGATGGAGAGAGAAGGGATGCGGGTGATTGAACACGTAAATAATATTTTGCTCGTAAGTTAACAATTGGATTATTCGATAGTTCATCTAATTAATATTAAAACTGTTGCAGATTTATCAAAAAAAAAAGAAAAAAAAGAAAAAAAGAAAAAGGAGAAAAAAAAAATAATTCAAGATGTAACAAGGCTGGGTGTATACGACATCATTTTTCTCGCTTTATTTATCTATTTTTGTTGACCTCAACACTTATGTAGCCATCGCAGTTTTGCCTGTATGCAAATTGTGAAAGTGAACATATAGTCAATATTCGAACGTTCTATTGTATTCGCGTTTATTATAGTTTTAAAAAAAATTATAAAAAAAACTGAAATTCGAAAATACACACATTTAACATCATAGTTAAAACGATTAATAAATATGTTGTTTTCTACAATTTTGCTAGAACACACAACGAAACCCCAGTTGCAACAAATCCGACGCCAATATAAGTGTCTGAAATATCGGTTAATTAATAGTTATTTATTCACCTACTAATAGGGACTACGTACTTTTCGAGCCTATATTTTCCTTTAACAAGTAACCTGAGAGTAAGGTGAAGATGAACGTCAATGAATTTGTAATTGGAACAACTAAGGAAATATCTGGAAGAAACAAATACGTTAAACTAAAAAATATAATAAAGTAAAAAATAATCAAGAGAACCTGAATTAGCCAGAGCAATATAATAGAGAACTGAGCCCGATTGATTAAGCACAAATGTAACCATGTACTGTAGAGGTTATTCAAGAATTGAAAACAGAAATACAATTGAACGTTGATATTATTATTTTATTTCTTACTTTCCAATTAGAAATAAGGAATTGAAGCTCACTGAAAAACTGTGAAATACAGTTGGATTCCTGAATTTTTTCTATACCAGCACCGGCTTTCTTCATAAGGGGATTTGTGCCACCCCATAAAGCAGCGACAACACCCAACCACAGTGTTTGAGCTGTAAACATAATTTGTTTCTCGACGTGAAATAGATTATGCAGAGAAATGAATATTTCTTTTACCAATAAGATCAAAAGGATCCAAAACGGTTTTCTTGGCTTGCATATTTAAACTATTTTGACTTTTGTAGAATGATACAGTATATTCTATTTCCTAATCCAAGGAATTCTTAAGGAATTGTTTAAATGAGAGAGAATCAGTTGATTTAACAAACTGCCAATGTTAACAAAGAAGCGCAAGATATTTAGTATTCTTAAATTAAAAATGTAATGGTAACTACTTAATTAGAAGGAATGCAAAATAGATTCCTCGATTATAGAGTTCTTACGAAATACGGACGGGACATCGTTCTAAAATTTTTGCTTTAGAATATAGTTTAGTCTTTCGTGACGCATGCGCGCTAAGATACGATTTAAGATTATTAACATTCGTCTGTTGAAGATGCAATAGGGAGAAATGGCGTGACTGGTCTCTCAGTCCTGTCCCTCCACCTAGCGACGTTGAAAAGTGGAACGATAATTTAAAAAGACTCTTAACATTTTCTACAAGGACGGAAAGCTTTTACTTGCCATCGAACGGAAGGAGAAACCTACTGAAAAGATACATTTGACATTTGTAAAAACTATAAAATCAAGAATTAGATAAAAAAAAAAACAAAGTTTTAAAAAATCTTAAGAAGTTGTCAAAATAGAAAATACTACTTCAATACAAGAAGCTATATATAGTTAAATAAATAATATATATAGAGAACAATTACTGATTACTTTTCTCTAATTGTTAATAGTGTTTTTAATATAAATAATGGAGAGTATATTTTATTAAGTTTACTTGTTTTGAGGTTTTCAATTTATTATAAATATTATGCAATAATAATTTTTTGAGTAATAATTACTGGGTGTTAATATCCTTAAAAGGATATTAAAATCTCTTTATATCTTAGAAAAGAATCTTTAATTTTGAAGATAGCTTTGTTTGAAGCCCAAGTAATATTATAGTGAGTGGGTTTAATTAATCATCCTGAGAGCTACATAGCTAATAAAGGTACAAATAGTAGAAACAAGGATGAGAAAGAAAGGGAATATATATATATATATATATAGATATTTCAGTAATTGATAAAAAGGGAAACAATATTTATATTTAACAAAAGACTTCTTTTAATGATTTATCATGTTTTTAACGTTATTCACGTTATATCTATTTGACTTTCATACTCTTTATTGCCTTCTCGTAATATCCTTGCCGAATGAAATCATCGATGTACTGAATCCTTAAAGTATCTTCCGATATTTCTGCAGCTTGCTCCAATAACCTTAAAAGAATGGAGTGATTGTTATCAGATGGTCTATAGTTAGTAATTTGTCCTCGTAGGGCTGGAGGGATATTCGTTAGCTAAGGAATAGAAGAGGGAGGGAAAAAAAACCAGGAAAAAAATTCAATTTAATTTCTGAATTCCGAGAAATGACAATCATTCTTACTAATTTGGTAGAATCATCTTGAAAGAAATAAGATATATCCTTTTTAGCCCTTTTAAAACCTTCCTTATTCAATTCCGAACAATCGAAATGATCGTAAAATTCTTGTAGATAATAAAAATGATTTTTGTGTACTTCGTATCCGTATTTTTTAGGTTGATAATCATCTATAAACTCTTTGAAAGATCTTCGTAAATCTGAAAATTAACGACATCTATTGAACTTAGACGACAACTAGATTTTCCCTTTTTTTAAAGGAAACCTTACGTCGAGTTGTAAAGATTTGTTTCATTGTATATTTTTCAAATGTTCCGTTATGGTTTCTCTTGAATTTACCATTGAAATCGATAAAAATCCTGTAAGAGAATAGTACAAACGTGAACTAGTTTCTTTTCTAAAGTCTACAGTGGGCATAAAAAAATAAGAGACAAACCCCTTAGGCTTTAACAGACGGCAACCCTTATTATACTCATCTGTTAATTCATAAATAAGTAAAAAATCGCTATATTCCTTAGCAAGTTCGTTCTTAAGATCTTTGTACATGACAGCTAAACGCTCATTAATGTCTTTGGGATACTATAGTCATATGAATTTATTAATATCCTATCAAACACTGTCATATACTTTTTTTATACGTGATCTGCATGGATTTTCTTGTAATAAACATTAATTAATCTCTTCTGTATTCTCTTTCTATTGTTTTCATTTTTTTCACTAAGGTATTTTTCATATTCAATTTGAAAAGGTATTTTATCTAGGTGGAATCCTCTATCTTTCAAGAACGTTTCGAAACAATATCTGCAATCTAATTGTTAAAAATATTTGATTGTTACATCTCTTGAAATTTCATATATTGTACTACAATAGAATTACTTAACTATATATAAAATATAGTATATAATATACCAGCGTTTCTTAAGACCTGCTTAAGAGTTGGATTATCAGGGCCAACTTGAAGGGTATATTCTGAAGAGTTGTTTCGACTTGAGTTTTATTTATAATGTAAATGAAAATAGATATATAATTATTGCTTATTCGATTAAGTAAATAATAAATAACTCCTATCTCTTTAATCTATAGAATAAAACAAAATAATAATGACAAACCTATTCGTTAAAGATGAACTCATTTCTCTTTTAGTATTTTTCTTAAGAAACTTTATAGAAGAAAAGAAATGCTAAACTACTATTTATAAATTGTACTAATAAAAAATTTAAAACCGTTTATGTCGTATTTATTTGCTTTTTTTTTATAAAAAAAAAAGAGAAAAACCATATTTGTTTTTATTTTTGTAAAATTTTATTCTATACTCACCGTTACAATTCATTGAAAAGAACGTTCTGTATCCATACATATATATTTGGTCTATAAGAAATACTGTTTTCTCTTTATGCATCCATAGAAAATAATATAATGGAGCGAATATTTTTCTTTGATATACTGTTACATATTTCATATACTAAAAATCTCTTCGTAGTAAAAAAGAAATCTATTAGATAAATATATTGTTGTCCCTCTACAATATATATATATAATATATATATATATTAATATTCATTTTTAAGATTCCTAAATCAAATTTTACATTAAAAAAATGATTAAATAATCTTTTTTTTTCATTTACCATATCTTCTCTTCTCTCATACACACTCTTCTTCATATCTCTTTCCCGCTTTTTCTTCTGTCTTCTCTACTTAATTTTTTTTTCTTTTTCATCGATTATTTTCGTAGGTGACAATTTGTAGACAAAACAGTAGTTCCTGCATAAAACGTTATTACATAATATACCGTTCTTAAGTTGTCTAAAGAGGAAATACTGCATTGTTTTGTTAAACATTTGTTTACCCAAAGTATTTATTGCAATTTATATATGTATATATATATATACCTTTTTGTAGAGTCTATCATAAGATCCTTCTCTATTGAGTAGTTTATTAGATTTCCTTTTCTTACACTAGAATTAACAAGCTAGTATTTTGTTTTCAATAAGCCTCTTTAAGATTATTCTATCACCCTTATAAATGCATAATTTAGCCTTACAAATTAGTAAATACTATTACTAAAGGAGAGGAAAATGGACACTATGAAAGAGAAAAACTTATTTATTGAAAAAGGGTATCTTTGTTTGAGTAAAAACATAAATAATAGACGAAAAAAACGCATTACAAGTCATTAGGAATGAATAGTTTGAAACAATATTTTTTAATAATCGAAATGTTTGAATAATTATTTTTGTTTAAAGAGAGAAATTCCCATCAATATTTTCAATTTTATCAACAAAAGTAACCTATTTTCCTCCCCCATCCGTTCAATATTTCTTCTCTTCTCTCCGTTTTTGAAATGTTTCGTCATAGATATTTCTATTGATCGTCCTCCTTTCTCTTCTTTAGGGATTTTTAATTTATGGGGAAGCAATAGAGATTGTGATTTTTCTTCAATCTGTTGAAAAAACACCGCAAAAGTTCACTTAGTGTATCCATTACATGTTTTACCAGATTAGAAAGAGGTTTGCCTTTTCTCTTTTATATATATATAAATATAAAAGGAATCTTTTATAGTAGAAATTAAAAATTCTGATATATTAGTATTATGAACGAGAATGGAAAATAAGGTCAAGGCTTTCCTAAGAGAATCTCAAAGTGAAAAATACTTAAATTTAGATACAATGATTTAATGAATAATTTGAAATAATAAGCCCAAAGTGTGAGTCGGTTTTCAATGAGTTTGAAAAATGGTCAGATTCCAGGGAAAACACACTACAAGGAATTTGATGTTTAAATTAACATATTTTCTTATGCATTTGACGATAAGAAATAAATGAGTGCAATTAAAGGTAGGGAAGAGGGAAAGGGAAAATAAATGCACATAGACAGATGGATAGAAAAGAGTAAATTGAATAAGTCAGAAGAGCTAGACAGGGAGAGACAGAAGAAAAAAACAAAGGTACCGGTCTTATCCATAAACTAATTAATTAGCTGAATCAGTGTTTGTCATGTTTCTCTATTACGTACACTTCAACAATTACTATAGATTTTACAAACGTATACTTGTTTTTTGGAATGAAACACTTTAACACACAACTGCTCATCACGAGGCAACGGCCCACCTAGGTATGTAGTTTGCTAAATTATTTTTATAAATACAGTGTAAGCGATATTTCTCATTAACTGATTCATAAATATATATATATGTACAGTATATATACATTACATACTGTATATAAATAAAACAATGCAATCGCTATCCATATTTATCAACTGTCAACCTTTTGTTTTATTTCCTATTGTACACATTTTCGTAGAAATTTGACCAAGAAATGTAACGGAATTTTTTTGCAAACATTAATAATTTTTATATAGTTTTTCCTCGTATTCTCTTACCATATGAAATTGTAGTTGAGTCCTTTTCAAAAGATAATAAAAATATAAAATTTAATATTTGTTTATCTCTATGCCTTTGGTTAATTATCCTTTGACTTTTCCTATGGAAGATCTACCTTTAATAATAATATTCTTTGTTTTATACCTCAATACTAGAATTTTTTTTTGTTACATTATTATTATTGTTTGTCATTTTTCACTGCATTGTTTGCTTATAAGATCAATATAGAGTATTAATAGTTCTTCTTACTCTTAACTCTTAATTTCATTATACAGTGTATAGCATCTCAAAAAGAAAGTAAACTGTATTACTCTATTCTTATACACACTCTTTTCATCATATCCAATCAATCTTTGCTCTTTTGTCAATCGTGGTATATTTTGAAATTTTCCCCAGGGACGTCAGTCAATGAAGTTAATGGAATCATTTCTGAAAAGGACTGTTCCTTATACATTTCTTACTTTGCACTTAATGAAAGAACATTCTAACTGAGATAAATTATATGTACATATTTATTATTTGGAATGTTCATTCTACTTAAAGAATTTTTAATATTAGAAAGTCAACAAGATGTTAGACTTTTTTTTGTCGTTTACGAAAACAACCTCTATAAATAGCACCTAGAATTTATTCTATGAATTCAAAACTACTTTATGTTCCTTTAACTCTTCGTTATAGTAGATTATTAAATTGGGTAAATAGACTGTAAACTGCTCACTGAATGGGGCTTTTAATATTGCCGGTTGAAAGCTTTATATAACGCAAAAATCTCGGATATTAACCCATCATAATGAAAAGTTAAAGGAAGGGGAAACAAACGAATCACGTTTCGTCAAAGGACAAAAAACATGATAGGTAAAAACTGACAAAATAGGAAATTTCTAGTTACTCTAGTAGAATAAATTTTTTTTTTAGCTTCTCTTTTTTTTTATAAAAAAAAATTACAAACTAATCTAACAGAGATAAAAATATTAAAAATTACTATAAAATTACATAAAAGAAGGAATTAAATTGAATATGTCAATAAGCTATTATTATGTGTATGATTATTCTAACTATAGAGACAAAGAAAGAATAGTATTTGCATTTAAAAATCTCTGATAAATGGTTGGAAATTAATAGCGTAATGCTTTCTCTTCATCTGTACGTTTTCCTCTCAGATTATATAGTACTATATATTACTTATTGTTACCAACTGTAATATTACATCCTTATTCATTACGTATCTTTCCTATAATTCCAAAGCCCTAAATGTAACAAATCAGAATTGGCTTCTCTGTTTTGCATGTAATTACAGTTTTATTCATCTTGTAAAATATATAATAAATATCTATTATCCTCTATATTCCTTTTTTATACGAATGTAAATATATCGGCAACTTTCTCTTTCTATTCCATATTAATATAATTCTTTCAGAGTCTCTCTTTAACTCCGAAAAGGATCTTTTCCCCTTTGAGATTTAATAATGTAAAAACAATTTACTCTACTACACATTTACAATCATTTTTATGTCTGATTTATAAAAGATTTCTTAAATTTTTAAATAAAATAACGATGGGGATTGTCCTTGTGGAATGGCTAAATGGCTAAATATTCAATAGAATTTACCAGGAATTTTAGGTTATCACTAAAATCAGAGCTGTTTAAGCTGTTTACAAGGATAATAGTTAATGTATGGTGAGTCTAAGTTCTATCATGAATAGAAAGGATTGAACTTTATGATGTATATTTGGACAAGATCCAATTTTTTTTCTCTGAGTAATGTTCGCGCGAAAAGTGTGAAAAAAAAATGCTCCTTTTTTAGTTCAAGAGGATTAAAATTGGAGCAAACCGGAAAGGAACATCACTCAAACAAATATCTAGTGGGGTTTTATAATTTTACGTTCCATTATCTCAATAAGTCAAGTATTTAATTCCAATTTACAAGATAATCTGTATAAAGGTTAAATCTAGTTAAATCTTTATTAATCTTATCGCATTTTCGTTTTGTTTTTTTTGTGCAAGAATAATCCACATTAAGAGTATTACATATGAAGAAAGTATACTCGAGATTCTGTACAATCTCTCCAGAATAGCCGTTAATATAATTGTCATAGTTATTGGAACATCTGCGTCCTCCATCCTTTTTGGATACTACGAGGCGTTTATTAAAATTAGATTGTAAAAACTAGCCAATAACTAGACGGATTTTTCTTATCAAATAAATATTTTTGGATCTTTTATTACAATTTATTATTAAATATTAAGACGCAAGTTTCAATTACTCATCAATTTGTTCGTAAATCAATTTTTTCTTTAATAATCTTCCTCCTAATCGGTAAAATCTGTTTGTTTATCCAACAAGTAAGCCACCTTCAATTGGTAAAAAGGCTCCATTAATCATTTTCGAGCTATCTGATAGTAGGAAAAAAATTGGGCCTACTAAATCGTCGAGTTCTGCCCAAGGAAAAAGAGGATACTGATAAATTGTTTTTTTAGGAATTTTTTTATAACGCTTACCAACAAATCGTCCCAGTGGAATTCTTGATAGAACTGGCCCAGATACTGTAGGGTCAGACCATGCTTTCTTTCCCATGTCTGTCATGACAACTGTTGGATTAATAGAGTTTACTCGAATTTGATGCTTCCCCAATTCGATAGCCATGACTCTTGTTACTTGATCAAGCGCTCCTTTAGATGTGCAATAAGCAATATGCTTATCTAATGCCCGACTGGAAGCAACACTAGAAACATTGACAATTGATCCATCAATATTATTCTCAATCATTCGTTTAGCTACCTGCTGACTAACATTTATAACAGCCTTCACATTTACTTCGAGAACTCTGTAGAAATAAGATTACTTTACTGAATAAATAAGTTTTGTTAAGCATAATAAATTTATTCTAACTTGTCAACACTTTCTTTGGATATAGATAAAAAGTCCTCCAGATGAGTCACACCCGCATTATTAACCAAGTAGTGGATGGGTTCTAACTTTTCTAATATCGACACAGTTTCATTCCAATTCGCTAGATCGACGCACAATGGAACTATACCGTCATTCACGGCCTTTAATTCATTTAGCTCTTTTTCCGTTCTGCCAATTGCATAAACTTTTGCCTTAGCTTCCCCCAATGCAAGACAAATTTTGCGACCAATTCCCTTAGTTGCACCCGTAACTAGTGCTGTCTTACCCGAGAAATCATAAGTTATTGACATATTCTTTTTTTTATAGAGAGTCCCGCATTAAATGCATCATGTGACGATAAAATTGTTGCGAAACTGCAGTTCGTGAGTCATGCGCATACGGAAATTACTAGTGTCACCATCATAAAAATATAAATAAATCTCTCCTCCTAAATACTAATATATTCGAACAAAAGTGTGATTCAGCATTATTGTGCGCCATTATTGTCATATCTGATTCTAACATATCCATGGTTGCTGTGTGAGATTTTGATCATTATCATAATTTTCTGGAAAATTACAAATTTAAACATTCCATCAATTATGTCTCTTTTAACAAAATTTTTCGGAGGGAAACAAAATGAAAGTAGCATCACACCCCAAGAAGCTATACAAAAGTTGCGAGATATTGAGGAAACATTGGAGAAGAAATCGGATTTTATTGAAAAGAAAATGGAAGATGAAATTAAGTTTGCTAAACTGAATGCACAGAAAAATAAAAGAGGTTTGTTTTTAATTTAATCTAATGAAAAATTAATCTTAATTTACAATAAATTCATCTAACTGTAATTGATGGATGTTTAATAATCATTAAGTGAACTGAACAGCTTTGAATGGTTCATAAGTTCCCAGGGTGAGACTATTAACACGAATACATTTTGTAGAGTCTCAAAACTATATCGTTTAAATTAAAGTATTTATTTTGTAAACAACATTTTTCCACCTATCTTAGCGGCTCTTCAAGCCCTGAAGAGGAAGAAACGATTAGAAAAACAGCTACAACAACTTGATGGTACACTTTCAACGATTGAATTCCAAAGGGAAGCCTTAGAGAATGCTTCCACGAACACTGCCGTTCTTAGTGCAATGGGTACTGCAGCCAAAGCACTGAAATCTGCCCATAAAAATATGGATGTTGATAAAGTTCACGATCTGATGGATGAAGTAGTCGAACAACATGAGGTGGCTAATGAAATAGGGGAGGCAATATCTCAACCAGTCGGCTTCGGTGACGAAATTAACGAGGACGAACTAAATGACGAATTAGAGTCCTTGGTACAAGAGGACATTGACAGTCAATTTACCAATGTAGAAAGGAAAACCTCGGAATTGCCTGAAGTCCCCAACGAAAAAATACCAGTTGGTAAGTTATCGATTTATCATCAACAGCATAAAAAGAGACAAGTTAATAATATTTCCCTCAATGCTTTTTTTAGCCTCCTCCAAGTCAAAGTCAAAACCTGATGAGGATGACGAAATGTCACAATTGGCAGCCTGGGCTACATAATTTTGAACCCATTTTTATCTCTTTTTTTCTCACTTTTGATTGAACTCATTTGGCCCAGACAAAGCAATTTCTTGTTTTGTTGTGATACTTATTTTTTGTTTGTTTTTGTTCGTTTTATCTTTTTTTTAGACATGAACGTTTTATATTTTTCTTCCGAAAGATTTTAATGAGTAATTGTGCTAATTGTTTTTTTTTAAAAAGAAAAATAGATATACTAAGATTAATATATACAACGATAACAATAACATTGTATGTTATGTTTATATATACATTATATATGGCGAAAAAAAAAGAAGCATGATTTAGTAATTGAACGATCTCGATTTCTATATATAAAGGGAACGTAACAATCATAATACTTCCTGTTAATTTGTTTATTTTCATCCGGCTCTGAAACTTTCAAATTCACCCAACCAGGAAAAGGAGATGGACAGTAAATACTTTGCACTTTCGGAATAGGATTATTAGATTATATTTAACCCTAAACCGTATTTCAATTCTTAAAGTAAAGCGGGAAAAAGAGAAGGGTGAAGGAGGAGAACGAAAATGTTTACTGATTTATGTCTCGTTTTGAGTAAAAATTGAAAGAACAAAGAGGAAGTTGAGCGGAAGAGGTTGAAATTCGGCGTAAGGAAACCATTAAGGATGAAAGAGGGGAAAGATATAATACGTAAAAATTAAAATGAAACGACTAAATGAGCGAATCCATCAGGATAAAGCTGAACGTAGACCAACTTCTCGCTCTTCGTTGAAGAATTTGTTTGTTTTTTTTTTGTTATAGGAAAAAGACTCTCCGCCAAACAGAAATCCTTTAGCCACAATATCTCTCTAACCATAGAGAAATTGTCTGATATCAGGGGCAAGTTCCTTGCACCTTCGCTATTCTCACGAGCAAAAGAACAGATATTGAAAATAGGTCATATACTTCATATATTCATTTTAGAATAATTTATACAAAATAGAAATTTTGTCTAATAGAACTTATTTTATTGTTAACAAGAGAAAAAAAAATAAGTATAAAGAATGAAACAACTTTTTGTCAGTTGTGGACCGAAAGCTAACGCCATCTTAAATCCACAAATTACCACATTTGTGGACAAACTTAAGGTAAACAATATATTGTAACACAATTATATATTGTCATTAATACTTTGAGTTTTATTTTCTGACTTTTATTTTCTTTGCACGGCAGTATTAATTTTATGAATAATTTCAACCACTAATGTTTTGCATGATTATTCACTTGAACCATCCCCATATCTGCTCTGCTTGGAGCAGTATTTGCCCGGATATAATCTGGATTGTTAGTACATGGAGGTGAGACGAGAAGTTGCCTAAATTTCCGACTAGTAATTACGTATATGAGAAAGTTAACAGAAGAATTAAAAATAGCCAGTAAGTCACCGATTGCCGTGTAATAATACAACTGATCTCCGCAACTGGGGCTTCCAAGTATAGTCCATAGAATACGATCTACAAAAGTTGGAGTTTGACAGGCTATGAATACACAGATGACAACTACCAAAACCAAAGTCATATCTTGCTGATAGCTGCTCTTCCCCATCTCGTTTCTCTTTTGAGCTCTCTTTTTTAACGCCTTTATCAAATTGACGTTGAGAAAAGTTAAAGAGGCTAGTGGACCTCCCAGCATAATTAGAAAGTACAGTAAATTAGAATATAATATTCCATATAATTTATTCTGTGCCAAACTGCTCATTTCAAACGTGGTGACAAGTTTACCCTCGCTGCATACATCACGTAGATCGAATTCGAAGAATCTAGGTATATTATATAGGACGGCTATAATAATAATATAAGCCACTTGCTTTCTGGCCTGTTCCAAGGAGCAGATTTCTGCAGATTTGAAAGGTTTGCAGACAGCTATATAACGGTTAAAGCTAACTAGAACAGTTAGAAAAACTGTTCCCGTTAAGCCCATATTGTAACAAGCCCAAATGTAGGGCATAATTTTTGGATACAGTTCGAAATACGACTCTAACCATCCTCCATATAAGTAGGCAGGTGTGAGACTATATAAGGGAAAGGCTGTCGCTAGCACCAGACAATCTGCAACGGCCAATGCCTGGAGTAGAAAGCTGGTTGCGCTTTTACTTTTTGCTCCGTCTCGCCAAAGAACGCTAAACGATATGACGTTCCCGAGGAATCCGAGAATGCAAAATAATCCTGATGCGACTGTATATACAATAAAATCGAACAAACTACAGTCTTCAGTGACTCCCGCCGAACTGTTTGTCGAACAATTTATTGTTGTGGAATTGAATGATATCTGAAATTGATGAATGGGGAATGAACTCATAAGCCAATTAAACACATTCTGACAATAAGTTTGCCTTCATTTTACATTATTATTCGTTATGTATTTAACAATAAAAAGGGTGCGTTTATACAATTTACGTACATATAAATATATTAATATATATAAAAGCACAAGACATGAATTGTAAGTAGGCACCTACTGCTCTCTTATAATTGCTTCGAACGACGAGGTAATATTCGAGGGTTAAAGGTTTTGGGAAAACAAATATTATTCGAATTTTGCTTACATTCCAGTACAAAAATTTATCCAAGGATCTCTTTCTTTCATAAATTTTTACAGCATTTCTGTGCAGCGTGTGTAAAATTTTTTTTCTTTTTTTCAGTGTATCTTTTTTCTTTCTTTTCTCACTCTCTCGCGCTCTCGCTCTCTCTCTCTCTCTCTCTCTCTCTCTCTCAGTCACTTTCTTGTGTTCCCACACTCTTATTCTCCTCACTCTAGCTTTAGTCGCATCTCTCATTCACTGTATATCTTCATACTGTGCATAAAATACTTATTCATACTACTTCTCCATCTATTTCGTTCTTCCCTTCCCTCTCATATCTTAATGATTTTCTCAGCTGTCTCCTCTTGATACTTTTAGTTTCTTTTTTTTACGATTCTCACTGTTTCTCCCACCCTCCCTTTTTCCCTTTTCCCTTTCAATCAATCTCGAACAGGAAAATAATTAATCTTGGGAGAGATAGAGTGCAAGTATTATACTCTTATAATTAACATCCTAAAATCGATTCAGCTTGGCTTCGTCCATTTCGATTTTTCGTTTAAGCCCCTCAATAAATTTATTATTTGAATGTTTGACGGAAGAAGTCTGATTTAGACATTCTAAACATAATCTACTTTCTTACAACTAAGTTTTACATTACGCTCCACAGTATATATAGGTCTATTAAATATATACGTTGTATATAGTACATCTAAATATATACACTTCCTTTTTCACTTAACGAAAAATATAAATCATGACAAGTAATAAGGAAATATATAAAAAAAGTTACTGTTTCCTTACTTTCATCCTCTTTTTTGTGGTCGGTTTATCCAAGATTAGGACAGTAAGCCGGAATACATCTGTCATCCGAATTGGAGACGCGAATGTATGTTTTATGCAAACATGAGCTTGTTGTTCAAAGCACGCAACTGACGGCCGGCGTCTTTCGTCCTTTCTTTTTCTAGGCCTAGACTAGATGGCGCCTCATGCGCGGCGTGACTATCTAGACGCATTTATACGTTTTAAAAAAATTCAGTACTATTTTAAAATCGTGTATTTGGCCAATTTTTAGGTTTCTGAATGTTTAGAAAATGGAATATAAAATGTAATGATACTATTTACTCATTATAACATAGAAATCTTGTTAATTAATCGTTGCCGGCAATTCTAAAACGATTATCGTAAAGGCTGGATTTAAGCTTTTAAGCAATAGCCCTCATTATTTCCAGTCTTTAAATCGTATATAAAGGATTTTTTCCCAATTTTACTCCTTTTCGCAGGGATGATCTAACTGATATAGTAAGAAATTCTAATGATCTACTTTCTTGAATACGCTACTACTTTGAAAAATCGTTAAGCTTTTTTAGAAGATAAATAAAACGTGATTATCTGTTATTCACAACAAGAAAACAAAACCTTTAACTTGCTAACAGCTGCATATTTTCAAAAAAATCAATCATTTAACAAAAAACCGCGCTCCATCAAGGAGGGTCACGTGGTCCATCAATTCTAAAATGGCGTCCGACAACTTTTCCTTCTCAAACGATATTAGCTCAGAAATAGCATTGCTGGAAGCTCTTGGAAAATATAAACCTGTAGGTTGGTAATCAAGAATTATTTTCTCTTATTGATGCGGCAGTTTTATATTCAAAAAAGCCATGAAAACGAGAGCACGCGTCCTTGAATCGTGACGCTCTTTAATTTCGTAATATTATAAAAAAAAGTTTTTTTCATTGAAAAGAGATAAATTTTCCGCTTGTGTCCGTCTGATTCCATGCTAAACCAGTGGTGGAAATAATTTGAATCTCAAAAAGCTTTAGGAATTGGGGACCAAATCCTATGAAAGCGTCCTTGTAAAAAATGATACTCTAATAAGTAAACTGTATAGTGACTTTGTAATTGAATAGAGACCGTCTGGCTGAGTCAACCTTGCTTTTAGATCCCTTCTTCAATGAGCTATTCTGATGGGGTGAAGTTTTTAGTGCATCCGCTCTTAAACATTTGAAATTTTATAAAGTATCCCCGCCAGCGGCCGGTGAAAATTTTATAGAAATTGCAGTATATGCTTGCCCCTAAAACGGTGTGTGAATAATAGCCTATTGCATTAGTCGGAATGAAATAGGAATGAATAAATGATTATATAGTAATAGCGAATGAAAAGCCTTAACAGTTTGGGTCTTGTTTTCGGGGCTTGCAGTTGCGATAAAAAACTGAAATGAAGATTTATAGTAGTCTATTGACCTCTTTTATAAATCACTTAAAGTATTTTTTAAGCTGAAGAGAGGCGGCTATAAAAGATTGCCACCTAGAAGTTGTTAAATTTCCTTCGGGAACATTTTGATGGAGAGTCGATAAGCAGTAGGCGTCGCTAGAAAGGTGAAGGAAATCTTTCTGCGTGATTTATGCTTCCTTGCATATCTGATTTGGGCGTAGGTGTTAACAATGTCGAGAAAAAAATGTAATAAATACAATTTCAAACTATCAATAGACATCATTGACTTTTCGAGGAAGTATGAACTTTTGCCTTCTGGGTATTCTGTCATGTCCATTCCTAAAGTACGTGGAAGAGTATAGAAAAGGTCACCTGTTGGACACATAACTTTGATTTATAATGACCTACTAAGTAGCTTTATTGATAGATAGCTTCACAGGACAGCTAATGAACTGAAGGCAGAAGAAGAAAACCATCAATTCTGTATCCCATAAGGTGGTTTGAGGTTATCTCTTAACAGAAACTATTACCAAACTAGTCGGCTATTTATCTGATTGCATAAATAACGTATTGAAAGCTGGGCTTGTTATGTTACGATAAATTTGCAATTTGCGCTTGGGCTTTGGGAGGGGAATGAAAAAGAAAGTTTGGATCGATTCGGCAGGGAGTTTTAATAAAAAATACAGTGGAAGGGTATATTTGAATTAGTTGGTAGTTAGAGAAAGGCAGTTGCTTAGTGATGACCGCCCTAACTTCCGGTCTATAGCAAATTAAGCTAACCATTGATTTTATAGTTGTCGTTTCCTCGACCTTGATAAGAAAGAACCACAAAAAATTTTCTATTCTTCTATACGATCGTTATATCCCTAAGTAAAGTATTATCTCAACAAATACTCTTATTGTTTGAGAATATCTGCAACAGCATCATTCGTCTCTTTTACTACTTCTAGAAAAACTTTGAACGGCTTCGGTTGATAATGACGCAACCCCATCCAACCGTTTGTGTACATACCGCAAACAAGGAAATGGTATCTGTAAGCTCACAGCAACTGACCGTCGGGTAATGTTTGCATTCGAGATGCAATTTTTTCATTAGACATTTTGTCGTCTGATTATTAATTTGCACCTGCTAAAAGTAAACTGAAATGAAATTTTGAAATTTTTAGCTCCCTAAAAATTAATAGCTATTCCTGTATCAATGGGAATTGTGAATATGGGTCATCGCAAATAGCGTCACGCTTTATTTGTATTTCATTTATTTAGTGTTGCAATGAGATTTTCTTTTTTTAAGTCAGATTCAGTTTGTTAACTCTTTGAATAATTTAACGCCAAGAGCGTTATACCACTAACGATACGAAATTCCAAACTAGCTTCCAAGATCGAAACACTAACTTCAAAAGCCACTCCTTCGGTTTCTCACACTTTACTGCATTTTATTCCTTTAACAATATCTTAAAGAACTTTCTTGTCGAATAGTTATTTGAGTACTTTTTCAATCATTTATCGAGCCAGTCAACACAGCTTTATTATTATTATCGTTTTGTATTATATATTTCTCTTTTTGAAACTAGATTTGTTGACCCTACCCCATAGTCTTAAGGTTTCTTCTATCGCAAGGGTTATAGATACAATCGCCTTGAGTAATTGCTATAAATATTCCAATAAAAAATGTATAAAATATTATACTAATAATTCTAAATGAAACAGCGCATATAACATGTTACAGTAAAAAGAAAGACAAAATTAAATGCAAACATTAAGTTTCATCAAACTTTCGTATTGTTTGTTTACGGTCAATTTGACTTTCAGTTTGTCTCTTTTCTTGTCAGTTTACCTTTCGACTTATTCGTCTGCTAATTAAGGATCATCTCGTAATGATCCAGAAATAGAATATTATTTTAGACATACTCTAGTCCTGATACTACTTTCCGTTCCGATTTAACAAAGAGGCTCTACATGTTGAGTAAGATGTAATTACGGCACGCTTATTATAAATTACTGACTAGGAGGGAAGAAATATAATGTTGAAGACCCATGAGAAATCTGCTTTATTAAATGTGCTTTGCTTTGCAAGGCTTTAACTGGCGTATTTTACCTCTCAATGACACGGTACACTTGCAAATAAAATGATTCCATAGTGACGATTTTGGCATGCAAGGAAAGAAACGCCCATCGATAATTCATCAAAAAGGCTTAAGCCTTTCAGTCTGCCCCTTCCAGCGTCTTGCTGTTCTTGTTTGATAAGTACTAGATTTAAGACGTTAACCTCGTTTTTTTTCAGGTATAGGCCGTCACTTCACAATGACTTTCATTCTTGATGAACTAAGAGAAAAATGTTTGCCGGTCATCAAAGCTAAACATGTTTGGGAATACTTGAATACTCTGTATGATATCGAAGAACTCACAGTAAGCCACAGACTGTTAATTTAGCTTAAACAGATTCTATTACTTGTTTATATTTTATTACTTTAGCGTTTAAATAAAGAGAACGATGAGAACTTGGACAAACTGACTGATTTTGAGTTACCTATCGAAAAATTCGGCCAGTTCCTAAAAAAGGATTCATCAACACCGTCTCCCAGAACCGAAACAGAAGCTCTATCAGAAAAGGAGGAGGAATCGGCTCCCGAAACTGTTACCAATACCTCGAAAAACACAAAAAGTAAAAGGAAGGAGGAGACAAGTAAGACAATTGTGGCAATTGCCAAATTTCAGTTGCTAGGCTGGTAAAATCGCGTGTCATCGCGACGTTGAAAAAAAACTATAGCAGGAAAGGGTTGGCTATTATGACAATTTTGTTCGCACGCGAAATGTCGGTTTAATTAACATTTACAAAAATATTTTTTAATAGTCGTGTACAATTGTTATTATCTGATTATTTTACTTTACTTCTGTTTTCTTTTTTTAAAATTTCACGATTTATTTCAAGCATAACAGAATTACTGAGTACATTTTGTAATATAATTCTTTTTTATTCATTAGATAAGTCAAGAAACGAGTCAAGAAAACGATCCAGAACCAGTGAGAACACCTCTTCTAACAAGAGAAAAAAGTAATGTGATGAACGTTTACTTAGTCTTTTTTTACATTGTTTATTTTAGCATTTTTTGTAAAACGCTCATACTTTAATTGAATATAAAATATTCGCTTTGTACCCTAAAAAGAATTATATTTACTAATTCAAGTTGACTAGGGTCATAAGAAGTATCCAGCGATCAAAGTGTTAAGGGAAACGATACCTCAAGGAGAAGGGGGTCGAAAGAAAGACCAGGGGGTGGGGCTTTAACGGCTCGAGCAAATGGCAAACTCGCTAAGAGTTCTAAATTACTTTTAGCGTTTTTTTCGAGTCGTTGACGGAAGCGATTTCGCCTGTGTTTTGTGATCGACTGGGATTGGAATTGATCGATCCTGTTCAGTAGTTAAGGAACGCGTACAATTGCAATATTTTTCCTTTATGGCGGAATTCTGTTTTAGAATTATCGATTTATTTTGTTCTTGTCAGTGATAATCAATCATTGTAATAAAAGTAGGACCTATTTAGTCAGTTATAGCATAAAAAATTGACCTATTTTATTCTGTCTTAACACGCTTCTGAAACAATTGCGTCTGCTTTTCGGAAATTTTATCCTTTTCTATTAGATAATATACTAAAACAGTATTGCATGTCATGTTTTGTCGATGTGTATCATATGAAATCTTAGAGAAAGAGGAAAAGAAAGATGTATAACGAATGGCGCTTAATTGCCCTCATGTTCTGCATTGAAAAGTACTTTAATGTACTCCTGTTTATATCAACTGACAAGTCATCGATATTAGGTTGGAACGTTCTCACCCCAGATAAATATATTGCTTTAACCAAAGTGTTTAACATTCCCTAGTGATTATTTAATTATAGAAACGGATCGACTAACATTAAATTAATTTTATTAGTTGGTCTATCCACTTTCATATGTTATTATACTCCTCCCTTATCGTCTTAATGTGACATGCCGTAAAATTTAATGTATTTTTGTACAGCAACTGCATTCGGTAATTACCGTCATTTTACATCAATTTTACTATATAATCTTTCTATTCAAGAAATTATAACTATATGCGCTTAATTAAAAGACGAAAGACTAATAAAACAGCTTTCGGTTTTTTTAGGGCAGACAGTCAATACAGAAAATTAGGCAAGTGCAGAATATGCAGGCTAGTCACTATTAAATGTCGGAGGTTCTTCATCGATTAACAGTTTTAAAGGAATACAATCATTTCCTAAGTTTAACTACTATGGTGAATTTCCGATCTTGTGTGGCTTTCTAATTGAGTATTGGTCTCTTTTTGTTTTATTATCCAGTCGAAATTGTTATCATAAATGATTCCTTCTCGATTAGCTAATGTTTTAAAGAACTCACGAGCACTGTTATGATCAATTGAATGATACGCAGTTTGATGCCTGCACTGTTCCACAAAACTAGAAATCTCTTTTGGTAAGCCTTCGGCCAATTCTGAAGAAGTTATTGTTTGTTTAGCTTCCAGTATGCCTTTTAGTCTTTCTTCACGATTCGAGGCCTTTAGACCTTGCCATGGCAGTGATCCTTTAGTTAGATATAGGAACATGTAGGATAAGGACTCAAGATCATCTCTTCTAGTTTCTTCGTGTCCAAGATGAGCGCCAATAGATGCATATCGCACAGTTCCAACAAGTGGATGAGTAATCATTGACAAAGACCTACTTATCCGAGTCGATCCCATTATACTAGGTCGTCTCAATCGCTTGCCCAAACCGAAATCGATTAAGTACAATTTATGCTGAGCTCCACCCGAACCCAATACCCAATTATCAGGTTTTATGTCTCTGTGAATAACATGATGACGATGAACAAATTCTAAAGTTTCTAAACATTGGTCCATTATCATGAGACCAGTCTTTAATGTAAACTTTTTGTCACAGTAGACAAATGCATCTTGAAGTGACGGCCCTAGAAGATCTAGAACTAATACGGTGTAAATTGGCTCGTAGAGACCATGCCAGATCATCGTGGGAATACCTGGCCCTCCCTGAAGTATATCATAAATTTGGCTCTCATTCATCAGTTGCGGAGTTTGTGTACTTTGTAATTCTAGCTTAACTGCAACTTTCATTCCTTCTGTAGATCCTTTTAGGATTTCGCCAAGCCAAATGTCTCCAAAAGATCCTCCATTCAAGCGTTTGATTAATTTCGTTCTGACACTCCTCCCAACTACTAAATCAACAGGATTGTGTTTTTTATGTTCATGGCTATTACTATTCATTATAGAGTTATACGACCAAATATCGACTGAAAATAGAATTTGAATTTAATACATTTTATAAGTACGGAAAATTTGAAACAAAACAATAATTTTCCTTCACTTTTGTACCATCTTCATTATCTATTACCTCTATTATCGCCCAAAATTGACGACAACGACTATACATCGACTGTCAGTCAACCTACGAGAAGCTACAGATGCCAAAGAGATTAAATGTGGTAATGGTCAATGAACGTGTTTAATAAGGCTGCTATTTACTCCGAAAAATATTCTATTTTTTGACCTTGACGTGAGTTCAATGTTTCTATGTTGTCATTCGATTCTGAGGAAACCGGTATTGTTCGTCTGTAAAAGATTCAGCCTAGAGGGGAAAATACTCTGTTGAATTTTCTGTACAACACTTGATTTATAGCCATATTTTGGAGTTGCTATGTCAAAGAAATTTGAATATAGTTATTATGAAATCTTAGGTTTAACAAATGATGCTACAAAAAAGCAAGTAAAAGATGCCTATGTCAAATTATCTAAGCAAGTACGACTGACAGTTTATTATAGATAGAAAAAAATGTGAAGATATCTTTATCAACGTGTAGGTTCACCCTGACGTCAATCGATCGGATCCTAAAAGTCATGATAAATTCGTAGAGGTTCAAGAGGCATATAGGATTCTTAGTAGTCCAACAGAAAGGCAGCAATATGACGCTTCGCTGGCTACGCGAGGAATGCATAATCGTCCTATCCACGCCACGGAATATCATCAAAGTAGACCTTATACTCAACAAGGGTAAATTATCCGAGAGAGTGTCATTATACATGAAAGATTTACTTATATAATCTAACAATTCGTTTGTAACGAGCTCCTTTAAAAAATTCAGAGAAAACAATGATATCTATAACGAAGAAATGCAATGGTATGCTAGAAGTCAACAGAAGTTCTACTATGGATCTAGAAAGGTAACTTTAATTCAATAGACGAAACTAAATATTAATATTTCATTAAAAAAAACCTTAGAGGTCAAAGCCAATGGTAGTCATATTTGGTTTGGGCTTAATAGCATTGGGAATGGCCTTGCATACAGGTGCATATACATGGTCATGTAAACATAGGAAGGAAATTATGGATGAAAGAGATAAAATAAATTTCGCCCACCTAAATCGATCGAGGGAGCAAGCAAGGTACCTCCATATCGTTGTACTTTCATTTCAGCTCAGCTGTTCTTTCGTAAAATACTCGGCTAACAGTGTTTGTACAATGCATAGGCGATGCGGACGGCCTATCATTGTTCAAAGGTTAAAATGTTAAAAATATCATCATGTGTACTACATAGTGGACGACTCTCGGCTTTTATTAATTTCATGAGGGCTTTGTCAATCTATATATAAACAAATTATCTGTAAAATTTCATACACATTGATGGTTCTCAACGCTATACTACTAAACAACATTGTTGTTACGAAATGTTTTTCTATAGTCTTTGTATATAGTCCCCTTTTTTTGATATGTGTTATTATTCCGATTATTTTTTATCATCTTCAAACAGGACTCTAGGGAATACTATTCAATTGGAACTCATACAACAGCGCTGGAAAGAAGACAAATAGAACACAATTAAATTGTTGTTTTTTGCTCTTTTTATTCATTTGTTATCAGAAAGAAAAACTGCAGATAAAAGACACTAGTTTAAATTTATGATTTGGTTGATTTTGACCAGATCAAAGTACAATTTTCAGATATTTCAAAAAATACAAATAACCAAATGTAAAAAAATAAAAAAACAGAACCATGACTTTGATCGACCTAGTAACCTAAAAAGTATATGATTTCTACGAATTACTCATGACTAAATTGTTAAGACTTAGCACCCCTGATAAACGCAATCCAAGCAGGTTAAAAAGTATTTTCTTCCCCTTCTTTTTATTATCAGTATTCCCGTCACTATAACTCACTAACTGTTTGCGTTTAATTGCAGATATAGAATTTATCTATAATGATAATAATAATGATATATTTAGCTTTCCCATCATTAGTTATTTTTTGCCTTCAAAAATGCAAAATCTCCCAAGCCGTTTGATAAGGTGGAAGACAAACTTCTTTTTTTTCATTAAATCTATCCGCCTTTCAAGTTTCATACACGGCTTCGTGCAATCTCCTACCTCTCTTTATCTTTGTCTTGCTAATTCTACTTTTAAAGGCGTTATCAACTCATACACATTTGGAATCACCCTTTTTTGTATGCTAACTGGTGCGTGAAGAATATCGAATTTTATTCCATCTATAATTCTAACGAATGGGAAGATTAGATTAGAACTTAGGACAATTTTGAAATGATTAATCGTTATTTTTTTTTTATTCTAGTATCGATTGAACGATAATATGCTGTTGTGATAACCCTGGAAACTTTTTTTTTATAATTCTCTAAATAGAATTACTAGAAATTTTATCTATTAATATTTACTGATTGAACTTTGAAACGTCAATTTTTTGACATTGACAATGTATTTGTTGACATCAATTGTCGGTTATCTCTGTAGGACAATTTTTATTACCTTTATTATAGAAGATATCATCGTTTGAAAATTCACCATCAGATGGCGTTGAATTTGAGTAGTATTTTGTTTATCTTTGAAAAAATACGTTAGATTACGATCTTCCTGTATTTTCAAGATAATTTTTTAACTAAGAGGCTTTTGAGCTGAATTGTTACATAACTGCTGTAAATATTTGTAATCGTTTTCAAAGGCTAAACGAGAGTTCAATTTAGCGAAAATGATGTTTGACTGGGAAAATAGCGATGATGAAATCCCGCCCTTTGAAAGAGACGTCACTTTAGACGAAACTGTTATCTGTCAGTCATTGGACAGATTCGGCGATATCACTATTGATTTAACGGTCGATTTGGCTGACATAACTTTGGATAAAACAATTGAGAGGGTTGATGGAGAGGCTTTGGATGGAGGGCTTTGCTCATGCGTGTCATTAGATAGACTAAACACAAGAATAATATCAAAGCTACCCTTTTCATATGACATGGAGCAAACACTAAAGGGGCGAAGAAGACTTGATTCCCTAAAGGAATTTTCTGATAGATTGGGAAGATCTTTCAAATCAAATGGACGTTGTTTCACGTATCTCCTCCTCGATCCTAGAATTTTAAATAATTTAGCGGAGAGAGCGAAAAAGACGCCTCTAAGTGACTTGGAGACCTTAAGACAATTTGCAACAGGTATATTTTATGTAGGTAAAGGACAGAGTTTTAGACCTTACGCTCACTTAGAGGATGCAATAATCAAACGGGGAGCTGGCGGGCCTAAGAATCAAGTTATAAATTCTATCTGGCGAGCTGGATACGGAGTTATTGCTCTTCATCTATGGCATGGTCAATGCTCAAGCGAAGCTTTGGCAAGAGAAGCCAGTATCATAGAAGCCATTGGCTTAAATCGTTTAACCAATGAAAAAAGTGGCTGGTTAAAGCCACCGATTAGTACTTGGCCTCCTAAGGAGAGACGTCTGCTAGGCGTTGAGCTAATTCGCTTAGCTTGTCAAAGAATTCTAATTGACGGAGAACGCCAAATAAAAGCATCAGACGTTTTTTCATTAAACACTTGCCATTCTAAATAAAAACAAATTTACCTTTTTTGGTCAATCAATGTAAAATAAACAAATAGTAAACAAAGTTTAGTGTATAATAGTGTATAAACAATAATAATACATATTTTGTTTATTTGTTTATTTATTATTATGTTTTTTTATTATCTACAATTCATTGAATAAATTACGTTGAGAAAGGAATATTTATATAATTGAGTAAGAAAATAAAAGATTGTATTTTGAGTGAGACGTCACATGAAAGATTTAAATTAATTCTGATGTATTGAATGTAGATAGTATACACATGTGTACATTTATATACGTATGTATAAAATATATATGATATATCATGTCGAACAACGGCGATGGCATTAATGATGATATTGATGCAAGAACGAAGAATTTTCTTTGGTCAATTCAACCGAGTAAGAGAGAATGTACTGATGTCTACTTTTTGTTTGTCTTCCTAATATTCTCTTGTTGTTCGGTAAGGTTATTATTTTTCGCATTTGTACGAAAGATGCTTTTTTTATTCTATCCTTCTGTTTGTCGTTAATTTAAAGATATCTGCTTTGTACTGGATAGAACAAAGGTCATACCTAAAGAATATTATAGCTCAGGATAGCTACGGTAATGCTTGTGGAGAGAAGAATGCCATGCTTCAAAAGTATCCTTATTTAAATAAAACCCTCTCTGGAAGAGACATGACAGACAGGAGGTGGGGATAATTTCCATTCTATCCAATTAGAATAGTCAAATTTGTTTGTCTCTTACTCTTTTAAGGGTTGTGTTTGCTCTAAATAGTTCGGAGAATATCTTTTTAAAGAGCACAAAGAAAATATGTTTGCCATTTTGCCCTAATAGTACAGTAATTTCAACTAGAGAAGAGCTATTGATAGCCGCAACTCTAAATAGAACTTTCCTGTGTAGATATGATGTGATATTTCACGATTATGTGAATATTAATACAACAGAATGTCCGGTACTACCCATTAACGTTAGGTAAAAAAAATTATTAAATTATATAGAAGAGAAACAAGAAAAAGGGGAATAAATAACATTACTTTCAGTTTTCCTGTAAATAATCATTGTATTAGCCTAGATCAGAGTGTAACTCGTACTGATAAGAACGAAACGGTGTATAATAAGTACTGGAAAATCTGTACCAAGAACTTATTTGAGGTAGGTTTAAAAGAAATATAAAGAACGTTTATAAGGTATATAGATTCTCTATCGTTTCTCTTGGAGGCAATTTTAAGAGACATCTCTCTGGCAAGTAAAACTATACAAGTGATTTCTTTCGTTTGTATAGGTAATATATTTATGAATTTCCAATGCATATTTAATACTTATCCTTCTATTTATATATTCATTACAGTTTTAACTGGATTATTAATAGTCATAACGATTTTCTTGAATAAATACGATCAAATCCTTTTTCAAGTGATAATCTACTTATCTTTTGTTTCCCTTTTAGTATCCTCTTGTTTCGCATGGTAAATCTTGACAATTTCTCTATATATTTAATTTCCTTTATACTAAATTAATTTCTCCTACCAAAGGGCTAAAGGTTTTATCAATCACTCAAATAGAATATTTTGGGCTCTTTCCACAATTTTTGTTGTTATCATATCCGTCAGAACACCAATTATCTTTATAATTAGATAGCAATTACTAGTATACTTTTTTCTAATAGGTAGTACACTTTGTTATTTTCATCCAGCTAAAAATCAGACGTCATATGACATTTGTAAGTATCTTTTTTTTTCTTTCATACTTTGATGACCTAATTTTTCTGATATATGTATATATACTGTATATATATATATTTATTAGATTGTTAAAGTCCTGTATCTTATAGCTAATGTTATGATGGCTGATTATTTTATAATCATTCCTTCTGTTTTAGTAAGATTTCTTTCTATTCTTACCTTTATTCCTATTGTTTTTTTAAAAAAAAAAACAAAGAAAGAAAAAAGAAGAAAACTCAAAACGAATTGATTTCTAATTTTTTCTAGATATTGGTGACATATGCTTTGATACTTGATGTATTATTGGGTAATTTTCTAATAATATTTACTTCCGGTTAGTTTATTTTATTCAAAATTCAATATATTTAAGTTTACATTTTTTTCCCTCTATCTGTTTCTCTCTCTCTCTCTGTCTCTCTGTCTTCCTATCTTGCTGTCACTCTATCTTTCTGTCTTTGCCTAACTCTTTCTCTCTATCTTCCTATATCTTTTCTATTCTCTCCTCTTTCCTTTACTTTGACCAATCTCTAAAATTTAGGTATTCCAATTACAAATAAACACAACAATACAGTTACTTTTAAGAGAGAAGCCATAGATAATGTATGACGTATAGTAAATTGGTAGTTATTTATTTAATTATTCCGTTTCTGTTCATTTTAGATTCTAGGAGTCATTGTCTTCCTATGGATGTTATGGACAATTTCAACTATTTTTCAGTACTATAAATACTTAGTTACCTCTCTAACATTCTACACTTACTTTACAATGTACTATCCTCTAAATTTAATAATGCATATGCAAATATTATATTTACATATCTATATAAGCCTATTCATTTTCTCTAAATGGAATATTTTAATTAAAATAGGAGAATACTACCATCAAAAGATAAAATAAAATTCTTTATAAAAACAATTTACAACTCCCTAAGATATAATTTAGGTTCTATAACTTTGGCGGCGATTGCTGAGCCATTAATAAGCCTAATTAAATCAGTTTTGGGTGTTGTTACGGTTTTTAGGTAAGGAGAACAAGGGGAAAAAAATAACAACTCTCCAGCAAATTGAAGTTTGTTTCTATGTTTTTTATGGCATGGTTTTACAGATTAATTTGTGAGGAGAAGGCAATACGCGAAAGTGACAATAATATAGAACAACCCTCTTTAGTTGAGCAGATAAAGAAGATGTCTGGAGACATCAGCCTTCTAATTGTTTGTAAGTCATTTCTAAAAGCTTTTTAATGAATGACAAAGCAACTCAGGTTTAAAAAAAAAAAATAATAAAAGCAATCCAATGTAAAGACTATAACGAAGCCATGAAATTATGTTTAGAACAGCAAAAATTAAGAGTAGTGTTAATGGAGAAATTTATGCCGAGTTTTATATATTATTTCAATTGTTGTTCAATTTGTATCCAATCAAGTCTATTTTGGGGAACTTGTATATTAATTTGGGTAAAAAGAAACCATTCATAAAATATGTTTTAAATCAAAATACTAATTTTATCAATACGTTAATCCTTTTCTTTTTTTTTAAATTTCTTTTTTTCATTAAATAGACTCAGAAGGATTATTGTTTTGTAATACCTCAAGCTTTCATCGTTGTAATTAGCGGATTAATTATTACAAGCTGGGTTTATAGTATTTACTCCGTGAGTAATGAATGAACGATTTTTACTTTATTTATTATTCTACAAATCTTCGACTGTCCCTCCTCTCTCTCTCTCTCTCTCTCTCTCTCTCTCTCCGTATATGATTTAATCCTATTTTCTATAAACAGTCTATGATCGACACGCTCTTCTACTGCATTAACGAAGATGTTATTAGAAATGATGGAGTAAGCAAAAAATTGTACCTTCCCGTCAGAGTGGCTGTAATTATATACTTTATTTTTTTGTCACTTTTTTTTATATCAATTTCTTCTTTATATTTATCTTTTTCATATTTTAAGAAATTATTAGACGCCTTACCACTAGAATTTGTTGGTTTAGGTTCTGTTTGCCTATTAAGGCGTCTAGTTCGAACAAGGCAAATTAAGATTAAAAAAAAGAGACGGGCTAGATACTCGTTATTTTCAGATGGACCTTTTACGGATGAGAACTTGGTTAAAATTCAGGCCAAACTGCTCGGTGAAAAATTGGGAAAGTTGATAGAGAATATCTGTAGTGATATTCACGAGGGAAAATCTCCAATCGAATTGTCGCAGAGGGAATCGAAGGACGGAAAAGAGCAGGAAGGGGTGGAGGAGGGAGAGGAGGGGGAGGAAGAAGAGGAAGACGAGGAGGAGGAGGAGGAGGAGGAGGAGGAGGAGGGGGAGGAAGTGGGTGAAGAAGAAGACGGCGACGATGAAATCGGTGAAGATTTAAACAATCTGTTCTTAACGAAAGATGATAAAAAACCCACGACAGAGTTAAGTTATTCATCTTCCGAAGAGAACGTTCTAAAACCTATGTCCTCGAGGAACTAAATGTATTCTGATCAAAGAAAACAATCAATCATGTTAACGATTATATAACAATCAATAAAATCTTTCATATAAATCTACTGATTTACTTTAGAATCTAACAAAACGAAATGCTTCAATATTAAATGACGTCTCTTTTGCTGACGCTAATTTGGCCAATAATCTCACAACTACGAGAAATAGCTTAAATCCGTGTCCTGTAATAGGATATGTATATATTGTATGTGTATAATATTAAGTAGTTATGTAAATTCTGTCTAGACGAATCTTAAAAGAAAGAGATAAGATACAAGAATAACCTGAAAATCCGTCGCCTATTATGATATTATCATACTCTGGATGAAAATTGATTATATAATTCTAATCTGGGGTCAAGGTGTACATGCAAGTCTTTATAACAGCTGGTGTAGGATACAAGAAGGGTACAAACTTTGTCATGTAATCGTGTATAGTTCGTATTTCGTATCCATCATCCAAGGTATCACTCTGATCAAGATCCAAAGACTCTTTCCCATCCGTTGTTTATTTAGAAATTAGATAGAGAAACATTTATTCTCATTTCAAACAAACGTAGGCTTTTTATAACCATAAACATATCGGCATACTCCAGTGGTGGGGTACCGTAAACATCTTCATTCGATCCATGATAAAAGATTCCATTAACATCCATCAAAATTGGATATTCCAGGCTCTTAAATTTATCCTTTACTTTCAAGTAGCACAGTTTAATATAACGCAGCTTTTGGAAAGGAAAAACGTATGATAGATAAATTAATTACCTTGATGAATTAAATTCTCCGTCAACTCACGTATAAAGGCAATTGCATACTCAAATTAACTAGAACTTTATTTGTCCAGGAACCAGCGCATATGATGAGCTTTTTAACAAAATAGACGCCTTTTGTAGTAGAAACTACTTAACAGTACTACAAAGATGTATATTTGCAATTGTTTCATTCTCTTTTAAGATACCATCTCCATTATCAAAATCTTACTGAGAGAGGCAAAAAGATAAAGTTAAGTCAGAATACTCGCTCAAATTCGTTTCAAAAATACATTTAAAACAAACATATATACTAATATATATGAATGAATGTATGACAAACAGGTAAATACGTTTGTACCTTATTTCGATCTAATCCCTTTGGAAATTTTTCCAATTTATCTGCATCTTTCGATAGAAGAAGTCCAGTAGTTTTCCTAGTTTATAAACATATCAATCAAATATTTGGATAAGCACTCTATATCAGTCCTTTAGTCCTGATTGCAAGCTTAAAAAAAATTACTTGGGTTTAAAGGAGGCCATTGACTCTTTTTTGACTGGTCTCTAATTGATTAAATTAATGCCCTGTGTGCGATAAAGAGTTGAATTTAAACATTTATCATTCTTTCACTAGCTTTTCTTGTAATTCTTCAGAATGACCAGTAGAACTTCCTCTTCTAGAAGGTAAAGGAAGCTGTGTAACAAAAAAAAAAATGTCAGATGTTTTAGGAGTATAACAAAACTCAAACAAAATATCAAAATCTTATCAAGAAGATCATAATTATAGGGTGAACTGCTGCCTATAACCCCGATACCTGTTATAATAACATCCTTTTAAATGGGTTCCATTTTCTTTTTGACAGTTGTTTAATAGAGTTTAGAAAACGTTAGGAAAAGTTTACCTATCTCTTATGTCTTTTTTATAAAGTAACAAAATCAATATACAGTTGTTAGGCTCATTACGAAAGATTTTACTTGTTAATCTTATGCAAAATTTGTGTCACATGAATATTCAAAAAATAAGCAACAACAACAACAGGAATGGAGATTTTCTTTGTCATATTTGAATAATGAATTATCAAAAAGCAAAATATATTCAGGGAGTAAATACATCCTTCCTTACTAGACGTAATTTTGGATATAATCAACGACCCCAACTAGGAAATAACTATATAGTAGGTGCTCAAATTGAACCCGAATGGATTGTTCAGAATGGCTATGCATTCGAAAGGGAAGAAAGTGGAAAATATAAGATAAGAGGCCTGGCTAATGAAATTTTTGATAGGCAAGTTAAAATAGCAGATGGCGTTAGCGAGAGAAGAACTAAATTATCTGTTATTATCTCTTTATATATATATTTATATATATATAGCTGTAGATATATGTTTTGTTTTTAAGCAAGCCTAGTAGGGTTATAATACAATTTTTCTTTCTTCGGCTTTTCTTTATTAAAGACTGAGAGAGGAACTTCAGTAACAGAAGAAGAAACCTCAGTACCTAATTATAAGGATATTAAATCATCGCAAAAGGGGAAAAGTACCATAAAAACTGGGGCTAAATATTTAAAACATTCGTCGGCCGACCGAACACCGAATGAATATAAGTTGCAGTCCAAAGAAAGTACAACTTCCGATAGAAAGATTGTTAGGTCAGAACAAAAATCTAGAAAGCTTCCGATAAAGAAAAAGCCCGGAACTTCCGCTATGAGAACTACGGGAAATATTTCGACAAAGGGGTCTGAAGAAACTGAAAGTAGTTATTCTACTGATAGGAAAACCTCCGAAAGTATTAGTCATGACTCTTCAAAAAATGACTCGACATCTACGTCTGAAGAAAGCTATGAAACAAAATCTGATAGCCCATCATCGGCAACATCAAAGGAAACATGTGACGTAGAGAGTTCAAATAGCCAGTCAACAGTCGACAAAGTTGTCAAGAGTTCCAAAAAAAGTCATTTTCGTAACGAATTGAAAGGTCATTCATCCAGCGTAATGTCAAGCGAGTCCCTAAATGAGACAGATGAGAATGAAACGTTTAGTTTAAGTGAAGAGAAGTCAACTGGAAGAGGTTCAGGTAGAGCTAAAGTCAATGGATATATTATAGTGGATCAATCTAGTAGTAAAGAATATTTCTCAGAAAAAAAACCCTATCGTATAAGATTAGGAGAAAGAGGAGACGTTTCAAGGCCAAAGATAATGCCTCCTACCGTTAAATGTAAAGGGGAGAGGAAAAAAGTTCCAAAGTATATCTATTTATATATACTAATATATTAGTATATTCCCAAAAAAACAACCTCAAATAGTCAACATTTAATATACTTGTTTTCATATTAGACACTTTCGAAAGACCAATATTATTGATAAAGAAAGTTCTACAGCAAATTTTTCGCACTCTAAAGTAAGGAAAGGGTCGATAAGATCGCAAAGTAGCGGCAGTTGTAGTTTGTCATCTACCAATTCGTTTATAGAAACTTTCTGGGTGTCCCGCCAAGAAACGACTGACAGAACTAATTCGAGTGTAAGATATATGTCAAAAAATGATACAGAATCTAGCCTTGATCATGTAAAATCGACAAGGAAAGTTTTATCAAATATTGATTGCAGCCATGAGACGAGGAGTTTTCATTTTCCTAGCCTACGTTATAAAGAAAGTTTCTATCCAAATGTTATTGGCGAATTAGATGACCCAAATATGTTTTTAAATGGAAAATGCACATATACGTGGGCGAACAAAACGTTTACACCTATGCCTCATCATCCAAATTGCTGTAAAATTAACACTAATTGCGAAAAATTAAATAAGAGCTCAGATATTGATGATCCAGCATCTTTGCAGTTGAATTCTTCGAAAATTGAGTGTCATTCAAATATAACTGAGAGCTCAATTTCTGCACTCTCTATTGTTGACGATAATACCAGCGATGATAAAGCGAATCGCGATAAGGATGATAAGGATTGTACCGTTCCATCCTCAGATAATGAACTGGAATTAGAAACGGATGGGGAAGCAGCTACTTCTCACGATACCGACTGTAGAAAGAAGTTAATTGACAAACGCTTAATGGAAACGGAAGTAAACGAAATTTCAATATTGAGCGACACTAGTAAGGAAGAACAAGCTAAATATATAAAAAAGAGCTATATTAGATCTAAATGCTTTTCAAGACGGCTTAAAAAGAGGACAGAGAAGATTTTCGGTAATTTAAATATAAAAAGACTTATTGACAAGCTATTTAAAGAGAAAAACGAATAAGAATAAACGAATATTAATCTTGTGGAAGAGTCTCCTGTTGGCTGTCAGTATCGGTCATATTTAAAGGACTCTTTTCTCTTTTACGCTTCTTTCTCTCGTTCTTTGAATTCTCTAATCCATTCAATTCTTCTTTTCGGAATGGATCATCCTCAAGCGTTAGTATACGGCTAGTACCTGTATATCCATCATAATGTTTAGAGATAGTTAGCGTTTTTATATTAGCTTCCACTTCTACAAATTGTTCTTCTTGCTAATGGAAAAATTGTATTATTTGTGTATAGATTAGGGTATTTTAAATGAAAGTAATTTATAGTTGGATAAATACAGGTTCTTCCGGTTCCATTTGATTCCTAGAAATGAAGTTTCTTTCTGTATATATCTTAAAAAATATCCAAGTTGTTACCCCAATGAGAACAGTGATGGAAAACAATGTAAAGATCTTTTCAAAATTTTCCTCTCCAAATGTTCTTTCTTAAGACGAATATTAATTTTAATAACATCTAATAGGATTAGATTAGTGAGTTTTTCACCATTTGAAGGTATAGAATCAACAATTCGGCTATCATCCTCTAAAGTATTTTCGCATACGGGAGGTATCCATTTCCGAATGATCTTATCAATACTCTTCCGCTTAATTAGTATAGCATCGTCAAATTTCGCTCTAAAAGGATGACCTTTCCTAAAAGCAAACGAAATAGGTCTTTTAGGATAATCAATCCTTACAACTCTACCCATACAATTGCCTTTAAAGTCTTTGGCCAAATATCTAATAAAAAGACGTAATTGAAAAGAGAGAAAAGCAATAGTATTTGTTTTCCGGAAAGGCGTCTTTACCTTAAAGCTTCTAAAGTATGTAGAAGAACCGGAACTTTACCATTTTTAACCGTATAACGATCTTCTAAGAAATTCGATGCTACTTTCCCAAATGTCACATTCTCATAAATGATTGCCTCATTTTTCTGGTTGAAAAATTTTTATTTTATATGATTATGCTAAACTACTTGATTAAATAGGTCTTGCTTGTATAAAATATGGTTCAGTTAGGTCTTTGGGGAATCTGCCAATCAAAATTTTTGGTCCAGAGTAGCGGGTCATTGGATCGTCTAATGAAAGAGTAGGGGAGGGGGGTATTAATTCTACGTTATATTTCCTTAAACTATAGGCCAACATTTAGTCATAATTAGATCCAATTGATATAATATAGCCGATGCAAGCCAATCGGTAAATATAAAGTAAAGAAAAATCAACCATAAGAGATAAATTATCTTTTCTCTCCATCGGAAAAGTATAACCCCTGTAGGCTGATTAGAGAGCAACTAACTAAATGTTATAAAAGAAAAGTTTTGCAGGTAACTACAAAAGTAAGAGCGGCTTCTATTACATAACGAATACTCAGCATCAGTGCACCGCATCGAAGGGTAACATTTATAGGTAAATCCCAAATTTTTCCGTCCCAAATCGACTTATGAGCGGATGCTGCTACGCATTTAGATAAGTGTAGACTAAGGGTAAAAAACATTATGGCAAGTGATCCAAAAATTAAAAGATCTTTATAGGGTAACACTAGAAATATGAATATATATGGAATATTAAAAGTATTAAATTAATTTATTCATATCATTTGCATATAGAAGATACTAACTATGAATAGATTGAATAAGTGAGGAAAGATATAATCCATCTTTAACCAGCATAGCAAGACAAGTATGAAATATTGGTTTAGATAGTACAAAATTCTCTTCTATTCCATTCGAAAAGAAAAATGGGGCCAATATAAAATCCAATTGTTTAACATTTTCAGACATATGCAATCTAATAGATTCAATATCTTTATTATAAGATAATTGATCATTATAGAATGTTGTCCAATGTCTTGGCAATATTTCAAAGTCATATTTAAAATTCAACTCCTTTGATAGAATCTATTAATAATATAAAATCCATTCAATTTATTTAATTATTCCCTTTGAGAATAAATTAATTATTTTCACTTCATCAGTTTAACCTCAAGAATGTCAATTAAGATTCCATTAAAGGTAAAAAGTTCGGAATTTGTTGGCACCTTCCCGCTTTCGTTAAAGTTAAGTTGACGATTAGTGAGGACGAACGGTTCAAAATTTGTTGACTAAGTGTTACATAATTTAATAAAATTAACCTAATTGCAATGTTATTAAATATTACGAAAACAGCTTACAGGTATTATACCAATTTTGAATTTTAGTGGATAGCGATACCTATCTTTAGTGGGAAGGTTTTTTAAATCATCACTTATTACATACTGTATATGGATGTAATTAGATATTATTACTTTTAAAGAGATATCTCGATCCGCCATTATTTATCCATTTTCTATCTTCTATCCAAAATCTTAAGATTAGAATCTTTTAGGGGGAAACTTTACTATCTTTACCGTAATTGTAACTATATTTAGCGTCTTCACCAATTTTCTTGACGGAATTCGGTAGAAAAAAATATGTTAATATTTCGTCGTATTGCAGTTGAAAACTGCAATTCAACAAATTTCGATTATTGTATGACAGTAACTAAAAGAAATTATAGTGAGACGTGAATGGAATATAATGATTCTGGGGTTTTTTTTTCAATTTACTTGACAAATGAAATCATTGAAGTATTGAGAAATTTCAACTTTATTCTTTACTATATCCAAACCAACTTTCTTTAATTATCCAAAGGAAAATTAATAAGTATTTTTAATCATAAAATACGGATTAAATTGCAAATTAAATTGGTATTGGATAATACCTTTTTCCAAGGAAGTAAAATTATTAGTTCAGTTTCCGAGTCATGTGATTCATTTAAATAATCATTTTTACCTAATTAACGTAAATAATCCTATATTGAAAATTTTTTTAGTTTCTAAACGAAAGATAATACCATATCTAACATATTCGTAAAGATGTGAAGAACCGAATAATAGATTATAGCCTATTAACCATCTTTTGCTGTAGTCTTTAATCTCTAAAATATTCGAATTAGACAGGAAAATGATAATTTCGAAAGAACTATTAATTAAATCTTTTAACGCTTCTTTGCTTTGAAATTTCGAACTGGGTGAATTTTCTATAAAAGGGTCCAATTTAACATATTTTGATTGATCAAATAACCAATCCTTTCTTATAAGTATCTTATTAAATTCCATTTGAATACAATCTCCTAATGATATAGACAATGATAATAGTAATAATAAATTTCTTTTACAAACCTTCCTTTGTATCATCAATAATTATTGCATAACTTTTAATATTTAACTTTATAAGTAAATCAACGAAAGCTTCAAGATAGTTTGTAATATTCTAGTGTTTATGTTTGCAATAGTAATAATAAATTAGTGAAAACTTATATTAGAAGAGCTTACAAGACCAAACGGTAAGAATGCCGATGGTAGTGTACAGATTGGGAAAATTGCCATTAAACCCTGTTGATTGCTATCTTTTCCGGTAGGAATGAATTGAACGATAGCATTATCCATAAAAACTGATGAATTTTTAGGTAGATTTAATATTCTTTCGTAATTATCTAATACTAATGTTAGATTACTTGATAAAAGGAGACGGAATATCAAGTTAAAAATAGACTATCTAACCTGAGAGGGGATGAACAACTACAACGTCTATACATAACTTTTCAAGAATACTTGGGTTGAAATATATAGAATAATTAAGCATAGATGTAGTATAAAATGACAATTGATTATCATTATCTAAAAGATAGATAGAATACACAGTATACATTTGTAAGTAAACTAAGGATGACTATATATGGCTCTCTTTATGTAAAAAGAGTAATCTTAACACAATTTCAAACCTGTCTATTCAATTTACCTTTGCAAAAGCTATTTTTAGCTAAACTTATTGTATGAAATAATGAACCAGTGACCATGGAAATTGAAAATAAACACGTTCCTGTAATAGAAAAATTCCATAAATTATTAAAACGGAGCATTTCCTTTTTTTGATAAAGCTGAAATTTCGAATTATTTGAAAAAGAAAACGAACTAGGCTTAATTAATTAATTTAATTTCTTCATGTTCTATATATTATAAACTTAATAATGAAAACATTTTATGTACAAATTTAGCAGAAAAAACCTAACATTTGTAAGTTAACTTTCTAAGTTTTTTTCTTCTTCTTTTTCTCTTTATTATCCTTATCGTTTATCTTTCTTTTCGTATTTGACGCGCCAACAGTTTCCATATTTTCCCACATATCATCATTATCCTTTTTCGCATCGTTGCTTGTCTCTTCCTCTTCATTTTCTATTGATAAATTTGAAAATAGTAAGCAATTAAGCTTACTCTTCAAATAAAACTGTAAAAAGAATAAAAATTTACTTGAAGGTAATGAATTATTAAACACTTTTACTTACTTTATATTCAAGTTTTCTTGTTTTAATATCGTGCACTCTAACAAAACGATCAAGACCGCATGATGCAACATATTTTGAAGATGGATGACACATTAAGCTCTTTATAGATCCGGCTATTCCTTTATAATTATAAACCAATTGACCTAAGGAGATAAAAGAGATAAAATTGATGTCTACATTTAAATAGTGGAATTAATTAAGAACCTTTTCTCAAGTCGATAAGACCCATATTTCCATGAGTATTACCCACAATAACTTGACTGAAATGGAACAAAGTACAAACATACTATAGTTAAGGTGAAATTCTGGAAAAAAAAGAAATTTTATATTACTTTCCATCTCCAACTAGAGCTAAACTTGTTAAGGGATATTCATCATATTTTGCTTCGAGTACGGGGCGTTTTTGTTTACCAGATAAATCATAAAGTCTTATCTATAGAAGGGTTTTTGTCATTAGATTTGTTCACATATCGTTACAATTGATTAATTTAGCATAATAAGAATTATACCTGATGATGTCCTGTACAGGTGACAACTTTATTTGAATTAGGAACGAAAGAGATATCTTTAACCCAAATAGGAACACGATGATCAAGCCAATCATTTTTTACCTAAGATAAGAATTTTTAGAATAAACTCTAATAAAAAACATATATATATATATAAACAAACATTTTTAGCTATAAAAGACGGCTTTTCAGGTTGATTCAAATCCCATATTTTTAGACAATTTTCTTTTCCTCCTGTCGCTATTAAATTACTATTGGAATAGTTTTGTCTCATACGGCAAATATTTTTTCCAGCATTGATAATACATTGCGTTTCGTCTTCTTTATTATTCTCATCAAGGTTCCATTTATTAATTTCGCCACTTTCAACGGAAGTTACAATAGAACTGCAAGATTAAAAATATTTTTATACCAATGAAATAGGAAAACGCATTGTTATTTTACTTCTCAAAAACTTCCAAACCAGTAAAATTTCCTGTTCCTACTTCACATTCTAATAATTCTTTTCCACTTTCATCAGACAAGTTTAATTGAATAACCTTACGACTTCGTAATCCTGCTATAATCTGTAGTTTTTCAAAATTTGAATTAATCACTGAGAACGAACTAATTTTTCTAGGTAAAATAATCATACAGTATCTTGATCTTTATTAAACCATTGTAATACGTTAATTTCGTTTTTCTTATTTGCACTGGATAAGTCATTTAAATTTTTCCAGGAGTTTTGGGCGATGTTAATACCTGTAATTTGTTGGAAAGAAGTAATTTGTAGATTCTATATTCCCACACAGTTAAGCCTTATTTATATTCCATCAATGATCGATTGTATTTTATTTTATAAATTAAGGAAAAATACCTTTAATAAGTCCAGTTTCAGCCCCTGCTATAACGTTGTAAACACGTGCTCCATCCATGTTTTCGGGATTCCTGTTCCCGTCCCGTTATTCGAATTTGAAAATTAAATGGAGTACGAAACCTTTAGGATCTGACACCAGTTTGTACATCTAAACAAGATGTGAATATTTCCCTGTCCAATCCATTGCGAAATTTTTATATTTCTTTTTTTAAACTCTAATAAATAGTTTCGGAAAATATAATTTGCTCATCCGAAAGAATTATTATTTGAAGCGTGCTAAAAACTTTTGATACAAGAAATATTATGTTTTTTGAAAGCTAGTCAGTAAAAATACGACTTTGAAGATGAATACAGGTAATAAGTTTCTTGTATAAAAAAAAATTAAAAAATACCATAGCCTCTTATTTAAGTTAAATGATTCTAAAACATCAATTATTTCTCTGAAATTTAACAGGAAATCTCGATATATTTTCAAAAATGGAACTTCAACCATACTAAGGGAAGGTCATGTGATAAAATATGGAGGCCTACCCGACTGCCTGGTTAAAGAAAATTTAATTTTCCATGAATAATATAGAATATACTTGTATCAAATGAAGAGGCAAAATGCAGAAAAATGATGCGATTAATACTACATTTAGGCACGTAAACGTCCTTAGTCAACAAGTTTGTACTGCGTAGTTTTAGCGAAATTAAGTAAAGAGTTGACTCCCAATACTATTTTCCTTAGAGACGAATCCGCCATCTAAATGGAATTATTGCCAGAAATTTGATAGTAAAAGATCAAAATGGATTTTTATATTATTCCCTGCATGATTATAAACAAGAAAAAGAATTCTATAGGTCAGAAGCCGTACGAATGTCAACAGTAAGCAATTTAAAATACTGTGTATGTTAAACTGTTAATTGCATTGCTTGCTTATTTTTATTTAAAGAATCCTATATGGAAGACACTTAATATAAAAGATTATTGTAAAGATATAATAATTTGTTCAGCGACAGGTATTGCATAAAAAATGACTTTTTAGTGTAAAAAAGTAGCTTTCTAATATACGATATGAAATTCAAACAGCTTTAGTGGTGAAATTATGGCAAACAAAAAATAATGAAAACGATAGTGAAAGGCAGATTTTATTAAAATGGAAGGTTAATTTGACTGGATTAACGTGTTTCGGAAATAATGTAAGATATATTATGCATTTACATTTTCGTGCAAGAAAATTTAACTAAAAAAGAACGTTTCAACAGCTGCAAAGGGATGTGACTTTCAAATCAAACGTTCTTATATTTGAAATACATAATTTGTATTTTATCTATAATAAATCAACGGAGCCTGAATTCGAAAGCTCTCATTTTCAGCCTGAATTCGTAACTGACAAATGGAAGAAATCATATGATTTAAACGCTATTCGAAGGTAGTATATTAATTCTTTATGTTTGAAATATAGCTCAACTAATTACTGAATAACTTTTTAACAGAATACAAACAGCTTTTAGAGCGGCTGTAGAAACTCATTTACGAAGTAAAGAACTTAAACGCCATATCGATTCTAAATTGATGAGCGGAACACAAGCCAAGGAAAAAGTACGTCCAAAATGTTATTAATACCTACAAAATTTATTTCAAAAACTATTGTCATTCAGTTGGTGGAGAAAGAATTATTGATTTCCGATATAACTCGACTGCAAAATCGGCTTAAAATAGCTGAACAAGCTCGAAATGACCTCAGGAATGACTTGGAAAGCTTTCAGTTTGCAAACCGATCAGCAAGTTAGAGTTTAATTTTCTTGTAATAAAAAACAAAATCATTTGGCAATTTCCCAAATATAGAAATAAAACTTTCCGAAGAATACGAAAGTCTAGTCCGGAATAGATTAAAATTAGAAAAGAAAAAAGACCAATATTTCGATCAACGGGAAGAATTAGTGAAAATTGGTACTTTATTAGGTCAAAAACGTAGAAAACTTATTACTGATCTGGCCTTTATTTATCCAATTTATGAGGTTAGTATTTTATGTTTAATTCATTATCCCAAAAGACTGGTACAATTAATATTTATAAACTTAGTACATATTGCACTCCCTTAACATCCAATATTTTCAGTCACCACACACAAGAGACTACTATGTTTGTAATATCAATTTGCCAAATTCTGACATCCTTTTCGGTGAGTTTCTCGGTTCAGTTAACACCTACTTTTCTTTACTTATAAAATTATATTTTTCGCAGAAAAAGATGAAAATGCTGTTTCCGCCGCTTTGGGTTACACGGCACATTTAATTTCTATGATTTATTACTTTCTAGACGTTCCCTTGAGATATCCAATTCGATTTAAGTGCTCCAGAAGTGAAATTATAGACAACTTTCAAACAGTAATTCCAGATAAAATGTATAACGTTTATATATTCATTTATGTAATTTATTAAATTATATTTCTTGTATTCTTTCGTTAACTATGTAGATTTCCACTTTATGCTAGAGGCAAGGAAAAAGTTGTTTTTGAATACGCTGTATGGATCTTGAATAAAAATGTAGCTCAGCTTAGGCAGTATTGCGGGTTAAGTACGAAAGACTTTCGTCCAACTTTAGCCAATATTATGGGATTATTGAACTCGCGACTGTCTATTCATGTGTAAGTTTTTTAGACCTTCTTACTTACAGTTAAAACTGCCATGTGATTAATAAGAATTTTCTTAAAATGTAATTTATTTGCAGAGATCACTCGAATTTGCTATCAAACTTTATTATTCCTTCAATGACTCATTTGATTCCTCCGAATTTCGGCGGCCCTCAACCGTCCAAATCGAAAATCCTTATAAATAGAATTACAGATGATACAGCAGAAGAGAAAGCATCCTCATCCTCTTGTTCTTCCGAAGATGACGAAGAAGACGAAATAATTGAAAATAACGGAAATGTTGTACTCATAAATAATGAACTGTCTATAGACCCAATAACAGAGGAGGAAAGTCTTAATTCTGTGCAGAAAAAATTAGACGAGACTGGTGAGGACGCTTTACTCTTCGACTTAGAAGTTGAAAATCGAACTTGCAGGTCAAATAGTGAGGATGGCGACTGTATTCGAACTTCATCAAATTGCTGATTACATCTAATCTGCACAATATTTTATTTTTTTTAAAAAAAATATTTAAAAAGAAAGAAACCGAGGAAAAGTTTGTTTTGTTACTTCATTATTCAGCTAATTTTTTTGCTGTTTAGTAATAGTAATACATTTACAGTATATAAATAAAAATATATTGATATAGATGTCATCTAAAAGTATTTTAATTTTTTTTTCCAATCATAAATACATTAACATTGTTTTGAGTTACGCAAAATAATATGTATATATATAGATATAAATAAAACAAATATTACAATAAACATGTACTGTACATGCAATAAGTTAATTAATTATCCATATTTTTAATTACATCCTTTACAATCACGATCTTTCTTTTTAGAATACAAATCCCATTTAAAACAGCTACTATGACAGATTTATCGTAAATAAACAATTGAAGAAATAGCTGCTCTATATATATAATATATATATATATGTATGTATATATTTAAACAATTTATTTAAAGAAACCCTAATTAATTTCACATATTAGCATGTTGGATAAAACCAGTCTAAAAAAGGAGGGAAAAAAAATCATAAAAAAAAGAAATTCAAAATTTTCACTAATATTGTACATAGTCTATTTAGATTTGGTTTCTTTATGTCGTTTCTGCAAATGAACGTAATAAATATTATTGAATAAAATATTATTAAATTAATCTATCTATAAGCGTTAATTTAGAGACGCTTTCGTCTATATTTACCTTAGTCGCTGTTTTTACTTTGTCAGTGAAAGCGGGACCGTCTCGTCTCATCTTTCTGTTATGTCAACAAGTTATTAGTTTAATGTGTTTTGTTGCTGTTATTGTACCAATTCTATAAGACAACTTACGTATTTAAACTAGGTTCTTTATATGAAATTTGTTTTGTTCGTCTTGATCTTCTCTCTTCGCCTTCCTCTGATAACGTACTTATTGAACAAAAAGAAATTGAGCTATTTCTACCTCTTTTGGACTTTTTATTCTCAGTTGGTATTTCCGTTAGAGGATCATTCTTCGATTTAACTCTTACGGACGATCTCTTTACAGCCTTTTCAACAGTCTCACGATTTTCGTCTTCTCCATTCATTACATCCTCAACTATAGAATCTTCTATTATAGTAGTCTTCCTAGTTAAAACGGAATTTCTATTCCCCTTACGATTGATTGTACTAGTTCTAGTTTTTTTCGGAGATTTAGTTTTATCTTTAGTCTTCGCTGTTTTCTTCTTTTGACCATCAATCATTTTACTTCTTCGAGATGTTTGCTTCTTCGGCTTTTCTTCCGGTATATCTATTGGAACAGTTTCTACAATACTATCTTCTATATGTATATCATCTAAATCATCTTTATCTTTTGATTTTTTGTTCGGCGACTTGTCTTCTGTAGAGTCTAGCGTTTCGTCAAGAATATAGGCTCTCTTCTTAACGCGATTTTCCCCAACACAAGGAGAGTCATCCGATACATTGGATGCAATGTTCTCTTCCTTAATATGAATAGAATTAGGACTTTCGGAAGGTATTATATCTTTTTTTCGGGATTCAGCTTTAATTACACTCTGTCGAACCGACTTTACCCGACTAGCCCTTTTGGCTTTGGCCAATGACTCTTTCCGACGTACAGGACTGACGTGAAATGTTTCATCATCCGGATCATCTAATATGTCATCGGTACTACTTTCCAAAATGTATTTTTTATTTCCAGCAGCGGCTCGACGCCTCTCTACTGGACTACCACTAGACGCTTTTCTGGGTGACGGATCTATATTGTGTTATATACATATTAAAATATTAACCTTTAGGGACAAAATAAATGAATATCATACCCATTGGCGGACTATTTGGAATAATAATATCTGCTATAGAATTGTCATTTTCGTTATCTGTTAAAAGGACTAGTTGATAAAAGTTTGAACAAGATTCCTTTAAAATACTTTACCTATTGAGTTATTAATCTTTTCCTGAACAATAAAACTTTTCCTTCGAGCTTTTCTTTCAATTTCCTTATCATTTGGTTGAGATGAATCTAATTCCTCGTTATTCGATATTTCATGGAGTTCAACATTATCTGAATAACTAACAGTTGACTTTACTTTGTTCTTTACGTTGTACTTATGATTTAAAATAGATGGTGGGCCCATCTCTCGTTTCTTTTTCTTTTCATCTTCGGCTATCCTTATTCTCTTTCCTATATCGTCAATAACATCATCTTCCAGAAAAGACTTTGTTACCGACATATCGTATACGTCTTTTGTTTTGTTTAAATCCGGTTCTGATAATCTCCTAATCTTCCTTCGTTGTACTCTATCCCTCGATTGACTACGACATCTACTCTTTGGTTTAATAGGAAGAAGACTATTTGTTTTCCTTTGCCTCGAACGACTTTTCTCAACTTTCTTGTCAATTTTCTCAGCACAAAAGCTGATCTCACCTTTACTAATGTAAGCACAAACTTTCTTATCTTTCGATCTTGGCAATTTCGACGTTCGTTTAGATTGTTTCATATCATCCAATTGTTTTTCACTTACAAGTACACTATCCAACTCCATATCGATTATATCGAGATTTGTATTATTCTTATCAATAGCCGCTTCCAGAGTTGCACCTTAAATAAATAAAATTTTTTATATAGAAACTAAGCCCTTAAGAGAAAACTAATTTTATTACCATTTGGTATGTTGTTTATCGGTTTTGTTACCGACTCTTTAGTCTCTTCAATCTTGGTAACTTTAACTTTGGATGTATCTTTATTTTTTGTTCCTGGCTTTTGTAATTGTCTCTTCGAATTGGGTTTTTGCTTATCCTTTTCAATGTCAGATGCAATTCTCACTTGTTTTTTCTCAATATTTGTCACTTTCTTGGAAATAGCTTCATTGTCCTTCACTTCCAATTTATTCTGACCTTGTAGATCTTCTCCTAATTTATTATCTTGATTCTTCTCAGACCTTTCGTTAGTTGATTTGTCGATGTTTAATTTTTTTTCCTTTGAAGGATTTTCTACCTTTCGATCGTTTTGTTCCAGTTTGTCGCCGTTTTCTATAGGTTTTTCCGTATCTTTTTTGTCCTTTTTTTGAGTACTGTTTTGCCTTGAATATCGTTTTTGATTCTTTCGGGGTTTATCGTTAAATGGTATAAACATGTGAACGAATGGACGTTCATCATGATGAACTGAATTTATAATTTGACTATCTGACGATGTTTCTTGAGATTTTTTCTCAGTCTCATCTGCTATGTTGTCAAGTGCTTCCTTCTCAACAGATTGAGCTCTTGAATCAGGAATGATCTCAACTGCTTCTTCAATATCATTGTTATCTGGTATAGCAATATCTTCTTCAACATTTTGAGTATCCTCTATAACGTTTGGGACATTCTCTTCCATGTCCATACGATAGTTCTCTTCTATTTGGTTATCATCATTTTCCTCCTCATTTTCAGGCTCTTCAAGTAACGTTGTAACATTATACATAGAGCGATACATTGTTGCGTCTGTAAAAAAACAAAGGAAACAATTAGAAATGTTGGTTTATCCATTTGTACCGAAGTATAAACAAACCTGGCAATACTCTATGCATAACCGATTCATTAACAGACATTTCAGGTACAACACTTAAATCGGGTGATTTAGCTACTGGACTAAGCTGACTCCTCTCCATTTGAGGTCTAGATATGTGTTTAGTTCCAACAGGCTGTAAGAAGAAAAATTAATTATAAACTACAATATAAAACTTTAACAAACCTCCGGAGTTATTAATTCTTCAGATTCCAGATTTTCTAATGACGTATGATTATATTGACGACCATCTCTTATCAAGTTTTTCCATAAACTAGATGTCTTTGTTTCACTCTGCATTATAAGATATCAAATGTAGTTGATAGTAGTTGGATATTAAACATATTGAGCTATTTACATGAATATGATTTTGCATTCCTATAACATTATCATAGAGTTCTTGAATGAGAGAGGTAACATTACACACTGGTTCAATTAGCGATAGCATGGCTTCAGGGTTTTGATTTCTTATCTCTAGCTTTTGTTTTTCTTGAAGTAAATTTACGTTTTCAATCTGATATAAACAATATCAAAATCAGGTAAAATTCATTACAGGTACGAAAGAAAATCACTTTTAAATTATTAAGCTCAGTTTCTCTCTGATGAAGGAGTCTTTTCAGATCTTCCACTTGAAGGGCTAGCTCTTTGTTATTTATTTGTATTGTAGATCGTAAACAACCTGCAAGAAGAAACCCATTTTACATTAACCTAAAGAATACGTGAGGGTGATCACTAACTAGATGGCTTTTCTTTTTCCTTTGATGCTTTTTGTTTACTAATTATTCTCTGATTCGATGTGACATTTGAGGCCGCTTGTCGTTTTTTCATGCGTTCTTTCAAATTCTTCAAATCCTCTGAAACATCGAGGCATGACATCTTAGAGTCCTTTTCCTCCCCCTGAAATAAAATTATTTTTCTAACAATTGATCAACTAGAATTAAAATTGACGCGAACTAGGAGAATTCGTCGAATATAAAGACTGACACAATAGTCGATTCTATAATAGTTTTAACATCGATCGATAGGCATCAAATTCGTAATAATCATACCTTGGTTTTTCGCCTATCTAAATTGATAAATGTGAGGTCAACTTGGATATCATCCATTTAATGGTAAAAATTATTGAATCGACGGCATTCACTTTCTGTTGACAAATTTCAAAACGAAATACAACGCGCTGATTGGTTGATTGCGTTGGTATGGTTCCTGGTCTTAGTAAGGAATTATAGATGGTTTGTATCAGCTAATCTTACTAATATGTAACATGGAATTATTATTCAATTAAATTTTTAAAAAACTAGGTTACACTATAATAAAATAATAAATTATCATCAGAAAATTAGAAAGCTCATACGGAATTTTAAAACTTCTTAATTTTCTATTCAATACTATCAAACAAAGAGAGAATTACTTTCTAGATTGATATTGTTCATTACCTGATAAGAATGATACTACTAATAATAATAGATTTCTAGAAGTCATGTGTTTTTTGAAAGTAAAAAAAAAGTTAAATTCAAAAAATATTATTCTTCAATTGTGAATTTCACAATGAAAATACAAGTTTTTTCAAATACATTATTAGAATGTATATACGTTATGTATATTATAAATTGGACATTTATTTCTATATCTACTTTTCGTGCTGAAATTCCCTAAAATACCAATGTGTTAATTTTGTTAGTAAATTATGCTACTATTTCTTTTTCTATGTTAATTTTCCAGATTTATTTTCCAGTCTTTTCTCGGGATGCTTTTTCCTTACGTGTCTTCTCATATTTGTGCTAAAAGAGAATGATATAAAACAAAATGGACATTTATATAAGTTATTTAATTTCTTTTCTTGTGGTAAAATTGATGGTTTGTCGGGATGTTTTGTCCTAATGTGTCTATAGAGATTGCTCATTCTGTTACAGCTTGTAGGGCATAGTGGACAGGAGAAACTATTTGCTTCGCTGGCATTCTCTTCGCTCGATAGATTGTTGTTGTTGATATGGTCTTCCTCAATAGAAAACACTGTAACACAACTTTCTTCAGTTGTATCCTCTCTTGAACAAGATTTTTTTGATTGTAGGGCGTCAATAATACGTTTCACGTCTATAATATCTCTAGTTGAATTTAATTTCGGAGAAGAAATATTTTGAGGGTGTTGTCTATGTAACTCGTTGTTTAGGGCGGGTCTCTGAAATTCTACTTCTTTTTCAGTCTGAAAGTTGTTACCATTGTCTTTTAGCTTGATTTTTGAGAGTTTTGTTGATCCTCTGCGTTTTGTGGTTCTATTGTGTTGTTGATTTTCGTGCCGGCGCAAATTAGACGAATATTTAAATGTAGCTGGACATAGCAGACATGGATACTTTTTCAAAGTTGCTTTTGGTGATGAAAGAGGATTATTTGGTTTTAGTGCTGTCTCATCTGAAGTAGTTAAGAAAGATGCTTTCCATGAAGTTTTTTCGTCGACTTCTACATCCAAGTTAACTTTTATCTTGAGGTATTTTTCATGAAACAATGTACATGTTGCTGTATGAGATATCAAACCCCGAATTATGTCTATGAAGCGGGTTCTCTCATTCATCATTAAACAAAAATGAAACTATGATGACATGATTTATGAGATTCGAATAGAATTATACCTAAAAACTAATACATGCCATCTTTTAACTAAATTTTTGAAACTCTACTATACCATAGCTTGACCGGTTTATTCGGTCACCTCTGGTACTGTGAAATTTTCACCGGTTTCGAAATAGCTTCACATCCGGCTACATATCGACTTCCTGTCGTCATTGGAACTAAGAAAAACCCAAAAGTGGTCAAACAGTAATATATTTTATTAGACAGCTTTATGGAACTACTTTGAAAAGTTGTAATTTATAGTTCCAGAAATGAACGTAAATTTTGTACAGGAATTGTAAATTTTCACCTTTTTTATTGTATCCTAAAGAAATTTGAGAGAAGCAGAAGAGAAACTAGTTGTAAGCTGCCTAGAAATGAAAACAGCGGATGATTCAAACCACTATCATCCTTATGGAGCACAAGGCAGACGGACAATTCTAGCTAACAACGCTCGTCCTGTAAGTATTACAGTATTTTCAACTTGATCGTCATATTTCGATCCATCATAAAACTATAACCTTTTTAAATGGCTCGGTTGAAATATGAATGCTAAATGAATAAAACCCCTTTTTTGCGTTTTTCTGAGTAATGTTACATGAAATTGCCACGTGGTCACAGGCTTCAAGTAATCGCTATGGTTGTCAACATGATCAAATTCTTGAGTGCCCATTGCCTCCCTACAAAGGGCCTTATCCTAAAACGGACCTTCAAAACGCCAGGAATAGACTATATGCAGATGTGTGCTCCAAATTTTCTTTTAATAACATTATAACCTACTTAAAGCCAAAACTAGGATTACCTCCGCGCCGTTTAGTGCATCCTGACACCGTTACGCAATTATGCCATAAAGAAGAGCCAGATTATTGGCATTTAAATTACGAAGAAGTTTTCAATCCTCGATTGTTTGAAAAAGAACTAGCAGCTATTGAGGAATCCTGCGATGATAATGAAAGTGATAAAGATATAACAGAGTGTGGAAACGACAATAAAGTTGAAGAAGTTTTAGAATGTGGGAGCGTCAAAGATGTTGAAGAAATTCAGATAGAAGATGAAACTAACGATGTCAAGCAAGATTCTATCTTCGAAAATAACCCTGATTATATTGAATTGATAAAGTGCGACTTTTGCGACGAGATGTCAAAGGATGAAAAGGTACTAGATTGTATTTCAATATCCACAGTCAGATACTAATCGTACTATTGCATTTTCAGACTTTAAAAATTCACTTAAAAGAGAGTCGCCATCTATCAGCAAGTACATATTTCGCAAAAAAAATTGTTGAAGAAAAAAAATCTATGGAATTATTTGCTGTCAAAGAGAGTCTATCTGTTACTTTAGACTCTTCTGAGGCAGATCATATTATTGTTTGCCCAAGTTGTCTTTGTGTATTTGCTGATATCTTCTCGTGCGGAAAGCACTATAAGCACAATCATGATCATGAAAAGCGAAAATATACTATTTGTAAAATCATTAAACGACAAACTGTACGCATTCCCATGGAACCATCATGTCTAAAATGCAGCAGGAAATTTGTTCTACATAGTCAATTGCATGAACACTGGAGAAAACTACCTTCTCACTTACCTTGTGATACTGAAGTGCAAGAAGGGTGTTTTATGCGATTTGCTTGTATGGCTTGTGAGAGGGTTTCGGAAAGAAGTCTAATTCAAGCAAAGAATCACGCTCTATCTTGTAGAATGAAACGCCCGGGAAGATTAACTGTTTTACTGCTTGTTTATACTGTAGAAAACCCGGAAGAGAGAAATATAAGAACGCTTTTACCTTTTGCTAAAGATTTCATTTCTCTATGAGATTGTTTTAATAGTTTAAAAAACGTGGAGATTAATGCAAAATATTAATGTTTTTGTAAGTTATATATGTTCCTTTTATTGTTTTCCCATTTAAGCCAAATAACTTTTGTAAATCTTCTCATGCTATCCATTTATTTTGAATGAAAACAGAATTTTGTACATCGTTGCTACTTTTGTTTTGCTTTCGTTTTTCTAAAGAAGAAATTTCTTTGCTGTTATTTGTTATCAATTGAATAGCTGAACTCAAAAATTAAATACAAATTAATGGTTTTTATTAAAATTCCTTAATAGTTCTCAGAATGTCCCATGTATTAAAAATCTACAAATATGTTAACCCTACATCACGTAACATATGCACGATCTTAATTTTTATAACGTGACCAAAGGACAAATCATGATCAATGTTTAATACTATATTTATATATATATACTAATATTAGTATATAATCAGTAAATAAATTTTTTTCTTAACTTATAACTACTTCATGTATTAATATTTTTAATAAACAAAAACCGATAACACTAAACTTTACAGAGTCTAAAAACTAGTTTAAAGAAGTTTAAGCTTTAGTTGGCGCCCTGTAATAAAAAAAAATGATATTAGTCAAAATTTTAAGTAGTGTACACAAATGTACCTGTATTGTCCAACGACGACAGCGTGGTCCCTTTCGTAAGGTTCTAAGGTTAGTTGTTCCTTAGGTTTTATCTTTTCCTGCCTTAGTTTGTTTACTTCTCCGGCAAATACTGCTTCTGGCTTAGCAGTACTGTCGATACAATTTGCCTTTAAGAAAAAAAAAATTAATATTCCGAAATTATGCGTTATTTTTATGTTAACCTTGATTGAAATCACAATAAACCCTCCAGTTTTCAAAAAGTTGTGAGCGTTGATGCCTACAATTCTGGCCTGATCAGGTTGTGCAACATCAGCGAAAATGCAGTCTACCATACCTGTACAGAAAGTAAGAAAAGTTTATAAAACTGCAATTTAACTAGCACTTTAATACAGTGTGAAAAACAGTAATTAACAAACCGACAAGCATCCTGTACTTAAATGGATGTCTTGCATCTTCTATAATAGGAACAACATTTGTTCTCTTTTTTGCTACATTGATAAGATCTCTACCACTTCTATGTGAAAATTCAACGGCATACACGATCCCCTCCTATAGTAATCAAAATATTCTATATGCCAAAAATTGTGAATATATATGTAACAAAAAACTTACAGGGCCAACAATATCTGCAACATGACTGACGGTAGTTCCTGAAGCAGCTCCCAAATATAAAACCTTTGAACCAGGCTTCATGTGTATATTTTCAACACCACCTAAAATAGCAGCGGCCAATTTTGAACGAAACGGATTCCAGACTCTGTATTCAATTTTTGTTTCGTTTTCCTGCGGAAGAATTCAGAATGAATTGTTTTAAACATTACAATTTTATACGACTTACATCGACTGATATTCTTTTTTCGCCATAGACAGCTTCACCGACTACCAAGTTTTTCGTTACTAGAGCATCCTCTTTTCCTCTGGCGATAAAAACACCTGTTTGATAAATATGCTATTAGTTTTGTAAAGACGCATGCTTTATACAATTTACGCATTAAAATGGAGTTGAATGAAATATAGATAGAACACGATAAGTTAATAGCATTTCACTTAAAACAACTCGAAGAAAGTTAATTTGAATATACCTTCATGTCTGTGTGGTTCAACAACAACGCTTTTTCCTCCTCTCATTCCTCCTCGTCCACCTCCTCTACCACCACCTCCTCTTCCTCCGAAGCCACGACCACCACCTCGGCCGCCTCCTCCTCTACCGCCGCCAAAGCCACCTCTGCCTCCACCTCGACCTCCACCGCCACGACCTCCACCTCTGCCTCCTCCTCCTCTTCCACCAAAGCCGCCTCGACCGCCTCTAAAACCTGTGAAGTCACGTGTATTTGTTATTTATAATGAAACCCTTAGTTTTTTTTAGTTTTTTCTTCTAAGGTCTAGTGCAGTTGTAAAAGCCATTAGTTTTAGTAACGCTTTGGCATTTTAGGACCATAAAATACTTTAATTTAACTACTTACCTCCTCTTGAAGACATTTTTTCAAACAACGTGCACTAAATTTCCGTTTCCGGTTTCAAACCGGATACCGCACAATTTTGGAACACATTTCGATTATATAGAACTATTCTTTTTTGTATAAACTATTCTAGTGCTATGTAAAGTTAAAAATGGAACCAAATATCGAGCATGCTTTTTTGTTTTATAAAATCTTTAAAAAATTCAATACTTTATATAAAAAATTAATAGAATAAGTTTTTGTTAGCGCTAATATTTTTCGAAATTCATGTAAATAAATTTATATTAAAATTTTTGAATGTCGGTTGAGAGAAATTGATTTAGAACATAAGAGAAAGATAAAGGTATAAAAAGAATTCACAATTGATAAAGTCCGCAGTTAAATTGTTACTTGTAATAAAAAATAATAAAAAAAGTATTTTAGCTTATAGACAATGTTTATTTATTAAATAATATAATTCATTTATGTTTCGTACTAAAGAAAATAAGTCAACTATAGTTTTCGATATATTTTGCCAGTAATTGGTTTTTCATTCGGAAAGAAATTCCTTTTCAATACACAAATACCAATGCGATATGCTAGCTTAAAGTCGATTTTTTTTTCTATTTTCTCTACAACAAACGTAGAAACACCGTTGCGATTATCAAACCAATACCATTGAAGATCAAGTTCGATGCGGCACTTGGAGTTGTTTTTGCTGTTGGTACAGATTGTTTCATGGTAGTTTCCTGCCCTGCAGTTGATCCAACACTTATTCCGGGGTTCGCATTTCTTGTAGTTTGAGAACTTCCCGTAATAGTGTCATTTGGCGACATTGTGGTACAGTTAACTGCAACAACGAATAAAGCAAGAACAACACAGCAGATAACGGCCTTCATTCTGTTAAGAACAATATAACTTCAGTTATGAAAAACTAAGAATGATATGAAATTCAAAGTTTATATGACGCAAAGTAAAAGTTTTGCGTTATTAAACGTTATGTCTTCTTTCAGTAAAAGAAAGAGAAAACGTACTGTATTCTTTAAATACAGAGCAGAAAGTACGAAATTTTCTGCTTAATACGTAAATATATACTGAAAAAAGTAGATTTAATTACTTTTTAGTATCTTTTTGTAGTTAAACTTTAAAAAAAACTTAAAGTGCTTTCCTCAATACCTGCTAGTTAAATGAGCATTTAATTAAATTTGATAAGCACTCCTTTATGAAACGATCGTTCACGTGCTGAAATTAATAAAGATTAAAGTACTTTAAATTAAAAATATCTTTTCTTTATTTGGTTTTGATCTATATATTTCATATATTTTTGATAAATATGGGCGTTTCAATTGTGTAAAACTTAGAATACAATTAGGTCATTAGAATATATTAGTAATAACTATATTAGCTTAAAAATTGAAACGTAATAAGTCAATGTCACTTAATAAGACGTTGTTAAATACACTCTTTTGCGAGAGTTTCAAAGGTGCCGAGTCATCCTCTTGCTTTTCACTTAATATAAATTTTCATGTCATAGTTACTCGTTATCTTAAAATTGACAGTAAATAATATATACTTCAATTTGGTCCCACATTCCTTCTACTTAATGACTCGAATGTCAAAAAACGTTTAAGAACATCAAATATTATATAAAACAGAGAAAGTTTCTGGAAATGTAACCAGTGAAGATATTCTCTAAGGGGGCTTTGCGGTAACAGAGCCTTGGATTAGTTTTAATCCATATTCGAGCGTGGAATTTTAAACTGGAAACAGGAATAACCAATTTTTAACCCTTTACTCTTCGATTTTACAAGTTTGAAATATATAAAAGATTGTGCTCACATGAAAGAAACTTCAAAGATAAGATATAAGATACACAATTATTTATTAGTTCATAGTTAATATTAATTTGCTGTTGTACATTAAGTTATTACGAAACAATAATCATTTGGTTTGCTGGGCGCCGATGCGAATTATTATACGAAGAGATATTAGACACATCTACCTGTTTAAAAATTTAATTGTTATCTATGTGCTAATAGCGTATAGCTTTTACTCTTAGGTCACTGACAACAACTACATGCTTTATAATTTTATATTTGAACGAAATGTTTAATTTTCCTCAGTTCATTTCTGACGGCAGACCAATACAGGACAGCAGCAATGATGGACAACGTAATCGCTAACGGAACCCATAATGGTTCGACGTAATTTACCCAAGCCGCGAGTACCTGTGCAAAGAAAAAATAATCGTCTTATTAATGTTAAATACAGTATATCGAATACAGATGGCGCCTACATATTATACTTTGAAGCAAATTTTACACAATACTCTATATGTAGACTATGCATATCGTGATATAGTGTATAAACGGTATGTATGTACATATATTAGTATATTTATTTATATATACTGTATATATATATAATGTTTTTGTTTCCTCCTTCACACATTTTAAATTAAAAGCACCGTGGATAGTTAATTTCCTCATCTGGCTATATCTCTAAGAATTTTATTCAATTAATTCTTTTGAGTAGAAACATACGGCGATTTGTTTTTTTTTCAGTCTTCAAGCATAGATAGCCATCCTGTTAATACTTGATTATTTACCGGTGATTTTATGTTATAAATAAATAATCTAAAAGAAGAAAAATGGTAAAAACAGGATGGAATGAAAAATAAAGCAAAGGAGCAAAAATCATTAAGGAATCGGAGAAGAATCAAATATAAATATATATAAAAAATAATAATGATAAAAAAGGTCTATAGCTTCTTTTTGATAAGTTAAATCTAATGACTAGATAGATTTTTTATTATTCTACGTAATATTGTTAATGCAATACTATTTACTAATGATAGAAAGATAAAATAAAAATTAGACATCTTCCTCCATTAATTAGTTATCAGGAAGCATTAGTAACATTTTTCGTTGGTACTGATGTAAAAAGCCTATTTAGGATGCTACAAAATAAAATAGATGCTAATATATAAATCAGTATTAATCGATTTACAAATTGTAACAAAAAAAAGAGGAAACATTTTTTATAAAAGCTCAAAAACTGATGGTAGAGCTTTGTTATAAATTTTTGTTTGTTACGTTACATCAAGTATGAGTGTGTAATAGTGAATATTAAAGATAAAAATTATTAATTTTACCCATGACTACGTAGCTAGCACTCTTATTCTTAGCTAGTCCGCAGAGAAATTCTCCTGGTTTCTCTACCTCTTCTTCCCATTCGAATTTATCGATGTTTGAGGCACGCAATTTCTCATCGTATTTTTCTTTCAATTCCTTACTTTTCACTTGTCCAGCTTGAGTTTGTTGTTCCCATGACTCTCTTGTAGGCATAGATGGTGCTTCAATGCTATGGGCCAAGATTAACCTGTTACCAGCCTTATGAAGATGCTTGGTGTACCCTGGATATATTAATATCAAGATATATTTATACAATGCTAATATACAGAGTTCCAATCTTATATAAATAGACGCTCTAAGATTATATGCGATATATATAAATATGCAGTATGTAGAGACAGAGTTTTTTACCCATGTTCGCAGACTCTAAAAGAATTTATTCATTTTCACGCTACACAAGTAATGAGACGCAACAACAAATACGTTATCAATCCGCTTCAGCTTCCTCCCCTCCCCCCGTTCGTTCCATCTTCCTCTTTTCGGCCTATATCTACGTTTATTCATCGTTTGGGAGTAGAAAGCGTCACTTAGACGCTCTATACCTAAAATTTTCACTGGCAATCAGTTCTGAAAATACCACTAACTGAGAGGGAATCTTTCCGTTTGTCTTTCTCTCGTATTGAATTAATCTTAATTGGTAACTACAGGCTGCGTAATTGATTCCGTTGGGCAAAGTCGTAACAAGGTCGTCCATAAAAAAATCTATTTAATAAAATTACTACAACTGGGAAAACGTATATGATAATATAAAAAGAATAATTTTTATGATCTTTCCTCTCAATATAAAAGCAATATTATTGACTATATTTTATCATTCTAATATATACAGTATGTCTATGCATCTACATGAAATCTAGTATCAATCATTAATAGCGAGAAAAGATTCTTTATGTTTTTTCTTTTCAACATTCCTAACCTATTTACTTCAATAAAAATGACTATAAAAGCGTGACGTTTCCTAAGCATTCCGTCCCCCTTCTAAAGGTCAAAAAACAAGACACGAGAAAATAGTAATAAATTTACATAATAAAATTTTCACTATTATTCGTTTTAATTCGTAATTTAATATAATCTAAGTGTTGAAAAAAATAGTAAATGTATTGAAATATACAACACCGGTATAAGCTTAATACATGTTATTTATTAGAAATATTATTCTAAATCTTTTTAAGACTATATACTTGAAGTAAAATAGGGATTTATTCATTACTTAAAAGAGTAGCTATCTTTACAGCTAACACCATTTCGTTATGGTTCCAAATTACTTTCACGCTTTTCCTGTAAGTGGGAAAAAAACAATCTGAACATCTTTTTAGAGTCAACTTCATTCTATTGTAGGTTTTTTTTGTTCAGTATAAATTACATTCTTTTTCTTTCTTCTGTTAACCTCGTTTTTCACCTCTATTTCGTTTTTTTTTTAAATAAAGAAAGCTACAAAAGGCAAATCGATATACAAACTGTTGGGCAGTCTGGCCTGTCTTTACATCAAGACCAAAAATACAAAAAAGTTGTTTTTTCATCACGTTCAAAAGGATAATACTGACTGGGTTTTTTTCCCCCTTTTGCCTTTCTCTACTATAATAGAACGTTAAATAAAGAACACGTAGATAAATTATAAAGTCAAATAGGCCAAAAAGTAGAACAGATTTATATTGAAGTAAAAAATAGCAAAAACACAAAATTCTAATATTACTTACTAAGAATAGATTATAAGAATATTTAATTTATTGTTTATTGTAACGCTAACAAAAGTGCTATTTTCCCTTCAGAACTATCGATTAAATTGATTAATCGATGAACAAAAAAGAAGAGCATGCGTTAAGAGATAAAATATTCGAATGTCATAAAAAAAAGGCCTATACAGAGATATAAATAACATTGTGAAGAGAAAAAAATTGTTAAAAGGTCAAATACAAAAAAAAGTCAATTTTTAGAAGAAAATATTAACTTACATTCAAAAGCCTCTTCTGCTTGTTTGCTGCCGTCTACGGCTATGATTACTAATTCGCCGCTCATTTCCTTTTAGTTTTAAGACCAAGTGGACAAGTTAGAGAATTTTTGTAAAATGGAATAAAGTTATACGGACAACACGCGCCAAATTATCAAATACAATGGACGTTCGCTCTCCTCTGCTCATGCGCTCTGCTACGTAATCAATAGTCACGTGACTTTTCTGCTTTTGTATTTTTTTAGGCGGGAAAAATGAATAGACATATAAGAATTTTATAAATTTTTCACTTTTAATAATGCTTTCAGAAGGATATCAGTATTAATGTGGAAAAACAGGCTATATGTCTAATTTCTATAATAAATAGGCAATTTGTGGCGACCTCTATTGGTTTTTCATCTTCCTTATTTTTTTCTATATTGAGTACGACTTGAAAATCAAGTGCAGTACCATAATCCAGGGTACAATCAAATTTAATACCTATGCTAATTGTTACGTACTTGTGATGATATATGCATAGAAATAAGATTGTTTTCTTCTAACCTTTTTATATTATGTAAATGGAAAAAAGTGGAGAAAGATAAATAATATGATTATGCGCATACAAATAAACTGGAAAATATATGAAAAAGGATATAATTTTCTCTCATAACATTTATATCCTTTAAATTATTGGAAAAGAATTAATAATAACATTAAATATTCTGTGAAATTCTTACAGTTGGCTACTAAGGTGCAGACTTAGTCAATTATATCTAGATTATAAAAAGGTTTTCATCTTTAAAGCCTATATCAGCCGTTGAAAGGTTTCTTAGCATGTAGAAAATTCAATTCAATCCTAGTTTACTTTAAGATATTTTATGTGTTTTTTTTTTTGTTTTTTATTTTGGCTATTAATTAACATATTTATTAAATTCGTATTAAATGACATTATACAGAGAACATTAAGGTAATATCCCTTAGATTTAATGCATACGTAATGAGAGAAACGTATAAGAGTAGTTTTAATTATTTATTAATTCTATTGTTATTTAAAAATGTTTATAGAGGATAAAAACCGCAGAGGTACATTAAAGCTTTTCCGGTAAAGCCAGATAAGGAGGACGGTTAAAATGGATGACAAATGCATCTGGTTTTTTTTTACAAGAGTCTTCAAGCTTTAATTCTTCTTAAAATTAATGGTTAAATACTCCCTTCCTCTAAATTTCATTAAATTATAATAATAATTTCTAAAAATAATAATAAATCTACTTATAAAAGCTATTGTCAAACCGCCTAAAAGTGGTAAATCACTGGAAAGACGAGCCTTTCGACAACTAGAAGAAGAACAGAGAGAGAGAGAGAGAGAGGGAGGAAAAAAAAGGATTAGTTGATTTATTTCCATTAACCTTGAGCTTTATAAAATTTAATAAAGATAAAAGAGACTTCCTATTCTATCTGCTTTACATAGCTGTACATATAATGTATATATACCATTTAAATTATAGTTTAAAGAAAAATGATATAATTAACAGGCGATATACATCTACAAAACATCTGCATACTTTTGTCAAGAGGTTTTTATCATGGTAAAAGCATTTCTATTTAGAATGAGCTATAGTTTTTTTTGTATAATTTCAAAGTCCATTTCCTTGTAGGCAATATACAGGAGCATAAGGATATCTGATAAAATACAATAAACCTTGTTATTCGGACTTGGCGAAACCGAAAAAGTTAAAGATGAAGCCGATTTCATACCAATCTCTCCAGCAATCTTATGAACTCAATAAAAAAGTTAAATGGAATAAAGGAAAGGATTATGCTAATGCTAACGTTGGGGTTTCTTTGTTACGTTTTAAGTTTTTCTTCAATGAAATGCAATATAACAGTTAAAATTTCTTTCTCTCTCTCTCTCTTTTTAATGGTTTCTTTGTTGGAAAAAGGATCATTGAACCTATTAGGTCTGATCAAACAAAAACTAAATAACAATTGATTGAATAACAAACGCTTTTATACAAAAAATAGAGACTTAAATAAGGATACTTAACCTTTTCATCAGGTTTCAGTTATTCTCACCGGCTCTTTAAGTTGAACAAATCTGTAATAGCTATCTGCTATTGTATCAAAAGTTCAAATTACTAGAAGATCATAATATCTACTCTCCGATGTATAGTGGATTTAAAATAAATTGAAGGTTGTTGTTTAAAACGCTATTATCTAATTATATCTTTATTTGACAGTACATCAATACACTAATTCCTAATTAAGATTTTGCATTGAATATTGCTAGTGTGAGCATTTTTTTCAATTATAAGGGCCAAGGACAATTCCCTTTGTAGACATATAAATTAAATTCTCAATAAGATGCTGCGATCTATTCAAAAGCTAAAGGATAGGGAGAGAGAGAGAGACGGAGGAAAATATTCTCCCCAGCGAACGAAATTAAATGATGGATAAGAAACAGAGAAGGAAACAAAATAAATGACTTTTTTATACAATTTTGACATACAGTATATACTATATATAAGTATTTATACAATTTTCCCATTTCATAATAGTTAGATCCCTATAACTGGACAGCTAACCAGATAGATAGTTACTCTACTGGGAAAAGAAATTACTTCCTCTTTATTTCTATATTTAATTGTACTGTTTTCGTTTTTTTATGCAATTCTAGGTAATAATTACAAACTTAGAGACATCTTGTTGTCAAACAAACATCCTAATTCTGAATTAGATTGAGAAGAAAATGAAAAAAGTGAGGAAATCATAAATATCTATATTTAGAGGATATTGCTAGTGAATTTCTAACAAAATTATTGATATATTCTAACACACATATTATTAAATTATTAGGGAGAAATTGAAAAAAATTTTACTCTGATATAATCTATTTGTACCCGAATAGGCAGCATCTACCATACAATTATTAGGAAGGAGTGTCGACTAATAAGATCAAGCTAAATGTGTTTGCTGTACAATCAGCATCAGTTACAAAGTGCTAATGATAACATCAATCAAAAATGGCTTGTTACCTAATAATTTTTACAATAACTTTATTAATATTTCAAATTTTATTCTACATTTCTTTTCTTTTCTGTTTCTTTTGAATATAAATAGATTTATCATGTGTTTTCTCTTACAAAAAGATATCATGTTGCATAATGTAGTTATTAAAAGATATCAATGATTGTTTATATTTCTTAGAAGAAGCAACATCTGCTTTGAATGATTTTAGGGAGAGGCAATAATATTTTTGAGAGGTATTACATGATCTTCAGGAAAAGTAATCGCATTTGTATTACAAGTGGTGTTTTTTTTACATTTTCACTATACTGATACGAATAAAGCATCTCTAAAGAGAAGATATTTGTATGAAAATTGAATCAACTAGATTGTTGAAGCGAGAGAAATGTATAAAAGCAAGAATATCAATCTCATATTTCCATTTTGCTGTTGTTAGTATAAAAATAATAAAAAAATTAAATACTACACAATAAAAAAATTGGTATTAAACATGTCTTTAAAATGGTTTCTACTTATAGTTTTGATAAGAATACGATTTGTCTTGATGTTGTTAGGTTCTGAAAGAAACTTGGTCACTTTTTATGTTAAATTATCAGACTAATAATGAAAAGATGCGTAAAAGAGAAGCACAGACATATACAGATAAGGAAAGAGTAAATTACAATTTTCCAATACCTAACCAACCGTAAGATTCTTTCTTATTTAGGTAAGAGATTTTTTTTTATTTATTTTTACTTTGTAAGCATCGAATTACGGTAAACATTTTCCTTTCCTAAATCCATAACATAAGAAACTGTATAACTTAAAGAGTTATTTATTATTTTGACAAATGATAGAAAATTCCTCAGATGTAAAACAATCTTTCACTCAAAACAGTAAGATTAACAGGCCATTTAGCTATGTATTTTCAACTTTATAACATAGTCTTATTCTAAAGAGGTATCAAGTAACAATAATACTATTCTGCTATTTTAAGTTTGTCGTTGTTTTAAAACAAAAAAAGAAATCCCCATTATTGCATCAAATATTCAAGGCTTGGTCATTAAATTAGTTAAATTAATAATAGTCTTTTATCCGGTAGATGTCATATTAGCCTGGTTCTTTTTTTAGAAAATTAAAAACAATATCTAAATCATCATTCTTAGACAAGAAGCGAAGGTTAGAGATAATGGTAATGAGAAGTAAAAGCGTGGGAGGGGATGGAAAGGTTGGGTGAGCTGAAGATGCTAACTTATAGCTTTTTTTAGCCATAATATGCAATTTCATTATAAGTTAAAGGTTTTTTTCTATCGAAAGGACTGAATCTTGACAAATCTCCGTCAGAAAACCAATTTGGGCAATATTCAAATGAGGGAAAAAATGAACCCACTTTTAAAAGAGAGAATCGGATTTATTTAAATAGGTTTCTATGGTGTTTGTACATCCTTAAATTATCGAAAGCTAATTATAATAAAAGCTGCTAACATTAATCCAAGTAAAGCTCTTTCCTGTTATTAGATTGAACTTCCCTCATCATGAAAGAAGAGTTCTTGATTGATAAACTTTACATCTATTCCTTGAACTATGGTACTAAATTAAGCATATTTCTTAAAATGTTAGGAGAAACGAATTTCTTTTTTTTTGTCCATTACTATTGTCGAACGGCAATCGATATAATTAATATAATTTATATTCTAGAGTATTTCAATAGAAGGTAAGCTTAATTAATTGATCTGCACACTAATACCATATTATATACATGAAATGGCAATTAGTGCTTTATTGTAAATACAAAATTACTAGAGCCTAAATATAAATCAAGAATATTTACCCATTTTCATTGATAGATGTGCTGTTATAGAATTATAGTATTTAATTTTCTAAATGAAATATTTTTAATGTTTAATACAATATCTCTATACTAGAGAAATACAAAAAATTTGACTTTGATGTTCAAACTTGAGACATATTTTACTTATCAAAACAAAGATAGTAAGCAATAGATCAATCAAACTATATGGCTTATATTTCATCGAGATATTTATAAGAAAGGTTCAATGTTTATTTCCAGGGCTGAGCATGGTTTGCTTAAATGGAAATTTTTGATAACATCGGGATGTAAAATTCCAAAAAAGCCTATTGATTTTCCTCTTAGGAATACTTCAGCGCACCTTCCAGGAAAGAATGTTGGATTGTCAGAAGGTTTAATTTGATAGCCATCTTTATCGTCTTGTTTCGTTTCTAATAGCTCCATCAGACGATCTAAGAGGCCATGAACAACTTCGAATCCTGATGTATTGTTATAATAAACGGCACAGAAATGACGCCAATTTCTAGCTCCTACCTCTGTAATTAAATATTGTATAAAGAAAATGTAATAAGATGAAAACATTTGTAGTTTCACACCTGCTGTATCATCTTTTACAACAACATCTGAGATATCAAAGAGCTTCAGAGGGAGTGGCATCATATTATTATGGAATATAGACTTTAATAGCCCAGGTAGTAGTGTTGTTCTGGCTACTTGAAATTCAAAAGTTGCCGGATTGGAAATATGAACCGCATTTTTTAATCCTAATTCCTGTCTCAATCCCGTAGATATATCTTCTCTAGAGCACTAAATAATAATAAAGTTACTTAATGAAAGATTTACGGGCTTTAAAAAAAAACTCTTTTTACCAATGAAAAGGTAAGAGCTTCAGTGAACCCAGCTGCGGCAATTTCTATTCTTAGCTTATCGGTTATCTTATTAAGTGGAAACTGCATTTTACAAAGAAAAACAGTATTATTATGATTAAAATAAAAATGTAATTTATTTAGCTGTAACCTGGTTAGCTATGGTTGTAGTATCTGGTACTTTCATTTCAATATTATTATAGTCATAAGCAATTCCAACATCTTCTATAATATCGCAAGGATGGATAACATGTGTTAGAAGTTAAGGCGAATAATATAATATATAAAAGTATCAGTTGCATAAATAATAAATTGGTATATTAAAAAAGGATATCATGTCTAGTTGGTGGAACCTCAACTTCCACTGTTTTGCCGTCATCTACCAGAGTAGACGTTAATGACATTTTTGTCAATAACTTGGCGATTTTATCTGAATCTGCCCTGATAAAATATTCAAATATTGTAATTTTCAATAAATATTAAATATATTTTAATATATTTTTCCTTACTGTATTCCCAATGATTTGTTGATTTCAGCAGTAGATACTCTCTCCTTTCTGTAAGATAATTCCTAAACAATGAAAAGAGAGATTAACAATGATAATTAGATGATAAATTAGCTGGGCAGTTTACAAACAGGATAAAGATAACTTTTTCCATCAGGATAAACAACTTCAACATTCTCACATACAAATTGTTCTTTGCAGTGTTCGCTAAACATTGTTATTATAGTATCAAGAACAATAGTAGCTTTATTTAAATCAGTAGCTGTACTCTCGATAAAAACATTCTTTGTATTTAAGGTAATCTTCGAATGCTCCCCTAAAGTTAACAAAAAGATAAAGCATGAAAACAAGATATGATATAAATCACTAAAAAAGATATTTAACCGTTTATAATTGGAGGCATCGACAGCACAACCCCATTTTTATCATAGATAACAGGGTAAACAGGCTTGTCTCGTATAATTGATAAATATGGTCTTAAATGCGTTTTCTATAAAAGATACTATAAAGTTTATTTAATTTTATATTAATTTATACATACTTCAAAAATTTCCATCATTTTCGTAGCTGTATACTCTTGATCATGACCCAATGGTTTGAATTTTATATCTTCGGGCTTCTTTGCATTGTAAGTGAAGGGTCCTTGAATTGTATCCAAGTCATGTGTACCAATAGCTACTAGAGAGCGCACTCGACAAATGTTTCTATGCAATTTGTCCTGAAGATCTATGAAGCTTTGATAAGATTCTTTCGTAAAAGTTATATTGCGAAGAATAGCAGATACTGCAAAAGGTCGGACTTGTGAAGTCTGTAATAAAAAAATGATGTCTCTTTTTGAATTATCGTTCCATATTTCGACTGCTTAACAAACCGATGGTTGGATCAGAAGCTTATGGATATTTTCTTTACCGGGATTGATAGCTTTGTATTTTGGAGCAATCATTCTGTATGAATAAATAGTTAAAATAGCGGATTCGAATAATTTTAAAACGTACTTGTTTTGAAATACAAGAAGGCCTCTGGTTAAGCCTTCCATGCAGAGAAGATCATATCTGGAAGTAATAATAGTAAGATAAGACTAATACAGGAAGATTCAGATGATAAAAAGTACCTATTAGCTGGCACGTCAATTTTGTAAATTACATCATCAGATGCATCTTTTGCCTTATCATCACCCTGTTCTCTACTAATAATCTCTTTTTCAGACGTAACCTCATCCAACTCTAATCCGAAAGCAAAACACAAGTCTTGGAATTCATCTTCGGCTGTTGAGAAGCTTTTGACTTTCAATTATCGTTCACAAAATATAAGCTTTCTCACTTACTATATTCTTTATTTAACGCTTTGAAGAGTTCATCTCGCTTTACCCCAAGAGTCGGCATGTTAGAGTAAGATGTTATATAGTAATTTTAATTACAATGAAAGAAATTAATTATTTTTTTATCTGATGCAACGCCACGGCAACTGGATTTGCAAAACACACTAGTGTACCGGAAGCAAAATATGGTGCCTATTCCATTTACGGAGTTATTCATAAAAATACGTAGGCGATCTATGTGCAGGCTATTGATAGCGACCTCTACAGACCTAAAGTCACGTGCACTGTTTAACCAATAATCTCAAAGAGTGACACATCTCTGGAGAAGTAGCCCGGCCTAGGTAAATTAGAAAGGAAAGAACTACGTGATCGTTATAATAACAAAATTTGCCTAATCAACAAACTATACAAAAGGTATTAAAAGTTTGTTATTGAAGGATTAATGAATCAGTAAGTTATTACGAAATTATTAACTTTTTCCTTTCGCTTGTCCGTGAATGTTCTAATGTCCGGTTATAAAAGAAGTTTATTTATGGTAACCTGGATTATTGATAAGCTAGGAATGTAGAGAGCATCTTGTAATATTCGCTACAAAATTCAAAAATACACAAATTTAGTGCCAAGGAATTTTTGTCGATACCTACCATGTTTGAACGATCCTTTTTTTTCCGAGCGCAATGTAAACATTGCCAGACGATAACGATATGAAGTACAATTATTCCAATTTGTTATTAAATGTGCTTAGCAATCATTTTATATGGTTGATAAAGAGAATTTCTTACTATTTTCTAAGTATTGTAGAGAAATGAATAACAACACATAGCTATATCCTTTTAGGCACTAAAAAGCATAACTTGTTTTTGGCCAACACTTTTTACATTTGTATAAAAAGACATAAAGAATAGTAGTTTGGGCGGGATAAGCTTATGAAGCGAAATGAGAAAGAAAATGGCTTAGATTGTATTTGTATTCATAGTATTTTTGATCATTTGTACTTTTGGTGTAATTAGATAGCATCTAAAGTATAATATCAAAAAAATCACACAGGAAATAATGACTCTACGAGCTCCAAGAGAATTTCGCTTGCAACCTTTGACGAAGCCTCCAAAACCTGCACCTCCGGCCTTCAGAAAATCTCAAATTTATACCGACCCCAGAGTTTTTCGCTTAATCGATGCACATGCTATTGAACAGGCGCGTGTTAATTATAGAACGTTCAAGGATCTTATATGGAACCTCGTTTATCTTAACAACTATAATGAATTGGAAAAGGTCCGCGTAATATTTAGATGGTTAACTACGAAGAATATGCACACCATTTTCTTTGATCGAGAATTACCTGGTACCCCCGAACTGACATTGGCTGGCTTTAAAGAAGATAAATTTACCTATGCGAACGTATTTCAGACAATGTGTCAATATTCTGGCTTGTATTGTGAAACGATAGCTGGATGGGCCAAGGGAATTGAATATAGACCTGGCCAAACCATAACGAATGGACCACTGAATCATACCTGGAACACTGTTATGATAGACGGAGACTGGCATTTAATTGATTCCCATTGGGCCTCAAGATACTTGCAAACAGAGAACAGAAGTTCTGAAAACCTTGTTTATGAATACGACGATTTTTACTTTCTGACACCACCTGAGGAACTTATTTATTCTCATTTGCCAGATGAACCATGCTGGCAGCTGATAAAGCCACCCATTACTAAATATCAATTTGAAGATTTTCCTTTAGTTAAGTCTCACTTTTTCTTATCTGGACTTGGATTCGTTAATCAAAACAAAGGTACATTGCCAACCTCCAATGGAATTATGTCGTTGACGCTGTCGTACAACCGTCCGGCTATGTTTACTTTCAAGTTAGTCTACGATTACGATAGATCCGAGTACATTGGACCATATTCGTTGAAACGTTACGTAATCCAAGAGACGAGGGCCGACGGTCAAGTTTCATTCTACTTCAGATCGCCACGAGTGGGGTTTTACTACTTAACAGTGTTTGCTCACCTTCAAACGCCGGGAGAAAGGCTAGGAGTTGAAGCAATCTTCAAGGTATTTATGATTACCTAATGAATAAATGAATAATAATTGCCGAAAATTACATTTATAATATATCTTGAACTATTTATTCCCGTGCTTCTTCAATTACCGATGGATTTAAACAGTATCGTCGGCGGAAACGCCGAATTATGTTTAAGGCGAGCTGTATTGTATAATATATTTAAAAGAATGAACAATTTCATTTTTTTTAAATTTATTATGTAGTACTGTATATATCAAAATATCCCTTTGTTCTATTTAACTAGTCTACTTGTTTTTATTATTTTTTTTTTGGTAAATAATCTATTTTATATTCTTTTTAGTCGTCTGTTTTTATAATTGCGATTATCTTTCAAGGTTCTTATTTTATCATGTACACTTTCAGGCCTGTTGCGAATATCGAATTGAATGCGATAGCTGTCCTCCGAATGTTCAACCCTTCCCAGAAGGAGCGGACCCCAATTGGGGACCTACAACGACAATCATGTACGACTACGGTTTGAGACCTTCTCACCAGGAAGCGATCTTATCAGCTCCTAACGGTCTCTGCGAAATCTATTTTGAGAAAGAAAGACATGTTATTATAGATGCTGAGCTCACTGGTGCTGAGCATCGGGAGATTCTTGCCCAATGCGTTGACGTTTCACAGGGTTCTACAATTGATACTGTAAGCATTCGTCTCCCCACCAAAGGAGAATATTGTCTTCAAATATATGCAAATGATCCTGAAAGAGATGCTGAAACTTGCATGTTAGTTTGCCAGTACCTTGTTTCATTCACTGAAGGAGAAGTAGCAGCAAATAAATATAGAAACATTTACAACACAATGGAATTAAATAGACAACAGGCCGCTCCCAGTTTGTTACAACCAACTGATCGTCCTATAGTGCAACAGCGTAAATTACCGGCTTTAAGCGATAGCTATAGATGCGATGTAGAGGAGCCCGCTCATAGGATGCCGGGAGCAGAGTATTTCGCGCAAGGTGAGGCCCTACGGGCGAGAATGGCCCAACAACAAATGAACAGACGAGATTATGATCAGCAGCAGCAAGCTCAACATCAACAACCCCAACACCAGCAGCCTCAACATCTACAAAGTCAGAATCAGCAACATGGACAACAATGGGCTCAAGCTAACACTGAAAGAAGAGGTAAACCAGTTGAAATAATAAGGGATCGTGGAGCAGGAGGTAATTACGCAAATCGTCCACCCACCCTACCGAGGAATAGACCTGATCAGCAACAACAACAAAATCAGCAACAACAACAGCATCAGCAACAACAAAATCAAGATTACAGACCCCAGGGTACTCCGATAGAAATTATAAGGGAGGCACCGGCGAAACCAGTTGAAATTATTCGTCCAAAGAGGGCTGACCGTTCTCCGCGAAACGCCTCCCCAACGCCGATTTCTCAGCAAACTTATACATCAGAAGCACATCCTCAAATAGGAGCAAGAAGATATCCGGAAACCGGTAACTATAATTCTTACTCACGGCCCTTTAAGCCTACTTACTACCTTGTTTTTGTTACTAATAATTCCTTAAGTGTAATGTTGAAGGGAATATTTTACAAAATAGTTTTACTGTTGATGTTGTGCTAATGCGTGTTGTAAAGCAGGTGCTGAAGATGGAGTATTCAAAGCGACAGCTGTACAAGGCATGTGTTTTTTCCCCCATGTTTATTTTTCTTTTTTTTCCCCCCATATTTCTGTTTCCCCTTTTTCTTTCCCTTTTTGCTATATGATCTTTAAATATTTACTTTGGTCAATTTTTAAATTTTTATATATCAAATTATAGGATTTGTACCAGAGCAAGAATACGTTCCCCACCCATCTAATATGTATAGACAGGAAATCAGTCCAACGGCACCGCAATCTTTCGAACCCCAAGTTCTGGAATCACAAGAAACACTAAGAACGGCTACACCCGCAAAAGCTACGAAACCTTTCAGAGACACAAGGATTTTTGAACATGTTGATACTCACGCTGTTGAGGTTTCACAGCAAAAACACAGCTCATTCAAAGATCTTGTGTGGCATTTGATCTATGCCAGAGGTATAGAACACGAATTGGAGAAAGCTAGAGCCATATTTTTGTGGCTGTGTTCAAAGGATTTAGACAGATTAACTTTCGATAATGTCAAACCAGAAACACCAGAAGAAATTCTAATGGACTTGAAAACCAGCAAAGCTACTTATGCCCATGTATTCAAAACGTTATGCAGTTACGCCGGCTTACACTGCCAAATTATTTCGGGATATGCAAAGGGTGCAGAATATACACCAGGCATGGTCTTCACTGGAACAACAGGGCAACATTCGTGGAATGCTGTTATGATTGAAGGAACCTGGCGTTTAGTCGATTGTCATTGGGCTGCTAGACGTTTAGTTGGTAAAAAAGTAACAATCGAAAATGTTCGTTATGAGTTAGATGAATACTATTTCATGCCTGCTCCTTCCCAATTGATATTTACGCATTTCCCAGAAACTCCAAATTGGCAATTGCTTGAAAAACCTATACTTAAAACAGATTTTGAGAATTTAGTGCCTGTAAAATCAACTTTCTTCAAATACCAACTTAGTACCAGATCCCATAAGGAGGCTGTTATCGATGTTAGAGATTCTGTTACTATACACATTGGTGTTCAGCCGGATATGATTGACAGATTAAGCTTTACAATGACCCTCACAATGAAAGATGGTGTCGATAAATGGAATAATATTGAGCTTAAACGATTTTGCATGCACGAAGTTGCGGGAGATGTTGCTTATTTTACTATTAGACCGCCCGCACCCGGTTCATACAGCTTAATTCTATATGCAAAAGAGCAAGGTAACGATCCTGGTGGAAAAAATGTCTATGGAGGAATCTGCGATTACGAGATGAATGTTCTAACCGCTAAACCACAACCTTTCCCTCACCGAGTATCATCAACTTACGGTGCTAGTGAGAACGTCAGCAAATATAACATAAAATCAACATTAGAAAGTTCAGTTACTTGGACTCAAGAGGATGGAATTGCTGAAATTCCCTTACTTATCTCAAGACCGATACGGTTTAACGCTAAACTTAAATCAGTCGACTCTGACGATGATAAATCTTTAGCGAATTACATTCTTCATAGAGTAGTTAAAGATACGGCAATTTTTTGTATCGCCCCACCAACCTCTGGTGAATATGCTTTAGAAATTTACGCCAATGATCAGAAGATTGATGGCAATGCTTTGCTATTTATCTATCAATTTTTGATAATTTGTGAAAAGCCCTCACCATATCCAAGGGAATTACCCAGCATGCCCCCTGGATACCTTGGACCCCAATCGACCTTCAATAGACTGGGAATTGACTTAAAATCACACCCAGATCCTTATTTAATAACAAATTCCGATTATGTGGCAATTGAGTTTACACTCGACCAACCACTTCGCTTTACTTCTCAACTACTTTTCATGTCTAATGGTCGTCAAGAGGATATTACTGATTACATCCTTCATCAGGGTACTCCGCAAAGTATCACCTTACTTGTACGATTTCCCAGAGGTTATGGATTCTATAAACTCCAATTATACGCACTTCCTTACTCAGATGCTAGTGACAACCTTCCAGGAATATTCAACTACTTGATAGAGTGTAGAGCAGTAAATACTAAACCCGTTCTCCCATTCCCGAAACAGTTTGGCCAATGGAAAGAAGGCTGCATACTCTACGAACCGTTGGACGGTGTGCTTCTTAGTAATGCAAGATGCAACTTCTCCATAAGAACTCCCCCAGGCGCAAACAGCGTAGCAGTAGTAGTAAACGATGACTGGAAGAAATTAGAACAAGACGAAGATGGAGTCTGGAATACCCAAATTATTGCTCAAGGAAGAAAGATACCACTCTGCGCTAATTATTCGGAAGGAGCATCACAATATTCTACTCTTCTTGAATTTGACGTTAATTAAGAAAAGCAAAATGTATTTAATGCAAAAGTTTCAGTTCTATGATAAAATTATTTGTCCTGTAACAAGTTCTAGCTATAGACTAATAATCTCTCTCTTTAATTATAATAATTAATATTCAAGTCAACTAATGTTCAAAATACTGTAGTGAATAATTAAACAAATACACGAAGAGTAATAGCATCGATTAAAGCAATTTTCATGTAATATCGCAGGAATTTCAAATATTTCCCCAGTTTATTTAAACGGCAGAGATGTTGACAAATTGAAGGTATTTTATTGACTCTTCCGGTCGCAAATTTTCTTTTTTACCTTCCTTGGTAGGAATACGTTTTGTATGGTTCGCTTTACCGAATCCAAAAACACGAGACCTTCATTTACAAAAAATCTGTAACTATTGAATTGTCTACCTCTGAAAATATATAGCAAAACTCTGTTTATTCTATTTAACAAAGAAAGCACTGATCCGTATATGATAGATATTCGGAGACTATGCAAAGTCCTGCTAAAGATCCTTAATTACTTGTCAACCGTTTTGTTTATATTTTCAATCCAGCAGTATACCTTTCATATTTGTTTGTGGATATGATAAACGCCTTTCTAAACTATACAGTATCTTCCCATCGCATACTGTATATTTAGAATGAATACAGTTTTTGTCCAAGTCAGATTGAGCTTGTTCAACAAGTTATTTTTGAATTGAGATATTAACAAAGGGGTATTAGTGTGATAACTCGAACTGTAAGAGAGGATACTCATTGTTCCATTAAACAAATAAGAATAATGAATAATTAGAAATTCTAATTATATAACATAACTTTTTGTGATTCATTTAAAAAAGATTCATATGATAGAGATTTTTCCCTACATCCTATTATATTTAGGCTAATCATCGCAAGTATATTTAGAGCATACTTTTAAACTAATACCTTCGATGAATAATCGTGGTCTAAGGTATTAGGTTTACAAAATACTGTTTTTATAATGAACCTCTGGTGGGGAATCATGTTTTATAAATAAACTTTTACCCTCTTGTTTATTGCAATCCCAGTTAGTCTAGTGGTTATGATTCCCGGCTCTCACCCGGGCGGCCCGGGTTCGATTCCCGGACTGGGAGACTCGTTTTTTTCTTTTCATTACTTTTATTTTACTAAGTTACTTCTACTGTTTCGTCCTTCTCGTGTACAGCATGAAAATTTGGGGGGGGGGGGAAATATATGCCTATCTAGTTACTTTTATATCTTTTAATTAATTCTATGTAAAAGTATAAAAAAAAAAATTCGACCGCGACGAGACTCGAACTCGCAATCTTCTGATTCGAAGTCAGACGCCTTATCCATTAGGCCACGCGGCCGCCTTGAAAAGCAATGCGGGTTTTCGAACTAACACTAGAATTAAAAAAATACAAAAAATAGTTTTTATATTTTCTAGAACAAAAAAATAGGCCTATATGGCCACACCATCGATTTATATTTTAGTTGATTAAAGCTAAAATATCTTAATGACAAAAATATCTGATTTTTTAATTACGCAATAGTTCGTTTTATTGTTTTGTTTTTGTAATTTATTGATATTTTATAATTTACTCAGCAAAACAATAAACCAATTTGGTAATTGTTTATCAATAGAATATGTTGCTATTAGTTTTTGTCTATTGAAAATTATCTCTAACAGAGAGAGAGAGAGAGAGAGAGAGAGATTTTATCCACTTTGTAAAACAGTAGGGCTACAACAGGGAGAATTACCTTTTTAAAACATGTCGCAGTAATAACTACTGCAGATCTATTTTTAAAATGTTTATGGTCAACATATCAAATACAAAAATCATTTTACGTAGCATTTTCTTCACATTGTCTCCTCTTTCTAATTGGTGAGTTCAAAACTGTTAAAGAATTTTTTTTATATATTACTTAAAGTCATAATAGAGAATAGAACAAGAAAGATCGACACAGACAATAAAAACCAATGATAAGATAAAGCGTATGATGATAAGATAAAAACTTAAAAAGTATATATCTTTTAATTTATATTATTATGTAATATACTTAAATTATTACTTTAAAATTGAATGTTTACTATAAAAAATTAAAGATTTTACGAGATAAATAATAAGTGATCGAAAATAAGCCATTTATAGCGAACTTTTTAAATTTTAGCGCTGTTCTATGTAATCTGGTTCTCGTCTAGTTTCCGTTTCCTTCGCTCTGGCGAAGACAGAACTCTTCCTCCTATCAATTTAATAAAGTAGTTTTTTAAACAATTTTCAACAGTTACAATATAATAACCAACTAATAAGTAAGTTTCATATATTGCCTTTATAATATTGAAAGATTAATAAGTTTGAATAACCCTGTCAAACGATTCTTACTCTATTGATCGAACACCATAGCGTTCGTTTAGTTCATATTAATTTTTTTATAGAAATGTCCTGCTCCGCCCTATTTGTACTGGATCTTAAAGGCAAGGTCTTAATAAGTAAAAACTACAGAGGTGACGTCGACATATCATGTATTGATAAATTTATGACTTTGATAATGGAGAAGGAGGAGGAAGGCTATCAAACTCCAATAATTCAGCATGGAACCACAACGTACATATATATCAAACACAACAATTTGTATTTGGTGTCTATCACGAAGAAAAATGCAAATGCCGCACTCATATTCGCCTTTCTACATAAAGTTTGTACTTAAGATCGTTTTAGTAATTTGTTGTAACTTGTGTGATTCTTTTAGATTGTTGAAGTATTTACCGAATACTTTAAAGAATTGGAAGAGGAGTCAATTCGTGATAATTTTGTTATTGTTTATGAATTATTAGATGAAATCATGGATTTTGGATTTCCTCAAACAACCGATTCAAAAATTTTACAAGAATATATTACGCAAGAGTGTAATAAATTGGAAGTTGCTCCCAGACCCCCAATGGCAGTTACTAATGCTGTATCTTGGCGTTCGCAAGGAATTAATAGACACAAAAAGAATGAAGTATTCCTCGATGTTATTGAATCAGTTAATCTCTTGGTTTCAGCTAAGGGCAACGTACTACGCTCTGAGATTGTTGGTAGTGTCAAGATGAGAGTTTATCTCAATGGGATGCCAGAGTTAAGATTAGGTTTGAATGATAAAGTTTTGTTCGAATCAACGGGTAGAGGAAAATCAAAAAGTGTTGAATTGGAGGATGTTAAATTTCATCAGTGCGTTCGATTGTCAAGATTTGAGAATGATCGAACTATATCCTTTATACCGCCTGATGGCGAGTTCGATCTAATGAATTACAGATTGAATACGCACATAAAACCATTGATATGGGTGGAGAGCGTCATTGAACGCCATTCGCACTCCAGAGTAGAATACATGATCAAAGCTAAAAGCCAGTTTAAAAGGAGATCTACTGCAAATAACGTAAAGGTTATCATTCCTGTACCAGTTGACGTCGATTCTCCAAAATTTAAGTGCACGAATGGAAGCTGTAAATACTCTCCAGACCAGAATTCTATGATATGGACCATAAAGAGTTTTCCAGGAGGAAAAGAGTACCTATTAAGAGCTCACTTTGGTCTACCGAGTATCGAGGGAGAGGATCTTGAGGGTAAACCTCCCATTCAAGTGCAGTTCGAAATACCTTACTTTACCGTTAGCGGCATTCAGGTAAAATAATTTTAATTATTAATAGCAAAAATGAGATAAAATATTCAATAAAATAATTTTTATTTAATTCAGGTCAGATATTTAAAAATCATCGAAAAGTCAGGTTATCAAGCTCTTCCTTGGGTTCGATATATTACTCAGAATGGAGACTACCAGCTAAGAACTTGTTAAAAATAACTATAACTTTGAAATATATGTCACGACAATGAACCACTTTCATATTTAAACGATAATGCAAATATTTCTCATTCGCGTAAAGAAATTTGTTATGAATATAAAAAGAGTGCAAAATTCAAACAACAATTCTTTTGTGTCAGTTCTACCAGTTAATATTTTTTTACTTTTATTGATCTTAACAATTCTGGGGAAAAAAAATGGCGTAGCCTTAAACAATGACGAATAATAACTGCCATTTTTAAAAATCAAGAGCTACACCTTAGTGTAGGTTATTATCTTCAGGTGTTCAAGGTAAATTCAATATATTTCTTATATAAGAAGACAATAACGTCTTACCCTTTAAATACTACTCTAAAAAAATATATAGAGAACCTTAGTATGATTGTTAAATGATTGTACGTAATATTAAGATGATTATAATAAGAAACTTTTTTAAAGGCGATAAAAATAGAATGAAAAACTTTTTAGTTTGTCTATTTAGCCATTGTATTGAGTAGTTAATTTAATTTTGCAATTAGATTAGATATAGAATAAATAAACTGTATGTATAATATGTTATTTAATTAAAAAATAGTTCATTTTCTAAGTAACGGTATTCGATTACAAAAAAAAGAGACTTCCCCTACTTCATGAATCATATCGTAGTATTATCGATTTTTTTTAAAATATTCTGATTAGAATGCTATTTATTTTGGTATCTTTGATAGTTAAAAGTCAGGTGAAAAGCTAATATTATCTTTCTTGTAAAAATTTAACAAACGTACATTTTCTTTTCATTTTTACAGACTATAATCGTTCTACTTGAATTCTGCTATTGAATACGACGGTCACATGATTGCTGCTAACTTGAAATAAACTATTTTATAATCTTTTACCTGTGTAAAAAATTTGATTCGTTCTTGAAAGAGAAGAAAAGAGGACATTGTTTATACAAACTAAGAAACAACGATGAAATTTTATCTAGGATTTTTTGTAATTACTGCTCTAGCTATCTTTTGCAATGCCTTTCAAATACCATCATTCGAAGATGTAAGACAGTCTTGGGGTAATCTTGTTGGTTCAAAAAAACCGGTGAAAAAACAAAGAGCTAAACGGTCTTATCAGAGAAGTACTGGTACTGGAGATGAAAGCAGCACACCCACAGAAGCTCAAACATCAACGTAAATAATAATTACTAAGTAATGTTAATATTTCATGTTTTAACAGTTTAAACCTTTCCCTAACAGATTACCTATGAAGAATGGAAAGATTAATCTAAGATATATGCCTACTCTTGGAAATGGTCATCTGGGAGCAACGGTTTACTCGGATGCAGTCTATCTAAACGGCTTATTTAACGGCGCTGGCGGTATGTATTATTATTATTATGTGATTATCCTACTGTATTTACTAACTGTAAACTTTAACAGATAAGTCGCATAGAGCTAAAATACCTGCCTTGACCATGTCAAGAGCCAAATTGAGAGAAGACAATGAAAAGACTGCACAAAGAAAGTTTAACTTTGATTCTCGAACAGGAGTATTTACGGAAAAAATTGAATGCGATTTTGCTAATATTGAACACAAAATATATGTTCATGCGAAATATATACGATTGCTAGTGTCAACCATCAAGATGACGAAAAGACAAATAACTGGATCGAGTAGTAGTGGAAAAATTACTTTCACATATCCTCAAGTAAACTCAACAAATGATTTATCGTTAGTATCAAAAAGATCTGTTGATGGAGGTAGTTTAAGGTACATTATGAAAACAAAAGAGGCTGAACAAGATGGTAAAACAAATGAAGTTAGTATCTATATGAATGATCCAATAAATGATTTGAGTATTGGATTTAGAAAAGTTGAATATGCGGCTGTTTTAATGGCAGTTGATAAAGATGGTAGCGCAGCCTATAATGAATTTAAAAAAGGTATGTTATTAATGGAAAGAGGTTTCGAAAAGGAACAAGATTTCTTGTTGGAGGAGCATATTGAACATTGGAAAAAAATTTGGGATGCTGGAAGATTAGAAGTAGAAGGAGATCTCATCATTTCCAAGCTAGTCAATTTTGCCCAATATTATATTTATTCTTCCCTTCCACCAGTTTATGTAAGTGAAAACATTGCATTTTATTCTTTCTATATTTTATGTATTGCATTAATAATATAGGCACATCAAAGGCCATCGAGAGAGGATGTTTATTTAGGAATGAGTCGTGTTGGAAGTGCATGGGGTGGGGCTAATGATCCATATAAAGGTCATGTAATGTGGGACAGTGAAATGTATATCATACCTTCAGTTGTACTCTTTCACCCTGAGCACGTCAAGCATATGTTATGGTATAGAGGTCATGTGTCTGCAAATGCAAAGGTTGCTGCTGAAGCTGACGGCATAACGAAAGGCAATAAATATCCTTGGAGAAGTGGTACCAGCGGAAAGGATGTAACACCTAATTGCCCAGATTGTGCGAATCGTTTATATGTTAATGGAGCGATTGCCTTTGCTGTCAGAACCTTTTTTTCGGCCACGAGAGATAGAGATTATATTACAAATCTTGAGTATAAAGGTTGTGACCTAATGATAGAATCCGCAAGGTATTTAGCCGAAAAAGCCCTTTACGATCCAAAAAAAGGTCGCTACGTCATTAATGAAGTTACTGGACCCGATGAATACCATAAGAATATTAATAATAACGCTTTTACGAACGTTTTAGCGTCATTAGCAATTCATTATGCACGTTATTTCGCGTGTCAATGCGAGAAACCCGAAGCTGAAATCATTCCAGAAACTTATATTCAAAAAGCGTTATACATGTACTTACCGTTTGACATTTCAAGACGACTGCATTATCAGTTCGAAGGTTTTCAGGATCGACCTCCGTCTGAAAGGGTTAGTCAGGCCGATACAATAATGCTGGGTTATCCGCTCAATTGGAATATGTCAATGGATATTTATAGAAATGATTTGGAATATTACGAGACAAAAACAGATCAATCGACCTCTGCATTAACTTGGAGTTTCTTTACTGTTGGATGGAAATGGATTGAAGAAACATCAAAGGCTAAAAGTTTCTTTTTGAAAAGCTATCAAGATTTTGTTGTGCAACCTTTTAAAGTGTGGACAGAATATGGGGATCATTCTAATGTCCAAAACGAAGGAGCTGTTAATTTTCTTCCTGGTATGGGTGGATTTTTACAATCTATTATTTTCGGCTTTGCAGGAGTAAGAATTAGACCGGAAATGCTTGAATTTCACAATCCAATTCCTGCACCGGACACGGACAAGATTAAGTTACTTGGTTTTACGTATTTAGGGGCAAAAATGGACATTGAGATAACGGAAGATCGAGTCATAATTAAGGTATATACGTAATTTACATTTTTTTATGAGCGCCGCCTAGGTAATAAATGAAATCTTCCATCTTTCAGGTGAAAAGTCTCGGACTGTATCCACTGAAGTTGAAGCGCAACAATACCGAAGGGAGAGAAGAAGAATTGGAAAGAGGAAAAACAATTGAAATCGATGAACAGGATAAAGCAAAAGGATTCTACATATTCTCTCCCGAAGGAACTGGATGCGAGCACCCTAGGGATTATGTATATATGCCATGGGGATATTCACCTTTTATCAACTCTGCCAATATCGTCAGAATATCACCTTTTTACATAATAATCCTAGTGGCTGCCCTTATAATGAAGATTACGTAAACTATTATTTTTTTCCAGCTTTTTAGTTTGACCTAATTTTATCTGTACATATTTTATATATATTTATATATATATGTGTGTAAATCTCTTCTAACTTGATAAAAATCCTTTATCAAGTCATTTTGTTAGTAATGCGTCAATAATCTTAATTCAAGGTGCTTGATTATAAGTTGAAAGAGAATCTTTCTGCTCTAACTTATATTCATTGATTATAATTATAACTAACAACAAAATGTATCAAATGTCTTTTTGTACATGAACAGAAAAGAAATGAAATGAGAGAAGGAAAAGTATAAACTATAATAAAAAATGAAGTGTTTTCTTTTTTTTTTATATTAAATTTGTTGTTTTTTTTTGTATGTTTTTAAAAAGATTGTTTGAATTTTTCATCAAAACGGCTGTGTTAAGTTTGTACATAGAATAAATGAAGAAATGTTTTTTTTTCATGATTTATGTAAATCTCTCTCTCTCTCTCTCTCTATCCTTTATCTTTTTATTTAATTTTCTATGCTTCAAATATACAAATTCATTATAAACGTGCCAAGATAATCTATAGCAGTTTTGCTACCTGTAAAACGTTAAACATTTTGAAGGATCATATGAAAAATTCGTCCTAAGTTCACCTCTCTAATTGTAAGAGACGAATATTGATTTCCTATGAAGATGACGTTTGATGAACGCTTCTAAAAGTTAATTCGTACAGCTTTTGAGTATAGAATGTATTAATAGAAAGATTACACATAGAACGAGTAATAATATCCTCCATTTAGAAATATGTTACAAATAGTCACAAAAAACTTAGACTAAGTTATTTGTCAGCAGCAATCAATGTTTTGTCCAGAAATAAGTTTGATGTTTTTAATATTCTTTAATATATTAACCTCTCTCTACGAGAATTTATTTTCCATACTCTTTAGTTCTCTTATATAAAAGTTCAATGAACAATAATTTTGAAATAAAAGAGGTATTTAACTGTCCTGTAAGATATAAATAAACAATGGAGAATTGTAAATAAATATGAAAGGTTCTTTATATATATATATATATATATATAGCTGCTTTTTGTATACCAAATATACAGTAAATACAAATTAATAAATTTTGCTACTAGAGGGAGTTGGATACGTTTTTATAAAGAGGAAAAAGCTAAAAGTTTTGAATATTTTGTATATACAGTGCAAGTTTGTATAAAGAATAACTGAGGATACTATGGAAAAAACACTAATTACATTAGCTGTTCTTCTATGTTATACATTGAGTATGAATCAAGTTCAAAATGAGTTCATTCTCTATGATAATATTTCTATATTTCTCTCTACAGACGTACGCGTTCTAGCATTTAAAGGACTACTAGAAAATGATAATAACATCCTAAAAGAGGGTGAATCAAGAATTTTTTACTATATGAAATTTGATGGAAATGCAAAGTGCAGGTTTGCTTTGAGAGTTTTCGTTTATAGTATAGAAATATTAATTTTCTGTTTGTAATTTGCAAACAAAAAAATAGGTTAATCTACCCTTCGGAGGGCTCTACTATAAACTCTAACCAAGTATACTTAATTGGTAGGAGTAACGATGACTCTATAATTGATTCTAAATCACATTTTAAAATGAATGATAAAAGCTCAACTGCAACGTTTACTGTAAAGGTATTTGAAAGTGAAGAAGACGAACTTGAAAGGAAATTAATTATATCTATAATATGCAAAGATCTTGAATATTCTGTTGATACAATAGATAAACTTGAATTTATAATACCTGGATCTAATTCGTATTTTCATAATGGAGATCCGGATTTTATGCAAATCGTTTTCGACGAAAAATTTAAGCAATTTCGTCATATTTGTTATAATATTCCTGGAAAACTTGGCGATAAATTTCTGTTATATACAGACAAAGTTTCAAAGATTCTAATACACGGTATCTTCTTTGATGAATATCTAATGCATAAGATTGATATTATGTCAAAGTATGGTAATATATCAGCTCATTTAGGCGGTGTACACCTTTGGAAAGGTCTATTCGTAAATTGGAACGATGATAATCTCTCCCAAGTGATTAAAGAGAATCAACATTTCCTTATTCAAATGGAAGAGAATAAATTTCACATAAAGTTAATAGATGAGAGGAATATAACCTTTACGATTGAAAGATTGAAAAAGCCTCTTGGAAAGTTTTATTTAAATATTGTGATAAGAGGAATAGAAGAAGATTATAAAAAGTTCGGTGGTCTTATTAGTAAAATAGGAAGTAATAAATTTCAGTTTTATAGAGAAGTTAATGATATCTTAAGCAAAGATGAAGAGAAAATAGCAATAGGTGTTAATGGAAGATTAGGTTATGCTATAATGCAGAAGAGAGATAATCAAAAATGTTGGCTAATAAACTGTAATCATGGTCTCTATCCGTCCAGTGTGACAAATTTTACATTAAAAACACATTAAATACCGATAAAGGTAAAGTTTTAAAGACCTCTTAGTGAATACTCTAGATTTGGGACATTCAACTTGTGTAATTGAATTGTGACACAAATATTTTATTCTCATTGTAAAAGCTATTTAGTACGTGAGTTGACTGACATATCAGTGAAATCTAGTTATTTAATCATTTATCTTAATTATGTTTGTATTATAACATATTTTGTTTATATTCTCTTTTGGCAGTAAATGTAAAAATAAAAGAATTATCTAAATAAAAATAATCAAGTGATGATAAAATTCAAAATGTTCCTTTAAGCATTTTACGCCTTTTCAAAATTATCTTTTGAGTTATTATCCCTTTTATAATGTGAATTTTCTTTTCTTTTACCACGAAGGAATAGGAAACTTACTACAGTAATTAGGCCAATCCCGACAACAAGGCAAACAACAGCGATTACTGAACGTTAAGAAATCTATTATTTATATTAACATTCAATAGCTAATAGATACAATTATTGAAAAGAGACCCAGGGATAGCGGATATACAATAAATAAAAGAATGTGATTAGGGAGAGAGATTAATAGAATTTCAAAGTTAGACAACAAAGAAATTAGAGAGGAAAAAGCATATTCCAAAATTTAATAGGAGAGAACCATAGCCTATAAAAAACAGTGTTGTATTAACAAATCAACAGAATGGTAATAAAATAGAAAGTATTTTTCTTGTTTTCTTATAGTTTACTTACTAATAGTTGATGTTTTTTCTTTTGAATTCGACGCTCCGAGTTCTGGTATTGTTTCTATGAAATATTTATTATATAATTTTTCTTTGATTAGTTAGAAAATGATCAGTTATTAATTACCTTGCGAATCATCAATCGCTATAATAGAGTTAATAATATGAAAAAAGTCAATTAGCGCAATATTCCAACTTTGTTAAGTAAGCTAACCTATGCGTCTTAGAGTGGGATATTCATCGGAAGCCTTTGCACAATCCCATCCATTTGGTGTATATATGATATAATTCATATTATCGAGCGAGCTACATTTAGCTTTTGTTGACCAACTTGAACTTATAGTTATTTTTTCTTCTCCGTCCATCCATCTAAGATTGGTATACGCCAACCAAGCATCATTTTTCACTTTATCTTTTAAGTCTCCTTTTTTCAAGGCATCTGTAAAGTATGCCAAAGTCCTGGATGTTTTATTGCATTCTTTCATCGCTTCAAAGGCCGTTACATCTATAGATATAATTAAATTAATATATTTACTAGGAAATGTAATTAGAATTTCTCTATGAAAAAATACTTTTTGCTTCAAAGTAGAAGTTATTTTCAGCATCTTTACACACGTAGGATTTTAGCTCATCGCAAGAACTGGATACTAATTCAAGAGATGAAGATTTAGCGTAAACGCAACTAAACGATTTTGGTTCATTCCATTTCCAAGTTGTTAAGGTTACTTCGGATATGAAAATGGCATTATTCCCTCCACAATTTGATCCATCGTGACACTTGGTCGTACACAGTTCCGAACGTGTCCATTCGCCAAGCTGATCTCCGCAAAAACAAATGTTATCCGACTGCATTTTGTTTCAAATGTAAACTTGATTTAGTGAATTTATTTTGATAGAAATATTATTATTAATATTATATTAATAAAAAATATTACCCCATCAAATTGAATTCCAGAATATTTAAATCCATTACCATTATTATAGATACCGCAATAGTCCTGACAAAATGTTCTTGTTACATAGTTACTTTTTATAGGCATTTTTGTAGGTAGAATAGGTTTTATACTAGAATCAGTGAAACATCCTAAGTCAGGATCTAAAACTGGTTCTCCAACCTTCCCATCACCTGTTCATCGTTCGGATTATTTCTCTTATAAGATAATTAATAATAGACTTATAGTATTTACCAATGATTGTTGAATAGTTTACAAAATTATTAACAGGTGAAAAGTTACACCATAGGTCAGTAGTAAAAGAATTAGCGTTAGAATGGCACGGATCAACAAACTCTCCTTCCGTATTATTATGACGCTTGCTGTATATTGTAGAATTTGATAGAAAATAGCAATAATGGCCAATAATTTTTCCTTCATTTAAACTAAGGCAGTTTTTACTGCTGATCTCTTTATTAATAAAAAAAAATAAACCATTAGTTCAAAACGGAAGGTCAATAAAAAAACAATTCTCTCTGTTACCTACCTAAAGATGAGTTAAGGTGAAGGAGAAAGTTAAGTAAAAGGTACAGTATTTTTCCCATATACATATCTTCGTTTTAGAATTGTTTAGAGCAATAAATCTAAAGTTAAAAACCTTCCGGATTCTTTGTTAGTGAACATTTTCAATAGTGATTCATTTAGAACCTAAAGCTCTAGCAGAATACTAGAATATGCAATTTATCGACATACTCTTTAAAATATAAAAAAAATCGATTTTGTGTTTTTGCCACATCTATTTCTTATGCTTATGTAATCGAATTAGAATAATTCTATTTATTAATGACGGCTTATTCTATTAATTTGCATAAATATTATTATTAATTATTATTTTTATTGTTGTTTTTACAAGGAATTTAACGGGGGGTAAAAAATCGGAATAAAATATCGTATCGCTTGCGAAACGATGAATAATCGTTCTATGAAGGGGTTGAATACCTGAAACATTTATTGATTGCTTTGAAAGATATATTCCTATATTTATATATAGTATTACTTTTCTAAACGTATAAGAATATATTATTAAACTAAGTATAGTCCTATATTATATTTTTCATCTATATATAGTAAAAGTTTATGTTTAAAGATATATACTGTATACGTGTTTTGGAACAAATTTTTCTAAAGAACATTAGAATATTCCGAAATTTTTCTTCTTTTTTTCGAGCAATACAATATCTAAACTAGGGCAAAAATTTTATTAAACAAGAACGACTTCATAAAATGATATCATATTTTTTTTGTTTCTTTTTTTTTGGAAGATGGAATCATACCATTATCGATTTTTTTTTCTTTATCAAAAACAAAACGAAATGTGATGAAAACTTAAAGACAAGTTTTAAAAAGAAAAAAAAACAGTAATATTTTATTTCTGTTTTACATAAAGTTTCTTTTTGGAACATGAATTATTTTTGGTTTTTTGTTTTTTTTTTTGTTTTTTTTTGTTTTTTACAGTTTCAAAAAATATAAAGCCAAATAAAAGTGCTGAATTTCACAAATAATTTCCAGATTTTTACATATAAGATATGCAAATTTTCTTTTTCTTTTATTTTAAAAAATTATTGCAGCAGGTTATAATTCCTTTAAGAATTCAAGAGTAGTTGATTTTTCAAAATTGTTTTCCTTTATGGATGGATATTAAAATATTTGAGCTTGCCTTTGGGAATAAATTTGAATACTATGCAGTATACAATGTACTTATACACACATACAACGAATCAGTATATGTATATATGTGTTTGTGTTTAAGAATACAAGTTCAAAAAATTACTGATATTCGTATAAAAAAAGTGTCATATGAAAAAATGGCAGCGTCTCAATCAAATTAATACCGTCTGTTTAATCTGTTTACTTCGGATCTTAATTTTTCGTTCTCTCTCATTAAGTCGTCATTTAGAGAACCCTGGTGAATTGCATCAATAATTTCATCTCGATAGGATGCCATTGTGCTTATTAAATTTAATCTTGTTGCCACAATGTCACTATGTAGTCTTTCATAAACGTCATCTAGTTCCTCCCTGACAATTTGACGGATTAGTTCAGTTTGAATTTGTGAAGTTATCGTGTTAGAATCTCCAGCTGCTCCTCTCTTAGTATCATCACTAAGTTCAGCGCGTTGGGGTTGACTCGATGGCTAATTAAAAGTAACAATTATAAAAAATATTTTAAAATTCTCAATTAAATAATATATACCAAACTATGAAGGAAAAACGAAGACGAATCGTGCTTCTTTTCCTCGTCTATATCATTGGTTCCATTGCTTGTAAACTTTGATGTGTCTTTATTTATTGAATGATTGTTTGTGACTGGAGTTTTCTGAGTAGGCCTTGTCAAATGATTTTTCGGAGAGTCAGACATTTCAGTACGAAAATTTAAATTAGGGGAAAAGGTCCTGTCCTTCACTAAATTAGGTGAGAAACCATCTTGATTTTGAGTTCGCTTTCCATTTTCAGGAGACAATGGAGAAAATATTTCATAACTAGAATTTCTAGAAGCAGAGGCAACAGAGGGCGTTTTAAACTCAACTGAATGATTTGAATGATTTGGGGAAGAGATATTACTTTGACGTTTTTTCTGAAAAATAGATTATATTTTGAAATGGATGCCGAGTAAACTACCCGTTTAACAAACTACAGTTAACTAGGCCCTGTTTCGACATCTAGTAATTGAATTACATGATATATGCGCATTTAATATATCCTGCTAGTAATGTAACTAGCCGGATTATCCAGATAAAAGACTCCGAATGCGCTATTTTTTTTATCTAGACTCTAAACTTCTTTACAAAATTTATTTACCTTATTGAATAATTCAGCAAGTTGAAATTTTAGCACCTTTACACTGCTGGTATGAGCGCAATGCATTGTATGAACAGGCTTATTCAGTTGCCTTAGATCGTAAACGTGGATCGTTCCCCTTGTTGTGCCTATTAATCAAATATGATTAGATGATATTATCTAATAAATTGAATAATCATTCTGACCTCCGACAATAGTGTATCCATCAGAATGCAAATCTACTGCAGTTGCTGGAGAATCCAAAAAAATCTTATTTATATTCTGATGAGTTAAGCAATCATAAAACATAATTTTTCTATCTAAGCCAGAACTCATCATCAGTCGTTCGTTTATGGGAGAATGTGTAATACATGTTACAGGAGAATGATGAATAGACTTAAAAGCATGCATTTGCTGCTTAGTACTGGCGTTCCAAAGAAAAACGTCACCACTACTACAAGCAGTTGCTAGTAAATGTTTAGTCTGCAGACTATATTTGACATATTGTACAGCGCTCGTATGTTTTAAAGGGGAAGAACGTTCTGCTGTTACAGTATTTATGAGATATACGTCGTTATTAGCTGCTGCAGCGAAATTTCTATCGGAATGATGCAGGGATACCGTTGACAATCCACTTGTAGAAAGATCATATGTCTTTTGAATCTTTTTATTTTTCAAGTCATAATTTATAACAACACCATCTTCTCTTCCTCCAAGTACATATCTGGAAAAAGTAATATATTCAGTTTAACAAGATTTACAATTTTTTCTTATTTAACTTTTACAATCCAGAGATGGCGCTCTAAAACATTTTCTTTTAAATAAACGATTATAGTCATATATCAATTATAGCCCTAAAGCCAGTTTACACACGAAACAGGCTTAGTTCAAAGGATTAGCGAGGTCTTTTATTGATAGAACAATTTATAAAAAATAACGAACGCTCTTATCCACAATGATCCGTCCAAATAACAGAGTAAAAATAAAAATATCTTAGATACCTAGGATAGCTATAAGGTTTTTTGGCTTTAATATTTTAACCTTTCTACTATTGACCAATATAATGATAATTGACGAGGGCACTCGCTTAAGGGACTTTGCATAAAAAGAAAACAAGTGTTTTATATAAAGAGTATAGTGAATGAATATGTTCTACCTTCCATCAGACGAAGCTGCCACTGTGGAACAACCTCGTCCTATTTCTTCCTGAGCTTCGATTCTTCGAAAATCGGAGCTGAGCTTTGTTATATAGCATGGTCCTGCGCCCTTTTCAACGCATGTAACTACAAGTCGACCATCCAAACTCCAAGAGCAGTCTGCAATAGGCTTGTCTGAAGGGCGCCATTCTGTAACCTCGTTGAATGCTGGACTATTAGTCCATAGTTTCAAACTGGAGCCGGCACTTAGCAAGCTGGAATTCATGGCTGTAACAAACAGGAAAAGTGTTCGTAATTAATGATAAGAAAATATATTTAATTACTTAAATATCCCATTTAAAAACTACATAATACACTTATTACTTAATACTGATAATGACCCTGGAATAAATCGAGGCAACTCAAAATAGATAGATCAAATTATATGTTATAGATTATTATTTTAAAAAAAAGTTCACTGTTTGGTTGGCTTTAGAGAGATTATATCTAAAATTTGTTCGTATGTACAACTATTTAGATACTAGTCTGTTTGAAACATATACATTCTGTTCAAATACTTTTGTAAAATTTGTAAATATAAACACATTTATTCTATTTTAGTTGATTGCAAAAAAAAAGAAATTTGTATGGTTGTTTTTATGATAACATAAACCCTCGAAATTTTAGTCATTTTATTATTAATTAATAAAGATACTTTTGTTCATTCTTAAAAGTACAAAAATAAATATTTCTTTGGGAAATCGTAACCCTTTTTCCTTAGTATTATTTAGGTCTATAGTCCAAAAGTAGTTTTGCAGAGATTCTGGACATTTTGGATTAAGCCAGTCAGTTGTACAGCAATGCTGATTGGCGATTGGTTTTAGTGAGTGATAAAGGAGAAATTAGAAATTTTTAGTAGGCTTAGACCATATTAACACTCATTAGTTTTAAAAGCTGTAAAATTTTAATGATTTAGGGAAGCATGATTTAATTTTCTTTTTTTTAAAAGAACGAACAAGTAACTGATAATTCATTAGATCAATTAAGAAACGTTTAAAAGATTTTATTATATGTAAAAATTTTACTTACGGGTGATACTTTTTGATCTTTGAACCTTTTCTTAATTCTACGTAAAACTGTAGTTTGGGTAAGAACGTGTTGAGAATTTACCTGGAAATACGGAAATGTTATCATTCTAAAAAACCAATGAATAGCTGATTTTTGTAAACTTTTCAAAAGTACTACCTTTGAATGTTGTGATTTACCTCAAATTCGGTAATTAAAATTATAAATTTAAACCATGTCGTTGGGGAGAAGGCACATCTGAGAAGAGTCCTTTCAGCAATGACTCCGGTTGGTAGAGATTAAATATAAGCTGATCCGAAATGAATTTATAATAATGTGGACTAAGTCGTTGTTTATTAGTCTATTTATGGCCTTAAAAATTCAGAGTAACTCAGTTTGCCTTTTTTTACCCCACTGTTGTGGTATAACGGAATAGACTGGTGCCTTGTTCAAAATGCTTGTAACTGAATGTTTAGAACCAGTTTTAGAGTAAAAAAAAATTCTTAAATAGAAAAAGGCATTAGAATAAGTTTTTTAATAAAATAATTGAATATTTTTCAATCCAGAATTTGCAAATCAGTCATTGATTAAGTGCTATCAAAAGCTTATAACCAAATTTTTATTCCTGAAAAAAGACGAAACATTACTTGGCCGAAACACTACGTTCTTGTTTCGAATGCAAAAGTGTGTAACAACTAAAGCTCTTTTTCTCTTTAAATCGAAAAGATCTTTTTAAAATATAATATTTCAATGATAAAATATCATTTTGGGTCAATTTAATATTTGTTAAATACTAGAAAGTCTTAATTTATTTAAAGCTATCAGGTTATATAAAATTTTACCAGTTATCACTATGCGCCATAAAATAAAAATTACAACCTGGTACATTGTTTTCAATATATAAATACTAGACTGGTAATAACTTGTACTTTGACCTTGATATGAGGCATCTGTTGCGACTATACTCATTTCACTTACCTTTGAAACGGCAACTAAGAAGTTTATCATACATGGCTAATAGAAATGACACTACATTGTTTGGGGTTCCCAATAAGGGTCCAATTAAGCTAACAACCGGTGCTCCTGGAATAGATTTTCTACACGATGTCAGTAGAATAATTTCAGAAGCAACACAAACTCTTTTGACAGGTGAATATGGTCTTGGAGGAGATAGCAGCGCTTTACAGTATGGTCCTAGGCTGGGAGCACCTTTATTTCATGAAACTTTGGCTAAATTTTTGACAGAGTATTATGGAGACGAAGTAGACAATAAATGTATTGTTCCAACAGCTGGTGCAACTCATGGTCTACATTTGGTTGCTTCGTTATTCTTTAGGCAAAATGACGTAATATTCGTAGAGGATCCAACATACTTCATTGCTCTCAATATATTAAGAGATGACTTTGGAATGAAAATTGTTCCAGTAGCTTGCGATGAAGGTGGTATGATTATTAGCGACTTGAAACAGAAAATAAAAGAACACGTAAAGAAAACCACGGTAACTGACACAAAGCCCTTCAGAGCAATGGCTTATGTGATTCCCACTTTCCATAATCCTACTAGCAGAATCATGCCGAAAGAAAGGTAAGACAAAGGGTCTATTAAAACAAAACAAAAGTATAGATAAAATTTGATCAGCTATTATCATTTGTGCAGCAATCATACAATTTTGCAACAGATTTAATACATCAAACATTATTTCACAGATGTGAAGCTATGGTTGAATTAGCTAGACAGGAAAAGCTGCTGTTATTCGCAGATGATGTCTATAATTTGCTTCATTATGATCCAGCAATAATAAAACCCCCTTCTCGATTATATATCTATGATAATCAACAAGGGAATGTAATTTCTAATGGAACATTCAGTAAGCTTCTTTCACCAGGTATTAGAACTGGCTGGATTGAAGCAGCGCCTAAGCTTGTTCAGTTATTCCACGATAGTGGAGTTATTTGGTCAGCTGGAGCTTCCAATCATTATTCGTCATGTTTAGTGGCTACTGCGATTAATATGGGACTTGTGCAGAAGCACATCGCAAACTTGAAAACTCAATATACTGAAAGTCTGAACAAAATGTGCGATATAATCAATAAAGAAGCACCTTTTGCTCAAGTGGAAAGACCTCGAGGAGGCTATTTCCTTTGGGTAAAATTACCAAAGGAAATGGACGGAAAAGAAGTTGCCAAGGAGTGCATGGAAAAACATAACATTGTTGTGTTACCTGGAGGCATGTGCTCCCCGATTGGTGATTGTAAGAATTACATCAGAATTTCGTTCAGCCACTATAAACCAGATGTATTGTCTGAAGCGACAAAAATCGTTTGTGTTGCGCTGAATGAAGTTGCGAAACGATGCAAAGCATCTTACTAGAAGAACTTACTGAGTACTCGGATATTTTGGTGAAATGAAATTTTCTTAGAAGTTTTCTATTAATAACTATAAAAATCAAATTAATACAACTTTTCATATCTCAAATTAAATTAGTTTTGCTTCGTCGAAACTGTCCAGTGAATATTATTTTATAATAAACGCAAAGAATTATATTAATGATTGAATATACTTGATGCTCAGAGACTTTCACAATAAATAATTGATAACATTGATTATCAGATAATAACGAAATATAAACAATAATGAAATATAAATATGTAAATTGAGCTGAATAGTATTTTATTTCTCTTTGTTCTTCCGATAATTATCATTCTTAGCAAATCAGCAAAAATTTGAATAATGCTTTACAATAAGCATTTTAATGGAAAGAAATGTTTATACGAATAACGAGAGATTCCTTAAAGAGGATATACTTTTTATAGCTTTATAATAAAAAGCTTATATATTACAGAAAAGGATAATCTTTATTTTCTCTTTTCGATAAGTAATTAAGGGGCAGGCGCCTTTTTCTTATCAGCGGGAATTTTTACTGAATTATTTCTATCAATTGTAGTGCTTCAATATAAATATGTATAACAGAATGTTAAAAGCATCCAAACTGGTCATAAAAAGCACTATAGATAGAATTTAGTTGTCTTATTACTGTAAAAAAAAATATAGAAAACGGCATAAATAGTATCTAACTGACTTGAAATAAATCTATAGACATTTTGCTTATAAACTAATAGCTATAGCTTTGTTTTTTAGGGGATACTAACATAAATATTCTGTTAGTAGTAATAATACTCTTCGTACAAAATACCATCTAATGTTTTTCTGTATAATAATTCTCTTCGAATTTGAATTAAGGGCTTCATAAAGTGCACTTAGTTTGCTACAAACCCAACTTCCCGGAAAAAATTCATTTCAGTAGCTTCAGTTGATCGATATGTATTGTATAAAGCGTATTGGAACTTTTGGAAAGCCGTATTACAGTAGATATATATATATATATATATATATATATATTTCAATGATAAATTGTAGCCGTTTGTTTGAAGGTTTTCTGGCTGAAGAAGCAGAGTGAAATAAGATATAAGATAGATTTTTTTAAAAGTTATTATTATACTGATACAATTTTAAAACGTTTCTTCCTCTCAGTTATCTCTTGGGACATGCAATCATGACGGATTTATATAAGAAATCGCAGAAAACACTTTCAAAAGCTGATGAAATGCTAATTCATCTTATCAATCATTTCTTTTTCTAACAGATAGAAGGACTATAAATGAATGCTTTTACTCTTTTTTTTATCCTTTATTCTCTGTTTTTTCCCATTAATTCTAATAGAATCCTTTTCGTTTATTGTCATTGTTATAGTAGTTTATCGATCAAATATCGAAGAGTAACGATACATATTAAACTATCAGCCTAATTTTTTCACGCTTTGAAGGACATTTTGAAGGGCATTATAAAGAGAAACGCTACCAATCAGCAAGTTTGTTTGCTTTCGACTCCGGCGTCTTTTTTTTAGGGGGGAAGAGGAAAGGGCCCAATTAAAAATAACAAATGTCAAGGAAATACTAAAAGTGGCTTAAAGATATTAATGATTAAATATTAACAGTTTTACATTGTTTCATTCCACTTATTAGGGTACAATGTTCACTAACATTCGATTTTCATATAAAGACTATTTTTGAAACAGCTATTAGCAGACAACCACTTCCGTTTCTTGATGCGCAATACGTGTTTCGCGCAGATTTCGAGTATATAAAATTACAGTCAAGATTCGCCGGTTTTAGGCGATCAGTTAAGCTTTGAGACTGGTAAGTAAAATATTATTCAATATAATACATTCCAAAGCGGTTTAAAATCGAAAAGAACTTGCATTCGGATTTTTAAATACGGTAAATTATTAAGAGAATTTGTCGCGCCAGTAGCTCCTATAGGCCTATTGTAATTATGATATAAAATTTGTTAGTTGGAAGTAGATAGATTTGAGTGATCAAGTTGTTGTATTGTATCAACATATTGCAGATGGCGGAAGGAGAGAAGAAGTCAATCAGAGATACGTTTAGTGAAGGCAGCTCTCGTCTGTTCGGATCTGTGCTCTCTAAGAAGGAAGGTTTCGTAAACGGTTTATCGAATTTTAGACAGAGCATAGACTCCGTAGGCAACAGCGTATCGAACTCTGTCAATTCAGTTTTGGGTGGTTTAACGAACGATGGCGAACAAGCGGAGCAATCGAAATCGAATCAGCCACTGAAGAAAAAGCCACCAGTTCCGAGAAGGCCATCTCAAGAAGTATTAGAAAAAATACAGGAGGCAAAGAAAGGTCCAAAGTCGTATACAAGGCAACAATCGATCGAACAAGTTCAATCTCAGTTGCGATATCATGAAAATTTGGCTCAATCCATAGAAAGTCAAATATCGCATGATCGAGAAAGACACGAAAGATTAAATAGATATGCTGAAGAAGATAGTGGCGATTCAGATGCTACAGAAGGATGTGATGACGGCGATGATGCTGAAAGGCGAATAACTTCTAGTGATTCCGTAAGATCCTGGTCGGATGGAGATGACCAATATATGGACGAGAGTAGTCTGGAAGCAAAGAGTTATATGAAGAATTTTGTTGATAGGATTTTCAATTCCAGGTTAATTAAGCTGAATAGACCACTTTATTAATTTCCCTTAAGTTTACTAATTAGCCGTATTCAACTTACAGCGAATCGTTAACACAGGAAGATAAGGCCGCTTTTGGAAACCTTTGTCAAGTTTGTATTATTTCCATTGGCTATTTACCAATCAGAGTCACTACAAATATTATTATTACAATTATTAGAATTTTATCATTGTATTTTAGATTTTTAGTGTTTTATTTACTTCGAATCGAATTTCATTAGTTGTTTTGCTTGTTTTCCTATAGGAAAGTTCGGGACGGATATGGTTTTCTCGGTTTGTAAATGAACAGGTAAACACTTTATTAAAACTAATAAGATTTTCAACTCATCGATTTTTTCCGGGCGATACATATTTGCTCGACTTTTATTCGCCATGTATAAAAAATGGCAAACGACGTCCGTAATCAATGTCACCCATGCAACGCCAAAGCTGACTTTGCAATCGATAAGAGGCTTCTTAAGGAAACTAAACGCTTCAAGTTTTAGGAATAAAAAGAAAACGGGAGTTGATCAGGAGGTTTTTTCATCCTTCTTGATCTTTTCTGGCCTGTTTGTTAACGAAGTGATTTTTTCCCTCGTCCTTTATAATCTAGACGTCCGCGAACAAATTACACGCCTAACTAACAACTGTCTTCTTCTCTCCTTTTATTTAAATTAATTTTTTTCTGTTCTCTTCATCCTAATTGCAGAGGGTTGATCGAATGAAAGTGAGCGAGCAGATATTCTATAGACTCGTTCAATATTTCGCCATCGCCCTTTTCGAATGCAACGAATCGGAAGATTATAGGCCTGCGAAGACGCTGATGAATATGTGTTTTACGTTTTACTATGAAGGTTGGATCTATTTTATTCCATCAAGATATTTTACACTTCATTAAATCTCAATTTATATTCCTAAAATCAGCACAACAACCGACAGGACAAGTATACAAACACTATCTTTATAGTTATATGAAAGAGCAGCCAATTTGGCGATCTTTGAGATTCTGGAATGCTGCGTTTTTCGACGCTGTGCAACAAGAGCGTTCTAGGAAACCTATCAGCAGGTAAGAAAGAGAATATATCAGTTTTGATCCATATAGAATGGACATTATAAAAAAACTAATATTTTATTTTATTATTCTAACTAGCAACGACAAGGATGAGGGTAACGCTGACGACAAAGAATACCAGGAGAACGTAGTATTCGGCCAACTGGGGTAAGACGATTAGAGTTTTAATTTGAATTATATACGATCCTAACCTTGATTTGTGCACTAAACAGCACTTTTACATGCAATATGAGAGCGTTTGGATTAGGCAAGGAGCTATGCCTGGAGTTCTTACGGAAACAATCTTCTACAGCCAACTTGAAAGAAGGTAAGCTGTAGTTTTCTTTATTTATATACTGTATATATACAAAAATATCAGTATATATGTACACTGTATATAATACCTTTTTCATATATAATCAATGGAAATAATGGTTATTCTTTAGTTTTAACTTTATTTCGTATTACTCTCATTTATATTTAGGATTATTTTGATCTATCAAAGTTGGTTTTGTTAAAATTTCGTGTCGGATTTTTTCTTTCATTCTGTACAGAACTAATTCAAATGTTAAAGGAAAATTGCGAACAAAGAAGCCAATCGAACTAATTGCTTCAAATGTCTTCAAAAATGCTAAAAAAAACCAAAATAGAGTACAGAAAAATCTCTTTTATAAATTAAACATTGTTTAGAATACACATAGATGTGCTTCAAGCATTGCCTTCCCCACCCTCTCTCCTCTATGTGTGTGTCTTTCTTCCCCTACCCCTCAGTTTTGTAAGGCGTATCACGTGCTCAACATTTGTTCTCTTTTTTTTTGACCTTGTTACTATTCTTATTTATTCTTAAAATTTCTTTTTATCCTGTTTGCCTATATAAATATAGGTCACCTGATATCCAAAATCTGCTTTATGAAATTACCAATGATATTTGAGAAGATGTGAAAGGATTTATTAAAACCTTTCATTTAATATTCCAGCTTTTTTTATGTATATAAAGTGAATATATAAACTGGTAATAGGATACTTTTTATCTTAAAAATGAAAGAAAAAAAAAGAAAACCTATCATTCCATAAATTCAATATATTCTTTCGATAATTTTACTTTTATTATTCTATAATCTAAAAAGAAAATATTCAATTAATTATGTTTTTTTAAAAAAAAAAAAAGAAACAATACTCTCCATCTTTCATTTTTATTTGTTTTTAGCATGTCTGTCTGTACGTTTAATTCTGTCTGTGTTTTTTTTTTTACCTATTAATTAATTTTAGCTTGATCACGAAAATAACAAAAAAAGACATTAAAGAGATTCTGAAATCACATATTAACCTATAACACGTTTATCTCTTTTCTTTTAGTATTTTGCACTGTTGAAATGTCGTTACTATTGTTATTGTTGACATAATTTATCACTAGTAAATTACTTTTATAATTATTTTTCCTTCCTTTCCATTCGTCCTTATCATTATTTTTCCTCTTTAATCCTATTTTCTTTCATTTTGACACAATATTTGACAATATTTTATAATGTTGTACCCTCAACAGAGTTAGTTGCTGCAATAGCTGAAGCTGCAGAGAATTTTTTGCATGAAGTAGTTACATCTTGAAAATTATTAAGTATATTGATCAATATTATTTATTTTTCTTATATATATATATATATATATATATATATATATTACATAATAGTATTGATTTGAATATATGTTGGTTTTATTGTTTTAAGTCATCATTAGTCAGTTAATCAGTCAGTCAATGAGTCAAATATACATTTCTTTATTGAATTTTCGTAAAGTGTTTCTTTTCTCCCTATTCATATTATATTATTTCTATAAAAATCATTCCGTGAAAGAAGTACTGCATCGTGGTGTAATTATTATCTTTTTTTCAATGCTTTTACATGTTAATCTAGTCCAATTATATGGTTTTAAGCTGATATATTATTATGAGCTAGTTATCTGTTAATAGTTTTTTGTCTGTCATCAGATTTGTAATGAAGTCTAGTCAACGTCTATTTATTGAACTAGTCATCTCTTAGTGCATATAACGAATAAAACTTGTTGACACGTCTACCGAGTATGATTGATAGCGGATTCTGTGCCCTATCGGGGCAGCTTTTTATCTATTATAAACCATTATTAGGCCTATAATATTATTGATCAGATTTGGTGAAGGATAAGAGTGAAAGACAGAGACTTTATTGCGGCTAAATGATTTAGTTGTAGCCCTACGTGTAAATTGCTAGTCTTTTAAAAGAAAATCAAGAGAATAGTTTTATTTCTTGCAAATACAGCAACTATAAAATATAATGCACATAGAGAGGGAGAGAGAGAGAGAGAGAGAGGGAGAGAGAAATACTCAAAAACACTTCTGTACCATCTTATTTATTCTATGGACGATTCTCTTACGTCGCTTATTTAATTTAATATTGGTTTCTAAAGTGATAAAGAACTCCTTTTTTTTCAATCTTTTATAATTATTGAAGAGAGATTTCTTCCTCTCCTTCGGCATATATATCTTTCTTTAAAATCCTTCAATTTTATTTATACTCTCTCTATCAACTAATTCGGCATCTTGACATTCTTTACTTTGACGAACTGATTTTAATTTCCGGAATATAGAGAGGTGTTGGGAAGGAAAGATATTAAAAATAAAAAACATCTTCAAATGATGGCAAGCGCCCTCTATATTTCTAATCATTTGAAAGTGGTCGTTATGAATTGGCTTTATTTTAGCTTCCTTTGCTAAAAGACCTAGGTAAGCATCATCGGGTCTAATTGGAACCACTCTTTTCGAAGCTAGTACCAACTTTAGAAGGGTATCGGTGGATAATAAAAAGACCGGCTCCTCAATCATGTCGGGGAATATATTTGGTTCAAAGTCTTCTTTTGAGACGTATTTTGGATGACTCGACAAGCGAATAGGCCTATCTTTCCGTAAACGCTTTCCCACGTAAAGATTTTTTGGTTTGTCACCCCATTTGTTATATAGCCAAGGGATAATTGACGGCATATTGAGAAATATATTGTCATCTAGCTTTAGAATAAATTTCGTTGAGCAGGCTTCCTTTAAATTATCAGACAAATAGTTGAAAGCCGTCATTAATTTTCTAGTGCCCTCATAGGGTGAGTCGTTGAATTCAGCTTGTAAAATATCCGAATAAGACTTACTCTCCTGGGCCACGTCCCTTTCGAATCTGTTATTGGACATTCCCATCACGAATATAACTTTCCAATTGACCTTAGTTAGGCCCTTGACCTGTCGAAAATGTAAAGCCTGGCCCCAGCTGGAGCGAATTGCCTTTCGGTGTCCGGTGTGTTCAGGAGGAGAGAATACCAAAATTATGACAAACTGCGCCATCTTCTGGCAGTTCATTTTGGGTTGATGAATTAGATTAACAGGGAATTGTTTCGGGTTGGCTGGACCATAACGAGGATTAATTTTCTCTTCCAGGTGCAAAAACGGAATTTGATCCTGATGCACATTCCTAAGCGGAAAGAATTTCGGATTAATCTCTATCGATGCCTCATCCTTTTTACCTCTATTCTCACTCCTTCTCCAAGTCAAGAAAAGTAGGAAAAATATTAATAAAATAATCCAACCATAAAGAGAAGGAGTTTTCGATCGCTTATTAAAAATAATAGCGATAATCGCACTAATTGAAGTTGCCCAAGCTTTCTGTTTAGTTTCTGAGGACATGATGTACAAAAATGTTTGAAATATTAGAAGAAGTTGTATGTAATAGAACTGGACGAGAATGAAAGCATGTGTAATTTATTGATTATTCTAGGAGTTTATTTATTTTTCAACGTGTCTTTAAAATCTTATACAATGTATTAATTTTCATAAGTTAAATAGATGATTAAATTACATAGTTGAATTCTCATCAGCAATCGCTCGCATACTTGTCGGTTGTCATTGTAGGATGAAATGACTTTTATCATTATATTTAATTTGTAATTTACAATGTTTGTATTTATACAATGTACATCTTTACTAAAGATATGAACATGCAAAATTCTATATATATATATATACAGTATATACATTTTGTCTTATTTATACAAGTTTTTTTTCTGCCTCATAAATCTACATATAAAGTTATTATTTGATGGAATTTTTGCAAATTAAAAAATAACATTCAATTCCCACTTTACTAATACTTTGCCTCTCGAACTATTCATACAATCATTTCTATCGAACATCTCTAAATTCTTATTTCCGGTTCCGGATAAGGAAAAGTGAAATTCGCAGTTGAGGATTCGCTGCTAATCATTCTACTCTTTTGCAAAGAGATATACGAATAAATCATAAGGAAAAGAAGAAATATAACGATTATTAGAAGAAAAGACAATCTTATCATTCCTTTCAACGCCGTCACGCCTTCGCTTCGGAAAATGGAATAATTTTTCTTTTGATTTCTTCGCTCCTCTTTCTTAAACTTCTTTCAAACTTTTCGCTCGCGTGCCAGCCATAGAGCGGGAATAAAAAATTATAGGCCTACTGAAGAGAGAGAAGAGAGAAAGCGGGCGAACGAACTGCAGTCAGCTTTCTAAATAGAGATCATTCGTTCGCGAGACATTTCAAGAATGACAATCACCGAATCTTAATGTTTCTTTCTATTAAATGATCCGTAAGTTTTTTTCTTGCGAAGAATTATCTTCGGTCTCTTCTTACGCTTTATGTTTTTTATCAATCTTATCTAATAATGACTGACTACACCCCATATTTTTCTTTTTTTTTTCTCAATAACAATTGTTTTATTATATCTTCTTTTGCCACACTCTTTAATATTAACATGCTGAAATTTCCGTTAAGCCGGCGGAAGGAAGGAGGAGTAAAGGGGCGAAGCGGAATTAAAACTAGATCTCGTTTTCTTCCATACCCCTAATTTCTACTTGATTCACACGCGAATTGATGGATAGTTGCCGCGGAGGCAATTGATACCAAGTGAGAATATGATAAGGCTGCTCGTTAACGTTTTTTATGTGAGGTAAGTAGAGAAAGATAGGAAAAAGTGAATGATCCATACAAAGATTTTTGAGGGTAATGAAGAAGGCAAAGAGAGAGGAAGCGAGGTCGAGTAAAAATGAAGAAGCAATAAAATGAGACAAAGCGAAAGGGATTTATATATATATATATATCTATATATAAATATATATATATACAGTATATATATATATATATATATATATATATATAATATAGATAATATAATTGTAGACAGAGTGAAAGTGAGAGTGAGAAGAGGGAGGAAGAGAAGAATGAATGAAAAAAAAAAGGAAAAGAGAGAGAGAGAGAGAAAGAAAGGTATAGACAGATAGGCAGACAGAGTAGAGTTATGTTGAAAAGTTGAAAGAAACTTAGTTAACAAGAAAAGTGGGATACACGAAAAGAAGGAAAAGTGAAAATGATAGAATGGGAAAGGGGTGAAAGTTAATTATTCTATAAACATATTCGTGTTCAGACAAATAAATATACAAAATTGAAAAGAGAATACGGAAATACATACAATTATTAGTCATAATTCTAAAGAAAAACACTTAGAAAGTGATAAGAGGAGAGGGATAGAGGACAGTGGGTCAAAGGTATTTTATTTTTCAAAAAAAAAAGAAAAAGATCTATAAATGAAACATTTCTCTTCCAACATCTGTCTAGTAAATATTTATTTTTACGTTTACCCGACGATCTCTCATCGACTCATCAAGCCTTAATATTTAATAAAAAAATAAGAAAAAAAAGTAGTTAACTAGTTGCTCTTTAATCGAAAAATAATAATGAAAGACTCGAAGAATAAATATATGTATAGAAAAGAGAGATAGACTGTAATATAAAGACTTATAACCTTAATGTTAGGACATGAGTGCAATAAAATACGCCATTTAGTAATTAATACGGCGTTGTATTGAAACGTAATGTAATAATTAGTTTATATAGAATGTTTTATTAAATAGGCTTGGAATTATTTAGCTAAAGAAAATGAATATTTATTAGTTGGGGGAAGTGACACCCCACAAAGTGGCATGTTTGATAGTGTGTCACTATTTGCTCGCGGCTATCAAACATAAAACTATTCATAACCGTCAAACTCCCACCAAGTGCTATAAACCAAAATATATATTATTAAAAACTTGTATAATCAAGTATTTAATATATGCATATAAAGATAATAGTTAGATTATATATATAGATATTGGAAAGCGAATGTCCTGACCCTTTGCCCTGAAGGAAACGATTCCTTCATCATATAAACTGACACAAATAAATTATTTAGCCTTAGTCCCTTTGTCTCTTCTTCCCCTTCATATTCTCCCACTGTGTGTGTGTGTGTGTGCGCGCGTGTATAAATGGGTGTAAAAGTTATCCCAGTTCACTATCCTTTCTCTCACGTCTGTACATTTTATGAAATTAACTCTTTCGAACCTTCGTCATTACGTTCATTCCACTCTGCAGAGTCCAATAAGTGGTTAATTTTTTTAAGAAGATGAATTCCGTTTCCTTTGTCTCTATCTTTACAGTTTCGCTTTATGCTCTTGCATGGCTTCGGAAGAACATATCAAGAACACTACTTCTATTCTGAATAGCCTCTTGAGTGACTACGACAGCAGATTAAGACCGGGATTTGGTGGTAAAATATTCACTAATACCTTATAAGTTTTAATACTTTTAAACTTGGCTTTTTGTATAATAACTTATTGAGTGCGTTCTTTTTGTCATTCAGGGCCGCCTACAATTGTAAAGGCCGATATGAATATTCGTTCTATGGGACCCATCTCAGAAATAGAAATGGTTAGCTAGTTTTAGACAAAACAAAATTTAAAAAGTTCATTATAACTTGTCGTTTGTTTATTTGTGTATATTTGTTTATTCACTATCTTCTTAAGCCCTGAGTTTGTAATTACCAATAACGAGCATTTTTCCGCTCAACCAACTAACCTTCGGATATAAGTTTATTTAGGGGATTCTGCTATTTAATTATCTTAGCGTCAGTCGATCCGCAAACGTGAAAATCTGTGAAACGGAAAAGCTTGGTGACTGCAATTTTATGCACCGTTTACATTCAATATAAACATTTTAATAGAAGTTTTTCGACACTTTTTTTGTCCCGGCTTTCTTTTTTCATTCACCTGTATTTTCTACTAAATCCGATCTGACAGCCATCCGTCACATTAATTTCCCTTCTCTTTTAATCTGATCGCACATTTTCTTTAGCGGCTTATTCCTTTGAGAAAATTGAATTGTGAAGAACTAGTCCTTTAGGAGTGGTTAAGTGTCAATTTCTTTTCTTTTGCGATCATAAGCTGTGGCCGCCGGTATTTCATTTGTGAAAAAGATTTTGCTGTGGGCTATCATTTATAATAAATCCGTCTTTAACTAAACAATCTTTGAATAAAATCAAAAAGAAAATTTTAGGAAACTCTCTTTGAAAACATTCAATCCAAAGGGTTTTAAAAGTGGGGTTATATTAAGCGCACGATTAAGCTTATGCCTATATAAAATATCAAATCAAATTACCTTGTTTGTTTTACTATTTTGACTAACATTTCCGATTTGCTTGCAAACATATTGTTTTTATATTTAAACAGGCCTATTCCATGGATACCTACTTCCGCCAGACATGGAAAGATAACAGACTACGTTATCACAGCAAGTATTATGAAACCGTAAGGAATAATACGGGAATGGCCGTCCATATTATGGTAAGTGGATAATTGAATAGAAATGAAGTGAAAACAAAGAGCTCTTATTCTTTTATTGTTTATTGACTGCTCTTTGAATTTTTGCAGATGCTGGAGAGAATTTGGAAACCCGATACATTCTTTTACAATGGACGAGGATCCTACCTCCACACCATTACAACTCCTAATAAACTGCTAAGGATTTTTCCAGACGGAACCGTCTGGTATTCTATGAGGTGATTTAGTTTTGTAAAGTGTGTGCTCGGTACGCCCATTCCAACCGTGATTAGTTTGTCAGTCATAGGCCTACTGGCCCTAGTGGCAACCGATCTTCCCGCAAAGAAAAGAATCTAAAAAATATAAGAATAAGCGGTAAATTATAAAGCAAAAGTAGGAAAAAGTAGAAAGAAAGTAAAGGATTGATAGATAATGAAAAGAATGATAAGAAAAGGGAAAGTAACGGTACAATGAAACTGTTTTATAGGGATTTATGTGTATAAATTTTTAAAATATTAATCATAGAATACTTTTATCTTTAAGACATTTAATTAATTTCTCTCAAAAAACGTTGCTATTGTACTAAACAAAACATGGAGAAGAAAATTTTCATTATGATTTTTCTATAGAGTAGAGTAAATTTTCTAATCTTATTCATCTTTTTAAAAATGAAAAGATCTACTAACAATACAAAAATGATAAGTTTAGCTGTTGAAGATGGAAAATAATTCATTTTTTCTTCTTTGTCCATAGACTGACAATAAAAGCGACGTGTCCGATGTATTTACAAGTGAGTGTAATTCTCTATTACCTTTATACATATTAAGTAACATTCTTTAATTTGAGGCAGAATGAATAGTAAATTTTTTGTTAATATTTGCAGGATTTTCCATTAGGTAGGCCTGTTGTCAAAAGATATGTCAATTGCTTATTTACTGTATGACTCCGTTAGATGAACAGCTGTGTCCATTACAATTCGGCAGCTGTAAGTATACTTTAGCTATCTTTGTCTGGTGTCTGGTTTATATAAATACAATATATATATATATCATTTTCTTTGATAGAATTGTTTAAAATGTTATATATCTGTTTTTTATTAATTAATAATAAAAAATTTTATGCAATAGACGCCTATGGGAAAGATCAACTCGAGTATGTTTGGAAATACGGTGCTAAAAATTCAATTAAGACCTCGAAAGATATGAGATTATCGCAATTCGACATGCCCGGACAGACTGCTGTAAATTGCACAGAAAATAGGTCTAAGGGTATATAATAAAGAGTAATTTTCTTCCACTGACAACAATCGAATTAATTATGACTACGGGCAACAGGCGAATTCTCGACGTTAAAAGTCAATTTCCGACTTCAAAGACATATGGGTTACTTTCTTATACAAGTCTATGTACCATGTACACTCATAGTCATCTTATCATGGGTATCTTTCTGGTTGAATAGGGAAGCAACCGCCGATCGATTAACTTTGGGTATTAATATAATTTATAATATAGCTTTTTATTAACTATATAATATAATAGATAATGAATAAGTTTCTTATATATATATATATATATAGACATTAATATCAACGTTATCTGTGCTCATCCAGGAATAACAACTTTTCTTACTTTAACGACTCTATGCATGGACGCTAGAGAGGATGTTCCTCAAGTTCCTTATGCAACAGCTCTTGACTGGTTTATAGTAATGTGCTTCGGTTTTGTTATCGCTTCATGCTTGGAATTCGCCGGAGTACATTATTTTACGAAGAGAGGTTTCGGTGAGATACAGCATGATAGCGATTCCGAAGACGAATGGATGGATGACGAAGAATTGGAATGCGATATCAGTTGTACACCCGTCACCACCTTCTGCTATAATAACGTATATGCTGTATATATAAATATATAATATAAATAAGTGAATATTTATATGTATGTATATATAAGTATATATTGTATATTTATAATATATACATTATCTTATATACTTTACATATATACATATATAAGCCTATATAACGTAAATATTTACTCTAAAAACTTATCTATAAGACAGTAGTTGTGAAAAGCATTAAATTTTAAAACATGTTTTATATTATAATTAATTAAACAAGTAAGGTAAATAGATTGAGCCTATATATTAGAATTTATGCTTTTCTTCCGCCGTTCCGACGCCTCCTTCTGACCTTGAAACAAAAAAAAACTCCAATACAGAAATCATCAGTCTACACAGAAAATAATCATATAACTTTATACGAAGAAAGATCTCCAACTAATTATTGGAACAATCGAAATAAGAATAGGACATTATCTACTTCAAATTCGCCAAAAAATACAACTCATGGTGATTCCTGTTTATACAAATTTTATAGATGTTTACAAGTAAGTTTGTTTTCAAAGTTTTTCTATTTTTTATCTTCTTCATCCTTTTTGTCGCAACTCGATTTTGTAAATGAGTGAACTAGCTTTTATGTAAACAACATATCTAATTAAGGGCTTCTGATTGAGGGAGTTTGTCCCATTTAAAGAAAAAAAAACAAAAAGAATAAATTTTGTTAGTTTGTAAAGGTCGCATGTGGTTTGCATATAAACTCAAGTGTCTGACTAATAAATTAAATGACGGGCAGAGCAACCTCAAGTACCGACGATTAATGATTAGAGGAGCGGACAAGCGCGATGTCAACCGTGTTTCCAAGATTGACAGAGTGTCCAGGGTACTTTTTCCACTATCCTACCTTCTGCTGAATGTTATCTATTGGTTGTCATACCTATCAAGACACACGAATGAACCAATTCGTTGGTAACGGTGTGCCATCTGCTGGCATCCAAACATCTTCATTTTCAACAATCGAAAAAATTTCAATTATATGCTAAAAAACACTTTTACAAGACAAAAAATGATTATGCAATCTAAGAGATTTTTAATAAAAAAAAAGAAATACTGATAAAATCATGTTTATTCTTTCTCTGTTTATTTCTATTGATTGTTTTTTGTTTTTTTTAAAAAAAAATAAAGCAAAAAAAAAGAAAAAGAGTACAGTGGAGGAAAGATATACGATGAGTTGTAATAAATTTTCTTTCCTCTTTGAAGGAAGAAAATAGGCTTTTAAGAGCAGCTTTTTTCTTCTTTCTTTTTTTTCTCCTCTTCATTCTTTCACATTAATGCTCCTGTTCCGTCGCTATTTGATCCAAGGTACAGATTCCAATAAAAGATATTGAGTAAAGTGAAAGCAGTCGGAAAAAGAATTCTGGAGGCCTTATCGATTTTGCTAACCGAATTAATACCGTCTGAACTACGAACTTTCATATCCCGATAAGCCGAACTTCCGGTAATACAATGATATAATTTAGAGCAACATCTCTCTTGATCAGATGATTTCAAGCTGTGAAACGACGGCGTCTCTTTCTCTGAAGTTCCATTTAATTTCGATGTGTATTTTTTCTTCTGACTTACATAGTATATTTTGTCATTAGCCTATTTAAAAGAAAATTAAATATAATAAAACTATATGTCATACTTGATATACTAATGGCTGTATAAGGATCTTTTTAGCGCCTAAAATAAAGTTAATTGAGACAAATCAGCGCATGGTACCTTTTCGCTTAAAGGAATTTGCTTTCCATCTGAGTAAGTTCCACTTGTTAAAATTTCAATCTCCTCATCGTCAGCAACAGAGTATTCCTCCTCCTCTTCTTCCCCTTCATCTAAATCTGATTCCTGCACTACCTCACCACTACCGTGCTTTGTAAAAAAATGAACGCTAGCAAATTGTATGATAGCTGCTAGGACAAATGCAAAGCACATGTTGACGAAGTAGTCAAGGGCAGTTGAATAAGAAACCTGTTTAAAAAACAGAAGACATGAGCAAATAGAATCCTTGAAAATATATAGAAAATAAAAAAAGGTGGTTCTGTAATTGGTTAACAAAAAATCTTAGCCATCATTTTTATTACTTTACCCTTTGACAAACATTAAATATATATACTGTATATTCGATTTAGATTATAATAAACCATGTAGAAAATGAGGAAAATTGTTTTGCTTCATCGATAATTGAAGAACACGAGAAATATATACAAAAAAAAAGGTAGAATATAAATTATGGAAGAGAAGAATACCTTTGGAAGATCGCTTCTGTTATCAACTCCAACGAATACCATTGTTAAAACAGTTGTTATTCCTTAATATATAAATTTTGGTCAGATTTTCTACTTGTATTTAATAAATATGAAATAAATTCCTTTACCTAATGTTATCCTATCGGCAGTTGCTTCTCTATTTATCCAAAATGCTACCCATGATAAAATAACCAGAAGTGAACAAGGAACGTAAACATTAATTAAAAAATAGCCCATATGTCTTTTAAGAGTAAAAGTAACGTGAAGAAGAGAGAATTGATCTGTTAAAACAGATGAAAGGATAAATGAACAGAATGAAGAGTATATATACCAATATATACTAATATATATATAGTTTCTATAATAATTGACAGAAGGAAAAAGAGAGGAAACATGTTTTTTTTATATATAGGGCTTCCTTTTGTGATATTTTTAAGATTTCACACCAATATTAGGGAACATAGGATGGGCAAGCAGTTTCATACGTGATTTGGTTGTCGAAATGTAAGGGAAGGAAAAACAGAAAGAAACGATAGAAAAACAGGATGATTACCTTGTCCATGAAAAATTGTTTTGTTCCCTTGAGGAAAGTTGATCAGATCGAACTGGGATAGGGTCATATCAGACGCCATCTTGATCGAACTTCCCGCCCCGTAGGTCCATTTATAAAGGACGTCGGATATTCTATAGCCATGGCTGGCTAATCGTAAAGGACAGTTCTGTGTATCCATCGGAAAATTTTCAAGGTGCATTGGGCAGGTAGCTTTTATAGTAAGCCTGTTATTTCAATAGGAGTATATAAAATATATATATATGTAGGACTATTAGGCAATATATAAACAGTATAACGTAATAAAAAAAAGCCGACCAACAAAAACAAAGCTAAATGAGCCTTGGTAAAGTGCAAACGAAAACACATTTCAAGTAGGAAATGAGAATTTATTTAGACGCTTTCTCTCATTCAAGCTTCTTAAAATGATAGAAAGAGACGGAAACTTTGCTTAATGATAAAAAAAAGGAAATAGTCTTAAAAGAATAATTTAAAAAATATATATACAAACCTCATTGAGTATAAAATTCTACCATCTTTGTTAACTCTTAACAACTTGTTAGGTGATGTTACCGTGTGCAAATACGATTGTTTGCCGTTTAAAAAATGAGTATCCGGCTTCCAGATTTTCTCAAGAAAGGTAATACTAACACGTAGAGTCTCTATATCACCGGCCTCAAATTCTAATCGCTTATCGACCCAACTTTGACGGAAGTAACAATCCATCTGATAAGCCATATCCCTCTCGGAGACTGGACCCATACTTCTAACATTTAGATTAACGTCAACTAGAGTCGGTGCCCCTGAAATCGAAAGGAGTTTAAGGATAACTTTTATCCCTCTCTATTTTATCTCGCTTCCTTTCTTTCATTCTTGTATACAAATATAAAGGGGAAGGAGGAGGAAGGAGAGAGAGGATATAAAGATTCCCTCGAAAAAATAGCTCTTCTAAATAAATAAGAAAAAATATTCCAATAAATCGCTTATGGGGAATTATATGGTCGCAATCTCATTACGATTATTCATTTAAGGAACGAGAGTCTACAAGTAATAAATGTAAAAAAACTAAGGACAAATATAAAGAGTTTTTAAAGTAAACATATAATATACAGAGTATATATTTAATATCTATTTTCTACCCCTTTTTTCCCCTTACCGCAATTCCTTTCCCCCTCTGTCCAATCGACCAGATTTTTTTTTCTTCTTCTATTCATATTGTATATACTATATTCATACACCTTCTATAAATATATACGCTGTATATACAGTATATAAAAGAAAGATGAACATATAAAAAAAATCAAGAAGAAAAAAACCGAACGCCATCATCGAAAAGTCGATAATCACCTCCGAATCCCGGTCGCAATCTCTTATCATATCCCTGGAGAAGTTTATCCAAAAGTTGTGTTGTATTTCGAACGATTTCTTCCCTATTTTGCCACGTTGAATTCTTCGAAACCACACCGTCCAAGGGTGATAAGACAACCGTTACCAACAATAAAAACATTTCGCCTCCTTATCTTTTTCTTTCTTCTACCGACGAAAAGCGTTTATCCAATAGCTAACGTCAGTTACGTTTTGCCGCCGTCTCCATCATACAGACAGCGCCGTTATTTATCTCCGGGGCGTCTCTCATTCCCTATTCCTTTATTTACTTTTTAAAAAGACGCTTAATAGGTTAAACCGTTTATGCTTTAATTTTCCTTTACCTCACCAAATCCTTTTCTATTAGAGAAAGATATTCTCATTTATATTATAAAAAATAAATTGCTTGATAGATATTATACTGTATTTATACATACTGTATATACAGTCTAATATATATATATATATATGTATAGGCATATATGGTATATACCTTAAAACACACACACATATATATATATATATATATATCTTTATATATAGACATATAATTTACATATACATTATACTATATTTATAAATTTCGTACATACGCCAGTTTATTAAGTAAGTATTAACAAATAAAAATATGGAATGATATCAGTGAAGAAGTTAGGGATGCAACCAACTGACGGCTCAAAAGTACATTTTATAACAAACAACGTTTTCGATCAGCTTAATTCCAGATGGCGCCTTCGGGTAGGAATGTTTGCATAATATTACATTTCAGAATGCGACTCGAGTAAATCACAATAAAATAGAATATTATCTTAATTAATAAAAGTATTATCTAAAAGATTTTGTAACTTTTATATAGTAAACTATAGAATTGTTTTTAAATTGGTCTATCCCATGAGAATTAGAAAAACTGATTAATAGACGATTTTGCGTTAATGAAAAAACGCTTAAGGTTTACTTAAATAACTTCACTGTCATAAAAAAGAAAAATCGAAAAAGTAGATTTAATTAAATCCCAGGTGTTTAACTTTCATTCGTCATGTATGGTCTTATAACAGAATATGTATATAGTAATAAATTCTCTTCCTTAAAGGTAAGACAATTAACTGCAGATGGCGCATTGATTTCGTCATCAGTTACTTGAATAGACGAAATATAAATTTTATACAAACATCAGCTGGCAAAGTCATCATCAGAAAGCAACTTATGTCCGTTTAAATTATTTCAGCTAATTTCAATGCAAAAGACGATTATGTAATAACTAAAATTCTCTTTTTATTCCATTCTTATAAAAAGTTTCTAAAACAGATAAAAGGCCTACTTTATAAAAAAAAAAGAGAAATATTCAATGCTATTTTATGCCATAGGAATTCACTTATTCTAAGTTTGTAAAATCAGAGCAACCAGTCATTTCAGCTGCCTTTGTGGTAAACTTTTGCGACAATTCTTCATTTAGAGCAGTTGCTTCAATAGTTTCAAATGTGCATTCGCTATTTAAATAAAAAATACAAAAAATTACTATACTTATTTAAAGCTATTTTAGACAATTAGCTTACCCATATAATTTTCCCGTTACATCCTTCTCTTCTTCAGCAACAGCCGCTTGAATTATGCTTTGCGCTCCATCTTTTGGAGCTTTCATTAAAAACCAAACAATTGGACTAAGTGATATTCTTAGAAAAGAATTTTGCTTAAAAGGCATATGTCTTTGGGCACCAGTGTTAACGACTCCAGGTTGAATGGCATTGATGCATACCTCACTACTCGGTATTTGCTTACTTAGCACGAGTGTATCAAGTAAAATTGCTAATTTTGATTGCGAATATGCTTCACCAGGAGTGTAAGAACGCGATTCGAAATTCAGATCATCCGTATTCACTTCGGCTATGCGATAAGCATGAGCTGTGACATTAACAACACGGCTACCAGGATTTTTACGCAACAAAGGCATAAGAAGACGAGTTAATAAGTATGGTCCTGCGTAAAAAGATGAATTACAGCTTTTTTTAAAAGCGACGTCTCTAATTTTAAATTATTGCCTTCTTACCTAAGTAATTGACAGCTAAATGAAGTTCGAAACCATCCTTAGATTTGCCTTCGGGGTGACACATAATGCCCGCATTGTTTACCAAGATGTTCAAACGCTCATACTTTGTTTCAATCTGTTTTACTACTTCTCTAATTGATTCAAAACTCGCCATATCAATTTCCATAACGTCAACGTCGGCTTTAGGAAATCTTGTTTTTAGCAAACTCAAAGCTTCTTGGCCCTTTTCCATACATCTAACACCCATTATTACCTTGGCTCCTCTCTCTGCAAAGTCCGCACACGTGGCAAATCCAATGCCTCCATTACCCCCAGTAACAAAAGCAATTTTGTCCTTTAGCGAAACTGTACTTTGACATTGTGCTCCCCTCATGTACTGCCTATGAACGATAATATATTAATACAATTTCATCGTTACTTGAATTTGCTGAATCATGTTTAGAAACATACCGAATGGCGTAAACAACACCTATAACCACAGCGATTAGAATGGGATACCACGAGTTTATAAAATCTTCGCCGGGAGGCTTTCCGTCTGGAAACATCGAGCCCATCTTTTTGGACTCTTATTGTATTGGATTGACACTGTCAATGGAATAAATCGATATCGATAAGAGTTATTTCAATCGCATCGGGATTTGAAAGCCCTAGTGAAGTAAAACATAATTGACTATCTAATCAATTATTATCTAAAAATTTAAGGAAGCATATATATGTGCTTTAGTAAATGCAAATATATTTAAATTGATTAATATCATAATTATAAATTTAACTTTTATTAGTCTTCTAAAGTAATTTGCCTTTCTGAATCGTATATCGAATTATACGATAAATACATCGAATCGAAAAATATAAAACTTATTCTCGTTGATAAAAATGGAACAAGTTGCAAAAGTAAAAATATTGTTATAAATCATGTATAATAAACGTTAGAAGTAAAGTTTAACGATAAAACTACAAACTTTCAAAGATTTTTCATACGTAAACAGTTCTGTCTACGTCACTACCGGTCGGTCACATGGCCTACTGAACAACAGTCGACAGAAAGTAGGCCTCTTCACAACTGATTATTCACTTTAAGCATGCGATCTAACAAATATTCAACTGTTATTTTTATACTCCAACTGCCAATTTAACCCAAGGTAACAATTATCATCTGAACTGAAATGAAACCCAATTTAATATCAGAAGAATCTGAGAATGATGAGAAGGGAGATTTTATACAAATCTCTGGTCATAAAGGGATCTGTAAATCAGCATCGTCGAAAACTATTTATAAGAAACTTAAGAATGGAAATAACGAAAATTATGCCTATTTAAAGGCTATGGAAGATGAATATGCCAGAGTTTGTATTCCAAGATTTTTTAGGGCTTTAAAAGACGGTGATCAAGCTCTTATCGAATTGGAGAACTTAATGCAGTACTTTAAAAGTCCAAATATTATGGATATCAAGCTGGGCTGTAGGACCTTTGAAGAAAACGAGGTACAAAGTACTGTTTTACGGGAGGATTTATACGATAAAATGCTGAAATTATACCCCGACTGCTGTAGTGAGGAGGAGAAGAGGGAGAAAGCTGTGACAAAATTAAGGTCAATAGTTCATTTTTCTTTATTAACATTTTAGAATTCTATAAATTCTATATTGTCTCTATTTAAGGTCAATTTTATTAGCGGAATCGGATATTTCATACAGGGTAATTAATTGATTTTGCGCCTAGCAAGTCTTAAGAATTAATATAGTTAGAAATTTGCCTTTACAGCTGTAATTTAGAGGGAGAATGTTATTTTTTATTTACATTTAGGAAATAGAAATTAATAATAAACTAAACAATGAATAGTCCAAGATTTTCACTTATTAATAATACTTATCAGTATATATATATATATATATATATGCTGTATATACACATACGTATCTCTCTCTCTATATATAATACTCAATATTACTAGGTACTATACATTGCATATTTATATTTATGTAACATATAAACACTAAAATATTGTTTATTAAAAGATCTTTGATTTCAAATGAATCACGATTTTTCCAGAGTTTTTATACTTTTTACAGACATCTAATACTTGTATATTAAAAGGATAAAAAGCATTTATCTCTATTCCAATCGGTTAAAAACAAAGTTCTCTTTTTACGAAATCGCTTACGGTCTCTCTCTCTCTCTCTCTCTCGTTTATTGTGTAAAATAAAAATCTTTTATTACTTTTGTTACTTTTTTATAGAAATAAATTAAAAATCTTGATGCTTTTCTACTATTCTCTTTTCTCTCTTCAACTATTTCTGGATGTATAAAACATAGGGAAAATTGATTGTTACATATACTAATATATACAATATATGAATGTATTCGCTAGTATATGATAATAGATGAAATGTCTTATTGAGTATTTTTGACGTATTGACCTTTTTTAACGACAAAGAGTTTTCTTTGAAGAGAAAACTTTTTAATCTATACCTAATCTAATCATATAAATAGAAATTTCGCACGAGATACATAATGACTGTATTGTTTATATGATTCTAGATTAATATATACTTTGTATACAAACATAAAAAATCTATATTTTAATAATTTTAACAAAAGTTTACTGATTATTAATAGGATATTAAGTCTTTTTTTAATATAGATCACACGATTTTTATTAGTATTGGCAGGTAATGAATATACATTAGATTATATGTATCATTTAATCTATACCTATTCTGTATATAAATTACTTAGTATAAAATAAACATAGATCAATGTATTTAGGTAGATTATTTCAAATTGTGAAATGGATCTCTTTATTTTTATATTTCAATACTTCACGAAAACATTGTTTATAATGTAGAAAGAAGAGTATTATACATATAATTTATACAGTATATAAAGAACTATAGCCGCATACACGTTGCATGGTAAACGTATTAAAAAGTATAAGAATCAGGCATATATTACTAACAGGAAATTGGTAAATGTGTGCTGTGCTCATTATAACTTATCGAAAGTCAATATTTGTTCCAGTCAAAATTATTTACTAAATGTAGAAATTTTTGGCCTTGTGGCATTATATTTTTTTATTTTTAAAGCAAATTTCTTACTCAAAATGTAAACTCAAATATTAATATTTTAACATATATTTTATTAATGATTGTTATTAAATAATGATATTAATTTTTTGTTACAACTATTTATTTTAATAGATATATGCAAGTTAGAGAAAAAATGTCTACTACTTCTAAGCTTTCCTTTAGGATTGAGGCAGTTCATAGTTCGACTGCAAAATATTCTCAGGACGTTAAAAAAATCACTAATTCCGTTCAAGTTTTGGATTGTTTTAAATTCTTTTTGAATAAGGCTCACGATAAAAGACTTTTGGAGACTTTAGTTGAAAGAATTAAGCAATTAAGATGTAATATAGAGAATAGTGAATTCTTTCAAACCCATCAAATAATAGGTAGTTCGTTACTGCTAATACATGACGGATCAAATTGTGGTGCTTGGATCATTGATCTTGCACACGCAATCCCCGCTCCTGACGGAATACAGAGATTGAATCATAGAAGCGATTGGAAATTTGGTAATGGAGAAGATGGAATATTAACTGGTTTAGACAACATTATCCGCCTATTTCGATCATTCCTTTAGCAGTGAGATTAAAATTAATATTATATTTAGCATTCAAAAAAAGAGAACTATTTACATTCAAAACAAAAATAGAGTGATGCCAATTAAAATTTTTAAGCCACTTAGAGTGCCATAAATCATTAAAATAAATGCATTAATTGCAAACAATTAAAAGAAAAATATATATTTAAAATGGCTATGGTAGTTAAAATTGTAATTTGAAGCTTAAAACAAATTCCATTTATACAGTATAAATAAAATTTGCTTTATCTTTTCATTGTCATTCTACAAATCAAAATTGATCTCATTACCCTTTTGGTTTGTGTTTTTTTTTTTTAAAAGCGAGTTTGTCACACTCTGTTCTGCTGAAAGTTGTTTTGTCAAGTTTTTTTTTCCCATTTTTAGGTTTAACGGTTTAAGTTGTTTGCTTAAGCTTTATAAACTATGGTGCTATAATTTCTTTTTTGTTATGTATAAAGATTCAAAATTACGCAGAAAAAATTCCAAATATGCTAAAATGGGAAAAAAGTACTTTTTAAGGTCTAGTTTACCATTCCTCACGTGAAAAATGATTCTATGCAAAACAAGAAAGAGAAACTTCCAATGGCAAAATAATGTGTTATAGACACATATACAAAGACATATATATATATATATATATATATATAGGTATAAACCAAATCCACATTAAGGGCACAATTAAAAGCTATCTTTCAAAGTTTATTACAAAAAATTTATTATTTATATATATGTTGTTCTGGTTTGTTTATGTTTTGTCAAGGTTAAATCCAATAAATTGGTAACTGCAGAAAAAAAAACTATCTTATTGTAATGTTCAAAGAAAATACAAAAATATAATGATATTGATTGATTATAACCGATTTTCTTTACTTTTGTATTGAAATTTTATGGAAAGATACGATTTTTCGGTTTATTCAACCGATATTCATTTTATTCTTTAGTAAATCAATAAAATAAGTTATTTAAGACTGGTGGCAAAAATATACTTGAAGATATTCTGCCTTGCAATTATTAGGGGTGAGTGAAATAAAATGGCTCAGGGTTTTTTCAAGGGTAGTACAGTCTACAGGAATATCACTACTAAATCTGTTATCATACTTGTTCTCAATAGGACTGGTTTCCTATTATGTTTAAGTACATTCTACTGGTGTGGTGACGTCAATGATAAATAATAATACAAATATAGAAAGCAAACTTCCAGCTGTGTTTTTTCTTTCAACCGTTTCCAGTAATAAACCTCGTACAACTTGTACAGTATTACAATTTTTAATTGTTATAAAAAAAACTAATAAATGAATAGGCACAGCGCCTTTTAAGCAAATTAAGCATATACTGTATGCATATATCTATCATCTATCTATATATCTATTTATATATATATAGTATATGTTATATAAATATATATAAATTTATATATACTGTATATATATAGATAAATTGTAAAAATATTTATGACGTACAAGTTTTTATGTTACCTATTCTAGTTCTTAACTTAAACAAATGAAAAGGATCCAGTCAGATTAATCAAACAACGTGCGATAACAAACTAGTGTTAGATAACGAAATACAATATTTTATCATATATTTTAAGGAGGAGGTTCGCTTTGCAAGTTGAAAAACTAGTGTAGAGATATTTATTTGCTCTCTCTCTCTGTCTGTCTCTCTCTAAGTTCAATATATCAAAGAAACTTGCAAAATTAAAATTATAAATGCGTTCGTGCAACAAAAATTAGGCAATATACTATATTACAAGTACATTAACTGCATGATTCAATGCTTGAGGTGTCTAAATCTAATTTCTTTTTATTATATACTATACATTTCATATTTTCGTTTTGGAGTTACAGATAACCTTAGATTATTGAGTGGATTGAACCTACTTTTTTTTTATCAAATTTACACTTCACCTCTATAATAAAGGAAACTTATAATATACTTCATAATAAAACGACAAAAGAATAATAAGAGTAATTATGTCATTTATCGTTATATATTCAATTTTTTAATTTATAAATGGGAAATTTGTACCTATTATTTAAAGCCATACAGTAGTAGCTTTTAGTTCTTTACACATATACTAAAAATTTATTGATGCAATAAAACATAACAAAAAGGATGTTTATCATCTAGATATTATTCTTCCTTACTATCAATTTAGGTAGATTAAACCGGAAGTACAGATTTTTTTTGGTACTCTTAATTTTCATAATATTTATATTTAAATTATGATAACAATTATTTGTGCACAAATACACTGTAGCCTGGACAGTTATATATACATATATATACCACTTATACAGAGTATACTAATATATATATATATCTATACATACACAGTATATATACTCTATATAAGAGTGTCTATGTTTAAGCAAACACCCTATTTTTAAATTCTATGCATACTGTATATGAAGTATACGTATGAGAGATTAATTAGTTAAAAGTAGGTCAATGTCTTACATTTGTCATTCGATTTATATTATCTTCTTATTTTTATAGGCCTTCAGAGAATACTCTCTCGATATTTATCGATAAGGAATTATATAAGCATATTCTTCATGTGACAGTATACCTAATAGATTCATCCGTAAAATCTAGGCTTGCTAAATTCGTGATTTAATTGAACATGTGCGTGAACGTGTTTTCATTATCGAATTACACTTTAATTATATCTTTAGGGCCGAATATCATCCCAGAGTATTAAAGTATGTTAATATTAATTAGCAAAAGCAATTTTATCACGAAAACCATGTTGAACATTCGATACTTTGAGCAGCTAAAAAAAGAAATTTAAATGTTTATAATGACGATATTCTTTTTAATAAGACGATCATTCAATTTGTTACGAAAGCAATTTCAGATTGGAATATAACAAGAAATAGATACTTTAGAATATTCATAAAAATATCTTGTAATGCATAATTGCGAATAAGAACTACGTGATCAGTTATAAAATGTATAAAATATAGATATTCTACTTTATAAACTGTATATGCTTCAATACAATTGACACTAAACAGTTCCCAGAACCAATAGAATCATCAAGGTGAAAATTTTCTAGTCTACTATACCGGAAGGTTTAGGACAAGGTCTAAAGTAACGTGCAAACTGTACCGAACAAATATATAAAATATTCTTAACATATGCAAATTTTTTTAATTTGAAAAAAAATTCGTGCAATCGAACTTTTACTGGAAACTGTAATATTATCCGACTTTAATTTGACTATCGTTTCACTGCTCCATACTTAGTCCGCCCTCTGTAGTACAAATTGGATATAAGTGTTCTAGATTTCAGTGTTTCCACATCTTCAGCATTCCGTCATCTGAATAAGTTGCAATTAGGTTATTGTGTGGATGATGACAAAGTCCAATTACGTCCTTATCATGAACCTGAAAAAGCAAACACAAGTCATAATCTCTTACGATTTACATATGAGAATAGCTAGTTACCTCTAATGTTCTTTCCAGCTTCCCAGTAGACATACAAAAACAATACAATACATTATCTTCCCCAACACAATAAATCCATTCACCTCTAGGTGAAGTTGTGCAACAGACAAAATCTCCTCCCTCCCTTTTACCGTTATTGAAACTTCTGACAATCTGTCCTCTCATATTCATAACAACAACAGTATTCGATCGATTACACACTACAAAATGATCTTGATTTCTTGCTATTAAATGAACACTATGAACAGTCAAATCAGTACCGCTATCAATACCACCAACAGATTTAAAAGTATTCTGACAATCAGCTGTTTTCACACTCCAAACCTTAACTGAACCATCCGAACTTGCACTAATGACATAATGGCCATCAGCTGTGTATGTAGCCCAATTTACAAATGAGGTGTGACCACGAAATTCTTTAAGTGTTTTTCCAGACTTCAAGCCGTGAATGCGTATTGTATGATCGAAAGAAGAGCTGAGTATATGACTGTTGTCCTTTGACATTTGAACGCAGGTTACGCCCTTTGCATGTGCTTTTTCAAATCGACGAAGACATTGGCCAGTTTGAATTTTCCACACCTGTTAGAAAGATAAAAGCTTAACAATGATCAATCAATCAAATATATGACAGAATTTACTTTAATCTTTCCATCTTGCGATCCGGTTGTTAGCATTTCTGAATCTCTACTAAAGCACATGCATAAAACTGCCTCCTCCATCATCATATAGTTATCTTGAGCCTGATATTTTAAATCTTTTCGAATTTTTCCTGTTGTAAAGTTCCAAACTTCTATGAAACCATCGATCGATCCAGTTACCAAATATTGTCCATCAGGTGAAAATTTAGCACATTCGACATGAGATTTTTGGCCAAACTGTAAAAAAATAATGAATGAATCTGTAACAGATTTTACTAAATCAAGCAAACTTTTATTTGTTTAGCGAATTGAGTAGGGTATCTTTCGTCCTCCTGTTGTTTAACTGAAGCTTTTCCTCTGAAAACATCGATAGTTGTTCCTGGAGGCAAAAGTCCTTGATGTTGTTGCCATTTTAAAGCTTGAGCTAACAGAGCCAAAAGTCTTGACGAAGGTACAACATGTACTTCACCAGAAAGGCTCTGTGCTATAGCTCCACGCCTCTTATCTTTACTTTGACCTTCAGTATAAGCCTGTATGTAGGAATAGTCGTAAAAAAGTTTTGTACGCAAAGAGTTAATGTATGAAAACTGAACCTCTTTTGGATCAAAATAATTTCTTTGTAGCATATTTTCTAAATGTACATATCTTTCAGGATGCTTAGATTTAAGCATTATCATAGGATCTGTTTGCCTCAGAACAGATCTAGCAGCTGCTAATTCTCTCAATTCAATTAATTCCAAAACAATTTGTTCATATAAATCTATCAACTTCTGATCTGGAAGTTTAAGTGATTGAATTGCTTGTAAAACTGTGTCCCAATGACCATTGTTAATTTCTGCAACAAAATTTTCAACAGAGTCAACTGTATTTAGAGAGATGTTCGTTTCTTCCTGTTGGTTTAGAAAAGAGTAAACAAGTTACATTAACATCAGAATTTTGAAAGACTAATAGGATATAGACAGCTTAAAAAACAAATAAAAATACTTAGTTATACCTGCAAAGTATGTAAAGTTCGAAGTAAGTTATTTTCTTTCAAATATTGCTGAATTAACCGGATAACGCTGAAAATGAGCGATAATGAAGATAGTTTAAGAAATATAAGTAAGATATCGTATATACGAAATTAAATGCAGTGCAATCGAAAAAAAATGTTTTGAATATTTTAATCTGAATTGTTAATAATAAAAGAATTTGGGCTTAAAAAGTTGTTTAGCAAAAACTTACTCAGCCGATTCTATTTCCAAAGCCGCCATATTTCCAAGCAACTTGTAATATGGTGTTGAATGGAATATATGAACACGAGTTTACCCGTCTAAATCGTGAAACGTACTACACTCAAGATTAAACCTTTAAAATGAGTATATTATTTAATATTTGAGTACTTTATTTTGGCAATGTATTGAAAGACAATTAGGAAATTTCGTCAATACTGTAATAACTGACAATAACAACAAGTTAATCAAAATTTAAATTGGCTTATGCGGCTCTTGTGTAAACTTGGAAAGAATGTTTTACATTTTCGCAATAACAGTAATAATCTTGGTAATTCTGCTAGTTTTTCGATTAGCCTATATCTTATATAGTCTAAGAAAAGCTCGACAGAGTCCGGATGCTCCCCAAGTCAGAAATGTAGTCAAAACAATGATAATAATGGGCTCAGGTTTGTTACACCTTTCAACTTGAAAATAGTTAGATTGATTGTTGATTATTAAATTTTAAGGTGGCCATACAACAGAAATGCTAAGATTAATTTCGAAACTGTCTCAACAATATTCTCCCCGGATATATATCATTGCCCAAACTGATGAAATGAGCAAGCAAAAAGTGATGGAATATCATTCCACCGATATTCCCGTAAGTACCTAATGTTTGCATTTCTCAGACCTTTAAAATCGTTTATTACAATTATTTTAGTATGAAATCAAATTAATACCTAGAAGCAGAGAAGTAAAGCAAACATATTTTAGTAGCATTTTTACAACAATTTATTCATTTATCTACTGCTTTCCAATGATATTTAAATTTAAACCGGACTTGGTGCTTACAAATGGACCTGGAACGTGCATTCCAATCTGCATGATGGCGTTTTGTATGAGGTTTTTTGGTCTTAAAGAAAGTAAAATTTTGTTTGTGGAGAGTATTTGTCGGGTGAAAACGCTTTCATTAACCGGTAAAATTCTATACTACTTTGCCGATTACGTTGTTGTTCAATGGAAAAGTTTGTATGAGAAATATCCACATTCAACTTATCTTGGTGGAAGATTAATATAAATCTTTAGCATTTTAAATTATTGTTAAAAAACATGAGATAGCTATATTATGATGCTTTTATTTTTATTTAAAAAATTTTAACGAAAATCAAAATGGTTGTTATATTTAATTGACGCCCCAAAAAAGAGTGGGCCTATCACCGGCATATTTCCTAGCTCTTGTTGCAAAAGATGTGAAAGATGATACGCAATTACCAATAAAGTAATCCGATTTGATAAGGACAGCCAGATCATACAAAGGATTCCACGGATCCCAGTGATAGATTCTTACATTCTCGCTTTGAAGGTGCTCTTCCAATTCAGCTTTCATATTTCTCTTGTCAGTCGCTACGAAAACAACTTTATACTTAGTTTTCAGGACTATACTCTTAACTAATCTATAAAAATAACATAATTATTTTATGAAGCTAGATAATTAATTTTAAACCTTAAAATTTCCTTATCATCCGGAAAACACATATTATTAGTCACGATATTTTGGGAGTCTCCATCTAGACATTGCGGTGAAGCCATATAGGCAGGTGTTTTTAGCTTTTCTACATCTTTACATGCATTTGCCCAATCAACATTATTTCTTAAATGAATGCCAATGAAATTTTCCTTTGGAAAATTTTCGTTTATATACTTTTCAGATTCAGTTACAATCTTGTCACTAAACACTAGGTACTTTTGTAAAAATTGATGTTCCCTCCGTATTGGAAATGCTGCTGGTGATCCCCTATAAGCCAAAACCGGATACTTTGAAGGCTTATATCTTTTTAACCATTGTAATTTACTTTCTTCACCGTAGGATAACTGATAAACTATATCTTTAACAAAGTCAACTTTGAGACCATCCCAAAACGGGCCGAAAGGAGATCCAGATTTCATTCTACACCCTAGTTTTTCATCACTTTTAGGTAAATAGCAAAAGCCATATCGTTGTTTTTCAGGCCAATATTTAGGTGCTAAATGCTCCATAAATTCATCGGCTAAGATCACTTTATGGTATTTCGCAATTTCTTCTACTTTGAAATATTCGTCAAAATGAACATTTCGCTGTTTAAGAAAAAAACCTGTACAATTATCTCTGTTATAGATACACGTTATTTTTTGCTAACGTAAGTTCGGAACGGCGGAAGAATTAATGTTCGACCCAACATTTTTGCGAAAGCCAGACCTCCAAGTAAATGATCCACTTGATTACCAAATCTCCCTTAATTGTTAAGCCGATTATGTCTATGAATTAGAAGCACAGATAAATTGACGTACTAACCCATACATAAACAGAATATAATATAACCATTCTTATCCCATTCGTATTTCTCATCCTGTTCGCCACTGTTCACCTGATTCACAATCATGGAAATCATGGCAATACTCAGAACTAATTTACAGAAAGACATAACTTCAAATGTTGATTTAATCTTAAATTATCTAATAAAAATTTCAATAGAAAAAAGTTGTCAATATATATTTGATATAAAATTTATAGAATGAAACTGACAGCCGATAATAGCCGAAAAGTTTCAAATGTCCTCAATTTCGTCCGTTCGTTGCAAATTACGGTGTCCAGAAATATAATAAAAACCAGTTCGCGCTCAAAGAAAGTGCTTTTTCAATTATTCTAAATAAAATATGTCAAATTATAAAACAAACATATAGGAGGATAATCTAAGCCTTTCAAAAGATATTATTACGCTTATCATAACTAGTACGTCGATACCAATAATTCCGAATCAAACGGAATATCTTTACGTTGAAAAGTAAATTAATTGTATAACTGTCAATCGAGAAAAAAAACAGCCTAATTGACTGCGAATTCACTGGCAACTGCAAACTTATTTACTCTCTAGAGAATATTGTCGGGAGACTATTCGCTCAGTTTTAATCCAGGAATTACTTTGTTCTTTATTCTAAAATTGGATTAGTTGCTCTCTATTTTAGGAAAATTTTTGTAAATTTAGGTAATGTAAAAGAATTTCAAATTGGAATGAAGAATTGGAAAGAGTAAAAAAAGAATCATCATTATGTAAGGAAAAAGACTCTTATTTTATTCTATTATTTCGTGCTTTGGGAAGTAGCTTATCCCCTTTAAAAAAGTACTTTTATAGATTCATTAATTTAGTATTTTTTTTTATTTGGGAAAAACTTGTTTTTCCAGCAGTTCTTTTATTCTGTCTGCAAAGTAGAAAGTGTTTATACATATTATATGTGTAGATCTATTTTTTATTATCATTTTGTTCGGCTGGCTAGCGATTTGCAGTGCATTTTACAGTGCGTATATAAAGGTATATATAGGTATTTACTTCGTTATTTAATCTACCTGAGAGTATATTACACCATTCTCTGTATAAGATAACGTATTCATATATTCAAATTATAATTAATAATATTATATTTCCAGAGGATAGCATTCTTATGTAGAGTGGATATGAAGTCAATGGTAAATTATCTATAAAAACATGACTGTCATACATTTGCATGAACTTATTAGCATATCACTTGCACTCCATAAGTTTCAGCTATAAGAAGAGAGATCCCAATTACATAATCTTATAGGAAGGAGCATCTCCTAAAACTGTATACAAGCATTAGGCGACGTTGATTGGTAAAAGACTGGTTCGACGTCATCGTTTGCATAATATATAAAAAGCATCATTTGTAGTTTTGCAGGCGATATTCACTGAAAAAAGTTGTAAAGGTTAGTATCAATGCTGTATTTTTGCTAAAAAATTTCCTTTACTTTTAAGATAGTATTACAACTTTTAACCTTTAAAAATGAACACATTTATAGATTAATATGTTTTCATAATATAATCGTTTTTTATAATTATCAAATACGATACAGAGAGATGTAGACAATTTAGAAACAGTTTGTAAAGGAAAATAAAAATTTATGATTTATTAAATATTTAATATTTTGGTATGATACTCGTACAGAAGGTAAAAAGGTAAAATTACATTTTGTAAAATGCTCGTTGTTTTTAGCTAACGGGCAAAAAGTACCATTTGTCGGATATGATTGTAAATAAGCGAAAGCCATTAATTAAGAACTAAGAAATGAGAAAAAATTAAGACGCGTTTTTAATAAGGCTTGCACTATATTCATATTCAATTGATAAAGTATAAAAGATGCAATATTCTTTTGCCGACAACAACACGTAGTAAAATTACATGTAGACATTCTAAAACGATAGTAAATATCTAGGTTTAAACAGAGTCTTTATTAGGTTATTGCATTTGCTATATCTGCTTCTAAACGCTTTAAACAACGTAAGTAACAATGGTAATAGGTAAGAAATTGGAAAAAAAATAAGTCTTTAATATCTTTGCCATATAGCTCTTATATCTTGTTAAATAAGCAAAAGATCTTTGTCTTTTTTACTGCTTTTTAGATTTCTTTTTACTTTTGAGCAAATATTTCAAATGAAATAGACCAAAAATATGGTGCTTAGTCGCCCTATTCACCATGTCACGTACAGTCTGAGGAATGGGATAGGAAGGGGGTTTTGGTGGTAAAAAAAAGAAAAGGAGAGGGAAAAGACGTCTCTCTAGTTTCATTAAGCAGACTGACAAAAGTCAGAGTCTTCTGATTACTTCCGCGACTTGCTTTTAAAGAAAGATAAATATATAGGAAAAAAATTGTCGATTTTATTTATTTACTTATCTTATAGACAATTTTTTCTAAAGCGAAGAAATTAGAGAAAAATAAAATAATCATGACTATGAATGCGATCGACTCATCATCTTTTTCTCCTCTACTATCTGTTTCGTCTCCTTCTCCAATGGTATCCGATTTGACCAGAGCAAATACAATAAGGTCTACAACACTTGTGATTTGTGCTTTCGGAATAGGTGGTATAACATTAACTGTTATCGTTCTTAGCCGAAAACATATGAGTAATAGTACCAACGTATATTTGATGGCCTTAGCTGTTTCGGATTTGATATACTTATTAATTTTTGCTTCAAAACGGATTGGAGAGAGAATAATAGAAGATATTTTATCCATTGATCCACAAACACAGGCTCAGGACATTTTCGATATTTACGATATATATGCTAGTCACCTAATGCAGATTTGTCTCTTAGCCAGCATTTGGTTAACTGTTGTTCTGGCAATTGAGAGATGGATAGCAATATGTCAACCTTTTCTGGCATCAAAGTTTTGCACAGTTTTTCGTTCAAGAATTTTCACAATAATAGTTTTTCTTTTCGCCTTTCTAATGCGTTTGCCATCACTATTCGAATTTAAGATTGATACACATCATTCATCTAATAAGACATTCATTTTTAAATCAGCAACAAACTTCTCAAACAGTGTTTCTTATAATATAGTATATCCTTGGATTGTTGATGTTTTTATTTCATCTATTATACCTTTTGCACTTTTACTCGGTCTAAATCTAAAACTTATCATTGAGGTTCATAAATCAACAACCTATCTACAAAAGAGCCTAACAACACCTAACAATCGAGTTCGTCGAGAAGAACTTCAAATTACTGTAATGCTTATATCGGTTATAATTGTCTTCTTTATTTGTCAGGTTAATTGTCTCAATTATCAAATTTAAATTTATCTATTAAATTTAATTGATTCCAGGCACCCTACCTAACCTACGCTGCCCTCTTAACTATAATAAGCAGACAAAGAACACAGAGCTTTATGATTTTTCGAGAAGTTGCTAAATTAATGTTGACTTTAAAGTCTTCTGTTAATTTTGTACTTTACTGTTGGTTTAGTGAAAAATTTTGGTTGACAATCAAAAGATTATTTTGCTTTTGCGATTGGCAAAGTCGAAGAAAAATGAATACTTTAGATGGTACGACGCCTACTGTCTATTTTGGAATGAGAAAGTTAAGTAGTTCAAATGTAAGAGAGACAACATTCACAATTGATTAAAAAAGGAAAAAGACATTTTTGTTTTTCGTGTTCACTTTTTCTATATTAGTTTATAGTGTAGAGTACGTGAGGAACATATTAATTACTTTAACATGCAGTTATTTGTTTTATCTGTTAATTACTCTATTAAATACAGTATTCGGCTTGTCGAACAGCAAAAAAAAAAAACAGCAACAAAGTAAAAAAGGAAACAAAATCATCTGTTTATTGTAATTCTAGGTTTTTTAGAAGCACAACTTGACTCTCTCTCTCTCTTTTTTTTTCTGTTCAGTATCATTTACTTAGTAGAAAAATTGAAATGTTTTATTTTTTCTTTCTGTAGACTTTCCTCAATAGGTTTTCCACTTGGTGGATAGATAATACACTGCAAGATTATCTTCATCATTCCATAAAAATTATGAAATATTCCAGTCATAGCATTTTAGAAAATGATGAATGATCGTTTTACTAGCGACATCTGTTACATACACTTAAATGATGTACAGATTCAAAGATGGACATTTAAGGAAATTAATGATGAAATCCCTCCAAATAGCATTCAACATCACTAAAGTTAATATAACGTATCAAAGTAGGAGGAAGAGGCAATCGAATGTAGGTGGTGTAAACGTTTTTACCCAAAGACTTTCGTATAGTGAAACGACAGAGTTGCATAAGGGTGTTACGCTCAGTGACGTCTTGTAAAAACTCATTCATCAATCTACTCATGTGCGTAAACTTGGGTAACTTTATAACATCCATACTTCTTATTAACTCTAACAAAATTTCCAATTTATCCTCTTTAACACAAAATTTCAAGGTTCTTTCCAAAATCACCGGCCTCCTCGTTAACACTAGGTTCAAACAATTCAAGCAATTCGATTTGGTGGCATAGTGCAGAGCATTGTGATTGCTATCGTCAAGATCATCAACAAATGATTGTGGTAGAAGAGTTAGAAGGTATTCTACTGTATTTATATGTCCTCCCCTGCATCCCAGCATGAGGTAATTGGCTTTTGCTGGTATATAAATTTGAGCGTCGCAATATCCAGTGTCAATTATTTGATCTATACGACAATCACCAGTAGCCAGTAATAAATTAATAATTTTATGGTCGCTTCCACCTTCACATGCCCAACCGAGAGCGTTTAGGCCGCAAGCCTTGATTTGTACATCAGCCTTATAGCTTAATAATAATTTAACGATGTCATAGTGTTTGTTATAGCAAGCAAATAACATTGGTGTCATTCCTCTCGAATTCTTTGAATTAATGAGATTCCTACACCGTTCGTCGTATAGTAAGCTTCTCATTGCTTTGAAGGCGCCTTCTGTCGCCGTTGCATGTAAAATATTCTCAGAATGATTATCTTGTATTGTAGGATCGGCTCCCGACCTCAACAATAGATCAACAATCTCATCGTAATCCGCCCTTGCTGCCATAAAAATCGGCGTCCTGCCAATCATCGTTCGAGCATTTATATCTGCGCCAGCTTTCAAGATCATCCTTGCACATTCAATATTATCTCTTGTGCATGCCCAATGTAAAGCGGTAGCCCTAACTCGGAAATTGGCCTTATTAACATTAGCTCCGTGCTTTAATAGTTCTTCCACGACATTATCGTGACCATTTCTTGCAGCTAAGATAAGTGCAGTATTACCATTGGAATCGTGAAGATTAGGAGCGCATCCATTCGATAGTAACGCCCTTGCAGGACCACTATAACCCTTCCAAGCTGCGACATGAAGAGCTTTAGCCATTTCATCGCAAGCTTGATTTTTACTGGATTGCAGTAGTTTGTTTACTCCGTCTGCATCATCTCTTCTAACTAAGCCAACTAAACGACTATTTTTGTCCAAATTCTAATTAGTATATATGTTAATTACGTTAAGAACTTTTTCCTACCTCATTTCCATTGTTTTACTTAATTGACAAGATGAGCTAAACTGATACAAAGCCATTTTTAAAGCAAAATGTAATAATTTTTCACCTTTTGCAGATCTACTGCACTACGTATATACTATCTTATCTAGGTTAAGGTGAAGGTTTAAAAACACGAAACTACAGTACCAAAGCTGATGATATATATTTTTGATTAATTTTTTTTTAATAAAAAAAAAATGTAACAAATTTTTATATCAAAAGATTTATTCTATTATATGGAATAAGTTAAATTTAGGTTATATTTTATTAACAAATGAGTAAAAGTTCTCCTTTTCTCCTTCATTAATTCTTATAAAGATTCTTCTGTATCTACTTCTTGATATTCTACTCTTTCTCTAGAGTATTCAATTTTAGATGGATTCTTTGTCCTTCGGAACCAGACAAGTATACCAACGGAACATATGACCACCAAAACGAAAGTGGAAATAGTTGCAACCATTTTAAGATCTACTGTTTGTAGTATATAAAGAATTTGTTTGTCTTCCATAGCCTGTAAATTCATAGAGAGGAAAAGAGAATGAGAAAGAATAAAGTATATATTAATCTATTAATCTAATTTCAACTTCTTAAGTACAGTATGGAACCTAATTGCAACAATTAAATTATGTCAACATTACTTACAGATGGTTTAGTCATTCCTAATGCTTTGCAATTTGTAGAGGTAAAATTACAATACGTTTTATAGTAACTTTTCTCCTGTTGAAAAAATCCTTTCCATTGCCTAAAACTGCAAAAAAAAGGAGAAAAGGAAAAGGAAATTTACCAACAGCATTCCGATTAAATAACGTTAGGGGATTCTTTTAATTAACCTTTTTAATAAATCCATACGATGATTACATAGTTTGCAAAGGCAATGTATTTGTGACGTCATCTGGGTAATATATTTATTATATTTTAACAAGTATTAACGAACAATGAGAACATTATAAAGATATAATACCATAAAGCAATCCTTTTGGCAAGGCTTTTGTAATTTTGATGGAAGGCAGGTCCTCTAAAACAAATATGAGAAAAGTTGTTGATTGAAAGTGATTAATAGGATGCTTCATAAATGATTAGGATGAGGGGGAAGGGTAAAATGTCAAAAAATGACTTACATTAGCACGCGTTCCATCCACCATTGTCACATGCATAATTCTTCTTACTGCTGTTTGGCATTGATTGTTGAAAACTCTTAGCGAACATAGAAATGATAAAGATTCGATTGTAAGATGAGATTCCTTTATAAATATTACAAACAATATACTAGTATATATATATATATATACAGTATATACATTATACAGTATATAAAAATTTATATTAAATTTAGTAAAGATAAGATAAATAAGGAAATTTTTTGTTACAAACTTTGCTGATACATTGTTCTTGAGAAGATGTAAGATTATTTAAACAATCCTGTTTGTCACATAAATTTATCCATTTGTCTGAAAAACTATTTGCCGTTTCTAAACACCATTCACCCTCAGGACATTTAGCCTTTATTAATGACAGCATAGAACGGTTGTAGATGATATTATTGACATCTAAAAGGGTTAGATTGACACTAAAGTCGTTTAATAAAGCTTTATCCATTGGGCAAACTTGATTTATTTTAATAGATCTGTTGCAATACTTGAAAGGTGGGCTTTTACGAACACCAACCAATCTAAATGGCTTAAAGAAAGCCTCCTCAACAAATATAGCTCCTCTCCGTAAACTTCCAACGGTGTAGATAAACAATAGGAAACCGAATAGTAGAAAAGTTATTACTAAAATCGTTCCTTTAACCTTCAAATTGGACGTTTTCTTCGACATTCCAAAGCAAAATAGTTTAACCAAGAGTTTATTTAAAAAAAATTAAAAGAAATATGCACAAAACATATGGTATTTAATCGATTTGGGTAAATCGATTTCGTATATAAAAACTATATCGTTTTAAATATTTCTTAAATAGAAAAAATGTTATCTAATCATTCAAAAGTTTCTTCGACTTTTCATTTTGTCTATACCGATATCTATTTTAACTCTACTGGAGTTGATTTTCTTCCTTGTTGCCTTTATAATTGAATGAAGAGGATCTTCTGATGCTTTCTTTATTTCTATATCCAATTTTTCTTCTTCGCTTAATCGTCTTCGTTGCATTGATGCCAGAGTCGACTCTCCGAAACCTTGATTTCCCTTTACTATTATAACATTGTCTGTTACATTGTCGTCGGGAAGAAATAATATTGATATATATATTATAGGAATTAGCTTTACTATTGCGACGTCTAATAACGCTAACAGAACGTAAATAGCTACTACGGCTAATGGTTCGTTTAGATTCTTAATTTTCTCTTCACAACTAGTTTTATATATAGTTAAATCATAGTTGTGATTATAATGCGCATGCGCATAATCATTTAAAATATCATATCGAACGCAAGGTCTCAACACTTCAGGGTCACAGCATGAAAATGGTACAGCTGCAAAGCTATTAATTGTCGGCAATTGGGAATGCATCCACGATTCTCTGAACCAATCAGTATAACTTTCGTAACCGCAACACCTAAATTGGTTGTAATAGATTTCAAAAATTAGTAGTTTTAATGGTAGAATCACCTTAATTACTCGCTTAAATCTTATTTGTAAACGATCAATTTCTTGCTTAAATTGTAATTCATCCTTATATTTACTCATTCCCGCCTTAAATCCTTCACCTAAGAGGGTTTTTATCCTTGAATACCAATAAATGGTAGAACCTATTAAGAAATTATATATTAGGTTAGCCGTTAAATAGAATAATTCAATTTATTAACCAATTCCTAGAATACAACCAAAAAAGAGCACTATAAATATAAGTTTTAATATCCTTATGAACCGAAAGCAGGCTTTTCTCGTCTCCAATGTTAAAACTAATTGGAAGAGAAAGAAACTTGGTAAATGAACTATAAGATGTAAAGTAATGACAGTAATATCGGCTTCAAAGGCAAGCATAGCTCTATCTTGACCTAAACTACTGAAACTATCCGTCCTTTTTAATTCTTTTATCAGAAGATATCCATTTAGAAGACTGAATAAAATAGATGCCATATGAGCAAATATCACAAAAGTTATCCTATTGACTCTCATATTCTCAGTGATTCTATAGGAATCTATTGAGCTTTCGTCATTCTTATGTAAAGCTTTGACATCCTGAAGTAGGCTGTCTTTAGAGAATAATGCCATTTTTTTTTTGCTATTCTATTTTTAAAAAAAGAAAAACCATGTAACAATTTTTAAAAGCATTTCTCTTCCTATCTTTCTTAAATATATGGCGCCATCTATTACTTTTTTCAAAATAACAACTTTAAGCCTATCTAAGGAATGTTATTCTTCTACTTACGACTATAAAGTAATAAAATTTAGTATAGATTTGCGAAAATTAAACAAAAAAGGGATTTGTATAAGTTTTTCCTTGTCAGTAGTGTATCTTTATGTTATATTAACGAAAATAGAAACTTTCACTTTGATTTGGATTCATTTTCTATATAAAAAAAGAAGAAAAAAACAAACAAACCAATAGGGAATTTTTAATATAGACCACCCATAGGTTGTTTTCTTTTTACTAGACATATTTGATTGTTTTTGTTTTGCTGACCGTCATTGTAAATCATTTCTCACAGCACAAAAAATAAAATTGTACACAAAACACACACACACACACACATATACATCACTCTGCGTTTTTCTAATTTGTTTGTTTTGTTATTATTTCTTTTCAATGGACTAGAAAGAAGTACGCAGGAAGAACAAAAAAAAAGCGGCGGCAGATAATTAAAAGAATGAAATTATAAAAATAGTTATTAAATTGACAAAAGTTTTAAAATAAAAAGAAAAGACTTCTAGGAGGAGAAGAGTTAAATTTTCTAGTTTAAAAATGAGGATTATGTTTGGTTTTTCTTATTCGTATTATTCTTTTCATCTAGGTTTTTTTAGTGATGCTGGTAGGGAAAATGTTGATGACTTCACCGGTAATTGGGTTGCTTTGGATACTACTGTGCAGATAGGATCTATAAGGCTAGACTTTTCGACGGCCGAAACTTCGAATAATCGAACTTTCTCTTCGCTAGCCCATTTTTGAGCCTCGTGAAATTGTACTTTTCTGGCGTTTTGTATATCGCATTTTGTACCTAGCGTCACCAATGGGGCGTCTCGTTTCTCTTTTTTACTATCTATATCGTTTCGTAGCTTTTTCATTAATTCGTAGGAACTTGGCGTAGTGACGTCATAAACAAGTAGGTAAGCATCGGCGATCGAATACAGAAATTTAGGTAGCGATATATTTTCGTTAGTTACTCCTTGAGTGTCAAAAAATCGAACACGAACTTTTCTCTCATTTTCAATTTCCACTTCAGCCCAAAAGCTATCTTCTATTGTTGGCAGAAACATCTTACCGTCTTTTCCTACAGCGTTAATATTGTAAATAGCCTGTAAGAGCAGACAGGTTTTACCAGAGTTTTTTTCTCCACAAATTACCACTTTTATGCTTTTATTCACCATTGTTTTCTCTTATGTGATTGATAAATCATCTGATTTTGAATGTCATAAACAGCTGATTGGCTGTTGACGGCACTTCTCACCTACAAGTACGCCCATTTATTTACATTCCATCCACGGAAACATCCAAAGATGTGACGTAGAGCAATACCATAGAGGAGCAGCGAATATTTACTGCGGAACCGATACTCTAATTCCCATAGAAACGAATCCTTAAACAGGGAAATTAAAGATTTAATCTCCCCAGTGTGAGCTGATATTTACACTTTATAGATATATTTCATGTGACAATTTAATAATTAGTATATCAGTTCTTTTTGATAGTTATCAATTTTGCATAGATTAAATATAACTTTTTGGACTAAAGATAATCGCTGTAGTTAATATTCAACGTAAAAAAGTATACTATAAAGCCAAATAAGAGCTCACTCTTATGGATTCATTATCAGATAAATCAGCGGTTGTTAAGATCTCTGTCGATAAATCCACAGGAAATTACGATTTACTATCCCACTACAAAGAATCGTACAAAACAATATATAAAAGTTTCAGGCCCGCTATGTAGATGGCGACACTTTATTATTGAAAGAAACTGTTAAGCCTTTATATATTTTACTTCATCGTTGCCTAGTAACAAACTGTTCGTTTTTCGTCTGTCTGTTTATTTCGCCGGAAAATTTAGGAAAACATAATTAAAACTGTATAGCAACATAGAAAAACGAAATAAACAAAATATGGATGAATTTTCGGATGTAAGACATTTTGAATTAGTTACTTTCGATAAATTATAACTTTGACCTGTTGTGATTAATTTAGGAAGAGGAGTATGAAGTTAGTGATGATAAAGAAAATTATATAATAGAAGACAAATCAGCGGATAGCGATGAAGAAAAATCGCAAAAAGCAGACAGCTTTGATGATATATCGAGTGTAATGTAGGTTATTTGCAATCAATTTAGACAAAAAAGCTATTATCCTCAATTTATCAATCATTTCGATTCTAAGATTTTATAAAGTTTTATTAGTTTTTTTAGTTAAAAGTTAGACTAATGCAAAATTTTTAGGACAAATAAAGAGGAAGAAGATGATTCAAACAAGATAAATCACCAGGAACAGGTGAAAATGATCCATGCAAGAAGATTTCTTGAATATCTTTCAAATAAAGTGGATGAAAAAGAATTTGAAGTTTCAAAAATTTCGTAAGTTTCGCAATCGTTGAAAAATCAACTAGAATATCGAAGATTTTCAACTTTTAATGTGGCTAACTTTTTTTAGACACGAATTAAAGAAGTGCAGGGAAAAACTTGGGGAATTAGAAACTGAACGAAACGATATATTGAATGAAATCCAAAGCGAAGAAGATGCAGGCAATACATCGAGTATTAATCGTTTAAGAGCTAAATTTCAAAGATGTCAAGAAGAGCTTCACAATGAACTAGTTGTCGAAGAAACCATAATGAACTCTCTTCACGATGCTGAGTAAGTTTTCATTCATAGAGATAATCTTCTATCGTTTATATTCTCTTTTACGACTAATCATTATATAGAATGGATTTAGCAAAAGCAGTCGTTGAAAAAGGAAATCATCAGATTGTTGATTTGAATTTACAAGAGAGAGAAGAACTATTAGATAAGCAAAAGGAAGATGCCGCAAAAGTGAGATTACGTAAGGAGAGGTCGTATGCAAAATCAGCAATAAATGCAGCAAAAAAAGAAGAAAGGTTTCAAGTTTTATTTTCTTTTTTTAATTAGAAAATTTAATTAAAACTCTATTAAATTCTTTTTAAAAGAGAAAGAATGGATATGAGAATACAAGCTGAACGAGAACAGAAATTAAGAGAAAAATTAAGTTTGGACAGTCATAATAAACATAAGCCATTTTTGCAGAAAAGCATATCAGAGTCAGTTGTTTTCTGTCTTAATATTAGTAAAATGATAACAGAATATTCTAATTTTACTTGAAATATAGAATTAAATTGAGAAAAGATTTTGAAGAAAAGGAACGAATGCTCCATCACGAAACAAGGATAAAAAATATTACGAAATTGAAGAAGGATATTACTCAAAATAAGGATAATTTAAGAGCTTTGAGAAATCGTGACAAAGCTTTTGAACAAGAAAGGGAAGAGAGGGAAAGAAAGGAGTTGGAAGAAGTTGTGTACGCTGGTGGCAATGCGCTAGAATTTAAATTAAAGGACCAAAGAAAAAAGGATATGATACAAGATAGAAAGTAAGAATTCACCCTTTTCAATTTGATTGAGTATTATCTATAATACTTTACATGTTTTATAGAAAATTTGAAGAGCAACAGAATAAGAATCATATGGAAATCATGAAGAAAATATTGAAAGAAGAACATACTATCGAAGTAAGAAAGAAGCAACTTCCTTACCTCTTTGAAACGAGAAAATCAAATGAGAAAAAGTTTGTCAAACCAATTCCGAGGAGAAAGCTTCAAGCTTTCGAGAATTATATTAAACTTACAGAACCAACGCCTGAACCTGCAAAACTTGTCCAAAGAGAAGAAGCAGAATCTTCCGATAGTGATTTCGAAATTGAAACTGGATACAACGTAGATTATCTTTTAAAACCCGCTTCGGATGATGATAAAGAAATTTTAGCCAAACCAGAATTCGAAGGATTATGGGATGTTCACAAACGTTATTCCGTGCCAACAGGAGAGAATGAAGAATACAAATTCAATTTGAAAAATGCAACTAAAATGGAAAAGAAAATTCTACAGAAAGTACTCGAGAAGCACAGAGAGGGAAGAGTTATTCAACAAGTTGCTGCTGGAAAAGAATTTAAAGCTGTAGGATTCTATAGTAAACCATCTGTTATACACTTTAAGGATTTTGATGTTGGGAAGACCTACAATAAAAAAGTTATTCTAACAAATGTCTCGTACTCATTGAATTACTGTAAATTGATAGACTTTACAGAAAGATTAAAAGATTTCATTAAATTATCGTAAGTTTCAACCGATTTCTATTGAATTTTTTTAAAAGAACATCAAACTTAAATGTTAATTTCTTCATGTAGATTTGATCCACCAGGACAAATGAGCGCCGGTATGACTTGCGAATTAAACGTTACTTTTAGCCCAAAAATTAATGAAGATTTGTTTGGAGAAGTAAAATTTTTAGCTCAAACAGGACCATTTTCAATTCCATTGAAATGTACAACTAAAAAAGTTGATGTATGTAGAAGAAGATAATTTAAGATTAAAGATTAAATAATATTCCTTTCCCTTTATTGTAGTTATCGGTTGATACTAATCAAATAGATTTTGGTACATCAGTCATCGGTGAAAAGCTAACGAGACACATTACCTTAACAAATAAAGGAGCAAAAGCGACTTTTTACCATTTTAATAAGATAAACCGTAATTATTCTTATCTTTTATCAATTAATTAAATATTAATTGCTGTATTTATTATCATAATCTAACTAGTACTGAAAAAAGATAGACCATCAACAGTTGAGACTTCACTAGGTGGCGTTGTATGTATATCTTTTTTTACATTGCAACTATTTTTAAATTATTTGCTTCAATTATAATTTTGAAGTCAGGGGAATTAGAGCATGATAATGAGGGGGAAAATGAAGAAATCACCATCAAAGTCGAGTCTAGTAGGCCTTCTTCTAAAATTGAATCCCCTGAAGAAAAGGCCGCAGATGAAGGTAGCAATAAAGAAGAAGAAATGGAGGAGGAAGAGTCGATAGTAAATGAAGTTCAAGATCAAGTTTCTTCTCCCCTAGCTTCAAATAGGGAAGAGGAGGAACTTGACGATATAGACGGTATGAAAGTTAATCCTGACAATATAACTGGAGAAATAGGACCGTTTGGTTCGGTTAAATTGACGATTATCTGGCAACCGTTGTATCCGGGAAGTTTTAGTTCCGATTTTGTTTTGAATTTTGACGAAGAAGAGGCAGAGAACATCACCGTACAAACAACAGGCAATGCAATTGACGTACCCGTTTATCTTAAAAGAGAGACTGTCGATATGAAAATTTGTATGTTTGATAGACTTTATCAAGAAACTATACACGTTTATAACAGGTAAGATATAAAATTAAATGTAAGCCTATTATATAAGAAATTATTTACAAACAGAGCATCGTATGCCCTAAAATTAAACTTTGAAGTATGCAAACCTATGAGGAGTTTTATGGAACTTTTACCAAAAACTGGTTTCATTCAAGCTCATTCAACATTTCCGGTGCAATTAAAGTTCTTACCAACGTATGTTTTCTATCTACTGTACTGTTTATTCATATATATAAACATTTTATTGTTTTATTTAACTTAGAGAACAAATGCTAAACTGTCCTGCGGATCTATTGAACAAAGATTCAAACGTTTTTGAATCTCTTATGACTATACGCGTTGCAGAGCAAACTAGGCCTGTAAATTTTACAGTTACAGGAGTAATAACATCATCAGATATAGTTATTCAAGAGCCATCTATTAATTTTGGTTTTTGTACAATTTATGAATCAGTTAAAGCTGTTATTCATTTAACAAATAAGAGTATTCTTCCTCAACAATTCGGATTCTGTGGAATTCCAGAAGTATGTTTTTTATTGTTTGATCTCTTATTCTTACTAGAAATTACCTAAATCGATATAATTCATTATTCTAGTTCGTTGATATACAACCTAATGATGGTTTTGGTACTATTCTACCGGAGGAAACTCTCGAATTAGATGTGATTTTTAAAGCTCAAAAAGCGTTTGATTATAAGTTTGTACTCAACTGCAAAACTCACATAGGGAGGTAAATAGTTAAAACTTTAAACCTAGTGATTATTTAATTAAAGTATCTTTTTCTCTTTGAAGAGTTTTTTCAATAAAATGTCAAGCTATTGGTGTGCATCCACCTTTGTGCCTCAGTCAACAATTGATTCATATGGCTGCTACGCCTTTATATGACGTTTCTGCTACCCATTTCCATGTTATTAACGAGCACAAGAGCTCTAATGAATTTACACATCCAGTTCCAAGAATTGGAGCTAAAGGCAAAATTGCACCAGTGGGACCAACTTCCTTCGAATTCCTTTTACCAAAAAATTCTCCTATTTCATTAGCGCCTTCTGTTGGTACAGTATTGCCCGGAAAGGTTAATAATTCTCTGCATATTCTGATAAAAATATTAAATATTTCTATTTTTATTTAGAAATGTAGAATTCACGTCAGGTTTGTTCCTCGTCTTACTGATGAGGAAATACGAAAAGAAGCTGTTCGTATGGTGACGAAACGACTGGAAGCAAAGGCCAAAGAAGAGTATGAAAGGAAGCTTATCGAAAGAGAGAAAGAAGAACAGCTGGAGAAGAAGATGGCGAATGTTAAAGGTGCTAAAAATACTAAAGCCTCCCCTAAAGGAAAACAAAATAAGAAGCAAGACGATAACACAAAAGATATAAGTTTACAAGGTCCAGCACCAGTTAATCCTCCTACAGAGGACGAAATCGATCAAAAGTAAACTCTATTAGGCGAAACTATCAATTATTTTCATATCATTTCTTTAATGTTTTTACAGTTCGGACGACTATGCCGCAGCCATTACTTCATTATTACGTCAATTTATGGGCTCATTTGAAACATTCACTATCCCATGCCACATAGCATCAGGATCATGTGTGAAAAAACCATCAAATTTGAGTTTCGATGCAAGAAATACTCTTTATGTAAAAATCCATTGTCCATCCATAAGACCTGAGCTGGTTGTCATATCCGATAGAGGGCGATTTGTATCTGATTTCGGACAGGTTTCGGTCGGTTTAAGCCATAGTCGAGCCATAACAATACAAAATATCTCAAACGAGAGAATAGATCTGTCTGGTTCTATATTGGATACATCAGGTCAATTGAGAGTAGTTTAATTAACCCTTCCATGTCATTAAAATTACCAAATTCTTCAGGTCCTTTCGGCATAATTAATGCTCTTCGACCACTTGATCCCGGGTCGTCTCATACTCTACAAATTTCATTTTCACCGAGTAAGGAACTGATCTTCCAAGAGGAGCTAAACCTAAGCACAGCAAAGTCATCATTGAGACTAAAACTAAAAGGTCAAGGCGTTTCGCCGGTTATACGTTTAAGTATACAAGGCAATCTTTTGAATATGGGTGCAGTTCTGGTCGATGAGTACAGGGAAGAGACATTTACAATGGAGAACGCTTCATCGTTAGACGTTCGATTTAATATTAAGTTGGATAGTGTTTCGCCCTTAAGATTTTCAAAAGCCCAGAATTTACCAAAGTTTGTCAAACACGAAACCTTGAACTTAATAGGTGTTCAGAACATGAAAGGACGCCGAGTTTTCGATTGTGTGCCTGCCGATGGTGTTATAGCGCCAAGAGAAAAGACAGAAATAACTGTTACATTTGCGCCAGATCATCAAAGCGACAATTTTTCCGATGGGGTACGAATTGAACTGTTCGATGCCGATGAATGCCACGCCTTTGAAATTCGAGGTCAAGCTAAAGCAAAAATTATGTACATGCAAGGGGGTGACGCGGTAGGTCCAGAGATTGAGAGTCTTGCCGCACTTCCAGTATTAGAGTGTGAAGTCGAAGACAAAGGTACGTAGAAGACCTTGGTAACAAAACAGATAAAACCTAAATTATTTCTAAAAAAACAAGAGCACCAGTTTGAGAAAAATATCCTCTATTTTCAATACCATATCCCATTTAAAACAATAGAATTCCTTTGATAAATTTCCAAGAAGAAAAATCTGCAAAAAATTCCATGCATTGCTTGCAGATGTGAGAAGAATAATTTCCAATTTACTAGATTTAATATTTTCTCATATATTATCTCGACAAATAGATTTTTATCTTGTAGATTATTGAAAATGGAGGATTAGTTTGCATTATTATTTTTTGTTTTTTGCACAAAATTTTTTTAACCCGTTTGCAGTGCACGCCCTTTCCCCAAAACACCAGAAAAGTGGGAAAAAGGCTAAAGGTATAAGCAATCAATTATATACAGTATAATATATGTATAAATGTATTTATACTGTATAGCCATCCTCTATTATTTGTAATGCAAAAGTTAATTGTATATTTAATTATATAAATTTAGAAAAAGCTGAAAAGGAGGTTAAAGAAAAGAAGAAGAAAGATAGTGGAGATACGAAATCTGAGATTATACCTATTTTAGTTACATTGGAAAGTATTATTCAAAATGATGAATTCTTGTTAGCAAAGAGAGAAATTGAAGTTGGATGTGTTAGGACAATGGCTGTTAGTCAAAAGAAGGTTTGTACAATTGTTCTTTTTATCCCTATGATAATTAATTTGATAAAAGAATACAATGATAGCTGTTTATTTTTCCTTTAAACGTTCAATAATTACAAAATAAGTTATACAAATATTAAATTAAAGCGTCATTGTTTTGTGAATCCATCTTCAATAGGATCAAGTAAGTTGTATATAGAAAATGTATAAGTATGTCTTTCTTTATTTTAAATGCAATATAGTTAACACTGTACCAATTGTCTGTATAGTGAATAATGAGGAGAAGCCATTATGAACTAACCGTTGCATCATTATGAAGCTAATATCGATTTTATAAAATCACTTATATGGCTTAACAGCCAAAGGTGACTGTTTATAATACTGAAAAACACTTCTTACAAAGCCATGTTAAGTTAGCGGCTTATAAAGATCAGACAAATCTTTTTTATAGATTTAGTAACTTTTAGGGCTCTTTAGAAGTGATAATGTTTACAAAATTTGCTCAAATTCAAATAAATTAGGTCAGAAAACATTAAATATTATACAACATGGTTGATGGACTTTGTATTATTAATAATAATAATAATAATATACATATCAACACTAAATAATAGAAACAAGAGATATTGCGTAATTTCTACTGTTGATATATAGTTGTTAAGCAACGGGTAATTCGTATCAGTTGATCCTAAAAACTATACACAGGATATGTTTATAAACATTCAATTAAATGTTATAGTCATAATGTAATAGATATGCACAAATAGCACTTAAGAAAGTCTTAAATGTTAGATTTCACTAAGTCAAATAGTATTAATATAATTTCAGGGAAAATCAAAGGACAAATCGGTAAAAATATAGTATCAATTAGTTTGTTTACATGCTAAATATATATTGTATATACATTTATATATATACATATATGAAATACATGTAAATATATATATATTACACCTGTTTACTGTATATATATAATGACATATTTTATAAATACTATACAATTATCCATTCACACTATACCCTCTAGATATTATTATTAATATTTGTTATTATTATATTTTAGTCAGTAATCAAGTTTTCAATGAATTTCAGAATGGTGAATTTATCTTTGAAAATGCTTCTCAAATAGAACAAATAGGCTTTAAAATAGATCCGATGAAAGGCATGATTGAAGCTGGTACAATAAAGCCTATTACAATTACTTGGAAGCCGTCTGCAAATCATGATGTAAGTTTATTACTTTTATTTAAGTTACTTGTTAGTTTCTATACTGTTTTTATTAATTTCTATTTTTACAGCCCAACGTTCCTGTGGAGGCGTCCATAAACTGTACGGTGAAAGGCGATACGACTGATATTTATAGAATCATACTAAGAGCTCTGTGTGTGACTGAATCAAGCAACTAAAGCAAAAACGAAAAAACTCTTTTTTTTTTAGGTTCTTATTTATACTAATATAATAAATGACTTGCGTAAGCGATAGCTATGGTTTCATTATATATACAGTATATATATCTATATATATACTGTATAATATATTTATATATATAATGCATAAAGGTAAGATCATTTAAGGAATATGTAAACACCTCTAAATATCATGACAATTTGAAACAAGATAGTAGAGTCTATTAAGGGAAGAATGAAAGAAAATAAAACAAACTATCGTAATAAGAAAGTAGCTGTTTTTTTCCCTTCTAAGTATAGTCAACCATGTTATTGTTTTTCAATTAGCTAAACTACTATTATTACATTTATATACCACTTTTTATTGAAGTCTTAGTACTTGTCATGGTATGGAAATATTATGCAGTGTCTAGGGTAACTACTTAAAAACATCAATATTCATTAGCTATCGGTAATCTTATATTTCATATTACTTATCGTCGAAAAGTAAAAAGAAAATTGTTTTGGGTCTCTCCCTTCCGTTTCGTTCTAAGAAATTCTAAAGGCACAATTCCCAATAGATCTTGGTGGTTTTTTTATTATATGATCTTCCGATCAAGAGTCCCATCTATTGAAAGGAACAGAGTCAAAAGAAGCGAGTTTCATAAAGAAAGAGTATTTAAAGTTCTTTAAAATTAAACATTTTCTTCGTTTTATGACTAAAGGATTAAAAGGATTAAAGCATTTACGTAGTAAGGAGATTTGTCATTAATATAATCATTACGCAAGTCTAGATTCAGCACTATTTTACATTGACGTCAATGCTTGATAAAAAAGAATTAGCAAATGAATCAGAGGTATTAAAGGAAACAAAGGAAAATATAAATAAGGCAAGTAGATTAAACTCAGTGAGATAATTCCTCGTGTGATACGTCTACTTTCTCATCTTTATGATTTGATGAAGATGACTCTAATTTACGTTTCATCTTTTCGTACTTTTCCTTCGCTTTTTCATATTCTTCTAAAGAGCACACGTAATTTCCGATTACCCAACCATGTTGTAGAGCTTGCTTAGCTGTTAGTCTTTTAGTTTGATCGAAATCTAGCATCTTGTTAAGTAAATCGGCAAATGGTAGGGCATCCTCTGGACATAGGCAATATTTCTCGATAAGAACGTCCAATAGAGGCCAAGGCTTCAATTTTTCGATATTTTTTAAACTCCCACTAGAGTTGAAGAAGGCTTTCTTACATTTTGAATTATCGATAAGCTTCTTGGGTAAAGGTCCTAGGAGTTCTATAATGTGAGCTATATGATCTTCATCTCTGCTGTATTCATGTCCGGAGTGAGGTTGAAATAGAAAATCACCAGTAAGTAGTTCAAACGCCAAACAAGCAACGCTCCATATATCAGCAGCTGTACCATAATCAATACCAAGAAGAACTTCTACAGCTCTATACTGTCTTGTTTGTATGTCCTCTGTAAAATGCTGAGTTATCCAACAAGCATTTCCAAAATCAGCTAATTTTACTTCAAATTCACATTCGACAAAGGCTGGATCGAGGTCACACTCATCGCTAACTATACTTATATTTTGAGCTTTTGTTTCTATAGTCTCTTCTTCCTTATCATCAAGGGATGTATTTTTCAAATTACACAAAAGACTTTCGGTATCGTCTTTTGTGTTCTCTGATCTAATAATATCGCTATTCTCATTAAGAGCTAGTTCATCATTAAAAATAGCTATGGAATTTGTTTCTCCCTTATGTTCAAATGTTGCTTTTTCAGCCTTTTTCTTTAATTTTTTCTTCAAATTCTTCTTTTGATTTCTAGTTAAGTTTTTGAAATGATTAGAATCCAAAATTTGATGTTTTTGATCACCTTCCTTTAAATAAGTTAAATTATTGGATAGGTTAGATATATAAGAAGGAGTTAATGTATTGGTTTTAGTAGAGTTTATTGCATCAGCAGCCATGGCACGAATTTTAGACTCTTTTACCCCTAAAAGTACGTTCTCAGGCTTAATATCCGTGTGAATAATACCACACTCATCGTGTATGTAAACGAGGCCCTCTAACACCTGCTTTATTATACAACGAACGTTGGCAAGTGGTAGGCCTTTGTATTTAGAACGCTGTATAAGCTTTAGAACATTATCGCCAAGCAATTCGAAAACTAGACAGGCGTGCACACCATGTATACCGGCAATTTTAAAATCATCTAGCAACATCACGTTACGCAATCTCCCGTTATGTTCTTTGTTCTTTTCCCTTATTTCCGTTAGGAGTTTTATCTCATCTAATGCTGATTCCATATAGTGTTTAGAACTTTTTACTATTTTCATTGCGACGAACTTTTTAGAATTCAGGTCCCAACATAACCAAACAGTTGAAAAATGACCCCACCCTATTTTCCTTAAAACACTATATCTTCCATTATAAAAATCCCCTATTTGAACTGGATGATAACCCCCGATTTTGTAGTCTTTCGCCGACTCTTGCTCAGATTCTTCCATATAACTAAATTCTGAACCACAAGACGTCGATTCATCCCTAGAATATTCGCACGAACAACCAGCTGATGAACTTTCACTTCTTTCTTCAGAATCTTCCGAAGACGATGACGAGACAGGTTCAAAATACTTCTGAGAAACAGTACTATTGATTGCTTTCGTTTTCTTCTTCATTTTCAGACGTTTACGAGCTTGCTTCGCAAGAATTTTACGCGCAAACATATTCTGCAATTTGGTGTTTAGGATAACGCTCTGTTTTAAATATTATGCTGGACGTTATTTAAAAATTTAAAATTATGTATGATTTTTAGGATAATTTACATATTCCGTCAATTTTCATTGCACAAATCAATGATAGTTTCGTACTAAAAAAAAAAAGCGAACTTTTTGTTTCTCTCGTAAAAAGAGAGTTATCTAAATATAAATCATATTTTAGGCATAACTCTTATATAAACATTATTTAGATTTTATTTAAAGGAAGATGGTTCACACGATAGATGATTTAATTGACATAATTCCTTCAAAATATTTTCCATTTCGCTATTAACGTCTAGACGTAATTCGACTTCCCTAAAAACGTCGCTCTTACCAACCTAAGATGGAAAATGGATTTTTACTATTTAATAATAGAAATATATATATACTGTATATATACTGTATATATATAATAATATATAATTTATATATGAAAGTTACCAATACGAATCCTAGTTTTTCGAATAGTCTTATACTTTTAACGTTTTCTTGGCCAATTTTAACAGAGTATTTCCTTACATTTAGCCTTCTGATTCCGTAAATAAGCATCAATACAACAGCCTAAAGAGAAAAAAACACTATAAATAGAATATTTCAAAGAGTAACTGTCTTTTCAAATACTTCTTTTCCGTATCCTCTTCCTCTTACATTTCTTTCGGCAATCATTACTTCTACCTCTGCACTATTTCTATCGTCGATATCGTTGAAGAATAAATTTACGTCACCAACCATTGAATCTACAATATATTTTCGTAACAACGGCTAAGAATACAAACTATTCAATTTAATTATCTATACCTATATCGTTATTAGTTTTTTCAAATATATCTTTATCAAGTATAATGAATGTGCATTCTGTAAATTGCTTAAGGATTAATATTAAGTTATCTTAACTACGAAAAATTGCATTACTATCAGCATCATTTCTCCATGACTCTTGCATTTGATACTCTTCCTCTAGGGTTAACCTTTCAGAGGCGGTTTGCTCACGCAACTCTTCATCTTCCATCCAATTGTGATATTTCGGCACGTGATCCTTATTATAAGGAATTAATACTACTTTTAAGCCATCTAGTCGAGAATTTGCGTTTATTTTCATATCAAAAATATCTTATAACTTCTCTATTTACAATTTTTGGAATAATAGCACGTTTTTTAAACGTAGTTATACACTATTCGTAGTTTCATTTCGCCTTATGAATGTTTTGCTTTAAAGAAATTTTTAACAGTTTTGTCTCCAACTTTATTTTAGTGTGGTATCCTATTCATTGTCATAGGAATGGCCTTTAGTTTATTAAGTAATCAGTAACCAAGCTAATGTTTATAGTTTATCATGGCGACCTTTTCTCAAAATAATTCCTGCCGTAAGTATTTCTTCGATACCATTCTATCTTTATTATACTGTGGAGCTTTTGAAGTTAACCATATTAAGAGTCTCTGTACAATAAATATTCCTGATAAAGAAATTAGTAAGACTTAGCCCATGCCGCAGATTTGTTAGTAAAGGGTGAAAGGAGTGATTTTAATGAATGGAACAAAAGTTATTTTCATATAAATAGCCTAAAATCAGTGATTAATCCCACAGAAATGACAAGTGAAGGCGAAGAGAATAATATGGACTTAGAATTGGATGGTGGTGAAGGCGAAGAGGAATACTTCGATGGTGATGAGAATGGAATGTGCGTGAGCCTACTCTAAATAATTATTTATTTTTATGATGAAAAATGCAATGTTTAATATAGTAACGAGGATACGCGTTTCGACGAAACTATCGGTTCAATAGAGGATATCGTAATGGGTAAGATAAATATGACATTTTAGAGATGTAAACTATCAGATTAATTCTGTGAATTTTTTCGCGTGTAGACGAAAAATTCCAAACTATGCAGAATACTTTCCTTGAAAAATATTACATGGAATTTGAAAATACTGAAGAAAACAAATTCATTTACACAGATATACATAAAGAATATGTATGATTTTAATATAATTATTAAAATTATATAAGAAAATAACGAAAATCATTTTCTTAATGTTGTTTTTCTTACAGTGTGAATTAATAGAAAAACATATCGAAACCGAACTGCAGATTAGAATTCCAGATTTCCAAATGGATGAATTTGCAAAGGAATTAGAGTATGCAAAATCTGTCTTTTAATTTACGATAAACAATTTACATTTTTTCTCAATTCCAAATGTAGAAATAGAAAAGATGAGTTAGATGGTGAAATATTTGAAATGCTACTTACTTTTAGCGACTTTATGATATTTAAGGAGATGTTTCTAGATTATAAATCCGTAAGTTTTATCTATATTCTTTTATAGCTATAATTTCATTTTTTATATTTTTATAATACACAAAAAAAACTAGGCTAAAGAAGGTAATACGGTGGATTTAAGTTCCGGCATCTGTATAAGACATTTTGGATCAGAAATTGAGCAACTCTCGCCCATGAGTTCCTTAGATTTCACTTTATCACCAACCTCATGACTTATCTGCTCCCACTGAAAGGCTTTAACCACTTTTCTCGAGCATTTACAGAATGAGTTTATGCTGTGATATATTAACTATTTGTTTTTTTAATCATGATTTATATAATGTAAAAATTTAGCAAACGAAATTTTCAGCAGGCCTACAATTCCATGAAAAAAATGCCTATATTTAAACACGCGTCCATATAATAGACCAGAGGAAGGTTTTATTCTTTTTTTTTTATTTCTAAAGCAGGAAATTTTTTTTTTTTCACTGATGGAGAATATCAATTTATTGAAGGAGGGAAGGGGTTTAGGGTAAATAGGTGTAAAAAAAATAACATAATATCTATAATAATATTAATATAGCAGAGAGAAAGTGATGGAAAGTATTTTGTATATTTTTTTTTTTACACAATGGGATAGTTAAATAATTAATTTATATACACAATTTACCAGAAAAAGAACTTGATAAAAAGAAAAACATACATCGGTGTCTTTTTTTTAACGGCAAAAACCGATAAAAATTTAAAAGTATATTTATTAAATATTCTTTTTCTTTTTTATATATAGAGATTTAAAAATTCAATATGTATATATGGGAATGCTAATTTTTTCTTTTTGCCGCTTTATTTTCGTTTTGTTTATAATATATATATATATATATTTATATATATATATATATAAATAGACATTTTTTTCTTTTATACAAATTAATTTCTTCGTGTATTTATTTCAAAGTGAATAATATGCTTTTGAACGATAATACATGAAAAATGTTTAATATAAGATAAAAATAAAATATAACACAATATAGTATACTGTTTGGACAATCTCTTAAATGATTGTTTTATATTAATATTGATTAGATACTAAATAAGCAAAAATCACTACGTCATAGTTTATCTTTCATAAGTGTTTTTTTAACGAAATTGATAAAATATTTAAATCTAAAAGGAAACGAATTTTAATGTAAAAAAGAATTAGGTTTCTTTTTTATTTTTTTAAATCTTCAAAAGAAGAAAACTTTATTTGTAAAATATTCTTTGAAAAGAGGAAAATTCCATTGTTCGTTAGTTTCCTTAGATACGTTTCTGACGAAAAATAGCCACGTAAAAAATAAAAAAAAAAGAGCATCGAGTATTTAGAACAAATCAGTCGATAAATGGTCAAAAGTTCTCTTTTACTTTGCAACTTTTTTGTAATGTATAGGTCTTCTTAATTAGTAAAAAAAGAATGTATATATAACTCTACTCTTGGAACTGTTACTGGGTCTTTGAGAAAGTGTAATTGTCCCCTAAACTAAAACAATAAGGCAACATCAAAGTTCATTGAACTTAAACACCTTACGACTTTCAAGGCGACACTTTGCTCCTTATCAGGACATTAAATATGCCATCTATCGGTAATTTTCATTCAAATACAATCGGTCAATAGTTAGATATCGAGGGTATGCGATGGTCTACGATAGCAAGTGGCGCTGTGTGCAGTATCTGGCTCATATTCCTTTTAGAATTGAGTTATAACAAAAAGAAATTGGAATGCGCAGCCTGTGATAGTTCTAAGAATTATCGGCCTATTGGCTTCGTGGAATACTATATGAGGAAAAGAGAGATACTGGGTTTGTATAACTAAACATGACTCTGACGGTAGCGGTAAGGACAATGAAAAACGAAGACAGTCCCCCGCCGGACTATGATCTCCTTCAATCTCCCAATTCTCACTACGAAAATACCAAAGTATCGTCACGAGCGAAGACCATTCCACATCCGACAGTTATTAAATCGCTAAGTGAGGCCTACAAGCAAATTCTTAACTGCTCTTTCTATTATGCCTTTTTTGATCTATCGAATTCGAAAGTACTAGAAGATCAGCGGAGCGGAACTTTCCTACTACGTCCTAGTTCTCACCCGCATTATTTATATACAATCAGTGTTAATAAAAAAGGTAGAGTCATGAACATTCGTATTAGATTGACAGATCAGGGACTTTTCTCACTAGAGGACGGTGGCCAAACAACAAAGGCACCAGATTTTACAACAATTGGCAATCTAGTGTGTTATTATATGCATAAACATGCAAAAGCTTATTATGAAGATGCGGACGCTTTCAGGCTACTCTACCCGTACAGGAAACGTGTCGTATCTTTACAAACTTTAGCCGGAGAAGAAATTATAAGAAATACTCAAAGATCTCAATTAGGAAATTTGTTTATCATGAAAAACTTTGGCAGTATTCATTCTATCCTTTAAGAAAGAAAACACTCTCCAAACCAACAGGTAATTTAAAATAGTTCTAAAAGAAAAACAGTGAAAAGACTTTAAATTAAACGAAAAATATCTAAAGGACAATATTAAAAATATTGATGAAGAAAGACAATAATGATAATGAATATCAAATAGTTTTTTTTTCTTCTGTTCTTTTGTTCTTTATTTCGAAAATTTTGCTTTTGTTGCAAAGAGAAAACAAAAAAAAAAGGAAAATTTTTGCAAACGTTGATAAAAAAAAATTGTCAATAATTATTAATCTTTGTACAGAAATACGGAAATGTTCTAGTCAGCAACAAAAACATAAAGAAAAGAGAGAGAAGGCAGTTGAAAATTGAATAAAAAACAAAAAAAATACATCTAAATAAACAACAACAACAACAACAACTTTGTTCTTTTTACGTATTTTTGTTATGTTTTTTTTATTATTATTAAATAATAAGTAAACAATGAAAAACTTTGTAAATAAGTTCTTACTAAATGTTGTAAATTATTGTAATCATCTTTTAGTCTTCATAAATTAAAATGAAAACGAGACTTTTATTATTTATTTACTTGTTTAAATGATTTATATAGTATTATTATATATTGACATACATACATACATACGTACAGCAAAACATGACATATACGCTATAAATTCTGCATTAATATTGTGTTTTTCTTCTTTTACCTTAGTTACTGATTACGTAATAGAATACCATTATTTAATTTGTTGTTTTTTATCCTGTCAGTATTACGAGTTTAGATAATTTCTTTAACTTGATATTTCGATTAAAAAAAGAAGAACTAAAGACGCTGAGTCAGTGTTGTTTTTCATTCGTGTAAGAAATAAATCCCCTTCCCGGAAAATTAATATAAGTTGGCTATAAGTAACTTATATGAAATAATATAAGAAAATTCCTAGAAAGCATCTACGCAGTTTAAGGATAAAAGATATGTATTCTACTAATTAATACGATATGACTATAAATTCTTAAAAGGACGTTATTAAAGCTATAAATAATTTTAGCACATACTCCTCCTCTATTTTCTAAATATTTCTTCTACTACTACTACTACTACTACTACTTTTTCTTCTTCTTCTTCTTCTCTCTCTCTTTCTCTCTCTCCTCGTAATCCTTCTGATTTTACGTTTCATAAATAAAATGAAATATACACACTTGTATTCTATATGTCATTATTTATTAAGAAATAGGAAAGCGAACAGTGTCGTAAATCTTTTGAATTACATAATAAAAAAATGTGTTAATCTCATAAAAAAATATAAAAGCTTCTTTAATACTATTTATCGTAAGAGAAATTTCTTTTCCATCAATTTCTTGCAATTTCTCAGCATCTATTATATTATTCATTATAGATAAATATTGTTAAAAGTGAAATACATATTATTAATTTCCTTAGTAGTTAATCGTCTATTTTTAATTGTTCCATTTGGAGAGAAAGACCTTTTACTAATAAAAAGAAACTTAATCGATTATAGATGAATTGCAAACCAAACGAAAAAAATTAGAGCTTTTCTTTGACATTTAATGCTTATTAACAGGATATTTTAAGTAATATATAGTGTATGTATTAAGCGTATAGAGTATATCTATAAATAGATTCTATATAAATTGTATATGTAGATAGTTCATATTACAATTTAAATTGAAATTTTCCTTCAGAGTATTCTTGTAAGAGAATGTAAGACAAGTGCTTAAACAAAGCTATAATTAAACGACCTATTGCACTCTATTTTAGGATAATCAAAGAATGACAGTACATCAAAAGTTATTACTCTACAATAGAATTATAGTTAAATGAAACGGTTGATCAATATAATATATATATATATATATATATATACTAATATATATATAATATGTACTGTATATTCAGTACATCCTTCAACTCATTTAAACTAGGAGATTAAATAGTTGCAGTCTTCAATAATATACAATTAATCTTTATTTATTAGGTTCTTTCATCTTTATAACAGAAGAATTAATTATCATTTTCATTATTATTATTATATCAAATAAAAAAAAAAACAAACAAAAGAAAAAGGTATTAAAATTTTTAACGTATTAATAATTAATAATAATTAAAAAGTAAACAAACAAATAAACAAACAATCAAACAAACAAACATAAAAACTGTACAAGTAGTTTGTATAAAAAAAATAAACTTTTCTTCATTAATTTATTAATGTTAAATTTTTGTCTATGTTTCTCTTTTTAATTTAGTTATCATCTCTCTCTCTCTCTCTCTCTCTCTCTCTCTCTTTCGCTCTTTCGCTCTCTCACTGTTTGATCTATTAAATGAGGTTATTAAAAAAACATAGTTACTCTTTATACGTAAAATATGAAGAGAAATATAAAACTTTTTTCTTCGTATTTTACATTTTTTTAAAAAAAAAAACAGAGTTAAACTTTATCAATTACACAATCTTTCCTTAACAGTATTATAGCAGGTCTGACAAACAAGCTTGCAGCACCATTGGAATTTACAATGGCACTTTTCAGTTTGATTAAAAACTTGTAGAGTAAATCCACGCTCGCAGCATAAACGTCGGCAACTTGCGGGTCCCTTTAAAGAGCATCTTCTTCTTCTTGTTCCTTCAAAACCTTCTCTCTCATCAGCTTCGCAATAAGAAGGTGATTTACTTAAGTAGATTAAATGCTTTCTCAATACTTTATTTCTTTGAATTTCTGATCTTCTTAATCTCATCCTACCGTTAGATGTCGACACTGGCCTAGCTTTTTTGTAGTGTTTATATACTTTTTTACCAACTTGTCTAAAAGTCGGCAACGATTTCCAGCAAGTTTTCTTAGCGCACGAACCGGAAGTTCCATGACATTTACATTTGGTTTCCATGCTTTTACGCATTATCTATTAAAATACATAAATAAAAAATTTGAAGAAAAAATGATCTATAAGATATAATAAAGAAAAAAATACAAACTCCCAAGCTCTTTCAAGGGCTAGGAGTTATAAGAAGAGTTTATAAATAACTTAATTAAAGCGGTTACCTTTCTTCCTACGGCGTTATTATGAATATTCATAACTTTCTCTCTGTTACTACCCGGCCTCTCTTTGGAATCGACGAAAATCTTTGTAAGTCCAAGGGAATATCTTAAATTTGGTGAACATCCACTCCATGACCAGTCGTCAGCTCTTCGCTTTCTATCGCAACTGCAATTCGGAATATGTCCCTGACTGCAATGTTTCGCTATTGAAAATGCTACAGCTGATGACCTCATTCCGTAAACTGCTGCTACCTCCCTCGTAGCTGTTAGTCATATATTCACCCATTTATTATTTCTATCAATTTGCCTTACGGCATTTTTCTTTCAAAAACAATCTTCTGCTTATTTGTATAAGAGGAGTCATAACTGATAATTTTTACACTACCTATATTAACTTATAAGCCTCAAGATTGAATTCTTTCATTACTCAACTGAATAACTAGAAGGATTATAGGAGAATTAACATTTCATGAAAAGAGAGACAGAATAAGCGGGATAGATAGAAAGATAAATAGTCAGATAGAAAGGGGGGGAAAGAAAGTAGTAGAAAGAGAGAGAGAGAAAGAAGAGAAAGAGAGAAAGAGAGAGAGAGAGCGTAGTGGGGGGTGGAGGAAAGGTTGGTTATGAAAAAGGAGAAAGGAGAATAAATGAGTTTGAAAAGAAAGGCAGGCGGCGGAGTAGGAATAGGAGGAGAAAGTCGGTTAGTTTATTTTAACTCACCTCTATGACTCTTAGAAAAATTCCTATGAGTCTTGTTGTCTGAAAATAAGCTTATATAGTATAAATATAAGCGATTTGCGACAAATCAGGCAAAAATAACAACAACATTGACACAATAGATCTACTGATTGATATACTATACACCTTTTTCTATGAGGAGGGGAGAAATATACAGCATATTTAATTTAATACACACCTTTAATATTCAACTTTAAAATAGCATTAGATATAAATATTTAAATAATTCTTTATTTAAATAGCAAACTATTAATATATTACACATACCGGTGTAATTTTTTGGGAATAATTCGACTCCTGGGGGAAATCTAGCACAATTCCATCTATGATTACGAAATTGATATCGGCACTCTTCCTTTGCCAATTCTTCACCTTCGATTATGGCAATCATGGCATCCGGTCTGGAACTACAAATGCTCCTTTGTCTTCCGGTTAATCCGATAGCCTTCGAGCAAATTCGAACAGCCGAAAAACTATGTACGGACGAGAAGAATCTATGGGTGAAAGAGTTTTAAAGTTAAAATAATAAGAATAGTAATAATAATAACAATGATAATAATAATAATGATAAGTTTCTGTATCGAGTAATAACCACTAGTCAATGAATATATACATTTCTACATATATATATATATACTGTGTATATACAGTATATATAAAGCACGCACTTGAAGACGTTAATTATTACATTTATAGGACAAATTAGATCAAAACAACTAGAATGGAAATAATGAAAATACTAATAAAAGAATAAAGTAAAAATCAAAAAGTTAATAAAAACAAGTTAATCCGGGAAAATTTTATGTTTAAAGATATTTTTAATCTTTCTTACAAGAGGATGAAGAGAATAGAACAACTCATTCCGAATGGCTCTTACTTTGCATCTGGCTAGCCTATATATGCGATGGCGCACGCATTATCGTAAAGCGCCGGAAATTTGGCATTAGTTGTGCGTGTGTGGTGAAGAAAAAAGATGAGAGGGGGTTTTTTAATTGAAAATAATAGCATACGATATAAAATCTATTAGAAAACGAAGTTTTAAATTGATAAAGGAGACTACTAGGATAGAATTATTAACATTGGAACATCAGTAAAGGTTTTAGGAAGAAAAATAACTTAAGGAAAAAAAAACAAAGCAGAGAATATGATAATTTTCTTCTTTTATATAAAGTATACTAACCGATTTGTAGCAATTATAAATAAGTAAAAGAGAAGCGGTGTCATTTTCGTATCATAGCGGCGGCGACTTCAACATCAGATAAGCGAATGAATTGAAGAAAAAAAAAAGCCCGCAGCTCGTCTTGTCGAATGTCACTTCTAAACGTTGATTGATTCTTTTCACCTTATAGATTTTCTTTTCTTATTTTTCTACCTTTTTTCAATTATATAGTAAACAAATTCCCGCAGCCTCTCTATATAATCAATTAACTGATCAATTGTGTAGTGTGTATACTCGTTTATATATATATATATATATATTGAGTATATATACAGTATATATATATATATATTCACAATAATTATAAATATATATATGTTTTATTATTCTTTTGTTATATTTAGAAATATATGTGCGAATATATATATACTTTATCCTTTTTTGTTTTATTTATATATATTATTATTGGTGTGGGCGTGTATACGTGCGATTCTTATTTCGTTTCTCACCCTCACCTGATTTTTTTCTTAAAAACCGGAAGCTCGTAAACTTTTTACTAGACTTAGCAAACCTATTGGTAAAAACCCCGCAATAAGTGCTAATCATACATGTGAAACATATGCAAAAAAAAAGAAGAGAAAGAATAAAAATAGTAGACAAACTTCAAGAATTATTTTAACTTTTTTTCTCTACTTTCTTTAACCTGGGAAGAGAAGGATAAAAAAAATAGAATTAAACGCTTCAAAATACTTATGTACCTGCCTTTTACTATTTATAGAATGTTTAATAATCGTACAAGTTCTAAGCCGTTGTTAAAACAGTAGGAGAAAAAGCATCTGAATTCTTCAAAAGTTTCACACTAATGTGTGATCCGAACTGAACAAACTTTATACAAGTGAAAAATGCAATAAAAACCAAGTTGTAGTCGAAAACGAAATTTTAACTAAAATCGTTCGTAAATTGTCATAGATAAAATATATAGTATATATAGTCTATTGATATTTAAATATATATATATATATATATATATCAGTAGATATAAGATAACACAATTAGAATTTTCAACAAATATTTATATAAGATAAAAAGAAAAATCATTCTTTTAATCATAATGTAAGTGACTTTTTATTTGCAGAGAGAGAGAGAGAGAGAGAGAGAGAGAGAGAGAGAGAGAGAGAGAGAGAAAGAAAGAAAGAAAAAGAGAGAGAGCGAGAGAGAAAAATGTATATATTTATATGAACATCATTAATAATAAAGAAACAGATAAAAGAATATATAATATATGGATATAAACAGACTACTACTTGCTTTTATAAAATAGAAAATCTGTGCATAAAAGTAATTATTATTTTGTTGTGGTTTTTTTGCTCGTTTTCCTTAATTATCGTAAAATCCACTTTTACTAAACTGACTCATTACAGATATTATATAAAACATAAACAAATATACTGCAATATATATATATATATATATATATATATATATATATATATATATATATTGCAGTATACTCTTTAACACGTTTATCAGTACACACGAATATTTCATTATTAACTATTTTTTTTAAATAATTGCTTTGTGAAAAAAGTTTCAGTGCAGAAAATCTTCAAAGAGTACAAAGGAAGACAGAAAATTCTTGTTATTTTCTTTCTTTGTAATATTATACAACACTGAGAAGCAGCAGTAGATTGATATAACGTCGGTAGATGGCCTAATTAACCTTTGAAAATCAATTTGCAGTATTTTCCAGAACGGATGTTCCGCTAGCGTTTTTATCACTTCCCAAAGCTAATCTTTGCATTCTTCTTGTGGCACAGATTGCCGCATAAACTCGCTGGAACGAATAAAAACTATTTTAGGACAGTAGATATAAAAAAAAAGCACAGATTACCCTATTACCAAAAGACTTAATTAATTAAATAAATGGATTCCTTTAACAAGCATTAGGAATAACATATGCACCCTGATTGTAGACGAATTTTTTTTCGAACTCTATTGCCTACTTCTATATGTTCTATGGAAGGAGAATATACATATTGTTCTTTTCATAAATATTCATATAATAGATTTCGTCATCCTTTGCCCCCTCTCCCTTTTTTTATTCTTTTCTACTTGTTCTCTTCCCAAAGAAGATTAAGCTTATAGATCGAAATTGAATTCTCTTTTGTTAAATCCATTTAAAAAAAGGGAAAACTTGATTAAAAAATATTCTCTATCGTCTTGTATATCTTTCCGTAGACGGCAATTACGTATCTGTCTAGTCAGTTTTCTCAAATTCTTTACCAGATGTCGCTCCAATTTTGAAAATTTTTTTCTATCTATTCAGTGTCGCCATCTGATGTTACATATAGATCTATCGATACTTTTCCCCTTTTCTAAGTATATACCTCATTTACACAATCCCATTTCGTACATTTCAGTTTAATATGAAAATATTACCTTCCATTTGGATTTGAAATTCTTTTGCAGTTGTTCGCTAACCATTTTATGAATATCCTTCTCTGCAGCAGCATTTCCGGATATCCTATTTAATTAATCAATATTTGTAAAATAGGAAATGACCGTTTAACATTTAAAAATAAGTTTACCAGGGATGTTCTAGAGCTCCTTTGCAAGTATAGCGTTTCTTAGGCTCTTTGCACATCAAATGTCGAATGAAGTCTTTGGCTATATTGGTAAGTGCAAAGTAGAAAAAAAAATAGAATGACAGAGAAAAATCGACACTAATATAAAAAAAAGCAACATCTATGAAAAACATTCATTGATACTTTAAGGTGATGGCTATTAGGGAGAAGAAAAGGGAAGAGAGGGTGGAGAGAAAATTAATAGTTTGTAGGTCAATCTTGTCTACAGTAGGATTTTTCTCCTTTTTGTTTTTTTTACAATTTATTATTTTCTCTTCCTGAACACTTACCTGAATCAGAGATTTCATCCCAATAAGGGGCGTCAAATTCATACTCGGCCTTCAGAATTTGTCTGAATAATTCAGCGTCATTCTCGTCGTAAAATGGTGGATAACCGCATAAGCTGTTGAAAGAGAAATATTTATTTTTAAGTATCGTATTGTTAACAATCATAATATTAAAGATAATAAGGATGAAAGAGAGAGGGAGGGAGAGAGAAAGAGAAAATTTATCTTATTCTAAATTAGGGTAAAACACTAACAATCCTAGAAATGTTTTATTATTAATAAATGGAATATTGAAAAGAGAGAATATTAAGTAATTAGATTAATGAAGTAAAAGAGAAAATTTGAGTGTCTATATACTGTTCTTTATATTAATAAAAAAAACGGGATTGGAAGAAGAAAGAACGAAAGAAATGAAGAATTATTTATTTATTGTTTCTTTTTTTCAGGTTGAAAGGTGAGGCTGGTAGGGGGTAGGGTAGGCGGCCTTTCTTCCTCTACCTCTTAAACTTGAAAAAGAACTGAAAGCCTCTTAAGAATCATTGTCCAAAAATTGCATCTCAAAGGAGGCGAATAAAACGAATATTCTACTTTTCTTACATATTTTTTTTGGTAGTGTGTTGCTCTCGTCCCACTTAGAAGGCGGCTAACCGTACAATCTTTGACAGCCACGCCTCCATCAATTATGCATCGTGTAACACATTTACAGTGCAAAAAAGTAATGTCTTAGTTAATAGAGAGTTTTAAAAGATTATAACTACATTATAGTCTCCCCGAATATATATAGTATTCTATATGATATATCGCTATGTATTAAAAGTGAACTATAGAGATTATCTTGGATTTAATCATTTTAATAAATAGTATTTGACCTATATGTGGCTGTACGTAAACGACAATTTTTTTCTTGCGGTTCGCCCTAATAGCAACAAATTGCTCTTTCCTGCGTTAGCTACTAAGAAAAAGGTAACTTACAGTATATAAGCTATAACTCCAATACTCCAAACATCTACCTCTTTCCCATAAGGTCTTTGAGCAAGCACTTCTGGAGCTGGTTTAATTTAACACATCTATGCAATTGATCATTGATTATTTATGTAAAAGATCACTTACCAACATATCCAGGAGTTCCACAGGCTGTTGCCATGCAACCAGAATCCTCAAATCTTGAAAGACCGAAATCACTTATCATTATCTTCGATTCTTCCGTTTTGTTCTCATATAGAAGGTTTTCAGGCTTGTTAATTAATACGGGACTTATTAAAGAAAATGTTTTAATGGATCGGTAGAAGTGGTATACCTTTAAATCTCTATGAACTATCCCTGTGCTATGCATAAAATCGACAGCTTCGAGAACTTGTCGAATTAGGTTGCTAGCATCTCTTTCAGTATACGATCCTTTTTCAACGATTCGATCGAACAATTCGCCTCCAGTAACACTTAATATGGTATGGTATTGATTTAAGAATAAATGAATAAAAAAAAACTAATTATATAACTTCCTTACAGTTCCATCACTAAATAAACACTTTTTTTATCCTCATAGACATCTAAAAGTTGAACGATATTTGGGTGTTTTAACCTATTGTAAATATTTAAATAATTATAATGATATGTTTGACTAATTGTCAATTCTTTACTTCCTCAGAACCGTTATCTCGTTTTCTAATGCATCTTCCTTTCCTTTAATTCCCTTTTTGTCTATCACTTTAACTGCGGCCGACTTGAACAAAGAGGGTATTCCATCACTAGGTGGAACACGTTCTTCAACGAGGTGAACTTCAGAGAAAGCTCCTCTGTTTAATAAAAACACAAATTAACAAAGCAATTTCAAGAGTTTGCGCTTAAGGAATTGTGACGTCATCCAACCTTTGCAATGACGTAGGAAATATTGATAGAGGGGATAAAAATAAATTGAAAGTGTTTCAGTTGTACAGGCGAAGCAGAAGAGGGATGATTTATCGATTGAGCAGCTTCAACTTTGTTAATAATATACATATTCTCTTATATAATATATTTACTCATAAATATTCATATGCACAACTACATATAAATATTCATAAGTACACTTATTAAAATATGCAAATTTAGAGTACATAAAGTGGAAATAAAACCTATTGACACACCTCGTTATTTTTTCGGTTATATAAAAAAAAAACGCCTAAAATTTCTTCTTCAGAAGAGAAATATTATAACAGTATTTCATGTTCATTTATGCTTTTAACAAGAGAATTTAATCCCGCACGTTTTTTTTTCAAAAAAAAAAAAACAAACATGTAAAATTCAAATATAATTACCAAATAATTATTTGTATATCTTACTTCATTTATTTAAAAGTATACGTTATTATTGTCAATTTATAAATAAGGTATCAGGTTTCTTAGCTCTTCAATGTGATTTTTTCTTATTTGTAGAAAAGAATCTTACTTAGAAGATTTCTCCATCATCGCTAATTATTTAAAAGACTGGTCATTTATTAATTTAAAAGAAACCAAAAGAATGTTTTTTCTTTCCCTTTATTAGAATAATAGCAAGTTAAATAATTGGTTTTTTTTCTCTCTTAGATAATAATCTTCTCCTTTTTGCTTCTTTTTAATTTTCTTTTATTAGAAAAGTGTCCGAAAGCAACTAAATACCATTGCCTAGGTAGTAAACTTGTCTATCTTATATATCGTACGTGAAGTACATAAGTTCTCTGTTATTCTTTCTACATCTCTCTCTCTCTCTCTCTCTCTCTCTCTCTCTCTACCTATCTATCTGCTACAATGATAAGTAAAGGAGAGAATAAGATAAAAAAATATTACAGTTGTCCGCAAAAAGAAATGAATGTTTGTTACTAATTGCTTTCTTAGGTTCTATCCAGTTTAATCCTTTTTTTATCTTCCTACACAACTTTGTAATCTATATTAATACAATTATTCAGGGAATTTATAGAATATAGTTAAAATTAAATTTTTTTTATTGAAACGTAGACTATCGGATTATGGATTAACGTATTTAGTGTATCATTAATTTTTTTAATTATAGTTTAATTAGTAATACAAACTGATCGTTTGAATAATTAGATGGCAAGTTAAGAAGATTTACTTATTCATGTATTTGCAGGTATATAAAATATGTACTACATTCTGGAGAGAAAGGTAGATCGTAAGAAAAAGTAAATAATAATGTGCAAGAGAGAAAAAAGGCGAAAGAAAGAAGAGAGAAAACAAGGTAAGAGAGGGAGAGGGAGAGTGTACCAGTGTGTGTGTGTATGTACGTGTGTACGTGTGCGTGTGTGTATCTATGTATGGCGATCTGAATCTATATATGTATGTATTTTGTGAAATAGAGTTTCACAATTAGAGTGAGAATACCGGAAGGGAGGGAAAAGGAGAAGACAGAGAGAGGGAAAGAAAGAGAGAGAGAGAGAGAGAGAAAGGGAGAGAAGGAGAGTGAGGGAGAAAGATACTTAAAAAATCGATAAAAAAATAAGCAATAGCCTTTTAAGCAATAATATTTTTTCAAATGTAATATCAGAACATTCGCCTAATTTCGTTCTTTAAGTCGTCAATCTTTATTGGAATACCATCTAATACAGATAGAATTTAGTCTTCATCTATTATTGTTAAATAAATATACAAACATATGTGCACTATACACAGTTCATATTTATCTTAAATGTATGCGAACGTATAATCGTTCATTTATATACACATATACTGTATATGCATTTGCATATATCTCGCATTCCATATTTTATACATTTTATTAAATATCATGTTTCAGTTTTTCCTCTTCGACTAACTATGTATCTAATGTTAAGATATACGTTAAAGAAGAGGGGGGAAACTATAAAAAAAATAAATAATTCTCCTAGCTAAGGTTTGCTAATCACGTGATCGTGATTCATGATATTTCATATAGAGCGTTACTTTTTTAGCTATATCACATTCCTCTAGTCTAATCATAATGTTTTATGTTCGAAATCAACAAATCACACTCAAGACGCAAATTACATCAAACTGCTGTTCATTAGTAATTATTTAAACATCACAGAGTAATACAAATTTGTGTAAATGATGAAAAATAGAAAGAAATGGGGGGGAGAGAGAGAGAGAGAGAGAAGGGAGAAAACGATCTGGATTTATAGATCGGTTCAGCTCAGGCAGTGAATATATTTGCTATTTCCATTTCTCTCTTTTCTCTCTCACTCTCTCTCTCTCTCTCTCTCTCTCTCTCTCTCTCTCTCTCTTTCCTTCCTTCCCTTTTTTCTCTCTCCCTCTCTCTCTTTCTCTCTCTTTTCCCTTCTTAATTTTTTACACTCCCCCATTCCCTCTATGTCCCTTTCCGTATTCTTTTTTTCACATTTACGCTCTCTTAGCCGATTTTTTCTCTAAATTTCCTTCACAAGTAGACGCCTTATTATGGAAATGTCTTTTTAAATGGAAATGTTGTTTATTGTTATATATAAACATCGTTTATAATATTTTTAACGCTTCGCTTCTTTAAATTAACCTTAAGAATTTTTTTTTTAATTCCATAAATCAATTAATTGAGAACACTACTCACGTTCCGAGTAATTGCTTAAATTCAAATTTCTTCCGAATATCTCTATTCCGATAGTCTTTACCGCTGTTATTATTCGCGGCACCTGCGGACATCTCTGCAGCGTCTCTTTTACGGTGTTGCACAGTCGATAGTGACGCTGCAAATATGGCGGCACTTTTCCCACGCCATCTGCCGTAGAGAGGAAATAAGAAGAAGTGATTGACCTTAATTGACGTGTGTTGTCGTGCACTTACAGGGAAATGCGCAACATGTTGGTGTTTAATAGGGCCGTTTAATAAGAATAAGGGTCATATATTTTAAATAGTTAAAGGTTGTTTAGAATTATTTATCCATGCATGAAAAAAAATGTAATGAAGAAGAAAATAGCACCAGTGTATTAGTAACAAACTTGGCTATACAGTAATATTGCATAACGATATTGTATATATGATCAAGGTGAATATATATGCTGTTTATATATATATATATATATATATATATATTTATATACATATATTACAAAACATCTTTGTAATAGTCTACAGTATCCACAGCAAGATACATTTAATCCATGCATGCACATGCTTCCTCTATACGATTAAAGTACAAAAATAACTTGTATTGCATACAGGTAAAAAGCCATCAGATCACATATACATATAATATATAAATATACATATATACCGTATATACTAATATATATATATATTTCATATGTTTTGGCTATAAAAAAAAGAATACATATGTCACTTATTAATTTAAACATTCCTTTTTGATTAATTCTAATATATACATGGTAAAATTTATAAATATTCATACATTTTGTGTATTTTTTACTTATAGCAGAGTGAGGCTTTTGCAGTTGCCACCATTAATTACCTAAAAAAGCTGGAAGTGGGAAGGAAAAAGGTTGCGATCTTAGTCAATAAACGAATATAGATATCAATGTAGAAATCTAGAGCGGGTATTAATCTAACTGGTGTCATAGCAGCGTGAGCAAGACTATGGCTAGATATTTCAGCGTAGCATGACGACCAAAAACCATCCACTATTAGGCTACCATCCCCGGTTAATGGTGCACTATATCCGTTGATCAATCGAAAAGTTATCGAAACTACTCTTCGTGTTCCATTAAACGTGAATAACTTATCACCAATAGTAACGTCTCTTGCAAAAATGGCACCTTTTTCGACCGTATAGATTAAATGATTTTCCGTTAACGATATTTTCCAACCGTCTTCTAATCCAATTTCCTTGTAAACTGTGGTAGAATTAGCGTTATAGTGCAGATAAGTCAGGAATCTGGTTTCGATTAAATGGCCATCTGAACTTAGAGTTAATAAGATGTCACCCCTCGCCAACTTTCCAATCTGCTTTTGTCGTCCAGATGCCGTTAGTACTGTTGAAGTTGGTGGAAAGCATCCAAATGATGTTAACGATGCTGCCGAATCTGTTAACAAAAAGATATTTGTAACAAAAGCGTTTGTAATTTAATTAATTTATTAGACTCTACGACATTTACCAGGCTTACAGGAGCAATGAATATGATATCTTGATTCATAATAGACCCAATCGAAACCTGATAGTACGGCTAATCTTGCCAGCATTCCGTATTTCGAACGGTCTCTATCAGACGTTGTTAAATCGACCGCTCGCCCCTCGTAGTGTAATGAATCTTCTTCGTGCTGGTTGTCTTCGTCGAAGGCCTCTATAACCCTCAGCCGGACGCCTTCCCATTCGTTAGCCACCATTATGGATAGGCTGACTAATTTGTCTTTGCATCTCTGTATCAGGGAATATTTTTACCGCGATTAGAAATCAAACACTCAAATTCGCCCTCTGGCTCTTTTTCGAGAGTAAAACAATACTCTCTTTTTTCGTTTTATCTACATAAAAAAAACGTAATACAGAGAAAAAGTGGAAGAAGAAGGAGAGAAAAAGAGAAAAAAGAAAGGTGCGTTTGTTGTCATCCTGTTGCTGCTATCCTGTTCTTTCCTCTCTTATTATTTTCTATTACACATTCTCTCTTCTTCCTTTTCAATAATAAAATTTCGTTTTAAATGTGGTGTTCATTTTTTTTATATACCTGAGACATCAGCCTGTCAGCTCCTGTACCTTCGTTATCCTTAAATAGTATATCACTACTTTTGTCCACATAGGCGAGTTGATTAAATTTCGGACTATCACGTCTAATTTTACCGGAAAACTTTCCACTAGCGGCCACCGATTGTTCCGGGTAGTTTGGTACGTGTTGTTTAATAACGAGGGGCATTAATTTCTTCCATTTGCGTCTTTCGTAGTAGTTCTTTCCATGCAAACAACACTCCGATAATAAAACGACGGTCGATAACAAAAGTAGACTTTGCAGTATCCGACAATAGTTTCCCATATAAATAAACAATATATACATCTGTATATATGTATATACATATATATGTATATATATGTATATTAATATATATATACATTCGTATATAATATTTAGAAATTTTATGATATGCTCCTCAAGGCATTACTAAAAAACAATAAAAAAAAGGCAAAACCAGCCTTGTCACTCTGCTCACGTTTATAAAATTGTAATAAAACTCTTTGCCTTTAAATCTGGCCATTGGAGAATAAAGGAACCAATCAGCGTTCACATGTAATAATTTGCATAATGATTTATACTGGCGCCGAAAAGCTTCTAAAAAAAAATAACCATCAATGCCTTTTTAATTTCAGTAATGACTGATTTAACACTTTCATATCCTTTTCTTCTTTTTTTGCTATCAATTGCTGCCAACTTGGAACAAACTATTTTTTTAAAGATAAAGGAATATATTTTTTACCTTCTGCCTTTTTAAATATAATAAAAAAAAGCCTATACCATAAAAAGAACTACTTAAAAATTCTATTGTCTCCCTTATCTTTCCTTTATCATTTGTTGTCTTTTACGTCTTTTAATTATATATAATTATATAGATGTACAAATTGTCAACTTTTTTTATAAAAATTTGAATAGGAAAAGAACTAACTCGTTTACTGAACGACCATTTGACCCATTCAAAAACTGCATTCAAGCGCCATTAAACGGCTTAAATGAGAATTTTAAGCGACGGCTTCCCTTTCATCTGCCGGACAATAGTCAGCATAGAATGATTAATGCAAATATTTTCCTAATAGAAGCAATATTTATCATCGCATTACAATCTCACTTTATTGAGGACGGTATTAGGGGCCAACAATAGAGCAGATGCACCGCAAAGGGAATATAGTTGATGATTAAAAAGTCGTTCTAATACAAGATAAAATTCAATGTTTTAAGTACTTTATAACAAATTGAAATGAAAAAGAGATTTACGTCAGCCTACCTCCCAATATTGCACAAAATAAACCACTATACTGTATATGTTAAAATACATTTCGACCCTCATCTGTCTTTGCCCCAGAAAACATCTTGAAGTGGTTCACCTTTCAAATATTCAAGTCGTTAGAGAATCTATTTTACGGCCTATGATAAATCATTTGAAAATTACTCTTAAGCGTTTGTTTCACCACCTTCACGTTCTGTTATCTATGTGCAACTATAAGAGTTTTATAAGAATTCTCTTTTTAATTTAAGAAAAGAATGGGTTGCTCTATATACTAATATTATATAAATACACATATACAATATATATTGTAAATATGATTGCAAAAGTATGTTTCTTGAACGATATTTGAGTGTAATATTTACCAAACTAATTTTTACTTTGTACAGCTCATTAGATTTTATAAATAACTAAATATACACTCTCTAGTCTTTAAAAAAAGGGTTATTGAATTATTTCATTGTTCACTCATATACGGTCGTATACCCCCAAAGAAAGTCGTTGCCATAGGCGATAAACGTTAAAAGTTTGAGCAGGTGGCGCATCTGGCGAATTTTTAACATTAGCACTTATAAGCCTAACTTCCCAAGGGTTTTATAATAATGCACAAAAAGTTAGTATTACGTCTTTATGGATTCTTTAAATTAGATTCATTAAAAATTATTCCATGTTTATTTTTACTCCAAAGTTATTCAACTGACATACTGACATCTTCTACACTATCCTCTTCTTTAGTTGTATCAAGGACAAGGTTCAGTGACAAAGCCCGAGATATTCCCGGTGTATTTAATTCGCACGAACTTGTACTACCACGCTTCTCTATTGGTATTTCATGGTCACCTATTATTCGTATCTTATCTAAGTTTAGCTCTAACGTCTTCTCCAGCATAGTAGACGCAATTGTGTTTTCTCTCTTCACAGCCAATGACTATATAACAAAATAAGCAAGCGTTATTAATTCAATTGAAATATAATCTCGAAAAAAAGTTGGCCACTTTTACTTACCCTATGAAAATATTCGCTGGCAACTAAATACTCCTCCATCAGTGTATAAGTAAATCCTAAAGAACACAAGGTTGACGAGTTTTGTGGATCAATTGATAGAGATTTCTTAAAATATTCTATGGCTTGTTTATAATTTCTATGAGGTTTAATGTAATGTTCGATTAATTTTCAAAAACAATTCATCAATTCTACCATATACTTTACTTTAATCTTCGGTAAACGTGACCTAAATTTGAAAACAATGGTTCCCAGCTATCCACCGAAATGTCCTCGGCGGAATGTTCAATCTTTGATAAAGCTTCTAGAAAAAGTTTTTCGGCACTCTCGTAACTACACAAGAAGAGAAGCAAGAACATTTAAAACATTTATATTTTTTCTAGAAGAAACATTTACTCTTGCATCTCATATAGGACTACACCCATTTCGTGAAGAACTGATGGGTCGTTAGGTGCGCAATCCATTGCTTGTTTTATATATTTGGAGGCCAATTGTAAGTTACGGTCGTTGCTATACTGTTCCATTCCCATAAAAAGTAATGGAAAATGAGATCCAGCAGCATAACGAGCAGCAATATTATACGCAGCCATCGCTTGATCGTGCTCAGAGTGTTCAGCAAAAGAGTGTCCATATGCAATCCAAGCTGGTGCATATGATTTATCAAGACTTTTTGATTTGGTAAGAAATTTTCTAGCCTTTTCAATTTGATTTAATAGTAAATAATACACTCCAATAGAATACCAAGAAATCTGTTAGAAAAATAACATTTACGATTACAATGTACTATAAAAGCCACATTTATAAATATATATATATATTTATATATATAAACTAACCGCTTCCTTCGGATAAACCTCAACGAGCTTGTTTGCCAATGTAAATAGAGCTGGAACAATAGTACAATTAATACAGTATACAGACGTTTTTTATGCAAATTCCCTCTTGGCTAAACCCTACCATTGACTTTCCGCAACTCGTATAAAGTTGACACAAAAACCGCTAAGGCATGTTTGTATAATTTCTCTCTTCTTAATATCCTGTTAGAAACATGATAATCAAGAATAAGCTAAAATGCATTCAAGTTTATTCTCCATATGTTTAAATAGATTTTTCTTAGAAAATATTTACTTAGATAAAAGTTTAAATGCACTTTTATACTGGCAAGTATAATACAGCTTCTCTGCTTTACAAGATAAAGCGTATAAACTCTCACTCAAAGGTTTGACACTATCTGGAGCAGCTATTTCCGTTTCAGGATTAAACTGAAAGAAAAAAAGAAAAATGAACGCCAATTTTGTTTTTAATAACCTGCAGCTATATTGATTTTATTTTCCCCTAAGAGCAACGTACTTTATCCATAGATAGGGAATATGAATAGGATATTAAGTCCTTTCCGAAACTAGTTAGTCCTTTAGTATGGGCCAGTAAGTCTTCGGTTAAATTTTTTTCTGTAAATACAATAGAAATATTTAAAAAAATCCATTTAGTTTAATAGATACTTTAACTTACCTTGACTCGTTGTTAAATAATTATGCTGCTGTAGCCAATGTAATGCCTCATAGCAAAATACATCATGCTGTAGAGCTTGTTTATAATATTCCTCTGCGAATTTTCTATCTTCTAATGCTTCACTTATTTTGGCGAGTAATAAATATATTAAGCTTTTAACCTGAAAAGAAATATAACAAACTTTGTACCAAATATCGAATTATTATAATTAAGAGCATCACACTACATTCTTTTGTTCAACACCGGGTAAATCTTGTAATTCTTTTAACTCTAATCCGGAATCAAAGGGTTTTAAAATATTCAAGGCTTTCTCCAGCTCATTTATTTCAAACTAATTTAAAAAATAAGACTTTGTCAGAAAAGATTATTAAACAATAGACATGTTATAATGAATGCTATATACTTATAACTTACATAGCATTTGGCGACAAGAAGTTGACAGACGTAATATTTCTAGAATAATGCAATATTTCTCAAAATGTATTAAGAATAATCGTGATAAAGTTACCTTCTCTAAATATTTTGATTCAAGAATACTTGTGCAATTGTAATATTGTTTAGTTTGATAGAGCAACAAAGCGTACGTGTATACATCTTGGGGAGTTTCTAGAAAGTGTATAAAATTTTTAAGGTCAAGAATGACTAAAATTTTTATTAAATTGACTTGCCAGATGATAGACAGACAAGCTTATCGGCCCAGAAAAGTGCTGATTCTAATTCTTGCTGAAAAATTTGAATTTTTGAGCGATAAAATGGATTTTAATCAGAAAAGTATAAAAATTTAAGTTATCAAATATTATTCAGGGATAATGTTTTAAAATTTCAAAATAGTGTAAAGGTTACGAACAACTTCACAATATTGTTTAACAATATTCCTCAAGTATTCTAAATTTTCAGTTGAAACTTTTGGCATAGAATCTGATCTAGGCGCGGCCATTTTAAATTTCGACTGTTCAGCTAACCAATCATAGTGTTTGAACCTATTTATCAGAAACGTCCATTGATTGGATAAAAGTCGTCGACCTGGTAACAGCATTAGCAGACGAATTTGCAAGCAAGTCAATTAGTAAATTAGAGAAATAAAAACATTTCATCAAAATGGAAAATGAGCAGTCAAATTCGAAAACCAGAGATCCGGAGTGGGAAATGTACCGAAATATCTCATCAGAGGCTTTCGACCTTGTCGATGATGTAATAAATAAAGCTATAGGGCATTTAGAAAAAGAAATGAAGGGGAGAGAAAACACATTAGAGTCGATTAAATTTGACATGTCTAGGTCTTCAACTCTAATATATGACACAGATCCCAACGTTAAAAATATTGAATGGCTTAGCATAGCTAATTTTTCAGTGGATGACGCTGTTAAGAAAATAAATGAATTCATCCAGGTAATTGAAACAAGCTAAAATAAATTGAAATTCATGTACAAAGCGCCCTTAAATCAATGCAGACATGGGAGTTCGATCAAAGTTGGTTATATTGCATCGATTTTATAAAAGAGGAAGATTTAAAATATGACTGGCGATATAAATTTCGTGTTCGCTGGAGCATACCAACTAGACGGCAACCTATTCCCCGAGCTAGTGCGTCTGTTTATTTCGTTTTCACCAAATCAAAGATTAAACCCGAAGTTTGTTTAATTTATTAAAATATTCCAATGCATTAATTTACAATATTACTACTTCTTTTCGTTTAGGGATATCCAGTTGATGTCTTTTACGTCTTTGAAACTCAAAGACTCGTACACAGGTAATGAAGGAGCTGAAAGATTAATTATTTATGACAAACTCTTTTTATACTCAATTAGGCCCGGAAAGTCGAAATTTAGAGAAAAATGGCTAAAAGACATTATAGAAAGTAAGGTACTAATGCTAGAAGCGGTTGAATTTTAACGTATTTTCAATGCCTTAATTGGATTCGGGAAGCCTGCATAGCAATATTTCGTCATGAGATAATCTATTAAAACTGTCGGCAAATATGGAGACACATTCATGAGTAACTGTACAAAAAAAAGAGAATAATATTTGTAAATATACAAAAACAAGATAATTAATATGAAAATAGTTTACTTTATCATAATCGTAAAAGAAACAACTGCCTCCTGTAGTATATCTAACATATGGATGAACAGCTGTTAAAGCTTTTAAAATGTCCATAGATACTAAATTTAAATCTTTATTTGCTGTAGGTATACTATTTTTTATAGCTTTCAAATAGTGAAATATATATTCTTTGCCGTAGGTCTCTTTAACATCGTCTGAAGACGATTCCCACATTATTTCCAATTCTCTTTCTCTTTCATTATTCTTTATAAAAGAAAGAAATTGAAATGCGATTTATTGGTTTATTACAACTTTTCTGTGTGAATTTATGGCTGAATTATACGTACAAGTAACATTCCTGTTGACCCTCCAAAGTTCCCCGGCTCTGCTAATATTACTTTTACGTTAAATGGCTTTAATTCCATTCTGAGCTGATCCGTAAAAGTAGTTATAGCATGTTTACTCATTGTGTAGGGACCATTTGCAGGATACGATAGTCGTCCTTTTACACTGGTAACGTTTATAAGACGACCCTGAGATTTCCTCAAAAAAGGAAGGAAAGCCTTCGACATCCTAATTGTGCCATACATGTTAACATTTAAGACTTTCTCAAATAGCTGAAGTGGTGTCCATTCAACTTCGCCCAAGAAGTTTAATCCAGCATTATTTACTAATGCCCATAACTCCTTTGAAGATTTGATTAAGAAACTCTCTATTATCTTACACAGATTGATCACATCTTCATCAAGGGTTATATTTAACTTTACTACTCTTAAATTTTCGGTGCAATGCATTTTCAGGTCTAAGGCACCCTTTGATTTCTCATCAAGGCAACCGGCAAAAACTATAGCTCCTTTCGAATCCAAAAGCCTTGCGAGTTGATTGCCAAATCCACTATCGCATCCGGTAATAATGACCACTTTATCCTTTATCGTCGACTTTTTTTCTTTAAAGTAATAGAGTACAGAAAAGCATATTGCTAATAAACTTAAGGACACACTATATGGCATAACAACTGTGGAAGATAAGAGTACAAATCCTATCAACAGAAAGTAGGCGTTGCTAAAGTAATCCATCTTCTCATTACCCCGCAAATAATGCTTGGGATATTAATGTGGATAATTGGATTGTGATTATCTGACTTTAACTGATTAACAACAAAGTAACTTCCATATAACCTAACCTAATAAGACCAAATAAATAATCGGTCAAAAAAATGGAACACCTTGAATTTTCATAGACCAGCTTTTAATTATCGCTCTCAAATTCTTTTTCGTGTCTAAAAAAATCATCTTTTTTTTTTAGTGAAAGATTTTTTAATGTTAGGCCTATGAAAATTGGCGGTGTTTCATACTTTTGACAGATTACGTTATACCTTAAGTAATTATACAAAATTGTTCATTAGTCTGCGGTGATGGTCATACTGCTTCTAAATTTAAATTATCAACTCTTTCAACTCCCTCTCTTATCCATAAGAGACAAAAAGAATTTTTTATCCCCTCTTTTTTTCGCAATAAATCAAATCAATTTAATCAATTTCCACAGAGTAAATACAAATTTAGACAACACAAATTCGAAATAAGGTTAAAGGTTACCCAAAATAGACGAATTATTTTTTATTTGCCTAATCCTCACAATATCAAAAGGTTGAATCGATAGTTATTAAATTTTCATATTTTATTTATAATGAATAAACATTTATTGTTCGGCATAAGCCTCAAACGCACGATCTCCAAATTTAGAGAAATAAAGAACAAAAGCATCGTTATTTCCCAAAGTTAAATTGAAAAAAAATACAAAAGATATCTTCAATATTCAAATATTGAATTTGTTCATTACATTCAACGGAATTGAAGTGGACTTATTCTCAATCCTATACAATCCTTTCCGATTTCCGTAACCTGTAAAATTTTATAAATATACTTAAATTAGTATCAACAAAGAGAGAAACAAACAAATTTACCTTGGTAATTTGACAAACTTGTCCTTTAAACTCTGGTAGGTAGCAAGCATTACTAAGAGGACATTTAACAACCGGCTTGCCTCTGTAAATAGGTATGTAACTAGAAGCGCAAACATCGAAGGGGTTATGTTCATCATATCTCAAATCGTGAGCATCCGTTGGATTCTTTTCACAAACTGCAGCAAGTTTCCTTGCCTGTAAAGCAATTTCCTGCTTTGGTCCGAGTTCCAATAGCCTTAAAACAAAAAATATGTCTTCTAAATAATCAAAATTAAGAATTCACCTCTTACCTCCTTGCAAAACTTGAGGCCAATCTAAAGTTTTTAATTTTAAATGATAAATTCATAGCATTCCTCAAAGTCAAAATCATATGGACAGGTTGCAATTTGCAATGGGTGAAATAAGCAGCCATTTCGCAGATTCTCTTTTGATCTTCTATGGAATCTTTTGGCAGTTCTTTCCTTGCCTGTTCCATACTTAATCCAAGTATATACTCTCGGCATATCTCAATAAGCTGTTGGGCTTCAGCTAACTCTTGTTTGTTGTCCACAACTAGCAAGGGAACTGACAAGAGTATTGATCTAAATTTTTCAATGGCGTCTCCGAATTTTCCACTTGTGGTCAATTGATAAGCACTCTGGAGTCTTTGAACAAGATCACCTAATTTCAAACCAACTGCTGGAACACCTTGTCGAGGCCCAGCATCTTTCCAATTTCTATGAGGATAACCAAAGAGAGGCTCGATAGAGGGCGTGGCTTGATAACATGTTTTGGATCGTGAGTAGGTTTGAAGAAAAAGTGATTTATACTCCTTAAACTGTACGACACCAATTTGATCGTGTAGTAAGCGAGCGGCCGTTTCAAATGAACCCGCCAATATATGATCTACCGGAAGTTGCGAATTATTACACCAGATCTGAGATTGGGAAGTACCCTTTGTAGGAGGTACAAAGAAGCCCTCGCTGCCAGCACCACTTCCAATTTCAGTGTCTCCCAAGTCCATGTCAGGTAAATCAATGTCTGCATCATCCGGGTCCCAGCCATCACCTTCTTTTGCTTCAACATCCTCTTCGTTCACCTCGATAATTGCACCATCCTCATCTATTATTACTTCGTTATCAGACCATTCAGCATCTTCTCCATCATCAACGGCAATCAATTTATCTTGTCTCTGAGCCGTTCCTCCAGCCGCCCATCGTCTTTCAAAGAAACCCTTCGAAACCGTCAACAGTGGCCAGTTAGTTTCGTGTTGGGCTATTGGTGGTTGAGGTTGCAGAAGCTGGGCATCAGGCATTATTTCGGGAACTTTTTCATTTGCACTTTCAAGTTTTACTTTAAGTTGTTCAGCCTCCTCGTCTAAGCCATGAGTAGCGGCAGCTAGATATGCTAGTGATTTACGACCGCAATCTTGAAGGATTTTATGTCGTTCCTTTACATCTCCCAAGTATAAAGCGTTCTGAAATTGGGCACTACGGTCCTTTCTAATTTCTGCTATTTTCATCATCTTTTTAAGCTTTTCTAAATTTCCAGTTATTAAATAGAGGAAACTAAGCTTATCGAATGATTTTGTTCTTTGATAAGCCATCTCAACAATTTGATGATTGCCTTGCAATAAGGCAACTTCACCTAATTTTTTCCAGCATTCAGTATCATCTAAGGCTCTAGCACTCTCTAAAGCAGTTTCAATTTCGCCACATTCTAAAGCCAAACCAAATCTCGTCTTTTCATCTTTAACGAAGTGAAGGGCCACTTCCGGGTAACCCTTTTGTTGCAAATAGGCAATAATAGATTGACCAACTAGTTTTGCGTTTCTAACCATGTGCAATACTTCATCATACTTTCGATTGATGAGAGCTAATTTAAATTTGTATTCAGTGCAGTCAATACCGAGAACTCTTGGTCGGCATTCCCTATCCAAGCAATAAACATTGCTACCCTTAACGCGGGTGATGTAAACAGGCGTATCCAAGGTTCTAATAATACCATGATCTCCATTATGAAGAGCATATTTAATGTGATTCGATGTCGTATATATAAGTACACCATTTTCATCCCAAGCTGCTGATTTAACTCTCACATTTTCATGAATAGAGCAAAGATTTTCTAATTTGCGGTTACAAACAACAACGTTAACTTTTCCTAATAAGGCTACGTTGGCCATATCTGGTGACCAAACTGCATAACGTAATTTTGGTACTTTCACTTGTCCTAATTGACGTTTTTGCTGAACATCGAACATTGTTACATTATCGCCATCTTTAATGAGTAGGCAACCGGTTCCAGCATAAAATATTTCGTCACAATTAGGCAATTGAACTTTTTTAGTTATTTCATTTTTCAAGTTCTTTACAATGATAGTATGGGATCGATCAAGAACGGCAAATCTATTCCTTGCAACCCAAATGGCAGTTAATCCTGAGCTTCTTTTGCTATCAGGAGCATCTGGATTCTGAGAATCAGAATCCTTTGGAACACCGTAGAGATCATATACACTATTTTCCGGTGAGCTTGCTCTGGTGGTTAGTAAAACAGCATTCTCCGCTGGATTAAAGGACATGCTATATACTGGGGATTTAAGGCCTCCTCTCAATTGCATTACGGCTGTATCCTTGCTTGTGTTAAAATCTAGTCTTCGTAAAAGCTTTTCTTTCACATAGTACAGTAAATTTTTTTCAACAGAGAAAGCTGGTCGTTCTCTTTCAAGCTTGAAAACGAGCATGCCTGAATCATGACCGGCTGCAAATATATTTAGTGTGGGATGAGCGGCCAAAACCCAAAATCTATCATTTTCCCTTCTAAATGTTTGCACGGCAGTTCTTTTGGACATATCCCAAACACGGATACTTTTATCTTCACTATTAGATACAATTAATTCTTGTCTTGGGTGGAAAAGAACGCAAGAAACATTATTATAATGACCTCTGCAAGTGTCAACTTCCCAGGCTTTTGACTCGTTCATTCTCCATAGCTTAATTTGCCGATCATCTGCGCCAGATATAATTAAGGGTAGGGTAGGATGGAAGCTTACCCAGTTTACTCCCCGATCGTGTCCTTCGAGAACATGTTTTACAACGGCATCTGCTGTGCCAAAGAGATCTGTTTGCCCAGGGTGCTTCAAATGATCATCTAATCCACCTGGACCAGGAGAAATATTTTTCTTTCGCAGCCCAGAAATATCCCAGACTCTTACAGTTTGATCAAGAGAACAGGAGACAATCAAATCTTCTGTTGGATGAAATGTGGCTGCCATAACGTAATGGCTATGTCCAGTTAACACACTAACACATGATCGATTCTGCCAGTTCCAAATGCGAATTGTTTGATCATCTGAACTACTTAAAATCCATGGGTATTCATGATGGAATGTCGTTGTCCTAACATAATCGAGATGACCAGTTAAAGTGAATATGCATCTTTTTTGTTTGTAATTCCAAACTTTTATTTTATAATCATCTCCTCCAGAAACAAAAAGAGGTTGTTGATGGTGAAAGCAGACTCCTCTTACAGGTCCTAGGGAAAATCGAGTGAAGATCACAAGTTAAAAAAGGTTTTAAAAAAAGCAAGAAGTTAATACCATCATGTTCATCAAACTTGTCCATAAGAGTGCCCATGCGATAATCCCATAATTGAATAACTCCATTGTGTAGAGATGCCAAAACCCAGGGTCTTTTGGGATGGAAGGAAAGACCTGGAAACAAACATCATATATTGGGTATTCAGCTTTCTTGACATAAAAAAGTCTAAATCAATGATTAAAGTAGTCTTTATGGTACTAGTTGAGCTTTTGAAAGCTACTTTATAGTAAAAGGAACACATTTGCTCTTGCAAATGAAGACAAGATAGTTTACAAAACAAGAGCTTTAATCAAAGTGAAGGACACAATTTTCTTTCAAGAACACTAAAGAGTGTAACATTAATTGAAAGAGAAAAAGGTTATGAACTGAGAGTTTTTAACCAAAACTAACATAATTAAATATCTTTAAACTGTTTTGTTTGAACCGAAAATTTATTGTCATTTTACTTTCTTATTAAATATAATTCATTAAATCGCTCAGATTCATTTGAAAAGATCACAAACCTTTAACTCTAGCACTCTTGGTTTCAAATTTCGTCAACATTATCTGACGGCTCTTTCCCAAGATGAGTCTTGTTCAGCCGCAAATTCTGCCACGATGAACCGGATAAACAAAACAGGAAACAGAACGGAACTGTGGTTTTACAAGGACCGCAGTTGATCCGACAACAACTAGTGTCACCTAACGGTTTGATATAGATATTACGATATTCGATTCAACAAATCGATAAGCTGACACAGATAGATGACCTCTGTCTCGATTTAATCATTTTACTTGAAATCTGTCAGTTATTTTGCACTATTATAACTTTTGTAACTTAAGTTGAACAATATGTCTGCAAGAATTTTCCTTAGAACGCTTAATCATATCAGCTCACGACAATTTAAGGTTTCGAGAGCATCATTTCAACCTCTCCGAAACTATACACATTATCCTATAGATGATGACATCTTTGGCTTAACTGAAGAACAAAAACAAGTAACATATTTATTAAAGAAATTGTCTTCAATTACACAAACTTGCTATTGTAGCTTAGGAGGACTGTTTTCGAATTCGCTCAAGCGGAATTGGCTCCTCATGCTGATAAAATTGATAAAGAAAATAAGTGGGACGATTTGAGAGTTTGTATTTCCTTATAGTCATTCTTCGTTGTCGGCTTAACTTGTATTTCATTTCAGAACTTTTGGTTGAAATTGGGAAATCTGGGCCTTTTAGGAATAACTGCTCCAGGTTAATAGTCTTAAGTATTATTAGTTGGTTATTACACCTTTTCTTCATTTAGCTAAATATGGGGGTTCTGAAGGAGGTTATTTGGACCATCTGATATGTATGGAAGAAATATCTCGTGCTGCTGGAGGAATAGCATTAAGTTATGGTGCTCATTCCAATTTGTGTGTAAATCAAATTGTTCGAAACGGTAGTGAAGAACAGAAAGAAAAATATTTGCCTAAAGTAAGAAATTTCTGTTCTGATCATAAAATATGATCCTTCATTAATATAATTATTTTAGTTAATAACAGGAGAACACTTCGGTGCTCTTGCAATGTCAGAAACAACAGCTGGTTCCGATGTAGTCTCAATGAAGTGCAAAGCCGAAAAGAAGGGAGACTATTACATTCTAAATGGTTCAAAATTTTGGATAACCAACTTCTGCGATGCAGATACTCTAGTAGTATACGCTAAAACCGATATGAATTCAGCAAAGCCGCAACACGGTGTAACTGCATTTTTAATTGAAAAAGGTATGGAAGGTTTTAGCACAGGTGTACCGTTAGATAAACTTGGTATAAGAGGATCGAATACCGGGGAATTAATATTTGAGGATTGCAAAGTACCAGGTTAATAATTTTATTTTTTCTTTTATGACTTGTAAAGTGAGAAAAAAAAATTATGTTTAAAAGTGAAGAATGTTCTTGGCAAAGAGGGTAGAGGAATATACGTGCTCTTTAGCGGCTTGGATATTGAAAGGGTTCTTGCAAGTGCCGGTCCTTTAGGGTGAGCTCAATACGATTTCGCAAATACATTATGCATATGCATTATATACAGTGTATGTAAATATGCATATGAGCTACTTACCAAATTTTCCGACTCTCTCGTTATTAAGACCCCGTCCATGAAATTCCACATTTTAGACATAATTATAGTTTATTGTTTTAAGATACTACTGTATTATATAATTATATATGATATTAGCTTCAAAGTATAGCCATTATTTTCTCATTAACAGAGAAAAATATATTGGGTAAAACTAACCGTGGAATTTACGTTCTATTTAGTGGTCTTGATATAGAAAGATTAGTATTATCAGGAGGACCGCTTGGGTATATGATTCTTAAATCTATATTATGAAAAAGAATAATAATATTTATAATTTTTTTAGATTAATGCAAGCTGCGTGCGATATTGCATTTAAATATGCTCATGATCGAGAACAATTTGGCGTTAAAATTGGTACGTTCCAAATGCTGCAGGCTAAAATGGCGGAAATGTATGTTAAATTAAACACCACTAGGTCGTATGTCTATACCATTGCTCGAAGTTTGGACAAAGGTCTAATACTACCAAAGGTTGGGTGTTTAGAAAATGATATATAATTGTAAATAATAACTCTAAAAAATATAATTCAGGACTGTGCTGCATCCATCCTGTATGCTGCAGAAGAAGCAACCAAATGCGCACTTGACGCCATCCAAATTCTAGGTGGTAACGGCTATATCAACGATTACGCTACTGGCAGAATCTTGAGAGATTGTAAACTTTATGAAATTGGAGCAGGAACAACGGAAGTTAGAAAACTTGTTATAGGAAGAGCCTTAAATTCGGAATACACTAAATAATGTTTGAAAGTTTAAGTAATAAATTCATTGCGAATTTCAATCGAAATTATAAACTGACTTATTTATATACAGATCAATTAAACTGTTTAAAATATTCCCTATCCTAGTTTCCATATCTCCTACTAAGAAAAAATGATTTTATTAATCTCTTATCTCGAAGTAAAACTTTCCCTTAACACTTATTGTCTTAATATTATTAAATTAGAAACATGGCCTGTAGTATATCCTTTCTATCATATTTAAAAGAGATATTCAAATGATTAAGTAAAAAATAGGCTAGTATTGGCCTAATAATATCAAATAAAGCTAAATAGGGAAGTTATATTGCAAATAGATTGGAATATATCACGATTTAGAATCAGATCAATCTTTGACGATCGGTAAAACAAGATGCTTAAATTTCGTTGCGATGTAGAAACTATAGTTGAAAGTGAGTTTATAGAACTATTTCTATAAAAACTAGACAAGTCTATTGATTTGAAACTATATTCCAATCAACGTATTCTTTTAGAGACCTATAATTTGCTTCACACCAAAGTATTACGACAAATCAAAGGACGTGAAGGTCAAGAAAGAGATGATATTATTCAACTCATTGAAGAATTAACTATCAATCATGATTGTTGCAAATCTTGGATAGGAGGTGTATTCTATAAATAATTACTGTCTTATATATATATATATATGTATATATATATATAATGTTTATTAGGATGTTACTTCGACTCGAGCTCAATTAATCCAATCGATATTGAACCAAAGACGAGCCAGGATTCCAACTCTGGATATCTTTATATTACCAACAAAAAACGTAGGTATATTTCTTAATAATATCAATACCCGCCGTATAACTATATATTTTTTTAGCTTCCTCAATAAAACGACCATTTAGTATAGGTTTAATAATATATCCATTATCTATTCGCATGATTATAATTCTAAAAAAAACCTATTTATTCATATATTTTATAAAATATTGCAATATTTGTATCATTTATAGTTCATTGATGAAGAATGTCTATACGCTTTTTCTATTGTTATATTATTTTTGCATGAAAAATTCTTTGCAATTTGAGATTTTAACTTTTCACTTATTCAGTTATCCCTCTAGTGTCGAAAAGTAAATTGAAGAAGTTTTGTGTTGTAAAGAATAATATACTATCAGTTTACGACAAAGAGGATTCCCTGGAAGTTAATCAAACTTATCCAATTGGAAAAGGAGGAGGTACTTTTTGAACTATGAACTTTTTCAGCTTTCTTATAATACTTTTCCAGGGTACGAAATGAAGAACTATAAAGAAGACAAGAAGAAAGCGACATTCGATTTTGTATCTCCCGGAAATTATGTTATAAAGGTTTATTTTTGCAATTTTTGTCATTGAAAATATTAAATTTTCAAAACGAAATCATTAAATAGTGTGAGACAGTCAACAGAGAGGATGGACCACTGTGGAAACGTCTGTTAGACCCTGACAACGTGCTATTTGAGAGAGCAGAATGTACTAATTCAGATAATCCAAGTTCCCAATCCGCGGACCCTGAGATTATGGATGATTACGATGACGGAAATTTTATAAACTCCAATTTGAAAAGAACAGATGACATTGAGTAACAAGATACATAATTACACCATATTAGGGATGATAAATTATAGTTTTCTTTTTTTCTCAGAGACAATATTTATTACGATGTTCAAACAGTTGTCACTCAACCAACGGAAAAGAAATCTCATTTGACCAATCCTACTACAGCTCAGGTAATCTGTCCTCTTGCACAATTGATTTATCTTATTAATTCATATCCAATACTTTTGTTTCTACTAGGATGAGGAAGAGAGCTTGAGAGAAGACGACTGTGAAAATCTCTATCATGCTATTTACGATAGCTGTTGTGATGCACAGGATCAATTGATATTTAAAAGAGGTGATATTATAAAAATAGGAAAAGATTATGGTGAATGGTTAGTTGGCTACATGAAGGGTACATATGGACTGGTTCCTAAGAGTTATCTAAGGCCAGCCTATCAAAGAGTATAAGTGATATTTGATGTCAATAAGTAAATATGTTTCTTACTCTAAATTCAAAAATAATTAAGTATTTAGTAATCTAACAATAAATCGTAACTCGATTAATCTCAAGAATATCGTTATTAAACAGTTTAGCTGTCAGATATGTCTGTAATTACAAATTATATTAATATTTTATGATGTTTATATGTGTATTTAAAAGGAAAATGTTGAGTTACTAAATATATTCAAGTTGAAATTAATTCAAACTTATAAATTAGACTGGTTTCGTCAAATCACCAACATTGTCGAGTACAAAACAAAACGGAGCAATATACCGCTATGTTGACGTCCACTACTTCCGGTATGCCATGCACATCCGGTTCAGTGTCAACAATGGTAAAGTAAGAACACGCAACAATCGCTTGACAATTTCACTTAAAATAGCCCTCGGAGGTTTTGTAATGTTAGGAGCTGTAGTTGCTTATCGGGAGGACGATTACTGGATAAAACCGGCTCTGACAGATGGCCGGTTTCTTAAAAAGATCCTATACAGGAGGCAAAAAAGTAAAAACTGTAAAAGGTTTACATTATACTTCAAAAGCTAAACACACTAAAGAGAAGGAGTCGGTATATACATTCCCAAACCCAGCTTTCGATGACGATGATGATGACAATGACGATGAGAATATTAAATTGACAAGCCGAGGACATCATGAATCCAAAACTAAACTTCCAAAACAGAAACAACTGATAATGATAATACCTGTTAAAAAGGACGACACCCTGCAGAATTTAGCACTGAAATATCGACGGCCTGTTGCCGAAATTAAGCGCGTTAACAATTTACAAAAAGATCAAGATTTTTATGCTCTAACACATATCAAAGTACCTATTCTCGAAGATGGGGTTGTTAGTGAGCTAGTCGAAGACGATAGTCAAGTAAAAATCATAAATGAAGACGAAGTAAATGTCGGTCTTAAAGAATGTGATGATCCCGACATGATAGTAAAAACAATTAGCATAAAAGATTATTGCACTCCTTCAGAAGAAGCTCGAAAGTTTATGGTAGAAATGGACAGGGATATTAGTTCCATTGTAAAGAAAACAGAAAATTCTCGTAAAGAGCACTTAAATGACGTAATTAACATGTTAACAGCGCCTTCAATTCAACCCTTAAAGAAAGACTGGTTTCATTGGTCTGACTGTCGTTGTTCTTGGTCTTCCATTATAATTCTAATTACTTTTTTCGTTCTCGTTCCCGCAATATTTTATCTTATTTTCCGTTGTAAATGGTCAAATGGGTCTATAGAATGCAAATTTCACTAGCATCTAAGATATTTTTGCTCAATAGAAAAAAATACAGTATATGGTCGATTTTCGGTATTTCTCAATAGATCATTGATAGAGCATATTCATATTCTTTTTCAAAGATAATCTGACATTCTATCGTTCAACAATTTTTTGAATAATTCTGAAACTACTTGAAAGATTTCAAAATAAAGCCAAATTAAAAATTGGGGATTTAAATCTTTTTGCGTAAAGTGATGTCTTATTACATTAGTATCTCTTCCCTGATTGTGATATGAAATACACTGAACTATTTTATGTTCTAACCATTTAACTTCTGTATTTACTTTAAAATTAAAAAAAGCTATAATTTATTTGAAATATCTAATTCAAAAAAAAATCTGCCTTTTTTCATCAATAATATCGTTTATCCTATAACTCTAATCAAGATACATTAAAAGTTACTGGTGGCTTATTTATCCAAGTTGCTGGCCAATTGTCATCTCCAGGCTTATTACTTTCAACTAGACCCTCTCCTTGTAGTTCAAAGTAGTATTTTCCAGGGCAGAGGAAGAGAACTTCTTGCGATAATTCAACGAATTGAACTGAATTAACATTTTTAAATTCGAAATATTCTGAACCATTTATAAATACATTTGACAATTCAAAATCTTTATGATTCAAGTTTCCGTCATGCTGGTAAAACTTGGCAGAAAATTGAACATTTTTCAAATAGAGATAATCATAGGCGCATCTCAATGATATAGTAATTTTCTCTGCCTCTCCAACCTTGCAGGTAATTTGAGTATTTTCCAAATTTATCACAGTTTCATTAAGAACAAAGTCTAAATGGGGCATATAAAAAACAAGATAGAAGGTTATAAAAAAATAGAGTAATATATGTATTTGCAATCTTACTCCAGTCAATAATAGGATATTTCCATAGCTTAAGACAATCTTTACTCCAAGCAATGGTATCTAAAGATATTATTCCATGCCTGCCATTCAATAATCTATATGTCACTTTTGAATCGTTTCTAACTTCGTGATTAATAATTTCGGACGATAATTGAGCATCATTTGAAACTGGCTTAAATTTATTTACTGGGAAGCTTATTCTATTAATATTTGGATATTAATATCGTTAGTTATATAATTCTTAGATTATTCAATAGGAATGTTCACCTTGAGGTTTCTCCTTTACCAATACAAGCTGCATATGAACTTTTTTCGTGACTAATCCAAACTTTTCCTATTTGTAAATTCTCAATATCAAGATGAAGTAAGAGGCTTTTCCAACTAAGTTAAAGGTAACATTAAAGGAAAAATTACAATCATAAAACACAAAAAAATACTTACTTTAGACCATCGACTAAATTCCATTTCTTTACAATAACAGATGGCATTATAGTAATTCGAAATACAATTCCAGCTTTTCTACAATACTTATGTTTACTTTCATGATATTGAATTTTGACTAGATATTCTACAATCTGTAGAAAGAGTATTAATTCAAATACTTTTTATGTTTTTATCTACAATATGGATAATATTTACGTGCGACTTTTCAGGAGAAAGAATTTCTCTCTTTCTAGATGAAAATTCTGAAAACATTATAAAATTAACTTTAATATTTGATATAGTATAATTTCTATGACAAACCTTGACATATAAAATTATGAGTTCCAAATAGAGCAATCTTTTGTACAGCTTTCTCTCCAACTTTAATTGGTAGTCGAATATCCTCTGGATTTTTAAGGGAAACTACTGGCTCAGAAAAACCTTAAACACATAAAATTTTTATATAATAATAATATGAATTATTGAATAAAGAACAAACAATAATCTGATCCTTCCACATTTTCAATACTTAAATCTAAATTATCTACATCTATATTCCCAGAGTTGAATAGTGACATATCAACAATCATGCTGTAAAGTAGAAGAAAAAGAAAAAAAATGTACAATAAATACATATACTGAATATAAGTATAATTACGTTTCTCCACTATACAAATCCAAATTGTAGGCTTTATAAATGGGGCTTTCATAATCATCAGGAGAGAATATAACGCTTTGAGAATTATTTAAACTTGTTTCAATCTGTTTGAATTGAAAACATTATAAAAGTTGTCTCTAATTTACGTTATTGTTTTTAATATCGTTACATCTAAAACTGGGAGAGGATGAATTATATGGCATGAAAGGTTTTCTTCACTTAATGCTGCCAAATCCTTTATTTTGCTTATGCTCTTTATGCCAAACATGTTAAAATGATACTCTAAAAATAGATTTCAATAGATTATTTCTTATTTTTTTAAGGAGGTTAAAAACTACCTTTTAACAAGTATTTTCCCTCTTCTTTAGTTTCTCCTTTTACCCGATATTTTCTTCTTGTTTTTGGAGGAAGTGTAAAATTAAGAGGTACCCAATCCACATCGACTTTATCGAATACGGGAATCTAGCATAAGATACTTCTCCTTTATACGAACCATTTAAAATTATGTAAATATTTACCAAATTTTCACAAGTTAACGGTATAAGAGTTGGATTGAAAATTTGAAATTCTACGTAGAATGGTTCGTCTACGCACCATTTGGCAGCTAAATTAAATATTAATTGATTAACAACATTATTCTAATATTTTACCGCTTTACCTTCTTTTATGGGATTTTTTTTCCTATTATTCGCTGAAGGACTAGGACTTACAATAAATACACCAGAATCATCTTCTTTTCTTCCAGAGTCAATTTTAATTGGCTCCAGGTACTCAACTGGACGGATTAATTGAATTCGTTCAATTCGTGGAATATTTGTAAAATTTACTGCAGGCAGTTTTGTGTTATATCTTGTTACTTCAGTTGGCCTTTGAGGTTCGCTGTTATTCGTTAGTTTTTCTATATATTTACTATAATTTTCCAATTCTTTAGCGCTTAAATAAGGATATAGATTATTCAATAATAAACTAAAATGTTGAAGAGCTGCATCGCCATCTCTGGCATATTCTGCCATATAAGCTAAATCGGCTAATATTTGAACTTTAACTGGAGACGCCCATCCATTCTTCCATTGGTTACTTAAAGGATCAAACGATATAGCAAATCCTTTGTTACTGCCCAAAAGTAATTGGTGACTTTTCTTCCAAGAAGATATTAGTCTATCACTGGCCGTCATTTTTGCCGTTATATGTTTAAAAAAGGACGCTTTTCGTTCCATTTTAACTAAAGAATATAACGATGAAAGAGTAGAATATTGTTGTAACTATAGAAAGTAAATTAATAAATGACTCTGCGAAATGAGTAGAAAGTATATTAAAATAAACTGATATTACTTTTTCATCTTCACTTAAATTCAAATTAATATATATTAATTTTTCTAAATATCTAGCTCCATCTAAGTATTTCTAGAAAAAAAATTACATTGTTTTTGAAAACTGTACTGCTGATTATATATAATTAACTTACTTGTTGACTGGCAAAAAGCCGACAAGCTTTCATACAAGCTTCCATTCTAATTACTCCTATTGTATTATTTTTTCCATAGCATTCTACAGCCTCCATATACTTTTCAAATAAGTCTGAGGGTAATAATTCACCAAATCTTCTATTTACCGCTAAATCCAAGTCAGTAGCTACAAGTACGTTATTGAAAATAGGCTTTAATATTGTGAAAAAAGAGATGATAATAATTACCAGTTGATGATTGGGCCAACAATGAAGGAGTTTTTCCGTGCTTAACGGAAAAAGAGGAATTTCTATTGAATTGAGATCGCTCAGGTGATGGGTTATTAACTATAATATTCGTTGCACAAGTTCCTTCATAAGTAGCTATTAAAACCATTAATTTTAATAAAACATTAAGGAATGACTCTATTTTTAATCAACCTCCAAGCCAAATCCAGTCATTAACACCTTTTAAAATTCTAGCAGCAGTTTCGTAGTGAAGTAGGGCGTCCTGAGGTAATCCAGCTAGAAGACATAAGTCTCCAAGATGCTTTCTTATACGCCCTGTACACTTTTTCTTATAGTTTCTAGAAAGAAATTCTAAATTAGTAATAAATTTAAATGAATATAGAAATATTCTTCAAATAGTTTTTTTTTGTTGAATTTTCATTCAGAGAATTATTCAGACATTCTAAATTATTGAAATTATGTATAAATTATCAGGTTTTATAAAATTACTATATAGTTTGACATACCGTTCAAAAACACGTATTAAACTGCATATATTTATACACATTTTAAAGACATTCATTGAGCTTCTCGTCAGATGTAAACTATTTATAAGATGTCAACTAACCTTCCTTCACTCTCGATTCCAACTAATTCTTTTTTTTCTATTGGATTTTTTAATAAAGATAATTTATCTTGTCTTTCAATACTACGATCTTGTACTTTACTTTCCAAGATCCAAAATAAAGTTTCTGTTAATTCTTTAACAATTGCATCGCAATTTTCCAGAGCATGATCAAATGATTCGAAAACAACAGGTTCCTGGCCTGAGGATGTGCCATTCGATGTAGGCCCATCTTTCTCAATTGACTCATAATATTTATCCTCGTTATGTTTTATTTCGTTTCCTTCATAGCATTTTATTGTAATTAACTTTGAGTTGTAAAATGTTGAAATATAGCGTTGTACGTGAGCTTCAAAATCAATTTTTAAATCACTTAACTCAGAATCGTTTTTAGCGGCACCAATGCATATTAAACCTAAAACTCTTCTGTGCATCTGAAATTCTCCCCACTCATTGTTCTCCACTGGATAATGTCGTTTGAATCGTATATTTAAAACTCTATCTTTATCGTGAATACGGACGAATTTAGTAAAATTAAGTTTATCAAAAAGAATTTTGAATTGATCATCGGTTAATGAACTGCCAACTTTTTGTACGTCAATTAGAATTGCACCATGATCTTCTACCCGGCAAGAAAAGTCAGGGAAGCTCATTTTTCTGAAAGACGGTCAGATGGGAGGATGTGTCCGAGTTTAGTATGCTATCAGTGACATACGAATGGTGACAATCTTTAAATTTATAAGCAATAGGTTCAATACTTTCTAATTTCTAATTAAGTTATGCTCACTATTGCAGATGATGATAAAATGGAACTAATTGAGCACGAAAAATGTTCACTTGTATAGAAATTGATGCCAGACCGGAAGTTACGCGCAAATTCGACTTCGTACAAAAACATTCGCAAGAAATTAAAAAACCAACACTTTTACGAAAAAATATTAATAAATAGAACCCCATCCAAGTGCTTAAAATTTTTTATACGAAGACTACCTCGGTACAAATTTCCGCATCCGCTTTCCGAGATACGCCAACGGAACGCTAGAAAAATTCCCCCAGTTTTGATACATAAAAATGGTACGTTTTCATTCAAAATATAAATTTAGAATTGGATGTAGAATATATTCATGTCACTATTGATCAAAAAACCGATTAGCTGAATAAAGTTTTTATTAATTTCAGTCACATACTATTTTGCTCGTACAACCTGGGAAAAAACCCGAAACACGAACATATTCGGACTATGAATCGGTTAACGAATGCCTCGAAGGTATACTATAGAATAATACATCTGAGCATAATTTATTATGTTATTCTTATTTAGGAGTTTGTAAAATCTATGAGGAATATCTCAAACGTCTAAATCCAGATAGCCCCTCTATCACGTATGACATAAGTCAACTATTTCAGTTTGTTGATAATTTGGCCGACCTCAGCTGTCTAGTGTAAGCTTAGATTTCTTTTTGCAGTTATTAGGAAAACTAGCCTAATACTATCTGCACCGAGATACTGTATCATGCTCTTTAGAGAAAAAAAATAATTAAAATGTTATACTAAACAATTGCAGATATCAGAAGTCTTCATCGACTTACGTACCACACAACAAGGATTGGATCAAGGAGAAAATTTACGTGTTATTGAGAAGACAAGCTGGAGGAAACAAGTGAATGACAGTTTACTATGAACAACCAACATCTTTTGTATTTATAGTGGACCTAAACTTGTTTGTTTGCACTGTCTATCAGTAATGGTTTTCATTTATATCTCTTGAGCAAGTAATAAAGAAATTAAATCCCAAGTAGTTTTCACATAATGGATGCTGGAATACCATTGATAAAATCGAGTGCTGATTCTGTTCAAAACACTTCCTAGCAATTTTTTTTATCTTTCGTTCTATAAATTATATAAACTAAGTTATTCCATTTTTTTTATTTTTTCTACGGTTTTGCTTAAAAATAAAAATAAGATGGCAATCGCCTGGCTTTAAATGAACAAAAGATTATTGATTTAGCTTTTATTTTCAAAAAGATGTGATAACCAAAAGTTAGCATATTATTTATTGAAAATATGCAATCTGACCGTATTAAACTTAAACATTTTTCAGCATGTCGAAACGTCGGCTTTTTACTAGCGTACTATGCTTACAATTTCTTTCTATTTTTAACGAAAGGTGAAGGTCGTTGTATTTTAGAGTGGCTCGAAAAATAATACTCTGTCGTGTGGAATACAATAGGGTAACGATACATGTGGATTAGGCTATTCCAGTTATAAACATCGATGGCCCCATTAAAGTTTGAATTAGTAGCCAAATGTTCAACCACCAAAGCGAGAGTTGGAATCATGACGTTGACACATTCAACTGTCAATACACCGGTGTTCATGCCGGTAGGCACTCAGGGAACACTAAAAGGTCTATTACCCGATCAAATGTTGGATCTAAATTGTTCAATAATGCTAGGAAATACATATCACTTAGGCCATAGACCAGTCAGTAATTAAACTAATTTTTAATTGATAAACTCTCATCTTTTATTTTCTCGCCTAGGGACCAGAACTTTTAGATGCGGCTGACGGTTTGCATAACTTTATGAGATGGAAAAATTCATTACTTACCGTAACTGATTCATTAAAAGTTTCTACAAAGTAATTTATAACTTAATTATAAATTCCAGGACAGCGGAGGGTTTCAAATGGTCTCATTGCTGAAATTAGCTGAAATAACAGAAGAAGGAGTAAGATTTCAATCTCCGCACGACGGATCCATGATGATGCTAACGCCTGAACATTCAATGCAAATTCAGAATTCCATTGGTAAAATGCAAATATATATATATGAATAAGAATATAGAGAATCTAAGAATATAAACATGAAAATTCCAGGAGCAGATATAATGATGCAATTAGACGATGTAGTAGACAGCAAAATAACTGGTCCCAGGGTGGAAGAAGCAATGCATAGGTCACAAATTGTTTAATTGAATTTCTACTCTTTTATACACTCACCAGAATCTTTGAATTAAATAGATCCATTAGGTGGTTGGATAGATGTATTAAAGCGCACAAGAAAACTGAAACTCAGAATCTTTTTGCAATTGTTCAGGGAGGTTTAAATCCCGAGCTAAGAAGACAGTGTGCTCAAGGTATGCTTAATCAAATTACACAAACTTTATATGAAAACCCAGTGAATTATCGGTCTTGAAAATAGAGATGATCAAAAGGGATGTGCCTGGTTATGCCATAGGCGGTTTGAGTGGTGGTGAAGAAAAGAAGCATTTTTGGAAAATGGTAACACTGTCGACTGATTTACTGCCTACTACAAAACCGCGTTATTTAATGGGTGTTGGATTTGCAGTCGATTTAGTTGTCTGTGTCGCGTTGGGCTGCGACATGTTTGATTGCGTTTTTCCTACAAGAACGGCCGTTTGTATTATTCTCTTACCTTGGCTTCTAGTTTACATTTACAAAACTATATATATATATTATGTATTATCTATATTAGCGATTTGGAACAGCATTAGTTCGTTCTGGGCAACTCAATTTAAAAACTCAGAAATATAAATTAGATATGAGGCCAATAGATGAAGAATGCGACTGTGTAACCTGCAAAAACTATACTAGAGCTTATTTACACACAATAGTAACCCAGGAAACCGTTGCATCGTCTCTCTTGACGATTCATAATGTTGCTTATCAGGTATCTGGTGAAAACTTAAAAATATATGAGTAAAATATATAATTTATTTTTCTTTCAGCTCAAGCTGATGAGTGAAATAAGGGAAAGCATAAAAAACGATAATTTCCCAAGATATGTTAAAGAATTCTTTCGAAACATGTTTCCAAAAAAAGATTATCCATCATGGGCAGTTGATGCTCTGAAATCAGTTCAAATCGACCTTGTCTCTGGTACATAGATATTGTTCCATTGTTGCATATATATATATATATATATATGTTATACAGTGCAGCCTTTCGAAGCACTGACTTAACTTAAATTTGAATAAAAATTTTTGACATACGACTATAACGAGTGAAGAAAAACAGTATGTTACAGTAACTTAGTGATTTCTCAAAGCCTATCAAGATAAAGGGTTTGTGAGAAAAATATCGAGATATACATTCAAGTAAATATTCATTATTTACTCTTTCGAACTGCAAATTGATCACATAGAACAAAATACGATAACACTTTCCTGTTGTTGAGAAATACTTTCCGATAAAATTTAATGGATAAAGCAGTTATTTCTACAAATGACTATCCAGTTAATAAATTTCTCTTAATGTCTTTACATCTCTAACAGAAGAAGGAATCTGCTATATAAAATTAATTGATATCGATTTCTTAATAACACATTAAATTGAGGCTTGAATTATTAAATAGTCGTGTGTTTTTTTCATCTTTCTTTGTCAATATAATCTTTTACTATATAAAAAAAAGTGACTATAACTTTTATACCTGGAAAAACTGCATCGGAGTTATATTTCATCTTGTAAAAATGCAAATGATAGGTGAGTATATTTCAATCGATTCTCAAATTGATGTAATTTGAATAGGAAATTTGTATTGCATTGCTTAATATTCTATTGTGATCAAAGAAAAAACGGACTAACGCTGAAAATGAAAAAAATGCACTCGTATGTTTTGTAAATTTTTTACTCCAATTATTATGTTTTACAAACTCCTCCCCATAATAATAGGGCAATGAGAGAGATTCTTACTTTTCTTTGTTCTTTCGTCTCCACCCTATATGTAACTTTATTTATTTATTGCATCTTTTTTATGAGAATTAGAGCAGGTTAGAAATGCATCAGAAAAAAATTAATATTATATCTTTGAGAGGCAAAGTGCTCAACAGCTTGTAATTATAAAAGGGGCGTTTGAGCATATGTTTTTTCCTTATAAAAAATATACTTATATCTTTTTATAAAAGTGCTGCTCAGAGTGACCTTAATTTCGAACGCTGAAATTTTTATATGGTAAGAACAGACTTGTCTAGATTGAACAGGAAATAATGAATCGATTTTGACGCCGCCTAGCGGGATTTCATAGAGTTGCAGCCTTAGTCGTTCTCGATGTGCAGAGTCCTACCCATCACACGATCAAATTTTTGTCTTGGTATTTAAGGGTAATATAAAATATTTTATAACATTTACAATTAATAAAAATCGAATGCTTTTACATATTTTAAAATTCGATTCGATTATTCGGAATCGGAGTATCGATTTTTTACCTCTACTATTTTGTATTTATATTCCGCCATTTTGTCGGGAATTTTTTCGTAGCTGCTTGAGGATCGAATCGGCCTTGGTAATTCGAATATATTTGATATTTGTAGCCTTTCATCGTGTACTAGCTTAGTTAATGATTAATTTACGATCTAGTAGGCAAAATATGGGTAACAAAAGGTAGATAATATTAATAACGCGATGCAAGTTTCCGTACCACCTGTTGGGTTTTGTTGTATTCCTCAACTACCCAGTTTAGATCTTTACAATCGCCTGATAAAAGCCTAGTGTTTTCATATTTGGTAGATATAAATTATCATTTAGATTAAACATTTTTAATAGAGGTAAAATTAAGACTAGTAATTCTTTTTTGTTTTCCACGGAAACTATGACGATCGGTTAAGCCAATAGAGCTTATCCAGAAGAGTTTAAGATAACGCCAATAATTGCTTCGTCACGTTATAAACATTTCTTCGTGGAAATCAATTTTTCCTAATGTCAGAAATTGGATATTGTATAATTCTCTACGAACTCTTGATAAAAGAAGAGATAATGAAGTAACACGCCTATGTACCGTTGAGTACACGGTGGTGATTATATCCTTTGTTAAGACCGTCATAAGCAGCTATTTCTTAGTACTTTATATTTTGTTATATGAAACGTTTGAATACGAGGATTGATCTTAAAAAAAAAAGTTCATTTTTCCTAACTCAGATAATATCTGGTTTTAGTTAACTCCGATGTATTTTAAAGACTTTAGTTTCATTTCTTACCTTAGCAGGAAATTAATTACATTACCTGCTTTGAAGCCCAATAACCTTGAAATCATTTTTGATGAAAGAACTGTTTCAAATTTATTCTATAAGACATCAAGTTTCCAATTGTGACAAATTGCATGCCTCCTTTAATATATATATGATTAGTTTCAAAGTTACAACATAATTTTAGTATTATTGTTTTTTTTTCAGGTAAAAAAATCATGAGCGACAGTGAAGGAGAAAAAAACAAAGGTACTGATTATATTTCACTTAACATATGCAAATTTACAGTCATAAAATTACAGGAGTGAAGCGTGAACATGATGAGAGTGATAAACACGAAGATCGTGAGCAACCACAAAAGAAAATGCGGATAGGAGAAGGTTCCCAGATTGAATGTAGAATTTTACTTCCAAGCAAGGTAATTCAATGATATGATTTACAAATGGTTATTATATACTCTCTTACAATTAAAGGTTGCCGGCGCTATAATCGGAAAAGGCGGATCGGTTATCAAAGGGTTGAGAGAAGAGGTAAGATTGTATTTTTTTCAAACATTTTCCTTCATAGATCAATATACAGAATGAAATTGACATCACCCGTATTTGCATATATAAAAATATATAATAAGTTCCATTAGCTAGATTCAAGATAGCTCAACAAGATCCTGTGATATATCTCCATTCAGCCTGCGAAAATTCTCTTTAAACACCTTTTACTTTTACGATATTAAAATTATTACGAAGAACTCCATTATAAACTCACGATGCCACAGCCTTACCAGCAGTGTTCTGTTCTAATCGGCGGTGATGAACATGTCTACATGCAACCTATTAAGCATGTTTCGTGTTCATCTTTACCAATATATATATCTACATTTATATATAAATATATATGAACACAAATATATATATATATATGTATATATATATATACAATTCTTATATTTATATACCTATACACATATAAGTTCTTATATTTATTTCATATCCAATCGTCCATTTTTATATGATGTCACTAATGCGAAGATTTTTTTCCCGTTCCTGCTTCATCGTCCGTTTGGCGAACTTGGAATAAACTATCCACCCTTAACAGTACAATGCCCATATCACTCTACCAGACTCAAGATCCCCAGAACGGTGAGATTTTCCCCTACATTTACAGCTTCCGTACAGCCTCTTAAATCTGACAATACCACTTACAAAGATTATTATTTTGTCTAAATAAGCCATGCTAACTGGTCCCAAATCACATTTTGCCTCCAGTGGTATTGTTTCAATTGGACCAAAGTGTCTCGTTCCAGTAGCTAAATCCTTTATCAGGACTGTTGAACGTGGCATTCCTACAACTTTTTTTAGCCATTTTTACCCCTAGACCACACGTCATTAAGTCACAAATGCGATTTAAAATTTTTTGGGTGGATTCCTAAAACGAACCCGTCTTTAAAACAATACCATTCTTGACTTTGACGAAGAATAAACTCACTCTTCTTCACTGTTGCTTTACCCAATATAGGGAAATTATTGGTTATAAATTTTTACCCAGTTTAATAAGTATAACCTTTGTGAAACAGTGTGGTTTAACTAGGTTCTTTAAAAATATTTCGAATGTATTTTTTATCACATACTCTCGTTTATAGGATACTCGTAATAAGTGCCACTACGGGCTCTGTTTGTGAGTTAATGTTGAAAATCGTGCCAATCATCGAAGAAAACGTTAGTGTTATTTAATTCCTTATTAATCTCATGAATAACACATTTTCTCGACAAAGGATGAAAGAGAGATACGCTTACTTGTGCACCAGTCACAAGCTGGTTGCATTATTGGAAAAGCTGGAGCAAAAATCAAGGAATTGCGTGAGGTAATAAAAAAGATAATCAAATTTCTAAATGTTAAGTATAAAATGACGACATTTTATAGCAAACTGGGGCTAATATCAAAGTGTTTGGTAAATGTTGCCCGGATTCCACTGAAAGGGTGTGTGCTATTGGTGGCTCTTCAGCAACTACTATAGCTGATGCTCTTGGTGTGATCTTTGGGTTACTGCAATCATGCCCACCTAAAGGTTATAGCAATTTGTACGAACCAAATAATTGCGATGAATATATGATACAAGAGTATGGAGGCTTCTCATCAATGCAAGATAGAGGAGGTCGAGGCGGTCGAGGTGGTAAAAACGATAGACGAGGAGGTGGCAGAGACGGAGGTAGAAGAGGTGGGGGTTCAGCTCCTAACTCATCTGGAGGTAGACGAGATCGCATGTCAGATCGTGGAGGAAGACGAGATACAGGGAGAAGAGGAATGGCTCCAAGGGGGGGATTTCGTGAAAACTTCCCGCCCGAGGGCATGAGAGATAACAGAAATAATAGGTACCCTGAGGGAGGACCTGGCTTTGGAGTTAGAGGTGGCGGAATGTCAGATACAAGAGAGTATAGTGGAATGGGCGGAAGGATGGATATGAACAGAGGGGGATATGGAGGACGAGATAATGCTTTTGCTGCTGGCGGTGGCGGCGGAGGGGTTGGGAGTGGTGGAAACGGTGGTATGACTGGAGGAGCTAGAGGAAGTTCCAATTATGGCGGAAGGGATGATGGGTAACCTTTTGATTTACTCTTAGTATAAAGGTTAAATAAATTTTTTTTAGCTTTGACAGCGGTATAATAGACCGAGGAAACTTTGGCGGCGAATACGGCAGTATGGGAGGTAGAGGAGATTTTAGTGCATCTAGAGATACATATGACGACGACCAAAGAGGATTTGGTGGAAGCAGCACCACTGGCACTGGAACAGGAGGAGGAATGCGCAGCCAGATGGGAAACAGAATGGGTAGTAATTCTGGAGCTTACAACAAAACTTTTGCTTCTGATTCAATGGTATGTGTACTTTAACAATTATTATCTATCAAGCCAGTTGAAATTAATTTTTATAGGGAGGAATGGGCAATCAAGGAGTGATGTTTGGTGGAGGAACGAGTCACGTGCCTTCTTCAACTCAAGTTAGCATTCCGAGAGATGTAAGTACTTTATTGTATTGTTTATGTCTTTTATTACTCTTTTGCTGAAAAACAGTTGGCTGGAGCTGTAATCGGAAAAGGTGGATCTCGCATTCGTCAAATAAGAGAAGAATCCGGTGCTTCAATTATTATGAGTGAAGGACAAGGAAACGAAGACCGTATTATAACAATTAACGGTTCACCAGAACAGATACAAAATGCCCAGTATTTGCTCCAAATGAGGTAAGCATCTATCATACATTAGTAGCATGTTTTAAATTTAACGCTAAAATATATTTGTTGATAACACAAACTGATAATTTAGAAATGCTATTTCCGAAAGCTTCATAAATATTTTATTAACAAACTCATTTGTATTAATAATATTAATGTTAGAGCTTCTGTGAAGCATGGGTTTTGGTGGTGGTTTAAACCTGGTAGAGCGGGTGTGGAAGACTAGTGATTTTGTGTTGATTTGATGACAAAAAATCACTATCTTCCCGCACATGTTCTACTACTTGCTGCTTTTTAACCCCCGTATCTTGTAGAGCGGGCACTAACTTTTCCTTTGTTTTATATTAACAATTCGAAACAAAATACTGATTTGACTACTTTTTCAGCGTGAAGCAATACACGGGACGCTTCTAAGGAACTTGTAGGATTCTATTTGCTGTTTGGTTAATGAGTATTGGGCAAAAACAATATTGTTGTAATTGTATATTTTTATACTTAATAAATGCTTGAGTAGAACAAAAAATAAAATTCATTTCGAAGTAATCGAAGGCATGTAATAGCAAACGAAAGTGTATTTTTTTTAAAACGATACAAGTTTTATTTAGTGCTTCTTCATTATATATAACATAGACCAGAGTTTTTTTGAAAATCGAAAATTCAACTTAAAAACTCTTCCAGAGTGGTATTAATAATCATCTCCTCTGCTAACTACTTCTTTACAAGTTGGTCTGAGGATAATGGTGTGTTCGTATTGAGCTGTATACGAACCTTTAATGTCACACAATGGAGGATAGGGATCAACCACACCTGCGTCACACAAATTTTTCAGAGCCATTAAATACTTAGTCTGGCCTAGACGGTCTAGCCACCGTCTACAGAACGCTAAAGTTCCAAAATTCTCGTTTATGATGTTAAGCAGTTGTTTTGACTTCGACAATCGCAGAGGAACGTGACCAATATCAAAGTTTTTCATGTAATGAGAACATTCCATATCATCGTGAACCTATGAAAAAACATCACTAATTATTTTACATTGAGGTATAGCATTAGCCTTACCTGTCCTTTACCAGTGGAACCAAACGTTTCAATAGCGTAAAACTCGCCTTCCTCCATTCGAGTAGCTTCACCTCTCTTTACTATAGGAACTGTTTTGCCTGCATGTACTCGATAGTGTGAAATTGAATGACCGTTCAGATTTCTTATAGATTTTATAGGATAGGTTTTTCCATTTAATTCAAGCTGAAAAGCAAAACAACATAAATTGATTATCTTTTACCGAAATGGAATGCTTTACTTCATAGCTCTCCATAACTTCTTGAATAGCAGCACCAACATCACATAATCTAACGTCAATACCAGCTTCCTTTACTCCAGTATTTGTAGCATCTTTTACAGCTTTCAACAAATTGTCATATTTGGGATTAAATGCCACAGTAAAGGCACTATCAATGATTCGACCACCAATATGTGTTCCAAAGTCAACCTTCATTACATCGTCATATGTTAAGACAGTCGGATCACCAGCATTTGGGGTATAATGGGCAGCACAGTTATTTATAGAAACACCAGTTGGAAAGGCCAATCCAGCCTCCAATTTGTTTTCTACTATAAGTCTTCTTGCTGTCTCTTCAAGTTCCTCACAAATCTGTTAATGATAATGGATAAATAAACTAATACTACAGGTTTGAGGTATACAAACTTTTATCATTGATAATCCAGGTTTGATAAATTTTTGCATATATTGTCTCGTCTGCCTATGAACTTCAGCGGCGTGTCGTAAATCATTGTAAATTTCGCTATCTACTAATTCCAAAGTTTTCTTCTCTTCAGAAGTGAATCTAAAGTTTATAAAGTCAGTATCACAAGAAATTTTTTTCGCTGTTTGTTCTGTTTACCTATTTTTCCCCCAAGTTACGTCGTTTGGAATTGGGTAATCCTGGATTTCTCCAATAGGATACTGATTATCTTTGAAGATTTCCCTTATTGGGATCGTTGGGGGATCTGTCTGAGTTTTAACCGATCCCTTCTTCTTCTTCTTCTTCTTTTTTGGGTTAGATGACGACGCAGCTATAAAAATACGAGCTGATAGTTTTATATTCACACTTATTTTCAAAATTATTATCACCTGCACCATCTGTTGCATCTTCTTGATTTTCGCCTTGAATAGTAAGATTTTCTACACCTTCTTCTAGTCCGTTACAATTTTCATTTGCTTCTGTCTTTCCTGCAAAATTTTGACCCACGAGGCACGTGTGTAGGAGATTTCATTTTTTACGTCATTAAATAATTACCCTTCTTCTTCTTCTTCTTCTTCTTCTTCTTTTTAACTTCTCCGTTGGCATGCTCTTCCTCTACAACGTCTTCTTCCTCTTTATCAACGCTTTCGTCGACATTCTGCAATTGATCCTTAGCAATGTCCGCCATTTCGAAAATTTATGCGGGGCTGCTGTTCCCTTATATCAATAAACACTGAGCTTGAACAAAAGCTATAATTATTTGTTTTTATTTTTTTTATTATCTAATCAAAGAAATATTTTTGATCAATTTAATTCTCCTGTATTTAATTTTTTTGTTTAGAACAGTAATTAACTTTTGTCTAGTTTCTTTACCAAAATTGGTGCATTTCCAAAAATACTGACTTAGAAGTGTTATATTGTCAATCTCTAATGTATTTTAAGTAAGGATAAACTATGCTCTACTTTTATAATACTGTTTATTTTGATATTATAGTTTTGCACTTCGAACAATATAAGTTTTAGATCTACTGCTTTAATTAATACGTGATTTATTTGGCTGTAAAAAACATTTGAAAAATTAAAAGCATAATAAGATTAACAAGCAGTTTAATTTTAAAGCTTATGTTGAATTTCTTTTACAGATGTTTAACAAAAATTTTAAAAATATTTTTAAATTGTAAAATGGTTATTTAAAAAAGAAAATTTTAGTATCGTTCCGCTTTTTCACATAATAGTTAATTTAGTATGGTATAGTATTCACTATCAATAAATGCAGAATTAATCAATAGAAATTATATCCGTACCAAACTATTTTATTGTGGTCATGTGACTTGATTGTCCAATCAAAATGTGAATGTGCCGAAAATTAAGGAAAATCAAATTTTTGAGACATTCCCACAACAAAGGAATTAGAATTAATTATACTTCAAATTGATATTATTGTTATGAAATTAAAGATAAGAATAACACGTTACAATATTATATAAGAAAAATTTTCTATGGCGTTGCTAGCTTGAGATACCCTTTCGCGATAGATATTCAATTGGATATCTCTTGTAACAAAGGGCGATAATGGAGGGGGTGGAAGCGGACGATTTATCTCAGATTGAAGAAGTTGAGAAAACTCAAGAAACACCTGAAAAGTCAATTTCCCCCGAGGAGCATGATGATGAAGTAGAAAAAGATTGTCATGATGTTGTCACCGATGAAGGATTAGGGGGTAATCCTCCGAAGGAATTAAAACAAGTAACTGGAAGAGGCGTCACTTTAGCACTTTTGCTCAGGGATAAACTAATCGAACCTGGTGAAGAGGTTCTTTCAATTGAGTATCTAGGTAAAAAATTTGTGGCCGATTTGCTACCGGACGGTAAATTAAAGAGTCAGGAAAATGTATTTAACTCTCCTAGTGCATGGGCAATTCATTGCAAGAAAGTTGTCAATCCAGACAAGAAGTCAGGCTGTGGATGGGGTTCAGTAAGATATAAAGGAAAAAAACTCGACACTTATAAAACCCTCTGGTTAAAAAATAAGGGTTTGGTTGTTCCTACTGGAAATTACAAGTGTCCTGTTGAAGATTTTACTTTCAATGTTTATAATCCAAAAAACATAAAAGCTCCAACTTCAGATGACACTGGAGAACCTATTGACCATTCAGCTTTGCCAATTCGTACCATTCCTTCAAACTGCTACACTCTTGTTCAGTGTTCAACAGTGTCTAGTCAACCTTTCTCAGTTTCAATGAATATAAGTAGTTTAGTGACGATGGATTTACACTCTCATGCCTCCTCTTCTCAAGTTATGGGTTATCTTGGAGGATCTTGGGATGCATCGGAACAAGAACTATCTATTATCGCAGCTTTTCCTCTGTTTTGTTGCTTAGAAGACACAGAAAATTCTGCTAAAAGTGAGCAATACGTAAGGTATTTTATGGAAAAACGAAATCTCATATTAGTAGGATGGTACCATTCTCACCCAAGAGTATCTCCGTGTCCAACAATCTTTGATATTGATTGTCACATGGAATATACTTATAGAGTTAGAGGTGCAACATATCAGCCATGTATAGCAGCCATATTTTCTCCTTTTAGAGGCACTGGTACAGAAGGCCGGTCCGAATTTAATTTATTCTGGGTTGCAGCACCTTCGGAAAATCGAACATTAGAATACGCTAAACCTATTAAAGTAGAATATTCTGTCAAAAATGACAGCTTAAACGATGCAAACGTTCTTCTACAAATAAAACTGATAAGCGCTTTCTACAAGGAAATGAAAAATGGAATCAGATGGTTAAAAATCTGGAATGATAATAAAAACTATTGGGATAAATTAAAGGTTAAATAGAGTTTAAAATATATTTTAATATATTAAACTTTTTTTATGTCACGACAGATGTCCTTAACAGAAACTTTTCAAGAATTTGATTACAAAGAACCAACTGAAGACTTTTTCGATACAGTTCACCAATTTCTAGAACTCTCTTGATATTATCATTTTTTAAATATGTATCTAGTTATTTGATATTATTTGTTTTTTTTTATTCTGAGAAAAATACTTTTAGATGTCCCCTAAATATGTCTGACTAGTTTCCTTATCTATACAACGAATGTCTTTTTCTCTTTGTCATCTCAGCCAGTATAAATACAATCTATTGTTAACATAAAGGCATTACTTATTAAATAATAGCATTCTTTTTCTTTTAAGATTTATGAAAATTGTTTTAAACCTATTTATGAGAGATAGCAGTTGGATAAACAGTTGTATTAAAAGCAAAACTATTTGGCCTTCTCTCTTCAATTAGTAATGAATTTTATAGTATTACTTTCAACTTTCCTCCTACCTTTGGTAGTGGATTCGCGTTCTTGCAAGTGAGAATTTTCTTATCGAATGATATGTGATAATTTTATAAACACATCTCTGTTTTTATCGTTTTAAGCGAAACTTGTTATAATAAAGTTGGATGTTTTGATAATTGTCCTCCGTTTGAAGCGTTTCCATTACCAAATAGTCCCGAAGATATAGAGCCTGAATTTGAGCTCTTTACTAGAAACAATCGAGATCAACCGGAGATTATAAGTGACGAGTTCCTTGGGTAAATATCCAAATGATTTAAGATCAAAGCGAACATACATTTCAAATCTGTTTTGTCTCTTAAGAGAAAATTTTGATGGGAAGAGAGAAAAGACTTTTTTTGTTTTACATGGTTTTGCTGGAAGTGGACAGGATGATTGGGTTATCGAAATGAAAAACAGCCTTTTAGATCAAGTTCTTGTTTTTTAACTATAAATTTGTTTATTCATATATAATTTTAACAATTGTTTTCCAGTACGACTGCAATTTCATCTCAGTAGATTGGAGTTGGGGAGCTCTCCCAGACATTAATCGACCCATTGATCCAGGTTTTTAGATGTAAAACATATTTCTTTAGCTTTAATAAAACTCACTTTATCTCCAATCAGTTCCATCTTCGAATGCTAGAGTCGTTGGCCGCATGATTGGCAATATCATAAAATTTGCGGGTCAACAAACTGAGTTGGATTTTGATTCAGTTCATTGTATAGGGTATTCACTTGGTGGACAAGGTTGTGGTTTCTTTGGAAAGTGGATGGATACTAAAATTGGACGAATTACTGGTATTATAATATGATAATGAAAGAAAATGATCTTGAACTATCTTTATTGAATAGGTTTAGATCCTGCTGGACAAATTTTCGAAATGGATGATATAAGGGGTCGATTGGATAAAACTGATGCTAACTTTGTCGATGTAATTCATACAAACACTTTCGGATCATTAATATCTTCTGGAACAAAAGTTATCTCAGGCCATGTTGATTTTATCGCTAACAAAGTAAGCATTGCATAGCATACAATTGCAGCTAATAATTGATAAGCTACTATTAATGATATCTTTAACAAATAGGGTGAAGATCAACCAGGCTGTGATGGATTACTTGTGGATGTTTGTAGTCATGAAAGATCTCACGAATTATGGAATGATAGCTTAAAAGTATATTTAAATGCCTTAAATTACTTATTTTTTATTATTTAATCAATGGTGATTACGTTCACTTTAAAGATCAAGAATTGCACCTATACTGCTCAACCTTGTTCTTCGATAGAAGACATAGATGTATGGGAGTTTCGTCTTCTTTTCTAAGAAGTAAATTGTTTTGACTAATTCCTTTTATTATTATTTGATTAGAATGGATGTTCTCCATGCAGCGGCGATGAATGCCAAGAATTTGGTATGAATTCTATCGATTTCCCTGGAAGAGGGGTTTTCAGTTTGATAACCAATGATGGAGCATCTGGATCTTTCTGCATTCCAAACTTACGAAGAACGTTGAAGATATATTAAGAGAATTCTTAAGAATTGATAATTAAATTCTTTTGTAATAAAAAAGATAAAGCATGTAGCATTACAGACGTTTCTAACGATAAAATATTTGTTATTTATACAAACTAGATGGAGCTTTTAAAAAAACGGGAAAATAGTCGAGTCACTATAGATCTTCCAGCTGTATATATTCTTATTTATCGCTCATTACTGGCACTTTTTGAATTTTGTCCTCAAAAACTGATATTTCCATACTATTAAACACAATGTTTAAGCTACCGTTTGGTGTAAGGGAGGAAATGAAATGGAAGAATTATACTGCTGTAGTTCCGTGTGTTTCTGTTGGGAACGTTTCCCAATTAGCGTGCGACCTTATAATTCATACCTTACAGATGAAAAAAGTTGGCTATCTATACTCTGAAAATGTTCATCCATTTGTTGGTAATGATCCTTATAAAACAATAACTGAGTTGGAAAAGAAAGATGCAGGAGGCGTTACAACTGCCATAGATATCTACTGCAGCGACTGCTTAGCAGTAATTCAATTTAGAACTCCAGTCTACCCAAGAAGGTCAAAGAAACTTGTTCAGGAGCTAGAAAAGTTCTTAAAACAATTTAAAGAGGTTTTGATACTGTCGGGTGGTCATGCCTCCGAAAGAAATGATAAAGAAATCAATGGACCACCGTATAGACTTTTAACGAGTCAAGCATTAGAAAAGAAACAGAAAGATCTGTCATGGGATTATTTGGAAAGACGACGTATTTCTGGTGTAGGCATTGGTCTTATGTTATTTGACAAGCTAGAAAAAGCAGTTAATGCTGCCTTCCTAGTATTTTTCTGTGCTGAAGGTGATAATGCTGACGATGGTAAAATGATGGCAAATTTGCTAATGGAATATTTGAGTTTTGAAAAGAACAAATGGAAAATTCCACCATCGTGGACTTTACAATATGGATCTAATTTACAAAAGTCATGTTTTAGGTGAAAAAAAAGGAAAGCATTCTTTAATGGAAATTGACACAATCAGTTTTTTTGAGCGTTTCTTACACTACTTTTATTTAAATAGACAATTTAATACTAAAATTAAAGCAAAAGATGATTTTTCGTTTGTTGTAATATTTAAATATTTTTTCCCTCTGAAGTTTTAAAAGTGAAGATCATCCCCAATGGAAAATTCATAAGATCATTAATCTCTATTTCCAAAGTCTATAGAAACCTAGGACAATACCTAGACAAGTCATTATTGCACCACCAACATATTTGAAGACATCGTTTCTATATCTTTCGTACGTTGCCATTAATTGGGCGACTTCTCTATCGATTTTATTATCTAAAGCGTGAACACTTCTTTCATTCTTATTATGAGCTTCAGTTGCTCTAGCTCTCTCTAAATTAATATCTAAAAGTATGTTTGCTTTGATTTTATCAATTTTTTCATCAACTTGCTTCCTTAATTCTACTATTTCCAACTTTTGCTTTTCATTTTCGTGTCTAAGAGCACCGAATTCACTCTTTTCCAATATTATCATATCCTTTTGTAGAGCATTCATCCTGGACATAAATTGCTCCGTTGTTAGCTCCAGTTGTGATTTAGTTACGACGTTTTTCCGTGAGTGTTCTGTATTTGTTGATAAAACATCTACAAGGCTTCTGCATAGTACTTCTGATTGTTTCTCGGTGAATCCCCCAAGAACAAGGAGCTTTGTAAATACTTGCGTATCAAACATGACTGGTTTTTTTAATCCTGAACTGCTTGGTTCTAATTGTTTTAAGTAAGATTCAACAACCAAATTGTTTATTTCATCATTTTTTTCAGCATGAAATACAGTTGTCGATGTATGTACATTTTTTCCAATAAGATTAACAGACTTATTAGTATAACATTGACTTCTGACGAGTCTTAGAACTTGATTTCGAATCATTCTAAAGATTAATACCTTAATATGCAGTTACTATCTTTTTCTAAGATTTCTATTGTTTTTCAGATTGGTTAGCAGACAAATGTCTATCTAATGCATATGTTAGGTCTAACTAGTGGCGCCATCTTACATGTGACCCACCAAACAAGATATTTTACTTTTTTATGTATACAAACGTCTACCGAAAGAGAAGTGATCCCACTTGACATTTCAAATTTGTTAGGAAAATTCGGTAAGTATTAATATTTATTCATAGATTGGAAAACTATTTATAGACTACTTTAATTCTTGGCCTACGTCTTAATTAAACAGTATATTGAAACATTATATTGTTAAATAAACCAATCCCTTAATTTGGTTACAAATTTTGTGAGAAATTTTCTTCTTGAGAAAACCTCTACTGTAATATTGATTATTTGACTTGCTTATTAATACCGAATGGCAGAACGCTACCGAACAAGAGAAAGGCACTATGTGAAAAAGGTGCGTTTCTTGGATACCGTATTGAAAACTGGAACTGCATTCGGCGTTGCCAGGATAAGTCAAGTAGAAACAAATTAGAAACTTTTGATTTAAAGTAATCCTAATCTTTTGTTGACTATTCATTACAATATATGCAGCATTTATCTTAGATTAGAGACTTGTTGTCAGCAGATAAATCTTTAAAAGCTATGTAAAGCTGACATTATCTTTAATTTTTTTTTCTATTTCAAACAGCCTTCTTTTTTCGTTTATGGCTTCTGACGAACAAATCATAGAAGGGCTCATTCAGGAAGCTTTAAGTTCTGCAGATGCAAAAGAAGAAGAAGTTAAACTCCAAAAATCTTTAAATGAACTGAAACAGGAAATCGAAGAGCAGGGTTTTTTGCAAGAAGAACACAGACCGACGAGTTCAGTGACAGTGCCAAGGGATATTCCTTATCTTCGACGGGAGCGACATGCAGTTCTTAAAAATGCTCTTCGGGTTCCAGAACCTTTCGAGATTAGAACTTTAGCGGATTCTACAAAAGAAGAACTTCAAACAGTTACTAAGCAACCGCATGATTATTCGGCAAAGAGTTTACCTCTTCTACTTCATGATTTTTTTGTTGATAGAAGCCATGAACTTGTCCAATATAAACATTCATTGCTAATAAGATGGAAGAGATTCTCAGAACATACTTCATCGGTGGAATCTCTGTTTCCTCAGTATCAGGGAATGGTTGACAACATAATGGCGGAGTACAACGACTGCCTACAAAGAGCTACTCGTCTAGCTTCGGCAAGGGAAAGCTTTCTGACTGGGGAGGACAAAGGAATAATGCATGTTCGTTTAGAAGATGTAATTATCTATCTTAGATGGCTAGTCTCAAGTCTTCAAGCTAACAAAACAAGTTCGTTCTATTTAAGAAACATCCAATGGATGCATATAACTCATAAAGAACAACTGGACTTCAAAGTTCTATTGGAGAATAAGAAGAATAGAGAAAAATTAAATATATCCCATACTGACCAATCCTTAACTGGTTAGTAACTTTTTCTTTTGATTATTTACTTTACCAATTTTTTTTTATTAAAAAAATAGGCCTAGGTTGAACAGCAATTTATATTCTTTAATAAAACAGATCGAATAAGTTAGACTATAGTAAGTTCTTAATTATTTACTTTCCTGAGGTGGTCTATCAATATATACTTTTACTAGTTTGAACAAATATTAAAGCGAAGTTATTTGTCAAAATTCACTTAATTACTTTCATTTTACGATTTTAGATTGTAATAAAAATTGAGATAAATAAAAAAAAATATACAAGATTTTTTTATCTATTTATTAAGTAGATAACAAGCTGAAGTTGTATTTTATATACAACGTGAATAAATAATTGACAAGAGCTTTGTTTTTATCAAGACCAGACGGAACACAAGAGAGTATTAATAATCATATTGACAAAAGAAGTACCACCCTAACAACAATCGACCGAAATCCTCTTTTCTATTTTATATTCATGCTAATAGTCATAACTAATTATAAATTAGTCTATAGTATTATCTATACAATACGCATAGATATATATAGTTTATTGTATATTCTGTATATATATCAATAAATATTTATATACTGTATATTATATATCGTTTGCATCTGATTTATGATAATGATCTTTTTAATATGCTTTACAGCTATACCGCCCAATGCTCCAAGTTCTTTAAATCCCCTTTTATTAAACGCTCAAGCAATTCCTCCTTCCCATGTTGCTTTTGCAACAGCTGCGGCTTCTGGAGGAGGCCGAACTAACCTTGGTATCGAACTACCCATTCATGATACTGATATTAACTCCTTGAAACCTCAATTGAAATTATTAGCACATTCTTATGGTATTGAAGTGGATGTTGACGCTATTCAAAACGTTGGCGAAGAAATGGCTTTATATGCCGCCGTTGTCAGAAACTTTAGTGGTATTTTTCAACGTCAAGAAAGAATGAAAACACTGAAAACTTACGATTTTAGCGAACCTGGTTTCGAAAGTTGGGGTGTTGATCATTGTAGCCATGCCGTTAGGATGGAGGCAACATGGCTTCCTTTTGTTCATATAAAGCCAAAGAAAGATGCTGAATACGAGAGAAAAATGGCAGACCTCAGAGCAAAAGATACAGTTGATGAGTTGCTTAAAGTCAAATCGAAATTTTTACATGTTCAAGATCCTGACAGGGTTCAAGATACTCTTAGGAAACATACAAAAGTCTTGAAAGATGTAAGAGAACAGTCACCTCTATCATTCCCTCGCGCTGAGCATCCGAGATCGAAAGAAATTTGGAAAAGAATTTATTACGACAGTGTTCTAAGATCAGAAGATGGAGAAATGAAAAAGAAAGGAGAGTATGATTATACTGAAACCATTACTATGCTAGGTCTTGAAGAGGCATCGCAGGGAGGAACCGCTGATGATACCTCTATAGCAAATGGGGGTCTACTCTCTTTATTACATTTAAGACATCTTAGAATTAGAGACTTGCAAAGATCGTGTCTCAGTATACTCAATATGTTTAGATCCATCGAAAGAACAATTACTATCAATGATGGAGGGTTGAGTGTAGAGGGAGGAAAGTTGAAGAGAACTTCTCCTCAGAAACACAGGGAAGAACACCAGTTAGGAGCTCATCAATATATTCATAATACTCCTCTTGATTTCAAGTTAGATGAAACAGCTTTTATGCGATTTACGGATGTAGAAAATCATGATGATTATTTTGTTTATCAAGAAGGTCGGGTACATGTCCTGGATCAGAGAGGCTATTACATAATCTATGATGTATCGATGAATGATATGAAAATGTTAGAACGCGATTTGTTACTTATGGCCTCTTCATTTCTTCGATCATCTAAAAAGGTCTCTTTTCACGTTGACAGGTAAAGTCTTTATTTCTCATTTTTCTTTTAGTTACCGTATTATCGATATCGTTTTGTTATTAGATTTGGTGTTCTCCTGGATTTATGGACTTCCGAATGTCGTTGGTTAGAAGCAAAAAAAGAGCTTGTAGAAGTTTTATTTGAAAGTTACAATCATGTTTTTGATCCTGAAGAAAGACGTCAGATGGCGCAAAAAATAACTGATATTCTCTATCTTCGGCCCCGAATTGATTTTGAAGAAGAGTATTTTTCCGAATCTTATAAATTGGAATGTGCAATTATTAAAAGAAAAGCCGAATTACTGAGAAACGTTCTAGATAATCATATAGAAGAAAGACGTAGATTTTGCGAATTAGTCAAAAGGGACGGGTTCCGTTTTGGATTACCTCAACCGATTATTCACAAAGTTCCAGTATCCATAGTATCTAATACATCGGCTTTAAAATCTATTCATCTCTTGGAATTTCATCCAACCCTGTCATTATGTTACAAAGTTCTTAATGCAATCGAACACGCTGTTAGAGTATCTAAGCAGGCCTATCAACCCAAAGGAACCATAGAAAGAATTCTGGTCGAGAGGAGGGTTTTAGAAATTGCCGATAATATATTCAAGGAATTATCAGGTTTAGGCGATGCATTTTCAGAGCAAGTGCAGCGTGACGTGTTCAGTGATCTCGTCATTGGTAATCCATATTTGATGACCAACATAGCCGAAACAATATATGCTGAAGCCGAGCAACAGAATTCGAGAACAGCCGGAAGGGATAGACAGCAAGCTGTAATGGAACGTGTCGCCGATGTTCTCCTTGCTACGCATCTATGGTATCAAATAGTTGATACTGCCAGTCAAAGTCAGGTAATTTGCAACGCTAATTTCAAGTGTTATTGTTTAAAAACATTTAATATTTCACCAGATTCTCTCACCGACTTATCGAAAGATGGCTAAGGAAATGGGATATGATGAATGTCATCTGTTTCTAAGATTTGTACAATTTGAATTGGCTGGATTGAAACAGAACATTGCGCCGCCTCCAGTTTTTATAACTGCACTATTGGGAGATGATTCTTCTGTGGATAGATTAGTTCCCAGTAGCATTCCGCTTTGTATTAACGAACTTGACGAAGCTCATTTGGGTCAAATTTCGATGAGATCTAGAGATAATGTTCTAAATTCTATTAAAAGTGTCGATAGCATAAAAGCAATTCTATCGGCACAGATAGTACACAAAAACATGTTGGCGTGTATTGTACTTCAAATTGATGCTTGTGAAAAGGATCAATCATCATTTGTGTCAATGCAACTTGAAAAGGCTCCCTCAAGAAACAGGATGTTAAACGAATTTTGTCAGAAAAAGGCTCAAATGGGAAATCTGCTAAGAAAACGAAGTGAAATGGAGAAATTAAAGAGAAAGCTGGTTCTTGATTTCAGCGAAGATTTTCAAAAAAGAGTTGAACAGTATGCGTTAAGATCTCAATTGATAACGTGTTATCAATCTATGAGGTGCCTTTTAAATTCATTTCCACAAGTTAGAGATAACTATTGGGTTCTTGGAGCTCCAAATGAAAAAAAGACCTCGCAGGATACTATGGCTGGTCTACAGGCGAGTCCTAACGTTTTAACTGAGTTACCCAGGAGAACTCTGTCGGAGGATGGAAGTTTCGTTTTGAATATATGGTTCATACCGCATTACACTGAAATACTTTTGGCATATAAAACTTTAGATGAAACTGCATGCGTAAATGCTTTACGAAATCATACGCTCATTGCCTCAGCTTTACACGATATTTTGTCGTATTATTGTGCTCATGCCGGTTTGGGTACAATTGGAGATTTGAATGCAAAGAGGAGGGAGCTAGTAACAAGTGCTGATTGGGGCGGCACCGAAGGAATTGGAGAAGAGCTCAGAGACATTAATGAACAAATCAATCGTATAAATAAAACTGATCCCAATTGCGTTGCAAAATTACTTGAAGAAAAACGAAATGTTCTCATTCTTCAAATGGAATGCGCTGTACGTCACTCAATGCCTAATACATTCTTGGCAACAAATAATGTTCCTGCCTTTAAGAGCATTAATTCCACTATTACAGCATTAAATGATCTCAGTAACATTCCTAAAGCAAGCATCACCAATATATTTACAGTTCCACCTGATATTCATCCTAGAACTGAATCTGGGAGGAAATTCTTTCCTCTGAGGTGTTTCAATTCAGTCAACGGGCCATTTTCAGAAGCGTTTTATCCTTGGGACTCATTACAGGATGGAGTATATTTGGCTTTCTCTGCACTGAAACCTGTTGATAGACCAGTCGCTCATGGTGAAATACTCGGCGTATCCTTACTATTGGAAGACGTGTCATTAGAACCCCTACCAACCACTAGAGCTGTAAGTTCAATTATATCTACTTTGTTTAAGCTGTATTGTTTAATTACGCGCAACTTTTCAGGTAAATGATGAAGATGGACAGGGTAAACAGTCCCGATCAGCTTCGAGGTTATCATTACACGAAAGGAAAGCATCAAGGCCTTTTTCTGCCGACTCTATAACTGGATCTCTTGCACGTCAGAAGCCTAACGATCCCTTAGAGTGCTTAAGACGCCATAAGGCTTTCCTTCTTATGTGGAAGAGGGTTGAAGTTTTAAAATTGGAGTGGGCGAAGCGTAAATTATCGATTGAGGCAATAGACACAACACACACTTATAAGAGTTTCTGCTTAGAATATAGAAGAAGTCAATTAGCTCCAATAATTAGTCGTTTAGGGCCACGTCAACCAAATCCCACAGATGATACTAACATATCATTGAGTGCTCCAAAGGGTGTTAGCGAAGTTCTAATGAAGAGGGAACAAGTTAAAAGGTTAAAACTTAGATAATAGTTCTACAAAATAGCTTTATAAATAAATTACTTACTACCTCCTTTTATAATTTAGGCTTCTATCATCCCTAAATAAACTGATGATCGAGGACACACAAAAGAAGATCACACGAGATTTGCAATTGGTAGTTGCCGAACGTCAAAGAGGAGACAATGCCTTACCAACCGATCTGTGGAAGATGCCTGGAATGGCAGAATCTTATACAGCTCCAAGACCACACGTTGCAGAAGATTTCGCTCAAATGTTCTATTCTAGCATAGAAGGAGATAGGGATAGTAGTAGTCTCCAAATACCGAGATCCAAATTTGAAAATTGTCTCAAGAAGTTGGCAACAGCCGTTATGGCTAGAGAAAAGTCTAATTATGATAACTATTCAAGCTATTATGAAAATGTACTAAGATCTCAACATCATATTCTATATTCAAAAGAAAGAGAGATAAAACACTTAAAATCTGAACTAGGTAAAAGAAAAGCCCTTACTGAAGTTGATATGCAATGTGCACTTGCCGATAGAAGTCACGAACTCTTAACTGAAGTTACTGAATTAAGAGCAACAATTGAACAACTCCAAAATTCTTATCAACAAGGAAAAAAAGATGGTAACAATAAATATTCATTACAACTTATAGGTCTTAATCTATAATAGATATATAAAAGCCTTTACCCTTTGAATTGATAGATAGGTTCCAAGAAACACACCACTTTAAAAGCCTTATTAAAATTTTAGGAACCTATTAACGGTTATCTTATATATTTATATAATTACGTTTACAATAAGAAATACTCTTAAAAAATAAAGTTATTAAATTTAAAAGGGATTAAGTTATATGGATTATCGGTAAATATTTGCATGATATAATACTTATAAAGCACTTAGTCGTAAATCAAAATTTGCATATGCTACTGTTTTAAATATTGTTTCTTTTATTTTTTTAATATTCAATTAATGATTGATTTTATATCTATGATAATTTAATTTATTAATGTTTCTTTAATTAAAAGATGATGAAATATTTTGTGATATAGTTATAAAGTATATACTGAATGAAATTTAAAAGATTTCTCCCTTTATCTCCTCAGGTAAAGAAGAAAGTAGAAAGGATTTGTTGAGACTATTAAAAGCTCTTCATGAAGCAACTTTTGAATCAAGAGTACGATTTGATGAATATCGTAAATCGCTCTACTCAGTAACGATTGATAAAATTCGCCAAGTGCAAGAAGAGACCTCTTCCAAGATGGATGATAAGAAGCGAACTTTAACCGCTAATGCTCAGTCACCAACGCCGAGCGGTGTAGATGGTACTGAAGAGGATTCATTGTTTAAGGGACGGCATGAAAGGATGGTTGAAAATCAATTAAAACAGGAGAAAATAGAAAAGGAAAGACAAGAAGCAAAATTTCGATTAGAAGAAGAAGTTAAACACCTTAAAGAAGAAGTGGAATTAACAAGAAAGAAGCTAATCAAATATAAAATAGGAGGAGAAAAAACTATAGCTTCTTATAAGTGTCACATTGACGCCTTAAGGGAAGCCGTGAGAATAGCAGAACAGAAAGGTGTGTTTTATGACAGCCCAAATATTTGTCAATATTTCATGAGTATCTGTTTTATTTGTAGGAGATGATGAAAGAAGAGGTCTTGAAAGAGAATTGAAGAATAAACAGCATAAATTACACGCTGCTGAGCAAAAAGCAAGAAACGAAAGAAGATTGCACGAAGCTAGAACAGCAAACGTTGATAGACTCTTAGAAGAATTGGACGAGAAGGAGAGTCGAATGAAAGAACTGACTGAACAGCACGAAAAATTAGGTAGGGTGACCGCTATTGCTGCTCAAAGTGCGAAAAAGAAAGTAGACGATATGAAAAAAGCCGTTCAAAGGGAAAGAGCCTTGAAAATGGACGCTTTCCAAAGAGTCGATGAACTACAATGTAATAAATACGAAGTAGATCAACGACCCCTGACAACAGTTGGCTTTTCGGAAGCACAATGGAGGCGATCTGCCAGCTCACCTTTCAATAATAAAGGGAATAAAGTTCAGAGACCAAAAACAGTAAGTAAAGCCAATAAAGTAAAAATAATAATTAGGTATATCTCGGTCAATAAAATATTTATAATATAATATTTATAATTATATTTTAAGGGCGTTTTTTTCTTTATTGTCAAAACTTTATTACTAATTTGTAACAAAATAATAAGATTAGCAAGAAAGTTGTTAGATATTTTAAAAAAAGTGAAACATATAACCAAAATTTGATATCTTAAAAACAAATTAACAGGTTTTTTTTTTTTAATTGATATTTTAATAATTAATTATTTATTTTTTTTTGAAATATTAACTGTTTTAGCACGGACAACTTCCGGTACTTTTGAACAGGCAGAAAACATTTCCATCCGCTTCGACGGTACTTAATTAGAGTCTAGGACTAAAACTCTGGCGATTATATCTTAGAAAGTTAATTAACTATTGCTATAAAAGCATAAATGACGTTTTTTTTATAGACGTATTGAAATCGCCAGCGTTTCTATATCTTGAAATTATTTACCACTACCCGGTTTGGAGTGGCACGGGCTTTTTTTTTATTTTTATTCTATCATTTGTTTTTCTTTTCTGTTTACATTTAACTCTTTGTTTCTTCTAAAAAAAAAAAACGAATTATTAACAACTACTCTTGAAAAGCAGACAAACAAAACAAACTAAAAGAGATAAACAAATTATCAAATACATTAAATTTTTTTAAATATATATATATATATAGTTGTTTATTTTTATATTATTGATAGTTTGCTTTTTCTCATTGATACACACCTAAAAACTATTCAACAAACGTAAATACCTTCCATCAGATGGTGTAGTTAAACCTTCTTTAAAAATATATTGCACACTCCTGTTCTTTTTGAGAGAGGCCTCTTATGACAAATTTTTTTGCAATTCTTTTTATGTATTTTTTTTAGAGCGAAGAAAATATTTTTTCCATTTTTTTTATTGTTCATTTTTTTATTTTGACAAACTTGTCAAAAAATTTTACAAACTTTTTTTTTATAAAAAAAAACTATAAAAAAATATTGCCAATATTTTTTTGTTTGAATTTAATAGTACAAAGAAGATAAAAGGCTTTAAGTACTGATTTTTCTTTATTTTCTTTGACAGACAATAGGCAGATTAAGAACACGACTAACTGATCAATTACTGAATGATATTGAACCACCTGATCATCACGAAACTATAATGAAATTGAAAGAGATTGGTCAAAAACGGCAGCAATATTCAGTCGAAGCATAATATACGTTTTTCATTCTTAAATTAAGGCTACAAAGGAAAAATGTTATGGGACTTATTGTAAACTAAGTAGATTTGAAATGTTGGAAGTGGGTTTATAAAGGCAAATAAGTTTCTTCCATTTGTGTATAAAGTAAGATTTTAAAGTTAATCCTTGTCCAAAATTCTAATCGAAAACCTTCGACTCAGAATGTCTTTGACTAAGAATTTTTCATAAATTGACTGTAGGGGTATTTAATCTTTATCAAAAGAAACTGCAACAGCTACTAAAGGTTGAGACAATGTGAAAGTATTGGTTAGATATTTATTAAGCCAAATAAATACAAAAAACCTATACAAACCATTGTATTTTAGATGGGAAAGTAGATGGGAAATATGGTTGATTATATAATATACTTTAATAATTCTTTTCCGCGTTAAGCATGTAACGCTTTCTCTTTTGAACCGTGTAAACATTGAACATAATACTATCTATGTACATTTGAAATGATTTGCTGTGACGAAAAAATGCTTTCTAAAGTGTGCCAAACATATTTTTTTGTTTATTTTTTTGTTTGTTTATATTTTTTGTTTGTTTATTTATACTTGTTAATTCGCTATTTAAAGCCGTCCACTCAATCAAGCTTTCCTCTTTCATATCCAACTTCCCAATTAACATTATAGCTCAATTTTTTTTAGCCTTTAAGAGAAGAAAAAATGAGTATGCATGCGTTTATATATATATATATATATATATATATATGCCTTAGAAAGAAAGATAGATAGAGAGAGAGATGGAAATTTACTCTTCTCTTGATATTTTTTGTCTATATACGCTCAATGTCTTGTAGTGCCAATGTTCTTTTTTTTTGTTGTTTTAATTTATTCTATCTAATTAGTACTGTAAATATTAATCTACTATATGAATAAATATAACGAGTGCCAATCTTTTACATTCCAATTATATTTAATAAAGCATCATTAAAAAAATAAAGTGTTTACACCTATTTCTACTACTTCCGAAAATAAGTAGATCCTAAAATTGCTCTTTAAGATGATTCATCTTACAAAGTACTAGTAATAAAGGAATGGCCAGCAAGCTTTTCCATTAGTCGATATTGATTCGTTTTTCTTGGTCCGTTAATACTTTTTCCCTTCACTTCGACTACAATGGTACTTCCCATGACCTCACCAAAGGACACACTTATATATTGAACAAGTCTGCTCTCTTCCTACTTTTCTCTAATTACTTCACTTATCACGAAAACCTTGGTAATTGTAGCTTTGTTTACTTTATAACTAGGATTGTCCATATTTCATAGCTCTATTTAAATATATTTTATATATAGGTATGCTGTATACTCAAATACGTTTGGAACATATTAGATTACAGTTTCAAGTAACCTTCCTTCTTTTCCTCCTCCTCCTCCACTTTCCCTTATAGAATATTTGAGCTAATTAGTAGTGAGTGGAGACCCTTAATCAGAAATTATCTTGATTTGTCTAAGAGAATAAGATCTATTTAGCTTAAGTAAAGAATATTACATATAAGTAAGAGAATAACACTCAAAATGTTTTGTTTGAAGAATGAGAGAATTACTTTTAAGTATATTTTAATAGTTAACTCAATTCTGTTGGATTATCTTGAAAGGATTAACTCTTTTACAAAATAAGATTGTATCGTTAGTATCATTTCATAGGGATAAAAAAGATAGGAAGAATATAGCGTTCTTCATTAATTAATCAAGTATATATTTACTTGTATAAAAGAACCCAATTTTTCTTATTACTAGATATTTTCTTTCCCTTGTTAAATTTGATCCAACTACTTACTATAGGAAAATTTGATCAAATGCAATAGATGGCGTTAGTAGCTTTATAGTTTTATCTTTTAGGTTTAATTGTTCGTTCTTAAGCGCCTCGTCTAAGTTGAATTTAAAGGATTTATTGATATTTTATTTGAAATTTTATTACAATTAACATATTTAGAGACATTTTTTAAATAAAACAAACGCAATATAAAGAAAATAATCTATGACAGTAGATGGCGGTATAATCTGTTTTGATTAATAACAAATCAGTAAAATCAAGACATTATTAAGAGAATAGAAGAGCATCGTTAAATAATAAATTTGTTATTTTTTTGTCTGTGTTTCTATCTGTGTTTTTCACTTGCGCATTACTCATTCTCATGAGAAAAACAAAGAAGAGAAGCAAAGTTAGCTAATAATTAATTATAGCTACTCTTCAACAGAAAATAATATCATGTCTTGAAATAGCATAGTCTATTAAAAGGCAAAGAGAAAATCCTATACAAAATCAATTAAATGAATAAAATATTGGGATTAAAAACAATCTTTCTTTCTCTCTCTTTTTTTTTTAAAGAAAAAAGAAATAAAACTCTAAGATTAAAGGCTAACACTTATCTACTAAGATTTCGTTGGTCATTATACACGCATCAATTATAAGTATCAAATAATGTAGTCGTGAAGAGAAAATAATTAATTAGTTGCTCTTCCAGAGAATTCATAAAAATATATCTAGGGAGTGCATTTCTCTTCCATTTAAATTTCATTTAGTGCATTGGTAACCAGAGAATTTTATTATTTACATATTATATAAATATATATATATTTATATACTATATATAATTTAGAAAAATATGAAGTTTTAATAAAGAAATAACCCGAAATATAAATTTTGAAACTGTAATAGAATTGATGGAAAGAATAAGAAAAGGAATAAAAGATAATTACTTTGCATTTTATTTTAAATCCTTTCCAATTGAATGGGTTTTTTTTTATTATAAAAAGTTGCTTTAAAAGCATGGATAAGTGCAGTAATTAGCTTTTAAGTACCTTAATTAATTACAATTGCCAAATGAAATACTAATGAATGTCGAAACTGTTTGTCCTTCGCTATAATTTTATATAAGAATTGATGTAGTCTATATAGTCGATTTTTTTGGAAATTAAACTCTCCTCTTTCAATTTATTTATTTTTTTTTTTTCCGCATTTCGCAAAGTATTCCATTAGATTAATTGAGAAATTTAAGATTTTGTCCTTCACCTCTTAAGTACAGTACATATGAACATTAAATTAAAATATTGTATTAAAAAACCTTATTAAATACATACGACCTATATTTGATTAAATTTAGCTAAAAATATCTAGTTATGATAGTTAATCTATTATATAGTTAATATATATTGAGCTAATCTAAAAGTCTAATTCTATTAATAGGAATTGAATAAGATGGAAGGATGACTAGAATATTTAAAAATGCTTTTTTTTTCAACTAACAATTGGTTTAGAATTTGTAAGGAATATATGCAAATTAGACTTAAGGGATAGACCACATAAAAAACGAGAAAAGATAAACTAGACGAATGTATAAGTACAGCTATTAACGGCACTCAATAAGCATCTTCACCTGGGATGGGTAAATGGTGCATGATGGTTTTACTTTGTTTTTTTCTTTTTTTCAATATGGTACTAAAAACTTTTAATAGACGTCATACTAAGAGGATTTTTGTGTTAGATTGATAAGGAAATAACCTTATTTTAAGGTATCATTTATAAATAATTTAGGAAAAAAATGGCAATTACTCTATTTCGTTTTTATCATTGTTCATAGAATATTAAGTTATATTGAGATTATATAAGCATTAAGTCACGTATTGTCAATTATTGATTTTTATATATCTTTCAGCGTCTAATTATACTATCTTATTCAGTTTTACAGCCGACAGGAAAGCTTTAGACAAAGGAGAAAATTATGAATGGTCGTAATTAGTGACATCACTTTTTGGATATGGATTCTTAACCACCTTCATACACTTGCAGCTTTTGTCTTTATTGCAGTTATAAATATATATTTATATATATTTTATGTATTTGCACTAAGACGAAATGTTGTATTAATACAATATACTGTATATATATATATATATATAATCGTTTTGACAGTTGTTTCTGTGATATTTCCAAGAATTAATCGAAATAATTTCTTCCCCTAACTAATAATGCACTAATTCCCAGATGATACTCTGGGTAAGAAATGAACCTTCTAGTAGTGAATTAACGTAATTAGCATTGAGTAAGAAGATATTAATAGACAAGAAGGAAAAAATTGTATTCTCTCTTCAATGTATTAAAGTTAGAGCGTTCTCACGCAATACCTCGGTTATTTATATATATATAAAGTATACATAGTATATATATAGCATTTAAACTGTATAATTTTGTTTCTTTTGTGCTATTTATGAATAGAAAATCGTATTATTCAGTAGGAAATTGGAAATTTTTTAATTTTTTGGCATTCCCAATCATCTATTGATTTTAAACAGTATTAAATATTGTGTTATCAATCACATTTATGCAGTAAAACCAATACTAAAGTAATTATTGTGGCATACAATCCTCCTTTTTCTTTTTCTTCAATGAATGATACATAGAAGAGGTTAGGGAGGATAGTAAAGGGATGTGATTTTTTCTTATTCAACAAGTTTCCATAGTACATCCAAAATTACTGGTAAATAGATTTATCTTCTTGTTCTTTCTTCTGACTTTGCACGCCATCTATAGATCCACTAACAAATGATAAAATACGTAAAAAAAATAAAATAGAAGGGGACAATTACTGATCGTAATGTTTGACATTAGTAACAAATTAATGATTTTTATTAATTCTTTTTTCAATAAGTCATTATTCAAATAGTCTTTGGCGGTTAAAAAAAGCTCCTTTTCTCTGCGAATGATGAAATCGGTTTAATTAAATAAGAAATATAAATCTATTTATTTTAATGTTTCTAATACCTATTCCCTTTTTGCCATTAGAACTAGTTGGAAAACAGTAAAAAGAAACTCCTTTGGTAGATATAAAAGGAATTTATAAGGAATACATTCTAATCCTGCAGTTTTCTTTTTCTTAGAATTCTCTTACAAACTACCTCTTGTTTAAAGAGAAGCGAGAATAATAATAATAATGATATTCTCATTACCTTGTTTACAAACTAAGAAAAAAGGGAAGAAGGAAAGAGTAGAAGAGACGCCGCAAATAGAAATCACAAATGAATAGGACGGATAGAACATAATAATATTTTGACTCACTTCCTTATATGTCTACATCTAGGAGATATTTGCATCATTAATCTAACAACGTCTTAAATGAATTTACAACAAGTAGCAAACGGACAGGCAGACGAGAATAGACAAAAATGTACATATATTCCTTTAGAAAACGAATGATGTAAAGACGGAAAGAAGATGATTCTAGCTCTTTTCCTTTTCTTTTTTTTTGGTACTCTATTTTCATTTATTCTCATCAGAATGAGACAAATGAGAAGGGGAAATGAAAAAAATATGATTTTTAATTAAATATACTTTATATTTTGTATAAACACATTGGAAATAACAAAGGAAAATCTTCGTAGATTCCCATTTTCTCTCTCTCTGTCTCTCTCTCTCATTCTCATATCGAACTGAAACTATCTATGTTCTAAAAATACCATATATCTATATAAATACAAAGTACATATAGCATTAATAATAATAATAATAGAAAAGAAAAGAAAATGGAAAATATATGTCATTTTTTCTTTAAGTAATTTGCAAAAGACAGCCAAAAGCCGTCCGTTTGAAAAGCACTATATTCATTAATCTTTTCTTGAAAATGCCACCTGCGAAATACACTCTGTCCTATCATTCTTATATAATTAATGAGTTGACCTTTACACTGGAACAGTACAAGCTTTTTCTTCGTATTTCTAATAATTTTACTGTATTTTTTTTTCATTTGGAGCTGGGTTTAATTAGCGAAAAGTACCCTTTTTTTTCAATTAATTCTGCTTTTAAATGATGAAGGAAAAGTAGAAAATAATAATTATAAAAATTGATAAAAGAATAAGAAAACAAAATGTCTGAAAAGAGGGGCAACTATTAAGTAGTCTCTTATTTTGACATTCTCAATCGAGTATGAAATTACTTGCCTTAATATGAAAAGTATATGTCTGAAATAACAATAAGACTATTGTTATTATAGACTGTACATGACCCGCACCTATATCTCTTCCCCTTTCCCTCCACGTTCCTTTCGCCTTTCTCCTCTTACTATATTTAGGAGAGAGGACTTTGTCATTTACGATGGAAAACAATTACATCTTCTTCAATTTTATTTGATATTTGCAAAGAAATCTATTTCATTTATTGTATTCCAAAAATAGATTATCATATATATAAATAAAATATAAGTTATATATATATACTGTATATGTGGTATACATAGGTACACGTACACCAGTATATATATATATATATATATATATAACATCTACTGTATATAGAACTTCACAGAATTCTTTTCAGATTAATATATATATATATATATATGCCATATTATTCGTCTTCTTGTCTTTTAAACGACCTTTCCACTCTTTTCTTTTACCAAGCCAGTTTTCTAAAATAACTCTAAAACTATTGAAGTGTTAAATGACTCCATAATTTCCATATTTAAAAATAGATTTCTATATGTATACTCTCTTCTTTTTTATCTTTTATTTATAATATAGATAATAGCTTAAATTAACAATTTTCCTTTTTTTTTTTTTCAAAAAAAACTTATTGAGATAATCTTCAAATAATCTAATTGGATATATTGTATATATATGTCTAGTTTCTTTAACTCACAGTTGACTCTTTTTTATCATTTTTCATCCTATTTAGAAAGTTTATAGAATCAAGACACGAGTTACGTAGGAGTTTTTCGTGTTTTATTCAGCTATTTGGTTTAGACAGAGACATAAAAAATAAAAGTGGGGTAAAAAACTAAAAAATGAAAATAATGAGAAGATGAATGGCCTTAAATCTAAGTTTTAAGTCGACAAACAGAATAGGAAGATAAAAGAATGAGAAGAAAAGAAACTAAATTCTAAATATAAGCACATACAATATAAAACATATATAAATATGCATCAATAGTTTAAATATAGTTTGTCAATTTTCGTAATATATCTTTCCCTTATCCATCTCTTGTTTCTATTTGATGTAAAATTTCTATTCTCTTTATCTGAGCCTTATTTTTATATCACTGTCTCTCCTCATCATCATCTCTCTCATTCTCTCTCTCTTTCTTTCCATGTATGTCTGCCTGTCTGTCTGTTTGCCAGTCTACCTGTCTGTCTGTCTGTCTCTCTCTCTCTCCACTCCTGTCTGCCTCTTTTTTTCACTCTATGTCGCTCTCTATTTGCCTGTTTTTGTCCATTTTAGTCAGCCTGTTTTATTTTTCTAATCTATATATCGTCCCATTTGGAAAACTATAGGCGTCTAATTGTATAATATAGAGACAATATGAAATATAAATATAGCAATATTATCGCCTTTTTATAGCTAATATGTTAATTTTTTTGCCGATTTCAATTTATTAAAATGTTTCCTACTTAGACTTTGGGGTTAACATTCTCATTATCTGCTTGTTTATGGCAAGCGACTTCTCAGCCTTCACTTTCAGTATATCTCTTTGTTATTAATTCTATTTAAGCCTATATAAACAGTCCTGTCAAGTTTACATGGACGTAAAAACCCTATTGATGCTATAATTCGAGGAATAGTTTCCGGTAACGCCTACGCTCTCCTACCTATTCGAGAGTAAAACGACGTCGCGGAGTTATTGGTTGCTCTATAAATAGCCTCAAATGACGTCAGCAAGTTCCTTTATCGACTACATTAAATCAAGCTATTTTTTCATCAGACTGATAAACATACAAACAATGGTTATATAGTCTCATATTCATTTGCATATAGTAAAATACTTACTAATAACATTGTTTTAAGATTAAGATACATAATCTAATCTCTTTTTGAAAGTTGTATTAATAATTAGACTGTTTATTGGAATAAAAGATATATTTTTTTATCCTAATACTCTCTTCAGACTATGTAAAAAGGTTCTAAACATGAAGGAATTGGTCACGAGTCACGACCGTCACGTACATTAATCTTCACTTCTATTTTACATGAATGAAATATCATTTATAAAATGTATTACACATAAACATGTATTTATACCGTGTTTATATACAGTATATATGTATAAATGTAAATACATACTGTATATATATTTAATAAATAGAAGAATGTGATAGAGGCTATAGATACTCCTGTTAAAATATTCTGGGGAATGTTCCATTTTTTTTGGGAATAAATCATTTTGTTTTTCACATGTCCAAAAAATGACCTTTTTTTTTACCTCAGTTTTTATCTGACCATATTTTTCAAGCAGTTTTCACAATACGCAATTAATTTTTTTTTTTAAAAACAAAATACATGAGATATTTCTTAGACAGTCTCCTTATTTGATGAACCAATTACTTCATCTTTCTTCGCTTTTTGCGCATCTTTTTGTTCATTACCATTAACCTCAACTACTTGAACATTCTTTGCGGGAGCTTCCGATTTAGACTCCTTATCCAATAATTTCAAGTAATCTTCATTCAAATCTTCGTTACTCTTCTCATTTGTATTTACAACTTCATCGTCATGACTTTCGGCTCCCTCTTCTACTCCAAGATCCTGAGGTAAATTTTTAAAGAATTAAGATTTTGAAGGATTTCTTAAACGTAGAAAGGTAAAGGTTATTACCTTGAAGTAATTAGCCAAATCGTCAATATTTTTGAAGCGGTCAACAGCCTCTTCTTCCTCATCGTCGTACATGTAAAACGGCAATTCTCTCTAAATAATTCAGTAATCAATTTATAGAAAATCTGCTTAGTTTGATTCTTTCTTTCTATCTTTACTATATTCTATAATTATTTATAGAAATATATACTTTTCTCTTTCTTTACAGAGTTATTAAGATAACGGCTATCTAATAATATTTAAACGTATATACTGTATATATTTAATCGTTCCATTGATTATTTACCTCTTCTGCTTGTTCATTATTCATTTCTTGTAACAAATGTAGAAGAATACGTTTCTCTAATTCACCTTCGTACATTCTCATCGTTTCCTCGTCCAACTATAGGCCAAATTAGAGTTTATATTTCTCTTTAATGAATTAAAATATAAATACTAACCAAGCCAGTGCGTCGGAAATTGTCCTTGATATTTTGAACTTCATTATATAAGGCCATATCAACCAAATAGTCAGTAAGAGCATATTGTTTGTCATTTATAGCCTTGTCAAGATTGGGTACATCTTCAACTTCTTCAACAGTGTTTTCAGCTTCCGGTTTTTCACTATCACCTAGTTTGTAAAGAAAATCAAATGATTATCATTAAATTAAATTTAACAAAATGAGACTAATAACGAAATATAAAACACCTTTATTGTTGCTTAATGAGGAAGTAAGACTTTCTAGATCAGCTTCTTCTTTGGTCTCGGCCAACTGTTGAGGCACTGTTAAATTTCAAGAGAAAATTGAAAAACAATCTATTTTCGTGCAGTTTTTTTTTTAAAAAAACAAAAATTGTATAGAAATAAAATGATACAAACAGGTGGGTGTGTTTTCGGTAACCGGCGCCGAATAGGAAATAGCAATCAGCATACTTATTGATATTATAGCAGTTTTCAACATCATGATTGTTTGTTTTTCTTAGGCAATTGGTAGTATCTGAAAGAATTTAGAAAGAATTTAAAAACATATTATCTGGTTTGTAAACTGGGAATATGGAACAAAAATTTAGAATCTAAAATAGGTTAATAAACTAAGAATGATTGAACCTTTGAATAATTTAATAGATGTCTTTGTTAAGTTTTGTTGTCTTTTTTTGTTTTAAACAAAACTAATAAAGAAAATAAATTGTACAAAAAGTATGAACAGGAAACTTACGTATGGCTTCAAGCGCACAGCGCAGAGAAGTGGCGTCACTTTTACGTAGGCAGGGAATGGATAGAGTCATGCGCGTCGATATTCTACACGCCTACGCGAATTAGACGCCCCATGTAGGCGATTAGAAATTGCCTTTCACTAATATTTTTAACTGTTGAAAATCTTAATTAAAAGTCGCATTACTCTAGATTGATATAATAAAACATGTCATTTTTAATGTAATTCACACAATCATTAATAATTTTTTATTCATAATTATAAATAGTGCGCATTTCCTCTGTTTTGCTTTTATTTTGTGTTGTTTGTTTTGTTTGTCATGTCTTTTTTTGTTTTTTTGTTTTTTTCACTTTTAATTTTTTTAATGCGGACGAAACACAGAAAAATTTGGAACTAAAGAGAAAGAATAAGATAAAAGAGAGAAAGAGAGAGCGAGAGAGAAAACGAAGAAAACAAATCGAAATTGTCTCTCTAGTCTAAAAATTTAGAATATAATAATGATAAATGTCAAGTGAGCATCCTTCTCCTTACGAGGGTAATGGTGATAGCATGTAGAAACGATAGATGGCGCCTAAGATGATACAGTAGATGGGAACTTTATAACTAATTCCATAGAGTCCTACTGCAGAATTGAAAGCATTGCAGTTACTTTCGTCCGAACAGCAATAGTAACATTCACTAGGCGTAAATGGGCACTTTTTGTCGCTGCTTAAATTCTGCAATTCTTCGCATCGATCTTTAGCCATACAACCCTGATAGAGGGAAAAACAATTTTCTTGTTAAACAAAAATAAGAGAGGTTATCGTAACAAAGGACTTTTACCTTCGTATAGAGTTTTGGTACAGATTCCAATCTCTCTAATTTCGTATAGCAAATGTGGTCCTTTTCGCAAGCGACAATTTTATTATTACAGTCATCATTTGATCTGCCTTTTTTACAACTATGACATCTAATTGCCCTTGTGCCTGTTAATTAAAAATTTTATATCAGAAATGAAAGTAGACCACTTCGGCCTAGTGAAAGATAGACAGAGACAGGAATTGAGTGAAGAGAATATTTCATCACACCTGGCTATCGCGAATTAATTTTTAGAGCTGCAATACGTCTTCTAAATGTCAGTATGAATAATAGCCTGTAGCAGCCCGAATAATCGCCTTATGGAGGACCTAGAATTTCTTAGCTAATGAGCATCCGCTCTCTCCCCCAAAAAAAAAAAAAGAAAAGAAAAAAAGAGACAGCAAGACAAATATAAAGAAAGAGGTCGAAAGAGATTGAGAGAAAGATAGAGGTGTTGGCACTTCTAGTAGTCCAATCTTCGAGAAAATCTTGAAAGGGATGTAAACGACAAAACTGAAATGAAAATTACAATTGCCATGGATGCAGAAACGAAAGGCACAAATAGAAAAAACAAGGACATGAGGCATTTTATTCCATAGGGAGAAAAATGAAACGGTAATGGTTTAGAAAAAGGCTTGAAAGAAATGAAAGAAAAGAGAGAAATTGAAAAAAATTAAAAAGGCTCCGCTTGTTTAGCTTTCGATGGAAGCAATTAATTCTAAAACGCTTCGAATATATCAATCAATATGCCGATTGATTAAAAAAAAATCGGTAGGAGAGGCTATAAGGACTAGTTTTGATAAATGTATATAAGCCTATTGCCGTCTATAAATCTGTCAGTTATAGTTGACTAAATGAAACGGGCTCGAGGGCATACAAATGAGCAGAACGCGCCATATATTCCGCACCAATACCGCTTTTACTCCTTTTCCTTTCAAGTCAACCATCCCCTTTACAGTTCCGCCCACTTTTACCCCTCTCACATCTTTTTGCCACCCCTTGTCAAATTTTCTTTTTCACAACATGATGCTTTGTAAACTTAACAATTTTGCTTTCTGGTGAGAAAGTGTACTGGTAGCTAGGGAAAAGATGGACGTAATTACGTATCGTTCGACCAGCCCCGGGGTGGAAAGCGAATTTAGGCGATAATGCGAATACAATAGACTTCAGCGAATGATTGATGATTACTGTTAAACTTATGATTTCTAAACCAGCCAAATTAAGTTTTATTTGATAAAATAATAAAAGGAATAAATAAAGAAATAACTGGCTTACTAACCCGTAAATTGAAAGGCAACGAACACTAGTGTCCAACAATACAACGTTTCATAAACCAATTTCATTGTTTTTGAAATTGCCGTAATCCATTCATCGGCTAACAAAACTTTAAATGGCCCGTCAATATTTCTCTATCTACAAATAAAAGAAGGTAATACAACGAGTAATTAGTCCGGAAATGAATTAGAAATTAGTGGAACGCTATTCGCCTAATTACTCTTCTTCCCATTTTGTATCGATAATCTTTGTAGCGCTCTTAGAATTTAAAACAACTGTATGTATTTATATATACAGTATATACACACTTCTAGAAATCTTCATATGTATTTAGAAAAGTACTCACTTTAAAAAGCGTCTATCTCTCTTCTTATCCTTAACATAGCATGTATTCGATCAGATTATATTCCCTAATTGTGTGGAAAAGATATATATATGTATATATATATATTTAAATATTATACAGTATATATGTATATACATGTATATATATATATATATATATATATATATATTTTATATCAATATATGCAATACAGTTTGTAGCACACATCGTGGATTTGCACATAGTTGCTGATATATATATATATATATATATATACTTTATATACTCATTTCAATCGTCAAATTTCATACATACATATATGTTCTATGGAATATTAATAAACTGCTGATAGTAGATAAAGGACGAGAGAGAGAGAGAGAGAGATAAAGAAGAGAAGACGAGTGAGAAGGGAAGAGACGACGGAGTAATTTGTATAGTATACGAACAGCACGAACTCTGCAAAGCGCGTTCTTGCTCATTATATAGTCAATCGGATCACACAAGGTGGCGTTTTATTCCCTCCATAATTTTTATCAGCTAGAAATTTTTTTGCTGGTAATTTCACGCCCAATAATTTTACGTTGTTAAGGAAAGGAGCAATAGGAAGAGTATACTAGGAGAACATTACCTGAGGGAGATTGTAAGGAGGAAAAAAATCAATAGACAAGTAATATTTAAAAAAAGAGTAATAAATAATACAATTAAATGAAAAAAAACCCATAGATTAGAGGAGAGAGGAGGGGAGGGGGTAGGGAAATAGCACGGGTTAGAGAGAGAAGAGAGTGAGAGAGAGATTGAAAAAAAAAGTGAGAGAAGCGGATAGAGGGAAAGAGATGATAGACAGATAGACAGATAGAAATGGTGAAGGGAAATCGGTGGGGAGGAGGTGAGGCGTTAGAAGTGATTTAAAAAAAGAATGGACTAGTATTATTTATGTATTCGTATCATTTTTGCTTCTTTCTCAACTAATTGAGAATTTTAGACTGTTTGACATTAAGAAAGAATTAAAAGGATGAATTATTCTACTCACGATTATAGACAAATCAAATCAGAGAGACTTTTAAGCAACTTACCAGTCGGTATTCAATTAATCCTTACAACTTATACACAGAAAGTGAACACAAACCGTATTAAGCAAATAATCCCCGCCCGGTGTCCTTGTTACTCCTTTTCAATATATAACAAAAAAAGAGCTTTCATTAGAAAAAAGAAAAAATGGCGGGGCCGCTAATACTTTTACTAAATATGTCCTCCTTTTCCTATTCAATCACTTTTTCTTCACTTGGAGAATGAATAATAATCCCATTATTTACTTATCCGTATCGAGCATAATATTCAATATTTTCTTCATGTTATGAATATTAATTGATTATAGAAGAAAATAATATGCGTTTCAAATAGCTAACTTAAGTCAATTTTCAATCGTTCGATGTGGAGCGTCATATCCGACGTCCCTTTACTTAATTATTGATCTTCAGTTGTGCAAGTTTACGCTTAATTTAACCGAATGATTCTCTTGCGAGATACCCTTGGTTTCTCCAAACACTTTGCACTCTCTTCCTCTTTTGTTTCTTTTTTTTTTTTATACTATTTAGCATAATACTTCTTAGTAAAAATATTAAAAAAAACTGTAATACAATGCAGTACTATCCCATATTCTTTCTATCTCCTCCCCCTCTTCAAAGAATTGCCATCTTATAATAAAAACTTCGATATATACAGTATATACTGTATATATATATATATAAATTTATATATATATATATATAATTCATGCAAGTTATTACTTATTTATGAATACATTTAATAAATATATAGGATATATTTATGTATTGCGTAAGTGCAAAGATTAGTCACAAATAGGATATATTTACAATATTTCGTTCATTCTTAATAATTAATCAGCAGTACTAAACAAAAAAGGGAGAGCTTTATTTATATATTCTGCTCGACAGATTGCCAGTTAGGGTTATTAATACATGAGCACGTCCTGTATTGTTTTTAAGGAGATATACCTTTTCTAAAGTAGGGTGTTCAGCTTTAAGAGGCGGTTATGATCAACTTTGGGGTCCCGACTGACGCAACGAGATTTATATAGGCCTAAGGGTAAATCGAATTTCTCAATATATATATATATATATACAGCATATATAAATTTATATATATACAGTATATATATTTGAGATATTAGTATATAAAAGAATATAATTAGAAAGAACAATAATTTAGTATTCCCTTACAATTGGTCTCTTCCAATTCTCTAACAGTCTTATTCTACAACGTTTTAGAGTTGCTTTCTCCACTGTATGGAGGGCTAGATTACATTTATATAGCTGTTACACCAATTAACTTAGACGAACGTAAAGGATTTTTTCTTGAAATTCTATACAACCTTACTTGCGGATTATCCCTTAGTCTGTCTTGCCTTTAGACAGTGATGTAAAATAGGCTTATTTTCTCTTTATTCTTTCTAGAAGCCATACAACGGAATATAATCGGGGATGTCTTCTATAATTAGTTTTTCGTCCATGTGAATAACGTTCACATTTTATTTATTCCCCAAAGGAAAAATGCACCGTTACCCTGCTTTTTACTAGCAATTACTAATCACGTGACAATTACAGTTTGTACCACAAAAAGAATAATTTCTTTTTTAGGATAGAAGAAAATTCCCCGATCCCCCTGTGTATAAGCTGACTAGATTGGCCTTAAGAGCAGAGACTAATTTACATAACTCCACCCAAATGTAACTATAGTTTTCTCTAACCATATCAATTTCAACTGGAATCGATTTCAATTAATAACGTTTGTCATCTTCGGAATATCGACAAATGTATTGGTTAAGTTCTTATTGACTTGGTCTTTTGCTTCTATCTTTCCTTTGGCTTTTTCTTTTCTTCTTGTAAACTTGTACAAGTTTGCATATTTGTAAGTTGCAATCAAAGGAAGAAATGATAAAAAAAATTTCCTTAAGTACAGTGCCAAATTGATTTGGATAGAAAAAAACTCTATTTTATGCGTCTTCAACGATATTTAATAGGATACTTAATAAATATTTTATTTAAGTACATTATTGTTAGTGGGAGTTTTCCTTGTAAAGCCAGCCTCTGGGAAGAAGAAGAAATTGAAGAAAGAGTGACAGAGGGTAAAAGGACGCTAACGATTTAAAATTAAGCACGACTTAGTAAAACATTCTTAAATTACTGGAACCAGTTTTGTCATTGGCAGAAAAGATGGCGACCGATCTAGCAGAAGACAGCGATTTACAAAAAAAGCCGTTAATATTAAGTTGTCAAGTTGAGCATATATCATATCGGGTTCTAATCGCATCTATTCAATATCAAAATAACACATACCGAGGTGTTCTATTAAATTGCCAGACAGGGTAATTAGAAACAGTGAAAAAATTTGCATCTTTCACACATTCCTCTATTGCAGAAATTTACCAGGAACTTTAAAAATCCCCAATCTCGCCATATCGACAGAAAAGGACCCATTTAGAAATGTTGCCCTGAAATGTGAAGGAGAAGTTCTAGAAAAAGGTAAAGCTGAAGTATCCGCCCTGAGTCTACGACATACCTATAACAAATCGCCCCTGAAAACGGAAGCAAACTTATTATCAGAGCCAAGAACGAAAAGAATTTCCACAGAATCACAAAATTGTAATTCTCAGTCTGCTACATCTATTTGCAAAAGATTTAAAATGGCTTCTAAACGAAAGGCCGATGAGAATACACCAAAAAGAAAGGTAAAACACCCAAGACTACACCATTCTATGGAAAAACCCAGAATTTTCTCTTCACCCTCTAAATATAGAGCCAAAAATAAGGAATATAATTGTGAAAATGATATTCTGTCAAATGAGAATTGCAATCGTGTTGTATGGGCTAAATTGCATGGCTATTCGTGGTGGCCTGGCAGGATATTGGAGACGAAATCAACTAAATATAGCATAGGTTGGTTTGGTTCAACCAAAATGTCTACCTCGATGCCTAAAAAACGTGTCTGCTCATTTATTGATAATTTCCACAAGCTCTTCATACCGGAACGGGACGGTAATTATAAGGAAGCAGTCTCCGATGCCCTAACCTTTCTATCACCAACCTTGACAATTGACCAAGTTCTAAAGCTTAAAAAGCTTTAACACTAAACCATAGAAGGTTCAGTTCAATTCTAAATGCTAAAAAAGAATGAAGCATGCAAGTGTTTTTATTATTTATTTGGTTTTTTTTTCTTGTTTGAAAATGTTTAAAATATTTTTTACTTGTTGATAAAGAAAACAATATAGAAATCTGAAGAAAAAAGACTTTATCATGTTTATCTTATACCAAAAATATATAAAGTTAAGTAAAAAAGAGAAAGAAGGGAAAGAATTTTCTTCAATCAATTATTTTTGGCTTGCTGATTAAACGAGTATTCGAGAAATAGAAGTTATCGGACCGCACTTGTTTGTAGATAAGAAAAATCAGATATTCGACTTTCACGTGTAAATAATTAGTGATTCTTTCCAGCTTTGCTTTTTTTCGCATTTCCAATCCATCCAGTTGAAGTAAAATGTTTGCATGAATGAATTTTCTATGAACAATAGATAAGGAAAAGATATTAAAATTATCATTATAAACTGATTAGCACGTTATTTTTATATAAATTATTGACCCTTACCCAGTATAGTTCCTTAGCTTACTTATTTCACAATTTGACGCCTTATAATTTACCTTAAATAAGCTTTTTAACTATGTTTGAAAGTAAGCAAAACACAAAAATAATTGAAATAATTGGACTATTTAAGTAGTTATTTTTTTTATATAACAAGTTTAAGTATGCAAGAAAAGCTGTCTATTTAAGAAATAAATTACATTTTTGCAGAGAAATCTATTCATCAGTAACGTTTCTATGTTATTAGCATCATTGTAGACTCGCTGCCAAGCTATTTTAAAGAATATCAGCTCCAGCTCTATTGTAAATATATCTAATCTATCATTTTTTGAAGTATAATGTATAACTGGTATTAAAGATCCCATCAACAATAATGATACAAGTAGAAGAATAATCGAAAAATACAATATTTTTCTTCTGACATCTATCTATTTTTGAAAGGAAAAGGCAAATGCTAGTCTAATTGCCGAAGCTGATAGACTATTATTCGTTATATAACGTTCCAATTACGAACCGTTGTAGTCATTTTAGCTCTGATATCACATGTATTATTTATATCTATATATTTATACCGTAGAGAATATTTTGTTTATATATTTTACGAAGAATACAAAGGAAACAATTTTCAAAAAACGTTTATAACGCTCATTTAAATATTATCTTGAAGACATTTGTATGTTCAATTTAACTCCCGCCAAAAGTATTGCACTGAATGGTCACGTGATACCGTTGCTAACGCAAAATATGGCATCAGAAAAGGAAGAAATATCTTGTCAGGTTGTATCTCATAGTAATAACTGTTTATGAATAAAAGAAGATTTTCGGGAAACTGTATTTTTTTCCCAAAACAGATACCGAAAGGTCGCGAAGAATCGCTATATAATAACCTCAGAGAGAAATATAATGATGAAGATGAAACTAGGCTTAATATACACTTTGAATATCTTCGAAATAATATGGAGAAGGGGGTTGACTTAGGCTTTTCTTGGAAGCAGATTGTTTGCATTTGCAATCTGTGTCAGGAGATTTTAGCAGAATGCCTCGGTTAGTCGCCAAGCCCCAAAAAGAAATATGCATATAGTGAATATATAGAAATATATATAAGGGAAGGGGCAAAAGGGAAAAAAGGGAGTAGTAGAGTTATTATTTTTCAATATCCCTCAGGAAAAAGTCTTTCCGAATCGTTGAACTTATTCAAGGACAAGCTAAACGACCTAGTCGAATTGGGTATCATCAAGGACGAACAAGCTAGGCAGTTTGGTCAATTTTATCTACAAACTTTTTTTACCCACTTCCGCCTATATAGACTAGTTTTTACCAAGGATAGAGAAAATTGGCGGCAATACGTCCAATTATCTGTAGAACAACCGCCCAAAATTTCTGACTTGATTACAAGCAAACCATTAGACATTTACGAATATGAAGAGATCATCTCACAGCTAGATGAAAAGGAAGAAGCTAGACAAAATGAATGTGCAAGACGAATAGTCGATGAGACCCGGGAGGATGAAGAACAGATTAAGGAGGTTTACGCTCAGATCGACGCCGATGACGAGGCTCTTAAGGAAAAGGAGGTCCAATATCATTTCTCATAAATATTTCCATAAGAACGGATAGGGAATATTACTATTTTCATATATCTTTTACTTATATGCAGAAATTATCAGCTTTAATAGCAGATGTTGCCAAAGTTCATCTTGAAGCTGTTAATCACAAGATTTCACGCCGAATAGACGAAAGCGTTGCTGTAATCGATTATAAACTTAAAAAGACGCTGGTACCCAGACCCCAAGCATTAGGTATTACCTAATTTAATAGTTTTTAACTAAAGTAGATCTTAATCACATTTTAACTATTGATCGATATATAAACTTAAAAGTATTATTACAAAACGAAATCATTCGTATAAGAAAAAAAGCATATTACTGAAATGTTATAAAAATGAAAAGTGATAGAGGAAGACGAGGACAGCGATGAGAGCGACGTATCGAGTTTGCCTAGTCTACCCAAACTCAATAAAACTCGAAAGAATTCAATTTCTTCGGTCAAATCCAGCAAACTAGTTAGCTCAACGCCGACAAGATCAGTCAGTAAACTCGGCAAATCCGGTAAAGAAAGCAACACGAAAAAAATACACTGAGTTAATAAAATAGGATAGAATCACGAGAAAAAATTCAGTTTGCATGCCTATTGTCACTTATATGATAGAATATTTCCCCATATAGAAATGTTACAATGTACTGATTGTGAAATAGATTATTAGTAGAAAAAATGATAGGTTAATTGTTAACGTGTTTATTTTGAAACAGGGCCTCCACCAAGATTCGATCTTAGCAGTGCTGTTGACAAGAATAGACTAGCCAAACCATTAGTGGACAATAGACCAAAGAGTAAACTCTCGTCAAGAGCTACTTCCAGGGCTAGTAAACGTAAATAATGTGTATTTTTAATAAACACGAATCGCATAGTTTAACGAAATAGTTTACTAACACTATCTTCGAAACTCATTAACCTCAATTAAAGTAACGATTTACATAGACGCAACCAAATTATCCATTTTCGCTGACAAATCATTACGCTTGTTAGCGGCGGCTTGCTCCAATTCCAAATAATGTTGCTTTTGTAATTTGCCAGCGACTAATTTCTCAGCATGCGTCACTGAGGCAAGAACTTGTTCTCGAAGTTCTTTATCCAATTTTTGCAAATCGGCAACCTTGTCGGCCTCTTCAGACTGTTCTGCTTTTAGCTTTTGAGCAATAGAGTCAATTTGCCCAGTCAACTGCTTGTAGTCGGCGTCATTCTTCTTTCTAGCAGATGTGAAAGCATTACTGTCTTTAGACGATTTGAATTTATTAATGGCATCTTCATAGGATTGGACGAGAGCAGATCTTCTATCATGGGCGGCTTGTAGTTGTTCTATCAAACTACTGACTCGGAGACGACTTTCTTCAGCTTCGTCTTTGGTTATTGAAAAATCAAGCCTCATGTAAATGATAACCGACAAGAAAAGTAGATAAAGAAATCCAACAACGAGTAAAGGTTCTTGTAGCATAAAGAATCGACGGTAAGTGTAGTAAACCTGGAGAAAAGAGATCATACCAAATTATTTTCTACTTTTAATAAAAAATTATTTATTATCTTTTACCTCAAAATCTTGAATATGGTTTTCAACCAAATTTTCCTTACTCAAAACAACAACTGGTCTTCCAACAGTATCCAAATAAGTATAAATACGTTCATCTCCTTCCCTCTTAACTGGGTATGGAGTTTTCAATTTAATATCAGAAGCACCTTCCGGTAAAACAACTTTGACTCTTGCCTGCTCGACGATTTGATCATCGAAGATATGATCAACGAAGCGTAGCTTTAGGACAAATCGATCGCCTGTCAAAATATAATCAGTGTATAACCCCGTTGGAAGATTTGATGCATATAGCAGTTCGCAAAACTTCGGTAAAAAAGTTAACTATTATTTAAGAAGACTGAGTGACAAAAGCCACATTAGTAACTTTGTCAAAGAACCTTCTATATTTTTTTACCAAAATTTAAATATTTAGTGATATACTAACCGGAATGATATAAGTATTGGTATGATGGGACGTTGTAACCTAAAACGTAATGGGTTTTCCAACCTCCAAAGAGAGGAAATCGTGGGCGGAGTTCCAATTCCATGGCATCGTCCAAGTCCTTCAAGTTGCTTGTAGAAATATTTCCAATTTCATCCCGATAATAAACATCTCGGGCTGCGGCTGGCAATAATGTCTTGAAGCTCTTGATGCTTGCTCCCTGATCCCTACTATGTTGGTAATCGTATCTTGAGAAAGAACCCTTTAAAACTGCTCCCGCATGGCGGATATCAATTGATTCCTCGATAGCAATATTTCCCCAGTGTGAAACTTCTATCAATCTCTCCAAATTGGAAACTGTAAGGAAGGGGCTGTGGTTTTCGAAATGGAGGTCTAAAGCGGCTTCGGTGAAAGGCTCTCTTTCTTCATATGGACCATAAGTAACAACAGCTTCCTTCTGTTCTACTGGCTTTGGTGATTTAGAATGACTGACTATGTTTGAAGAGGCACATTTGACAGTAGTGGTTTGCTTGGAGATTTTGTAAGGAGAATATTGATAAACATTGCCTTCAAATTTCACCAATTGCTTTTCGGTTTGAGAAATTTCAGATGGGTAGGGTTTCAGGGAGTCAACCAAAAAAATTTCAACTTCAACCACGGCATTCTTTCCGGGGATTAGCTTTTTCTTAAGATCAATTCTGTAAAATAATTTACCACTTTGGCCGGTAACTTTTACCGGTGTTGCTACCAATCTCTCATCATCCTCGTCTTTTTTCTTGAAGACAGCACCTACGTATTGTACATGCTTCCTGTAATAGCCTTCTATAGCGTAATGGAATGATTGGACTCCAGATGCGCTTGTTGTTTCCAAGGTAAGAAGGCTGATCACTTTCGGAATATGAGTTTTTAAATTGATCGTTCTTTCAACATTTGTTATTGTTATTTCTTTGCTGATTGATTCCTGAGCGGCAGATACCAATACAAGAGATAGAGCTAGCAAACTAAATAGTAATTTGCATTGCTTATCCATCATGTTTTTTAGCAGATTTTTCTAGATTTATTTTGTTGGATACTGTTTGTAGACAAAACGCCGGCTGGTGACGTAGCGTGAGCTGGCGGGAAGTACGTCATGAAGTTCTATGCTAATTACATATTAATTTTAAAAAATATTTTTAAAAATAAACTACCTTTAAAAACATTCGTAGAAATTGAAAATCTTTACATTTTACTAAAATGTTTTTACGACAAAAACATGCGCATGCGCAGAGCAGTATATCCGAAATAAGTCGAGATTGGAATTCTGTTCTTCCACGTCAAATTTAATAAGAACTCTTAGATATAACTATTTCTTCAATGGTAATTACAATCAAACGCATCTGAAACTTTATGACATCAGATTTGTCGAGTGCCGACTTGTCGAAAGCTTCTTTCTGGAAATCAACGACTGCTAAAGTTCCTGGAAGGTACATATTTCACATCATCCCTAGTTTCTCACTAAATCAAATTGCCTCTGCAGAATGGAACCCATAAAACCAGTTTTCGGTGCTAAACATCCGCCTTGGGGGGCAAAAAAGCCAGTTAGCATACCGAGTACTCCTAGCAGAAAAGGAACTAAAAAGAGAAACGATTCCCGGCACTCATCAGATGATTCTTTTGAAAATTATGAACTAAAAACAAACGATGCTTGGGATATGAACGAAGATGATTTGATGCTCAACTTGAATATGAAAGATGTAAAAGAAACGGCAGATAAAGTCCTTTATAACCATTCAAAAGAGTCTAAATCACAAATAGCCTCAAATAGGCATCAGACCGGTCCAGGTTTAGGAAAACGTTTAGAATCACCTAATGTACAACAAGTTACCAGAACAACTCCACGAAATGATGAACGGCAATGGCAGCGATTAGATAAATTCGAAAGGCTAATATGTGCAGCTAATGTCGATTTAGAAAAATTGAGAGAAGAATCTTGGCAAGGTGTACCTCCTGAATATAGGTCAATCGTTTGGAAGATATTGTGCGGGTATTTACCTCCAGCTTTGGATAGAAGAAATGCTACTCTAAAAAGAAAACGTCAGGAATATTATACCACTATAGAACATTACTATAAACAACGTCTTCAATCAGAGCATCAAGATACTTTTAGACAAATCCACATTGACATTCCCCGAATGAGCCCACTCATACCTATTTTTCAGCAAAAAGATGTTCAAGAAGTGTTCGAGAGAATTTTATTTATTTGGGCAATTCGGAATCCCGCTAGTGGCTATGTTCAAGGAATTAATGACCTCTTAATCCCTTATTTTATCGTATTTGCTAGTGACCATATAAAAGAGACCGTTGACATATCTACGTGCACTATTTCTGAACATTTAAATTCAAAGCAGTTTGATGAAGTGGAGGCAGATAGTTATTGGTGTTTCAAAACTCTCCTAGATGGAATTCAAGACAACTATACGTTTGCCCAACCAGGAATACAGAATAAAGTTACCTGCTTAAAGAACTTAATTAGCAGAGTTGACGATAAACTGCATGAACACTTAGAGAAAGAGAATGTAGATTTTCTTCAATTTAGTTTTAGATGGATGAATAATTTGTTAATACGAGAAGTGCCGATTTCCTGTTGCTTACGGATATGGGATACGTATTTAGCCGAGTCAAACGGCTTCGCCAATTTTCATGTTTATGTTTGTGCCGCTCTCTTACTACGTTTTAGCTCGGATTTAAAAAGGGAAAAGGATTTTCAGGGAATTTTACTCTTCCTCCAAAATTTACCAACTCGTCAGTGGACAAATGACCAAATTAAAGAACTTCTAGCTCGAGCTTATAGCTTACAGTATACCTTCAATGATGCTCCGAAGCATTTGATAGCCAGTACAAAAAACAATTAAACTAAACAAGTCGTTTAGCTACGACTTCGCGAATTAGTAAATATCTAACGATAAAAATTGTTTGTACGGTAAAGTCATAATTTAAAAAATCAGAAATAAAAATCACCAAATGATATAAAATGATTATGAATAGTCGTAAAAAAGATAGGCTTAATCGGTTGCGATCAGGCGCCAGTCGTCGGTTGCTTAGTAAACGCGTCAATATGGCGAATTTCGATTGGTAACGCTAGAAATTGTTAAAATGTGACGAGAATAGTAATTTAGGATAAATAGGGCCTTCCCTTACAAATTAAGTGCCAATTATTTCTTGTAATTTTTCTAACGGATAGGTGCTCTAATAAAAGAAAAGACGATAATGTCGTGTGGAGAGGACATTGAAGCTCGTCCAGGAACTTTCTTTTTTTCTCAAAGGTATGCCAAATCATCTGCCGCTGAAATTACGAAACGGAAGCGAATTCCCGTTGAAGAGCTACCGGGTGAACTGCGTTTTTCCAATCTAAATCCTCGTTTAGCGGCCTATTTATCGCACAAAGAGGCGAATTTATCTGCTGAAGATGCTGAGAAAGTGGGCGATATAAATCTCGTCGTTAATCAATTGAGGCATCAGCTAGATTCGACTTTGACGAACGACGAAGATTCTCAAAGATTCTTAATGAATGAAGCTATCATTCAAGCTCCCTCCATTCTAGCTCAACTATCTAAGTTATTATCAGCAATACGAGCTCCCATAAAGGTTCCAAAGGGTTTAGAATATCAGCTAGAAAGTGGATATGATGAATTAACTGTCGTTGTTCATTTCGTCAAAAGAGAATGGCAATTGACCGAAAATAGAGAAAAATGGGCTAAGGATCATCCAAATTTTGCGCCAACTCAGGGTATTAAGATTGATCTTGAAACAGAAACGGATAACCCGGCCGCTTCGTCTAAGCTTACTCCTAAATCTACTCCGAGAGAATACAAGCCTTCAAAACCTCAGACTTTAGCTGACATTGCGGAGTCATCTAGTTTGTCGTCTACAAAGAGTCCAAGGACTAATAATTCTACTTCAAAACGTCACTTAGGTCCCCCCACTGCCGGTAATAGATTTTTATTCTCTTATGCAAATTTCGTAAAGAGATTGAGCAAATTTCCTTTTCAAAATGTTTAACACTCTTGTTTTTATTTCTTTGTAGGCAGAAGAGTTAAACAAAGGTCTGATTCTGTTAGAAGTGCCACTAGCAAAACAAACATGTGTGAGTATCTATAATAGGCTTATTTTGATTTATTAAAAGACTATTTCTTGACATAGCAATCGATCAATTGTCAATGAACTACGGCTACCGAATACCCACCATGACCTTCTCTTTAGCTAATAAGCATGAGTGTGCTGAGAACGGTTGGGTTCTTGAAGTTACTTCAGAGCCAGGTGAAGAGGAGAAATACAAAGTTCTACGTTGGGCCATAGAAAAGCTAACATTAGCCGGCCGAAATGCCGAAGAGGAAAAGAAAAAGGAAGTTGTAAAAAAAGGACTATTTGAACCTGGTGTTAGATATTTTGAAGAGCCTTCGGCCAAACCAAAAATAAATGAATATTTAACAGAAAACATAAGAAAAGCCCTAAAACTTCCGTTTTCTGAAATATTACTTTTTTCCTTAAGCCCAAGAATGCCTGCTGCTCCGTTTTCTAGCTCAAAATGTATGTTCTCAACAACTTCTTCAGGGGGAACAAGTATTTCTTATTACCCATCGGGCAGGGTAGCTGTTCTATGCTCTGAGGCAGATATTGGTTATTATACTATTGCATACGACGATCAGCCAATTAACAGAATGGTGGCTGTTTTCACACCTTGTGGAAACGGGACTATTTACCATCAAAATGGAGTTGCTCATTTCAATTGCAGTTCTACGGGATATATACTTTCTAATCCAAGCGGAACAATCGTTAAAAGTTGTAAATGGCCTAGTCATCGACTTCCCGATCCTGTAGTAATAAATCTGAATAGACATTTGACGTTCAAGACTGTTGCAAAGAGTTCTTCCTATCTTTTATTCACAGCTGGAAGGAACAGCTTAAGGTTTCCTGTATCACCTGTAGATGGCGCTTGTTGTCCTAGGAAGGATCAATTGGGAAAATTACAAAGCCGAATTCAGTATACATCCTTAACAGCTAAGGAATTAAGTGAAGTAAAGAATACAAAACGACGTAAGAAGTTGGACGATTCACTAAACGTTAAAAAACGGACAGAAATTGATGAAACTTTAAGAGAACCGCTTCCGGGTGACGAATACTTCGATGAATCGGAGAGGACATTAATTAAACTGCAAAGAAAGTGTAGGCTTATAGTGGAAGATTGGCTAGATCATTACAGATTAGCTGTAGGTTTGAAATCGGTGGAGCTACGAAAAGTACAGAGTTGGCAAAGACCTCACACTACAGCTTCTATGAAATCATCGCCTGGAGGCGTTCGAGTAGTAATCGAAAGTTCTGCTACCGCCTTACCGGAAGTTGACGAGAAGACTTCCAGAGCTACTTCCGCCCCAGCTGGTTAGTATAAATATTAATTTAGGAATAATGTGGTAAATTAAATATTTAGGTCGAAAAAAATATATAACATTTAATTAACAAATCAGATTCTACCTCCAATTTGTCTAGTAAGTTTTTATTCAGGGGTAAAAAAAATTCTCAAACCATAGACATAATTAACTTAAATAGAAAAGAAGCCATTTTTAATTATAATTCTTTAAGTAGATGCCCGATATCTATTCATCTTTTCATCTATTTCTATCTGTTCTGCTTTTACGATCACTTTTCACGCTAGACCCGTCAAAGGCTACACCCAGATCTCCAATAAAATTTCGCAAAGAAGCTTCGACAGACTATCTACCTGGTAGACGTGCAGCATCCTCAACGCCTATTCGCGCTATGCAACGTCCGAAGAGTGAAGTTAGAATGCTATCACCAGGTTTCTGGATGACTTTGCCTGAAGATGACTGGTGTGTTGTGATGTTGTAACAACGTATAGGACAACTTTTCGTTTTCTTTCTTTCTTTCTATCTTCCACTTCTTTGTATTTGCACAAAACTATAGTTATATTCACTCAATACGCACCATTTTAATTATTGGTGTTTACTTGGTTTTTTTTACTATTAATTAACTCCAGTCAATCCTTTAAAGGTTTGATTGAGATACCCCCCGCCGTTTAAGAAGTGATCTAAATTAATATAATCAGCAGGTTTGGACGCGGGGAGATCACCCTTAAAATCTCCGGAATTCTTCGAGGAGATTACTCTGATTGTGCCTCAATTACACCGTTCCCCACCCCATCATCCACCACCCATTCGTACCTCAAAACCCCCCGATTCTACTCGCTCAGATGAGAATGCAGTTTGGAGGAGATGCCCTACAGTGTTGCGAAATCGTATTCTGGACCCAAATTTGCCGCAACTATTTCAATGTCGATGCAAAAGAAATCTGGTTCCACGGCTTACAGACTTAGAATACGACAAATTTATAGCATCGCATACCCCATCAGATCAGCTACTAATTGTTTATATTATAAATTCGGATTATCCAGAATCTTCCGGTTCTGCTGAAAAGTTGGAAAAGTATTATATGACACAGCAAAAGGGTAGAACGTCTCCTTGCACTCAATCTACGATGGATGATTCCCGTATCTTTTTCTATGATGTACGCACAGCAGCTGATTTGACTGACTACAGCCAACCTCTACTTGTTAGGCGTCACAACGCATCACCCGGCTTCTTTCTTATGTACATTCGAGGCAGTCTGTTTTTTTGTGATCATGTTTTAGACGGCTACGGATTCGATAGACGGTATTTGGAGAGACAAGCGGCTCAAGTCCGTAAAAGTGCCAAAGAGAAGGGTCGGTCTCTCCCACACGATTTCCGCTTCTCTCCCCTCCAAGGCCGACCTGGCGCCAGAGCGGCCTATGGAGGCCAAATGGCTGGACCGGGGATAGATTATTCCGGCAATCCAGGATTATCTTCCGATTACGCTCTAATGGAATTATCGGCCAGCATTAGGGACAAACCGCTTGAATCTCAAATCGGGTAAGTCCTAATCCTCTTTCCTCTTTTATTATCCTATTATTTTTCATGTTCAACCGTATTTAATCAAAAAAAAAAAATAATTACTCTATTAAGACTATTCGTTAATTCTTTCCTCAAAAACAGACCTGTAAATTTGTCGAATATATTTACTTCCATATTCGGTTAGAAACATCAAGGTAAAAAAAAAACATCAACTATAACCTAAAAGGAAAAAGAAACAAATACCTTTAAAAAAAACTGGGGGGAAAAATCGATTCTCTGATTCTTAATTAATTAAGTTTCATTTCCTAAAACATGGGATAAGAAGAGTAAACGACTCTTTTTTTATTTATATTTTTGCTTCATTTTTTTCTGATTTGACTAATATAATTTTTATCTATCTTTTTTTCTTTAAAAAAAAACTATAGACTTTTTAAATTATTATTTTAGAAACACTTTTTTTTAATTCATTTTTTTTTTTCATACCAATTTTTTTTCTTTTTTTTTTTCAAATATTACGGTAACAGAACTTTATTGCCGTTTTTGGGTAAGCCGAAATTAAAGGAGAAACGTTCTTCGAAGGATATTCTACAACTTCGTCGAACGGTAACATCATTTTGTAGAGAGAGAGAGTTGTGCATTTAAATATTTTGTATATGTATATTCTATATATTTATAGTATATACTTGCTAAAGAGCTGAAGCTAACCAGTTAGCACAAAAGCTTTATGTATGCACTTTAATTAGGCTTTGCCTTCTGGACTCATCGTCAAATCCCTATCTCTTTTAAACATCTTTACTCTTTCCTTCTCATACTAAAATGTTTCGCTTTTTGATACTAAACGTAAAAGTAAACGCCTTTTTTTTCACAACAAACCAAATTGAACTTATATTTTTTCCTCTCCATTGTTATAATAATTTATGTTAATATTAATACGAAATATTGCGTAATAGCATAATAATAATATTTGGTCAACATTTCCTACAGCAAACCGCTTTACCGGCCTTGTCCTCTTCAACTGTCACTTAAAATGGACATCAAAAGAATTGGTTTCGAAAATAAAATATTTGTAATCTCTGTCGAACATAAAACACGTTTAAAATATAATTATTAAATAATGATAATGATAATAATAATGATAATAATAGCAATAATAATAATATATAATGTAAAAAGCCGAAACGTTTGTTTTGTTTTTTTCTTTTTTCATTTCTTATACACGAAGTACACGACTACGTTAAAAGGCCCAATTTGCAAATGTAAAAGCGCCAGTTCTTTCTCTCGTTCCCTCACACAGAAAATTGCAGGTATATTGTAAATTTATACTTCTCTTTTTTTTTAAGTATTGTTAACACATATAGATCATTTTGTTATGTATAGGTCTAGAGATGTCTGCAGGAGAGCAGCAGTTTGAGCATATGATCAAGCAGGACCGCTCTCTGGATCGGGCTGAGGAGCTATGCCGCTAAATTGAACTGCATCGTTCGGAAAATAAATACTCGGTTCCGTATTGCGACGCTTGATTTTCGTCTTGGTCTTTTTAAGCATTGTCGCCTAAGGGTGGGGAGAAAAGAGAGGATGGGATTAATTCTATTTAATTATCTTAATTATCTTCCGGCTGCCTTATTACCTTCAAAGCAGACCTGAGCACGACAACCTGACCGGCAGACTGTATCCACGGTTCACCGTCTACTTGTACCGGCAAGTCAGTGAGTAGGTGAATGCGCAACTGAAAAGTTTAAGACAATTTTGGAAACGTGAAAGTTATCAATTTATATATCGATTATCCTTACGTGTCCTGCTTGCGCAATCCTTATAGCCGAACGCAGACCGCTTTGAATTTGGCCCATATGCACAACGCCAGTGACCCCGACCACTTCGAGCATACCATCGTAATGAGTCGGTTTGGCGAATTGATCATCCTTTTCTGGTCCCCACGGATTGGCACCCGAACCCCACGAGAGAATGTTAAGAATGATAATGCCCTCTAGCGGTGGCAATTCGATCAACTTTCCATCCGCCTCTACCTTAATCCACTTATGAAGATCCTTACAACTGCGGCGGTTCACCATCTTACGCAGGCCCATCTTGATGTAGACGCCCTTGTTGCGGAGGCGGCTGTTAAACTTGTCTGGATTCTCCTCTCGAGCCATGTGAAAGTCGTAACAAAGGTCGGCATCAATGCCGATACCAAAATAATTATTCATAACGAATATAGATGTCTGATCCTCATTCGTATTAGCAGCATTCGTATCGTGCGCCAGCGAGATCTTAGTATCATCTGTCTCTTTTTCGTTCGGATGGAAAATGACAGTCCACCTATCTAACTTTATCTCTTCCGCCTCGATAACGTCCCTGAGCAGATTAATCGGCTCCTCCGTTCCTGTATAACCGCTTCCCCAACGTAGTACCCTAGCTAGATCGTTACCAGTTCCTAAAGGTACAACAGCCATTGGTGGACTCTGACATTGGGCATCCTGTCCGACATTATCCAAACAACTCAAGGCCCATCCAACAGTTCCATCACCACCACTAACTAAAATCTTGAAGAAGGGCAAATTACGGAATACATAAAGACCCGGTAAAGGTCCACCATTCATTAGGTCGAATACCTGGTGAGGGTTGAGTAGTTTACGGAAGGAACGAATTAAATCCATACCCTGCTGGCCTCCCGATTTAACATTGACTAGAACTAAAAGAGGAGTGACGTTCGACGGCACAGTTTGCGGTTGTATGTTCGGTAAGAGAAGTACCAGCAGTTGTTTGTCATCAAAGACAGCATCTCTTAGAACATTATAAGCTCTCGTAGCTGTGTCCGGATCCTTATAAAGTAAAACAAGCGAGCCGTATTCATAGTAGATAACATCGAAAGACGACCACTTGGTATCCGCCCGATTTAGGCCTATATCGTTGAGTATTTTCTCATACTGACGTTGATTCAATCCGGTCGGTAGATTTCCAATATACATAGCTATATGGGGACCATGCGGATCACTTTTTAATTTCAGATAATAGCGCGTCATGCGGTATTGACGAAGCGACTCCTTCCGGCTCAGGTGAACGGCTTCCAGCAGTTTTTCGTCCGATTTTAATTCCCCTTCCGTAACACCTTTATCTAATAGAACTTCGACTAGCGCGAACTTGACAGGATCGGCCGTTTCAAGACCAAATTCTTTGAGCGCTTGAGCAATGACGTCTAATACTGTCGTTGTCTTACCGACACACATAATCTTATATTGGGCTGTCACCCTACTTGATATATTCAGCAAGGCTCCGGCGTAGATCTTTATAAAACACTTTTCTGGTTCAGGATCTCTATAACGGAGGAAAACACAAGGTCTCTTTCCATCTCGAACCTTGGTTTGTGACCTAACCGTTTGAGATACTTCCAATTCTCTTTCTATTGGTTCACCGCTCCTAGATCCCGAAAATTCGGTATAATCTTTTAGAGTTTGGATCTCACCCTCTGAGCTTCCCTTCTCTAACATATCAGCAACATAATAATTATTTGGCTCCTCCGCTATATGGAATGTACGAAGGGCGGCTTCGAGTAGGACTTGAACGGGCGCTGATTTAGGCACAGTAACAACCCTACAACACTTTCTTTTCAGCGAGGCGTTACCGTCGAATATCCTTACGACCTCCTCGTCGCGTTCCCTTTTTTCTTTGTCATTAGGCGATTTCCTATCGTAAGCGTCAGTCAAAAGTTCGTCTCCCCCTTTCGAATCTCCAGACGACGAGAATTCATCACTAACTATATTAGGGATAGAAACTATAATTAGGCGAGCGGCTCAATTTAAATAGTTCATCAAGTATTTACTCACCACTAACGGGGTCTTTAGTAAGGAGAAGTGAGAAAACGAAGAAGAAGATGATGATGAAGATGATATAAAAGTAGAGTTTTAATGGAAAACGAAAGAGTTAATAGATGGAAATTGAAAAAAATAGTAATTTACTTACTAGGTCTTTTTTGGAAACGATAGATGCTCTCTTGACTTAGATGCATTCTAGGAATGGTTAAAGAGCACGGAGGTAGCATAATTTCTCTTAAACAACCAAAACTACATTCCTCCGGCAATTGTCTATAACAATGTGAATGGGCCGTCACACCGCACCACTCACATCTCATACCAGCTAGACATTCGCTAGACCAGCAAGTTTTTTTGCAACCTAAGCATTTACTATTGGCTGGTAGGTTACCTTCCCGCCAATGATGATATTGTTTAACTGCCGCTTTATCCTTATAAGGATTGAACGTCGCGCATTCTTTGCAGTCGCTAACGACGAAGTCGTGGCACTCCAGGTGAACATAGTATTCGCAAATCTCGCAACGGTAAGCGGAAACGCTCTCCTCTATACGCTTGCGGCATAAGTTGCAGAACTTTCTCTTGAAATGTCCAGGTTCCGACCAACAGTGTGCAACAGGGTTCTGAAAATATAAATGAATAATTTTATCTTATTAAATAGAATATTATCAACGCCATCTATCGGGCCGATTATATTTTATCAATAACGACGACGAGAGGCGCTGCATCGTTACTGTACCTTTATCAACTGCGTCGCTATACTCGAACAAGCGCTGACCACATTCTTCAGGCAACGTTCGTGAGCAGTGAAGTTGCAGACTGCGAATATCATATACAAACATTAATTAATTTACAATAAACATGTTTGTTGATGATTTAAAAGCCAAACAAGATAATCAGAGAAAAAAATTAAAAAACCTTCTATGCACTCAGTGTCTAATGTGTGTAGCATAAAATGCAATACACCTACAATGTATTTTTTTTTTATCATCTTGTTTTCTTCTCCCTCAAGTATTACTTTTAGGCCTTTTAACGTAAACTTGTAAGTATATCATATAAATATGCATATATGCATGTATACATATATATAATATATGCATAGGTACTGTATCGTACTCCTAGAAGCATGTATTTGCATTAACGCATATATTAATTCGAATGAGGGTGAACGTATTTAAGTTTTTATTATTATTATTGAAAAGCATTTTTTTAAGGCTGCTGTGGAATAGTTATAACGCCTTTATATAGCATATACAATATATATACTGTATTTATATCGTTTAAACGAGTCTTGCTGAATGAACAGATAAATTTAGATGACTACTGTTCTCTGTCTTTCTCTTTTTTCCCTCGCTATCTATCTTTCTGTCCATTTTTATGTATATATATATATATATATATATATATATATGTTTTATAAATATCTAAAGAGCCTATATTCGTGTATCCTATACTGTTACGTATAAATATGCAATTTGATTATAGTTTCAATGATACTTTACGTATAAATAGCCATATACTGTGTACTATGAATATGTTGTATATATTTGTCATACATATTATAACGTGTATTCTCTCTGCCTATCTTGCTCTTAACAGACTATTAAACGACATATCTTAAATTTTATATATTCCATTATACTTACAACAAGTCTATATATATATATATATATATATATAATTGTAAACCTTCTATGTGTTTGTTACTCGATGTTCTGTTTATCCATAGGAGTTATATAAACCAACGCCTCTTTACATTTTGTATTCCTCTATTAATTCAAGACAATGTAAACGTGAAAACGTGAGTTTGTGTAGGTACAAGTATTCTTTTGTGTACAATAAATGCATGTAATTACATTCAGAAGGTTTTTCCCACATAAACGCATAAGCGTTCCCCGTTCATGCAGTATGTGCTCCACCGCTACAACACAAGTTATGTACATTAATGCCTATATAGGGTATTCTGTGTTTTGACGTACATATGTGTGTACAAGTGCACAAATGTATCTAAATATCTATTGTTTGCCGTATAAGTACTATGAATTTGTCATTTAATTTATATCTGAATCTACTATATGAGCTATATATATACGCTGCATATGAAATATATTCATAAATATATACATTCATTTAAATATATTTGTGTATATATCTATATATATAAATATATATATATATATGCTATATATGCAATATATATATATAGTGACATATATATAAATTTATTCGATATATTTAATCTTAATGAAAGCGAAGCCTATATTGATTTTTTTTAAATGCTATTCTTCATTTAAATACTAACCTTCGCACTGATATCCTTGACCAATCAAACCCCAAAGCATATCTGTACAATGATGACAATAAACGGGCTTGTGGAATGACTTCTTCGTGAAGAAGTGTCCATGCCCACCGTCCAAACTATCGTCAGCCGATAACGAATCCGACGCCATTTGCGTCTACAGTCCAGCTGTCGTTGCCGTTTTCTACAAACCTTCGTCAATGGAACCGTCAACTATTCAGCGATGGCATATTATATTATACGTCGACGCCATTTTAACTGGCGCAGGCGCAGCATTGCAGTTTTCCGAACGGACAAACTCGCATCGTTAAAGAGCTGACGACCGCCATCTGTCGACAACGCAGGCGCTATCTGCTGTAGAATTTCATTTAATTTTATTTATTGTTTTATGCAATCTATATTTTTCATTTAAGTAACATCAAATTATTCTTTCATCCATTCTTAAGAAAACTAATATATCAATACAATTTACAAAACTTGCCAATTAAAATCGTTTCAATACCATTGGGGCTGCACAAACGGGTCTGCTTGTTGATTCATATTCATATAAAAATTATATATACATATATATAAAAGTGTATGTGCTTATGCCGGTCCTCAGACATATTTAGTGTTTTGTTTTATGTATAATATACAATTTTTTCGAATATATACATGTTTATGCATATATCCATGGACATAGTTATTTATTTTGCAAGTACATATATCTATACTCTTGCCTTCTATGTTGCCTACATACATATATATATATACATATACAAATATATACATATACATATATATACATATACATATATGAAGATATAAATGTATATAAGTATGTATATAAGAGTATGAATATATGCATATACATTAACACATTATTTATGCATATATGCATACATATTTACCATTTATACATATTACACACGCATTTTTATTTAGAAACGGGCGTGTGTAGTAAACATGCATACATAATTGTATATGTGAATGTAAAAACAAGCCTTTATCAATTTTATAATATTTTTTTTACACATTCAATCGCTCGTACAGTCATTTTTTTAAATCTAGTATCAGTCATAATCAAAGTTTGAAGAAGAGCAAAAAATATTTATATCCAGTCTCTTATATCTCAATTCATATATCAGTCTTCTAGCGGTTTTCACCGTATAACAGTCGTACATAAAATGTAAAAATAAGAAGCGCCTAAATGTGTAGTAATGGGTAAACTGAAAAGGGTTCGTGTGTAGATTTGTTTTTTCATTAATTTGCCTCCATTTTAATATTAATATAAGTAATAAATCATCTTCTATTCCCTCTTGTTCATTCTCCGCTCTCTACCAGAACGTTCCCGATCATCGCGTGATTCCTTTGAACATGAAATGAAAAGACAGAATTAATGGGGATTATTTATTGGTATGGTCAGTTGTCTTACTTTAGCATCTGTTTTCGTGGTATCGTCTTCCTTTTGACGGTTTTCATAATGAATAAAATCGTCAAATATGGAAGTGGTCTGCCTATATTGATGTATAATACGTAAAACCTGTCGACCCTTATCGGGTGGAACTTCTTGGGTATCTCGAGAATTCGTTACTGGTTTATTCTCATTATTTTCTAAACGAATATGACGTAATTGCGAATTTGGTACATCCTTAACATATATCCATTTAACTTCGAATTTCCCGCGCCATTTATCTTGTGCCCAAACACTACTAGTTGTTGAATAATCGACGGCACTCATCATTTGAGCAACGCCGCAAAAATGTCCAGAACCGTTGACGGAGAAGAATAAATAAACAGGTCCTTTACCCTCTCGTTCGTTGAAAGCTGAGTCAAGCCGTTTATTTCCGTGCTCCGTGCTACACCATATAGCATATTTTATCGACCGATGTATATCATCTTCACTATAACTTTTTATTATAAAAAATCTAGCTCCTTTTACGTTTAGATTTAAATCCTTAGGGTTATACGTATTCGCCGATTTAAGTTTATCTAAGAGAGGATGAGATGGTGATACAGTTGCCGGTGCAGATGTAGGAGTTGCGTTATTATATGGTCTTCCTCGGGGAGCAATCCAATTCGGCTGGGGCTTTAGTGGCTGTTGTTGTTGCTGTTGGATTGCTGGTTTCATTTTATTATCTGTTGCCCACGTTCCTATGTCCATATTTTTTGTTGTAACGGGTGGAGGAGGAGGTCGATTTGTAGGCTTAGTCTTAATACCCGTTTGATGGAATTTTCCAGGTTGAGAAGCTATAGATGCCCAAGTTTTCTTTGATGAACCACCTACATTTTGCGGTACAGAGTTTGTTACAGAGTTTTCCCCTGCACCACACGAATCTGCAGCATCGTCGTTGAGAGAGACGCTCTTAAGACTCTGTTCTACAGGATTTATATCGTTTGCCGATGAATTTTCATTTTGAATAATACCAGTTCCGTTAACAGGATTATAGTCCGTCATATTCATATTGCCTCCATAAAATTCAGAGTATTGGAAGGGTCGTTCATCCTTTTGCCTGGTTGTTACAGTTGCTGGAGCAGCCGGAGAACTATTATTGTATGTATAGTTTGGAAAGTCCCATCCAAACCCCGTATTATAATTAAAATTACTATACATTCCGTTATTTGCTGGTAAATAATCAGGAGGGTTTCCGTAAAACACAGAATTCATGGGATCAGGGGTATTCGACCAGTTGGTAGCGTTGTCACTTAAGGTAGCTGTATTTTGAGGATAGAAACCTGGGCCCACGTAATAGTTGGGCACAAAATGATCCCCAGTTTGATTAGGCATTGCAGTTACAGGAGGAGCTGGAGCGCTACTAAATGCAGTCTAAAAGATATACATTAATTCATAAAATATTATTAAATAAGAAACAAATCGTCAATAAAAAACCTGTGGCACTCCTGTGTATGCATCAAATTTGTTTTCACTGGACTTAACAAATGTTGCTTCACGATTAGGGCCGTTCGAACCTGGTCGTACGAAGATCATAAAAATGAAAACCACGATGTGGTTTGCATGCTTTGATATTTACCTTGACTTTGCTGTGTCTTCGATATCTGAAATTAAAACAGTTAAATAAAAATAAATAATATAATAAATAATTATTCTAGTCTATTTGTAACGCCTGCATGTGAACTAAGCCGCCTTAAACAAACTTAAATAAGCAAGTTTATCGGAAGTATGTACCTGATCAACGCTGGTAGACATCACAACAGATCAGTTAACAAGTTTGCAATTATTGTAGTATATAATTGAAAAAGATTTCTTCAAAATTAGTGACAACTTTTTTCCAATTACTTAAGATCACAAGCACACGTTTTTCAATAATTATCCCTTTTTCTAATGTCTGCCTTATGGCGACCGTCAGGCCGAGTAGTGATCTCGTAAATTGTCTCGGTGTCGGTCTTGCACGAGATTATATTTCTAGTTTTAAAAATTAAAATATTTGCTAAATAGTGTAAAATATTATATTAAAAAATTTTTAATAATGAAAAATATTTCGTACGAAACTATCTTTGCTTTTATGTGCTTGAAATAAAATATACTTTTCAAAATGGCGAACTGATTTAGGGTTATTATGCAGCCATTTTGATATTATTATGTAATTTTATATGGTATTCTTCTAAAAAAAAACCCACATTTAAGAGGAGAAACTAGGCAAAATATAAAAATGGTGAACGTTGACGTCACGATTCATGTCCATGATGCCTCAGAAAAAATGGCCGATGTGGTGACATTGTGTTGCTTGGATAGCAGAATTGCATTTTTGTAAAAATTTGGTGAGCCCATTGCTTATTCTAGCCGATTTTATATCAACTATTAACCCACATTCGCTATGTAAGATGTTGTCTTGTCGTGTCCGTTGACTTCGAGGAAGTTTCAATACTCTTTTTTTATTTTGATCTAATTAACCGATTCTTTTGATCCTCTGAGATATCTGTACCTAAAAGTTCAATTTTCAATATTTTTACAATTGATTACCCGTTTAACTTGGAAATTTTGCATTTCAGATATTAATTTTTTTCTTTACTTTTTGTACAGTCATGCTCAAGTCATTCGAAACGGCAACACTATGAATCACTCGGGTTGGGAAGTAAACGATCTAATGATAAATGGTCATGATATGACAACGACGAGAAATACACAACAAACAAGATCGCAAGATGATGCAAACGTCGATTATTTTTATCAACGTCCGCATACCGATATGGTGCAACATTTGAACAAAAGATGGGCGCCTGGGGACGATTCTATCTTAGAGATGGCTGCCCAAGGAAAGCCTGTTGCTTACCTTGAACGGGAGCTGCATAGTATTTCATTAGAAAGTGCAAAAGACGTAAGATTTCAAGATAAAACTTTAATAACCATTCACCGAATCTATCTATTTTCAGATTAATGCAAAGAAAATTTGGGAAGAGAATAAAACCGGCGATAAATGGTCTAATAGTCCCTGGCCTCCTGTAGTAAGTCGAAATGATCACGACACTTGGACAAGTGGAGGAACAAGCGGTGGTTTACTAAGTGTCGATATGGCAGAATATGTATTAGGAAGCTCTTCTCCTGACACGAGGATTTCATCTTCCATAAAACGATATGCAGGGGGAGGTGATGCTGATGGTTCTAAACATTTAGAAAATCAAAAGGAGAAGAAAGAAAGGCTTATTGAGGAACAAGCTAGAACCCCACTACTATCAAATGCTGTGGACGATAGCCCTAATAAACAGACATCTCAATCTGAGGATGATAGTGGACAACATGGGGAAGAATCTAGGATGAAGATAATAAATAAATGTGATGAATATTCTGGTCCTGTAGCCTCAGCAGGAGTAGACTTACCAACTGTTGCTATTCTACCAACTGTTGTTCAGCAACAGCAGCAGTCTTTTCAAAGTGATGTTTCTGAACCGAGTGCCTACTTACAATCGCACCACGATTACATGATGCCACCTGTAAATGATCCCGACTATCAAATGGTAAGATTCATCAAGAGTTATGAACAGTTTATAAATGCAAAAAATTCACTTTCTCTACTAGGTTGGTCGGCAACAAATGATTATGGACCAAGCTCAAACTAATGGTTATGTAACACAACCAACGGCCCTAGGTATGAAGGACGTTTTACAATTTCATTGATATTAATCAAAACTGTCCCAACAGGTACTACGCACGTTATGCAACCTGCTCAGTATTACAGCGTTCAAGCACCATGGGCTGTTTATCCAACAAATATTTTACCAGCAAATCAGCAGCAGCAACAACAAGCGCCAGTTTATAGACATTATCAAAGACCAGTTACACCCCATCAAACAGGTCCTGAAGGTGAAATGTCGATGCAGCAGGATAATACCTTAATTTTTCAAAACCCTCAATATCAAATAATCGCTGCTCAAGCCTACTACGATCAAAATGGGCAGTTAGTAATGAATAATGGACGTAATTTACCAGCTCCAATGCGCCTGGTCTCGCCAGCTGCGCCACATGTTATGCAAGGGGGACAGAATGGAGTGAGAATACTAGCCCCAAATCCCCAACAACAACCTCCAAATTATGCTAGTAATACCTCAACACCACACAATTCGCTGACGGATGGTATGTATCAGAATTTATTTCTCGTCCAGTTATAATATTTATTATCTGCAGCTTATGGAAACGGACCAACTAGCCAACAAGCTTTTAGCCCCCAAACATTTACTTCGCCTTATGCTCATTCAGGTTTGTACTGTTGATTAAAAATTGAAAATACGTCATTTACTTTTAAAACTAACAGCAGCTCCAAACGCAAGAAGAGATTCTTTTGGATCATTGGATTATAAAGGGCAATCAGGCACACTATCACGAGCGCCGTTTCCTGCTCAATTTTATAGTCCCATAGGTGGAACAGTTAGTCCTTTGGGAACTACCGGTCTTTCTACACCACCTCCTGTACATAATTTGAGTACGCAACGAACACCAAATGCTTTCTACTCTCCCGCTCCTGGAGCGGAGGTGAAATACAGACAATCAGCCCAAGCGCCGTCAGGAGCTAACTATTCAATGACCTTAATGGGAGGACGAACTGGAGCTAAAACACCTTCGAAAGAACCTGCAAGGTCAAGACTTTTGGAAGATTTTCGTAGCAACCGATTACCAAACATACAATTGAAGGAACTTGTAAACCATGTTGTTGAATTTTCCCAAGACCAACATGGCTCAAGATTTATCCAGCAGAAATTAGAAAGGGCTACAATTCAAGAAAAAACATTGATATTTAATGAAATCCTTCCAATGGCTTTTGTGCTAATGACAGATGTTTTTGGAAATTATGTCATACAGAAATTTTTTGATTTTGGTTCTAATGAACAAAAAGCAACTTTAGCCAACAAGGTTAAAGGTAATGTTTTGATGCTGGCCCTTCAAATGTACGGTTGCAGAGTTATACAGAAAGCCCTTGAATGCATTCAGCCAGATATGCAAGTTGATTTGGTAAAGGAACTCGATGGGAATGTGTTGAAATGTGTAAAAGATCAGAATGGCAATCATGTCATTCAGAAATGCATAGAGTGTGTTGAACCGAAAAATTTGGATTTTGTGATTAATTCTTTTAAAACTCAAGTTACACAGCTATCTACACATCCATATGGTTGTCGCGTTATACAACGCGTTCTAGAAAATTGCACCTCTGATCAAGTGGGTGTTGTTTTGGATGAAATGCATGAAAACACAGAGAGGCTGATACAGGACCAATATGGGAATTATGTCATTCAGCATGTGTTGGAACACGGAAGAGCTGAAGATAAAACGAAGATTGTTAAAGCTGTTAGGGGTAAAGTTATGAGCTTATCTCAGCACAAGTTCGCCTCGAATGTCGTTGAAAAGTGTGTTTCGCACTCTTCGGCTCCAGAACGACGTTCACTTATTGATGAAGTTCTGCAGATGAACGACAGGTAAATTATTAAATAATAATTTTAATATATATTATAGATATAGATAATAATCATTATTTGCAAAGCAGTTCTCACACTGGATTGTATACGATGATGAAGGATCAGTACGCTAACTACGTGATTCAGAAAATGATTGACGTTGCAGATTCCTCGCAGAAAAAGCTACTTGTACAAAAAATTAGACCACATGTAACTACTTTAAGAAAGTATACATACGGCAAGCATATTCTGGCTAAATTAGAAAAATTTTGCCTGAAAGCTAATCGGGACTTAGGTCCTATTGGAATGCCACCAAATGGCGCTTTGCCACGTTAAATTTAAATGGTTTAACTATAGTACTGTGTGAATGTCTACACATTACATATACATACATATATATATATATATATAAATATATACATACGTATATACAGTGTAATATTTTTTTAAGTTTGTGGTGTTTAATTGTGATTTTCTCTTTTCCTTTCGTGTGGCAAATTTTGAGAGGGACTTTTTTTATATAAGGAATGCAATTGAATATAAACTATTGTTTGTTCTGAATAATTGTAAATTTATTGTTGTTCGTTTATTGCGGCTTGTATATCTCTGTACACTTGTATAAATTAATATATATATGTCGATATGTCTATATGTATATATGTGAGTATTCAGATGTATATATATATATATATATGTATATGTATATGTGTATATTTATATTTATATACATATACATAGACGTATGTGAGTATTCATGTACATATATATATATATATATATATATATATATACATATATATCCGTACATACATATATATATATATATATATATATATGTATATATATATATGCGAATAGGGCAACTAGCCGTATACAAAAAACGTGAATTATTCGGTGTCTTTTCTCTTTATATCACTAATATTGTACTTTTTGGGAAAATCGTTAATAGAAAATACTAAAAATTGAACATCTGTTGTTAGTTAAACTTCTTCTGATGTAGGCCCGTTTTCGCTTATATTGATCCAAAACATCTGCGCATGACGAAAAGAGCGCTTGTTTGAACCAGCTTTATTATGGATAAAGAAACGTTCTTCTGGACTATATCATGGATTGTTCTTATTCCTATCCTATTATTTATACTGATACTGTTTATATATCTCAAAGATAAGACAAAGAGTAAAAAAGAACAAGTTTTAATAGTTTCTTTACTTTCATCTCGAGTTTTATTTTTTGCTGTGACATTGCCTCTAAAATGTTCCAGTTCAATGAACGATTTGGCGTCTGAATTGATATGGTGCAAAATCATTTCAATTAGTTGGTACATAAGCGTTATCGCAGAGCAAAATACGACAATAGCCATTATATTTTTGGTCTGTTCAACCATTTTAAGAAAGAAAAACTTGACTTTCAATAGTGTTCTCTTGACAATCTTATCGATATGGATATTATCAAGTGCCGTTTCCTGTTTATTAGTATTTTCTTTTGAAGCTTATCATATGGAGAAATCAAATTGCATTCTTTTCAATCAAGACTCGTTTACATTCAAAGTATTTAGCATAACAGTCGCGGTCGAAGGACTAATGACTGTTGTTTCCTTCTTGTACTATTTTATACTTTTCGTTGTCGGAAAACACTCTTACAAGAAGAATAAAAATGAACAACCTATTGAAAATGGAGGAGGCAATTCTGACTTTATAAAACCTTTACCATCCTTACCTAAACACGAAATATATAGTGATCCTGTGAAGTCAGCAATTTGTCTTTCATGCGCATCATCTTTCTTCTTCTCTGCTCTGCCCATATTTTTAGTTTGTTTAGTAAGTACCATAAATATCTTGTTTTATCTATTTTTCGCAATACGACTGTTTGGGAACAATTTTTACAGATTTTTCACAGAAAGGAGGCGGAGAAGATATTGATCTCTGTGAGTGTAGCCCAATCTTTGTTCATCTTGTTGATTTTGTTACATAGGGCTGTAAAGAACCGACGTCAAAGATTACACAGAGATGCAGAAAGATATATGTATTCTCAAAGAGTATCTGTTATATCATTTGATAGTTTCAGTACTTTCGATGATATTAATGCACCCAAAGATGAAGAAGCATTATACGACACCGTTGCTAAAGAAATATGCACATCGGAAGCTGCCATTCAAGTCAACGTTGACAGCTTGAGCAGGCGAAATAAGGAGATTGTCAAAGAAGTTGAAGAGTCGTCTTCTATGAGAGATGATGGGATAACCAGTGACTATTCACAATTATCTCAGAAAGAAGAGGATTCAGCTTCAATAGGATCTTCAGTTGTCAAATTTCGAAGAATTAGAACCTTAGATATGGGACGTAGTGTCGATAAAGAGGAAGAAGAAGAGAAAAGAAACAAGCTATTTAGCGCCTGGAAGACTGCAGTAGCAACAGTGAGAATAGCAAATTGGTTAAGTGATAAACCTAAGCAAGCAGATGAAGATGACGGATGGAGTGAACAAGATTCAAGTATTGTTTAAATTTTGTGAGAATTAACCTTTTTTCAAAACATAAAAATACATTATCTTAGTTTATTATAACAATAGTTAAACAAGAATAAAATCTAATGAATAATGTTTAAAAACAATGAAAATCGTAGAGTATTCTCAATTCTCCTTCGAACTATCATCATTCATCTTTTTTCTTATCTCCAGGACCTCTTTGTACTTTAATTTTCTCGGTATTACATCTGTTATGGACAGACAAAAATACAATAAGGGTTGAAATTCCATAGCACATATTATAGTAAATAATCAAACCGAGTAAAAAAGACTCCAATTGCTCGTTTTTGTTTACAACGTCGGCAAAATCATTATAGTTTATTTTTTGCTTATCAGGGCAATTTGTATACGTTTCTTCTACTAGATGTTCAACAAAGAGTTCCTGCAAATAGAATATTAATAAAATATTCGATTTTTAACAAAATTTACCGTTGCTTTTCCAATCAAAAATAGAGAATCAGAACTGATCGATGATACATCTGGCGAGCTCTTCATAATAAGCCTAATTCGAGACAAGGGGAAGAGAGAAACTCCTAGATTTGGTAATTTGGTTTCATCCATGGCGGCAAAATAAGGTCAAGGTTGCATTAAATACCGATTTTTAATCGGTTTGACGTTCTACCGGTTATAGGTCCTTTCACTTCCGGTGTTGGTAAGTGGTATCACGTGGTGAAGATTTTTCGTTGTTTAATGGCTTGTGATTTGGCAAAAGACACCTTTTGGTTCGATAAAGCTAGGACAAGTGACGCTGAAAGAATCTATTTTGAAAAATTGTACGGAAATAAACAGACACAGGTAAGAGTGTTGCGAATGATCTGCTTAATAATTTTGGTGACCGGTTCCGCTTCTTAACAGCAAAAAAACGCTTCAGCATCTTCTGTCGTCGATCAAATAGCTCGCGCAAGAGAGCAAATTGAAAAATCTCTATCTCAAACGAACGTAAATAATTCTAAATGCTAAAGCATTAATTCTAAACTTACTCTTGCTGTTTTTCTTAATAGGACTCATTTGGAGACATGGCTTCGGAAGCAATGAAAAAATTAGAACTTATGGAGACCAGCAACAAGAACATGATACAGAAAATCGAAAATTTAACGAGTTTGGTATCTAAACTACAGGACAGAGTAAAGGTTCTTGAAGGAAAGTCATCAGAGAAACCGAAAGAAGAAGAAGAGGATGATGATGATGAAGATTTGTTTGCTTCAGATGATGAAGAAGAAGATGAAGAAGCTTCACGTATTCGTGAAGAACGCCTAAAAGCATATGCTGAAAAAAAATCTGCAAAGAAAGCTGTGGTCGCCAAGTCGAGTTTAATCTTGGAAGTTAAACCATGGGATGATGAAACTGATATGAAAGCTCTCGAAGAATCAGTTCGCACTGTCACTATGGATGGTTTGCTGTGGGGAGCATCAAAACTGGTACCAGTAGGATACGGGATTCAGAAATTGCAGATCAGCTGTGTCATTGAAGACGATAAAGTCAGCACAGATGACCTTACCGAAAAGATCGAGGCTTTCGAAGATTACGTCCAGAGTGTTGATATTGCTGCTTTTAATAAGATTTAACAAGTAGCTGTATTAGGTGCAAAGTCGTAATAAAATGGGATAGGAAATAGAAAAAAAAATTTTTAAGCGGCAGAGCTGTCTATTCTATATACAAGCAGCCAGCTGCAGAATTTCTCTAAACGTTCGTACAGTCGATTTCAACGATGTCCGTAGGAACAGTAGCAAATTGATACACTAAACGTTGACCATCAACTTTATTGAGAATTCCACGAGCGTAATAATACCTGAGAGCTCTACCCATTGTCTCGTAGTTCATGCTTGGTTTATTCTTATGTAATCCCCAAAGTCTTGAAACGGCTTTTGAATCAACTAATTTAAATGTACCGTTGGCCCTATCAGTCCACTTAATGAATCGAGGGCAGTATTGAGGAGACTGTAATAGTTTTAGCAGGAATTCCCATAGGTACGTTGTTGAACTTTCGCGCTTTCGTTTCGGCGTGTAAGTGGTGGCGGTTTTACGGCCGCGTTTTACTGGCGTTTGCTGTTCGTTCGTTGCATAGGGCGGATTCGGTGTTGAGCAGAAATCGTTGTAGTTATTCGTTAAATTTAAATCTTGTAATTCTGGATCAGAAACCGATACACCACTATCAGCCGGACTTGGTGGATGAAATGCTGCTGTAGATAGGTTATCTTTTTTATCATAATTCTTTTATAAAGTTTCAAAGAAATACTCACATTTTGCGCTATTTTTTGCTACATATCGGTTTTGGCAGTGGATGACGTTGCTATTTACTGCAAAAAGTTAGAAGAGAAAGGATAATAAAAATTTAATGACTGTAAAAAAATCAATCACAAGCTGCCCTCGCGATCTCTGTTACTTATTCTCTATCTCTCACATTTTTGTTTGTGAACTTGTATTCTACTTTACATCTATTCACCTGACACTGAACAACTTTCTCTTCGACTAAAAAAAAAATTTATAAACCATAGAAACGTTTTAGCAGGCCTTTCTTAAAAGCGCTACTTTTCCACGATAGATCAAGCGGTTCTTCTTGGAACATTTTCCAAGTCGAACTGCGGCCGTCTAGGCAGTGGAATGCCTTAGTCATGTGATCAAAGGCGGATATTTATAGGCCGACAGCGATGCAGAATTTATAGAATTTATTCCTTTATAAAAGATTACATTTGTAGGAAGGAAAAGCCACTTGCTTGATATAAATTAGTACAGGTGAATAGAACTAAACAAGAAACGTTCATCGTTTCTCTATTCCCGTCTTATTCTATTGCCCCTCTGCCCTCACCGATCTTTTTTTGCAGCTGTTGCGTATATTACAATTTTTTTCCAAACAAATACAATAACGCGAATTTTTGCTGTAATTATTATCCATTTGTTAAAAAATAACATTTTTTTAATACCGTCTAAATCGCTCTTGTTCTTCTTACGGCCTCTCCTAGTTTTAGGACAGCGCTTCGATTCGGAAGGTGGTGTAACTTCACTAGGTTGAACGCATTCCGAAAGATCTTCGTCATCGCTATAATCTTTCAATTTCCATTCGACATTTGTATAATCACTCCAATCTTTACTTAAACTAACTAAATCCGAAAATGACGACGTTACTTGAGTTAAACAATAGTGATTATCATTGAAATTAGATGATTCTTCATTTAAAAAATTCGAAGTGATTGGACTTATTTGCTAAATAAATAAAAACAAAGTACGTTATTATTTATTTATGCAATGAATATTAAAAAAATAAAGTAATAAATTACCTCGTTATCTATGCCTTCAAGTAGGCCGTTGAAAAGCGTTCTAATAGGAGATTCGAATGAAGAGGCGTATGAATCCATTCCTAATGACAGACATAAATACTTTCTATTGTAATAATAGATAAAAAGAGAGAGAGAGAGGAAGAGAGAAATAAATGTTTATATATATATATATACAATGTATAAAGATATTTAATTAGATAATAAAACCTCCGTAAAATGTTATACAACTACTTAAACTATAATTTAAAGAAGAGCGAAGGGAGAAAAAAAAAAGATATATAGATAGATAGAAAACTGTTAAAAGAGCTTTTTAAAGTGGAGAAGAATAAGAATAAGAGTGAGAAAAAGAAATAACGTATCCGATGATTCAGCATATATTAAATTTAGTGACATATAAAATTACAAGCGCTACATTTAAATTTAGCATTGATTAATCTTACTTTGCTAAAATAATATATTTTATATGCATATTATTTGATATATACATATATATATATATACAGTGTATACTGAACTTTTACGGTATCAAAATAGTATAGATAATTCTATATTCAAAATAGAATAAACAATAAAAACTAACGGTTAGTTTTTTATGCTAAAATATGATTATTATATACAGTATACATTAGACTATATATATTAGTATACAATACAGTATATACTGTAAATGCGCGGTTTTATACATAACTATTTAGATAGATTAATTAATTAATTAATTAATTAACTTATTTTATAGTAAGTTAAAAGAAGTTACTAATATATTGTAGATATTATACTATAAATATGAACGTTATTTTTCGTACCGTAGACATATGCCAACTGCGTACAAAACAATGAAGACAGATTAATTAGGTTTAATTAAATGAGAGCAAAAGCACATCTATTAGTCAGACTGCTCTTATCGTATAGGACCACTACAAAAAAAATGTGATATACTAATCAACAACATACATACATTGGCCTTTTATAAAAATTACTGTACAATAGGCCTACAATAGCGGTCCGTACATTTTGCGGTGGGCGTGGCTCTTTTTTTTTCTACTTAAATTTTCCGTTTTCCAATATTTTTGCGTTCTAAAATTATATTTATATATCTAAAAGGGTTCAAAAAGGTTTAATACAACAATATAACACAAAAAACGGGGAAGATCTTTATATAGTCTATTATTTTATATTGTATTCTCTATATGATATAGTATATATATATATATATATATATATAGTATGGTATATTCCTACATTTGTTATCATAAAAAAATGTTGCGAACTTGATAAATATTTTTGTCTTTGTTAGTCTAAATAAAATATTGATTACAAAATAATATAGAAATATATATATATATATATATATATAAAGTATATATATATATATATTAGTATATTCGTAAATGAAGTTATATTAAACATCTATTTAAAATCCAAATAGGTAACAATTTTTTTGTTTAAAAAATAAAAGCAAGAACTAAGTGTTTTGTTGGATAAAAAATTTTTTTTTTACTAGTTGAGGCCAATCGTAAATAAACGCTTATTGAAAAAATCCTTCAGGTATGAACACTCTTTTTTTACAGGCCTAAGCAAAAGCGGATGATGAATCATTTCTATTTGATATATACTGTATTTATATATATATATATATATATTATATATATATATATATATATATATATATATACAACATCTATATATTTCTCACTATTTTTTACTAGCAGAAATGTTTTCCTTTTAATAAATTTACAATTTAACTTACCCGTTTCTTATCAATACTAATTAGGCTTTTCCTTACCAATTTATCTGCTATGATCAAAATGGTTGTCATTTAGGAGCGATAGCCGTTAAAATTCATTGCACGAAATTTTTCAGTAAAAAAAAGTATTATTAAGCTCTGGACGACGACAGAGGGCGCTGTTTGAACTCACGACTGAGGGAATACCGTGACGTCATAAAGAATCGTTTTAAAGTTTATGAACAGATTAGATATATTCGATTAAATAATTATAAACAGTGCAAAAAAATGAGGGAGGGACGGAGAGAGAAGAAAGAGAACGGGAAGGATTTATTTTACAATAAAAAATGAAAATGTATTTAATTATATTGGCAAAAGACTGTATTCATGTTTTTTATTTTGATAAAAAGTTTTTTTTTTAAAAGAAAATAAATAAAAAAAATTCTTTTTATTAGATTATTTCTAATGATTAACTAGGAAATAGATAATTATAAAAATGACAGTAAACGAAGCATAAAGTACTTTAATTAAAGTCGGAAGTCTGATAAACAATGCCGGATAGTGGTAAACGAATTGCCTTATACCACCCTCCCTTATATCGTCATCAAGTTCTTCTTTTGTCTATTAGTGAAGAAAAAAATACGATTTAAAGTCGAAAAAGTCAATATTTTTTTCTGTTCGCTACGTGAATTTTATCTTTTACAAAAATTTACTAAAAATTCTTAATGATTTTTTTTAAAAAAAAAAGATATTTAATTTTTTTTGTTGTTTTTACTTTAGTCAGCATCTGTGAAACGTAATCGAATTGCTCATCGACCCAGGGTTGAACGACCACAATTAGTATGGCTAGTAGAACTATTACACAGTTCATAACTGTCCAAATATCAATGGACTTTACATAGCCTACATTCGGTGTCGTGAAACTTGATAAACAATGCAAAAACGTTACACAGACAAACATTAGGCCTGCCAGGATGAAGCGGCTTCCAGTAGCCAAACTTGGTAGCCATAAGATGGCGTTAGTAATGAAAAAGATCATAAACGACGGCAGGTAGATGGAGCATAGGAAATATGAGGATCTCCTCTCGAAATCAACAATAATACGGGCCAAATCGTGTCGGGAACCTTGAAAAAAAGTTGAAAAAGATTAAAATACAGGTGAAGTGGCAACTAAAGTAGAAAATTAAGTCGCAAGAAATGAATGATTTATTTAATTGTCCTATATACAGACCTCCTCTTTCAACAGATTTCCTAACACCCTTCAAACCGGTCATTTCGAAAACAGTATGCTGAATAATAGGAGTTTGATGATCTATATTGATTGATTCAATAACGGCATCCTTTGAAGTTGACGCTAACATTTCAAAAGAGCAATTAAATTAAATTATATTAATTAAAATTATATGCTAAATAAACAATTCGTTTAAATATATCTAGTTAAATTCAAAGATACTTACAAAATTGCCAATCCAAATAACATGTTTGCTTATCGAAAGGAAACATTTTAAAGTTCATCTTGCAAATAACTGTTGCTGTGACGCTGTTAATTGCAGAACATTCGCATGGTTTTATCAAAATATTTACACTTTTAAGTATAATTGACAAATGCAGTAGGCTTATCAAATTTATATAGCTTACTAATTTGTTAATTGAACTGATCCATTGGGGAATATGATGGAGGAGACCTCTGAAAGATGATCAGTCCTGCCGGATACTACTAATAACGCTCCCGATAAATAAAAATCTGGTATCCAAATCAAATTGTAAATTCGTTTGCCGTGAATTTTTATTGGTTCAGAGTGATTGTTAAACTGTAATCGTTTGTCGATCCATTGGAATTTTGTAAATAGCATAGTGGAGATGAGTTGTTTCTTCTCGTTAAAATCAAAGGTATTTAATAAATAGACGCTGACGTTCACTTTAAGTGGTCCATTAGCGTTTGCTAAAACGAATTTGTCGACTTATTAGTTATCGATCGAAAACTCAATTAAGGATGTTCTTATTATAAATAATTAATAAATATATACATTAACATGTCTAATATAGTATCATGTAAGAGATATACATTCCAAAGTAATTAATAGTTCTATTATTACTTTAGTTTCGTTTTTAAAGAGAAAGAAAAGAGAGCCTATTCTCTCCCTCCTCCTCCACCTCACCATCCTCTTCCTTCTCTTCTGCTCCCCTCACTCCACCCTAACTTTAAACTTTACATTACTTTATTTATCTATTTTTTTTTTTTGAAAAAAAAAACACTACTTTTCAATTTTACCTGCAACTGGGGATATTCTCTTCTCTACCTCATTTTCCCATTTGTAGAATAGTTGACTGTTATACGGAAAATTAAACGTAAAAGATTAATGACACTGTAATTGAAAGGTTATTTTTTATTTTCAATTGATTAATCATATACCTAACATTATTATATCCATTTGATGAGCTTATAATAAGCGTAAACAGTAAAAACAATGAAGAGTATTCCATTAGGTATTAAAATTATATAAGTAGCCGAAATAAGGGGAGAGAAAAAACACACTACGCCCACAGTATTAAAACACCTACAATTTCTGTATAATTAACCAAATTGGTAGGATGATCATTGTCTAAAGAGAGCACTTTTTTTTTTGTTTTATCACATATTATATCAATTACAAGTGATGGGATTAATAGATATAGGCTTTATATTGTAATGTAATACGAAAGGAAGAGATATAATATTGATTCTAAAGGGGATGATTTATGAATAAATTACCTCTTTTTATTCATTCACGTAGTATATTTTTACTAATATAATGCTTTTTATACGTTGTTTACATAAATATTTCATTTGAATACATATACATAAATGTATAAAAATTATTTATATTGATGTATCAACATACTGGAATGATTATGAAATAGATATCTTGAATATTAATTTATTAATGAACAGTTATTTTTTTGAATGTATTCATGTAATTGGAAAAATGCATAAACATTAGAGGTAATATTTAAGCTTGTTTGTAAATTATTAACATTTAGCGCATGAACAATAACAATGTACTGTATACGAAGAGATACCATGTATGCCTATGTAAAATACAAGTGTATTCGCCCTGAATTAAAATCGACCTGGCGTTGAAAAATTAATGACGGAGAACAATCGCTGTAGCATTCGCTTACCCGACGCCTGCAAATGCGGTGGGACGCCGTTAGAAAAACGCCATTTTTTTATACACTATTAAAGAACTTGGAATTGAGAGAGATATTAAAAAAAAATATAGAGGAGAGAAGTTTACAATTGATATTCTCTTTTCTTGTCTTTTTTTTTTTAGAGCGTCGGTATGAATCCTTTTTGGCATCTTTTAATCTATATTCTAATTTTGAGGTTTGTTCTTTTTATTAATTATTCTCTACCTTTTTACCTTTTCTATCTATTTTAATCTTTTTCTATCGTGCATCGGGTTTTTTTTTCATTTCATTCTATCTATTGATCAATTTATCTTCTCTGTGATGTTCATTGAATCCGTCAATTTTCACCGTTTAATAAACTTTCGATTAATGAAATATTTTACGGTTTCTTAATTAATAGGTTAATTGAATCGAAAAGGAATATTTCACATATGCATTTAATTATAAGTCAATTACTAGAGGATCAGTACAATGGAGAAATAAGACCAGGAGCTGTAAATAGTGAAGCGACAACAGTTTATTTAAACTTTCGAATAAATTCAATGTCAGCATTAAGGGAAACTTCCATGGTAAATATTTCTCATTCCTCTTTCTCTCTTCCCCCTCTCCCCCTTCTCTCTCTCCCTCTTTCTCTAGACCTTCATCTTACCTCCTATATTTTTCCTTTTTGTTTCTATATTTCCATTTAAATAAAGCACTAAATTCTAACCTTCTTTAGTATCAGAAATTTAGTTAAATTAAAGTAATCGTTTATTGATTAATTCTATAGGATTACACAGTCAACGTTTATTTAAGGATGATGTGGTTTGAACCGAGGTTAGCTTTTCAAACAGCACATGGAGACTATACAGAAAATGACGCCTACACCTTGTCACATAAACAATTCTCTAAACTCTGGATTCCAGATTTATTCATTAAGAATGAAAAGGACGGTAAATTACACGACCTTGTATTACCAAACAAGTTAATGCGGTTGAATGCTTCGGGCAGTATCCTGTATAGCCAGAGGCTAAGTTTAACTTTGGCATGTGAATTAGATTTGACACGGTTCCCTTTGGATAATCAAACCTGTAAATTTATATTTGCCAGTTGTGAGTGTTTAATCTCAGCTATTTTTCTTAATGTAATTCGGGTTTCTTTTATTTAAATAATAAGATGCCCATACTCTTGAGGATGTTATTATATTATGGACAAAAGAAAATCCGGTACAAGCAATTAAGGATCTAAAAGTACCGGAGTTTGAACTGTTAGATATTACAACTGGTTACTGCATATCAAATTCAAGTACTGGGGCATATGCTTGCCTAGAAGCTGTCCTTTTCTTCCAACGCCAGGTCAATTATTATCTTATTCAAGTCTATTTACCGTCGCTACTAGTCGTGGTACTTTCCTGGGTATCATTTTGGATAGACGCAGACGCCGTCCCAGCCAGAGTTTCACTGGGATTGTTGACTGTTCTGACAATGACTACACAAAGTTCAAATTTTGCTGCACGTATGCCTAGAGTTAGTTATGTAAAAGCAATCGATGTTTGGATGGCTAGCTGCCTCTTGTTCGTTTTTGGCGCTCTTGTCGAATACTCATTTGTTAATGTTCTCGTTCGGCGTTCCAGACCTATGCAACAGCAAATAATAAGTAATCTTGTAAAACAAGCTCAGGTAAATATTAAAAAAGCAGGACTTGCAGTGAATTCACTGTGAATTATTCATAATTAACAGTCATAAAAAACGAGACAAATATATATATATATATATATAGGGGATTTTACTATACTCAGATTTTTCTTTTTCCTTTAGCAGGGAAACGGACCGTCCGATAACAATGACTCATTGGATAAACACAGACAAGAGGCTTTCGAAACCCAAGTAAAATTACGCAGGATCAGTAATTCACCAGAAGTTACTGTCGTACCCCCGTCAATGAATATGTCTTCCATAAAAAATCGAGGAGCGTTGATCGATAAATTCAGCAGGTTTACTTTTCCACTGGTCTTTGGCCTATTCAACTTATTTTATTGGATATACTATTTAACAAACACGTCATCAAGTGAACTCCGATAGATGGAAGCACTTCAGTTTCATATTGTACATTTATATATCATTTTTCCTATTCCTCAATCATTTCCTCCTTACTAGACACTATTTTTTTGAAAACTGAATTAAATTTATTACAGTATTCTATATTTGCATTATTTTTAATATTCGATATCTTATTTCTTTGTCTCTCTCTCTCTCTCTCTCGCTTTAGACTTATCTCCTCTTTCCTTCTCTTTATCCTACACTTTTCTATTATATCTTTAAGACTATCAAAATTTTATTACATGTTCCTTCTTTTATATTATTTTTTAAAGATGAAGTGAAAACAAAGAGAGAGAGAACGAGAGAGAGAGAGAGAGAGAGAGAGAGAGAGAGAGAAAGGATATTAGGGGAAAAGTTAGTATGACGAGAAAAAACCCAAAAGAAAAATATAAAACAAAACAGGGACAATTTTGTATTTTTTGCAAATAATCCTTTTATTATAAGAGAAAGAGAATTAAAATGGATGCTAAAAAAATATCATAATGAATTTCATTCAAATTAAGAAGAAATCCTTGGAGCTTTGGCTATAAGCGCTTTCTCATTGAATCTCGATGTGGTAATATGTAATTCTAATTCTCCTGCGTTTAGAGCACTAACAATATCAGCGGATGGATTATCAAGACTCCATTCTAGTTTTTGGGAATTATCTTCCAATTGGATATAGCTTTCTCCCCTTACATTTGCATCTGTAGCTAGTGTTGTTGAGCCTCGTTTTAGGGTCAAACTTTGCACAACTTCGTTAGATGCAACATTTCTTAAGAGAGAGTTGATCTCCAATTTAGCATTTGAAGGTGCCAAAAAGAATGTACTTAAACCGTTTGTATTAACCTCTTCAACGCCGAAATCTGTTGGTTTACCTTCCAAAGATAGCACGCTGGTACGGAAATTGGCTACACTGAATTCTGGATAGGGGAATTGCCCATGAATTTGTCTATCTGAATTGAATGCTGGAGAGCTGACAATTTCTGCATAAAGATGGCCGCTTGCCAAAATCCAATAAGATTTTACAGAGTCCAACGGCCATGTACCGGTGGCAACACCGTTTTCGAAATTCTCTATTTGGTAGATTAGACTACCAGAATGGCCTTGCCTAGCGGGTCCTCTTATCGACAAAGTTCCAGCGACATTAGGTGCAACAACTGCATATCGGAATCCTGTCTGTTCTGGTATAAGAACAATTTCTCCCTTATTCTCTTTATAATTGATCCTTAACGGAGCAGCTACAGAACTGGCGAGGGTAACCTCGATTTCTTCATTATTGGTAGATTTAAAAACGGCCGAATAAGAATTAGCATCTAAATATAAAGAACAATTAAAAGAATTAGCCAACAATGCTATCCTAATATTTGGACGATGCTAAACGATTACCTCTGGGGGAGAGATTATACACTTGATAAACAAGATTTCCACTATCGACATCGGTAGAATCGACCCGTAGAACGGTATCACCTTTCAAAAGAAGCAAAATAGAAGAGAGTTTAGTAAAGGTTGAAGGGTTTTATAGAAAAGGTCGCCTTGTTTATAAAGCTATTAAGGAAAACATGAAAATACATACCATTGAACTTTATCTCAATTGTACTGATTGCGAAGTTAGACGAAGCGGCCCTAACCCATACTCTATCATCCGTTATCGATAAACTTATAATAGCCGATTTAGTATCTTGCTGATTAAAACCCTTTTAAAGAGAGACAAAAACACAAAATCAGAGATATAAAAACTAAGTTTAAGGAAGATTATCAATAGACAATAATGTTTTTACAATGATTTATCATTAGATTGTTATCTTCTTCATCTAATTTGTTTATAAAAGAAATCAAATAATACTTACTCCTAGATACTTTGCACTGGGAATACAAATTCCATTAGGTTCAACAACGAACGAATAAGGTGCATTTGATCCAATAAAATCGTTACCCTTTAGCCAACCATCCTTTCCCCAATCAATACCCAAATGGTAATAATATTGAAATTCGTGTATCTAGAGAAAGGAAAAAGTTATTTATTTGTTTTATTTATTTTACTCTATCGATTATATAATCAGATTTTATCACGAACTTTCTGCAGAAGGACCAGGGTAGATTTCTCTAATTGATTACCGGCACTTTCATCTCTAAGAGTCAATTCTAGACGGCCATTCTATAATAGAGATGGGAAGAAAGAAAGAAAAAATACAATATATATATATATATAGATATATACTTCAAAGATTATTTTCTTTCAATTGATTTAAATATTTACTTCTAAATCGTCAATAGTATTGGAATCTAAATTGGACCATACTCCAATAGCCCTAATCGCTCCAGAGGCCACTGGAATTTCATATACAGCGTCATTGCCTTTGTAAATACTCAATTTATGAGATGAGCTACAAATAATAAATAACATATATTAATCCATATATGTATATATCTATATATATATATATTATTTCTGATTAAAGTTAGTTTAAATACGTACGTAAATTGAGAGAGTGATATATTATATGCTAAATTATTCATGTGAATATCGTGGTAGAATTTACCGTCGGCTCCAGTTGAACCTATATTTACTTTCGAGGTATATTCGTTAGCCGGTCTGTATGGCCATTGACCGATTAAGTTCTTTTTGTATTCCGCTGAGCAGCTGTTGATATCTCTATTTAAACCTTGGCTTGTTGGACGAATTTTTACGTTAGCGCAAGAGTAGTAAGTACTACAATTGTTATGTCCCATATTTTCTTGATAACATGGAGCCTCATCGGGTCTGTATTTATCCAACATAACCGATATTACTTGAAGGAAACACCTGTCGCATTTTATGTCTGGAATGTTGACGGTTAGGTAATGTTGAGCGGGGCAACGGCCGATTGGATAACCAGATATCCAGCAGTCAGGTCCCAAATCCATTTTAGCAGCATCGTTATGGGGTATATGATCCAAGAGGAGGCAAGTGGCATCGGGTTTACCATATTCGTTTAGACTCACTATAGTCGGGGCTTCTCTATGAAAGATGGTCTCTTCAAATCTTATTGTCATTGGTCCGGGTACGATATCCATGTAATTAGCTTCGAATGGGTTGTTCTCGTCGCTGCATGGTCCCGACTTGATACCACTGTTAGTACTCTCGGGACGAGGGCATACAAAACGTTGATGGCAGTTTGCAGTCCATACAAATAAGCAAAATATTACCAATTTATTTATCATTATTCTATGTAAATTAACTATTAATTACGATATAATAAAATCAGTAATTTAAAAAATCAAGAAAACTTGTGGCTATGCCAAGCTAAACGATCTAATTAAATACGTTTTGTTATCTTTAATCAAGTTTAATATCTTAAGAAGACGATCATAAGATGTGACTATATTTAGGACGTTAAGTATTGCGTAGCAAAATTTCTAGAGGAATTGTTGAAAATTACAAAATACACCGATTCTTATCGATTGAGTAAACTTATATTAAGATAAGAATGATAATAAATAATGACTTATACATTAATGCGAATGATATTGTCCTAGATTTTAGAAATATTAGTTCAATCGTTTATATTCTCTTATGTTCTTTTTCCCGTCAGACTCGTTTTTTTTAGTAAATCTTTTCCTCCTTTTTTAATTATCTTCCCTTTAATTATTCATAACAAAATCGAAAAGTAGGCCTTTCTATATTAAACGGAAAAATATGGAAGATGGCGCTAATGTTTTTAGAAAAGTTTATGTATACAAAATGCACAAAACTTTAAATATCGACTACCAGAAATCGAAAAGAGCATAATGAGTCGTTAATCAAGTATTGCATAGAGAGCGTGATTTATCGACGTCGCGTTGCTGGAGCAACTATTGAACGACCCATAAAAAAAACTGAGCGTTCTTTTTAATGTCATTTACCAACCAAGCTCAAAATGAATAACATTCACAATCGAATTTTATTAAGTTCTCAAATAGAAGACACGCAATAAGAGGAAGTATGGAAAATGAAGGAACGCGAATCGTTTCCTTTTCAAACGGAAGAGATGCGACCCTCTTTCTCAGTCGGACTCCTACAATGGAAAAGTCTCGAACACCAAGAGAAAGAGCGGCCGTAAAGAAGCATGTTGAAAAGATTAAGGAGGATTATGTAAAATTATGCGACAGATACGGGATTAGAGTGACGTCTATGGTGCTACGTCATTTAACGTCTAAACGAATTTCCTTATCTGGTCACTGTATGGGGGATTTGGGAGTGAAGATATTAGCTGTTACGTTGACAGTTAGTGATTGAAGCAGTTGTATTTAATTTTCTCTTAAAAATTCTGAATTGTTTTCTTTTAATTTAACATTTAGAACAACAACTTTGTGGAGCATTTAGATTTATCTGAAAATTGGATCTCCTCTGCAGGTAGCAAATTCATAGCGGAGATGCTACTTAAAAACTCCAGACTATCTTCTCTGGTCTGTTTTACTGTTTGCTATTTAAGCTTTATTCATTAATTGTACTTTTATTTCTCTTTAACATAGAACTTATCAGAGAATAAACTACAAAGTGATGGAGTTAGATTTATTTGTGACTCGTTAAGAGTTAATCACTACATCTCGTGGTTAGATTTATCCGGTAAAGATCATTATATATATTTTCAAATTAGGGCAAGGGAAAGATAGAATGAAAAAATCAGACTAAGGCTACAGGGGAAAACAAGGAAAATAGCAATTAATGACGTAATTTTACTCGGTTGGCAGGAAACTCTTTGGAGGATAAAGACGCTAGTTACTTAGCCTATTTGCTAGAAAACCACTCGATTCTACGCTATCTACGATTAGCCCATAATCGTTTTTCGGATGATGCTGCGGAAAAAATGGCAATAGCACTTGGTACAGTTTTTAACCTTCCAAATAGAGATTATATTCCAATATATTCTTGAATTTATGTCATTTTTCATCATAAAACAGGCAATAATGAGACTCTACAACATTTGGATCTCAGCTGGAATCATATAAGGGGTAAGGGGGGATCATATTTAGGTAGGTGTCTATCGGAAAATGTCTCTCTCAAAACGTTAAAAGTCGAATGGAACGGCTTATCTTTTGAAGGAAGTGAAGCATTTGGAGAGGGTTTATCAAAAAACCGGACACTTAAGCATTTAGACCTCTCTTGCAATAGGATCGATGTAAGATGCGTTCAATTTATCGCAAAAGCCCTCATGATCAATGACGGCCTTGAAATTCTCGAAGTTTGTTATAATAGATGATTCTTTTCCATAATTATTTATGTTCTCTTCAAATTCAAACAGTTAAGTAGAAATCCATTAAGTTCTACAGGCGTTGAAGTAATTCTTAGATCATTGAATAATGATATAACCAATTTAAAAAAATTAAATATACTTGTAAGTCGGCAGATGGCACTATTTGTATTTTAACTGTTGCACATGCTCCCTCTTTCCCTCTCTCTCTCTCTCTCTCTCCCTCTGTCTTTCTCTCTCTTTAATCTATTGCTTTAGAAATTTTTGCGCACATTTGTGTTTATATGTTTATTTATTATAGGGAGTTCCTATAGAGAACGTCGACATTGGACGCCTTGTTAGACTATTAGAGTCGAATAGGGATATGAAAATTGACTATGGATTATATAAAAACAACAACTACGGTAAACAAACTTTAATATAATTTGTATGCAAAGTATTTTGTTTATAGTCATAGAAGAAGATTATAAAACTAGGTTAAAGCAATGATTCTTGACAGCCTACTCTGAAACGATGCGAGGAAACGGGATCGGAAAAGGCGATTGGCTAGAGGGGAAAAGAAAGTAGGCCGAAAATGGAAAAGGGGGAGAAGCGTATAATGAAGACGAATTACTTCTTTCCGCCGAATCTGACATATTGGCACGAGCACCTGACTCGATTCTTTCACGCTTTTTGCAAACTGTATAAACTCGTTTGTACAATACTGTTGTATGTATTATAAACAATAAGTCCCTTATATACATATAACTGTATACATATATGTATATATAGATATATATTGCTTATGTACAGTTTTTATGAGTATCTGCGTTTTTTTTGTTAAAGGGAAATATTGCCAGGTGGGCTTTTTTTCGAGAGAAGAAAAAATTTACTTTTTTTTTATAAAAAACAAACAAAAGAGAAAAAAATAAAATAACAGTGTTAAAAAATAAATTAACCATTTCCTTCTTTTTTCATATCAATAGGCTGTTGCATCGTTTCTGAAGTTGTTACTTTCTTATTTGTCTTTGGTTTACGTTTTCTTGTTTGTATTGAGTCCTTCTTCATTGATAAGGGCCTTGAAACTCCATGTAATTTAAAATAAAGACCGCAGGCGTTACATACCGGCTCCCCATCATTATTTCGTCTCCACAGCGTCGTCGTTAATGTCTGACAATTACTGCACTGCAGGCCTATTCGTCGCGAATTGGGTTGAGCGCACTAGATTAAGTAAACATGACAAAAGGGTAACGGTTAAAAAGTAAGTTTTTTTAACGATTATTTATGCTTACAAGGCGTCTTTGGGGTCTTACTAAAGGTCTATTAAGTCCGTTCATCTTACTATATAAACCGCAAGCATTGCACAAATAATGACCAGTTCCATCCCGTCTCCAAAGAGGCGTCGAAACGGCTCCGCAATTAACACATTCCCGGCCATCGGAAGGGGAGCAGAAGTCGTCTGGAAAGAGAAAAAGAAGAAAGAGTAAATCAAAGAAATCATTACGTAACTTACGTAACTAGAAAAATAAAGTTTAAAATTTTAATGATTTAAGTAACAGACTTTATTAATAAAGACTGTCCCTTTCAAGCTTAATTTTATCCTAATTGAGTACAAGTTATTAATTAAGGGTCAAATCGATTGTAGACAAGGAAGATGATGATAAATTAGAAGAGGAAGATGGCAAAATAAAAGAATAAAGACTGGACGGCGCCAAGGCGGCAGCAGGTTATCTCTACGTACTTAGAAAAATAGCCGACCTGTATAAGCTTGCAGCGTGTTTTGAAAACCTTTCCCTACTTCTTACTGGGAGCTTATGTTTGCTGCACGCTGCAATAACATTATGCTAGATTTCTGTCAGCGATTCCGGCCGCTGGGAATAAATATGAGTAGGATGATGGGAATATAAGATTCTATCAATACTAAGATCCCCTTTTTATCCTCCTTCTGCTTGTAGACTGTTCTAATTGATTCAAGACTGCTAAAAATCCGTAAACATCTAAGAGGACAACGGAACCATTATTTTTCTCAAGGAATGTCCGTTCAATTAATTCGAGGTGGCGACAAACCGTCATTGTTTGTTGTTGGGTGACGCCCGCCCAGCTGGATGCCGACGTCTCGGGCCGGGTAATCTCTGCATGCTATCATAAGATAATGACCGGACTGTCCATCATTTATAGTCCTAGTCATTTCCGCCCATTAAACATGGTTTCCGAATCTAATTAGTTTCACGTACATTATCCGACTTTTTCTCGACTACGTAATTTGTATACAAAGTTTGTCTCGAGTGTTTGTACATTTTCTCAATCATTTCAATGCCTCCCTTTGTTTTCTATCTACGTAATAAAAATTACAAACCAATCTGCTAATTTTCAACAAACACTGTCGTGTCATACATTCTGCACTGACGTACGTACAAAAATTTAAAGGAAAACATACTGGGAATGGGAAAGGGAAGAGTTAGCAAAATTAGCGGGAAAAGAGAGGGGAGAGTCTGCCAAACTTAATGGCTCTATGGTCCGTTCTAAAAATAAATTATAGGCCTATTAGTTGTTTGTTTCAAACGCACGTGACTGTAAATATAAATTATATATAAGCGTGACAGACCGTGTGGGCGATGGCAGACGTTATACTTTTGGCGGAAAGAGAAAATTACGGAATAATTCGGCCAACCTGTAACCAGCTGCGCGAGGGCAGCTATCTACTGCTATCTGCTGTCACTGATAAGCAGACATGTTTGGAGACTCACCGTGTCTGAATGCAGTAGGCTGCTGGTGCGGTTGTACGCTTTGGTGATTATGCATCGCTGCTGCAGCGGCTGCTGCAGTTCCAAGGCCGCTCCATCCATTCTCGAATGCTGTTGGTTGTGGTGGTGGTGGTGGCTGTGGGTGATGAGGAGGTGGAGGTGCGTGGGCAGACGGTGAAGGGTAACCATACTGCAAGCCGTCATTCCATGGCCCAGTTACGTACGCTGCTGCGGTCGCTGGAGTAGATAGAAACTGTTGACTCCTAAACTGTGTGTCAGCCGTCGGATAGGCTCGAAATAGCCTTTCCACCTCGTCCTCCCACTTGTGCGACTTCATTCCTTAAGTTTAAAGATAAGATAAGAACACAAATTTTTCTATCGGAAATGTGAACCCCTGTAATAGACGTAAGGGGAAAAGAAATGGTACAATGGCCATTTCATTTACATTCTTATATTAAAATTAACTCGACGACAAACAGCGCTTTAGAACTTTTCTTTTTCTTTTCCAACCTTATTCTTTTTTTGATGAAAAGTGCTTTTTATCGTTGACTGTTTGTACAAGGCGGCGTCATTGATGTTTGTAATGTTTTCTGATGGTGCTCGAGATTATAAAGGTACGCGAAACGGTAGGTTTCTTTAATGACCTATCGAAAGTATATAGTCGGCAAAGCCCGACGTTACCACTTATCTAGACTTTGATTGGAAAATTGATACGTAATCAGATAAGGGAAACTACCCTCGCAGTACCTAGGTGTGTTTGTATGCAAATAGAACGTTATTACCCCGTGTCAAACGTAACATAGCGAATTCCTTAGCATAAGTTTATTTTCAAAAAGTAATTAATTCGAGCGTATAATTCAAGTCCAATTCCATTTCGATAATGCAAAATGAGGTACGAAATTTTGTCAACAGGTGACAAACATTTAGAAGGCGTCGCTAACACGGGTCGTAAACCGCGGGTGGTTGGCGATGATGGTCTCGAACTCAGTAAGACGCGTCATTAGAGGCTTAATGCCGCAGACAAACATGTGCAGAAAATTCTTGTTTGTCGTTAATCAAATTGGCGCGTAAAACAATTTTTCTATAGGTTGTTCGAAGTAAATCATTATTTATAGCATGGAGATATTTATAGAAATTTAAGAAAACTTTTAACATACCTGTGGGCTGCATTGTCGATTTTTCTGTTTCAACTGTACTTTTCGTCGACTCACCTTGGTAGATAAGATTAAGAAATTTTAAGATAAAAATTGATAAAGACAAGTATATACGGTATGCGATTAGGCTTAGAAGAAAAAAGGGAGAAGTTTTCAACTACTTGTCTATTTAGCGTAAGCTGCCTAAATATCTTGCTATCTTATCGAATTTTATTGCATCGATTTCATTTATATCTCTTATCAATCGTTGTCAGTAACTATGCATTGTACAAAATAAAGTCGGGTTATCTTCAATTTTCATAGTTTAACTCGCTAATTTGTTCGCCTTATCCGTCGACTGACAACCTAATTTCTTCTCACGCCTAATGAAACGGAATGCGCGGACCGCTAATGCAGTTTCGCCTCCCACAGGAATAGAGCGTTCTTTATGAAAACTGCAATACGATAGGCTATCATAAGCAATTACGTCATTTCGAATCGTAAACGTGTCGGCGCTTAGACGCGAAAGTTTGCCGAGCAGTAAAAAACGCAGCGGGGGAATGACGTTAAAACTCGAAGGGGCAAGATTATAGGGATATAAGAGGTGGTTAGCAATCCTTTATTAATAAGAAAAAGAAGGATGCATAGGGAAAAAGTTTTGGGCAGCACCTTAACCGGTGATTGTTTCAGCCGACTGATTAGAGGCGGATAATGAGATAAGACGATGCACTGTGCACACCACGCGTATCACATCAAAAGTTTTCTATTTGATGAATGGTAATAGGAAATTGCGGCTAACTATGGCCAGGGATCCGCCGAAACCTATTTGTTAGAAAGAGTAAAAAGGCATAATGAAAGGGTTTCTTTAGATTTCCTCGAGGTAGATGGACGGCGGTTGGGCGGCTGGTAAACGTCAATATAAAAAAGACCCGCTCTATTTATATGCGTAAAACGCCTATCTAACCCTTGACCGTGGCTAATGCACGACCGAACGCCAGACAAATGACCGTATCCAACCATAGAAAAACGCGGCGATTTAGAACGCCTGTCAAGGTTCATGCCGTCACTTTGACACGTTACAGTTGGTTAGACAAAATACGCTAAGGCGAATTTTTTAATGTAATTTTCTCCTTTCGGAATTTTATTTAACTTTTTTTTATAAAAAAAAAAAGACTGAATTTTAGAATAAAAAAAAAACGCACTTTTCAGTAATACATTTGTTTTATAAATACTGAATAATAATTAAAATTTTACAAACAAACAAAAAAAACCGATTTTTACATGAAAAGTATTATGTATGTATAGATATATATATCCACCGAAAAAAAAACAAAAACTGTATAGATAGACAAAAACAAACAATTGTTAATGTTGCACAAGACCCATTGAAGAAGGTGGGCAAAATGACGTTGATGACGTTACTTTCGCGGAAGATTGCCCTGGGACTGTGAAAGGCAAATCTGTTGAATTGGTCGGTATTGTGGTGTTGGAGTTATTGCAAGAGTTGTTTTTAACGTCCGTTGAATTTTTATTGTCTGAAAAATAAATTCAAAATTATTATTTAAATAAACAGTTGAATTATATTTTAATAAATGATATAAACATTGATAAGCGATTTATTGAGAAAGATATCTAAAGATACCAACCAGAATTTGACGCTTCTTCCTTGACCTTTACCTTGGACGATTTAGGTTTCCTCTTTCTAGTTTGTATACCCTCTTTCTTCATCGCTAACGGACGGTTAATCTGTTATAAATAAAAAATATATACTTTATTAGCGAATTGACAAGGTGGGCGTTGTTAAGACTTGTTTACTTACACCGTGAAGTTTGAAATATAAACCACATGCGTTGCAGACCGGTTCACCTTCGGGGTTCCTCCTCCAGAGTGTTGTCTGAGTTGTATGGCAATTGGCACATGAGAGGCCTATCCTCCTTGAACCGCTTAAACGTCTCTGAGGCTTTAAAAGTGGCCTACTTAGACCATTCATCTTATGATATAATCCACATGCGTTACACAAATAATGTCCTGTCCCATCCCTTCTCCAAAGTGGTGTCGAAATGGCACCACAGTTGGCGCACTCTCTACCCTCGCCAGCATAATAATCGGCGTCTAATGGGTAAGCTCCAGCTGCCGATCTATTTAGAGCTTCCAGTGAATGCGATTGATAATTCCAAGCGTTAATATCGGCGTGCATAGGAGAGTAGGCAGAATAGGCGAAAGATGTAGGATGTGTGTGAGCTAAAGGCCCATAAGTTCTGGGAACAGTTGGTGACGACGTAGACGGTTGTGTTGCTCCATAAGTACTGGCAGAATCCTGTGCGGCAGGCCAAACGTTTGGCGCTGGAGCAGCAGCATATTGTAGACGACTAGCGTACATAGAACTTGCCGATGTAGTTGAAGCGACATTACTAAAAAATGGTGGCGTCTCTCCACTATATGAAGAATGATTTCCTGCGGCGGCAGTTTGCAAATGGGAGTGTAAGGCGTTTTGAAACATTCTGTAAAATGTATATAAAAGGATATTATTTCAAAGACATTTAGTTTGTTTTTACAATTCGATTCCTAATAGGCGTAACCGTAACTTCCTCCTTCATAAATTATCGTCCGATAATATTTGTAAAACCAATGAAATAACAAGTAATAGCACAAAAGTCATCTTACTAGAGAGACCTATCAAACAGTCCAAAACAACGTAAATATTATCGTGCGTAATATCCCACGCTATTAATCCACTATACGAGCTAATCCGATATTTTATATTATTTGAAAAATATATGTTAAAATACACACTTATCATAATAGAAACCTGCCATTTCTTAGCATACCTATGTAATTTATGATATGCAAAAATTAGCGGTCAAACAACAACAGACTCTTGTCTACAGGCCGTTATTTAATGAATCTTTTGTAGAAGTTATTGAGAGATAAAGATTTGAGTATTGTAACGAATAGCAATGCTTAAGAGTTAGGGATACTATTAATAAGCATATTGTTCTATTTATTGATTATATAACTATAGTACAAAATATTAGTTAATGTAACTACTATTTTCGTTCTTATTCTCTCTTTTCGATCTCATTCGCTAACTCTCTTTCTCTCTCCCTCTCTCTCGCTGTCTCTTTTTCCTTTCAGAACGATACTACTTTTTGTTTAAAGAAAAGGAAAGTAAAGGTTGAAAGTCACTGCAGATTTATACTATTTTGCAGATGGGCATAACACTGTAAATATTGATTCGAATGATTCCTTATCAATTCCGACGTCCAATCACCAAAGGTCGTTTGCGATAATTTTTATCAAGCGCTAGTGATAAGCCGAACCTAGGCCTCTCGTCTTCAACCCCGAGCGATAAAAGGAGGGTAGCTATCGACGGATAACAAAAAAATTCTTTACAGACCTGTCTTATCTTACATAAGATTCTCGAAGAAAGCAATAATGAGAACGCCTATCTTGGATCAAGCAGCACCTTGGTCAAACGTACCAACTGATATCTTGCTCTGATAAACCACGCTCACTCGGGCATTCGTGCCTCATGCACCGCCCACTTCCGGCGTCAGCCTTAAATTCTATTTACTGATTCGTCGACCGATTTGAGGTTATGGGCGGAGCTAAAATGAAATTGCTGTTTATCCTCTAATATGTTTTCGCTCTTCGTTGTTTTTTTTGGGTTTTTTTCCCCTACTGGAATAGGATTTGTTTTGTAACGAACGACTCTAGGGAAAGTGTTATCGTTCCGTTTTCACAAACAAAATTTATTGACCTCTCTGTTCCTCGAAATTTCCTGCCATAGTCGTTTATCGGAGTAATTACAGACTCGAACTTTTACTACCCTAATCTAAGTCCTAATCTTGTTTTGGCGTACGTTCTCTTGATATAGGATCGTGCTGTTTGTACAAGATTCGTAAACTGTTATTTTTCTCATCAAATTCGCTATCTTTGCTCATTAATAACGCGTAAAGGCTCACAGTACGTATACGAGGCATCTTAATTAATCGCACGTTTCACCCGAGGTATAGCAACGCTCTATAGTTGCAAACAAATACCATTATTTGCCTAACGTATTGCAAGAAACTTCAAAGCTTAAGCCGCTAAACGTTATCTATTGCGAATATTGGCTCAATACAGCTTGTAGACTTGGCGAGAACAAGCGTTCTTTTGTCTTTGCAATCTTCAGATCACGACCGGCATTAGCGAAAGGTGCTAGGGACTCGTGGCCCTGATGCCGACGCCTGATAGCTATGTTTCTACAGCAATTTCCGTTTCTTTTCCCCGTTTTCCTAGTAATCGTTTAAGAACGAAAGTGATCGCAGACAGCGAAGGTAGCCGAAGGATAAGGAAATTACAAAAAAAAGATAACTTTAAAAATCCCTTGGGCTTTTTACGCAAATGTCACGTGATTTGTACAACAACCCCCAAAACTATCGAAATTTATCAAGGAGTACGAGACGAAGACCAGATCCGCAATCTCTGGCGTTTCAGGTGTATTTTGCGCGTGCCGAAAATTTGTTATCGGTTTCTTTCTTTTTTTTGTTTCTTTTTACTCTGTTTCTCTGTGTTCTCTTTTTTTTTCATGGACAACAAATAAACAAACAAACAAATAAAATTAATAGTGTCTCTCAATATAATAAAAAATCACAGTTTCAACATTATACACAGAGAGGGAAGGAAATATAAACGTAAAGAGCAGCAAGGAAAATAGTAATAATAATAATAAAAAAAAGGTGGAAACAGGTGCGTTTTTCACCGATCACAGAAAAATACACTCGTTGATCACAAAGTATATAAGCTTTTTTTTCGCAATATTATGTTTACAGAACCAAAAAACCTATATTTAGCACCAAAAATCAGTGACTATGGACTAGATATAGATTATTCATACATTTATTTAAAAACAATGCATATATGAACACATTTCACATATACACATGTATAATCCTTGCATTATGGACGACATCTGCTTAACCAACGAATATATATATATATATAGAACATACACAAATAATATATATATATACTTAATTGTCAATTTAATTTTTTTTATTTCAGAAAAAATAAGAAAAAACAAAATTTTTTTGGAATGTATACGAAAAACAGGCATTTTTTTTAATAGTATGAATATTTCTTTGATGCATTCTACACTTTTTAAAATATTATTAAAAGCGCAAAAAAAACAAGTTTTCAGAAAAAAAGTAAAACACTGTTTTGTACGACTCGATGATAATATAGACAAGGCAAGTAAAAGGCCGTCAGAATACTGAGCAAATATATAGAATTTTTATAAGGAAAACAAATTGGAGAAGGTTTAAAAAAAATGGAGGAGACAATATTGACCGATAAAACACACAGTGCCATCTATCGGTTTTACTCTTAACAAATATTTTGTTTAAAGAAAACTTTTTCTTTTCGTTCAATGATTTTCCTGTGGTGCCATTGTCGCTTTTATATCGTTGTCTTTTTTCGAATTGTCTACGGGTATGGTATGAGGAGGTGGATCGTAATAAAGTTGGCTACTTTGCATAGATTGTGCTCCAACCATATCCGAGTATGGTCCCATTCCGGGCGGATGATATTTATCTGCATGGTCCAAATGGGCTGATGCAGCAGCAGCCCCTCCGGCTGTACCTCCTCCGGTTATCATACTCGATTGCCCTTGACCTGACGCCTTTTTATCCGATTTCGAACCTTTAGGCTTCCTTTTCCTCGTCTGTATACCGTCTTTTTTCATAGACATAGGTCTGGCTACGCCATGAAGTTTGTAATACAACCCACACGCATTACAAACCGGTTCGCCATCATTATTTCGACGCCATAGCGTCGTTGTTACAGTCTGGCAATTTGCACATTGCAGTCCAGATCGTCTGCCATTCGTAGGCGGCTGTTTAATAGAAAAAAAAATTCAATTCATTAGTAATAGTTTTAATATTTAAATGGGATAAAAAGAGATTAGTAATATTATATGTATATATTGAATTTAGTGGTTTTGAACATACTTGAACGTTTTAACCGCATATTCAATATATACTTGCCAAGAATATTTTAAGATCAAAGAGAAAGCAAGCAGAAAGAATTATAACGTTAATATTAGAAGAGAAAACACAACACGTGCAGCAAGCGGAAGGTGAGAAGGTTTTAAAAATAGGTTAAACTATTTGCTAGAGAAAAATATATATAAGTTCTCTTCGGCATATATATAAGGTTGGATAAGTAATCTAGGTATATACCCATATATATGTTGATATATACATATAGACATATATACCAATATTTATGTGCTACACGTACATTTTGACGTATTGCATGAATAAATATTCTTTAGTGGATATATAAAGAAATACATATACATATATATATATATGTATATATATAAATCTTTTAACATGGGATAAGAATTAGAGATTACAGCCGACTACATAAATATATATCCTTCTCATTCGAAAATACTCACCACCCGCTTGCCGATAGGTGGCGAAGGTTGGGACGATTTCTGCTGCAGAGGTCGGTGCGCGCCATTCATTTTGCTGTATAATCCGCAAGCATTGCACAAATAATGGCCGGTGCCGTCCCGACGCCATAAGGGCGTCGAAATTGCTCCGCAATTTACGCATTCCCTCCCCTCGCCATATAAGGGTTCTTCGGCGGCTGGAGCCGCTCCAGCTGTAGAAGACGCTGTTTAGGGAAAAAAGCAAGGCGAAATTTAGTAAAGCGGGGAAGCGTTTTTTTACGAACCGTTCGATTAGTTCGATGTGAACCTAGTCTATTCTGCGGCGTCTGGTCGACGGGATCGGCCATGTAGGACGCCGGGTACATCGATGAAGTACCTGTTTTTTATTTTTATAGATGAAATTTATCATTATATACAATTTTGTACTTATTCGTCAAGTATAATATATATGTATATTATATATGTTATATGCACTTGGATGTATGACTATTTATAGAAATGCAATTTAGCCTATATATATATATTGAGTGATATTTTTAAGCAACAAGAGCAATGTGAACAAACATCTTCTACCTAGCCATTGTCACACCTTATCTATCCATTATCTGAGCAAAGAAAGTCTAAGATAAAGACTTCTTTATCAAACAATCTCTAAGCTACTGATAAGATATAGGCAGTTGCCTCGTCATGCGATTGAGTGAGAATGATACGCATAAACCTATCTCACAAGCCTCGTCATCTCTTAGCTATAATACAAAAGTATTGGCCTTAAACCATGTTCCTCTTTAAAGTACCAAGCGTATAAAACTTATAAAAAGTTATAAAAAGTAATTAAAATTAAGAGCTACATTAGGGAACTTTTTAAAACAATAGGCCAAAGGAATGGGCTCGTGAGCGCAAACAGGAAAAGAACAAAAGGCCCGTGTTGACACGTTTACAATGACAGACAGTTGTTTGAAGTGGTGCAGAGCGTGGTGCTACAACATGCTGCTTTGAGAGCTTAGTCAACATTCGATTCTGGACTTTGAACGCGGCAGCCTGATAAGAGGCAAAAATACCGCCCGTCTGACGTCAGCCATATTCATTCATATTGTTTTCGTATTATAAAGAAAGAGATTTCAATAAAACGTTCGTTTTCGAAACGTTTCAAAGACTTTCTTTATCCGCTAATTATATTGTTTAAAATTTGTTTCTCGGCTCTTGTTATCTTTTCACTTAAACCTATTAATTGGGATTAGATGTCGAGTGGGTGGAGGTGAGGGAGGACTGTTGAAGAGACCCCTAAAGGGCTCGTTCTTATATTTACCACTCGCGTCGTTTGAACCCGTTATAGCGCCGTGTAAACGACCGCCTTTGTTCGACTTTGTTGGCTAAATCAACTGCGAACGGCCGGTACTTGACGCTTGTAACACGCTTTGTTTTTCATCACTCACCCGATGTAGGCCTACCGGTCGTTGGCAGATACATGCCGGACTGCTCGTATCCAGAGGGTCTGTAGGAAGGGTAGCCCGTCGGTGTCGAAGATATCCATGGATGGTGTGCTGGCGGATATTGGGCTGGTCTACCGGGTGCGGGATACGAAGGGTAAAGGGTTGCCTGAAACAAGCCCTGCTCCGTAGTATAGTTTGCCTGTGGATAGGTCAAAGCGTTTGTTCCCTGTTCGTTTATTGTAGTTAAGGTAGCTAGGTGGGTAGTCGAAGGGAGACCAGTCTGGTTAAGATCGTGGAAAAAGCTGTCCACCTCCTCCGGACCTTGTAGGGGTAGGGAATGTTGTGGATGTGAGACGATCGGCGAAGGATAAGATGTACTATTCACTGGCTGTAGTAAGACCATCTGCTTCGTCTCTTCAGCCGCCGCCGAAACGACATTGCCGTTTTCCTCTTCAGTATTTGTTTGTTGCTGTTGGACATCCTCCCGAGGGACGTCTGCAGACGTTCGTTCCTGATTTGATGAATTTTCGGATTCCATGGCCGTCGATCGGCCGCAATTGAATATTTTATAAATAGGAATGTTGAAGTGACTCGGTCTGGCGTCCGCTCACTGAGTGCCGCTGGCACTGAAAAACAATTCATATTCTTCAAAAACATGCATGCAAAAATATTATTCAAATTAAAATGTAAGAATATATTCTTTAATACGTTAAAAGAAAGATAGAAAATAGACCATACGGTGTTATGGCATAAACTATGCTTTTCTCCCAGTAATTTATAACCGGACGACTGAAAAACAAACAAAAATCGGGACCGCCGCTTTGGACCGAGTTGGGATTTGGCTCTACGGAAAAAAAAAACACTTGATTTTCTCTACGTAACTCGATCGGCGACAAACTTGGCTCGGTCGGGCGGAAATTTAGTCGTCGTCGTTTTAATTAAAAATTCGTCCCGTTGCTCCACCTACATAGGAAACGGGAGGCGGCAAGATTTCTTCCAAAGGGACCGTGTCTACGTAAATATCCTTAGAGAAATTGAGTAAGAGGGAGGCGTTAAAGGGTTCGTTTACACGGTGGCTTTTGATCCGTTCTATTGCCACTCTAAGGTGCTTTATAGGTATATACACATATCTATTATAAACTAGGTATACATATATTTGCAACATAAACGGATATAAAGCTATGCACGAAACCGAACCGTCTTTAACTGGATAGGGAGGGGAGCTTAAAGTAAAGTGGGTAGAGGGTAAGAAAGAAACACATATAAAAACCAAGACAAAAAAGAAGACGTGAAGATTGGCAAATACGGAGAGAAAAAAGAGCAAAACTAACTATTAGAACCGTCTAAAGGTAGGTTTTTTTTATGGCGTCCAGACTGTCACGTACTTACAGGTTATTGCTGTTATCCGCATGAGGAAAGCCGTAATGTTTTCTCATACAAAAAAAGATCAGTACTCTTTTTTCAGTTGAGAATTTTTGAATGAGAAAAAATGGCGATAGGGCAACGAAAATGAATTTTCGTGATAAAAACCGTTATATTGAGAAAATCCGTTGAGAATATGCTAAAAGAGAGCTGCTCTCTCTAGCACAGTTGTAAACCAAATGATACGGCGAGCAGGAAGATATGGGGAAAAGATACGAGTTATCAACCGACTGAAATTACACCGAACTTTATTGTTACCAAACACCGATATTCTATCTTGCGCAAACCTACAGAATTACGGTAGATAAGATAGATAGCGCCCGGTCTAGCTGATAGGAGGCCGTATAGACTATTCGCCTGGAAGGGTAACGTGAGACGAACGATAAGAGATAAGAACAACTCCGCTTACCTGCTGCGGCGTATGCTAGAGTAACTGGAGCAGATGTGCCCTAAGCGCCAGCTGTTGTCCTCGGCCATTTCTGGCCATTGACCAATCAGGATCGAGTATTAGTTTCGGGCTTTGCGCACTGCGCTCCTCCCCCTTTACCGCTTCTCTTTTTCTATTAAAACCCATAAGAAAACTTTACTAATTTCAAATATAATACACCCGACTGCAATAGATATTTCAATAGTCCTGTATATTCTTTTTATCTCGAAAATTTTCTCCGATAAATAAAAACGGTAGATAATCAGCAATAAACTCTCTGGCAGTTAGATAATTAACTATTACAGTATATTCCTCTTAAATTATATAAAAATACTTTTACGCTTTAGCAGGCTCATTAACAATGTTAATTATCCAAATTAAATATTCAAATGAGCATTAAAAAATCTGAACTCAGTCTATTGAAAAAATGAAATGGTATAAAAAAAAGAAAAAAAAAAACAATCCACCGATTTTCAACGATCGTAAAAACCACCCGAAAACTCTACAAGTACGAATAAAAGTATCATATCAAGTCCATCATTAAAATTATGCGACCCGCAATAAAATTTTACGGCTTTGCAGCCTGCTCTTGTTATACATTTGTTTTTGCCGTGTTTACACCACGTATATATATTTGTTAACCGTAAAATTAGACACGATACGCGAGCTTACAAACCAAGTCTAGGGGGCGTTGAAGAAAAAAAAAGAAAAGAGAATGATAAATACATGTAGAGAGAGAGAGAGCGAGAGAGAGAATTTGCTCCAGTAATAAATGGTACAGTGTTTACATATATTAATAAAAGTGGGAAGAGAAATTGACGTTAGCGACAATTAATAAATAGACTAACTTATCTATAATATTAATATTAATTAATATAAATAGTACAGTCTTAGTCTTGAACGCTGAACAAATTTCAAGAGGTAATAGGCCTATTTTGATTTTTTTTTATCATTTGTGTTGATATGAGAATTGTAAGCTACAGAAAAATTGTTTACACGCACTGATGCATTTTAGCAACGATGATTATAAATGGCGCCTACACGTTTACACATGTTTATGCTAATTATTTCCAATAGTTAAAAGTGAATTAATGATATGGAAAGAATAAACAATTTGTAATTTAAGCAGACGAAACAAGAGAAGGAAAAAAATAAATCGTATTTAATGCTACTGTCGTATGAATATTATCTTGATACTTTTTAAACGTCTGTATTACGATTAGACGAATACAATCTAACGTTACGATCCTCGATAATATCATATGATTAGTTTATTTATATGTTTTAATGTTTTTCTATTGTCTTCCTCCCCATTTATTATCTCTTCTTTCTATTATTTTTTCTTTTTCTCTCTTTCTCTCTCTCTTCCTTTCTTCCGCTTTCTCACTATCACAACTTTTACCGCCTACACTTTTGTCTCTTTTTCCTACAATAAATTGTTTAATCTAAATCGACTAGAAGCTTTGTTTTCTTATCCTATAACTTTAAAATCTCGTTTTGCTTTCCTCGTCAGCGCCATCTATTGGTTCCGATAAGAGAGTAAGATCTTTTCCATTAGATTAATAATCACTTTGTCGGTAGAATTTTCTCAGATAGCTTTTGTTTTTATTTATATATTTATATTATGATTAGCATTACTATATACATATATACTTTCTCCAATCTAACATCTGAATGAAAACTGTCTTAAATTTATCTCAAAAACCTTATTATCGCTCCCTAACTAATATACAATATTTGTAATTAATTTATCAGAGATTTATAATCTTTGTAACAAATAGAGATTTTCTTGTCGCACCCTTTTAACTTTTTACATTTGATCAAACAACAGAAACTGTGACGTAATTTATTATGTGAATTAATTAGTTATTAGCCAAACTTGGTGAATGTTAAGTTAAGCTGATCCAAGTAACAAGAACGAACGTGATGGTTAGAATTTGTAAAGAGAGAAAGAAAGGGCTACAGAGAAAATTTTGACAGTGAGAAGAAGATAAAAAAAGAGGGATGGAAGGAGATAAGACAACAAAACAGACAGGTAGAGACAGAGAGAGAGAGAGAGAGAGAGAGAGAGAGAGAGAGAGAGAGAGAGGGAGGGATAAAAAAGAGAAAAATAGTCAATTAAGAGATTTTGATACACAAATCCACTTTAAAAGAACCGCCAACATCCGATAAAAAGAGCTATAAAGTTGTAAACGAGACTAGCTTGGTAATTTCTTTCTTTTAATATAAATTAGGTTTTGTGCAAAAGAGAGATTATTCCAATTTGTCACAACTTGAACATGTTTTCTTTAAATACATAAATATATATATATATATATATATATATATTTATATATCTATATAGATATATACAGTATATATAATCCATTGTAGCTTGTGTTGATAAAATTATGAATTATCATCAACAATGGAAGAAAAATGAAAACAGATTCATATAGTATAGGATTGAAATGCTCATATATAGGAAGATGTAACTCACTTGACATTTATTATTGAAATACCTGTACTGCTCATCTTGTATGCATTTCAATAGGATTGTATTATATGCAGTTAGCAACCTAGATTTTTTTTATTCCTTTACGACAAGTATAATTCGGCGGTTGTCGTAAAAGAATAATATCACCTGGTTGAAAAATGTCGTTCTATATTTATCTTCGGTCTCTCTTACTCGCTCTCTCCATCTCTCTTTCCTATATCGTTTGCTTCCTCTCTTTACACACCGACAATTAACTAATCGGTACTTTTTACTTTGTTTTCATATATATTTTAAACTAGATGAAGAACAAGCAGATAACTTTGATCTAAATTAAACTCTACGAACTTTGTAATACTCATGAGGTGGTTGTAACTTTATAGTTTGTATAGTTTGTACAAATCTGTTAGGATATAAACATACGGTGTAACTCTATAGCATCAAATAATTTTAAATTAAGTTAATTAATGAAATTTCTTTGCTGCTTTTCCTGCTTTGCAGGTAAAGGGAAGCTAAGAGGAAAAGTTTTATCAGGTTTTAATATTAACGTTAGTCAAGATGTAAACCGTTGTATACATATATATATATATATATATATATAAATATTTCTTCGTCGCTTTACCTGATGCTTTTGCTGTACCAATTTTGACCAGCCTATACCAGTAACTAACACGTGTTGGTGACTGTTTAGATTAGTTTTAAAAAAAAAAGACAATGACACATTACCTCAGGTGATCATATATTAACATCTAATCATGTTAATACATTTATTCAATTACCTTGTTGTATTATCGATAGTATTAGATTATTGAGTAATAATTAAAAACTTTCATTTTTTACGAATGTATCTTTAATCTTACCTTTTTTTGATAAACTGAATTAAAATTAAGATATTTAGTATCCAAAGATAACCAAAAATCTTTTATTAATTAGGACCATTACTATTTAATGCTTTTAGCTACTTAAAAGATAACTGGTATAGAAACCTAGAAGCCAGTTTTCAGGCTGAAAGATGTTAATTTAAGTGTTAAGATTACCTGATGTTTTCCAGATAAAGGAATAAAAATCAGAGAGAGAGAAAATATCAGCCATTTTGATCATGAATTTTCCTTGTTTTCTTAAACCTATACAGGTTTGACATTAAATAATTAAGCAATAAGTTGAAAACCTATGGAAATTTGCAGCTTATGCTATTTGTTCTACGTTTAGCTTTATCTTTATTGTCCTTATAATATATCTAGATCAGTGTTTTATTGTTTTTGTGTTTATTTTATTTAACTGATATTACTGATAGAAGAAATATAAGAGAAATGTCCTGATGATAATCATTTTTATTGTTGATCAGTAGCTCCCTTAACAACCTTGTATAATAATTAAAAATCTTAGTGTTTAGATATTAAAATATTAAAAGGCTTAGATATGGTATATCTTGAATAAACTGCTTTCTATTTTTTTTTAGCATTTACAAGAGCATTTATATACAATAGTAAGAGATTAGTATGTCTTCTGTTAAAAAGTAGAAATGATAGAGTGATTGCTTTTTGTTTGTAGCGTTTGGTAACGAGAGTTTTATCTTCAATTCTTTTATATTAATTCTTATTAACGAATGAATAATAAGAATAATTTATTAAGCGAGTTGTTTATGTAGAAAGAATTGAAAAATCTCTTATTCTAAAATTCGTTGTTTTATCATATAGTGGTAAAATATTTCTTACAAACTATGCTGTTTGTTTATATTCTTTCTTTTGTATTTTTTCTACCTTTTCCATTGTAAACTACTCTTTACCTTTTCTTATCAATTATTAATCAAGTAACCTCAGATATCTGATAGCAAAACCAATAAGGGATAAGCTAGCTTAACTTTATTTCTTGGTATCTTATATCATTTTCTTTGTATCATTGTTAGTGTTTTTAGCAATGGTATCAGATATTTAGAAGAGGATAAACTGTATTAAACGATTTAAATGTTTAGTTTGTGAATTGTTTTAGATATAAAGTTTTATTGTTTCTATCATTTTTTGAACTGAAAATAACAAAAACCCAATTGTAGGCTTAATTTACCCTAATCGTAAACAGATTATATATAAATAGAGCTATAGAGCCATTACATTACCTTCTGGAATGTGTCTAGATAAATTAGGGAATTTTAAGAATGTTTGTCAAGCTAAACTCTTGATTAATTGTTTATAATACCACAGTTTATCAGTGAATTTTTCTTTATTATCTTACCCAAGATAGACTGTTGTTATTCTCGTACAGTCCTTAGGGAATTTTTGAGAATTTAATGTATTAGTAAAATGTAACTTTTCCTGTTACAAATAAACAAATATCCGTTTCAAATGGTAAAAGGAAACCAGACTATTGACAGTTTATATAAACCTAGTTTTGAAAAAAGTACAAACATCCAGCGTGAAATATCACTAACATAAATCTAGTAAAGCAAACATTTAATGTGAGATTTTTTATTATGTCAAAAGTTAGCATAAACCCTAAAATAATAGACTTTATAACCCTTTAACTTAATTAGGGCATTTTTATCTCTTAGATATGAAAATTATAAATTAGTCAAATTGTTTACGAATAGTAATTCATTTTCCCCTAGGCGGTTGTAAATTACCTGCAATTTGTTATATTTGTTATAAAACTAGTTTATGCTAATTAGTTCCAATCATTTAATATAAATAAATGATAATGGAAAGTATCGACACTGTTTATAGACTTGAAAAAGAAATAGATAGCGAAATTTTAATTGAATCTAAATGGATTGAGAATTTAAAACAAAGTATAAAAATGTACATTTCCGGTTTGAGATACCAAAAGCCTATAGAAATGGCAGAGGTCAACATTTAGGTAGAAATGAAGAAGCTTTTTATTCAAAACGAAAAAAGAAGAGAACATAATAAAAAAAATTATTATCTTTATTACTATTAAAATTATCGAAACTACTAACGCCATCTACCAGGGATTTCCCCCCAAAATTCTATATAACTTACCCCATCTTGCAACCTTAAAGGGTGTTTCTATATAAATTTTAGCTGTGTGTTTAGTTAGCTTAAGATACGCTCTATTCTCTTATAGGTAATATAGTAAACATAACGAACATTTACCGTATACAAGACTGTTACTATACACCTATAAGGATAACGCATGTAGAGACTGACCGTTAAAATCAATAGTCAATTGCTCGATGACAGGTTTCTATTTGGAAAGTAGGTCAATTTAGTTTTTGAGGAGAATGTGTCACTTTTCGCGTTAATTGTCCTTGACTTTTTTTTTAGTTTTTTATGTATTTGATAGGATTTTGAATAAAAAGATCAGAGAGAGAGACAGAGAGAGAAAGAGAGAGAGAGACAATTTTATTATCTCAATATATGAAACCTTTACTTTTTTTCATATTTATCAGTAAGAGTATAATCTAAATATTTCTGTAAAGAGTACTTTATTATTTAGGAATTTAAGAACAAAGTCGGTAAATTTTTTTTTATTTACAAGTTTAAACACGCAAAAACAACAACAACGAAAAAAACAGAGTGTAATTAATAAAGAATTAATTAGATTTAATTAAGTAACAAATGATCAAACTATATCGGTATGATTTTAACAATATATAATTAAGATTATAACACATACATGCTCGTATTTTGAATTGTTAAGAGAAATTGCTAATTAAGAAGTTCTTGATACACAAATCGACTATAAACGGACCGCCTATATCCGATAAAAAGGCTATTAAGTTGTAAACAGACCTAATTTTGGTCTCCCAATACGAAGTATTAAATTAAAAAAGAAGAAAGTTTGGTTAAGTTGATACTTTCCAGCTTGAAAAGTACGCGATTTGGAGGGATATCATCAAGATAAACTAAATAGAATGATAAATTGTGTTTTTACGAGTGTTTCCGTAAAGATTAAGGATACCATTCTACGTTTTGCTGTTGAACTTGTAAAATCTATAAATAGATTTTGAACCATGTGAAATGTTTCACCTAGAATATATTTCTAGTTTTTGTTTTTTTTATTCGTTTATTATAGCTATAATTTAGAAAATAGTAGTAAAGGAATTACTGAGATTTAACCGAACCTGATTCTCAAATAGTAGAGAATATTTACCTCCCTTTCCATTTTTAAAGGGAGAGTTTTATTGTTGTTATCTTTCTCTCTCTCTCTCTCTCTCTCTCCCTTCCCTCCCTTCCCCAGCTTATTGTACAGTAGAATTTATAAACAGCAGATTTGTTTTTTACCGTTTGATTGATAAAGATAAAAGAAGATTACTTTGCATTGAAAATTAACTATAGTATTATTTGATTAATGATAAACTTGTCTTATTCTGTTAGTTAATTATAATTTCTATTTAATAAAATACTTAAAAAGGTATTCAATAATTTTGAATTTGTATATTACTTTACTTAGATTAGATCTATTAACTAGCAGTAAAGAGTGTACAAAATTTTTATTCGACTTTTATAAGGAGTATTGTATTTTTTCCAATCTATATAGTATTTGAATAAGGTTTAACCTTTATCTTTATTTGTTGTGAACATATAGCATGATTAGTGTTTATTGCATTTTTGATTATTCTACTTATCGGATAGTATTGATTAACAAATACATAAAAGAAATTTCTCTCATTAGAATTGAGTTTTATGATTTATTATTGTCTTTTAAATATTCCATTTCTATCAATATTTAATAAACTCAACTTGTAGTTAATTTAAGTTACAGTGTAACAAATAAAATATCTGTTTTTGGTTATTATTTGATAAGATAGATATAGAGTATTCTTCTAATTATCTTTCTATCTATCTTTTTTTTCTTTTTTCGTTCTTTTGTTAAGCATTCTCTCTTTCTCTCTCACGCTTAAGTGGGAATAGTTTAACTAGGATTAACCTTTATCACTGTTTTGTTTATTTGTTCCATACATACAAGCTTGAATGCTGTTTATTGTATTTTTCCTATTGATTCAACTTATCAGTGATCATTGAATAATAAATAAAAGTTTCAGACAATTTCTAATTCTTACCATTAATTGTAATATATATTTTATATAATTTATATTGTTTATTAACAATAGACAAACCCATCTTATCGGTCAACGGATAGCTGCTATAGATCTCTCATTGATTATTACTCAACCAGTACAAGTTTTCATATCAGTTGATAAAACTAAAAGATATAGTCTGTATAATCATTCGACTCCTGTTTATTGATAAACTGCGTTGTTGTCTTTTGGGTTATAAAATTAAAGAATAATATATCTTTATATATCTTTTATTATTAATAAACGTTTTTAGGAAATCAGTTTAATCTCTTTATATAACCAGTAATAATAATATACTTATGAATATTAATGAGTAATTTTTAGAGTTTTCTATTTATTTATAGCGTTGAAGAGGGGAAAAAATCATTTGAAGATTTTAATGAAAAATTCTTATCATTTTAATTTCTTTTTTTTTTAATATATTAAAACATATTTATCTCTCTTTCTCTTTCTCTCTCTCTCTCTCTCTCTCTCTTGTTCTGCTGCTAGTTCTCTCTTTTTTTCCCACTATTAACTAGGTTACTGTTTTAATTTTTCATAAAAATAACGAAACATTGAACTTTGAACAATAAAATAAGAAATTCTGTTTTTTTTCTTTTTCTTTTGATAATTCGGAATAATTAAATATTAAGAATATAGGCTGAAATATTGATAAGTAAACAATTTTATGTATTAAGCTTGTTCGTACCCATTTATCTATTAATGTACGTTTGTTCTCTTAATTTTAAAGTTATAAGAGTGTTTAATAAGAATAAATAATACATTATGAATCTGCGTTATCCGATGGCTTCACTTTAAGTATATTGGCTTTCTGTCTGCTATAATATCGTTTACATATTATCATTGTATTTAACAAAAGCCAATCAGCAATTTCAATAAATGTAATTATAGTAGATCCAAGAAATAATCCAAATGCACCTAGTAAAAGATAATTTATGGTATTAAAAGAATGTATCAGATGTACAGGTAAAAAAATATACCTCCAATATCTGAAAATAGCGCAAGAATGGGATAGGCTTTCTTAATTTCAATTTTCTGATATTCTAAACTGGAAAAATGTATATTCAAAGAAACAATATTGTCTTCAACTTCTTTTACAGTCATGCCTGTTGAAGTCGCCATTATATTTTTATCAATTTTAGAGAATCGAGAAGATGATAGGCTTTTTTTAAATATATATATATAGATATATTAAATCAAATTATTCAAAGTTAATTAATTAATTATGCTAACCTATAATCGTAATTTAAATCGTGACATTGAGATTTACAAGAACATTTAGATTGTTGATTTGTTAGGTAGTATTCTTGCATTTTTGGTAATGCACAAACAGACACTCTCAAAGGATCGCAAACAGTAGACTCTGCAGAATACCATAAAGGTACGCATTTACAAGATTTCACAATGAATTTCGCTTTACATTGCTCAATACAGGCGTCATAACGATAATTCTTGCTATCGTTACATTCTCCATAAGGTTGCGGTAATCTAATAAACTGAGGAGAAATAAAGTATAGAACTATTCAAACAAGCTGTTCTTCAACCAAATTTTCATTACTTTGTTTAATTTAATAGAGACTGATGTAAGTGCTCCAACACCGATAATAAAACCGAACACATCTACATCCGGTTTAGCAAGTTCATCGTGCAGCAATATCTGTTTTTTAATAAATGTAATAGAATCTGTTTTAATTAAAAGCAGAAAAGAAACAATTACTCTATAGCCAACACTATTCCAACTTGTGAATAGGTAATTCTTCTCATCAGCGTATAATTTTATATTAAAGCCAAATTTAAGACCAGGTTCATTAACCATATAACCTTGTGTTTTCGTATTGAATTGAAAACATTTTCCAGCTGATGTTTGCACAATTGTAAAATCACTTGCACTGCATGGTTTGCCGCTAAATGAACACTGTGGAAGAGAGAGAGAGAAGAGGAAGAATGTAAAGTTCAAAGTTTAGTAAATTAGTAAAAAAAAGAAAATACTAAACAGTTATTATTTGACGTGCAACATCCATTGACAGATAATCGTGTATTTCGTTCAAATTAACATTTGGATTCTCCTTAAAAGCTTTCTCTACGAATGAAAAATTTGGATTCTCTGAATTTAATTCTCTCACTATATCTGTAATACCTAAAAACAAATATATTGTTTCATATTAACTATTACTGCTTTTTATTAATGTGCACTAGCTTACCAAACTCTTTAGTTCTTGTAAGATTTATATAATTTGAATTGCATATAGTAATGGTGGGAAAACGAAGAGTTTCATTTCTAATAAAGCTAATGTCAACTCTTGTTGGTCGACTTTTGTAATACGCAAATCTAGATTGTATTTGGAAAAGGAGAAAACCAAAGCTTAAGATAATTAATATAAACCAGAATATTCTTCTTGAAATATGTACACCAGGTTTTATAACGTAACGAATTCCTTCTATAGATATTTCCGAAAAGAAATTCTTCCAGTCTAAAAAGCTAATTGCGGATCGGTCGGTACCGAAATTATTTTCACCATTTGTTCGTTGGCTATCCATTGCTAGATGATGTCTTATTTTACAAAGGAGCCATTTATTTTATTAATCAATAGCTTATCCATTAACCAAGACTTTTCTTTTTATTGTTTAAAGATTTTTTCCCCAAAGCTTTTAGATTCGACCTTACTTCAATTCCTGTAATTGTTTACTTTCTAATTATTACATATAAAGGCATTGGCTATAAATTTGTAAAAAAAAAAAAAGACTGAAATTACTTATAATAGATTGGAATTCAGGTCAACATTTCCCCCCTTTTATCTTCTTCTTTATCATTATTATTAATGATGTAAGCACGTGCCTATTATTTTTTGCTTATTAGTGGCTGATTATTAAGACAGGAAAGATATTTACAAATTAAGCGTTTATTAACCTTTAAACAGGTGAATACATGTTTCATTCATTATAATTCAAGTTGTTATTAATTTTAAGTATTCATCAATAAGAAAGTCTGCTTTTTCATTAACCTATGGCACTATTTGGTATTCTTTTCAGTGATGATTGGTTCCACCTTTGTAACAGAGACCTTCTTTTCAAGAAATTTCTTATGAAAGTAGGAAAAAAGCGATACCAGAAGCCAATCGCCAAGTTCAAAGAAAGTTAAAGCTGTTGATCCTAACAATAGACCAAAAGCCCCTGGAAAACAATTAAATTTTATAATATTAATATTTACTAACGCCATCTATAAGATTTTCGAAAACAAACCTCCTACATCTGCTAAAAGTGCAAGGATACTGTAAGCTGGTTTTACTGTAGTTTCTTTATATTCCAACGTATGATAATATAGATTCAATACCAAAATATTTGTTTCAATATCGTTCTCTGTTAGCTCTTTAAACTTTTTAATAGTCAAATCTGAGAGTCTTGATGTTGATAGACTGAAAGAGAATAGCTCTTACGTTATTCAACTAGTTAATTAGGCTAATTAAAATAAAATTTTATTAATTTACCTATAAGTAAATTTCGTTTCAGAGCATTGACGTCTACAGTTACAACGCGATTGTTGATTTGAGACAAAGTACTCTGTCGTTCTTGGGTATATGCATGCGATTATTTCAACAGGGTTGCATAGTCTACTTGTCCCTATTTTAAGTATTTAAATAAACTTAAAAACTATAAATAACTTTAATTTAAACAAGGATCAATCAAATAGAAAACGGAACAATCCAATTATTTTATGCCTACTCCAATAAACCATTACTGCGGTGACCTCTGTCATTCAATGCATCAAAGAGGAGATATCTAGAAGAAGTGTCTTATACCTTTTGTACAGTTGAGAGAAGTGTATGGACTTGAATAACGTGATAGAATAGAAACATTCGAAAAATGAAGAAACACAGCTCCGTTGTGAAAAAGCTAAAGGACTAGGACCTGCACTCTTTAAAGTTTTGTCTAATTGAAAGGATATAAAAGAGTAAATTAGGGAGAACAACAGAAGTAATTTGAAGAGCTTAGGGAGATTTTTGATATCAGCTTTAGTACAATTTAAAATATCATCAATAAATTATTGGGATTTCATTAGAAATATTTGCTAAATGAGTTCTCAGAACCCGAGCAACTGACATGAAAATTAAAAGAATGACTGCAATATAGCCAACCAATAGAGATCTTTTCTGAAGGAAGGAAATATGTACTACGAGGTAGAGAGATTATCATTGAAGAACAGTATAAAAAAACGCACAAGAATGACATTGTTACATCTAAAATCAAGTAGTTCCGTTTTCATTTGTTTGCCTGTTACATACTAAATATATATTGCAAACCTTTGAAGTATATTGGTCGACATTTACATTTCTCGAAAAAATAATCCCTCTTACAATTACTAATACACTGGTCGTATCGATAATTGGGGTTGTCTTCGCAATCTCCATATGGTGCGGGTAATCTGACAAACTAAAAATTTATTGTTAAATTAAAAATTAATGAAAATAACAATTATTAAGTTTTTTAGACTACTTTACCTCATTTTTCTCAAAGCCAACTAGTACTGATTCTCCCGCACCAGCATTGAAACCGCTCGTATCCATTAGTGGAATAGCATCTGGCTCGTGTAGTAGGATCTTGATGAGAGTAGAGTTAAAAAAATATAATATTCAATATGTTATCTTTTGTACAAGATACATACTCTATAACCGGCGTTAACGGATGAAGTTAAAAAATAATTTGGTTGATCGGTATTTAATACCAACTCCAAACCAAAATTAATTCCAGGCTGTGTTACAGAAAAATTAAACTTCATTGAATTGAACTGCAGGCATCTTCCGCTAACGGTTTCAGCGAGTGTAAAATCTTTAAGCGAACAAGGAATACCAGAATATTTACACTAAAACCGTATTGAATTAAATAGCATCTTATTAATAATATCTCTCTATTCCTATTATAATTATTATATTTACTTGTAATATTTCACTACTGGCGTTATTTAGTATTATATCGAAGATAGTACTCAATCTACTAGGAGGAAATTTCTTGAAAAAGCTTTCAATAAATGTTTTATTGGGAGTTTTAGAATTAATTTCAAGCATTAATTTCTCCATACCTTTAAATAGACAAGAGAAAAATCGATTATTATCATTAATATCTTTTGAAAATTTACAATATACCGTGCTGTTTAACTTTGGTATGATTTACATAATTTGAATTACACAACGTAACAGTTGGAAAACGTAAATTTGATTTTATACTATAGTTTATATCGACTGAGGTTGGTCTACTTAAAAAATATGAAAATCTTGCTTGAATTTGAAATATCATAAAACCAAGTCCAAATAGAACTAATGTTATCCATATTATCCTTCTAAAAATACTAATTCCTGGTTTAACAACGTATCTTACTCCTTCAATAGATAGTTCACTAAAGAAAGATCTCCATTGTGAATTTGAGACATACTCTCCCAAGTCCGTATCTTCCAAATTGCCAATATCTTTTAGATGTGAAACCATAATTTCCTTTAACTAACAGCGAAAAGTTCACTGACAAACCCTTTAATAGTCTTATCCGTTATGATGAATGCCTTCTGATTAATTATATGTTAGCTTTGGAATTTAATGTTTTTAGCTAAACTTTTTCTCTATTATAGTACAATTCCATTCGCGTCACTTAATAATATTGTTTACTACTTCGATAAACGACTAATGAATTATATTAGTCAATATTGCAAAAAAATACTTTTGTGTTCCCTTAAATGTATCGTTTATAAATAATTAGATTCTAATAAAAGGGATAAAACGCTGTATGTTATAGTTTTATTGTTTGTCTTAAGCGATGTCAATATGATAGGCTTGGTAGGAAAAAGACAGACGTTTTTTATGTTTTTCAAGTCTTGTTTACACAGAATATTGGTGTTTACTAATTAAAGAACAATAAAATTGACGTTCCCATTACCTTTTAGTTTGAAATAGGCTTAAATAATTAAAATCATATTTTACTATTTCATATATACAAATTCAGTTCTTTAAATTGTTCTATTCTCCCATTGAAATGTTCTAAAGGTTTTGAAAACTATAAGTTTTATTCTTTATGGAGCTAAATGGGGCCATAAAAGGGCATTATTTTTTGTTTCAATTGTAGATTTTCCACTTTCAACAGATGAATTTATTAAATTTAATCTTGTTTCATCCCGATTCTCTTTTATTTTTAAACCTTGTTTTATCATTGAATCGAATTCTATGTAATTAATAAATAATATATATATATATATATATATACGTATCTATATACAGATAAAAACAATATAGCATGACCTTCAAAACTTATTCGACCATCGTTGTTTTCATCGGCAGCAGCCATCATATTTTTTATTTCAGTATCATTTAAATTTTCTCCCAATGATTGCATCACTTCCTTTAATTCTCTTAAAGAAATATACCTGTTGTTTGTTTTTGTGTTTTTTGAATTGTTTGTCAACATATAATTATTTTATTAAAATTTATAACCCATCATTATTTTTATCAAAAGCCTTAAAAGCACCAATAATGGCCAATTCATCAAGAGCAGGAGCTTTGCCTTTCTTCCTTAGTAGTAATTTTTTAGCGTCAGTCATTATGTTGTTTTTTTTTTTTGCAGTTAATTTGTTATTCTTTTTAAATTATTGGCTTATAGAATGATGATGAAACATATTTTCCCTCCTCCCTCCCCTTGCCTATATACAACTATAAATATAATAATAATCTGATAAATCATATTTATACGGTAGATGGCGCAATGCGACATACTTTTTTGTTTTAAAAATGAAAAGGAAGATAGGAGAATATGCGTGAGAGATATGGCTGAGATATAGAACAAAAATGGCAGAATACAATCGACTGTTAATAAAAAAGTCAACTTAAATCGTATAACTTTGATTGAAAAGGAACAAACATTGCAAAACAAAGAATTTAAATTATATAAAGAATATAACGATCTAACTAATTACAGATGACCAGCCTTTTTTTAGCATCCTTTGATTCTTGCATTTACTTTACTAAAAGGTTTTACAACAGGTATAAAAGATGATTATCGAGTGATTTACAATTAGTGAATACGAAGTAAACATTCTGTAATGTTGGAAAGAGGAAAGATCGTATAACTGAAGACAAATTAAAGGGACGTATGGATAAAAAGTAATCAATCGAATCGTTCACTATTTGTTAATATTTTAAGAAATAGAAGAGAACAAACTGTCTCATTATGACGTCTATATTTTCCAGTATATTCTACGATCTTTAATGCATTCCATATAAAAGTTCACTTTTATATATGTATAGTATTATTTATGCAAATATCGTTTATTTATATATAGAAATAAGTAGCTAATTTCGTTCCATACATTATATTCTAAATATAGATGAAATTATTGAAAATTGAGCATAAATAGAAAGGGTAAAACAAGAATTTTTAGGTCGATTTTAAGACATTCTACCTTGACCTTTAGTTAGTTTAATATTGCGCAATTATTCCATGTAGCGTCATATCCTAATCCTCGAATGTATTAAAAAAAATCTCTAAACGATCTCTTTGTGAACTTAGAGGAATGGTACGTGATCGTATCATGAACCCATCCGGATCCATTACCACTGTAGTTACTCATTAAGCATTCGATTGAATACTTTAGTAAAGTATCTTTTTTTTTTACGATTACGAGGGAATTGGCGAGGAATTTCAACAATTCTCTCTTTTTTTATCTTTTTCCCCTCCTAGTAAAGTTACACACAAATCCTTATGGAAATCTTGATAAAATGACTGACAAACAATTTGTTAAATGTATTTTATTTGCTATAGGCTGAAAAATCTATTGATATATACTGTATATGATTTTTTTTTTATTAAAGCTTATCTAATAACTCTTATAAATTTAGGATGAAATAGAATTGACAAGGTCTGCTTTTTATTTATAAATAATGCAATAGAATTAAATAAAGTCTACAAAGAGTACTAAGTTTTTATAGACTAGATATATGTAAATTGATACAATACATATACTTTCACCTTATACTTTCTTTCGTTGTAAGCATCTTTTGAAGTCTGTTAAAAATATATAGAGACGATTTTTCTTCTGCTATCGCATTTCTCTTTATAAAATTTTGACCTACTATTAATTCTTTATTGTTTTTAGTTTCAAAGTGGTTTCCTTTTCAAATTTAAACGTTGACTGTGAATTTTTTGTTGCTTTCTTTGCAATTCACTATTCATTTATGCTTCATTTCATTAACAAATTAGCCTAATTAGGTATTACATTAGTCTATTTAGACGAAAACATAATAGGTCTTTTACTTTTTGTTGAATAGCAGCTGTAATCACCATCACAACACTATTGGTAAATCAGACTCGATCGGCCTATATTCATTCAAAGGTGAACGCCCTTTATCTATACAAATTCTTTGCAAAATACGACTATACAAGTAACTAGATAAGTTTCGTATGTGGTTGGCTATTTGTTTTTTTTTTCTTTTTTGCAGATTTTTTGAGAGAGAGATAGAAAGAGAGAGAGAGAGAGAGAGAGGAGGAGGAGGAGGGGAAGGAGACAAAGAGGAAGAGAACAAAGATATATGCAAAATTTTCAGTCTTGAGTGTATAATTATATATTGCATGGAAAGTTAAATTTCAATAAGTCAAGGGTGCTTTATATAAATATTTTGATCATTCTATTCTCTCATTTCTTTCTCCCTCCTCCCCCCCAACTCATTTTGATTATTTCTTCTCTCAGCATGATACATTATCATATCTCTTTTTAAAAAAGATATAATATGAACTAGTTGCAGTACAATTTATAGTTTGGCTGAATAATAGTAAGAATGAAAAATTACACTTCCACATCACCTTTGGGCGTTACTTAACTTTTCCTTTTTACAAATTGTCATACTTTTTTATACTAATTCGCTGTCCTTTTGCCTTTCTCATTTCCTTCATTATTTATAAATCTTAGTATAAATAATTGAGTTAATAGCTTTATATGTAGTATTTAATGAGCAGAATACGATGGATTAGGACACTTCAATCCGTTTCCTATTAATTCATTACTTACCTAATTAGATTAAAGATATTTTTTACTGAGAATGTAAAATATAGAAACAGGATGAGAGGTCTAATTAAAGGTGAATAAATCCAAGACAGAAATATCGGTAGAGAAGCGATCAAGACGATCTCTATATCTCTTACATCTTAGTTTCGTTCCTTTTTTTTAGCGTTAAGACGATCAAAACAATCCTTACGAAGGTACTATAAAATTACAGCAAACGTAGAATTTTGCTATCAGATAATAAGAGGTGAAGAAATAACTACAATTTCTCTCTTTTTTTCCAGAAAAAAGTCAATAAATTTCTCTTCCATTCTCTTCCTAGTTCTATACGCTCTTTTTCTTTTCCTCTTCCCCTCTCACTCTCTTTTTATATTTTAATGTAATTTCGTTGTTATTATCTGTTACAAGTAATTAGAGCTGTTTTGTTTTCCTTTTTTAAAGACTCTTCTAATTGTGAACGTATTCCTTCCTTTCGCATTCTTTTCATTAAGAAATGAGGGACGAAAACAAATTTACAATTAAATAGTAATAGAATAACATTAATAATTGAAACCAACCGCTAAACTCCATGAGAACGTATTTATTGCATTAAGTGGATTTTTGGGGGAAGCATCAAACTGGAGAAAATTACCCGGGGTATTCTAAATTACGGTTAGGACGGTGAATAATGAAAAAGAAATAAAAAGGACATGTGTAAGAAAAAAAAACGAAATGGTTGGAGGGAATATAGGTCTAACACTTTTTTCATTCAGAATCTGTTCCCGTAGGTAAGTAACGGAAGATGGCGTGATTATCTGCGTATTGTTCGATTAAGAAGAGGACTGGAAAGTTGAAAGAGGAAATTTTGTGAAAGTGGAAGGGAACCACAGTAAAGTGGAGTATTATAGGATAAGATAAAATAAAAAGAGAAAAGGTAAAGACAGAATAGTAGATTAGAGAACTTGGTAGAAGGGTTTGACTTAAGGGGTTGGTTGGGGTGAAAAAGTTTTTCTAATGAAAATAGCTGTAATAAATGTAAAAGGAAATTCGAAACGTGCTGCCTAGAATTGGAAATCGAACGGATAAAAATAGTTAAAGGGAGTTTAACAAAATAGGAAAAGTAAATAGAAAGTGGTTCCAATAGGAAAAGAGATACTATTAATTCATACTGAATGAGGGAGGTGAGAAAGAAAGCGTTGTAGGCAGAGTTAAATTGTTTTGGGCGGATAAGCGACCGCTTCTCTTCAAATAAGGGTTATTACGCCACGATAATACGCTTAGCCAGTCGACCCCTTAAGTCACGGTTTCTTCTACTCCGTTACATCATTAGGAAAACGGCGTCTACTTTTCTAGCCTCGCCTTAGAAAACAACTATATTTTTTATACGATAAAAATATATTACTGAATGTGTAAAATAGAACGTCGAAAGATAAACAATACAGATTTTTCAACCGTGTTCGCGGAAACGAGCAACGACAGCCCGTCTAATGACTGTCGATAGTCTATTGCCTTGTTAAATTATTTAGGTGAATGCTAAAATCCTGGGTCGTAAATTAATATATTTATTACAAGAAATCCAAAACAATTATAGGCCTAAAGAACGATACTGAGACTGCTTTAGCTGTGTATGTTGTAGGCTGATGCAGATCTAGTTAGAGAGTATGCGTATAAATATATGCGTGTGTGTGTGTGTGTGTGTGTGTGTGTGTGTGTGTGTGTGTGTGTGTGTGTGTGTGTGTTTGTGTGCGAGTATATGTATGTATTAGAGATAGAGAGAGAACGGGGGGGGGGGGAGAGGGGAAAGCAAAAGAGAGTGTGAGTGAGTGAGTGAGTGAGAGAGAGAGAGGTATCTGGAGCTCGTGCACGAAAATAGAACGATGCAGTTCGTGCTGGTAGAGATGGAAAAAACATGACGTCCGGTAGTTATATTCATTCTTATTCAACTAGAACTGTGACGAATGGCGGCGTCTATCATGGATATCGTTATTCAAGATTTAGAAGTGAGGATTTTGCGGATAACAAAATAGACGGCTATGATTTTATTAAAAAGAAATATGCTGATCGCTTCGATGAGTATAAACCCAGGCTTAGTAGGAGTGAGGATCGATCTAGACCAACATATACTGGAACTGCTGCAACTAGGAAGATTGAAGAGAATCCTAGTTATAGTAGGGCAAAAAGTTTTTGGACGTCTAAGGATGCATTATCATTATCATTATCGAGAACGAATAGCGTCTCATCATACAAATCAACGACTAATAGCACAAGTTTAGATGCCTACAGGCCTAGTAGTAGTAGATATCAAACAGCAACTACAGCAATTCCGTCGATTAGACCGTCTAATGAAACCAAAAAAGAACAAACGCAATCGAATTCTCCCGTATTAAAGCAATCCCCGTTTTCAGCCTTTAAACGACACCCCTTCAGGCGAGGTAATACTATTGACAATTCGGAAGTATCGGAAGAAAGTAAAAAGGATGCAAAGGATACTGACAAGCATGAAAAAGCGAAAGACAAGAAAAAGAGAGAAAAGGAAGAGAAAGTAGGAAAGGACGGGAAAAAGTCGATAGATCGTCACGAAAGTCGAGAGTCGTTGGCCTCAGTTACGTCGACATGCTCGGAGAAGAGTAAGCCAAAGAGTAAACTATTCTCTTTAAGACGATTTCGATCTGTTGATAATGTAAATAAATCGGACAAATCGGAAAAAACTGAAAAAAAGGACAGTGGAGGCGAATCTGCCTCAGCTAATTCTCGTAAATTAAATTTCCAGCTGATTGAATCAAAAATCGACGAAGAAGGAAATGATGTTAAAACAATAGCAGTAACGCCTAATGAAAAGAAGATTAGCACACCCAAGTCCTTAAGAAAATTGTTCCGCTATGGTGTTAGACGATCGAGAAGCGTCGATGTACATAGTTCTATTGAAGAAGAGCCTGGTGATGCAATCAAGCACCAATCTCTTGAATTACCTGATCCAAATAAACGGGTGTTAAGACTATTTTGGCCAGGACGTAAGAAAACTACTCTAATAGACGATGATGCTAGCTCAGTTGTTTCGGATACGGCTAGTATAGCTAGCGACTTGTCAAATGCTCCTATATCTTCCATATTAAAGAAGTCCAAAAGAGACGGGTCAGTTGAAGGCCAGAGAAAACAAACGCAATTCAGCGATACAGTCCAGGTTGTTCAGCAGGATAAACATGGGAATATATTAACAAAGAGATCTGAGAAATTGAAAGACGATACGCTCAAGAACCTTCTAGAGGATCATGTACCCGGGGAAAGAGTCGCAGTTCAACGACCTCTCACTTTGGGTGGCCGACAAGGTGCGACGTCGCTCATCATTCCGCTGAGAATCGACGACGATATGTTCGATGCTCAGAAATTGGTGATTAAAAAGGAAAGTAATACAAAAACGCTATCGCTAGTCTTGAGAATGGGAGAAGAATTCCTTGAGGAACGGATATCCGTTAGGAGTTTGTGCGGAGGTCAAAAGTTAGCCGTAACTGCCTATAAGTATGAACCCTTAGGTGACGGTTCAAAATACCTTAGAAGATTTTGTCAGAGGTATGCATTACCTTATTCAGTAGATCCTTATGAGGTTCGAGCCGCATTCGGAGAACATGGACAATTGACTATTGAAGCTCCACTTAGAGAAGTTTAACCTTTTATTTTATCTATTACAAACTGAAAGACTCCTGCAACTATTAGCACTACTGTTGTTTTAATTTTCTTTTTCTTCTTTTTCTTCTACTACTATTACTACAACAACTGCAATTACGACTCAAACTATAACAATTATTTAATATACTTCTTCTTCTTCTTCTTCTCTTCTTCTTCTTCTTCTTCTTCTTCTTCTTCTTCTTCTATTTAATTTTTTTTATGAAAAAGAATTATTATAGCTCATACACCTGCATTTTTTGCATTCCGGTCTTTCAGATGAAGAGAAAAAAAAAACAAAAGAAGAAAGAACTTAGTGGGAGTTAAAAAAAAGCTTCATTTATAATAAAAGGAAGAATAAAAGGACACTTAATAAGAAAAAGTTTCAAATGTAAACCAATAAACATATGACGGGTTGGGAGGGTTGGGGTAAAAGAGAACAAATATTGGGGTAAGAGATAATTTTTTGTGTCATTGATAAAATATATTCGTGATCACATGATTAATATCGAATATAGAATGAGGAAAAGAAAGAAAAGACAACAAAAAAAATCGAGAATAAGGATTGATTTACGTAATGCGAGCGAATTAGGTTTTGCGTTTAAACTGGTAAAAGGTCATCTCTTATTAAGCGCGGGAAAAGGATGCTAAAAGGGGGCGATGATTCCATCCTCTTTCTTTTTTAAGAAAGAATAAGAGAATAGGAATGCCTTGTGGTGATGAAACATTCGGTATTTAAAGAATAAATATAGTACTATTAGGTTTTTTGTAGGTGAAGGGAAAAGAGAATTGATAGAATGAGATATGAAAATTTATAATTTTATTAATATGCACGTAGATTTCTACGCTCAATTTAATGCCCCCCTGCCTTTATTATACACGCCTGAAGGAAGACTTTGCGCGGGAAATCAAGTTTGTCAACACATGAAAAGACAAATTGTAATGTCTCGGTGTTTGTCATTTTGTTTTCTCACAATCTTCTATTAACTTGTATATATTATACACTCTTAACAGATTTAACATTTTTCCTTCTAATCTATTTATCTTATTCGCAAAAATTTCTCACTTTTTCCTTATTAAAAACTTATATACGATAGATTTACAGAATTCCTTTGGGAAACTTTTATATTAATTCCAAATTTACTTTAAAGTTTAGCTATATCGCTATCCTTATTATCATTATAATTGAAATGTAACGGTCATTTCATATTATATACAGCATATATATATATAAATATGGATTATGATACTTCATAATTATAATCGAAACACTTGTGTGCTTCCTTTTCTACGAAAAGCAAGAAGGTTAATCCTCTTAGAGTATATCTTACATATATATATATATATATATATATATATATCTTACATGTATATATATATAGCATACGTACGACGCGCAGTTTATATATGTATATATCATAGTATAAGTGTATATGTGTGACATTTATGAATGCTTTAATATATCTTCCAAACATAGACGTGTATTTAGATTCATATTTGTATATACATACACTACATTTGCTACAACTAATAATTAAATTTTGCTGACAAATGCAAATTTTTTGTCTCCATTTGTTCGTATAGAAGTTTCTGTAGATATCTATAAAGATAATCTTAAGATCACATTTTAATATGATAATATTTATATATAGATCCATATATGTTGTATACATATAGATGTATGTATGTATTTATTTAGTCAGGTAGTGGCGCTATCATGCGCGATCAGATTGAAAGCGTCACTCAGCCGTTCTGTTCGGGCGTCGAAAGGAGTCGTTTTCAAATAGAGGTAAGCGATATTAATTTCTAACCGCCTATAATACTTTAAATCCTTTTGTTCCTTTCTTTTTCGTCTATCTTCCATTTATAACCTATAAATAAGCGTAAGAAATGATGAAATGATTTTTCTCCCTCATCCTTTGCTCTCCTTTTATACTTTATTTAGTTCATGTTTAAAGATACTCAGAAGCAGGAAGTGGAATAATATCTTATAAAAGTATCTTCTTTTCTTTATGTCTAAATTTGACGTTCAACTCTCTTTATGCGCGTATTATTTTAAGTAAGCGAAGAAGTTTACGAAGTTATTAAGAGGAGGAAATGATAGGTAGATGCAGGGCTAAAAAAAGACAATTGAGGGAAGAGAGAGAATTTGATGAAAAAGAAAGCGGAGAGACGGAGAGAAAAAGGGAGAGAGGGGGAGGGAGTAAAATGAAAAATTTTTTACTGGGTCGTAAGATAGAATACATAAGGAAAAGATAAAAAAGGCAATTAATGATGGTAAAATTTTGTTTAAAAATGAATATCAAAGAGGAGTCACGCCAACTAAAAATCAAACATTCCTATCCACTAATGGAAAGTTTGTCTTGCTCTTGTCATTTATAACGAAAAAAGGCCTTATATATTGTTTGTTGTAGGCAAATGGCGAAAGATTACAGCGCTTGTTTGCTTATCATTCTATTATGGAGTAGCTCATTAGCCGATGCTGTAAAAACGGAGTTTGACGACGTCTGGGATCCAAGCTATCATAGGGATCAGCCAGCGCTCGCTCAATACAAAAGATTCATGTTTAATCCGGACTTGGGTAAGAGAATGTTTAATATGGATTTGGGTAAGAGAATGTTCAATAACGATCTTGGAAAGCGAATGTTCAATATGGACTTGGGCAAAAAAAAGAAAAGGGAAAACAACTAGGTTGGTTGTTTTATATACAATATTTTTAAATTTTTATTCAATTTTTGATTACTTATCACATTATCGCTATTTTTAAGAATAAATATTAAAATTAAACTAAAAAAAACCGCCGTAAGCGTCGACGCCGCAAATTTGTTTGACGGTGCACGTTCGACAGAACGCTCTAGGCGGCGTCGAAACGTACTAATCGACCCGATTTTTACAGGCTACAACTCTATTTCTGCAATCGTCTGCTTTGTCTAGTTGGTTATATATAAAAAATTCTTTACCCATTTTGTTCCACCTTTTTTCTCTCTTAAACGTAACAAATCACTAAAATAGTAATAATACTAATAATAAAAGCTTACACCGATGACCGAAAAAAATTCCCCTTTTGTTATCTCATTCTTTTTCGTCTATTTCCCTTTAAATTAACGATTAAGCTGTTAGACGCTTCAAAAGCCATCTCTGAAGAGCAAAGTGTCTGGTATCCGATCATTTTCATCTTTTTCCTACCTATTCTTATTCTACTTTTCCAATTTTCCCACATTTCGATTCATAAAAAAGTAGCCTTTCTAGTAACTTCGCTATTACCAATATATATAAATATATATGTATATTTATTAATATAGCGTAAATATATATATATTAAAATTTTTAACAACGCCATCTTGTGACACAACGTGCTCAGCATTTTTAATTGAGTCAAATAGGTAATTTATTAACAACAAACTGTTTTTATCGCACAATGGTAGTCGTAATATTGTACTATAGAGACATAGGACTTCCTTAAAGGCAAGGATTACTAGCTACTACAAATTTGTAAACATTTTCCTGACTTTCTTTTTTTGTCTTGTTTGTCTATGCAAAAATTTTTTATTTCCTATCTCCTTTTTTTAATACGTAAAAAAAATACCGAGATTCCAGATGTATAGGACTAGCCGTGAAAACATTCCAAATATTTAATATGTTCCATATCCTTACTAAAGGCCTATAGACGAGTAGAATTTTTGCAAGAATGAAAAAGTTAATTAAGGAGCAGACTAAACCGGAAGCAAATAATTTTAATAATCATTAGAGTCTACACACTTATATACGTACATACAACATATATATATATATATATATATATATATATATATACTGTGTAATAGTGGATGTATGTTAATTTATAGTGATAGACTATATATTATTTCCTGTATAAAGTCTGCAATGTGTAATACGACCAATTAAGGTGTTGGAAAGATATACTCCTCATTTGCGAAGGTGCGAAGGGAATAAAAAGAAGGAAATTAATAAGTTGTATTTTAATTAAAGATAATATTTTCATACTCTTCTTCGTACTTATTTTATGTAGGCAAGCTGTAATCTTATTTTATATCATATACTAATAATAATTTATATATATATATAACCTTTTGAACGTTTCGTTCTCTTTTTCTTTCATATGTGCAGAGGAATTCGAATCGACTATAACAGTATCGCTTCCTTTTCCAATCCTTTTTACGAGTTATTAAGAAACCTTTCAACGCCATCATATTTAACGCGTTCATTTGTGAAAATGGGAAAAAAACCAGTGCAACGCTTATCGGATTTCAGATTATAATCTTCATTGAAATTATGATTATAATGCAGTACAGCTATTTGATTTTTTAACAAATAAACTGATGGCTCTAATTAGATTCATTTTAAATAGACTGTTCAATGACATTTATAGATATTCTCACATTTTAAAGCAATTAGCGAGTCTTTTCTGTTTTCAATGGGAAATATGATAATGTAAGATATGTAGAACAAGAAGAATATGAAATATTCGTACAGAAATTAGAAACAAACAATAATGAAGTCGACAACAAACTGATATATAGTTTAGCAAATAAAATGGAAAGACAAAAATCAAAATATAGGAGATATTACATTCTCTATCGAAAAAAGTGATAAAATGTTAGGCCCGGAAAGAGAGAAAAGAGGAGGAGTAAAAGAGAGATAGCTAGACAGTAAAAGAAGATCATCAATTCATGAAGCCCTGACAGGAACGGGAGCCACATCGACATATAATCTTGTCGTCATCATATGGAAATCGGTAGTTGTACGTAATTTCTTCACCTTCTTCGATATCCTTCTTCGAGTAAATAATTATTCTTTTCTTATTTTCTGTCGGAACAACTCTAGCATTGCAATTAGGGGTACAAGAATGATTAATAAATCTTGCTGCATTTCCCCTTTGAGCAGCATCAAGTACAAGAGTTTGGTCCAATCGAAACAAATAGCATCCTTTTCCCTCTTTTATATTTCTTCTCTCCCTAACGTCGGCCACCGATGATCTGATGATTTCTCCAACATATTCAATTACCATTTCATCCTGTTTTATCGGCTCATCAGCGAATAATCCCCATTCGTGAATACCCGACCTGCCAAATCGCAACTTTTTCCTCGTCTATAGCGTTTAATAGAGAAAAGAAATAAGTGTTACTTGTTGTTTATATTTTATTCTTGTTACATAGCTCCCTTTTCTTTTATGAAGTATATACTTTCATTTGAAGCATATTACCTTGAATTTGTTGGTGAAACATCTCACTGATTTATCGAGTGTTTGGTGATTTTGCACATTGAATGGAATACGAGTTGATTTCCGATTAATCTGAAAGTTTTTGTATAAATTATAAACATTGAAATCGTTACAATAGCAAATACTTTCTCCCCTCTTACCTTATTCTCGTCTTCCTTCGCTTTTTTCTTTGTTATGAATTCTTTGATGAGGCGAGTTCTAGCGCATCCTTTATCCTTACCACTTAAGATTAATTGTCTTTTACAACTGTCTACTGTTGGGTCAGCAGTCTCACCCCAATGGGTACGTCTCAGCGGATAAAAAGTATTGGCTATTAGTAATCGATTGTAGGCAATCTTCAAAAAATTTATATCTTCTTGATCTATCCCAATTTTAAATGGTTCAGAGAGAATTTCTTTGTCCTCTTCCGGTTGACGTTTCGGAAAAGCCCTCAACTTTCGTGGACTGGATCGTCTCTTAGCAACAACTTTTTCCTTATATTTTTCACTTACATTTTTAACCTCCTGGTCTATCCTATCATTAATCGCCTGGGATAGAAAATGATAAAAACATATAATTCTTCTTAAAACTCAATTCACATTTTTATAGAGATAGATATCTTACTTTACTTAAAAAGAATATCAAAAAAAAGATATCTGTATTTCAATGTAAATTGTACTTAAATAGTTTACAACAACAAAAATAATTAGGTCTAGGAAAGAACGCCTTTGGCGTCTTTTTTTTCAAAGATCTCCTTACCGGCCCACTTACGAACTGAAATACACCAAGCGTATAAACGGTCTGAACTAATTTGCAAGAAGATTTTCAACAATCTTAGTATACTTTTTTCTCTGTTCATCATTAATAACAGAACTACTGAAAGTGAACCTTACCGATGTTGAATCGTCACTATAATCTGTTACAGAATTCCTCTTCTCAATTCCTTCTTCTGTTTCCTCCTCTTCACCGCTTACGATTTCTCCTTCTTCTACTTCCTCTTTATCGCTTTTACCTTCTCCTTCTTCTGTTGTGTAATACTGGATATTTTCATTTAGGACTTCCGAGTCGGCATCAGCATCTTCCTTCAATTCTTCCTTCAAATTTCTATTTCGGATATAATGAGCAGGCAAGATTTGAGTTACCAAACAAAATTTCTAGATTAATTCTAAGAAAATCCAAGCAAACTAACCCATTAGATTTACTATTACCACTTTGGTCGTTAGCCTTATAGCTAGTTTCGTCATATGAATGAAATGGTGATGACGAAGACTTTATTGCTAATGGTGCAGATGTTGATGGCAATAATTCTGAAGTAAATGTCTTCCGAAGGCTTGTATGATTAACATTTTGATTGGTATCTAAAATAGTTAAAATAATAAAAACTTAGACAATTGTTGAATCAGCACTTAGTTAATTAATATGTATCAACCATATGATTGTGGTAGCTTAGATTGATCAGATGTTCCTCTCTGTTGCAAAATTTCTTAGTTATTAGAGCTTACGGGCTAGTAATTTTTTATGATATAGCACGTACAGGTACTTTAAGGGACCAGTTGTTTATTAAGCTTACGATATCTCTATTTTTTACAGTATCCTCCGATAGAATGTTCTCTTTAGATTTGCAGCTAATATTTGAGTTGTTCCTTAAATCACACAATGAATTTTCTAGGGTATCATTATGAGCTACATTATCTGCTATTGAACTAGTCTGTAAAGTAATTAAGAGAATAAAAAAAGGAAAAATTCCAATTTTAATTGACAAAAAGCTTCAATTAAACTTTACATTTACAGCTCGATGATTTTCTGATGATTTGAGATCATGTTGAAAAGAGACACTGTTTAATTGATTGTCAGAAAACCTATTTGCTATGGTTTCCGTTGTTTGGTTAATAGAAAGCTCGGTCCTGTCATCTCTTTTTCTAGGACTTTGCTTCGACCATAGGAAAATATCTGACTGAAATTTGTAACATATACATTGTTGTATCAAGTGAAAATAACGAAAATGTCTCTATTGCTACCTTATTAGTATTTCCAATTTTATATAGAAAAGGCGGTAGAGAAGGTGATAATGGCAGGAAAGCAGGGAATATTTTTGATTGATAAGTTGATATACTACGTTGATTAGATTGTAAATTATAAGACGAAAGAAATGATTCCTTTCCTGTGGCTTCCTCATATTTTGCCCTTTTTGGACAAAATGATAAGTTAAGATTCTTACTGGGCTCGTAATAGGGTTGTCTTTCAATTAACTCCAATTTTGTTTTTATTATATTCTGTCTTTTAACACCTTTTACAAAAAAACATTTACAACAAATTAGATATTTTACAGATGGCGTTTATTTCCATCTCCTCCCCCTCCTACTGACTTAAATACGATAGAGGGAAAAGAGACGCAGCGATAAAGAATTTGGTTGTAGTAGTGTCATCTATTATGTAAATTGATTAGACGAACCTTTCGGATCAAAGAATGCGCGAATATTCGAATTCCCAATTAATTTTCCAGAATATTTCCGAACAAACTGCCTAGCTTCAAATAAATATGCAAAAGTTATCTAAAAATAATTAATTAATGAAGTAATTAATAGGAAAAAAAATTAAGATAATTTATACTTACCATTCCAACTCCTAAATGTTGATTGGTATGTGGATGATAAAATATTTTAGATTCAATAACTTTTAAACCATCCGTAATGTCATTTAAAACTAATTGATCGAATGAGGTTTCCAAATCTGCTAACGTAACTTCTCTGTTCAACAAGACCTTCTTATTTTCCTTCTGAAAAACAATTTAACTTACTTCAAAAGTTTATATATTTCAAATTTATGTTGGCTGTTACTGATATAATCGGTATATTCTTTACTGAAGAATTACGCTGCCAACTTTCGCAGATATTCGCTATATATTTTCCCTCCATCATTCACTCTATCCATAGAGAGTTGGGAAAGCGTATTATCGTCGTATCCACACTACTTCCGGTCTAATGATGGCGCCATTACTTAATAATCTCTCTTAACCTACTAAATCCGAATAATTGGTTAAAGTTATAAAATTTATTTTAAATTTTCATAATTAACTTATATTTAAAGCAATAAAAATTAAATAATCAACTTAATAGATGAAATAAACTATATTTTTATACTTTTAGTAAATGAATGCGGTTGAAATGTCACAATGGCGTCTACGCGTTTTAGGCACATGTCATGCATTTTTACATTTTAAAAGTAAACTAATAGAAATCAAATTGATTGTAAATTATGTTTATTTATATTTATTTATTAATAATATGTTAATAAATCTTTTTAAATGAATGCAACGTGTATAATTCTTCAAAGTAATTAAAACAAAAATACTTTATAATAAGTAAACTATTGTGTTCAAATTTTATAAATGTTCAATTCTATAGAAAATTGAATTTCTAATAAATAATAAAGCATTTTATAGCATTTATTTCAATCGTATAATAGTTAAACATTCATGCAAGAAGTATAGAATAATGATTATAAATGATAAATAATATAAAAAAAACAACGTGAAATATTATAACGAGTGCAAAATAGCCAATAAATTGCACCAACAGGGGAGGGAGGGAGGGAGGGGTAAAGAGGTAGAATAGTGAAGAACGAGAAAGATAGGCAGAGAGATTATTGTTCTTCTCTAATAAATAATATAAATAAATAGAGATAAACCATGTTAAAATTTACTTGATAGTAATTTTTTTTAAATATGAATGAAAAGAAAACTTTTCCGTCGTATTTCCTCTTTTTTTTCTTCTCTGAACAACACACTTTGACTAAGACAGTAAAACAAGCAAAATAAAAAACAATAAGATTTTGAACAGTGCGAAAAAATTACCCTGGAGAAGAGGACATATAGGCATATTACACTTTATTTATAAATCTCTCTAATTAGTATGTAATGTCTCTCTCTCTCTCTCTCTTTCTATCTATCTATCTATCTTTCTCTACTAGTGCTAGAGGAGGAAAAACATTAAATTAACAACAAAGAAAAAAAAAACAAAATAAAATGGCTGTTTAGTTAAATATTTTAAAAAAATGCACCAAAGGAATACGTTATTAGGCTGCAGATTATAGCTTTTTCTTTTTGTATTTAATTTACTAATAGCAGAGAGATACAGCAAATAGGCATGTAATTTTAAAGATATAGACAGTGAGAGAAATTTTGAAGTATTGATTAAGGCATAAGTTTTAGGGGACAGGAAGGAGAGATATTAGTAGTTTGGGTAGCTTTTAAGAAAAACTTGTTGATTTGATCAAGCTGAAACATTCCATTGGAGAATTGAGGTATCTTTACCACCAGTTGAGAGCAGTTTAGAATCATCATGAACAAATTGTACATTTGTTACATGAGAACTATGACCGGAGAATGTGTGACAATTAGCCTATTTGAATGGATAATAGAAAGATTTGTTAAATGCTATTTCATATCTATAAGATTGAAAAAGAAAGATACTAACTCTTGGCTGATAGCAGGGATATCTAAAAAGATTAACTTTTCCAAAATCATCGGCACTAGCTAATAAGTTATGAGCTCTTGGAGCTCTGCAACATGCATTGATGTCAGTACCATCTGCTCCTTCGGGCCATATTCCTAAATAATTTGTTAATTACAATGTTGAATTATAACTGATTTAATAGAATACAAAAAAAATGATAATTACCGCAAACATTGAAGGCTAATGTGCAATTATTCGTTGCCCATTCGACGTCACGTAATTGGGATACACTTGAAATTTGCTTGCAATTTGCGCCGTTCCCTAATGAAAATATTACAATTTATTTTTAGGTGTTTAAAAAAAGAAAATGCCAACTAAATATTTCTACTAACAGTATAATATTTCATAGTCTCCTGAGTTGGATTGCAAATACTGACTATCAACTGACCAATCAATATGTGTCACGAAACTGGAATGACCCTAAGAAAATTGTCACGATAGTAATCAAGACAATTAATAATAATCAATGTAGTACCGAATGTACTTACAATACAACGACCAACTCTTGAATATTTGCGACCTTCTTCTGTGATATTATAAACATAAATGATGTTATCTCTACTTCCAACTCCTAAGTAGGCGCCATCTGGTGAAAAGGATAAGCACTCAATCTGCTCATTTCCGTCAGTATGAGATGAAATAATCTGTTGTGACGCAATTTCAAATACTATCCAACGACCAGAATTTAGTCCAATAACAAAGAAATTTCCATTTGGGTGGAAAATTGCGGAGTGGGCACCTTCTGGAACGCATTTTTGCCAAACAATTGAATGTTTATGAGCATCCCATAGGAAAACATTCTAAAAATGGAAAATTAAATTATACCATTATGGAGAAAGAAATTGTCAGTTGTATTTAAGATGTATAAATAAATTACTTTGTCCTCTCCTGCCGTTAAAAACTGATGCTGAGTTGGATGAACAGCCAAACCCCATAATTCTTCAACGTGACCATAAACAACGGGACTCCATTGTAAATCGAAGGAACCCATAAGAATATTATTCTTAGTTGTTCCCACAATAATTTGCGATCCTTTTTCACAACTCAACATTCTAATAGATCCATAAACTTCGTCTAACTTTGAAGAAGCAGTTTTCTTATAATTAGCATCCCATTTTATAATATTTCTATCCTTTCCACCAGACAAAAAGTTTCCATCAGGAAGAGAACAAATTGTAAACACGGTTCCATCATGAGCATTTAGTATGACATGTGAAATTTTATTCGTGCCTGAAAAAATTCGATAGAACTTTTATATTAAAAGGTACGAAAAACAATCTTTCCAACATGGCAAAATTTGCAGTAGGAAATCCTTTCACACATTTATAAATAATAATGAGAAATAAATTGAATAAATAAGTGAAAACTTTAATATACTTCAGATATATAGAAATGATGAAAATATCTTTTTCTTTTTTTATCTAACTTTAGATACTAACAATCATTAAAGTTGGTTATGTTAAAGAAAGTAAACAACCAAATATACATTTAACTATTCCTATATTATATAGTATATACAGTATATAATAAAATATATCTAAAAAATTGTCTCATTTTTTTAAGGAGTACGTTCTAGGCCTATTGTTTACAATAGTTCCCCCTCTGTCAACACGAAAAATAATACTCTTTTCACGTTATAACTATTATTCGATAAATATTTTCTACTAATACATAAATAGATTTAAGATTTTTGAGAATGTTAAATATCTAGGTCAAATTATCAATAGTTTATTCGGTTGTTTCATTTTGTTATGATTATATTTCTCTACTTCTGTTTTCTTTTTGCAAAAGTTTAAATATGTATACTAATATACAGTATATATATATATATATATTTATTTAGATTATTAGTTAGTTAGTTAATTAATTAATTAGTAATAAATTGAATATGGAATATATTAATTCTTGTGCAATAAAGGTAATAATTGAATTGATAACACAAACACGCAAAAATCAAATGATAAAAAGGTAAAGTGAATAGTTTTGAAAATTTTTGTGCTTTGTCTTTCAAATGTAATTTGAATATTTTTTCCTAATAATCGTCTAAGAGATATAATATACCAGTTTATATATTAATTATATAAATATATAACTACAGAAACAAATAAGATAATCTACAACAAACATGTTGAAAAAATATTCCAACTAAACTGTTTTACATTCGTAACAAAAAAAGGGGAGAAAAATGGAAACAAGCAAAAGGTAAGCCTACAAGACAAGCATTCTTACACCAGTATCCCTTACCTTGTTCTAATTGGGCTGAGATATAATTGAGGATATATATATATAAATTGTTTTGTTTTTTTTTTAAATATGGTCCAAGTTTAGTCTTTAATTAAACTTATTTTATGTGTTAAATATACAAAAAATATCTTATTTAATTTTGTATAGTTTAAGGTGTTTTTCTATTTTTATAAATGTTATTAAACATAGTTGTGGCATATAAAATAAATAGAAAAAATTATATATACCTCGTCCCCATATTTGAATATTTCCATTAGAATCCCCCGACATAACATCACCATTCGAAGCGAAAGCAATACAATTGACAAATTTTGGCTTCTCGTGTTTCTATTTAGATGAAAGGTAATATTATATAATAAAGAAAAATAAGTCTTTTTCATGTAAACATACTTCGTAGATTCCTTGTTTTTTTGTTAAAATATTATTTTCAAAATTCCAAAAGGAAATATGTCCTTTGCCGCAAGTCACAATAATATTTTTATCACCTGGATGAAAGTCACAAGCTAAAACTGGGTCGGCAGATGTCTATATTTATAAAAAAATAGATATAAGTATGTGTATATTCAGTTATAATTGATGAAAATATATATTAATATAAATATTGTCGTCTACCTTGGACTCTATTAATTTTGTTTCTTTTTGCCAATGCCATACTGACATAATATGTTCGTTTGCTTCGTCAACAGCACATAAATATTGGCCACCGTCGAATTTCGAAAAAGCAATACAAGATACTGCTCTATCAAAATGTCCAAGACCAAGTACATGCAATGTTTGTAAACTCAATGAATTCCAGATTCTAATATGGGGCTGTAAAAAGAATATTAAATATATGTTGAAATATATTTCAAATTGATAATTCTAACTAATTCAATGGAGTATAGTATTAGTTAATTTGAAAATGTTATATAGTTAAATCCAAATACTCTGAAATGACTACAACTCTAATACAAAAGGAAATAAATGAAAAAAAAACACCGGTTAAGCAATGAGATACATATAACAGATATAGTTATACTGTACAATTAAAGTTTACGTTGTTATATAATATATTAGGTTTAATTTCCTTCTATAAAAATAATGTTACATCATCTCATTGCAATGTTTGTAATAAAAAGAAAATAAATAAATAAAGAATTGAGAAGTGAAACTAACGAAAGAGTGGAAAAATCAGTTATAATTGTTTTTGCTTGTTTGTTTGCTTTATTTATTTTTTTAAAGAGTACTACTAATAGACCCTTTCTCACCCAATTATCTCCAGGTTCTATCAGGTCATTATTGGACCTTCGTTTGTGGTAAATTGGGAATTGAGGCTGTGTAAATAGTATATAAAAAAGGGAAAGGAAAAAAATAATATAAAGAATATTATATAGTGCACCTAATCCAAAAAAACAACTAAAATTTTGAATGATAATTTTGAAGGTTTGGATTGTTTGATTGAATTAAAAATAATAAATTATTATAACAAGAATAAAAAAAATGAAAACAAGAATAAAAAGGAAAACCTTATAGTTCAGGGGTTGTTGAATATCTTCTAAGGACAAACAATAAGGGTAAACAAAACGATAAAAATTTCGTGTTTTTACACGCATTTATCACGTTCACGAACGTATACTTTGGGTGTGAGTTTACCAAAAAAAAAAAATAATTTGAATAGTACTAACTTTGCCCTCCTTTTTGTCATGTCCAGCAACTTGCCCGCTCGCTATTGTAATTTTATCGGGATGAACACTTAGGGATTTTACATCATCGTTATGACCAGTATAGTGTCGCTGAATTTGCTCATCTACATTGTACAAAACAATAACTGCGGCTATGAAATATATCATTTCCCCAGTTGGTAATAAGTAAAGATTGTTCCTGCCATCGCGGCCTCGATAGCCGTAAGCCCATTCTAATTTTAACTTTTCTACAGGTGATGCAACAGGCTTAGAAGGATTAAAATCCGTCATCGTCGTAGGAGCATACATATTTACAGCTCTGCCTCTTAAATATATACGTAGGATTCGCTCATCTGTATAAACAAACAAAACCCATAAACAATTTGTACATTATTAATCCTTCAGAAACTAATTACAAAATTACTTTTGAATAAGCAATGAATAAGATATAATCAAAAATATTTTGCGGGGGAAATTAACATTTATCTTCCTTAAGATCTTATTCTTACCTCTCTTTCTATCGTAAATTAAACGATGTTGAACTAAAATAAAGAGAGAAATGGGAGCAAAAACAAAAAAAAAAAAAAAACAGAAAGTAGGACAAAATTCTATATATACTATTTAGATGATGTATAAATTTATAAGAAAAAGTACGATTTTCTTACCTGTATTATAAGTGGCCTCTCTTAAGCTGTTCAAAAAGAAAACATACGAAAAAGAATATAGAAGCTGCTTTATCAATAGGAAAATATATATAATTTTTAGCCGTTATAAATTTTACAATTCAAATTATCTAAGAGAATAAAAAAGAAGTTGGATAGAAGAAAATAAATCACCATATAGATTATTCAAGATATGAGAAAAATTATGAAATATTATAGAATATACAAGATATTATATATCTTATATATGAATATTAACAAAAAATGCCCAAAAGAAGGTGTTAATTAAGCATAAAATTAAAAGATTTAATAAATCTGAAGCTTGTTTTTATTTTGTTTTTTTTTTTGTAAATTTGGGTTTTTACTATTTTATTCATTTGATTTTTGCTTTACCCTCGTTTTGGTGTTGATATTCTTCCAGTAGAATAAGGTATTATTAAATTTCCTAACGATTCACTAAGCCTGCATTATATAATACAAAATACAGTTTTATATATATATAGATATATATATATATATATACAAGGTTACATCATACAATCTATTCTTTATAATTGTATACTTATACAAAAAAATTTTGGTATTTAGTTAGAAATTAATTGTTCTTTTTATGTTTTTCTAATACTTTAATAAAATTTATAATGCACTTTTGGAAAAACAAAAACACAGGAAGAAGTTATTGAATTCGTCGATTTAACGTTACTTTTATAGTTTCCTAATACTCTTTATTATAAAATATATTTATAAAAAAATTCTATTCTGTCTTTTATATATCAAGTATTTAATCACAGCTTTCTATTTATCTAAAAAAGAAAAGTAAAAGAGAGTAAAGGTTGTGATTGTATGAATGAGAGAAAGGGAAAACGAACATATATATATATCTAATTTATACAGGAAACGTTTAAAAGCGTATACAGAAGGGGGCAAAAGAAAATAATATTTCTCGATATAAATAAACAGTCTTTCTATAGAGATTTTCTATTTTGTCACTGTGCTTTTTTTTCTATAGAAAACTTTGATTGGTAATAAACCTGTTTCTAATTCTATAATAAATACTATTACTATTACAGCTACTACTACTACTACTACAACTACTACAACAACTACTGTGACAACGGGATTTCTCATGGGATTTTTTCTCTTGTGTATATATATATATGTATTTAGAGTAAAGGTTATACGACTTCTGGCAAATATTTTTTATTCTAAATAAGAAAGAAACGTGATAAGTTTATTAATGGAAGAAATAAATTTACGATATTCCATTCTATACAAAAGAATAAAATTCTCTTTTAGTAAATATATTATATACTAAACTTATATTTTGTGAATAAATATTAGTAGGCCTAGCTGGATAAAACATAAGTAATAAATTTATAGAGTATACAGATAAACATTCCACTAACTAATGTGATGATAAAAGATTAACTTAATAATTCTTATTAAGATAAGGAAAGTAATACAAAACACAAAAATAAAAAGGATCTAATCTTTAAAATTAGTCTATTAAATATTTAATTGTTTATTAATATATTTAAATCTATTTATACTATTTGTACAACTACGCGAAAGTTTTACTATACTATATACAGTATATATAATTTATATGTAAGCAAATGTCATAAATTATTTGTAAAATATCAATTATAAAAGAAAATTTAAGGAGTAGAGTATAAAGCTTAATGCCGGATTATCAAGAGAGAAAGATTTCTTTCTCTCAGCTCTTCTTTCTTTTATTTAAAGTAGGAAATAGATTTATTTTTCTTTAGCTTATTTCTAATAAAAAGTAAAAAGAAATAATATGGAAAAAAAAAAAGTGAAAGTCTTGTGGGAAAATGTTCACCTGTTTTAAATATATTTTTTTTATTAAGTACCTCTTTACTTTGGAGAAAAAACTTTCGCTTTTAACCTCTTTTTCCGTTGATTACGTAGTTACAATGGCGGATAAACGAAGAAACCCTGCTACTTGTTGAATTAACCCCCTTTCATTGCACGTAACGGTTACGCGTAAGAATTCTTGTTTTTTTTTATTTAACTAGCAATCTGAATGGAGACCCATTAGAGGCGCCAGTAGGTTAATTGTCATTTAGGAACAAACGAATTCATATGACTATGGTACTTAAAGATTGAATATCCACTTAAAAAGTACATACTTCAGTCGTAATCATTAGACATATAACAAACCTAGAATTTGATAATCCGTTAGCATTGTGTGCTTGCTCTCCATGAGGAACTGATGGCCACTTTCTCATATTTAACGATTTTCCAAACATACCTTTACTGGGCGTTGGTGACGGAGTTGTCCTGTGTATACCGTCTGTACTAACTGTCCTCTTAGACAATCTTGGTTCAGCTTTTCTCGTCATTTTAACAGGAGTAGAGGTTCGACTAGACATCATCATTTGGCTAGAGGAGGATATACTTGTCGGATGATGTTCAACATTAGCCAATCGTCTAAGGGCGTCAGCCAGCGAACTTTTTAATACTTGTATTTCATCAGCTTGTTGTTGGACTTTTCGTTCGACAGTTAACAATCGGTCCATCATACCCTCTCGGGTTTCGGCTACGAGCTCTTCTGTAAGAGGAATAAAGTATGAATAAAAACGTAGCTGTGGATTAGCCAAAAGCAAACAACGTGCTGACGGAATTAAGCGTGAAAGGCTTGAAAATAAAGTGCTTTATTAAATACACAGACTGACAAAAAGTGCCTAAACTAAACACAACTTGATCGAGTGTCAAGTTGGTCTTCAAATTCCCAAAGACATTAATGAGATGTCAGTACATCTGCTTAAATCTTTTCTTAAACAATATATACAGTATATACATATGTATATATAAATATTCATTAAGCTGGTCAACAATTCAAAAGGCTTAACTAGGTGTTATTAATTTAGAATATTAACCCTTATTTACACCTAATTTATATAAGTAAAAAAACACATCAATTACGAAGAAAGAAAAAAACGAAACAATAATCAGGTTAAAAACTTGTTGTAATACAGAGATAAGTAAATCAAATAGTATATTATCTACGAAGATAAGCCTAAGTAATTTTCTTTTTTTGTCTTTCTCACCTTTATTATCACTACTATCACAAAACAAAATAACATAAAACACATACGGTTTGAATATGTAACAGAATTTTAGTTAAACTATCAACTGCTTCTACTACTTTAATTGAACAATAAAGTTTTATGATGCAGAGAGAGAGAGAGAGAGAGAGAGAGTCAGACGGAGGGACAAAAAAAAAGGAAACAGAAGAAGAAAATAAATGCAATGTTTAACAATCTTGTCTACCTTTAAACCGATGTAAATATTTGAATTTAGTATATTCAAGAGAGAGAAAAATTACAGAGTTATTAAATCTACATAGTCTTTTTTTATACAAGTTCAAATATATGATTATATTTGATTAAATATACAATTATTTTTAACAATAATATAATAATTGATATTAAAATAATAAAAGAAATTGATTTTATTTTTATTCTAAAAGGATGGAAAAATATAGAAATAAATAAAACAGTCAATAGAAAACATTTTTCCACAACCTTTTTTTTTACTATAAATAAATAAGCGTGGGAAATTTTATAAATATATCACTATATATTGTAATAATAATTACCTACCTACCATTCTGGTTTTGACCCCTAAGAATGATAAACGTATGATAGTCTTATGCTTTATCTCTCACGATCTCTCGCATACTCATTCACTCTTTCTCTTTGCTCGCCTCTCTGCTAATTTTAATCCATATATATGTATACAGTATATATATAGGGAGCGAGTGAGAGAGAGAGAGAGAGAGAGAAATATTTAGTTATGTTTATTAGTAGATTATACGTATAAACGTGTTACTTTAGTCAGATAAGAAAAAATCTTGCAAATTTACACATTATTATCTGTTAAGCTAATTATTGTGGGATGGGCTAATTACATCAGTTTTTATTATTGATAACTTACCATTGCTAATTATCTCCGATTCTAAACTGTCTTTTGTATTATTGTGTAAATCTTCTTTATCTAAAAAATCAAAAGAACAGAACGTGCAGGGGTTTGAAATAAAAAAAAAATTAAAAATTAAAGGAAATATCGTGCGGGTGAAGTTTTACATTTTTATAAAGAGCTCTGCAGCCAACGCCTATAGATACGATTTAAGGCTTACATGGAACATGTATATATATATAATTTTATATGTACATATCTGACATATTTATGTATCATTACTGCCGCCCTAAGCCGATAAAAAAGACTTGGCAAAGTGCTGCAAAGCTTATGGCACATATTTGCAATTACTTCATTGCTAATTTTGCAGCTTAATATTGCATATTACACATTAAGCAATTATTTAAACTATCATTTCACAACATTCGATTGCAATATTAAAACTTTTAAAGAAATTTTATCAATCTTGCATAAATTTAGAGATTGCTAAAAATTTACAGAAGGTAGGCTGGAAATATTTACATAATTTTAAGTGTTAAAATCAATTTTTTTCATATGTTATAAGCGTTGGCTGTTTCAGATCGTTAAAATAGTAGAAATAACAATATTACCTATTCCGTCCATCTCATTTGCTGTGACGCCACCAAATTATGTGTACATAAAATGTATTTCGTAAAAAATTGTTAGAATAAATTTTAACTAACAGGTTTCCGGTACAGAATCCGAAACAATGCCCAAAAAATGTCAGGCATGTTGAAAAATGTAAAAAGTACGAAGATTCCTATGGAATCATGTGACTTCAATTTTGGCGGGAAAGCTAAAGGGGAGGGGTTCTCATCAATAGCGCTTCAAGCTATTTCAATTTATTATATTCTTATAAGTTATTGTAAATAACAATTATCCATTTCAATTTTTTTTCTATGGCAATTCTTTGATTTTTTTTTCGCTAGGCTATTTATACTTATACCTTTTGACCAACGCCAACATTCTTTACGACTAATGTCAACAAAATCCGATTACAAGAACATGATATAAAAGAGAATTTTGAGCCTAACCCATCAAGCGAATGTTATCCATATTTATATAAAAAGGAAGTATTTCAACACGTTGTAAAATTTAAGATTTATCACCTTTCTTAGTATTTTATTTGCCTGTTTTTTAAACAAAAAAAAATGAAAAGAGAAGCATCAGGGAATATTTTATATTTAAAAATAGAATATCATCTGCAGTTGAGAGATATCGTGGACGGTGGAAAATCCTCCATTAACAAACTAAATCGTCGCGAATCTTCCACATTTTCACGGTTAAATCACTAAAATGATAAATATTGTTTTATAAGAAAAAGAAAATAATAGTTAATGATATAATTACTTGGAAGCAGTGAAGACTAGCTGGGAATTGGTCGACAGCGCATTTGCATTATTTGCATGGGCGTTAACTTGACCGATTGACTTGCATTTATCAATATCCCACAACTTAATAACCCCAGATCGACTGGCGCTTATTAAGATATTCGCCGTCTGTAATAGGTCAACTCCGATAACCCAATCCTTGTGGGCATTATTGATTGAATGAATCAGTTTACGTTCGGCTAAATCCCACATTTTGATGCAAGTATCTCGACTACCAGAGAAGAGTAAATCGCCCTTGACGCACAAAGACTGAACGCCATCGTAATGTGGTGGTTCCAGGGTTGCCTTTGCTTGGACAACGCCCACGGAATCTTCATCCAATTCGAAAACTTTTATATAATGATCCTTAGAACCTGATACAATACAAATACTGCCATCGGCTGTATCGGTATCATCAAGGGCAAGGACCATAACGGCCGCTTGGTGACCTCCAATTAACTTTCCTACAGGCTTCCACTCGCGAGCATCCCACAAGCGAATAGAATTTCCGGCCGCTGTCAATAGCATCAATCCATTTGAGTTGACCATCAGTGCATTAATATGCGTCTCCCCTTGTGGACATGTGACTAAATGAGAGGACTGGGGAACTTCAACATCATCGTCTGGAATTAATCCACTAGAAAACAGTGTTTTTATAGGTCGATCTCCACTCATACGAGCATCGTAAACATTCACGAGGTATGTTGAAACAGTATATGCCAAATGAGTTTGTTCACTATATCTGACATCGGTCACGCTATTTGGATGATTACGTAACGTTAACAATTCATTTCCGGTTTCGAGGTCCCATATTTTAGCTGTTCTATCCTTCGATCCTGATATAAGGATACTGTCTGTTGAGCATATGGATAGAACAGGACGAGAGTGACCTCTTGCTGTACAAACGTGGTGTAAAGGACTAGATATTAAAGATCTTCCGGACGATGCAACTTCCATGACACCTCTGGGATTATAAGAAAACGTTCTATTATTTCAAAGAAAACATTTTTTATATATAGTAAATTACTCTTTTGGATCAGGCATTTCTGGCATGGTTGCTAATCTCTGGAAAACATTTGTCGAGGTTGAAGATTTATTTTCATCGCTCATTCGCCTACTGTAATGAAAAAGAATGATATTCAAAACGCTCGTATCTTATCCCATTAATGGTATAAAATTGCGCTGATAAAGTAAAACTTTATCCAACCTCGTGGGAGAAGGGACTAGTGTTGCTTTCATCATGTCAGCGTCCGCGGATTTGGTCATTCGAACGGGTATGGTCGATTTCTGTTGAGCTTCTGAGTCTGATTTCCCCTCATCTATTTTCCCATTTTCTTTAGTCTTACTAGGAAAAAGTAAATCACTTGGTGTGGCCATCTTCCTTCGTGCTTTCAAGTTCTTAGTTGTAGCTGATTTTGACCCTACGGAATCAGACGAACTGATTGGAGATGGAGGGCTAACCAAACCACCCGCACTATCGGATAAATTGTTTTAGTTGCTTTAGAATTAATCAAAAGAAATAAATAGAAATGATATACCTTGGTGTCTTTGGTATCCCACCTTTTTCGTGAGTTGTGATATTTCCATTTGCAGCAGTTGAAGAGCTTCCTTCGCTTTCGCTCTCTGAATCCGAATCTTCCAAAACATCAGCTAACTGTATCTTATACATATCAGTCGCTTTGACATGATCTTTCATTAAAAATTGCAGCATCTCGTTTCTTGCCAATGCTTGGCTCTTTACGTGATCCAGCAGAATTTCCATTTGTTTACTTTCAGCATCTTTTTGAGCGGCTAAAACGCCGTTAGACATTGCCATATTGACGCAATGCTCTAGTAAGTATTGAGCTTCTTGCTCATTACATGTGGAGACTAGGGTTTTGGGCTCAAATTCAGTTTCTTCTGAGTTTATATCTACCATTTGTGACTGAATATCTTTTATTTTCTCATGAATATGTTCAATATCCAATTGATTATTTTGAATTTGTTCATCAATTTGGATTTGCTCTTGAGAATCATTAGTAAGATTTTTGGCTTTTCTTAACTTTTCACATTTTCTGGATAGTTTACCACGTTGTTTTACCCAAATTGCCATATCTTTCTCTAAAAGCATCATGGTCCGCCTCTTGGATGTAATAGATGAGATAGCGTTCTCTAACTTGACCCATTTTCTGTTAAGTAACTTGTCGCGGTCCGCTGATTTAGCTTTTGATTTATTACCACCGCTTTCACTCCTTCTCACGCTACTAGGTGTAGACGATCGATTCCGCTTACGCAGGGCTTCTACTTCTTCGGTTTTCCTCTTAAGTATCAAATCTTTCTTTCTCTTCTCTGTTTCTAAACTCTTAATTTTGGTCGCTTGCAATCTTTGATCTTTCTTCAGCTGAGCTAACTGTCGATTGTATTTAACATCTTTCTCTCGATATTTGGCAGAATTTTCCTTCATTTGATTGATTAATCGAACCTTAATTTTCTTCATTTCAGAAATATCTCTATTAAGAACCATAAGCTGCCTCTCATCTTCTTTCGACTTCCTTAACAATCTTGCATGTTCTTTAGCATCTTTATGTAGATATTGTAATTTCCCTCGTAGATCTCTAAGCTTCTTTTCATAAGTTTCTCGAACAGTTTTAACTTTTTCATCATTATTTCTATGCTCTTTAACAGCTACGGACATAGATATAATATTAGCATGTTATGCTTCTTTCTTTTTTAATTAGATAACATTATTTAATTATTTAAACTTACGAATTGAATTAAGAGCTTGATCGCGTTCTTTTTCGGTTTCTTTGATCTTTTGCTCCAAATTACTAAGCTTGGCTTCATACTGACTCCTAACCGCCTTAAGGCGTTTCTGATTTAATTCTAATTCGTCAATGAGTTGCTGTTTCAAAGATATTTCTGAAGTCAGGTCAGCAAGTTCTTCATTCATTTTACTCTCTTCAGTTGCTTCATAATCGTCATCTATAAATAGATTAGAAAAAAAATCCTTTCAATAATTTCTTTGTTCAATTGACGTAACCTTGGTAGATAAATAAAATTATTCTATGAAAACTATAAGAAAAAGAAATTATTCAATATCGAGACCAACAGGCTGTTGTTGTTCACTGAATAATTCGTTAGTCTTGGAACTCTCGTTATTAAAACTATAAAAAAAACAAACCCTAGAAAAAAAATAATGGCAAAAGAAAAAAAACTAAAGACAAATTCAAGCCTACACTACCTACAAAGTCAATGTTTAAAGAAAAGGAAAAAAAAGAATAGAAGGAAAACTCTTTTTCGTTTCTATTTCCAATCAAAATATTAGGCGAGAGTCCCAAATTAATATTATGTTTAAAAATAAAAAAAAAGAAATGAATTTCTATTTCAACAAATAGAAATGCAGTTCACTGCAGTAAAAAATTTCCCACCGAATGAAAATAGTATAAGACTATAGTTTTTCTCGCTATCTTACATCTTCTTCGAATAACTTTTATCTCCTATCTCCCTAATCCTATCTCATATATACATAAATTCAATATAAATATATAACTTTTTCCGAACAGTATAAACAGAAGAGACCGATAATAATAAAAAAAATAGTTTACTTCAACTTAAGAATTACATATACGTTTACATAAAGATTTAATAGGCCTGTTTAAAATGAATAGAAGGCTGTCGAACTGTAAATAGCTCTTACCTGAATTGGAATCTAAGTCTTCGTTTAGGGCACTTTCCTGGAAGGAAGGCGTGAAATCGTTAATACCAATTTAAGACAGAAAGGTTAAAGTTTATCTTTAAGAATTTTTCCGGTTAATAAATCAAATGATGAACGAGAAAGAAGAATGAAGGTTGATCGTAGCGTACGATAAGGTTAACTGAACTTTAATAACTTACCATCTCTTCAGAAAGTTCATCCTCAATATCTAAGTTTTCTTCTAACTCCTCTCCATCGCTGATAAAATTGTTAAATATATTTATGTTTGTATATGCAGGTAAAAATAAATATTTCGTTATCAGTGATACAAATAAAAATATAATAAAGGCTAATCCAAATTAAAAAGAACAATCAGAGGTATAAAAAGGAGAATAGGGGGTAAGATGTACAATCTTTTTTAGCGTTGGAAAACAACGCGAGGCTATTGTAAACGATATTCCACAGCTGTTTCCTATAAGAAAAATATCTCTTCATAAAATCTCGCCAATTTCGGTTTGCGGCAGTGAATTGGCTTCGTAATAAAATTAGCAGACTAAGTCAACACATCGTAAACTTAAAACCGATAGATAAAACGAATAAAGCTCTCTCTTACTATTGTCAAGCACTTAACAAAAAAGTGGGTCGCTTCTATGAAAACATAATGACAAGAGTATCACACTGAATCAATTGGGTATAAAAGATGATTGAGTATGGTCTTTTTATAAAGTTAAAAATGACATTTAAAGTTACGTCAAACATAGTTGATTTTTCTACTTGATTACAGCTTCAAGCTGAGCGAAAAATCCCATCGACAGACATAGAAAACAACAAAGTACTTACGTTGAACCGCTATTCGTTCTGTTTTCTTTATATTTGATTTCCCCTTTCAATTGATTAACTTCTTTCTTCGCCATTTCGATAAGAGACTGCGTATCTGTATCATTAATCGGTGTCATTACTTTGGAGGAACGCAATTTACTTGTAGATGGTTGTTGAAGCTCTTTAATTAAATTATCTTTTTCTAATAAATGCTGCCTCATTTTCTCATTTTCTTTAATGTAATCAGATAGTTTTTTACCAACATCACCGTTTGATTCTTGCGAGTCAGTTAAAGCTAAATCCCTTTCCAGAATTACTTCTGCATTTCTGTCGGTTAAATTGTTAATAGTCACTTGTAGAGCCTTAATTCTAATACGAAGTCGATTATTTTCCTCTTGAAGCATAGTGTTTTCACTAAACATATCGTTTATAGATTCAACACCATAGGCGTCAACGGTCTTATGGCCCAGTTTATATTCATTCAATTCAGTTGTTAGTTGAGAGATTTGCTGGCGCAATGCCATAATTTGGCGACTACTCTTATCTTGATTAACGACTACCTTGTTCTTTATATTTCGAGCCCTGTTAGCGTATTGCAGAGTATTCAAGGTTTCCATAAAGTCTCTATCGCAAGGTGATATGCATGCAATCATCACCGTCCTACTGTTACCCCCGAGTGAGTCTTGTAAAAGCCGAGTTAATCTCGAATCCCTGTAAGGTACGTGACTACCTCTTTTTGTTTTATCTCCCAGGGCTGATATGACATTACCTAAAGCAAGTAACCCACAATTTATAGATATGCCTTCTTCTGCCCGATTACCCGTCGAGCCAGTTCGATTTAATCTTTCTGAACCTGCTAGATCCACAAAATGAAATTTGGCTGAAAGAGTCTCCATTTCCTCAACATCATCAATGGTCATGGTTCTCTCTTGCCTGATATGTAGCGTAAATATGGCGTGTGATCTGGAAGATTGAGCGTTCATATTGGTACTAGCTGTAACTCTATTTAATGCGCCTGTTTTTAAGCAGCGAATAGTTTCATCGACACTTGAGACACTGTGCATGCTAACACCCACTGTATAAATATTACCCGAGGCGTCCTCATGTATTTTAACCTGAGACTTTTTATCTTTGTCTATTACGCATCTGGTCGTGTCTAACAAATCAAAAATTTGTTCCTTATAAAGCTCCATAAATTGGGCATCAACAGTAAATTTTGGCGGAGTTTTTCCATTTTCACTAGCTTCTTTTCGTCTTTTGTCTATCCCATCAAACAGGTGATTAACCGCTCGGGGAATAATTCCGAGTAAGTCATCATCGGTGTTGACGTCAAAGGCCGTACCCATTGTATAAGTTTTTCCTGACCCCGTCTGACCATAGGCCATAATAGTTGCATTGTATCCATCAAAAACACCTTCAATTAGAGAGCTACCACATAAATCATAAACCTTTGACTGAGGGCTATCCGAATCTAAGAGGAAATCGAATGTAAAGGGTCGATCTTTTCCAATAATTATTTGAGGTTCGCCCGGTATACATGTCGTACATGTTTGGCATAAATCTAGTTGTTCCCTCACCAAAAGTGGTCTGATTCTGCAATTGAGTCAATGAACAGAGAAATTGAGAAAATTATTAGAAAATAATCTTTTTTTTTTTACGCGTATAAAGCGCCTACTGATTACATATCATAGGCTTGATACGCTTAGTCAAATAGGGTGTGGAAAGAAGACTTATTGTGGCGAAACGAATGGAACAATTCAAAGTCAATGAAAAGGCCTTAACGCTTATTTTGGTAAAAAAAAAAAGCTTTACCTTACTGCTACCCTAACAGTTGTTTCATCGTCAACTGCCATTGCTGTTCTCCAACGATTAAATGTATAGATTACCTCCCTTATTCTTTACGGAGGCCTGGTACGAACAAAAAATTCAGTGGTAACACTCCTTTTCACATATTTCCACTTTTAACGATTCTTTCTCAATTACCAGTATCGTCTGCCTCGAGTGCTAAATTAAAGCTGAAGACGGCGCTTTAGTCGGTATTATTAACTGGTATGTTCGTAAAGTATATGTATATTTCGTCTCATATTTCTAATAGGGTATAAAGGTGTGCAATTTGAATATTCAAATTATAAAAAATGTATCATACTTTTCAATTTGTGACCTATATTTTGTCTGCTATTACCTAATATTTATAATTAATTAATCATTCGAATTTTGTTATAAAACTTATCTCCTATTAGGTTCAAAATGCGCAAAAACCTACCTTGATTAAATATTTCTCTAAGGAAGTTTACTTTTACTAAATTCTTTGAAAGAACCAAGGTTATTTTCTCGCACATAACCTTTCGTGTAGGAATACATTTTGTTTACAATCAGACCAATACAAATTTCGTTCAATAAAGCATTAATCTAAAGCTTTTAACATAGAATGGAATTTACGAAAGAGAAATATTCGTTAATTTATTACAAAATGCAACTTCCCGCAGTTCTTACAAGCAAAAAACCTGTTATTTAACATATAAACATTAAATATTTTGCAATTAAGATAAAAAAAAAGCGCTAATTTGAACTCTTTTATTTTGTTTCTTTGATTTAAGCTTAGTAATTCGAAGCGGAAATGTGACGATTTTATTGAACGTAAACCGAAACAGCTCGTGGGTTATGTGAGAAGACAAGTAGGTAAACTATTAAAAATGAAACCTATTAAATATTTTATTTATTTTATGTTCTTTTATAAATAAAAAGAATAAACAGTGCAGAGGAAGTTTTCGATAATTTCCCCCTTTTCCGTCAGATGGCGACTGAAGAAGGTAAATAACGAATTTTAGATAGGCCTATGAAAAAATGTAAACAAATAAATCTTCTGACAAAAAAATATTATAATTCGTTGAAAAAAAATAATTGAAAAGAAGAATTATTTAAAAGAATTATAAAAATAGAATGTTTTACTATAAACAACCTATTTTAAGCCTATCAGTTTGTTTATACATTACCCAGGCTAAATTATACATAGGTATGTTTTTAGTTATTTCCGGCTACCGTATTCGTTATATCATCAATCTTGCATAAAAATCTCTTTTATTTTTAAATAAAAGCAATTGAGAAAGAGACAAGGTTAAACAAGGGCCACTTAAACGATATGTTAGATTTCTTATCTAAAAAGTATAAGCTTACGGAGGAAGTTTCTTTGATGTTTACCGATATCGGTAATGCGTTGCAACATTCTAAAAGTACGTATTCAATTAGAAAGAATAATTATAATTTGATTTATACCGCTCTAGATTTGGATAAGGGCATAACCGCTTTTATCAATACAAGATACGACTCTCAAACAACTATACGTGAATTCTCAAGGTCCATTCCCTTCCCTGTGTTTACAATTACACGTAACGTTGACGAAACAAGACCGTGTTCTTTTTTCGAATGTTCTTTTTTATTGCAAGTAAATAATCTTGAGTAAAAAGACTAACAAAAGCAAAAGACAATAATTCAAACTGCTATCGAATTCGTTTTTGTTATCATTATCATGTTTATTTATTTATAGACAATTAGAAGTGCGAAAGAAGAGCTAGAGTATTATATACATTTCATAAATTATCATAAATGGAACAAAGTTGCTCTATTAACTGGTAGGGAATTTTATCCAAAAAGAACAATAATTAATAAAAGTGTTCTTTTTCGTTAAGTTTATATTCTTATTCTTTTTTTATTATTACTATTTAAACGTATTCATTTGAAAGATAAACGGAACGATCTTTTGGACTTTATCGTTGGTTTAAAGTCTCATGGAGTAGTTGTTAAGCTTTGTTTAATAACAAACGACCAACATTCGATAGTGAATTGTTTAAAGAAGATAGAAAACCAGGGTAATTTATAGACTTTAATAGTTTTATTCTGATAGCAGTAATTACAATTATTTTTAAAATATTACTATCCGAAATGGACGTAAAACATAAAAATTTATATCTTTTCGTATTTTTACACATTATAGATTTTAGGATAATACTATGCCGAATACGATCTGACAATTTGGTTAATGTCTTAAGGAAAGCTTTTGACCTTGGATTGTTTGGGGAAGGGTGGGCTTGGTTATTAATGGGTGATTTTCTTTCCTATAGGGTTGGTTGAAAATAATAATAATAATACTAAAACTCGTTATTTCTGCTTTATCTCCTTTAAAAAATCTTCATAGAATGTTATTGAAGATTATAAGAGAGAATTACAAGGTTTATTAGGATTTACTCAATACAGTTTAGATTCTAGTGATAGAAGAAGAAAATTTAATCAGATATATCCTTACCTTATCAATTCGACAGAATTGTGTTTCGATCTCACCTATAAATGTGTAATTTATTTTAATATTCTACTAATATAATGTTTTTTACTTTCTTTACAACTTTTAAATTACTTTATTATAAATCAGTTCCTACAAATGGGCGTTGCTGAATTATTAAATATACTAATCAGATCATTAAGTAACAATCAACTTATTAAATATCGGAATACAAACAAGTTTAGGATGAAATTTGTTGAAGAAGTTAGTAAAGTTAGTTGTTTAATTGGAAGAGATAATTGGAGAAAGATAATTATTTGCTATCCTTCTTAAATAGTTTCAGTTTGGGGGCATCTTAAATAAACAAATTAGACTAAAGGCCTCTAAATTAGCTAATTTACAAAACGAAATGTTCATCCTTAATTGGCAAGATGGAAAAATTAAAACGGTTTTGTCAATTAATATTATATATTGTCTAATAAAAACTTAACGGATAAGTTAATGTTTTTCCAGATAGGAAAAATTGAGTTAGACTCCAATACACAAAAATACAGAATGACTATTACGGACTTTTTACGCTTTCCTGGTAACGCGAAAAGTGTATCGTCCAATCAGGGGAGACTTATAGAAGAGTTACGTAATAGCGTCATAAAAATTGGCTTCGTTCAGGTATAAAAAGAAAATACGCATAAGAAAAAATTCCTTTTTTATACAAGTAGATAAATTAACCTAATTTATTCGTTTATTTTACAAATAGCAACCTGGTAAGATAAAAAGAGATATATTAGGAAACTTCTATGGTTCCCTCTTAGAGTATACATTTTATGTATTTATTATAAAATATACATATATATATATATAAAGTCTATTGAAAACAAAGAAATTTTCATAATGTTTATATTTTTTCTAATAATAAAAACAACAACAAAACTAGATGAAAAAGAAATTCAAATTCGATACAAAGTTTACATTGTATCAATACTTCGGACAAGTTGATTTGTATGGTAGATGGACAGGATATCAAGGTGGTGTTGACACTGGCGTAAGCAATAATTAGTTATATATTATAACAAAAAGATGTGAATTAAATAAATTAGGAAATTGATATTGGAGCTGCAAATGCAATAATTACTAGGAAATCTAATAATATCCGTGAAATAAAACCCTTCACTTTGCACTATTACGCAATCCTCATCCCGTCAAATTGGTACATAAGGATTAATAGGATTGAGTAAGATTGTGTAAAAAGAATAATAAAATTTCCTCATTTGTTTTTCTTCTAGTCCAGCCATACTTCCGTTTCAAGGTGCATGGGTTTACATTCTCATCGCAATCCTACTATTAACAATTAGCACAGTTTGGGTAAACAGCATTTGCTACGATCTTAACCGGGTCAATTCCAGCAAATCTCTTGACTCTTTAGACGCCTCTTCGATTGTCGATTTAATCCCTCTAGAGAATAATAAATGTCCAACATGTCATTCCTCATCGAATATCTTCTGGCTCTGTTACGGTTCCTTAGTTGGACAGGTAAAATTATTTATTACTCTTCCTGATTGTTACTATAAGCTGCTTTGAACCGTATTTAGACATCTAATCTATATCCTAGCTGTAAATTGGCAAGAGCTATTATGACAATGTGGTATATTTCGGTTTTTCTATTCCAAGGCCTGTATATAGCAGCGATAGTTACCCAATTTAGTTTGGAAAGCAGTCGCGGGGATGAAAAATTAATAAATACTATTGAGAGATTAATAGAGCATAAACACTTAAATATTTGTTGGCACACGAATAGCGTTGTAACGGAACTTATGAGAGAGTCTTACCCGAATAGAACAGCCTTTATTAGGCTATTAGAAAAAATTGAACAAACATCTGGAAATAGATCTCTCACTGAATGCGCTGAGCTTGTGGCCAATTCATTCGATACAGAACCAACTGTATTAATGATAACCGATTATGAAGAGGCAATGGAAATACGTAGAAAGTATACATGTAGCGAGATGAATATTATTGAGTTGAAAGGATTTATTCTACTAGCTGGACTTCCTTATTCAGCGTCTTTTAAATACGCCGATATTTTTACTCAGGAAATGAATAAAATGAAAAGAGATGGAATTTATAAAATGTATGAACCCAGAGAAGCTTGCCCTGCCCAAATAAGATTAAATTATTCAGTTTCAATCGGTCTCACAGCAATTCGTCACTTCTTAACATTAGCAGTGTTAACGGTTTTCTTATTGCCATTAATAGGCGGTATTTTAAAGGTTTTTTATAATGCCTATATTCTGAAATGGAGATTATCGAGTACGGATTTAAAACGATTGAACTTTTTTTATATCGTTAAGATTATTAGTTCCGTTAAGCTGTTACAAGGGTTATACACGCTAACCCATGGAAGATTGTCCAAAATGATAGAAAGGAGATTACAAGAAAAGAATGGCATATTAAATTTTTTATTAAGAGTTGCTTTATTCAATCAAGAGAATGAAATCAATCCGTCAGATGCCGTTAAACTGAACCCCCTCCCCCTATAGGCCACCTACCGGTCCGAATTTTCATAAACTCTTAGAAGAAACCCGTTAAAAGAGAAGAATTGAAAAAAAAAATCGGGAAAACTACATAAGCTCTTTCGACTGGTAAAAAAAAGGGAGATCAACCGCTTTTTAACTAGACTATCGCTTTAGACGAGAAAAAAAAAGAAAGAAAAAAAAATGTTCTCTTTTTTTTTTTATTTTTCTTCTACTTTTTACATTCTCCATGTCCGCTGTTCTTAATGCAACTAGGAGATTTATGAAAGAACTCGTAGTCCGTGGAACGTTTGTCTTTTCGTTAATTGTATAAATACGTGCGTATACGTAAGATTTTCCTCTCAATTCTCTCAGTTTTCTATAGTGCACGTAAACATTTCCCTTTATGTCCCTTTTGTGTATTTTTCCCCTTGTTTCTTTTTTTATCATCTTCTTGTATTTTTTTTGTCAATTTTGCTAAACAATGATAATAAATTTATTTAAATATAAATAAACTCAAAAGTCAATTGAAAGAAAATTCCTTGTTATGTTATTAATGGGGGTGTGTCATAGATATATACGTGGATAATTCGTCTACAAACATAGTTTGTATAGTTTACAGCGCTACGGAGCTGAATAAAAAGAATGGGATAAATTATGGGCCTTTTTTTTTGGCGGGCCGCTACATTTCGAGTCAGTCTGGTTACATTGTAGCAAACCGTCGCCTGGTCTCCATTCCTTTCTGGAAAACTTGGTTATTAGGGAGTGGAGAATGTCGACAGCCGCTTCCAACAATTCGACACTAAATCGTATGACTTTACCATTCAAAAAGAACTTTTTCTACAGGTTAGTTGTTCTTTTAATTATAACAAAGTTTTGTTTGTTTTGTTTGTCTTAATCTTCGTTCCATTAAGGAAAGTACGCCATATTCTTTCTGTTATAATTCTGTTCATGTTTGTCTTATTGTTTTATTTTTCTGATTTTTCTTTCTTTCATTTCTTCCATAGTTTCTATCTATTTATGTCTTTCTTCATTTTTATTTCTCATTCTTTTACTCTCTAATTTTCTTTCCGTCGTTCTTTTAATTCTATTCTGGTTTACTCCACTCTTCAGTCTCTCTCTCTCTTTCATTTCTTTTTTCGACTTTTGATATATTTCTGTTTAAAGAAAAAAAATGTACCTAATCAACTTTTTACGAGAGAAAAAAATGAAAAAGAAACTAAAAAAATGCAACGAATAATTCGACATTTGAATTATGCAAAGGACGTTTTTTTAGTCATTATTACCTCACCGTTTAATTAGCGTTGTAGAATTATACATAATTCAGTAACTTTTTTCCTCTTTATTTTTCTATTGCCAATTAATTCAAACAGCGAATAATATGGATATTTCTTCTCCCTCCTTTTTTTTGTTTCTTTCTCTATCTCTGTATCAATTTAACTTTTTCTTTCTATATTCATTTTTTTTATCATCAGTTAATCGATAATAGATGAAAATTAACCGGTTTAACTAAATATAAAAAGAAAATTACCCTTACAAAGTATCGCATATCTTATTAATTTATTTCTGGTTTGGATTATAATAAATTTATTTCCCTTTTCTTCCTGTTCTAATTGCTTTTTTTCCTTGTTTTGCATCTTTTATCACCTTCTTCAATTTCAATTCTTATCTGGAAAGAATTTCTCTCACTTACCCTCAAAAGGGACGTCCTCTGGCGTTTCCTTCCCACCCACCTACCCAATAAAAAAGTCGACTAAAATGTTACAACGTAACAAAGTTAACACTTACAATTTCTAAAAAGTGTCGTCATATAAAAAAAGAGGATGACAGGAAAAAAGAGAAGAGAGAAAGAGAGAGACAGAGAATAGGTAAAAAGAAAGAGCTTATGGAAAAAGTAGAAGAGGGAAGGGAGGGGGTGGGAAGGTTAGAAGAATAAAAAAAAATAAAAAAGGGATAGGAAGAAAAAAAGTTGCACTGCAAAAACAGCAATGCGCAAATTGCATGCATCGTACGTAGTCAGGATAAAAAAACTAGCGAAGCTTCATAAAAAGTCTGTTTTCAACTAAAAATCGGCGCCAGAATAATTTACAATATACTTTTTAGCCGCCCAAGGGCTTAAGGTTCGATCTGTCTCCTTTCAATAGTCCTACAATCGGGATAATAAACTGTTCGTGTTATAAAAAAGAAACTAAGAAGTGTTAGAGGGAAAAGATTTATTTGTTTGTTTGTTTATTTGTTTATGTTTTTGTGAGTAAAAACAAAAAGAATTTTGGATATAGATTAGTCTTTTTTTGTCCTTTTGGTATATATGTTATTGTATATTTGTGCATACTAACATATATATATATATATATATATATATATATATATATATTTAATACGCAGTTTATATATATATATATATAAATTTATATATATATATAGTATAATACATGCCTCCGTGTGTCTGTATTTGTATGTGTATGTCTGTGTGTATGTATATATATATGTGTGTGTGTGTATGTGTGTGTGCTTACGCGTGTCTACGTAAACTGTGTGGGTGGGAAAGAAAATTTGGGTGGGTAAAAAATAGGTATGAGAAAATGGAAGGGCAAGTCTGGATACTTTGGGGATAGTTTGGGCGGGGTAGAGGGGAGGTAGAAAAAAATAGTCTGTAGGCGACCAATAAAGATACAATGGAGGGGGAGGCGGCTGTGGGAAGTCAAAAAAAGAAAAAAAAACTTGTAGAAACACAAAGGAAGACGAAAAAAAAGGTGAAAAAAGGGTGAAAAAGGGGTAGGGTATTTTTGTTGTTTGTAGTGTTTTTGCCTTGTTTGTAAGAATGTAACAAACTCGTTTCTTATCAGTGATTTATAGTGTTTTGCGTAATTAAACGTATACGCAGGCACGCTGTATGAAAAATACACTAAAAGTGAAAAATAATACTCTGTAAGCAGAATTTATCATCGTAAAACTATTTTTCCACCAGCGTTACGTAACAAGCGTTTTTTTGTTTCTGAAATCGTTGCCTACGTCGTTTTTTATGAATTGTGTACTTTCCGTTGATTTATATAGGCGAATAGGAAACGCTTATTTTTTATTATTGTATTCCCAGAAGTAAAATAAGAGAAAAGAGGGGAAAGGAAAAGGAATGGGGATAGGAAAAAAGGCATATAATAGTAGGCGATAGATGGCGCAGTTTGTAGTTTGTAACCGCATTTTTCATTGAGAGTGAATAGGAGAAAGAGAAAGGAGAAGCAAAAGAATATCTCTTTTTTTTTCATACAATTAACTATTTACATTCACTCTCCCTATATCATTCAATTAATTACCAAATAATTAAATATTTTTGGTTTTGGGCGTGTAAAGAAGACATCTGTTCACGCTCTAATTGTAAATCGTATAAATAGGTAAGTAATTTATTTTTTTCTATTATTACAATTATTAATATTATTATTAATATAGTTTGCATAGAAAACTTGCTTTTTAATCGTTTTTACGAAGCTAAGACCTATTCGATTCTAAAATTATTCGATTGTGATACTTTTATTAAATCTTATCTTCTTTCTTAATTACATTTTTCCACTTACTTTTTATTTCAATAAAAATTAGAAAAAGTCTCACGAAAAGAGAAATTCTTTTGTTTTTTTTTTTCTTTTTCCCTTCTTTTATTGATAGTAAAACAGATTGAATTTATAGAATATATAGAATGTCTACGTAATACATATGTATATACTGTATATACTGTATGTATATTAATATATATTGTATAAATATGTATAAATATATATTGTATATGCGTATGTATATGTATAGAATTTATCTAGTTGTTGTCCTATCTCTATCTATCTAACTATCTATCTATTTATTTCTCTCTTTCTCTCTTTTCAATCTTTCTTTCTTTCTTCATTTCTTTCTTTCTTTTCCTTCTTCGTTCTTTTTTTATATTCTTTCATTAGATGACCATATGCAGTATAGCCGCCAGATATAGCCCCATAGCCACGCCTCTGTTATGCAATCGCCCCGGACTGTTACGTAAAATTTCAAAACCAACCGTTCCAATTTAAATCTGAGGAAATAAAAAAAAGCAAAGAAAAACAAAAAAATGAATGAATGAAAGAAGAAAACTAAAGTGCCGATTTTTTAATTGAAATGTAAAATTACGTTCATAAAAAAAAAACAACGCCGCCCGCATAATATCGACGTTTCCGGCGATAAGCGATCGGTTTGCGGTCGATCTGTGCACAGCAATGCGCTTGTATGGCGTCACCGCCGATTGACCCCGAGACGTCATTTTTGCCCGTCCGAAATCTATAAAGCATCGGACGCCCGAATACGTCATTAACGTAGCCAATCCTAGAAATTACGTAACACTCTCCTCCCATATAAATAGGCCTATATAGGAAAATTTTTCCCTTTTCCGTATACGGAATCCCTATTTTGCTATTATCTTGCTTTGCCTCCTTAATTTTTTCTATATATCATTTCTTCTCTTCCTAATTCTATCTATTCCTTTCCTCTTATTCTTCTAGCTGGCTCACTTCTATTTATGTCTTTCTATCTATCTTTCCTTTTTTCTATCTCTCCGTCTGTCCGTCTGTGTGTGTATCGTTCTCTTTCAACTACTCATTTTTCGTCCGGCGCAGGGTCGCCGTAACGGTCAACGATTACGTAAGCGGCGTTGAGTAACGCTCCCTATTTACGGCGTTACTTCTTTGTTGTGTTTGTTTTCGACGGCATAATAAACGTAGGCCGTTGAAGATTATTGACTAATCGGCTTAGAAAAGAGGATGAGCAAGTGTACGTATACTCTTTCAGTGTGTTTTAAACATATTTAGCAATGCAATGGATAAATACTTATCCACGTAGACAATAATATAGAATTTACTTTTACATGTATATACACTATACGAATATATATCTCTCTCTATGTATATATAAATATATATAGACATAAATAGATATATTGTGTATGAATACATATTCATGAATAAATATATTCATGAATAAACATAATCAGTATATATGTATACTTTTTATATACATATCTGGCTCATGGTATTTATGTATCTATTGTTTTTATTAATAGCAAACGCAAATGAATGTATATAGTTTTCCTTTGAGAAAACTGCTAAATACCTAAACGAAATTTTGCATGATCTGGCGACGTCATTTGTTGTCATGTAGGCCTTAATTATATCTGTTCTTTTTTTTCGGCAAACTAGGCCTAGTTGAGAAAAGTCGACCCTCATTGGTTGATCGCCCAACTAAATGTCTTTCATAGCAGATTGAACTAACAAACACTTTCTGTAATTAAACGCTTACGTTTGAAACGCTCTGTAAGCTCACTTCATCTAAGGTTTTCCTTCTCATTCGTCCGGTTCTATTCGGCCGATATTCTCCTCACGAAAAATTTGAAAAAAAAAGTAGATTGTTAATTTTAGTTTTATTTAAAAAAGAAAGAAAGACAAGGAAACATCTTAAATATAAAAAAAGGAAGAGAAGAGAGAGAGAAACAATCATCGTTTTCTATAAACCTGATGCTTTTTTTTAAAAGATAAATATAAAATAACAACAATGTATTGAAAAAAAAAAACTCCTTCAACTATAATAAAAACAATTAAGTGGACTCGTCTTCGACTACTATTTTTCTTTCTCTCTCTATCAGTCTCTTTTCGTTTGCTTGCTCATTCTCTATTTCTTCCTCCCTCTTCAGGATTTTCCATCATCTAATCAGATTAAAATCCAAGTTTTAAAAGGTTAGTAAAAATACTACAAATCATAATAAAATAGATACTAAATGATAAGTAACAGCTGTATTAATTCGCTTTATAATAAAATACATATAAAAACAATATGCTTACGCTTAAATTTTTTTTCTTTTTGTTTGCCCGAAACATAAAACTATATTGTTTTTATTCTCTTTTTACCGTTTTTAGAAAATCTAGATTTTTCTTGTCCTTTTTATACAAGGTTCACTATCTCTATTCAGTATATCTTTATATATCCCACTCCGGCGCTCTTCTCCTACTGCTCTTCTCCTATTTTCTATCTATTTATCTATTTGTATTAATATTTTATTTAAATATCTAATCAATTTGGACCGGGGTATTTTTTTTTTCTTTCTTTTTCTTTTCTTTGTATTAAAGGAAGGAATTGGTTAGAGAAGGAGAAAGAAAATAAGGGAATAACTATACAAACAAGCGTTAGTCTCGGACAGTAGATTGTAAATTATTCAGGAACTAAAAATGGAAAAAAGGAAAAAAAAACAGTAAAATTGTAACGTCTAAGGCAGAACGGGTATAACTTTACTAGTCATTAATCAAACTTGTTTTACACGGAGCACAAAAAACGAGCTCGGTCTGTTATACATTATAGCCGACTGTTAGTTTGTCTAGGGGGTGAGGTAGGGGGCTGGAAATTCTTTTTTTCTAGCCTTTTTTTAACTTTCTAACCCCTCCTCTGATTTTTTTTAGTTATTCTAACAGTAGGATAAAAAAATTCCTTACTTTTCTTTTCTTTTTCTTTTCATTTTTTATACAAAAGTAAATGATGTACAGTACTTTTATCATCTTCTGTTTCTCAGTCTCCGTCTGCGTCTCTTTCTCTCTTCTCCTACCCCCTCCTTTTCTCCTCATTCTAACCGTCTAATCTATAGATTTGTATACATTGTAAAAATGTAAAAAGAAAAATAAAAGGAAAATAAAAAGCGTACTGAGACTTTAATTAGAAATAATCGTTTAAAAAACGTTTAATAAAAAGATTTAGGATAACTTTCCTTCCGCTTAATCGTAGTTTATTTACTTTAATATTGTTTGCCATATAAATGAAATTTATAAAAAGAAGAAGGGAAAGTAATAATTAATTGGTTGAGGCAAAGAAGATGAAAAGTATACCCAAACTCGGACAGCTAGTGGTCAGTTCATTTAGGAAACAATCGATAAAAAAAGGCTCTAAAGAAGTCGATATATTTTCTACAAGTCGATTGTTTTTTTTTCTCCTACGGATCCCATTTTTTATTGTAGCCAATTGATAGATTTACGCTTTTCAAAGGTCTTACATATTGTATACCATTTCTATCGTAATATTGATGACCCTTTCGATTGTCGTTCTGTACATTTGTTGCATTCGAAACAAAAACAAAACAAAAAAAAAAGAAGGGAGAGAGAGAGAGAGAGAAGGAGAGAGAGGAAGAAGAATATCGAACAATCTCTTTCTTTACTTTATTTGTTTTTTAGTATTAGTATTATTTTACTCCAAAAGTATTTTTAGATTGCCTAAATGATAACAATAACAATAAAAAAAAATAGAAAAAGAATAACGAGAGAAAAAGAAATTAAAAAGAAAGAGATAAAAAAATAGTGGGGAAATGTAAGGAAAAACTAGTTCTCAGCCACTTCGATCAAGGATAGAAAAAAAAGATTTCCGCTAGCCGTATTATTTTTTTTGTTTTCCTTCTTCGCAGGCCTATTATGTTTACTCTTATTTTAACAAAAAAAAATAAAGCGCCATCTGCCGATAGGAGTTAATTGGAAAAAGTTCATAGTAGTATTTTAGTAGTATAATCGATAGTAGAACATAGTAAAAGTAGTAACAGTAAAAAAATAAAAGTCGTAACTATAGTGGTAATTTTAGATAGGAGAGTGATGGGAGAAGGAGGTGGAAGGAGGTGAAGAAAAGAAAGAAGTGAATGTGATTTAGTTGAGGCAGGAAATATAATAAATCTGCAGAGCTTTCGAACTATTACATAATACATTGTAGAGAAAAAGCGAAAGACAGGTGCGCTTTAGTTACGTCATTGTCCAGGTGTGCCTGTTACCGAAAAAATTCATTCAAAAACCTTGTTTGTACACGCTTTTGGTCGAAGGAAGAAGTTGGGCGAGAAACTTGTCAATAAGGCTTACGTAACATATGCAAAAAAAGTAATTTACATTTGCATAATCTGGGGACGGCAGATGCGTCTTACGTAACCGTTGGACGAAAGAAAGAAACGTTTCGCTAGAGATTTTACCCCTTATATGCTACTTTTATGTCTTAATTACCTCGTTAATTTTAACGGAGTTATCAATTCCTTAATGAGTATAGCTAGTTTTTAATATAAAATTAATTATTCTTATTTACAACTGTACATCTATAAATTCCATATATTATCCACCTATCAAACTATTGAGCATATAATATAAACAGTGTATAAATTTATACGCGAGCGGCGTCGCCGTCTCATGTTCACAATTACACATGTAGACGTCAGATTCTACTCTTTTGATTAACAATGTTCATAAAAGAGTTGGAATCCTTTCTACGGTTGCTTAACTGTCATTTTTATCATTTTACCCTTTCGTATTTTTACTTCATTTTGAGAAAAGACGCCCACGTTTATTTCATTATTTCATCTGTTATTTTATAAAGTACACGTGTAGCGTTTCCATTGTATTAATAATAGAATTAAATAGGACTATTAAAGTATGTACAATATATATACATGGTGTTATGCAGTAGATAAGTTTTTTTTGTATATTATGTTGTACTTTTACATATCAATTAACAAAAAAATAACACATTGAAATGTCTATTTTTAAAAATAAGTGTTTTTTTTCCGCAAAAATCTACCGTATTTAGAAATCTATTGATGATCAGTAACATATTTAAAAAATTAAAAAGTATGTTACTATAGATATGAACTTGTAATAAGCTTAATTAGGAATTAATAAAAAGTTGGTGTTTTTAACGGGGGTAAAGCTGAGTTCAGCGTAATATTTTTACGTTAGGCAGCGATAATTATTTTTTTCCTATTATAAAAAGTGCAACAGCAGAAGCTTAGTATTCGACGCTCATAGGCCGCCTAATTAGCATAAAACAGAAGTACACCAATAATAATCATTTTTCATTCCGTCTCCGTTGAAGGGAGATGAATAGCTGGTATTGCAACTGTCTTACAAGGGAAATGTTAATGTTTTGTAGGAGGTATTGTCTAATTAAAATACTTTTTTAATTAAATGATTAATTTTTTTTAATTATTATTTATCATCGTAAGAATCCAAAATTTCTTATAAAGGATCGTAAAGTGTTCATTTGTATGCATAAACTTTATATATATATTACTATATTAACTTCTTGTCTATAACTCGTTCTTGTCTTATTTTGAATCCTCTATCTTTTTGTTTTCTCTTTCTTTATTCCTTTGTTTGTTTCTTTTTCTTTCTTTCTTTCTTTTTCTTAGCTTGAACTATTCTAAAATTTTGCTTTTCTTTCTTATTTCCTTATTCTTTATACAAACACCCACATACGTACAATTCCCACCTTATATCTTTCTAACTTTCATCCATCCCTTTTCCTGGCCCCTTCCTTCCTCTCATCTACATTTCCCAACTCCCACCCTGATACTTTCAATCACCGCATTTTTATTTCTCTTTTGTCTTTTCGTCTTTCTTCTTTTCTTTTCCAGACGATAATTTTCTCTAATCAAAACATTCTCCCCCTTTTTACTTACAGAGATGAAAGGCAGACTAGAGAGGCAGCATATCTAAATCGTCAAATGGAAACGGCAATCGGTAGCGGAAGAGACGCCTTTTACGGTCCGCACCTCTTCGGTAGCCAATTCCGACCGCCATTCTGCAATGTCACATCTTCCCTTTATCCTTCACATCCACTAAAGCAGCTACAAAAGGCTGTTCAGAATGGATTACAACATCAGCTGCCTAAATTAACCCCACCAATTGTAAAAGAAGAGGAGGAAAGAGAGGAAAACTTTGACGCAAACTCTACTTGTTCCTATGTCGCGTCTACGTCCGGTGAAAGTTGTACAAGTGACACCCCGCCCACTCCTCCACTTTCTAGTCAGGACAAGGACATATTCTTTTGCCACCTTTGCACTTGGTCAGGTAAGTTTGTCCCCTTTTTATCAAATTCGATCCATTGAACAGACGGCGCCACTAACTCATAAGAATGGTATTATCTCATAAAAGAATTCTAGAATAACAGACGGCTAACACTCTCTCCCATGGGACACAGTCCACATTTTAATCCGACCCGGATAAGACTATGACACCGCAGCGTCTATTAGACGTCATATATTTTTCTGCGTGCGTCGCGTGTCCGTATCCTTTTAGTTTTCGACGCCGCAACCCGAGGCGTTCTTTTTACGACGTATAGACAATCGCTTTATATTTTTCTTAAGGTAAAAATATCGTTTTCCCCCTCCACACCTTCATGTTAAAATCTTCTTCTCTTTGTTTTTCCACTAACCGTTTATGGACATTCTTATACCCTAAGGGGAATAATTCCGATATAATAAAAAAAAATAATATTAATGAAATGAATAATAATAATAATAATAATAAAAGAATTCGCTTTTATCGCTTTTTTCTATACTGTCTCTCTCTCCTCCTACTTTTTCTAAGCTTGTCTTATATATAGTATATAATCTATATATATATATATATTCTATCGGTATTGGAATTCAAAACAAGCCCACCTCTTATAGGGTAGTACTAGCAAAAAAACACAGTTAACAAAAGCAATTGTATTCTCGCTTTAAAAATACCGATCGAATATCTCGGTTAATACATTTCGATCCAAAAAAAAGAGAGAGAAGAAAAAAAAATTTTTATAGGCCTAGTTTAAAAAAAGGCGATTCAGATCTACTCTATTCAAGTTGCCATTGTGGTAGGATTCTGGGCCCTTCGCTTATGCAGAACGATTTAACTTCCAATCAAATTTAACCAGCCGTTAGGGCTGTTTAACTGAGCTGCCCGGTTAAAGAATGTTTTGTAAAGTGAAGGTCTGACGTTTTTTTATTTTTTTTTTAATTTTTTATTTCGTAAACGGAATCGGATAGAGGAAAAGAAATAGAGAGTAAATAGGATAAGAAAGAGCGAGAAGATAAAATTCATTGGAGAAAGTGAATCTTGATGAACATATTATATGAACATATGTGCTTAAAGACTTTATATAGTACTCTGATATAAAATAACGAATACGCATTTGTGTTGTAAAGAGGATAACACGAGATATCGAGAGATAGAAAAGGAGAACAATTTTTAGGCCAAAGTTTTTTTTAAGGCTGTGCGCATATGTGTATTACTAAAGTATAAAGTTCGAAAACTAAACCTTCTTTCACTAGTTCGATGAAGGAAGATGTAACGAGTTTATTAAACAACCGAAAGACGCCTTTAGGTGAGGTAAGATGCTAACTTAACAAGAATATCTTAACTTAAAGACGGCTTTTCCCGCCTTTTTATATTTTCTAACTCTCGTCTCTTTTATAAAATAAGATATTTATCAAAAAAAAATTTTCTATCAATTTCTTTAAACCTTTAACACCGATGAAATGGAAAATATTTCCTTCTCATTTTACTAGTCCACCTTTCCCCTCCACCCTTTTTTTACGCCATAGAAAAATTCACTCTTTTTTTAGATATAAAAAAATTTTGATCACGGCGCCCTCTGTCGGAATGGAAAGTTTTTTTATAGCTTTATAATAGATTTTAAACTCACTCTTTCCGAAGTAACCTAGAGAATAAACATACTTTTACAGGCAGTTCGAAAGACTCATTCGATGAGCACATGACGTCGCATTTTGAACATAAATGCCCTCAATGCGACTATACGTCGAGGACAGAGGGTCGTTTAAAGAGGCATATTAAGGACTTTCATAGTGAGGACCCAGCCTCTAATCCAAAAGTCAGTTGTCGACCAAAAATTTACAAGTGTAAACAATGCGACTTTCAAACGGCTATCAAAGTGGATTTTTGGGACCATTCAAAAGCTCATATAAAATCAGAAAAGATGTTACAATGTCCGAGATGTCCTTTTGTGACCGAGTACAAACATCATTTAGAATATCACCTGCGGAATCATTTCGGTTCGAAGCCGTTCAAGTGCGAAAAATGTAATTATTCGTGCGTCAACAAATCGATGCTAAATTCCCATATGAAATCGCATACGAACGTCTACCAATATAGATGCTCAGATTGCCATTATGCCACAAAGTACTGCCACTCTCTGAAACTTCATTTGAAGAAATACGATCACAAACCGGCTACTGTATTAAACCCGGATGGTTCACTTCCTACCGATGGTTCAGGAGATTTTGAGTTAGTATCGAAACGGGGGCCACCAAGAGGACCCAGAACGACTGGAAGATCATCAGCCAACGGCATTCATCATCAAAGTCCATATCCTCCTCCCCAACAAAATAATCAACAACAACATCATCAGCAACAACCAACGCAACAACCGCCACAAACCCCCACATCGTTGTCCCTACCACCACCACCCACTCCAACAACTGTACACCAACAGCAGCCGGTCACCTCAAAACCAATCCCTACCTCTCTTCCTTTACCAGTTTTACCTCCTTCTGCTCTGGGCCTACCACCGTCTTATTGGGGTCTATTAGGAGCGGCCGCTTCTCCATTCCAACCGCCTCCACCGTTAGTGCCGGCGGTCTCACTCGTCCAACAGTCGCTGCCAACGGGATCCATCCTAGGCTCGAGCTCGCCGAAGAGATTCGTAGCTGTGGATTTGGCTGCTCAAATTGAATCTGAAAGTGATTCTAAGAAAAAGGAGACGCCACCTCTCAAGTTAGAGAGTATATCACCGCCCAATAGTCGTCCGACTTCTCCGCTCGATCTTTCCAAATCGCCAAGTTTACCTCCATTGGCAACCCCTACCGGCGCTCGTAAGCGAAAAGGTAAGGCCTACAAATTGGACACTCAAGTGTTAAACGCTCATCCACAAGAGTCAGAGGTAGTTGCCTCTCCAAAACGCAAGAGCGTTAAACAAGAATGTCCAAAAGAGGGAGAAGGCGTAGCTGATGAAAACATTGAAGATTGGGATACCAAATTTGAGTGCGCTCATTGCGCCATAACGTTCATTGATTGCATCCTCTATACAATGCACATGGGCTATCACAGTCAAAACGAACCTTTCAAGTGCAATATGTGCGGTCAAATAGCCGCCAATAAAGTCGAATTCAACTTGCATATTGCCAGAGCATCGCATGTTTGAATAAATGTTCTTTATTCTTTTCTTTATTCTTAATTTTGTTTTTTCAACTTTAAAAAAAAGGTGTAAAATTTTATGCAAAGTCAGAAAAAAACAAATAATTCTTCTTGTTGTTGTTATGTTCTAAATGTTCTTTTTTTTCGTATACTTGTTTTTTCATCGTCTTGTATAACGAAACAAAAAAAAGAGAAAAGAAGTTATAAAAGAAAAAAGAAAGAAATCTTCTCTTGCCCTATCTTTACAAATGCTCAACAGATGACAATAAAGTTGTAACGGATACATACACATAATGATAGTTGACTAACTTTTAAGTATGCGTATGTATTCAAGAAAGTTACATATATACATATATATAAATATATATATATATATATATATCTTGTATGTGAATTGCAGTTTGTGTATGTTCTTCGTATCATATATATTCTAATAGCAAGCTAATGTTACCTATTTTTTATTTGTTGTTTATTTCTTTTTCGTGTATGCCATATATGTTTTATTAATCCCAAGTCATTATTATCAACAAAAAAAAAACAGAATAGGCAATGTAGTCCTACCTCGATGTGCTTAAACACTATCTATTGCCTTTTTTAAATGTAAATTAGCTTATTCATTCCCTTTTTGTCAGTACCAATAAGTTAAAGAAGGAACGAGAATTTTTCTCTGTGAAATTATATAAAATATATAAACTTTAGTAATATTTAATAAAGTAAATAACTATCAAAAATAAATTAACTACCAAAAGATAAAGAAAAACTCAGGAAAAGAGCATTTTTTGTTCTTCTTTTATTTTTGTTTCCTTTTCACCATTTCAGGGTTTTTATTCTTGTTTTAGCTCATTTTCACACTTAGTAAACAAATAAATAAATATTATGTATGTGTGTCTGTATACTCTCTATATGTTCATTAAATGCCAGAACCATGTATGTAAAATATTGTACATGTGCCTATGCGGTATGCTTGTCATTTAAAACAGGGAGAAAAAGATGTCTATTCTCTTCCTTCTGTTATTTTATTCTTTTATCAGTAAATTTTCTCTTTAAGCTTTTATCAGATTGTATGAAACCTTTTTCCGCTCGTTTTATTCCTTTTTCTATGCGTTAATAAATAATATAAAATTATTGAGCTGAGGTATATGTATTGATCAGATCTAGTCTATTAGGCCAAAAAAACATACCAAGTTCCTTATTCAAGCAATTTAGATTTCTTAACCTTACACTTGTTTAATGTTCCTGGTAGAGTGTGGAATTGATTATTTATCAAGTGAATTTCTATAAATGCTATATGACGAATAGCTATTCAGTGTAAAATAATGAGAAATTGGATCTTATCAGTAGTTATCTCAAGTATATTTATTTCTACAATATATGGAAATTGTAATGGAATAACCAGTTGCTCAGTTTCAACAAAGAAGCCAAAAAGAGTTACCAAAATAATTCAAATTCATAACGAAAGTAGCTCTTCATCAATTTCGATATATTTCATCCCGATACCAATAGTAATTATAGGAGCTGGAGTTGCAGCTGTCTGTTGTATAAGGAAGAGGTCGAGACATAATTTTTGTACTACAACTGAAAATGAAAGTCAGGAAGTTAATATGAATAATTCAGTTAGAACGCTCCCGGACGTACCAGAAGAAGACCATGTGAGTCGTCACATCTACATCGAAATAGAGGAAGGACCTGACAGAACTCCAATTGAAACCAATCGAACTAATTGTGAAGTTGAGACTTAGAATTTTGTTGATAAAAAGAAGAACAAACGATCATCATTCATCATAGTGTTTCGGAAAGACTACAAGTTTTCGCCTTGTTTATAAAAACTACAAATTTTACATTAATCATCTGTCTCAAAGTAGGTACATAAGACATATAGTATATTATCTTCTCGAATGCTATAAAAAAACAGCTACAATATGGCTTATCAGGCTGATGGAGACAATGAAGATGCTGTGTTAAGTTAATGTATTCTGAATTTAAATATCGTAAATATGTTTATGTGTTATATAGTTTTCTAAGCTTGTCTTACTTGAAGTTTCTTGTTGTACGTGTACGTATCAGCAGATGGCGCTCTATGTCAAGCAGGATTTCCAAAACTTCGTTACAACTAATAGAAAAATGTGGTCAATATCCATAATAACCTAATTTCTAGTCTGTAAATACAAATCAAGTAAATGAATATTTATGAGATATTGTGTTTAAAATAAGAGAAAAAGCTATTTTAACCAATCGCATACTTGAAACAATATCAAATTACGCTAAAAAACTATGATAAAAAAGTGTGTAACACATTGACACATCTTCTTAACATTTTTAAAATACTATGAAGAAATCGTAAGTTATTGACACGTGGCAATAACTTCGAGTGACTCTTATCAATGAACAAGATTCAAAAATCGGCTAATTTGCTTTTCTACTCAACATCAGTTCTAGATGAACGACGCCCCTATCGTTCTATTGTAAAATATCATTCCTAATTTTGGTGGTACAATGGACGCTTGAACGCATAAATAGTTTCTTTTTTTTTTTCAAGCAAATAAAAAAAAAGAGAAAAAAAAGGAAATGGAATTTAAGAGGAACTGGGGAATACTTTTGAAGTATCAACGACTTTCATTGTCCAATTATAGAAATTCCATCTTGTTGTAAAAGTTCATAAAAAAGTAACAATTTTCTTAATTATAAGAAAAGGAAACACAGACATAAAATAAGATAGAAAACTAATGATAGGAGTTAATTAAAACAAAAATAGGAGAGTTATATATAGAATTAATCTTCTATTATCGCCACTAATAATAAAAAAGTTCTTTGGGATTATTATTGTTATTATCTACTCCTATTCTAATATAAATTGAAGCTTTTCGTGCTTTTTAATTTTATCAATCGAAATAGGAAATTACCTGAAATTCGCTTTTTCATTCTTCTATGTAATTAAATATACAAAAGGCGGATAAATAAAAGAACAATAATTATATCCTACAGATGGCGCTAGATATCAACAGAATTAATAAAGACATTCGATATAAGAACAGAGCGTTATACCATAGAATAGAAAGAGGAATAAAGACACGCCGAGCGAGAGGAAGAAAGATCTATTTAAAAAAAGAACAGATAAAATCTTATAAATCATTATTTTTTATGTTTTGCTCCCATTGAAAGACTTTAAACTAGTGCAATAAACTGACTGATTTAGCAATAGATGGAAAAAAGCGAGTAATATAATAATATTCCATAAGTCTATCTGAAGTTAAAAGGAGAAAGAAATGAATAAAGAAAACAAGAAGGAAACGGCGGCAACGTAATATCAATATATAACTAGTCGAATCCGCTTTTTATGGATATACAAACGTTGGAATTTTTCTTTACACTTGAGAAGAATATATATGATTGCGGACGTTCTTCAATAGCTTGCCCACTCGACCCTTGCAAAAATACTCTTTTCAAGCGATCATGTAAAATACACAAACGATTATGACACCATTCTCTTCTATTCAATTCGTCGTTAATATTCCTAATTGTACTTTATAAACATAAATATGTATATACAAGTATATATATGGTTTAATTATATAAATAGTCATATTTCTATTATTGATATAAAACTTCTTTCGAAATTCTTAAATCAATATGAAAAGGAGAAAGAGAAAAGCCCGAAATTTTGATGAATGCCAGTTATTTTTTTTATAGCTTTGAAAATAGTTCTATTGAATATATTCAATCGGCATAAAAGATTACTCCATCTAACCATCTTTTCTTACATACGCTTCGACGAACTAGAGTTCTTGCTCCAGCTCATTTCCGTCATTTTAATTCGTACGTTTATTGACATAGTAATAATGGGGATTTTTTTAATTTTCCCGCAAAAAACCGATCACGTACGGCGAATGGATAAATTCGTTGAATGCTAATAAAACGCTAAAAAGTTTAGCCTTATTGCAAACAGTATATATTACACCTATCCGAATTAGTTGGAATTAAACCGTCCTCGTGCACTCGCTTTCTCTTGCCGTTCATATATGGCTATAAACTATATATACTGTATAAATTATATATAAATTTATATATATATACTATCTATTCATTCAACTGTTTAGTTGAGAATTGATCGCTTCGGAGAGCAGATAACATAACCCCTAGTGAAAACGGTTCGCTGCTGGTTGCCTACTTGACAAACAATCGGCCGGCTAACGAGCTAAACGCCTTTGAAAACGATCTTTCGGAGACTTCAATACCAGAAAGGTCCTGACACCAGGATAATTGCCCACTCGAGGTACTAGACGGATTCTCCCGTTTCGCTCGGTTATTTCTTCAAAAAAGGAAAGGACTTTATTATATAGATACTGTTTATATAAAGAAAAAGAAAGAATGAAAGAAAAAAGGAAAGGGACTGGAGAAAATATTTTGTTTGCTTATTTCTCTATCCCTTTAAGCTGAAAAGTTAGACGTTCCTTTCCTGTTTATGAAAGCAACACCGAACAACACCTGACTCTCTACGGATTATGTTTGTAGTTATTTACCTTCCATTCGGATATGTCAATAATCCGCTGACCTTGTACCTTCCCTACCGCTTAAAATCCTCTCACGCCCTCTTCTCTATTAGCTTCTCTCCATCATCTTCTTAATGCACAGCAGCGTAGAAAGAATTTTTATTTCATAATAGTGGCGTAAGACCACCACCTGGGACCATCCTGTTTTAATTAAACGTCATTAATCATTGTCAGTCTCTGACCAACGCTTATCGTAAAGGCATTAGGCTGCGAAACGCTTATGTAATCCGTCTAATGAAGCGATGATTCCCCTTCGTGTTTTGCCTTAGGCCTAAATACCCTATTCTAATATGCATATACAAGCTTTTGAGCATTAAAGAGAATATAAGGGCCAGTGTCTCAGTTCAATACTAATATATCGTAAAACGGACACACTATTCCAAGTATACTGTCTGACGATATATTTATTAAATAGTACAATAATGTGTGTTTTTGCAAACTGAACAGGAGACCATATTTCGAATTTCCCTTCCAAATGACTAAGGTATATTACCCCCAAAACATATCTTGAAAAAATGACTCACTCATAACAATATATATCCTTGTCACGATACAAGAATAAGTCGTGTAAATTTCATATCATATCGATTAAGAGAGACGAAAATGATTTATTCCAAATTGGATACATTTAAAGTCATTCTGATTGTTCTAGTCGTCATAAATTTTACAGAACAATGTACTGATTGTTCTAATACAACAGCTACAACAACAGTAAAGGATACATCAAAAGGATCGTCCTCATTTGAATTCAAGTTTTATTTTATACCTATACCAATAGTACTTCTGGGAGCTGGAATATCCGGTTTGTTCTGTTGTGCAAGATGTCGAAATGAAAAATACGGAGAAAACAAGACTCCGGATGATTATACTATGGAAAGATATAATGGACCCGATCGAAAAAACAATAAATACTCCATTCACGATGTAAAGAGGAAACAGAAGCCACCTGTTCCGCCTCCACTAACGACAACAAGAACTTCAGACTATGAAACAGTTTATGAGACAATAAATGAAAATCAACAAGAAATCAACTCAGTATCGGGATATTTGTCTCTTGAATCATCTACTTATCTATACCCATCGAATTCGTACGATCGTCTACAGGCTACCGGAGATATTGATAAAGAGAAAAAGACCAATGAAAATAGTGACAGTATAAGAGATGCATCGGGTATCAGAAGTTTTGCTGAAGTAACCCTTTCAAAGCCACTGTCTACCAAACAACACAACTTTTCTGATTCTAATTCTTATAAGAATTGAAAGGAATTTCACATGTAATAAAACTGTATAATAAAAGCATTGGTATGATAGTGCCAAATTTTCCAGTTAATTTTTCATCTTCCTCGGCTCCTCGCTTACGTTCCGTAGGCTATTTGTGCTCAAATCATTTCGGTCGAACAAACAATCATAAAAACCGTTGAAAATGCGTACACGGGGTAAAAAAGGGAAGCAAGGAGGGGGTTGTTGAAGGAAAGAAAGGGAGAAAAAAGTAGGTTACGTACCAAATATTTCTTCCAGTTATTTCACGCTTTTCGAAAATAGATTTTTTTTTATACATTGACTAGCGTATTCCGTGCGACTCGATAGGGGACTTCAACACCACCTAATCAGGGTTTTGTAGTGAAATTACAACGTTTGAAACAGTAACGGCAACCTCCTCACAAAAGGTCAAACATCTCCTCCCTTATCCCGTTATAACGGCCGTGGGGCGTTCTCTGTGATGGGGGTGCCCAAAAGAGCGTAAAAATGGGAACAGAAAAGGGATAGTGAAAAGAAAAGAAAAGAGGGCAAGAGTAAGAAAGAGTGTTTCTTATAAAATTTTCTCGCGATGATTGAAGATAAGAGAGAACGCCTGCCAAGAAGAAACACAAAACAACGCGAAACTGATATCTTCTCAATTTCCGACGCCTCGGAGACGTGCAGGGAGCGATCGGAGTTCGTTAAATAAAGAAAACTAAGGGACATGGAAAAGGGGAGTTTTTTTAGATATAGGTAAAAAGGTTTATAAAACTATTTCCATTCTATTCTTTCTCTATCCCTTTTGTAACACGACTATGCGGTTTTATATGCGTTATATATACAATTTTTTCTTTTAAATCTCGAAGCGTCGAGAAGAGTTCAAAGGGCGGCATGAAAATTGCCCGAAGACACGCTATACATGCACCATTATATATATATAGTTTATATACAGTATATATCTGAGCCCTAAAAAAAAAGTGGATGTAAGAAGTTTGCCCGAAAGCTAGAAAAACAGTGGATTATATAAAAGAAACCAAAGCTAGGGTGAAAGGGACGACGCCTACATAAAGAGTACGAGAGAGAGAGAGGAGCCAAGGAGGGGGGAAGTGTGGGAGTCGGTGGGAGGAGTAGGTAAAAAGAGAAAAAAAGAACGGACAATTGAAGATAAAGTAAGAAAATAATAACTAGGCAGCGACTTCAATGACGAAAGTTGCCTTTGTATAAATATATATTTTATATAATTATAGACATTATCGAATAAAAATATAATGAATGTAATGGAAATTCTTTAAAGAATAAAGAAACTACTTCCAGTAAGGCGAATCGTTTTTAAATTAGCACCAATTGGGGGATGGAAACGTTTACGTTTTCCTTATTTGTTGAAAGGAAATTTTAGCGCAATTAAGCTAATTAACGGGACATTTTGATCAAGGCGGAAGATAGCTAATTTCAAACGACAACCCCGCATTTTAATTAGTCTTGTCGAAACATTATTTCTACGAGAATTGATTAGTTTGGCCAAAAGCTATATATTTTACATTTTACGCCTTAGTTGTGCGACCTACTTTTTTTTGCCACCCTCCTTTTGTCATAGTCCTAAGAGAGAAAATGGAAGGGGTGGGTTTTGGGAAAAGAGAATATAAAGAGAAAAATGAACGTCCTTTCTATATAGACTTAAGTACGTTTAATGCTCGAACGAAGAATATTAAGGGACTAACACCTCGAGCGCGTTCTAATCTCAGCTTATAGGCCTTTTAAACGGGCGGACGCCTCCTTTTTCCTATTTTTCCTCTTTTTCCGCCTTTTCCCTCTTCACAATCCTTTGTAGACGATTATCGAAGCGTTGGTCAATCGACATCTGGAAAGAAAATTACGAACATACCGTAAAGAATGATCCTTTCAAAGAAAAAGAGTGGAAAAAAAAAGAAAAGTTACCCTTATCCCACCTATTCTCGTTCCTTTTTTATCTTAGCACATCATAATATCCGTTTACGGGCGGTCAGTCATTAGAAACTGATCGTTTATCGCTTTTCCTTTTTTATCTCATCTATTCTTAATGACGGCGTAAAGGACACTGAATGTCACGAAATTGCCCGATTTTTTTTCTCTATTGACCATGATTAATTACCTATATTAAATTATTCCCTTAATATTTCGCCGTCATAGTTTGCGTTTCCTGAACATCGCACCTGTTGAAAATTTAAAGACTATAGCTTCGGTATATAAAGTTTATATACTTACGTCAATATACCCATTCTCTTTCCATATTAAAGCTTATATATATATAATACCGGATTGACCCCCCGCAAACTTAAAAAATGCGCATTCTTTTCTTTTTTCTCTCTCTCAGTCCCGTACTATACGTCGTTGAACTCGCTTAAGAAGGTGAGGATGAATGGATAGAGAAAATAGTTTGTGGCTCTGTTATAAAAAAGTCTTGTCTCGTCTTACATAACAATTGACGAAATGGTTAAACATACGTCAAAAAGTCATTAATAAAAGAAAGAAAGAGGGGTTAATACGCCTAGAGCTAATTCGACTGATAAACTTATATCCTTATAAACATATTTAACAATATTGTAAGAATGTACAACAGGAAAAACATTCCAAACTTTCCAATGAAGTATTACATAACGTCTTTTAACGCTCTAAAGTTTGAGTATAACTTTGGAAAATGCATTAGAAATTAAATTAACCTTGACGCCCTTCTTGCCTATTTTGGCAAAGGGTTAAATAAACTGGAAAGGTTATACTAAAAAACTATATATTGGCAATATTTATACGGAATATATATCTATGCCCCTTTCGAACTTGCCACCTAGTACCTCTTGTACTTTTTCCACCCACAAACTTCCCCTCTCCCTGCCCCCTCTCTTTCTCTCTTCAACTCTATTCTCCTGCAATTAAACGAACCGTAAAATTGGCATTTTTATGCGATACTTTTTGAAAATAATATAAAACGACCAGCATTTGCAATTTTGTTTTACATGTCAAAAACATAGGGCAGCCGTCTTTAGCCTTACTCGCGTACAATAGCGAGTGACAAGTTTATTAGGTAATTAGATGAAAGGTAGCAAGATAATAAGTAGTATTAGCAGAAAACCGATATCGCTAACTGACGAACGGAACCATCTGCTACCATCCTTAACGATGTTTTATTTTAACTGGTAACGCTTTGTAAATATTGAATTATATACTTTTAGTATAAAATTGTTATGCACGTCAGGCGTCAAAACGGAGAAGGGAACCTATTGTTCGTTCTATGGCTGAAGAGTTTACATTGCTTGTTAGATGATCGTGATAGTGCATGTATTAACGGTATATGGATATAAAAAAATATATAAATAAACAACGGCCCCACGCGCGACAACGGGAGTAAGATCCTCCTTCAAATATGACATTAAGACGTCGGAGACAATTACATCATAACATAGTTCCGAAACGGTATTGGATGACGGTGTAATTAAAGAAGCATTACGACCGATCGTCTTTAATCGAAACGTGGTCGGATGACGGACAGGTGAAACTTTTATTATAAAATAATGTAAGGGCACGTTGTCTTTCAATTCCGTTTTATTTTTCTCTCTCTCTCTCTCTCTCTTTCTCTTGCCATAGCCTCCATGCCCCTTTTTCCTAATCTTAACACGCAAGCCCCCTCCCAACGGCCCGCAAGGTATGGACGTATATGTATATTTATATATCTAGGTAGAAATATGCAAGAAAAAGAAAATATACCGCCTAAGGGTTTGTACATTGGGACACGCGTACACGAACGCGTCTGTAGCTTGTTATCGTCGCCATTAATGAACGATGTAAAAACGGCGGGAGTTCTGCAATCATCCCAGCCCTCGATTACGACCGTTTGATCGTCCGTTGGGGCAGCTGGCGCAAAAATCCTTCTCTTTCGGTGACTCGCGACCACCTCCTAAATCCAATTATATTTTAGGGTTCATTGCTCGAATCTATAAGCTCTTAGGCATCCAAGCGCACCTGACACGTTCGAAAACTACTCTAATAACTATTCTTTTATTTAGTATTCTTTTTTCTCCCTTGCTTGGTCTTAATCTTATGTAATAGAGCTTCTATTCTTTCATACCGCCAATTTGTTTCGCGCCTAGATCTTCGGTAGCGATCAGACCGCCCCGCAATTACGTAATTTTCCAACATGCCATCTGTTTGTAGGCGCCCGGCGTTAATTTTACGAAATCCATTTGTAAGAATGGCTTGAAAGAGACCGACGAACCGACTGGAGGCTCATAAAATGTCTCCTTAGAGACTCTTTCGAATTCTCCAACACTCTACCGCCAAAGGGCCTATATTTCGAATAATTAATTAGACGGGCGCTATATATTTGCCTGTGGAGAGCGCCGACAGTCGATTTCCTCTATCCATAGATGGGAGGGGTCTTCTTTGAAGACCATACATAAACCTAGTTGGAGGGTAGAATGGTAAAAGAAGTATATAGTGCCCCTGTCATTCAAAACTATAGAAAAACACAATCGGCCAATCATCGCTCTCCCTTTCACAGTCACGTGACCCCCGGCGTTTTTCAATCATCAGTAAGGTAGAAAGCGGCGAAGACAGACGATCGTTGATCGACCAGCTAGCCATTTTTTGTGTTCTTTTCTACAAAGTGTTATTTTTATACGAATATATTTTTTGTATATAAAACGATAACTTTTTAACAACTGAGTGGAAAATAACCTTAAAAAAAGGAAATTAAGAAGGAGAAGAGGACAAAAAGTGTATTTAATATACATCACTTTAGTGAAAAAAGTACTCAACTATTTACCTTTGCACTTCGTCGTCAATATAAATTGAACCAAGTTGCATCTCTACTCTCTGCTTTAGAAATCTCTTAATTACCATTGTTTTTCTCTTTTTGGTAGCTTCTAATTAATATTCCGTTGATCAGGTAAGCGATATCGAATTTTTTTTTCTTTCAAACAGAATTAATACGTAAAGTATAGGTTAACATAAAACATTTTTTGCATCGAAGTAAGGTAGAATAGATAAAAAGGGATAAAACGGTTTGTCCAAGAAAGGGGGTGGACAGTAAGGCTGAATGATATAGGAGGTGTTTATAGTATATATATAAAAAAGAATGTGTATATATGTCTGTACCAATTTGTATGAATTGTATAAAGTAATAGAAAAATTAGGAAAGAGGCGTAAAGGGTGTGAATAAGGGGAGAAAGAGAATGGGAGACAGATAGAGAGAGAGAGAGAGACAGAGAAAAAGAGAGTGATTAATCAATGTCGTTTATATTCTTTAATCCTTTTAGTTAATCGCAAATAAACTTTTTGGGCCTTGTATATACATAATGTAAGTTATGTTTTAACGGAAACGCGTTATAAAGTCATTATATACCATATGTGACGGTGCACCACGTTGCTGTTTCGTCATAGAGAACATTTACCGAATGATATCAGGCTTCTGATAAATATTCATTTATTTGTTCCTTTTAGATCAGCTATATTTGTGTTGGTTGTAATTAACCAATTAGCATATTATATATATATATAATAGTACATATATAATAATAAAGTAGTATATAACGTTCTATATAACTATTTATATATCGTAGCCTAGACTAGTTTATTTTGATCAACCACAGCTTTATAAGTAGATGTTTTGATAAGCTGGGCTTTTTGAATAAAGAAATAATTGTCGTGAAGCGCCTTACTACCCTCTGTTTTTCTTCTATCTTCTCCTTTGCGTTCATATAGAACTTCTATACAAATATCAGATAGATTTTATATGTATATTTATTCTTAAGTCAGTGAAAATTATTCTCAAAACAGACGGGAGAAGGTTCTGAGCGGGAAAAAAGTCATAATTCAAACGGAACGTCATCCAATGGCATTGAATTGAAGGAGGAGGTGGACAGGTGTAGGGAGTCTTCTATACCCATTCAAAGTGTATTCTCAGCGGCGAACGGTCCGTTAATTGATCAATTAGCGAGACACTAAGAAAATATATATTTATAATAGTGGCAGGAATCACAACCAACGAAAAAAAGAAGAATAGAATGCGTATACTAATCGTTTATTTCGTTCTTACTCTAATCGTTTCGGCCGCCGACGAAGTTCAACAAATTTATTTACACTTTACGATTGTCGAAAATCGACCGAACAATAGCCAAGTAGGGGATATTCGGTCGAAAATTGACGACCTTCGTCTATCCGACCAACTCCGATTTAACGGTCAGCCCTATTCGGATGTTATTTATGACTTGGTTCGTGTTGAGCCGACGACGGGTATTATTAGGACAAAGAAAAAGATTGATAGGGAATCTTTGCCCGGTTGTCGTAGATCAGCCATCTGTAATACGGGTATATTCGAGGTGCTAATCAAAGATATACGCAATGTCAACTTATATAATGTAAAGGTGAATATTACAATTTCGGACGAGAACGATGAGGCACCGGAATTTCCTCAGGATAGATTAGAATTGAAAGTTAGTGAAGAATTGCCTTCGAAGGATGTGGCAACATTGCCTACGGCTGTCGATAACGACAGTCCTACATTCGGCGTACGAAATTACACACTACTTCATCAATCAACTTCCCAATCCAAACCATTCAAGCTGTCAAGCGTAAGTCAGACGTCAGATTTAAAATTGATGCTCAAGGACGATTTCAATCTGGATAGGGAAACTGCTCCTTTTTATAAATTGACTTTATGGGCTGACGACGGCCTACATCGAAACAAAATGGATATTAACATTGAAGTTACGGATTTTAATGATAATGCACCAGTTTTTGATGCAATACCGTCGGCTATAAAAGTAAAAGAGAGTGTAGAACAAAATTCCGTTATCTACAAAGTTCGGGCTCAAGATAAAGATACCGGAGATAATCGTCGGATAACTTATGCGTTCGACAGCGAGACTAGACAACAGTACGGCCATCTGTTCCACATAGATGATAACACAGGAGAAATAACGAACAAGAAGGAAATAGATAAGGAGAAGCCGTATTATACCATTCGGTTAGGAATTATCGCCACAGATAATGGTCAACCAGCTTTATCCTCTACAACAGCTGTTTTTCTCGAGATAATGGATGTAGATGATAACAAACCGGATATAATCGGAGAAAGGTCCTTCTCAATACTCGAAGAGGAGTTAGATCAATCAATAGAGTTCACAATACAAGATCAGGATTTAACAGCATTCACTAATTTTACCTGTCTAGTCGAAAAGTCATCGTCGTCATACGACAAAGTAATTTTAGAAGAAACCTTTCGAAATTCAGGACGTAATTCGGTTAATTATAAGCTAACATTTACAGAGAAAGTAGATAGAGAAGAAAGGCCTGAACTAGCAATTAGAATAACATGTATTGAGAATAATGCCGATAGAACAAGAAACACGATATCGTTGAAGGTTAAAATAGAGGATAAGAATGACCACGAACCGAAATTTTCTAAGAATTATTATTCAACAACGTTATTTGAGAACGAAAACCCAGGGAATTTGATCACAGTTACTGCCACTGATTTGGATACTGGAAGTAATCGCAAAATTACCTACTCTATTGTGGAAGATGATGCTCAATTTTGGTTCCAAATTGATCCATTTACCGGTGTCATAGGCGTACGATACGCTTTCGATTACGAAGCTATTAGTGATCGCAATAAAAAATTTACTGTAATGGCTAAAGATGGGGGACAGGAGCCTCGTAGTTCAACCGCGACTGTTCAAATTACCATTAAGGATAAAGATGACAACGACGTGCAATTTATCACTGATACTTTTCATTTAAAAGTTTATGAAAATAGGCCTAATGGTACAATAGTCGGCAGTATTATAGCAACGGATGCAGACTCGGACGAGTATAACAAATTTTTCTATTCGCTAAATAATAGGAACTTCCTTATCAATTCTGTGACGGGAGAGATCGTTACAAGGCAAACGTTAGACAGGGAAAGTAACGAACGCTACGTGCTTGAAGCGTTTGCAGAGTCGAAAGATCGAAATTTTCGAACGACTTGCTCAGTAATAGTAACAGTAGGAGACGAAAATGATAACAACCCTATGTGGACGTTTCCTGTTCCAGGAAATAATACATTACGTATCAGTACCGATATCAAGCCCGATACGGCTTTCGGGAAAGTAGAGGCAAAGGATTTAGATAAAGATGTCAACGGGACCGTATCATATAGGATTAAATCTGAACAGTATAAAGGATATATAAGGATTAACGAATCATCCGGATATTTATACGTTGTCGATGATCTAACCGCTTTCTCCAATAAATTATTGAAATTGTCAATCGAAGCTAAAGATGAGGGCCAACAATCGAATGTTAACGAAACTACACTGGAAATCGCCGTTAATCGATCAACCGTTAAAAAGGATAGCAAGAATCTGGTAATCGTTATAATCGTTGCAGTAATATCGGCTCTGCTTGCATTTGCATTGACTATAGCAATAATCTTTTTATGTCGAACGTCACCCCGAACGGATAATATCAAGACGCCGAAATCTAACGTTCTAACAATCGATTCAGCGCATTTTGACGGAAGTTATGACAAACGACAGGCGGTAAGTTCTTTCTTCTTTTATTCTTTACCTATTAGCAATTTGAAAAGAGCACCTTTTTGGTATTAAAAAATAGCCTGTATGCAGATTAATTCTTTATTTACAATTTACGATTTCTATTTATATAAATATTTATAAATTATTTATATATTTAATAATATTTATCGCAAAGTTAAACTTTGTTACATTTTACAACTAAACAAAAAGATAAAACAAGTCAACTTGGTACAGATTTTACGAGTTTTATCCATTGAAAAAAAACCCATTAAGACTTATGTTACATTGGTTGAAAAAACATTCCATTCGAACTAGTTTTCAAGAAAGAATATCCTGTTCTTTCGCTAACAAACATATATCTATGTATTGTGTAAAGGTAATTTCAACGCGGTCAACCAGTGCAATAATTTTTGTACGAACACCCGCTCTCCCTTTAGAAATATATTTTCAACTAGTTCGACCCATTGTGGTAGGGCCAACCGACGCTAGTTTAATTATCAGAATTGAGCTAATAGCCTTCTCCTCCCTTCCCTCCCCCCCCCTAACTAAAATTCTATAGTTAAAAAATCCCAGGGATGCAAAAGATAGGTTATAAAGAACGAGGATAACGAACTGTTTTCCCTTTTTAAATCATTTTTACCCATAATGCCGTTCGGTTACAAGTAGTAAATAAATAAATAAATATTGGTTAGGTTATTCAGTAAAGAATAAGTTATTTCTATATTGTGGGCGGGAATGGGTGGTGTCGAGTGTAAATTCCTTACAGTTACTTTATCATTATTAGTTACAAGTAAGATTGAAAATTAGATAAAAATTTTGAAGAGCGCGGATATTTTCAGCCATAAAAGAACTTATAATTTACACGTTGAGACAAATTTTTTTTATTGACACGGGTTGTAAAACACCGATATAAAAGTTTTTCAACCAACCACGTACGACAAACAGCCGCTTAAGGCTACTCGTATTATCGCCATTGACCGTTGTCCACTCATGTGCTGTCGTCCGTAAATGTTTTAGGAATGAAAGAAAAAAAAGGTGATATAAGCCTAACAAATGGGGGAGGAAACGGGGTCAAAGTAATTAATCACTTTTATAGGTAACTTTTAAAGGGCTTTAACTTGTCGGTTTAAGGGTGTGAGAGAGCGAAGAGGAGAGAGGGAGAGAGGTATTGGAATGAAAGAAAATAGAGGTTATGTGAAGGCAGGCGGTCTTTCCCTGTTAAAAGAGCTGTAATAAGTTTCGATCGTAAGAAGAGAAAAAAACATAAGGCTAAAGGAAAAAATAATGCTTTCGCACTAATTGATAATTAAGAGAAAGCGGGAGGAAGCTTCTCGAATTTTTTTCACCTTAATCCTCTTAAGCAGGACGACGTTCTGTCAGGGTTAATTAGACGTTGTTTGAGAGTTTTGGTCAGCGAGCGTTTAAAACACTCATTTCCCATCAACGATTAATCGATACTTAGTTAAATTCGAGCAATCGTCTTACTAATGGAAAGGTGAATGAGAGGAGAGGAGGGGAGAGAGAGAGGGAGAGGGAAGGAGAGAGAGGGCAGAAAGGTGAGAAAAAGAACGACAGAAGAATGAGTGAACGAAACGGCTACCTGTATAAATTACCTGCGTTGCCAGGGCAACCGTGCCGATTGATGCAGCACCTCGAACATCTGTATATCGCGCCTTTTGCTTTGTTTGTTTGTTGAATGAGCCGCCATCGTCCTTTCCCTCTTGAAAACACAAAATGAGGTACATAAGGTTATTTTTAAATACCAGCGTAAGACATCAATCGGGCGTCTCCCTTTTAAAAAATAATGTAATTTATCCGGTCAAATTTAGTATGCAGCGTCCTCATTAAATGAGTACGAGTTTGACCCTTATAAACATCGTACAGAAACGTATGTCTCTTCCAGCTCGACGGATATCCGTGAATGGTATAATTAAAACGTTAGTAACACTATTCTGGCGTTGAATAGGGTGTGATGAACATTGTTATTTTTACTCGTACTCTTCTATTCAATAATGTTTTAGAGCTAAAAGACATTATTAAGACAACTAAGAGCATAATCCCATCCCGTTCGACAGTTCATCTACTGCCTACGCCTCAGTGCATATTAGCTAATCATGCTATCTATTATATAATCGACGCGTCCTTTAAATATCTATCTTTAGGTTACGCACCGACCAGACGTCGCGATCGTGCGTTTCCGAAGGCGTCTCGTGAAAACAATTACGTAATTATTAGAAACCCTATTACATGTCCCATCGTATGTAGATAGCAAAAATAGTATTGGACTACCATTAGTGTTCTATACAAAGTAAAGAAAAATAGTCGGAGAATTGTACTAAGAAGAAAGTCACATATAGAATTAGGATCTTATTTCAGTTGGCTTACAGATATTCCTTTAAACCGCTTCTCACTGATCCATGCTTGCATTTCACACCGAACTTTTGTTTTTTATTTAAACAGCCGAACTATCCTGGAGACGACATCTCGTTCAACTCGATATCTAACGCGTCAGACAGCGGAAGAGGCTCAAACGATGATCCAGATGCCGTTCAAAACTCACCTGTAAAACTATCATCGGTTAAGGAACAATCGGCAATTGACAATCCTGGCTATACAATTTTCCCTGAGAAATTAGTTAGAGGTCGGCTGTATTCAAATTCACCAATTCTAAATGCCTCGGGGGATTCGTCAATGAGGAAATATAACGTTAGAATTCCAATCGCACCACCCGTTTCTAATTCACCGATTTTAACCGAGTCAGAAGAATCATCAATTAGGAAGTTTAACATCAGAGTTCCTGTTTATCGGACCGATTCAAATGACGAGAGAAGCCACTCGCCATCGTCTGTTCGAGCTCACCGAACCGAATCAAATTCATCTAAGCATTCAGTTCATCCTCATCCTCATGCATTGGCTATACATTACACACCGGCCATTACAAACGAAAAGTTTACCGAAGACCCTATAGTTCAAAGCATCGTTTAAAAAGCTTCAATCGACAGTATTCAAAAAACAAACAACTCAATTTTCACTGTTTTTCGCAAGTTTCTGTGTATTCTGTGTTTTTTCTCCTCCTTCTCCTCCTCCCCTAATTGTACAGTTGTTAAAAATGACAGTTCTTTTTTTTTTACCCAGTTTTTTTTACGTTTACCCTGATTATGTATTACAAGATACTTTATACCGTTTTTTTTATATATAGTTATTTATTTTATTCTTTAGTCATAATGCGATACGGGTATATAAAGGAACGTCTTTATAAGAGAAGCTACTCTCGATCTATGTAGAGGCAAGCAGGCGTTTGACAGACCGCTGAATGCGGCGACCCGCTCCCATTGTAAAGAAACATTCTTCAACCGCCAATTTCGCCTTCGAAACTCTTTTAATCGGCATCCAGGCGCCACGCTGAGTGCGGCTTGTTCGACGAGAAAACACTCGGTGCTAAAGAGGTTTAGGTAAAAAGTTAGCGATTGAATATTTCTCTAGAGAGAAAGGAGACTTAAAGAGGTGAATCCTCTTCGTTTAAGAGATGATTAAAAGAAGAGAATAATTAGATAATAATGCTGGAATAAAATAATCGTGTTATAAACTATAAAATTCCTCTTGTTCATGGAACAGCTGCCAAGCTCTATTGTTCTTCGCCTGATTAGCGCACGGTACTTAGAAAAGCGAGGGGTGGTAAATTGCTATAAAGGGGGGGACGGGAAGTGGGAGGGAGAGACGTTGTACGCGACGCCATTAGCGATAGACGCCTTGTCAGATTTCAAGAAAGATACGGGCGAGAACTTTCGTGTCATTGTCACTCATGTCAAGTTTTCTTAAAAAATAAGTAAACTATATGTTTTTCCCTTTTCATAAAGTCAGTAATAACTAAAAAGAAGAAAGAAAGGGAAGAAATGACAGATCAAAGCCCATAAATAATTATCTTATAAAAATCTTTATAAAATATGTAATGTTGTGTAAGGTTTGAATAGTATTCCGGACTGATATGTCGCGTACGGGTAAATTGATATGGTATATTGGTACGTTATTGCTTAGATGAACTTTTTCTACAGTTGTAAAAAAACTTTAATAGCTCCAAATATTGATTAGAGTTTGTGTTTTTACTGTTTTTAATAGCTTTATAACATCAGCCATACGGTTTGTAATTAGGTTAGAGGACTTATGCGTGTGTAATATAAGTACGAAATAGATGCGTGAGGTCAGGAGACGACGACGATTTCAGGCACGCGATACTACAGAAAGGAAATATTAATATAAATCTATATAATACCCATATAAAATCTTTTAATATTTCTTCTTTCCATTCTTATAGTTTAGAAATGAGATTTTCCCAATTGTAAAAGAGAACTTTGGCAACACATTAAAAAAAGAGAATCTTTTTAAAGGGTGCAAATGCGGAACGCGTGGCTTTCAAATCTGTCTCCCCCTCTCACTGTCTCTCTATCTATCTATCTCCTTGTCACACTCGCTTTCCGTGCGCTTCCTACGATACACCTTTACAATTTTTGATTTTTTTCTCCAATAGATGTCCTCATGTCGCTTGCTTTCTTGAGTAGATGGCGCTTGACAAAAGTAAATAGAGATCCTTTTCACCCTCAATGTTTTTAAAAGCTCTTTAATAGCTTGAACACTATTGTATAGATAAAAGATAAGTAGTGCATTAGTAAGACTAATTTGTGATTTCTGGTGTTTCACGTGAATCATACAAGTTATTTGCTATCTTTTTTTTCCTCCATAACGAAAGAATTCATCTATTATACATTAAAATTTATGACAAAATTCCATATTAAAATTGCAAAAAAGCTCGGTAATTTCCTCCCCAGTGAGTAGGTGGGAGTAGGAAGGAAAAAGTAGAATTAAAAACACACGATTCCCCCCTTCTTCATACTTGCTCTTCTCCTCGAGATGAGTAATAGACTAGCTTGGAAAAAAAGAAAGCTGGTAACGTGTAAGATGATTCCTTGACACGACGTCATACGAAAGATTTCGCATAACGATATCTCAAGAGACAGAACTCTGCAGATTTGCCTAATAGGATAATTATCTATAGTGAAAGGAATGCCTGAAGTAAAGCGATTGTACAGAATATAATCGTGGAGGAAACCTTGAGAAAGTTGCACGCAACATTATACCATCCAGTTGAATAATTAGTGTTTCTCTTTGATTTACATATATTGCTAATAGTAATTAATCATTTTTAACAAGATTCTAATCAAATAAGTCATTTGTAAAAAAATCCCTCTTTTCCATATAAGTAATCTTTCTCTCTGATAATTTGCATCTTTCCGCTTCTCTGCCTCTCTCTCTCTCTCTCTCTGTGTATTCAGAGATTTTTGATAAAAGTTGGAATATACTTTTATATTCTACAATTATAAAAATTCCATCAATAAAAACAGATTCTTTTTTAATAAGTCCATTGTGGTAACCTTTTTTCTGCTATTTTATTGCGAATTATTGTACTTTTTTACTCATTTTATAAACTAATTTACCCCATTATTTATATTTTATTAATGATTAACCTTTAACAATAGCGATTATTCATTGTACTATTAAATTAGATGTGACACTGAGAAGAAAAGATGAGATATATAACTGGTATATATAAATGCCTGGAGGTAGAAGAAGAAAAAGAAGAAAAATAGATTCTTTTTTTAAATCTTTCTTTTTATTTTCCATTCTTATAAAAGTAATAATAAAAGATATTTTCCAATTGTCAAATAAGAACTTTGCCAACACATTAAAAATAGATTTTCTTTTACTTTATATATATATTATATATATTAATATACGATCGTTAAGTGAATTTGTGCATTCATTCATCCATCTATTCTTTCTTTCTATCCATTTAAAACTTATTACCCGTATTTTTTTTTGAAAGACTAAATAAGTATGAAAATGATAGGTAAAAGTAAACAAATAAATAGATTTTTGTATTAACGATAGATGGCGCTTTTTATTGTAGAAATCTTGTTTTAGTAAGTTATTGAGTTGTCTCATCCTTTAGTTTTTCACCTTCCCGTGTGAAAACTATTTATAAGGTTATTTTATATCTTATCGCTATAACTTTTTCCTACGAGTTAATCGTTTCAATAGTTTAACACTAGGGTGGGAAAATCGAAAGGTCTACTTTTAATAGGCCTCTTGTATATGAAAATTTTTTTTCCCACCGCCTACTGGGGCTGCTTTGTTTAATCTCCCAAAAATAAAGTTAATTTATCCATTATTGAATTTATAAAGCGGTTTTTTTTAACAGCCATTAATAGCCTAATACGGCGGGTGATGTATAAATGCCGCAAGGGTAATTGACGTTCAGTTAATCTTGCAATTGAGTGGTCCCTGTGTAAATATTGTAATTACGGTAAATAAAGGAGACAATAGCCGGGGGGCTGAAAAGGAGAAAGAGAGACAGAAAAGTGAATATAATGAAAAATAAACTAGGTGTCTCCACCCCTGTTCAGTTTCTTTGTGAGACGCCATCTGTTGGTTTGAACACTGATGGAACGCTTCTCGTGTAAACGCCGCTGCGGGCAAATTAACCGTAGCGGAAAATTCATCAATGAAGTATTCATGTTACGAAGATTTCAATACAGCTGGCACTAATTTATTTACCGTATATCACAAATACCTTTGTAAAACTTAATCGGTCCCTAGACGCCCTTCAACGTACGCTTATGTTTGAATTGCAAAATAAAAGACGCTCGATAAACTAAACTAACTTTACGTTATTACTTATAATGTACTCACGCCGGTAGACTAACAACTTCTCATTAGGCAAAGTCATTAGACGCTTAGCTAGAGACAAAAGAGGCAGCAAAATATAGTTCATATATTAGGTGTCGACTACAACGATTTTTATAATAAAAAAAAAAAGAGGGAAGACGACTAGAAAACGAGCGGTGGAATGAAGAAAAGAAAAGAAAGTGGGAAAAAGGGTCTATTGGGAAGGATAAGAAAATCTAATAAATACGGTATTAAAATTTTGAGGGTTACAGTGAAATAGAGTTGACGTAAGGTTCAAAGGATTTCGGACGATGGTCGGCATACAATTTAGGGCTTAAAAATTTTTAAATAGACTCAACCATTTAGTCAATCTATATAAGTTTATATAAAGTAGAAGCTACAGAAACGAATAAACGAGTTTATTAAAGTCATTAGATGGAAATATATTTTTTATTGGGTTTTTATTGTGGTATGAAAATGAGAAGAGACCTAGTTTATAAAAAAAAGTTAAACCGTGCCACGAATTACTAAACGCTCGTCCGTCACGCGTCTATATCGATGAGCAGAGGGGAAAATAGGAAATAATTCGAGTAGTCACTCTACCGTGAAATGTGCCTGTTACGCAACAAGCGGATTTTCGTTAATGAATACATTTAGCGGATTATCGACAAAGATATATGATAATAATAATATATAGTTCCGTATATATCTGTATTTATAGAATCTCTTCAGATATGTAAAGACGAATATATATATGTTTTAGTATTTAACTTTAAATACATATATAAAACTACTGTGTATAATACAAACTGTATCTCTTACAAGTAAAAAGTATACACTATCTACAGCCTATTCGGAAGTACTCAGTTAGAAATTCTCTTTTTTAAGGAATAATAGGCAAAAACAAATCAAATATATCAAGCAAATAGTCGTCTATATTAGCCGAATTAATACCTTAGATAGATATCGACGTTTTTACAGCCCCAGCAAACAGTCGTTAAAGGCGAAGGAATTCCTTGAGCTGTATGAAAATTAAATAGCAGTGGGCGTTCATAAAACGCAAATCACCCCGACTTAATTAGTTTAAAATAACCCTGCTCGGCGATTACTCGAATACTAATACGTTTGGATAAAGTTTGTGAGAATGATTAAAGGCTATAATTAGTTATATATACCCCTCCTTTTACTATTTACGAGGAATGCCAAATACCGGCAAACGCAATCCGTCAATAATACTTGTATAAACATATCGGGAATTGAGATGGAGTTTGTTAGGAGGAGCGGCACGTTTAAAGCAGTCTGTAATCAACTCCGATATTGATCGTTCTCGTTCCTACAAGTAAATCACTTTTCCTTTCTCTTATCCCTATCAAGATGAGAAAAATCGTGAATAGAAGAAAGAAATAGAGCGAGAGATCGAGAGAAAGAAAGAATAAAAGAGACAGAGAGAGAGAGAGAGAGAGAGAGAGCAAAAAAAAGGGAAAAGAAGAAAGGAGAGAGGATAGTGTATTCTGAGACAAAAAAAAGAGCAAAAGAGTTTTTTGGAAGAGAGAGAGAGAAATGAAAATGGGAAAAAGTATAAAAAAAAAACAAATAAAAATTCGCCGACCTATTGTTTTGGATTTGATAGAAAGTGGCATGTGCGGGGAGCGTGTTGTTGAATAGAACTAGTTGCTATCAAAAGAATGGTTTGTCACGCTCCATTGCGCCATTATTCGACGCCAATGTATTTCAACATCTTTTATTCATTTTAGCTCGAGGCGCGTGACTTTTTCGCTTAACGCACCTGTACAAGAGGTCGCCTCTTGATTACCCTATGATACTATGATAGGATAAGGATGTTAGTCACTGATATTCTTGTTTGTTTGGGAACTTGAATGAGTTCAACCAATCTCAAATGAAATGAACCGTACACGAACAAATAAGATTCCATTAGAGGCCCGTCCACCGAATGGCAGTTTAGACAACAATAACAATCATTCACAGTCTATATCCTCTTAGTTAAGTATCACCTGAAATTCATCATTTTCACAGTCAACTTTATGGACCCACAACTGAGATTGATTGTAATCGCATTTGATTATCGCTCAATCGCATTGGACAAATCTTACAATTTACTACGGAGATAACGCCGATTAGACGTTTTAAATATCATTCTCGACACATTACCCATCTAACTGCGCTATGGAACGCTTCGCTTAACAGATGGACAATCTTGAGTCTTCGTAAATTTTTCAAATCATCACCTCCGCATTGTTTCATTTTCAAACGCTTGACCAATCAGCAATGTGTAGGTGGCGCTACAATCGCCGTCAAAGTTGGATTCAAAACTCTATCTTCCGCTGGAGCGGACAACTGTGTAACAGAGAATACTGTCGCTCTAAATAATCGTTTCATTTATGACTGATTTTGTTACAAACGGATTAATTAAATAAAAGAAAGTAATTTGTCAGAGGTGAGCTAAGCCTTCTTCTTTTATACTAGTAAAAAATAGAGAAAAAGGACCTTTGAGAGTATGTAACGTGCTCTTGTTAGAACGAGTTCCTTCGAATGCCCACCGAACCATTAGGCTCTACTCTAGGGATTCGCTTAGACGTTTCTCTATCGTTCTACAGTTAAACGATGCGTTCGACCATTGATAAACTTATTCTTATGTCGACCAGTGGCTAACTTAAAGATAAAAATCTGTGCGCTAGCGTCAGATTTCATGTACAGGCCTAAAAAGCGTTTGCTTTACATGCTCTCCAACAAAGAGAGCATCCCTAGAAAAAAAAAGTATCGCTTTCAATCACTTAAGAAAGTGTTTGGTAAAAGGCGCAAAAATAAACGTCCCTCCCGCGGAGACGCAAATGATAAAAGGCTGCCGAATATCTTGCATTATAGCACTCTTCAACGAAAGAAGCAGCAGCTTTAGCGCATCTGTTCAGCACTTCTTGTACACACCTTTTTGTACCACATATATATAGTCAAACACTATAAACGCTCTAGTCAGTGTACAGATTTGCACAAGATAAGTAAGAGAATAAAAGAGAAAAAAGAATCTGAGCGATTTTTATTGTCCCGAATCCTCTTCAGCTCACTCTCTCTTTTTCTCATGGGTTCCGGGAAAAAAAAAGAACGTCCGTGAGCGTCACATGTTTTTAGGCAGAACGCTCAAAGAATAGTTTGCATGTATTTGTGATGGATGACTGTAAAAACAGCTAGACGTCTCTTTTTATAGATCTCTCGTAATAACTTAATAAGCTTATATAGCTTTTTATTTTTGCACAAGGCGGGTTTATAGAAAGTGAAGCGAATGCATCATGCACGAATTGAACAATAAGATGATGAATGTTGTAGTAAGATGACTATATCGATATTCACCTACGATTCTACGGTTCAATTGTTGTGCGATCTTAGAGCTTGTGCATTTTTTAGAGCACTCCTTCTAAAGTGGGGGCACGTGTTGACGTCTAGTGACGTCAGAATTATCGGGCTTGTGTGAAAATTGAACCACCAGCAGCTGGCAAAAACTATGTCCTTCATTATTTACTCTCTTTTTCTAATTCTTTATGTACTTCACCATTGTTCAATTTATTGGCTTACGTAATTAGAGATGTTATCGGACACAAGAGCAATAAAGATAAAGAAGAGACGCGGGTGAGATGCTTCATTAAACCTATTGTGGTTGTATGGAGATACGGGATATTTATGTACGTCGTGTTCATCGATCTCCGCAGGCGTTTACATTTAAATTAACCTATTGTTAAGATGTCTACAACCTCATAACTTTTATTGTATACATATCCAACTAATTTGTGTCTTGTATTTGTGTCTAGTTTATCGACTTGTGTCTAGTTATTCTCCCCTTCCCACCCACCCCCCTTCCCTATATCCCCCACTCTTACGCATTCTAACCCCTTGCTTAACCCCAAAAAGGAAAAAATTTACCTACCGTAAATGGAGACGAGACAAAAACTGAGGATAATTGATTTTATGCGTTTAAACTGAAACAATAGACATTCCTCAAGATCAATAAAATACATAAAAGTTTGCATAAGATACCGTTTGATCAACCAGTTGATGTTGTAAATATAATAGTACTTAAGTCGATAAAAACGCCTTCTACCTGGAGGGCTCCCGTACAGTTTTCTTTACATATCCCCGCCAGAATAAACTGCTGGAAAATCATTCTTGCGATTAATTAATTAATTGCCCATATTGGTTGTCGATAAACAGAAACTTTTTATTCTCTTCCATATCGTTTGTCAATTGACAGAGAGAGTGTCGATTTGTAGAGTGAATATTAGAGGAATGAGGAACGTCAAATATATGATGAATAAAACGAAGAGAGATAGTTAGTTAGCGAGTGAGAGAGAGAGAGAGAGAGAGAACGACAGCGACAGACATAGACAAAGGACTAATAGACACGAGATAAATGGGATAAATTACTCTTGAGGGGTAAGGTGTGTTTTATGTGAAGTGATAATTTTGGCAAAGTACATTGAAACTGTATATAAAACCATATAAAAGACACCAATTAAATATATTTCTGCTTCAATTATACTTACACTCAATATGACACTCCCTGTTTATTTCAACCTTCTTAATTTAGAAATTCATCTACTGCGAACGAAAAATTCATTGAATTAATTAATTGGTGTATTGAAACAAATAAAAGTGTTATCAATATAAAGTTAAGCACGTTCTTCATACAATTGCACCTTTCAATTCGTCGCAGTAAGATTGTTCAAACATTCCGTAAGCGAAGGTCTTTCGCTAAAAGCTTGTAATGTTGTCGTTTTTAGTAATCTTTGTTTCCGCAGGGCGGAAGGCGAAAGAACAACATTTTTTTGAAGGAAAATATGCGAAGCAGCTTAAAGGTTGCCGGCTTCCTCGTTACGTTTGCCGTTGGCGTACTATCCAACGTCTTGAGATATAAGGTGACGGAAAATGCGACAGCCGGTTACCTACTAACGAAAGACCTTAGAAAAGATCTGGATTTGCCAAGTAAACTGGTACGATTTATCCTGCATAATAGCCAAGAACACGACGACTTGTACATAGACAACGTCGAACTTAGATTAAAGGAGCCGATTGATAGAGACAAGAGATGCCCTAATAAGGCTAATTGCAAACTAAGTTCTCTTTTAAGTTATTCCGAAATAGATCCAAGCAGGAATATTGCTAACGGGAAGGAAGAATGGAGCCAGATAGAAGTCGAATTGTTAGACATTAATGACAATCGACCGGAATTCAATAAATCACTCTTAAAGCTTAATATAAGTGAGAATATATCCATTAATTCCAGTATTGAACTAATCGAGGCTAAAGATAATGACTCGCCGCAATTTTCAATAAGGTCATATAATATGACTCCAAGCTATAGTGAATACTTTGATTTAATATACGAAAATGGAAAGATACCGCAATTAAGGGTGAAGAAGATTTTGGATAGGGATAACTCGAATATTGTCTGGAATTTCACCTTTTACCTTACGGCTACGGATGGCCGCAACTGGGCTAGATGTAAAGTTAATATCATAGTTCAGGATGAAAATGATGAGAAGCCAGTATTTGAACAAAGCTCCTATACCGTAGAAGTTCGAGAAGAGACGAGCGTCAACTCTAGTATTTATCGTGTCAAGGCGTTTGACAATGACGCCGGACCTTTAAACTCGCTGATTACCTATAGTCTGCACGGAGATTCGGATTCTACATTTGATATTGACAAGAAGAGTGGTAAGATTAGTTTGAAGAAGAAACTAGATTTTGAAGTGAAAGAGAAGTACGAGTTAATTATTGCAGCTTCAGATTCGGGCGAAAAGAGAAAAACAGCAAAATCTAATTTACTTGTTAAAGTTTTAAATGTTGATGACGAACCGCCGGAAATATACGTGAATCGTGAATCTCTTAGGCCTATTGTTGAGGGTGTTCAAAAAAGGACTTTCGTCTTTTATATACGCTTAGATGATGTTGATTCACCAAAAAATTCAAGTAGTCGCTGCCGCGTAAACGATACGCGTTTGGAAGTTTCTAAAGTGCCCGAATATCCTTATCTTCATCAAGTTGACTCCGTGGCCGAGTTTGACAGGGAGGCCACACCCTTCGTTAGCTTGTCACTCATTTGCAGCGACGTCGCAAATAACAAGGCGACGCATGCAATTAGCGTCGATGTGCTCGACGTCAACGATTGTTCTCCGAAATTCGAGAAAGATTTCTATAAGAAAACTATCGACGAATCTATTCCGATTGGAATGACCATTCTAACCGTCAAAGCAATTGATAAGGACGAGGGAGAAAATGGTACTGTAAACTACCGACTAACTGGCGAGGGCTCGCATTACTTTTCGATCGATAAGAGCGGACGAATAATGACTAGAGAAAAATTTGACGTCGATCACGCTAATCAGCGTAATTTAGGTGTTGATCCGTCATCAAATTCTCTGACATTGAGTATTGTAGCGGCCGATAATGGAAAACCGTCAAGAAATTCAAGTGTCGACCTACATATTCGAATTATCGACGTAGACGACAATCCAGTCGTATTCGATTCCAGTTCTTACGTGTTTCGAATTCAAGAAAATTTCCTTCCTAATAAAGTTCCTCTTGGCCAAGTTAAAGCTAGCGATGCCGATCAAACGTTTAATAAATTTAAGTACACAATGAAGACAAGAGAACTAGAAAACTTATTCTTTGTCGATAGCAAAAGTGGAGAAATAGAGTTGATTAAGAAATTGGATAGAGAAAAATCTGAGAGTTACGTTTTAGTTATTCTGGCTGAATCATTAGACGGTCCGTCAACAGCTACAACGACCGTAACTGTGAAAGTGTTGGATACTAATGACAATGCTCCAGAGTTTCTTTTTCCTCCAATTGATCATTATAGAATGAAAGTTTTTTCAAGCACCGAGATAGGAACAAAGATAACTAGATTGGAAGCGGAAGATATTGACGGAGAAGAAAACTTCCCATTAATATTCGAGGCTGTTAGCCAATCCCCCTTTTTCGAAATCACTCACGACGGCTACATAACTGTTAAGGAATCATTAAGCAACCTGATAAACGAAACTGTAGAATTAAGACTGACGGTTAGAGATTCCGGCACCCCACGACTCCGGTCGAATAGGACGCTGGAACTATCGATAATCGAACGTAACGCTCTACCGTCTCAACTCGATCAAAGCTCGAAAAGGAATTTAATAATAGTCATTTGCGTCGCCTCTCTGTCAACAGTCGTCATCATCTTCCTTCTCGCAGCCATACTCAACTTACTTAAAAGACGCCGTCATCGCGGAACGCCTAAATTCGATGCGGTACTCAGCATACGTGATAACGACGAGAATAGAGGATTAGGATCGTGTATAATCCATCAATATCCTAATAGACTGAATCACGATTCATTCTCTACGGATAGTCATCATTCCAACGATGGATTCTTATCGAAGGTAAGACTTAAATTCCTGTGAGACACACACAGCTGTGTGCGTATACTAGTATGTTGAAATCCTTCCAAAGAGGGTAGGCGAGAGGGGTTTTATGTAGAACATGTCCGATTGATCCGATAATATCCTGTGCCCTATCGAACGCCTGTTTTAACAAAAAACTCCGTTCATCAATCCCCGATAAAGAAACGTTTCCGATCGGAAATAGAAGTCAGATTAGATGATGAGCCTGACTTTTGTCTTATTAAATCTATAACTTCGGCGTTGCTTTGTTCTTTCAAAAGAGTTAGGAGAGAATTGGATATCGCGTACTTTTTTCTTTCTGTATGAAAAATGCTTTAGGCCAATAACATAAAAGGGCAACAAGGAGAGAGATCTGCTGTGTCAATATTTCTAAGCCTATATACGGCAGCTTAATGAGCTCTTTTAACGCAACTAGCGTGTCAAATAGGCTGACGTCATCCGTTGCGTAACTTCTAAAACGTTCAAGCTGATTGACAACTAGTAGGAGTGAAGTAAAATCAAAAAAACGAAGAAAAACCGGCAGGGGAAAAAGAGTTGAACGCGTGCTGGTAATTAATCGAAGTCGATTGTAACAAAGCCCCCCTCCTAATACGTCTGTTTGAAGAGCAAGCAAGGAAAAATATGTGCCGAATGAACTCGATACTGTTGAGGAAATAAAACGTACGCTATTTATGTACATAAGGACGGTGACGCGCCTCTCGAAACTGCAATCTTAAACCAACCAACGAAACCGAAATTAGTTCTGCTGACACACGGCCACGTGTCAAAAAATCTGTCCATTTCCTCTCTTCCTCAAAAAAAAACGAATTGTAAATTGTATGATTTTTTTTCTTTAAAAAAAAAAGCAAAAGCTGGCAGGGGAGTGGAACGACTACAGCCGGAAATATTGTTGGCATTATTTCATAAAGAAAAGAGGGAGGGTTGGGCCGGGGGAAGAGAAACGATGAAAAAATGACCTGCGGCGAGTGGGACAGGTGGTTCCTGTGCGCGAACCGTCATTAAGCGTTAATTTATGTTCGAGTACCGATATCCCCCTATTATAGAGAATATTGTATATATTGAAACGCGTGCCGGATTTTCGCTCTTCTCCATACAATATACCGTGAAAAGCCGCTCAGTTGTTATGTTTTTCTATAACAATATACACAAAAAAGGGGAGGGGTTAAGAAAAACCCGAAGCATTTGGCACGCGTGTACATCCTATACATATTACATGAACAGTTCTGCAAGAGAATAAAGCTGTCACATAGCGTCCTCGGCATGTCTCACTCTCCCCTTATGTTCTTACTACGTAATAACTTGAGATATAAGTTGATCACCTCGTTCGGCAGCTGTTCGATCCCGCCTACGTTCGTACCCTACCTCTGCACCTGCAGGCATTTTTCTCTTCTCGCTTTTTTATGCTGAATTTTCAGCGGGATGCCTACTTTACATATAATTAACCGTTTTCCCAATTCTTCCACCCCTTCCTACAGTTATTCTCGACTATCAAACGTCTTCCGAGTGTATTTGATGATTATGTAATTATTAACCCTATTACGTTTTATATACCATTTCAATGACAACTTCTTAGCCACTACTCGATTACGTCCTATATTCACGTATTACCTTTAATCAGTCTACCGCTTCCAGGGCTATTTTCACGTACATTTATACCTTCGTTTATAACTATTGCTTACTTTGGAGTTCTTTTTTTTATTGCGGAAACTCGCCATATATCTAACCTAATTGAGAACTATTGCACATGGACGCTATGACGGTAGCGGCCCTCCTTTCTCATCTCGATAATTTCAGGCGCCGCTGAAAATTGAGTAAACAAAAAGATAAAAGTGGCCGGGTTGTGGACGTTCGAGGGGTTTTTTTTATTTAAAAAAACTAGCAGCTGCCGACCGTCACGCCGTTTAACTTGACAATTTAATAACAAAGCATTCGCAAGCTAACTACTGCCACGAACTCCAGGCGTTCAAACAACCTCCGACCGCCTAAAATGTCAAAATTGTCGACCTTCTTTTGATGTATTAGTTTTCGTACCATTTCATCCCCTTTTACCTTTTGAATTTTCAATACCTTGACGACGCCAATTCTTTTTTTTCCCTTTATATAGACATTTCACCAACAAATTGTTAATTCATTTCAATTTTTTATTAGACGCCTCAGGACAGTCACGAATCGAAAAGTTCAACTGAAAAGTCTAAGCAAGGTAGCATAACATCTGAATGGATAGAAAGGCATGCAACAACTTTTGTGGTAAACTTTTTTTGCTCTCTGTCTTTATACTTATCGTCGTGTCACACAAGGCGTCTCTTTTCCATATCATAGCCCTCTGGCTATCTAGTTTTTGAAGTAATATAAAAAAAAGAAATTTCTATTACAAAAAAGAGGCAAGAATAAAAAAAAGTAGGAGAAGCACTTGAAATCCAAATAGCTTTGATGCAGAAGTGACAATGATAATTGCGCTCGAGAACCGGCTCAACGTAGATTTAACCTAATCGCTAGTTTCTGTGTATTGTTGTCATTCGGCTATTCTAAAGTCTTTTGTTCTCAACTACTTTAAATAGGGCAGCACAAAACCTGCCGAGACAACCTGCGAAGATAACTCATCAGCCGATTCGGGACATTGTTCAGAGGATACACCTAGAATAAGCGTATCACCGATGAAAGGTAAGATAAATTTTTTAATTAGCATAAGGGAACACGTCTAGACGATCTCCTTTATATGGAGACAAAAGCCTGTGTAAAAACATTGAGTTCCTTTTTGTTTTTCCCCAGCCGACAGCATCACGAAAGAGGAAGTACTTCGTCGAATGTCGTATAATAAGGAATTTAAGCCGAGTAACGGCATCGATAGTCGAATACTCGGCAGGAAGAGCGTCACTTTTATGCATCCTCTAACAACTTTTGGAAGGGGGGATCGTAGTTCTGATTCAACATGCACAATCCTTTCTAGTCAGGTCTAAACTAAGAAAAAAAAGGATTTAAAAAAATAAAGCTCTGTCGAATGAACTAAAGGCCATTTCTTTGCAAAAAGAGACTAACGTTCTTCTTCTTATTATTATTATTACTATTATAACTTGTACATATTTATGCTTGTTTTTTGTTACGATTTTTTCATACGTCTTTTTTATATGCATATTTTTGAATGGAAAAAAATGAAAACACAGAAGATGAAACTTTAATGAGAATGTAAAGAAAACAACCTTTTTGGTTAAAGAAGCTAATAAAATGGTAATAAATAACCTTTAAAACTCCTTCTATTTTGATAATTGCTGTGCAATCTTTTTCTAAAGAACGAAAACGTTTGTTATTGAATGAAATACAAAAAGTTTTTTCAGAAAAAAAAATACTTTCCAACGGAGATATAATGTGTTTTTACCCTTATTTATTCTTTTCCTTTATATATTCTATAAAGTTTATCATTCAAGATATTCTCTTTTCAAATAGATATACAAATAAATTAGCAGGCAAAAATATCTAAGAATGGAAAACAGAGTTGGGTGGGAAAGTAAGAAAGAAAGAGAGAGAGAGAGAATGGGAAGCTTGAAGAAAAGTAAAAACTAGGGATAAATAGATAAATTGATAGATAAATGGATGGCTACATAGATGGAACAACATAAAAATTTTTTAACTATTCTTTTTGGAAGCGTGCGTTATTGTACGCCTAATTAAACCGATAATTGCATGACAATCAAACGCAACGACGCGGCTGCTGCAAACACGTGTTGCAGCAAACGAAAATTTTTAACACCACGGTTAGATTTCCTTTAAATTGATGGGGGTACAAATACGAGTTAGGGGTTAGAATAAATACCAGCCGAAGGTATTCCATCGAAAGTACTTATTATATATAGCGACATCTATCGGACATTTTTCAAAAAAAATGATATTTAGTTTCGTTACTTTATTTGATATGTTAAACGTATATTTGTATATATGTATGTATGTATGTTTGTTTGTTTGTTTGCTTGTAGTTTCTTACAACTATCTCCTGTATACAGTAATTCATAAAAAAAATAGGGAAAAATAATAAATTTCTCAATCAAATAGTAAAAAAATATAAGCTGTACAGAGGAGAGAAAAAAAGAGAGAGAAAGAGAGAGAGAGAGAGAGAGAGAGAGAGATAGACAGGTAGACGTATAAAGAAATATAGAATAATCACTTTAAAGCATACATTTTTATAGTTTTTCCACACATATTCACGGTCTAGTTTGTTTGTATGTTTTATATTTTATTTTGTTTAGATGTTTAATACTTAAACTGCAGGTAAATTTGAACTGTCTATCTCGTTAATAGGATGCTCAACGTCAGATTTTTTTCTTACAATTTCTTGAACGTGCTTCTCAAGATTTGTTTCTTTATTTAAGTTTAAATTTGAACTTTCGTAGATAATCCTCGATGAAACTGGATTATGTATAGGTGAATCAGTAATTGTAGTACTAACGTTTAAATCAGTTCTACCGCCTTCCGATGTTAATTTTATTAATGCGGCTCTTTCCAGTTCTAATTGTCTAACGTGATTTTTCATCTTTGTTTGCGAATCGTAAACTAATTGTAATTCGTCTTCTAAAGATCTTATACGTCCATTTGCGTTTTGTAATTGTTCTAATAGTTCTAAATTTTGTGTTTTTAAACTCTTGATTATAGCTTGAGTTTGATGAAGTCTTTCAACACTATCTATTGTATTATCTTCATCACCTTCTTTCGAAGGACGGGATAATAACTCTTCTTGAAGCACATGGAATTCTATCTCATAACCATGTAATTGGCGTGCAATGTCCATTTCGAACGTCTGATTAAAAACCCTTTCCATTTGTATAATTCCCATCTCAGGTAGAGTAGTTTTAAGGAATTCAACTATAGTTTCAAGACTATTACATTGTTTTATTAATTCCCTGTGACTTCCGAGTAGTATTATGGCTACTTTAAGAACAACATCACGGCCTTCATGAAGTATTAAATCGAAAACTCGTGCAACAAAGCCTAATGGAAATTGAGAAGCGAAGAGAGTTAGAAACCAAGGGGCTGCGTAGAGTGCGGGAGCAATTTGATGTTTTTCCAAGTGTTCGTGCAAGTCGGGGTGCATATCGTGCAGAAGACGAGATAACTGGTACATTTGACTTTGTAATGCCATCATATCAGGTCTATATTGCCTCCTGAATCCCATATTGAACATAAGATATCGAAAAGTATCAAAAGCATCTTCCTCATCCATATGCATAAGTAAAACGCCAGCAACAAAACTTAAACCTTGGCAATAACCTACCTCTTTATCTAAAAGAGAATAGGCCTTAAGTATATTAAACAAAGCCAGTTGACCGGTGCCTAAATTCTTTGAGAAATACGGATGAGCGGGAAACGTCCGTCCTAAATCGATAAGAATAGAATGTTGGTGGGTAGTAAGCTCTTTTAATAAATCATAATAAGGTGTATTCATCGCCCAGGATGATTCAATTTCATTGTCTGTTATAGAGGATCGTCCTTGTAGTTTGTTCTGACTGACGAGTAATTGCCAAATATCGCCACGTAATTTGCGAGGGACCCCTATGTAAATGAAAGAATAAATAAAACTAAGAACTACAAAGTAAAGCAGAAAGATTCAATCAAATAACAGGCCTATTAACTACATATGCCTGTTTACATGTAGGCTATAAATAATATAATAATATATATAATGCGTGTATATTTACCGTCCCTAACAGCTTTTAGTAAAATGTTTCTAGCTATAGGCTTATCCTTTGGGAAGCTAAGCATAGCCGTCCATTCTTTTGTTACTTCCTTTAAGCATGGTGTGATCTCGTCATAATCCAATTTAAGCCGTTTAGCTTCAGCGGCATCCTGATGAGCTGTGTATTAAAAATATACAAAAAAAAGAAAACAAATAGCACACTTGTTAAAATCATAACAAAGAGAGGGATAGATAGATATAAATAGAGAGAGAAAGAGAGAAAGAAAAACAACACAACTATATACTGTATAAATGAACGCTTTTCCGTTTAATATTAATAAATATCCTTCATAAAAACGAAAACAGAATAAAAAACGCAAAAATCGTAGAGAAACAAAAAATAAAGAAAAATTATTATAGAAAATATAATAAATATTACAGAATAATTCGACGACTGAAGGATGAAATTCGTCTTTATATAACGATTCAATAGTTGTTTTCAATTTTGTAAAAATTATATTCAAATTAATACGTTTTCTCCTAATAATTCTTCCAGTATTGACTATTCGTATACCTAGGTATTCTGAATCCATTGAATGAAAGACTTTATAATTAATGTAACACATGTTCAAAAATTGCTAAAAACATTCTTTTTTTTTTATTTTTTTGTTTTTTTAACCAATGGATAAATGATGTAAAAGATATTTCTATATTCTAAATTTTTGTACGAATATCAACTAATCCCTTTCTGAATTTTTATGATTATACATAGCCTTAAGAATTATGTCAACTTTCCTCTCGTTTTTACCGTTTTTTGTTAACATTTAGTTGAGGATTATACGGTATATAAAGACTATCACCTGTTTCTATATGTCGAAAGTCTTGTTGAATTTCTTCGCATTGTGGACAATGACCATCTCCAAGATATACAATAATTCCTTCACTATTGCTTAATAATAAAGGCTTACTCTCTTCGGTTAAATCGTTTAATGATCCAGAATTGGATTTTATAACCCTTCTATCTCTATAACTCGAAATTAATTCGGAATCTGTAGAGCATTTTCTAAGTAGTACGCAATCGTCGATAGAACTTTTCCTCCTTAACAAAGGTTTGCGTTCTTCTTCGTTTTTCTTTTCATCTAATTGCTCGCTAAATACAGGTGACAAAGAAACAATTCTTATTGCGTTTGTAAATGCTGTCATCCATTTTGATGAATTGGCAAATGACGTCTCCATTCGTATAGCATTCCAGCTCAAGAAACGAACGATAAATAGAAAAGAACACCATAGAAAATGCTTTATAGATTTTTCCAATATTACACAGCTGTGCATTTGTGTGCACTAAATATATACATTTATGGAAGAGAATTGCAGGCAGGCCTATAGTACCCCTATGCTAGCAAGTTGTTTTTTTTTCCCTATTCATTCGTACAACAAGATACGCTTACGTTTTGACACATGTCAATTGATATATGCATATACTAATATATAGTGTATATATACATATAAACAATACTTGTACATATAAAATTTTATAGCATTGCGTACAATATACAGTTTATCAATACGCATATATATACATATAGTATATACGTTCAGACATTGTATGTAAACTATATACAATATATCATATATATATATGCGCTGTTCAAATGTAAATGATGATTAATTGACTAAACACTTACCGCTAATTATATTATTTTGTTTTTCCATTCGTATCCACAATAAAGTTTCTAATATCGCCTTTTTGTTTAAAATAATTAAATAAGAAAATTAAAAAATTTGCTTTCATTAATTAATTAATAAAAAACTTTTCTCGCACTTTTCTCCATCTTTTTCTCGCTCGTCTACTCGCATTTAATTCATTACCAATCGACAATTTCTCCACAGAACAATCATCTATAAAACAAACATAGGAAAGTGATATGATGAAACACTTTTATTGAAAAGTTATATACTGAATATGTATATATAGTATATATACAGATATATATATATACTATAGATATTCAATCGATTAAGCCTAAGTAATATACAAATAAAAGTACATGGACTTTTAGTATTTGAAAGCATCTATGCCATATTATACTTTGCATTCTAACCATTTAAACTAAAACTATCACGTGATTAGAACAAATTACTTTTAAATTAGTGACGGTTTCTTTTTTTATAAAATTACTGAATAAATTAACTAAGTAAAAGAAAGAAAACACAAAACAAACAAACAAACAAAAAAAAGTTAGATACCTTCTTTACACAGATTTGGTAATGTAACTGGTGTAACTACCGTCTGTAGAATACTAGTTCTCCAAGCCCTCTTTGAAGAGCTTGAAAACATAAAATGGTTACCATTAGCAACAACCGGCGTTGTTGGTTGTGACATGGCTCGTGTTATGCTATCAGGGGAAATTCCTTTTTCAGTGTCAATCTTTCATAAGTGATATCATTAATCTAATTAAGACGAAAAGTAACTTACAGTAACTTATTCGGCCTAAAAGTAGATCTACTCTTTAGAGTATTCCTATAAGAAAAGAAGAAAGAAGAAGAGAAGAAGAAAGTAGAAATGAAAAAAAAAAGTATATTTACTTACGATTTAGTCGAAATTTCGTCTTCAGAGCCGTCACTTTTATCCTCTGTATCACTTGCAATAATCCTACGGCCAAATCGATAGGGAAGAGTTCTACAACGTCGAACCATAATATCCGGCGAAGTATTCAAAAAACTTGGACGAGGTCTTAGATTTGCCGTTGGCTTAGATGGTGTTTTGTCCTCACTTTCATCAGATATTGAACGTTTTCGAACGCTTCCGAAGCTACTATCAAGTTCGTCTGAGTTTTCATTTCGATCGAATAGTTGAAATGGCTACAAATAAAGGAAGGAAAAAAAAGAGAGAAAAATGACGAAAATTTAATATCTCCATCAATAATAGGAAGAGAAAAAACTGGGGCAATTGAGCCTCTATTCTTTCAATATATTATGTTTTATTCATACTTTAGGTGGGCTTGTATCAGTAATATTATCAAGATTTTCGTGTAAATGACTTTTTTGTTTTTCCTCAACAAGATCCTTAATTAATGAAATAAGAACCGTCAAACGATGCTTCTCGTCCAAACTATTAGAGTTCTGTTTACGAATAATTTTCAATAATTTATACAATACATACATTTCCCATTCGACGGATAAAAAAATATAAAAGAAAAGAGACATAAACTAACCTTTAATTTAGTTTGTATAGTACTCTGTTCAATTTTACTTAATCCATTTATTATCTTTGTTAGTACAATTGATATTTCCTCTTGATTTCGTCCTTTATATATATTTTTATATGCGTTTAATTAATAAGTAATTAAATTATTGATTGAATATTAATATTATTTTCTTAATTAATACCTTGTAATAAATTACAATATTGCCCAAATCGATATATGGGACATCTAGTACATATATCGTTATTCTTTCTCCTCGACGATTCGTAAGCATTTTTAAACGCTCTTTGTAGTAAAGCCATTATATCTGTTACCTAAAAATATTAATATAAAATACTATAATACTATTAATTTTATATCAATATCATATTACTTACATTTTTTGCAGTAGCACATTGGAATACGTACATACATAATTTTAAATTTTGCGGTACTCTTGCAACAATTCCAAAATGGTTATCATTAATTTTACCCTAAAAAATTTACATAAACCGTTTACTAAAAATAGAAATAAAAAATGTTTTTATCACGTTTATTTACCTGTGTACAATGAGCTATATCTTTAAATTTTCTATTAAATTGTGCAATATTTCTATGAAGGTTAATACAACAGATTTGATCGTGTTGTATCTGAAAAAGCATAGTCATTGGTTTCCTACAATCGTTCATTTCAGACGATTGTATATCATCTATAATAATAAAAAAAAGTAATAAAAAAATTGATAGAAATATATGATTAATATAGTTTATGGATATATTTTTTTAAATGGATTAACTAAAGAAAAGTAATTAGATATTGTTATATAGTATTTTTTATAAAACCTTTACTCTCATTTCCACTATCGAATGACGAATCAAATAGGTCTGATGCATTTGATATATTATTGCGTTTTAAGTTTATAAATTCATCCAGATATTCACTACTAATATTCTTTGTCTCCAAAGGATCCTTTCCTATAATATATAGAATGTTTTATTTCAATATAGATATAAATATGTTAGAGTATTTTATTAACCGACGAATAGTACTTCGTTAACATGTCCTGGAAGAGGTTCAACTATTACTTTGTAATCTTGTTCAAATCTAGTTCCATCACCCAAAATTGATGTTATTTCTTTAATCTGTTTCATATTAGCAGATTATTTTGTTTGTTAAACAATAAATCTGTCAAAATACAAAAAAAATATTCAATTTATCTTAATACTCACCATTTGCGGTTTAGGTAATTTACATATATAACAATCAGAATCTGCATCGTTAAACGCCACAATAAAGGCAACAGTCGTTTCTTCGTTTGGTACTTTTTCGAAATAGACATCTTTTAATCCATATTCATACATAAATTGTTCTTTCGTATCCAATAATCGAACACTATTCTTGGTAAAATGAATACTTATCTTTGAAGTTTCATCATTCCGAAGACTAAGTTCACCGGCTATCCAATATAGGATAGATTTTAGGGGATAATGCTTTGATAGTGATGTTTTTCCAATATATTCGATATCATTAAAGGCCTGTATCACTTCAACATGATCCTTAAGACGGTCGGTACTGCCCACTAAACTAAAAAGTTTTCGTCTTCGTTGAGCTTTTATAATTTCTAACATAGTTTACGATTACTAATTAAGATTATTCTTAGAAAAATTCCTTAGCTGTACTTCTTCAACTTAAAAGGCTATTATTAGAATGTATTTAAGGAAAACTCCTAAAAGATTTTGCCACGGCGCCAACAGTTTCGTATTTATTTTAGCAATATATGACATTACTCAAAATAATTTAGATTATTTTATTATTATGATTATTAAATGTTAAATTAACATATGAAAAAATAATACAAAGGAACTTTCAACTTTATACGAAAACAACTTAACGAAATAGCAGACGACTGACCCTTATTTGCATAGCCGCCGCAACACCAGAAAGAATATGGCGAATGGTCAAGAGAGTACTACACGTTGGTTGCCGCTTGAAAGCAACCCAGATGTAAGATGAATAAATTTTTTATGTAATTCTTTAATAAAATAAATTTTCTTTCGTTTCAGCTTATGAACAAAGTAAGTTTTATCAAACTTTAACTAATAAAGCATGTTAATGACATAACCATCAGCAACTGGTTGCCAGAAGCGCTTTTTTTTTTTTTGTCATTTGAACAATCTACGATTAGTACTAATTTAATTTTTTAACAATTCACTAAATCTATATTTTATCAAGTTAATTCTTGCTTTTTCATGAAATTTGTTCATAGTAATATAATATTACTATCTAAAACTTCCGATTTTGCAATAGTTCATCCGATTATTGCCCAATACCTTATATTGTGCAATACAAAGACAATATCTACGAAAAACATTGAAATTATGATTATCTGAGAATTCGAGCAATATTTCACATTGTAATGCAATAATTATTCTGATCGAGATTTGATATTAACTAGTTATTTGATATAGTATAGTAATACTTGTTTTCAAATTGTATTACCCTTATACAGTATGTTGAAGAGCTGGGAGCGGATATGGGCGAGTATCGTTTCACAGATATTTTTGGATTCGACGCAGACCTATTATGCATGGTTCCAAGACCTGTTCTAGGTCTGGTTCTACTCTATCCTCTCACGGAGAAGGTAATTTGTTATTATAATTTGGCAACAAAATTTTAATAAGTTAATTTATACCACAAAAAATTCTTTTAGTCGGAGTCTGGCGAAATTGGTAAAGAAGATCAAAAATCGGATTTATATTACACAAAACAAACAATTGGTAATGCTTGTGGAACTGTTGGTTTGATTCATATTTTAGCCAATACAAAAGAAACCCTAAACATTAAAGGTAAAACTATGGCAATATTTTTAAATTTAAATAATTGTTTAATTTTAAAATAAAAGCTGACTCGATAATTGGGAAATTCTTGGAAGCTACAAAGTCAATGTCTCCTCAAGAAAAAGCCGTTTATCTTGAAAAGGATGAAAGCTTTGGTGCAACTCATGAGGTTATAGCTCAACAAGGTCAAACACAGGTTAGTTCGGATGTATATGATCGGACTATGTATACTATAACCATTATAATTAAACATTAAATGAAACAGTAGGCAAGTTTAGACAGTGCTATTTTGTACATGAAAAGAGCATCTCCGCAGAAATCACTTGAAAGTGAACTAGACAACTTGAAAATAGTAGACAAAAGTAGTAAAACTAGTGGAAATTGTATAACGCGTAAACTTAAACCTATATTTGAAAGCAAAAATAAGAGCGGTTCAATGAGAAGCAATCGTTCACCAAATCCACAACAAGACCTAAAAGTGACTTCATCCGAAAGTAGTATTGATGATGTCAGTTAACGTCTAAATCTAGTTATAAGAATATTTGATATAAAAAACTTTGGAAAATAATTTATTTATTGTAGTTTTCCACTTGAGAAATGTCTTAAACGATAACCTTAATTCATTTTGTTTATAGTGTCCCGGTAGAGAAGATAAGGTCGATTTGCATTTCATAGCTTTTGTTCACTCCAACGGAACTCTATATGAATTAGGTATGTGCTTATTACTTTTTTAATAAAAACTCAAGTTTCTTTGTCAATACAAAAGATGGAAGAAAGAATGGCCCAACTGCCCATGGTCCAACCACTCCTGACAATTTGCTTGAGGTAATGTCAAAAGATTAATTAAATATAAGGTCATAGTTTATTTGTAATTTTAACAGGATACTGTGGCAGTTGTAAAGAAGTTCATGGCCCGTGATCCAGATCAAATGCACTTTAATCTGGTGGCTCTAGCCAAGAATATGTAAAATTTATTTTGTATTACTCGGATACACAGCTTGAAAAATACACTTTATATAATTTGAGCATTCAACTAAAATTTATTTCGTGTCCTTAATATTGTAGAATATTATAAAAGGACTGACTTCAAAAGCAAACCTCACAACGATGAATCAAGTAATTTCAAAAGAGCATTTAATAACAAACTTGCTGTCAAAGTTTGGTAATACTCTCTATACGCTAACGTATCCTCTTAATCTTTGTTCATTCGTTTTTACATGTTTCACTAGTAGTATAGCAGCTATTAGGGTAAATAAGCTTGTGCTTGCTCCAACATAATAAGACATTCCGAATTCCAGAACTTTATTTTGGAACTTGAGGCCAAATATTACAATAGCACTTGTGTTCGACATAACTAAAATGAAATTTATAAATTAAAGAAGCCTATACCATTGTTATTTTTAGAACTTACAGGATAACACCAATGAGCCAATAATTATTTTCAGCATAAATCTATCTCTATGACAGCCCTGGCAGAATAAGAACACAAAAGAAAAAAGACTTGCTCCAACTATACAGATAAAACCTAAAATTGACAATGCTTGAACCGCATAGAACCAATCTGTAAACGAATAATTTTATTAAGCGTTATTACCATTTTGAACTTTTAATTTTTTATGAGCTTACAGTCTAAAACAACATATGGTGAACCATTAAAGATGCTGCTACAGTGTATAAAACTACAAGTTTGCCATAATCCAAATCTCGAGTCATTTGTTGAATTTTTAGTAATAAATGAAGTGCTTGTCATCCATCTTGTCGTAGAAAGTGATATACAATTTAATAAAGTACATAGAAATGTTGTAGAGAAGCCAACCGATAAAGGATTACAAATTGCCATAACAACACTTTTGTTAAAGAAATTTCACATTTCACGAAAGTTACCAATCAAAATGCTTATCATGTGACTCCAGTCACATGACTTAACAATTAGTACTACATCTATAGATACTTTTCAAAATGGCGCCTTTATGTCAAAGTCTCGTCAGACATTATGTATTACCCGGATATTTTTTATTTCAGTGATAGATGGCAGAAGATATTCTTTTACCAGGTTAGACAGGTGGCGCTGTTAAAGGAAGTGGGATACAGCAGAGGACGCTAGGCGCCATAAATAATCAACCTTAAAAAAAGATTTAATTTTCATCAAGAATGGCATCAGCCTGGGTTATAATTGGTCTAACAGTGACTGCTGTAGCTTTCGTGTGTTCAATTGTCTCATATACCATACCATTCTGGCTGAACGAATCGAACAGTCATTTGGGTTTATGGGCAAAGTGTAGGTATGTATCAATCATGATGTAGAGGGCTGAGACAGAGGGGTTATAAAGGGATATATATAAAGAAATTCTGGCAACGATTATCTATAATACTGATCATTTTATCAGAGGTCGGAAATTCGAAAGAGATTGGGAATGTGACTGGTACTGGGAAAATAACTTCAAGGAGGCCAAAGCGAAACCGAGTAAGTGAAAGTATTAAAAATAACTTTAATCATAAATATAAAGTAACCTTAATATTTATAATATTTCTTTTTTTTTTCAAACAGTATGGTGGCAAGCATCTATGGGCTTAATGGGTGTTGGCGTATTGCTATTGTTTATTACATTTCTTATAGGTCTAACGGCTTTATGCTGTTGTAAATCCGCCGTTAAATCCGGTTACTATATCTCCCTCTTTTTAATGCTGGCCTGTAAGTATATTAAAAAGAAAAAAAAACTATTCTGATTGAATGCACAAGTAATCAATCCTTAGATGAAGAATCTATAGCATGTTATAGAAAAAGCATGATTTGCATAAAGTTTTGCAGCCTTTCTTTCTCCTCATTATAAGTTTCATTATATTCTGTTTCGTTCACTCTATCTATTTTTCCTCTCTCTCTTTATCAATTATACATTCGTACCCATCTTTATAATTGAAATTAGTATTTTGTTTTTTTTTCTTTGCCCGACTGTTTCTTAAAAACAGGTATGCTACATATCGCTACCGCTGCTACATTCTACGGTTTTGGACATGAAAGACGAGCAATACTGAGAGAAGTGTTGGGTCATTCCTATTGGATCTGCGTCAGCACGGCTTGCCTCTGTTTTGTGGCGTTCTGTTTATATTTAATGGACGCATGTCGACACCAATATAGAGCTTTAAGTACCAAGGAAATCGTTTAATTTTTACGCTTTTTAATGTAAGTGTTCCTCCCCGAACGCCTTGGTTTTTTTTCTCCCCATTTACCACTTTTCTCTTTTTTTTTGACCATTTATTTTATTAGTTTACGTAAAATGTCGTTTATAGAACAACATTATTTCAACCCCTTAAAGGACTTTCTCTATCTGAATTATAAAAGCTTTTATATATATTGTATATATACTGTATATTGTTGTAAGTAGCTGTAACGAACTTTTTCTTTTATTTTAAAGTTATACTAGTGGCCATTGGGATAGCGTTGTTCGTCGTGAAGATGATGGTAATTAGAGGACTGGAAGTTAAAGACCTAAGTAAAAGTTTCGACTGGGCAGTATGGTTAGGAGTCGGTGGTGCATTATCAGCGCTCTTGGCTTCAATTCTCTTTACTTGCGCCGGTTGCGGAGCTAGTTACGAAGGTTATTACCGCGGCGACGTGTAAATAGAAAAATTTGGCACACACGGGGGAAAATATCTATCTCAAAATGGCTTTATATTTTTACTGTATACAAGAAAATATGTAGAATCTCTTCTCATTCTTTAAAAAAAAAGTTTTTTCTCTCATTTTCTCTTTTTTTTATATACTTTTTTATGTTTGTAAATTGTCTTTTCTTTCTTTCTTTTTACGTATATATATATATACATACAATGCGTATATTTGTTCTTTTGTATGTGTATAGTAAATTTCCTGATATTTTTGTTATAGAATCTCTAGTTTCTCAACGCAATATACTCGAATTTTTTAAGCTAATTTTATTAACCTTTTATTTTACAAAACTAATTCAGCCCGCAGCATTGAATTGTCTACTCAGTCCTGTTTTTATTCTGGATCCGTGCTATTTCTATACAAACTAGGTAACAGGTACTTTTTAAGAACGAAATCGGAAGTCCTCAAAGCTCCTTCCATTAATACTTGGCATCCACCGTCGCAATAATCGCTTCCGACCACATACACTTCGTGACCTTTAGCGAGCGGTTTTAGAGCTGATTTCATAGCCCTATGTGGTTGTATGCAGCGCTTCCAGACGTACTTAGCTTTCGAACCCCAATCGTGAAATAGAACAGCAGCTGATGAGTCGAGCTTTCTAGGATAAATGCAGCGCTCCAGCTGGTCCAATAAGTCTATAGAGAGTCTTTTTTTAAAAATATCCTGGCTGCTTCTATGTCTTGAGTAAAGTCCACGGAAATAATCGGCATCCACACCATCCACATTTATCGTTACAAGATTGTTTTCCATCTTTATAAATCTCCTTGAGGGTAAATCTGTCACGACAACATCCTTTATGAGAAGATCCGTTTTTGACCTAATAGCCGCTCCAAAAGCAGGGAAAACTTCCATTTTCGGTAATGGTACATGAGTGGTTTCTGCAGGGTCTTTACCGTTCATCCTCTGCATGGAAACATGATGCAGGGCATGAGGTGGAATGGCTAAGACTACCCGTCGGGCGCAAACTCTCTCAACACCTCCACCTCCTACGAAAGTTAAGTAGTAACGCCTATGCTTCCGGTAAATGCACGCAAGTTTACTTGCTAAGTATTTTTTTCGAATCGTGTCAGTCTTTAGATCCTGAGACTCTGTGAATTCTTTGAGCATTGCGTCTATTATTCGATTGAGGCCTTTCTTCATAAATTTTCTTTTGTCGTGTTTATAATTGCGATGAAAGTCGGTTAGAATTTGCGCGTTTAAATTACTAGTTAGACTGGAAAAGTATTCAAATCGCTCTCCAAACTTCCAAACATTATCAAAATTTTTAGGTTTTCTATAGCTACCATATTCACGCACTAAATTGCGGAAGCTTTTCAAAGAAAAAAAAAACGCTAATTATGATTATGAAAAAAATTACCAAAATTATGCTCTATTTTTAATATAATATGCATGATTATTATAGATAAATGGAAAATTTACCCAGTTTTAAAAAGAGGTACGCTTGAGAATTTGCTTCTCTTTCGATCCGTGCTATTGACAGTCCAAGTAGACAAGCGCCGAAGGATAGTTTCCGGTTGCAGGCTGACAGTCCCTAATCGAACATCTTTACAACGGTGGCGTTGGCTTTGCAAATAATAACTGCATGAGTCTGGGTTCGGTAGGAACGTGGAGAGCTCCTCGGTGAGGTTTAGAGCACGGATCAGTTTCATCAGACGTTCTTGCTGTGTCGGATCAAAGTGAGAGGCGCCAAACTCGAACCAGGTGGACGAGTTCGCCCTCACGGAACGTATTCGTCCACCGAATCGATCGGACGCCTCAAAAAGACCAATTTTTGTTCCTTTGCTCCCGCGCAGTTTGTAAGCGGTGTAAACACCACCTAAACCGCCTCCGATTACCGCCACGTCGAAGCATTCTGGCGGTCGTCGTTATGTGGCCGCATTTATTTAAAATTACCCCTTTATTTTATAATAATATGACTTACCTCGTCCCTCTATAGCTATCTCCTTTTCGTATTGCGACTTGTGAATCATAACTATACAAACTATAACTGCTATTGTACCAAAAATCATAGCGATCGTCATCAAAGTTTTTGCATGATTGGAGAAAAACTGACTAACAGCTCCCTTAGGCTTATTATCTTCCTCGTTTAGCGTCAGCATGTCGGCCGCCCTCGACGCTCTTTTTCCCAACGAAGGACCTCCAGTTATCTGTTGAACAAAGAGAAAGCATTTTTTAAGTATAAGGTCAATAAACTTTAGATTAGGAAAATTTCGAATTCAGGTCATTTCTAAATTAAATTTTACCGGATTTAAGGGCATAGTTACTGAGAGAGGTTGTAAGGTTGGATCCACTGGCCTTAAATGCTGTTTTTGCATGATGTCTAAGTTATATAATCGCAACTATCCTCTAAACTGAAGCGGGCTTGTTTACCGAATGTAACGAACGTTGTGAGGAATCTTTTAAAATTAACCTCCCCCCCCCTTTTTTTTCCTTAACTGCGCCACCTATTTCGAATGGGTGCACAATCCTTATCTGTTTGTCAAGTCTATATTAGACGTTAACCGGTCAATAACGTTCGAGTATATATTAACAAATTCTATAACCCTTATGCTCATTATCATTCAATAATTTATGATATTCTGTATACAATGTTTGCAAGTCTTTTCTATATTAATTGACAAGCTTAATTTTGTCTTTCCTATTAATATATTGATTTACTTGAAAGTATAAAAAAGCTGTAATATTCCTAAATCTAGGACATTGCAGCCAGAGCTGCAGAGTCTACCATTGCAATACTAATAAGCATTGGTAAATCGTTCTGCCTTGTGCATCTCTCGTTATCTTACTCTTGCCTATAACATTTACTTTTTTTTTCTAAAAAACCTCTTCGCTGGTTAAATATTGTTACGAAACTTTGCCAAAGTAGCTTATAGTCTATAGACATTGATCGACAGATCAACAAATCCTTACCGCCTGGAAATCTCGATGAGCTGCATCAGGTGCAATGACGTCATGCGCACGCAGTACCATGTGACGCTAACGACGCTGCTTTAGTCGGCATGCGCGCATATATATTCATATATGTTAGTAAAAGCGTTTTTTAAAAAAGGACCAAAAAATTTCTGGCAATCTTTAATCTTAATTAGATTGGCGCATTAATTTTATATATAAAGAGCGTAAAACTTATTTCAATTTGTAGATCTATGGAGAAATTTTCGTTTGATAAAAATAAACATTTTTTCTCTTCTATAAGATTATTAGGCCTACATATTTGTGCAGTTCGCCTAGTTATCGTTATCAAACAGTCTTATCACTTCTACCAGTCTCAAACTGGTGCTAACAGTACTGAACTAAAGTCGGTTGATTAGACACATTAAACTAGATATAGTCAATTAGTATTTATTCCTTGGGCCAAATATGTCCAAAACGACTAAAACAGATAGCCCGACCCATCATCAACTTGTGGAGAGAAAGAGAGTAACAATTCAAGCTCCTGAATTGGAGGATGAGGTGGATCCAGCTGAATCAAAGACCGGTACGGTGGCAAGCTTATTAATATTCATTAATACAATTACTATTATAATTAATAATTATTTTCTGAAGTACTGTTATACTTAAAGAATAGTTTCTCTAATAGAAAAGTGTAATTATTTTCTTTTATCAATTTAAAATAAAGTCTACAGGAGCTCGAAAAAAAGAAAAAGGAGGCTTCAATAAACTAGGATAAACTGAGTTAATTATTTACGCGCATAAACAAGGATATATATATATATATATATATATATATATATAAATTTATATACTATATATACGAATATTTTATTACATACACTCTCCTTTTTACAGGCCTTGGTTACACAGCTTTGACTAAACAGCAAAGGCATCTACTAAAATTAGTAGACGAGGGGGATCTATATGAAGTGGAAGAGTATATAAAGGACAATCCATCTTTAGACATTAATGGTATCGACTACCAGGGACGGTCGGCGTTAACGATAGCTATAGAAAATCAAAACGAAGAACTCGTTGAATATTTTATTTCCCAACCCAATATCCGATTCGGTGACTCTTTGCTTAGGGCCGTTAAAGAGGGTAATCTATCGGTGGTAGAGACGCTTATCGATGCTCAGGAAAGGTAGTTTTTCAGAATACTCTTCAAGATATATTTAACCAACAAAAATCCACAAGCATAGACAAACTAGGAATATGGCAAACAATTTATAATTAGGATAGTGGAACATGCTAATTTACTAATTTATTACACAACATAGATAACGTAAAGATCATTCTTTTGTTGATTAGACTGATTACAATAGTGTGCATAGGACACTTCAAAACATATACAAAAAACCAAAAAAGACAATTGATTGAATAGGAGATAACAATAAAAAATTGACAATTCTATCTAATTTTTTTTCAAGTATTTCCTCTTTTTTTTTGCTAGGCGTACCAAAATGAATATCAAGGAGGAACCGATAGAAAGTGCTGAATTTGCTCCTCATATAACACCGCTTCTTCTTGCGTGTTTAGAAGATCATTTTGAAATTGCTAGATTCCTAATGTCACGTGGTCACGAATTGAAAATTTCTTCACCATTAGATTGTTAGTATAATAGATATGTAGATTTCTTCTTGTCAATTATTAACTATAATATTCAATCTAAAAGACGAAGTGGTTGATGAATACGCTGAATATGGAGAACGGTTGGAAGATTCAAGAGCAAGAATAGATTCTTATAAGGCATTATCTAGTAGCTCCTATATGATGCTTAGCTCTGAAGATCCTGTACTAAATGCTTTTCGAATAGCTTATGAAGCTGACAAGATGACCGACAAGGATCCTATATATAAGGTTTTATTTCGTTATATACTATATATATATATAAATGCCATCATTCCTTATATATTCTCTAAAATCAGGAAACTTTGATGGCCATATTATCTTATCCACTGTAGATATACAGTGCATATTGATATCAACCTCTTCTATTTCAATTTTCCCCTCCTATACAGGATGATTATGAAGAAATGTCGGAAAATTGTAGGAAATTTTCTTGCGCTGTTCTAGACCAATGCCGTACTTCTGAGGAAGTTGCAATCATCTTATCCCAGACTCATACTAAAAAAGATGGTCTAGGAACGGGAACAATTTATCCTCGTCTATTTTTGGCTATGGATTTAGAAATGAAAGAGTTCATAACACATTCTAATTGTCAAAAAGTTATAGAAAATATTTGGACCAAATATCATCCAAATGTCATGTGGTACTCACCATTATGGAAACTACTTTATTTTACACCTCAAGTTTTCCTATTGCCATTTATTTATTTAATCTATATTTTTGCGCCTTGCGCATCTTTTCTCAAGTACTGGCAGGCACCGATGAATAAGTTTCTGGGTCATCTAGTTTCCTACTTGGTTTTTCTTTGCCTTTTGTTCGTTAGTGTTATTAAAGGTGGAGATCAAGTAGGAAGTAGAGTACCGAATTTAAACGGAGGTATCGACATATGTATTTGGCTATGGGTTGCTGGTATGATATTTGAACAAGCGCAAGTGTCGGTCTTTAGCGGAATCAAGGGCTATAAAAAACAATGGTGGTTAATATACGATTTAGTTATGCAAATAACGTTTGTCATATCCTTTATTGGCCGTTTGGCAAGTTTCATCAAGTCCAATGATGAAGGCGCCGCTTACAGAGATCTAGTTAGAGACCTATGGCCATGGAATGATCCTCAATTAATTTCAGAAGCATTCTATTGTTTTGCAACTGTCTTAGCATTCGGAAAATTACTGTATTTTGTTCAAGGAAGTAAAGTACTGGGACCTATGCTATTGTCACTTAGTAGAATGATGTACGATGTATTTCAAGTTCGTAATTTATTTTGATAAATTAGAACAATTAATAGAGATGGATATATCATTATCTTTTCCTCTTTTTCTGTCTTTTCTAGATGCTATTTCTCTTCGTACTGATTATGTTTGCGTTTGCAACAGCAATGGCTAGAATGAGTGGCTACTATAAGGATTCAGCAAGAAAAGATGCTCCAGACGGTGATGTAACAAAACAACCTGATGCATTCACAGATTTTGGTTCATCTTTTAAAACATTATTTTGGAATTTATTTGGTTATGGAGAACCAGAATTCGCTGATATAGTTGTTTCCAACAACTGTACTTCCACTATTAATTGCAACGTTTGTATATTAAGAATGTTGTAAAGGAACTTCAATATCTAATGAACCTTATTACCTTAGGTAAACAAGCATAAATTTACTGAGGGCTCGGGTTATTTATTGTACGGCCTCTATCATCTACTAGCCGTAACAACTATGCTTAATATGTTAATTGCTATGATGTCGAATTCCCTAAATCATATTCAAGAGAATGAGGACAGAGAATGGAAATTTTCACGTTCTAGATTATGGATAACATATTTAAATTATCCTTTCCTTCCTCCACCCCTTAATCTGATACCATGTCCAATAGAGATATATCATTGTTTCAAATGGACAACCAAATATGTTTGTGGTAAGAACGACTCTGACGAAGTTGCAAAATTCTCCCAGCAAGTAAGTAATATTATATTCATTATATATAATTTCCTAGGAGCTTAGTTCTATTTAAATAATTTAGGAGTTTTACTCAAATGTTTGCAAAAATCCAAAAACTCTGAGAAGGCTATCCAGTGATATTTGTTCTTATGTTACCAACCTATATTTTCCATTAGTTATACATATAGCTTTGTATTTACTATATACAGTATATCTACATGTATATATATATATATATATATATATATATATGACAATTATTTCCTGGTTTTCTCTATTATCATTACAGTTATCTATCTCATTTTTCTTAATGAATTTTATTTACAAAAGTTTTCAGGAGGGGTAAGTTGAATGTCATTTTTTATTAATAGTTTAATAAGCCTATTTCTTTTATATTTCTCCTCTCTTTACTATTAATCATCCATAATTATTTCAAGAATGTTTCTTTTACTTTACTCCTATCTTACTTAACCTATTATTCGTTTTGTTTCTTTTTTTTTCTTTATCTTCAACTAACTCTTCATTATAATTATCATTCAACATTGTACTTTATCTCAATGTTTGAACTTGTAGTATATATAGTATAGTTTTGGTGTTTTGCCTAAACGATATTGTTATTAATTTGCAGAAAGGTTGCTATTTTGAAGACGAAGAAAGACGTACTGAAAAGGCAGAGCTGAAGCAACAATACTTAGTTCGATAATTAGTTAAAAAATTTCCTTATCTTATTAATATAAGCAAAATTTTACAGGATCTACTTGGACGCCTCTCTAAGCGATATTGGGCGTCTCAGGGCGACATGTCAAACATTGATGAATTAACTCCCGAACATTTAGAACAAGTTAAGATTGATATTGTTAAGGAAATTCAAAAGTTGCAGTTGTCCAAGAGTCGTGCTCAAAGTCTAGCTGTAAGTTCTAAACACTTCAGAATAAATGGAATATAAGTTATTTATTTCGTTTTCAAGGCAACTCCGATTCTACCAAGGCACACTATTGATTTAGCTACGTTAAACCACAGGCTATCGTAAAAGGATCTAAAGCGATTTATGTTTTCTGGCTTAAACACTTTATGTATGTTGTTTCTTAGTATTTACATATATATATATATATGTATGCAGTATATATATATAGTATATTAGTATATTGTGTATAATTTAATACAATTTTTAACAAATAAAATGAACAAAAACAAACAATATTATACAAAAAACCAATTTTACATTATATCGTCCTGTGGAATTGCTACAAAAGTCCTTGTATCATCGTTTTCATCTATTTTAGTTGGTCGTAATCGAACAGAACTAGCATCTTTAGATTGGCAACCAACATTTTTAAACTCTTCAAAGTAACCGTCATTTGACCACATAGCGTCAATCACAACTTGAAATTTCGCCATTTTATAACAAAAATGTTTCTATTGGGAATGCAAAGTTAAGTAAAATCCAAATAAAAGGCCTTTTTATTACTTACCAAAAGTCTCGACTGTTGCGATGTTAGTACTTCACCTTTCTTACAGATCACGTAGTCTTCTCGCAAATTAATGATGCCTAAAAAGAAACGCATTAAGAATTTTGGCTTATGACATTGTTGCAGCAAATAGTAAAATTTAGGAAGTATCAGACCTATCATTTACACCCTCATAGATTTCAGGGTTAGGCTCAAGTTTTCGTCATATTTAGTATAGACTATTGAAAATGCAATGCATAGAAAAAGCATGCTTACCTCTTACAAGTTTCGTTGGAAGACCTAATTGACGCAGTTCAGGTTCCATATTGAAAGGGAACATTTCTAATGGACCTTCTTCAAGTGAAACGGTTTGTTCGGCTAAATTTCCCGCTCTAGCATAGTCAGCTTCAGAATAATTGGTAAACCATTTAAGAACATCCTCCTTAGTTTTATTAGTAAATAGTAAACCCGTTTGCCCTTTCAGACGTTTGGATATAAGATGTACATTTGGTTTATAAGCCTCTTCTTGAACACGTCCCAAAGCAATACTCATAACCTTATTCTTTCCGAAGCAAAATTTACTACCTTTCCATTCTAAACGAACGTCTTTTAAAAGACCATTTCGCATATTGGCAACGGAAAATGTAAATACTCTTTCATACTTGTCAAGAGCTTCACGGATCTGAGTCAGAAAAGAAGATTTTTATAGATATGAAAATCATGCTGCTTTTCACGAAAATAAAAATGCTTACATTCTCTATTAATTTTCCTTTTATATCTGTTCCTTTCTTGGCCGTCTGCGTAAGAGACACTGTAGAATTAGAAGAATTATTATTTAAAGATATTTTTGAAATATTAATATAATAAATTTCAAAAATTACCTTTACGATCTCTCTTCGACCTCGGCATTTTTCTAATTCCGACCACGTGAATTACACCGGAACCGGATATACAGAAAATGCAAGTGAGGCACTGTGGGAAAGGTTATTCTAATTGATTCTCGTCTCAAACTGTCTGACGGCTTTTTGCACTTATTCAGTGCTTATTTCTCACCTACGTTATTCAGCGGCTCTTCTTGTTAAATCCAAATTCCTAGTAAGTATATCTTTACTTTACCTACATATTCTTGGTGCTTAATAGCAAAAGCCGGTGCTTGTCGAGCCGTTTTGCGGCTTTTTCCCTGGTAACCGTGTGACGTCACAGTCCCGAGTTAAAATGAGTCATTGTCTAGATGTCATGATGCTAATAAAAGCAGAGGTATTCTAAAATGGCCTGTATAAGTTGATTTTACGCCGCCATTTTGAATAATTGTGAAGTTGATAGTCTAATCTCATTGGTTCTATCGTTGCTGCACTGCGCCTATTTATAGACGAACTATTTACTTATCGACGGTAGGAACTGCTGAATTCCTCAGGTTTTTACTGATTATTTTAATAACTCACACTGTATTTTATATCTTTTGTTTCCGTTGCTCCATGTAAGCTTGTTGTTGAAAGTCAATTTTGTTTATGGCGCGAAACCATACTTAAACGCGCAATAATACATGCTATAATTGTAGTTCTACAGTGTCCGCCATATTGAATTCAACCGATTTCGCCAAAAAAATTTCATAACTGATCTCTTCTCTTTTACCATTTCCCTCACGCAGAATCGAGAATGAGTACCGAAAAGGATGATCTGGTCCAAAGGGCCAAACTCGCTGAACAAGCAGAAAGATACGACGATATGGCTGCAGCCATGAAAAAGGTAACGGAACTCGGAATGGACCTGACTAATGAGGAAAGAAATCTCCTCTCGGTTGCCTACAAGAATGTCGTTGGTGCGCGTCGCTCATCGTGGAGAGTGATTTCGAGCATTGAAGCTAAAACTGAAGGCAGCAAGGCCAAGCAGGAAATGGCGAAGCAATACCGCGAAAAAGTCGAAGAAGAGCTTCGCGACATCTGCAACGACGTCTTGGTGAGTAATCCATACCTGCTTTTTGTTCCTGTTGTGTGAATTCAATCAAACCAAAAAATATGGAAGTTAATTGTCTTTACTAATTGTCTGCCCTATCTCGCTTTCTATTCCGCCTTGTTATAAGTGCATGCGTATTGACCGTTTTTTCGAACAGGCCTTGTTGGATAAGCACCTGATAAGAAAAACCAAACCCGCAGAAAGTCAAGTGTTCTACTTGAAAATGAAGGGAGATTATTACAGGTACCTAGCTGAAGTGAATAATCAGGGAAACAAGGATGAAAAATCGGATAAGCAAGGTTAAACACGTTTTTAGAAACGATGCTTGGGGACTGCACATACCCGCGTGTTGCCAGTTGACATGGATTGTAGTAGATCATTGTATATATCTCTTTAAAACAGGGTCTGCTTGAAAAATTTCTCGTTCCAAAGTCGAGCAGCGCCGAGAGTAAGGTCTTTTATCTTAAAATGCAAGGAGACTATTATCGGTATTTGTCCGAATTTGCTGAATGGGATAAAAGTACCACGCCTAAAGATGATTTATCTAAACGTTTATGTAAGTGTCAGATGATGTGTGCTTACTCCCAAAAAAAAAATCCTGACCAATTAATATCTAGCAACTGGCAACAACACTATAAAACTCTTTAAGAATTTTAAGTATTTTATAAAGTAAATAATGTTATCACAGACGTGATAGACGCTTCAAAGAAATCATACGAAGAAGCTTTCGATATAGCTAGAAGCAACATGCAACCGACTCATCCGATTCGGTTGGGTTTAGCGTTAAATTTTTCTGTGTTCTATTACGAAATTCTTAACGCACCTGATATGGCCTGCCATTTGGCAAAGCAGGTAATCGCGAGTTTTGGGCGTCTAATACGGAATGTGCATGTCTCCAAACCTAGATATACGAGATTAATAATATAGGTGATTGATAACGCTTTTTTGAATTAATTTCAACAGTGATGAATGAAGTGATTGACAATTCTCGTAGTGCTTACCAAGATGCTTTTGACGTAGCTAGGAAGGAAATGCAGCCTACTCACCCCATCCGACTCGGCCTTGCATTGAATTTCTCAGTATTCTATTACGAGATATTGAACAGCCCAGATAAAGCATGTGAACTAGCGAAAAAGGTGTGTTTTCAATTTACTAACTTGTTTTATTTGAGTTTGAAATCAAAATTTACCCAAAAATGCTTTGTCTACCTATTCTAACATCTTTTTCAGGCTTTTGATGACGCTATTGCCGAGTTGGATACATTGAACGAGGATTCGTACAAGGATAGTACATTGATCATGCAATTGTTGCGTGATAACTTGACCCTGTGGACTTCTGATACGAATCAGGAGGACGGAGATCAAGGAGATGGTGGTGACAATTAGAGCCTTCCATCCATTCAGTTTAGGAACTGAGTCTGTGTGAATGTATGAGCGTACGTTTTTTTCATCCGCATCTACCGAAAAAGTTTATCTTCATCTATTTGTCTGCTTGTTGTAATAATATATGAAAAAAAGGTGTTGTATTGGCATTCTCTATTGCCGGTGTGCGTACAATACATTAAATGCTATGATGAAAAAAAAAACACATCATTTCGTTTTACAGCCCGTAAGAATTTTTGTCATGATTTAAAATTGTACGTTACTTCGTTTTTTGTAATGACGATGAACGTAGATACATATATATCTTATATATATGGTTCATTTCGATTAAACGCAACCAGTGTTTTGTTATTTAATTGGTTTTTACTAGTAACTACTCGATGCTATAAATCTTAGCTGTTCATTGAGGCTGTTTTGGGGGTAATTTCAAATACATGTAACACAGACAAGTACTTCTTCCTTCAAAAATAAAGCTTAGTGTTTTCATTTAGCATTTAATTATCGCATATTTTTTTTGTTTCATCCTCAATATTTTATTACGGTTTTCTTAAGTAAAAGAATAAACATCTGGATCTGATAAAAAAAGAGTAGAGAAAAATTGACCGAAAACATAGTTTGTCTTGCCATTCGGCTTATATCATGTGATGGAAATTAAATAACAATCAAGCTTCTGTATAATTAAGCAATATTAATTCTCTATCTCAGTATTAGTTGGCGGTCTATATCACCTCTCGTATTCTTTGGTTGTAATTAATTTTTAGCAGTTAAAATAAACATTGTATATCGACTTAATCGCTCTACTGTTCTCTCCCTCCATTTGTCCGTGTGTGTAATTATTAACAATCTAGAAAAAACCAGAGAAAAAAAGCCTTTTTGTTCGCTTTTTTTCTCCATCGTATTAGAATATTCATTATTTGCATATTTTACGTATATTATATCAATATTTATTTATATTTTGTCTAAGCTTTCTCCCGCTATTCCTTCTCTTACCTTCTAGACCGGTTTTTTAATACTAATGAATGTCTAATGATGCGTAACGCTTGTCTATGGCCCTTGTCCTAAAGTCAAGAGTTTGAAATAACCTTGAGATGACTGGCTGTCCTTTACGAAATTTAACCTCAGATAAACTGTACGTTCATGAATAGTATATGTACTTCTAATCAACTCCTTGTTACTTTCAACCTCAGCAGGAATTGACTAATGTAGTCTTTTACGTGCGGGTTTAGACCTTGGCAATGTACCGAAATGTATTCTTCCTATTAGACATCAATATATTATACCAATTATAGCATTTACTAATGTACTGTTATATATATTTAGTATAACGTTTCTTATAACAACGCCAGCGCGTTAACCTAATATTTTAAGTTTGTCACCATATTACAGACGGAATATCGTGATTGGAATTCGATTTTATCTCATTCTTTGCTGCTTAAAATATTACTAGTAATATACATAACATTGATATATAGGCCGTTTACCTGATAATATAATATGAAAAGAATGTATGAACATCATAAAACGATATCAGCTTGTTTTATCTATGAATTTGTAAATGAATTTTTTAAATTATTTATACAAGTCGTGACGTCTGGAATAGCTCTCTTTTTTTTTGCAATCGGACAAATTATTGTAAAAAAAAAAGCCTTGATATATCGATATGGCCGTTTAAAAAATCGGTCGAAATCGATATGGGACGATCCGATATTCAAGATATAGGATAGAATCTCCACTTTCATTTGAATCTTTTTTTTCGTTTGCCGTAAGATACAAAATCATGTCAACCTCCTCGCGAGAAGCCTTGGAGGCTATAAAGAACGTATCTGAATTACTAAATACGGGTTTGACGTCTGAACAACTGGTCACTTGTGTGAAGTTAATAGAAGAAGGGATTAATCCGGAAGTGCTTGCTAATATTGTTATTCAATTGAGAACGGCTACTGAAGAAAGCGGTGTCGACAGTGTATCTCAGTAAAAAATATAGAACTGACCCTAAAATTTTTACAAATGAAAGGAAAAAACGAAAAAAAAACAACTTTTTATGTATAAAAGTCTTAGATTTCCTTTTTATTTAATCAAAAACTTGAATAAAATATTGTATGTTTTTTTAAGTCGCCTAAATTGTATATTTACATCAATGGACATTTTTTTTTACCATAAGGGACACTATATTTTATAATATTTGATTTACAGCTTATATATGTATGTATGTATGCTTGTGCGTTCATAAACACTCATTAGAATCATACAAAACAAATACTTGACATAAACAATGGCGCTAAATACTGGTATTATTATATCCGTAGTTTAAACACTATCAAGCAAGATAACAATAAAACATTTGGCAGTGTTCACAGTTTCATTAATGAACAATAGAAAGTATTAACAATATAGTAATTTGTATTTATATCTATGGCAATACAGATCTAACATCATATATTAATTCTCTTGCTATTTTGATAGTTCAATAAAGGGTTATATTGATTTTATATAGAAAAAATTCTAGCAGTCAGCATTTTTTTATATAGATGATATAAGTAACGCAGACAGAGAGAGAGAGAGAGAGAGAAAACGATATTCTAGAAAATTCCCTTTCGGTGCTTCTACGTAGAAAAGTGCCTCTAGCGATCATAATTATTTGTATCTTTTTTAAACGTTCTAGCTTTTAAAAAACCCTCTTTTCTCTGATTCTTTTATTAATAATTTTCTTGTTTTATACTCATTATACATTATATTCACTGTAAATATATAATTTATTGTAAGGGAAAGGAAACGGCGGGAAAGAAGGGTCATCTAGTTGGCTAGCTGTTTCTACTATACTTGTTTTATTATCTAATGCATTATTTAACAATACTTTCTATGTTAAAGAAAAAGAGAAAGTGATATACGAAGGGTGATTGCTAAACATAGAAGTTCATAAGTTCGTCATTCCCTTAGTTAGGAAGGTCACTGTTAGGTGATTTGCTTACCTCCTTCCGGAAATTAAGAAACCGGTCATCGATTGAAAATATAAAAGTGGTATATTTAAACCGGGACAGTAATTTAATGGAGTTATACAAATTTTCTAGCATATTTACGATTTTTGATCTTATTCGTGGGAGTAGGAAAAGTAGGAGGATATAATGGAGCAAATACAAAAGATCTATAGTAATAGCAAATAATATACTTTCAAAACAGTTCCCTAACTTCTTACTCCTGATGGATGGAATAGATTTTAAAATTAAAAAAAACCCCTCAATTCTTATAAATTAAACAAATAGGTCTTAAGGGGAGAGGAGAGTGAGAAAAAGAGAGAGAGAGAGAAGAAAAAAAAGAAAAAAAATGATAGGCCTATAGTAAAGAAAATGAGAGAAAAAAATAACACGTCTTCTAAGAAATTTAAAAAATAAAAAAAAAAACTAGTTTGTTTCTTTAAAATAGAAAAGAAGATAATATGGCGACTAATGTAACAGTTTCGTCTCCCTCTAAAGATAACAATATCCCGGTTCATGAATCTCGTGAAGTTAGTAACGTCGATCCGACGTCTATTCCCATTTCAGATAAGATGGTTAATGGATCGGTGTCCGAAATACATCAACTTGTAATCAAGAATCGTAAGAGTCGGTTGATAAAATTAATCAAAGGGGAAGGTCGGAAATGGATTGTTAAATTCTAAAATAAAGCAGCAATAATAATAATACGTCTTTAATTTCTAGATTCTTATAAAGAATTAAAAAACAAATACGGTCAAACTCCGCTATATTGTGCAGCTTACTTAGGAAGAGAAGGCTTAGTACGTTTTCTATTAGACGTCGGTGCTAATCCAAATGAGTAGGTTTCTTTTCATTTGTTTTTTGTTGTTATTGTAATTTTAATAGTTTTAACCTAAATGAGATTATAAAAACAGGAGAAGTAACGATAATAGTACTGCTGTTCATGCTTGCGCATTCGGATGCGATTGTTCAATCATGGGAAGAATGCTGCAATCAGGAGCCGACTTACGCTTAACTGATGAAAGTGGGCAATTACCAGAATATTGGGCTAAGTGCAAACCGAAAGATTCAAAGAAGATGCTAAAATACTTAACAGAAACTTATAATTACGCTAGTCAATTAACAAGAGGGTTAAGACACACCAAAAACTCTGCTATTCTCCAATCTAGGTTAGTGTGGATTATTTGACTTGTCGCTTTTCTCCAGGGATTTCTTTTTCCCTGCTTGTTTTTCTGTTATAGTTTTAATAAATCCAAGCCAAAATACTCTTCTCTAACCTCTCTTATTGCTATGTTCTCACCGGCGAAAAAGGCAGTGTCCCTAACCAATTGTTCATCTGATATATCGAAAAGAACAAATAGTTATGGATTTGGAATTGTTAGTATGAGTTCTAATCAGATTTAAAAGACTATTCTCTATTATTTCCTTTTTCCTTTGAACAAAAACTTAGAAACGATCTCAAACCGCTAATTCTGGTATTCGAATAAGCGTTCCATTGGACGCCCCGGTTTTTAATCGAGATGACTTTGAGGAAGCAACTGAAAATCCCATTATTTACAGGAATGGATATTTTATGACGATGGAAACGTAATTTACACGTGTTTTTTTTCCTTTTTAATTAATTAGAGTACTGTTATTAATTATTTTTTATCAGATTAAAGTTTAAAGGCAAGATTAATGTTACTCTAAAAAGAATTTTTCGATCTAACGGAGCTAGACCTGATTATTTAATTCAAGAATTGAATAATATGTCGTTAGTAAACATTGAAATAATTGTTTTTAATTCATGATATTATCTTCTTTTTATTTAATTTAATAGCAAATTATTCCACAAGAATATATTACAATTGTTAGGCGTCTATCAAAGAAGTAATCTACACGAAATGGCACTAATATTTGAGCATATAGAGAATAAATCCTTATTTTGTCTGTTACACGAGGAAGGGGTAAGTTATTATCATATTTAGATAAATTAGGCGGATGTATCATATTAAAAGATTATCTGAATAGGAAAGAATTTTCGATAAACGTCAAATATATCGAATTGTAAAGCCTATATTGGAAGCATTAATGTGGGTTCATAGCCAGAATATGATCCATTGTTCTGTTACATCTCACGCTGTTCAATTAACCAATAAATATACAGCAAAACTTAGTAATTTTGAATTGGCAACTGATTGGTAAATAATTTGAATATTTTAATTTATGCATAAAATATTCACTATATATATATTAATTTTTTTTTAGTGAACAAGCTGAAAATCCTCCCGATAACTGGTGGAATTACTTAAGGGAATTCGATAAAGGTTCCACGCTGTTTAACTGGCTTGCTCCTGAATTATTGAGAAAACCTAAACGTTTCGATGAGAAGGTCGACGTATACGGGGTCTCCGCTCTTCTCTGGGAGATGTGCCATGGTAAATCAATTATAAATTTTTAAAGATTCTTAATTTATTTAGGAAAAATATTTTCAAAGAGCAAATTCCGTGGAAGAACATGGGCGGTGCAGCAATTTGTGATATAATTCATAATCAAGGAAAATCTCTAATTGATTATGTAAACGAACCTAACGTTATTGGATTTAATACTTTCTACTCATTTTTACCGTCTGGATTAGCATCTAAACCTCAACAACGTAATTTGACAATTGATATGTTATTGCAAGTTATCGATTCGGCTGAAAAGAACTTTCGGAGGGAAGATGTATTCACAACTGCGGAAGTTGATAATGAGTGCATATGACTTTTCTTTTTCATCATCAAATTTCACAATCTTATACCTTTCTTCTTCATAATAGATCTCATGTTACGTATCTTATATCTAAAGCACCGCTTTCCCTGGAAACGTCAAAAAGATCCCACACTACTAAAAGCGGAACTCCAACTGCCCATAAGTTGAATGGCCCTAATTGGTCAACTCCAAATTTGGAAAAAGATGTCCTCTTAATGCCTAGATCGAATGCTTGTATTAAAGAAACGCCACAAAAAGACTCATACAAATTGTCTGTAAAAAATTCGTCTATGAAATTGACAACTAATCCTACTCCATCTCCAAGATCTCCATTTCAAAGGCCTTCTAGTAACAACAATGCTAAAGACGATCTTGTATTTACACCTACAGACTCAGTAACCGATCTATCTAAAAGTTCTAAGGAACCTTTTAAATATTCATTTATGAATAGGTTTATCATTTAGTTTATAACATTAATAAATTCAATAAATTCGCATTGATTGATATATGACAAAACACAGAGTCCAAGCGAAGTGGAGCACTATTTCAGCTACACCTCGAACAAATGATAATAGAAAGGAACTAATGAAAGATCTCCTTCGAGAGTTAAAGACGAATCCCCCAAAGTTATCACCTCCCAAGAGTCCGCATAGAAATTTTGAGGAAACAAATCGAGTAATAGAAGCTTCTCGGTGTCCAAGCGGTGGGAAAAAAACATTAGGAATTATAAGTTCCAGATCGCCAAGGTAACCTTTATTTTACCTTTTCTCTTATTACAAAAAGAAAATATCCACACAACCTGACCTTTTCAGCACCATCAGTGTTTGTTCTAGTAGACCCGAGACGATAAAATCTAACCAGTCATCTTTAGTTAATGCTCCAAAAAGACCTACTAGTTTGTCTTTCAAACCGGCTAGTCATAGGCAAGATGGAATAAGGGAGTTAGAAGCTAGAAAATTAGTGAATAAATTACCTTCCCCTTACATGAGTTCTACTACAGGGGAAGGTGTCAAAGTCCCAAAAGCTGATTGGCAGGTAAACTGCGTAAAGGAACCTCTTCCATGCATCAAATTACTTGCAAAGTCTGTAAGTAAACATTTGCCTGATTCTCCTGCTAAGGTTCCTTTTTTCATTTACATGCTTAACATTCCAAGCATATCTTTCTGCATTCTTCTTTTATGTTTTAACCAATTTCTCTTCCTTTATACGCTAGGATGGGTCTGCCTGCAGTAAAACATCTCAAGGAACAGATTTAGCCTATTTAGAAGAAGATATTTGTCAAATTCTAAACCAATCGGGAAGTACTAATAATCAAAAGACCCCTGCTAATGAAGAAGATGGGTTAGACACGTTGATTAACATAGTTAATTAGTTTATTAATTAACTAAAAAAAAAGTAAGAGAAATATCTTTCCCCATTTTTCATTTCGCCTTCTTTTAGGGGGAAGATAAACGAAATATCAGCGAGTGAGAACGTTTTAAAAGACGGTTGTAAAGTGGGCAAGAACGCTTATAATAACAATAGTTCAGCCATTCAACAAAATAACGATAGCAACGATAAATGCCTAGATTCCCCTGAGAGTCCTGGAAAAGGTAGCTAACTAAAATATGACCGTTGAAATACAATGACTTTCAAATCTTAGGCTAAAAAAAACATTTATAGTATACGAATTAATTAAAAGAATCGAAGAAGAACATAATGTGTATTATCGTCTTAATTTTATTATAAATGACTCTTTTGGAAGTGACGATTATAATTTAAGTCTAGATATGACAAAAGTTGATTGAAAGAAACATTTTTACTTATATTGTATGAGGATAATATGATTTCATAAGAACTTAATACCGCTCATTAGATTTTACTATTATTGCTATGTTGTTTTCATACTTGATTAGTTTTTTTTTTGATTTTCTAAATAAAGATTTAAAAAGAACAAAATAAATTTTTTCTTTTAATTAGGAGAGTTGAATATTTAGATCTTTTTAATGTAAAAACTTTCACGCATTTAAAAATCATGTGTGGATTCCCTTCCTCGTCGATTTTAGATTGTACAGTAATAGGTGTGAACAGGACGCCAGTTTTTGAATCAACCGGAACTTCCGACGTTGAACTGCCAACATTTGAAAACATTTAAGCGGTTTTGCCTTTTTATTTAGTACAGATAACTTTTTAAGAAGAAGGTTAGCTGTAGAAAATATGGCAGATATAAGTAATACAGATTTAACCGACAATATCCGAGTAGCAATTCGAGCGAGACCGTTCATTTCTCGCGAAATAAATGCGAAATTGGACGACCAGTGGAATTGTCAGACAAATAGTGTTGTAAGTCGCGACAGATTTCATCAGTTTATGTTTGATGATGTGTTCGATGCAACCAAAACAACTAGTGATCTATACGGTGGTTTGGCTAGACAGATAGTGGAAGGGGCTGTTCAAGGTTAAAATTAAATATCTTTTTTTCTTACATTTTCACTGGTTTTAGCTATATAGTAATAAAGTACAAAATTTCCATCTATATGTATATATGCTAATACCTATGCATTTGTGTGCTTAATTATCTATAAATAGAGTTCTAAATTTTCTATTCTTATTTTCATATTCGGCGCTTTTATAGGATATAATGGAACAATTTTTGCCTACGGTCAGACATCTTCAGGGAAAACATACACAATGAGTGGTAGTGACAAACAAAAAGGAGTTATTGAGATGGCTGTGGATGATATTTTCTCCCTTATAGAAGAAGTTTATACAGATTCTATTTTTATACTACGCGTGTCGTGTATGGAACTATACAACGAAACGGTTTTCGATCTATTGGCAGATAGAAAGCTTGAAGTACGAGAGAAAGACAATAATTTCATAGTCAAAGATGTTGATGAAAAATATATTAGTTATCCTGAAGAAATTTTAAAATTTATTAAGGTGGCGAATGAAAAGAGACAAGTGGGTGCAACGGCTATGAATGATAAAAGTTCACGTTCACACGCCATTTATCGAATTGTTATTGAAGGCAAACAGGTATTTAGTGAAATTTGACCAAAGCGAAAAGACTTTGTTTCTTAATTTCCTTTAGGCAATCGATGAAGAAAGTCTCATTAAGGTATCTCACTTGAATTTCGTTGATTTAGCCGGTTCGGAAAATTGCAATAAATCAGGAGCAACTGGTTTGCGATTGCACGAGGGAGCAATGATAAACAAAAGTCTGTTTACCCTTTCTCAAGTCATTGCGCAATTAGTTGAGAATTCCACGCATGTTTCATATCGAGATTCTAAATTGACAAAGATTTTGAAAAACTCTTTAGGAGGTTGGATAAGCGATAATTTTTGTTTCATGTTTATAATCAACATATTATTTTTCTCTTTAGGAAATAGTCGAACAGCTATTATATGTAATATTACCACGGCGGAAAAGGATGAAACCTTGTCTACTCTTCGTTTTGCAAGCTCGGCTAAAAAAATCAAAAATCACGCTAAAATCAATGAAATTATGTCCGACGACTGTCAATTGAAAAGATGTCAGCGACAAATCGTTGATCTTCAAAAGCAGCTTGATGATTGTCAAGGTAACGACGATTTACGGTTGAAAAACGAATTAGAAAACAAGGAGCAGCAATTAAGGGATAGAGATAGACTCGTGAAAGATTTAGAAACGAAACTGGAGGGATATCAACGATTATTAGTAAAGTCTAGTCAAATTCCAACTGGAATATTTACGCCAAAGAAACAGAATCCGTTTATGGAAAAGAGGAATAGAAGGCAAACCTGGTGTCCTGGAAACGTGTTACAACCTCCTCTAAATGACCCGCGAAGAAGTGAAAAAGTTACTAGCCTAGGTCGACCAGCCGACAATACTATATCGGCGATAATAGAACAAGATGAGGATGATAGATTAGATTCTCTTATGAAAACACCGGAAACATTTTGTGAACATTGTAAACAATTAAATGAAAAGGTGCAACAATTAGAGATGGAGCTAAATGAAAAAAGTGAAGAATTGGAAGAAGTTAAGGAATCGTTTGAAAGGGGCCACCAAAGCTTTATGGAGTATCGTGACTTTGTCGCCATTGAGAAAAAGTTACAATTAGATGGTGAGATGGATGAAAATGTGAAAGGCGAAGAAGAACTTAAAAAGAAAATTACTGAATTGGAAGAAGCACTAAAAGAGCAAAAATCGACTCACGAAGCAAATATATGCGATATAAGAGATCAGGCATTAACTAAACTTGAAGAAGAAAAATTAAATATAGAAGGAAAATTTGAAAATATTATTAAGGCTGAACAGGACAAATACCATCAGAGGCTGCAGCTTGCCCTGGAAGAACTGGAGGAACGAGAAAAAGAAATTGAAAATCAAGTAATTTCCCTGGAAAAATCTAAAGAAGAACTAAAAATCAACCAAGATATCCTTAAGGAAAGAGAAACTTTCGTTATGGAATTGGAGAATAAAATGGCCGATCCTCGACATACTAAATCAGCGGCTGAAGAGCAGCAGGCAGAAGAACTAGAAGCTGTTAAATCTAAATTGAAAAGCACTATGGAAGAACTAGAACAATCTAAAAGGCAAATGAATATTCAAGAAGAAAGATTTAGCGATAATTTAGAAGATCTTGAAAATAGGGAGAAGCTAATTGAAGAATTAGAAGAAAAGATAACTAAGGAGCACGAAATCATAGAAATGGAGAGAATAGCCTTAGAAACCCAAAGAAATCAATTGAAAGGTGCACTTTGTGAGTTAGAGAATCGGGAAAGACTCGTCGAAGATTTAGAAAAGAAGATTGAAATTAAATTGGAAAGTGAAGAAATACAAAAATCCCAATCAGAAGGTATTCATAACAACTTAAAAAATGCCCTGGAAAACTGCAAAATTGAATTAGAGAATACAAAAATTCTATTAAAAAAAGCGAACGAAGATGTAAAGGAGTACAACGACCTAAAGAGTTGTTATGACAAGAGAGCAAAAGAAATCGATAATTTAAATAATAGTTTAGCAAGTAAGACCAAAGAGTTGGAATTGGCAAAAAAAGATCTTGGCGATGTGTCTGAAAAAGCTATTAATTATGAAAATGAAATTGCAAGTGTTAAGGCTGATTTTGAAAGTCTTAATAAAAAATTAGAAGAGTATCAAACATCTAATCAAACTTTACATGAAATAAGAAACGAATTCGATTCCTTGAAGGTTGACTACGACCGTTTAAAAGGAGAGAACATAAAACTGGAACAAACAAATTTGGAAGAGTTAAAGAAAAAGAGTATTGAATTAGAGGATATTAAGAGCAATTATGAAAATACATTAGAAAAATTAAAGGAGAAGGAGAAAACCATAGAGGAATTAATGAAGAGAAATAATGAACTCGAGTCGCTGAAACAATTAAAAACTGAGCAAGAATCGACTAAATTGGCTTTGAAAACTGCTTTAGAAGACTTGGCTAGTCGTGAGCAAGAATTAGAAAATTATAAGGCTAACTATAAATCGGCCGACCAAGTGGTTGAGAATCGTGTTCAAGATTTGGAAAGAGAGATTGATGAATGTCGATCGGAAAGGCTTAAGGCGGAAATGGAATTTAGCGAAATAATGAAAATGAAAGATAATGAATTGAAAACGATTAAAGAATCGACTAGAAAAGCTGAAATTGAATTTGAAAAAGAAAAGAAGACATCGGATGAGCTTTTGACTAATTTATGTACAGAGTTAGAGCAAGTAAAAGAGGATAATGCTAATATTGCAGAGGAGAGATTACAAGAAACAAAAATTCTTGAAGAATACGAAACAGTGGTAAGTGGAAAACATTTTAATTGAATTTTTTAAATTTGAAATCTTTCCAAAGGTAATATTATTGATAAATTACAGATACAAAATCTTAAAGAAACGGAGCAAACTTTATTAAAGGCCAATGAAAGTTTAGAAGAGAAATTAATGTGTGTTATTCAAGAAAATGAAGAACTTAAGACAAAGCATAATGACAAAGACCTTAAAGAAGCTTATAAAGAATTTGTGCAATCATACCGAGACAAAGATGTTTGTATAATTAATTAATTCTATTTTTTCTAATATAAATTAGATTTTCTCTAAGAAGATTTCGAATGGATTTAACGTTTATTTTTGTATAATGAAATTAGTTTATTAAGTATTAAGATATTGTCTAATCCGACTTTATTAATTGAAAACAGTTGGACGATTGTACATCAGATCAGAGGATTAAGAAGCTAAAAATGGAACTCGAAAAGAAGGATGAAGAGCTACATAAAAATGATAATACAATAAAATATTTAGAAATGGATAATAAACGATTAATGGACGAATTAAATAAGTTAGAAGATGAATTTAATGAGAAAGAAGCTGAGTGTGATCGTTTGTTAGAATGTACTAATTTGGGAAATCCTGATAATATTCAAGAGGAATTTGATCTTATGAAAAATCGTTCAGTTAGATTGGAGAAGGAGAAAAACGATTTAGAACAAAAATTAGGATCTTTAGACAAGTAATTCGACTATATTATTCTTTATTAGTATATTTTATAACTTTGTATATATCTTGTTTCAGATTGAAAAACGAATATCGAACAATAAAAAGTCAATTTAGCCTTTTAGAGAAAGAGAATAAACGACTGGAAGAAAAAATGAGCCATTTCGAAAAGTAATTTATTAAATTAATTAGCTTTTTTCTTTTATTACCAAACGGAAATTATTAATTGATTTATACTTTTTTACAATAGTCTTAAAAAACAAAATCAAGAATGTAAAATAGAAAACGAACATCTCGGATCAGCCTTGAGGACACTTCAAAAACAAGTGCGTAAATCGCTTAACGACAAAGCTGAATCATCTATATTTCAAGAGCCGCCTCCTCCGCCACCTCTAAGTTCGTCATCATCCAACGACTCTGAATTGCGTAAGCAATTAAAAGAAAAGACAACCGAAAATGACCGCCTCAAAGCTACTTTAGACATTTTAGAGTCGAAATATCGTAATTTCAAAGAGCAAGCCGCTAAGCATATGGATTATAACGAAAGAAAAAAATTAGCTGATTTACTTAATACTCCAGTGCCGTCAAAAGTAAAACGGCACAAACGTTTCTTCTCACCAGCCGCTGAAAATGAGGAAGATGATGAAAAAATGAATTGTACTGTTGTGCCGCCTTATAGTAAAATGATCGATGGACCAGACAAGATAAACTGCTCTCAACAATAAATTTAAATATGTTTACTATTTTAAAACTAGATTTTACGTTTAGAATGCAAAAATACATTTTTTTATTACTTTTTTATATATATTTAGGTCTACGAAAGTCGTCATACTGTTCTATATTGTTACTACATTTTTTTTACGTAATTAACTCCGTAACTAACGAATGAAAGCTTGAATAAAAACGATAAATGTTGAAAATCTATACTTTAAATGTTCAATTTATTTAATATTTTTTTCAATTAAAAAGTATGAATAAACAGAATAAAGCCATATTTAAATAGCAGTTTAATATAGTTGTTCTATTTATCTTTCATATCGAATTTTATTAATATTTTCTCCAATTTTTTTGTCTCTCCATCTTCTTGTATTATTCTAATTATTATTATTATTATTATTATTATTTAATTAGTAGGCGTTTAATTATATCTATGATAAGAGTTTTTGTTCGTTTAGATAGTGTTGACACCTGCAATACGTACATATGACCTTCAACTTGAGGATCGAAAGTAGGTGAGAGCATTGTAGATAGTATGTTTTTAAAGGGCGAATTCCTGTAGCGTTGTGTAAAACAGGAAGAGATTTTACAACTTAAATTATCAATAAAACAAGAAACAATGAAATAAGAATTATAGTAGAAAATATAACTAAACAGTAAACATTACACGTAAACTCGGAAAACGTGACCTTTTTTCGGGATTCTGCATTGATATTTTTGTCAAGAGACACTGAAAATACTAAAAATAAAAAAATTATTGATTTTATTAATTGAATAGTACTTTAAAAATTAACTTATTCTTTAATAATACTTTTAAATAAACTTTATTGTTGGAAATGAAATTAAATAAGAATTCATTTTTTTCTGTCAAAAGATGGCGTTATGCCTAGTAGAGTTGGCAGTTTTACTTTGAAGTTATTAAAATTTGCAGGTTTAGCAGTCGTTTCAATATTAAGAAAATGCTTTGTGACACTAATCCAGATGTGGGAAAGTAATCTTATCAAGAATTTTCTCACCTACGTTTCCAGGTATGTGTATGCTTTCAAATGATTCTCTTTTCGTTCAAATCATTTAATCCGCAGGTATAGGAAAATTGCTCTTATAGTTATTGTAGTGCTGTCCCTTTTTCTATATCTTTGGCCGTATTGGTTAAAGTCTTATTCACGGAAGTACGTCGATCCAATCCTACTTTGCGAGGAGAGATCCCTCCATCCTTATTTAAGAGCATTGAGCAGCCACGATGCACTAGTTGAGCATGAACCTTCTGTTGCCGAAGACAAAACATTCCTGCCTTATGTTGGAAACGGCTACTTCGGTTTATCCGTCCTTCACGATAGTAGAGTTTATATACAAAATGATCGTACACTGTCTGAAGGTCTAGGTATTTCTCCCATAATATCTGCTCAAGCAAAGGGATATATATCTAGGGCAGTAGTTGTTTTGGACTTGTTAAATGGTATAGTCGAAAGGACGCAATGCTTTCAGCTTGGATCTGTGTGCGTTGGTATTACAACAAAGATTTACGCTCATCGAACAAAGCCATCTCTATTAATTCAAGATATTCGAATTAGCAATCCTACTGCAGAACCAGTAACCTTAGATATAGAATTAACGGGATTTGGAGATGGTTTTACAATTCGAAAGAAAAAAGAAGACATGGCTTTAGGCCGTACGATTGTCAAAGATAAAAAGATTGGAGTAGCAATTATGAATATACCGGAGAGTTTAACAATAAAATCAGGAGGAGCTTTATCTTTTCATCATATTACATCAATAGTCGTTGTAGCCAAAGATACTCCTGATAAAATGGTTTTAGAAAAAGCTGAAAAAGATTTGGTGGATGCTCAGAAAACGAAAGATCTTGAAATGCAACACAAATCAGTATGGCGACATTTATGGACTCATGGTTTCTCCATTAGTGATTCAAAAGCAAGTGGAGCTCTGAACGGTGACCGTATAAATTTAACTCTGTACTACGTTCTTAGCAATACGCCAGCTCTGTTACACGAACCAATTGATAAAGCTGAAGTAACGAAACTCCGTACTTATTTAGCATATCCTGATAGATGCTACGAGGGTCATCACACTCTACAGAATGACGTTTTGTGGAAAACTGTGGAAAGTGACAACGATGTTCAATCGTTGGCTAGCACCTGGTTGTTGACACTAGATAAGCTTGGTTGCTCTCAGATGATGAAGGCAGGAGCGGATGGAATAATGCAAGCTATGGTGCTATCCTGTGGGGCTTTGAAATTTAAAAATTTTCATCTTGAGTTGTCCATGCAACATTCCGATCTCGATAGAGTGATGCACTGGAGACGTGTACATTATGGTAATAATACGCACGTTAATATCACTGTTCTAGTTCGAGATGACAATAGACCTCAAATAATAGTATCTCTCGATAGGAATGATAAGCCATATTATGCTTGTTCAGCTGGTTGTACAGATCTTTATTCGCTATCGGAAACACCTCAAATTCTACCAGTTAAAATTACAAAACCATTAACAGCTCTTTTATATATAACATCCGATAAAAAGCATATGCAAGAGCTACGAAAAACTATACACTTTAAAGAAATAAAAGATGCTCCGGCGCATTCTCAAGGTATTTTAGCAGTACACAAGCACGGTACTCACTACGGAGGTTTACCGGCTCTCTTTTGGATATCTATTGCATCCTTAATAGCAATATTTCACTTATTCCTATTGAAAATTGTGTTGAATGAATATTGTATGACTGATAATTTAGCTAAAGAGCAGAGGTATCCGCGTCCCAGGTATACCGTATAATAATATTGGTGACTTAACTTATCTTTTTTATGTTTGTTTAATTAACTTTGTAATTTTGCTTTGGTATTTTCTATTTTTAACCAACAACGTTACAGTTAATGACAATAAAAGTTACTCTTATTATTAATAATAATACAAATAGAGAAGTGTGTTAAGTCTTCATCATATTACATTCAAACAATGGTAATTGAACGAATCTCCGAAGATGAGGATAAGTTTCTCCCATTCAACTCACTCAAAATATCTTTTACGTAATCAAGGTATTTATATAAAATTATCTTACGAAAAAGATGAACAAGACTCTAGGGTATCCAATGATTGAAAGATGAACAAAAAGATCTGTTGAATAAAATTCAATAACCGTTGTGATCGCCGTATTTAAATGTAACACGTATTATAGAAATGTAGAAACTTGAATTATGAACAAACAAGCTATTTAATTGGTGGTTTCTTCTTTAAATCTAACACATTATTTAAAGTTGAGAATGATTTTCTTTTAATAAATATTCTCTTATTTCCGGAAGGACCTCTATGAATTTTCTTTACGTCTGCCTTATCCTGATCAATATAATCTGGTATTTTTTCGCTCATAGCAGCCATCGAATAATAGCACTTGAATACCTTACCCCTTCGTTTATTCGAAGTATTGGCCCCTTCCTCAACACTATCGTACTTATCGTAATAAGTAGAATATGTATCATTTGTAGATGAAGATTCATTTTTACCCTGACAAAGTCCCATAAAAAAGATAACAAATAGTTGACAAATTAAATTGTATATATACATATATACATCTATATACAAGAGTCTATATATATATATATATATATATATATATATATATATATGGTATATAGTATGTATATCTTACTTTTTCGATTTTTAAAATAGCTTTATATGATATCATACTAATATTAACTTTTTAATATGATACGAGGGAAGAGGTGTCTTTAAATAATCAAATATCTTAGCAGCTTTTTCTTTTCGTTTTATTCTAGTAAGGGCTTGCAAAGATCAATTCCGAATGAAAATTATAGCTTTGCTCTGTCAACAACAAGACTATTTCGTTGATGATATTTAAACGTTAGTAAATATTCATTGTAATGAGCTGTTATTGCAGTTATGGGCTAAAACAAGAAATTACTTATTCTATTAGGTTATTGCAACAGTTTAGTTGAAAACTATTAAAAATACATATGCTTTAAGCGCCGTCTATCGGATTTAAAAAAATTGTTTCAGTGGTAAGTTCTTTACAAAGTTTCCCCTCTATCGTTACACTTAAAGGGCTTTTTCTTTTGTAACGAAAAAATAAATATTTTATTTGCGAACAAATTGTTATATACTTATTTATTTATTTACTTTTAAAATGCTCAATAAAAGTTTATTGTCAAGAGTTTTGTTAATGATTTGTCAATTAAAATTATTTTGAAAATACTTTTCATCAATGTTCAAGTAAGGCTTTTTTTTCTTTAAAACCATCGAATTGGGTAGTAGTCTCAGTATATTGTTATACTCAAAAATAAAATAAAAACTGGTATATATAAAAACTGAATGTTTTACGTAAGAAAGGAATTTGTTTTTTCTACTACTATTGCAAAATTTTACAAAATATTTAAACAAAAATTAATTAGTCAGCAATCGTTGAAAAATCTAAAGAGTATGGCTACGAATAAACGTAAACATGAGAAACAAGGAGGTCCATCGGCTAAAAAAGTACCTCCTTGGATGGAAGGTTTAAAACAAGCTATGGAAAATCCAGATTTAAAAGTTTTAGAGACTGATAAAGCTGTTGTGATTAAGGATAAATATCCGAAAGCGCGTCATCACTATTTAGTTTTACCTAAAGAAAATATATCAAATCTGAAAAGGTTTGTGTAAATACAATTATGAATCACTAATAAAATTCTTATAAATGCTTTTATATTAGTTGTCAAAAGGAGCACGTTGAACTATTAGAACATATTCATGAAATTGGCGCCAACTTAAAAACGAGGCATGAAAATTCTGCATTCCGATTAGGCTATCATGCTATTCCAAGTATGTCTCAACTACACATGCACGTCATAAGTCAAGACATGATATCCGATTGTATGAAGACAAAGAAACACTACAACTCTTTTACAACCGATTATTTTGTTCCCTCTGAAACTATTTTAAAAATGTTAAAACGAGACGGAAAGGTTGATATTAACGCAAAAGATATGAAATTATGTCTAGAAATGAATTTAAGGTGTCATTTGTGCGGTGAAAGTCAAAAGAATATACCTACTCTCAAAAAGCATTTACTTCTAGAAGATTCGAAAAAGAACAGGGGAAAATAGAATAATAATAGAACGTTTCGAATTATCTATTCCGAAAAAAAGAACCTAACGTAACTCCTCTTAGCAGAGATTTAAGGAAGTTGTATTAGTAAATTGTAAAAGATTTTTAAGCAATAAAAACATAACTAAAAGAAAACTTTTGCTTTATAGAATGTATGGAATTTTTAAAATACTTTTAACTTTTATTTACGCAAAAATCAAGGTGTTTATTCTCTTTGAAAGAAAAAAAATTGTCTTTATGCCAAAAGAATTTAGAATGATTGATCAACTGAATTATAGCATTTTTTTCAGCCCTCTATCCCTTACTCTCCCCCTCCCTTTTCCCCTCCCCTTTCTATTTTAGTATATGAAAAAAAATAATATCCAATCACGTGACTGTCGTGTGGGCGTGAGATATTTGTATGGTATATTTATTCAGACGGTAGCGTTTGAACTGTTCGGTCTTTGAATTTTCATCCGTTAGAAAAGAAAGATCTAGAAGAGAAAGAGAAGATATATAAGTTAGTATAAACGAATTAGACGGTAATAAATAAATAAATAAGTTATTATTAAACTTATTCTTATTTTTTATTATATTCTATCCTTTGTATTTATATATGAATTAATACAAATTTTAACTATAAAAAATATTTACCTATATTTGAAGAATAGCTCTCTTAAGCCTAATAAAATAATTTTAGGAATTTTTTAAAACGTAAGGCCATTTTTAAGTAAATTTATTAATAGAGAAAATTTTTACAGCTAACAACACGAACACAGAATAACAATGGTATGTCAGTTATTTAAACTACATATATGGCTACTAATTGGACTATTTACTTATGTTCTATCGAGTTGCCCTGCAGTGGATAAGAATTGCTTATGTAAAACCAAATATACTTATAACTTCTTTATAGAATGTTCAAATTTACATAAATACGATCAAGTGCCAGTGTTTCTGAATAATTCGAATAAGCTATACGAATCTGTGAATTTTTATAATTCTGATATAAGAAATATACAGGATAACGCCTTCGTTAATATTACAACTAAGAATATTCACTTGGAGAATAATGAAGTTCGGCAAGTTGATGAAAGAGCCTTTTATGGAATGGAAGACCTTAGTTACATAAACTTGGGTGAAAATCATCTTCACACTGTACCAAATGGCTTATTTCACGGATTAGAGAATTTAGAAAATATTGGTTTGAATGGGAATAAATTAAAGAATCTATCAGATAGTTTATTCAGCAATTTGCGTAAATTAACTTTTCTCTATCTATTTAATAATGAAATAAGAGAAATTCGAGAATCTACATTTGCAAATTTAACGAATCTAAAAGTTTTGGATATAAAACATAATTTCCTATCTGAAATTGATCGAAATAGTTTTAAGGATCTAATAAACTTGGAACGCCTCGCTCTGCAGGGAAATTCTATAAGGATCATTCATGACAATATGTTCTTGAATAATGCTAAATTGAAAGACATATATTTAGATTATAACTTATTAGAAAATATCAGTTCTGATGGCCTTAAAGGTCTGGAATCTATACAAGGACTTTCCCTATCACACAATTTAATTGAATTCTTACCGACACGAGTCTTTTCAACTCTTCAAAATATCACTCAAATAGATTTATCCCATAATAAACTAAGGGAAATTGACGACAGTACATTTTATGATTTAAGAAAGTTAACCAAATTAGAATTGAATGATAATTATCTTAGACAACTTCCCAACGCCTTTATCTCCATGACGAATATACAATATCTAAATTTGGCAAATAACCACCTGACTGCTCTTCAAAATTGGAAATTTTATTTAAGGAACTTTAAGCCAACTTTAAAACAGCTTATACTTAAGAATAATTCTATTGATACCGTTGATAATCGGTTAGGAGCATATTTCCTGTCAGAATTAACTACTTTGGATTTATCCTATAATCAAATTGAACGTTTTGATATTAGATTTTTCTCAAATATGACCAAGCTAAAGATTTTACACCTAAATAACAACAGACTGCAGCATGTTTTCAAAGAATATTTCATTCATTTACAAAGTTTGGAAGATTTATATCTTAACGATAATCAAATACACTATATTCAAGATTACACCTTTTCTAAAGCTCCAAGACATTATTTAAATCTAAATAACAATCAAGTTGGTGTGATACACGGTCTTTTATTCGCTGGTAATACTAAACTTTCAACTCTAAATTTGAAAAATTGTTATATTGGCGGTATAAATTCTTATGCATTTAAAACATTAACAAATCTACGATATCTAAGGTTGAACTATGGAGATCTATCGGCTCTAAAGGATGATCTTTTCTCAAAGAATTCTAAATTAAAATGGCTTTATTTGAATCAGAATAGATTAAAAAAGATAACAAGAGGAACGTTTTTTAAAGCTAGAAGTTTGGAAGTATTACATCTAGAGAATAATATTATATCTAGTATTGAAAATTCTAGTTTTTTTGACTTAAAAAGGCTGCAAATATTAAAATTGAATAATAATAATTTGTACGCTCCAATCGACGAAAATCTATCTTCTGATCAACCAGGAACGAAACCGCCTTCTCCTAAAATAACAGCAAAAACCTTTGAAGGATTGAGTAATCTAGAAGAGCTAGATATATCTAACAATAAACTATCAGGCTTTCACGAATCATACGTGACAAGACTAAAGAAGTTAGCTTATCTAAATCTTGACTTTAATCCTATGTTCTGTTCATGCCAAATGAATTGGTTAATTAAAAAAGACATTTCGGTGGATTGGGAAAATATGTTTTGCAAATTACCATTAGCCTACGCTGGTAATAAAACAGCGTGTTTTCTAGAAGAACAGTGCAGGTTATCAATAAAAAAGGACTTTGACTGTTAAAATTTTTTATAAGAACGTTAATTTTTGTTTATATGTTACTTTTTACTCTTTTTCTTTATTGTTTATTTTGAAATGTTATTAAATAACAGTTCAACGAAAAAAAGCCTTTTTAAGCCGACTGTTTAGACTAGGAATACAATTTCTGTCTATTCTACATCATATTTTCATTGAATAAGGATTAAGAGAAAAATGAATTGTATATTTGTATATTTATACAATAATATAAATCTTTATATACAGCATATGTAAATAAGTTAACTATTTATTTTACTAGCAAAACGAAAAGATTGACACTAAATAGAAAATCCATTCGCTTCTCTAATTCCATTCTTCTTAATCTTTTCCAGTTTCATTTTCTTAACCAACCTCAGCCATTCCGTAACTTTTTCCAGCCGTGCTTTGCTGTGCAAAATTGGAAATCGTCAGTTTCTCCTGTCCACAAGATATTGGTGCAACAACGATAGTTCTTGATTTAACAGCAGGTTTAGAAGATGTTAGTCCCATTTTTACTTTATGGTTTAACTAATTCAGCAAGGTATACAACTCCAAAATGGTCATTAATATCTCTCTTATATAATGATTTTCCCTATTAGTTGATTATGTAGTAATTTAAGAAGGTAATTCAATATAAAATCGATTGTAAATATACCACAAAACAAAAAGTATTTATTATATTGTTGTGATTTACGAATATAAATATTGTTAAATCAATTCCAATACCCTTTAGGTATAACCTAATTTGACCGAACCGTAAATGCATAATTTTTCCATACGAAGCAGAAGACTACAACGTGAAATTTGTGAAAAAAGATTCAATATATTCACCACATATATTGTATATTAGTCTATATATATATAAAGATATTGAGATTGTATTATTTATATCCTAAGTGTACCGATTTCCAATAAATTATAATTATTACCATTATTTTTAGACATTTAAAAGGCAGAGACGGATGGGAAAGGGGATTTTACGAGGACAATAAATCAGAAGTTTATTACGTTTGCGTTAATATTTAGTATTCTATTCTTTCTTTTACTTTAGTAGTTGCTTTCTCGACTTTATTCCTCCTCTTGATTTATTATTTGAGAAGAACTTCTTACAATGCCAACATTTTTAAGAATATTTTTAAAATTGAACCTGCAAATTTCAACATTCTTAATTTAGAAAGCTAGAAATATTCTAGTACAAAGTTGACAAGAATGAGAACGAAAGTAAGCTTAATCATGCGCTATTTTTATTTCAACTTTGTCTATTTATAGAAAAAATTTTATATTATTGGTATTTATTCAAATTAAGAATTCAATTGTTTATTTATAATTAATATATATATATATATATATATATATATATATTAATATACATATATATATATATATATTTGTTTTTTGATTTTTACAAGTTAATTTTTTAAATATTCAAAATAGAAAAAAAGATTACAAATTTTCAACAAAAAAAAATTCAACTAATTTATTTATTTAATATTATTTTTTGTTTATAGAATAAAAAACATATTTGTTTATTTTAATATAATTATTAATTTTTTTGTTAATTCTTGATCTCTCATCAGCACTTATCGTTCTAAAAAGAAAAAGAATAGGGAAAATAATTCCATTGCTTAAGAAAATCTCATATATACTCTAAACATAACTTATATATTGGTACATATATATTAGTAATTTGTATATATATATATATGTACCAGTATATTATTTATTTCTTTTTCAACATACCTGAGTTTCTTTGAAATAGGTTGGTTTTCCACCTTGTAAGATGACTGCAAGTGGATGAATACCTTCCTTTTTGTTTGGATGCCTTTCTCGCACGTGTTTGTGACCCTCTCCGCTCAGATAGAATGCTAGATGGCAGTAATCGCAACCAAATCTCTTGAAACCGTGTCGTAAATAATGAATTTTCATCTTGGGCCATATTGCTGTTTCATGGGGGCATTTTAAACATTGAAATATTCCGGCAGTTCGCCTATTAGCGAATAGTTCCCTAGGAACAGTTGTTCCATCAACATTCATGGAGTATTCAAAAGTTGAAGTTTCTTGAGATTCACCCCCCTCAGCTGACTTTTTTACATTTGCCTGGTCCATTAATTCGTTTAGCGTATCCTCCTTCTCTTTATCTTTAAATTTTAAAACCTTCACTGAACAATCGGCGTGAAGTTTCTCACTATGCTTTTTCATCTCAGTCACAGTACAACCGGTAAATCCACATTCAGCGCATTTATAAGGCGTATATCTCATTTCTTTGTCCATTAAATGTAACAACATAGCTTGTTTCGAAGTAGTTTTAAAGTCGTCGCACATTGGACAAACAAAATTAATAGCATCAAAAACTAAAGTTGTTGGCGATCGAAAATTAGACGGATTCTGTTTAGATTCGACTAGAGGTTTTTCTTTTGCAGGAACCACTTCTGAGTCATCTTCACTACCATGTTCGTTTTTAACATTATCTTCACCCTCTGCACCCAGTTTCTCGTAGTATTTAACGATTTCATTTTCCATTTTTTGATCTCTTTCCTTTATAGGCTCCCCTTCAAATGAATGAATCGATCTCATATGTTTTTTCATAGGGTAATTTCTTGTTGTTTCATACTTGCAAAGAGCGCATTTGTATGGTTTGTATTGTAAATGTGACATGACGTGGTGTCTTATTGAATGCCACATGACAACCTTAGAGCAGATTTTACATCTACCTTTCTCTTCCTGTCCAGGAGATGTGCTACAAGTTGCCTTTGGGCTATCTTCAGTTTCATCTTCCTCTTCCTCAGCTACTTCTTCTTTAACAATTGGTTTCAAAAGAGAGCCATGCTCAGAACTATTGTGTTCCCTAAACTCTTCAGTTGTGGAGAACGTAGCTGTACAATAATTACACTTTATTGGCGATTTAGATGCTGATCGCTTCGATGCTATTATGGGTCCGTTGTATCCTTCGATAGGACCGTAATATAAGCATAATGTTCCATCATCCAATTTCTTTTCTTTTACAACTTGCACGTAGCTATTCATCACGTGCGAGTTGTCTCGGACAGTATGAGACACGCTTCCATGCTCTCTTTCAATATGAGCGGATACCGCTTTCGTTGTTCGACTCCCATAATCGCAATAAGTGCATTTAAACTGATATTTACCCATATGTTTATGATATACGTGCACTCTCAGGTCGCTAGCTGACCATTTACTAGATAAGTCGCAAAATATACAACAATGTAATCTGTGTACTCCGGACGAGCTATCTTTAGAAGGAGTTGTAGTTGAACTGGGTGTCTGATTGGTAGTTGCTATTGGTTGAGCTGTAGATGATTTCTCTGTTTTCAATTGTCCTTGAGGAAATACTGACATTTCAAATTCATCTGGCTTAATTGTACACCGTATTAGCCGTTTTGGTACAGCTCCGTGTGTCTTAAAAGCGTGCTCGCAACCAGCTTGCATGTCAACAAACTTTTGGGAACAATAAGCACACTTAACAGGTCTAATAGAAGTATGCTGCCCAAGTACATGTCTCCTTAAAGCTCTAGGCGTTGACATTTTTGATCCACATAGAGAGCATTGCCAACCTTCTGTTCCTTCTGCGAAACGTAATATCTTTCTTGATAGAGCATCTCTAAGAAAAGGTTCGTCGATATCTTTAGATTTTACAGAATCAGGTTTTTTCATTCTGTACGATAGATTGCGCTCAGTATCACCAGGAGCAATCCTAGTTAACTTTAGGTCTTGGTGACGATGAGTTCGACGAGTGTGGTGCCGTATATTCCTAGCAGAATAATCGTTTTTATCACAATAATTGCATGAGTAGATCTTCTCCTCTAAATGATCTTTTGCCACATGTTCGATTAAATCTAACCGATCCGCTTCTTCTAAACCGCAATCTTTACATTTATATTGAATTTGTTTGCTATCATCTTCTTCCATTAATTGTTCAATTAGTGGATCGTTTTCTTCGTTTTCATCACAGCTGGTTTCCTCATAATCGTCAGATTCTAAATCGTCACTGGAATTTTCCTCATCTTCTACAGATATTTCCGGTGGTGGTTCAGATTGTTCGTCCCAATCGATTTGTCTTAATTTTTTTTTGTCTTTTTGTAGAGAAGACATTGAACTAGAGCTATTATTTACCGACGGATGTAAAACATGGTCGTTTATATGTTGAATTACATCCGCTCTTGTTTTCGATGTAAAATCGCAAAAAGGGCAAGAAACGGGCTTGTCAAATATAAAAGTTAACGGTAAATCGGCAACAAATCGACCAGCTGTAGCGTTCATATCTTCAGATGATTGCGCAGCTGAATTTGTTTGTTTTTCATTAGTATCATCGCTGCTCTCTTCCGTTTCTCTGGCACTATCAATAATGATATCGCAAAGGTAATTGGGATATCCGGGATGGCAGTCAAGCATATGCTGGGATAAGGCAGCAGGTTGATTATCTTTAAAACTGCGACAAAAACGACAAGAATATAACAGTACATTTCTTTTGTGTTCTCTTTCGATATGACGTCTGACATTTCTTAAAAGCTGAGTTTCAAAGGTACAGAGGGGACAATGTAAAGATAAGCTCTTTTCATTCGTTTTAACTTCTTCAGTATGACATTCTTCGTCTATTGCCTCTTCTACTAGCTTCAATTCTTCTTTATCATCGAATTCTTTTCCATCCATAACGCAAATATCTTGAGGTATTAAACCAAAAGTTCTTTTTAAGTGCTTTACTTCGTGGTGTTCCTTAATAGCCGATGGCAACATAGCCCTATAGGGGCAATTGGCGCACTTAAATATTCGAACTTCATATGTTTTACCAGAATCTTTCATTTCTCTCAAAAGATGCATAGTGAAGTTTCCCAGATGAGACGAGGAAAATTCACAAAATTGACAAGCTAGTTGACCCAAACGACCTTTAAATGCATCGTTTACTGGTCCCTGATTCCAAGAAGATCTCTTTGAGTAAGTTATAACACGAACTCGCTTATTAAACAACAATGAAACAGAAGCATCAGTCT